AAATTTCCCAAAAATTGTTCCAAATTATTCCTATCACCATCTGGATTACTGTACATTTCCCCAAAAACTTTTTTTTTCCTCCAGCCAAAAACTTTTAAACAAAACTAAATTCATTCTGCTGCGACTTCCGATTATTTTCTAACATAAACATTTTTGTGTTGGGTCGATAATATGTGCTGTTCTTAATCCGTCCCTCAAATTTCATCTTCTTCTTCGAATAAACTATTTTTTATCGCTTATACTTTGTTTATTTTCATATTTCATATTTTCGGGGAACAACTACAGTAGTCTTGAGGAAGCCTGACAGGAAGGAAACACCAAAAAAAATAAGGTCATAAATAAAATTCGGTATGTAATTTCCATTTCGAAGAAAAATTTGAGCAAGAAAAATGGGCCTTTTTGAACAAAGGAACCAATCAAAAAAATTTTGGGAATTCTAGGGATCCACGTGGCTACCGCAACCTGGCCGGTTTGCGAACTTAGGCTTAGGTTAGGCTTGGTAAACTTTTTGGAGCTTTTTTCAAAATGAATTTGAAAATATTCATAAAAATTGTGCAATCCCTGAATCGATCAAAATTTCAAAATCTAGAAAATATTAATAAAATTTTTGAAACCTAAAAATGCCGGGTTTTTTGAAAGTCGAAAAAAAATGAATTTTCTAATTTTCAGAGTTATTAATTTTCCTGATCTACATATTTTTTAACAACAATTCTCCTAGCAATCCACGTGGCAAACCCTAACCACCGTAACCGTTTCCCCCAAAAATGCTACCCAGGTGTGATTGTTTGTCATCATCGTTTCTCATCATCAACATTGTAAACACACATGTTTGCCAGTTACCTACCTAGCAAACGATATTCGATATGATTCTGACAACCCAACCCAACCCAACCCGGTGTCTGCTACTGCTGCTGTGCCGTTAGCCATTATTCTTGTGTCAATAAATGAGTGAGCGAGGCTTCTTTTCGCCTTCTGCCTCTTTTTTCCCGCTTCATTTTTGGGGGTTATTTTAATGGCCGACTTGATTTACCGTATGACTTAAATGGTGTGAAAATTTTGGAGAAAGGAAATTCGGATTGACATTACTCACATACATACAAACATAATCCGAGAAGTGGTTAGAGTAAATTGAAAATTGGCAGTTGGGAAGAAGTGTGGGAGGTTTTGAGTTAGGGTGAATTTTCAGATTTCGGGACTTTTTTGAACTAGGAAAAAGTCTTGAAGTTCTGGTGGGAACTTCAGAAGATCTAATTAAATTTAAAACAATTTGAACTTCGTTTTTTCATCAGATTTCTTTAGAGTTGGGATAACTCCTCTTATGAAATTTTTAAAGATAAGGAGATCGGGAAAGCTGCAGATTGAAATCAAGAAATTCGAGTTAGACTTGTTCATCAAAATTTTGTCAGAGTTAGAATAACTGTTCTGAAATTAGTTGGAATCTGGAAGGTCTAAAGAAAAGTGTAGATATTTCTAACATCGAAAGATCGGAAGCTGAACTTTTGAAAATCAAAAAAATTGAATTTGGCCTGGGAATTCCTAAAGTCCTGGAATTATTTTAAAAGAGTTTTGTTGAAGTTAGGATAACTCCTCTAATTTCTGTGAAAAAATAGATCAAGAAAACTGAATTTCTAAATCAAATAAACTTGAACCTTTAGAGTTCAATTTCAGAATAATGATTTTCAGATTTATATTTTTTCAAGTGTCAAGTTCAAAGTTCAAAATCAATTACCCTAATTTCGAATTGATAGGTTGAAACTCAATTTTCCTTTTCCCAATTTTCAAATCTGATCATCATGATCTACTCTACTTTTCCAATATTTATCCAAAATATTAGACCAACGAACATTGTCAATCCAATCCACCCCAATTCATACAAAAACCACTTGAAAAAAAATAACACATTGATGACCTTATTTGACCGTATTCCACTAACAGAACAGGCAAAAAAACCGGGAGACAATAAGTTAGATAAACAAATGATGTGTGATAGAAAGAAAGAATGAGGAGGAGGAGGTGAGTACTGTACTTCACAACAACAATAATACAATGACAGCAGAGTCCATTAACACATCGAGTTGACAAGGAAAAAAAAATTCGGGGGACTGACAAGAATCTAATGTCTTTTTTTACGGTGATCATTTTTCAAACCTAATTTTTTTAGATCAACATTTTTTATTTCAAATTTTGGAAATCTGATATTTTGTCAGCTTTTCAGAAAAAAATTAATTTCATGTTGAGCGAAATTCTATCTCGACTTCCGAATTTTTCAAAACCTATACAAATCCAAATCCAAATCCCAAAAACAAACCAAACCCTACAGTAATCCTCATCTGATCAATAAACAAATGTATCTTCTCCCTTTCTATCTACAGTAACCCGGCCAAGTGTTAAGATAAATACAACAAAATATAAATATAAACATAACAAGTATATAAACATTATAAGTATATATGAGGAGTAGTAGTAGTACACTGTTTGCTGACTGACAATACAAAAGAATCGCAATCGCAATCGATTGAAAAGAAAAAAGAAGAAGACTTGAGAGTTGATGTTTGTCAATCACACTTCTATTCAAAGGGTTAACACTTTGTTCGATTTTTGAATCGAAAGAGAACGAGATACTGTATCTTGAAGTCTTGCTGATGTCGCTGACAAGTAGTCGAGCCTTGAGGGCCTAGTTGTAAAGGAGCTAAACCTTATGGACGTTGCTGACAAGTAGCCGAGCCTTGAAAGCCTAGTTGGCAAGGAGCTGAACCTTATGAACGTCGCTGACAAGTAGCCGAGCCTAGAAAGCCTAGTTGTCAAGGAGCTGAACCTTATGGACGTTGCTGACAAGTAGCCGAGCCTTGAAAGCCTAGTTGGCAAGGAGCTGAATCTTATGAACTTCGCTGACAAGTAGCCGAGCCTAGAAAGCCTAGTTGTCAAGGAGCCCAGCCTTATGAACCTTGCTGTCGCTGACAAGTAGAAGAAGAGGAAATCAAACAGTTTTCTAGGAAAGATTCTACATAGATCTGGGGTTTTTGCAAATATGAATGTCAACATAATTAAAAATTAAAAATTTCAGCTGCTTTCCTTCATCAAAAATCAAAAATTCGTGTTTGAGTTGTTTACAACATGCACTGAACTTCTGAATTTATGCATTCTCGGAACCAACTTCAAAATGCAATTCAAAGCATGGCTTCTATATGGCTTATGAATAAAAATAAGTGATAAACTTGTCAATATTCCATGCATCCCAAAAAATATCACAATAACATTATTGCCAATTTGATTAATAAACCCGCTCAACATAATAAAACACATTGCAAAAGTGGGTAAAGCCATAACAATAAACGGAATGAATACTTGAATACTGATCGCGATTAGAAACTTGAATTGCAGTTTTCTAGTGTGTTTTGAAACTGTTGTTTTTGAGCCAATAGTTAAATGATAAGCAGAAGTAAAGACAAAATAAGATACATTTGTACAAACAAAAATTAGTAATGAAAATACAATAATCGATGCTTGCAATACTTTTCGTGGCAACACAATTGTATTCTGATCGAAATATTCAACTGGCGGGCATTTATATGAACTTTTTTCTATTAATCTGAGTTTTTCTTCTAGCTCAGAGGTACAATCAAAAGAATATGTGCTCAAAGCTCCTATTCCAGCAATAAACCAAACAAGATAATAAATAAATGCCGATTTTTTTCTGGTAAATTTATATTTGATAGAGAACACTTGACTGTGACGATTTTGAAATATTGAAACCACTGATATACACAAGGCTAACAAAAATCAATATTGCCAATTTTTCAAAATGTTTCAACTCACAGAGCACTGAAGTTTGTCCAAAGAGAATTATGACACTTGGAGGAACCCTGAGCCACGAAAAAATCCCTCTTAAATATAAAGCGGGTAGGGGAAAATATAAAATTGGAGTTACAAAAAAATCCATCAACACATCGATGAAAAGTGCACTAAATGTAAGAATCTAATGTAAGTTTCAATTTCAAGTTTTTCAAAAAAATTCCTTACTTTGCGTGTAACAAAATCATAACACCTTTTATGTTTTTCATATTTGGAGGAGTGATTTTGATAATCAGGTAAAATGCATAAAATGCTAATGGATAGGTTAGGAATGAAAAAATGTGGAGGGAATATGTGACAAACTCTTTTGACTCGTAAAATGATCGTTCCCGAGGGCAACTTGCAAAATATATATCCATTTGAAAAAAAATGTTGGAAATCTAGTCCTGAATAAAGAGAAACGGAACTTTTCTTGTGATCAGAATCAGAATAGATTATTTCACCTGCATTTTTTTTTTCAAAAAATTAATCCAATAATCAGGAATAATTGAGACTTGTGGAAAATATGTAGATTAATTCTTATGAGCCCATTAATATTCTGTAATAGAGTGTTAAAGAGATTTAGGCTTGCTTGAAATATGAGTTCAAAAAACAAGTTTTAGAGCCAGAAGTTCTTGAAGATTGTTCAGATTTTCAAGCTTTTCAAAACGAGACCAAATTTGGATTTTGGAAAATTTTGGTTTTGGAAAAAGTTTCAAAATTTTGTGCTTAACAAAAACCTTCTAGATTTGGTTACAGAATTTCATGTTCTTTTGAATATCAGAAGCACTCGTTCTACCCTAAATCAATTTTTGTGAATCAGTTTTCTCCCCAACAAAAAATACGTTTCAAAATTTGTGTTTAGAGAAATAGAAAAATTTCATTTTTGATTCCTTTCTGGGCAAAATTTGATCAAAAAATCAAAACTTTCTTCCTTTTTGCTTCGTGTGATTTTTGATTGAAAACTGAAAACTTCCAGAAAAAACCGTTTATAAATTCAGGTTTCCGGTTCAAAAGACAAGTTTTCAAGTTTTCCTTTCAATTTCAAATCACTCGTTTTTTCTTCCCAGGAACATGTTTTGTCAATAAAAAACGTCTGGGAACCATTTGAAATGTTCTCATTTCTTTTTGGATTTTTTGAGTTTCAAAGCATTTTTTCAGAGAAAAAAATGATTCCGAATCTTCCGAATCTAATATTCTTATTTTCTCTATGTCTTGGGTTTCTTATTCAAAGTTCCCTTTGCAAGTGAGTAATAAGCTTGAAAATTTTAATTAAAATAATCAAAAATGTTTTGCAGAACTCAACCAATCGATCCTTCAACAAGTTCAAACTACAAACAAATTACTGTAGAACACTATGATCTCGATTGGAAGATCAATTTTGAAAAAACAAAAATCGAAGGAAGTGTCGTGATTTCGCTAAAAGCTTTAAAGCCTACAAATCAAGTGGTAATCTTTAATTTTTGAAAAAAAATTGGACTCTAAATATATGAATTCCAGATTTTTGACACACGCGATCTGGAGTTCTACAAAATTCAAGAAAATGGTACAAATCAGGAGCTCAGCTATGAAATTATTGAAAATGGTATTTTCGGGCAGAAGCTTCGGATAACAACAAAGAATTTAGAGGAAGGAGAGAAAATGTGAGGAAATTATGGGACCAGAAAAATATTTTTGATCTACTTTTTTTTTGCAGAACTCTAAAAATAGTCTACTCTTCAAGTCAAAATGCGGTGGCTGTGCAATTTCTGACAGCCGAGCAAACCACCGATGGAAAAGCTCCCTATCTTTTTTCTCAATGTCAAGAGATCAATGCACGATCTATTTTGCCGTGTATGGATACGCCTTCGGTGAAAAGTAGTTATACAGCTAAGGTTTCTGTGCCAAAAGGTCTAACCTGTTTGATGTCGGCTGTGAGAACTGGAAACAGCACTTCCGAAAATTCTGACATCTTTGAATACCATCAGAAAGTTCCAATTCCCACGTATCTTCTAGCCATAGTTGTGGGCAAATTGGAATCGAGAAAGATCAGTGATCGAATCGATGTTTGGGCGGAGCCATCGAAAGTCGCAGCCGCGCAATATGAATTCGCGGAAACCGAAAAGCTCTTGAGAATCGCTGAAGATCTAGCCGGTCCCTATATTTGGGGTCGATATGATCTGATGATTTTGCCGGAATCTTTTCCATTTGGTGGAATGGAGAACCCTTGCTTAACATTTGTCACATCGCAGGCTGTGGTGGGTGACAGAAGTATGGTGAATATAATTGCTCATGAGATTGCTCATAGTTGGACGGGGAATCTGGCGACAATGGTTTCGTGGGAACATTTTTGGTTGAATGAGGGATTTACGACGTTTTTGGAGAGGAAAATATTGGGGAGGATGAATGGGGAGAAATCGAGACAATTCAAGATGCAGCTGGGTTTTGAGGTTTCGAATTTTTAATTGGGCCCGAAAAATCTAATCTCGGGGCCTTTACTGACTTGGCCGCTTTGGAAGCCTGGCGCGCTCGATATTCAGCCTAGGCTTGAGCTCAACCTTAGGCTTAGGTTAGGCTTAAGTTAGGCTAAGGTTCAATTTATTATAGACCAATTATAGTGATCATTTTTCAAATCCGATTTTTGAATATCAAAATTTTTACAAACGTATTTTTCCGGGGAAATTTGAAATCTACATTTGCTTTATAATAGAATTTGGCACATCTTTGCAGAAGTCATAGAAAATTTTAATTTGGAATAGTTATGACGTGGCAGGCTTAGGCTTAGGTTTAAATCTAGTTCTGGCAAAATTCTGGCCTTCAGCCTAGGCCTAGCCTAATTCTAATAGATTCAGAGCAGAATCAGATTGCAAAAAATTTTCCCAAAAACGTTTTTTTTTTTGCAGAATGATCTAACCACTGAAGTCAAAGATATGGGTGAACTCTCCGAGCACACAAAACTTGTTCAAAACTTATCAGGAATCGATCCCCATGAAGCTCTAACTTCTGTTCCCTATGAAAAAGGTGGTGCTCTACTTTTCACCCTAGAGCAAAAACTAAACGATGTGCCAAGATTCGAGCAATTTTTGAGAAACTATATTCAAGAATTCTCCAACACACCAGTGTCTTCTGAAGACTTCAAAGAGTTTCTCTACAAAAGTTATGCGGATAAAAAAGATGTTTTGGATAATGTGATTGATTGGGATCTGTGGTTTAATAAACCTGGATTGCCACCAAAACCAGATTATGATACAAGTTTGAATGATGAGAGTTTGGGGATTGCTAAGAAATGGACGGAAGATGAGAAGATTCCAAAACACACGAGGAGTACTTTCTTGAAAATGACAGCAGATCAGAAAAATGCAGTGATTGATGAGATAAAAAGAACCTATGAGAAGCCTAATTGTCAGAAATATTTTAATATTAATAAGGTGAGTGGAAGAATTTTTTCTGGGCCTATTTTCAGGCCCCTTCATTTTGAGCCCTGTTCTTAGGCCCCATTTTTAGGCTTGCCTTCTAACCCAGGCCCTATATACCCCTCAAAAATTCCCATCCCAAAAAAACTCACATCTAAATCGATCCTCCTCTCGAATTGAATTCGGTCCCATTTCTTCTTTGTTTTCTCCAGAATCTTCCAGAAGCCTCCTGCAATTTCTTGATTTAATTAAATTCAGAAATAAGAAGAAATGAGAGGAAACGTGACACGTTGCAAATTTCACGTGCAAAAATAACAATTAAAATTTTGCAGTTCCGAGCCATCACCAAGATCTATCACCTAGACACCAATAAATCACCTCTAATCAAATTCAGCTGGCTCATGTTGGGACTTGCCCTGAACTATGAGCCGATTATTCAACCAAGTTTAGATTATGTTAGTCAAACTGGCAATATTTACTACTCGAGTACAATTTATAAGTGAGTAAAAATCACGGAATTTCGAAAAAATGGTGTGATTTTCTTCAGAAAGCTTTTCGGATGGGCGAAATCGAAAGATTTGGCGATTCAAACTTTCAATCAAAATGTTCCGAAGATGAATCCACTTACAGTAAATGCTATCAGAAAAATCATGCCGAAAACTGAATTATGATTAAGAAATAAAGGTTTTTAAATAGAGCTACATGAAAAAAATAAAGAAACATGGAAAAAAAAAGAAAAAATAATAACAGGCCGCCTTGTTTTTTCAAATGAACCGCGAAAAAATAAAACAATAGCGAGAGAGTGAGGAAAAGGGAGAGAGCGAAAGAGAGAGAGAGAGATAAACAGTTCTTTTTTGCATAAGAGTAAAAATATATTTTAGTTTGACCCATCTGGATGAATGTTTTTTTTTTTGGTCTGTAGTTTGTATGTAGATTGGTGCTTATTGTTGGAACTCTTGTCAATTTTTTTTATAGAAGTCAGAACTTCTTGACTTTTAAGATCAGTTTAGTGTATTTAGAATAGTATTTATGCCTTTTAACAATTTTTTGTCAGTTTTTTTTCTGTTCCTATATTTCAACGAGCCGCGCCTAATGAACTGCGGTGAGAAGGCGTCGCACCTTGGCAGTGTCTGTTTCTAGGAGCCGCGCCTTATTGACTGCGGTGAGAAGGCGTCGCACCTTGTCAGATCCTGTTTCTAGGTGCCGCGTCTTATTGACTGCGGCGAGAAGGCTTCGCGTCTTGTGACATAAATTTCTTAGGGATTAGCCGCTTGACACTGACGCCGATAAGGCTGATCTCCTTGACAGCAAGGTTCATAAGGCTCGGCTACTTGTCAGCGACGTCCATTAGGTTCAGCTCCTTAACAACTAGGCTTTTAAGGCTCGGCTACTTGTCAGCGACGTCCATAAGGTTCAGCTCCTTGACAACTAGGCTTTCAAGGCTCGGCTACTTGTCAACAACGTTCATAAGGTCCAGCTCCTTGACAACTAGGCTTTCAAGGCTCAGCTACTTGTCAGTGACGTCCATAAGGTTCAGCTCTTTGACAGCGTGACTCTCAAGGCTCAGCTCCTAGTCACAGGGAGTTTTTTTTCTGGCCCAACAATAGAAAGCTCCTGGTCGTGTCAGTTTCTTCTTTCACCCAACCTAACCTAATTCAAAATAACAAAAAAAATATTCCCGTTTTTTTATTTCTGATCTCAAGTATCGTCGTATTGTGTTTCAGTTCCAGTTGTTTTTCTTCCGTCCGATTCTCGTTCAACCCACCAATAATTTGATTTCTTATGTATGTATGTGTGTGTGTCCGTCGTGTTCTTCTTTTACTTTTTTTCCTTCATCATAAGAAAAAAACGCGGAGAAGTTAGGCAAAGTCTCCCCGAATTGAGTTTGTGTCATATTTGATGATGATGATCCAAATTTTCTGCCCATTTTTGATTTGATTACTCTCGGATTTGCTCTCTTTTTATGGAAATATATATATACTTTTGGCTCTTTTTTTGCTCTGGTCAAAAACAGAATTTATGAATAAATAACTAAATTTTCTCCATTGTTGTATTTTTTATTTTTTTTTTCAAATTTCAAATACTAAATTGGCTAATCCCTTGTTTTTCTCCTTGAACTAAACCCTTTTCCAATTAGGTTTTTGTTTCTTTTCGTATTCTCGTCTGACTTTTTTTATTTCAAAAGATAGTTACATTAACTATTGATGTTAGTGTTCATTTTTGTTCAGCTCATAAAATTTTATAGCTATCTTTGGTTATTTTTTGGAGAGTTTAGAAATGGATGGGATTTTTAGGATGAAAAGAGATTTGAAAATTCAGATTTCGAAAATGAAGATTTTTCAGAAAAAGTGATTCTCTTTTTTTTCAAATTTTCAAAAGAGTCCTGTCCAATTTCGATCAAAATGTGATCTTCAACTGAATTCTAATCATTTTGATTTAAATTCAACAGAAATTGGATAGGTGTGAAATATTCATTTTTTGTATTTTGAACAGGTCATCAATTTTGAACAGGTCATCAATCAATCCATCAAGCAATTTAGCATTTAAATCCGTTCTCAAAAAATATATGAGAATTATTTGAAACATATTTCATCGGGGTTAAAAAATTTGAAAAAAAAATATAATAGTATTTTTTTAAATTAGAACTAGAAGGGCTTCGCTGGCTAACGCCATCTACAGTAGTTTGACTTACTTTTTTCTGATTAATTTTCCGCTTAGGGAAAGTGAAACATTGAGAAATGACTAAAAATATTCGACTATGGGAGAAATTAGAACGATCGGATAAGAAACGTGGCCTGGAATTTAATTCGAATAAAAACGTGATCATTCTTTTTTACATGAAAAAAGTTTTGATTTTTCACGTGAAAACTCGCGCATTTTTTGAAAAATCGAATATTAGCGCCTCGATGGGAAAGAATTTGGGGTCGAATAGTGAAGGTCCCATCAAAAATGGTCTTCTGGAAATTGAGAAAAGTCGAGCGACACATTTTAAATGCGAAAAATACATTGAGATTTTCAAACTTTACATTCTCCGCGCACTCACATACATTTTGAGAAAAAATGAATAGGAAGCGCATTGAGCTGCCAACATTTAGAAACTTTTTCTTTTTTTGATCATCAATTTTTATGCGCACAGTTTTGAGAACGGGTCCCGGACATACTATTGCCAAAAAAATTTTCCCAATTAGTATATAGTAGATTCCTGGATGTTTGAAATATTTTTTTCAATTTCAGAGAATTTCCAGATTTTTCAAAATTTTAAAATTTCATGAAAATCCTGAATTTTCAAAGATTTGGTCAAAATTTTCCCGATTTTTGAAAATTTCGTAAAATTTCATGTAAATTTTGATTTTTATTCAAAGGTTCCCAAATTTTAAAAATTCTGAGTTTTCTCCCTAAATAAGTTAGCCTAACTCGTTCGAAAAATATTTCCACCTGAAACCAAACTAAACACAAAAAACATGCGTAAAAACATGCTGATATTGTGACGAGATAAAATGAGCAAACTTTTTTGCTCAATTTCCACCAAAAATGTCGCATTCATTCCTCTTTTTCGTCTCTGTGGCCACAATTCTTCAACATTTTGTGTGTGCGGAAATTCTGTTTGTTGTGATAAGTCCTTGACAAATTCCCCGGTGAATTCAGGCGGACCTTGTTCTTTTTCTGCGTGTGTGTGTGTTTCAAAATCGTTTTCCTTCCGAACACAACTTGTTTTATGATTGATTTATTCGCTTCGGGGGTCTTGACAAGAAAATTTGTCTTGACTTGACCTTTTACTCTTTTCGTCAGATGTATCTATTGTTTCCTTTCCATATTTTTTTCATATTTACTCAAATTTCCAATTTCCAGGTTGCTTATATAGAAATATGAACCTTCACCGGATACTTCTAATATAAAAAATAAAATATCGAAAGAAAGGAGTCGGAAGTCACGAAAAACATCGAAGGTAAGAAGATTCAGTTTCTCCAAAATCCGAAAACATCAAACAAGAAACATGAGTCTTGGAGAAGCCACGCCCACTTATCATGAAAATTCATTCTTTTTTGCTTTTGGTTTGGAGGAATGAGAAAAAGAAGAAGCTGTGGATTTTTTTTTTTTGGAAAAATTATATTTTTGAGCTGTGTGCATGTTCTGAAAAATCCTAGAAAGTTTCTAAGTTCTATAAGGAAGTAGGTTCTGAAATTTTGAAATTTCAAAATTTCCCAAATAATTTTTCAAGAAAATTTACCTTTTTACCAAAAATTTTTTACCAAAACTTTATTTTTGACTTTAAGTTTTGTAAATTGAAAATAAAAGTTGCTAGAAAATTTAAGTTCAACAGAGCGAAATTGCTGTGCTTTATAAAATATTGCTTCTTTAAAATTTTCTTTCTAATTTTCATGAGTAAATGTTTCAAAAATAAATTTGAAATACAGTTCTCAAAAATTAGTTTCTGAAAATTTAAACTTCAAAATGTTTCTATCACTCGAAACCTGTTTCAATTTTTGTGGCAAAATTTCAAACCAAAATTTAATTTAAAAATTTATTAGCTATCAAACTTTTCTGAAACTCACTTTGAGCTCTTAAAGTTAAGTTATATAAATTTCTGTGAATTTTAAGAGTCGAGTATTTCTCTACTTTAATTTTGAATTTCTAGAATCCCCCAACCTCGCACTAAAAATCACGTTTTTTCCAAACAAAACCCTTGCAAAACCCTCTGACCTCAACATTTTCTCCTATTCTTCCCTTTCTCAATCTGTTATGATTTGCGAGTGTGTGACATCGTCGAATGTAATTCAATTTGCCTTTTACTCTTTCACATTTTCATCCTTCTTTTTTACTTACTTCTTCTTCTTATATTCTTCACAGCTTTTCCTTCTTCACAGAATTCTTCAGCAAATAAACCGGGATGATGATGATGATGAAAACGAGAAAAATATATTTCTAATAATACTGAAATAAATAAATAAATAAAGATGGGATGGGTAGGTTGTTTAGTTGGAAAAAGTTCACAACACAAAACTTAGCCTGAATCATAATATTTTTCTTGTAGATGAGCCACCCTGGTTGGGTGATGGTGTCATTTCTCACCGAATTGCTGTCAACTTCTTCAAGGGGAATTGCACAAGGAATGGAGAATTGTGCGAATGATACGACTATTATCAATGCATTGTTGAAAGAGACCTACAATAAGGTTTGTAAATTTTTGAAATTTTTATTCTCACAAAGTGTCAATATGAAAATAGCCCTTTCCGGAATAATGAAATTTGAAATTTTTCAATTGCCTCCAAGGATGGGTGTGTGTAAACACTGTGACAAACTATTGCGTACAGTAGAATTTGAATTTTATTATCAGATTAGAGCCCAATTTGCGTAAGAAGCTGCTGAACGAGCGTATCACAAATGGGCGTGGCTTAAATGCAACTTCAGCACACTTTTCAGGCGTAGATTTTGTGTAAAATATTTTTTAATGTAAAACAAAACTAATCTGACATGAATCATTTTTCTAACTTTTTCAAAATGCCTCGGAAATGGGCGTGACTTGAATGCAACTGCCGCACACTTTTATTACAAGAAACCTCCCGTTCTTCTCAACAATATACCAGAATGAATTCAGCACTACATCCCTTCCCATCCGACACGAGTTCGAGTTGATATGTGGGTTCAAGAAGTGACATCCGTCTCCGAACTCACTCAAGACTTCGAAATCGATCTCTACATCAACGAGTTTTGGGAAGACCCCGCTCTCGTTTTCTCCGACATGAATCCCTGTAAGAACAACATATCATTCGACGACAAAGTTCTGCAACGTCTCTGGATTCCCAATACGTGTTTCATCAATTCGAAAAGTGCGGCGATTCACGAATCACCATTTCGCAATGTGTTTCTAATGGTCTTCTCGAATGGCACGCTATGGACAAATTATCGCATGAAATTGACGGGACCTTGTGATATGCGATTGAAGCGGTTTCCTTTTGATAAACAGCGATGTTATTTGACGTTTGAGTCGTGAGTGTCTTTTGTTTTTGACAAAAAGAAAATAGGGCAATCGTATTTTGTTTCTTGAAGATTCAATTACAACACTGGAGAAGTTCGAATGCAGTGGAATGCACCGTATCCCGTGATACTTCTCAAAAATATCGAGTTACCGGATTTCAAGTTGATCAATTATAGTGTGATTGCAGTTGAGCAGGTAAGAAACTTCAAGGGCTGGATAATACCAATTTCAAAATTTAGGCGAAAAAAAAATTATTTTTTTCGTTTCCGTATGGAACGGTTGAGAGAAAACCAGAGAGTGAAAATTAACGTGTGCGTGCAGAGGAGAGCGCGAGACGAAAAAGGGATAGTTTTTTCACTGTATTTTCTAGATGTACCCTGCTGGATGGTGGGACGAACTAACAGTCGCATTCGTTTTCCAACGTCGCTACGGTTGGTACATTCTTCAAGGCTATATCCCAACTATGGTCACCATTGTCATCTCCTGGATCTCATTTTACCTCGGACCCCGCGCGATCCCAGCTCGAACAATGCTCGGAGTCAACTCACTTCTCGCAATGACATTTCAATTCGGTAACATTATTCGAAATCTTCCCCGAGTTTCGTATGTGAAAGCGATCGATGTCTGGATGTTAAGTGGAATGCTATTCATTTTCCTATCACTTCTAGAACTTGCTGTGGTTGGATTTATGTCTAGAAATGATGGATTGCCTCCACGGGTGAAGAAACGAAAAAGGCATGAAGAGGATGATGAAGGTTTCTCATGGAAGAGTATGCAAACAAGTCCACATTTAGAATTGAGGCAGTTTTGGGTGGATAAACGGGTTAATTCATTGAGGAATAGTAGTGATGTAGTGCCACCACCGCCAATCGAAGAATACGTAAGATTTTTTCATTAAAATTTTTTTTAAATAAAATTTAAAAAAATATTTTAGACACCAATGGAGATGGAAGCCCCATATCCACATATCTCAAAACGTCGAGAAAAGAAACGATGGTTCTCAAGTATCCGAAAACGTTGGCGATCGATCGAAATCCGACCCGAAACTGTCGATTTCTATAGCGCCATATTTTTCCCGACCGCCTATATGCTGTTCAATATTTCGTATTGGGGTTTCTACCTGACAAATCTTTCCGAATATTTTGATGATGAGATGGCGGCTGAACAAGCTGGCGAGACTCAAGAAACACTGTTTTTCTGATAGAGGAAAATACAAATTTTGTTGTTGCTCAATGTTTTTTTTAATTTATGTATGTATTCATAACTCTTCCGATTTCAAATGTTTTGATTGTGTCTTGTTATTGAACATTATCCTCTGATAAACATCATCATTTCAAAAATCATCACAAAACGCGCGCCAACATCAAAGCTGACGGGTTTGTGTTTTGGTTTTCAAATGATTGTGCGCACGATCTTTCGATTTTCTCCATTAGCCAAGCCTTTTCCCCGCCTACTTTAAGATCAAACATCCGAAAAAATCTCTAGTTTGATATCATCTACGCACGAGGAAGCAGCATGGTATACACGTTGCCCGGGTGATTTTCAGGCGCAACCAAACCATAGATAATTTTTGAAAATTAGTTTGGAAAAATGTCGGAGCCGAAACAGGTGAGTCTCCCAGTGTTTTTTCCTCAAACTTCAGGATTTTCAGCCTTCGTTCTTATGTTTCTCGAATGGTCGAACTGCTTTGATGCGATTATCATTGGTGTCCATGCTTGGCAGTGTTATTTCGCCAATTCAACATCGTAATCTATATTTAATACCGTTTTGTGGGCTATCAGTTATAATTGAGATATATTTTTACTACGCATTCAAATCAATGAGATCTGAACGGTTAAAGTATGCAAACTGGATCATGGTTAGCTATTACTTCTCTTTTCAAGATCTTTTCAAATATTAATATTCCAGAGCTTCTCTTTGGCTATAAGCGTTATTGTGATGTTGGTCGCCCCAATCTATATCGCAGTTGAATTCGCCGCCGGTTACAGCAGAGGCTCATTTCTCGAAGCCGCTCTTGGATCTACTCTCTCTTCGGATGCTACAACGCGAAAAATTTTTGCCTTCAGTTTTGCATATCTTCTAGAGGCTGCGCTATTTTTCAGCGTCTTGTGTAAGCAGATTCCATTAAAAATTGATTTAAAAAAAAAATAAAATTGCAGTTTCCTGGTATCGTATCTCAATTGTTCGTCAACTTTTGGAAATCGCAAAATATCGAGAGAACGTAAATATTAGCAACATTCCGAAGGCTTAATTTAAAAAAACATTTTTATTTTAGTTTAGAATAAACTTGTTTTTGTTAGTAGTGTTGTTGTCAAGGTGATCCTAGAGTTCAAGCTATAAACTTTTTCGAGCAACTTTTGACTGAATTTCAATGATCAGAGATTGTCTGAAAATAATCATATATCTACATCAGAAGAATCTACATCAGAAGAATATACATCAAAACTCAATCACAGCGAAAAAAAATGGTTTTTTCGTTTTGGTATGTAACGGTTGCGAACAGCCACAATTTCACGTGAGAGACAACGAGAGAGTGAAAATTAGCATGTGGGTGTAGAAGAGAGTGCGAGACGAAAAGAGATGTGAACAGACTCCGCCAATTTTTTTTTGAAAATAAGATTCTTTGTAAAGATTTTTGATATTTGAACTATGTACAAATCTTTTTATGGGAGTTCAGTAGTCAAAATTTCAGCGTTTAGGTTTCTAGGTATACAAAAAACACATGTCCTTCTATGAAAATCAAAAAATCAGCTTTCACTTCTCGAATTCATTCACATGCAGAAATCGTATCGTGAAATACACACCGAAAAAAACTATTTTTTCGTTCCCGGTGGAGAGCAGCCAAAATTTCACGTGTCAGAAAACGAGAAAGTAAAAATTAGCGTGTGCGGCAGAAGAGAGTGCCAGACGAAAAAGGGATATGAACAGACTCCGAACACAAATTTCAGCGGCGAAACTTTTTAATGATTTCCTATTTTTTTGGCTAAAGAGTTTACGAATAAGTTCCCCGTCATATACATAAAATTATCTTTAGGCAATTTTTGAAAATCAAACATCAATAAATCATTAACAAACGTCGGCAGCTGAATAATATTTCATTAACAACCAATCATTTCTCAATAAATGTTGACTAGGTATTCAAATTGTTCAGATTCCGAATCATTTTTCGGATCTTCTAGATATCCCTTAGTCTTCACCCATCTTGTAACAATGATCTCTGTTCCTGTTTCAATCTACGCATTTTATTGTGTAATTTATGTGACGCCTAGAAATATGCAAAAGGCTAAAAAACATTTATTCAATATACATTTCTGGTAAACCCTTCTCTTAAAAATGTCTTGAAATCAATAAATTTTAGGACTATGGCGTTTGATTTAATATTCAATGTTCTAATTATTCCTATGATATTTCTTCCCACAGCATCTACGGCAACATTGGGTTATGGTTATGATATTGGAATTCCACCAAGATTCCAGATTTATTTGATTCAAGCGATTGTCTGTGGTGGGTGAGATTCTTCGATTTATGGAAGAAATTTCTATGATTCCAGTCATAACTTCTGCAATCATTGGGATGTTTGAGAATCGATTTTCATCAATTTCAACGAATAAATTCAGAATTCGTCAAAACTGGATTCGATTTCTAATATATTTTCTAGATTATTCAGTAGCCTGTATCACAGTTATTCCACCATACCTAAAATCAATCAATCTCGATGAAATACGTTCCAATTTTCTCCAAATCTTTCCCTGTCCGCCTGCCGAATTCTTCACCGATCGTTTCGGTGTCGTCACCGATGATGCGAGTTATGCCACTATTTTCATGTCGATTCAAACGGTGTTTCTCCTACCGCAAGGCGCATTTTTCACCAGCTACACAACTTATTTACTTGTTATTCGGCCGAGTCGATCGGTTTCTGAATCGACTAGAAAAATGCAGGTGACATTTTTGATAGCTGTCTATTCACAGTGTTTTATTCCACTTACACTTTTGATGTTGCCAGTGTGTTATATCTGGTTTTCAGCATGGACACAATATTATAACGCGGGTAAGCTTCAAAGGGTCCAATACCACGTGTACAACAAACTTTTCAGCAAATAACAATCACATCGTTGCGATGGTCAGCCTTCATGGATTTCTATCAACATTGTGTCTTTTAATAGTTCACAAACCCTACCGCAATCATTTTATATCAATATTCAAAGCCAAAGCAAAATCTACGATGGCAGTTAGTGGAGTCACATCTACATCTTTTAATTGACTCCCGACAAATGTTTTTTCCAATAAATTTCAAAGATTTTTGATAAATTACTATTCGCTTTTGTCAATGTTCTGATTTCAATTTGATATTTCTTTTTTATTCGTTTTTTTGCAAAAGGCGTGCAAAAATCAAAAAAAAAAAGAAAATTTCACACCTGTCCAATTTTTGTTAGTTGTTATTCAGTATTCCTAGGCTTATGAGGCTATTCAGCAATTTTCTCAACACGCTGGGAAAACGGGGAAAATGCCTAGAAACCCATTTTCTCAACCGTTTTCCAGATTTTCACAATTGTTCCCTTAAACCCTCAAAATCTCACCATTTTCACCCGGATTTTCCATCATAACCTTCCAAAATCGTGCATTTTTCGATTCCACTATCAAATTCCACTCGATTTTCACCTGAAAACTTGAAATTTCAAATTATTTCCCAGCGAAACCGAAAAAAAAAAGAAAAAATATGTAAATTGCAGTGGAGCGCACTTGCAACGTTGGCAACGAGGCAGTGTGGGGAAGTGAGAGAGTGCGAGAGAAATGGTGGAAAGAGAGGCAGAAAATAATCATTCTTTTGTTTTTGGTGTTTTTGGGCGGTTTCCGCTTTCTGTGACGTGGATTTTTTAACCCAAATTGTTCCCTTTTTTTCAGATTTGCTCGAGAGAATCAAGATTGTTTTGGCTGGATATTTTGGATGGAAAATTGAGATTTTTTGGTCGATTTCAACGAATTTCAAGTCAGTTTATTTTTGGGGTGGATTTTTATAGATTAGAAATATTTTTGAAGGGTGAGAAATGATAATATGAGGAATGTGGATCCACGGGGTTTATAATATAAGCAATGTCTCTATAACGTTAGCAATGAATGCAGTGTTTTTTTTATTTTCTGCAATTTTTTTTTCGTTTTTGAGGCGTCTTTTTCTCTTCTGGAAAATGAAATTTAAGTTTTATGATTCTGATTTAACAGACAATAACAGCAAATCCCATCGTGGGTATTATTGACACCAAATTTTGAATACAAAATTACCAATGGGATTTTGAAATTATAATTTCATGCTGTTCTCAGAACTTGAAAACAACTCAACATACACAGAGCCCAAAATATATCAATTCTTGGTAACGGAAACCGCCAGTTCCGTTTGAACTTGTGATCGATGAGCTCTTATGTTCAGAGGAAAAGAGAAATTGTCTATTCATTCTCGTCAATCTTCTGATTTGTGTTAATTAACAGACAATAACAAGAACTCCCACATGGGATTTCGATTTACTTCGACGTAACTCGACTAACATTATTTTTATATGATGTTATATGTACATTTAAAACAAAAACAAAAGTGCATTCATCAATTCGTGGTCCCGGAAATCGTCGGTATTTCCGGTTGTATTTGTGATAGCCGAACTCTTGGTTTCTTGACAATTATCGTTTCGATGTGCAAAAATCTACAGAACCCATTCCGATAATCATCGATAATTATGAGCAACGGTAGAGGCTCTAGAGTCGGATAAATCGCCACTGTAAAATTCGCAATCTGACTGTACATTCCGATGTCGATGTGAAGTAACGGCAGGAAAAAGAATAGAGCGAGTGGGAAGAATACAAGTGAAACTGGGAGAATTGTCTGAACAACAAGCGCCTTGTAAAGTTGAGTTTGCAGTCTTTTTGTAACTCGCGCACTTCCTTTTTTGTGAAGTTTTCGAATTTTCCGGAATATTCTTACTCCACAATAAATTATGATTATCGCCGATGACGTCATAATCAACGCCACAACCAACATTCCCGCCAAATTCCGATAGAAAACAATTTTGTTGGGCGAGTAATAAAATGCTCCCACCAATACGAGATCTTCCATCTCATAACCATAGCCCATCTTCATGCTGCTTCTGAAATTTGAGGTTAGGGATTCAATTCTGAAACTTGAACTTACCTCATGTAGGCTACAGTTGTTTCATCAACAGATAATCCAAGGTAAACTGAGATTCCCCAAATGAATCCGATGAGGATTGGAATCATGAGCCAGAAAATCAATCGATAACCTTTGAAATATCTCAAACGTCCTTTTCTGAAACTTGTTTCGTGGTGAAATTGAGGAAAATCTGAGGAAAATCACCTTTCAATGGCCCAATATCGAAAAATAAAATGGATTGCGGAAATGTACATTGTAACTCCACAACATCCACAGATTATACCTAGAAGTTATTTATTAAATTAGATTAGGAAAGCAATTTCTAGACTCACATAGAAACATCATATCGATTTCATACGGGAAAATTGAGCCTTGACGATTCATGAAAACTAGGAAACACGTGCCATACGATAAAACGTGCTGAACATTTTTTAATTTAATTTTTTTTTTTTTGAAAAAATTCCTCCTACCACTCTTGTCGTAACTTCCATCAGTGAGAAGAACATCGAATGAATCGTGAAAAACATCATAAGATATTTATAAGATCCTAATTTCTTTGGAGATTTATAGCAAATCAATAAAAGCAGAATTGAATTTGATAAAATCGAAATAATTGAGGAGAATATTTGAAAAGCACTCTGCATTTTCGTAGACAGAATGATGAAAAGAGAAATTAAATATAATATTAGGGCGTGATAATCTCAAGAGATCTACCGAAAATGTATTCGTTAATAAATGTGATTACTTTGATTATGTGGGTAGCCAGAAATGAAATGAGTAGTTGATTTATGATCTATTTTGAAGCTCCAGACTTGCAGTCGGAATTTCTGGTTGGATTTGATTGGGTTTCGTAAAACTAGGCTTCACAATATTCCACAAACTTTTTCGATAATCATCAATGATAATTAGAGAAGGTAGAGGTTCGAAGAGTGGATAAATAGCAATTGTATAATCCATGACATGACTATAGATTCCAATATCGATTTTGATAAATGGAAGAAAAACAAAGAGACTAATTGGAATGAATAAAAGAAAAACAGGAAAAAATGCTTGAACAACGAGTGCTTTGTATAATTGCGCTTGCAAAAGTTTTGTAACCTTCGAACTTCCTTTTCTATGAATTTTGCGGATTTTTCGAAAAATCCGGACACCACAATAAAGTATGATTGTCAACAATGACATCAGAATCACTGATAGAATACCTAATGCACCCAAATTGCGATAAAACATAATTCGATTTGGGGAGAAATAATATGCTCCAACTATTGCAATAAGATTTGCATCGAGGCCATAGGTTTCAGCAATGTGAGGACTTAAGATAACTCAAGGTACATAATATAATGTTGTAAAACACTTACCTAACATAATCCAAAGCTATTTGATCTATATGCAAACCAAAATGAACGGCGAAACCCCAGAGAATCCCGCTAGAAATTGGAATTAGAAGCCAGAAGATCAATCGGTACCCTTGAAAGCGTTTCAGACGACCTTTTCTAGAAAATGATGGGGTTTTTGAAGACTTTTTAAAGTTTAAACTTAAAAGTTCGCAAAAATTACCGTTCAATAGCCCAGTAGCGATAAATGAAGTTGATTGCGCATATACTCATCGTAACGCCACAAAATCCACAAGCGGTGACTGGAAAATTTTCGAATGATAAAATGACATGTGCGCTCTACCGCACACTAGTGGAAGTTGCGCGAATTCAAAAATAATTTTTTTATTGCTATAAAACCTCACCCAAAAATATCATATCCAAATCATAGGAAAACCACGATCCTCGACGATCCATGACTACCACAAAACTCGTGCCAAATGATAAACTGTTCTAAAAAAATTACAAAAATTTTATTCTCATTGCCCGATATCAAAATCATTTACCACATCTCGTGAAATTTCCATACATGATACAAATATTGAATGCAATGTGGAGAAAATCATTAGATATTTATAGGACCCAAGTTTTTTCGGGGATTTTTTGATGATTAATAAGAGTAGAGTTAGGTTTGATGTTATTGCGATAACTGACGCTGAATATTTGAATAAGGCCTTCATTCTGAAGCTTTTCTTTGAATGCTGCTGAAAACAAGAACAGAATTTGCACTTGTCTTGATCCCGTGAGACCAATTAGTTCATTCTGATCTTGTGATCGATGTCAACTACCAAAACATCAATCATATCTCCCTGAAACCGTCCTCAATTCTTGTTCTGCAACTGGTTGAACTTGATTCTTCGCAGCAACTTTCCGTGAAAAAAATTCAAACAATCCTCTTCGATAATTATCAATTATAATGAGCAAGGGAAGAGGTTCGAGAGCCGGGTAGATTGCAAGAGTCAAATTTGCGATTTGACTATAAGTTCCGATATCGACTTGGATCAGTGGGAGGAAGAAGAATAAACCAAGGGGGAAGTATAGGAGAATAACTGGGAGAGCTGTCTGAAACAAGAGAACTTTGAAGTACTATGTAGCTACAGTTTTTCCCTATAGGGAAAAACTTATTACCTGAACCACTAGCGCCTTGTAAAGTTGAGTTTGCAATCTCTTGGTGAATCTCGCACTTCCTTGCTGATGAATTTTCCTGATTTTCCGAAAAACCCTTATTCCACAGTAGATAATAATCGCCGCCGATGACGTCATAATCAACGCCAAAACCATGGCTCCACCCAAATTTCGATAGAAATTCATCTTGTTTGGTGAATAGTAAAATGCGCCAACCATAACAAGATGTTCTGTGTGAAATCCATAAGTCTCGGTCATACTTGTCCTGAAAATCGGATGAAAAAAATTTAAAAATTTTTTTTAGTTACCTTATGTACTGCATAGTGGATTCATCCACTTTCAAACCGAAAAAGGTGGCAAATCCCCAAAGGGTTCCCATTGATAATGGAATTGTGAACCAGAAAATTACACGGAACCCTTTGAAGTATTCCAGTCGGCCTTTTCTGAAAGTTTTTTTATTTTTTTGCCGTAAAAACGTAAAAAGTGAAAATCAATGCAGTCAGTGGCGTGCGGCTGTGCGTCGCGGTCGGGAAGCAAACACGGCCGCACGCAACTGACAAAGTAATGTACCTTTCAATAGCCCAGTATCTGTAAATAAAATGAATCGCTGAAATGTACATTGTGATCCCGCAACAAGCACATCCCATGCCTAAAATCTCATTGATTTTTGATTTAAAAAAAATGAATTGAATTTTACTCACAGAGAATCACAAGGTCTACTTCATATGGAAATATTGAATTTGTCCGATTCATGAAGACTATGAAGCTTGTGCCATGCGATAACACGTACTTCAAGAATTCATTAAAATTTTTCATAACTTCAAAACAAAACTCACTGGTTTCACAATAATCTCCAAAGTCGATAGAAATATCGAATGAGATGTGAAGAAAATCATGAGATATTTGTAAGATCCTAATTTCTTCGGCGATTTGTGAACAATCAATGTGAGTAAGAGGACGTTGAATAGAATTGAGATTATGGAAGCTGTTGTTTGGAAGACGGTCGACATTGAAAATGGGAGTGGAATTTGTTACCGACAAAACGCTTTTATATGTGATTTTTTCATATCCTGTACAAAAATTTAATTAATCGAGATGTGTTTTTTGTGAAAAAAGGTGCATTGTGAAAAACAGGAAATTAGATGGTCAAACTGTTTAAAAACAAAAAGTTCATAGATGACGAGAAATGGTTATCACAAAGATCTACCTTTAATTTCTCTAGGCTTAAGCTTAAAGCAACACCCTTGTATAATAAGACGATTGCAAAATGCTTTCAAGCCCCAAAATAAATTACTAACCTGCTCTACTATGTTCACAAGAAATATGAAAAAGAAATACTCAAAAACTATCAAATTTGACCACAAATTGTCATTTACCGAAATAATAAAAAACAAAAGAAAACAACGAGACTCCGCGTTAACGCTAGCCCGTGTGGTTTGAATTTCAGTTTTTCAATGAGCTCCCATATTTCGGCGAGTACTTATTGAAACGTTCTGAATTTTTCCTCCGAACTAGACAAGCGTGAAACTAAGATAAATCTAAGATTTCAGAACAATTGGGCTTTTTTCAAGAACGTGCCTATTATACAGGGGTGACGAAACTGTCTGACTTCTAGAACTTCTTTCACAGATCTTTGCTCCGTCGTCACAGAGATCAAACTTGATTTGTTTTTCCAGACAGGCGGATATTGTGAACTTGGCACATCTAATTTCCGGAACTTGAAATCACAAAGCACCTCTTTCAATTCGTAGAATTATATTGAAGTTATCAGTAACAACTGATAACTAACAAATCCATAGAAGTTAGCAAAAGCATTTAAAAAGCATTTAAAAACATTTAATTCTTAGGTTCTTGATTCTTCATTCACTCTCCTCTGTAATTCATAAGAAACTGAAACCGTCCGCCTCTCAGGTTCCACTTGATTATCCCGAATAAACCTGAGTTTCAACATATTCCAAAACCCGATTCGATATTCATCGATGATTATTAGAGAAGGAAGTGGCTCAAAAATTGGGTAGATCGCTACTGTAACATTCGGGATTTGACTATAAATTCCAATGTCAATTAAAATCAATGGAAAATAAAAAACACAGCCGATTGGTATAAAAACAAGAAACAGCGGGAGAATTGTCTGAAATCCAGAATCAATCAAATCCCGATTGGGTACAAAGTCTAACCTGAGCAACTAGCGCTTTGTAGAGTTGAGCTTGCAACTTTTTGGTTCCTCGAGCCCCTCCTTTTTTGTAGATCTTCCGAACTTTTCGAAAAATCCGAATTCCACAATAACCCATAATACTAATCGATAAGACCATTGTCAATGTTAAAACTGACATTCCACACAAATTTTTATAAAATTGTATTTTGTTTGGAGAATAGAAATAAGCTCCAACGATCGCAGTATCACTGATTTCAAGACCATAAGAGTTCATCAAACTCGGGCTGGAATTTTTTATTGTTTCTGAATTATCATTAATTTTCTCTTACCTAATGTAGTCTATTGCTGTTTGATCTAATTGCATACAAAAATAGATAACAAAAGTCCAAAGAGCCCCCATGAAAATTGGAACGGATAACCAGAAAATCATCCAATAACCTTTGAAATAGTTCAGCCTTCCTTTTCTGAAACTTTTTATATAATGAAAAAAAGTGGAAAAAAAGGTGAACTTCACCTTTCAATCGCCCAATATCGAAAAATGAAATGAATTGTTGAAGTATACATTGTAACTCCACAACATCCGCAAGCTATGGCTGGAAATCTTGGAATGATTTTTGATTTCAAGAAAACAAATTTACACAAAATAATCATGTCGATTTCATAGGGAAAAATTGAATCGCGACGATCAATGAAAACGACGAAACTTGTTCCAAATGATAGAGGATTCTGAATGATTGCTCAGATTAGGGGGAAATTTCGAAATTAAAAAACCCCCACCACTCTTGCGAAAACTTCCATCGCTGATAGAGAAATCGAATGAAAAGTCGAGAATAACATCAGATATTTATAAGATCCTAATTTCTTCGGAGATCTTTTGAAAATCAATAAAAGCAGAATTGAATTTGATAGAAGCGAAATTATTGCAGTGATATATTTGAACGTGTTTTTCATCGTAGATATGTAACAGAAGATTTTTAATCAAAAGTAAGTTAGAAAAATGAAGAAAAAAAATTCTTGTACCTATTTCTACAGGAAATTAGAAAAATGAAAATTGTTTTCTGGTTCTCACAAGTGAAAAACATTTTTTTCAAGCAGAAGTGTTCATTTGTTCAAAAAAATAAGAAAAATTAAATTAAAATGAACCTAGATTCTTGATTCTTCAAATCTCCTTTGTAGTTCATAAGAAATTGAAATCGTTTGCCGCTCCGGTTGTATTTGATTCCCTCTGATGGCCTTGAGTTTCATCATGTTCATAAAACCAATTCGATAATCGTCTATGAGAATCAGAGAAGGTAGAGGCTCAAAAATCGGGTAGATTGCTACTGTAACATTTGTAATTTGACTATAAATTCCGATATCAATGTGAATCAATGGAAAATAAACTAGAACACCAACTGGTAAAATGATTAGAAGCAATGGAAGAATTGTCTGAAATCCAGAAAAATTGTTTGATCTCAAATATTTGTTTAAAAAAACCTGAACAACTAGCGCTTTATAAAGTTGAGCTTGCAATCTCTTAGTTCCTCTAGCACCTCCTTTTTTGTAGATCTTCCGAATTTTTCGGAATATTCTAACTCCGTAATAAATTATGATGATAACTGCTATTGTCATGGTAAAGGTTATCACAAAAAGTCCACCCAAGTTTCGATAAAAATTCGGTTTGTTTGGAGAATAATAATAAACTCCAACTAACGCAACATCTTTCGAATCGATTTCGTAGGAACTCATTAAACTTGGACTGGAAAACACTCTGAATAATTTTCCTAGGTATGATGTTCTATTTACCTGATATACTCCAAAGCTGTTTGATCAACATAAAATCCAAAATATATCGCAAAGATCCAAAGAGCCCCCATGAAAATCGGAATCGATATCCAGAAAATCATACGATAATCTTTGAAGCGACTCAATCTCCCCTTTCTGAAACAACTTGTTTTGAATTAAATTTGAATTTTCAGTTCCAATCGAACCTTTCAATAGCCCAATATCGAAAAATAAAATGGATCACAGATGTGTACATTGTAGTTCCACAACAAGCACAATCAATGCCTGCAAAATGAGTTTTTTCAATTCGAAAACTTCAAGCAGAATCTTACACAAAATTATCATATCAACTTTAAATGGAAATATTGAATCGCGACGATCAATGAAAATCACAAAACTTGTTCCGAACGATAGAACATTCTGAAAAAACTTCTGACTGAAAACAATCGGTCAATTTTTTCAATTACCACTCTTGCCAGAATTTCCATAGTTGAGAGAAACATCGAATGGAAAGTTGAGAATAGCATAAGATATTTGTAGGATCCTAGTTTTCTTGGGGATTTTTTGAAAATCAGGAAGAGTAGAATGATGTTGGAAAATAATGAGATAAGAGCAGTGATATATTTGAACGTATACTTCATTTTGAGGAAAAAGTGAAAGTGAGGTTGATAGATGTTCTTATAGTAAGTTAATGAGAACGGAAATTGAACAATGGTATTTTTAGGTTGATATTCTATGTATTAGGATTTATGTGATAACTGCTCATTTCTAACTATACAAAGAAGTTTGGAAATTTAAAGTTCAAGAGAATCCCTCAAGAGAATTAAGAAAAATTTGAACAATTAACAAGGTTGACAAATAAAGGTTCATTTTCATTTTCATAAAATTCAAAAAGTCGATAAATAAAAAATTGAAAAGTCATAACCGTTTCTGTAACTCATAGCTAACTGATATAGTTTGCATTTCTGGTTGTACTTGATTTTCTCTAATAAACTTGGGTTTCATCATTTCCCAAAAACCAATCCGATAATCATCAATGATAATCAAAGAAGGAAGAGGCTCAAAAATCGGGTAAATTGCAACTGCAAAATTTGCGATTTGACTATAAGTTCCAATATCAATATAAATCAAAGGTGATAAAATTAGAACTCCAACTGGTATAATGACAAGAAGTAATGGGAGAATTGTCTGAAATCCAGAGAATCAATTTTTGTTTTCTAACATAAGTATTTTTTAATAAACCTGAACCACAAGCGCTTTGTAGAGTTGAGCTTGCAACTTTTTAGTTCCTCGAGAACCGCCTTTTTTGTAAATCTTCCGAATTTTTCGAAATATTCGAATTCCACAATAAACTATTATAACAACCGATATTGTAATGGTTATTGTGATTATAAGAATTCCACCCAAGTGTCGATAAAATTTTCGTTTATTTGGAGAATAATAATAAGCTCCAATCATCGCAACATCTTTCGTATCAATTCCATAAAACTTCTTCAAACTTGCACTAAAAAAATCTGTTCATATCCCTTTTTCGTCTCCCACTCTCTTCTGCCGCACACGCTAATTTTCACTCTCTCGTTTTCTCTCACGTGAAATTATGGCACGAAAAAATAATTTTTCAGTCACCTGATATAGTCTACACCTGTCTGATCAAACTGCATACAAAAATAGATAATTAAGGTCCAGAGTGCTCCCATGAAAATGGGAATTGATAACCAAAAAAGCATACGATAACCTTTGAAACGATTCAATCTTCCTTTTCTGAAACTTTTTTTGAATTGAATGTGATTTTTCAATTCCAACCGAACCTTTCGATAGCCCAGTATCGAAATATGAAATGAATTACTGAAACATACATTGTCATTCCACAAAAAGCACAAGCAATACCTGAAAAATTTAGATACTTTGATGGATTAAATATTCAATTAAAAGTTTTACTCAAAATAATCATATCAACTTTAAATGGAAGTATTGAATCTCGACGATCAATAAACACCACAAAACTTGTGCCAAAAGATAGAGGATTCTGAAAACTTTTGACTAAAAATAACCTATTTTTCTAGAAACATTACCACTTGCGCTATAACTTCCATAGTTGATAGAAAAATTGAATGAGATGTGGAAAATATCATGAGATACTTGTAAGATCCCAATTTCTTTGGTGATTTTTTGAAGATTAGGAAGAGCAGAATAATGTTGGAAATTATTGAAATAAAAGCAGTTATATATTTATAAGTGTATTTCATCTCGAAAAATGATTTTTTGTTGGAGGAAAATGATATTTTAGAACCTTTAGGGAATTTTTGAACAAAACAAGTGCAATAACATCATAAGTTCTCTAATTAGAAAAATAAAAGTTCAAGACATGTTCTTTGTCGAAAAATTGAAGTTCATTTTCATTTTCATCAAATTCAAAAATCGATACATAGAAAAAATAAATACATAACAAATTGCACATCCTATCAATATTTTGGTTCAATTCCTGTTTTCTCTTGAGTCTTCTCAGCTTCTGGAATATCCTCAACTCTTCGCACACTGAATGTCACTTTATATCGAATGTCGAAAAATGCACAACCGTGGAAACAAATGTTCAAGAATACACCGCAATATTCACAGAGGGCAAACACGTCGTATGCTGGAAGAAGGTAAGGCTCCTAGACACTTTGAATCTGCTCTCAAGCATTAGCCCCTTGAAATAACTTTTTGTCAAGCAGTCACTCCTTGACAGCTCAAATATGTTCCTAAGCAGTAAGCCCTTGACGACTTGTTTTTGCTTCCAAGTGGCCATTCCTTGAGAGTCTAATTTGCTCCTAAGCAGCAAGCCCTTGAGAACCCGTTTCCTCTCCCAAGCAGCAAGCTTTTGACGTTTTTATGTTCCTCAAGCAGCAAGCTCTTGAGATTTATCATAGCCTCCCAAGCAGCAATCCCTATACACTCAAAATGATCTCAAGCAGCAATCCCTTGACACTCCTATTTTCCCTCAAGCAACCAACCCTTGACTCACCCCACGTGATACATTTCCTCCAATACAAAATAAATGAGCCAACCAAAATTGGCGTTGATAAAATATACAAACTTGTGAATAGAATTTTCAAATAGTACGATAATCGACCCTAAAAAAATTATTTTTGTTTGTTTTTTGAATTAAAATAAAATTGAACTCACATAAGGATTGAGATAATATAACGAGTGAGCATGGCAAAAGATATTGGCAATCATGTGAATTATTCCGCAAATTCCGAAAACGTAGAAAAATATGACGTGGATTTCTAAAAGAAATCTGGGATTTTAGAAAGAAAAAATTGACAAGAACTCACGGATATTCTCTCGCTCTCCAATAATCGATAAACCTGACAGGAATATGAGCTCTAGAAGTCCTACGAAGAAATATGCGAATCGACTGAGTTCATATAGCCAGACACGTTTATAATTCACATTTCGCATTCGTTTGTACCTCGAGACTGGAAAAAAAAGTTTGCGCGCGGGAGGATTCGAACCCGGGCCTAGTGGCTATCAGCAAAACAGTCTACCACTGAGCCACGCGCACATTTCTCAACAGCAGTGAAACGTTGGTGAAAAGAAAAAAAAACTCACATCCTGTGATTAGTTCTACAACTCGAATCGGCACATGAAACAGCAAAAATAATTGCCAAAAAGTTCGCTCAACTGGCAAATTGATGATTCGAGATAATGATGGAAGTCGGGCTCGCTGGAAAATTTATTTTACATAATTTGTGAAAAATCCCGGCGAATTTCAAAAGCTCCTGAACTCACCCCACACTGCCAATTATAATTACTTATTTCATCATTATGAAAAATTAGAGCGATAAAAATGGCGGCAATCGATCCGAACATTGGTGGAATGAAACCGGCGAGAAAAACTTCGACCGGATTGAATCGGACGATTTCGGTGATCTTTTTGCCGTCCTTCATGTACGGTTCGAATAGGCCCATTTTGTTGAGCGGCGGTGGCAGCCGGCGTTTCACGCCCTTTTCGACGTGTGTCGTCGGGGACGACATTTGACAAGCCTGGAAAAAATCCTTGGGATAAAATGAGAAATGAGGAAGAAGTTGTGGAAGATATCAAAGTTATATAAAAATTAAAAATTATTTTTATAGGATCTCGAAAAATTTTAAGATTTTGAAAGACTCGAGATCTTTCTTCAGACAATTTTGTGTGTAGTTTGGGCTCTATCTCAATATAAGGGCCCCATGAAAATATAAGGGTCCGTTATTTGTTTTAAGGGTCCAAAAAAAATATGAGGGTGCATTATTTTTTTAAGGGTCCCAAAAAAATAAGGGTCCGTGATTTTTTTCATAGGTCTGATTTTTTTGATTTTTGGGGGAAAAAATGTGTGCTTTTTTTTGTTTTGTTCTGTTTTTCTTGATTTTTTGACGATTCTTTGTATTTTCGGGGGGTTTACTAAGCCTAAGCCTAATTCTGAAGCTGAAAAGCCGAAAATAGAGTTACCAGAAGATTCAAAAAAATTTTTAAAAATCAAGCCTAAGCTAAGCCTGACCTAAGCCTAACCTAAGCCTTAATTTTAAAAAAGAATTTCTGAAATTTTCGTGACTTAAAAAATTTTAAAAACTCTAATCCAGAAGTTTCCAAGTTCAAAAGAAACCTCAGAAGTTTCAAAAAATCAAACCATCCTATTCAAATTCTCAAAAGTCTCAAGAATTGACCAATTGAAACACTATTCCAGCTTTCAATAAAGCAATTCAATTCACACAAGAATCATAAAATTCGACTACAAAAGAACGCTATTACATAATGCAATTCTAGTTTTCGGCCCCCGCTTCTCTCCTGTTTTTATAGTTTCTGTATTCTATTCTATCCACGAATAAATGAGAAAAATACAGGAATAAAATGATATAAAGAAAAAAGTGGTTGTTATCGAATCGAATAGTACAAACATGATATAATAATACGATCAGAAAGGAAGAAAAAATGAAAAGATATGGCATATATTGGAAGAAAATGTTGGGATGGAAGTTGATCGATGAAACAAATTGGGGAAATTAATTAATTTATGGGAGGTTTCAGAGAATAAATAACAGATTTGGGTTTTGCGATAGATCTGTGACCAAAGTTTTATAGGAAAAAATAGCAAAACCTTCACATAATAAACGAAGAAGCTGAAACTTCATAAGAACTGGAAATAAAGTTGAAAATAAATGTGAAAGCTTCAGAATCCAGATATTTTTTTATAAATAATTTCTGAAATTTCAGACTCCAAAAATTAAGCTTCTAACTGAATAACTAATCTGAAATTTTGAAATTTAACATTGTAGCAAAGTTAATTAAGATCCAGAAGCTTGATTTCAACTTCAAATTCAAATTGTAACTTCACTAGCTTTAATTTGGTTTAAAAAATTATTCTGAATTTTGAAGATCAAATCTTGAAGTTGTAAAAATCTAATTCAACAGTTTCTGGAAAAAACTATTTAAATTTTCAATGGTAATTTCATTAGCCTAAATTTAATTTTTTTAAATATGCTGAAGCTTGAGTACCAAATTCCCAAAGTTTTAAATTTCAAGCCAAAAATCCCAAATTTGTGACCTGAAAGTTTTTGATATGATAATCATAACACAAAATAGAACAAAAATTCTTGATTTTTTCAAATTTCAAAAAGTTTGGCTTCACATCTCAATTTCTATTGTTTTTCTTTTCATAGATCAAATCGATAATATTCTGTATACAAGAAACAAGAATGTATGTATGACATCCAAAAAAAGAAGAAAATAAATGAATGAAAGAGAAAAAAGAAATCATAAATGATTGTGGTTTTGCCAAAAAGCTTCTCAAACTGGATTTTTTCTTCATTTATGTCCTTCTATATCTCATGGTTTTGCCATTCAGATATCAGGGGAAAACATTAATGGATTAGAATAGAATAGGATACAAAAAATTCCTGTGAGAAAGCGAAAAAAAGGAACAAGTTGATGATGATCGCGATTCTTGTGTTGTGTGTGTTTGAATTTGCATTTTAATGATCCGCAAAAAATGGGACAATTGTCTGGTGGTTTGGAAGAAATCAGGGAAAATATGAACTTCATGCTGTGCTAGAGCGAAATTTCGAAAAAATCTAGATTTTTTGAAGTTTTTTCTATAATTTTCCAAAGGCTTCAGGAATTTTGAAATTTTGATTATTCATGTGAAAGTTGCCTACACCATGACGCAAAAATGCACAGAAAAAATACTCCAAAATATTTTTGGTGCAACAAATTCGCTCTATTGAACTCTAGGTTTTTGAACCAAAAATTTGAAAATATAAAAAAACTCAATAAAAATCCCACATTCTGAAAAATCGCCTACAAAGTGAAACCTTTCCGTTCACACTTGCGCTTTCGCGCCATTTTTTGTGGCGCGAAATTCTCAATCTGATATCCAATGAAAAAATCCTCCTCTTCTTCTAAATATTACAAAAACTGAGTTAAACTAAACTGAACTAGAAATCAAGAAAGAAAGTTCAACGAAGTTGGAAAAGCTTACAAAAATAATATAAATAAATACAAAAAGATGAATTGAGACAATTTAATGAATAGATGATGTTTGGGGGCGAAAAAGAAAAAAACTTGACGTTTCTCTCTTTCTTCCGAAAAATATCCACCAGATCCTAAACTTGTTTTTGTTTTCCTTTATTTCTCTAACTCTCTCTCGCTCTCTCTTCTCTACTTCAAATGGTTTCATTTCGCGTCTTCTCCGCAGGAGATTTTGGCAGTGTCCTTTACGCCGCGAGAGAAGAAGAAGATTTCGAACTTTGTAAACGGAAACAACAACCAATTCGATTAACTTTCGATGGGGATTAGTAAAATCTTCGTCTTCCCGAAAAATCGAAAGTCGACCAGACCAGGACACATTACTTTCTAAGAATGTATTTAATTTTAGTTTGAATTATAGAAATACATGAAAAACATTTAAAAACAAATCCTGAATTCAATCTTCTCTTGGTTTATTATCATCGGTCACTCCGTATGGTCGAAGAGCTGGGATTTTTTCCTTGAGCCATCGCACGTAGAATAATTCTTGTCTCTGGAAATTTGAAAATTGCATCATATTTCAAAAATTTTGAATTTCTATGTTTTCATGACGTTTCACAATTTCTGGATTCTGTGGAGAACACGAAAATGTAGATTTTTTTCAAACAAATTATTGATTTTTCAGAGAAATCTCTGAATTTTCATTCAACAAGATTTATCGACACTATTTTTCATAACCCAATATTTAAAATTACTCAAAAATTACCTGATGTGGAGCCACTAGCGACGGATTATTTTGAATTGTATAATAGGCGGCATGCATCGCTGAAAAACGGCTTTTTTTCTTTCCCCAACATTTTTCACAGCAAATCTCAAAAATCAACTCACAAACAATAAGTCCGGCGAAAAGTCCCCATTCGGTCAATGTTCGTTTGGTGATCATTTTGTCGTTCTGCTGGAAAAAATGACGATTTTCGAAGAAACCCGCGGTTAAATGACGCAAAAAGACGTGACTTTGGCGAGAAAAAAATGGGAAATGAGAAATTTATTTACGATAAACAACAGGCACGCGGAGTGTCGTTGTTTATTTTTTAAAAATTTTTATTTATTTTTTGTCGCGTTTTTTTTCTGTTTTTCCTCATTTTTTCTGTAAATCTACGTAACTAGAGTCACGGTTGTGTGAATAAAATCCACAGAACGCGTCAACGTCAAAGCACGGACGAGTTTGTGGTGCGCCTCTTCGGTTTTTACATTCTTTTTCAAGTTTTCGAAGAGGTTTTTGGTTTTCCCGTGTTTTGTAGATTTTTTGAAGTTCGTTTCGTCTCTGGGCGGTCTTAAACCGTCCCCATCTTGTTATATAATGATTAGCGACCAATAAATCGGTTGCATTTCAAACTCTTGTTATATTTTTCGTCTGTTAAAGTGGTTTTTATCAACTTGAATCCTTTGCCACCTAGCGAAGTTCGAGTTGGACAACGTAACAATAGTTTTTCCTAGGTTAATCAAAAATAATTTATGAAAATAACTTAATAAATAGGTTAAAACAAAAATTCTAATATCCCGGCGCAGTTCTCGGCGGTGGACAATGATAACAGCCTCCCTCTCTTCCAGCAGGCCCATCATTTCCAGGCGGTCCATCGGCTCCAATCTGCCCAGGTTCCCCAGTAACCCCCTTGTCTCCGGGAGGCCCTCTAGGTCCATCATTCCCAGGCCGCCCATCATCGCCAGCTTGCCCTCTAGGACCAACGGATCCCGGCTCTCCTCGAACACCCGGTGGCCCTTGAGGTGCAGGTATATCTCGAGTGACTCCAGGCAATCCATCCTCCCCATCTCGCCCAGGTTTCCCAATGTCTCCTGGCTTTCCTCGCTCTCCTTGCCTCCCCGATTTCCCGCATCGCCCATTTCTTCCCGGCAATCCATCAAGCCCAGTTCTTCCCGGTGATCCTGCCTCTCCTGGTCTTCCAGGAGGACCAGGCGGGCCTGCCGGGCAATCAATCATAAAATCAATCTCCTCGAATCGCGATCCAGAAAGATCGGGGCCCGGTTGACCAGGTCTACCCGGTTGCCCATCAATCCCATCGAAACCATCTCTCCCCGGTCTTCCGGGTGGTCCAGCTTGACCAATTCCACAACTACAAGATTCTTGAGGGGAACTTGATGGCCCGTAAGCCGTTATATCGTATTGCCGCTTTTCTCTAGTCGAAACCGAATGAAGATTCTGCAAATTCTTCGCTCCATCCATACAAAATCCAACATCCGCTTCAACCGAACTTTGAATATATTGAAGATAAGTATAGAGACCAGGTATCAGAATTATACACATAATTCCAGCCGCCGCGCTGAAATTGAATAATGTTAGGCTAACTTGGAAATTAGGGATCCTACCTGACAACAATCCCAACAAATGCCACTCTCCGAAGTTCATCCTCATCCGAAATCTGTTTCATTTCTAACTCTGAAACTTCAGCCTAGAAAATCCTATTTATATGATGATAAACCTGGCTATTAATCATCATTACACTCAAAAAATGTATCCGATATATTTATGGGTGGGCAAAATATAATTAATAAGTTATCAGAAAAAATTGATTGAGTTATGCTAACTAATGTCAGTTATCCATATACCTTGTGTTCGAAGTGATTCAATTCGTCGTTGGTTTCGTCTTGTTCTGAAAATTTCAGATTTTGAGAGACCGCGACGCACACGCATCGCGGATGACTTACGCGTGAGAAGTTCGATCTGTTTGTATTGTCGACGAATTTTCGCCTTGAGCGCGCAATTTTCATCTCGCAAACTCTCAATTTCAAAATTCAAATTCCTCTGTTGACTCTCGAAACTATTTCCCAAAGTTTCTTGACTTCGTATATTTTCCTCGAGTTGCGCAATAATCGCGCGACATCGATCCAATTCAGCTTCAGTTCTCGACAATTCTGAATTCAACGCTAATTTTGCATGTTCAATCGTCGCCATTCTCGATTGTTTCAACTCTGTCTCCTTCTCCGATGCTTCTGCTCGATCCATCGCTCGTTTTCTTTCCGCGAGTATTTCATTTTTGCTATCAACAATACTTGTTTCATGCTTCTTTTGCCATTCTTCACAATCTGCCAGCGCTTTTTTGAGACGAAGCGCAAGATTATCCGCATTCTTTTGTGCCGAATTCATTTGTCGCGTGGTTTCTTGAAGTTGTGATGTTTGTTTGCGAACTGTTTGTTGGAGCGATTCTTTTTCATTTTCTACCGCTGATAGTTGAGATTTATACACATCTAGTTCACGCTTGACAAGTTGAAGATCAGTGTTGATCGCTGATTTTTCTCTGGAATTTTAGAATTGATGTTTTGTCCGAATTGAGAGCTAGCCGTGAGCTTAGGCTACTTGAGAAACAGACTCTCTAGGCTCTAACCCTTGAAAACTAGAATTCATAGGCGTGGCTACTTGGCAGCGAGAGTTTCTAGGCTTGGCTACTTGACATAAAAGCTTCTAAGGCACGGCTGCTTGACATAATGGATCTATATAGGCAGGTCCTAGAAAATTAGGTTGTTAAGGCTCAGCTACTTGACAATTCAAGTGTCTAGACTTGGCTACTTGACATGAAAGCTTTCAAGAGGCGGCTCCTTACCAGAGTGGACCTCTAGATGCGGTTCCTATACGATTAAGTTCTATAGACTCAGCTACTTGACAGCTTGAGTTTCTAGGCGTGGCTTCTTGCCAGAGTGAATCTCTATAGGCAGGTCCTAGAGAATTAGGTTGTTAAGGCTCGGCTACTTGAAAAATAGGCTTTCGGCCACAGAAATTCAGAAAAACTAGACTTCTAGTGCTCAAAAAAACCACAAACTTCTCCAATTCCATAATCCTCCTCTCCTTCTCCATAACCTGCGAGGTACTCGGCGATCTCTGCAATCCAACCCCACTCATCGAAGTAATACTCTGCGACATATCATAACACGAATCCCTTCTTCCTCTCAAAGAATACATCGAACTCGTCATATCCGATTCCGAATCTTTTCGTCGTAATCCAACAGTTCGAATCGATGAAAATGATCCCATTGAAGTCAACGAATATTGTCTTCCGATCGTTGAAAGTCTTTCTGAACTCGATCTTCCATAATCAGAATCCACACTCGATTCTCTTTGGAATGTTTCAATCTGATTTTTCTGCGTAGAATTCTCGTTTTCAAGTTTCGAATTTTTCCTCTTAACTTCCTCCATTTTCTGCTCCAACTCTTTGACCCTTTCTTTATGTGTATCTTTCAAATCTTTCATACAATCAGCCATCATCGCATCTTTATCTTCCAATTTCTTTTCGAGTCGTTTAATTTCATTTCCTCTCTTCCGACATTCATCTTTCTAAAAAACAAGATAAACATTGTGAGTTTAACGAGGATTTAATGTTGCAATCACTTACCAATTCGTCAATTTTCTTGGCTTGTCGTTGAATGATATCCTTCGCATTCGTGAGTTCATCGTTCAATTTATCCCTTTCTCTCTCGATTTTTCTCGTCGCGTTTTTTTCGTTCAGCGTGACATTGTCAAGGCGAGCGATTTTTTCCTGAAGGAAAACAAATGATGAATGTTCGGACGGGTCAGAAAATTTGGAAATATTTTTGAACCCAAATATTTATGGGAATTTTTAGGATAACCTAACTTTCATCCAGCTTGAACTCGAATTTTTTTGGAAATCTGTTTAGAAAAGTCTAGGCTACAATACTGAGGCCAAAAAGTTATGACGTAGCAAAGTAATTGGTCGATAATTAAATTTGGAGCATCCTGATATCTCATAAGCCTCAATTCCCGATTTTCAGCCCAATCCGTGGCTGGCCAAAGTAAAATTTTTGAAAAAATCTGAATTTCAGTGTTTTAGAGTTCAGAAGCTGAAAAATTCATAGTTTTTATACTGTAAAAAGTTAGCGTACCATTTTTTGCTTTGGAAACCACGATTTTGGCCGAGATGTGATCCCAAAATATAGGCTTTTCCCAAAAATTGCTTCAATTTTCCGGGCACCCAACTCACATTCAACTCCGTAATAAGTTTCTGCAAATCCCCAATCGTATTATTCTGCCTGACTTGTCTCGCCTTCTCATCCTCCAAATTACTCTCCAATTTCGCAATCCCCAATTTTTGCTCATTCGTCTCATCAAACAATTTCTGCGCCTGATTTTGCAATTCATCAATCAACGAATTCTTCTCATTCAACTCCCTCTCCAAATTCTCATAAAAACTCGAGTTCCGGTTTTGCGACTCTTTCAATTTCGAATTCTCCACCTCCAAATCATTCTTCTCCATATTCAATTGTTCAATCTTCCTCTCATAATCTCTCAAAACATCATTCATTTTCATCACCTTCTTATGTTGTTCATCATATTTCCTCTCCAACACATTAAAAATTTCCTCATTTTGTTCCATCTCCTCCATCGTTTTCCTAAATTCCCTTTCCTTCTCCAACAATTTCTCTCTTCCCTCTCTCTCAACTTCTTCAATCCTCCTTGCCGATTTCGTCATCTCAATCTTCTGATTCTCCAGTAACATCGTCAATTTCTCCTTCTCTTTCTGCACATTTTCATAAGACTCTTCCCAATCATCCAATTCCTCTTCAAGTCTTCGATTTTCCTTCTCCAACTCTTCAATTCTTTGTTTATCCCGATTTTTGGGAATGAGACCTCTTGATAATTGATGAATCCGATACCAAGGCCACTGGGAAAGTTCCGCGAATTTTCGCACATTTTCTTGAACCGTTAGAATCGCCTCACTGAAAGAATTCAAAATTTATGTTTGATTGCTCATATTAACTCACTCCTTCAACCTTCTTTCCTCCAAATCCTTCTGTACACAATAATACCGAATATGCGCCTGAATCTTGACAATAAACGAGGAAATATATTCATTTCTCTTCTTCTCAAGTTCCGAAATCACTCCAACTTTACAGAAAAGTTTGGTTTTTCCAACAGCGTATCGCTCTTTTCGAATATCCGCGTCAATGCAAATTTGACAGCAAATCTCTTTTTCTGACAATTTTTTGGAGAGCTCTTTGTTTTTGAGAAGAAGTTTGTAGCGTTCAGCGAATTCGTCGTGGGCTGTGCGAGATGGATATCCTTCGCGACAAATTCGAATTCCTTCGAAAACTCCGTTGCATCTGAAAAATAGAAAATTAAAAAATCCCGCCCTGACCCGGAATCGAACCCTCGACTCTTCACTCCATAATTTTAAAAATCTCTAACCAGCTGAGCCATCTCAAAGTATTTTTCTTCGATAAAAATACGCTGGAAAGTTGTAAGAACATATTTCTATACTAATTTTTCACGTAGATCACGATTTTTGGAGTCTCGAGGTTTAAAAATTACTAAGAAGTTAATTATGACCTCACCTCAATTGCGCCAACACCAAAGGCGCATCAATCTTCCCCGGAATTCTCTCATAATTCGGCACAACACATCGAATAAAATGCGCGGAAGACGTGTTCAAAGTCTCCAACAAATTCTGAAGTTGCGCACGATACAAAAATGAGACGGTAGAATTTGTAATAGTTCCCCGCCTCGTTTTCAAATTATTCACAGGAATTGGTGGGAACAGTATTTTCAATAATGGATGTGTTGATTGACTCATCACTTCAAGAACTGAATTTTCAACGTTGTCTCGATTTTTATCCAACCATCCATCAATATTATAATGCACTTCTCCTGCATAATGTTTGATTGCAAAATGTCGAATCGTTGTTGATCTTGATGTTTGCTTGGATTTACTGAAACTCTGATCATTCGCAAGATTCACGCAGAGTTTTTCAAGCAATGATTTCTCCGAACCGTTTGGCACCACACATTCTTCTTCCAAAAATGATAAAACACCCATCGGTTTCTCGATCAAATCAATTGTTGGTTGAAGATGATTGGCAAAATTGACTTGTGTCCATTTGATGCCTTCTTCAAGATAATCACTTTGCTCTTTGACGAACATGAAATGATTGAAGAATTGTTGAAGTTTTTCATTGGTGTAATTGATGCAGAATTGTTCGAATGAGTTTTGTTGAATAATTTCGAAGCCGGCGATGTCGAGCACTGCGATGAAGCGGGAATTTGAATAGGCTGGAAAATTAGGTGTGTTTTGGAAGATGGAAATTTGAAATTACCACTTTCAAAATCATCAATCGCAAAAGCTGCATTACACTTCTGAACAACCCATCCGAATAATCGCTCATACAAAACTTTAGCCATGGCTGAAGCCGAACTCAAAGTCTGAAAAAATCAGAAGTCTGGTTCAAAAATAGTTATGAAGTCGCAAAACTGTAATTTTTTCCATAAATTGGATTTTTCAATGTTCAAATGACTCTCTAGGCGCTGATCCTTGACAATTGAACTTTCTTGGCGTGACTGCTTGACAACCTGGTTCTCTAGGCGCGGCTGCTTGTCAGAGTGGATCTCTAGACGCGGGATCTACACAATTAGGGCTGTCAGGCGCGACTGCTTGTCAAGTTGGATTTCTAGGCTTGGTTACTTGGCATAGAAACCTTCAAGGTGCGGATCCTTGATAACTAAGATCTTTAAGCGCTGGTCCTTGACAATTGAACTTTCTAGGCGTGACTGCTTGACAGAGAAGCATTCAAGAGGCGACTCCTTACCAGAGTGGACCTCTAGATGCGTGTCCTAGAGGATTAGGTTCTTAAGACTCGGCTACTTGACAACTCGAGTTTCTAGGCTTGATTGTTTGGCATTGAAGCGCGGCTGCTTGTCATAGTTGAATTCTAGACGCGGCCCCTAGACAACAATTAGTTTCTCTAGGCTCGGTTCCTTGTCAAGTTGGATTTCTAGGCTTGGCTACTTGACATTGTAGCTCTCAAGGCGCGGCTCCTTGTCATGAGTGGATCTCTAGACGCGGCCCCTAGACAACAATTAGTTTCTCTAGGCTCGGTTCCTTGTCAAGTTGGATTTCTAGGCTTGGCTACTTGACATTGTAGCTCTCAAGGCGCGGCTCCTTGTCATGAGTGGATCTCTAGACGCGGCCCCTAGACAACAATTAGTTTCTCTAGGCTCAGTTCCTTTTCAGAGTATCCTCTTACTTTCGCCAAATTCTGATTCTTCCTGATCAACTTGTCGTGAACTTTAATCGTCGGTTGCGTCAAAGCATCCACCAATCGCGAATTTTTCATCTCCAGCAACTCGGCGACATTGTCAATTTCTAGAAAAAAAATTATTTTTTTTCGTTCCCTTCCAAAATTTTTTTTTTGCTTTTTGAGTGTAATTTTTTCTTCCATTCCATTTTACAAACGAACACATGACACCATCAAAAAAGAAAATTTGTGGGTTTTTTTTGTGAAACAGCAAAAAAAATTTTCATGAAGTGAGTGAACAAGTGTTCCTGCCTGCCTGACCTTGCATGCTTTCGACAAATGATAAATCAAGTCCAGATCTCTCGCCAAATTTGATATCACCAATCCACAAAATCGCCGAGAGGATTTGGAATATCCAGATTTTCTCTTCAGAATTGAAACCGATTCGCGACAATGCTTCCTGAATTTAATTTTTTGAATCTCAGATTTCTTTCCTTCAAAAAAAACTCACATCAGTCAGTTTCGCCGCTTCCGAATCATTCAAACTCGCATCATTCTCGACATTTTTCAAATATTTATATTGTTCCGCTTTTTTCGAGATCTTTAGGAAACTCTTGTGAGGTTGGTCGAAATAATTTGACAACATTTGATAGAAAATGTGGAAGTTTCGATCGCCTTCGCATTGATTTACTACTCGCGATTTTTCCAAGAGGTCTGGAAATATTTTGCTGGTAGACTTTGACGTTCTGATCAAGATGATGTTTTCAAAAAGTTCTAAGCTCAACTTTAAACATGAGATATGACGTGGCAAAGTTTGAAAAGTTGGAGAATGCTTCAAAGCCTTTCAGTCAAATAGCCTAGAAATGCTAGTTGTCAAGGGTTAGCGCCTAGTGATTCACTCCGGCAAGGTGCCACACCTTGAGAGCTGCTATGCCAAGCATCCAAGCCTAGAAATTCTAGTTGTCAAGGATCAGAGCCTATTTCTCTAGTAACCTCGCCTTGAACATTTTGAAATCAGAAGCTAGTGCCTTCGAAAATCAAACATTTGCCACGTCATAACTCATATTCGAATTTGAGCTTATGATAAGAAGCTCTTCAAAAATCTCCCAGAAACTCACAGCACTCAATCTTGGCCCCAATCAACTTGCAATTCTCATCAAACTCAATCCGTATAAACTTTCCGAATCTCGAACTATTACTATTATGCATAGTTCTCGCATTTCCCATCGCCTCCAAAATGATACCAGACGTCACCACATTTTCACCAATCGAACTCTGCGAGCCAGAAGAAGCGAGGATGAAATCGATGATTTTTTTGGTGTTCTCAGTTTTACCGGCGCCACTTTCGCCGCTGAAAAATGGAAGAAATGACACTTTGAGAAAAAATTTGCCACGTGAAAGAGAACTCACGTAATTAAAATACTCTGACTTCTTCCGCCTTTCATAATTCCATGAAACGCATTTTGTGCCACCGAATAGACATGAGGTGGCAAATCACAACCATTTTGATATACATTTTTGACCTCGTCGGTGTAGATCGGAATATTTTTCCATGGGTTTATTACCACACAAAATAGACCACAGTATGTCTGAAAATTTGCAGTTTTTATTTTTCTTGGAAGATTATTCAGATTTTTCTCTTCTGGTCCAAAAATTCAAGCTCACATGTATAACATGTTGTGTGTAGCGAAGTGTCAGCGAGTTCAGCACAGTTGCTGCATTTGGCTGTGTCAATGTGCACAAATCATCCGAATAATTGTTCAAACTCGGCACTTCGCAATCTCGTTTCTCCACGCGTTTCTGTAACAAAAATCCAAACTTTTGAGAATTTCTAGATCTTGAAGTTCAGATTGTTGTTCTGAAGTCTTGCCTAGAGTCTAGTTACCAGGCCCCATTTTCAATGGTCCCACCCCCACATCATGAAAATTAGTCAGCTGCCTGCCTCTCAAATGTTTCTTTCACCTCAAAACATATGTGAATTTATTTTTTTTCTGTCATTTTCTAGTTTTATTTCCTCTAAATGACCAGATTATAATGGGTTTTGTATGTAGAAAAAGTAAAAGTATAAATATATTTTTTTTACACATTTTGTGTGTTTCTTACGGCTCGCAGTCAGTCAACAATTACGAAATTTGAGATGCGATAGAATGACCTGAGGAACGGGGAAAAAAATAACAGAGTTTTTTGTTTTTTTGCAGGAACGCGACTAAAGGTGACATAGAAATGGGATTTTTGATGCAAGATTTATTGGAGATAGCAGGAAAATTGGAACTCTATAAAATATCAGATAATTAATTTCAGAAACTCGGAAAATCTAGGAATTCAAGAGTGGAATTTAAGCTTCAGAGTTTTTTAGAACTATTTTTGGAAGATCTTTGAAATTTAAAAAATTTGAAAATTCAGATTTTCAGGCTGAACTTTTCCAGTTTCAAAATATTTGGATTTATTCCAGAAATTATCTCCAGAAGCTCTCGAATTTTCAAATTTTCGAAACAGGTTGTAGGTTTTCAGGCTGAACTTTTCTTAGTTTTGAAATCTTTGGCTGAATTTAAGATAATATTTTGAAACCTAGAATTAACTTTTCAAAAATGCAGGTGTTTTTTGAGAAATGAACTTCAAGTTTCATGAGATCCAAATTTGAAAAAAAAAATGAATAAAAACATTTTTTTTAGAAATTTCACACATAAAATTTATTTTGAAATTTTAAATTTGAATATTTTTAGGTACAATTTTTAGATAAGGTTATTTGAGAACTTCAATTGAATAATTAATTTCAAGAAAATAAAACAAAAAAATTCCTAATAGAATAGTTTTTTTGAAAGTCAAGAAAACTAGAACTTGAAATTTTCCAAAACCAACCTTCTCAAAAAACCCCTGTTCATCTCGAAATCCCACCAAAACATCGCTCAAACCCTCATCAATCACCGTCACCAACCGATATCCAAAATTATCATCAGCAATCCAAATCAGATTATTCAAATCCTCAATTCGTTCCTCGATCTTTTTCGTCTTCAGATGTTTGAGAATCAGTGGATCCAGTGAATCCATCTGAATTTTGATCTTGTGAATTCAAATTTCAACTTCACCCAAAAAAATTATTATGTAAAAAAAATTATCTCAGAATCAGAAAAAACGAGTGAGAGAGAGAAAAATGCACTCATTACACAACGAAAAAAATTGGAAAACGAAAAAAAAATCGGCGAGAGAAAACAGAGAAATGAAAAAGAGGAGGGTCCGGGGGGAAACACAACCAATCTATCAAAAATGATTTTTTTATGATCTGATATGAAAATATGAAAATCTTCTCTTTTTTGTCTGTTGATGGTTGGTGGAGCTAATTGGAAATGAAAATTGTGTTATTAAGAGCAAATTGCACTGGTTACAGATCTGAAAGTTAGTTTTTTCAAACATAGAAAATCAAGAACTTACCCGGTGTCACCATTCACATTATACTGAAAAAGTCCAGAGTCGGAACATGTCACTGACAATGGATTAGAGGGAGGAGTCTCGCCGTCGTCTATGGTCAAAGTGGGAGTATCAGTATTACATCTTATTGTTGCACTGGTCGGGCAACCATCCACATAACTAAAAAAAAATGTAAAAACACGTGGATTTCTTATTTGCTCACAGGAAAAAGGTTAGTCTAGTGAAATTTTGATGTGATTTTCTCCAAACTTATTTCCAAGAAACAGTAAATCGTTGAATATTTACTCACTCAAATGAAACTTGCGTTGTGGTGTCGACGTACGATATATCGTTGGTAGTACACGTGCAAATTGTAGTTGGGGTCTGAAAGTATCGTTATAGGGAGGTTTTTAAAGGCAGTTACACAATTATTTTGATTTTTCTCGAAACTTAGCGTCAAAAATAGTTCAACACAAAAGGAACCAGTTGAAAAAATTCGAAATAATGAAAGTTAATACGAGTTGAGATAATCATGTTTTTAAAAATTTCAAATTACTCCCACGTCTAGTTGGTTGGTGTGTGCAAACACTGCGACGCACTTTTGCGTACAGAAACTTTCTATATTTTGTTTGGTTCAGTCAACAGCTTCGTGGGTGGTCTCGGTCGACTGGAATAGCTGTCTAACCGACAAAAAAGACGCATCACAAAACTACCTACCGTAACACTTGCAGTTCGAATACACGCATCTGATTTCGAAGCCAAAACCGAAACCGAAACCAAGAAAATCCAATGAATCATAATTCCTATTATCCTGTGATTCTGTGTTCAAGCCACTTTTATAGCCGCCCGATTTTTTGGGTCAGAAATCAAGTTCGAGAGAGGTTTGAGGCAAGAAAAGGGGAAAAACTAATTAGTGCAGAATGATGATAGTTATTTTTGTGATTGCATTTGAATGATGGGAAAAAATGGATGTGAGATTTTATTTGGTCGTTTAAGGAGATTGAATCCGAGTAGAACAGTTTTGGAACGGAAATAACATTGTTCTTGAAAAATCGCCGCGAGACCACAAGTGCCTACTGTAGCACAATTTCAGCAGTGTTTCCAGCTTTTTTCCTCTCTCAAACTCTCAATTTCAACGCTTTTTCTTTTTGTTAAAGAAAAAATCTTTGAAAATTGAGGAAAAAGTAGCAAACGCGCTCCAGCGCACACATCCGTGTCTTTCTCGTGGAGTATTTTTCTTTTTTTTCAATTTTTTTTTGTTTTCGCTGGGTTTTGCTCATTTTCCACTGGATTTTCAAAGAGTAATATTAAAGTTGAAACTTCATTCAAATAGGTTTATGCTTAAAAATCCCAGAAAACCCCTGAAATTTGTGATTTTTCATAAATTTTGTGTGAAAATCGTGAAATCTTCAAAAAATTATTCATTTCCAACCCGAAAATTGATAAACTAGCGAAACTAACTGAATTTCAAAAAATTCAAAAATTATTCCAAATCCTCCAAACTCGCCATATCCAATTGTGAATTTGCAGAATTTTGAGCCTCATTTTTCTCCAGTTTTCCAGATTTTTTCTCTTTTTTCGGTTTTTCTCTCTCCTTGTCTTTCGATTTTTCATTTCTCAAATTTTTCGATGAAGAAGAAGCTGAAGAAGCCGTGGAATTTGGAAGTCCCATTGCAATCGAGAATTTTCGACGTTGCTGTTTCTTGGCACGCTGTTTTCGAACATATTCCTGAATCTGAAAGTGTCGTCTCATTTTTGCCAAAAAAAATTTTGAGGGACCCACGTGGAATATAGTTATGACGTGGAAAAGTTTTATTGTTCAATGGAGCGAATTTGCTTTCTGTGCAATTTTTTCGGGGTATCGTAATGTTTGCTAGATTTTATGACGTGGAGTTTTTGCCCAAGTAGATTTTTGAAAAAGCTAAAAATGGAATTTCCAAACGTTGAAATCTCAGAATTTTCCCAAAAAAAAACTTTGCCACGTCATAACTTATGTTAGCCAAATTTTGTAAATTTCAATTTTCAGTCAAAATTACAGATTTTTGCCACGTCATAACTTTTCTCCAAAACTCACTTTATATTTCACAATCGGCGACATTTTCTCAATCAGCTCATTATTCCTCGCAATCTGCTCCTGAAACCACGTTTTTTTCAAAAATCTGAAAATTTTCAGAAAAAATACCTGTATCTTCTTCTTTTTCTCCTCTTCCTGATCCATCAAAAAAAATTTCGCTGAAAAAGTTCCAAAACTGGCCAAAACAGTGGGCAATTCTCACAGTTCTTATCAGCCGAATTTTTTTTCAGAAAAAAACATGAATCGACAGTTTTTGACGTTTCAAAACGAATTGATTAGACATTTTTTGTATACAAATAAAAAAATATTGGCTCAAAAATGAATTTTTTAAAATTGCGAAGTTTACAACAAACCTTCATTTTTCATTCATTTTCAAATAAAAAACACATAAGAAAAGGGTGGGAAAAAAACAAGAAAAGCACGAATAATTTAATAAAATTTCTCGAAAAACGGTATTATTATAATCAAAAAAAAAAATCAAGAATAATTCTGGATAAAATACAAAAAATCTATAGATTTTTAGGGGGGATAAAAGGGGGGACAATAAAAATCTCATAAAGCTGCCATACCCGAAAACACAGGGGGAAAATTAGAGGGGGGAAAGGGTTAAAACCCAATTTTTGGGGACAATATTTTACAGATACTAGTAATTTCAATTATAAAACTTTTTGCTGCTTTTTGTGGAGGCTGCAGAGCAAGTGAAAAATGCTGTGGAATGTGTATTTTGAATAGAAAATGGAAAGAAAAATATAAAACGGGGTGGCAAGAAAGAAAAGTGAAACAACAATAATTTCTTGGGGGAAGGGATGAAAATGTAGAGGTAAACGCGGGAAAAAATGAACATTGTGTAGAAGAATGGCACTTGAATACAATCTGCAAGAAAAATCAGAGCTTATGATTTTTTCAGTAAAATTTCAGTTTTTTTATTTCATTTTGAATTTGAATTTCGAAAATTGGAATTTTGAAACTACAAAAAATAAACTTTCGAATTTTTTGAAATCGGAATTTTGGCGTCAAAAATCAGAATTTGATAAAATAAAGAAAATTTACAGAAAAACCTTCAAAATTTTGGAAAATGGAAAAATTACGTTTGGAATTTTTAACAAAGTCCGATTTCACAATTTCAAATAATTAGGTGAAATTATAATTTTTTATATTTCATCTCCCACCAAAAAAAACTCACAATACTCTCTCACAATACAAAACAAAATCACGAATTTTGAGCAGCTCTCGATCTTCTCGTCACCATTTTGTGTTCAACATTTTCGTCGTCCACATTTCCAGCAGTTCCATTGGTTTTTGCTTTTTTCGGTGCCGGTACATCTGGATCGGTGTTTCGTTTTCGACGAGTCGCTCGTCGGCGTGCTTTTCCGGTTGTTGGTTCAGGTGTGGCTGTTTCACTTCGTGTTGTTCCCTGGAAAATGGAAAAATTAGATTTGAAGTAGGAAAATGTTTCGAAAAAAATAATCAAAAATCTCAGAATTAACATTAAAAATTACAATTTTTAAGATTTCAAGAAATTAATTTCCGAAACCGGTAATTTTTCGAAATTTCACATTTTTGTCTCAAAATGAGATTTTTTAGATTTTAAGATCCTAAAACCTTATTAGGCTAAAAAATATAATTTTTAAGACTTTAATACTAAAAATTGTAATTAAAAAAATTCCGAAATGGATCATTTTTCAAAATTTCACATTTGTGTCTCAAATTGACATTTAATTTCAAAAATTCCTCTGATTTTAAGATCTTAAAACCTTATTAGGTTAAAAAATATAACTTTTAAGATTTTAATGCTAAAGTTGAAATGGTTCTTTAAAAATTTCGAAACGGGTAATTTTTCGAAATTTCAATTTTTTTTTTGATAAGTTCGAAAATAATTCTGATTTTAACATCCTAAAACCTTATTAGGTTAAAAAGTATAATTTTTAAGATTTTAATACTAAAGTTAAAAAATTCCGAAACGGGAAAAAAATTCCAAATTTTTTTTGATAATTTCGAAAATAATTCTGATTTTAACGTCCTTTGAGAAAATAAAAACTGATTTTTCTAAATCTTCCCAAATCAGCCCCCCCCCCTTTCCATAACTTATCCTAACTAACCTCACTCGATGCCGCATCATCATCCCGTTCCGGCGCTTCTCCATTTTCCCCGCCTTCCTGCTTCTCCTCAATTCCAGCCCCGTTACATTCATCAGTCGTCGTTTCATTTTCATCTTCCGTTTTCTTCACTTCTTCTTCTTTCTCATCCGCAACTTCACTTCCATCTGTTGATCCTTCCTTTTGTTTTCGATTTCCTCCATTTTTCTTTGGCCTTCCTCGAATTTTCGGCGTATCTGCTCCAGTTCTCTGCGCTTCTTCTTGCAATTCTTCCTTTGGCGATGGTGTTGGTGGCTGAGCAGTTGATGCAATCGGTTTGACAATACTATCAACATCATCTCGAATAAGTCCACCCATCAATGCTCCAATTTCTGGCTCTTTCGGCGTTTCATCCAAATTCATAAAAGTCGTCGCTCCTTCACCTTCTCCTTGTGTCGAACTCTCATTCAAATTATAAAAACTCGACGATTGATTCGATTTTTCATCAATTGAAGATGGTTGTCGAACAAGACTGCTTGAATACGATCTTCTTGGTGAATATTCGGCGATTGTGAGTCCAGCAGTTCCAGCTCCAAGTGATTTTTCCTCTTCGAAAACTGTTGAGAGTTTGGCGAGCATTTCTTCGCGTTCAGTTCGCTCGGCTGGCTGAAAATTGTTTTTTTAGAGGAAAATCAAAAATTCAAAAAAAAACATTTTTTGAATTTTCAAAAACGATTTTTTTCTGAATTTTCAAAAACCCAAAAATGATACGTTTCAAAAATTTTTTAATATTTTGGAAAATCCTATGAATTTGATGTATCGAACTTTTCGTAATGATTATGTTTATAGAATTTTTTTTTTAGAAAATCTGGAATCTGTTTTGAAATCAATAAATTTAACTAAAATATTCGAAATTTTGGTGAATTTTATGAAAATAATTTCAAAATCTTAAAATTTTCAGTAAATCTTTTCCTGCTCAAAAATGGAGCAACTTTTTGTATGAAAATTTCAATCTTGTCCAAAACCTGTCAGATTTTGTTTTTCAACACATCCCCAAAAATGCTCACCGTCAAATTCACCAAATTCTTATCAGTACATCGTGTAAACACCTCCTCATCCTGTGCCATATCCATACATTTTCTGACGGTGGCCAATGAGATTCCCATTATTTGCGATGTCCATTGATCGGGTTTCGACATTGGCGAATTGGTCAACGGATGTCGAGATGGAAGTCTGCAGAAAAAAAGATCCCTTTTTGTTTCGCAAAGCCTTGTGAAAAGAAATAAGATGAAAAACATCTTGAGTGACAGAAAAAACTCGTCTTCAATCAATTTAGCATCTTGTCAACAACAAGACAACAAGATGACATTTCAGAAATATACGATTCTAGGAAATTCAAATAAAAACCAACCTTTTAGCAAATTCTCGATTAAAATGGCAAACTCGCGAAATCAACATTCTCGATTGTTCACAAAGATGCGGGCGACACGGTTTTCGGCCAGCGTCTTTTTTGGCTTTTGATTGGACAACATCCAAGAGTGGAAAATCGCTCATGTCTGGGAAGATGGCAGCGTCAATGTCTTCATTTTGATAGCGTGGGGAGCTCTGGAAGAAAATTGGAGGGTTTTTGGTTGGAATTTTGAGCTGAGCTTGATTTTGCACAGAATTTCTCTACTGACTGACTAATTTCGATCAGCTCATCAATTTAAAGTTATTATAAATTGGCCCAAATTTCAGGAAAATAACGAAATTTGGAGTATTTCGAGTTCAGACTCGACTATTTTTGAGAAATTTCAGGATTTTTCTCAAAATTTGTACAAAAACAAATCATGTTTGATATCAACTAAAATTTCGAAAAAAATCACAAAATTCGGAACGTTTTGAGTTCAAACTAGACTATTTTTGAGCAATTTCAGTTCAAAATTATCGTGTTGGATGTCTAATTGACCCAAATTCCACGAAAAGCCCAAATATCAAATCCAAAACTCACCAAATCCGGTTGCTTCTTCCTTCTTTGCGCAGCTTGTGCGGCAGCAACACTCGGCCCATTATTCACAACAACATTTTGAACATCGGGACGTGGCGGTGGTTTGGAGAACGCGAAAAGCGGACCATTTCCGTTAGCAGCCGGTGCAGCGCATCCAGGTTGTCCATAGTTCATCGGAGGAGTTCCAGTCAACGGCGATTGTGTGCTATAATATGGTTGTTGCATTCCTGGCGGAATCATTGCCTGTGGTTGCATATGTGGTGGAGGATAATAGGGATTTGATGTGGGTGGAACTGCACCATGTGGCATTGGTGGCGGATAGATTGGTGGACCTCGCGGTGGATACGCATTCATATTTGACATTTGGGTGTATTGTTGTTGTTGGTGGCCATTCCTGGAAGAAGAATTTATTGATGGAAAATTTTTCGGAACCCTAAATGTTGGGCTTGGGAAAAATAATAAATTTTTAGACCAAATCTTCAGAGCATTTTTTGAACATAATCAATATTTTCTATAAACTTCAGAAATTTTTTTGGTAAATTTAAATTTTGGTCCGAAAAATCAGAAGATTGGAATTTTTCGCAGGTAAAACATTTTGGAGAAAATTTTAAAGAAGAACCGAATTTTTAAATCAAATTTTTCAACAATATTTTCCGACCCAAAAGCATTTTTTGAACATAATCAATATGTTCAATACTGCTTTTTGAAAGCTCACAAATCCCATTATTTCTCAAAATCCCATTAAAATCCCCCAAACTTTATCAATTTCAAAAATCTTTCAAGGTCTATTCGGAATAGTTAGCTAATCTAAACATTCCGTCGTTCGAAATTATCTCCAAATCAAATCTAACACATTTTTTGTCGCCCACCAGCACCTGTCAATTGCACCCCTCTCCCTTCAATTTTCCCCGCCGTCATGTCATTCAACAATATTGCCAAAGGCACTTTGTGTGCATTGCTTTTCCCTCTTCTCTCTCTCTCACACTCTCTATTTTCAAGTGGTATTAGTACTGCTTCTACTATGTACTACTACACCTTTCGATTAAATTTATATACACTTCTTTCGTCTTCTATTTAGTACTAGAAGAATTAATGAATAAAAGGAAATAAAAGAGGATAAAGAGAGAGAAAAACATCCATAAACAAAAGAAAACAAACACGTTTAGATAGAATTTACTAACTAGTTAAGGGGATTTTTTTGAGAATGAATCAGAGATGAGATTTGGGGATGAATAAGCTGATAATCTTGAAAGAAGGTGAATTTTTGAGAAGAAAATGTGGAAGTTACAGAATAGATTGTTGGTCGAACAATTCAAGATGAACTATTTTAAGATTTTAATTTAGAGCCTGAATTTAAGAAAAAAAATCCGAACCAAAAGCTCCTAACTAGAATATTTGGAATCGAGTTTTGAGCTCACAACTTTCAATCGGATTAAAAGCTATGCGGAAGTGTTTAAAAGCAAAAAAATCCAGACTTCTCCAAAAGATCTCTAAAATATCAGAAAATGCTCCAGACTTCTTTGAGATTCAAATTTCCCGCCAAAAATTTCGCTATAAAGCTTTAGAATAGCCGAAAATTCCTTAAAATCCAGGAAAGACCTCGAAATTATCAGAAAATGCTCCAGACTTCTGCCAGAAGCCTCAGATTCATGTTGAGATTCAAACTTCCCGCCAAAATTATGCTGTGAAGCTTTAGAATAGCCGAAAAGGCCCAAAAATCCAAGAACGACATAGAAATTATCAGAAAATGCTCCAGACTTCTGCCAGAACCGTCAGATTCGTATTAAAATTCAAATCTAGCCTCAAAATTTCGCTATGAAGCAGTGCGACTTCGACAAAATGTCAGAAATTGCTCGATTCAAATTTCCCTCCAAAATTTGGACTTTCCCTAACTAGAGGATTACGTATTATAACCTCCGATTCGTTTCAAATTGCCCATGGATAAGTCCCCCTACATACACATAATCACCCCCCCCCCCCCATTGCATTTTTCTGCCTCCCGTCAGTCTTTGCCTCATTTCATTTTACATATTATACGAGAGTGCACATAGAGAGAGAGAGAGAGAGAGAGAGACTCTTTTCATGCACGCACCTAATTTCCATCCATTTCATTCCGTCCGTCCGTCCGTCAATTCGTCTTCCCTTCTCATCATTTTGCGTTCTCTCTTTTACTATTCCCTCTTCAAGAGAGAGAGAAAGAGAGAGAAGAGAGAGAAAAATAGAATGTGACTCAGTCAGTCAGTTGGGTGGATGTATGTATGTGATGAGATGGCCGGATCTCTTTTCCTTTCTCTATTTCTCAATCTCTCTCTCTCTCTGTGGGCCTTGACACGACATCATCATGGGACTGCTACTACTACTAGTTGGTTTGGAGATGGATAGATGAAGAAGAGGAATTGAAAACAGATATATAGATAGGATAGATATTGATGGAAAGAATAGAAAGGGATGAGAGAGTGAGAGACGGCAGACGACGAAATCAATTGATTGCCCAAGGCAAATGATCATTGATGAATGTGGGGAACTTGCAAAAATATTGAGAATACAGGGGACAAGATAGCCGAAATTGGAATTTTCATTTGGTGCTTTAGAGCTAGAGCCTTAAGGGCTTTTGGTTTCTAGAATAAAAATTCTGCAAAAAAGCAGTACGAAAATGAAGAATTTAGGAACTTCTAAACATTTTCAACTCAATTTTTTACAATTCATTATGGAGAACTTACAAATTTTTCTCTATAAAAACACTAGACTAGCAATACGATTAGAGGGTTCAAACTACAGAATTTTAGAAAATAATTTCAGATTAAATTTAAAATTTTCAAAAATAATCAAAACCCCTTGTCTCAGAGCATTAGGGGCACAATTTTCAATGAAAATTCAAAATTTCAAAAATTCTAGACTTCTCCAGGCCTGTTTTTATGTCAAATGAGAATTTTTCTTTTTTTTTAATTTTCAAGATTTTTAGACCCTCTAGGAAGACGCTGTCGTCATTTTTTTCACTTTTAAAGAAATGCAGACCCCACTCAGCTTCAGGAATACCTCTGACGTCTTTTTTTTCAAATTTAAACCCCGCCCCCCGTTCCCAAAAAATCTCACCATGATGAAGTTGGCGATGAATTATGCGCCTGTTGATTATCCAAATTCATAATTTGTCGAGTCTCCTCCTCATGTGGTCGCATTCCCATAGTATACGGCTATAAATTAGATTTTAATTAATTAATTAACTAGAGCTTCAGAAAAATCCTACCGTCGCAAATTCAGAAGGCGGAGTTGTGCGGGGTGGCGCATGATGTTGCGCTGGCGGTGGTTGATAAAATTGCATGGCGCTATTGAAAAAAATCCCACTCTTCTTCGACGATCCAAAAAATCCTGAAACAAATTAGTTAGGCTAACCAAAAACGACCAAAAAAAATAATAAGTGCCTAGATATAAACTAAACTGCTGCTAAGTCGTCAGTTGATTGATGTTAAGTATTAGTATGTATTATGAGAGAAAAGAGAGTGCCAGAGACAGAAGATAGTGATGATGATGATAATGTGAGAAAAGAAGAAAAAGAAGAACACAAATATTTGTTTATTGGATACTTGCCAATATTATTTATTATTATTATTATTTCTCATGCTTTTCTCTCTTTCCCTCCCCCTAATTTAGGATTATTGTGTAAATAACATCGTATCAATTCGAAAACCAATAGATTTGTAAATAAATACAAGCTTATTTGAAACAATATAAATTTCTTTTGAGATAAAAATTATGAGGATTTGACTAATCCTATGAGCTTGGGCTCTTTAAAACTAGAATTTTTAGGGTTTTTAAATCCTAGCGAGCTTAGCGTTCTCGTAAATATGAAAATTGAGGGATCAGGAGGCTACTAAAATTAATTATAACGTTCCTATTGAATAAATACGGGCCAAAATTATAGGTTAAATATGGAACAGGAAATATTCTAGATTTTTGAAAGTTCTCAAGGAGCTTCGAAAAATCGAGGGACAACTAGAAATTTGAATTTGAATTTTTATTTAGAATGTTATAAATTATATAAATAAAAATTTGAATTTTTCTTACAATTTCAGTGATAATTTAATCTTTAATTTTTGACAAGCTAAGTCATCTAAAGCTGATTTTAAAATATCATCTGATGACAAACATTTCAAATTATTCAGAAAATAATTCTGGTCATCAGATGATTCAAAAATCATTTTATTTATTTATTTATTTATTCATATCACATTTTAAACATTTTTAGATGACTTATGGACCTACAAAGATGAATATTTTGTAATAAAATTTATATTTTTCCTATGCAGAGAGAGAACGCAAAATTGAGAGGGTCTAGACAAAATCTAGGCTCTCTTAATCTCTATCAAAAAATAATGATTTTTAAGTCATCTGATGACAAAAATTCAGAGAAAAAGACCTCCCTCCCCCCAAAAAACAAAGAAAATAAATAAAAACCTCGAATAGGCGGTTGCTGAAGTAACAGTTCCAACGAGCTGTTCTTATTCTTCATAGCCACCAATTTTTCGCCAACAACATCACCCGCTCCTTCACCATTGGTCACGCGGTGGTTGTCAATACAACTCGTCTTCTTCTTCTCTTTCTCCTCTCCATCCCTCGCGGCTCCGCCCATCTCTTCATCGTCTCTCTACAAACAACACTATCTTATTTGTCTGCGTCTCCCACTATCTCACTTACCATCCTCTTTTCAACGTCTACTTTTTGTGTTTCTGCTGATGCTTCCGGCACTATTCCGTCGTTGTTGTTTGTGTCTGCGTCTTGGTTATTTTTCGTGGTGGTCGATGTTCTTCTCGCGGTTTGTTGAGAAGACGAAGAAGAGGGGAGGGCTTCTTCTTCTCCAGCTTCGCCTTCTTCTTGTTGGCCGCGACCGCCGCCGCCGACGACGACGACGTTGTCCACATCCTTCAATTTTCTCGTCTTATATGGGCAAAAAGTGATGGAGGGGGGAGAAAAGGGAACCTCGGAGAAATAGAGGGTTCAATAGTTTTATGCACTTAAGTCTTTGCTTCAAGCGCACGGCCTTTTCATGGAGAAGCGCGGGGACGAGCAATTTATAATCGTTTTTTTTTTTTGAAAAAAAAATATTGGATGAAAGGGGAATTATATCTCGGGAAAATCGAATTTTTCGAAAATTTGCACGATTTTTAGAAAATTCTTTGAAAATAAGCTGCTTGTGTTTTATAAAATCATGTAATTTTCTCTAGGTCTTTACGAAATTTGGCCCCATATTTTGGGCCTCAAAAAATATGGCACAAGTTGTTTTAGAGGTGTTCATTTTTGAAAATAACACATATTCAAAAACCACGAAATGAAAAACCTGCACATCTAACTCTATGAAACGCAGGATTTACGGCCGAGTGTTGCAAATTTTGTTAAAATTTGATTTTTTTTTAAACTTCGCGGGCTACAAAACCTGCACATCTAACTAGATCTGCATAGTACGGTAGCCCGTGATTTTTGAGATTTTTAATAAATACAAACAAAATATCCGATTAGAGACAACGTAAAATTGAGATAGCGCAGACAATTTTATTGTCTAGACTCTCTCAATTTCACGTTGTCTCTAATCAAAACATCATGTATATTTTTTCCACTCAATTTCAAAAATATAACTAATTACCCGGAACCTAATTTAGAAAAATTATCTTCTCAAATATCTACGCGTTAATTATCTCCCCTAATTACCAGCTATTAATTTTTATTTTTCAAAAAAAAGTAAATTGAGCCTAACCTGAAAACTCTTCAAGGAAACTCAAAAATAATAAATGGTGACGAAAAAGATATGAAATTCTTGCTACACATGTCTTTTTCCCATTTTTTTGTGCGTTGCTTCTAAAAAATATCGATCAACGCGAAAAAATAATACTAGTCAAGGCACAAAAATGAAAAAAAAAAAGAAATGACACAAAATGGGCACTCTCGACTTCTTTTTTTTTCGGAATGCGCCTCAAATTTTGTTTGCATTAAAATTATTTTTCTTTTTTTTTCGTGCTGGTGGCTTTTTTGGAGGAGAGCCAGGCCAGGAGAATAAATATTTGAAAAAAAATCCCTCGAAAACTCACATAATTCTGATGGCCTTCTAGAAAATTTACAGGAAAATGCGATTCGTTGTGTTGAGCAGAAGAAGAGGATGCTGAAAAAACGGGAGAAAATGTATATATATTTTTCTTCTTTTTCTTTCTTTGTGTGTCTGTTTTGTGCCTGGTAGTTGGGCGTGTGAAAAATTAAAGTATATTGATTTTGAAATAATATGTAAGTAGGCAGACATCCAAATATTACCTCCATAGTCTCCAGAAGCTTTCCTGCAAAAATAAATGGGGTTTTGAGGGGAAATTGGAGGAAGATTTTCTGGAACTTACAATGCATGATCGATTGCAGGAAAATAGTTGGGTGCCTGAAAATAAATTATTTTTGAATTTGTCAGAAATTTTAGGGAAAAAAAGAACCTTTAGGATCCCGGAATGAACTTTCGATAAAAATAGTGCTGATCACGATCCCCAGGACAAAAATTGCCAAAAACACCTGCCCACGAGTGTTTCTAGCAATTTTCAACATCGGAATCGTGATCAGCCTGGTCGATTTGGTATATTTCACTATATTTGTCAGAATTTCAACCCGGGAGCCCTCAAATTCGCAAAACTCCTTACCGCCGTCGTAACATGAGCAGCCAATTTGATATATTCAGCAAATGGATGCGTGTGAATCGGATGAATCATTGTATTGAATTGCGGTTTTCCATCATTCTTCGGTTTTTTCTTATATTTCCTTGGTGTATATTTCGGTTGCCAAAGTGGACCTCGACAAGCAGCAGGAGGAACGTCTGCAGAAAATCCCGCATTCGCTGGAATTCCAGAAGTTGTTGGAGCGGCTGGAAATGTTTTTTGAAATGTGTGTTTTTTTGAAAAAAAAAGTTTGCACACAATGTGCGCTGCGAGACCATTGAGAAAAATTAATGTGTGTTCCTTTCGAACCGTAATTTTCATTCAAAATACCTTTTTGTTTCTTTTCTTGAAATTTGTCAAGCTCTTGAATAGCTGGAAATTCTTCCATTGGTGCGAGAGGCGGTGGCGGGTTATATGAAACCATATAAACTCGTTTTCCATCATCTTCAACCATCACATGAAGATCATCATCTAATTTATCTTGAGCGTTTTTTTCAGCATTCAAATCCGAAGGTTGAGCGGCTTCTTGATTAGTTGTGGAGTCGGGCTTTTCGGCGATTTCTAGCTCTCGTGGGAAGCTGTTTGGAGATATTTCGCTGAAGAATGAGAGGTTGTTATCGTTGGATTTTGAGGTAAATTTTTTTTTAATTGAATTAAAAAACATTTGGGAAGTTATCCGAGTTTCCCAGCAAAAAATAAGACTCGAAAAGCTCACACTATAGTTGGACATCGACTAAAAGACATTTTCCTGGTTTTTAAAGCAAGTGAGTTGAAATATTGGGTTCTAATGTTATTCATATGTTAGAATGGTCTAAGACGAACAAAATGATATAAATTTTGATGACTTTACGTTATCCATAAGTGAAGTGATATAGCGACGTTTAGTCGATATTTAGTCGATAAGCCGAGTCGATCAACTAAACCTCGCTGAATCACTTATGAATAACGTAAACCCATCAAAATTCATATCATTCTGTTCGTCTTAGACCATTCTAACATATGAATAACATTAGAACCCAATATATTTCAACTCATTTGCTTGAAAAACCTCTAAAGTCGATGGCGACGCTGAAAACCTGCGAGAACCTTGCAAGAAACCCGCAGGTTTTCATAAAGCACACAGGTTCTTGTCAAAAAGTACCCAAAACAGACAGAAGGGTTTCCTATCTGTTTACAAATGCGTGTGGCTGGAATTTAAATTTGTCCAAGAAAATGAATAGAATTGAAAAATCTTAAATTTTTTATGAGAAAACCCTCCAGGAAATTTCGATTTCCCAAAAAATTCCCCACCAAATTTTGCCCTAAAACTCACTCATTAGCAACCTCCCAGCTTTCTCGAAGAACATCCGACAATTCCATTTAATAGGTTCACCAATTTCCCAACTGAAAAATAAATAAAATGAACGGTTTCCCCCAGAAAAAACACGTGAAATGAGCGGTGCCAACGTTGCATGACGTTTTCTTCGTGGGTGGTCTACCGTATAACAACACACACATCGTTTAAAGGCGCATTCAGGCGTCGTGGGTGGTCTTGAGGCGTTTGCAAGCGGGAAAAAAAGAATTTGAATAGAAATTAGTGAAAAATAAGTGGTTCAAACTAGTTTGAGGCTGGAAAAGGGTGTTTTGAAGGCTCCTGAAAGGTTTTTGTTGAAAATATAATTTTTGACCCCTGTCAAAACCTCAAGAATCACTTATCCCATCATTTTTTTCCTCTAGTTCCAGGTAAACAAGCCGTTCTCTTTTATTTTTCTCACAACTGGTCAGAAGATTTATTACAAAACATCTATAGTTTTTTTGCCAGAGGTTATCCGAGAGGAACATGTGAACCTCTCAAATTACCACACAATTCTTGTGTAATTTTTTTGTTTTTAGAAGAAAAAAAATTGAGAATGAAAATCCCACATTTTCAAAATTTCGCACATTTTTCAAGTAGTGCACATACTTTTTGAGTTTCGAAAAACATAAATTCAATTTCATTTCATTTTATTTTTTTTTAGTTCTGAAGGATTTTTTCTCGTGTAGAAGAAATCCAGATGTTACTTTTTTCAAAACAAAAAAAAAACGCGCTCAAATTGTTTATTTGAATTTTAGCCGAGTCTAGAAATACTGGCTGTCACTCTGAAAAGAAACCGAGCCTTGAGAACTCCTATGTCAAGTAGCCGCGCCTATAGATTTTGTTTCTCAAGCAGCCACCCCTTTAAGAAGCTCAAAACTATTTTTATTTCAATTTGAACTTTTCAAACACATGTTTGTCAACAAGCCTAACTCAACTCAACTAATCAAATAAATTCCGTCACCCTTTTTCGACCCTCCTTCTCTCAATTTTCCTCCATGGGTGGCATATTTAAAGTGGCCTGGCCACTGGCTGCCAAAATTTCGCGTAATTCAATTTCACACAGTTGTAAGAAGATGTGTGGAAGAAGCTTGGCAAAAAAAGTTGCGTGTCTATTTTTCATTTTCCATCCATCCTCATGTTCATTTTTTTTCGCCTTTCAGATAATATTTATATATTTTTTCATTATTTTTTTTTGCTGTTTTTGCGCGCCTCTAGTACGATTATTTTATTTTTGAATTTCAGAATTTTTATTATGTGGTTTCTAGGGGTTACTTGAGGGCTTTGGGTCAATTTTTGTGGAAGAAAACTTTCAGAATTCTTAAAAATTCGGATTTTTCGGAATTTTTGAGCTGCTGAAACAATAAAATTCTTGAAAAATAATTCTGACCTGAAATCCTGGAAATTTTTTTCTGGCTTCTCGACTTCAAGAATTTGAGGACCTTGGAAAGTCTTGATGATGGTCCTTGACAATTGCTCTTTCTAGGCGCGACTGCTTGAGATGGTGGATTCCTAGAAGCGGTTCCTATACAATTAAGTTCTCTAGACTCAGCTACTTGACAGCTTGAATTTCCAGGCTTGGCTACTTGACAGAAAAGCTCTCAAGGGGCGGCTCCTTGACAGAATAGATCTCTAACCGCGAGTCCTAGACAACTAGCTTCTCTAGACTCAGCTACTTGACAGCTCGAGTTTCTAGGCTTAGCTACTTGACAGAAAAGCTCTCAAGGCTCGGTTTCTTGTCAGAATGGATCTCTAGACTCGGGTCCTAGACAACTAGCTTCTTCGGGCGCAGCTTTTAGGCTTTCGAGACTTTCCAGGATATTTCACACATAAACCCTACCGTAGTAAAAAAAACCCTGACAATTTTTTTACGAAACCTTTTTTTCCTATTGTTTTTTTTATTTCGATTAATCCTTCAGATTACGTTTTTTTTTCTTTTTGTTTTGTTTCAAACAAAAAAAATTCAATTAACCTAAAAAAGAAGTGTCGTCGTTTTTAACAACCTTTCTTCTCAGTTTTTATGAGCTTCTCCTTTTTCTCTTCAAAAAAAAGCCGGGCTCAATTAGTTCAGTCAGTTTCACTAACACGCAATCTTATCCTTTTGGTCTCCGAAAAAAAAAAGAAGAAGCCGACACATTTTGCACTGCAAACTGGACAAATAAAATACAGGAATTGGTACTTCCGCTTCAAGCTCCAAAATGTTTTTGGGAGATCGAGAGAGGAGAGAACAATCGCATGTTGATTTCTCTTTTGATGACGTTGGAGATTCTTCCGCTGCAGGATTTTTGGAGAAGTTTTTTTCTAGAAGCTGAGGGCGGTTTGCTGACGTAGATTTTTTTGTGATTTTGCAAAGCTTCAGACTCCCACGTGGAAGTCCGGGGTTGTCCCAAAACTTTTGGCTTTCAAAGATTCAGTTTCTCGCTTCTGAATTTTCTGGCTCACACTTCTTATTTTCTAGAACTTGTTGGATCTGATTTTTTTCATTCGAAATTAAAACTTGAGTTTCCTTTTTGAAATGGCAAAAATTCCAAGAAGTGGAATACGTTTTTTGTTTTAAAATTTCTTATTTCACGTGTCAAAATTTTTGTTGTCATCATTATTTCTTGAATTTGAAAAATTTCGAATCAAACTGTGAGTTTTCTGAAATTGACTAGAAGCCGCTCCTAGAGATCCACAAGGAGCCCCGCCTTGAGAACTTCTATGGCAAGCAGCCAAGCCTAGAAAGCTCCATTTTCAAAGCACAGCGCCTTGAGAACAACATTTTTGGTCTTCAAGAATTTCAAGAACTTTTTGAACTTAGACTTAATTTTCCTAATTAATTTCACACTTTTAATTAAACCTCCCAAAATCTTCCAACAAAAAAAAAAAAGGATGATCCAAGTTTCGCGCACTCACGCAAAAAACCCGTCTAACAGATGTCTTCTCTCCTCTATTCTTTCTCTGCGTCTCCTCATCTCTCACACTCTCTCACCTCTTCGGATATTCCTGATTGGCTCGATTGTGTGTGTCAAAACGAGAAGTGAAAATAAACTTTTTTTTGCTTCTGCATTTTGCTACTGCAAAATTTATTGAGTACATACATTTCAAACATTTTTTAAAATAATTTTTTTTGAAGGCGGAGTCAAAAAAGGTGTGACCAGCCCAGACCATCTGTTTGTTATTCTTCCCTTGCTCCTGTTTTGACCACAATTATTCAATTTGAATAAATTTCGCTTACAGAACATCGCAAACCAAACCAATTATGTGCATTTACCCGAAACGTCTTTCATAGGTTTGCCGAAGAAAACGAGAAAAAAATGATGAATTTGGATTTTGTATTTTTTATTTTATCAATTTTATGTGCTGATATTGTAGCTCAACAGACGGGAAATCGAAGTTTGATTGGTGAGTTTTGGGACATTTTTTGGATTTGATCCAAATATAATTTTCTAAAGCTAAATCAATTTTGACTTGAAAAACTTCTATTTTCAAAATAAAGTTCAAAAAATACACATTTTCAAACATTTTGTTTATTTTTTATGAAAAAATACGTTTCAAAATTTAGATTTCACAGATTCTTTGAGATTTGAAATTTGATCATATCTTGAAATTTGATCATTAAAAAAATATTATTCCAAAAAATTCGGTTCAATTTTGAAGTTAAATCAATCTCAGAGATTCGCTGGCCAGCTCGCCACCAGATCGCTGCGGCCACCTGGAAGCCGCATGGCCGCCAGGTCGCCTCGAGTTTTCCGGCCATGTGGCCTGTGTGTTTGAAATTCTGGAAAGCTGGCAAGACGGTGGTTTGTACTCAAAACACTGCATTTTCTACTGTTTTTTCACTTCCTAAGGTTTTGAGTGCTGCGAAAAAACAGAAAATGAGCCAATTTTTTTCGAAAATGCCTCAATTCACAAGTTTTTCAGACATTTTCATGAAAATTCATTTTGATGTGGCGAAGTGGCCACCACATGGTAGCCATGTGGGCTTGACCTAGCCAGAGCTTGGCCACCTTGCCAGCAAAAAACCGGGCGACATGGTTTCCATGTGGTTCCCAGGTCAGCCAGCCTCCCCACCTGGTGGCGAGCTGGCCAGCGAATCTCTGAGATTTTCGCTTGAAAAAAATTTATTTTGAAAATCTAGTTCAAAAATACAAATTTTCAAACATTTTATTTTTTCCTGAAAAAAGTACGTTTCAAAATTTAGATTTTCTGAATTTTAGAAAATTGAAAAATGATCGGGTCTTTTTGTCTCGTTTTCCTAAAAAAAAGTTTGAATAGAATTTTTTGAGGTTGGAAATTTTTCTCTATAAAAATATTGATTTTCGTTAAATTTTATCACCAAATATTGAAAATTCACAAAATAACCTAACCTATTTCCAGGACCTCCCAAACTTCTAGTGCAATCCCCCTCCGAAGTCTGGTTCCATCTCGACCCAGACACCGATCAAAAAACAATTCTGAATTGCGAAGCCGACTCGAACACTGAAAAATATCTGTGGATTAAAGACGGCGTCGAAATTCGCGATCCCAATTTTCTCCAACCACCCAAATCCGGCTCAATTATTTTCGAGGCTCCAAAAAGAGCCGACGAGGGATATTATCAATGTTTTGCGTCGAATATTTTCGGCACTGCTGTCTCCAACAAAATTCATTTGCGACTTGGATGTGAGTACTTGAATTCCCAGTCATCCTGAAATTATTTCATAATTATATGAGCATGCATTTTTGGGGGCAAGCAGCTAATATGATAGGAAAGGGGTAGAATAACAATTACCAGCTGTTTCTAATGAAGGGTTGACGGGTTTTATGGTAATTAGGCTAAATTCTAGAATGTAACTACGGTATACCCCGCAAAAAACTAAAAATTGATGAAAATATGGGAAAAATTGTATTTTTTGCTAGAACTTTTTTGAAAACGCGTTTCAGAAAATGGTAAATATATGTCCTGATTTGTCTCAACGAGAGAAATCAGATGGTACATTTAGAATTGCTTCAAACCACCTCTAGAATGCTGAAAAAATGCTGAAATATTTTTGAAATCTTTCTTGTCTGCAAACACGGCGACGCACATTTGCACACATCGCCAACCGTAGTGATTCGAAAATATATTTTTTTTTCTTTTCAGCCCTCGATCATTTCCCAAACAAATCAATTCGTGTAGTTCAAGTAACCGAAGGTCAATCACTCACTTTATCCTGTAAACCACCAGCTGGAACTCCGCCACCAAAAATCATCTGGTTATATCGAGATGCTGAACAAACTTCAGTTATTCAAACAATTCGCAGTCGACATATCACAGTTGATACAAATGGACAATTGCATTTCACAGCTGTTGAATTATCGGATGGACGTCCGAATTTGATTTATGAATGCGCGGCAACTTCGCCGGTTTTACGCGAAGAATATCGATCGGGTGATCGAATTCGATTAGATGTCAAGAAATCAAGCGATAAATCACAAAGTGTTAAGAAGTTATTTGTTAGTCCGAGTGAAGTTACAGTTCGAGCTGGAACGCAGATGAAACTTCAATGTATTTTCGGAGGTCGACCATTTCCAACCATTTTTTGGTCGAAAGTTGATGGAGAGTTGCCAGAATCTAGAATCGTAGATCTAACAAGTTTCGAAAGCGATTTTGGTCGCTCGCTAATCATCGAAAATGTTCATCCCGATGATGCCGGAACCTACGAATGCCGTGGTCGACATCTAGTGCACACTGTGAATGTGAGAGTTATGGCAGCACCATTTTGGGAACATTCACCCCCGAGAGATTTGGTTTTGCCAGAAGAAGCGACTGGTGAATTAGAATGTTTAGCTGGCGGGCAGCCAAGTCCAATTATCACCTGGAGTATGAATGGAAGATTTTTACACGGTTTGTGGGATTTTTTCTGTGTGGTTTCAATTCCAGTATGTTCCAGAACTCGCTGAAGATCCACGTCGCGTTCTCCTTGACAACGGTCGTCTTCTCCGGATTCGCTACCTGAATCATGACATCGACACGGGTGTCTATCAATGTAATGCAAGTAACCCGTTGGGGTATATTTTCGCCAACGCCTATGTTCACGTCAAAGCGCATGCTCCATTTTTCCGTATGCCTGCCGCGCGCAGCTGGAAAGTTGTTCTACACTCAACGATTTCCTTGGATTGTGATGTTGACGCGGCACCGGAAGCAGTTGTTAGATGGGTTGATACGGATGATCGACCACTTCAGATTATTGATGGGAAGACTAAGGTTGGTTATTTTGTTGGGCTGGTTTTTGATGAGAAATATTTTCTTTATGCGGTGTCTAAAGCAGAAAAAAACGAAAAATGAAGAAGAAAACGCGAGTTTCGGACGTTTTTCCTGTTTTTTTTCACCTTTTTTCTGCTTTGGACACCTCTCAAAAAATTATTTTCAAAAATTATACTCCATAGAAAATGTTGCCTAAAATGTTATTCAAATATTTATTTTTATCGAGTTATTTTTTATTTACATTAAAAAACATATCAATTACAAAACATAAAAACCAATAACAAACATGAATACGGTGTAGAGAAGTTTGATAGCGGCAGGTTCTGCAAATGTTATTTTATTTTTTTTTCAAACAATTTTTCATTCCCCCAAGAACTCACGTCGACAATTAACCCTGATCAAAAATCCGCCAGTCGAATCATCATCCGCTCTCTTATAATCAACCGTCAAAAATTGTCCCTTCACATTTTTCCACTCATGATCGAACTTCTTCTTCGACATTGTCTCTGAATATGCTCCATCATAACCATCGTATGAAAGTGTGAGAGTTGAAGTGGAGGCGAGTTCTCCGAGAATCTGAAAAGCTTGGGGTGATTCATTCAGCACGGTCTCCTACACAATTAATCTAGAGACTCACATGCAAATCGTATTGAGTATTCTCCTCAGCGCCTGTGAAATTAAACTTGATCGATCTTGATTGACTTTTCAACATATAATCTGGCGACATTGCAACTGACCAATCTGTCCAGTTGAGTGGCACAATTATGGTATCTTGATGTAATTCGGCGGCAGTTGCGGTGAATCCGAAATCACTTGGTGCCAAGGCTAATTGCTTGCGCAATGTGATAACTGGCTCCAGGATGAAGATTTTGGCTGTTGAATGAGCCTCGTTTGCGCTGAAATTGTGGATTTACTTTGGAGCTTTTCTGTTTGACTTGAGGAATCGGGCCAGGTTTAATTTTCAAAATTTCTGGATCGACTTCTCTGGCGAGGGTTCCAGGACGCCTAAACATTTCTGAATTTTACGTTTCCTGAAAATATTCAGAATTGCTCCGATTTGAACACAAAATTGATGAATCTGGTCAAATTCTTATGAATTTCAAGCCTTAAAGTGAGCTATGACGTGGCAAATCTAATGTAAGCGTTCATAAATGACTTAATATTCAAATTAAGTTTCAAATATTTCAGTTAAGGTTTCTTGAAAGATCTGAATATTTCAAATTTGTATTTCAAGAGAATCCTTTTCTGAATTCAATATGGAAAAAGTTCTTTCTTTCTCCATTCCGCCACGTCATAGCAATGTGGTATTACCAACTCACTTAATTGTGTTGATAACATTTTCCATACTCTCACTCTCATGAACTCCTCCAGCTGAAACCACCAATTGCGTCAACCCATTGATATCTTTCACATTTGACAATTGCATCGCTCCAGTTGGATTCAACATCGTCACATATTGATTGTTGATGTGATCCGATGTGATTTTATAGTCCTTGGTGGCTCCACTCTCATACACTTTACTTGTATGCGTTTCATCATCAGCTGTGACGAAGTAAATAATTCCGGGAGTTCGGGAATTCGATTTCTGGGAGTTTGTATTCCTCACAGAGATTCTTGGATAACTCGCACCAAATAGGGAAAGCTTAGCTCCAGTGTCATCAACTCTTTTGCCATGGTCAGCCATTTGTTTGGAATTGTAATCTTCTTGCCCGGGAATAAAGATGTGCACATTATTTTCATAATTCTGTGATTCTTCATCGCTCGCCGATGCCACGTAGACATGCGCTCCTCGTTCGAAATTGAAAGTGACAGTCTCGCCAGGCGGCAAATCACTCACAAAAACAATTTTACTTCGCGGCTCGTCGGATTGATCAACAAGTCCATCGTTTGTTTGAGGCGCGGGATTCGCCTTGGAAAAATTCCAAATCAAGGCAAAGAATAGAATTGCACGCATGTTTGTTTTTGTTTTTGAAGTGAAACAAAAATGGGAATGAAAGTTTTGTAAGTGATTAGATCTATTTATTTATTTTTGTAGGTTGTTATCAACTTTATGTTTTTTTTAGTGTTTGAGAGGAGGAAAAACATTGGATGAATCAGATGTTTTTTTTTGAAACAATGGAATTTTAAAGGGAGGGGCCGGAAATTGACTGAAAATATGTTATGACGTGGCAAAGTTGAAAACTGTAGTTTTTTTTTTGAAGAAAATAATCTAGCCTAACCTAAGCCTAGCCCAAGGCCAACCTAAGCCTAACCTAGGCCTAACCTAAGCCTAACCTAAGCATAGCTATTTTTGCGTAAAAATGTCTAGAAATTGGCTCCCAGAGCCCATATTTTGCTCAAAAATCACTCCCGAGGCTATTTTCAGCTAAAAATCTCTAGAAAACAGCTTCCAGGGCTCATTTTTGCTCAGAAAATATGTTTTTTGGTCAGAAAAACCTTAGCTAAGCCCTACCTGAAATTAAAAATAGTTCTGAATTTTTCCTGGCCCCGAATTCAAAAAAATTTTCAGCTCTTCCCCAATCACACGTTCACAATTTACGATGTCAACAGCGCTGACGAAGGATTATATTACTGTAATGTTAGTAACAAATATGGAATTAATCGAGCAACCAATCGACTTCAAGTCTACAGTACGTTGTTTTTGTTTTTCCTTCGCAGGTTTTATCTGTAAAAAGTGAAACTATTTTTAGTGCAAGCGAAAAACAAATAAAAACAAACATTTTCAGAACCCACATACTTTGTTCGAATTCCGACACCAAAACGACTTGTTCTGGAGGCTGGAGAAACTGCGGAAGTTTTTTGTGAAGCTGTCGCTGATCCCAGATTGCCTATCAAATATCAGTGGACAATTAATTCGAAATTGTTGAATGGATCCGAATTTTATGAGTTAGTCTAACTTCTTGGATTGGGTTAGGCTTAAGCTAACTTGAACTGAGCCTAAGCTTAGCTTAAAGCTAACCGGAGAATCCTGTTTTTCGGCTGAAGTGTCATTTTTCAGCTCAAAATAATAAAATTATTAAATTAAACATTATATCCCGATCAGAAAAAAATTCCCAAAATTTTTCATATGAAAATTTTGAAACAGTAAATTTTTGAAATATTAAAATCCGAATTTTTCTAACTCAAGCTTAACGTAAGCCTGGCCTGAGCTTACCCTTAGCCTAACCTAAGTCAAATACAAGCCTGACCTTAACCTAACCTTAGCCTAAGCCTAAGACTAACCTAAGAATAGCCTAACCTTAGCCCAACCTAAATCAAATCTCCCGGATGAGATAAGTTTGTGCAATTTTTTATATTTGAAGTCTGATTCAAAAAAAAAAAAAAAAAAATCTAGAATTCTACAACATAAGAATAGCCTAACCTAAGACTAACCTAACCTAATCTTAGCCTAACCCAAGCCGCCAAACAAAACTCTTTTCCAGAATTCTTCCGGATCGCCTCCGTTTCCGATCAGTTCGAGGTCGTCATTCCGGAATCATAGACTGTGCCGCAATCACCGACGTCGATGTGAAACTAGCATCAATGCAATTAATCGTCAAAGATGTTCCAGCTCATCCAATCGTCGAACCAGCTCATTGTTCCGAAAGAAAAGCGACAATCAAATGGGTTGCGGCTTCAGATCATGGAGATGCGATCAAAAAATATGTGGTCGAAATGTTCACCGATTTTCGAAAAGGTGTTTGGGAAATTGTGAATGAAGAGATCAATGTGAATCTCGAGAAATTTGAAGTTGATATCACATTGACGCCATGGGTTAATTATACGTTCAGAGTTATTGCGATTAATTCGCATGGAAGATCGGATTTGAAAATTGATGGACAACAAAAAGAGGAATGGTTGAGTTGTCAAACGCGGCCCTCATTTCCTTACACAAATCCGGTTGGAGTAAAAGGAGAGGGAACTGAACCCGATAATTTGGTGATTTATTGGAAACCGTTGGATCGATATTATTGGAATGCGCCGAATATGCAATATTTGGTCAAATATAAATTGGATGATACGATTCATGGATGGACGGAGTTTTTGGTGGAAGATTCGTTGGCGGTTAGTTGGGGGCGCATTTTTTTGTGATGTGAAAATTCAGAGCCTGAAAAATATACGTTTCAAAATTTGGATTTACTAGAAATTTACAAAAAAATCTGATAAATTTTCGGATTTCCTTTTTATCATCAAAATGTGTAAAATTTTTCCTAAAACTAGATTTGGCGCTGAAAAAGTTCATTTCTAATTTTTAAAAAATTAAAATATGTGTTTCTATATAAAACAGAATTTTCCCGCCTAATTTTTTTCTGGCCTGAAAATATACGTTTCAAAATTTGGATTTCCAAATTTTTGAAATTTCAAAATTAATAATATGAATCTATTATATAAAAAATAAAATTATAATTTTTTTGAAGTTAAATCAATTTTGAATTGAAAAAATTTTGTTTTGGAAAATTCTTGGTTAAAAAAAAAAACGAAAATTGAGTTATTCAAAGAAATTTGTTTCCAGAAAAATATACGTTTCAAAATTTGGATTTTCTAAACTTTTGAGATTTGAAAATTGATAGGCGGTTCCATCTTTTGAAATTATAATATTTTTGAAGTTAAATAAATTTTGAATTGAAAAATTTTATTTTGAAAAATCCTTGGTTCAAAAAAGCTCTCAAAACATATCATCATATTTCAAAAATAAATTTCCATTCCAGAACTTCACAATAATCCGAGATCAGCCAACATTCCGTCGATATTTAATACAAGTTCAAGCAGTCAATTCAATTGGTCCCTCAATCGTCGAACCTGAAATATTCGAAGGATGGTCAGGTGAAGATGTTCCCGAAGACCCCCCTCAAAACTTCCGAATCGAGAATCATATCAACTTCACAACACTAAACTTCACTTGGGAACCTGTCGATGAAAAGACTGTGAATGGACATTTCTTGGGATATGAGTTGGAATTTTGGAGAAATTCGAATCCGCTGAGAAAATATTCGATTTCGCTGCTGTCGAATGAAACGTTCAAAGTTGTCAATACTTTTCATGCTGTGACAAATTATAGTGCACAAATTCGGACGAGAAATAAGAGATTGAGAAGTGCGCCGAGTGATGTTGTTGAATTTGCCATGCCTGAAGGACGTGAGTTATTTTTTTCATGAAAAAGACCTGGGAGGCTTTTGTGTAATTGCGTAGTGTCGTTGCAAAAATTGAAAATGTTTTTGAAATGAATTAAGAGTTGAAAAGTTTTTCTAGGGACGACTACTTGAGAAATAGGATCTGTAAGCGCTAATCCTTGATGATTGAACTTCATAGGTGCATCTCCTTCACTACTAGAAGATCTAGTATTGGTTGCTTGACATACATGAGCTCTCAAGCCGCGGATGCTTGAAAATCGAGTTTTATAGGAGCGACTCCTTGACAACTAGAATTTATAGGGTTGACTACTTGACATAGAAGCTCTCAAGACGCGGTTCCTTGACAGAGTGGATCTCTAGGCGCGGCTCCTTGACAATCGATCTTTCTAGGCTCGACTGCTTGACATAGCAGATCTCAAGGGGTGGCTCCTTGACAGCTACGCTCTCTATTTTATAAGGCTCGGCTACTTGACAACTAAACTTTAAAGACTTGAAAACTAGCAATTCAAATTCCATTTTTTTTTTTCAGCTCCTGGAAAAGTCCACAACCTACGTGTGATTTCTGTCGGAAGCACTGCGATGTTATTGAAATGGGATCCACCAATTCAACCGAACGGAAAAGTTCGAGGATACTTTATCACCTTCACCAATGATCGAAGTGAGTTCCAGTTTTTGAACTCTGCCAAAAATCACCGATTCAATTTTTCCAGACGAAACTGAAGAGACCTACGTCATCCACAAACAACGCCACTATTTGCACGAGAAAAGTGAGGCGGACACGGGCTACAAAGTGTCGGTTTGGGCTGAGACTCGAGCTGGCGAAGGTCCGCCAACACTTCGACCTGTTCGAACTTGGCCACCAAGAAAACCTGACATTCCCGTTTTCCGAGTGCGAAACATCTCGTTGGATCAATTTACGGTGGAATGGATTCCGAATAATTTCAGCACTTGGAAAATGCCGGGAGCCGCGTTTTATTTGAATTATACTAGTGAAGGATCGACGGAATATTTGCAATCTGAAGTTGTGTATTTGCCGGATACAAGTGTGGTTATTAAAAGTTGGTTGGGGTTTGGGATGTGGGTTGAGGGCTTTAGGAAGATTCAGGGGCTTTGGGAGGCTTAAGGAGTTTTTAGGAAGCCTTGAGGGCTTCGAAAAGGTTCATGAGGCTTCAGGGGGCTCTTGGAGGCTTCCGGGCGTTTCCGTAAGCTTTACGGGCTTCATCGAGCTCCAAAGGTCTTCCGGAAGCTTCAAGAGGCTTCATGTCTACTTCTGATCTGAACATTTCTTCCCCAACTCTCATATTTTCCAGACTTGCGAGAAGATCAAAAATATTTCATCCAAGGAGTTGCAAAAGATGGTCCGAGATCCACCGAATCTCAATTTCTACCAATTCGAACAATGAATCGAGACTATGCAAATCGACTAAAAGAAGATTCCCTGAGAAATGCGGCGTGGTTTGTTGCAGTTCTGGCTGTTCTTGGAATTGGTCTCTGCACAATCTGCCTCACTTTTTGCTGTGGAAATCGCAATCGAAATCGCGAGAAATTCGCGACTCGCAGGAAAGAAATCGAAATTGGACATCAACAGGATAATGAAGAAGAAAAACAGTTTCTCGAGTATCAATACGGGTTTAAGAATTGAATAATTTTTTATTTTAATTATTATTATTATACTTTTTATATTTACATGAAATAAACAATACACGTAAAAACCCGGGAAGAATTGAAAAGGGAACTTTTTCCACCTTAAAAAGTTCCCAAATGAAGTAGAATTCAAAAATTAGTCGCCTTATTTTTCGAGGCAAAAAGTCTCTTAAAAGCGATTCGAAAATCTCTCGAAAAAATCGCATAAAGTAGTGGATTCACCGCCGAATTCGCATAACCCAACCAGAAGAAAATTGTGAAAATGATTCCGGGAACTTGGATGTCGGACACGTAGAGAATGGCAAATGGTGTCCAGCAGAAAATGAAGGCGGCCACGACGATTCCCGTGGTTCGAGCAACTCGCATTTCGGTTCGCATTGAGCGGCGAGCCATTCGTTTTCTGAAGAAAAATTGGGAATTGAGTTTTGAAATTTATTTTTGTAGGAAATATTGGGATTATCTGCTGTTAAGAATAATTTAAAAAATCTTCAGGACATCTGAAGCTTTTTAAAACTCCCTAAATTGTCCTAAAGCTTCTTAAAATTTCCGAAGTCCCCCTAATTGTAAAGCTTTCTAAAGTTATGCTTAAGCTTTTTAAGGACATTCTAAGCCTTTTAAAGAATCCTAAAGCTTTTTAAATTGTCTTACATACTTCGTAAACTTCTTGAAGCTATATAGGGCATTTTTAAGCTTCCTAATGCTCCTTAAGGAGCTCTTAAACCTCCCAAAGCCCCCTAAAGCCTCCTGAAGCTTCTTAAAAGAACTTCCAAGCCCCCTGAAAACTTCTTAAGCTCCAAAACTTTTGCTCAAAATCCTAGATACATAAGTTAGTGCAAATCTCTCCCACGCATTTATTTATTTTTTATTCCCACTAATTATAATTATGTATATTTTTGCAAACATGTTTCTCTGTTAATTGCTAACAAACATTTCTTCATACGCTCCAATAGAAAATTTATTTAGTTTGAACCTTTTGATGCGAAAAAAGAAAACAGGAAGAACTAAAGTGTAGTTTGTGTTTTCTTCATTTTCAGAAAAAAAAAGAAAAACATCAACTTGAGAATCCTTGAGATGGGAAAGTAGAAGAAACTTGGAGTTCTGAATTTTTGAACTATAACTAGAGTCTAGTTCATATAATTTTGAAAACTTTATCATTTTGAACAACTGAAATTCCTGACGTTAGGAATTTAAGAAGTTCTAAAAGACTAGAGTATAGTATTATAAAAAAATATTTTTCAAAGAAATCTTCAGAAATTCTGAACCCCTCTTCTAAAAATACTTGAACTTTTCATATTTTACTCAAGTTCAATTTTCTTTATCTTCAAAAAATCCCTTTTCTATTATTTTTGAATACGGAAGAAAAATCAACTCATATTCATAAGTTTTCTATAATTTTCCACCCACCCACATTTTTTCAATTCTTTGAAACAAATTTTATAAATTGAGAAATCAAAAAATCATGGGGTTTTTAGACTAACTAGAGTGTAGTGTAGTATCAAATTCTTGACTAAAATTTTACAAAAATATGTAATTTGGTATTCAAATTTAGATAAAAGCTTGAAAATCTCTAACCAAAAAATTCTGAACTTTTTTCTCTAAAATTCAATGAGAGAATCTCACTTTTTCCAAAAATTTCCCAAAAAAAACTCACTGTGTAATATGATTGATAATATTCGTCTTTTTCGCTTCGAGAACCCCAAAAACCACAGTATGCGAAATCAAATGTCGAAGTGTCGGACTATCGATTGTACTCGATTTTTTCAGAACTTTGTCGGACTTCTCGGGGTCCGTCTGTGATTCTTTTTCCTTGTCTTTGGGATCTTTTTCGGGTTGTGGATGATCGGGTTGGGGAAGATTGTGTGGAAGATCGTCGATTTTCTGAAACACAAAAATTTAGCTTCATTTTCACTTAAGGTAAAACTGATAAAGCATAGAGTTAAAGCAAATGTTCACAACAAAATTATTTTTCACACCGAAAACTTCAAACCTTTGGTCGAACTAGTTTGTTCAATGACAATGTTGGATCAATTGATTCCTTGAAAATTCATTAAAAAATTAAAAATTACCAAAGATTTTTATTATTTCTAGAAGAATCTAATTTTTCCGGCCCAAAATCTTGACCCTTTCTTACCTTTATAATAATCGGCTGCTTTCGATGAACCCTCAAACTTCCATTTTTCGATTTAATCGTCATTGATCGCGAAGTCTCAACAACAGTTCGAAATATTTGAATATTCAAAATGATCATCACAATTCCCGGGATTATAAATGATATCGATCCAGACATCCATCTCAAACCATCATCCAAAGTTGTTGGTTTGCATTCGGTTTGATTGCTCTGCTCTTTCTGTAACTAGACTGTAGTTTAAGAAATCTGGAATTCAAAAAAAAAGTCCATGTTTCATTGCTCCTTTATGCAGATTTTTTTCATTGTTGCAACACAATTTTTTTTTGATTTATTTGATTTCCCGTCAGACAAGGAACCTTTTTGCAATTTTAAGTGCGCGCGCGAAAAAATTTATGAAAAATGGAAATGAAAACGGAACAGGAAATAAATTATTGAAATATTGAAAATGGAATTTTGTACAACAGTTTTTCGTGGCGAGACCCAAAGAGGTTTTTACTGTTGCGCCTTTGAAAACTTTTTTTGTAGGTTCCAGAATTGCTGACGCATTTTTCAGAGCTTCTAGATTTCCTGAAAATTTTTTTGTAGCTTCTAAAATTGCTGACGCATTTTTTGTAGCATATTAGATCACTGCCGTCTTTCTTGTACCTTCTAGATTTGCTGGCATATTTTTTGTAGCTTCTAAATTTACTGGCGCGTTTTCTGTAGCATATCAATTCACTGACGTCTTTCTTGTACCTTCTAGATTTGCTGGCACATTTTTCGTAGCTCTCAGATTTGCTGACGCATTTTCTGTACCTTCTAGAATCCCTATTACCTTTTCAAAATCAGCATTGACAAATGTGAACATGCCGGAAGCGAGAAGAAATGGAAATAGCCAAACGAGAAGAATCATAAATCGAACAACTCTGAAAACATGCCAATTTTGAGGAAAAAAAACAGCAAAAAAACTGACTTTGTTGATGAGATGATTGGATATTTGATTGGTTGTCGAACTGCCATATAACGATCGAAAGAGATTGCGAGGAGGTGATAGATTGAGGCGGTTGATAGGAAGATGTCGGCGTTGATCCAGATTTTACAGGCGATTGAGCCGAATGGCCAACCGGCGCTGTCCTGAAACAAAATATGCGTCAGCAAATCTAGAATCTAGTTTGGTCTCGCAACGATAGAGCAAAATTATTTTGTAAATATTTCTCTCGGAGCTTCTTTCTGCCCGCTTTGACCCCTCCGTGTGTTTTTTCTTGTTTACCCGAAAAAAAATCCCGGAAAAACTTATACAAATTGCTAATAATAACTTTCGGTCAAAGAATGTGAAGAAGATAAAGCTATTTTAAGAAATGTGTGAAAAAGTTCTTGGGACAAAGATTGAAAAGTTTAGTGAGTGGGGGTTGATTTATGTTTATGTACAAAAAAGCAAATGCGCTCTAATGAACAGGGGAAGGATTTGAAAATTTAATCAAATCCACCTAGACATTTTCATGTGGCTTCTAGATTTCTCAATTTTTTTCCAAATCCCAAATTCGCTCCCTCAAAACAAAAAACATTTCCAATCAAAAATGTGTGAAAGTTTTTTTGTTTTTATTTATTTTTGATTCAGCGAGCGAGTCTGTGTAGTTTGAATCACCGGAAAAATAGAGAATGACGTGAAATTTGAGCTTATAAGCTATAGATATCGGATTTACGAGAAGGTGAAAATAAAAATAGGTCTGGAAAAGGATTTCTAGGCTTGGATACTTGACATAGAAGCTCTGAAGGCATGGCTCCTTGTCAGAGTGATCTCTAGACTCGTATCCTTGTCAAATAGGTTCTATAGGCGCGACTCCTTGACAACTACCCTCTCTAGGCACCGCTCTTTGACCTCTCAACATACCTGAATAATAGCAAATGGCAAAATAAACATTCCCAATAACAAATCAGCAATCGTTAGTGATAAAACCAGTCGATTTGTTGTCGTATGCAAAGTTTTACAGGTCAAAATGACGTATAAAACTAGAAGATTACCAATCACAACTGCACAATTCACACTGATCAAACCCAATGTTGGAATACTTATTTGTTCCATTTTGTTTGTGTGACAGGAAATCACATCAGATCTGAAAAATTGCTTTTTGAGAGGGGTAGAGTTTCAGAAAAAAAAATACAGAAAGAAAAAATGTCTGAAGTGTGTCAACTTTTTGAAGTGGTCCGATTTATTAAAAAATGGAACAGTCTAAAAATAGACTAAGGTAAGCCTAAGCCTAACTTTTTGGAAGTAAACTTTGGAGAGAAAAATACACAGACAGAAAAAAACCAATTTCATTTCTCATTCAACAACGAATTTTCCCCCCTCCAAATTGTGCCAATTAGATTAGAAGGTAAACTTTCTCAAACTTTTTTTTTGTCTTCTTCTAAACTTGGAAATTTATATCTTTTAAACTTTTTTTAAGTAAAAATTTTGGCGCGTAATATAAAAAAAGGATCAAATTACCAACAAAAAATCAGATTTCCAGAGCAATTTTTCATTTTTCAGGAGGAGAAAAAGGGAGGGCACCTGAAAAATTGGCCAAATTTTTTTCAGTGTTCAAAAAACACGCGTCGAAAATTGGCTAATGACGAATGTGTGTGTCGAGAAAGTTCTGTGATTTTTTTGTGGATCGCAAGGTTCAGCATGAGCAAAGTTAGGGTAACTTTGTCCAAAACGTCGCCACGTCATGACTATATTTTAAAAAAAGCCACTAAAATAAAATGCTCCCAGGTGCGGAGCACATTAAAAACATGACAAATTGGTGTTTTACAACATAAGGTGGAGTGGATTGATAGGTTTTTTCGGAGAAAAATTTTTTTTGGGATGAAAAATATAAACATGAATTTTTTTCTGAATTTGCAAACTTTTTTTTGAAAAAAATCTCTATGAAAAATTTGTCCAAAGAACTTATAATTCAGAAAAACAGCTACAATTCAGATTTTTTTTCAACAAAAAAAACTGAGCTCAAAAAGTTCAAGTTAGGCTAACTCCCCAGACCAAAAACAATGTACAATCTTGAGAAAAAATCTTGGAAAGGTACATATAATTTATTTGAAAATCTCAGGGAATTCTCAACGGAAACATCTACAATTTGTACATTTTTTTGGAGTTAGCCTAAATCCAGGAAGTTTTCAATGAAACGATTTGTGGAAAAATAAATTCTGGGAACTTTTGAAAAAATAGGGACTCAAAAAAATGGGAAACTACAATTTTGAAATTTTCTGGAAAAGTAATTTGTATTTTTATTTGAAAAAAATTCAAAATTCGAAAAAAATTCAATATTTTCAAGAAATTCTGATAAATCAAAGCAAAGTACAAATTATGCGAAAAAATCAGAATTAGTTTTCAATTGTCTGAAATTTTATTTATGATTTATTTTATTTCAAAGAAAAGGTGAGACGTCATAAAATAAACATAGCTAGAATGCAACAAAAAATGTTTCATCATTGAAAAATTTGAATTTTTTGGGGAGGAGATGGAAAAATTGTGATTTTTCAGATTTTCAGATGGGAAACTATAGTCTAGTTTGAAAATTGCAGGACTTTTGGAAACTTTTTCTAATAAAACAAAAAGTGAAGACAAAAAAATGTTGAGGTTGCTTTGCTCCGGACAAAAAAATATAAAATGGGCGGAGCTAAGTAGAGGAATTTTTTTATGCACACACACATTCAGAATAGCAAAATGTTGGACATTGACGGAAACATTTTGCACACGAAAAAGTTTAGACAAAAAGGAAGAGGGACATTTTCGGGGCAAACTATGTTTTGTTCTTAAAGAGAGCAAGAGTAAGAGATTTTTTGGACCGTGTGATTTTTTGCTGCAAAAAATGATGATGATGAGGAAAAATATTGTTACACTTTTTGATGGGCATCCGAAAAAAATGTGTCAAAATTTTTTGTGTTGAGAAAAAAATCATGATTTTCGGAAAATTTTGTGGTTTCTGGAAATTATTCAGACAATTTGTGATGTGTGAAAATTTCGGGGAAACATTTTTTTGATCTTTGTTTTTGGTGGGCTTAGGTTAGACTTAGGTATCTGAAAAAAATCTGAAAACTTTTCTTTGCAAAAAAGTTGCCAAAAAATTTCAAGCAAAAAAATTAATTAAAAATAAAATGAGAAATTAGTCATTAGGTTAATGAGAAAAAAATTTTGTTCTGATTTTTTTTGAAAAAAAAATTATTTTTAGTTCAAAATTTCCAAAAAAAAGCCTCACAATTTTGCAAAGTTGCGCTAAATCTGTTCAAATTTCAAATTTCTTTTTGCGCGCGAAAATCAAAAACAAAACATCAGAAATTAGAAAAAACAACAAATAAAATATAAGACGAATATCTTTTTTCTGTCTTTCTGAGAACACATTTTTTTGACCAAGAAGAAAAAATATTTGTTTTCATAAGGAAAACTGAGCAGAAGAAGAAGAAGAAGAATTCTTGAAAAACGAGAAAAATCTCAGAGCTCAGGCTAAAAAATATGTATTTTTTGGAGAAAGCAAGCAACTAGAAGAAAAACAGCAAAGTCTCACGATCCTATGAAACTTTTTTCCTTTTTCTTCCAAAAATTGGAATTATTTAGCAGCAACTGGAAGAAAAAAGCTTTTTCTGATTTTATACGTCACATATTTGACTACTGTAGGTTGGTAGCTAGGTTTTCACGTTCCGAAATTCAATTTTTTATTTTGGACTTTTTTTGATAGTGAAAATATTAAAATTAAAGAATCTGCACATTTTGAAAATTGAAATGTTTCCCATTCAAAAAAGTTTTACATAAAAAGTTGAAAAATGAGTTTTTTCTAAATATTTTGCGAAAAAAAATTCCCCGCAAAACGTACGTTTCAAATTTATCATAAGGCTTTTAATCATTCTCAAATTCTGATTGAATTTTTGTTTTTATTGTAATTTGATCAATTGAAAAAAAAAGTATCTGGCAGAGAAAAATACATTTTTAGTGGTGAAAAAATTTCCCGGAAATAATACATTTCAAATGTATCATAAGGCTTTTAGACATTCTCAAACTGTGATACAATTTCTTAATGTTTTGATATTTGTACATTAGCTGAACTTTGAGATGACAATAGTGTATGAATTCACAAGTCTTTCAGAATTTTTCAAAATGTGATTATCCAATTTTTATGTTCATCACCAACAAGATTTTAAAAAAATTGACGATAGCTTCGCCACCGCCCGAAAGCGATAAACACACAAGACACACCAATATATAAATTTCTGGTGTGCCCGACGGTTGGCGGGTTGTGCGTGCAGCCATTGTTTGCGTGCAAAAGGGGCGGGGCTTAATTGAGTGAACGCGTGTTTTTTTAATTTTCAAGGGTTTCAAGTGAATTTTGATGAAAAGTTTGATTTAAAAACTGATGACGCCATCAAAAAAACTACTGTAGCAAAAAAAGAGCAGAAAAATAAACGTTTTTGAGAGTTCAATTGAGTTTTGAAAGATGACTTTGACTAAATTTATTCAATTTTCTTTGTAGCTTGGAAAAATCGAACTTGAATCTTTTGGGAAAAATTCGAGATAAAGCAAGCAAAACACAGAATTTTTTGAGAACACAAAAAAAATATTTCTCCAAGAATTAATTTTAGTTAATGAAATTTTTTGTGCCTCACAAAATCTGAAGTATTTTGCTTTTGCAGACACATTTTTTGATTGAGGTCACGATTTTCTTCTTTTATGAAAAAAATGAAAAAATTTGAAATCCCTCGAGTTTTCAAATTTTGCAACACAAAATTGAATCAAGTTTGAGCACAAAAAATGAGAAAAAAAAATGATTTTTTGAGCAAGAAAACAGATTGTCACCTGCCTGTACGTCAAAACAAATTACAAAAATAGGAGAAAATAGTCTGAAAATCAGCTAGGATAATGAAAATCAAATCAAATCACAAAAACAAAATAATTTTTCAGATCAGAATTAATTGTCATTTTATAAAAAGGTCGAGACATTTCAGAACTCATAATTTCAGAGCTCTTGGAAACACAAAGCACAAAATGTTTTAGGAGATGAAAATTTTCAGGTACTACTTTTATTAAATTAAATTAAAAACAGACTTTTCATCAAAATTCACTTGAAAAATTGAAAAAAACGCGTTCACTCAATTAAGCCCCGCCCCTTTTTCACGCAAACAATGGCTGCACGCACAACCCGCCAACCGTCGGGCACACCAGAAATTTATATATTGGTGTGTCTTGTGTGTTTATCGCTTTCGGGCGGTGGCGAAGCTATCGTCAATTTTTTTTGAATGCGAAACATTTCCAATTTTAAAAATATGGTGATGAACATGAAAATTGGATAATCACATTTTGAAAAATTCTGAAAGACTTGTGAATTCGTACACTATTGCCATCTCAAAGTTCAGCTAATGTACAAATATCAAAAGAGTAAGATATAGTATCACAGTTTGAGAATGTCAAAAGCCGTATAATAAATTTGAAACGTATTATTTCCGGGAAATTTTTTCACCATTAAAAACGTATTTTTCTCTGCCAGACACTTTTTTTATTTGATCAAAGTACAATACAGTATTAAATTAAATCAGAATCATAAAAATACAATAAGATAAGGTCAAAATTTCGAAAGCTATAATTTTCAGAGCTCTTAAAATTCATCATTTTGAGCAAGAAAACAAAAAGTTATTCCATTTTTGTTTGTAACAATTTAGACTTCGTGGGTGGTCTCAAAATAAAAACGTATAATTTTCAGAACAAAAAAATGTTCAACATCAACATCAATATCAAAATATCAACACAAAATGACAAGATTGGACGGATATTCTTGGATTTTGAGAACGATTAGATGAAATGAAATGAGGCTCCTAGAAAATATTCAATTGATCTTTGCAAAAACAGAGGAAGAATTCAAAAATTGAACAAAAATACCTCAGTCTTCAAAAGTGCTATTTGACAGCTGAATTTTCAAAATGACTCAAAACTTTTTTTGCTGAACTTTTAGGTCAAAACTGGATGGAAAAGAGCCTCTCCAGAATTCTAATTATTTTTGAAAATTTTTATAGAAAAACAGTTTTTCGTGGGAAAAATCTATTAGACCTTTAGATGATCACAGTAAATTATTTTTGTGAGATTTTCGATCATCAAAACAACACTTTTGGAAAAAAATTGGTTAGAAATTTGTTGTGAGATATTCTGTAGCCACTTGGAGCCTCCTGAGGTCCACTAAAGACCGTTAAAGCCCTCTAAAGCCTTCTAGAGCCTCTTAAAGTCTCGAAAAGCCTTCTGAAGTCCCCTGAAGCCTCCAAAAGCCCGGTGAAGCCCTTTAAAGCCTCGAGAGAGAACTTTTTTAAAGACAATGTTAAAAAACTCACTTTTCTTCCAGTTTTCTACGAAATTCAAAATCATTCGACCCAAACTCGCTTCACAAATTGTTTCGATATTTCCATAATCTCGCTGACGTTTATCTGTAAATTAGAAATGAATCAAATTTAAATATACTTATAAGTAGGGATGGAAAAGCGGGCCCCGCTTACGTGAAAACGTGACCTACTTTTTTTGGAATCGCTTTTGCCAGATCGCCCGATCGCCCGTTCGCCGCCTAAAAATAGAAATGGTTCATTTTTTCACGTGTCGGCGAATATTTTTCATAACAAAAATTTTTCGGCGGCGAACGGGCGATCGGGCGTCTGGGCGATCGGGCGTCCGGGCAAATGGGTCGTCAAGAAATTGGGCGATCGGGCGGCCCTAACGCCCGTTTTTCCATCTCTACTTATAAGTACATTAAACAAAAGAAAACTTCAAGAAAATACATTTTTTCATAAAATTACTTTTTGAGCACCAGTTTTACTATAAAACTATCAAAAATCAACTAAACTTACTTGTAATAGGAAAATAGATAAATATGAATTTTACAACAAATTTTATTCAAATACATGGAAAAACAAAAAAAAAATACGTGAATGACAAATCTCTCCCTCATAAAAAAAACGACGACACTCCCGCTTGCCCGCTGTTTAGCGCAACACGAGATAATTTTCATTTTTCGTTTTTTTTCGCTGGGTTTTCAGGTTTCCGGGGAAAATCAGTGGATTTCAGTCAAATTTTCTGATTTTCAGCTCGAAACATAAATGGACAATTGGATTTCAATGCCAATAACGTGGAAAACTTGGATGGTTTTGGATTTCTCGATTATTTTTGTGTGATATGAGAAATAGAAGCGATTGGTGAGTTTTTTGGGGAGGGATTTTGGAAAAATTGAAAAAATAGGCTAACTCATCAAAATCTATGCTCAAAAATCTAGTTTTCGAAAAACAAGAAAATAAAAGTAAAAATGGAAGTGCGCCCCATTGATAAAAATTGCATGTCTTCTCCCACTCTTTCAAAAATTTGTGTAGGGAGTGGCTTCTGAAGCTTCCTGAAGCCTCCAAAAGCCTCCTAGAGCCCCACAAAGTCTCGCATAGCCTTCTGAATATCCCGGAAGCTTTCTAAAGTCTCCAAACGTTCAAAAATCCCTGTAATCTTTAATTTCCTAACAAAAAAATCTATTCGACCTTTACAAGATTACAGTGAAAATTTCGGGATTTTCCCGAATTTAGTGATCATCAAAACAACACTTTATTCCTATTTTCAGACAAAAAAATTGAGAAGATTCACAAAAGTACGTGTTTTCTTGGTGCTTTAAATCAAATTTTTGGCCACACACACAAAAAAATGCAAAAAAAATAAAAATAAAAATATATTTTCAGTTAAGCCAATGTTTTTCCAGAAGGGATTTAGGCAACTATAAAAAATTTACATAAAATAAATACTTTTTGGAGTGTTGTTTTCAGCAGAAAAAGTTGTTTTTATTCTGAGCCGAGCTGTGAGCAACCAAAAAAACACGGAGTATAATTTCAGCCTTTGCTAGACCAAACCATTAAATTATTCATTCATTAAAAAGTTAATTAATTACAGAATACATAATTTAAATTAATTTAGTCTAACTGCAAAAATAAACTTTGACGGATGTTTTTTTCGAAACTGCACTTTATTTCCTCTTTCACTTCATTTTCATCTGGTGATTTGTGATGTGCTATTTATACTTGGGAAAGTGCTTTTGGCCACTGTTTTGAAGCCCAAAAGTTGTTTGATTCGATTGAGGTATGCGGTATTTTGGAAGAACATTATGATTGTGCCAGGGATTGGTGAGCCAACTAGCATTGTGTGGAATATTGAGGTTAGAGCTAGAAAAAAATTTGGAAAACTTTTTGGGTGGTCTGGGAAGCCTTTGCTTATAGTTGCCCTAAATTTGAAGAATATAAGTTTTGAAAACTGTACGCGCGTCTTGTATCTTGTATCTTGTGCGCAAAAGCGGGTGGCAGTGTTTGGACACATCAATCTTTGGAGGAAATTTGAAATTTAAAAAAAAACATAGAATTATCTCAACTTTTATTTAAGATAAACGTGGATTTATCGAAAATCTTCCGATGATCCTTTAGAAAAAAAGTTATGACGTGGCAAGCAAGATCGGGATCTTAAGTTAGAAATGTGTTCAAAATTTGAAAGTTCTGATGTTCTCACATGTCATAACATCAAAAGGTCCAATTTTACATTGTGAACTTTTTCTGGTAGATCAAAAATATTTTTCTCTAAATCTCTCACTGAACTTTTCAGCTTCTAAGGCATCAAACATCTCCCAAAAAAAATAAAATAAAAAACACCCACGAATAGAATTGAAGTCTCTATCCATCAAACTCGTCAACGTCACCCATATTCCATAAGTTGCAAAACACGCGGTCTTCACCAAAACCTGAACAGCCGAATCTTTCGCCATTTTCTTGTGATATTTCTGCTGACGATTGCTCATCTTATTCACTTGCATCTTGATTTCGTAATAAATTGCGTAGCGAACAAAAGAGAATGCGATGACGAGAATTGAGACAACTAATATGATAGTGTACATTAGGGTTATGAGGCTGGAAGGATCGGAGAATATCAAAACACCGTAGATTTGTGTTATGTTAAAGTACTCGGGATAATCCTGAAATGATGAACTTTCTGAATGGAAAGAGATGTTTGAGGGCGAGAAAAATGTGGATTTTTTTGATCTATCAGAAAAAGTTTTGACCCCTAAAAGTTAAGCTCATAGTAAATTACAGATTTTCGAAATTCTAGAGCTTTTGATGAATCTTCGCTTCAATTCTAAAATATTTTTTTTCTGAATTTTGGAGATTGAGATTAACTAGAGTGTAGTTTTTGTTGTCTTTTAGATTTCCGACTTCAAAAATTATAGATGTGTTTGAAAAAACACAGAATATGGGATTTTCAAGATTAGAGTCTAGTGTATGTTTTTCAGCTTCAAAATTCAAAACCGCAAGCTTCCGCGCAGCGGCAAAGTTAGCCTAACTCTCTCGAGAGCTTCTTGATTTTCCAAAAGCTGCGCGGAAGCGAGCGTTGACCGCAAGCTTCCGCGTTGGCATATCCTCTTACCAATCTGATAAGATCTTCCATCGATTTTTGAGAAAAATTCAATTTTAAAGCCGTCAATTCCAGCACAATAATCAAAATAATCAAATAAATAACAATAATTGAAATCTGAGTAATCGGCTTCAATCTAATAGCACTTTCAACTCTCACAATAATATTTAACCGAACCAAAAGCACTGCCAACATTGAAATCATATAAAATGGAAACATTGCTCCCCAAATCGCACCCATCATCCAAACTGGAGCTATATTTTTTAATAACCCGTGCGCTAGAATAGCTGGGAATGGTAACAGTGGAATTGCACATAGACAAAGTCCCCAGAAAGTTTGAGGAATGTAAAATGCGATTTGAGAGAATATCAGAACATTTTTGTAAAGTTTTGTTTCGCGACCTGATTGAGTTCGGATCAAATAAATGCCTAGAATATTGATGACTGTTGAGATGACACAAGTTATATATGAGATTATTATAGTGGTAGGTCGTGAAATATCGTGTAGGGTCAGGAAAGTTTGATTCATTTTTTGGGGGGTTTTTGAAGTTATTGTTTGTTGGGGGATTGAAATTGGCTGACAGGTGGAATTTTTTGTGAAAAATGTTTTTGTTTTTTGAACTCGTAGAATATTTGAGCGAGGACTATGTAGCTTATTGTAGCTTCAAATTTTGTGCTGAAAATTTTTAGCTCTAAAGACTCTGAAAAATCCAAAATTAAATTTTGTAGCTTCTAATTCTGTGCTGAAAACTAGGAACTTTTTGAACTTCACAAAAAAACAAAAAAAAATTCTTTCAATTTTCATTTTCACAATTATTTTTCAAGTCCTAAATTTTCTAAAAATTCTGAAATTTCAGAATGAGCTCCAGCTCTAAATCTTCAGGTTCTGAAAAATCTAAAAATTCAGAATTTTTCTGGTTCTTCAGAATAAGGTCCAGCTCTAAATCTTCAGGTTCTGAAAAATCTAAAAATTCAGAATTTTTCTGGTTCTTCAGAATAAGGTCCAGCTCTAAATCTTCAGGTTCTGAAAAATCTAAAAATTCAGAATTTTTCTGGTTCTTCAGAATAAGGTCCAGCTCTAAATCTTCAGGTTCTGAAAAATCTAAAAATTCAGAATTTTTCTGGTTCTTCAGAATAAGGTCCAGCTCTAAATCTTCAGGTTCTGAAAAATCTAAAAATTCAAAATTTTTCTGGTTCTTCAGAATAAGATCCAGCTCTAAATCTTCAGGTTCTGAAAAATCTAAAAATTCAAAATTTTTCTGGTTCTTCAGAATAAGATCCAGCTCTAAATCTTCAGGTTCTGAAAAATTCAAAACTAAATTTTGTAGCTTCAAATTTTGGGCTGAAAATTAGAAACATTAGAAACATTCACCAAAAAACTTATTTTTTCTGGAAAAATTATTTTTTTTCAATTTTCAATTTCCAAAATTTTTGAAATTTGAGAATAAGCTCCAGCTCAAAATCTTCAGGCTCTGAAAAATCCAAATTCAGCATTTTTCTGGTTCTTCAGAATAAGCTCCAGCTTAAAGTCTTCAGGTTCTGAAAAATCCAAATTCAAATTTTCCAGCTGAAAATCAATTTCAACACACTAATTTGATCCAAAAATGTTAATAATTCCAGAAAACTATAACAATTTTCAGCTCCATTTTTTATCTGAAATTATTTTCTAAAATTTCATCATTCCTGTTTCTGTCCACATTTTTTTATCCCCATATTCCCAAAATAATTCTGTTTTTTGAACTTCTGAGCTCTCAAGGGTCGAATAACTTATTTGGATTGTTTTTCTTTTTTTTCTTGTCAAAACAAGTTGCAAAAAAACTTATTTATGCTAGGAAAAAACAAGCAAAAAACTGGGATCGACAAAAAATTTCATCAACAAGTCGATATTGTTTGAATAGCAATAATTACAGCTGGAAATTTCTGATCTTTCGATGTTTTCATTCCTAAAATTTTTCTGATTTTCGATAAATATGCGGGGTTTTGGAAAAACATGATAATTGTGGCTGGAATTGGAGCAGCAATGAAGATTGTGTGGAAAAGACAAGTTAAGGCTGGAAAATTTCTGAATTGATATTGGGAATTTTGGGAAAAAATCTTACAAATCGTGTCAATTTCTTTACTGAAGTTATGGGAAACCGCAACCCAAACGGGATAAGCAGCAATACACAAAAGCTTCACGATAATCTGAACCGCTGAATCTTTAGCCAATTTTTGATGATATTTCCGTTTTGTAATACTCATTTTTGTGATTTGCATTCGAATTTCATAATAAACTATATATCGAACCAACGAAAAGGATACAATCATGATTAGAACTATGATATAAACTGTATTCGCAAAAATATCCATTGTAGAATCAGAGAATATAATGGGATTGTTGGATTTGGCGATGTAAAAGTAGCGGGGGAAGTTCTGAATAGGAATTTTTTTTGAATTGCGAATTGAATTCGGAATAAAACAAACCTGAAAAATGAAAAGTTCCATGGCTTCATGTGGCAAATACAATCTGAATGCAATATTTTCAAAGCTGATAATGAGAATGATAACATAAATAATTAGGAGAGTATATTGAATCGAGATTTTGATCTGGAAAAATTATTCAGAGTCAAAAACAGCTGAATTCAACGATGAAAATGAGTTATGACGTGGCAAATTTTGAACATTTTTTTTGAAAAAAAAAGGGACTTCGCAATAATCAACTTCGAAAATCAATATTTGAAATTTCCAAAATGATCCAATAGTTTAGGATGTTAGAACTTTGCCACGTCATAACTCAAATTCAAAGCTGAAGGTTTTGACAACAGAGGGTCAAAATCTACAAGAAAAATTATACTTCTCAAGTGAAAATCAATAATTTGGGACCCTATTAATTTTAGGAAGTTAAGAATCTGAATGTGTTAAAATTTTGAGAGTCCTTCTTGAAAATGAGATCCAGAATTCTCCCAAAAAAAATTCTTTAAAAAAATTTCAGAAAATCTACACTGAAAATTGATCTCCCCAAAAAAGTCTCACATTGAAAATACTCTCGGGCCGAACAATACTATGAATCCTGATAATCGAAACCGTCAACATCGAGACAATATAAAATGGCAACATTGCTGCCCAAACTGCACACAAAATTACAATAGGCACAAAATCTTTCAGCAATCCGAATGGAATAAACGCGGGAAACGGGAAAACTGATAAAATGCACAGAAATATTCCCAAATAAAATTGGGGAATAAACAAGGCGAGTTGCGAGAAGATCAGTGCACATTTATAATTTCGCGATTCTCGTTTACCTCGTGATCCAATCAAATAAATGCTGAAAATATTGACGAGAAGAGAAATTAGGCATGTGAAATAGGATAGAAGAATTGTGTTGGATCGCGTCAAATCTGAAAGTGTTGCGTAATAATCGGAGGAATTGTTGTTCATAACTGAATATTTTTGTGAGTAAAGAGGAAATCAGAAAAAATATTATTAGATTTTGAATTATTCTCTATTACTTTTATTTTTGTTATACATAAAACAAGTTAAGAGTTGATCTCTGATTCGAAGCAGCCAAGCAAAATCAGAATCGACAGACTACGAAGAAGAAGACTACGAAAATTCCGAAAATCAGTGGAGCGATGAAATTTTATTTGAAATGAATTTTTCTCCACGTGTACAAAAAAATCAAGAAAAAGCAGTTTTTTTGAAAAAAAAATTTCAAAAAAAAAACCCGAAAATTTTACGTTTCACAAAATTTTAATCACAAAATTTTAATAGAAAATTATGTTTCTTCTCTGATTTGTTTAAAAATTATGTATCATTTCAGGAAATTTTACGTTTCACAAAATTTTAATAGAAAATTATATTTTTTATCGTATTCGCTTCCAAATTATGTATCATTCCAGGAAATGTTGGGCAACAATTTAGCAAGTTGCTTCCCTCTCGCAACTTCCGATCTCCTTGCTGCATTTTTAGGTTGCAATTTGTGTTGCGAAATTCTTGCTTGATCCATTCGTATAGTGGGCGAAGCATTTTTTTGAAAGCATGTCAATAGGCAAAACTCATTTTTTGTCGGGCAGCTAATGCAAAAATATAAATTGGGCCTGATCTCCACAAGTTGTAAAGGTTTTTAAAAAATAAATCCACGTGGACATTCCTTTTTGGGTACTAGAAAGAATGCTGGAAGAGCTTTTACGAAGAAAATTTGCATTCCACGCGGCAAAGTTTTTCGAGTTTTGAGAGAAAAAACACGTGGCAAAAGCTGTAAATTTTCAGAACTCGTTTGATGTTACAAAATCCCATTATCTCAAACATCATCAAATAATTCCATGTTTTTCCAACTGAATTCACCTGTTCACCTGATTTATCACGTGATAATGTTAGATGTTTTGAAAACTGCAATAGTAGGATGTCTGATATTGGGTTCACTTTTCAATCGAAGTAATTGCTTGACTCGTCGAAGATAAGCCGTGTTACTTGAAATCATGTAAATTGTTCCAGCGATCGGTGAACCAACAAAAATTGTGTGAAATGTTGAAGTTATTGCTGCAAATAAAAACGAATTCTCAAATATTTTCACTTTACCAAAATATCTCTCACGAATTGTATTCCACATTGAATCTAACAAGTTTGACACAAGACTCCATAACAAATAAAATGCGATACATAACGTGTAAATTAGCACAAAAATAGACAGGGTTTTCGCAATTCTCATGTGATATTTCTGTTGAAAATTGCTCATTTTATTCACTTGCATTTTGATCTCATAATAAATTAGATATCTGAAAATTGAATGAGAAATTAGGATAAATATGGCGAATCCGAGCATTGATGAAAACAGCAATTTCATAGCGGTAAATTCTGAAAATATCATTGCTCCATAGATATTTGCAATGTAAATGTAACCAGGATATTTCTAGAAAAAATATTTTTTTGAAACTTTTTTTGAAAATTTGAAAGCTTACATCTGATAGAAAATTCAACATCGATTCATGGGTAAAATTCAATTGCAAATCCAATACCAGCATAAATGAAACCAAAGAAATTAAATATAGCATTAAGAAAATAAAAGTGCTCATTTTATTGAACTTCAAAAAAAATATATATACTCCTGATCCCATCCTGACAATAGAAACTCACATTAAAAGGACTATCAGGTCGAACAACAATACTCAATCTGACTAGAAGTATATTTAAAGATGATTGTATATAAAATGTAAACAACACTCCCCAAATTCCACCCGAAACCCAGAAGGGTAAAACATTCTTTAATAATCCATGTGATATAAATGCTGGGAATGGAAAATAAAAAATAGCACAGCAACAAGTTCCCCAAAATGTTTGCGATATATAAAGACTTATTTGTAAATAAATCAAAGCATTTTGAAAAACTTTTTTCTCTTTCAATGATTCGGTTTTGATTAGATAAACTGCTAGACAAACTGAAATTGTTGAAACAAAACATGTAATATAAGATACGATAACTGTAGATTGTCTAGAAATATCAGAAAGTATTACAAATGTGGTATTCATTAGAATTTATAAATTAATTGAATAACTGATTATGAGTTGGGTAACAGCTGAAAAATAAATTGTTGGCTGCCAGGATATGAGGATATGATTTTTGATGCCTTCCTGGTCCAAAATTCCAAATTCCACGTGATTCTCGAAAAATTGCTCTTCAAAAAAATCCCGAAAATTTTACGTTTCACAAAATTTTCATAGAATTCTCAGAATTTCATTGGATTTGGTGTAACTGTTCATGTGAGAATTTTTCACCGAGTTTGGAAGAATTTTTCTTGATGCTGTTCTGGTCCAAAATTCCAAAAATTTCATGTGGTTTTCAATTTTCAATAGTTTTCAAGAAAATTGCTCTTCAAAAAAATCCCGTAATTTTTACGTTTCACAAAATTTTCATAGAATTCTCAGAATTTCATTGGATTTAGTATAGCTGTTCATGTGAGAATTTTTCACTGAGTTTGGAAGAATTTTTCTTGATGCTGTTCTGGTCCAAAATTCCAAAAATTTCATGTGGTTTTCAATTTTCAATAGTTTTCAAGAAAATTGCTCTTCAAAAAAATCCCGTAATTTTTACGTTTCACAAAATTTTCATAGAATTCTCAGAATTTCATTGGATTTGGTATAGCTGTTCATGTGAGAATTTTTCACTGAGTTTGGAAGAATTTTTCTTGATGCTGTTCTGGTCCAAAATTCCAAAAATTTCATGTGGTTTTCAATTTTCAATAGTTTTCAAGAAAATTGCTCTTCAAAAAAATCCCGAAAATTTTACGTTCCACAAAATTTGCATAAGTTTTTCATATTTTTCAATGAAGCTCTAATCTCGCCTGTTTGTTTTGTTCCTCCCCCCCCCCCCAAACCTCAAAATAAACTAACTTGACTGGCCCGTTACGTGAAAAGTTGTTGATCTTTTTGAATGTCATGTCCAAACGATACATCTTCTTGTTCGGAAGCCTGAAACTTCTACATTCTTTTTCTCAAATTGTGGATTTTATGGGACCGCTGCATTCTGTGACTGTTGTCTCTAAAAAAAAATAAGAAAATTAAAAAATGTACCAAATCACCCCATTAATAACACTTTCTGCGCTGAAAAAAACCACTCAAAAACCAGAAAAAAGCAAAAAATAAAAAAGTCGTGCAAAAAAAGCAAAACAACGATACTCCGCGTGCGCGTTGTTTAGCGTGTTTATTTTGTTGGTTTTTTTTGCAGGGTAGACGAGAGAGTGTGGGAAATGGAGAGAGAGAGAGAGGGGGAGATCTTTTTCATTTAAAGAAATTATTGATTGAACGTTTTTTTTGGAACTGAATCATTTTCTGGTTTTTGAGTGGTTTTTTTCAGCGCAGAAAGTGTTATTAATGGGGTGATTTGGTACATTTTTTAATTTTCTTATTTTTTAGAGACAACAGTCACAGAATGCAGCGGTCCCATAAAATCCACAATTGTCATTTTCTGATGTAAGTTAGGCGAAAATTTTAAGAAAAAGAATGTAAAGTTTCAGGCTTCCGAACAAGAAGATGTTTCTTTTGGACAGGACATTCAAAGAGATCGACAACTTCTCACTGAACGGGCCAGTCAAGTCAGTTTATTTTTAGGTTTGGCGCCCCCCTGTAGATCAGCTTCCAGATTTTATTGAAGTATTTGAAAAACAAACTATGAAATTTTCGGCGGGATAATAATTTGTATTTACGCTCAAACTGAAATTTTCATTTCGGCGGGAAAAATAAACAAAAAACTTGAAATTTTTCATGAATTTGATTGTAAATCAGGGAAGTGGGTGTTTTTCAGCGATCTATGAGAAATTAATTGCAAAATCTAAAAAATATATTTTAAAAAAAGTTGAAATAAAAAATAATTTTGTCAAGTGACCTTTGCGACGTGATCTAATTAAATGCATCTTAAAAAATGCCACGACATTTTTGTCAGTTCCAAAAAAAGAATGGCTGTTGCATCCGCAATAGTTATTTATTATTGTACGTGACCTACACGTACCAATTCGTGGCATTGCTAAGCTGACGTTGTTTTAGCACTATAAAAGCCGTCAGACTCGTCATTTCTCGCTCTTATTATTATTATTCTAATAAACCTTTGTATTGTAATTTGTACTTATCTTCGGCAGTCATCGTATCCCAACCCAAGGATACAACAATGGCGGAAGATAACGACGAAGTGCCATTTGATGAAAATGACTTAGATCCGGATACGTTGGAAATAAACCGATTATGCTCGATATCGACTGAAAGAAGGTGTCTAAATAAGGTGAGAACTGCAAATCTGAGAAACAATTTATGAACTAAACTTTTTTTAGATAAATTTGATCGAATTGTTAAAAAAAAACACAAAGTAAAACCAATAAACGACGCTTCTTCAACAACACAATCGAAGTTGATCCAAATGTTTCCTGATCACGCAAAATACATCGATCTCGAAATGTTCCGAGTTCTGGAATCGCGATATTTGAGTGGCGTTATGAAAAAACTTGCAAAAACAAAGGGCAAGGAAGTTCCACACACTTTCTACAGTGTGTGGAATATAAAATTAAAAATAAATCCAAAGGAAGTTATCAAACAACTTCGAGATTTATTAATAGATCCACCAAGCAATTTCGCGTCAGCCACAAGAGTTAGTTATACAACTTTAGAAATTTGTTCATTCTTTAATATTTCAGAGAATGGAGTGTATTGAAGAGTCGCCAAACATGCCAAAACTGCGACTTCTTCGACTTGCACAACCACACAGGTTGAGATTATTGGCAGAGTATGAAGATCACCCCCATTTTGACTTGTTTATTGAGTGAGTTTTTGTCTTACAATTCAGTCAATCAACGATTTTTTCCAGACATTGTTTAATGGAGAAACAAATAAACAAGTTGAATTGGTCAAAAAGCAGCTTTAAACAAATTCGAGAAGATTTCAAAATATTTTCAAGAGCTGAATTCTCAAGGGACTGATCAAACTTGGAGATTCGATGGATTAGTTGTGAACAACTTGTGATATCAGTTTATGATAAAAGATTTCTTTAATTTATAATAAAAGTTAAAACATTAAAAAAAAACAAAAATTAGAAAAACTTATCTCTCCTAGTGGGCGCATCACACCTGGCGAGACATGTCCAAAATGGCAATCAAAATCATCAAACATTTCGATTTTTTTTGACTTCCTGATCTTCAGTACGACCATCAGGGAGTCAGGGCGATCTTCTGAACATTTTTGAAAAACCACAAAAAATTCAGAAGTTTGTCTTGGGACTTCAGTTCCATCAAGTTTCACAAAATTTTCATAGAAATCTCAGAATTTCATTGGATTTGGCATAACTGTTCAAATGCGAATTTTTCATTGAGCTTAGGAGAATTTTTCTTGATGATGTTCTGGTCCAAAATTCCAAAAATTTCATGTGGTTTTCAATTTTCAATAGTTTTCAAGAAAATTGCTCTTCAAAAAATCCCGTTCCACAAAAATCTCAGATTTTCATCGGATTTGTTTTTCGTCCTTTTTTTCTCAATATTAGATTTTACTGAAAAAAATCCACGTGGCAAAAATAATTTTGTGTTAGTAGGTTTTTGACTGAAAACAGAGTACAGTAACCCGCAAGTTCCCGGAAATAAAAGAGAAAATTTTCCGGTCTCCGACACAATTTTCCCAGTTTCACATCTTGGTGTGAAAAGGCCCAACGTTGGCCGACACGAGCGGCCCGGCCCCAAACACTATTGAATTTGGGAAAATGATTTTTGATGCTGTTCTGGTTCAAAATTAAAAATTACACGTGTTTTCACGCCAAATTTTCAAACTTCAATCATTTCGAAAACAAATTTGCTATTTGAAAAATCCCGTGAATTTTACGTTTCTTCAATTTTTAAAGATTTTCACAAAAATACAATCAATGATAATATATCTTTGTTTATATTCCCAATTGATCCAATATCAATAACCAATATATATAAAATTACCCGAAAACAAGTTTTGTGTTCAAAAATTAATTTGCAGAATTAAAAATTAAAGACACATCAGCCACTGGAAATGAGTCAGAAATGGTGTTGTTATTCTTTCATAACATGTTCTAAGGAATCGAAATACATAAAAATAAAGAAAAAATTTTGAGCCTGGCAAAAGTTAAAAAAAAAAATAATTGTTTTTGAAAACGCTCAGCCGACGGGAATTTTTTGACGGTGTTTGCACACACTCCGTGACACTTTTGTGTACCGTATTCCTTTTATTTATTTTTTTTATTTTTGTTCAATTTTCCAATTTTTACTTCGTCTTTTCCCGATTTTTCATGTTTTGAACTGTTTTCATTTCACAAAAGATGGAGAAATGCGATTTTTGTTTAAAACCGACAACAAGCAATAAAAAATTTACATACTCCAAAGAGTTTTATGCCATATTCGCTGCAGGAATTACCGCCGGAAAGTTGTATACGCCGGATATCAAGCGATTATGTAATCTGAACCGAATCAAGATTTTGATGATATTTTCTAATGCCCTCAAAAAACCAAAAACGTTGAATTTCAGCCCAAAATGCAGTGATCCGGAGTTGAAGATCGAATTGGATGGTTGAATTCTAGAAAATTATGTTGTCGACCTACTTCCAGCAATTAATTGACAGACAATTTTGAAAAAAATCACCAAAACCTCTAAAAAATCGTGAAAAGTCCAATTTCAACACTGAATTGATGTAAAACTTCGAAAAATCTCAGAAACCCCTAAAAAATCTCAGAAAAATCAAATTTCAGCCAAAAATCGTGTGCTCCAGAATTGAAAATCAGATTGGATGGTCGAATTCCGTGAACTTGGATTGTCAAGAAACTTCCAGCACCAAATTAATCAAAAACCTCGAAAAAATTCGAAATAAATCTCCCAAAACCCTCAAAATAACGAAAAGCTCAAATTTCAGCCAAAAATCGTGTGCTCCAGAGTTGAAAATCAGATTGCATGGTCGAATTCCATTAACTTGGATTGTCGAGGAACAGAATTCATCGAAAATGTCAAAAAAATTCAGAAAAATCTGATTTCAGCCAGAAATTTGTTGAAATAACTCGAAATGTAGAAATCCATAAAAATAAAATTCTTCTCCGTAAAATTCTGCTTCGATTAATATATTGATCAATGAAATTGGTTCAGAATGAGACGAAAACGATCAATCTCAAAAACGCCAAGTCTCAAATTGAAAATGTGTGTTTGCAAGTTTGTGTGCATTTTCCCTTTCACCGCCTATGCCTCTTCGGTTTCTCATTTTCATGACTATCTATTCACAGCGAAATGGGCAGTTTTAGACGGGCTTTCAGATCAGCACAAGACATCCTGATGAAATTGGCGTTCTGACTCATAAACTACAAACAAACGAAATCCTCGAAAAAAAAAACAATAAATATTCTCCGAGAGAAATACACAGACGTGTGTGCAACAGAGCGCATATGCTGTTTTGTCATTTGAAAAATATTGCGCGAAATCTGTTTTTTCCAGTGGCTGATGTGTCTTTAAAAAAATACCTTTTTTTAAATTTCAATTACATCTATTATATTTTTTAAAAATACAGTAACCCGCAAGTTCCCATTAACAAAAGACAATATTTTCCGGTCAATTTTCCCAATTTCACACCTTGGTGTGAAAATGGCCCAACGTTGGTCGACACGCGCGGCCCGGCCCGAAACACCTGTTATCGCAGGCCAACACGCGTCTTTATCACAACATCTGGTGTGAAAAGGGGCGTGGCTTGCAGGTGGGCGGGGCCTAGAAATAGGACTATATAAAAGCCGGACCTTAAATTATCCTTTATTATTTTTTCTTGCTTATTTATAAGATAGCATAACTATGCTGAATTCTTCTTGAACTTTTTATTTTTTGTTATTTTTCAAAGCTTTTCTCTTAATTTTCTTCAAATTTTGGAATTTTCTTTGCTGAATTCTTCTTGAACTTTTTATTTTTTGTTATTTTTCAAAGCTTTTCTCTTAATTTTCTTCAAATTTTGGAATTTTCTTTGCTGAATTCTTCTTGAACTTTTTATTTTTTGTTATTTTTCAAAGCTTTTCTCTTAATTTTCTTCAAATTTTGGAATTTTCTTTAAATTTCTGAATCTTCTTTAAATTTTTGAATTTTCTCTCAATTTTTGAATTTTCTTCAAATTTTGGAATTTTCTTTAAATTTTTGAATTTTCTTTAAATTTTTGAATTTTCTTTAAATTTTTGAATTTTCTTTAAATTTTTGAATTTTCTTTAAATTTTTGAATTTTCTTTAAATTTTTGAATTTTCTTTAAATTTTTGAATTTTCTTTAAATTTCTGAATCTTCTTTAAATTTTTGAATTTTCTTTAAATTTTTGAATTTTCTTTAAATTTTTGAATTTTCTTCAAATTTTGGAATTTTCTTTAAATTTCTGAATCTTCTTTAAATTTTTGAATTTTCTTTAAATTTTTGAATTTTCTTTAAATTTTTTGAATTTTCTTTAAATTTTTTGAATTTTCTTTAAATTTTTGAATTTTCTTTAAATTTTTTGAATTTTCTTTAAATTTTTGAATTTTCTTTAAATTTTTGAATTTTCTTTAAATTTTTTGAATTTTCTTTAAATTTTTGAATTTTCTTTAAATTTTTGAATTTTCTCTCAATTTCTGAATCTTCTTTAAATTTTTTGAATTTTCTCTCAATTTCTGAATCTTCTTTAAATTTTTGAATTTTCTTTAAATTTTTGAATTTTCTTTAAATTTTTGAATTTTCTTTAAATTTTTGAATTTTCTTTAAATTTTTGAATTTTCTTTAAATTTTTGAATTTTCTTTAAATTTTTGAATTTTCTCTCAATTTCTGAATCTTCTTTAAATTTTTGAATTTTCTCTCAATTTCTGAATCTTCTTTAAATTTTTGAATTTTCTTTAAATTTTTGAATTTTCTTTAAATTTTTGAATTTTCTTTAAATTTTTGAATTTTCTTTAAATTTTTGAATTTTCTTTAAATTTTTTGAATTTTCTTTAAATTTTTGAATTTTCTTTAAATTTTTGAATTTTCTTTAAATTTTTGAATTTTCTTTAAATTTTTGAATTTTCTTTAAATTTTTGAATTTTCTTTAAATTTTTGAATTTTCTCTCAATTTCTGAATCTTCTTTAAATTTTTTGAATTTTCTCTCAATTTCTGAATCTTCTTTAAATTTTTGAATTTTCTCTCAATTTTTGAATTTTCTCTCAATTTTTGAATTTTCTTTAAATTTTTGAATTTTCTTTAAATTTTTGAATTTTCTTTAAATTTTTGAATTTTCTTTAAATTTCTGAATCTTCTTTAAATTTTTGAATTTTCTTTAAATTTTTGAATTTTCTCTCAATTTTTTGAATTTTCTCTCAATTTTTGAATTTTCTCTCAATTTCTGAATCTTCTTTAAATTTTTGAATTTTCTTTAAATTTTTGAATTTTCTTTAAATTTTTGAATTTTCTTTAAATTTTTGAATTTTCTTTAAATTTTTGAATTTTCTTTAAATTTTTGAATTTTCTGTTAACTTTCCTTTTTTTGAATTTTTTATGTTTAACTTTTTTTCTGACAATATTTACATCGTCTTTCTTATTTCATTGAACTTGTAAATTTTTTTTTCAAATTCCCTTTCCCCCCCTTTCAATCAATTTTCTTTCAGATAACTCACTTCAAAATGTTCTCCCAAATTCCACAACAATCAGGTTCTTTGAAACGCGCAGCTCAAGAAGACTGCTTCAATCCAAATGCCAAACAAATCCGATTATCGAAAGAAGAATCGGACAATATTTTTGCGATGGCAATGGGTGGAAATTCAAAATCCACTGGGACTTTGAAGAAATTGGATTATTCGAAATATAAGGTAAGTTTTAAAAAAGAAATTCTATTTTTTTGAATTTTCCTAAAGAAAAATATATAATTTTTCCATTTCAGATCTCCAAAAAGACAACCTCACCACCTTCAACAACAACTAGAAGTCCGGTTTCCGATTCTTCACCGTCAACAAGTTCTGGCTCCTCTTCAGTTAGCCCAACTTCAATTCAAAATGTGAAAGTTGATGAAAATATGGTGACAAGAAGAAATGAACGACAAAAAGTGTTTGCTGGACGAAGAAAACAAGAAGTTTTGGCTGAAAATTCGAGCAGAATCAATATTCGAGATGGAATTATCACTTCTTCTTCTACTTCAATCAATTCATATGAATCATTGAAACCTGAACTTATCAAATTAAATTTGGATGATTTGCGAAAAGTTCTCTACAAAAATCCACATTTGGCCAAAGAATCGGATGAATTATTTTTGAATTTTATCAAGAAGGAGTTCCCGAAAAAAGCGAATCTGGAAAATAAGAAGGATTTGACGTGGAGACAATTATTGGAGAAGCTTTCGATTCGTAAAAAGCAAAAGGAAAATGAGAAATTGGAAAAGTTGACTAAGAGAATTGCCAAAACTCATCAACAAAATGATAAAGAGCAAAGGAAGACTGTAAGTTTCTTTAGTTTTTAAATTCAAAAATAAATTACCTTTTTGTAGATTGTCATCGGATTTTCTGAAGCAAAACCTCGACGTGGTCCAACAAAAACTATCCAAGTAGCTCCAAAAGTTGTTGAAACTCAAAAATCGGATGTTGAGCCTCGCAAATCTGCCAAACCTCAACCCAAACCAGCTCCAACTTCAGTTCCAATTGCCCTAGTTGCTCCACCTTCCCGCCAAACTTTAAATTCTAAAAAACCCGCCAAAAAAGCTCCACTTATGGCGAAAGTGCTCAGAATGCTCAAAAGATAATAATTTTAATAATTTCTTGTATTTATTTTTATTTTCGGGTTGTCATTATTTGTATATTTTTTTATTCTAATAAATAAGTAAAATTGAAAAATTGTGTTTGATTAATTGGAAATTTTCAGGAATTCTCTAAAATTTCAGAAAAAGTGTCATTTCTCATGCTTCTCCTAATAAAAACCTGCTAAAACTATAAAATACCAACTATTTTCAATATTTCAATTCAAACTCACCTTGGAACTCGATCAAAATCCACATTTTTGGCCGGCAATCGAAAATGAAACGAAGAAAAATAATTTCAATACCGTATCTCAAAGGCGCACAACAAAATATTGCGACGCAAAAATGCACAGATTCTGCAAACACTAACAAAGAAACGTCATTTTTTCGTTTTTTTTTCTTGAGTTTGCCAAGGAAATTTGGCAAATGGTGGAACGTCAATGGATTTCTCGAGTTCAGTTTCGACAGGGTAAGCTTTAAATTATACTTGGATTATCACCTAAAAGTAGAATTTTCCAGATTTGTCGATTCAATGGGATTTTGAAGAATTCTTGAAGTTATGGAGTCAGGAAAGCATATAAGGTTTGTAAAATATATTTTTCTAATTGCCACGTCATAATAATGTTCAACAAATTTGTTGTTACAAAAAATTTATTGAAATATTAGGGCTTCTTATTTCCATCACTTGACGATTTTTTGACAACTTTTTTCGAATCTTCTGGAGTTATCGAAGTAGGTTTTTTCTAAAGAAAAAAAAAGAAAGTACAAAATTTTTACCAGAAAAATGTTCTCGCCTCGTCATCTTTACTCGAAATTCTATATTTCTCCACATCCTCATCTGGCGCCAATTTCTTCAAAATCTCCATAAAACTCGGACGATTCTCGGGCTTTTTCGCAAAACAATCAGCCATCAATTCAACAATCAGTTTTGGTGAATCAATTGGTGCTTCCATTGGTGGATTCTTATTCTGTATAATCTCCTTGGCCTCATTATTTGATAAACCGGGAAATGGATCGCTAGAACAATATGAGAATATCTCCCAAATCGTCACACCAAATGACCAAACATCAGTTTTTGTTGTGAACACCAAAGTATCCATGACTTCTGGAGCGAGCCAACGAATCGGAACTTTCAACTTTTTTTCCTTTACTTCAGCTTTTCCACCTTCCGCTAAACCAAAATCGGATATTTTCACTTCCATATTATCACCAAGAAGCAAATTGCGAGCTGCGAGATCTCGATGAATTATCATCTTCGAAGCTAAATAAGCCATTCCTCTCGCAGTATCTGTGCAAAACTTTGTCAAATCATCACAATTTATTGTTTTCCTACTATCCTCCTTCTTCAGATGATTTTTCAAACATCCATTTTTAGCCAACTCCAAAACAATCATTAAAGGCTCTTCACTTGGAGCAATTCCGATAACTTTGACCAAATTTGGATGACTCAAATCTTTCATTAATCTCGCCTCTCTTACAAATCCTCGCAACATTGATTTTCTCGATTTTCCTTCTTTCAATCTTTTCACAGCAACCTCCACTTCCTCTTCTTCCTTCGACATTTTCTTCAATTTTCCTTTCCAAACCTCACCAAATGCTCCACTTCCCAATTTATCAACCATAGTTATATCGCCATGTAAAATATAATATTTAGGCTTCGCAATTCCTCGCACCAAAATCGCATGACTCGGTTGAAGCGGTAGTTTTTTCGAGGTCAAGAAGTTGAGCAATTCAACAAGATCATCAAATTGTTCCGATCTTTCTAACCCTTTCAAATTCCAAAATCCATTGACATTTAGGAGCACAAAATGTCGCGGCTCTTTTTCATGAAGAACTGTGAGGCAGAAGAAGGGCTTGGATTTTTCAGTTGTTCGCCGGACTAGGAAATCTCCTTCTTTCTGAAAAAAGATAAATTGAAGAGGTTTTGGGAAGAAAAAATTTGATCGTTATTTCCGACTTGCTAATCATGTTCCTATTGTCAAAAGCCGTAAATCTCAACTTCTAACATGAGTTATGACGTGTCAAAGTTGTAAAATTTTGAAAATCGTGACTTTGGGAGATAACAAATAGCTTACAAATTGTTTGCTATTTAGCTGTCCTCCAGAAGTCACTATTTCTCGAAATTTTCCAATTTTACCACGTCATGACTCATGTTAGGAGTTGAGTGTTACGATTTTTGACAAATATCGAAATTCACTAGAGAATCCTGCTCTGAAACTGCTTGAAATTCTGAAAATCCTAGAATTTTCAGTCAATTTCAAGCAGTTTCAGAAAGACGCGAAAGCTATGCTCTAATTTTGAATTTTCCTCCAGAAAAATGGTGATTTCTGGTGACCAAATCTATATCGTACCCTCAATAAATCATTGCTCTCCTCTCTCGGCATAATTCCATGATACCATTGTCTGGCCACCAATTTTTTCGACCAACTCTCAATCCACTCATCTTTCACAACTTGTCTAGACGAAACCGGCGTGATTTCTTCAGCCGAACTATTCGACATTTGCGATGGTTGACATGATGGCAAACTTGGCCGTTTTCCCTTTTTTCTCTTCCCAATCGATAAAACTCCCAAATTCTTTTTCGCCATTGGTGATCTCGCCGCTTTTGAATCATTCGTTGCATCAACATTTATTACGCTTACTGAAAAATTTACAGTCTAAACAGATTTGGTAGACTTCTGAAAATAAAACTCACATGGCATGTTTGATATTTAAATTGTGTACTAGAAAAAATGAGCATTTTCGAGTTGCTCTCCCCTTTTTATAGAGCTCGCGTCATTTTTTTTTCACGTGTTCCACTTTTTTTGCCAAGTAGTTCTATAAAAGTGCTCGAAGCCGTCGCGGAGCTCATTTTATTTTATGCTATTTTTGTAACGCTAGTTCAAAAATTATAATTCTCAAAATATATCAAACATGGCTGGTGAGATGCTAATTTTTGTCCCTTGTAAACTCATGATTTTCCAGAGAATGCACTCTATTTCGACAAAGGAAAATCCAACAACAACAATACAACGAAAACCAATACTACATCAACAATGCTGCCAAATACTCTGGATTTTGGAAGATTGTCATCGAATTCGGGCACAAATCGCAAGAAAAAGGGAAAATCGAGATCGAGAAGACCTTCTACTTCATCAGCACCTTGTAAAACTGTGTCATCGGAAGAATTGACGGGTGGATCTGCTGGAACTGCTGAGAAGATTGTTGAGTGTGATCCGTGGATTGAGAGTTGGTCGAAGAAGTTGGTGACTAGAGAATGGTATCATGGTGTTATGCCGAGAGAGGATACGAATAGCTTGTTGAAGGTAATGAGGAATTTTGAAATGTTCTCATAAAACTGCAAATCTCAACGTCTAATATGAGTTATGTCGTGGCAAGATTGGAAAATGTCGAAAATTGTGATCTTTAGAGGGTTATAACTAGCTTCCACTATGGATTTCAATAAAATATCGAGTCGCAAGCTGGTTGTACAATAAAAATTTTCCAGAATTTTCCAACTTTGCCACGTCATAACTCATAATAGAAACTGAGTTTTGCAATTTTCATGATCAGTGGGTCGAAAATTACCAGAAAATCCTGCTCTGAAACTGCTTGAAATTGTGAAAATCCCAGAATTTTCAGTCAATTTCAAGCAGTTTCAGAAAGACGCGGAAGCTATGCTCAAATTTTGAATTTGATATTTTCTAGTGATTTTCGACCAGCTAATCACGATATCGTTGTCAAAAACTGCAAAACTCAACTCATGAGTTATGACGTGGCGAAGCTGGAAAATTTAAATAAAAATCGTGACTTTGGGAGAAATTGTTTGCTCCAGAAGTCACGATTTATCATAATTTGGCACGTCATAACTCATGTTGAGCTTTGCGATTTTTGACAACTGTCTAAAATTACTAAAGAATCCTGCTCTGAAACTGCTTGAAATTGTGAAAATCCCAGAATTTTCAGTCAATTTCAAGCAGTTTCAGAAAGACGCGGAAGCTATGCTCAAATTTCCAATTTTTCCAGAAAGATGGTGATTTCCTCGTCCGCCGAACAACCGAAAAATCCAAAATCATATTCTGTCTCACTGTTTTTCACGAAAAAGAGCCCCGTCATTTTGTGCTCCTGAATGTCAATGGATTTTGGACTTTGAAAGGGCTCGAAACATCGGAAAGATTTGAAGATTTGGTTGAATTGCTCAATTATTTGACATCAAAACGAAAACCACTTTTGCCAAATAATAATGTGATTTTGGTGAGAGCAATATCTCGATCAAAATTCTATATTCTACACGATGATATTTTATTGACTGATAAATTGGGAAGTGGTGCATTTGGACAAGTTTGGAAAGGAAAATGGAAAAGGATGAATGAAGGAGAAGAAGTTCAAGTGGCTGTGAAAAGATTGAAAGAGGGAAATGTGAAAAAGGCAATGTTGAAAGAATTTGTCAGAGAAGCGAAATTAATGATGAATTTGTCGCATCCAAATTTGGTTAGATTTGTTGGAATTGCACCAACTGAAGAGCCATTGATGATATTGTTGGAATTGGCGGGAAATGGATGTTTGAAGAGTCATTTGAAGAAGGAGAATAGTAGAAATACTGTGACATTTGATGATTTGGCAAAGTTTTGTATTGATACTGCAAGAGGTATGACATATTTAGCATCGAAAATGGTTATTCATCGAGATGTTGCCGCTAGAAATTTGTTGCTTGGTGATAATATGGAAGTGAAAATATCCGATTTTGGATTGGCGAAATGTGGAAAAGCTGAAGTGAAATGCACCAAACTCAAAGTTCCCATCCGCTGGCTTGCACCTGAATCAATTGATACTTTGGTGTTCACCACGAAATCTGATGTTTGGTCGTTTGGTGTGACGATTTGGGAGATTTTGGCGTATTGTTCCAGCGATCCGTTTCCTGGTTTAACAAATGCGGAAGCGAAGGATATTATTCGAACAAAAAGTCCACCAATGGATGCACCAATTGATACACCAAAACATATTGCCGCAATTATGTATGATTGTTTTGCCAAAAAACCGGAGTTTCGCCCGAGTTTTATGGAGATTTTGAAGAAATTATCGCCGGATGAAGATATTGAGGTGTTTAAGAGAAATACACCATTAGAACCGATTTCGTCGAAATCTGAAAGTGGAAGAAAACAAAAGAGGAAGAAGAAGTATGGAAGTTCGGGAAGAACTAGAGAAGATACCAGAGAGGATTGGTAAGATTTTTGATTTTTTTTTTTGCTTTAAACAAAATTGTTTTTTTAGATGGCTGTGATGAAGAGAATACGAGATCCTTTACCTTTTTTACATGAAGATTTTTATTTTTGAAAAAAATTAAATTTGAATTCGTTATTACTGTAATGTGAAGCACTAAAACGCCAAAATTTCAAATTTAAGTAATTTTCAACAAAATTCTCTTGAAAAAAATCCCGTGAATTTTCACAAAATTTTTACGTTTCACAAAATTTTCATAGAAATTTAGAAAAATCAATTTTTGATATTTTGATGCATAGGAGCTTTCAGCAAAAATACCCAATATTAGAATTGTCTGGCGCCAAAAATCAAGGAATACTGTCTGTAGCTCAAAAATATTTTGAAATATTTTTGCTCCAAAATTGCCACGTGGCACAAAAGCTACAAAAACCCCTAGGCTATAAAAAAATAAAATTTCAAATTTAAAATGTTTTTATTATGGGGCTATTCAGCGAAAAAAAAAATGTTTTCTCAACGGGAGAAAAGCGGAGAAAACCTATTCAAGTCGGTTGAGAAAACATAAAAATCAAACACTTGAAACACACAAATTGCGACGAGACCCAACGAAAAACAACATGTTCCTTTAAGATACTGTAGAAAATCGCAACGGGACCAATTTACAGTAATGCAAAAGGTCAAAGGAACATGTTGTTTTTCGTTGGGTCTCGTCGCAATTTGTGTGTTTCAAGTGTTTGATTTTTATGTTTTCTCAACCGACTTGAATAGGTTTTCTTCGCTTTTCTCCCGTTGAGAAAACATTTTTTTTTTCGCTGAATAGCCCCATTATCGTAATTAATTCAACTTTGCTTGGATCACACAATATAAGGAATATCTTTGAACTTTTCTGTCTCTTTTGGTTGATTTTTATAATTTTTTGCAAATAAAATTATTATTTGGTACGGTAGAATTCAAAGGAACATTGAAAACACACAGGGTCTCGATAACCCGCAAATATTTTATCTTTTCAAAAAAAAAATTGTTTTTTTGTTCTCGAAAAAAACACGTGAAAAACGTGTAACGCTGCTGGAAAAACCCATTTTTGGATTATCTGAAGCAAGAATAAGGTGAGTTGGTTTTTCAGGTCGAGTTTTGATGAAAATCAAAGCATTTTTCAGGGAAAATCGAGAAAAGTCGAAGAATTACTGCAAATCTTGGTGGAAATCGCTGAAATGTCTTGATTGGAACAATTTTCGATTCGAAAAATGCATAGAAAATCCAAGATTTGGAGAAGCTGGTATTTTTTTGGGTTTGATGAAGGATTGTTGAATTGTTCTAGCTGGTAAGTCAATATTTTCCTGATTTTTCTTGAAAAAATGCATTTATGAACCAAAATTCAGCTCTAGCCCAATTAAAATTAAACTTGGTTCATTTTCGAGCCAGCTTATGTTAATCTCATTACACAAATACACTTTTTGCCCAATAAAAGTAATAATAATAAAATAGAAGTGAACAGGAAGAATGTGAAATAAATAGTAGAAGGGGGCAACCGGATACTAACCCAATTATTATTTGTTATTTAGTTGAGTTGTGTATATTAGTTACATTTTGAGCTCAACTCATGACTGCTCAGAGCTCACATCAGAGCTATACTTAATTTTTTATCTGAAAGTGCCTGGAAATTTTGGAGCTCTCAAAGCTCTGAGCCCCAATACTAATTGTAAATTTCTTTCTTATTTATTTTTCCTTCTTCGGATGCTAATTGCTCATGACAAGTAGAAATAGCACATCTTCTTCTTCTTCTTTATAAACACATGTGCCGTTTTTTCTGGGGCTCCGGACCAGCCTAATTATGCACTTGACACATTTGTGTGTTTTAAGAAGTGTGAGAAATTGAGCGGCTGTTTGGTGGGAGGCTGGTGCCAGAAAAATATTCGGAAAATTCTGGTTAGAATGTCTAGGAGAGGCTGCGTGACATAGAAGATCTCAAGGCGCTGATCCTTAAAAATTAAATTTTCTCGAAGCGGCTGCTTGACAACTAGGATATATAGGCTTGGCTACTTGACATAGGAGCTCTCAAGGCGCGGGTCCTAGACTATTTAGTTTTCTAGGCTCGGCTGCTCGACAAATAGGATTTATAGGCTTGGCTACTTGACATTGAATTTCTCAAGGCGCGGCTCCTAGACTATTTAGTTTTCTAGGCTCGGCTGCTTGACACATGAGTCAAAAATCTTCTCATGATCTTTGCCACGTCATAACTCATGTTAAAAGTTGAGATTCGCCTATTTTTGACTGCAAAATATATTTCATAAAAAAATCCCTATATGAAATTCGAGAACATGTTGCAAATCTCCCTGAGAAACTACCCACACCTGACGAGAGAGTGTCCCAAATTTTTTGTGCAGTGTGAAAATTTTTTTCAAAAAAAAAAATGTGCAGCGTGAAATTTTTAAATTTTTCGAAAAAAAAAACTCCGCGGGCAGGAGGATTCGAACCCTGGTCTCATGATCGACAGTCTAAAATGCTAACCTCTCGGCCACATCTCTCTTTTCTCCCGAGGGGAACATGTTGTTCACACACACTTCGCCCTCCTATACTTGAAAGTATATTTTTGTATATTTTATACATAAAGTCTATTTTTTTACACGTTGGGTATACTTTTTCAAAAAGTATAAAATACGTGTAAAATTTTATCATCAATAAATCCAGTTTTTTGATTCCAGACTGTTTGATGATATCAAAAGGACACATTTGACTAATTTTCGCCTAAGGTTTTCACACTATAAAGTGGTGATTCGAAAGTTTTCGCAAAAGTATACTTTAAGTATATTTTTCAGTATACTTTCAAAAAAAGTAAATTGGCCTAGAACATTTTTTTATCACAGACCGCTGGAAATCGCATGAATCGCGAAAATAACAAAAATCTCAAAAAAGCGATAAGCCACGCCCATTTTACACGTTAAACATAGCACCTCGCACAACCCGCGAGGTGTCCGTCACTCAATTTATATAAGTAGTGGGCGCCACGAGGAGGAGGGTAAATCATATTTTATGATTGAAACGCCATTTTTGTGCACCAAACTTGGTTTTCCGCAAATTTTGAACAACTTACAGTCGTGTAAAAGCTGTTTGAGCAATTTACTAAATTTACAAAAAACTCCTAAAGATGTTTCTCGATTTTCCCAAAAATTCACTTTTTTATCCAAAAAAGTATACTTTTATTTATGCCATAGCATATTTCAAATGTACTTATAGTATATCAGTGCGAAAATCGCTGATTTTATTTTAAATACACTTAAAGTATATCCTGGCGAAGTGTGTGTGTTGGAAAGGAAACTGTTTTTAAACGAATGCGTTGCAACATTGCTCAAATTTTGAAGTTAGGATAACTAAGCTTAGGCTTAACGGATAAGGTTGATTTTTTTCCGATAGATTGGTAAGGTCATAGGCAGTGTGGAACACCATGAGTGCAGTGTGAAAATGCCCTATTTCCGCTGTTATTTTGGAGTGTCCATTTCAATGGTAAATATGGACATTACAAAGAATCGGGCGGCATTTTTTTCCGAGCACATATCAAGGGTTGGTATATTCAGAAAGTTGGTGTATTTTTAAGCGTAGTTCTCGAATTTACCCATGTGCAGTGTGGAATTTGAAGTTTTTCCATAGAAAGTCAATTTTTTTGAAATTTTAGTGACACTATGGTTTGCTAAGCAGTCACGTAAATTCCACACTGCACATTAAGTTACTACACTAAAACGAAGTCTGCTGAGTTGATTTTCACCGAGAAACTTCGAAAAATTAGCAAGCTGAAGTTGTTTTTGAAGTTGAGCAAAAATAAAAAAAAGTTTAGTTCGAATGAAGATTCGAACCTGGGCCTACTGAACACTAGCAAAATGGCCTACCACTGAACTAAATTCGCATTTATTTCCCCAGGTTAAATGTTGGTGAAAAGGAAACAAAGTTATTTTTCGAAAAAAAATGCAGTGTGACTTTTGAAAAAAATGTACAGTGTCCATTTTGGACACGTCTCGTCAGGTGTGAAACTACCGTATGCGCCTTTAGTCCTTTTCTCCTTTCATTTTTTGAACCCCAAAAGAAGCCAGCTAATTGTTTTTGCTCTTTTTCCTGCTCCTTGATCGATTTTTTTCCAGCCATTTTTTTTTTTTTGGTAGACTTCAGGCTATTTTTTCCTGCAATTTTTTTTAATAAAAAAATTTCTGATAGAACATTTTGTCAACCCAGATATCTAATAAATGAATATCTTTTTCCTTCTCTTCGTTTTCTTCCTCGAAAAAAAACCTGCATCTCTGCGTCTCTCACTTTCCCCCACTCTCTCGTCGCTTTTTTTTTGGTTTTCGAGTTCTTTTTTCCTTATTCGCCGTTTTTCTTTTCTTTGCATATACGTACATCTATTTCTTTTTGGACTTTTTTATGTAAAAAATATTTTTCCTCCCAAAATTCTTCAATTAGATATTTTTCCAGTTGAACAAACTCGTTTATTTGTTTTTTCAAATTTTTTTGTGAATTTTTTTTTTTGCGTTACGAATTTTTCAGCTGAAAATAGAGAACTCTACTCCACTTGAGATGAGCCAAAAAATGGAGAAATTGAATTATTCCCGTCCGTCCGCGCGCGAAAGAAAGTAGAAGTATGCGGAAATTTGATTTTCCGCACACTTACTCATTTGTAGTACACATTTTTGAGCGAGGAACTTTTTTTTCGTATTATTTTTGGTCTGGAATTGGCTGCGTACGTTTGATACTCATCTGAAAATTGGCTGCGTCATTTTTCAGCCTGAAAATATACGTTTCAAATTTTTTACTTCACAAATTTGCGAAATTCAAAAAATTAATCGGGTTCTCGCTTTTCCCAAAAAAAAATCGGCGTTGAAAAATTAAAATTTAAAATTCGCCGCGTGCGTACTCAGCTAGTTTCCCCCTTCTCCGAGGTACTGTACGTTTTTGCGCGTAGTGTTTGGTGTTTGCAGAATTTTACTGATTTGTATCACAATTTTTGCAGCTGCTACATAACTAATATTTTTTATTTCATATACTATTTTTAGACAGATTCCATCTGGCCCATTACAAAAGTCGTTACTTTTTCCTACTTTCAAAAAAGTTTTTTGAAAGTACAAAAAATTCTAGAAAAAATAGTTTTCCCCCAAAATAACTAGAATTTTGGGTCGCTACTTTTTTTCCGAAATTTTTTTTCAAAATTCGAATTTTCAATCTCTCCCCTGACGATTTTGTTGTTTAGCCGTTCAAATATTTGTTTTCGCTTCTACCTATTATTATTATATTATACACAGTACATACATAATACAAAAATAACATTTACATAATACATTGCGTATTATGTGGAGATTTTTGAAAAATAAATATTAGTTAGAACAATAGAGATTCTTGTGAGATGAATTCACGAATTTCTTTTTTTCCTCTGGGAGAACAGGGGAATTTTTGGCGGGCTTTTAAATTTTGTTCAAAACGTTCTAAATTTCTATAAAAATCCCTGAAAACCCTGAAACCCCGCGCAAAAAAACCAGAAAAAAATCAATATTGTCCGAGAGAAATACACAAAAATGCAAGCGGCATTGTGGAGTGTCGTTGTTTTCTTTTTTTCTTGTTTTCTTTTTTGAAAAGGGTTTTGGAGTATTTTAAGCGGTTAAAGCTTGCATTGCTCATATTATACTTTATCATCTTCTCTCTGCGTCTCTATTTCTCTATCTCTATCCCTCCATTATTATTATCAAAAAATAAAAAAGTGGGCGTGGCCTCTGACCTCTCTCCTCCATCTCCATCTTCTTTTTGTTGGTGTCTGCTGCTCGTTGTTTTTTTCCCGCCACACCCCAAAACCACTTGTCCGCCTTTTTGCTTTGGTGTAGTTTTTTCTTCCTTGTTGCTACTTTTTTTATTATATTTTGTTTTTCTTCCTTTTCTAGTGGATAAAAATAAGCTTTATCAGTTGAAAGTAGCATGATTAGACAGTACGGTAGGAGACCCTGTAGATCTTACTTGATTAGAAACGCAGGTTGTACTATTTTTCTGAAGCGTGGTCCTTTAAACTGCGAAATTTTAAGCGCGTGCGGTTTTCAACGCGGCTGTGGATAAAGATACCAAAACTACAGTCTAGTATGATACTATCTAGGGTTCAAACTATACACTTTTTTGGTTTATCAATTGTCAGACGTCATACTAGACTATAGTTTTGTCTTATTCTTATTTACAGTATGTACTGTGAGCTGACACAAAGCCAATTTTGATTCTGAAGCGTTTTTTCTGAAGAAACAGGCTCTCAAGGCGCTGATCCTTGACAACTAGGATTTGACGGCTCGCCTGCTTGACAATAGAATTTTCAAGGCGCCGGTCCTTTACAATTTGAATTTCTAGGCGCGGCTCCTAGCCAGCAATTTTCTCTAGGCTCGGCTACTTGATAATCTAGGGATTTTGTTGATCTAAAAAGTTCAGAAAAATATTTTTCGAATTTTTCTGCTGCTCTACACATCGCACAAAGAAAAATATCCACATAAATATTGGCTCAATTTCATGTCCACATGCAATCAATTGCTCTTTTTCTGCTCTTTTTTTGTTGTATATGTTATTTATGCGCCATTTTTTGGCGCCAAATATATCTATTTTCACCTGTCATTGTTCCCCAAACATCTGCACTTTCTTTTCGCATTTAAAATGCCGTGTACTTTTTTTTGAATTTTTTTTATTAGCGAGGCGGCTCATTAATATGCACGCCAATTATAAATTATCCAAGCCATTCTTAATTGCTTTCCTTTTTCTTTTGTTTGTTTTGCGCAAAGGGAATTGCTCATATTAGTTACATTTTTGAAAAATGAACGACACTCCGCATTTACACTGTTTATAATTTTTATTTGCTCAGCTTCTCATTAAAAATGATATTTTTCCTTCTTTTTTATTTCAAATATTTACTTTTCACTTTTTTTTTCATTTCAGACTCGAGAAAACCAATTTATCTACACTTATGTGCTGCCACCATCGCCATTTTTGATGCGTTTTCAAATATTTGTTCTCATTTCGGTGTCATTTTGTTGTTGGGTGCCGTTTGGTGAGTGACAGAATGAAAATGGGCTGGGACACAATTTGGAGAGAAATTTGAAATTGAACAGGGAAAAAGCGCCCCAGTGAAGTTTGTGTTTTCTTGTGGCAATTTCAAATGTTTTTTATGTGGTACCTTTCCTTCATGCAAACAATGCAAGTATTATTATACATTATTGTCAAAACCCATCTTCTTCTATTTTCTATTTCCTCTAATACCCCCCTGGATTACCTCACCATCTGTTTCGAACCAGCCGACACCAATCGGAAAAACGAAAATAGATGGGCAACTAATTTCTCGTCTCTCACTCTCTTACGTAATAAAATTATTGTTTTGAGGCTACACATCTGCTCATTAAAATTTTCAAAAGAAAACAAAAAGTTTACGCGGGCGGTGGGGCTCGACATACATAAAATGGGTCCCCAAATTCGGTGCGGGGGGCTTAACTTTTTCGAAATTTTTTAAGGGAAGGGGGTCTAACTTTGATGAATTACATAATTTCTGTTTTTTCAGAGTCAAAGTCCAACTGGAATTTTTTTTGTAATATTTTTTATTTGTAAAAATATAACATTTTATTATTGCTTTATAAATAATCTGCAACTCGATCGGCGTTGGCAGAGTCTGTCCCAGAAGAACAAATGTATATAAACAAGTAGCTTGTTTAATTTTTTTTTGCAACGGATTTGGAAACTCCAAAAATCGCCTTCATCATTAAAAACCTTGAAAACACAGTTGGAACTGGACTGAATTTGTCGATCGATTTTGAGTTTTTCTTTTTCTACCAACCTCCATTTGCCACTTTCTACAAAATTCAGCTCAATGAAATTCTATTGTTTTGCTTCAAAAACTTCAATGGATTTTTTGTTTTCTGATTCTACAAAAGCCGATTTTCTCAATCTGTCACTGGAACTCGAAATCTCGACGGATTATTCAAAAACTGAACAAAAAACATCAATTTTGTAAACAAAACTCAGGTATGTTATGATGGGAAAAATAAGGGAAAAATTTGAAAAAAAATCAAAAAAAAATTTTTTTTTTCTTCAAAATTTTTTTTCACCAAGAATTTTTTTGGAACTACTTGACCAAACATGGTGATATTTGGTACAAAAGATACTTCAACTATCCTAGATCTAAGTTTAATAGACAATGTTCTCTGATTTTGCACCTCCCGTCTTTTCACCACCCCCTCTTTGTCAAAAATCACGATTTTTGGTCAATTTCATGCATTTTCAGATCCTAATTCAATTTTTACTTCACCAATTCTAGTAAGACTTGGCACAAAGTAACTTCAACTATTGTTCTTCAAAATCGAAATGATACATGGGTAGTAAATTGCGTTTTCAGACACTTAGACACCCCGAACCTAATCCGGTGCGTATGGCCCCAAAAGAGGGGCGGGGTGTCTAAGTGTCTGAAAACGCAATTTACTACCAATGTATCATTTCGATTTTGAAGAACAATAGTTGAAGTTACTTTGTGCCAAGTCTTACTAGAATTGGTGAAGTAAAAATTGAATTAGGATCTGAAAATGCATGAAATTGACCAAAAATCGTGATTTTTGACAAAGAGGGGTGGTGAAAAGACGGGAGGTGCAAAATCAGAGAACATTGTCTATTAAACTTAGATCTAGGATAGTTGAAGTATCTTTGTACCAAATATCACCATGTTTGGTCAAGTAGTTCCAAAAAAATTCTTGGTGAAAAAAAATTTTGAAGAAAAAAAAAATTTTTTTTTGATTTTTTTTCAAATTTTTCCCTTATTTTTCCCATCATAACATACCTGAGTTTTGTTTACAAAATTGATGTTTTTTGTTTAGTTTTTGAATGATCCGTCGAGATTTCGAGTTCCAGTGACAGATTGAGAAAATCGGCTTTTATAGAATCAGAAAACAAAAAAATCATCGAAGTTTTGGAAGAAAGTCACAGATTTTTAAAGTTGAAGCCTGCAGTTTATAAAACGTGGAAAGTCACGGAATTTTCGGCAGATTAAGAAGAAAAACTCAAAGTGGTTTATCTACAAAATTGTTCCATGTTATAGTTCCAACATAAGTTGATATCCATTTCCAGAGTGATAATTGATAAAGCCTCTCTCATTTTTTAAAAGAATAAATGAACAAGCGACTTGCATACATTTGTCCTTTTTTGAGCCAAACTCCGACAATGCCAATCAAAATTCAAATTATTAAAAAAGCATTAACAAAATGATACATTTTTACAAATGAAATATACATTACATAAAAAATTCTTTTAAAAAATGAAAGGAAAAAATCCGATTCGATTTCGTCTCTGAAAAAATTAGATTATATGGGAAGGAATATAATATTTGAGAATGGGCAGTGCTGAAACAGTAGATTCTTGAGTTTTGAATTTGTCTGATTTTTGTCAAAAATTTTTTAAATCTTTCGAATATAGTTCAAAAGTTAGAGGAAAGGGGGGGGTTAACTTTTGAAAAAATTTTGGGAGGGGTGCTTAACTTAAAAAATTTACGTGGGGGACCTATTTTATGTATGGGGCTCGAACCCGGCTCTTTTTCAAAACTCGGAATTCAAAGCGACTAACCACTAGGCCAACTTTTTTCATATTCCAAAGGTACTATTAAAATTGTTTTGAAATTGAGACAAATAGTGACAGATTGACAGATTGCTCATGTTTAAAAATAATAACATGAGCAATAATTATAGGTTGTCCGAGAGAACTACACCAGAAATTGTATATTTTATTTCCTTTTTTTGAGCAACGAAGGGGGAGAAGAAAAGTTGGCATTTTGCATTTGCTAATCACGCTCAACTGACCACAAGAGAGTTCCGGAAACTTTTCGATTTTTTGGAGCAAGAAAAATTTGCTCTGTTCGAAAATAAAGGGTTTTGGGGGAAATGTAAAGGGATTACAGGTTTCAAAAATATTTTTGAAAAGTGGAGAAATTGGAAACTCTAATATTGACCGGTACAAGTCAGTTCGGAAATCACACGGGAAAAATTTTGAAGTTCTAACAAAAAAAAACACATGGAGCAATGGGGCGAACATTGCTCTCTGAATAAAAAACAAATTTTGAAGAAAATGTACGAAATCCTCTCATGAACTAAATTTTTTATTCAATTTTCATGAAAATCATTCATTCTGTATTCTATATTTTTGCCACGTCATAACTCATTTTTTTAGCTATGAGTTATGCAGTTTTTGACAAAGGAGTCGTGATCAGCAGATCAAAATCTACTAGAAAACAGATTTAATTAGAAATCTCGTTCAAATTTTAATCTGCAACATCCCCATTGTCAGTAGGGCACACATTCTCCCCTCCACACATTTTTATTTTTTCAAAATTAATTTTTATTTTCTGCAGTTTGCTCCGAATGCACTGATGTCTCGTTCGCCGCCGCCTCCAACTCCAAACTCGACGGTCTCAAAAGAATCACCCGAATCGCAGTCAGCGGCCACATTTCGGCGTATCATGTCAAAATTCGAATTGGCCAAGAAGATGACTATCACATTTTGAGGACACAAAACGGAAATGCGTTGGTGGGTTTTCTTATTTTATTTTTGACTGGCGCCTAACAGATTGCCGCCGTCGCCGACAAAATAATGAATTCCCCTGGGCCCCCAGGCAGCTTCTTTTCATGTTTGATGCGAGCGAATTGAAAATTGCCTGGGAAATTTTCAAAAAAAGATTTTGTTGCAGGTTTTGTACTCGACACTGTCAAACACTCCCTCTTGGACACACGTCGATGTTTTGGCGTCGCAAATCAAGATTTCGCCAGCCTTCTCGCAAGTTGAGGAGGATATTCGAAGTCCGTTGTTGGTGTTGACGGTTTGCGATTATGGTGAGTGGAAACAGAGACAATCAAATTTGCTCTATCGCAATTTCTGTGTGTACTTCTCGAGGAATTGGAGCCCCTAAAAGAGTCGAAATTTTGATAGGGAATATTATGAATTCCGAGAGAAGTACACGCAAAAATAAATTTTGTGTGCGATAGAGCAAACTTGATTGACTATGTTTCATTTGTTGATTGATTTAGCACAAGTTCTTGTTCATTTTGGAGCTTTGAAGCAGTTTGGGGTAAATTTTGAGCTCACGAACATTTTAAAGAGAATTTTAAGATAAATTTGAGCTCCTGGAGTGATTTTTGAGCTCACGGACATTTTTTTTAGAGAATTTTGAGCTAAATGTAAGCTTCTGGGGTAGTTTTTGAACTCGCGAACATTTTTTTAAGAAAATTTTGAGCTAAATTTAAGCTCCTGGGATAATTTTTAAATCTTCATCAATTTTAGGTTCTTTGAAAATGTGATAATTCAAGTTTGACCTAAAATTTAGGAAACTTTTCTAGTTTTTTTTTCTAAACCACACAATTTTTCCATCGTTTCCAGAAACCCAAATCATATCATTCGATGATTCGCCATTCACAATCGACACTCATCAATCTGGCCTCGTCTCAATGTACGAAAACGATCTCCTCATCCAATTTCGAACCTACAGATCAGGCATTTTCTTCTTCTCAATGGCTGATCAAGGAGATGTTCTCATAGCTCAAATCATTCGAGGAACCATCCATGTCATATTCGATTTCGGTTCGCTGACTCCTTCGAAAATCTCCGGAGGAAAAGCGTTGGATGATGGACAATGGCATGAAATGCGATGGTTGCATCAATTCGATTCGGTTCAATTATCGATTGATGGAGTTATGCTAAATCAAACGGCACCAACTGGATTGTATCGAAAATTGGATCTGCATAATATTGTGAGTTGCGGTAACTTGATATCTTGCTAATCTCCTTTTGCGGGTGCAGTTCCCATAAATAAATAGAGTTAGTTTGTTCAACTAAGTAAGAGGATTAATAATTGATAGAAAAACAAGGGAGGGATTTTTCGGAGCTAGCTGAAAAATGAGAAAAGATTATGAATTTCTAAAAACTTTTCTAGGATTCCGAATTGCCTCAAATTTCAAAACAAAAAAAATCCAACATCAATTTTCCTTCCAGGTTCACATCGGCGGTCGACCAAGCGATGATTTCTCTGCAGGAATCGAAACCAGTTTCACCGGATGTATGTCACGAGTTCAACTAAATTCAATAGATTTACTCGAACTCGCCCCAGCTGATAATCATTCGCCGTGTCTTATGCCAAAACCGCCATCATTTACCCTTCTCAATGATTCACGTGCAATTATTCCTTTTCAATTTCTACCATTCTCTTTTGAATTCCGTCTAGTTCCGAAATCTGGCAGTTTGGTGACACTTTTTGATGCGACAAATGGGACTTTGGTTGATGTGATTATTGATGAAAATATGAAAATGCATTTGATTAGTAATATTACAAAGTTTCGGCAAATTGCGAATCCACGTGGGTTTTTTTTTGTTAATTATGTTAATTAAAAATCTAGCGCTATTTTTCACCCGAAAAATATACGTTTCAAAATATAGACTTCTTCAATTTTAGAGCTTCAAATATTAATAATTCGATCAAATTTATTTTTTTGCCCGAAAAATTTACGTTTCAAAATAAAATCCTCACATTGATTCTCACATGCAAAATTGTTTGAAGTTCTTCCTAGAAGCCTAATAGTAATCTCAAAAACTAAAATTAAATTCAGTATGTTGAATTTAAGCCTAAGCCTAAGCCTAAAACATTTTAAGGTCTTAAAAATGGCTGAAAATTGAGCCTAAAAATAAGGCATAAATATTTCAGAATGTTGAAATTTGGGCCTGAGAATTGAGGCTAAAAAAATCCCAAAATTTTCCAGAAATCGATGTTTCCAACGGTGCCTGGCACAGTTTCTCGATCCGAATTCGCGGTGCTCGAATGGAAATCGACATCGACGGCTACACAGTCTTGTGGCTCGAAGGTCACGAAGTTCGCCGCGTCTCCCAACTCCTCTCCAATTTCATTCTCTCACAATCGGGTTGCTATCGAAGTGCCACAATTGATTTGCAACAAGTTCGAGTCGACGGCGAGGTGACACGTGGCAATTGTGGATATCAGGAGAAGTGTCTGCCGAATCCGTGTGAGAATCGAGGACAATGTCAACAATCCGCGCTGGATGATTATGTTTGTGAATGTCGCAGTGGTTATAAGGGAAAGAATTGTCATACTAGTAGGTTTTTTGGGAATTGAGTTATGACGTGGCAATCTTTTTTCCTCGGAAAAAATTCAGGGAAATTTTCCAAAGTTGAAAATTTGAATTTATCATAAAAACGCGGTGAATTCAATGGAGCGAATTGGCTATTTTCAATTGATTTTCGCCCCAAAATAGCTGAATTTTGAGTTATGACGTGGAATTTTTTTTTGCTGGAATTTTTATGGGAAATGAGACAAAGTTACCCGAAATTTAGGAATTTTAGAAAATTAAACAAATTTCAGAGAAAATTACTTCTGACTTTTGAAATATGACGTGGCAAATTTTTTTTCTGGAACTTTGAGCTCAAAATTTGCATTTTCAGCATAAAAATTCACGATTTTTGGTTTAAAATACATTTTCTGAAGAACCAGATGTTTTTTTTGTGAATTTTTACCATAAAAATGAAATTTTCTGAAATTTTCAAAACAAAAAGCTAAAACTGATGTTTTGGGCTTCAAAAATATATTTTTAAAAATTATAATCGCTCCTCAAAATATCCCAAAAAAATCCAGCGCTTGAATTTTTGGAAAATCTAGCAGTTAAAGTTGCCAGAAAAATTATTTATTTAATTTTTTGAAGTCCAAGAATTCTCAAAGTTTTGAATAATTCAAATTCAGACTGATTTTTCACTATTTAAAATTCCCTAAATAAAATAAAATGCTCAAAATTCCAGCCGACACCCCCCACAGTTGCGAAGAATGGGCTTTCACCAAAGGCAACAAATTCAAAGCGATGAAAGGTGCTCAAGTCCTAATCGACATTGATGGCGGTGCAAAAATGGCGCCAATCAATGTGACGTGTAAAATGGAACGAGATGAGCTGGGTGTGGATGGAATCACGACGATTTTATCGCATGATTTGAAGCGGCCAATGATTGTGACGGGGGATAATAAACCCGGACAGGTAGGGAGCGATCTCAAGTAGTTTCTCTACATCTCTCATCTCTCTTCAGGTCCGACACTCTCTCGCCTATGGCATTTCAACTGATCAAATGGATCGACTTGTCGAGGGATTCGAAACTTGCTCGCAATTCATGCGATACACGTGTCGAGGCGGGGTTCGATTGATGACGCAAGGAGAGGAGCGAAGTCCGTCGAGTTGGTATTCGACACGGTCCGACAAACATGGATTGCAATGGGGAGAAGCGCCGCCGTATTCGAGGTGGGATATTTTCAACAAAAAAATGAGAAAATGATTTTTTGACACGTGATTTTTCACGTGAAAAATATCCAATTTTTCATTTCAAAATTAATTTTTCCTTATTCTTCCAGAATGTGTAGTTGTGCCATCAATGGTTCTTGCCTCCACAATCGAATGTGTAATTGTGACTCTGGCGAAGACGCTACTGACGAAGGCGTCAACTCGTATTCTCAACTTCTCCCTGTCACTGGACTTTTCCTTGGTGGAACCACTAAAAGTTCGAGCATTGAAGTTGAAATTGGCCCGTTGAAATGTCGAAATCGCGCCACTTTTGAGTCGATCACATTTTCGGACCGAAATGCGAAACTCAGCGGAGTTCAAAGTTTCAGCGGGCGGACTTTCGATGTGTCGATGCATGTAAAGTTTTCGCACTCGCAAATTTCGATTTTGGGATGGTATTCGACGGATGATTTGCATTGGTTTCATCTTTATGTTAATGGTGAGGCGTTGAATCTCTCAAGGCGCAGCTGCTTGAAAAATAGGCTCTCAAGGCGCGAGTCCTTGAAAACTAGAATTTCTAAACTTGACTCCTTCACATTGCCACAGTGAATCTCTAGGCGCGGGCCCTAGACAATTAGGTTTTTTAGGATTAGCTACTTGACAACTAGGATTTCTAGGCTGAGGCCTTCAAATTTCGATTACAGTTTTCACTTTTGAAAATCAGGAAAGTCATGTGATTTTAATCAATTACACCAAATTTTTAGCAAAGAATGTTCCGAAAATTTCGAAATCTTGAATGTCGAAATTCCTGGTCTGAAGTTCAACATCTAGAATTGCCATAATAAAAACACTCAATCATTTCTAAGGCTAAAAATGATAAATCGTGGTTTCGGAGTTACTTCGAAATCAAAAATCATTTTTTTCCAATTTTCAGATGGCAAAATAGTTGGTGAAGTTGTAAACGGCGGCGAAGCTCAACAAATCGTATCAGACAATCGATATGATGATGGAATGTTTCATTCGATTTATTGGGAAGCTGATGAAACATCAATGTATTTGAAAGTCGATGGAATTCGAAAATCAATCAAACACTCTTTTGTTTTGCCAAATGTTTATTCGTGGATAATTGGATCGAGGACTGAAAAAGGATCGACTGGTTTTGCTGGAGTTATTCGAAATGTTTATTTGTGTGGTGTTGAATTGCCGGTTATACAGTATGCGAGGAAAAGTGTTGGTGGAATATCGATTGGTGATGATGGGTATTGTAGGTTGGTGGATTTTGAAAATTGAATTTTCAATAGAAAAAGTGAAATTTTTAGACCCAAAATTTCCCAAAAATATTAATTTTCAACCGGGGTTACTGTACCCTGCATATCTAACTTATTGAATTTCGAATCTTCGTTTCTTTAGCGCGAAAAAAAATATATTTGATTTTTTTAAACTTCAAAAACTGTAGCGATTTGAAAGTGCATAAATCTACTTTTGAAAATTTTAGCGCAAAAAATTAGCATGTTCCTTTAAAAACCTACAGTACCTCTCAATTTGGAATTTTCGGATTTTTTTCTGAATTCAGGCCCAGAAAGAGTTAGGCTAACTAATTTTTTTTAATTAAAACAAATTTTTTCTCAGAAAATTTCACTGTTTAAAAAAATTGACAAATATTTTGGGAACTCTTGAAAAATCAGTGCTTTTCAACAAAATTTTTTCAGAAAATTTAGAAAAAAAATAATTTTTCATTAATCTTGAATCATCAGGCCTTTAATCTCTATTTGTTTAATTTTCAGATTTTTTTTCTGAATGTAGGCCTAGAAAGAGTTAGGGTAACTGAATTTTTGAACAAAAATTAAAAAAAAAGTTTCTCATTGTCAGAAAGTTTCACTGTTTCAAAAAATTGACAAATAATTTGGGAATTCTTGAAAATTAGTGGATCAAAAAGTGTTGAAAATCATTTTCGCTTAGCAAAATTCAAATTTTCCAGACCGGATTTGTGCCAAAACGGCGGAAAATGCGTTGATAAATATGATGGATATGTGTGCGATTGCTCTTTGACACCATTTGGTGGAACTGATTGCACCAAAGAATATGGAATGATGATCCCATTGGGTTCAACCATCCAAATTCCATGGCAAAATCCGGCGCATTCATCGAATTGTCATCGAATCGCAATTCAAACCGCAAGTCGAAATGTGTCGATTTTGAGAAGTGTTTCGCTTTTTGGAGAGGCTACTTTTAATATGACGTTGGATGAAGATGGTGAGTGTGATTTTAGAGGAGAATTTTCATCAAAATTTGCCACGTGGAAGTTTTTGGAATGATTTTTGGTCTCAAAAATTGCGACGTGGCCAAATTTTGATTTGAAAAATACAAAATTTATTTCTGAAATTTTTGGGATGATTTTTGGTTTCAAAAATGATTTTTTTTTTCAAATATAGAAGACAATTTCGAAACTTGAGCCAAAAAAACTGCTGAAAAATCCAAATTTTTATCGAAAAATGTTGACTGACATTTTTGAGATGTTCCAAAATTCAAAATAAAATGCCACGTGGCAAATTTGCTTTTTTTGTATTTAAAAAATGAATCTGAGAATTTTGACCAGAAACTTTTTGATTAAAAAAAAGCAAAATTTCAAATCGGAGCAAATTTCTCACATGAAAAGTTTTTTCGTGATTTTTGTAGCCCAAAAAAAATCACTTTTTTCTCTCAAAAATTGCCAGAATTTTCGCTCAAAACAAAAATAAAATTTTCAGAATTTAGGCCAAAAAACTGTTGAAAAATCCACGTGGAAAAATTTTCTCATTTTTCCAGGTTATTTGAATATGAACGCTTACGACGGAATATTTTTCCACTACTCCCGCCTCTCAAAACGACAAAATTTGAGCGACGACATCATGCACGACATTTCGTTTTGCTCCTCAAAACATCATTTCAATTTATCGATTGATGGCATGAATATGGTATCGATTGATGGAAATTGGACATTTTTCGACAGTTTGAATAGTTGGAATTATTTGGACACGGCATTTGAGGGATGTGTTTCGAGAATTCAGACGGGCGTCAGTTTTCCGCTCAAAAATCCGAAAGCGAATCGATTCAATTATTCCGGAAAGATAAGATTTGGTGTATGTCCCGTGGAGGCTGTGTGAGTGTTTTTTAGGATTATTTAATTCCACGTCATCAATAATTTTGCAGAAGTCGCCAAAAAATGTACGATTTCCATCCTGGTCCAATGACAACATCAACATTGTCGACGTCGACTTCGGATATTCGGATTTTCTCGATTTCCCAGCATAAACAGAGGATTGTTAGCATAGCTAGTGAGTTTTTAAAGGAACATGGGGTTTTTTGGGGGAAATTTTTCATCAACCAGAAACTTCGCATTAATATGAGCAATCTTTTTCATTTTTCGAATTCGAGAGTTAGGCTAACTGATTTAAAACAATTTCAACAAAAAAGTTTTCTCAGAAAAATTCACTGTTTCAAATTTTGAAAAATTTTGAAATTCAAAAAATTGACAAATATTTTGGGAACTTTTTTTCAGAAAATTTAGAAAAAAATATAATTTTTCATCAACCAGATGTCTCACATTAATATGAGAAATCTTTCTAAATTTTTCCTGGATTTTTCGAATTTAACATGAGCAATCTTTTTGAAGATTTCGAAATCAAAATTTTCATGGCTAAGAAAATTCAAGGAAACCTGAAATTCTCAATTTTACAATCTAGAAATTTCGAAAAACTTTCTGAACCGTTTTTTTTCGGATCTCCAAGGCTTCCCAACGGCATTCGAGAATCCACAAGGCCCTATAAGCCCCTCAGGCCCAGTTCTATAACTCAAATCCTGTTTTTTGGATCCACAAGGCCCCCTGAGACCCCCCAGGCCCAACTCAAATCCCTCTTTCCAGCAATATCTGGCTGCTTCGTTTTGGCCAGCTTCATTGCCTGTATGCTTCTTCTTATCTGCTACATGCGTTCCCGTCCCGAAGGCGTCTACAAAACCAATGAAACTGGTGGCGAAATTATTGTTGGTGACTGTTCGCCAAGTCGAAGTGAAGAACCTCTAGTTGTACATAAAACTACTAATATGAGCAATAACAATAACAATAATGGGATTATGTATTCATCAGGGGGAAAAGAGTATTTCTGTTAAGATTTTTTCTTTTTTCAATTTTCTTACGGTTTTCTTGCTTGTTTCACTATTTCTTTTTCTTGTTCGAATAGTCTTTCCAATTTTTTTGACGGGTTACTGTATTTTTGACTAATTAATTAAAAAAATTGTTGTTATTTAATTAACACTGGATTATTACATCACAATACAGGTCAACAATGTGTGAACACTGGGGGAGCTTTTTAATTAGAGATTTCGGGGAGGAAGGGAGGGGGGGGTCAAAAAGTTTTGAGTTAGAGTCAGACGGCGAGGGAGGTTAGAGACGGAGAGGTTTGAAAAGGCTGGTTGTTAGAGGCAGACGGCTAGAGAAGGCTAGAGATGCAGAGACAGACAAAGAAAGCAGAGATGTAGAGTAGAGTCAGACGGCTAGAGAAGTTTAGAGGTTAAAGACGTCTAGAGTCTAGTTATGACGTGGCATTTCCTAAAGCAGGCTTCATGTTAGAGCCAGAAGGCTAGAGAAGGCTAGAGATGCAGACTGCTAGATACAGAGACGGAGAGTAGAATTATGACGTGGCATATCCTGAAGCAGTTAGAGTCCAGTTATGACGTGGAGTTAGAGTCAGACGGCTCGAGAGGTTAGAGAGACAGACATCGGAAGAAATATAAAGAAATTGAAATGCAGGCTTCTAGAAAAGCTAGAGACGCAGAGACAACCTTTGAAATACTGTGAAAGTCTGAAAATCCACATTTTCAGCTTTTATTTAGTTTTGGCGCCAAAAACAAAATTCAAAAAACGATATAATTTATTAACATAATTAAAAAAATCTTCAAAAAAAACTCTGATTCAACAAAAAATGTCAAAAATTTACAAACAAAAATGTGATGTCATGAAAATCTCTTTCCTGATCTCGAAAAAAAGCTTCAGCAGATTAACCGCTGCTCGAAAACACTGGATTTCCATCTTGATAGCTGGTTGGCACACGAAGCGGTGCGTTGTAGGCACGGCCATTGGCGAACACGGTGTCTGGAATTCCGATGGAACCGGATGAAGAGAGGGAGGAGGAGAAGAATCGTGGCGAGAAGAATCGTGGTGGTGGTGGTGGTGGGTAGAAGAAACGGCGACGAGCGCATCCTGGGCATCTTGGGCGGAAGAAATTGCAGCCGGAAGAGGAGCAGCCGGATGAGTAGGACTGAAAGATTTTGAGGGTTTTGAGACTAAGCTTGGGCTGACCGGCCTGAAGTTCGGCTAAATGTAAGCCTAGAAGTCTTAGCTTTCTAGAATTTTTCAGATCTGTTTCAGAAGCTTAAGAATTTCCAGAAGATCTAGAAGGTTCCTAGGGTTTAGATCTTCAGAATCGGGATTTTCAGAATCAGACTGATCTGAGCTTCGGTGAGGTTCACTTTGAAGTTCAAAAACTTTGTGGGAGCTTCTGAACTTTAGAAATATGAGATCTAGAGCTTTTGAAGATTTTTTAGAAGTTCTCAAGTGTTCTAGAAATTCTAGATCTTCTGATGTTCAAATAGGAAAGTTCTAGATTCTTGAGGTTTGAATTCAGAAGGTCTGCTGGACTTCTAGTTTCTAGATCTGTGAATTTCCAGTTGGAAAATCAGTAGATCTTGAAGGCAGAAATTCAGAATCTAGGTCTTTGTGATCTAAGAAGTTCGGGATTTTTCAGAACTCGAAAATCTGAAGATCAAAAACTTCAGAATTATCTAGGAGATCCTGAATTTCGTATTCTCAGAATTCTAGATCTTCTGATGATCCTTGAAGTTCAATTTTAGATGCTTCCAGAACTTCTGAAGTTCTAGATCTCAAATTTTTTTTTCCTGAAGTTCTTGATCAAATTCAGAATTTTTAGATTTTTCTAGACTCACTGGAATTCGGATAACTTTCACATTGCTCGATTGAATTGGAATAGTGATTGGCGCTTGAGTAGTTGTGGTCTGCAAAATGTCAATTTCAGCTTTCAGTTCAAAATTCCAGATTAAATTCTAAAACTCACAGTCGAGTCGTACGATGGGCAATTTCCAGTTGAGCACGGGCTTGCTTGAACTTGTTGTCCGCAGTTTCCGGTCGAACATGGGCTCTGAAACAAAAAAAGGTTGGCTGAGTATCTAACTAGGTACGCAGTGAAATATACTTACAGCTTGTTGAACTTGTTGTCCGCAATTTCCGGTGGAGCATGGGCTGACTTGAACTTGTTGAGTTTGTTGTCCGCAGTTTCCAGAAGCGCATGGGCTCTGAAGAAATTAAAAATAAAATTTGAATTCGGGCTTGGCTGAGTATCTAATGTGGTACGCAGTGAAATCAGAATCTTCGCTGAGTATCTAATGTAGACTCGGTAAAACTTAAGTCTCAGCTGAGTATTTAATTAGGTACGCAGCGAATTCAGAAGCTAAATTGGATACGCAGAGAAATTGAGTCTTGCCTGAGTATTTTAATCTTGGCTAGAATTTTGACTGAGTATCAAACTAGGTACGCAGCCAAATTTATGAATTCTGAATCTCAACTGAGTATCAAACTAGGTACGCAGCCAATTTTCCCCTCGCAAAACTCACAGATTGTTGAACTTGTTGAGTTTGTCCGCCGCAGTTTCCGGTTGAACATGGGCTCTAAAAAAATCAAAATTATTTTTCAAATTCAGAAGAACTTGGCTGAGTATCTAATTAGGTACGCAGCCAAATTTCTTTAAAACTCACAGCTTGAACTTGAGTTTGTTGTTGTTGTCCACAATTTCCAGTAGCACATGATGAGCTCTGAAAAAAATACAAATTTGAATTCGGAGTTGGCTGAGTATCTAATGTGGTACGCAGTGAAATGAACTTACAGATTGTTGTTGCTCAGGTTGGAAGACAATCTTAAGCTTGATCTGATCACTTCCATCTAAGTTGATAGTTTGTTGTGTTTGGCACGTGGCCAAGCCAAAAACAAATGCGGAGAAGATCAAAAATTTGGCGGACATACTGAAATTCAATTTTGAAATCGGGGAAAAAAGAGAAAAGCTCAGGTAAGTAAAAAATCAGAAGCAAAAGAAAAATGTATATTTTGTGACATTCCGGGAAGGCTTTTTATATAACTCATAGCCTGGGGGACGGCACGCAAAAAGTACAGTGCCACGTGGCTCCGCCTTTCCGCGCGCGCGCGTAGACTTTGTTTGCTCAAGTTGTGCGCGCACAAGTTTTTTTGCGAGTGAATCTTATTGTTGACCGGAAATACAGAGGGTTGAAAAACAATTAGATGAGTTTTGGGTTGAGTTGGGTGCGCGGAAGCTCGCGGAAACACGCGGAAAAGGGAATCATTTTGATCTACATGGTTTTTACATCAGCATCAGGTCAAGGAGCTGCGCGGAAACCGCATAATCCTGATGTCAGAAACTGTCTAGCTCAACTCCTAATATGAGTTGGCAAGGTTTTTAAAAAATAAGAATTCAGCGAACTCGAGTTCTTAGCCGTTCAAGACAAAAAACTTTCAAAATTTTCCAGATTTTTTATTTGAAGTTTTCTGAAATTCTCTCTTTTGACACCAAAAAAATCTCACTCTGCCAAAAATGTTGAACCTGAAAAAAATACGTTTCAAAATTTCAATATTAAAAAGTTGCCAATTGACATTTTTGATATTTGTTCTCAGAATTTCCTAAATGACCATAAGTTAGAAAATTTAAAATTTATTTTTTTTAAATCCTGAAATTAATTCGCTTCAAGTTCCAGCATTTTCAATTTTTCCAGACCTCCCAAAACACTTAATTTGAAAATTTTCAGATTTTTCTGAAATTCTCTCTGAAGCTTTTTTTCATCATTCTGCCAAAAATTTTGAACCTGAAAAAAATACGTTTCAAAATTTTTATATTAAAAAGTTGCCAATTGACATTTTTGATATTCGATCTCAGAATTTCCTTCATAAATGAAAATTTAAAATTAAATTTTGAAAAATCCTGAAATTAATTCGCTTCAAGTTCCAGCGTTTTCAATTTTTCCAGACCTCCCAAAACATTTCCAAATTTTTTTCGCTCTTTTTTTCTTCGTCTGCAACAATATTTGCCTAGTCTTAGGCTTTCCTGATTATGTATGTACAAAAAAAATTATGTTCATTTTTTGTAAGTCAAGTGCTCCTTGTCAGCTCGAAGAAAAACCAAAGAATACAAAAAAATTACTTTGTACTCTATAGAGTACAAAGTTCGAAAGCTTTTATGATTACTATTACTCATATTATAATCCCAACCAACAAATATTGACCAAATTGTTCAAAAACTTTGTCAAACATGCAGAAAATCCAGATTTTTCAAAAAAAAAAACGTCACTTTTTTGTTTCTCACGCTTTTTCAAGTGGAATTTTGCATTTCACGTTTTTTTTGTTGGAAAAAAATTTTGGGTGAAAGGAAAGAAGTTGAAAAGTTTTATTGTGGGATGAAAACTAGACTGTAGTTTGTGGGTGTTTTTTGAACTTTTAGAGATTCGGAGGAAAATTTTAAATTTTGGGGGAAAAATTAGCTGCGTATGTTTGATACTCAGTTAAAAATATAAGATCATAAATTGGCTGCGTAAGTTTGATACTCAACCAACAATCTCAAGATCTGAAAATAGAATTTTCACGCTTCAAACTCAACTAAAAATCATAGGTCATAAATTGGCTGCGTACGTTTGATACTCAGTCTCAGTCAAATTTACCCTACTTTTTCTATAGAAAAATCCCAGAACTTTTGGAGAAAAAAATTATTTTATTCTAGTTAGATCTGCAGGTTCTACCGTATCCGCATGATCCTTTAAAAATTCAAATTTTTCCTCTCAAAACTTTTTCCACTACAAACTTCAAAATCACAACAAAAACAACATTTCAGTCGTTTTTTGTGTTTGATGAGCAAATATTTGCGCAGAGTTGTTTCAACTTGTCAATATTTATGACTCAATTGTTCAACTGGTTTTCAAAGCACTGACCCCATAAATATGAGTAATCCTATTTTTTTTTTGTTGTTGAAAAAAAATTATATGTATTGTTTCTGTTGGAACAAGGAAAGTGTTTGACATTATTTGTTTACACACTTCTTTACGCTTAAACATATTTGCATAATACAAAAAAATGCTGATGATGATGATCTTCAAAGAGTAAGAGTCAGAAAGAGAAAGATCATTAGAACAGAGCTTTTGAGCTTTTGAGCTCGGAGCACAAAAATCCACTAGAATTTGAAAATCTGAGTATTTCACGTGAAGAAATGAAGTTTTTCGCGTGACCTTTCCAATTCCAAGCTTTGAAAATCATTTTCCAGTAAATCCGATTCTCAAAATCCCCGCGAATCCATCTGAAACCTGGAAAAAAAGCTTCCAAAGAAAAAAACAATTTTTGAACGTTTGCAGGTCTCGCAGCGAAATGTGTGTGCGTGTGTGGTACGGTAGCAGTTTGTTGAGCTGTGCGTTTTTTTAAATTTTAATATTTTGTGCACTGTATTTTTTTTTTGCAATTCGAGGGAGACGCAGACTTTAACGTGTGCAGACAAATCTCTCGCCGAAAAAGGGGGTGAAATAGTGTGTGGCAGAAACACTGCGTGTCGAGACCAGCGAGTGTCTGCGTCTCCTCGAAATTGCATTTTTCTATTAGGAAAAAACACAGTGTGTGCTTTGACCCTGGAATCCGGTTGTTTCAGGTTTTAGGCTTGAAAATAAAGAATTCAGCGAAATAAAAAGTTTGCAGGTCTCGCAGCAAAATGTGTGAGCGTGTGTGGTACGGTAGCAGTTTGTTGAGATGTGTGATTTTTATTTTTTTTTTGTTTTTTTATCCTGGAATTTGACAATTGCAAATCTCAAGCTTAAAAAATGAACACTTCATGGAAAATTGTGTTCATTGGATGAAACATCGTGAAAATACCAAACTGATAACGATCCTGAAGTCAAAAACTGCCAGAAACTCGCATTTTAAGAGCTCCAAAGTTCGAATTCTACTCTTGAAGCCCCAAAAGGTGGGGTAGACGGAAATTTTTAACTTCAGGATCGTGCTCAGCGTGATCGATGCAGTAGATTTCACTCTGTTTGATTAAAATTTCATACCGGGACCTTATGAACTTCTTTTGTTAAAACATTTGTACGTGTGTTCGTTGACCCTGAAACCTGTTCTCTCAAAAAGTATCTTCAATGCTTGCCCAAACCCACTCAAAATCAAAAATTCAACACAACACAGTCTTCTGTGTAGTCTGCCTATGTCATTGTCATTGTCACAAAAAAGCACAACAATTATCATCTCTCTTCTTTGATATTTGCTTACACTCGTGTTTTTTGCCAATGTTGCACAATCTTCTTCTTTTTGCTGCTGCTTCCTGGGTGTGAATCCATGCTCTTTTTGTGTACAACGTTTTTTTTGACTACCGGTCTATTGTTGCGCGAAATACACACGCAAAGCAAAAGCAAATGCGATTATGAAACACACCGTGAAAATGAGGAGATAAGAAGAATAAGCACTACTGTTTATTCTTTGTACTTTGTACTAAACATTGGTTGGATTAGAAGTTTCGGGGGATGGAAATTGGGAAAGTGGGCGTGGCCTAAATGCAACTGCCGCACACAAATTTAGCAGGATTAGACTTTTGTTTTTAATGCGAGCTCAGATATTCCTCGAAGATTTCAAATTTCGTCCGTAAGAGTGTATGCAAACACCGTGACGCACTTTTGCGTACAGTAAGCTCGGAAACTTCGTGGGTGGTCCCGTTTCCAAGATCAACAAGATCTTGATGACGAATTCTCCAGAAAACTGTGCTTTGCTCACTCAACCTAAAAGTGCTCTGCCTCCCACTTTTGATAATGTTCTTGATCATATCATCATCAAAAAATTGCTCATGCTCAACGCAAACAAAAAATTCTTCCGGGTATTTTGAGTACTTATTGTGTTAGGTTAAAATGATGAAATGACGTGAAAATTCAGAATTTTCAGTTTTTTTGTTGAATTCTTGCTTTTCAGCCAAAATTTCAGATAAACTTTCACGTCATCAGAACACCGTAAAGTTTGGATGAAAATTTTTAAATTTTTGAAAAACCCGTACTTTTTGCCACGTCATCGTAAATTTTTGCTGAAAATTTAGATCTATTGAAATTTTCAGCTAATGAATAAAATCAGGCTTGAGCTCCTTTCAGCTCATCGCAGAGTATAAAATGAGTCACGAATTTCCATCTTTGTTCCACCGCTTTGAACCGAACCTTCCGACCGTCTTAACTCAAAGATTTGTCACTTATCAATTGTTCCTATTGTTCCAAAATGCCGTGTTATCTATCATTTTGGAACACTTTATAAGCTGATCGACATCAAATTGTGTTCCATCACTAATCATGATAAGATCGTGTATTCTGACAGTTCTGATCTTCCTACAACTCTTAATTCGAATCTCTTGTGATTGCTTCTCCAGCAATGAATTGGAGATCAATGGGAAGTGTTTGGAGTTCAACACAGCACTTCGAAACTATGAAAACGCTTCGACTGATTGTATTTCACGAGGATATCATCTAGTCAGTATCCACAGTCAACGATTCAATTATGCCATCGGAAATGCCGCATTCTATCGGTTCAACCGACTTGGTGCTCGTTATTTTTGGATTGGTTTGACTAAATCCTCTACCACCGATCAGAATAGTTATAAGTGGAACGATTCGACGCCGTTTGACTATGGAAATTGGTATTCGGGATCGTCGAAGAAATATGATTTTGTTGGGGTGGATTTTGGAAATTCGTATTGGACGAATTTGCAAGCTGGCGAGAAATTGCCTTATGTTTGTGCCTATGGGGCTATTGGGGCAACAACAACGAAAATAGTTCAAGATGCTACTACTGTAGAACCCGAATCGACACCAAAAAATCATGATTCTACTACTCCAGTAAGCCATTCCCCAACCACCGTAGTTCAAGAGTCTACAACATCTGGAGAAGTGATTTCAACAACATCAGTTCGGGAGTCTACAACAACAAGAGATCTGGATTCAACGACTACAGTAGTTCAGGATTCAACAACAACTTCATTTGAAAGTTCTACTACGCCTGATAAATTCCATTCAACAACACCACAAAATCAGGATTCCACGACAACCGTAGAACTTGAATCTACAACAGTAATCCTGGATTCGACAACACCAGCATATTTTGATTCAACAACAACAGTAAACCAAAACTCTACTATACCAGTCTCAACAACAACTTCATTTGAAAATTCTATTACTCCAGTAAACCAGGATTCAACAACACCTGAAGATTTCGCTTCTACAACAACTGAAGGACTCGAATCGACAACTTCAGGAGATTTTGATTCTACAACCACAGTAAATCGGGATTCAACAACATCAGGAGATTTCGATTCTACAACCACAGTCAGCTCGGATTTGACAACAACTGTAGAACTCGATTCAACAACGTCAGGAGCTTTTGATTCTACGACAACTGTAAAACCCGAATCTACAACCCCTGGACAATTCGATTCAACAACATCTGGAGATTCTGATTCGACAACAGTAGTTAGGGATTCCACGACAACTGTAACAACAGATCTAGATTCAACAACACCTGGAGAGCTGGATTCAACAACACCAGTGAATCAGGACTCTACAATAGTAGTTCAAGATTCTTCGACAACAGAAGCTGGAGATTTTGATTCTACTACAACTGTAGGACTCGATTCAACAACACCAGTGAATCTAGATTCTACAACATCTGGAGAGTTGGATTCAACAACCACAGTAGTTCAGGATTCCACGACAACTGTAACAGTAGATCTCAATTCTACAACACCTGGAGAATTCGAATCGACAACAACAGAACTTCCGGATTCAACTACAACTGTAGAAATTCATCCAACAACACCAGCAGACCTGGATTCAACCACATCAACTACTTCAAATTCAAGTACTTCTAGTCAACCTCGAGCTGTCAATTGTGATTTGAATGATATTTTGCTAGACAATCGCTGCTATTCATTTATCAAAGACAAATTAAATCGAGAAGATGCGACCAGAAAATGTCAGCAAATTGGAAAAACCTTGGCGATTTTCGACGATTTGAAGCAGATTAATTTTGTCACTTGTAAGTTCATGGGAAAAATTTCTGATTGTGAACTCAAGAATTTCCAGCATACTCCCAATCCCAATTCGCCATAACCTATGGCAATTTCTGGATCGGTTTCCAACGCGACAAACAACTCACATCTTCTTCCTATTATTGGCAAGATGGTTCAACAATCGAGGTGACTAATTGGCTCTTCGGCTATCCGCATTCTAATCAATATTTTGTTGCGCAAGACATTTCGAATGGAAAATGGAAAAATGTTGTTGAAACTGAATTGCTGCTATCTGTTTGTAGTGGAGCTTTTTGATACTTGATTGTAAAATAAAATTTTTAATAAAAATTTTACTTCGACAAGCGCGCTCCAGTGATAACACGTTTTGAAAATTCAAAAAAAAATTTTACGTGACCTAAGCCAAAACAATAAAACAGCAATTAATGTTCCATTTCTTAATCATTCACTAAATGATACAAACATTAATATTAATCGGATCTGGAATTTGCTATTTATCGATTGATTGTTCAAAGAAGAAGGAGCAGAAGCCGAAAAAGAATGTAGAAACTGCGCGAACTATTTCGTCACCTTCGCCTTCACCTTTGCCGTCCCCTTCGCCTTCACAAGAAACAACAACACCATCACCATCAAACGCTATAAAACAAGCATTGAGCGAGTTTGGTACGCCGGAATCTGGGATATCTGAAGTGAAAATCTCAAGAACACCAGAGGAAGAAGTGGGTTTCATTTATATTCGCGATTGGTTAGAGGGTCTTGTCCGTAATGTAAGTTTACTAGCATGTGCGCTCTATCGCACACCTATTTTCTTTAGCAAATATTGTGTTTTCAGAGTTTCCAATCTGAATTGAGAGAATTCGATAAAAAAGAAGAAGATGAAAAACAAACTTTCAAAGCATTTGATAAAAATGCACGATTAAATCGATTCAAAAATCCGAAAAGTGTGAATGATGAATTTCGAGTGATTCTTAAAAATCGAAAAAATGATTATATCAATGCTACGTGGATGCATAACGAATATATATTGACGCAGGGCCCACTTTCAAATACAATTACCGATTTTTGGGCGATGATTTGTCAGGAAAATGTGGAATATATTGTGATGTTTTGCTCATTTGTTGAGAAAAATGTGGAGCAATGTGCACAATATTATCCATTGGAAGAGGGAAAAATTGAAAAATATGAGGAATTTGAAGTGAGATGTGTGAAGAAAGAGAAAGATCCGGTGGAAGGTGTGACTTGGACAATTTTAGATGTCACTGATTCTACTGGGACATCTTCAAGGACAATAAATCATATTTATGTTTCTTGGTGGCCTGATAAAACTGCACCAGAAGATGCGAAATTAACCATAGAATTATATCGTTTTTTGAAAGAGAAGTCAAAAAATCCGATAGTTTGTCATTGTGATAGTGGAATTGGTAGATCGGCATGTTTTGTGGCTTTTAATATTTTTTTGAAACTCGATCAAAAAAGTATTTATGCAGAAGATAGTTGGAAATCACATACTGCGGAACGATTAGATGCTTATATTCGAAAAATGAGAAATGGTGCGATTGATTCGCCGATTTTACAACTGTTTTTATTGGTTTGCTTGATGGAATATTGTATTCAGGAAATGGCAAAAGATTCATATTTTGAGGATTTGATAGGGCCATTTAAAGTTTATATGGAAGAATATAAGAAATATAATCAGGAAATGAAGGGGAAGGCGAAGGGAAAATCGAAAGAATGAGTTTTTAAAATCATAAAGTTTTTGTGAACACAATGGTGAATGCATTTCGAATTTCGAATTTTCAATACAATATATTTATTGTCAAAATTGAAAAATGTGGCCGCCGTAAAAATGAAAACCAGTGCAGAGATGAATGAATGAAAACAATTGAACTTCGTCAGTCGCGTGCGGCTGTGCGGCGCGGTCGTAAAATAAAAGAAAAAAGTGAATTTTTGATTGTTTTCCGACCGCGCCGCACTGCCGCACGCGACTGATTTCATTCGTTCATCTCTGCACTGGTTTTCATTTTTACGGCGGCTACATTTTTAAACTATGACAATACAAATGTTCCATACTTACAAATTCCAAAACCCCGGATTTTCATAAATCTCTCCGAATATTAACAATTTCCCCAAAAGCATCTACCTCAAAATTCAATTCGATTTGCATTGTTTTGATGTCCAACATTCGCAACTTTTTGGGGTTGAAATGATGTTGCAGGATCTGAAGAATCACAGAATTTTATCATTTTTGCAAGTTTTTCGGTATTCCTTGTTTTTTTTCACGATAATCAAGAAAAATTGCTGGAAAAAATAGCATAAAACTTACAATCCGCTGCCAAACATGGTAATTCGACAGATAAAACATCAATCAATCTTCCAAGTGACAATTCAGACATTGAATCTTCAATATCCTGAAAATTTCATTTTCATTCTGTAAATAATTTTCTTTCGAAAAATACATATTACACCGCTAAAAAGTTTGAAACGGAAAAAACATTCATAAACAAAATTTTCACAGATATTTATTTATTTATTACAAACAAAATGAAGAATAAAACAAAAACAAAACAATATTTACCAATTCTTCTTCTGATCTCAACGATATTCATCGCCTCTTCCAGAAGCAGATGTATTTATCGGAACTCGGCAAATCGATGAATGATGATCAATTCTCGTTTTTCCAATAATTTTACAATATCGACATTCTCTTGAAGCACAATTATTATGATTCTCCAATTTTCCGCAACATCGAAAACATCGACTTTCCGCGCGTAAAATATCTTTTCGTTTCATAACATCTGATACAATCGGACATTCATCCGAAAAATGCGCGTAATGACAATAGATACATTTATTTCCAGAACCTTGCGGTTTACTTTCTCCAGTCACACGTGGATCTTCTTTCAATATTCGGTGTGGATTATCGCGACTTTGGATAAATTGCGGACTTCGCGATCTATCATGTCGATGTCGTGGAGAACGTGATCTACGAGAAGATCGAACTTGTTGTGAACGTAAATCGTAGTCTTGTTCTTGAAGATAATCCAATTCTTGTTTCATGATTGGCATTGGAACTGGGAGGGGCATTTGATTATGATTATGATTCAAATTCATAATAGGCCCTTGCATATTTGACATATATTTGAGTTGTTCTAATTCATGAATCGCTCTTTGAATCTGATCTCCTTGTTTTACAATCCTATCAGATGTATCGAAATAATTTGATTTGATTGATGTTATCAAATCGATTATTTTATCCATTTTACTCATACTTGTTTCCTCGATTTCTCTTCGAAGTCTTTCTTCGCTTTCCTGAATTCTGCGCACAATTTCTTTCTCGAAAACTTGGAAATAGTGTCGGATGTTGTGATCGATGCGATTTGGATCGGATTGGGAAGAAGAAGATGATGAGGAACGATCGAAAGCTGAATGTGACATACCTGAAATCTTACATATGTTGATGTAGGAAAAATTAGAGCGTCACAATCTTAGAAAACGTAGAACTTTCATAAAATGTAACTTATTTCGTATTAATTCGTAAAAATCTCTAAAACTTCGTGTAATTTCTGCATTTTAACGTGAACTTTCGTTTCTTTACAACGTGGCCGTTCAATTTTCATTTCTCCTCATTCATTAACCGCGGAATATGTAAAATTACGTATTATTCACCATGACAACCAAAAACTACACTTAAAATCAATTGGAAACTGAATTTCTTACTGGAACATGACCCCTCCACAAATAATAGTCACAGGAAATTATATCTACACCACAAAAAAGTTCAAAAACCAAGAAAAACGGTATAAATCCAAAAATGGCGAACGCTTCGAAAAAAACAATTATTCCTCCGAGAGAAGTACACAAATATGCAGCGGGATTGCGGAGCATCGTAATTTACTTTTATTTTTTCCAAAAAAATGTTTTTTGAAAGTTTTTGTAAAAAAAACCTGATAAAAAATTAACACAAAATAAGTTTTATTCAAATTTATTATGAAGATCATCATATAAAGTGGAATTCTACTAGATATATTTAGTTTAGAAGAAGAAAAAAGGAAAAATAGGCTCGTGCCTTCACAACCAAATGAAAAACGGGGATATAAATACATGTCAACATACATGAACTACCTCTCCGAAACCGGAGGGAAGGGGGTTAACTTTTGAAAAATTTTTGTGGGGGGCCTTAACTTTTCAAAAATAAATTGAAGAAAAAAATTAGGAAAAAAATTAGAAAAAAAATTTTTTTAGAAAAAAAATTTTTTTTTTTCATTTTTTTTTCGAAATTTTCAGATGCCAAGAAGGTGATATGTGTTTAAAATGCAGTAAAACTATTGTTTATTCAATTTTACATAATCTTGTTTCAATTTATTGTGGTTTCTTTCAAGTAACCCCCCTTCCTAGATCTAGAATGAGCATTTTTAAGCATATTTGGGCAATTTTTTTGAATTTTCATATATAAATATAGCATCTAATCGTTACTAAGCGCGATAAAACTTGTTTCAAATATAGTTTAACTCTCGTAGATAAGATATATAACAACTCTGGTCAATTTGTTGGCGTTTCCTTTCTTCTATCCCCCTCCGTATGTTGAAAACCAACATTTTCTTTAATTTTCAGGTATTTTGACAAATTTTTTTCTCCTGAAACCACTAAATGGGCATTGATTCGTGCTAAACACTAGTAAATAAGTATAAAAAGGTATGTCTAACAATTATTTGAAGTATAATTGCAAATTACGACCTCTACCCCCCCACTCCGTTTTCGGAGTCTCAGGCTCCGAAAACGGAGTGGGGGATAGAAGCTCCATTTCTTCATAAAACTTCAAAGAATTGTTTGGCATACCTTTCTATACTTATTTACTAGTGTTTAGCACGAATCAATGTCCGTATAGTGGTTTCTGACTGAAATAAATATCGAAAAATTCTGAAAATTGAAGAAAAATGCTGGTTGCTAACTTACGGAGGGGGATAGAAGAAAGGAAACGTCACCAAATTGACCAGAGTTGTTATATATCTTATCTACGAGAGTTAAACTATATTTGAGACAAGTTTTAATTGGATTGATTCAGTAGAACATAACAAATTGAACATTGAGTAAATTTTCAAAAGAAAAAATAAAAAATCATACACATAGAGGGGAATCGAACTGGTGACCTCCTGATTGAAACTCCCACGCGTTAGCCAGTACACCAAGAACGCGATGGAGACACCAGCGGCGAAAGTTCTTGATAAAGAAAGTTTGGCGCCGGAAAATTAAAAAAAAATGTGGCGGAGGCAAATATAAAAATTTCTTTTTTGACAGAAATTTTTATAAAAGCCTTCGCCATCAATTAACTATTAAGACTTGAGAAAAAACTATTGTATAATTTTCACGGCATGTTGAACTTTTTTTCAGAGGTCAGAAAAAATTTGACAAGAGGGGGGGGGGTTAACTTTTTCGATTTTTTTTTCTGGAGGGGGGTTAACTCGGGAGTCCCCGGAGCGACTAGTTCATGTATGCATGTCAAGTTAAAGCTCTCTTGTTCTATGTTTTAATGATGAAGTAGTCCATTTCTAATCAATTCTTCTTTCAATGTGTTAAAAGCAATGATTTGTTCCTGTGGGTCGAGCCAGAGGATTTGAGTGACTAGTTTTGTAGCGTCCGGAATTCTGAAAATATTGATTTTGAAGGTTTTTCATCAATTTTTCGACCCGCTGATCACGATTCTGCTGTCAAAAGCTGCAAAACTCAACTCTAAATATGAGTTATGACGTGGCAGAATTCGAAAATCGTGGCTATTTAGGTTCGAAAATGGATTTTCATGAAAATCTGATAGCAGCGTGGCTGTGATATCAGATTTTCATGAAAACCATCTTTCAAATTCTGAATTCACGATTTTCGAATTTTGCCACGTCATAACTTATGTCAAAAATTGAGCTTTGCAGTTTTTGATAATGAGGATCAGTAGGTCAAAATTTAGAAGGAAAAAAGCTAAAACAATTCCTCTTTTATAAATTTTCCAAAAATCCTAGTTTTGAGGAAGGTTTCTCTGATTTTTTCCCGTTTTGAGTAAAAAATGAGCCTGGGAATTCAAATTTTTCAAAAGAATTTCAGAGTTCCACCGTAAAATTTCTTGATAAATTTTCCAAGCCCAGAAAAAAAGCTCACCTAATAAACGTCGAAATATACACATTAACAAAAGTTCCCATCAATAATTGACAATCAAATCGATCCATCAAACCACCGTGTCCCGGAATAACATCTCCGAAATCCTTAATTTTGAAAGCCCGCTTGAATCCACTGGCAAAAAATCCACCAAAAGGTCCCAAAATCGAAGCGAAAAGTGACATTGAAATCGAATGGAAAATGAAGGGGAAAATATGGATGACGGGATCTTTTCGTAGAACTTTGTATATAAATGAGAAAGGTTTTGGGACCGCATATTCTTGAGTTTGAAATGACAGCGGAATTGTGCAATTCGAATTGTCGATTTGATAATTTTGAAGGGGACACACGAAAAATGGGCGATTGTATAAGAAAAGCGAGAGGAGAATGCCGAAAATGACTGTTGAAAATGCGCCGCCAATGAATCCTTCCCAAGTTTTCTTCGGGGATAACTTGATAAGTGGAGTTTTTCCCCAGAAGAATCCGAACATATAGGACATGACGTCACAGCAAATAATCATCGCGACCGGGACGAGGAACCTGGAACAAACAACATTTTGAACTTTTAAATTCAGAAATTTTTTTTGAAACTTGGATTGTCAGAAAATACTGAATGAAAAATTCAAAATTAAACCCAATTTAATTTAGTAATCCGAAATTATTGATAAAAGCGGAATCAATTCAGAGAGGCGAGGAAAAATATTTCCATTATTTTTGAAACCTACATTTTCCGGGTTTCTCAATTGATTAATTTAATTTTTCTAAAAAAAAAAATTTAAATTTCACAATTTTTTGAATCGCGAGCTTCTGCGGATGCGGAAAAAAAGGAAAATACAATTTAATTTCAAAAATCTGGAATGCTTAATAGAAGCGGAATCAATTCAGAGAGGTGAGGAAAAATATTTCCATTATTTTTGAAACCTACATTTTCCGGGTTTCTCAATTTTCACAATTTTTTGAACCGCGAGCTTTCTGCGGATGCGGAAAAAAAGAAAATAAAAATTTAATTTCGAAAATCTGAAAATATTAATAGATGAGAAACCAATTCAGAGAGGCGAGGAAAAATATTTCCATTATTTTAGAAACCTACATTTTCCGGGTTTCTTAAATTTCACAATTTTTGAACCGCGAGCTTCTGCGAATGCGGAAAATTCCGAATGCGAAAAAAAAAAGAAAAATACAATTTAATTTCGAAAATCTGAAGTTATTAATCGATAATAGAAGCAGAATCAATTCGGAGAGGTGAGGAAAAATATTTCCATTATTTTTGAAACCTACATTTTCCGGGTTTCTCAAATTTCACAATTTTTTGAACCGCGAGCTTTTGCAGAAGCGGAAAATTCCGCATCATATAAAAAATAGAAAAAATCTCACCAAATCAATCCTTGGAAAATATTTTGAATAATGAAGAATGATTGACTGACGATTAGAAGAAGAGAAATGTGAGTCCAGGCAAACTGCAATTTTTTTTAAGTTAGATAATTAATTAATCAACTAAAATTTCAGAAAATTAATTACCAATGAAAACTGTCGCATATAATATCCTTTCTTCAACGACAAAACAAAACTGACAAATCCGATGCAATAAAGAGCAAATGAAATCAAACGGTGATAGGCGACCATAAAATGAAGGAAATTCTGAAAATGGAGAATTTTTTGCAGGCTGAAATTCTGGAAACTCACATCTTTTCTCAACAAAATTCCCCAATAATCGATCAGACTTTCGCCAAAGAAGAAATAATTGGAGGTGAGCAGGAAATACCAGGACAGCGCTCGAAACCACGGAAAATCGTATAATCGATAGACAGCCAGACCGATCGAGATGATTTCTTGGAAACATTTGAATTGGATCAGGAACACCTGGAAAATATGGGTTAGAAATGGAAAAAACGGGGTGTTCCGCAAATTTACCGCGTTCGAATTCCTTGATGCGCTGAACAATTCATTGCGAGCCGATTTTTGAAAAAAACATCTCAAATTTTTGTAAAAAATTTTCAAACTTTTTTCGAAATTTTTGAAAACGATCATAGTTTTCCGCCTCAAAAACTCATGTTTAATCGTCGAAATTCCATATAAAATTTATATCACCTTGTAGAGAATCTCTCCCTCTACAAACTTAGTTTTTGAAAAATTTCAAAAAGTTTCAAAATTCACCTCAAACTTCGATTTTAAAAAGATGAAAAATTGCAAAATAAAAACGTGAAAAACCACGAAATTTTGTGTACGTGGCAATTTTTTTTCACACCGCCGCCTGGAGGAGCCTGTGCGTTCGCGGAAGATAGCGGCGCTTCGCGCAAGCTCGCGGTTTATATACACTCACCAACGCCATAAGCCACGTGGCACCGCGATTCACAATAAACGAAAAACTCGAGATCATAATCACTGTGAACACACCGCGAACCACCCAATTTCGCCATTTTGGCGGCAGAGTTTCGAGCAGCGAATCGGCAAATGCTCCCAGACTTCCCTTATCTTGCGGAATGGCTTTTGTCAACTTTTCCATCCTGGAATAAAAGTATTTATTGATTATCGTAGGGATTTGGGAGAACCACGTGGCAAAGTTTGCGACTTTGCCACGTCATAATTTTTCACAATCACAACATTTTCGCGACTTACTCCGATTCTTTTTCAACTTTTGGAGCATCACTGAAAAAATTTTACCTCTCATCATTGTCATCAAAGATGAAAAAATCTTGATTTTCATTGATTTCTCGTCGTTTTCTCATCACAAAAATTAGAAATGCAAATACTTTTTCTTTGTTCAAAATAATTATTTGAAATGAATAAAATTATTTTCAAAAAAAGGACACGTGAGAAACAAAAAAAAAACGTGGCTGACCTTTCTTCATCCTGTAATAACATGTCCATATCGCTTTCATCGCTCGTCGGACGAATCTCGTCTTTTTGCGGAACTTTTAGCTGATTTTGATTTTCAGCCGGTTTTCGATGTCGCACATCGTCCGACATGTTTTTGCCTAGAAAAATAAATATTTTGCTATATTTTCAATGGTATAATAACGCTATTTTTCAAGCAAAAACAACTTCTTTTTTACGAAAAACTTGGGAAAACAGAAAAATAAAAAATCCTCCTCGAGAACTACAATTTGGTTTCCTAGGCCACGGTCAGCGAACTTTTTCAGCATTTTTTTCAGCGATAAAAAGCAGGAAAAGTAATAAAAAGGAAAAAAGATATAAAAAAGAATAAAGAGCATAAAATGCTCACTAATGGATTCTACCTTTTAGCAACAGAAAAAACTTTGGGCGGAAAAAAATAAATTAACAACTTCTCTGCGTCTCTAACTATTGCAATTTTTGTTTGCCATCCATCGCAGATGAAAAAAAGAGGAAAAAAAGGAAGAAGCCATGTCGCATGTCTAATTCGTATAAATTATGAAAGAAAAAAATGAATGTAAACAAAAAAATGTGTGGCACAGGTCCTTTAACACGACAGAAATGTGTTTCAACACCCACGTGATCATCAAATTTCAGGAGAAAGAGGAAAACTTGAAACATAACATAGCATAATAAAACAGCTGTTGGTCAGGGGGAATGATAAGAATGTAGGGTTTTATTTGAAAAATAAAATATCAAGTGCGCTCTACTGATAATTCGAGGGGAGATGAAAAATATTTGAAAAAAAAAACGATTTCACTATTGGAATTGATTTTTTTCAAGTTTATCAAACGCGCTCCATTGATAAATTGATAAAAATCGAACCAAATTCGGATTTTTTTCCTAAAATTTAAATATTCAAGAATCAAATTTATTCAAATTTGAATTTAAATTTCGAATTAATTTCGTATAAATTTTAAATCTCTCTCTTTAAATTTCAAAAAAAGCGATTCGTCAAAAAAGCCACAAAAACAACAAGAAAATCTCGGTTTCCTCCTCGCGCCTAACACAAAAAATCGAATACATACTGAATTATTTCTCTCGTCTCCTCTCAGCTCCGCGAGCCACCAAATCTCTCTGCTTCTCTCGCCTCTCTCCGAGCACTCTCTCACTTCCCCACACTCTCTAATACCTTCGGTCAATAAAGAATGGGAAAAGTAGGACCTTTTGCATATGAGAAGCTTCTTTTCTTCGGGGGAGACTTTTGCTAACTTCGATTTTTTCCTTCTTCTTTTTTCTTTTGTTTTGTTTTGTTATGAGTAACTTATGATAACTATAATTAATTTTAGGATGGGCGAAAAAGTCGCTCAGCGAAAATCGCGCAGGTCGCAACCGCGACGTCGCGACTTCGAGGAAGACGACGAGGAACAAGGCGGAATTTCTGGCTGGAAATTGGGATTGGTGATTGGTGTGATTGTGGTGTGCTTCGCCATGTTGTATCCCACACTTTTTCACCCGATTTTGATGAGTTTTTTGGGTGAGTATATAATTTTTGTGAAATTTTTTTGGTCATAAAATAAAATAAATATCATCTTATCATTAGAAGGTTGAAAAAAAACTGGAAAATCGATAAAATTTACAACAAAAATGGGCGAGGTGTGGAAGTTTTCATTGGCTTTTCTCATTCATTTGTGGGTATTTTTTAGTTAGCCTAACTCTGCACGTGGCAAAAACGTGAAATAATTTTAAGTTCTAAATTAATTTTATTCCGCTAAAGTCTTCAGATTGTTCTAGTCTGGATTGAGTTAGCTTAACTCTGAACCTGATTATGAGTTATGACGTGGCAAATTTAGGATACTTCGAAAATTGTAGATCAAAAACTTATTGACAAAATTTTAATTTTGCCACGTCATAACTCATGTTGAAACTTGTATTGGAACGTATTTTGGATTTAAAAAAAATATTTTCATATTTTCTAAAAACCCTAAAATTTTTAAGGATAAGTTCTAAATTAATTTTATTCCGCTAAAGTCTTTAGATTGTTATCTAGTCGAATTTGAGTTAGCTTAACTCTGAACCTTGTGAGTTGACGTGGCAAATTTAGGATACTTTTTAAATCGTAGATTAAAAACTTTTGAATTTTGCCACGTCATGACTCATTCTAAAATTTCAAAGTTTCCAAAAACTGTGCCTCAGTTGCATTTTGAAGCCACGCCCCTCTTTACTCTCCTAGGTAGGTAATTATTTAAATTTCTACGAAATGCCAACCCCGCCCAATTTTGACAGAAACCTGAGCTGCTCATTTTTCATTTCCCAATTTTCTAGGTCGCGCACCCGCCCAAACTCCCTCAATCCACCAACAACCCCAACGTCCACCAATGCATCCAGCAATGGGTGGCGGAGGTTCACGCGGACCAGCGCCCGGCGGACGGCCCGACATTCATCCGGCGATGCGGATGGCGCAAGCGCAAGCGGAATCCGCCGCCGGCAGTCAAGGTGGCGGAACAAAGGGAATGTTCACGTGGATGTTGCCGATTTATACAGTTGGAGTTGTGGTGTTTTTGTTGTACACGTTGTTCAAATCGAAGACGAAGAAGAGGAAGAATCGAAAGGGAAAGAAATATTATGATTCGGATTATGATGAGGATGAGGAAGGAGAGGAGGATTCTGATGATGAGGAGGAGGATTCTGGATATGGACAGAAGTTTGGTGAGTTAGGATAACTCAAGGAAGGGGGAGGGGGGTAGAATATCTAAAATCTAGATTAAAAAATCTCTGACTCTCTAACTTCACTTGAGCGTGAGGATCAGACAACTATGGATGTCTGGTTAGAGACGCAGAGAAATACACCATCAAATTCTGGAATTTATCATAACTCTAATTGTTTTGGATCAAATTTGAGCCTAACAGCAAGAAAGTTTCAAAAAAGTGTAGATCAAAAATATTTGTATCAAAAAGGTTAGAGAACTATAGTAGTTAGAGACGCAGAGAAAATTAGAAAGAATTTGAGGCCCGAAAAAAAGTTTCGAAAAAATGACACATTTCTCATTCAACTGATTACACTTCACTGAATTTATCAACAAATTTCGAAATTTTCTTTTTTTCTGGAAACTCAGAAAGACACGTCATCTTAGAGATTTGTAGATCATTTTTTCAATAAGTTAGAGTCAGATAGCGAGAGTATTTATGGTCAGAGACGCAGAGCAAAAGTTTTTTGTTTCAAAAAATATTAGAAACGTGGCACAATCAAATTTAAAATCTCAAAAAAAAACAAAAAAAATTTGACCCAAAAAAGGCATGACTAACTTGCTAACTCTAGTCACACACAAACATAAAAATGTCAAAATAAAAAAAGATAGCGAGAGAGTGTGACAGAAGAGGAGAGACGCAGAGATGCAGAGAGAATGTTTCAAAAACAAACAAAATGGTTGTTGGAAAGTTGGTGAACTTTGGAACTTTAAAAATTTTTGTGAAAAAAATCCACGTCATAGTTCACTTCGAATTTGCATTTCAAAATTAATTTATAGGAAATCCGAAAAAAAAAGTACCAAGTAGCCACGCCTAGAGAACTTGATTGTCTAGGGTCAGCACCTATAGACCTACTGGGACAAGTAGCCGCGCCTAGAGAACTTGGTTGTCTTGGGTTTGCGCCTGGAGGATCCCTTTGAGAAGGTACCGCGCCTTGAGAGCCTCTAAGCCAGGTAGCCGAGCCTAGAAGTCCTATTGGTCAAGAAGCCACATCTAGAAAACCTAGGTGTCAAGGATCCGCGCCTAGAAAATTATCTTGGTAAGGGTCAGCTCCTTAAGAATCATTGTGGCTAGGTACCGCGTCTTGAGAGCGTCTATGTCAAGTATCACAAGTCTAGAAAACTTAGTTGTCAAGTAGCCGAGCCTTGAGGTCCTAGTGGTCAAGTAGACACGCCTAGAACCTCTAGCTCTCAAGGACTCGCGCTTATAAAACCTGGCTGTCAAGTAGTTGAGCCTATTGAACCTCGAGAAATTCACTCTGGCAAGAATTTTCAAATTCTTTTTCCAGGAAAGAAAAAACTTCACGGTCTCCAAGAACGTCTTCGTCAAACCGAAGAAGCCATGTCAAAAATATTGGAACAACTCGAAAATGTTCAAAATGGAGCACAATCCATTGATTTGGATGCCGCTATGAAAATCGAGGGAAAAGAAGAAGAAAAGGAGAGCATCAATTTGACGGAGAAAAATGAGCAATATATTGGGGATTTAGAAAAAGCTCTTCTGGAATTCAAAAGTTTGTCGAAAGAATATGATAAAGCGAAAAAGAATAAATTGAAGAAACAAATTATTCGGGAAGAGGATGAAACTTCAGATGAAGAATTGAACTCAAATTCTGAAAATTCTTCAGAAGAAGAATCTGATCCTCCCCCTCCCCCACCACCTCCAAAATCCAAGAAAAATAAAAATCGAAATCGGAAAAATCCACCGAAATCCGAGGAAGAAGAGGGTTTTGATGTGGATTCGGCGATTCAAAAACAATCGGAGACAAATTCGAAAGTTCGACGAAGAAGAGCAAAGAAGACTTGAGCTCAAGGCAATATTTTACTTCATTTTGCAAAATTTTATGTGTATTTTTTAAAATTTCTTTCATTTTTTTTTTAATTTTGAGGGCTGCATAAATAATTTTTCGAAAAATAAAACTTCATGAAACCAACAAAAAACTTACAATTAACCCAAAAATTTTTACAACTTGTTCAAAATCATTTTTCCAAAAAAAATCCTTAAAAGCATACAGTATGTGTAGAATGTCTGATATGAAGTTCCTTAGCAATCATTTCGGCCGTAATTGGATGCATTTGTCCACGTCCTCTTAAATAGACTTCACGAGCTTTTTTGTTGGCAACTGGCCAAGCGGCAAGATCTCGATAGATTGGGCGACAGAATTTGAGGCGGCCTTGGGAGGCGACGAATTCCAGTGCTTTTGGGATGCAGGGTTCCCATTTGGATTTGATGCAGAGGCGGAGCCAGCTGGAAAATTAGAAAAATTTGATTTTTTTCAACAGATTTCAGAAAATCTGGAGAAATTTCTGAAACATAAAAAACTGGAAATGATTGCTCATTTTAGTATAGAGATCCTAGAAACTTTGGAACATGATTTAGAAGTTTTTAATTCAAATTTAGCTCCACCAAAATTGAAAGAAGATTTTTTTGGGATCTAGAACTTTTGATGAGAAAATTAAGAATAATTCTTGAAAATTTTAAAAAATAATTTTTTTTGGTTTTTTTTTTGAGAAATTTAGGGAAAAGTTTAGAAATTGATTCAAAAAATTTTTCATCAATTTTTCAATTTTAAATGTATGAGAAATTTCCCCGAAATATCCAGAAACTAAAAAAAATTGAAAATTAATTTTTAAAAATTTAGATCCTATTTTTCAAGGCCTAAACTTTGTGACGTCATATTTTCATTGAATTTTCAAAATTGAGAAATTTCCCCGAGCAAATTTAAAAAAATCTGATTTTCCTGATTAATTCTAGAAGGTTTTTTCTAAATATTTTTTTTAATTCGGGAATTTTTCCCGAATTCTAATATTTCTTGAAAAAATTTTTAAAAAATTTGTACCTGAAAATGTTCAAAAATTCTAATAGGCCTTCAAAATTTAATTCAAAAATATTGAACGCATTTTTCAAGGCTCTGAAGTTCCAATTTTTCAATTTTTAAATTTCAAAAAAATCTTTTTTTTTTCCTAATTAATTTCAAAAGGATTATTCCAAATAATTTTAATTTTGAACAATTTTCAAGTCTCAATTTTGTGACGTCATAAACCTCCCCCTGACTCACTTCAACAACAATTCACTATTCTGACTCTCATTCAATTTATACAAATTGTTCAATGCCTCCAATTTATAATGTTCCAATGGTGGATCGTGTTGCCATAATTGTGAAAGCAATTCAATTTGTTGTAATGGTTGCATACTACTGTAGGCATCTACAGTAATCTCCGAAATATTCGATTCGTCTGCAGAAAGCCATTCTTTTAATACAACTTCACACGCTTCAGCCATCGCTTGACCATAGCTGAAAAAATTCAAATTCAAATTTTTTTCACAAAAAAATTTTTTCTCATCTAGTTTTCTGACAAAATCAACCCGGAAAAAATACGTTCCAAAATTTCTATTCAGAAAAAGTCGATATTTCAAATTATTAATTTGATGGATTGAACAAAATGTTCCGAATTCGGGTTAAATTACTGAAAATTCCCAAAAAACATCTAAAAACGCTCACTTTGGTGTAACTGGCGGCATCCCAACTCCATAAAACCAGCTATCAAAATTGACAGTATCCAAAACATCTTTCTTCTCCGCAAAATATCGATACAAATGCTCTTTCCATTGATAACTATCGATTGCTTGATGTGCAAATGTTTTCAAATAATCTCGAAGATATTCCTCGAATATTTCGGCACCGCCCAATTTTTGTTCTAAATAGAAAAGGAGCGCTGATCCTTTTTCATATGGAACACATGAAAATGCGACATCTGGATCGACGTTTGTGTGATCTTGGATCAGTTTTGTGAATTGGTGAGTTGGTGTAAATTGCTCGTAGACCTGGAATTTCAGAGATGTTGAGCTCGGAAAATAAGAGCTAATTCAAATTGCCTCCAAGGATTTGTGTGTGCAATAGTGCGTCGCAGTGTTTGCACACACAGATCCTTGGGGCAATTTTTTTTGTTTTTGAATTTTTAAGGTAAACTCAAAAAAATTTCCAGCTAAATTTTTGTCATAAGAAATGATTTGAGGAATTTTTAAAATTTTTAACTTTTTAGGAAAAAATTTTGAGATTAAAAATTTCCCTGCCAAACAAAAATTCGAGAAATTTTTCCAAAATAAATTCGGATTCATTTTTTCCCTCAAGTTAGCCCAACTCACCGCTGGCATCAACGAATTGGTCCATCCATTGAACGCCATAAATTGTCGATAATCCTCATTCACCAATCGACCACAAATTTTCCGCTCAATGAACATTGTGAATCCCTCATTCAGCCAAAAATGTTCCCAACTCGAATTTGTCACCAAATTTCCCGACCACGAATGGGCGATTTCGTGAGCAATTACACTGACAAGACTACGGTCGCCGGCCTGAAATTTTTTTTGAAAATGAAATTGGAATGAAAAAAAGAATTCCACGTCAAGGTCACGTCAAAAATAAATAATTTTGTTCAAAATTTTTTTGCACAAATCGGTCATCGCGTGAAAATTTTTTACACGTAGACTACATGAGGTAAGTAGTCTAGCTGCTGGCCAAATCCAGCATTTCTAAATAGATAAACATGACTCGAAAAAATGGGCGAAAAATGAAAAACAGAAGGAGAGCAGCAAAAAGAGGAGGAAAATTTGAATGGAATAATTTACCACAACTCGTTCGATGTCAAATTATTGCACATATGGATCTGCCTAGCAAGGCGAAAATGTCAAGATGCTCAAAAATGTGCTACGCGGAGATTATCACCTCACAAAATTATATCAAATCGATAAAGTTTGTCGAATGCTATATGGAGTCGTATGACATATATTTTCAATTTTATGATGATGTTCGGGAGTTTCACATGGAATATTTTTTTGAGGAATATGAAGAAGAAGGATCGCAAAGCATTGCATTTAGAATGTAAGTACGGAGCAATTTTTTGGTGGGTCCAGAGTTCTTTTTCAGCGATAGGCAGCTCAAACGTGAATGGGAAATCGAAAAATCGGATATCTTCATGCAACCCGTCCAACTCTTCCAAAACCTCATCAACAATTCGAGAGATTTGAAGCATATTGAAATCGTGTTTCATAAAAATGTTCTTGATTTTAAAAATATGGAGAAACAAAGAAATTTGGAGACATTACGAATTTATGATTTGCGAGCAATTCGGCGAAAATTGCAAAGTTTCGAAAATTTTGAGCTAGTATGTTTTTGTCTTAACAAATAGGGAAATGTTTTCAAGAAAAAATAAAAATAAAATATATGTTTTCAGCTCTCTAAACTTCGGAAAAACATAATTTTCCCGGTCTACTCAATTAGTCTTGATCAATTACTTCAAATCAAAGCGAGAAAGTCGAGATTATATGATATAAAAACCACTTCAAAATTGTTGATCGATTATATCAAAGCCGTAGCTGATGGAAAACTCGACGAAAACGTCAAGAAAATGCGGCTCGTTTATCACAAAAATCAGGAACGTTGGGATCCGGAATCAATATTCAATCTCAACGTTGATTTTTTGAACCGCGGACGAGATCCACATTGGCCCAAAGCTATCTGGTTTGATTTGAAAATTGAAGGAAAAACGAGATATGCAAAATTCCGAATAACCGAGAAATCGTTTCTAATGGTGATTCGTCTAGAAGAAAAACGAGAAGTTTATCGACAAAGAGCAATCGAATATTTAGGAAGAGAGGTTGATGACGAATTATTTTGGGATTCTGATACATCGATTTCGGAGCATGATTGGCTAACTGGTATTGGATTCGTGTCGGATTCAGATATTTAATCGAGCTTGAGGAAAATAAATGCATTTTGAAAACTTTTTGTGCTAAAAATTATGCACTTTAGGCTAGGGCGATTTTTTTCCGGTTGAGCTGGACCACCCACGAAGGCTCTGATTGACCTCAATTTGCTGTACGCAATAGTGCGTCGCAGTGTTTGCAATTTGAAATTAAATACAGCTAGATCTAAAAATGGCCAATTTTTTCAACTTTCTCCAACCACCTTAAAAATATGAGCAATACACCGAGACGTCAAAATCAGCTCTTCAATATTTTTGTATGAAATTCTTATATAACATGAGCAATGCCGATCCAAAAAAACTCACAATCAAAGTGGGCGTCAAAAAAGTGAGACACGGATTCTCCATTCCACCAAACGGAAAACTTGGGGGCAAGCAAACCATATCATATCTTCCCCAAATATATTTTCCCGCAATCTCTTCGGCCGACGCCAAAATATCCTCGGTTTCCGCAAATTCCCAATGCGCTTTCTCAACAACCGATGGCTCGGCCCAAACTGCACAACGATCCGAAATGTCGCGTTTTTCAAGGCAGCCAACAACAATTGCAATGAGGTACGAGGGAATTGCGACGGGTTGTTTGTAGAAAAACGTGGTCGATTCATCGTCGCCTTTTGAACCTTGGCCAATTGCCGACATCAAACAGGTCATGCCAGCTGGCACAGTTACCTGCAAAAAAAAACTCTCGAGTTATGACGTGGCAAATTTTTTTTCAAACCTCAGCTTCATAGGTCGATTTCACCGATGGCGTGTCCATACAAGGAACAATTGATCTCGCGTGAATCGCTTGACATTGCGAAAACAAATATGGAGCCTGCAAAAAAACATGATTGCTCATTTTAAACTTTGCGCTTTTCTCTCTATTTCATCGAAATCACCCAGCTGATTAATTTTTTGAACATTTGAACCGAAATGTTTTCCAAATTCCAAGAAACACATGATAAAGAATTGAACATTGTCCCCAAAAGCCCACCTTTTTGTCAGCGGTTTGCTCTTTTTTCATCCATTGGAGCGCAGTTGCATCGGGCGATGTTCCATATTGAACAATGACGGTGCTGGAAAATTGGAAATTGAAGAAATCGCTGCGAGACACAAGTGCGCCTTTGAATTTTCAAAATAGTATCATTTTGAAGCTCTTGAAATTCTCTACAAAATGATCTACAGTTTACTTGGTATTTTCTAATTTTCAACCCAAAAAAGCTGAAAACGAAAAAAAAAATTATAATAGTGTGTAAACACCGCGACGCACAAATGCACACAAAAGCTTCTGCGCACCGTACTTTTTTTCAAATTTAATTTTTTCACTCACAGAATAGTCGCCTCCTTTTGCAAATCCGGCGGCAAATAGACAGTCATTTTCGAGCCGAAAAACGTGTAAACATTTGGAGCAATTCGAAAATCACAATCTCTTCCATTTATCGAAACTGAGCGAATCGACAAGTCTCGAACATCCAAAGTCTGAAAGTTTTTTGATCTTACGATTTTTCGTTTCCGAATTTAATTCCTGCATTCAAGAATTATCATCTTCAAATAGTACTTTTTCTTATCTTGGAATTTTTTCTTTTTTTTTGAAACAAAAATTCTTCTTCTCTTAATACCCATTGTCTACCTCCAAACCAAACCATCTGATTGACACATTATCAAAAAAAGAGCAGCAGAAAAAAACCATGTTTTGTACTTACCAACTTATCGGTTTTTGTCAAAAGTCGACATGTTAAAGTGGCTTGTCCGATGATCATTTTCAATTGGAATGAAACTGTCCATTTGATGGCTGTATGTTCGACAGTTATCTGAAAAAAGGAGAGATTTTTTGGCTTAAAAAAAATCAGCCTTAATCGTGTTGAGACCCAAAATGCTCATGTTCCTTTAAATTCCAGCTAAAACGCAGTAATTTTTGAAATTAACTTTTTTTTAAGGCACATCTTTTGGGTCTTCTCACGACTTCTAAAATTTTCCACAAAAACTGCAACAAAACATGAAAAATCGCGGTGAGACCCAACCTTTTTCAATTCCTATGTTCATTTAAATTTTGAGCTAACAATTTAAAGGCACATATTCTGGGTCTTGTCACGATTTCTAAACTTTTCCACAAAAAATCGTGACAAGACCCAAGCTCTTTGAACTTTTATGACCCTTTAAATTTTTCAGCTCAAATTTCAAAAGTTCATAATTTGGGTCCTTTTGGTTCAATTTTTTTCTGATTTAAAATTTGACAATTTTCAGTTTTGAAATCAATATTTTTATCGCAAATTTAATTTTGCACTTCAAAATTTTAATTTTTAAATTTCCCCGCCCAAAAAAGCCCACCTCATTATTATTTGCAGCCGAACACGGATCTCTTTTCGGTTTTCGATGATGCTGGCACATTTTTCCTTCTTCTTCTGAAAAAAATAATGACTCTAAAACTGCTGATAAAAAATCAGCCACAATTTGACAAAAAAAACTTCGTAGGGGCTTATGCTCCAAAGAAAACCGATAAATTTTTGCCGGGTTGTGCCAAAATTGGGCGGAGCTTATCAGAACTGATAAGCTCCGCAAAAATGATTGATTGCTTTTGGGCACGAGGTGCTAATCGAAAAAAGGACACAAAAATGATTTTGAGTGGGGTGATCGATCAAATTGTTCTTTTGAATGACAAAAAACAACAATAAGTATGTCCATAATCATTTTCATTTCTTGAATAATTTGTGGGGGGAAATCGGGGCGAATCTATGAATGTTTGAGAGGGGAAAAGCGAGAAAAGGGGCTAGAAGAAAATAAATATAAACTATATAAAATCCATTTTTGAGGACAATTTGAGAGAGAGGCAATGACAAAAAAAAGAGTTGGTGGGTAAAAAAAGGCGAAAAAAACGGCGATTAGAAATTTGGTATAAATCTGGGTAAAAAGGTCCACTTGGATTGATTAAAAGAAAAATTTTAGTTTGGTGTGTAGGTGACTAGAAAAAAGAGACCGGGCTATTTGTGTTTTGAAACTATGTACAAATTATAGTACATGAGAAGAAGGCAATGAGAGGAGCGAAGAAGCAAATTATTGCCGATTTGATGCAGTCAAATGCTCTTCAGAAGTCCATCGAGTTTTGAGTTGTGAAAGAGATTGACGACGAGATTGTTTTGATGATAATAAGTGACCAGATGATCCCATCGAAACTTTCGAACTGGTTCGGCTGGAAATAATGCGTGATTTTGAATAGAAAATAAATAATTTGAATTTGAATTTATGTGGCAAAATTCAAGAATTTAATGGACCTATACGGGAATTTCAGAAAAAGTATAAATTTATTAATGCCATCAATCAATTAGAAATTTTAACTTTTTTTTCAAACAGAAATATTGAAACGTATTTTTTCCGGCTTTTTTACTTACTGAATTTCACCTCTAAATCTACCAAAAATCAAAAAAATTTACCTTCTCATGTGTGGTGGCAATTGATCAAAACTTCCATTCGTTTTAGTATTGTTAAAATCTCCACCAGCCATCGAATTCGATTCCTGAATTCGTCCAGTTTGCGATAAACACATCATCGATCCAACAACATTTCGATGTTTCAACAATGTCTTCGACGGATGTCCACCGTGTTTTTCCATTCCACCGCGTTTCGCCATATTTTGCAAATATCTTTTCGTCGATTGAAAATGATCCTGTTGTGGTTGCTGCTGATTCAAATGATGGCTACTTTGATGGTGATAATAGTGTTGTTGTTGTTGTTGTGGTGGATAATCTTCAAGTTCTGATGACATATCAGCCGCGTCAAGAACTCGATCATCAACCAACATTCGTTGATAAATTGGAATTGTTTGGAATTCCTTGTCGGTTGGATGAACAAACTCGCATCGAAGACCGTATGGGCAGAAACCGGTTCCTCCGCGAGCAAAATTTTTGCACAATTTCGTTTTGTACTTGTTGTTTGGGAAGCGGTTTGGCTGAAAATAAGAAAAACCGTATATTTCTTTTTAAATTCTAATAAATTCAACATACAACTTCAGCGGTTCTCAACTCCTTCAATCCATGCGCAAATTTACATCTCGAACCCATTTCACACGGTCTTGTTCCAGCCGCGTGCATCATACATAGCCGAGTTTTGTAGTTCATCGGCTGTTGTTGTTGCTGTTGCTGGGTTGGAGTTTGAGCTTGAGCTTGTTGAGAATCGCCAGAACCGAATGGATTTCGACGAGACGATGAGGATGATATCAATTTATCGCTTCTTTGCTGAAAAAAAACATTCTTATAAAGAAATCAAATAACAAAAGATCAATGCGATTCAGGCTTACATCCATAGCCAGATTTTCTTTATCTGCACTCATCGTATCGTCATTCGCATGATCAATTGTGATTTTCGAGATTTCGTCAATCGGCAACATATGATCATAATCATCGTCATGCTCCATCGGTTTGTAGTTGTATCTGAATTGAATCATCTTCGGTCTCGCCGCAGCCGCAGCCATCTCTCTTTGTGCCATTTCTCTTTGCGCATTCTCATATTCCATTCTTGAAGGAATCGGGGTAGATGAGGTTAATGGACCACGTTGATTATCTGCAAAAATTTATGTTTTTTTCGAAAATTAGCCATTATCAAATAACTAACTTAATTCATTACTGATATGTGGTGGTTGTTGCATTTGTGGTTGTAATTGTGTTTGTTGCTGTTGCATAATATCACCATGTGCCATAATTTGTCCAGTTTGTTGTGGTGGAATTGGATAATACATTGGTGCAGGTTGTTGATAATAAATAATCGGTTGTGGCGGTCCTGCAGTATATGGTGTATAATACTGTGCAGGTTGTGGTGCCATTTGTGCCGGCGCCAAATATCCATTATCTTGATATTGTTGAATGTATTGTGGTTGAGGTTGTGGCGGTGCAGGTTGCGCGTATTGTGGTGGTGCTGTATAATAATATTGCGTATCGTATGGCACACCTTGTGGAGGCTGTTGAGCCATTGTTGTTGATGGAGTCGGTCCTGCTGACGACTGCATTTGTGCTGAAAGACGTTTTAGGAATGAGGAGATCGGGCAGAGTTTTGGTGCTTGGCTGGAAAACGTGAAAAAAGTGAACGGGCGGCTCGACTGCCTGAAAAACGCTGAAAACAAAACGAAAAGACATTTCGCGGGCGCGCGCAATGGTCTCACAACGGACACACCTATTTTCTTGTGTGCCTTTAATAATCTACAGTAACCGCAAACATTTTGGAGTCTGAAAAAAATTTTTTTTTTGAAAAATGTTTTTTTCTGCTAAACCCGGTCTATTTAGCTTATCATAGACAGATACAAATACCTAATTATTTACCAGTTTTTGCTTGTTTTCCCCACATCCATTTACATGTTTTTACAACACCTAAACAGCATATAAAAGAAAAAACCAAAAGAAAGTTCCTAGAAAATGTCCTCCAAACTTTTATCAACTGTGATTTTCGGATGTGGTTTGAGTGTTTTTGTGGCGTTGTATGTTGGCGTTCGGCTGATTTTGGATATTCGCGATTTTGAGGATGGGGTTTGGAAGGATTTGGAGAGTTTCAAGGTGAGGTCATAAAAATTTATTTTTAAAAAAATCAATAAAAATTTTTGAGACTCTCTCAAGTGACGCGTGGCAAACGATGCAAACTTCGGAAATGTCTCGAATTTACCGTCGTCAAGCCGGATATCAATACAATCATTATCAACAACAACCTCCCAAGCACGACTCCGAAGTTCACCGCGAAGCTCCGAAAACCGAATGTCCCCCCGGCGCTCCAGGTTCCCCTGGAACTCCCGGAGAGCCAGGCGAACCCGGAACTCCTGGAGATGATGGAAATCCTGGAATGCCAGCGATGGCTCAACTCGCAATGGATTATACCGGTGGAGAATGCATCAAATGTCCAGCCGGGCCACCAGGTCCTCCAGGACCTTTTGGACGTCCCGGGCTGATTGGCCAACCCGGTTTACCAGGAGAAGACGGTGATTTGGGACTTCCCGGACCTCCCGGACCACCAGGACCCGCTGGAAATATCGGATTCGCTGGCAAACCTGGATGCCCTGGGAAAGACGGGAATCCAGGACTCCCAGCCACTCGAATCCTCCCTGGTAACCCAGGAATCGCAGGTCCTCCAGGTCCCCCAGGTCCACTAGGCCCAGAAGGCGAAGACGGTGAAGATTCACAAGGCCAACCAGGTGCTCCGGGACCAATCGGTCCTCCAGGTCGACCTGGGCTACCCGGAGAAGACGGGGGTCGTGGAAACGACGGAGAAGATGGTCAACCTGGTGAAGATGCTCAATATTGTCCATGTCCTCCTCGAACTTCTTCATCTGGAGGAGGAGCACAAGAAGGGGGTTATTAAGACTCTTAATTTAAGAGCCTAAAGAGGAAAAAGCTTCTAACCGTAATTTATTCGCTAAATAATATTATTTACAAAAAAAAAGAAGAAAACATTTATTTTTTATTTTCTCTTCGATCCATTCATTCCTCCCATAATCATTGCAAGTCGAATAAAAATGTTCAAAACATCCATGTAGATTGAGAGTTGGCTGAAAAAAACGAAGCTAAAATTAATTTTTGTCGCATCCAAAAATGAAAAAAAATCTTCACCCGAAAGGTGGAGTCGAACCACTGCGGGGCTAACCGCCTACAGGTTTGAAGCCTGCACCACAGACCGCCATGGATCATTCGGGCAAAAGAAGTGGGAAATGTGTTTGGTTTATATAACCTAGACAAAATGAGCGACCGACATTCCGCTGGTTTTGAAGGTTGCTATAGAAATGGGTGGAGACAACGTGTTGAATAGGAGGAAATTAGAAAGAAAATTAGAGTTTTGAATTTTTTTCGGAATTTTGATATAGAAAAAATTGAGAATCTGAATTTTAAATTTGGAAATTGCTTCAAAAACCAAAAAAAAAATCTCTGAAAATCGGAGCTTTCGAAAAATTCAGAATTGTTGTTTTTTGAAAAAATAAATTGTAAAATAAATTGAATTAATTTTTGGCGGAAAAAGTCATCATAGCTCATTTTCATGATTCAAGAAAAACTGATTCCAAAAATACTTGATTCTATCAAATTTCAACATTGCGGAAATTTTTTAATGAAATTTTTGAAACGTATTTTTTTCGGTGTTGAAAATTAAAAATGCAATGTTTACCTGACCAAAAACAAGAAAACTGATTCAAAAACATGTTTTGAAATCCGAATTTTGAAAATTAAATGAAAAATATATTCGCATTATCATTTTGAATGATGAGGGAACAATTATAATAAATAGTTTGAAACATAAAAAATTCGGGATTTTTCAGACAATTTCTCAGTTTGTCATTTCAAAAAAATTTAAATTCCCCCAAAAAACTCACGCATTAATTGGATCATAGCTCTTAATCTGAGCAGCTCCATAAAATTGCGATGGATGTGGATAAGTCTCCGCTTTTTTCACCAATCTCTGAGTGTCATACAACAAAAATGCGGAGAACAAAATCAATCCACCATACATCACCAAAGACGCCAAACTCGCTCCAATCGCACTTCCCGGTGGAAGGAAGAATGTTCCAATGTTTGCGACGAAAATCACACCAAATCCCATCGCCAATGGTCCGGACATCATCAAGAATTTCTCAGAAGGTGCGGTGATTGCAGTAGCTGATAAACCTCCAACAATTCCAGCTGTATACCAAGCAGCTCTAGTTAAAACTGGACCACCCAAGAAGCAAAGTGGTGCCAAAACAGCTCCCATAACTCCACAATGCAATGCCCAAGCTGCAAATCTTGATTTATTATTTTTTTTAAAAGATATTTCAGCTTACCCAAATGTTTCATCATTCCACTATCATAATCAATAGATCTACACAACATTCCACTTCCAATCATAACAGCCATTGTTCCAAACATTGACATCAACCCATTTCCAGCTGTTAATCTCATAATTGTTGCATTTCGAGATGCAACAACTCCACTTGCAGCTGTTAAAGCAAGACTTCCAGCAAGATAAGTGTAGGTGGATGAGATTCTTTCTCTAACATAAGTTGGCCAAAGTGCGGATTGTTGGAGAATTGATTGTTCTTTTGAGATAAGGCCATAGTACATGAGAGCTCCGACACCGAAAACTGAAGCTCCAGCGAGAGCATAAGTTCCGTAGAGGAATGCTGGGAATTTTATTAATTTTTTTAACATCCAAAAAAATTAAGAAAAACTCACGTTTTCCAGTAGTCGGTCCCAAAAGTCGTTCTTTAAGCGTTGGTCCAGCCTTCACACCAAAACCAGTCGAATTCGAAAACCGTGTTCCGAAGCCCGATGAATTTCCTTGAAATCTGGCGGATTTGGCGGCTGATTGAGTGAATTGACGAATAGCGATTGTTGGAACGGTTACAGTTAGACGAGAAAGCATTTTTCTGAAGAAAAATAATCGAAAATGATTGGTTTTTGATGAAAAATAAGTGAAGGAGGGGCTAAGGTCACGTGGAAAAATGATGCAATAAACAAGAGATTTCGAAATCGAAAATTCTGGAAAAATGCACAGAATGGTGCCTTGAACTCTTTAGATTTAGCAACTCAAATTATATAACAGTATGTACTTTTCTAAAATTCAAAAAAAAACTTCTGAAATTCAAAAAAGAAATCAATTTTTCTCTAATTTTTTTTTTGAAAAAATCAATAAATTTTGCTGTAAATTCCACTCGAAATTAGTTTTCTCCATATATTTTCAACATTTTTCTATTCATTATCACAAGAAACCAGCAAAAACCTCACGAAACCGTCGAAAAACCAGAAAAATCGCGAAATTTCGGGTTGATTTACGAGAATTGGCAAACAGCCAGTGCAAGACTACGGTAATTGCATCTTTGCAGCGTGTGCGAGTGTATGAAAAGTGTGCGCCATGCGCCTTCTCTCTCTCTTTTTATTTTTCTTTTCTTTTTTCACTTGGCCTAAAGAATTTTTCAACGTTTTTTTGTGGAAAGTCTGGATTTTTGAAGTTTTAAGGGTTTTTGAAATTCAAGATAATTTTTAAAGTTAGGGTTCGATGATTTCTGATGGAAAAGTTGGAAACTTAGCCTTTTTGAAAATTTCAGAAGCTTTTTTTATTTTCGAAAAATTTCGTTTTGATGAATATTCACGGTTACTTGCTCATAAGTTTTCTTGATGTTATTTCTTCTCGTCTTAGACCTTATATAATGCTTTATTCACTTATTCTTTTTATTTTAATTCAACTCGAACTCATTCATAAAAATTAATTTTTGCAGAACATGGGTGCATATAAGTATATGCAAGAAATTTGGCGCAAGAAGCAGTCCGATGCTCTTCGCTATCTTCTCCGTATCCGCGCCTGGCATTACAGACAATTGTCGGCTGTTCACCGTGTGACCAGACCAACTCGTCCAGAGAAGGCCCGTCGTTTGGGATACCGCGCCAAGCAAGGTAAATTTTTCATTTTCTTCTTGTTTGCTGAAAGAAAAGAAACATGCCACAATGTCTGGGCAGGGTGCCGCGCAATGCGTGAACAACCTAATCCATTGATGGCTATATAAAACTTCAATTTCGATTAATCCCTGTCAAGTTCTTTATTATCTTGTCAGTTTCATGCCCGAAATACAATCAATTATTTATCAAAGCCAACTTTGAAATTTCAGGATACGTCATCTACCGCGTCCGTGTCCGCAGAGGTAACCGCAAGCGTCCAGTCACCAAGGGACAAACCTACGGTAAACCAAAAACCCATGGAGTCAACGAACTCAAGAACGCCCGCTCCAAGCAAGCCGTCGCTGAAGTGAGTTTTTATTATCAAAATTGGTTTAGTTGAAGACAAACTAATTTTCGAAACGTATTTCCTGATTCTCTGAACGAGATTTTCAAAATTCATGCCACGGTGTCTGGGCAGAGTGGGCTGTTTTTAATAGTACTAACTTAATCCACCGTCGGCTATATGATAGCTTTGTATAATCCCTGAACACCTCTGTAGTGTATTAGATTCATGACATTGCTACATTTAATCTGAAACAAATTACTCAAAAAATCAATTTTTTCAAGTTCTAATTCTGTAATTTTCCAGGGTCGTGCTGGACGTCGTCTCGGAGCTCTCCGTGTTCTCTCCTCATACTGGGTAGCCGAAGATTCCACCTACAAATTCTTCGAAGTCGTCCTCGTCGATCCATTCCACAAGGCCATCCGCAGAAACCCAGACACCCAATGGATCACCAAGCCAGTTCACAAACACCGCGAACAAAGAGGACTCACCTCAGCCGGACGCAAATCCCGTGGACTCGGAAAAGGATGGCGCTTCTCAGCCACTCGCGGAGGATCTCAAGCCAAGAACTGGAAGAGAAAGAACACCGTTGTTTTCCACCGCAGACGATAAATCTATTAACGTATTATTTTGGTCTGTTTCTTGTTGCCAGAATAAGATGGTTGTTTATATCCACATGTTTTCTTTTGATTCGTTAAACTTTCCTATTTGCTACCCTTTGAATACTAGGGTTATGCTAAAAATAATCTCTCGAACAATGAGCACAGCAGAAGGACCGGTCGCAAAAATCATCCAAGAAAAGCTCACAGCGACATTCCAGGTATAATTCAAGATGAACTTGCATTTAGAACCCCTCCAATTTTCCAGCCGAAACATCTGGAAGTCGCATGCGAAAGCCATTTACACAACGTGCCAAAAGGTGCTGAAAAACATTTCAGAGTTCAAGTAGTCAGTGATGCTTTCGAAGGAATTCGTGTGATTGAAGTGAGTCCCTGAAAAAGTTGGGAAATAAAAAGAAAAGAGCACCAGTGATCAAGTACTATAAATATGTATTGAATTACATTTCAAAGATTAAATATGCAAAACTTGGATGCTTATTCTCACAATTAAAGATTCCTACGTGAGAATTTGAATAACAAGTTCAGTTTCAAATGAGAAAGCCTTCTGAGAAAGGTTAAAAAATGAATAATAAATATTCGGAACCAAAACTCACGAACACTTGAGTAAATTAATATTAGAAATGAATTTATCAGAAGAAAAAATAAAAATCCACGCAAAAATTTCAATTTTTCCAGCGCCACCGTTTGGTCAACACTTGTTTATCCCACGAACTTGCCAATGGTGTTCACGCTCTTCGAATCGACGCAATTCCAACCAGCAAATGGACCGAAGGCAAACAACAAGATCCAAGTCCGACGTGTAAAGGAGGTTTCGGTAAATAAAAATGATGTATTTATTTAGTTTTTGAAAATGAAAACTCACAATCAGAAATATAAAAATTCCACCAAAAAATCACACCCAAAAATGAAAAATGTTTCTTCACCCGAAAGGTGGAGTCGAACCACTGCGGGGCTAACCGCCTACAGGTTTGAAGCCTGCACCACAGACCGCCATGGATCATTCGGGCAAAAGAAGTGGGAAATTTGTTTGGTTTATATAACCTAGACAAAATGAGCGACCGACATTTCGCTGGTTTTGAAAAGGTTGCTATAGAAATGGGAAAACATAACGAAAAGTTGGAGTTTTGAATGGTTTTATCCAACGTTTTGCAAATTAGTGCCATTTTCAGGGAAATCACTTTGAAATAATGAATGGATATTAGATAAATAAAAACTATAATACAAGAGAAATCACAAAAAAAACTCCCAAAATACCGTGAAAACCACCAAAACCAAAGAAAGATGACAAAAAAAAATAAAATGAACATTTTCTTGTGCTGCCCAAACTACGACACTCCGCATTGACACAACAAAATTTTCATTTCATTTTATTTTTTGTCATCTTTTTATGGTTTTTGGTGATTTTCATGGTATTTTGGGGTTTTTTTTGTGATTTCTCTTGTATTATAGTCTTATTTCCATTCATTATTTCTAGGTTATTTCCATGAAGGTGCCACTGTTTTGCCGAAACGTTGGATAAATTCATTTAAAACTCCGACTTGTCATTATTGTTTCCACGTCATAACCTGTTTATGAGGTGAGTTGGGTTTTTTTTTTGTTGAAAAAATTATTTAAAAAATGTTTTGGCGGAAAAAATCATTCAAAAAATCAAATTTGGGAGGAACAAAAAATGCCACCAATTTTTTCATAGCTAACTTTTCTGGTTCAAGAAAAACTGATTACAAAAATATTTGATATCATCAAATTTCAAAATTGCGGAAATTTGTTGAAGCAACACCCCTGTATAACAGGTAGCACACAATTGGTGTCAAAGTGTCTGCACAATTTCATGAAATTGCGAATCTGCAGACGATTTTCAAAAAAAATAATTTTTTACTCAAAAGTGGTCAAATTCGATCGTTTTTGAGTATTTCTTTTTCATTTATATATTTTCGTGTTTGAATGCTGTACGAATGGCCTTATTATATAAGGGTGTTGTTTTAATGAAATTTTTGAAACGTATTTTTTCGGTGTTGAGAAAAATTAGAAATGCAATGTTTACCTGGCCAAAAACAAGATCTTCAGACTCTAAAAAATTCTGTGAAAACACTGAATTTCTGATGAAAACATCATTTACCTTTTCCATCCATGTTCCTTTAAATTGACCTAGAAGTGCCCAAGTCTTGTACTTCAAGATGAGTAAATTTTCCTGAAGTTTTTTTTGTCGCCCAAGAAAACAATCAATCAAAATAGAAAAAGTTTTGATGTTCCGCACTTTAAGTGGCCAAAAACAGACAGAAAAACAACTTATATAAACTCAAGTTTTCTTCCCTTCTTTTTATTTTTTTTTAGTTTTTTCAGAAGAAAATCGAGGACCTCCACTTTATTATTTTTTTTATGTTTTCTAGGAAAAAATATTTTTTTATTTCATTTTTGGATTTAGTTTAGTTATGACGTGGCAATTTTTATTACTGAAATCTGAAACTTTAAATTCAACACAGTCAAAATCTACTTTGCCTAACTCTAAACGTGAGTTATGACGTGGCAAATTCAAGCTACTTTTTCAAAATTTGCCACGTCATAAATCATTTTTCGTATTGATGAAAACCTGATTCTTGAAATTTGAATTGAAATTGAAAAAAAATTGAAAATCGGATCATTTTCACGAAATAAAAAAATATCGAGTTTTCAACAAGGAAAAAATACGTTTCAAAATTTTCATAACTAAATTTTCGAAATTTTGAAATTTGATATACCAAATTTTTCGCGATTTGTTGATTTCGAATGTTAGCCTATGTTTTCTGAGGGAAAAATCGTTTTTTTCAGATTTGGGAAAAAATTTCGTAGTTCTAATTAAAGATAATCCTCCCCGGAAGCAAAAAAAGATTTGGCTTTTTGAAAATCAAACCAAAAGTTCAGAAAGCCTTATGAACTCTTAGGAGAGCTTAGCGGCTTTAGGAAAATCTGTGAAGCCTAGGAAACCTTGGTCCGATTTTGAGCCCCCGAAATTTTTGGCCAAAAAGTTTTTAGCTTTTCAAAAGTTCAACTTTTCATATTTTCCTCTTCAGATATTTTTTTGAGAGACAAAAAATTTCTCATTTTCAATTTTCCATGTGCTTTCTGCCTTTCAGTCTGCTTTCAGCCCCAAATTTATGCATTAAATAAATGGCGGACGGGGATATTTGATATTTTTATGTGGACACATTTTTTGTCTCTGTTGTTTTTCGATCTTTTTTGTGTGTTGTAGAGTTAGTTGGCTGAAAGAAAAGAAAAGAAAAACATATGAAAATTGGAAAAAAAATAAATAAGATATTCATTTTCACACAGTTTTTTGATGGTTGAGCTGTTCAAAAATTATTTTTTTCTGAGAAAATTGAATTCTGAGGTTCTGAAACTTTTTGTGCAACAGAGCGAATTTGCTGTTTTCAAAAAAATTTGGAAACATTTTTTTGTGCATTTTTTTCAACCCCGAAATATTTTTAAAAAGTAGTTATGACGTGGCAAAACTTTTACATAGTTTTCAGAATTTTTTTTTCTAGTCTCTGAAAATACCTACCTCTATTTTCAGCCATGACTCAAAAATTGACCTGTCAGTCAAACATTTCAGAGCTCAGAGCTCAATGTTCAGAAAAACAGGAAAACTTGTGGCTCACAAGATTTCTAGGTGCATTTTCAGCCACGTGGATTTTTCTGTAATTCAAAAATCCTTCGCCACGTCATTTTGTGAATAAATTATTTCTTGCAAATTAGGTCAACTCTGAAAATGAGCTATGACGTGGCAAATCTTGACAATCCTGCTTTAAATAGCTTCATAAAAAATCTCATTTAGTCGTGAGTGAAAACATTTTGCCACGTCATTACTCGTGTTGAGATTTTTTTTGTTGAAAATCTAAATTTTTCTCATGAAAACCTCAGAATCTTTTTTTTTGAGTTCCAGAAAAATCTGAAAGATCTTTCCCCCTTCAACCAACAAAAAAATTAATTCAAAACCCCGCCCCATTTGAAGTTTGCTCAAAAAAAAACGAAGAGAAAAAACGTTCAGTCTTTCATTTCATTCATATTCTTCTCTCGATGTTTTTTTTCGTCTTCTTTTCATTTTTTTTCATTTCTTCAAAGTCGAATAATTAATGCTGCGTGTGTGGTTTTTGATATTTTTACTTACTTAAAATTTAAAATCGGTTAGAAAAAAAGTTTGGCGGCTGGTGGGGTCGAACCCTGGTGTTGCAAAATGCGGGCAGAGATGTTAACCACTCGGCCACGCAGTGTTTTCTTGAATTGACTTAAAATATCGAATATAAAATGCGTGCTTCGTTGGCTTCGTGGGTGGTGAAGCTAGTTATGACGTGGCAATTTTTGGACTAAAAATGATGTGCTTTCAGTTATTCAAGAAGCCTTTTGAGATTTCGAAATCTCAAAAATTAAAATAGAAATCTCTAAAATGACGAATTCTTCTTCTACGCAAATCCTGCCTGCAAACATATAAATAAAATAGAAATAAATAGCCTAGGAGGATTAATATAAATCCGGCAAGACTTCTGAAATTTTCATCATTTTTTTGCGTTGAAAGGAGGTCTCTTGGGGTTTTTAAGAGCTTTAGGGACTATTTTTCCAGAATCTGAATTTCAGGTTTTTTAGAATCTTAAAAGTTCGCCAGGCTCAAGTTTAATTTTGAGCCACGCTATTATTTTGGCTTAAAATTCATAAGAAATTTGTTAATCAAAACTTTCTGCTTCAAAAAATTTGAACTTTAATTTGAAAAATAAACTAATTTTTTCGTCTAAAAATTGCCACGTCATAACTAAAATTCTAAAAATTGTTTTCTGATATTCGGAATTTCAAATTTCAAAGGTCCCTGATTTTTTTGGCTCAAAATTTTGAGATCTTTTGAACTTTTTTCAAAACAAACCAATTCAAAACCCAAAAAAATCTGATTTTTTGAAAATTTCTGAAAATTAGTCTGGCCTAACCGGATCTAATTTTCTCCCCAAAAAAAATTTGGACCAAAAATTCTCGTGTGCAAAAAAACTGAAAACTTTTGCAAGAAATAATAAATTCCATTTTCTTCCCTTCTTTCTTTCTCCTCTTTTTTTATTTCATTTTCCATCGGAACTAGAAAAATTGGAATTTTTTGGCTGAAATTTTTTCAGCAGCAGTCACTTTTTTGCATAGGTCAAAATAACAAAAAGGGCACTTTTTTCTTGACATTTTTTATATTTAAAATGTTATTTATCTAGTTCCTTCTTATTTTTCAGAGAGGATTTTCAGATAATTTTTTTCTGAAATTCTGGAACTCAAGAATTTTTCTGAAAACGCGGAGAGTATTAAAACTTGAAGAAAACCTGATTTTAAGAAAAATTGAATTTTTTAATTTTAAAATTTTCAACACCGAAAAAATACGTTTCAAAATTTTCCTAAACAAATTTTGTAAATTTGAAATTTTATAATGCTCAGAGTTTGGCTAACTCAAATTTGATCGCGGAACTTTTGATTTTTGCCAGTCACGTCATATTCAGAACCACATATTTTTCTAGATTTATGTGCATATTCTCTCCTTGTTTTTTCTCAATGTTATATTTTATGAGAAAAAAAAACGAGTATGTAGAATAAAAAAAAATAATGAGATGCTAAATTTTGATTATTCAGAATGTGAGAAAAAAGAAGTGAGTGAATCACGTGTTTTTTTTTCTGAATTCGATTTATTTATTTATTCATTTCCTTCTTGCCTTTTTTCTTGTTAGTTAGGAGAAGATTTGCTGAAAATTCTGAAATTTTGAAGAAACGTGGATTTCCGAATTGAAAATCGAAGTTCCAACAAGAAAAAATACATTTCAAAAATATCAAAAACAAAATTTTGGAATCTTGGAAGTGCTCATTGGAATTTCACAAAACCTACAGTAAAATCACATTTGCCACGTCATGGCTCAGGTTTAGAGTTGGCATATGAAAGTTCTTATATTTGGATTGCAGAAACGTGATCAACAGGTCGAAAAAGCCTTAATCAAATTCCAAATTTGAAAAATTTGTTTATAAAAATCTTGAAACGTATTTTTCCCTTGTTGAAAATTCGACAGTTTTTTGATTTCAATTTTAATTAAAATCAGTTTTTCTTTGAGATATGACGTGGCGAAGTTTGGAAGAGTTAGGATAAGTAGTTGTACTGTGCAAAAAAATATTTTATTCAAAAATTATTTGTCACCGGAAAGAATATAATAATTAACAGTCATCAATCGATATTTCGATGAAGCATACGGTGCTTTTTTCAATTCCATAATATAAACCCGATTTCCAATTTTCGATAGCATTTGAAGCTTTTGCAATTCGATAAAAGCCGAATAATAAACTCCATGAAAAAATATTCCAACTCCAATATCATCTAGCAAAGTGAGAAAATAAGCCAATTCATGAGTTTTACCGCCAGTTCCAAAATATCTGAAATCGTTGGTGAAAAATTCGCCAGTCTCGTTGAGTCCCCATTTTTCGGTGGTGTGCACAAATTGGCGCGCGAAAAGTTGCGCGGCTTTTTGAGCTTCTGGATCGATGGAGATTGTGAAAATTGGCAGAAAAATTAGGAGAAGAATGATTTTTGACATGATTTTTGTGAAGTTTTGCGGGGAAGAATTTTGGTTTTATTTGGGCAGAGAAGGGAATAATTTTTTGATTGAATTATAATTTTTATTGATTTGAAAATTCAAGAAGTTCCAGAATCCAATTTAATATAGCCTAACTCTAAAAATTCATTTTTTCACATTTCTACAGTCAAAAATCCAAATTTTGCCACGTCATAACTCATTTTTCGAAACGAATTTGAAATTAATTTTAAAAAAAAAATTAAAAAAACAAAAATTTATTTTTTTTTCAAATAGAAAATGTCGAATTTTCAACAAGAGAAAAATACGTTTCAAAATTTTTTCAAAATGTCACAATTTTAAAATTTGATCATGTAGTTGCTGATGCTTCTTCAAAATGTAGAGATAGTTGTGCCACGTCATAACTGACTATTAAAAAAAAAGATTTTTGGAATAAACGCCCTAAAAATTAAGAGGGCGTGTAATCTAATTTTCGGAGAAAAGTCAATAAAGTTCTAGCTGAAATTTCAGTCTTCCAAAATTTTTCCCATGCCAAAATTTGACATGCAATTTTTGGACACAAAAAACGATCACATCAGAAATTAATGAATTTTTTCGGAGTTTATGGACTCACAAAATGTTACTTTCTTATTTTTCATCTCAAGAAAATGTTGTTCCGCAAGCTTGCGCGGTGAATTCACGTGGATCTGCGGTTCGCGGGTTCAAATGTATATTTCTCTGCGCTCTCTCAATTTTACTCTAACCTGATTTTCCACCTCACCTCACCTCACAATAAACTTTTTCCAGAATCCCATGTCTCGAAACCCCTTATTCCTCCGTCTCCCTGGCTCCTCTTCCTCATCATTTCAAGAAGACGAAGACACTCTCTCCTCTCTGCGCATCTCATCTCTCTCCCTCGACCATTCTCCCGCCAAAACGTGTTCCACGTCAGCGCCCGAAGAAGATGATGACGTGGATTCTCTCTCCCCCTCGCCTTCAGCTAAAAAAGTCTCATGGTCACTATTTGATCGTGTCCAACTATCCGGCCATCAATTCCTGTTGCCACGTCGATTTGAAGCCCGCGAGCTGATTGTGAGCCCCGGAGGGCCTGGAATGAGTTGTGCTGGAAGGCCGCCAACTTGTTCCGCGGTGGATTTAATGGATGAGGAGAGTGTTATGATTAAGAAGATATCATTGCAAGATCCGAAAGTGGCGAGAGTTGAGTATAGGAATATTATCCTATGTCGATTGTTGCCACATCCTAATGTGAGTTGGGATAACTTAAACTTGGGTTTAGCTAAGGTAGGCTTGGACTCCGTATCCACAAAGCACACAAATGTGTTGCCGCTCAGTGAATTTTTTGCAAGAATCGAGTTCATTTATCCTTTTTCAGCAAGTGTTTTTAGTATTTCTGAAAATAAAAAGTTTATTTGCTCAAACTTCCTTGAACTTAAAATTTGTTATGATTTCTGAAATTAATATTTTTTCACTTCCTCTTAACATTTTTCCCAGGGTTTTACTATTTCAGGGAAAAAATCCGATGTATTTTAAAATCACAAGTTCTGGGATGAAAGTTCTGAAATATAAATTTTTCGATAGCCTTCTGAAAATGTAAAGATGATATTTTTAAGAATCTTTAAATTTTTTTCTCAACACGTCATTTTTTTCAGACAAAAATAAATATGAATTGCGAATTCATAGAGTTTTTCATGAATTTCTGATAACATTTAAATTTAGATTTTCTGAAAAAAAGTATTTTGTAATTTTTTGGTCCGAAATTTCCTAGAAGACAAATCAAAAGAAATTTTCGAAAAAAATCTGAACTTCAAAAAAATATTGACATGAGCAATCTGGTTTTGTTTGTTCCCTGAAGATCTCAAAATTATCTTTAACATGAGCAATCCTCTCGTTTTCTCCAGATTCTTCCCATCATCGAAGCCTACGAAGTGGATTCCGCCTTATACACGGTGACCGAACAAATGGATGGTCGTCTAGCGGATATCGTCGGCGAGCGACTCACACATTTCGTCCTCGCAAAAATTTGCCATCAAATTGTGGCCGCCGTTGCAATGATGCACAAAAATGGAATTGCACATGGGGTAAGTCTAGAAGTCTTCTACAGTAACCATATCAATCGCTTCAGGACCTGACTCTGAATTCGATTTATGTGAACACTGATGCTGAATTGAGATTGGCTTCTTATGGAAAAACTGATGATTCGGTGGAATGTTTGCCAGAGAGATTTAGAGGTGAGTTTCGAGCGGAGCGAGTGTAGACCGCAAGCTTCCGTGAATGCGGAAAGTTATCCTAACTTTTTTGGAAAACTCAGAAAGATAGGAAAACTTGTAGACCAAAAGCTTCCGCAAAGCAGCAAAGTTATCCCAATTTCTTTGAAATTTTCAGACGATCTCCTAGCCATCGGCGCAATTCTCTCTCGATTTCTAATGAACGAGGATGAAAGTGCTCGATTATCAAAATGCAGTCGAAATCAAAAAGATTTCGATTGGCGGCCGGTTTTGGAAGGCAACAGTGATTCTGGACTTCTAGATTTTCATGCGAGGAATTTGCTATTTCAACTTTTGGATGGAAGATTGACCTCTGCTGAATTATTGATTCACCCGTATTTCAAATCATTCCGAACACCTCAACATCAATTTGTTGAGCGGAAATTGACGTGTGTTGGACAAAAAACTAATGATGAGGTTTTGGGTGAGTAACTAAATTTCGGATGAGAAGAAAAAATTATCATTCTTTCAGACAAACTTCGTGAAGAACTACAACGGTTCAATCCATTCAGCATGTCCGAAATAATTTTATGATTGATCTTGTATTTTTGTAAATATTTTTGATGTACATAAATGTTTTTGTCATTGAAACATCGTGAACAAAGATTCACAAGGCTTGTCGAGGCTTCTGAAGGCTTGTCGAGGGTTCCCAAGGCCTCCCAAGGCTTCCCAAGGCCTCCCTAGGCTTTCCAAAGCTTCCCGAGACTTGTAGAGGCTTCCCAAGGCTTGTGGAGGCTTCTCAAGGCTTCTCAAAACTTCCCAAGGCTTGTTGAGGCTTGAAGAGGCTTCCTCAGGCTTGTCGAGGCATCCCAAGGCTTCTCAAAGCTTCTCACGGCTTTTTAAGGCTTCCCAAGGTTTGTCTAGGTTTGTCGAGCCTTCTTGTCGAGGCTTCTCAAGTTTTCCCGAGGATTCTCAAAGCTTAACAAGGCTTTTCATGGCTTCTCACGGCTTTCCAGAGCTTCCCGAGGTTTCTGAAGGCTTGTCGAGGCTTCATAAGGCTTGTCTAGGTTTCTCAAGGCTCTCCAAGGCTTCTCAAGGCTTTCCAAGGCTTCCTCAGGCTTGTCGAGGCTTCCTCTGGCTTGTCGAGCCTTCTCAAGGCTTACGAAGACTTGTCTAGGCTTACAAAGGCTTGTCTAGGCTTCTGAAGGCTTCTCAAGGCTTTACGAGGCTTCTCCAGGCTCGTCGAGGCTTCTCAAGGCTTCACGAGGCTTCTCCAGGCTCGTCGAGGCTTCTCAAGGCTTCTCAAGGCTTATTAGGCTTCCCAAGGCCTCCCGAGCCTTTCCAAGGCTTGTCCAGACTTCTCAAGACTTCAAAAGGGCCAAAAGCCCATGATCAGACCGTCTTGCCTAACATAAGCTTATCAAATTAGATACTAAATTTATCAATTTCTCTTCTCTCCGCGTAATTTTTCTCTGTTGCGGATATTTGATGATATAACTAACACAAACAATCAAAAAACAATAACTGGTTCAACTCGTTTTTGGGGATGACTATAAAAGTTGGAAATGATTAGCATAATTATACATTTAGTGGTTTTTTTGTGATGATTTATGTATGATACATTTTTTTATTGGTTTGGAGTTTGTCTAAATCTTTTTTAGGTCATTAAACAGTTAGAAAATACTCTAACTCATTTCTCTTGGAGTTATCATAACTCATCAAAAATATTTTCTGCTTCCAGATGTCATCTCAAACAATAATAGGCTTAGCCTTCACGGCTTCAGCTCTCTCAGTTTTCGTCGCCATCGCTTTCACAGCCTCCATCCTTCTCGACATCAACAACTTCTATGATGACGTCAATTCGGATTTGCGAGATTTCCGCGGGTATTATGATGATGCATGGAAGACAATGTTGACTGCGGAAGGCGGATTGGCAGCGATTCGCGGAAAGCGGCAATATGATACTGGAGCGGGAGCGGGAGGTGGTGAAGCTGCACCAGCTGCGGGCGGAGATGGCGGAGGCGGACAATGCAGTGAGTTTTGAGCGGGGGGGGGGGAGCGGTAGGAAAAAGGGGGGAGGAGAAAGTTTAGATTAAGCTCAAGACTAAGCCTAAGCTCAAGACTCAAGACTAGGTCTAAGCTCAAGATTGGGCCTAAGCTCAAGACTAGGCCTAAGCTCAAGACTAGGCCTAAGCTCAAGACTGGACCTAAGCCTAAGACTGGGCCTAAACTCAACCCTTAGCTAAAGCCTAGGCCTAACCCGGATCATTTTTAATTTTGGGAGCCCACCTAACTCAACCAAATCTGACCTCACCCAAAAACTTCCAGACTGTGGAGCTCAAGCTGCTGGATGTCCAGCTGGACCACCAGGACCACCAGGAGAGGATGGAGCTCCAGGAGAACCTGGAACCGCTGGAGAAGATGGAGGAGCTGGTATGCCAGGAATGGCTCAGATGGCTATGGAAATGACTGGCGGAAAATGTATCGCATGTCCAGCCGGACCCCCAGGACCCCCAGGACCAGATGGGCCAGTCGGACCAGCAGGACCTGCTGGAAACCCAGGAGCTGACGGTGATGCTGGAGGTGAAGCCCCAGCTGGGCCACCAGGACCTCCAGGACCACCGGGACCTGATGGTAAACCAGGAAATCCAGGAACTGACGGAGAAGCTGGAGCGCCAGGAACCAAAACAACTAGCTCACCAGGGCCTGCAGGACCACCAGGACCAGATGGGCCACCAGGACCTGCTGGAGAAGCTGGAAGTGGAAGCGGGCCAGGCCCAGAAGGACCAGCTGGGCCACCAGGGCCACCAGGAAAAGATGGAGGACCTGGACCAGATGGAGCACCAGGAGATGCTGGAGCTGATGGTTCACCAGGAAGTGATGCAGCCTATTGCCCATGTCCACCGAGAAGTGCTGCTTTGGGAGGAGGAGCTGCGGAAGGAGCTGGAGGTGGTGGATATGCTGCAGGTGGAGCTGGAGATACTGCAGCAGCCCCAGCAGGAGGAGATGCAGCCGCTGCTGCTGCTCCAGCCGAAGCTGCAGCCGCCCCAGCAGGAGGAGATGCAGCCGCTGCAGCCCCAGCCGATGCTGCTGTCGACGCCGGAGCTTCTGCTGCAGCTGCCGGAGGCGCTGAATCCTACAACGCAGCCGATCATCCAGCCGAACCACCAACTTCTGGAGATGCAGCAGCCGCCGCGCCAGCCTATCCAACTGGAACACGCTAAACCTGTTTTCGCCCTAACTTATTTTTGTTTCAATAAACATTCATCATCAAAAATAATTTAATATGAGCAATATACATATATGGTTTTAACAACAATCATAAATCCTAACATGCTGTGACAATCCGCTGGCCAAAAATGTGAAAATTGCAGAAATCAGTGCCAAATATGCCGAATATCCCAACTAAAAATAAAAAATTAAAAAAAATTTTTTTTTTTGAACCCAATTCGACTTACAGTAGTCAAATGAAGTCCTCCATAATTGCTGGTATTGATTGCGAATTCAATAAATGCGACACCTTCAAATGTTCCAATTATAGTTGCGACTGAAGAAATGGCATTGAAGCTGTGACGAATTTTTTGCGAACATCCGTGTTGACGAATTCTTATTCTGAAAAAAAAGTTATTTTTTCTAAGTACTGTACATAAAATCTAGGACTGCAAGACGTACTGTATCACGAACTGGGGTGACATCAGCTCCAAAACTTTCTTTTTGACAAATTACTCAACTAAAATCCTTGTGTACGCAGCTAAATTATTTTGGAAATCTCGAAAGAATTACTGTACTAGACGGGCTATTCTAACTTAAAAATCTCAGACTGCAAGGATTACTGTACCTACAGCTACAAAAGCTACTGTATCCCTAAATGTTGATTTAAAAGGATTACTGTAACTTGAACTACAAAATCTACCGTATTCCGAAAATGTTGATCTGAAAGGATTACTTTACCTAGAGCTACAAAAACTTTTCTAACTCAAAAATCCCAGAATTTCCCAATTTGCCTAGAACTGCATAGCATACTGTAGCTCGAACTGCAAAGAATTCAAAAAACAACTCACACGGCATGTAAAAACGCAAACGCTACCACAATATACATACCAAACGAAATATACATAAGCCAACTCGAAAAATTGTACCAGAAAGGATTGTACTGCAAAAATCTCAGGTTAGGTTTTTTTTTTTGAAAACTTCTGCTAACTCACCGAATAATATGGCACAATTCCATAGCTATATGTTACAAATAAAAGATTTATAAAAATCCATCCATTGGTAAAAAGTGCGATTCCTTCTAAAACCAAACCAATGAATAAAAATATACCGATAGCTTGAATTTTTCGAATTTTGGTAGCATTCATTTTCAAAATTTGATCACAAAAATCAATTCAAACTTTTAGAAAATGTTAATTTTTATATAAATTGTTATCAGTTTTATCAGTGACGTTTGATTTTTCGCGTTTTTTCGATGAATAATTACAGAAAAGTGGTGATAAATAATTATAAATAGATATATCGTTCGAAAAATTTACAATTTCAGTACGACTATGAAAAATCATACATGAACTGGGAAGGGGGTTAACTTTACCTGAATTTTTGGAGGTAGGGCCCATAACTTTTGAAAATTTTAGACTTTTATGCTTTTAGAGGCCAAACCCCCACAAAAAGTTGGTTAGGGGGGTTAACTTTTTGAAAATATTTCCTGGAGGGGGTTAACTCAAGGGTCCCCGGAGCGACTAGTTCATGTATGTAAAAAAATTCACAGACCTTTTCAGCAGTTTCATGTTTTCACACCCATTTCATCCCTCTCGATTCTTCTGAAACTCTTTGCAAACACAAACTATAAATCTCCATATCGAAAACATCGCCTTGCGTTCCACCAACTACGTAGAATTTGAGCGGAAATTCGCGGAGACAGATTGCCTGCAAAATAATTGATTTCCAAAGTGAAATTCATTTTTCTTTTTTTTAGACTTACATGTTCATATTTAGCCACAGGTTTCTCCTCCTGCCAAAATCTCGATTTTTGTTTGTTAAACAACGACAATTGAAGATATTCGTTTTTATTCCAGAAATTGAATAAAAGGATTGAAAGAATTCGAAGGTAAAATAGAAAATTTATTTCGAACTTTATACAAAATCAAAAACGAAATAAATGATATTGGTTTATGATACAAAGAAAAATAATAGAAAAAAATTAGAATATAGTTAGAAGGATGGAAAATGGGAAAGTCGGGGGTTTTTATACTGCACAATATTTTGTAAATATATTACAGGAATTAATTCAGTCGATGAATGAAATCTTCGACAAGGAAAAGGAGAAAAAGGAAAAAAATAGAAAACATTGGAATCGTATATAAATTAAACCTTGTCCACCATGATTTTGAAGCAATTGAAAGATTCGTTGTCGATGAAATATTGCGAATACCGGGATTCTTCATCATACTTTTTCAAACATTCTCCATAAAAAATTGCAATGGTTGTTTTAACTTTCACTGGTTTCCAAAACTTGACTCCTATCGTAACATCTTTTCCAGGCTCCATTGTTCCTATTGTGTGTTCGAAAACAATTGTGTTTTGTTTTGTTTTGTAGAGGATGGAGACCTTCGACATGTTTTTGATTATAATCGTTTCTTTTTTGCCGATTCTCTCAAATTTCGAAACATTCGGAACGACATCAATGTTCAAAACAATAGAAGTTTTGACTATCGTAATTTCGCGCGTCTCTTTGAATGTTTTTAAGCGCGTTTCGATGGTTTTCAGCTTCAAGTTGCCTTTTGGTCTCGAGTCCAGGCTGATGACAAATTCAGCGAGATATTCGTAATCACCATATTCTTTCAAAAAAATCATCTTTGACTTGTCCTCGGATTCCTCGCATTGGAATTGCTCGATGGCGTTTTTCACATCTTCTTTTTTCTTGATACTCTTCAAAATTTCTATCGTTTTATTACGCATTTTTTGAATATGCGGGGAATATTCGTTTGATGAGATCATCCTTGAGAATTGTGAATTCGATAATCCGGCCTACTTCATTTCTCAAGTCTTTGATCGCAAACATCCTTATGAAGTAGATGTGAAAAAACTGTAAAAAAAAACATTAATCTTCGGATGCTTTTTGAAAAAGTTCCGACGATAGATTTTTTACGTTTTTGTCAAACTTTTCGCTAAACTCATTCGATATTGATTGGGAGTTTTAAAACCAGCTTTTGAGACATTGAATTTTTCTTCAAATGTTCCACTATTTAAAAATCAAACAAAAAACCATCGTCTGAACTTTTAAAAATTTAACTAAAAACCAATTAGTATATAGTCATACCACGCCCAGCTTCGTGCAAATTAACTTCGAAAATTGGCGGTGTGGGTTCTGCAGGCATGTTCATTTTGCCTGCCTGCTTTTCGTCCGGCGAAGTTTTGTGCAGGCGTGCCTCGCCTCGCCTGCGATTCGAAAAAATAAAAAAAAAAGCACGCCTCGCCTTCGCCGCGGCGAGAAAACTCGTGTGTGTTGTCTGTTTCATAAAGAAACGTAATTTATTTGCATAAAAACGATTAATTGACATAATTTCACTCATAGCTTAACGTTATGTGCTAAGATTTCTTCTGAAACACATTATTAAAGACACATCAGCCACTGGAAAAAACAGATTTCCCGCATTTATTTTCAAATGACAAAAACAGCATGTGCGCTCTATTGCTTCGTTGTGTGCAAACTCTTTCGAAAATCCCGTCGGCTGAGCGATTTCAAAAACAATTATTTTGTTTTTTTCACTTTTGCCAGACTCAAAATTTTTTCTTGATTTTTATGAATTCCGATTACTTGAAAGGTGTTATGAAAGAATAACAAACTCATTTTCTGTTCATTTCTAGTGGATTGTGTGTCTTTAAGGTTAAAGAAGTGAAGAAAAGAGTCATTTTCACTGAAAACCTAGTTTTTTTCACCCAATTTGTGAAAAACTGTATTTATAAACATTCAATTTCAGCAAAATGTTTTTGTAAGCTTAGAAATAAAAATATATCGCCTTACAGTTACAGGAGAACATTTGAATCATCTGTTTTCCATCTTCCATCGAGCAAAAATTTGCTGTTTTTCAAGAAAATCTCAAATTGGCGAGGTGAATTTCCGTAAATCTTTATTGGCGCCGTGCCCTGGGCGTGGTATGTATATAGTATATGATAGATAGTCATGAGAGCTATTCTTAATTCGTAAACATGTACATATTCCAAATACGTCAAAGAAAACTCACTTTCATAAATTTTCCGAATACATTTTCCAATTCTTCTGGACTCGCCTTCAACCATCCGTCAAAACGCAGTTTTTCTTGATCCGGCGAATTCGTTCCATTCTCACCCATAATCAACATTTCGGCAAATGTCTTGATTATCGAAATCTGTAAACATATTTTATGTTTAAAAGACCCATATTTCTATTTCTCAAAACGCACCTTTTCGCGAATCGATATTTTTGGTTTCATTGCTTTTAAGCAATGAAACCAAAAATATCGATTCGCTCGCGGAGTTGGCGCTCGCACAAGGTTCCGTATTGTTTGTTCCAAGCTGAGTGTTCCCAACTTGTTCATCAACTCATTCATCTGAAAAACATCACGTACAATTAAATTATAATCTAATACAGTACATCGCAATGAGACGCAAAATGAAAGTGTTTTGTTCGGTGAAAAAATACATGTAAAAATAGCATATGAAACGGAAGCGATTGGAAACATTGGTCCGGGAGCCACAGCGAAAAAAATTATTTTTTCTGTTTCCGTGTGGTACGGTGCGTAAAACAGAAAGTGTTTGCACACACAAAGGAAAAAAGAAAAAAACAAAAGGGGAGAACACACAAAAACCGTGTGTACATGAGATAATATTGCAGAAAGACGCTGCCAGGCGTTGCATGTGGAAAACTCCGCCTATTTTTTTTTGAATTTCTGCAACGAATTTTTTGTGAACAAAAAAATAATTTGTTTTCGCTGTGGGAAGGGCACATAGAAAAAATAGAACAATTTTTGCTGCTGTCCGGTGTTTGCAGAAAAAGCCCGTCTCGTTTTCACGTTTTTCCACGTGTCAAAGAAATTTCGTTCTTTTTTCCATTGAAATTTTGAAAGTGCGCCGCAAATTGCGAAAAAAAGAGGGCGGAGTCGTGTGTCTTCACGCGGTCAGAAGAATGAGTCCGCAATTTCACGTGAAAAAGAAAAATGTTCTATTTTTTTCGCTGTTGGAAGGGAATGATAATTATAATTAGATTAGCCTAGCTACTAACACTGTCTTCCTGCAGCCTCAAAAACTTTCAAAAAATCAATAAACCTGCTGAAACCCTCAAGTTTCCCCGAAAAAAAGAAAAATCCCAAAACTCAAAATGATTTTTTGAATTTGCCCGCCAAGCGACACGCTGATTATTTCTGACCTAGGAAACCAAACAGCCAGCCACACGACCACGCTCCGCCGACTATTTACCGATTTTTTTATTTTCGTTTTTTTTTGTTCGCGCGCAAGGGGTTTTTAGAGTACCTGGGTGTCAGAAGAGTTTAGAAAATATTACCTGATATACGGAATTGAGCAGGCTCCGTATTTTCAGCGAACTATCCGGGAAAAACCATATTCACTGCCGTTTTAGGCGTTAAAAATGCAAAAATAACTGGATACCACGCAAAATTCGTTTTTTTGTTGTTGGAAACTTGGTATATGTCACGCAAAAAACATTTTTTAATATTTATTATCTGTAAATGAGGTGAGAAAAGGTTTAGAGCTGATCGGAAATGAAATTTTGCAGGTTTACGGTGCAATTCTTGGTCGACAAAATAATCGACAAGTTGAGGCGATAAATTCGTTTCAATTAAAAGTCGGATATTCGGATGATGGAGTTGATATATGTTTTGCAGAAGTCGAAGTGTTCCCCGAACTCAAAATCATCGGCATCTATTGTTGTTCAGAAAATGACATTCTGACTGGAAATGAGAAATCGATGTTGTTGAAATTGGCTTTGACAATGACGGGTGTCGAAAAAATACACTAATTGATTCGCCGTTGAAAATGAATGCGGTGAAAGCGGGAATTGCTAGAACGGTAAGAGATATGCAGAAGCTATGTGTGCGCTTTGAAATACAGTATTTATTTTCTTTAGTTTTTTAATTTTCAAAAATTCTCCTCCTTTTTCGACACAACAAATTTGCTCTCTGTCTGCTTCTCTATATCTCTTCTCCCTCTCACACTCTTTCATTTTCCAGTTTTTCTCTCGTGTTTGAGTGTTTGCAGACCAACACATCTACCGTAGCCTTTCACTTTTTCACAAAAAAAATCAGGTTTTTATTATTTTTGTATGCAAAAGTGAGATGTGATATAATCTCACCCAGCCCATTTTTTTTTGAAAGAGGCTAAATAGAAACCATTTTTTTGTATTTTAATTTAATTTACACAGCATTTCATTTTTTTCTTGATCTAATTTTAATCTTATCTGAAATTCTATTCAAAAATCGGGTAGATCTTATCTGAAATTCCAAAATCAAAATTTATTCTCATTTTTTCACACAACACGTCGTGAAAAATACATGATTCTCAAACAAAAATCGATGAATCCGCTGGAAAATCCAATAGAAAATCAGATAAATCGATAAATATTGAAGCCACGCCCACTTGGCCAAATGCCAAAATCCACTTTTATACGTGAATTCCATCTCTGGAATTGAGAATTTCCACGAAATTTCGAAATTTGCACCAGAAGGTTTCTCCAGATAAATTATCGATTTTCGTTGCATTTCCATGTGCCACGTGGCATCTTGAACCACACGATTTTGAATTTCTAGCATACTGTAGTATTTTGGGTCTTGACGCGATGAATTGATCAATTTGAAAAGCACATCCTCCCGCCAATTCTCAATGGGGCGCGATTGATCGAGTCGGATTTGCGCGCTTTTTTGGATTGTTCGAATTGTCGAGCGAGATAGTGTGATTGTGTCGGAGACGCAGACTTCGGAGCCCGCGAAATCTTCCAGTTCGAAGTCGAAAAGTATAGCATAGGTCAAACTAGACACGGTGATATTCTTGGTAGTCGCGATTTCGAGAGAAATTGCGATTGAAGAGTCGCCGAAGGTGTGCGCGACTTTCGCAGGTGCGAATTTTTCGCCAGCCGCCGAGTTGAGAATTGGATAAGTGGAAGAGATCAGCAAAGTGTCGGAGGCTGCAAATTTTTGAATTTAATTTTTTTCCCGAAAATGGGCGTGGCCTAATTGCTTACCATATCCGAAAATCACAAAATCCCCATTGAATTTTATCTTCGGCGTCTCCCTGAATGTTTCAGTTTTCCTCCAGAGCCCCTCGCTCCAAAACACCGCTAAAAGTGGTAGAAAAACCACGAAAACTCGCATAATCCGCATGTAGAAATGAGCTGCACCGCATTTCGGAGCACGATAGATTTTGAGCACCGCATCTTCCCAAATCTCCTCATGAACCATGGTTTTGCAGGGTTTTTGGCGCGAAAAATATCGTTGCCTGCAGAGAAAACTTTAGGAATTTTGAAAATTCAAAAAAGTTTACCTGAAAAACCGCTAGCCACGTCAAAATCGCCAAAAATCCCGTGAAATATCGAACCGCCCTCGCTTCACCTTCGCCAAAAATCATTGTGGAGGCTCCGCGGGTTGCCATGGAAACCTATTTAGAAATCCAGGAGGCGAGGCTTGATATCTGCAAAACATCTTTGTTCAAATTTTCAAGGTCTTATTAAACTCTCTTGAGAAATGCCGATTTTTCGATACTAGTGAAAGTTTTAACCTCCCTCGCGAGGTTCAAAAAACGAGAAAAAAACTTTTTTTGAAAAAAAAACCGAGAAAGAGTGTGAGGAAAGAGGAGAGAGCAGAGAAAAGGAGTGTGCGATGGGGCGCGTTTCCCATTTCTACTTTTATTTCGCATTTTGAAATTTTCGGGTTTCCCGCTTGTTTCTTTCTTGTTTTTTTGCTCGAAACCAAAGTTTTCTCCACGGTGGTTATCAGATAGTCATAAACTTCACCCTTATCACATGAAATAAAGGAAAACTTTGATGTAAAATCTCCCGCTTGGTCTAGAAAATTAAGAAATTTGCGGTTTGTTTCAGCAGACGCGATATAAATCTGTTGTAAACAGTCATAACTTTCACTTGAAAATCCCCTGCCCTTTTTTGTCTCTCTCTATGTTTAATAAAACAAAAAAAAATTCTCGATGTAACAATAGAAACGTGGATCCGTTTTGTTTATTTATTCTTTTTTTTCGAAAAAAATTTAATGTTTTTTCAGGCTCGCTAGGAATTTATGTGAATTTCGCGTGGCATTTCGCGGAACCAAAAAAACCAAAAATGTTAAGTCCACGGATTTCAAGAAACAATCCGGCAAATATGCTAACAAAATTTGCCGGAATCGCAATTTTCGTTTTTTTTGTTCTTTTCAGTGAGTTTTTTTGTTGGAAAAGAGGAAATTAATCAATAATTAGTTAATTTTCAGTTTTAATACTCACATCGTCTGAAAGAAGTGTGGAGAAAATTGAGAAAAGGTGAGAGAGTTGATAAGAAATGAGTCTTATCAGTTGGAAAACATAGAATTCTATGTTTACAAGGTTTTTTGTATTTTTTTTTAATTTTGTAAACTTTAGACCCCTGCCGACTTCAAATGCCAACGCAAATTCCAACCAAGAAGTCGAAGAAGTGTCGAGCCTTGTGGAACGAATCAAAATGCTCGAAGATGAGCTAACTTCTTTGCGAACGAGGATGGATGATTCGGATGATCGAAGAGATCAAAGTTTGAATGCGCCACTTCCAACTACGTGGGTTTTTAGAAGAATAGAACATGTTGAAAAAATAATTCGAATTTTTATAGGAAATCCTTTCCCTCAGTTCGATATCGGAATGAAGAGACTAGAAAGAGGATTTTGATAACTGGTGGAGCTGGATTTGTTGGTTCACATTTGGTGGATAAATTGATTTTGGATGGGCATGAGGTGAGTGTAAACCGCAATCTTCCGCGCAGCGCCACAATCTTCCGCGGACGCGGCATTGCCTTGCTCAAACATGCGGTAAAAACTAATGTAAAGCTTTAATAGCCTATTAGAAACCACGTGAAATAGAGAGAGAGTGCAGACATGTTTTTTGTCTGTGCTCTCTCAATTTTCCGCTGTCTCTGTATATTTTGGACATTTTTCTGCATAGGAACATATTAATTTTTTGTTACATTTTATTACAAAATATTGTGCATACTTCGGTTTTTCAATATTTTCCCGTTTCCAAAGCTTCTTCTCCAAAAATCCTCATTTTTTCCAGGTAATCGCATTGGACAACTATTTCACTGGCCGAAAAAAGAACATTGAACATTGGATCGGTCATCCGAATTTCGAAATGGTCCATCACGATGTTGTGAATCCGTATTTTGTGGAAGTCGATCAAATTTATCATTTAGCGTCTCCAGCTTCACCTCCACATTATATGTATAATCCTGTGAAAACTATCAAATCGAATACACTTGGAACTATCAATATGTTGGGATTAGCGAAGTGAGTTCAACTCACTGAGTTGACGAGCGGCGGAGCCGCGAGTGTAGACCGCAAGCTTCCGCGCAGCGGCACTGTCTACCGCTTCAGCGGCCACGTGTTTTCAGCGGCCAAGTGGACGCTGAAGCAGAAAAAAAAAATTAAATTTCAAAAAAAATCCCGATTTTCAGACGAGTAAAAGCCACAGTTCTTCTCGCCTCAACTTCCGAAGTTTACGGAGATCCGGAAATCCACCCGCAACCTGAAACATATTGGGGACATGTGAATACAATTGGCCCGCGAAGTTGTTATGACGAAGGAAAACGTGTCGCCGAATCCCTCATGATTGCCTATAATAAACAGGAAAATGTGCAAATTCGAATCGCTCGAATTTTCAACACTTTTGGTCCTCGAATGCATATGAATGATGGAAGAGTTGTGTCGAATTTTATAATTCAAGCGATTCAGAATAAGCCAATAACGATTTATGGAAATGGAACACAGACGAGATCGTTTCAATATGTTAGTGATCTTGTTGATGGTTTGATTAAATTGATGAATAGTAATTATTCGGCACCTGTGAATATTGGAAATCCGGAAGAGCACACGATTAAGGAATTTGCCACGATTATTAAGAAATTGGTTAATGGTGAGAGCTTAGGGGGATCTTTTGGAAACATTTCTCTAGATTTTGAGAAGTTCTTAAAATTTATTAAAACACCCAAAAGCCGTTAGATTTTCAGAAATTCTGGAAGTTCTTCTAAAAAATGCTGAAAATTGTACTCTACATTTTTAAGAGCCCGGCGTCTAGAGATTCAGTTTGGCAAGGAGCCGAGCCTTAAACTCCCAGTTCTCAAGTAGCCATGTCTAAAGCATTGCATTGTCTAGGAATCGGCCTCTAGAAATCCTAGTCGTCAAGGTGTCGAGCCCAGAGAACCTAATTCTCTAGCAGCCGCGCCTTGAGATTCACTCTATCAAGGAGCCTCGCCTTGATAGCTCCTATGCCAAGTAGGCAAGCCTTGAAATCCTAGGTCTCAACTAGCCGAGCCTAGAAACGTCATTTTTCAAGGATCTAGAGAACCTTATTTTCTTGGATCCGCTCCTTTAGAGCCTATTTCTCTAGCACCCGCGCCTTGAGATTCACTCTTTCAAGGAGCCTCGCCCAGAGATTGATTCTGGCAAGGGTCAGCGACTAGAGAACCTAATTGTCAAGGATCGGCGCTTGGAGAACTTTATTCTCTAGCACCCGCACCTTGAGAGTCTATTTCTCAAGTAGCCGTTCCTAAAGCATTTCATTGTCTAGGAATCGGCCTCTAGAAATCCTAGTTTTCAAGGTGTTGAGCCTAGAGAACCTAGTTCTCTAGCACCCGCGCCTTGAGATTCACTTTATCAAGGAGCCTCGCTTTGAGATCTTGTGTGTCAAGGAGCCAAGCCTAGAAAACCTAATTGTCAAGGATCAGCTTCTAGAGAACATAATTCTCTAGCACCTGCGCCTTGAGATCTTCTACATCTAGTAGCCAACCCTGATTTTTTGCAGGTTCAACATCCGAAATCAAAAACATGGAATCACAACAAGACGATCCACAACAACGAAAACCCGATATCAGTCGAGCGGCGAAAGAAATCGGATGGAAACCGCAAGTTCTAATGCACGACGGTCTGATGAAAACCATCGAATATTTCCGCGCGGAAATTGAGACGAATAAACGGGGCGGAAAACCGCCTCCGGAACCTGTGACTCATGAAGGATTGGAGAAATGATTAATTAATTAATTAATTAATTATTTTTCCCTAACTCAAATGATCATTATTATTATTATTATTATTATGTATTTAAAACCACCAAAATACGGGACTTTTTATCGCTTTTAAAATTTTTTTTTGACTGAAAATAGGTGATATTATTTTTACTCCTTGTGATAGATTTTGCATAAAAATTGATTTTTTTTTGAGAAAAAATTTCATTTTTTGGTTGATGTGCCTTTGTTTTACTGTAGTTTTGAATTATGTGAAATTTCAGAAGAATTTCAGATTTTTTCAAGGATGAACGAGGAAGATGAGGATGAGGATAGCTTTTTTAACCCGATTCCGAGGTATTTTTTGAAATTTGAATTTTTTACAGAACTTTGAGATTTCCTAGACGAAATTTGGCACTTTTCAGCTCAAAAATCAATCAAAGTCCAATTTTTTTAACCTAAAATCAGTTCCTGGGTTATTTTTCATTGAAAATCCTGAATTTCACCTTATTTTCAGAGAAAAATCAGTTCTAATTGATTTTTCTGTCAAAATACGGTGAAATTCAAGATTTTCGAGAAAAAAATAACCCAGAAACTGATTTTCGGGGGAAAAATTGGACTTTGGTTGGTTTTTGAGCTGAAAAGTATCGGAAATCACGAGTTTTCTTGAAGAAATAAGTCCATGGCTAAATTTTCCACTGAAATGTATAGTTTTTGAGAAAAATATTTGAAATAAATATATTTTTCACCTTGAAAACCGATCTAGCTTCAATTTTTCACCTCAAATCAGTTTCTCGGTTATTTTTCCTCGAAAATCCTGAATTTTACCACATTTTCATAAAGAAATTAGTTCTAGGGTTATTTTTTTAGTGAAAAATAGCCCTAGAATTGATTTTTCTCGGCGAAATTCAAGATTTTCGAGGAAAAATACCCGGGAACTGATTTTGGGTGAAAAATGTAATTAGAAATGCAAAATTTTTGAATAAAAAAATTTTCACACGTTCTCAAAAAAAGAATTTCAAAATAAATTTCATTTCGAAATTTTTTTCAATCAAATTTAGTTTCTTTTTGAAGCTCTCAGCTTCATCTTTCACATTTTTCAACAAAAATTCAGATTTTTCCAGCGCAGTTCCCATAGAACCCACCCCAAAACCTCCTGCTCTCGTCAAAAAAGAAGAAGAAGAAGATGCAGAATCTGACGATTCTTTTGATAACTTCAAACCAGCTCCAATTCCCACCAAAAAAACACCGCCAACTTTACAACGAACTGATCAAACACCCACACAAAAACCAAAGATTTCACTTCAATCACAAAGAATTTCGAATAAAAATGGATCATTTAGTAGGCATGGAAGTGATAATTCGTTTTTTAAAGGGTTAGTTTGGGTTTTGGGAAGGATTTTGGGGAAAAAGTACCTTTTTCAGCTAGAAATGTTCAATTTTTTCGAATTTCGCGCGAAATTTTGAGCTGGACACATAAATATTTTGGCCCAGAAGGTCCTGGATCGATCCCCATTAACGTTCCACCCAAGGTTTTAGAAAAATGTCGCAAAATCAAAATTTTCGGGTTAAAATGAGCAATCCCACCATTTTCAGCGAGAAAAATTATCTTTTTTTTTCGAAAAAAAGGTAGGAGGTATGGGGGATCGATCCAGGACTTTCTGACCACTAAATTTCGGTTCAATCTGAAATTTTGAGCAATATTTAGAGCCAAAAATCAGAATGTTAGCTTTTCTTGAGGATTTTGGGCTTGAAATTTTGAAAAATTCAGAATTTGAGCATTTTTGGAAGCGAAAATAAAATTCGAAATTTTGAGAATTTGAAAATTGCTGAAATCTAGATTTTCTTGAAGATTTGGGGGAATGTTCAGATCAAATTTTTTTTCCAGCCCCATCAAAACATCCACAACATCGCCATCAATTCCAATGTCACAATTATCAGTTCTTGATCGACCAATCACACCAAATGGTGAACTATTGATGTTACGAAGTCAATTAGAAAAAGAAAAACGAGAAAAGGAGCGAATGAATATGGAATGGCAAAGGAAAATGAAAGAAATGACTGATAAATGCGATAAGGCGATGGAGGATAAATGCAAACAGATTAATCAACTCAGAAAGGAGAATGAGGTTTTGGTAAGGGAATTTTTAGGCAATTAGAAGTTTCAGATTCCAGATTTTTAAATATCAAGCTATAACCATACTATTTCAAGCCAAAAAGATCTAACCTAACATGAGCAATGCTAGATTTCCAGCTTTGTTAGAATTCTGAAATTTTTTTGAAATTGAGTTTACCCGGGGGTTTTCCGATGATTTTCGAACTATGAATTGATATTTGGCAGATTTTCTTACCTAAGAAAAAATCCAGAATTGTTTATGTTTCAAAAAAGTGATAATAAATTTTTGCTCATAATTCAAAATGATATTTTAGGATTTTTCTCTGGTCATTTGGAAAATATTCAGAATTTTCGAATTTTCCAGCCTAACATGAGCAATACCATTTTCGAAAGTTTTTATTGAAATTAGAAGTTTCAGATTCCTGATTTTCCGGAGAAATATATGTAAACTTGAAGCTGTTTTTTTTAAAACAATTTCAACCCAAAAATGTCTAACCTAACATGAGCAATACTAGATTTTCAGTTTAGAAGTCTGAAAAATTTTTTAAATTGAGTTTACCCGGGTTTGTAACCAAAAATTATGATTTTCTGACCTAAGAAAAAAAAACCAGAATTTCTTATGTTTCAAAAAATGATAATAATTTTTTTCTCATAATTCAAAATGATATTTTAGGATTTTTCTCTGGTCATTTGAAAAATATTCAGAATTTTCGAATTTTCCAGCCTAACATGAGCAATACCATTTTCGAAATTTTTTTGAAATGAGAAGTTTCAGATTCCTGATTTTCCGGAAAAATATATGTAAACTTGAAGCTGTTTTTCTCTACAATTTCAAGCCAAAAATGTCTAACCTAACATGAGCAATACTAGATTTTCAGCTTTGTTAGAATTCTGAATTTTTAAGCTACAAATTGATTTTACCCGGTTTTGTCACCAAAAATTATGATTTTCTGACCAAAAAAATCCAGAATTTCTTATGTTTCAAAAAATGATAATAAATTTTTGCTCATAATTCAAAATGATATTTTAGGATTTTTCCATGGTCATTTAAAAATTATTCAGAAATTTCAAATTTTCCAGCCTAACATGAGCAATATTTCCACTTTCCAGACAATTTCAAGTGCTTGCCGTGTTCGACAAAGCGATGCCTCACCGCAAGCTGCGAATTCGTCGCCAATTTCAGTCCCGAAGAGGTTTCCGAAATTTTCGAAATCGATTTTGAAAAGGCCTGATGAACCACGTGGGTTTTTGGGGGGTTTTGAGATTCCACATTACCAAATTTAGCTCGAAACTTACCCTAACTCTTTTGTTTTGCAGGCCAAGTTTTAACACCTCGGCGAACTGTTCAAATCGCAGCAGCCCAACCATTATCCGCTTTTCGACACGAGAATATTGCACCCGAAGAAGACACGTTTCAATTGGAGGAGAGTTTTCAACCGGCTGCCACGTCTACACCAAGAGCACCGCCTGTTACGAGAAGTGAGTTGGAAAAACATTTTTTTTCACATTTTTCTGATCATTTTGGTGTATTTTTTGGGTACTTTTGATGAAATTTGAAGATTTCGCTTCGAGACCCATTATGTTCCTTTAAAGAATTTTTTGAAATTAAAAAATTTACCACGTTTTTCTGATCATTTTGGTGTATTTTTTGCCCGAATTAGAGCTTTTTGAAGGGGTTTCGATTCGAGACCCATCATGTTCCTTTAAAGAAATTTTCCAACACTGCCACGTCATAACCACTAAACCCTGATATTTTTTCCAGATCTTCGTCGAAATCATCAAAATGACAGCAATGAACCGCCGCCACCTATAAAACGGAAATTTGTTGCGACGCGGAAATCGAGAAGCCGCGCGGAACTTGCGAAAATCCGCGAGGAATATCGCGCACAACTCGCGGAATCATCTCCGGAAGTCGCGGAAACCCTTGAAGAAGATGCGGAATTTCTGCGAAAACAGTTGGAATTGATGCGAATCGCGAAAGAGGAGCATTTGACGAAATCGCGGATTCGCCAGTTTTGCGCGAATTTCCAGAAACCACCACCGCCTGCGAAATGTGAAATATGCCGGATTTTGGAGCCGCGCGCGGAAAAGTGTGCGGAAAGCGGAAAGAAGATGAAAGAGTGGGAGATTCGAGAGACGAAAAGAATCGAGGAAAAACAACGAGACTCCAAAATTCCGCAGTTCCTCAAGTACAACACGATTATTCAAAATGTGGCGCGAAAAGGGTTGGATGAGTTGAGGAGGAGCAAATTCGCTCCACTGCAAAAAGTGGAGGGAGATTTTGAGATTCGAAAATTGGAAGAGATTCGAGAGGAGAAGCGGGATAGTTGGCGTGAGTTTTTGAAGTTTTTGAGGGCAGCTAAAAATGAGTTCAAGCTCATTTTGTAGCCCTAGGAACTCTCTACAAAATGAACCTGAATTGAATTTTTGAAAAATTAAATTTAGGCTCATTGTGTAGAAAATTTCAAGAGCTACAAAATGAGCCTAAATTTAAACTTGGAAAATCTGAATTTTGGCTGAAATTCTAGCTCAAAACTCAATAATTTTGAGCTCATTTTGTAGCTTTTAAAATTCTCTAGAAAATGAGCCAAAATTCAATTTTTAGAGAATTTCAAGATCTTTGAAATGAGCTCAAAATTATTGATTGTTGAGCAGAAAATTTCAACCAGAACTTAGATTTCCAAAAATTAAATTCAAGCTTATTTTGGAGCTCTTGACAAAATGAGCCCAATGTAATTTTTTTCAAAAATTCAAAATTCAAGTTTCAGGCACGAAAATGAAGTCGGAACTGGATGAGAAGGGCGAAATGTCGGCGAATTTGAACGCGGAAGAAAAAGAGGACGATGAATATATTTGGACAAGTTCCGCTAGCGAATCTGCCGATGACGAATCTTTGCGGATCTGTGAACCATGCGGAAGACATGCCAAAACTCGGCGGAGACGCGGAAAATGCCGCGAGCAGCGACTGAGAATCGCTCGCGAATGTTTCGATGAGTACGGCAAAAATCAACGGGAGGAAATGAGGTTTGTGTTTTTTTTTGAGTTAGCTCAACTGAGTTATGACGTGGCAAATGTAAATTTTATGAATAAGATCTGAAATTCGGAAACTGTTAAGAAATCCCGAATTTCTAGAAAATTTCGAAACCACCACTTTTTATTATTTTTTTCTTTTTCAAACTTTTTTACGATTATGGACACACATTTCTACATAGTTATCTACGTGTCTTTAAAGAGTTTCACATTTTTATTTTAAAAATTCAAAGTTTCCTTCTGGAATTCTTTTTTTAGAAATCGATCGATATTGACAAAATCGAAAATCGAGGCGGCCGACAAAGAATTGAATCGAGAAATGAACGAATTGTTCGGCGCCGGTGACATCGAAATGACCGATGATTTTTGATCAAATTTTTTGAATTGTTTTGTTTTTTTTTGAAAACCCTGTGAATATACACCTTTTTTTGACATTTTTGAAGCAAATAAACTTTTTTCCATTTTACTTTTTCGTTTTTTTTTCGGCTGGCTAGTTTGATAGCACAACCCACTTTCGCTTGCCGATAGGAAATTGCGTACTCTTTTCACCCTTGTGCAGTTTTTGAAAAAGAAATGAACATTTTTCCGAGAGAAATACACACAAACACTCATCGCGCCAGGACCGAAAGCAATAAATCGCTGCGCCTTTATTTCATTTCATTTCATTTTTTCCGGTTTTTGCGCAAAAAAGCGCTAGTACCCTGGTCAAACATTGTTTCCTGAGTATCAAAATAATTGCGAAGGGTTGCAGAATATATCAATCTATTTCAGCTCACTAGTTTGCTCCACGGAAGTGGAAGTAAATTCAAATTTGAGTTTTTTTTTGAGGAAAACACTGTGTTTTTTTCTAATAGAAAAATGCAATTTCGAGGAGACGCAGACACTCGCTGGTCTCGACACGATGTGTGTCTGCCACACACTATTTCTCTCCCTTTTTCGACGAGAGATTTGTCTGCACACGTTAAAGTCTGCGTCTCCCTCGAATTGCAAAAAAAAATACAGTGAAAAGAGTGTGTTGGGTGTTTTTTGATGATTTTTTCAGTGGAATGTATATTACTTTCCCATTTTGAGATCACTCACCCTAATTATCATATCTTCCAGATATTTCCGATAAAGAATATAGGAATGAAGTATTCCACTGAAAAAACATCAAAAACGACCCGAAACTCTTTTCATCAAATCAAAACACACAAAAACTTAAATTTGAATTTCCTCTACTAGTGCGGTGGAGCGAACTTGCGGTGAGTTAAAATAGATTGATATGCTTTGCAACTGTTAGAGGAAAAAGGCGCGCGTTTTCATTTTTCGGCCATAACTCAATTTTTTCGGCCATAACTCTTTTGCGGGGAATCGGTGTTAACTCTTATTTTTACGTTCTTTCTTTAGATTTGGGAATGGGATGAACCATGCCTAAACTGCATTTTTAAAAACAGTTAACTGTTGATAGTGGATACTTTTTGAAGTAAATTTCTCAGAATTTATTTTGTACGGGTCGTAAAATCCTTCATTCAAGCAAATTCTTCAAGTTTTGGGTAAATAGTAGACTACGCCTAGTGATTTTTCATATTTTATAATTGGCAACGTGCAAATTCCTCGGTATGACCCACGCACACATTTCCAAAGCAAAAGACGGCAGTCCACCATTTAAAGGGACATGAACCTTCTGCAGTCTCTATCAGCGGAAAAAACTTAATTTCATGAAAAACTGATTACACCACTGAAATCCCCGTTCCATTCTACCCTAGAATAGTGCTTCTAGTGGTGAATGGTTGAGGTTTTTTCTCTTGGTAGTTCTGCGAGACCTTAAAAAGTTTCGAACAGTTTCTCCTTGAAAAATAGCGTTGAAAACATCGAGAGGCAGACAATTTTTTGATTTTTTTTTTGAATTTTGTTGTAAACACGGCGACGCACAATTACACACTTTTGTCTTTGCAGACAGTAGTGTTTTTGGTGGACTGCCGCCTGAATGTGTGCGTAGACTATTACTATTCATATTGCAGTTTGAATTCTTATTTTTGCTGCTCCCAGTTATTCAATTACCTGGTTGAGAAAATGAATGGAACTGAATACAAATTTGACGGAAGCTGCACCGATGAAAACAAATATCGAGCGATTCATTGGAGTTCTCGATATTTTTGGATTCGAAACATTTGATGTCACTTCATTTGAGCAGTTGCAATTATGCAAATGAAAAGCTGCAGCAATAAAGGAACAAGAAGAATAAGTGAGAGAAGAAATTGATTGGGTTCGGGTCAATTTCAATGATAATCAAGCGGCTATTGATTTAATTGAAGGACCAATCGGATTAATTATTGATGTCTTTTGGATGAGCAATGCAAACGATTAAATGGAAACAATATTGATTGGCTCAGTCAATTGAATAATAATGCGGAATTGAAAATAAATCCACAATTGACATTTCCACGAGTTCGATGCAATGATTTTAATGTTCTCCATTACGCCGCTGATGTCACTTATTCAATCGATGGATTTGTGGAGAAAAACTATGATGCGATTGGTGAACAATCATTGGATGTCATCGCATCGACCCAATTTGAATTCATGCGGAACGTTGTTGAAAGCGAGAGAATAATTCCGCCAACAAATGGATCACCAACATTGAAAAGAGGTGGAAAACGAACAGTTTCCAGTCAATTTAGAGATTCGCTGAAAGAATTGATGAATGTATTATGCTCAACAAGACCTCATTAAGTGCGCTGTATCAAGCCGAATTATGGTAAAACAAGGTGATTTTGTTTTTTTTAAAGCAACACCCTTTTTTCTCAACATATTTTTAAATAACTTGTTCGATTTTCCAAATCTTCCCATTCCGTTTTATCTACAGAAAACGCCGCCAAACAATGTTGCACAATCACCATCTTCTTCAGCTGCACCTTCAGCTCCAACATCGTCATCGTCAACATCGTCAACAACTCAACAACCGTGAGTTTTTTTGCTTTTGTGAAAATTGACCGAAAATCTGAAATTTTGCTGAAAATTGTGGATTTCGACCTAACAGCTTTTTATTTGAGTATTCGTCAAAGTTTCAAACTCAAAAATTGAAAATTTGACGAATTTTTGATCTAGAAGCTGAGATTTGAAATATTTCCCCAGGAATTTGACAGAAAACCGTAAATTCTGATTTTCATGATTTTTTATTTTTCTTGAAGTTAGAATGGAGTTTTTTATATTAATTCAAAAATTTAGTCAAACTTCGAAAATTTTGAAAAAAATGATTTTCAGTCGGAAATCTTTGACAATTATCAATTTCTAACCAACATTAAACGCTGAATATCAGTCCGTTCAGAAATCTGTAACTAAAAATTCGTCCTTTCTGAAGTTTAAACTGTAACTTCAGGTTCTGAAAGTATTAATGTTATGAAGATTTTTTGCCAAAACTTTATGAAAATGGGCTTTGTCTGCTCCTTAAAAGCCCCAAAGCCGAAATTTCTTCATTTCCAGAGTCGAATCATTTGGCTTTGGAAATTTTGGAATATTCATCGAAGAATTTATGGAGTTAAACGCAGAAGACAAAACAGATTTAACTGAAAAAATAAGAAAATTGATTGTGATCGGGTCACACAAGGAGAATGTCGATAAGAAAAATAAAGGAGTTCCACGAGAAGCAACACAAATTCTAAAGGCGTGAGTTGTTTTTAATGAATTTCTTTTTTACCCGACCTATGCTCAAATCAAATATGCATTATAATTTTTGCAGAATTCTTGAAATTGTTCGAAAAATGGAAAATTTCACCAGGAAAAGAATGGTTAAATGTGTCTGCTTTGCTTATGGATGTTCCCCGAGAACAGCATACAGACACGTTTAAGAGAAACTAATTATATGATTTGATTTTTTAATATGATTTGATTTGATATTTGTGAAATGTTTTTCTTTTTTCTTCTTCCATGTAAAATGAACTAATTTATTATTTTTCTGTGAAAAGGTGTTTTTTGGTTCATGTCCCTTTGATTTACTGTATTTTAAAATATGTGGATGTTCAAAAATATTTCAGAACTTTAACGAGCAAATTTTCAACCCGATTCCCATGTATTTTTTTAATTTTCAATCTATCACAGAAACTATTGACATTTTTGAAGCAAATAAACTTTTTTCCATTTTATTTTCTTGGCTGATTTGATAATAAGTTACAAAGCACACGTTTCGCTTTGCTTCTTTGCCCATCCCAGAACTGATAAGCCCCCAACCACATTTTCCCCCGAAAAATGTTGGGAAAATTTGTGCTCCTCTATTTTTTACTGGTTTTTGTGACGAATTTCGGCTTGGCTCAAGAACAAGACCAATCTGTTGATGTGACGAGGAGGTGAGCTTTTTCTGCAACCCTGGCACGGTTTTTTGCTCCTCTAAATTTAAATCACCGCATGGTTTTGGGGGCGTGGCTTATTACATATATTTTTGGGTTTTTCTTCAAAGCAAAAACCAGAGAAAAATAAATGTCTAAGCCACGCCCCTTTGCAAGCCTCGCACGGTTTTTCTGCAAGTGTCTCGCACACTTTTGACATAATCGATCAAAAAACACAATTTTTACGACCACGTGTCATTTTATCAAAAAAAATATTTTTTTGGTTAGATAAGAGGAGTTCAAGAAGAGCAAAATATGACGAATTCAATTTTTGATGTGAAAAAAGTGTGCCAGGGTTGCAGAAAAATGGGCGGGGCCTAACCTCAACCATATTTGGTTTCATTTTGTAGCCCTTGATTAGCTCTACAAAAATCAATAATTTTTTTTCCGCAGAGTCGATTGCTATCCGGAACCAGGCGCAACGGAAGCGGCATGCGTTGCACGCGGATGCATTTATGAGAACGAAGCGAATCAACCAAGTGCACCCGTCGGAACACCGTGGTGCTATTATCCGACAACATCGGGTTTCACCAAAAAATCTGAGAATGGTCAAAATATTGTGCTCGAGGCGACTACTAGTGGGTTTTTTTTGGTGAAAAAAACTATGGTGGCCTAGAAAACCAACTTGAAAACCTCGGCCACACACTTCTTCGATAAAACTTCCTTCTCTAGCTTGAAAAACAGAGAAAATTCAAATATTCCCGAATTTCGCAAAAAATAAATACATGGTGGCCTAGAAAACCAAACCTCGGCCACACACATTTTTCTCCAGAAAACCCATATGGCGACAATATTTCACCGCTCAACGTCAAATATCGATCGAATGGTGCAACTTTGCTGGTGACAATTGGAAATGATGATCGGTAGGGCACAGAAAAATGGGCGGAGCTTGCATCTCTCGCATGGTTTTTTGCAGATATGTTCCACCAATCGATATTCCACAAGCTCCCTCAACATCCACCGAAACCCTCAAATTCGAATCCGGGATCATTGGCTTCAGCGGAATTTTCAGCTTCAAAGTCTCGCGTACAAACGGAGTGTCGTTGTGGGATACGTCGATTGGAGGAATGCAATTCGCCGATAAATTCATTCAAATTGCCACGTATTTGCCGTCGAAAAACATCTATGGATTTGGTGATCATGTTCATAAGAAGATCAAGGTAAGCGGAAGCGGAAGCTTGCGCGAAGCGCTCCGGAAGATTCCGCGTAAGCGGCTAGAGCGCAGCGAGTGTATTTCCCTCTGCCTCTCTGACAATCCTGTTCTCTCTGGCTGTCTGGTTTCTCTAGCTGTCTGGGTTCTCTCTGAAAATCTTGTTATTCTATCTAGCTTCTCTGAGTTTCTCACTGCATCTCCAGCTGTCTAGCTTCTCTAATATGAGCAATGTTTTCTCGAGTGTATTTCCCTCTGTGTCTCTGACAATCCTGCCATCTAGCTTTCTAGCTTCTCTGCGTCTCTAGTTCTTTTTTGATCACTGATTCCTTCTGTGTCTCTAACAATACTGTGCTCTCTGGCTGTCAGGTTTCTCTAGCCGTCTAGCTTCTCTGCGTCTCTAAAAATCCTGTGCTTTCTTCTTTGCGTCTCTAGCTGCCCAGTTTCTCTAACATGAGCAATGTTTTTCTGCATCTCTAGCTTCTGAAAGTTAGAAACGCAGCAAAGCATTGCTCATATTATGCTTTCTCAAGCTTATTTTCCTCTGCATCTCTAACTGTACCATTATCTCTAGCTGTCTAGCTTCTCTAACATGAGCAATGGGTCTCTTAATTTAAAATTCATATAATTTACAAGCAACCTACTCAAAAATACTTATCATAATTTAAATCAATCAATATTCTGTCGTTGAATCCATCCACCAATAGCTGACGCGATTTTCGGGTCCACTTGAGTTCGTGTAGGCTTTCGGGCTTTCACTGGGCTTGTTGCTACTACTGGGGCTTGTTGTGGAGCTAGCGGACCGTTTGGTCGCCAAGCAGATCCGTAGGTCGACCACACTGGACAGCAGAAATATGGACCGATGTCGACCGAATTTGTCGCGTAGCAATAGGATTGTGGTGGACATTGCGGCCATGGACGTTTTGGATCACATTCGATTGGAAGACTCGGGCCTCCTGGAAGAAAAAGTTTAATTGTCTCTGGCTGTCTAACCTCTCTGCGTCTCTAACAATCATGTGCTCTCTTTCTCTGATGTTTAGTGTTCTCTAGGGCTTCTAGCTTCTCTGCGTCTCTAACTATATAATTATCTTTGAATGTCTAGATTCTCTGCGTCTATAGTTCTCTTATGATCACTGATTTCCTCTACGTCTCTGACAACCATTTGCTCTCTAAGTTTCTGGTTTCTCTGCTAGCTTCTCTACGTCTCTGACTTCTGAAGCCGCATAGAAAATTGGGCGTGGCTTAGAATTCTGCAAAATTTTGCAAAATTAGCCCTTGATTTGATCTACCCCAAATCTCAAATTTTCAAGCCACGCCCATTTTTCTGTGCGGCAATTTGGACTCATCTTGAAGCACTTTTCAAGCTCTACAAAATGAGCCCCAGCTCTCGAATTTTCAAGCCACGCCCATTTTTCTGTGCCCCATGAAACCCTCCCCAAAAATTCACCTGGACATTGTCCAACTGGCGCCACAACAGTCGCTTGCCCAAAAGTCGTGTCGATCGCAAAAATTGAGACTAAAATGAGCAATGCCAACATATTATTTATGATGAAAATTTGTCTGAAAACCGTTGAGTTAAATATGAATATGCTGGGGCTGCTGCAAAAAAGAAGACAAGAATGAGGAGCCTTAATATGGGAGGAGGCGCCGCGCGGAACCGGAATTTTCCGCGCGCGCGGAAAATGTGTTGACACACACTTTATGTGTTGCTTACGCAAATAGAAACAGTGAGCAATTTAAGTGCAAAAAACAACATAGAAAGAAAAGTGAAGGCGGAGGTGCAAACTGATCAACAATTAATTATGCGGAAGCTTCCGCGCGGATTCGGAAGGTTCAAAATACCCCCCGTAAACCGGGAGCATCGTTTGAAACCTAGAAAAATCAAGTAGCTTTGTTTAGAGAGAATGTAATTGCGGAGCATCGTTAGCACACTCAAAACACACCCGTCAACCCGGAGCATCGTTACAATCCTCAAAAAAAATTTTCAGCACAATCTGGAACGCTATACAGTTTGGCCAATGTTTGCCAGGGATATCGGACCGGATTCGGGCTCGGCTCTTTCCACACAAAATTTGTACGGCGTTCATCCTTTTTATATGTGCATTGAATCCGATGGAAAAGCTCACGGTGTTTTTATTTTGAATAGGTTGGTTTGGGGTGGAGATGGGCTTCAGAATGGTACTAAACATGGGGTATATTTTCCTCTGCGTCTCTGACATTTCTGTATTCTCTGGGTGCCTGGTTTCTCTACTCGAGCGGAGCGAGTTTACATCCCTCTGCGTCTCTGACAATCCTATGTTATCTAGTTGTCTAGCTTCTCTGTGTCTCTAACAATCTCATACTGTCTAGCAGTCTAGGCTTCTCTGTCTCGAGTGAACATCCCTCTGCGTCTCCGACACTCCCATTGTCTAGCTGTCTAAACCCTCTGCGTCTCTGACAATCCTAATCCCCCAATTCTTCCAGCAACGCTCAAGAAGTCGAAACCGGTCCCGGACCACACTTAACCTACCGTACCATCGGTGGTCGCCTAGATTTGGCATTTTTCCCCGGACCAACACCCGAACAAGTCATCCAGCAATACTTGTTGCACATCGGAAAACCATTCTTGCCAGCCTATTGGGCCTTGGGTTATCAGGTAGGCTTCTGGGCCTAGGCTTAGGCCCCTCTCAATCTAGGCCTTTTCCAGCTCTGCCGTTGGGGATACACCGGTCTGGACGAGATGAAAAAGGTTGTGGCGCGAAATCAGGCAGCCGGAATTCCATTGGATGTTCCCATCGCTGATATCGATTATATGAATCATTATTTGGATTTTACCGAAGGAGATGTGAGTTTGGAAAAAGGGGCGTGGCTTATTTTTGAGCTCCAGGGCTTTTATTTGACACCAGATGAACCAGGGTTTTGGGGGGATCCGCCCACTTCAGCAAGCCTCTTGATTTTCCAGGCCTGGTCCGGTTTCCCAGCCTACGTGGATCAATTACACGCTCAAGGCCTTCATCTAATTCTGATCTTCGATCCAGCCATCGAAGTTGATTACGGTTCATTCTCCCGAGCTCTCACAGCCAATGCCAGTTTCATCTCATGGCCTTCTGATTCCCTCGTCCCACATGCAATTCAAGATCAATATCCGATGGCCAAAAACACTCGAGTCATGCTCGGAAATGTTTGGCCTGATCGGAACACGGCGTTCCCGGATTTCTTGGATCCAACAAACAAGACCAATTTGTGGTGGGCTCAAGAATTTCAGACGCTGAGAAAGGTGTTGGCTTTCGATGGAATGTGGATTGATATGAATGAGCCGAGTAATTTCGATACGGCCGGATATTCGACGAAGAGTTCGGCAAAGTCGAGAGCTGCCAGGGATCCGAGTGTTTTGGGTGAGGTTTTGAGGGGAAAGGTGCCCTCTGCGTCTCTGACAGTCATGTGCTGGCTTCTCTAGCTGTCTAGCTGTCTAACTTTCCAGAAATTTTGTATTTCGAAATCCCCCAAAAAATTACGTTTCAAAAAATTTGCAAAATTATTTTTTAATATTCCATGCATTTTTCCCGCGAAAAATATAAATTGTCTGAAAATCCCTGAATTACTGTAAGTAGATGTCTAACTTCTCTGCGTCTATTACAATCCTGCCATCTCTAGCTGTCTAGATTCTTTGCGTCTCTAACAACACTCTGCTCTCTGAGTTTCTGGTTTCTCTTCTGTCTAGCTTCTCTATGTCTCTGACACTCCTATGATCTCTAGCCGTATAGCTTTCTCTATGGTCTCTAGTTCTCTTATGTTCACTAACTTCCTCTGCGTCTCTGAGAATCCTCTGCGTCTCTAGCTTCTCTAACTTTTCCCTATTTCCAGCCTCTTCAAAACTAGCCTGCCCAATTGATGGCTCCGACTCGACCCTGGAAATCCCACCCTATCAAACATGGGCGGTCTATTTGCACCAAGGCGAATATCTCTTCTCCAAAACACTGTGCATGTTGGGAAAAACGACGGGCGGTCAACAAAACTTTTTCGACACCAAAAATTTGTATGGGTGGAGTGAGGCGCGTGCAACTTATCGAGCATTGCCAAAAACCACGGGAAAACGTGGAGCTGTTATTTCGAGGTGAGCGGAAAGCGAGTGTGGACCGCAAGCTTGCGCGAAGCGCCCCAGAATCTTCCGCGTAAGCGGCTCGAGCGGAGCGAGTGGATTTCCCTCTGCGTCTCTCACATGGTCTCTAGCTGTCTAGTCTCTCTAGTATCTTTAGACTCTCTGACTCTAGCTGTCTGGCTTATCTGCGTCTCTAATCCATGTAGAGAGTTAGAGAGCTTAGAGATGCAGAGAAGCTGAACAGCTAGAATTAGATCTTTAGCTCACTAGGCTCTCCAGCTTCTCTAACTCTCTCTAGCCTTCCTAGCATCTCTAGCTTCTCTGCGTCTATAATCTCTGTATGCTCTCTAACATCTCTAGACTCTCTGGGTACTCTAGCCTCTCTAGCATCTCTAGATTCTCAAGCATCTCTAACCTCCCTAACTCTAGCTGTCTAGCTTCTCTGCGTCTCTAACTCTCTATAGACTATCTGAGCTCTCCAGCCTCTCTAAACTCCCTAACTCTAGCTGTCTAGCTTGTCTGCGTCTCTAACCCCCATACTCTCTAGTTTTATCGCGCAAAATCTTCCGCGTAAGCAGCTAAAGTGAATTTCCCTCTGCGTCTCTAACTGTCTAGCTTCTCTAACCTCTCTAACATGTTCCTATACTCATTTCACAGATCAACATTCGCCTCATCTGGTCGTTATGGTGGTCATTGGCTTGGTGATAACACAGCCCGTTGGGAAGATCTTCAAACATCAGTAATCGGAATCATGGAATTCAACATGTTCGGTTTGCCCTACGTCGGTTCCGATATCTGCGGTTTCAATGGAGCATCCAACGAAGAACTCTGCTTACGATGGCATCAATTCGGCGCCTTCTCCTCATTCTCGCGCGATCACAATTCCGAAGGTCAACCCGATCAAGATCCGGCAGTTTGGCCAAGTGTTGCACAAGCTGCGCGAATTGCTCTAACTTTCCGATACTATTACATTCCCTATTTATACAGTCTGCATTATTCGGCTTCGAGATACGGAGCCACTGTGATTCGCCCGCTGTTCTTCGAATTTCCGAAAGATGGCGAGGCTTTGGAGATTAGCGAGCAATTCCTTTGGGGGTCGGCTCTTATGATTGCTCCAGCTTTGTATCAGGGACAAACCACTGTGCACGCGTATTTCCCAGCTGACACGTGGTATTCGTTGCAACCGGAGACTTATGGACAACGCATGTTGAGTGGATTTAACGATGTTTCGGCACCGCTCTCGAGTTTGACACCCGTTTTTGTTAGAGGTTTGTGAGCCCAAATTTGGCTAGATTTTGAGCTCATGTTTAGACTCATTTTGTAGATCTCGACGAGCTCTACAAAATGAGCCCAAACTCGATCAGATTTAGAGCCGCGCAGAAATGTGGGCAGAGCCTAAACCTTCCACTTTTAGACTCATTTTGCAGCCCTCAATGAGCTCTACAAAATGAGCCCCCGCAAAAATCGATATTTCCAGGAGGCTACATTTTGCCACGTCAATTCCCCGGAACAACCACCACCGCCTCAAGACTCAGCCCATTCGAAGTATTGATCGCATTCAAAGCCAACACTGCGTCAGCTGTAAGTTCAACAAACTAGACTATAATCTAATTTTCAAACTAGACTATAGTTTGGTCAGATTGAAAAAACTTGCTGTAGTAGAAAAACTACTACTGTAGAAGAACCTGCATATCTAATTCTTGATGTTTTGGTTTTTTGAGTTAGATCTGCAGGTTCTTCTACAGTACCCAAAACTATTTTCTCCAGGGTGATCTTTATTATGATGGTGGAGATGATTTGTTGCCAAACGACGATATTGAACAACACCCCCGTCTTCATTGGCAATTCTCATTCACTTATTCAAGTTTTGGCGCGGCTTTTGGTGGAAATTGTGAAGGATGCAGCACGGTAAGACAATTTTCCTGGATTTTTTTAAAAATCTTGTTTTTTAAAACTTTTTTTCCAAAAATTTCCAAATTTCAGTCAGTCAAATCGCCAACTTTGGACACAATTGAAATCTTGGGTTATCCTACCCAACCAAGCTTTGATGGAATTAAACTCAATGGCAAATCGGTGAATTTGGATTTGACCAAGAGTTTCTACAATTCCACATCTCAACAATTGATTTTGTCAAGCAAGGGAATGATTGATTTGAGTGCGAATGTCAAGAAATTCACACTCACTTTTGTTAATAGCGCCTAAATAAATCAATAAATTATTCACTTCTTCAAAAAATTGTTCTAAAATATTGTTAATCAAGCACCCTAGAAATTCCCTAAATTTAGGATAACTCGCTTACAGCGCTTGAAATTGCCATTTCGCATCATTTCCCTTCTACACGAGTCGACAAACAACAAGTGAGTACACATAGATGCTAGGGCCAAGCGGGGCACGAACCTGTGACCTTCTGAATGATAGGCAGGCGTGCTAACCGCTAAACTATCCCCTCCTCTTGGGCACGCTGCTGATTTTTTATCTTTTATACTAGCGGCTTGGCGAAGAGTTTTTGTGTAGGAGAATTTGAAATTTTTATAATTTCGCAACTCTCAAACACAACGCAATTATTCTCGTGTAGTTCTCGGGGACAAGTCGACGTTTTCGCAAGGCTTCCAGTTTCTCCGCAAGAATTTCGAGCATTTTTTGAAATCTGCGATGACACGTGGCAAAATTGCAATGAATTTGAATTTGATGATTTGATCCATGGATTTGTTGGGATTTTCTTGAAATTTGAATGGATTTTGACGATTTTTGATGGCCAATAAGTTCGATGATATTCAATTCCAGCTTCTGATTCGGTTGAGAAACTTCAGTGGTTTTTTGAGAAGTTGTGGTGATTATTATGCTGAAAAATTGGATTTTCTCAAAATTTTCAAATTATTTTTCTCAAATTACCTTTGCTCAACATCTATGTTCCTCCAAGTCTCCCAATTTCTCTCAAAACTTTTCAAAATTCTCAAAAACGCTGAAATCGCCACCAATTCCGAATTCAACCAATCGATAATAATCGCAGTGTCAAAATCGACCAGAAAAAATATAGAGAGAACAATTAAAGGTGCATGGAAAATTGAATTCGCTTCGAGACCTCGAGAAGAATACGGTAAGAGTAGGATAATTGTGGTTAGACATCGCTCATCGTTATTCAATAGTTTTTGGCAGAAATCCAAAGTTGTCGGGTAGATTTTGGCGAATTTTTGGATCTCGGCTGGAAAATTGATGTTTTAGAGACTTATAGGCATGATTAAGGGCTTCAAAATGAGCCTAAACATGGCCTAGGCCTGTTTAAGGGCTTCAAAATGAGCCTAAACATGACCTAGGCCTTAAAACAGGCTTCAAAATGAGCCTAGGCCTGAAAATTGCCAAAAAAAAACTCACAAATCGCAGATTCTCCCAACAATTCACAAATAATCAACCACGATGAGAAAATGCGCTCCACTGCACAACTCGAAATCACATCACCCGCCAAAAAATCCGAATTTGAATTTTTGTCTGAAAATTTTTCCCTGTGAAACTTTGACCCCTCTCGATAATATTTGTCTTTTATTTCTTCATTTTACAACACAATACGAAAATGTTTCGAAATGTTTGCACTTTTTTTGCGGCGAAAGATGAAAGTGCAACTAAAAAAGAAAAGATTTTTGATGAAAAATATTTTTTTTCTAGTGGATTTTGAGGAAAACCTTCAAATTTCAGTTATGACGTGGCAAAATGGGAGAATTTCAAAAAATAAGGACTTTAGGAAGTGAAAACTAAGGTCTAAAATGATTTTCAATTAGAATCTGTTAGCTCAGCCTCCTGAAGAACAAATTTTCATGAAAATCATCTTTGAAGCTAGTTTTTACCTCCAAAATTTGCCACGTCATAACTCACATTCAGAAAAAATCTAGTTTTTGTTGCACTTTCATCATTTTTTCCCCGAAAAAAGTTTCCCTTCCCTTTTCGCAAAAAAAACTCACATTCTTCAATTTTATCGATCCATAATTTACATAATCTTCTCAAAAATAATACAATTTTCCGATTTTTCGAACTCTCTTCTTTTACCAGTCCGAAATTCGAATCCTGGTATAATAAATAGCAAATTCGATCGATTATTCGAATTTTCAGATCATCACTGGAACTTGAAGTTTCCAAGATTTCTAGACTTCCTTTAAACTTTTGCTGAAGTTCGTCGAATGATTCCGAACATTGTGCAGCTATCAAAAGTTCCATTTTTGCTTCCTGAAACGCGGGAAAAACCAAAAAATACATTTAAAATACAACTATTCACATGGAAAATTCCACTTTTCGCTCAAATTACAATTTTTGCAACGTGTTCGTTTATTGAAACTTTTTGAATTGAAAGTTCAAAGTGGTCACTTGGGATAACAAAAAAATCAACGGGGTTATAGCTTGGATGTGGGGAATTCGCGGAACTAAACTACTCGTTTTAAGGCAATTCGAAAATAAGAGGAATTGGGGAGAGTAAAATGAATAAAAGTAACAAGGTAACAAAAAATTTGGTTGGGGAAGGAAGAGCAAAAAAACAGAAACAATTTAATTTATATTTTGCAAAGTGAAAGTGTTGATGGTTCCCGGTGTCGGATTCGGATGTTTATTCGTCATCTTCGTCATCGGAGAACTCGTCGTCCTCTCCTGGATATCCGTACATATCGTCGGTTTGAATTTCACCGGTGTAGAACAAAACGGCACGTGGAATGATGGAATCACGTAAAGCTTGCCCGATTTCGTAGTCGACTTGCAACAATTCCTCGTTGTCCTGAAAACAAAACATTGTTTCTTTTTCATTTATAAATCAAAAATAAATAATTTAAAAAATGAACGTTTTAGATAAGATCAATTATTTTTCCCCACGTGACCTACTAGCCTAGAAAAACGTGGCAAATCTCAGAATAAAAGGAGAGCGAAATCAGTTGGGAGACCATTGTCGTTTCTATTCAACATCTACTGCTAAAAGGATTTATTTCAATTTCCGTTACGTAAAGTAGAAACAAAGTAAAGATGTCAATTCATAGTGAGTTTTGGGATCAGGGCTTCTTGATTGGAGTTTTGGGAACAGGCTGGGTTCGGTCGGACAATATCAGCAGGAAATCAATCAATTCGTTTTCCAGAACGATCTCGAAATAACAACGCGAGTTCCAAAACTGTCAATGACAATGAAGCTATGACAACTGGAGAAAAGAAGGCGATGAAGAAGTGCATCGTCAAATTTGTTGCAAGAGTCCTTGAAAAAGGTCCAACTGGATTGCGTGCCGAATTCCAGAGCATGAAGAGATCGAATGATTTCGAGAAAATGAAGGCGTTCAAAGAAGCTCAGGAAGCCGGAAAGAATCGCTATAAGGATGTGGGATGTTTGGACAATTCACGTGTCAAGTTGGGAAGCCCTTGGCCTCATGAATACATCCATGGAAACTATGTTTCAACACCGCTCAACCCGAAGCGTTTCATCTGCACTCAAGCACCGCTGGAGAAGACTTGCGCTGATTTTTGGTTCATGTGCCTTCAGGAACATGTTGAAACCATCTTCATGCTCTGCAATTTTATGGAGAAAGGCACCAAAAAATGCCACGAATATTTTCCAACGAAGGACAAGCCGGAGACTTTGACATTTGAAGAAGGCAGCCATAAGATCACAGTGCGCTTCGAATCGTCAAGAGTCGTCAAATTCAAGGGGAGAGATATCAAGGCGAAAGTTGTTGAGACGATATTATCGGTTGAAGGACCAAATGATATGTCAGTCAAAACAACTCACTATCATTGGATCGATTGGCCTGATCGTGGAGTTCCGCCAGCTGATTTGGCCATCATTGATCTTCTTGCGAAAGCGAGAGTTTCAAAGTGAGTTTTTCCCTATGTCTTACTAGAAGTTAACAAAAAAATTTTGCAGAGGTCCAATCGCTGTCCACTGCTCTGCTGGAATCGGAAGAACTGGAAGCGTTGTGATGATCGAATATGTCATGGAGCAAATCTTGGGCAATCAACCGATTGAGGACACCGACAAGATTCTCCTAAAGATTCGTGAACAACGCAACAACTCGGTCCAAACTGATCATCAATATTTGTTTGTCCACCAAGTTTTGATGAATTATTTCCGTCAAAGAAAACTTTTGGACGCAAATGTTGAAGGTCATCACGACGACTTCACCAAGACCTATTTGAAGATGGTCATCTAGAGAGTCCGAATTGAGAAATGCCGTATTGAATAAATGAGTTTCCCTAACCTTGTCTAATTTTTGTCATGCTCTGATCATCGCAATCAGAATAGTCTAAAAGCGGGAATAAAGAGCCTATTCTATTTTGCAAAGTAAAATAGCTACTTGGAATTTTATCCAGGTCTCTAGAACAACTGTGCGTTTGAAATTGTTTTGAAAAATAATTACCTCTGCGTCTTCATCTTCGTTTGTCTCATCAGCAGACTTTGGTGGGTCGAAGAAGTTGAAGAAACTGTCGGCTTTCACGGTCTTTGTCATGAATTTTCCGGCGTTGGCTCCCTTCTTTTGCTTCTTCTTGACGGCCTTCTTGGTGACATTTTTGCCATCTTCCCATTCGATTTTGTCTCTGAAATAGAACAATATTTTGAAACTTCAACGTTGAATAGCCTTTAAACATACCCTGTGACTCTGATAACATTTGGTCCATCAAAATCGAACTTGCTGTCTTCTTGTGGAATAATCTCCAAGAAATATTCCTTTTGGAGAACACTGTTCTTGAAGTATGGGTTTTCGGCAAAGTGGAATTTGATTGTGAAGCTCTGAAAAACAATAATTATTGAATGACAAGTTTTCCAATAAAAATCCTCTTACAGCTGGATCAACTGATGTGCTAGTTGTGATATCAGTCAAATAAGTGAGGATTGGAGTGTCGTGTTCTTGGATAAGATCAGAAGTCAAATCGTGTCCTTTCAAAACATTGAGCCAGAAATCCTTGATTCCCTTCTCGTTGCTATCGGCTTCTGATTTCTCGTAGAGTTGCTGAAAATTCAAATTTAGAGTTTAAAAAGCGTTTTGATGAATGATTGTCATAATCTAATCATCGCAGAGGAAACAGTTCCAATGCGGGAATAAAGATCATTGTTATTTCGCACAGAAAAATAGCTACCAGGAATTGAGTCGAGGTCTCTCGAACAACTGTGCTTTCTCATGGATTAATCGGCGAGAAAAGTGAGCTTAGCGATTAATGAGCTCAGATTTCCCGCCGATTATCCGAACATTCAAATTTCAATCGGGATTTCAGCATGATCCAACTTACATCAATGACATCTGGTTGAGTATCGTGAAGAAGTGGGACGTCACATTCAGCATCAGTTGGTTCTTTCTCTCCGGTGACAATTTGTTTTCTTTGCTCGTTGAGTGGCTTGAAGAGAGCCTCGAATTCGAGTTCCAAAGCGTGAACACGTTCGTAGAACTTGGCTTCAACATCAATCGAAGCAAGTTGCACTTTTTTCAACGCACAAACACGTCTTTTCACATTTTTCGGCAATGCACCCAACAATTCGAAGTTTGGCTGAGCTTGTGGGAATGGGAAGCCCATATCTTCAATGTTTGGGATCTCTTGTGCCATTTTATTACCTGCAAAAATATAGTCTATAGAGTTGAGGAATACGATTAAACGAATAGAGAAATTTACATATTCACATTGTGTATGACAAATAAAATGTGAGAAAACTTTTGAAGAAAAATCCTCTGATACAGATTTTACTGAAAGTTTATAAGGGAATACTAGAAATTATAATATGAAAAATTATTTGTAAAAATGATTACAAATTCGCCTCCTAGAACCTATAAATATTTGTTTTGCACTTTTCCTCATCATTTTTGACCTAAATTTGCGCAATTTTGACAGAAAACACTTAGAGATAGATGAATTTCAAGTTTATCAACATTTTCTAAACCACGAGACAAAATAAAAAGCGAAAGAACATTTCGAAATGTTTCGAAACACCGCAAAAAACAAAGAGTGAAAATTGGGAATTTATTTTTGAAATGATTCTGTGCTACCGTAGTTGCTCCGCCCACTTCTCTTCGCGACGAGACCCCAATTCAAAGGCGCATGTTCGATTTCAAAATTTTTATTTTTGTTTTCTTTCTTTTTTCCTCGCGTTTTTTCAAGTTTGCTGTGCGAAACTGATAAGATTGCGGTTTTTTGTTTATATTTTAAGATTGATAGGTGTAAGACACGCATTCTAATCAAAGTTTCGCCCAAATTTTGAGAATATAGGTCAATTTTAAAGGAAAAAAGAATATTATTACACAAAGTCATTTTCCCGTCTGCCGGCAGATGTTGGGAAGTTTTTATGTAAATCTCATATTTCTTAACGATTTATTTCGTAATATTTTATTGATTTTTCTTTCAGCTCATTCATAATGTCCACTTCCGATGCGCCAAAAGAGCAAAACTATCAACTTCTTCAAGGAATCGAAGTGCCACCATTCAGAAATGTCAATGAATTTCTCCTCGAAACCGACAGATATGAACGACCACCTTATCAAGATTTGAAGAAATGGAACAATCGAATCATCTCGAATTTGCTCTACTTCCAAACCAACTACTTCACAACATTCATCATTTTGTTCATTTTCCAATCGTTTTTGAGTAGTCAAGATATTTTCGTTGGAATTTTGGCGACGTTGGCCGTCTTGGGAGCCGTTTATTTTGCTGTTGCAACCGAGCCGCAAGTCAAAAAACTTCGAACTGATCATCCATTGGTCACTTTGGGTGGTATTATTTTGGTCGCTTATGGATTTATCTCGGTTTTCCCATCAGTTTTGGTAGTTGTCTTTGCGTAAGTATTTTTTAAAACTATTCTTCTCCAAAAAAAAACAATTTTATTCCAGACTCTTGTTCCCAGTCTTCCTCGTCCTGATTCACGCGTCTCTCCGTCTTCGCGGAATCGCCAACCGCGCCGCTAATTTGACAGAAAGAATCGGAATTCGCACCACATTAATGGGACAAATTTTGGATCGAACTGGACTTTCGGTTCGCGTCTAATTTATTCTATTCAAAATGTATGTTCAAGTTTATGCCAAATTTTTCATAGTTTCTCACATTTTCGTCATAATTTATTGGCACTTTCAAATATGTATTTTTCACCCGTTTTTTTTCATAAATTGTTTGCTACTACTCGCTTCTCTAAATTTATTGATTGTTCCCTTCAATTTATACTATTTTTTGGGTTAACTTTTGTTTGGTCAAAAATTTTACAAATCCCTTTTTTTCGAGTCAAAATTCATGATTTCAGTCTGAAATTGTCATTTTTTTATTTGTTGAGCATTTATTAAGTGCTCTCTTCAAAAATACTATTTTTTTTAATCAACTTTTTTTTTGGTCGAAAATTTGTAAATCTGGAAGGGTTTCCAGTTTTACAAATCCATCATTTTCGAGCCAAATTTCATGATTTTAGGCTTAAATTGATTGAAATTCATTTGTTGATCATCTTTTAAATACTATCTTCGAAAAATACTATTTTTTTGATCAACTTTTTTTTTGGTCGAAAATTTGTAAATCTGGAAGAGCTTCCAGTTTTACAAATCCATCATTTTCTAGCCAAATTTCATGGTTTTAGGCTTAAAATGATTGGAATTCATTTGTTGATCATTTATTAATAGTGATCTTCAAATTATACTGTTTTTTGGGTCAAAGTTTTACAAATCCATCTTTTTTTCGAGAAAACAAGAGAAAATCTGGTTTTTAGGATGGAAAGTGAGATTTTTCCCCACAAAAATGAAACAAAATCCACAAATTATACAAAACAAGCCTTTATTCATGGCCATATCAATACTACAAAATTTTCTTTCTTTGTTTCCGCACATTTTCCATTTATCCATCCAACTTGTATCCCGGCAACGCTTTACGACACAAAACAGTGACAGAAGAAGCGCAAGCCGGTCCACTCGCCGAAACCTCCTTTCCACCAAAACCATATCCATACTTCTCGTTACGAACATCAACTTTGGCCAAAATTTGTTTACCTCCAGCCAAATTGACGACACCAACAGAAATGTCACCCTTGTGATTGTTGACGTGGACCGGTTTCCAGTCTTTTCCTTCCTCGAATTTGGCAGCTTCTGGGAATGGAATCCAGCCATATTGATAACCGACGACATGTTCTCCAAGACGGACCAACAATTGAATTGAACCGACTCCTTTGCAATATTCATTGTTGAACCAAGAGAAGTTGGCAGCAACCTAGAAAAATGGGAAATTGAAGTGGGAAAGCTAGTGAAAGGCTAAGCCTAAAGTCTTTCGAGCACAAACCTTTCCATTCTCGTTCCAAACACGTCCCATAACTGGTTCTCCTTGCATATACCACAAAGCAACATATTGATCTGGATTAACTCCAGGCAAAGTGTCCAAAGTCTTGTCCAAAGCCTTGACCAATTTGCGTGTCGGGAACGGATCACCCTCACGAATATCAATCCATTCATCGTGGCAAACTCTTGGTGGTGGTGGACCCGGTGGTGGAACTGGTGGTGGTGGCGGCGGTTTCGGACAATTGTCACATTCACAATGTGGTGGTCCGCCAATGCAGTTGCGCACAATAATGTACATTTCGGCAAGAGCTGGTCCGACCAATCTGTGCACTTTTCCATCGGCAGAGAACCAGGCTTCTTCGGTTTTGTTGTCAACGTAGCCGAGGAGATTTCCTTCCTTGCGTTTCCAGAAGATTGGGAACGAATCACCGCAACGAACCAATTGATGTTTGTCGTCGATTTTTTCGAGACGGTCCTTGTACTTGATCCATTCGTACCAGAAACCTGAAAAATTCATATTTTTAATAGGAATAGGGTTTTTTTTAGTAGTTTCCACTGCCGAGAAACCTAGTGAAATCTGCTCTGACCATTCGTCAAAAGATTCAAAAAGCCTTCAAAATTGGGCAGAGCCTTAAAGCAACACCCTCGTATAATAAGGCCATTGCGAAATGCTTTCAAACACCAAAATATATAAAATTAACCTATCCAGCTATACTCACAAGAAATATGAAGAAGAAATACTCAAAAACGATCAAGTTTGACCGATTTTGAAAAAAAAACAATTTTTTTTTGAAAATCGCCTGCAGATTGTGCAGATCCGCAATTTCATGACATTTGTGCAAACACTGTGACGACAATTGTGTGCTACAGTACCCCTTTCAACTTTTTTCAACAAAAAGTGAATTGTTTCACTGAAAACAATGAAATAAATTATAACAATGATTTCTGAACATACTTAACTATCTCTACTTTCATTTTTGACAATGATATTTCAGTTTTATATTGCATATTCCGGTCAAAAACTAAAAAAACACAATTTCCATAGAAAAATTTAGTTTTCGTCTGAAATATTGAATCTTCGTGTTTATATTTCTTCACTTTATTTTTTTCATATCCAGAAAACAGTTGTTTCCATGCAAATTGTCATTTTCCGAAAAAAACGGAAAAATTTTGCGAAAAAATAAAAAGAAAACAACGAGACTCCGCGTTGACGCTAGCCCGCGCTGTTTGAATTTGAGTTTTTTCAGTTTTTCAATGGGCTCCCATATTTCGGCTAATACTTATCGAAACGTTTTGAATTTTTTCTCCGAACTAGAAAACAGTAAAAATAAGCTAAATCTAAGATTTGAGAACATTTGGGCTTTTTTCAAGAAAGTGCCTATTATACGAGGGTGTTGCTTTAAAAAGCTCTAAAACGTTTAGAAATTTCTAAAAATTTCTTGAAATCCTATAGTTTCTTTAAATTCTTACCTAAACTAGGTGCAAAACACCTAAAAATCACTTCAGAATCGCCGAAAACTTTGAAAAATGCCCCAAAACCGCAAAAACCGCCCGTAAAAAATAAAGTGTCGTCAAGTCAGGTGTGTTTTGTGCATTCACCCTGCGCACACACATTTCGTTCTACAGTACCCCCATTCTTCTCGAAAAATTCGATTTTTTGCTCAATTCCCCCCGATTTCCAACCAACCTTGAGTATTATGGTCTCCAATATATTGCAAAACTTGAATTTGTCCCTCCAACTCTTGTTTCGTCTTCAACTCGGCAGTTTTGTATGGGAAAGAGCACTCAACAACTCCACCATTGTTCCACGATCTTCCATGAATCGGTTTTCCGTGTTTATACCACAAAGCGACGTACATGTTCTGTTCGCCCATACATTTGACAGGCGATGGTGGAAATGGTGAACCGATTGGTTGAAAAGCCCATGTGTCTTCTTTGGGCGGCGGATTCGGCTTCGGCATCTTTCAACTGGGATTCGTCACTCGGCTCTTTTTGAGAGATATCGATTCTCAAAGAAAAAATGAGTGAACGTAGAATTAAAGAAACTGTCGAACACCCGTCGAGTTTTATAGAGCCATTTTTGATGACGTGGCGATCTTATCTTTAGTGACGTGGCGGGTAAATATGTCACGTTTGACTTAGATTCAAGCGCATTTCTCGGTTTCATTTTTTTTTTGTTTCAAAACGTTGTTTCGATTGAGATTTTAATATTTTCGACCTCAAATAGATAACAACTTTATTGCAATCATTAATTAATTAAGGAGCTCTTTGAACAATGTCCAAAACAGTCACTGACATATAAATATCGCCTCCATAGTAGTTTCCACTGTCAGCTCCGGTCACTTTTTGAAGAATCAAGTTGTTTCCGTCGATTTTGGTCACTGGAGCTTTCGCCACTTTTTTCTTGGTCTGAAAATCAAGTCTATGAGCAATGATTTTTCCGAGTTATGACGTGGCAAGTTAGTTATTGTCGAAGTTGAAAAATGTGGCTGGCGTGAAAGTACTTCGTCAGTCGCGTGCGGCTGTGCGTCGCGGTCGGGAAACAAAGGAACAAGTAAATTATTGATTGTTTCCAGACCGCGACGCATGGCCGCACGCGACTGACGAAGTAATGTTTTTTTTACTTTTTACGGCAGCCACATTTTTCAACTTTGACAATATAGCCTTGTAAAGTTTCGGTTGCCACGTCATGACTCATTCGGGTTCTGCGGGTCCCAAATCACTAGAAAGTTATCCAAACTCACATCTTTATTCTCCCAATACCCACAAGTCTTTGCATTCTTCCCATCACAAACTCGATAAACCTCAAGTGGTTGATTTGGTCCAAGCGATCGTGTCAATTCTTTTTGTCCCCAAAGATTGATCTCTAGATTTTCACCAGCATTGACGACCAAATGTGGGACATCGGCGTTGACGCAGACAATCAAGAATATGGTGAAAAATACAAGTAGTTTGACCATTTTTGTGTGGTTTTTGTGAATGAATCAAAAGTTTACCTTTTATATCGTTCAACTTTGTTATCATATCTTTTGTGAAGGCGTAGATTTTGGTCGAATTTACAACACGGAAGTTTGACCTTATCTTTTTTGATCTTAGGTTTTGTATTAGTTTTTCGTGAAAAACGCTAAAGTTCTCTATTTTAGGGCGAAAATTTGAGAAATTTTCAGAAATTCCCCTGTTTTTCTTTCATTTTCTCTTTAAAAAAAGACAAAAATCCCTGTTTTTGACCTTTTGAAAAAGAAAGAAGGAACAAGGATAATGGAAAAAATCTCATTATTTTTATGTTCCGCTTTCTTTTCCCCACATATAGAATCATGTTTTTTGTTCTAACTAACAAAAAGTATTGTTTTTTGAGCAACAATCTCGAATTTCAGCAAAAGCTTCTCAAATTTTCAACCAAGAAAAAACATGGAAAAGGTTAATTATTATTAGTAGGAAAAAAAACTGGCGAGAAAAATGGAAAATCAAAAATCAATGAATTATTGGTAGAGTTGTGGACATTCGTTTTTGGAGCACGGGAGAAGGATTGGATCTGCAAGAAAACATTTGGAGTTTGACTAGGCTCGGGTCCTTAAAGGCACAATTTTCAAGCAGCCAACCCTTGTGAGCTTCTAGAGGTCTCTAGGCACGAGTCCTTGAAAGCACAATTTTCAAGCAGCCAACCCTTGAGAGCAACTAGAGGGTCTCTAGGCGTAAAGTCTTGACAATCGCTTTGTCAAGCAGGTATGTCTTGAGAGCTTTAATGTGTCTCTAGGCCGAGCCCTTAACAGCCCACTGGTCAAGCAGCCAACCCTTACCATCTACTAGATGTCTCTAGGCGTCATCCCTTGACAGCTACTACACATCTCTAGACGCGAACCCTCGTCGCGTGCTCCAAATTGTATTCTAGCACCAAAAATATTTGTTTATTCGCGCGTCATCTTCGCAACAACAAAAAAGACCAAAACAAAAGTTCAAATGTCAGAAAAATCATGAATTTTTGAACATCCCCCTCTTCTTTTCTCTATTTTCATCCCTATTTATAGTAACTCAACAAAATCTACAGTAACCCAACCTACCGTCAACTTTGACCGATCGAATCTTCTTTTTATTGAGCTGAATTCGTTGGCGGAATGGTTCGGTGAATCGCATGTTGGAGCCCACTAAACTGAGCAATGGAGAGCGTTTGTTGATGATTTCGAACTGGAAAATAGAAATTGGGTACTGTAGGATATTGTAGCTTTATTCGTCTTGAAATTTGGATCAAAATGATATCTCACAAGCTCAGAGAAAATTGGTTTTGAAAATTTTCAAAAACATTTTTCTTGAAGCTATTTTCGAGCTACCAGAGGTACTGTAGATGGAAAAAGGGTACTGTAGTTGTCTTTAGCTTGAAATTTGGATCAAAATGATATCTCACAAGGTGCACATATTTTTTGAACTACAAAAAGTACTGTAGATGAAAAAAATGTTTCAAAAAATGGGTCCCGCAATGAAACGAGTACTGTAGATCAAATATATAATACTATACTACTTTTCGCGCCCAAAATTACCTCATCTGGGTCCTGAAACGAATACAGTAGCTGTTTCTCGAGCCCGAAAAGCGGTTGTGAATAAACCATTCCCAAAATCGCCAAGAAAAGACATGCCAGAATTTTGGACATTTTTTTGAAATCTGGAAATATTTCAGCTAATAATGAAAAGTAGTTTTTTTGTTTGAAAAACGAGAAAAAATGGGCGGAGCTTAGCTCAAAAGGGGTGGATAAGAAGAAGAAGAAAAAGACGTCATAATGGAATTTTTGATTTTTTTTTTGAATTTTGAATTTGAAAATTGAAATTTGAAGATGTATTTTTAGACAAATTTTAAAAAATCAGGAATTAAAAAATTAAAAATTAAAAAATAGTTCCAAGGTGGAATCGAACCCGCGACCTTAAAAACGACAGTGTGCGCGCTAACCGCCTACACCACGCGCTGCGCGTTTCTCTCCCAGATAATTTTCCAGAGACTATAAAACTGAAAAAAAATTACGTAAGCAAATTTGAGCACGCGCTAGAAATTAGGGGCTCGAAAATTAGCCAAAATCAAATCAGACATGTAATTTTCGAGGAAAATAATATAGTCTTGGGAAAAATCTATACGAAAAATGAATTATTTTTCGAAGAAGAAGAAGAAGCCAGAAAAAAAATGAAAAATACAAATTTTTCGCGAAAAAAGTTTTGATACGAAAAATTTTATAGGCCACAAAAATTCAAAAAAAAAAAAGTTTTTTGATCCTAAAAAAAATTTCTCGCGCTTCACTGAATTCGACATTTTTTCGCCCGAGACGAAAATGTTGCGATTTGTTTTGTGAATAAGAAAATTTATCAACACAAAATCTAAAAATAAAAATAAAAGTGTACTTGGAAGGATTTTTGGGATTTTCTGGGGATTTGCGGGAAAATCACATCACGTGAATCAAAGTTAATCAAAAAATTTTAAAAAAATGTATTTTTGGATTTGAGATGGCATGGGGTGACAAGAGACGCTTGCTTGAAGTCCGAGTTGTCAAGGAGCGGCTCCTTGACCTCGAAAGCTACCTATAGGACTCACTGCTTGACAACACCTATCTCTAGGGTTGGATGCTTGACTCTGCTGCCAAGGAACGGCTCCTAGACCTCGAAAGCCACCTGTAGGGCTCACTGCTTAACATTTGAATTTCTGTCAAGCAGGGGTTGCTTATGTCATGTAATTTTGAGCTCAAGGCTCAACTGCTTGTCGTGAAAAATAAATTATATGTGCAAAAAAGTTCAAAATCGTAAAAATGTCAGAAACATCACTTCCGGTGTAGTTTTGCAACATTTTTGCTACTCCAAAAGAACTACACAGAAAGAGAGGGGATTTTTTCTGGATTCCAGGTCATGTTTTAAATTTCTAGGCCAGACCAAAATTCAAAAAGCATTTTCCATCTATAAACGAAAAATTTGAAAAGTGGCTTTTCAAAAATTCAAAAAAAAATGTCAAAAACATCACTTCCGCAACATTTTTTTTCAATTTTTTTTTCATTCACGAGAACTACACAAAAGAAAAAAAGAAATGAAAATAATCGAATTTTTCTATTTCTTGTTGGAAATTTAATTAATCCGATAAAAAAATCTACTCTGAATACAAATTGAGAAAAAATTATTACTATTTTGCGGGAAAAAGTGGCCTAGAAACCCAAAAACTTGATTTTGATGGCCTAGAAATCCAAATTTATAAATAAACTACGTCATTTGGATTCCTAGGCCAAGAAAGTTCAAATGTACTTTACTCAGCTCAAAAAACCAATAAAAATTTCAAAAATGCACGAAATTCCTTTTGAAAAATGTGAGAAAATCTCAAAAATCTCCAAATTTCATTTAAAATTCAAGAAATCTCAGAATCGTCGGTCAGAATACAAATTTCCTCATTTTTCCAAGAAAATTAAATTTTCAAATGCTCAATTTAAAATTCACGTCAAAATACGTTGCCCTAAAAACAGACAGATTTTTTCATTTTCATTTTCATTTCAAAAAAAAAAGGAGACATGGAGGATTTCGAAATTGCAGTTTGGAAAAGAAAATGGAAAAACGATTGTATGGTGAGTGCCTGGAAATCTAGAAACACACAAAATCAAGTTCGCTCCACCGCACACATAATTTAATTGTGTGTACTTCTCGAGGAATTCGTTTAGGAGGCTCGTTATAGAAGATTTTTGTTGAAAAAACTGGAAAATTAAAAAAAAAGGGAGCGGGTGGGATCGAACCCTGGTTTTGCGAACAACACGCGCGAGTGTTAACCACTCGACCACGCGGCGGTTTTTTCTCGCCAGCAGAAATTTCGCATATAAAATGGGGTTTTTTGTTACAGAATCACAGTCTGCGACTTGGTTTTGCTTATTCTACACTATGTCTCGCGTACATTATCATGCTTCCAATGTAAGTTCAAATGCGCTCCATTGAAATATCGATTTTTTCAAGATTACTTTCTGCATGGTGTGAAATGTATTTGGATATTTATCACGATACAACAAAATTTCCATCAATTCTCGTTTTTACGGTTTATACAATTAATATAACTCTGCTTTTGCATACGGCTACCAATTATTTTATTAGTTATTTCGATTATTGTTCGACTTTTCTTATCTATAATTGTTGTTACATTGTGAGTTGAATTTTTTGAAAAAAAGAGCATTTCAAAAGCTTCAAAATGAGCCCGAAATCGTTTTTCAAAAATTAAATTTAGGCTCATTTTGTAGCTCTCGAAATTCTCCACAAAATGAACCCAAATTCAAAAATTACTCACGGCGTTTCAGCATTGGATACTCATTCATTTCATAATATCGGGTATAGTATTCTTATACGATCATGAGAGAAAAGTTTGGCTAACTAACGAGGCTCGCACAATTGTTCTCATTATTATTGCAATTTTTCATTTATGTCTAACCGCTTATTCTGATTGGTTTTTAGAGTGAGTTTTAATTAATTAATTAATTAAGAAAAATCTCAATTTTTCCAGCAAATATTGTGCTTCTTAAAAATTTCCGAATATTCAATAATAAATATTTTTTGAGCATTCGAGATCACCGAAAAATAAACACATGAAGAAGAAAACATAAATCACAACCGGTAAAAAACTACAGTATATTTGCGCCTTTGAATCAAGGTCTTCCAATCGGTTCGAGACCCAATTGTTGGAGTTCGAAATCGAGGTCCATTGAACTACGGTCGCCCTGAAAAATGGAGGAATTTTTTCAAGAATTCTGAAGACTTAAAAAAAAACAGGAATTTTCAAGTTTTATTGATTTTTTCAGAAACCTATCTTTGGCTGAACATCTCAAATTTGAAAATTTTTTCAAAAATTAAATTCAGGTTCATTTTATAGAGAATTTTAAGGGCTTCAAAATCAATTCGAAATTCATGAATTTTAACCGGAAATTTCCGCCAAAATTAGGATTTTCAAAAATTAACTTTGTATTCATTTCGTATTTAGCTCTTGAAATTCTCTACAAAATGAGCCCAAATTTATTTTTTTTTTATTTTTGAAAAATTAAATTTAGGCTCATTTTGTAGAAAATTTCAAGGGATACAAAATGAGCCTAAATTTAATTTTTAAAAATCTGAATTCTGGCTAAAATTCTAGCTCAAAAATCAATAATTTTGAGCTCAACTCGTAGCTCTTGAGATTATCTACAAAATAAACCTGAACTTGATTTTTCAAAAATTAAATCTAGGCTCAACTCATAGCTCTTGAAATTCTCTACAAAATGAGCCCAAATTTAATTTTTTAAAATTTAAATTTAGGCTAATTTTGTAGAGAATTTCAAGGGCTACAAGATGAGCTCGAAATATTTTTTTGATTTTTGTGAATTTTGGTCCAAAAGCTGAATTTTTCAAAATTTAAAAATTGAAAGATTATAAAAAATAAATTTTGAAATTCTAGCTCAAAAATCCTGGATTTAATTTTTTGAAAATTTCAAGAGCTACAAGATGAGCTCGAAATTCTTGAATTTTAGGCGAAAATTTCAGCCAAAATATTTTTCAAAAAAAAAAAAATTAAAAGATTATCAAAAATCCTGAATTTAATTTTTGAAAAATTAAATTTAGACTCATTTTGTAGATAATTTCAAGAGCTTCAAAATGAGCCTAAACCTGATTTTCAATTTTTTGTTCAAAATCAAAATTTCCAATCAAAAACCCCTTACCCCATCATCATCATCATCTTCCGAATCATTCAAATCCTGCGCAGTCAAACTGATATATTCTCCATTCGCCTGTTTTGGTAGAATACTATTTCCCTCTCCACTTTCATCCTCAAAATTCGCATTAACTCCTCCTCCTCCGCCACGATTTCGATTTGTTGAAAGTGGATCAGCCGAGTTATCCAGAATTTCTTTGAGGCGAGTCGCTTTTTGAAGAAGTCGGAGGGAATAGAAAATTAGTGAGCATATGGAAATTGCGATGATTGGAAGGAAAAATGAGGCTGAGGAGGCTGAAAGAAATTATTGATTTTTTTGCGGTCTAGAAGGACTAGATTCTAGAAAAAGATCACAAATCTGTGTTTCAATTGGATTTCTAGGTCACCAAATTTCTGAATCCTAGGCCATGGAATCTGCAATTTCTAGGCCACGAGGACCTAACAAATTGCATGGTTTTAGGATTTCCAACAAAAATACTCTATTTTCACTAGAATTTCATTTTTTGTTCAAAATTTTGCTAATTCAGAAATTTTCCAAAAAGGAACTGATAATCAAATTTCTAGAAGACAGACTAGAAAGGTGTTTTAGATTTCTAGGCCATCCCAACAACAAGAATCCGAACAAAACTAAATTCATCAAAACGTGACCTACTAAAATCTACGTGACCTAGAAAAATGTCAACTCATCAATTTGATATCAGATCAAAAAATTCAGTTTCTTCAGTCATTTATATTTTGTATCCAACTAAAGAATAAACCAAAAAAAAATATAGCGAAAAAATTGAAGAAAAAACAATGAGTACACGTGGCTGCGGAACATCAAAACGCGCGAAAAATCAAAAAAAGAAAAGTGGAGGAAGTAGTAAAAGAGGAAAAAAAGGAGGAATGAGTCAATCACCAAAAAGAACAACAACAAGTTCACGAAGGAAGGATAATCGAAAAAGTGAAAGACAGAAAAAAAATGGAGGAGGATCAAGGAATATAAAGATTCTTATAACATCGAATGATCCAGTATCACCAGATAGATCAGGAAGGAAAAGTGTGCAAAAAAGTTTATCGAAGAGGTTATCAATGAGGGTTGAAGTACAAAAGGAACAGAAAGATTCACCACAATTGGCAGGAGGAAATGGGGTAAGTTAGAGGAAGTTAGGCGAACTCTTATAGCTTTCTTGTTTCAGCAAAAACCAGCTGCTCAAAATAATTCGAAAGAACCTCAAAAAGAACCCCAAAAAGAAGAAGATCGAGAAAGAGAGGAAATCACAATCAAAATCCTCAAGAAATTCAAGAAAAAGCGAAGATTTGAAATTGTTCCAAAATCAAACTACAAAACATTTTATCAATTAGATCAGAAAACAAACAATAATCGATCAATTGTTGTTCCAATTGGACAAAAAAGTGACAAGAAAATGAGTGCGGAACAATGCAAAACGGCGGTTATTAAGGTGAAAAGTATTCCGAAGGCTGTGGATCAAAAAGGACCCGTTGAAGTTATGGGTACGTTCGGTGGCCTAGAACCCCAAAAGAATTCTTAGTCCCCCCTCCTTCCTCAAAAATCCCCATGTTTTCAGAAGACTCCTATGATCATCATCCAAAAATCGATGAAATTCTAAAATTGGAACCTGAAGACATCTACAAAAATAACTCAAATCCAGAATGGATGATTCAAATTGAACCAGAGGAAGAAGATTTGAAAGATATTGAGCCAGTTTGTACGGTTGGAAGTGAACAAATTGAAATGTATCAAAATAAACAATTTGTATTACATTCACCGCCGACAAATAAGATGTGAGTTTTTTTTTGAGTTATGACGTGGCAACATTTCAATTTCAGCCTCGAACTCGATCCTTTCGAAAAACTTTGTATTTTAAAAGCTCGTGATGATGAATATTCGACTCCTCCACTGGTTTTTAGTAATACAATTCGAAGTTTGATAAATATGGCTGGCTTGAAGAATAGTATCAAAAAACCAGTGAAAACATCAAGAAATCCCGGGGAAAATGCGATTGTTATAGTTGAAATTGATCGAGATCGAGATTGTTTTTTATATTCGAGATCTGATCCAATTTCATCAGTTTCTCAAAAAGTTCGAATGAAACGAGAAGATGTTCCGATGAGACAAGATTTATCCATTTATATCAATCAATTACAGCAGATTTGATACATAAACTGTTTTTTATTTGAAGAATTTTGGGATCAAACTACACTGTAGTCTAGCAACAGTAAAATGAGGATTTGAAAATTTAGAACTTTCCTAGGTTTTTAAAGGTTCACAAATCGAACAGAAAAACCTAAAAAATTCATAAATTTCAGAATTTTAAAATGAATTTTGAATCTCTTTAATTTTCAAGTGAAAATTTGTGTTTTTCGAGATTTTTTAGTTTTTTATTGTTTAATTTAGCCTAACTCACCCAAAACCTGATCCATTGCAAAAACACACGCAAAAATTCGCCCAAAAATCCAGGCGATCAAAAAATAGGCGAGCTGAACAGTGGAGCGAGGATGTAGGCTAACTTCCACGGTCAGAAACACCGAAATCCATAACATGAGCAATCCGACAATTGTTGATGATGTGGCAAACGTGGAAAACGACGAGAAAATCATGACAAATTGTCCGAGCGCAAAAATCGAGGTGGAGAAAACAATAGCGCCAACAGATCCGATTTTCGAGCCTCTGAAAATGTATACGGTGTAAGTGCGGAGTGTTGTAGTCTAGAGTTTACCCGAAAACCAAAACCAGTGACGTGGCAAAAATCAATACACACGATAGCCAATGATTTTCAGATTTCGAGTGGAAATGGACGAGTTCTGGAAGAAAATTCGGCGTGACTTGGGCTAACTCAAAAAGTGGCGTGGCTTACGTTGCGAGAATCCGATGAGTGTTTGAATTGCGGCAATCGAGAGACGAAGACGCATTCCCAATCCAACAATACTATCAGTTTCGAGCTGGAAATGTAGGTTATGAATAGGGGCACAGAGATGTGGGCGTGGCTTATTGAAGCTCTTAACGAGATCTACAAAATGAGACCAAATAAGCCTAGTTTAACTGCGGCACGGAAAAGTGGGCGTGGCTTAAAAATTAGTGAATTTTGGTATCAATTTGAAGCTCTCAATGAGATCTACAAAACGATACCAAATTCAATTAGGCTCCGCCCATTTTTCTGTGCCACGTGGCACATTTGATATCAAAATAAAACCCGCTCTCTCACCTTCCTAATCCGCGAATCCGCTCGATAACCGCACGGCAAACAACACAACGCGAACGCGGCGCAAAACGCCGCCAACACAATGGCGACAGCCATTTTGAGCGCGGCAGATTCGCTGAAATCACGCTGACTCGGTAGCAAAAATGTGGCATTCGGGCAGAATTGTTGTTGTAGTGTTGAAGCGGTGGAAATTGTAGGTGGGATTTCGTGCGATTCGCGAGATCTGACAGCGACTGTGTAGTAGATTTTTGTGGTGGTGGTGGAAGTTGTTGGTGGGAGCGTTGTTGTGGTGGTTGTAGATGTGGAGGTCGAGGTCGATGGAGTCGCAGTCTCTTCTGAAAAAAGCTGTGTAATTGCGGAGCATCGTTTGCACCCCAGAAACACAGAAATGCTAACATAAAATGAAAGTTTATCACCTGAAAACAGGGGGACTAGGTTTATATTCTAGTCCCCTGTTGTAAACCTAGTCCCCCTGTTTTCCTGAGTTTTCCCAATTTTTTATTGAGCTCACGGAGCATTTTTGATAGAAAACTAGCATTTTCAAGTGATAAACTTTCATTTTGATTTTCTTCTGAACATGTAAGTTCAGCGTAATCGCGGAGCATCGTTGTTTCAACCAACCCTTCTGAATCTCCTTGATCTTCTCCGCATTCTCTTCCGTTTTCGTCTTGATTTTCTGCACATTTCCCGTCGCAACCTCAGGTTTTTTCACACCTTCTGTGATATTCGAACTTTGGGTAACTTCTTGAGCCTCGGAAAATGGTAGAAGTGTTTTATTCTCCGATTTTTCGTCAATCTTATTTTCAGCCATTCGTTTCATTCTAACCACTAGGTTATTATTATCATTTTCCGGGAAACCTTCATTAAAACTCATTGAAATCATTGCGCCCAGCGAGAAGAACATAAAGAAAATCAGGATTTTTCTCGGTGTTTTTCGCCAAAACGCAAACCACATTAGAATTGCGGCATAAAAAATCGAGCCAATGAAAAATCCGCGAATCGTGTAGAAAAATGCGAAATTAAAGAATAGCGAGAGGTTTATGAGGAGAATTATGAGGCTTGAAATCAGATAGAGCATTAGGTTTGAGCGATATGCCAGGATTTTCACTGGAAATTCAGAAATCAACATTAATTAAGAGAAAAACAACATACCTGCATAACTTCCAGCTAACATTCCAACACAAATCCAAAAACATCCAATAATCTCACTTTCTAATGAGCATTTCGCAAGAGCTTGTGGATTTGAAACCATTCCAGCAATCAAAAATAAAAGGCATAGGATAAAATATCGAATCGATTGATTTTCAGCTCTTCCACGTATCAGAGATGAATTTTGTCGTTTCGTTGTTGAAAGTAGCACATTTCTATCGAATAATGTGTCCGAATCATCTCCAGAATCATCGGAATCGGAAACTGTGGCGGTTAGACGAATATCCACGAATTTTTCCTTTTGTGTGGTGGTTTCTTCTCGTTTAGGACTCCTCTCGTGTGAATCAAGGACTAAAATCGATTTTTTGAATTCAAAAAAATGATAAAAGAAAGGAAAACCTACTTCCAAGATTTGATAAAATTTGCGAATCGTCATGAAAGTTCATATAGTAATACCCGTATTGATTATTCTTTTTCGCTTTCTTTTTTTCTGTAATGAAAAATATTATAACCGGAATTTGTTTCTTCTTTTTTTCTCTCTATCTTTTCTTCTCTCCAACAATCAAAAGTGACAAAAAAGAAGCAGAAAAAAAAAGAAAAATAAATGTTGGCAAATATTGCACACAGCCCACTTTGTGTTACCGTACTCTTCGCGACGAGACACCTGCACACTGCATCTCTAACTAGCACACGCGCAGCACCGCCCCTTTTTTCGTTGTCTGTCGTCTCGCAAGGCGAAAAATCGGTCATTATGTACAACTTGAGTCAGTTTGTGTGAGATTTTTCCGATTCGAAAACAATTTATATATATATTTGATATTAAAAATATGATATTCTTCGAGAGATGTTTGTCATACAACAGAATCGACACCGTTTTTTGTTTCCCTTTTCCCCAAAAAATAGCAGAAAATGAAAGGTTTTCGAGTGAGAGAGGAATCGAAGAAAATAAATGTGGAACTTGAGTCAGGAGTTTCGGTTTGGTTGTTGGAAGTTGATTAACAAAAATTGCGCGGTTTTTCTAACATTTTTCTAATTTCAATGGTTTTCGAAATACCCTTTCGTAACTAGATATTTCGAAATCTTTCTAGAAATATTTACGGTTATAAGCTTTCAGTTTTGCAGCGAAATATCATGTTTTAAGGCAGAAAACTGATTAGCTTTCAAGTTTAGATTTTTGTGCTGAATCATCATTTTAGGTCTAGTTAGCAAAAGCGTGACAAAATGAAGAATGTGCCAATTTTTCCCATCATTCAAGCATTTCTCAAATATCGATCCATTTCCCAATCGATAGAGATTCCTTCCAGTTTTCTATTTAGTTCCTAGTTTTTCGTCATTTTTCTTATTCGTCAACGTGCCCGCAGCGCGCCGTCGAAAATCGATAAACATACGAAATAGTGTGGGAGAGATGATGAGAGATATGTTGTTTGCTTGCTTGCCTCGGCCAATTTGATGCATTGACTATAGTAGTTGTCGGTTTTTGAGATGAATGGGTGGAAAATTGCTGATTTTTAGATATTGTCGTTGTATTTAGTTTTTCAAATTATATTTTTACAAAACAAAAATATATGTTTGTGGCATTAGCATCACGCTATAAGCATCGTCCCCAAACTAAAACCAACAATCAAAACGAAACTCTAAAACTCAAAAATAAGCAAATGGAACCAAAAGTTTGAATTTGAATAAAAACGGGAAAACTGACGATGGATTTTCTGAATTTTCATTCGACATGCTATTCCCAAAATTTTTTTTTGAATATTCATTCCTCTGCTCTCCTTCTCCTAAATACTATTTTCTCTTTTTCTTCCCGCAGGAAAACCGGATGGTGGAATCGTGTAGTGTTGTTGTTGTTATGAGGTAAATATTAAAAATTCAGTTGTTTTTTGTTTCCAGGCTCCTCCTACTTTTGAAAATAGCGAATCTTTGCATTGGTTCATTTTTGAAAGTGGGCGGAGCTAGGAGGGCAGAAAATGAAAGAGTTGTTGTAAATTGACCGAGAATTGTTAGAATTTTGAGGGGGGAGTCTTGAAATTTTTGACTCTAACATTTTGTCCTAAAATTAAAACGACCCTATGCAAACACCGTGACGTAAAAATACACAAAAAAGTTTTTTTTGGCTTCCATCCAAGTTTCTAAACAGCAAAGTTGCTCTATAGAACAAATGTGCAGATTTGAAATTAACTTTCCCGGATTTTCTTTATCTAACCTGATTTTTTTTGTTTCTGGGTGAAGCCCATAGGTTTTCCTGCGTAAAAAATTCACAAAAATCAGGCCCAAATATAAAAGTAAAAATGCAACAACAACACTCCGCAACTTCACCGTCCGTATTTTATCCTCGAAAAATCTCATATTTTTCTCCTAATAAATCCAATTAAAAATCAAAAATCATTTCTAGGAGCTCAACAAATCCCCAAAAAAAGCAAAAATTTGTTAAATAGACAGCAACAAAACCTGAGAATAATGGTAGATGTGATAACAAAAAACGAGGCGGAAGAATTTGAAGATGGCGAATTGCCAGAAGACGGTGAAATATGCGACGATGAGGATGAGGAACAAATAAATACTCAAGGTATGGACAAAAAACTAAAACTTTGAAAACAGCTCAAAAACCCCACAAAAAGATTTTCCATGAATTTTAAATCTAAAAACTTCCCTCTCAAAATTTGACTGCGTATCTATCTAAAGTTGGCTGAGTATCAAATCCCCAATTTTCTTTAGTGTCCAAGCAATCACCACTTCCGCATTCTTCAACATCCGAAGCTACCGTATCGTCATCCGGATCTCAACGCGAAAATCGAGAGCGCGAACGTGGAGATCGCGAGAGAGAACGTGAAAAGGAGAGAGATAGAGAAAGAGAGAGAAATGGTCGGGATAGACGAAATCGACGGTCTGATGAACAGGTGAGAGAGTGAGAGACGCAGAGAAAAATTAAATGTGATAAAATTAAGGTACATCGAGATTTGGATCCTTTTGGACCGGGAAAAGAAGAGATGGATTATGAGGGAAATGATAATGGAACTGGAGGTTACGGTAATCAAAGCGCTGCTGGACCCGAAGAATATAATGACGTGGATTATAGAGTTAATCGAAGGTATGATTTTGAACTGAAACTGGACTGGAAAATCTTGAAAAATTCTGAAAATTGCTGAATTTCCAGCCAAATTTTGAGATTTTGTTGAAATTTTATATCGAAATGATCAGGACCTGAAAATCCCCAAGTTTTCAGCCAGATCTCATGATTTAGCTGAAAATTTGTGAAATTTCAGATTTTTCAAGTCCTGGGGATCAATTTGATGCTGAATTCAATAGAATTTCAAATTTTTCATGAAATTTTATGTCAAAATGTTTCCCGAGGCCTGAAAAATCTGAAAACTCGCAAGTTTCCAGCCAAATCTCAGGATTTTGCTGAAATTTTGTGAAGTTTGAGATTTTTCAGGTCCTGGGGAACATTTTGATGCATAATTCAACAGAATTTCAAGTTTTTCATTAAATTTTATATAAAAATGTTTCTGATGACCTGAAAAATCAGAAAACTCGCAAATTTTCAGCCAAATCTCATGATTTAGCTAAAAATTTGGGAAATTTCAGATTTTTCAGGTCCTGGGGAACATTTTGATGCAAAATTCAACAGAATTTTTCATGAAATTTTATATCACAATGTTCACAAGTATCTGAAAAATTAGTAAAATTCAGCTGAAAATCAGGGATTAGAAAAAATTTCCCAAAAAATTCCAAATTTTTCAGGTCCCAGAGAATATTTTGATGCACAATACTATTGAAATATTTAGAAAAAAAAATCGAAATTGTTTTTGTCAACATTTTTAAAATGAAAAAATCTATTTGAAAATTTTTATAAGTATTTCAAAACGTGATCTACTTCAAAAATTCTCATTTTTCCAAAAAAATTCCAAATTTTCCAGACGTCGCCACTCTCCAATGGCGGCCTCCTCTTCCTCCGCCGACTCCCCACCACACTATTCCCAATATCCCGCCAAACGTCCCGCTCCCCACCACAACTCCTACTACAATTCCCGGCCAGCCAGTTATCGCGGTGGACTGGGAGGTGCGGGCGCCCATCCAAGCACCCGCTACCCACCACAAACCACTCCACGCTTCAACACCGAGAAACAAATCTGCAAATTTTTCCGGGAAGGATATTGTCGAGACGGCGATCGATGTTGTTATTCACATAATACCGAAGATTCGTTGAGACGCCCGATTTTATGCAATTTTTATGCGAATAGTTATTGTAAGAAGGGACTTCAGTGTCTAATGTTACATGGAGAATATCCTTGCAAATCATTCAATCAAAATAATGGAGTTTGTGATAATTTGGAACAATGCAAGTATTCTCATCTTCCATTGACTGAATATACTCGACCACTTTATGAGGCTAGCCTTTCTGAAGATCATCCATTATCCCATCCACCTTATCGACCACTTCCACCGCCTCCACCAAATCCAGCGGCAATGGCACCAATGCCTTCGAGAAGGAAGGTGTTGTTACCGGGAGGACCGGCGAATCTGCAGGCTTCACCTCCTTCTGCGATACATGCGGCGATTCCGCAATCAATTAATGGTGGACAACTTCCACCACCTTCAATTGTTGTGCCGACGAAATATCCGACCACTGGATTTTTCAATTCTGGATTGCCGCCGGTTAGAAATATCGAGCCGCCAAGGCCGGTGATTTCGGAGATTTTGCAGCCACAACCGATGCCCGTGCAGCCGAAACCGCAACAGGCTTTTAATATTGAGGTGCGTTTTTTGGAAGATCATATAAAAACTGTTGAAAATCCTGAAATTTGGTTGAAAATTCATGAATTTTCAGACCCTAGGAAACATTTTGATATAAAATTTCATAAAAATCTGAAAATTTAAAAAATTTTTATATCAAAATTTTCCCCAAGGCCTGAAAAATTTGAAAATTCATAAATTTTCAGCCGAATTCAGGATTCTGCTGAAAATTTAGGGATTTTCAGATTTTTCAGGTCCCAGGGAACATTTTGATGTAAAATTTCATGAAAATCTGCAAATTCTAACAATTTTTATATCAAATTATTCCCCAAGACCTAAAAAACCCGGAAATCCCCGAATTTCAGAATTCAGTTGAAAATTTAGGGATTTTGAGATTTTTTCAGGTCCTATGGAATTATTTGATATGAAAATTCAAACAAATCTGAAAATTTCAACAATTTTTATATCAAAATATTCCCCGAGACCTGAAAAATCTGAAATTCATAAATTCTCAGCTCAGAAGTTTGCTAAAACTTTGTGAATTTTCATATTTTTCAGATCCTTGTGAACATTTTGAAATAAAATTTCATGAAAATCTAAAAATTTCAACAATTTTTATATCCAATTATTCCCCAAGACTTGCAAAACCTGAAAATTTCAATTTTCTATAAGAAAGAGAAAATTGCTCACATTTTTTGGATAATTAATTTAGTTAAAAAATCTGGTTAATTTTTACAAAATTAAGAAATGCCAAATGAATTTTAAAAATAAAAAACCTCCCATCAAAATTTCAAAGGTCACGTTTCCCTTCCAAATTATTTTCGAATTTTTATTTTCATTTCCAAAATCACAAATTTTGCAGGACATGCTCAACAAATTAGCCAGTGGCAGTTCTCTAACCGAAGATGATTCTCCAGCTTCTCCACCTCCACTTTTCCCACCAGTTTCCTCAACTTCTTCAATATCAATTCTACCAACATCGTCTTTTTCAACTTCAAATCGTCTAGTCACCTGGCGACTTATCAAATGTATCCGCCCTGCAGCTTATTCCGGAGTTGAAAATATCGAATTACTCGCTTCGAATGATCCGCGGAAAGCTCGCGCACTTTCCGCACAATTTGACGCGTTTTCAAATCGACTTTGCTCTTCGAATTCGAACTCTTCTGCTGGCGGGGATCCAAGACTTCCGCAAAGTTTGATGAAAAAAATTGACGAAAATGTGACGTCATCATGGATGCCGCAAATGTCTTGATTTGTTTTTTTGTAAGGGAAATTTTGAATATGAGTTGAGCTAACTTTTAAAATAATTTTCAATAAAATCTGATAGGATAGCCTTGTTCAGAAGGGAAGATTATTTAATTTCAAATTTTGAATCATTAATTTCGGGGTTCTGAAGTTTTGGAAATGTTCCAAATTTCAAAAACCTGAAATTAATTTTTCAAATTTCGAATTTATTTAAGCGACTCTTCTGAACAAGCCTATGCTTTTAGTTTTTCATGAAAATCCATTTTCAAAGTTAGTCTAATTCATTTTCATATTTCAGCTTAAAATCTCAAGTTCCCCTATCTTCTGTTTTCAATTATTATTATTATTTACCGGTCTTCATTCTATTTTTTGTTTCGAAATTTTGCTAAATTTATGATTTTCTTGTGTTTCGGGTCTTATGTCTTATGAATAAATATTTTTTGATTTTTTCCTCCCAAAATCATCAAAAATTCCACAACCTAGCTGTCAAAAACAAAAATCCTTTCTCCATTTTCTATTCTTCTTTTTCTGACTGAAAAAAAACCCACTGAAAAACAAAGCAAAAGCAAAAAAAGTGCGATTTTCTCTCTCTCCAATAGGCTCCGCCCCCTTCCACACACAAAACATAGCGAGTGGCGCTGCCTGCGAAACGTCGGTCGCTTGATTTATTGATATTCTCCCGCTTGCATTTTTTCTCTAGTCTTCAGTAGAGGTCATTACTTGATCTGCAACTGAATATGATGATAGCGAGCGATGAATTCTTTCTTGATTACATCGAACAGCGTATTGGGACCGCAATACCTGATATTAGCTCGAATCTGACACAGTTCTTCTGAAGACACATTTTTGGGAACTTCTAGGAGAGGGAATTTTCTGAATTGCGAACTTATAATAAGTAGGAATATCAAAAATCTCAAGATTTTTTCCTGTAAACGCGGAGCATCGTAGTTCTAGGTGGCAACATCGAAAGTTCGAAGATTCTGGGTTGTAGTTAACACTACAGTGTAGTTTGATCTCAAAATTTTCGAAATTCTTCCAATAAAAACACAGTTTATGTATCAAATCTGCTGTAATTGATTGATATAAATGGATAAATCTTGTCTCATCGGAACATCTTCTCGTTTCATTCGAACTTTTTGAGAAACTGATGAAATTGGATCAGATCTCGAATATAAAAAACAATCTCGATCTCGATCTATTTCAACTATAACAATCGCATTTTCCCCTGGATTTCTTGATGTTTTCACTGGTTTTTTGATACTATTCTTCAAGCCAGCCATATTTATCAAACTTCGAATTGTATTACTAAAAACCAGTGGAGGAGTCGAATATTCTTCATCACGAGCTTTCAAAATACACAGTTTTTCGAAGGGATCTAATTCGAGGCTGAAATTGAAATGATGCCACGGCATAACTCAAAAAAAAACTCACATCTTATTTGTCGGCGGTGAATGTAATACAAATTGTTTATTTTGATACATTTCAATTTGTTCACTTCCAACCGTACAAACTGGCTCAATATCTTTCAAATCTTCTTCCATTGGTTCAATTTGAATCATCCATTCTGGATTTGGATTTGAGTTATTTTTGTAGATGTCTTCAGGTTCCAATTTTAGAATTTCATCGATTTTTGGATGGTGATCATAGGAGTCTTCTGAAAACATGGGGATTTTTTGAGGAAGGAGGGGGGACTAGGAATCCTTTTGGGTTTCTAGGCCACGGGGACTAGAAATTTCATTGTTCTTGGATTTCTAGGCCACCTAACAAGCCCTTCTCTATGTCTTCACACATATTTTGTTTCGAAAAATATTGAGGATGTCTTTTATTCGCTTGGCAAAGTGAAATTTCAAGAATGTACTTTTAAAGGCTATTTCTAAATTTAAAAAATCCTAGACCCGCAAATGTAACTCGCTGTAGATCACGCGCGATTCCAACATTTTAACATTTTTTTCGTCTCTCTCACTCTCACCAATTGATTTTTCCCAAACTCACCCATAACTTCAACGGGTCCTTTTTGATCCACAGTCTTCGGAATACTTTTCACTTTAATAACCGCCGTTTTGCATTGTTCCGCACTCATTTTCTTGTCACTTTTTTGTCCAATTGGAACAACAATTGATCGATTATTGTTTGTTTTCTGATCTAATTGATAAAATGTTTTGTAGTTTGATTTTGGAACAATTTCAAATCTTCGCTTTTTCTTGAATTTCTTAAGGATTTTGATAGTGATTTCCTCTCTTTCTCGATCTTCTTCTTTTTGGGGCTCTTTTTGAGGTTCTTTCGAGTCTCTTTGAGCAGCTGGTTTTTGCTGAAACAATTGAGATATAAGAGTTATCCTAACTTCCTCTAACTTACCCCATTTCCTCCTGCCAATTGTGGTGAATCTTTCTGTTCCTTTTGTACATCAACCCTCATTGATAACCGCTTCGATAAACTTTTCTGAACACTTTTCCTTCCTGATCTATCTGGTGATACTGGATCATTCGATGTTATAAGAATCTTTATATTTCTCGATGTTCCTCCTCCATTTTTTTTCTGTCTTTCACTTTTTCGATTATCTTTCCTTCTTGAACTTGTTGTTCTTTTTGGTGATTGACTCATTCCTCCTTTTTTTCCTCTTTTACTACTTCCTCCACTTTTCTTTTTTTGATTTTTCGCGCGTTTTGATGTTCCGCAGCCACGTGTACTCATTGTTTTTTCTTCAATTTTTTCGCTATATTGTTTTTTGGTTTATTCTTTAGTTGGTTACAAAATATAAATGACTGAACAAACTGAATTTTTTGATCTGATATCTAATTGATGAGTTGGCATTTTTCTAGGTCACGTAGATTTTAGTAGGTCACGTATTGATGAATTTAGTTTTGCTTTGGTTGTTGGGGTGGCCTAGAAATCCAAAACACCTTTCTAGTCTGTTTTTTGTCTTCTAGAAATTTTTCTAGGTCACGTTTTGTGTTTGATTTCGTGGCCTAAAAATCCAAATTTTCCCAAACTTGTAACTATTTGTTCTATCAACTTTCTTTCAAAATGAAACAAAAAAACTGAAAAAGTAATTTCATTTCCAGAATTATTTTTAAATTAGGTCAAACATTTTTTCTCCATGAAAAAAATCTGTAATTTTCTCTTCACATAAAAAGTTTTATTTATAGTTTATGTGAAAGTACAAGTATATGTATAATAGCCCTGCTTTATATCCAACTTCCTTGGACTTGTTTTGTGAGATTAAATACTCAGTCAAGTACGCAGCCAAATCTTCATGAGGCCTAGATATTCATGATCAGCTCGAAATTCTGAACAAAATCCACCAAAAAAAATTTTGTCTTATTTTTAAGGTGACTGGGTCCTTTAAGAAGCCCAAAAAAATTTTGAGAGAAAATTAGGTCATGATTGTACTCTTCCGAAAGCCCTTGATCTACTGAGTAATAATTTACACCCCAAACTTCCTAAAACTCATTAGATACTCAGTCAAGTACGCAGTCAATTGTCTACCTCCTAATGTTTTTGTCTATTTGTTTTCACACATCGAGTTAGCCTATGATCACAAATAGTTGAATAGACTTTTCCGCATGAATAAACCTAATTTGAATTTTTTTTTTTGAAAAAAAAATTCCAGAAAAAATAAGTCCTATTTTTATGCGTCTCTAGTGTATTGTTTTTGAAGAGAAAAAATTTCTCTGCACTATTTTTCCATGTTTCAAAGGAAGTTTTGATTGAAAAACTGACAGATTTTGCAGAAGTGAAGCCGAACTTCTTCTCATTTTTCGTTAGTTTTTTTGACAAAAAGTGCAACAGGGCTTAGGAAGCATTAGAATTCTTGTTTTTGTCTGCGAAATTTTGAAATTTCTGAAATTTTTCTAGTTTCTCGTTGTTCACCATGAAATTCTACACAAAACCCATACAAAAAATTTAAAGTAAATTTTTAGGTGATTAGGGTCCTTTAAGGAGCCCAAAAAATTTTCGAGAAAAAACTAGGTCATGATTATACTCGTTCAAAAGCCAGAGATCTACTGAGCAATAATATACCATTTCAAGCCCTGAAAATCATTAGATACTCATCCAAGTACGCAGCCAAATACTCTAACATCACATAATCCCACTCATAATTCATTCCAAAACACATCGTGTAAGCAGTTTTTGACCTACATGTGACTAATAAAACAAACTTGGCAACTTGAAGTGGAAGAAAAATTTCTATGAATGAAAAATAATTAGAGCTCATTAATATTTAATAATCAGAGAGGATAGAGCAGAAAGAAGCCATGAGAAAATATGAAATGTGGATATTTTTTCGCCGACTTCAAAAAATACTTGACTTGAGTTGTTTCACTAATCTGAGCAATTCATTTTTTGTTGTTTCTTGTCTCCAATTTTCTCACAGCTCTTTTTCTTTCTTTTTTCTCACACGAAATTAAAATTAGTCTAGTTAGACCTCGTTGGGATTATTTTGGAATTAGTTGGAGTTTTTCATTTTCACGGAATTTCATTGCTTGCAACCAATATAATTAGTGTTTTTCTTCTTTTTTTTCACTTTTTGTATCAAATTATGGATATTTTGATACTTTTTTTGCACACGGATCACATAGTTTTTGAATAGCTAATTGTTTTTTGGATTAGATTAATGTGTCTCAGTCAGAGGATCACATTTTTACATTTTTTGTTTGTTGAAAAAGTTTAATCACGTGTTATGCGAATTTGAGTGCGTACTTGGCTGAGTATCTAATGATTTTTAGGCTATGGGGGTGATATATTATTGCTCAGTAGGTCAAGGGATTTCGAAAGAGTATAATCATGACCTAATTTTCTCTCGAAAAATTTTTGGACTCCCTAAAGGACCCTAATCACCTAAAAAATACTTTAATTTTTTTAAGGGTTTTGTTCAGAATTTCACGCTGATCAAGAAGGTCTATCTTATTTTTAAAATGAAACTCTAGTTTTCCTCATATAACATTCTAAACACAGGCTATATATTTAAAACTCACGTCATACCCATCAAAAAATTGAGTTTCGTTTTTTGAACAAACTTTCAATAACCAAGTTTCTTTTTTGTGAATTTTTTTGATATTTAATATTTTGACTGCGTACTTGGCTGAGTATCTAATGATTTATAGGCTATGCACGTGATATATCATTGCTCAGCAGATCATGCGCTTTTGAAAGAGTATAATCATGACCTAATTTTCTCTTAAAAATTTTTTGGGCTCCTTAAAGCACCCTAATCACCTAAAAATTAAATATTAATTTTTTGAAACGGTTTTGTTCAGAATTTTACGCTGATCAATAATATCTAGAAAATGTTTCATGAAACTCCAGTTTTCCCCTTCAAAAAAGCCTTGAATCATACCAAAAAAAAATTACGTAATCTTGTCTGGAAAAAATTGCGCGCGCTGAAAAAAGTCTGAATAGCATATATATATAACCCGATTATTTACACCCGTCATTTGTGTCGAAAATTTATTGGCTACAAGCAGGTGCGCTTTTTTCCCCGAAAACTTTATTAGGTAGTTAATCATAGCGTAATTTCTAGGTTTACTGTGTTTTCCGCGAAAAAATCACGTACACTTTTTGCTATTTTTGCAAAAAAAGTGCTTTGAAACACAGAGACATGGAAAAAAGTGGGCGGGGCAAACAAGATTATCTAATTTTGAATGTTTTTTTTGTTGTCTTTTTTGAAAAGAGTCATTTTTTTCTTCTTCTTTTTTTGAGAGATAGATTTAGTAGTTTCAAATTTTTTTCTAAATCCATATACTCGAGGCTAATCCCAAAACTATTGATTTCTTTACAAAAAAAAATAAAAAAGTTTCGCTCGCAGCGTGGCATGAACCCGCGGTTTGCAAAACCTCTAGATTCCCACGCGCGCCTTGGACCACTGGGCCAAGCGACCACACATTTTCTTCACTTGAAATTTCCTATTTATTTTCGCCGAGCTTGACTCCGCCCACTCAACATTTTCAGACTTTCGTTTTCATTTCTCGTTGTGTTTTCTGCTGAAATTGGATAGAAAGAATCCCATTCATTGTTTTCTGGAAAGCTTTGAATTTCTAATTTCCTTCCCAAAAGATTTTTTGGTCTTGTCGTTTACAAATATTTTAGTTATTTAGCACCATTTTTTTTGTTCTCGATATATATTTTCATATGAAAAAATAAATAGAGAAAGAAGAGGAAATCTAATTTAGCTCGTTCGCATTTTCAGCAACAAAAACAATATTTTCAGATTTTTTTCAGATTCAATATCTGAAAATGAATAATGACTCTACAACTGCTGTGAGCGAAGAGGAACGATTGAGCGAGGAACGGCTGAAATTATGGGTATTTTTGTCCAAGTTGCAATTTTGGATTATTTTGGTCACTGTGATTATTTCTTTGGTTGTTATAGCGAAAGTGAGATTTATTTTGGGAGGGGGGACTAGTTGGTTTTCTAGGCCACGAATAATCGTTCAAAAATTCAAAAATCTCCTAAAATCCTATGGGATAAGCTGTAAAAAAGATTTTTCGAACAAAAAGAAGATTAAAAAAATATCAAGGGAAACTAGTGTAAAATTCAAAAAAAAAGTTTCACGCGACGCTTGTGCGTTGCGGTCGCTTCCTAGTACAAAACTATCTCTCGTTGTCTGCGTCTCTCTAGAAGGCCGGTGACTCTGATTAAAAAATATTTAAAAATTAACTTTGAGAACGTGGCTTCCAAGTTAGCCCAACTCTAATTTTTTTGCAGACAATATTCAACTTGTTCCAACGAAAACGCTCCAACTATTTTCTGTTTTTGTCGAGTATTTGTTTGGCCAATATCATTTCGTTGTGCATCATTTTATTCGACATTTTCAATTTCAGTTTAAAAGGTGCAGTAAACAAGATAGATCTCTCTTTTTCCAGGCTGAAAATTTCAGCAAATAACAAAGTTTGTCTGGAAAGGATCTACTTATTTAATATTCATTTCATTTCGGTTCGCTCGATTTTTGAACAGAGCATTTTTGAGCTCACAAAGAGTAGAGAGTATAATTAGTTTTTTAAGTGGCTTCTTTTTTGAGGGGGGTTTCAAATCGTTTTCTTCTTTAAAAATATTTTTTTTTCGAAAATTGGCAAAATTTCCTTTGGAACATGGGTCTAGACTATAAAAAATAGCTTGATCAGGGAAGTACGCAGCCAATTTTATTTTATCACCGATTCTATAAATAAGAACGATTTTCTCATTTAAAGCCAGCTCAAAAATCACAAAACTAATTAGACACTCAGTCAAGTACGCAGCCAATTTCAAAAAAAAACATCCGATTTTTCAGGTGAACTCGTCTGTAAATTAGAACTATTTTTATCAAATTGCGCGGCATGTTTCACAAATTGGATCTGGTTATGCCTATTCACCCAGCGATTTTTCATACTTTTCTACCCTATGAAACGTAGTTCTTCGGGGTTTTTCGGTTTCATGAGATCTGCAAAAAAGTTGATTTCAGCAACGGCGATATTTGCATTGATAACTCAGGTTAGTGTTTTTTTCGGCGTTGCTCATGTTAACCTGAGCTTTTCAGAGCTGGTTCCTAGTATTCATCACAGAAATAATCGAAGAGGGATATATCGGAATGTGTGATAAAAATCCCGAAATGTTAAGCGATATGGGTTATCGATTTTTGGCCATTGGCGAAGCTTTGGTCACTTACGTTTTTCCGTTTTTGTTGACTATTATAATGGATTTTGCGGTGCTTTATCAGGCGGCGAATTCGAGTTTTGTTGTGATGTCCGCTGAAAATATTCGGACTGAGAGGAGCACTTTGCTACAAGTTAATGAGACTGTGAAGATACAGAGCTCTGAATCGATAAAGGTTAGTTGTTAGGAGAATTGTATCTTAAGAGTTAGGGTACTCCTTAAATAGTGAAACCTTGTCATAACCTAATTTTCAATTATCGTCAGTTAGATACCCAGCCAAGAATCTTAAAATTTCTCAGGCCTCTTCTAGACGTCGCCACGTGGCGGTGCGCCGTTGTCTTCTAATGGCCACAGTCCAAGTTCTCCTCAACGCTCCCTATTACACCCTTCAACTCCTCGATGAAGTATACAATTGGAGGTACCTCACCCCCCAGCACAAACCCAGAAAAATATTTTTTCAGAGAAGCTTCTGTGATCTACCTATACCTCGATGCTGTGTTATATTTCATCTACCTAACACAATTCGCCATGGTGTTTTTCTACACCAATTTCCTGGTGGCTCCAAGGAGCAAGGGAAGTCGGAAGATTCCTTTGAGTTATACAACGAGTGTGAGCTCAGGAGTAATTTCGCTGCTGAATGGCAGCGCAGCTCAATTCAGCAACTAATCGGCAGCGCAGCCCCGTGGACGCCGCAGCGCTGCTTATTTTTGGAAAATTTCCTGACCAAGCAGCGCTGCCACTTCGCAGCTGGCCTCTTCGGCAGCAATCGGCTTCAGCTGCCATACACAAGGCAACTGTTGCTCATTGCTGCCACACACATGGCAATTGTTGCCAACTGCTGCTATTCAAATCGGCAGCGCTGCGGCGTCCACGCCGCAGCGCTGCCTGCAATTTTGGAGCTGCCCTGCCGTTCAGCTGCTATTTAGCCTCTGAGAGGAGTGAATTTACAAGTTCAGCAGCAATGTGAGGAAAAAATACGGTTTATTAGTTTATTTTTTTAGAAGAGAAATGAAATTGTTTTGTTTATCGATTGAAATGCGTTAGCACTTGATCCAGAGCCGAGACTGTCTGAAAACAAAACACAATTTTTTTCGAAGAATCTCAAAGACCACCTAGAGAAAAAACAAAACAAAAAGGTTCCAAAAACCAAATAGCCTGCGGTATTTTGTTTTTTGTCTAGTCTAGTTAAAAAGTTCCTACCTCTAGCACATTGGATTTATCGAAACAAAGTGGAGGTTTGATTTTCAGGATATTCGTATAAGGTCCATCGGCATTCAATAAAATTCCATATTTCTGTCGAAGTTCAAGGATAACATCGAGAGCAAGGCGTTGATCGGGTTCACGAGAATCACGGGATTTCACTAGGTCGATTCCCCAGAATAAACCGACACCACGGATGTCTCCGATACTTTCATGCTTTTGTTTCAATTCGTTCAAGGCGACTTCGAGTTCTTCGCCCATTTTTTGGCTGTGTGCCAAGAGGTTTTCCTCTCTGACTACTTTCATGACGGAGATTACGGCCGCACAAGCAACTGGGTTACCACCATACTGCAAAATTAATTTTGAAGGAGTTTTTAAAAGTTCGATTTTGTAGTTTTGTAAAACTAGATTATAATTTTTTATATTGATTTTAAAAACTTATACTCGTCCAAAAGCTAACCACCTCAACCATACATGAACTAGTCGCTCCGGGGACCCTTGAGTTAACCCCCCTTTCAGGAAATATTTTCAAAAAGTTAACCCCCCTAACCAATTTTTTGTGGGTTTTTGGCCTCTAAAGGCATAAAATTCTCCAAAATGTTTAAAAGTTAAGGGCCCTACCTGCAAAAATACACCTTAAGTTAACCCCCCTCCCACCGAATTCGGAGTCCCATATAGGTCCTTAACTTTAACTCACTGTATTAAAATATCCGACAGATCCTCCCAAAGCATCTGCGATTTCCTTTCTCGTAGCAACTGCTGAAACCGGGAACCCATTTCCCATAGGTTTTCCCATCGTCACAATATCCGGAATAAATCCATCGTCATATAATTGATGAGCCCAATACTTCGAGCCAATTCGTCCAAAACCAGTCTGCACTTCATCGATGACAATCAAACCACCGTGCGATCGAACATGACTGGCAACATCTTTGAAATAATCCTTCGGTGGGATGACCTGTCCGCCGCAACTCTGCAGAGCTTCCGCGAAATATGCGGCAACTCCCCGGTTTTTCTCCTCGACGTTTTTCAGAATTTCTTGCACATCGTTGGAATATTGCTTGCCGGCTTCGTAGAGTTTTTCGGCGTTTCGAAGTTCGCTGTCTTCTAATCGATGTTTACCGCGATAAACATCTGGACAAGGTGCGACGTGAACCCATTCTGGTTGAGATAGTGAAGAACCGTGGTCGAATTTGTAGGGGGACATTTCCATTGTTGTTGTGACGTGGCCATGGTAAGCACTGGAAAATTGAGAGATTTTTTCTGTTTCTATGAACAGTGAACTTTTCTACGTGGCTATCTCATATTTTTTTCTATTCACTTATCCACTGGTCCTGGGAGGTTGACCAAAAATTGACCAATTTTTGGCCAAAAAACGAAAATTGGTCGAATTTTGGCCAAAAATTGATCAAAAATATTTATTGGCCAAAATATGGTCAGAAATTGGTCAAAAAATTGGTCGAATTTTGGCCAAAATTCAGTGAAAATTTTAATTGTGAAAAATTGCGAAAATCTTAATGTTTTTGGGCAGACATGTCGTTTTGCGGCTTTTGGTGAAGTTAGGTTGATGAATTTCGTTGTTTTTCTACTGGTGAATCAATAAGTAGGAGTAAAATACTTCGTTTGTTGAATGTTGGCGCCACTCACACCAATTGCACCATTGGCGCAAATGTCAGTCCCAAATCTTCAACTAAAATCAGTTTTGACTTATCTTGGAGCTATTTGATATCAAGCAGAGACCTATCTCGAATCTATCAGTTGTATTGATTGATCCTTGATTTATCAAGAACTAGGGCTCAGAGAATTCAGAAGTATTGGGTTCAGAGGCAATAATTTCTATTATTTTTTGGAAGAATATTGTTGTGATAGCCATCAGCTTCGAAAAAATAACACCAGTGACCCAAAAATCATGCATTTTTTCCCAAAAACGTGAACTCAAAAACTTCCACAGACAGAGATGATTTTTATATCATTTTACTCAGCGTGAAATTCTGAATCGAATGGTGCGAACTATTTATCACCAAAAACAACTAATTGGGGCGCGAAAACAATAGATTAAAGGCGCAAATATTTATGCAATGTGGTCCTGCAGCGAAATGTGTGTGTGTACTTCTCTCGGACGAAATGCACGCCAAAATTTTTTTCTTTTTTTTTTCGTTTTTTTGTGTGTTGCCCTACTTATAGAGAAATTGATTGTTCACGACTGCTAAAAAGATATAAAGCTTGTTCCCCGACTAGGATCTAGCAGCAAGTTTTACCAGAACTTTGAAATTCACATATTAAACTTGAATTTAGGCCAAAAACTAAAAAATTTGGTTTTCTTACAAATTTGTTAATTTGTTACTTGTTAGAGTGTCAGATTTTTATCAGAACGGGGCTGTTTCTCAGTTTGACACATTTCCAGCAACATTTGCATGAGTTCCTATGTTACAATCAGAAGTGTCTCAACAGCCGGTAGACGGCCGTCTGATTCTCATCTATCTTCCGATTCTCATCTACCTTATTTCGCAATATTGATATTTGTGCTGTTTTTAGAAACTACTAATCAAGAAAGAATGGATGCTGCTCTTGCTGACACTACCAACACAATGACCGGAGAAACCACTGTTCCAGTTGAAAATATCAAGACCACCACTACCGAAGAAACAACTCCAACTACTGCTGAAACTTCCACCGCTGCCACCACAGAGCTCACTTCCGAGGAAAAGTCAGTTTTTCTCCTGAAGAATTTTAATCAAAATTGGTTCTTATTTCTAGGGCTACACAATCGAAGAACAACTTGACATCTGGAAAGCGTCTTTTTGTTGAGAAGCGAATTCAGCAAGGCTGCTGATTATAGTTGGACATGAGTGGTTTTTCAAATGGTTTGAGCGAAACCAGTTTGATTGGTTCGCTCACTCATTTGGTTTTGGTTCGCTCATTTGAAATGGTTTCGGTTTGGTTTTGGTTTTTGGTTCGCTCACTCATTTGAAAACCGGTTTTCGCTCAAATGTCAACTGGTTTTGGGGTATTAGGTATTGATGAATTTCGAGGTTTTCGACTATGGGGATTCACGTGATGGACTTATTTTCACGTAAAATCACTCTTAAAGGCACACACCAAGCAAAATTTTTTTTTTCGAAAAATGGGATATTTGGGCACGGGGAACATTTTGGTGAGGTATACGCTCCAAAACAGACTTTTAAAGACACATGCCAGGTTATTATACATTTTCGAGACACAAAAACTAAAACGATCATAACTCGGGCAATCTTTGAGCTTTTTCAAAATTTCGACAACCATTTTGACGTGCTCGTCGTCAGCTAAATTTTTTCTCATTGGACCGAAATTCAAATTTTGCTCTAAGGAGTGAAAAATACGTTTTTTCTCGGAAATATCAATTTTTGAACGCAAATTTTAGCAAAATGCGTATATTTTCACTCCTTAGGAGCAACATTTGAATTTCGGTCCAATGAGAAAAAATTTAGCTGACGACGAGCGCATCAAAATGGTTGTCGAAATTTTGAAAAGCTCAAAAAATGCCCGAGTTATGATCTTTTTGGGTTTTTTGTGTCTCGAAAATGTATAATAGCCTGGCATGTGTCTTTAAAAAAGTCTATTTTTGACGTATACCTCACCAAAATGTTCCCCGTGCCTTAAATACCCATTTTCGAACAAAATTTTTTTGCTCGGTGTGTGCCTTTAGAATGATTTTACGTGAAATAAGTCCATCACATGAGTCCCCCATAGTCGAAAACCTCGAATTCATCAATACCTAATACCCAAAACCAGTTGACATTTGAGCGAAAACCGGTTTTTCAAATGAGTGAGCGACAAAACCAAACCAAACCATTTCAAATGGGCGAACCGAAACAAATGAGTGAGCGAACCAAAAACTGGTTTCGCTCGGTTTTCGAACCATGTCCAACTATACTGCTGATCTCTTGAGTTTGGCTTCTCAACTTGCGTAAGTTTTGAAATTTTCATACATTTTCTATTTCTATGCATTTCAGTGGTAAACTCTTCGGAGACGACAGCGAACAATCATTTGATCCTTACTTCTACTATGGACAAGCCCTTTGGAACTCAATAACTTGAAGATCAAGTATTCTCAAATGCCATGACTATCATGCCAACCGTAGGAGAAGGTGATGCCAACAACAATTCAATCGACGAGGAACAATATGGTAATCCGGATAAATTGTCAGAAGACGAACGTGAGCAAATCAAGGAACAATTTGACACTGCTTTTTCTGCTGGTGCAGAGAAGGCAGAAGGATTAGTCGAAACTGAGTAATTTTTATTGTTTCTAAGGTTCACAAACTGCTAGGAGTCTGCGATTGCTCTAAAATTAACTTTCTTAGGGCAAAATTTACATTCTTCCGAGCACAAACCTCCAGCTCTCTTTTCTCTAATTAGCTCAAAATGTTTTCAATGAAAATTAAAGTTCATAATATAAGGCAGATTCCTAACAGTTAGAACCATTTTTGTTTCTTTTTTGTTCTTTTTCAATAAATTTTTGTGAAAAAAATGTGTTTTTGATTTGAAAAAAGTCTGGGGAAATGATCAAAAAATGGTGAAAAATTGGTGGGAAAAAGTTGAAAAATTGACCAAAAAATGGTGAAAAATTTTTTGGTGCATTTTTGGTCAATTTTTGTTCAAAATTTTTTTGACCAAAAATTGACCAATTTTTGGTCAAACTCCCAGGACCAGTGTCAGAACAAAAATCAAAAAACAAATGTCAGTTGGCACATTTCCAGCAGTATGATTAATGAGTGACACTTTGAGTTCCTCAATCATAAAACGTTCCCCGAACTCACTGTTCAATAACAATCGCATCGTGATGTTTAGTATAATCTCTCGCCAAACGCAAAGCCAAGTCATTGGCCTCAGACCCAGAGTTACAGAACAAAATGGTGTCCAAGCCAGGCAATGTTTTCAGCAATTGCTCAGCACAATCAGCGAGTTGAGTAGAGACAAATCGAACATTACAAGTTGAAGTGGCTAATTGTTTTGAGATTGCTTCGACGACTGTTGGATGACAATGTCCAACGTGTTGAACATTACTGATACAGTCCAAGAATCGTTTGCCGTTTTCATCATAGAGGTATTGCATTGAAGCACGGGATACCATAAATGGATTGTCTGAATAGAAGATTTGACATGTTGAGCTGCAAAAATATAATAATTTCTCAATCAGGGGAAAAATAACAGTATTTAAAAAATGCGCCAGCTTTTAAACACTGACGTGCTTTGGGTGCATACGCGGAAGTTTGAATTTAATAAACTAACCCAATCGTATTTTTCCGCTTATTCAAAATCTCCTCCTTTGTTCTTTCATCTTTCACCGCCTCGGCCGTCGAATTCCACCCGAAGAAACCCAAAGTATTCACCAAAGTTTGCGAAGACATCTCTCTAAAATGTTTTTAATTATGAAAATTTTAATTAATTAATGATTGAAAAATCACAAGAAACCATGTCAGAAAACTGATGATGATGATGATCAAGAAATGACACAAACTCGATCGCCGCCTCCCCTCCACACGAAAAAAACGGGGGCCCGCCCCCATTTTAATATGTCGCTGACAGAAAAAATTGGCGAATCGAGCCAAAATCGGAGAGATTGCGGAGAAAACAGGGGAGACGGAGAGAAGAAGTACAATCAGCTGCGATGATAAATTATCATGGGAGGAGGCAGTGGAAAAAAAAGAAATTTGTACTTTTTTTGTTGAGATACAATGTGGAGTTGGTCAAAGAACAGTTGGGGGGAAATTTAGAGGGACTAGGATCCGAATGCTATGCCGCCACTAGAAGTAAAACCTTTCTGTGTGACTCAAAACATTCAATTTCAACTTTTCGAACATCATAGAGAAACAGAGGGACTAGGATTGGAATTCTAGGCCGCCAATTTTCATTTTGAAAAATTCTGGACCTGATGTCAACAAAAATTCCAACGATGACAATAAAAACCTTTTGTCTTATCAAAATTTTTCTGACGAACACAAAAAATTTTCATTAAAAATAAACCGAGTGCAAATGTTTACATTTCGGAAAATCACGTTGTTTCTTTCGAACAAAAAAAAAGTTTATATGATTTTTTTCATCATATAATATTAAGAGCGAGGTCAAAGGTTTTTGCTGATTTTTTGAGCGACGAAACGAGAAAATTTGATATTATCAAGAGAAAAATCATATCTGATTTTTGATTTTGTTAGCTGACACGTGATTTTTCGAAATTAACTTTAAATTCGAGATAAAATCTTTGAAAACTTCCTGGTTTCTGGCCACCTATACAAGATTTTTTTCATATAAAAATCATAAAAAGATAGATATGTACCTTGCCAAAAACAGCCGGTTATACATTTTTTTTGTCCAGGACATACATCTCTTTTTGATAATATGACATTATATAAACAAAATAACATATGTGTTTTGTCAACGAAAAAAATTGCAAAAACATTGAAGGGACCCCAGAAAAACAGAAAAAAAAACTCTATTGGATCCAAGAAACCAATATCAAAAGTGCAAAGTTTCTCGTCTCTTCGGAAAAAAAAATCACAATCTGAACATTGTTTTTTGCCCGATTATTATCTTATCAGTTTTGAAAATCTGCGAAAACTTTGACGGAAAACAAACAAATAGTAAGATATGTTCAAAAAAATTTTTCGGAATCAAAAACCATGGGGAAACTTTTTTTGATCTACCCGCGAAAAACACGAATTTCCTCGGATTAAGTTTCAAAAAAATTTGGGAAAATTATTCATTTTCATCGCTGAAAATGTTGACTGTTGAGACTAAACCGCTGTTTGTAAGTTACACATTTTTTTTTGTTTGAAGAAGAAAAAAATGAATCAAGGTTTTTTCAGGTTTTCCGGCTCTTCAGTGATGTAAGAATCCAACGAAAAGTGATTCTGATTTCGGGACTTTGGTTGCTCCTCAGCTTGATGGCAAATGATTATTACAAGGTATTTATACTTATTTTCACCTTTTTTTGTTTCAAAAATGAGAAATCCTGAAATTTTGGAGAAAAAAGAAAGTAGAAATGCAATGTCGCTCTATTGAACTGTGCGATAGAGCGACCTTCCATTTTTACTTTTGTTTTTTTTCTTTTTTTTCGCGCACAACATGTTTTTCTTGTTTAGTTGGAACACAATCAACACCGCATCTTGAACTTGTTGATAATATTCTCAACAACATTGGCAATCATCGGACTTCTCACCGAAAAATGGCAAAATCTTCTGCCATTCTCGATTTTTCAAATGTTTTTGTATTTCGAATATTCGCGTGTTCAAATCATCCCAATGTTGTCCAATTTGATGGAAATGCTTTCGGAGAATGACTATGAATTTCGCCACGCTTTCAAGATTTATTTGCTTTTGGCCTGCTCAATTTTCGCCATTTTATTCCTGATTTATGCAATGTTCTGCACATGGTCCGTGATTTTCTATTTCTACACAATGGTGAGTTTTTAATACATTTGGGGTAGATTTGTAATTATCTTATAATTTTCCAGGAATCCTCGGCCAACCTCAACACTTCGGAGAATCCAGAAGATTCCAATGTCTGGTCAACAATCTCACTTCTCTGGAACGGAAAATCGACCCAGGAATCGCCAAACTCTGCAACTTCTCGCAACATCAAATACACAGTCAATCCAAACTTCGAAAACTCGAATATTTATAAACCATATGCTTGAAAATATAGAAAATGAATAATTAAATATAGCAAATTGTTTTTGAAAAAATTGAAACTAGGTCAAACGTCTAGCTAGAAAAAATTTGGGGAAAATCTGAAAACTGGGATTTTGGATTTCAGAAGACCATGAAGCAGTGAGTTTTCTTTTATTCTTTCTGGAGAAAATCTGAAATTTTCAGTAAACCAAAGAAGTCTTCCCTAGAAGAATCTTCAAATGAATTCGAAAAAGGCAGCAGAATCAGGTTGATTTTGCTTCTTCTTGTAATTTTCCTGGTTTATGCATCAATTTTCGCGGCTGTTGTATTTGTTGGGTTATCTCAAAATTATCCAGAGAAAATCGAGAAAAAAGAGCCAACAGAAGTAGTTTTGGAGAAAGAAGAACCGACGGAGAATATCTACAAGGTACATTTTGCCACGCGTGCGGTTCGCAACGCGGTTCGATTCCAAGCCGCGTTGCAAACCGCACGCGTTGAAAAATCTTCATTCTGTTTTCATTTTCAGGACAAAGAAGAAGATGCATCCGTTTGTCAAACCGAATCCTGTAAAAAATTAGGAGAAACCATGTTATCCTATATGAATAAGAATATAAATCCATGCGAAGATTTTTACAAATATACATGTGGAAATTATAATGGCAGCAAGTTGGCGATTGTTGAAGATCAGCTGGAGAAAAAAACGAAACTTGCGAAATTCTATGTGAATTATGAGCCGCAAACAAGTTCCGAGAGAATTTCAAAAGTTATGATGCGAAAATGTGTGGAGACGGCGGAATACCAAAAATATCAAAAAATTACTGAGATTTGGAAAAGTGGTGATTTGACTGATGTGCTCATTGAGATAGCAAAAGTGAGCCCAAATAAAGGGGGTTTTATTCAAAATGAGGTGCGTATGGGAGATGTTGTTGGAGAGCAGAAAGTGTTGAATCTATATCTTCGAACTGATATTATGCCGAGTAAGAAGAAGAAATTGAATGTAAGGATTTTTTTTTGAAAAAAAAATTACGTGGCCGAGAAATGTTGAAGTTCGGCCACATGTTTTTTCCAGATTCTTCAAGAGAAATACCTCGATGTGATTGGAGAGAATCCGAATGTTCTCCAAAACGAAATCGTGAAATTCAATGGCGAAGAAAATATTCTCAAAAATATCGACCTCAAAAAATACATCCTTGGATTGTTGCCAGAAGAAATACGCGCGCAGAATCCGACCTGGGAAGTATATATTTATAAAAATGAAATGATGGCACTGGATTCGGTTGTGGAGAAATTCGGAAAGAATAAATTGATGAAAGAGCTCCAGAAAGTCTATCTTTCAAAAATTATCAAATATTATGTGTTCAAACCCAAAAATCCAGAAATCGAACAAGATCGGGAGAAACTTTGTTATAAGAGGATCGAAAAAATGTTCCCTGGAACTTTGAGCATGATTTTTATCAAAAATTTTGGGAATTTCGAAAATATCGAAAAAGCCTATCGAATTCTTGATGATATAAAAAATGCATTAGCTGAAACAATTGATGAAAACAGTTGGATGGATGAAGAATTGAAGGTTTTATTGAAAAACGAATTGGTATTGTTGAAAAGTTCGATTGGAAGACCGGATGAATATAAGGAAAATGAGAATGTTGAGAGAATGTATAAGGCTGTTGAGAAAGTGAGAACATCGGAAGAGCAAGGATATACAGAATTGATTAGAAATTTGTTGGCGATGAATAGTGAGGAGACATTTTTGAGAGTTTATAAGAAAGAGACGATGACGTTTTTTATGAAATCGGCTAGAGGATCACCGAATTATCATCCGGAAACGCATAGAACTTGTGAGTGAGAAAAAAATGCGGATTTTTCAAGACCAAATTTGCATATGGTAGCGTCAAAGTTTGAATTCTCAAAGCCACGTGTTTTTCTTATTTGTTAGCGCAAAAATTTGAAAATTCGAAATTTTTTATCAAAATTATTAGTTAGTCGCCAAACTTATTTACTGATTTTTGAAACTAAAAATAGAAAAAATTGCCTTGAGAAAATTTTTTCACCAAAAAATTCAATTTTTTCAGCAATCCCATGGAATTTGATGAATTTCCCACACATCGATGAAAATCTACCAGAATGGGCCATAATTAGTGGAATCGGAAATATTATGGCACACGAAGTTGGACATAGCTTCGATGCTTGGCTTTTTTTGAACAACGCAGCTCTAAAACCGCATAAAATCAGTGATTCGAGCAAACAAGAATTCGAAAAACGTATCAAATGTATAGCTGAAAAATATTCGAAATTCGAACTTCCCGATGGCACATTTTCTGATGGTTTTAGAACAAATTCAGAGGATACCGCGGATAAAATTGGTTTTGATCTGGCTGTTCGACTTTTCAAAAAACTCGGAAATCATCAGAAATTACCGGGTTTTGAGGATGTCTCGATTGAAAGACAATTTTTTCAAAGAATGTATATTGTAGGTTTTTCACAGCTTATATTTTTAAGATTATGGAAAAATTTTCAGGATGTCTGTGGTCCCGATTTGAATATGAATGATATGCCACGTTTGAATGGTGATATTCATAGTGCAAATGTGTTCAGAGTTCGAGGAATTATGTCGAATTCGGAGGAATTTGCAAAAGCTTTTGGATGTGCTGAAAATCAAGCAAAATGTCCAATGTTTGAATGAATGAAGATTTTGAATTGAAATTTTTTTTTTCAAAAAACCAGTCTTGTCTGAACCCGTACAAGAATCAAACATAATACAAAACAAAATCAATAATTAGCCAACAACAAATCCAATATTAACATTTCTCGGAGATATCGTCGAACTCGAAACCTGATCCAAATGTGGATCATATTCGGGCGGCGGTGATTGTCGTTGCCACGGTGTCGACGGGTCTCGCGGTGAAATCCCGCGCATTTTCATATAGCCAACAAGTTGCTCGGGGATTTCTTGAAGAACCTCGCGAGCCAAATTGCGCATCACAATGTCGGGGTCCAGCCATTGGCCTTGGCCGTTGTTCAGGAATTGACGAAGAGTGACGAACTGCAAATGATGATGAGTTAGGCTAATTTCAGTAGAATACAGTACCTGAACAATGTCTCTTTGTGCAATTCTTGAATCTTGTTCTAATAATCGATTATCGCTGTCCAATTCGTGCATTTTATCGAAATCCTCGTTTCCAACACCGATTATTATAATTGACAGCGGGAGACCAGACGCCTGCAAAAAAGTTGGGTTGGGTGGCCTAGAAATTGTCCAGATGGCCTAGAAACCAGAAAATTTGGTTTTGGTTGCCTAGAAAATCAATATCTTGATTCTAGAAATTTTTTCGCACATTTTTTAAACCATTTTTGTCAATTTTCTTCAGAAATTTTAAAAATCATGAACGAAAATCAAAATTTCGGTTTTTGTTGAAAAAAATTCAACGAAAATCAAAATTTCGGTTTTTGTTGAAAAATGCCAAGTGGCAATCCCGTATTTCTCGTACGAATTTTGAACCCAAAAACTTCCTCAATTAAAAAAAAAACTCACATTAATAATAGTTTTAATAGTATTCATCATATCCGAAATAATTCCATCAGTAATAATCAACAAAATCTGATATCTTCTCGAATCCTCCACCAACATTTCAGCAGCTTTTTGTGCAATTCGATCAATAATTGGGGCAAAATTCGTTGGTCCGTATAATTGAACACGATGAAGAGCTTGCCGATAAGCTGTCAAAACTCCACGAATTCCAGAAACTTCTGGATTATCTGGGTTGAGATTCAAATGAAAAACATTCTGAACTTGAGGATTTGGGGAGATCTTCGCGCCAAAACCAAAAGCATCAAAAGTTTTGCGGGAATTATAATGTTGACAGATTTGGAGACAGGAAAGCAGCGCGATTTCGTATTGATTCGGTTTCTCATTTGAAACATAATGAAGAGACGATGGAAGTGAGATTTGACCATTTGAGGCGGTGAAATCTACAGCAACTGCAAAATCGAGTTGTGTTCCTCCAGCGAGATAATCCAAAAATGTAGGTTCGATTATTATTTGAGGGTTGATGAATTTTAGAATCCCTGAGTTCTTGTAAGATCTTTTTGACTTCTTTCTCTCGTTTATCAGTTCCAGATCAGGATTTTCAGTTATAAGTTGATTGATCGTGAATTGACAAATTCCGATTAAATCGTCCCTGGAATTTGAATTTTGAAAACTATTTATTTATATATTCTCTATACAAAAAAACCAACTTTTTCCAGCTATCCCAATCAAAACATTCAATAGTTATCGGCTGATTCAAATCCCCTCCACACAACGATTTCAAATTCAATGAAATCGGCGTCCAATCTGGATTCAGCGTATTTTTTCGAATTTCGGTTTTATGTACAGTTCGCCAGTTTCCATCTTCGAATTTGCGGCGAAACAAAAGATATGGATCGGATTTGCCGAAAAAGTCTTTTTTATCCAACGACACTCCACTGATTTTGAATTTGAACGTTTCGCATTTTTCATCTTCTTCGGCTCGAATTGTTATTGAACCGTTTTTGGAGGCTTTGTCTCTGTAAAAATAGGATTTAGAAGGGGAGTTTTGAAAAAATTGTTAAAAACTACAGAACTCAACTACTAACAATGTTAAGAAAGAGAAATTGGAACTTTAGAAAGTTGTAACCAGCTTCCAAGACGATTTTCATGAAAATCTAATAGCATAGCTGTGTTCAGGAGGGTAGATTACATAAGTTTGCTGAACTTATGTAATCTGGCTTCCTGAACAAGGCTATGCTATTAGATTTTCATGAAATTCAGCTTGAAAGCTCGTTATAACCTTCTAAAGTCCAGAATAAATCATTATCTTCGTTCAAAATTCCTTTTTTCATATATATTTCCAGTCTTCTGGCCAAAACAAAACAAATAAACACAAAAAACCTACCCACTTCTCCATCTTCTTCCAATTTCATCCTCTTTTCCTAAATGTGCTTTGAGATTCGAATAGCTGACAATTTCAGCCAAAGTACACTCGAAACGACCCAGAAAATCGTGCGATTCGAAATTTGACACGTTTTTCTCGTCGTCTACGTCGAATCTGATAAAAATTTGGTTTGAAAACTAGACTATTTGATGGGGTTTAGATAAAACCGGTTTTGGGGATCAAAACATAAACTAAAATACAAAAAACTATTTTTTATTTGAAAAAACACTCACAATTCAAATCTGAGCAACTGATTTTCCTCGAAAAAATAAGGGATTTGAATAGTCTTCATAAAACTCGGATTCAAATCATTTTTTATCATCTCAGTTCGACCTTTTTCAATCCAATTGTGGTCTTTCCACGTTTTCTGGGTAATTTTGGCACTTCCTTTTGCTCCACCGATTTTCTCAAAAACCACGCAAATTGGGTCACTTTTAGTGAAAACATCCAAATCTTTGAGGTTACTGGAAAAATTCATTTTTTCTCAAAAAACGTTCTATAAACAAAACAAATAACTTACTTTGCTGAAATATTCAATCTAACATTAGTTTTGGGTCGAGTTTCTCCGAGGTCTTGTGAAATCATACTGAGGAATTAGTTCTACAAAAACAACAAAATACAATTGAGACTAAATATAATACAAATGTGTTATGAAACCTTCAGCATGCGGAACAAAATATAAAGAAAAAAGAAAAGAGACGGAGAGATAAAGATGAATATTAGAGAGTGAGCAAGGTGAAGAGACACTAGACGGAAATACGTTCATTTTGTTTTTTTTATTTATTGTTTATTTTGATATGAAACTGATTCGTCACCGGAAAGGACACAAAAAAAATGACAAAAAAAGAAAAAAATTGTCGGCGGTGTGAGACCATTATCAAAAACAGCGTGTCCCTTTGAAAAACTACGGTATTTTTCAAAGGCGCACATGATATTTCCAGTTGGTCTTGAAACGATGCAACGTGTCCTCGTTCATTTCGAAAATTTTTCGACAGTCTTCACGGAAAAAAGTGGCGCATTTCAAGATTCTTCACGTTTTCGAGGATGTTGAAGGTGTTGGGGGTGGTCGCCTTGGTTTTGGTGGCATTGGCGAATTCGCACGACCATCATCATCACGAAGAAAGTGTGTTAAATGGTGAGTTTTGAGTTTTTTCGCGAATTTGAAAAAAAGCAGATGTTTTTAACGAGGTTTTTTTAGAGTTTATGAGTCATCGACATGACGAAACTTGGTCGATTCATAATTTGAGAAATGTGAAATTGAGCAAGACAATGGTTTATGGATGTTCGAGTTTGGCAGTTTTGGTGATCTCAATTCTTCCAGCTGTTTTGCTGTGTTTCATACCGGTTGGCAATTCGGAATCGCAACTTTTGAAAGTTTTATTGGCTTTTGGTGCTGGTGGATTGTTAGGAGATGCGATTCTACACATAATTCCTCATGCGATGATTGGGCATAGTCATGATCATTCAGAAGACGAACACGATCATTCTCATAATCACGATCACGCGCATTCTCACGACCATAGCAAAGAAATTCGAATTGGTCTCTTTGTCCTTGCTGGAATTCTCGTTTTCATGATTTTTGAACAAATCACTCGAACATTCCGCGGATCACACAATCATCATCCACACCACTGTCATCACCACGAATTGGCTCAAGTTGCACCAATTCCAGATAATGAAGAAGAGGAGAGAGAGAAGCATGAGCATAATCATAAACATTCTACAAAAACATCTGCTTATCTTAATTTGGTAGCGGATTTTTTGCATAATATTACTGATGGTTTGGCAATCGGTGCTTCGTTTTCAATCAATCTTTATATGGGAATCTTGACGACTTTTACTGTGTTGATTCATGAATTGCCACATGAAATTGGTGATTTTGCGATTTTGGTGCAAGCTGGATTCAGTAAGGGAAAGGTAATAAATAATTCTTATGATAAATATTGATACAAATTTTTTTCCAGGCAATCCGACTTCAATTTCTGACCGCATTTGGTGCTTTAACTGGAAGTTGGATCGCTGTTTGGATGTCTCAAAGTTCAACTTTCAAGGATGCCGCTGAAAATCATTGGATCATGCCCTTCACAGGTATTTTCTTGATGAAATAAAATAGAAAATGAGAAAAATCGGTTTTTTCCTGCTTTTAAAATGCATTTTCAGTATCAGTTCACGTTGGAAAATTAGGCTAAAAATAGTTGTTTAAATTTTTCTGAAAAAAATACTTTTAATTTTTAGCCGGCGGATTCATCTACATTGCAACAGTTTCTGTGATTCCCGAAATTCTCGAAGTCAACTTGTCACATTCGATGCCAAAACGTGTTCTCTACAGTATCCTCAACACTGCATTTTTTGTGGCCGGAATTGCGATGATGTATCTAGTCGCCATATTTGAATGAGTTTTATTTTTATCTTTTTTTAATGCATCGTTTTAACTATTTCTAATTAAAGACAGACCGATTTTTCAAAGTAAATTATTTATATGAAAATCGCTGTTTTTTTCGAACAATTTAAGAAGAACCAGGGAAATTTTGACATTGTTCGAAAATAACCTGAAATTAAATCGAGCTATTAAAAATAACTCATAATTACCGACTCAGTGAATCATGTTTTCCCAAAAATAATTTTTGGAGTTATTTTTGTTGATTTTCCTTTTTTTTAAAATGTTTTTATATTGTTTTATAGCGTTTATTTGTCATAAGAGTTGATATTTCCTTATCACAATCTAATATTAATTTCAGTTCCTCAACATATACGGTGATAAGAACACAAGCTTTCTCATCAAAAGCTGGAAATACATCGTTGAAAACCAATCTCGTATATTATATTTCCAACACTGCTTTTAGAAAAAGTTGAAAAAATAAATAGCACACAGAAACGTTGTTCTTCCGTGTTGGTTGTCATTTGATTAACAGCCGACATTTTCTCAACAAAAAATCTAACCTTTAATAATTGATATCAATATATACTTCAATTTACTTGATGCCAGGAACCCTCAATTATTTTCTCAGGTTTGATTTCTTGCGAAATTTCTCAAGTACTCGGTTCTGAGAATGGCGACCCTGAAAACAGATCCTGAAACAATTATAGGAACTTTGCTACATCTATTGTTAACCACTTTGTTGATTTGTGTGTACACTATGAAATTATATCAACAAAAACATCATTTGATTATGGTACGTTTAAAATTGTTTTTATAACTTCAGAATCAAATTCCAGGAACATCAATGGCTAATCAATCAACTATTCTGGTTACTGTCTGTGGTTTGCTGGTTTGCAAATGTGTTGTATTTTTTTGGATTGATGTTATTTTCTTTGAAAGGTACATATAGATTTCCAGTATATGCCATTGTGACCATAGCAATTGCTACTATTGGACTCTTTGTCAAGCAAAACCTTGGTCGAATTCTACCAATTTTGATGTCATTTTGGATTTTCTTATACATCAATTTTCGATTTTTACACAAAGTTCTTGATACTCAACATCCATTTTTGTTCAAGAAAAGAGTTCAATTTTTGGCTATAATAAGTGTGTCAATTGTTTCAATGTGGTTGTACAGTAGATTCGCCGTGAACTGTGTCATTTCACTCGATCTTCCCACCTTTCAATGTGAATTCCACATGGTTAGTTGTGTTTTGAAATGTTCTATTTTTTAATAGAAAACATTATAGATGTACGATATGGATCAAGAATGCAACTTGACAATTTTTACTCCAAAAACCTCAGAATTATCGTTGAAAACCAATATGATCTTTGAGGTTTTCAACACTTCAAGTATTCCTCTTTTATTTTTATATTCATTAGGATTCCGTTATATTTTGGAAAAATCTGGAAAAGTTATAGTATTCGAAAAATCGAAAGAAATCTTCGGTGTTTTCCAATATTCTCCAATTTTTGTATATGGAATTGTAAGTTTATCTTTTCAAAAGTTTGGAGCAATTGTGTTACACAGATTCGCCTTCATCTCACCATCATTCATTTTTTCTACGTTGTCGACTTTTTTGTGCCTTTCGATATTTTGTCATTTCTAATTTTTTGCGATTCCACATCGGTTTTCGTATACACAATACCTTTAATGTTTTTATTCACAAATACCAATATTGCTGCAAAAATTTGGAAGAAACGATTTTTGAATGTTGAATCAAATAAAGTCCATAAACGTGGAACTGGACAAATCGAGATAAAGACGAATGTTGGAATATAACGCATTGTTAACTAAATTACACAGACAAAAAACATTGAGGCTGTTAATCACATCACAATTTTTATTTGAGAATCGAGTTTACTGCATCATAACGAAAGAAGATGTACAGAACGAACATGTATAACGCTGTAAATTGCATATGTAGACATAAAAGTTATTCTTCCGTGTTGTTTTTCATCTAATTAATAACTGACATTTTCTCACCAAAAAACCTAACCTTCAATTGATATTTTAATTTTCACGTTAACAGGAACCTTCAATTATAGACTCAGTTCTGTTTTCTCGCGAAATTTCTCAACTAAGTACTCGATTTCAAAATGGTGGTGGAAAAATCGGATCCTGCAATAATAATAGGGTTATCGCTACATTTGTTGTTAACCACATTGTTGATTTGTATACACACTGTGAAATTGTGTCAACAAAAGCACTATTTGGTGATGGTACGTTGTCAAATATGTTCAAACTTCAGAATCGAATTTCAGGAACATCAATGGCTAATCAATCAACTATTCTGGTTAATTTCATTTGTTTGCTGGTTAGCTAATGCGTTGTATTTTTTTGGAATGGTGTTATTTTTGTTGAAAGGTACAAATAGGTTTCCAGTATATGCCATTGTGACTATAGGAATAGCTGTTCTTGGGAACTTTGTCAAACGTAATCTTGGTCGAATTTTACCAATTTTGATGTCATTTTGGATATTCTTATACATCAATCTTCGATTTTTACACAAAGTTTTTGATATTCAACATCCCTTTTTGTTCAAGAAAAAAATTCAATTTTTGGCTATAATTAGTGTGTCAATTGTTTCAATGTGGTTGTACAGTAGATTTGCCGTGAACTGTTGGTTTCCTCCCGACACTAGCACTTTGTTATGTGAATTTCACATGGTTAGTTGTATTTTCAAATGTTCTATTTTTCATGGAAAACTTATAGATGTACGATATGAATCAAGAATGCAACTTGTCAAGTTTCTCGCCAAAAACCTCAGAATTATCATATAAAACCAATATTATCTTTGAGATTTGCAACACTTCAAGCATTCCTCTTTTATTCTTATATTCATTAGGCTTCCGTTATATTTTGAGAAAATCGGGAAAAGTTGTCGCATTTGAAAAATCCAAAGAAATCTTCGGTGTTTTTCAATATTCTCCGATTTTTGTATATGGAATTGTGAGTTTTGTTTCCTAAGTACTTCCATCAACTGATTTGAGATATACAGATTCGTCTTCTCTGCGCTTTTGTTCACTTTTTCTATTTTTTCGGCTTTTTTGTGCCTTTTGATATTTTGTCATTCTTAGTTGTTTGTGATTCTACTTCAGTTTTCGTATATACAATACCTTTAATGTTCCTATTCACCAACACGAATATGGCTAAGATTTGGAAAAAACGATTTTTGAATGTGAAGACGAACAAAGTTTCTGTTCAAATACAGAAAATTGTAGCGGAAAATGGAGAAAGACGGATCAAGATGGACAAGAGCAATACAAATGATAATGAAAATGTTGCGGAATGAATTAATAGTCAGACAATTTTTCCCCAGTATCGTTATTTGATGTTCATGAAACTCTGAAGCTACGATGACATTTTCTCGATACAACCTAATATTAATTTCATTTTCTCGATTTTCGAAAACTTCCGTAATAGGACCCCCTAATTATCTGCTATCCAAATTGAACATTTTCTCGATATTTATTGAGTCGAAAAAAAATTATGGAGAACGCGTCAATTTATTCAGACACGTCCGTTGAATTTGCAGAATTCGCACTACCTTGTTTACAATTTTCAGTGTTAGCAGTGATATTTGTGTTATACACTGTGAAACTAGTTCAACGAAGATTTTATTTGCGCTTGGTAAGTGTGGATTGCATTTGCTAGTAATCCTTTTGATTTCAGGAACATCAATGGTTTATCAATTTATTATTTTGGTTTCTTTCATTGATATTGCTACTGACAAATATTCTATTTTTTTCCGGCCTAATCATATTATTGATCACGGAGATAAAACTTCAAGCAACAACCTATGTTGCTGCAGGAATTATGGCGGTGGCAAGGGTCATACAGATGGTTTTAAGTGGAATTTTACCGATAATGACGTCATTTTGGATTTTTCTATACATCAATTTTCGTTTCTTCCACCGAATTCTTGATGTTCGACATAAACTGTTACTCAAAAAGAAGTATCAATTTTTGATAGTATTATGTGTTACTATTTTTTGTTTTTGGCTTCGTGCAAAATTTGCATCGAGTTGCGCAAACACTACAACCAATCAGTGCGAATTCCATATGGTTTGTTTGTGGGAAAATTGTCATTTCTCAAAAAGTATTTCAGATGTTCCGATCGAATCTAACATGCATTGATGCATTGTTCTCCTTTAGTTCAAATCAACTAAAAATGAACAGACTGTTTGAGTTGTTCAACACAGGAGGCATCCCTTTTGTATTCTTGTGCTCTTTAGGATTTCGCTTCCTTATGCAAAAATCTGAGCAAATTGAGGTTTTGGACAAATCGAAAGAAATCTTTGGACTCTTTCAATACTCGCCGATTTTTGTGTATGGGCTCGTAAGTTATCTGAATGTATTTATAATTGAGATAGATGCTAATGTCAGATTCGCCTATTCCTTGCGCCAATTTATCTTATCTACACTCCTGGATCATTTCCACTCTTCGATACTGTAGCATATTTGATCTTTTGCGATACTTCCTCGATTTTTCAATACTTGATTCCTCTACAATTTTTGTTCACCAATACCAAATTCGCTGCAAAATTGTGGAAGAAACCGTTTTTGAATGATACATCGAATCAAGTTTATATTCAACAGCAAACAAACGAAGAAACTGAAGAGGGTGAAGGAAAAGAGAAAATCGGAGATCAGGATGTTCCTAACGGCGAGCGAAATGTGGATTTTAGTATTAATTCCAGTACAAATGTTAATGATGGTGCTAATTGATGTTATAGAAGTATCTAATTGGTTCACACTGAAGATTAATGAACTGTTTTTTTTCGCTATGTTCTCGGAAGTGAAATTTCATCATAATGAAATCAAGATCCCCGTTTGAATTTAGTATAGGCGTTGTTGACATTTTGAAGCTAACCTGAATTTTTTTCTCCTTTTCTTAAAGTCTACGGTAATACAGAACCCCTTAATTATCTGCTAACCGAGTTGAAAATTTATTGTTTGAATTCCTAGACTTCGTTTTTTTCCAAATTTTTTGAAGAAATGGGGTTTTCGACCGCAGCTATAGTTGATTTCGTACTGATATCTGTAAATTTTGGAACATCGCTAGTGTTATTCATAATCTACACTACGAAATTGTTTCAGCGAAGATTTTATTTGTTGTTGGTGAGTTATGAGATGCCTTGAATTGGAAAAATAAATCATCAACATTTGTTTATTTTTAGGAACATCAATGGCTTATCAATCAATTATTTTGGTTCCTTTCATTGATGTTAATGCTCACAATACTTTTGAGTTTCATCCCTCAAGTCATAGTTCTAATCGCTGGACCAGAACTTCAAGCAACAACTTATATCTCTGTGATAATGTTAATTGCTGCGAGTTCTATAAATTCAGTTATCAGTGGAATCATACCATTGTTAACTTCATTTTGGGTTTTTCTCTACATCAATCTTCGGTTTTTCCATAGAATTCTTGATATTCAACATCCATTTTTGTTCAAGAAAAAGATTCAGATGGCGATTGTAATTGGTGTTTCTATTTTTTGCATGTGGATACAGAAAAAACTTGCAGCGGATTGTCAAAATACAGGAGACAGGCAATGTGAATTTCATATGGTTAGAATGTTTTTCTATTTTTTTCTTGAAGCCACTTAACTTTTTCAGATGTTTCGATCAAATCTGACATGTACTCGTTCATTTTTGGCGTCTAAAAATATGAATACTGTGAAAACGAACATGCTGTTCGAGTTGTTCAACACAGGAAGTATCCCTTTTGTATTTTTGTGCTCTTTAGGATTCCGCTTGATTATGCAAACATCTGAGCAAATTGCGGGTTTGGACAAGTCGAAAGAAATTTTCGGCGTCTTTCAGTTTTCACCGATCTTTGTGTATGGGCTTGTGAGTTGTTTTTCTAAACATGAGTCTCTGTAATGTTTTATTATTTACAGATTCGCTTTTTTCTCGCGCCAATTTATCTCATCTACACTCCTGGATCGTTTCCACCATATGATGCTCTAGCACATTTGATCTTTTGCAATACTTCCTCAATTTTCCGATTCTTGATTCCTCTAACATTTCTCTTCACCAACACCAAATTCGCTGCAAAATTGTGGAAGAAACCGTTTCTGAATGGTACAGCGAATCAAGTTTATATTATTCAACAGCAGAAAAACAAGGAAACTGAAGAATGAGAAGGGAGAGAGAGCATCGGAGATCAGGATATTTCTAACGGCGAGCAAAATGTGGCTTTTAGTATTACTTCCAGTACAAATGATATTGGTGATGCTACTGAGGGTATTTCAAATGAAACATTTTAATAAGTTCACATTGGATAATAAATAATTTCATGGGGATAAAATTTCCTTGAAAGTTGCAATTTCAGAAAAAATTACAGTTTTAACTTTTTTAACGTTGTGATTACACGAAACACGAGACGACTTTTTTCAGACATTTTTTTTACACAAACCCTTGTGGGTATTCACGAAAGAAGATAATCATAAAGGTCCCCCATTTGAATTCAATTCGAAGTATAGGCCTTGTTGACATTTCCTCAATACAACCTAATATTAATTTTTCTCAAAGTCTACGGTACTAAAACCCACTAATTATCTCCTAACAGAGTTGGAAATTTTCTATATTTTCATACACAAAAAGAAATAAAATGGCGTACTCGACCGAAGATATGGTAGAGTTTGTTCTGAGGTCTGTACATTGTGCAATATCACTAGTGTTATTCATACTCTACACTACGAAATTGTTTCAACGAAGATTTTATTTGTTATTGGTGAGTTTGGAGATGCCTTGAATTGCAAAAATAAATCATCAACACTTGTTTATTTTTTAGGAACATCAATGGCTTATCAATCAATTATTTTGGACTCTTTCTTTGGTTTTTATGCTGGCAACACTTTTACATTACATTCCTCAAATCATAATGCTTATCACTGGACCAAAACTTCAAGCATCATCTTATATCTCTTTAGGAATGGTTGTTGCTTCAACTATTCTAAGGGAACTTATAAGCGCAATTATACCGATGTTAACTTCATTTTGGATATTTTTATATATCAATCTTCGTTTTCTTCACAGAATTCTTGATATTCAACATCCATTGTTGTTTATGAAAAAGATCCAGGTGGCGATTGTAATTGGTGTTTCGATTTTCTGCATGTGGATACAGAAAAAACTTGCAGCGGATTGTCAGAATACAGGAGACAGGCAATGTGAATTTCATATGGTAAGTGATGTTTTCTTATCTATTTCGAAGTTTCTTTCAGATGTTTCGATCGAATCTGACATGCGATCATACATTTTTAGCGTCTAAAAATACGAATACATCGCTGAAATTGAACGTGTTGTTTGAATTGTTCAACACAGGAAGTATTCCGCTTGTATTCTTATTCTCTTTAGGCTTCCGTTTCATTATACAGAAGTCTGAGCAGCTTGAGGATTTGGACAAATCCAAATTGATATTTGGGGTTTTTCAACACTTGCCAATCTTTGTGTATGGACTTGTGAGTTATTTTTCTATTCAGGATGCCTCTGTACTGTTTTATTTGTTCTAGATTCGCTTTTTCCTCGCACCAATCTATCTCATCTACACTCCTGGATCATTTCCACCCTTCGATGTTTTCGCATTTGGTGTTTATTGCAATAATTCAGAAATCTTTCAATTTTTGATTCCTCTACAATTTTTATTCACAAACACGAAATTGGCGGCGAAATTGTGGAAGAAACCGTTTTTGAATGATACAGCGAATCAAGTTTATATTGAACAACAAAATGATGAATCGGAAGAGGGCAAAGGGCAAATTGGTGTTGGAGATGGGAAGGACGAGCAGGTTTCGCGTTTGAGTATCAATTCGAATAATGAGAATCCGGTTACTGAGAAATATTGATTGATTAATTTAATTGGAAGAATAAATATTTATTTGGTTTTTTGATGAATTTATTTAAAATGTGGAAAAGGAAAACACGCTCCAACGAACAAGATGAATTTGTGACGGGATTTCAAATTGGTAGTTTTTGGTATAAAAATATTTGTATAAAAAATCAACGCTTCACATAAGAAATTACACTTATTTCAATATCTCTCTCGTCTTCATAAACACTGGGTTGAATATAAATTTGATTTGCAGTATCGCCCAAAAAATCCTTCTTAAAAATTTTCGCACCAATTTTCGTGTTCGTCAATAGAAACGAAACTGGGATAGCTATGCTGAATATGAAAGAAGTTGCGCAGAAAATCCAGAATGATAGGATATCGAAGGGTGGAAAACTGGAGGGCGTGTAGAAAATGTGAATGATTGTGAAGAGAAGACGGATCTGAACACAACTTTTGGGAGTCAAAACTCGAAGTGCAGAACTCACGAATCCATAGATGAAAATTGGTAGAAATTGAAAAACAGCCATAATTTCCTTCGATTTCTCCAATGGTGACATTTTCAGGGATATTTTCACCAAATATCTGAACAATAAACTGTACAAAAATACTACTGGGATACTGGCGGTATTGATGATCTCGAAATAGATCATTTTTGATTTATCGGATATTTCTTTTGGTGTACATTTTGAATTCGAATGGAATATCTGCAATATTACATAGAATAAGAGTTTTGTCTGGTCAAACACTTTCTTACCATATGAAAATTACACTCATTTCGATTTTTATTCATCGATGAAGCACCCAAAAAGTGATTAATAAGAAAAGCAACACTGGTGAAAACCGCAACCATGAAATTTTGAAAAATTTTGTTGAATAACCACGGATATTTCTCAGCCTTGTATCTCTTGAAGATTATGCGAAACGTGATGTGGTTGAAAAGCCACATTGCAAATAAAAGAGGACACATTTGATTGAGATAATAATACATTTTGAATAATGCAATATATAAAAGAGACATAAACAATTTCAAGCCGGAACTATCGTTCTCAACCAAGATCGATAGGTAAAACAATGTACATATGTTGGTTATGGTGAAGATTAGGCAGAAAAGCCAAAAAATTAGATGAGTTAGCCATTGATATTCAGATAATAGATAAAATCGTTTTGTATATAGTGCTTTACTGTACAAGATGAAGAGGATGAGATATGGAAGAAAGTATCCGAAGAGATATGCGATTGGGCTCTGCATAGGTATTCTGAAAGAGAAGTGAAATGATAAGTTTATGTAAACTTACCGTAGTTTTCTTGAAGCTGAAGGTGCGTATTATTTAAATTATTGCCTATGTTATGCTAGAAAATGTCAAGGTTTCTGATTTGGAGTAGATCTAACTAAACTTTATTTATTTCAAATCAAGGAGGGGTTTGATTTCCTTCACCGACACTTAGAATTCGCTTGTACCAGGGCACAAATTCATCACCTTGGTCAGTCAAATTCAAATCGATTGTACCATTGTAGAATCTAAAGAAAAGTTTCTTATGTGCCATACCGTGCAAACTTACTCATCAAACCAGGAAAATGTGATTTCTTTCCAGTAATAAATATATTTTTTTTTCGATTTGGTGCATGTATGCTCGATGAGCAAGTTGATCTCATAATGAGTCTGAAACAGATTTTCAGTTCTGATTTCTGATTCACTGCAAAACTCACTGTTAATCCATCGAACCATACATCAAAGGTCACATTTTTGTCGAAATTCTTGTATTTTTGTTTTTGATATTCGTATTCGTATCCCACGTGGCTTGAACTAAAAATTTTCAGTTTTTTTAACAAATGTTTTTCAACAATAGAACTCACATCAAATCCTTCTCGAAAAATTCGAATCCCAAGTTCCATGGCGTGAAATCGCAGTGAAATTTGACATTAAAGTTGCAAATTGTTTCTGCATTTATCAGATTGAAAACTGCAATTGCAAGAAAAATCAATTTCATATGTTTTTTTACAAAAAAAAAAAATGGCTAGACGATGTGGTTTTATATTGAAAAACTGTGAGAAAAAATTTAAAACCAGAAAACAAAAAACATTCCGTCGAGCCGGATTCGAACCAGCGACCTAAGGATACCCACTGACTCTACAGTCCTCCGCTCTACCAACTGAGCTATCGACGGTGTTGGGAACGCATTAAAAATGTCCAATAAATTTTTGATGATATGTGAATTGGAAGGCAGAAAGTGGAGGAAAACTAATAAAAAAGTGAAATTTCGAAAAAAAAAACAACATAGAGAAGTCCAAGAGAAGTACACGAAGAACTAAAAATCCAACTTCGGATCAAAAAAATTATTTATTCAAGTTCGATTTTCAAAAAAAAAACACATTATCATCAGTCGTAAATTAATATAATTCAAATTCCCGTCAAATTTTAGTCATCACAGATATCGGGGCGATTTCTCGGCCGCGGCCTAGAAATCAGTGTTGGCCACAACTTGCGATTGTGATGGTGGAATGATTGAGGGACGGGTTTTTGATAGAATTGCACGGTATTCATCACGATCCGATTTGATGAATGGGAGCCAGCGGAAAGCGCGGTGGAATCCGACGCGGAATCTAGAAAAGAGGAACTCATGAGGGGAATTGGAATTAGGGTAAGTCTAACCTTTTATTCATAAAGTAGTAAATGACTGGATTGAAAACCGTTGAAGACATGCCAAGCCAATAAATATTGATGTAAATGTAGAGGCTCACCTGAAAATAATTTTTAAAAAAATTGAAATCAACTTGTATCTAGGAACATACCAATCGATTCTGTATCTCCACATTTTTCACCAAATCCAAAATCAAATAATAAGCATTATACGGAAACCAGACGAACATGAAGATGAACACAACGGCCGCAAGCATAATTGACGCTTTCTTCTTGGCCGCAACCGATTTGGCGTGACGGACATCGCCGACTGTGCGATCTTTGCGCAATTCAACGCCCACACGGAAATAGGCGACGGAAAGGATGCAGAGTGGAATGATGTATTCGAGGATGATGATGGAGCGATTGTAGCTGGAAATTGGTTAATGGTTTCGAAGGCACAGCGAAAAAAAAATATTTTTTCTGTTCATATCCCTTTTTCGTATCGCACTCTCTTCTGCACACACGCTAATTTTCACTCTCTCGTTTTCTCTCACGTGAAATTCTAGCTGTTCGCACTCGTTTTCCACTGAAACGATAACAAAAAAGAAGCTAAAGCAAGAAGTGAGCAGGTAACTAGAGATCTAGGCAGGAGAGCAGACGGTTAGAGAACTCTAGAAAGACAGAGACGCAGATGGAGAAAACGGGTAGAGACCAGGCAAAGAGGCAACAGACACAGGACACCAGCGTACAGTTAGTTAAAAAAAAAGTTAGAGACGCAGAACCCCTCCCCCCTCAAAACTCACTAGGATCCAATCCACGAATCTCTTCCACCAGGCCAATTATCCGAAAAACATAGCGGATTCTCATACAAACTAACATTGTCATAAAAATAGAAAACATCGACTTTTGAATAAACAAAAGCCGGAACACCACACGAAAACGCCAAGAACCAAATACAACAAATGATTGTGACAGTAGATCGCTTTCCGGGCCGCTTCTTCAGCGGATGCATAATCGCGTAGTATCGTTCGATGCTCATCACAATCATTGTGAAGACACTTGCACAAATTGGAGTGATGCCCATGAGTTGATTGACTTGGCAGTAGAATTGACCGAATCTGAAGATATTGTTGGGATTTATGGGAACTCGAGTAGTCCTAGTTTACCTCCAAACATAATAGTAGTTGTAGGTCCACGAAAACCCGGTGTTAAAAATCGAGATCGATGTATCAGCGACAGCCAGGTTGAACAGATAATAATTGGTGACACTTCGCATTTGACGATGGTATAGGATTATCCTGAAAGTTTGATCTTTTAGTCATAGATTTTTCTCGACTTGAGAAAAAAATGGGATTTTTGAGAAAATTCTTGTACTACTACTACTATATAGCTACAATGTTTGGGATTAATGAAGAAAAAAAAATGTTTTTTTGGTTGGAAATGCGTAAGTGGAAAGGGCGCGTACTTTGATCATTTAGAAGGTGGCCTAGAAAACTGGGTATGGAATTCTAGGCCAGCCAGGCTCAGAGGGCCACAACCCTATGAGATCTAGTGATGACCGAAAAAAGTCTAGATGATAGTTCTAGGCCTTGGAGTTCTCAGGATGGCCTAGAAATATGAAAATAAAAATTCCTAGGGCATTTTTGACTTCTAGTACAATTTTCTGACAAATATGCTGAACCACCACCTTAGTGCTGGCCTAGAAAATCACATACAAAGTTCTAGGCCTCGGCCAAGAATTTAACTTGTTAAGTTTTAGGTATCTAGAAACCCCTGGATGGCCTAGAATACAAATTCCTAGGCCACTATTGGCCTAGAAAACCAAACTAATCCCCGTCTCCCCCTCAAACTCACCACATAACCGTAAAATTTCCAATCAACGCAGCCGCAATCGTCAACGTAAACAGAACACAATAAAAAACCTGCGAATACCAAACATGAACAAATGGTTTCTCCTCGAAAAGCAGATTGACTTTGAATTTTTCAAAAATCAATTGCGAGAAAATATCAGTGGAGCAGTTGAGAGACGCATTTTGCATTATCTGAAAATTTTTAAATTAAAATTTTTTTTTGTTGTCAAAATTAAAGATCTCACCTGCGCGGCCGAGAATTCGAGTTCATCCAAACTTTTTGGCACCGGGCAGTCCATGTCTGCAAAATTCTATTTCAAGCTCAGCCGACAACCTATGTATTCTTCAAAATAGATAGCTCAACCCCAAAAATAGATGACAAATTTGTCTTGTTTTTTTTTCTGGTTGTCCGAGAGAACTACACAAGGAGCTGTGGAAGAAGCTGAAGAGTTTTCCGGGGCGGAAAAACAACAAGAAAATGAAACTGAATGAGGTTTTTTAAATCGAATTTTTTTTCTGTGGCCGAAAAAAATGGGGCGGAGCGAAAATAGATGAAAATGAGAAAGAAGGGGGAACTTAGTACTTTTTCTGGAAATTTTTTTTTTTGACAATTAAATTGATAAGATTGGCTGCGTACTTTCCTGACTGAGTATCGAATGTGAAGGGGCAATGGGATGAGGAATGGTAGATCAAAAAAGAATCTGAATCCAGTTGCGTTCTTCAGGACTTGACTGAGTATCAAATGTACAGAGATCATAAGATTGTGGTTGAAGATAAGGAAAGTTAAAAGTTCTTTAGATTTGGCTGCGTACTTGACTGAGTATCAAATGTGAGGGAACAATGTGATGAAGAAATAGGATGGTAGATAAAAAAGGAATCTCAATTTGGCTGCGTACTTTCTTGATTGAGTATCAAATGTGAAGGGGCAATGAGATGAGGAATGGTAGATCAAAAAGGAATTTGAATTTGGCTGCGTACTTCAGGACTTGGCTGAGTATCAAATGTACAGAGATCATTAGATTGTGCCTGCAGATAAAGACACTCAAAGTTTTGGCTGCGTACTTGACTGAGTATCTAATGTTTTGGGGGAACTGTTAGATCAACACTAAGCTTGACTGCGTATCAAACGTACGCAGCCAAATTTGAAACAAAGGTAAATTGCTTCTATTTGCTTCTAGAGTTGACTGAGTATCAAAGGTTCCCTTCTGCATTATGACTTTTCATTTTTCTCGCTGAGTATCGAACGTACGCAGCCAAATTAAAGTCAACTTTTCGTTTTTCCACCTGAAGAAAAAGTGGTTTTTTGGTTGCCATTTTCGAAAATAACTCTCCCCGCAAAAAACTTGATTTTGTACTACTAATAAAGCTACAAAACTCCAAATTAGTTGGGAAAAAACTCGGCGAAATGCGTCAGCAACAGGCCCATTGACGCACAAAGCGTAGGCCAAATTGATATCACTTACCTGAGTATCTAATGTGTTGAAAAATGTAGGAATGATGGCCGGTGAACATTTTTTTGAAGTCTCAATGAGCTCAGAATAAAATAGGAATGCGGAAAAAAAATGAATAGGGATTTTTCGAGAAAAAAATGAGAAAATCTGAAAATTAGGATAATCTCGCAGTTTTTACGTGTTTGTGTGTGTTTTTCCAGGAAACTTTTCACTTTTTTTTGAACATTAGATACTCAGGCAACGGATACGCAGCCAAATTTAGCTATCAAATTCAATTTTAAAAAACGTAGTGAATAAAATGAGGAAGCAACTTTATACTTTGAAATACGCAGCTAATTTGATTAACATAAATTAAGTTGAAACTTTTTTTTTGAAACATTTGATACTCAGCCAAACACAGAATATAATTAGGTATTTACAAAGTTAACACTCAAGGTACGCAGCCAATTTACGGTAGATCAAAACGTTTGATATTCAGGCAGGAAAATTAAAATAGGCAGTTATTTTTAGATAGTTTGATACTCAGTTAACGTACGCAGCCAAAATGAAAACCCAAAATCAGTTTTCTTTAAAAAAAATGCAATGAACTTCAGTAGTTTGATACTCAGTTAATCTTCGAAGTACGCAGCCAATGTTTTCCTTCAAATCAAAACATTAAATACTCAGTCAACTCAAGATAAGCAGCCAAAAAAGAAATACTACTATTTATGAAGTGCTGAAAAATCGTCATGAAAATGAGAAAAAACCGACAGCTGAAAATAAGAGCCGCGCACCCCCAGCAAAAATATTTTAATAACTAAATGAGATTTTTTGGCACCAAAAAAAGTTTTTGAAAAAATCGAATAATTCCTGAATCCACAATCGTGGGAACTGTTTTTTTTTGGACAAAAATTCTGTTTTTTGAAAAAAAAATTGGGAAGATTTATGTGTAAAAACTGAACTGAACTGAGCAAATGAAAAATAATGAGCCCGCGAGAATTTATTGACCTCATAAAATAACAATAAGCCACACACACACACACGCTTGCACATTAGATACTCAGTCAAGTACGCAGCCAAAATTTTTGTCGTGATCTACTTAGGTTCCTCGAAAAAAAACATTTTTTCAATAAAAACAAATTTTTTTTTGAGAAAAGGAAGAACCTCAAAAAAATGAAAATATAATAAAGAAAAATTTCTCATTTTCAAAGAAAATTATTGCAGAAAAATATGAAAAATGAGAAAATTGGGCGAAAAAAAAAGAAGGAATCTTTTATAATTATATTGTTTTGGAGCAGAAATCTTTTGAAAAAAACATAGTGAGGAAAAAATGACGAGTTCTTTTTTTGGCGCCAAAAATCAGTTTGATACTCAGGTAACTGATTTTGAGTGGGAGGTACGCAGCCAATTCAAAATGTTAGCGAGTTTATTTTTTTTTCAAATTTTTGCGTCCAAGGTTTGAAGTAGGTACAAAAAAATATAAAAATAAATTTTTCAACTGTTCCGGAACAAAATGAAAATAATTTCAAAATAAAAAAAAAGTTCGTATTTTCGTGTGTACAAATTTTTTTCATTTTCACTTTTTTTTGAAAAAAAATCTCTTCACAATTAGCACCCCAAAAACCCATTTTCTTCAAAATTTTCCTCTTTCCTGACCCCCTACCCTCTAAAAATTTCAAAAATAAAATTTCTAATTGCAAAAAAATCGCCTCAAACATCACCCCATAACCAAAAAATCTAATAATTTCTCAAATTTTTCCCCAAAAACTCACAAAATCGGTTGTTTCTTCATCGCATTCCATTTCCATGAAGACAATTCTCGAATCTGAAAATTTAGGCTTTCAAATCCAGAAGAAAAAAAAACAAAAAAAAGCAAAAAAAAACAATGATTATTGATTTCTTCCAAACGCTTGGCCGAGGAAACCAAAAAGCCTTATTGAAAAAGGTCAGCCAGGCGGCCGCCCATTTTTTCTTTTTTTTGTTTTGTTTTTTTTAGGTTGTTCTTTTTCCCTTAAAACTTACCATTTTCAAAAATCCACTTTTCGCGCCTCTCTCGTTTCTCTGCGTCTCTCACTATCTCCTGTTTACTATCTATTCTTATCTCCATAGAAACGTCAAAACTTATTTTATGCTTTAACTTTGTCCTAAAAAAATCAAATCATGTTTTCAATTCCGAAACTGACTTTGGGAACTTATTTGATGCACGGTGAGCAGGTAAGCAGCCAATTCAAGATGAAATACATTTGATACTCAGCTAACGAACGCTGTTGACGAAGCACTTCGAATCGGCTACCGTAGTTTCGACACTGCTCGATTTTATGAGAATGAGAAGGAGTTGGGAGATGCGCTAGAGGTAGGCTCTTTTGTGCTCAATTTTTTTTCTGAACTTTTTTTCAGATGTTGTTGCCAAAGTACAATCTAGTGAGTTCGGATATTTACGTGATCACCAAATTGTTTCCGTTGCCTGTCGGTGGCGGAAATTCGAATCCGGAGATTATTGAGCAACAAGTTCGAGAATCTTTGAAGAATTTGGGGAGGAGGTAGGTTGTCTGTGTTCTCTCATTTTTGTATTATCTCTAACTAACAAGGATTCTAGCTGTCTGGACTCTCTCACTTTCGTGTAATCTCAATGGGTTTTTACTTTTGCATGGTTCCTGTAGTCTCTCAATTTCATTTTATCGCTAGGTGTCTGGTTGTCTGCACTCTCTAATTTATTTTTTTGATCTCTAGCTGTCTGAACTCTCTCAATGTTATACAGTCTCTAAAACCCTTTTAGTAGTCTGAACCCTCTCAAATTCACACATTCTTTCATTTTTGTCTGACTCTCTGAACTCTCTCGATTTTGTACACTTTCTAACTTGGTCTGTAGACCACCACCTGCACTCTCTCACTTTTGCATGATGTCTAAGAATTCTCTACTTCTCTGAACTCCGTTCTTCTCTTGTAATCACTTGGAGTTCTATAGCTCTCGTTGTCTGGACTCTCTCATCTTCACATACTGTATCACCTTCTCTCGTTGTCTGGACTCTCTTAATTGCAAACAATGCCCACTTTCTCTCTCTTTTTCTCTTACCACTCTCGCCGTCTACCCTCTCCCCCATACATATTTATTCCAGCTACATTGACCTTCTCTTGATTCACTATCCTCGCCCCTTCGAAAATTCCGATCTCGACCCTTCCAACCCCGAAACTCGTCGAATTATTTGGAAGAAGTTGGAAAATCTCAAAAATTCTGGAATTATTCGAAACCTCGGAGTTTCCAACTACGAAAGTCGACACATTGAAGAAATCAGGGCATACAGTAGTCTGGTTCCAGCAGTAAATCAAGTTGAATACCACCCACATTTTCAACGTGGCGAACTTCGCGATTACTGTAGATCCAGGGGTATTCAGTTCCAAGCTTTTTCCCCATTGGGTCGGCAAAATGCGCAACTTCTAAAAGATCCGGAAATTCTAAAAATCTCAGAGAAACTCCAGAAGCCAGTAGCGTGGATTATTTTGAGATGGGCGGTGCAAAATGGCGTTGGGGTTGTGTCAAAATCAATTACACCATCGAGATTGGCACAGAATTTTGAGGTACTTAGAGAATATAATATGAGCAATTATATTCACATTATTTGGGGTCATAAAAACAGAAAATAAAAAAACCCTAGATTTTTTTCAGGCTACAGTAGGAACAGATTTCGTTTTGGGACCTGAGGAGATGAGAATTTTAAACGGATTGAATCGTGATTCTCCATATGTGGAAGACAATGGTTGGCTGAGTATCTAATGTGTGAAGATACGCAGCCAAAGATTTTTGATCTCTTTTATTTTCAGAGGGAAAAGAGCAGCTGTGTACACTTACAAATAAATTCCTTTTTGTTTATTTTTGGACACATTTTTTTCTGTGATTTTTTTCCCAAACATAAAAATTTTGAAATTTTTGTTTTTTTGCTTTGAATTTTTGATTTTTTGAAAAATCTACATTTTTGTCTGAAAATGGCTTTTTTTATTCAAAATTTAATTGAAAAAAATTCTAAACAATTTTCAGCTAAACCTAGTGATTTTCAAGAATCTGGAAAAATTGTAGATCATTTTTCTGAACGTGAACTATGACGTGGCAATTTGAAATTTTGAATTTCAACTTCGAAATCTAAATTTTCCAAAAAAATTGTTCTCAATCAGAATTAGAGTATCACTTAGCAAAAGTTCAGAATTTCGGCTTCGTTAATTGCAAAAAAAAAATGAAAATTTGAATTTTCGACGAAAACACATTGTTATCATTGGAGCGCACTTGCTATTTTACCAACAAAAATTGTGATTTTTGCTATTTTTTCAAGCTTCCTGGGTCATTTTCAAGCTTCCAGGGTCCCAATTTTATATTCAAGACCACAATCTACCTTTCCTTCATCTTAAAGTGCTCTCAAAAAGTGGGCGTGGCTTCGCGCACCAGCTCGAAGAAAAATGCAAAATTCTTCATTTCTCTTGCCTCTCGCATCTCCTTTTCATGTCTCTCTTTCCTTCGTTTTTTCTAGTTTTCATTTTTTTTCGCTCCATCCTCACCACTATTTAGCTTTGCCTTCGTTTTTGTGACAAAAAAATTGGGGCAGGCACAGAAAAAAAATAATTTGTCATTTTTGCAGAAGTTGAGGTTGAGACATAATCGATGGGAGCATTGAGGTGAGCTATTTTGAAAAAAAAAATGAAAATTTGAATTTTCTACAAAAACACACTGTTATCATTAGAGCGCAATTGCTATTTTTCCCAACAAAAATTGTGATTTCTCAAGGTTTCTAGGCAAATTTTGGAGCTTTGAGCTATGACGTGGCAATTTTCATCGAAATTTTTGTATCCGAAAGCTTTCGTGGAATTTTTGATGAGATCAGCTGTGAGCCGATTATTTTTGGGTTTTCCAGATTTCCAAGCACATTTTTAATTAAAAATTTGCATTTTTTAAAAAATATGTCTAGACATTTTCAAAATGTATAGCCTTCTCCTAAAAAAATTGATCAAAAATTGTGGCTCCAGAAAGAAAATGTGCAATTTTTGCTCCAGCGGAAATCTGGAAATGTGATGGATTTCCGGGGCCAAAAAGAGAGTTCTTGAAAATTTTTTGGAGCCAAATGTCTTAGGAGCTATGACGTGGAAGAAACTTTTCTAGAAAAAAAATTAAAAAAAAATAATTATAGGTTTTTTCTAGAATTCTGAAAAATTATGGCCACGTGGCAATTTGAAATTTAGATTTTTCAACAAAAAAACCTATGACGTGGCATTTTGAATTTCAAATTATCAAATTTTCCGATTGGCTGAAAATTGAGGGAAATTTGTAAGCTCAAAAGAGCAGCGAGCTATGACGTGGCAAAATTTTCCCAATTTTGTTTCAAATTTTGCTCATTTTTTTCTCCCATAAAATGAAACCGGATCCCCAAAAGTGATTTTTGTCTGGCTGAAATTCGAGGCCGAAAAGTCCCCGCGCGTTGTTTGTTATTCGCATTTAGAATATCCAGAGCTCTTTTTGCTGCTCACACACACACACACCGTGTTTTTTGTGTATCATATTTTCGAGCTCTTTTTCGGAGCCAAAACTGGCCAGAAAATTTGATTAAATTTCTCTGTTTTCCTTGTTTTTCTCTCGAAAATTTTATGCGAACTTTTTATTCAGCCAGAAAAAGGAAAGGCAGATGTTTTCATGGAAACGAGCAAAATTAGGATTCATGAAAAAAGTGCTCATTGAAAATTTAGTGCTTTTTTTGGAAAGTAATTTCAATCGGGTTATTTTGGGACAAGTTTTTTGTGCAACAAACTAGTTGTCAAGTAGCTGAGCCTAGAAAACTTAGTTGTCAAATAGCTGAGCCAGAAGAACCTTATCTTCTAGGACCCAAGCCTTGAAATTCATTCTGACAAGCAGCCGCTCCTTGAGGCCCTCTTTGACTAGGAGCCGCGCCTAGAGGGCCTCATTGACTAGGAATCACGCCTAGAGAATCTAGTTTTGAAGTAGCTGAGCCTAGAGATGCTTATCCTCTAGGGCCAAAGTCTTGAGATTCCTTCTGACAAGCAGCCGAGCCTGGAAAATATTGTTGTCAAGTGTGAAGCGATTTCCAAGCACTAAATTTTCCCATTTCCAATTTCTAGTGTGTAAAATTCCAAAAAGTGCTAAACGCAATTAGCCGACACAAAAAAAGCGAAGGAAAACAGAAGTGCTTTTTTTCTGCCGACAACAATTGAAAAGCCGGAACTATTTACAAATTTCTAAGAATTATAACAATTTCAATTCAAAAAAAAAGTTCACATTGACCTCTTGCTCCAATTATCGCTTTGAATTATTTATTTTCCGCCTTGCTTTTTTGTTGCGAAAAAAAGGAAAAAGAAGGAAAACTTTCTGGAGCAGAAAAAAAAGGAAAAAGGAAAGTGTGTACGAATTTTCAATTGAGCCAATTTTGTACTTGTTGTGTTTTTTGGACCACTATATGGGGGATAATGAAGAGGGGAAAGGTGTTTTTTGAAAGAGAATTTGGGATTAGCTTTCAAGGAGCTATGTCTAGAAACAGTAGATCTATAGGGTCGACCGCTTGCGACACAAGATCTCAAGGCGTGGCCCCTTGTCAAATTGAATCTCAAGACACGAGCCCTAGACAACTACGTTCTCTAGTCTTAGCTACTTGACAAATAGAATTTCAACTGGTCTCGTCTGCCACGTCATAACTAAAGAAAAAAAATCATATTTCTCCAATTTTAGACATTTCTTTTACTACCAACGAAAAATCCCGGAAATGAAAATAATTGGAAAATTAATTGAAATCGAGCACTGCTTCGCTTATTTTTTAGATGCGATTTTTTTGCAGCCAAAATCTAGCATTTTCAGACACTTGAACAATAGAGCTTGAAGAACCCTCGAAAATAAAACAAGAAATTTATCCAAGCTTGGAGGAATCTGGATCTGAATAGATCTAGATCTAGGTCTAAATAGCTCACATTTAGTAGATCTATGAAATCTAATTAGCTTCATCGGAATCCACTTAGAAGTCTAGAAATCTGAGCTCGGGAAATCGAAGGCAGACGTTCAGAAATAGATTTTATAGTTATGGAAAATCTTAAAATTACTGATTTCTGAACTCAGAGCTCTAAAAATTCCAGAACAATCAGAAGTTCACGAGAAAACTTCAAGAGAATTTCATCGAAACTTCTACTGATCTGAATGATTCTGTGAACATCTAGAAGAACTGAAAACTTTGTGGAAATCCTCCTCAAGATTCTGATAATTCCTAGATCTTTAGTCAAGTTCCAGAAGTCTGCATTCAGAATCGGAAGTTCTAGGTTCAGAGATCAGTTAGCTCAATCCTAGTCATCTCTGAACTTCCACCTCAACCTTGGCATCCTCCCACTTTTCAGACATACGTTTTTGTCAAAAACCCATTGATCTGTAAAATTTGCGGAAATGTCTCTCATGACGCGTCAAAATTTCAGCTCACACCCAAAACTTTTCCGGTTCAATTTAATTTCGACCACAATTTTTTTTTTGCCCGGGGCTCTTTGAGCTTTTGGAAAATTGAGGGGACGAAAATCATATGCTTTTTCGTTTTCCACTCACTTGAAAATCAACATCCACTTGTTGGAAGAACAATGCGCAAAAAAAGCGGAACAATACGGCGAATTAAGGCATGCTTGATTAGCGAGAGAGAGAGAGAGACGCAGAGAAAAAAACATGTGTTTTTTGCAGAAACATTGGTCATCATATTGCGATATCAGTTCGAAGGTTGCTCAAATCGCCACGTGGATTTTCTTCCAAAATTCGATTTGATCAAGGTTTCGGAAGAGACAATCAGGATTTGAGGTAAGTGTGGAAGAATAATGACGTTTGGTTTTCTAGGCCATTATTTTCCAGCACACCCGATTCATCGCGAAGTGTCTCATTCACCGAAGCCATCACCTGGCCATTCATCGATGAAGATGTGGACGAGGAAACTGGCCTAGTTTTAGGCTAGGCCTGTCGGGCCCCCTGGTCTAGCCTAAAATAGGCCAAAAATAATTTACGGTCAATGTATTTTTCGAGTGTTCTTTGATGTTTTTGTGAATCTGATCTGATTTTTTTCTCCCGGAGAATGTACATATTTTATTTTGCAATGAAGTTGATATTTGGAACTTTCTGGTTTTGACAGATTTTTTTTTGATTGTTTCATGAATTTCAAATAAGATGGAGGAAAAACTGGAGAACTTTTTGAATTCAAAAGTAAAAATTCATCGCAGGCACCGGGGATCGAACCCGCGACCTTGAGATCGCCACCTCACACATGATTAAATATTTTTTAGGCCCAACAAGTCCCCACATTTTGTTATAATTACAAAAAAAAACTAACTTTTATTTTTCGGCCTCTCAAAACAAACACCATTTCAAAATCTTATCATACGATTCGATGCCTTCCTGACAATTTTCTTCATACATTTCCCAATAACTTTGAAAATCCTCATTCGTCATATGAATCCAATCCTCTTCGCTCAAATCGTCCAATTCTTTGTCGAGCGAATGTTTGTATTGCTGGCGTTTGGTGATGGCACGACGTTGAGTTTTGTAGGCTTTCCTGAAAAGCTTGTCAATATATTTTATTTGAATTTGAAAAAAAAAACAAAGAAAAAACTCACTTTTCATTCTCGGAGTCGTAGGTTTTTCGGATTAATCGAAAAACTGCCGAGAGGAACAATTCCCAAAGAATGAAGAGGAGATAGAAAAATGCGCCATAGCAGAAATAATCTTCCCATTTTGTTGTCATTTTTACCTGGAAATGTGCGAAATTATGATGGAAATGATTGAAATGACACGTGTTATCGGTCACGTGGAAAAAAACGAAAAAAACATGACAAAAATTGTCAGTACACGAACACTTGGCCTAGGAAACCAAACATCGGCCATCGATTTTTATTTTCGAAAAAAATGGTGAATCTCACCGCTGAAGATGAATTGCAGAATATTTATGAGAACTTGATAACGTAAGTTGTATTAAATCATCTCATTCAACTCTTTGTATATTTTCAGAGCTTTTGAGAATGTGCAAATGGTGAAAAAAGCGGAAAATTGGAAAGATGAGAGAATTTTGGAGTTGGAGGCTGAAAATAAGAAGTTGAATGATTGGATTCGAGACGAGAAATTGAAGAAGATTGAGAGGATTTTGAAGATTGATTATAATGATTTGATCGACACTTTGAGCTCGAATTTGAACAGGTTTGCATCGAAATTCTCACAGATAACCCCAAAAATGTTTTAATTCGGGCTTTTTCATCGTAATCCGGAATCTGAGGAACTTCGAAAAGTTCGACGAGAAGTTGAGGAGTTTGACGAGAACTTGGAGGAATATATTGCGAATTTGCAAAAACTCCAAGACAATCCGCAACTTATACGAATCGATGTGGAGATTGAGGAATTCCCCGGTGAGAAAATTATGGAAGTTTATCAGAGATTAATCAAAAAATCAACAATTATTAACATCAACGATTTTCATACTTTGTGAGAAAACAGCAAAATGAATATAAAAATGAGCAATATTTTCGGAAACACACACCGTTTAAAGGAACATTGTGTTTTGCATTGGGTCTCGTAGCGCTTTTTATTTTCCAATTTACATACATTTATTACACAAAAGCCTTCTACATACAAAAAAGCAATAAAAACTTGTCACCTAGAAATCTATTCATCGTGTCAATAGTGTTTCATATCTTTTGGATCGTCTCAAGACGTGTTGTTCAGATAATTCGAGATGTTCAGGCTGTCCGAGACTTTTTGGAGAGGATTCGACGTCGCCTAGAAGTTTTTGATAGCGACGAGATGGGAGGCGAGAGCGGAACCAAGTCTGGAAAGGGGAATTTGTACTTAGGCGAAGATTCTTTTGACAAACCTTAGCTGCTTCCGAACCTCCAACAACATTCTGTGAAATCAAAGTAGAGTTCCAACTTTTCGTAGGTTTTGCAGCATTGTTCAATGGATCGATATCTTCCTCAACAACATCAGCGTTTCCTAAACAAAACAATATTTGTTTGGTAGAAATTTTCAACCAACTTTCCAACTCCGCTTTATCCAAAACATTTTTCAGCATAAAAATAGCGAAAGATAAAAGGGTGAGAGTTGAGAGAAATCGAAAATAGAATCCTGGATTCATATTAGTTGACGAAATTAGAGAAGTGGGCTTTGTTCGAATTTTAAATTTCGCGATTTCAATCTTTGTGTTACAAAAAAAACATAAATTGTTTGACGAGAGGAAAAAATAACGAAAACTGGATAGATATTTTTTTTTGTCTTGATGAATGGGGATTTATTGTTTCTGATGTAGGCTAAAAATTAAATATGACCGAAAGTGAAGTTTAAAGCTAACAAGATTTTTAATGAAATATATGTTTTCTAGTAGTTTTCGACACGCTGAACACGATTCCGCTGTCAAAAATTGCAGAACTCCATTTCTAACATGAGTTATGACGTGGCAAATTTCAAAATTTCGTTATTTTAGAAGCTTAAAACTAGCTTCAGAAACAATTTTCATCAAAATCTGATAGAACCAGCCTGAACAAAAATTTTTTTTCAAAGTTTGCTATCAGATTTGCCTGAAAATCATTTCTGAAGCTAGTTTTCAGCTGCTGAAATCCCAATTTTTGAACTTTGCCACGTCATAACTCATGTTAGAAATGGAGTTTTGCAGTTTTTGACAGCATAATCGTGAAAAGCGTTTCGAAAACTACTAGAAAACATATATTTCATGATAACCCCTTGTAAGAGGGATTTCAGACTGAATTATGGCCTAGAAATCCAACCTCGGCCGTGAAATTTTGTTCAAAAACATTTCGTGTATTTCTCCCGGACAATCCCCTCTCTTACCATTTCCAGAAAGTCTATCCGCTTCTTGTTTCTCTCTCAATTTTTCGTCGTAAAATGACTCGGCATTTGCAGTTTCCTCACGATTCCTCTGACGAATTCTAGGATCTTTAGACAATGTTTCATCGTACGGTGGATTCTGAAGATCTTCTCGATTTTGTTGTAAACTATTTTCTTCGTTTTCGGATTGTGATTGTGATTGTTCATCGTCTATAGAAGTTCCAATGTGTGAGGAATCGAAGCTTAAAAACTTAAGGTTCACTGTGCATTTGGGCGTGGTGGTGTTTGCACACTGGTTTCAGTAAATTTAAATTGAGGTCTCGCAGCGATTTTAATCTTTGACCTCCCTTTAAACCAACCTGCTGGTATACAAATATCCAAAAATGAACAGAAGAAGCACGGAAAGCCCGATAAAAACTGGCAAATTCTTACGAATTCTTCGATCGGCCAACATAGTTTTTCAGTAGTGATGTGTTGTCCTCACAACCAACAAAATAAAGAAAAATAAACGAAGGGAAAAATTGTTTAGTAGGTTTTGAGGGAAGAAAAGATGTGTGAGTTCGATAAGACGATTTGGATCGCCGAAACATAGATACATACGGATTTCCCCACTGTGGAAAAAAGCCAGACAAAAAATCGTTTTAGCTGGAACTTTTATTGATAGACAAAAAACTGGATTTGTGAAAGTTTTTTGGGGCGATGATCAGAAAAACAAGCATCAAATTAGAAGTTCAGCGTTAATTGGAATATTTTGTGCATCTTTATGCTTCGAACATTGGCCTAGTAAACTAAGCACGGCCGTGTTGGTTTTCTAGGCCACCATTTTTGAAAAAAGAAGTTCTGTATTTCTCTTGGACAATTTTTCATTTCAAAAAATTTATTGGACATTTTTATTGTGTTTTCCAATACCGTCGATAGCTCAGTTGGTAGAGCGGAGGACTGTAGAGTCAGTGGGTATCCTTAGGTCGCTGGTTCGAATCCGGCTCGACGGAACGTTTTTTTTTTGAAATTTTCCTCATTTCACGTTTTACGTGGTCACCTTGGCCAAACTGTTTTCAAGAAAAAACCCTCTCTCGCATTTTTCATAAAATAACTATCTTGAAATGTTCGATTATCTTCTTCTTCTTCTTTTTCAAGTCAATTTTCTGATTTCGCTCATTGTTGGTTGCTCAAATACGGTCAGAAAATCAGATTCGTCGAAAATGAAGAGTGACGAATTGGCGAATGCGAGTCCATCGAAGGAGAATCTTCTACTTCCGCAAACAACTACGCCGCCAGTCAGGGATGATTTTTCAGTGTGAGTTTTTTCGAGCGGAGCGAGTGTAGACCGCAAGCTTGCGCGCAGCGCCGGAATCTTCCGCGCAGCGGCGGGCTATTGTGTAACCTTCACTAATTTTGGAAGTATTTTGACACCAAACGTGACATAGCCCGAAAATTTGAGCCCAGGCCCGGGCCGAGTCATGTTTGGTGTCAAATTGCTCAAGACTACATTAAATCTGTAAATTTCCTGTACTTCCAGCGGAACTCCTCTACCAAATACACCATTAGCCGATCCAGTCGGCGGAAAAGATCATTCTCTACTCGACATCGAATCAATAAAAGCCGAAAAAAAGGCGACGAAATCGAAACAAATGGAAGCCGAGAGAAAAAAGCGACAACTCAGCAAAGAACTTCAATTGGATCAATAAACTTGTTTCGATTTAGCCAAACCTAGCCGTCGATTTTGAACATCGTGAACATTGCAATATTGTCGAATGAAAGGGTCGCCGAGGATCCAGGAAGGGCCAAAACCTCCAGAGTACATGTCAAAAATTGCCAGGTCACATTCAGTTGGGCTTGCCTTAAAATTCTCGTTCTCAAAGTTCAAAGAAAAAATTTACTAACATGAGCAATAAGATTGATCGCCTGAATCTCCAATTCAACATCTCCCACTTTGATCTTCAAAGCTGGCAGATTTTTAACCTTCGAGCAAGGAACTGTATAAGTATCATCATAACTGTCATAAGTTGCACCATAGGCTTTGGCGATTGCGCGAATTGTGTTGGCTGGTCCGCCGATGAAAGAGGTCCCGGTGTCCGAGATCACTTCCCAACCGGATTTGTGTTCGGATGAGGATTTGACGCCGATTCTGGGAATTTGGGAGGTTTGAAATCGAGCTGAAGGGGGACTAGAAATCGCATACAGTGAAAACCTAGTCCCTCCCATTATTTTTCCCCCTTGAGGGGGTTTCACTCACCCATTCATATGAAATTGCCAATACGTGGCTTTTGTCAACGGAATCCACGTCAACACCTCGCCACAATGTTCATCATCCAATCCACCATACGTGAAATATCCACCCTTCGACGATTTCTTTCCGCCATGGTGCTCCAAGTAAACTGTAAACACCGGCTCGTCAACGAGCCCCTGAGCCACCGCGTTGATGAAAGGCGGGGGAGCTTTATTGACGGCGAGATCGGTGAAACCGAGTCCGAGAATTCCGTCGATTTCTTGGCGAGCGAAGAATGGTGCGAGATGCGTGGCTTGGCCGAACACTTGAGATTTTATGCAGAGGGTTGTGTCGGAGAACTGTAAGAAATGTTTTTTTTTATTGTAAGGAAAATTAAATTAGCGAGATTTCAAGCAAAAAAATTCAAATTATATATCACAGGCAATCCGCGAAGGATCCTTTAAGGACGCTTTAAGGATCCTTTCATTTTTGCAAAAAAGGGGGCTTTAAGTACATCGCAAAGCTCGATTTAAGGACGGTTTAAGGATGGATCAAAAATGGACCTTTTATTAAATTTTAGAAAATTTTGGTGATAAATCTGTTGTACAGATGATAAGCAAAAATAGAAGTTCGAAACTATAATTAAATACAGACTTATGCGAAAGAAATCTGCATTGCCTTTTTTGCAAAGAAGATTTATTTATATAATCTGCATGACGGACATGTGGCGAGCTGCGCGCGCTGTTATTTTTTGTGTAGGGGGCGGAGCTTGCCTTCCTTAAAGGATCGTTTCAAGTACGCTTAAAGCTCACTTAAAGGATACTTTTTTAGTGTTACATTTTTGTTGGAATTTTGTATTGTTTCATGATTATATCATTTAATTTCAGTGTTTTGAGTGTGGGACATCAATTTATTATCACTACGAGCATGAAATGAGCCCATTTTGGACCTCCCTTTTTCCGGACTTTTTCATCCTTTGAAATTTAAGGATGAAAAAAGGCCGCTAAAAGGATGAACGGTCCTTTAAGCGTCCTTAAAGGATCCTTCGCGGATTGCCTGTGTACAAAAACTCTTCAATTCTAACAAGAATACAATATTTTCTCAACACCAAACTAAATATAAAACAAAAACATTCATATATGTAGCTAGGTCAAACTAAATTATAGTCTAACTATGAGACAACTCAAAACTATTTATCTCTCTTTCTCTCACTCACTCTCTCCTTTTTACTCACTGTCTTGCGGATCAATCTTTTATTCCGTTCATGTATAAATTTTCAATCTTTTTTTTCCTTTTGCTCTTTTAAGATTGCTCATATTATACAAAATTCTATTGGCTTTAGATTGCTCATGTTATTCCCCCCCCCCCTCACCAAGAAAAAACCCTTACACATAGCGTATCTTTTCCAAAATAACCGCTAGCACTTCCAGTTCCATAATTAATATTGAAAATCCTCCCATCTTCCTCATAGCTCGTCGATTTTTCCGCAACATATTTATTTTTCTTTGCGCAAGCCGACGTTTTCTCGCTAGTTCCACACGATTTGTCCGGAATCCATAGATTCGAACTTCCAGTGTCCAAGACTACGAGAAATGTTTGCTTTGGGGTTCCCAATGTGATATTTCCAAAGTATGCAAAGTCTCGGAAATCTGCCACGTGTTGGTGTTGTTCGGCACTGGAAAATGGTGTTTTATGCGAGCGGCAAAGTTATCATAACTTCTTTGGTGAGTCTGTCAACACCGACTGCCCGCAAACACCAAATTCTACGCGCGATAAAATTTCAAAAAAATGTCCTCTTGCATATATTATCATTAGAGCGCATATTCTCTACTCCCTTATATTTTCTGCAGGAGGGGGAAGAAGAACAAAAAGTTTTATTTCCATTCGCCGTTGCGCAAAAAATTTTTTTTTTGAATTTCTGATTAAAAATTTTTTTTGATCTACCCCGCTAATATTTTTCTATTTTTCGCGAACTAAAAAACGCTGATCGATTTTTTGCCATTTTCATTATTTTGTGGATTTTTTGGCCGTGCGAGGATGTGAAAGATAAGTTTTTCAGGGGTTAATTTTATACTTTCAAAAGTTTTCGAAATCATACCCCCACTCGGATCCTCAAGAACTAGAGAAAGTCTGCGCGCACTCCCCGAGTTAGTACCGCCTACCAGCTTCTGAAACCCGAAGCCATTCATTTCACATGATCTGAGTGAGGATTCTTCATTGAATCCTTTTGCTGCGGCCGGAAAACAGTGACGGGAGTCGCATTTGGGTTTTGCGCATCGTTTATGATGTTTTTGTGGTGAAGAGTGGGAGCAAAACATGGGATTACGCTTTGAAAATAACGATATTTCTATTTTCTATTCTCATTTTTGTTTTTTTTTTCTTGCAGGCGATTCAAATATGGATGGATGGATGGATTTGGTATAAAATCGACGCGACAATTCATCGCTGTTCACTCCGAGGTAAGAGAATATCTCTTTTTTTAGTTTTCATAGTTTCGATTGAAAAGAAAATAACAAAAAACGTCATGATTTTGAATTATTATTGATTCCACAGTCCTATTTCTATGTTTTGAAAGCTTAAAAGTGGTTTTCATCAGATTTCCTGGGTTAAAAATGATGTTTTTGCACAAGGAGCTCTTGCTCATTTCATTCTCAACCATTTTTCATAAAACAACTTGGAATAGCTTCAATTTTGCTTCCTCTATCTTCTCCATATTTGATTTAGTTACAAAAATTCTGTTTCCAGCAATTTTTAGCAAAAAAAGAGAAGCGAAAAAAAGATGAGAGAGTGCAGTTTGCTGAAGAGACTGGTGAGAGATAGAGAGAAAACGAGAGAGTGTGTGGAGTGTGGAGTGCGCACACAATGCAAACTTAGTCCCATTTTTTTTTCTTCGGGATTCACTGTTTTTTTTAAATTTTTCCAAGAAAGAAGTTAGGATAACTAGGGCGCTGCGCGGAAGCTAAAAAACTCACAACTGTGCTCTATCGAACCGGCGAAGCCCGAAATTCCTGGGCTCATCTCGAGAAATCTTCGCGCGATCCACTCGAATTTGAAATTTACTTTTCACCGCCGAGACCAATAGAAGGCAAAAAATATAATACAGAAAATTTTTAATTTCCATTTTTTGTTTGAAAATGAAAAAGTTGTTATTTTCAAACCTCAATCTGATAAAAAAGTTTGTTTTTGATTTAATTTTTTGTGGTTTTGGCCAGCGCTGATAAGTTTTTGAACAAAAATATTTTGACCGGAAGCTTGATGAGTAAATGTTTTGCTGTGCCACGTCATAGCTGCTCCAAAGATACCCTAACTTCTTTGGAAAGAACTTTCCTCCCAGCTTTAATTTCAGTGTAAAATAAAAAAGTTTGCAGGCGGTGGGAGTCGAACTCAGCAAAACCAACCATGATGATCGTGAGCGCGCCTTAGACCACTCGGCTGTGCGTGCTGTTTTCAATCCAGCTGAAATTGCCAATAAAAACTAGCGGTAGGACTCAAAACAATTTTTGGACATGACAAACTTCATTCATTTATAGCTTATACGACTGGACTGTTTCTTAAGGATTATATTCGATCGGCAAATTCTTTCTACGCACCATTCCATCACCCTGGAACCATTCACGACGGAATTGTTTGGCAGCCCCGTCCGGAGTGTTGGTCCACTCAACAGTGATACGATCATTATTGGTATCCTCTTGTCCGTAGGCAAAAGCATCACATGACACCGCCAACAACACAGCCTCTTTTGGATCCAAAACACCGCATGGTGGATCGACACCCAATCTCTTCATATTGGTCGTTTTGATACCGTATCCAATACGACGAGCCGACGAATTGATGACTTTGATGTGATAAGTGTGTTTGTCGTCGTATGGAGCATTGAAGACGATTTTGGCGTTTGGTTGAGTTTGGATATCTCCTGGTGGAACGGATTGAGCCATTCTTGTTGAAAGGTGGGTTGATTTGAACGAGGGTTTGGGAGGGGTTTAAATAGGGAGTTGATAAGATCTTGACACGTGGATTTGTAGACGTGGAAAAATAGCGGGGAAAATGTCACGTTTCGAAAACATTTTATTTGGGAAAATTTTTTTCATTTCTGAAAAAAATGTTATTTTTTTAGGGGATTTTTCTCGAGAAAAATTCGAATTTTTAAAATTTCCCGCCAAAATCAAGAGAGATTACCGTAGTTTTGGGTGCCAGGCTGATTCACGAAAAGTCAAAAAATGTCGAAGAAACATTGTAAGTCAAAATTAGTTTTTCGAGTTTTTCAGCCAAAAATGATGACAAATCGAGATTTTTAAAGCTTCTAGAGTAATTTCTGATGAAAATTGACCTTGGAATTCACTTTCCATAAGGTTTTGCTGATTTTTCGTTAAATAAAAATTTAAATTCTGATGAATTTCGAAAAAATTCATAAAATAAAGCAAAATAGGGTTCTCGAAGCCAAAAATGATGACAAATCTATTTTTTTTTCAAGCTTCTGGAGTAATTTCTGATGAAAATAAGCTTCAAGAACCCTATTTTGCTTTATTTTATGAATTTTTTCGAAATTCATCAAAATAAAAATAAAATTTCGGAAAAATCAGCAAAACCTTCTGGAAAGTGAACTCCAAGGTCAATTTTAATCAGAAATTACTCCAGAAGCTTGAAATATATCGATTTGTCATTATTTTTGGCTGAAAAACTCGAAAAACTAATTTTTTGGGAGAAAAAATTTTGCCTTTTGGGAGAAAAAATATTCCCGAGAAAAATTTGAATTTTCAAAATTTCCGCCAAAAAATCAAGAGAGATTACTGTAGTTTTGGGTGCCAAAATCACAGAAATTCATCAAAACCCCTTTCTCTTGTCATTTTTCATACCAAATCATCATTTTTCGCGCCTCGGGACCTTCTTTCCTTTCATGTTGACACCACAAAACGCGGTGCGCCTTGACACATTTCAAATGTTCCGTGTCAAAAAGATTGACATGGTGTTGACATATTTCACCACCACCAAAAAAATTTTTTTGGATTACTGTAGTCGCCACGTTCCTCTTTGTGATGTAATAATAAATGTTGAAAAATGCCAAGGGGGAAAAATATGTGAGAAATAAATAGTGTGGGGAAAATAAGAGGTGCAGAGAAACAGGTGACCCAACAAAAAGCAAGATGACCAATGCATGCATCTTCGTATAGTTTTTGATATTCTGAAGATCAATCAGCTGTTTATTATCTTGTTGTCTGAACTTTTTTCCTCCTAGCTCTAATTTTAGTGTAAAAAATAAATAAAAAAATAAAAAAGTTTGCGGGCGGTGGGAGTCGAACCCAGCAAAACCTTCCCTCAAGATTGAGCGCGCGCCTTAGACCACTCTGCCGTGCGTGCTTTTTTGAACGCTGCTGAAATTTCTAATAAAAACCCGCTGCCTGTCGTTTTTGCTCCCAGCAAAAAAAGTTTTCTGGGTGCCAAAACAAATATTATAAATATCTAGAGTCTATAAATCGTCCACCCTCACAGCTGTTTCATTGCAAAAAAACCTACTTTTTCTTTATCTTTTGGTTTCTCCCTGGCTCAAGAAAAAAAACAACTTTTGACCAATTTTTTTTACTATTACTACATTTTTCTCTTCTTTTGATTTTTCTCTAGACATTTACTTACCGTAACCCCCCTGAAAATTGCTTGTTTTTTTCCATTTTTTCAAATAATTTGCCCCGATTTTCCCACGGTAATCCTTCTAACACATATTTTATATACGAACTTCTCTTCTTCTTCTTCGTGTGTTTTTTCAGATAAAATAAAAATAATAATAACGATGAGAAGAAGAAAAAGAGCAGAAGCTCAGTTTTCAAAAAGAACATTTTACAAATTTTTGCTCTCTCTTTTTATTATATGAAAATGATGATGATGATGTACACTTTATTATATATCCTTTTCTTTTTGACCTTTTCATCGTGGGTGGTTGTACTTTCTGATAAGCTCCAAGCTAGGAAAAAAAGTTTGCAGGCACCCGGGCTCGAACCCGGCAAAACGCACTCTTTAGATTCTTGCGCGCGCCTTAGACCACTCGGCCAACCGTACACATTTTCCCCCAGCTGTTTTTTCGCTGATATTTTCGTTACTCATGTTTTTTTTATTTTCGCTGCGAGACCCTATAATTTGAGACGAATCATAGGTAAAAGATAAGAAAAAACAAAAATACGAATTAGCTACAAAATTGTTATTTACCCCCGGCCGGAGAAAAAATCACGAATCTGTTCCCCGGAATGGAATTTTTTCCCACATTCTTCTTCTTTTGCTTATTTTTTGATTATTATTATTATTATTATTTTGTTCATGTTTTTTTTGGTTTGGTTTATTCACCCGAAAAATAGCAAAATTCCTGAAGAATATAGAGTTGATTGAAAAAAAAGATATTTTTTTTGACATGTGTGAAAAATATATAGGTAAAAATATAGGAGAAAACCCGGTAATTATGAGAATTGTTAGTTATTTTGTCGCTTTTTGCCGCTTTTGAGACTAGTGTCAAAACAACACGGATTACTGTAGGGGGGATATTTCATTTTCATCCCTGTTTTCCTATAAAATGGTCTCACCACGAAACCCTAGGTATCTTTCCCGAAAAAAAGAAAAAACATCTCGCTTATCTTTGCAAATTTCCTCACGTTTCAAAAAGCCCGCGTGTACAAGTGGTCTAAGGCGCGCGCGCCAATCACACCACCCAGATTTTGCTGAGTTCGACTCCGCCTGCCGGCAACTTTTTTTTTCAATTTAACTTTATAGAATCGTACTTTTTTCTCATGTCCGTCTCGTTTTCCATTGTCCTTTCTTTTTTTCATATATGGTCAGGGGAAGAAGAAAAAAACTATTTTTTCAAAGAATTCTTCTTTTTTTTTCAATCGTAAATATTATATAATATATGGGAATTCGTAGTCCCCGGGTCTGAATTTTACTATTTTCTGCCTATATTTGCTTTTTCTCCATTTTTCATTCTATATTTGCTTTTTTACTGATTTCGACTACTTTTGACCAATGTCTATTTCCATTTTTCTTTATTTATTTTTTTTTGCTGTATGCCGATTTTTTGTTTGACCACTGACTGTGAAATTCCAGGGATTTTTTATTTGTACAGCTTTTTGTACAGTTTTTGTTGTAAAAATAGTAGGAGAGAATTGAATGTTTCATGGGAATATTTTAGTGCGAGAAGACAAAAATAAATAAATTTTGAATTAAAAAATAGCCACGTGGAAAATTCTACAGAATTTTGAACTACAGTAACCAAAATTGATCTATAGATTTAGAATTCTGTGAAATTAAATATTGACATTATTGAAAAGCCCTACAGTAACCCAGATATTAGTACAATTTCTTAGAGATTTTAAGAGCGAAATGTAGGGCTACAGTAATCCAATTTCCAGAATCTACAGTACCCTTTGAAGCTACAGTATTTCTTATTTGTGAAAATTATTTCCTCTAGTACTGTACTTTAATTTTCATCGCGCAAATTGTGATCTACCAATTTCGAGTTCTCGAGATTTCTCGCCCCTAAAAATCCAGTTTTTTTTTCCAATTCGCTTGACTTGTAACAGTAATCTCCTCTTTTCTCTCTGGTACGTAACAAATATCCAACAAGTTTTGAGGGTTGCCGAATTGGTCATTGTATTAGATATTAGATACTTCGACCCTTTGATGCTAATCGAGCGGATCAAGCATCAGGAAAGAAGAAAAAAAAGAGAAGGAACCGGATTTTTTGAAGGCTTTGTGAGGGGAAATAAATATATTTGGGGTGGGGTCATTTTAGGTAGATCAGAACTTGCGGGGAATTTTGTAGATCACAAAAAATTGGCCTTAAAAATAAGGGGGTACTGTAGAGATATATAGGTCAAGAATTTCTGACTGAATTTTGTAGATCACAAAAAATATACGGTAGAAAAAGAAGAGAAATTTATCTGTGAATTCTGGATCTGGATTTTTAGGTAGATCAAAAAATCTGGCGCTAGGAATAGGGTTACTGTAGAAATCAAAGCTTGGGGGATTTTGTAGATCACAAAAAATTGGCCTAAAAATAAGGGTACTGTAGAGATGTCTCAAGGATTTTGAAGATCACTAGAATTTTTTTCCTAAAATCTAAATACCGTAGGCCCAGAATTTCAAGATTCCAAAAATGTGGGTCAAAAACTTCTAGAGTACTGTAGATTTCAGAAACTGTAGGACAAACCTTCCTGCCACGTCATAACTCATCTAAAATTTCCCAGATCTCTGGTGCCTAACCCATGAGCTCTACTAATTAATAAGCACCTACTTTTTCGCCTCCCCGCAATTAAATATAGATTTTTTCCCGCTTTCCACTCGCTCCCCAACATTTTTTTCCGAAAATTGTAGATCAAAATTTTCCGGACGACCCGGAAAAGGGAACTTCCGCACACACAGGTCTTTTTTTGGCAACAAATAAATACAAGACATTTTCGCACCGCAACTGCCTTGCGCCGCGCGCACTCTTACGCAAACATTGAGGCGGAATAATCCGGATAGGCGGACACAGTTATTTTTAGTTGCCCAGGGAGAAGGTGCGCGCTGTGTTGCATCTTGCAAGAAAAATAAAATGTTCCGCGGGCACCTGGCTTTGAACCCGCGGGCAAAAATTGAACCCACGCGCGCGCCTTAGACCACTCGTACACGCGTGCAACTTTTCACCCAGCCTTATTTTTTATATATATTTTTGCATGCGCCTAATTTAAAGGGACATGCGCTTGAGTTGGGACGACGGTTGGTGGTGGTTCATTAGTCAAGTGGTGCTCTTTGTCACCAGTGAAATGAAGAGGAGCGGAATAATGTGATTTTGCGGGGGAAATGCATGCACCGTATTTTCTTTCCCTTTTTTCGGAAGATTGGGGACCCATAGTGAGAAAAAAATGTTTTTTTTTACATGAAAAATCAAAAAATAGAGTTTTTCAGCCAAAAATGATGAGAAATTGTTATTTTTGAAGCGAAAATTCACCTGGAAATTCACTTTTCAGAAGTTTTTGCTGATTTTCATCACAAATCACTTTAGAATCTTCAAAAATCTCGATTTCTCATCATTTTTGGCTAAAAAATCAGTAAAAAATTTTTTGAACTCCCCAAAAAATCCCCAAAAGCCAACAAAAAAATGCCGTTGACCCCGAAAACTTCTTCTTCTCTCCCCATTTTCCTCCGCGCGCGCGGCAACAACGCGGAAACCTGTTTGTGTTGTCCGCAGCTAGCCAACGGCCGAAGTGCACACACTACCATTTTTCTCTCTCTCTCATTTTCTCTCACAATTCTTTTTCGAATCGAATTGGAATGGTTGGCTTCGGGTTCAACCCGGAAAAAGACCGGTTTCTCTTCTTTGCTTTCTGATATCTTTTCGGCTTCTCGTATACAATACTTCTCGCCCTTTTCCCTTCCTTCCTTGTTTTTCCCACTTATTTTTGAAACCTTTTCCTTCCTTTTATTAAAAATTCCAAAAAATAAAAAAACCCCGCAGGCACCCGGTGTCGAACCAAAAAGCCTCCACTTCCCACGTGCGCCTTAGACCACTCGAACACGCGCGTCTTTTTTCCAGTGAGCTAAAATTGTCTAGATATCTTCGATCTCTTCTTTGTGAAGCGCGGGAGATTAAAAAATTCAAATTAAAAAAAATTGTTGGCTTATTTGAACACCGTGTTTGCCATTTAGCCACGCCCACTTTTCTTTGGAGTCACGCCTTTTTTGACTGCCAATCATGGCTCAAGGGCCACGGCTCCGCCTTTTGTGGTTTTGGTTTCGGTTTCGTTTTTTCTTTCTTTACGTTTCGCACTAGCTACTAGTTGCATGAAAAAAATTCCCGCAGCCACCGGGAGTCGAACCAAAGAGTCTCAAGTTCACGCGTGCGCCTTAGACCACTCGTACGCCCATTTCGTGCGCGGGAAATTTTCAAATTTAATTTTTTTTGCACCCCCCCCCTCAAAAAACCAGCTACTACATAGTTGCATATAGCATATATCTATTGTGAATCGGTCAACCAACCGGTTTCCAGGGGGGCCCTCAAGCAAGCAGCTACCAAATAGTTTTGGCATACAGATCATCTTGTCTGCGTCTCCCCCTCTCGCACACTCTCTCACCCCGTGTTACTCTTGAAAATGACCGTCGGCTGGTCGGTCATTTTGCCTCTCTCACTGCAGCTTCTTGGACGGTGGGAGGCCAACCGGTTTTAGGGATTGGCCGGGCTATCGTCTTTTTTTTTAGCTGTGATGTTTTCTGTGTTGGCTTGGCTTGTCTGGGAACTTATTTTATACATTTTCTTGTGAAATTCTGAAAATTTGTCACTTGTTTTTTGTATTTTTTTTTAGCAAAAATTGTATCTGTTTTTTTTCTTTTGAGGGTGGATTTTATCAGATTTACGTCAAGCGTTTAGTTAAATTTTTTCTGGTTTCCAAAAATTTTTGGTTTCGAGTTCAGAGAACTTCTTTTTGTATTTTTCCGAAATTTTGTAATTTTTGTTGCTGGTTCTCATAATTTATAGTTTCAATTTGAAATTCGAAATCTCACGAAAAATCCGTCTTTCAAGGCATTTTCTTTGCAGAAAAATATAAATATAAAAAAAAATAAAAAAGTTCGCACCGGGACTCGAACTCGGCAAAACAGCATGATGGGTTCTCGCGCGCGCCTTAGACCACTAGGCCACGCTTGCACATTTTTTCTGCATCTCAAATCTTGTTGATTATTTCGGTTTCGAGCCCCACGAAACAGTGCGATTTCAAAAAATCATTTTTTTTTCAAAAAACATTTGAAGAAAGTACGTCATTTCCATCGGTCAACCCTACAAATTTTTATTTTTCATTTTTTTTCGAAAAAAAAACAGTTTTGTCCATTTCCATGACAAATTTTCTCACATTTTCTGGTTATCCGTGTCGAAAAATCGGATTTTGGATTTTTTTTTCGCTCAAGTCTTGATGAAAATCAGCTTATCATTTTATCTGGATTACTTTCCCCTCAATTTTACTTGGAAAAAATTATTTTCGAGTTTTCTCCCCAAACTTTTCCCATTTCAAAATTTCAAAATAGTACAATCGGTCATTTTCTCTGCTCTCTGCACTCTCTTATCTCACAATACTCTCTCATCTGTCCACACCTGAAACAAAACAAATTTCCATACGATAAAACTCTTTTTTCCGGAGGTCGGTGAAAAATGATAAATTTTGCTGTATAGTCGCCAATATTTTCTGACTGTACTATTTTTTTTGGTTTGGTTTTTGAAATTCCTCTTTTTTTTTTTGATAGTATGTATACTTTTTTTGAGGTTTGCCTAGCGGCCAAAAAAAAAGAGAAGGAGAAGAAAAAGTGATAAGAGAGGTCCCCTGGAGGTGGAAAATGACAAAATAAATGATATAATAATAATAGTACGAAATTTTTTGGGTTTTGAATTCTTTTAAAAATTACAGTACTCTTTCCGGATCCTTACGAGACCCTTTAACACATTATTTTTGATCTACCTATTTTTTATGTTCCTTCAAATTTTTTCTCGAAGTTCTGAATATTTTTCGAAACTCTACAGTACCCTGTTTTTTTTCGTTTCGAGACCCGTTTTTTTTCTACCAATTTTTTATGTTCCTTTAAAATTGTTTGATTCTAAAAATTCTACCGTAACCTCAGAGTGTTCAATATACTCTTATTCTTTCTACAGTACTCGAATTCTTTCTACAGTAATATTTTTTCCTTTAAAGATCTCCATTTCTACCGTAGACATTCAACTACAGTAACACTTTCTGCTTCATTTTGAAAATTTGATTAAATAAATTCTGGTCAATCAAATTATGTTCCTTTAAAGACACATAGAAAACTAGAAATGTGTGTTTATAATCTTCAAAATTTGAACGCGCGCCTTTTTTCAAAGTTGTGTGTTGTTCGTTTGAAAAAAAGAAAAAACGAATAAAAAGTGGTGGTACGGTATGCTAAGAATGCACACATGTGCGGCAAATCACGAACATTTGTGCAAACACCAAATTTTGCGTCGGCTGAGTGATTTCAAAAAAAGCAATTTCTTTTTTTGACTTTCGCTAAACTCAATATTTTTCAATTTTGTTTATGTACTTCCACTATTTGACGGATGATAAAAAACATGCAAATAATGCTTTTCAAACGATTTCTAGTTTTCTACGTGTCTTTAAAACTACAGTACTACTCTCAGGTTGAAATTTCTCTGTTACTTTGAAGAAGCTACTGTACTTTTCCATTCAAGACCCATTATTATTGTTTATCTATTGTTCTTGAAAACTACAGTAACCCTGTCTCACTGTTTCCATTGATCTACAGTACACAATTATGGTCCTTTAAAACTACAGTACTACTCTCCGCTTGAAATTTCTCGGTCTACAGTATCGCATGTTCCTTTGAAGAAGCTACAGTACCATTTATCTACCATAAATTGTATTCTTGAAAACTACAGTAACCCCGTTCCCATTGATCTACAGTACACATCCATATTTTTTGATCTACCAAAAACCGTATCTCGTTTAAAACTTTGTGCAGTACCAAATTTTCAGATATATTTCATTGGTCACACAAAAAACACACAAAAATCGCCGAAAATCGAACAAAACAACCACATCTTCGTCTTCTCCTTCTTCTCCTTTTCCTGAACACTTCAAACAAAAAAAATGGTTAGTTCATTCAATTTTTTTGCTGCTTCTCCTCATGTAGATCAAAAAAAAGAAGTGTCAACCGGTTTTTTCTAGGCTTAGCCCCTGAGGCGCAAGGCTTAATTGCTTATTCGGTCATCGATGACCGAATAACCGGTATAGTATTGTAACCTAGAAAAAGGACAGAGAGAGAGAGAGAGTGAGAGAGAGAGACGCAGAGAAAGAGAGGATGAATTGGAATTAGGGTCAGAAAATTATAGAAGCTGGTTTTTTGTCGCGCAAGGGGTGTTGGATCATTTTTGAATGGGGTTTTTTTTGAACTACAGTACTTCTACAGTACCCAATTGAATAAAAAAAGTCGAATCTAGAACTGCAAAATCTAACTTATTGTGAGCTACAGTAATCCACACTAGAGAAAGGTTACAGTACCTAAACTATAATTTTTGGTCACGATCTACAGTAATTCTGAACCTAGAAAGTTCATCTCAAGAAATTTTACAGTAACCCGGACTGCAAGAGAATTAGTTCATTGTCTACAGTAGCCCGAACTGCAAAATCTAGGTTCAAAAATAGAGATAGCTTATTGTGAGCTACAGTAATCCGAACTGCAAAAATATACAGCAATCCCAATTTTTTTTTTCAAAGAACTACAGATTTTTGAAATCTAGTTTAGACTACAGTAACCCGAATTGCAAAACCTTGGTTCAAAAATAGATAGCTACAGTACTCCCATGTTCTTCTCAGCTACAGTACCCAGACTGAAAATTTTCCAAAAAAAAATACAGTAACCTTCAAACCTTCAAAATTTAGTTGAAGCTACAGTAACCCAAACTGCAACAACTTGTTCTTCTCTACAGTTCCTCAAATTTCAAAAAAAAATCTATAAAACCTACAGTAATCCGAACTGTAAATCTACAGTACTCCACAATATTTCTGCAAATTCTAATTCAGAGAAAAAATTCCCAAAATAAAAATCCTGAAACTCTATTTTTTTTCCAATTTCCTGCTTTTCTCCCACAATTTTTATTCACTTTCAAAAAAAAAAAAAATTTTCAAAAAATAAAATAAAAGGTCAGCTAAAAAAAGAGGTCACGTTTTTATTTTCCCGACCAAACTAAATATGAAACGTGTAGGTCACTCACTCGCAAACTAGAGTCTAGTTTGACACGACAACGTCAGAAAACAATTTTTAAAAATCCACGCTGGCGAGATCGCCCATTTTTCTCTGAAAACCAACTTCAAATCTGGCGGCGCACTTTTTGTGAGGTGAGAGTACTGTAGATGATCTGGCTACTGTAGGTATATGTTTTAGGGTACTGTAGTTTGCGCGAAGATTATTTGGAGACGAAGAAAATGGGCTTCGACTTCAGGAGAGCAAGTTCTTGGGTACTGTAGTAGTTTTGAGGAGATGGGTTACTGTACATAGGGCTACTGTAGCTTGAGAAAGGGCTTTGAGAATTTAATTGGGGTTTAAGACAAAAAAGTGAGGATTACTGTAATTTCGTACTGTAGTCATTAGATGCAGGTATACTGTATTTTGATGGTAAGAGATTACTGTCTGATTTTAAAGGTTACTGTAGATGGTTTACTGTAGAAATTATTTATTACTGTAGTCTAATAGAAAGAGAAGGTTACTGTAATCTTCAAAAAAGTTATATTCAGATCTTTTGTAAAATTTCTGTAGAATTTTATCTGACCAAGATTTGCGTTGAAAACTTTCCTTATATACTGTAGTTCCTCTAACTTCTCCCCCAATCAATAATGTTTTCAGACTCTTGGCGATCCGCCACCGCTTCTGCAAACCTCCACAATATCTTCCTCCTCAACATCTTCATCATCTGAATCACTACCAGATTCTTTATTGATAAGATCCACTGATTCGCCCACAGCATTTCAACCTCCACCACCAACAACAACATCAACAATGTCCACCAATCCACCTGGCACACCAAATATGACGAATTTTGGCGGTGCACAAGGTGGTCCTCCTCAACCACAAGGTCCACCGATTTTTAATCCCGCGCTGATGGCTGCACAATTGAATGTTTATCAGAATCCGGCGCAATTGATTGCGATGATGCAGGTGAGTGAAAAAAAAAAGAAAAAGTTCGCAGTGGGATTCGAACTTGGCAAAATGGCGCGTGCATATTCCACGCGCGCGCCTTAGACCACTCGGCCACGCGTGCTCTTTTTTCCACAGCTTATTTTTCGCAAAGGATTTCGGTCCTCCCGCTTGCGAATTTATTTTTTTTTGAAATTTGGTGGGAAAACTTTGGATTTAAATAAATTTTGGGACATTTTCTGGTGTTGACAAATATTTTTTTGGGAATTTGATATTTTTGTAAACATTTTGTGAACTTTTGAAACTCTGCTGATCATTTTTTGTTTCGCAAAATCTTCACCTCCAAATTCCTCACCCAGTTGGAAGCCAACAGCAGTTTATCAAAAATTGCATCCCAAACTTTTTTTCATTTTCTTCTGCCATATACCTTTTCCGTTTTCGCAGAAGGTCATTCTCGAATCAAAAAAATCAAAAAATATTATTTTATTTACGCATCATGACCTTCACAGTTCATTTTTTGGCGCCAAAAAAAGTTCCGATTTATTCCAGGCTGCCGCTGCTGCGAGATCAAATCAAATGCTATCTGCACCAAGTCCAGTTGGCCTCGGGCCGGGTCAGGCTCAATTGATGCCCAATATTTTGCAGCAATTGAATGCGATTCGACATGCTCAGGTTAGTTTTGGGGGGGCCTGAACGGGCCTGGAGGATTTTTGAGGGGCCTAAATTTTTGACAAGTCTGACTACAAATTGATAAGCCTGAATCAGACCTACATTTTTAGACAAGCCTAAAATGAGCATGAATTGAGCCTGGAGTTTTGAGAAATCCTAAAATAGACTTGAACTGGACCTAAGAAGCCTAAGCTCAGCCTGAAACTGAGCCTAAACAAGCCTAAAGCTAGGCCCAACAAGCATAAGCCCAGCCTAAAACTAGGCCTAACAAGCCTAAGCCCTACCCAAAATTTTCCCCGATTTCACTTAACTCTCCAAAGGTCAATCCACTTTTCCCCAAATGTTTCCATTTCCAAATCACAGTCTATCTCTAGACCCTCTCATTTTCCCACACTCTCTTCAATCTCGCGCCCTCCGCTCTCTGCGTCTCTCACTACCGCTCTTATCTCTCGCATTGCCTATTTGACCTTTGGCAGAATGCCAGAGAGGCACAGCAATTTTTTTTTGGAATTTTATCAGTTTTGATTTTTGAGAGGTTGAAACATGAGAGGCTTTTTCGATTTTTTTTTATTTTTTTGAAATATTTTGAAATTTGGAGTTAAAAATTTTAAATTTTCAAATTTCGCGCCACAAGTTTTGAATCCAGAATGTTTGCCAGTCTAAGCCTAACCTAAGCCCAGCCTAAGCCTAACCTAAGCCCAGCCTAAGCCTAACCTAAGCCTAACCTAAGCCTAGCCTAAGCCTAGCTCAAGTCTAGCCTAAAACTAGCCTAAGCCTAAGCCTAAAGCCCAGCCTAACATGAGCAATGACATTTTGAATCCAGAATTTTCTTGAATAAAAAAAGCCTAGATATATTTTGCCTAGCCTAAGTCAAACCTAAACCTAGCCTAAGTCAAACCTAAGCCCAGCCTAACATGAGCAATAATATTCCATTGATTTTCAAAATCGCCTAACTCTAAGCCTAACTAACTTGTTATCAAAACAAAACTCACAATTCCCTCTTCGAGCTTGATTATTATCACCCAAAATATCCGTCGTCGATCTCTGCGTCTCTTCTCCTCACACACTCTCTCGCCACCTGTTAGCTAGCTTCTCGTTTTCATATCTCGAGGAGATATTGAATATACATATATTTTTTTTATTTGAAAAAAGGCAGTCGGGGCGGGGGGTTGCCCCGGGTGACATGGAAACGACCTCTCCTCGCTTTCGCCTAGCCCTCCTCTCGAGTCACTTTTGCCTTCCTTCTCGTTTGTGTTATTTTTGGCCTACTAGAGCCCCTACTAAAAATAAAAAAATTTTGAGTCAAGTCAAAAATGGACACCGATATTTTGTTGTATGCTCATTTACTCAAAGGATTCACGGTGGATGAGGTGGGTTTAGATTAGAAAATAAAAAAATATTGCTCATGTTAGGTGGGGATGGGTTTAGGCTGGGGTGGGTTGAGTTTAGGCTAGGGCTTGGCTTCAGCTGGGTTTAGGCTGGGATTAGGCTTAGCTGAGGCTAGGCCTAGACTGGGATTAGGCTGAGCTCAGGCTTAGGCTAGACTGACCTCACAAAGGCTGAGGCTGGGGTGGGTTCAGTTTAGGCTAGGCCTAGACTGGGTCAGGCTAATGCTAAGCTGGGCTAAGGCTGGGCCTATGCTGAGCTTAGGCTAGGCTGAGGCTGAGGCTAGACTGAGGCTGAGGCTAGCTGGTTCTAGGCTGGGCTTAGGCTAGGCTTAGGCTAGACCTAGGCTTGTTCTAGGCTGGGCTTAGGCTAGGCTTAGGTTAGGCTTATGCAGAGCTCAGGTTTGGTTGAGGCTGGGTTTGGTTTAGGCTGGGGTTAGGTTGATCTTCCGCTCTGAAAATTTGATCTTGGTGTTTGAGGCCTGATTTTAGGCTTGACTGAAAATCTAGATTGTTCAAAATACAGACTAGACTGATTGAAAATTGTGCCATTTTTCAGGCTTGTCTTTAGGCTCTAGGCTTGAAAAATTCATATCAAGCTTGATCTTCAAAAGATCGGCCCGAGATTCAATTTCAGACTTGACTTAAATTCAGGCCTATCAGAATTTGAGGCTGAATCTTTAGAGTAATTGTGAGTTCAGTGATTTTCAGCCTTGTCTTATTTTTAGCCCTTCTTCTCCCCCACAGATTCAAATTTTCCTGAGATCATCAATATTTTTTTGAACTCTCATCCTATGAGATTTGAAAAACATCATCATTTCAAATTTGTTTTTACCAACCATTCTAGGCTCGTGAAAATTGAAGGCCCAAAAATCATATATAATTTTTGTAGATCATAAAAATAGGCTCTGCTAAATTTAGGGCTTCTCAGTTTTTAGGCTCAAACTCTGAGGCGTCTTGAGAAAATCTGGCTAGATGTTTTCAGGCCTGTCAAAATTCAGGTTCCATAAACCTTATCAGACAAAAAATTCCAAAATTTCTCAAGTTTCAGTCGCTTTCGCTTATCAAATGCACTTTTCCTTTTTTCTGTTTTTGACCTCTTTCCTTTTTTTTTTTTCAAAAATTTATAATCAAAACAGTCATTCATTGTGTGCCCGCACCTATTTTTTTCATCATTTTCATCTCTCTCCAATTTCTTCCTTCCCTTCCCAATTTCTCCTTGAATGGCCTTTGACCGTGACCTTCTCGTGTCTGTCAACTCTCTCTCGATTCCACACACTCTCTCGCCACCCTGATTTTGTCTCTCTCCTCTCCCTCCGGCCGAAACCGACCGACACATACCAAAAATTCAGACTGTCAATGTCATCTCGATTTTTTCCTGATGTTTTTTTTTGGGTTTCTGTAGATTATTATAGGTGTTCTTAAGAAATTCTGATCTAGCTGGATTTTTATATAGAACTTCTATAGATCTTCAGAAGATTTTCAAGGTTCTTGAAATCTTCTGAATTTTGAAGATCAAGGAAATCAAGCTTGCTTGTGGATAGTTTTCATGATTTTTCTGATTTCAAAGATCTGAAAAAGGTTTTTCATGAAATTTGAGGCAAGATATATTTTTGAGATAGTCTAAGAAAACATTTACCCTCTCCTTCTCCCTGTTTCAAAGGTCAAAAGGTCATTCATATCTGTGAAGCAGCTGAACTTGTAATTTGTTTATATTTTTTTTCAAATTGATGAGCGATGAACTTTTGACCTAGACCTAACTTTAATGATTGTTTGTTTGTTTAATTATTCATTTGGGTTGTGTATAGTATATTTAGTTAGCCTATTTTTTCTGGATAAATTTTTGAGGTGAACTTGAATTCATTTTAAAGTTCAAGTTCTAGAATTCAAGCTGTAGTCGAACTTTTTTTCTGTGAAAAATTTTTCTAGGGAACTTTGAATATTGAGTCAAATATGAGCAATTTAGAAATGTGCAGCTTGAAATTTTGATACTAACTATTTTTCTGTAAAAAAAATTTCTAGATCAATTTTTCATGTAGGTTCTGAATTTTTAGATAAATATGAGCAATCTGAGAATCTTCAGCTTGAAATTTCGATCTGAAGCTCTAAAATTCAAGCTCTGGACTTTGGTCAAACTTTTTCAATTTGAAAATTTTTCCAGACCAATTTTCCAAGATGAATCTTAATTTGGAGTCAAAAATAGTCTATCTAAAAATTCTCAGCTCGAAATTTTGATCTGAAAAGTTGAAGCTCTAAAATTCAAGCTCTAGACTCTTGTCGAACTTTTTTTCTGTGAAAAATTTTTTCTAGGTGAGTTTGAATATTGAGTCAAATATGAGCAATCTAGAAATCTTCAGCTCGAAATTTTGCTCAAGAAGGCTCTGGGCTTTGGTCAAACCATTTTTCTGTTAAAATTTTTCTAGATCAATTTTTCAAGGTGAATCTGAATTTTGAGTCAAATATGAGCAATCTAAAAATTTTCAGCTTGAAATTTTGATCTAGAGAAGTTTTTTCATAACTTTTGTTCCTAGCCTTTCAAAGCTCTCATAAATTTTCTATGGATGATTTTGGTACCCCAGAATCAGAAGGGTCACTTTTTGCTCCAAAATTTTTCTGGATCAATTTTTCAAGGTGAATCTGAATTTTAGGTCAAAAATGAGCAATCTGAAAATCCTAAGCTGAAAATTTTGATCTAGAATAATATATGCTAATCATTTTTGATTCTGACTTTTCCCTCTCTTCTCTGAAAACTTCTCCCAACTCTCCCCTTTAAAAGGTCATTTTCATATAAATAATATGCATGATTGAAATTGAATAAAATTAGTTTGGAAAAAATTAAAAATTCTCCTCCATCTCTCTTTTCTCATCATCAAAAATTTGTGCGAGAAAAAAAATTTCACGGAGCTCTCGCAAAAATCTCATATTCCTTCTTTTTATGGTAATTAGTTGGGATATATATGTCAGATACATACTTTTTCCTATTTTTCATTTTTTATTTTTCTATGGGGAAAAATATAAATTGGATTTTCAGGATTTTTGAGAGATATTCATAGATTCCAAGAAAAATTTTGAAATTTTCAAAAAAAAAAATCAAATTTTTGCAGCTGACGAATGCGAATCAGATGAATGTGTTTCAAAATCGTTTGGCGACTCCGAAAATGAATGGTGAGTTTTTTTTTCGGGCGCGGGTTTGAAAATTTTGAATTTGAATTTGGGGATCACTGCAGCTGGGAAGTTTAAAAACGGTTGATTAACGGTTGATAAAAACTGCTTTTTATCAACGGAGTACCCACCGTTAATGAACCGCGGATTAACCAATTTTTAAATTTTGAAAATTACCCAAATCGATGAAAATAGGTTCCCGGCTACTTTTTTGGGTGTTAAGTGTTTTCAAAAATTTTGAAAATTTTCATGATTTAATCCACGGTTAATCAACGGGGATCAACCGTGGATTAAATATTGGTACTTCGTTGATTAAATTTCATTAAAGTTGGTTTATAAACCGTTAATCAACCGTTCTTAAACCTCCCAGCTGCTGTGGATGGAGCTTGGAGCTCAGAGCCACGTCGAACAATTTTAGGATTTTTTGGATCAAAATTGTGAACTTCAGAATTTCAGTCTGAATTTGGGATGAAGCTTAGAGCTCAAAGCTTAAAAGCCACGTGGCATAATTTTAAAATATTAGGATTTTTTGGTTAAAAATTTGAGGCTCTGAAAATCCACGTGGCATTAATTTTCATCTGAAATTTCAATCTTTAATAATTTGGCCAATGTTTCAGCGGGTGAAGCTCTGAAACTCCACGTGGCAAAATTTTGATCCAAAAATTAAAAATTTCCAACTTCAGTTCCCATCTGGAAAAATGAATTTCCTGAATGTTTGGTACCAAAAATCCACGTGGCAAATTTTCATCTGAAATTTCAATTTTAAAAAAATTGATTGATGTTTCAGCGCTTAAAGTTCTGAAAATCCACGTGGCAAAATTTCAGTTCAAAAATTTGAAGTTGTCATCTGAAAAATTAATTTTCTGAATTTTTGGCTCTGAAAATTCACGTGGCATTAATTCCAACCAGAACAAATTTTCAAAATTTTGATTTCGACTGTGATTTCAAAGCTCACAATCGGGAAAATTTTTTCTGAAAAATTTTAACACCAAAAAAATCCATCTAACCTTCCCAATTTTTTCGCAGAACGCGGTGAAAACTGCGCAGAACTGTGCGTTGTCTGCGGCGACAAAGCGTCAGGCCGCCACTACGGCGCAGTCTCCTGCGAAGGTTGCAAAGGCTTCTTCAAACGATCGATTCGCAAACAAATCGGATATATTTGTCGAAGTTCGAAAGATTGTCCCGTCACCAAATTCCATCGAAATCGTTGTCAATATTGTAGGCTCAGGAAGTGTTTGGCGATGGGAATGAGAAGTGAATGTTAGCAATTTTGCAAGATTTTTTTTGACTAGGCTTGGGGCTCTCATGGGCTCCCAGGCCTGGTTGAAAATCCAGAATTTTGAAATCATAACTCAATTTTTGCAGCTGTTCAAGCCGAGCGAAGACCAGTCAATTCAATGAATTCGGATAGTCCGCCTAATATGAGCAATAGCACGCCAAGAGCATTGACAGTGAGTTTGAGGGGAGGTTAGAGACGCAGGGAAGGGTAGAGTCAGAAAGCTAGAGTCGATCTGAAAGAATCAGACAGGCAGAAAAGGTAGAGATGTAGAGCTTCAAACTTTAAAAAATCTCTCTAGAAAACTTATGGCAGAGTCAGACAGCTAGGGTTATACAGAAAGAATTAGACACGCAGAGAAGGTGTAGAAGATCTAGGTTAGAAGCAGTTAGCCAGAGTCCAAGAGTTAGAGACGCAGAGAAATTGAGATTGGGGTAGAGTCAGACAGCTAGAGAAAGAGAGTGTTTTAGGAATACATGCACAGTTGAGGTCAGAGTCAGATAGCGAGACTATTTTGGACAAATTAGAGACGCAGAGAAATGAGATTGGGAGTAGAGTCAGACAGCTCGAATTAATATAGAGAGTTGGAGACATAGTGTTTTAGGAACAGAGCTGAGGTTAGAATCAGACAGCCAGACTATTTCTGAGCTAGTTAGAGACCCAGGAGGGAAGATGGACTGTTAGAGACGCAGAGTAACTCAGTGTCTAGTTTTTTTCCGGGGCAGAGTCAGACAGCTAGTGTATTACTGAAAAAAAATCAAAGACGCAGAGAAAGTGAGGTATCGAAATCTAGAAGATCTAGGTCAGATCCAGGTAGCCAGAGTCTAAAAATTAGAAACGCAGAGGAATTTGACGTTAGAGTCAGATGACTAGAGTATGCTAGTTAGGTACTCTAGGTTCTTAAAAATACAAAAATTCAGAAATTCAAATTATTTTTCCGCGTGAACTTTCCCACGTGAAAATTTTTCATTTTTCATTTCCTATTTTTGCAGCCTCTCAACACGTCTTCCGTCGTCAACAATCTGTTATCCCTCGTCAAACTCGAACCACCAACAACATCATCGCAAGAAATCTACGAGCCATCATGCAAGATCAAACGCGAATCAATCGGCGAAGATGAATCCGGACTGGACACAATGACAGTAATCGGGCTGGCCCCTTCCGCATCGCCAACATCTTCCGGAATCGGATCCTCTTCCTCGCTTTCCGATGAACCGATTTTCAACGCCGAACGAAGTCGCTTTGAAATCCCAATCCCATCTCAACCGCCAGCCAATTTCAATAATCAATTTATCTCCGAAACCGCTTCTCGATTATTATTTTTATCAGTTCATTGGATCAAAGATGTGCGAGTTTCGATAAGTCGAACAACTTTAGAAAATGTGCTGAAAGTGAAATGGTGTGATCTATTTGTGTTGGGATTAATGCAAACCGCGGAAACTGTTCAATTGATAACAATGCTCGAAAATATGTCGAATCATTTGGCAGTTGCTGTTGAATTAGGGCATTTGAATTCGGAAAAGTTTGAAAAAGTCAACGATCAATTGGTGCGACTCATCCAACTATCAAGAATATTTTCCACTTCCGATTTGTCGCCAATCGAGTTCGCTTATCTCAAACTCCTCAGTTTTACAAATGATGATCATCCTTCGGCGCCAAGATCGATTGAAACAAGGAATGTGAATTCGACTGCGTCACAAGAACTTTTCGAATATGTTTCTTCCTCGTCTTCTAGTAAAAATAATGGAGTTGCTGGAAGTCGAGACGGTGAACAGATTAATGTGGATGATTCGACGTCGGAGGATAATGAGACACATGTCACTTCACATCCACCAACACATACAAATGCGGCGGCTGTTGAGAGGTTGGTGGGAGAGCTCTAATCTGAGCAATCCTTGAATTTGGGAAGCTAGAAGAGTTTTTGACCTCTATAACCTGAGCATTCCTTGATTTTGTTACTCGGGGATAATATGAGCAATTGAATTTATTCTGAGCAACGCTTAGAATTCTTAGTTTTTATATAACTTTTTACTTTCAGAAAATGTTTAGTATGAGCAATGTTTGAATTTCGCGTTAATATGAGCAACAATTAGAATTTTTTGGGTTTATAATTTTTCACTAATATGAGCAATTTTCATGATTTTTCAAAAAAATTTTTAGTATGAGCAATGTTCAAAATTTTGTGTTAATATGAGCAATGCTGAATTTTTTGTATTTATTAATTCTCACTAATATGAGCAATTTTCGTAATTTTTCAGAACATTTTTAGTATGAGCAATGCGCGATTTTTTTTCTGTGTTTTCAGCTTTAACAAAATTGAAAAATCAATCAAATTTAAGTATTGCTCATATTAAACAAAAATATACGGTAAGACGTTGTCTGATTCATTTCAACAAAAATTAAAAATTGCTCATACTAAGAAAATTCTGGAAAAACACAGCATTGCTCATATTATACTATGAATATTGCTCGAATTAACTGAACTATAGCATTGCTCAGATTATACAAAAGTATTACTCATCTTATTTAAATGAATGTAGCATTGCTCAGATTATCTTCGAAGTTCAGAGATCCTGAGAAATTATTTTTCTAGCATTGCTCAGATTATAGATTCCAGAAACAACCATAAAATAATGAAAATCATAAAATGTTTAGTATGAGCAATGTTTGAATTTTTACACGATAAGTATTGCTTTTTATTATCTGAATTATAGCATTGCTCAGGCTATCTTTGAAATTTAAAGATTCGAATTCAAAATAGGGTTTTCTGAGTTCTATAATCCAACTAAAAAATAAACATTGCTCAGATTATAGATTCCAAAAACTTCCCCCGATTCTCAAGTACAGGTATTATTTGCAGATATTCTCGCTTGCTCCAACTTCTTCCAACTCTCCGCTGGTTCGACACCTCAATAATCGTCGAGCTATTCTTCTCGGGTCTAATCGGTCAAATGTCGATCGAAACTGTTATTCCATTCGTTCTCCAAATGAACGTCATGACGTTTTTTGACACACCGTGTAATAATTCCGATGATTAATTAATTAGTAGTTTTTTTTTGCAATTTTTTCTTCAAAACCCCGTGTAGCTTTTCGTTTTTTGTCACAAAATTTTTTCCAACCCTTATAAATACTCCCTATCTACCTCTTTCTCTTTATGTATATTTTTTCAACCATTTTTTTCCACTTTTTCCCGTGTGAAACTTCAAAACTCCGTGCTTTCTCTTTCTTCCACCACAACTTGCCCCACCACACATTTTTCCTTGATTCTAATTCTAAAATTTTTTTTCTTAAAGTCAAAGCTTTATTTTTGTAAAGCTTTATAGCGCATTTTCTCTAGACTTTTTCTCGTTTTTTTTTTGAAAATTGATTCTGAATTTTCGTTGGCTTTAGAAGTTTTCTGATAGATTTTTTTTGGTGTATTTATTTTTTTTTTTTTGAACAAATTTTTGAAAATGAATCTTTGGATTGGTTTTGATTTTAAAAATTTCAGATTTCCAGATTTTTTTGAAAGCATTTTTTAGAGCAAAAATTTGAAATTTTGCGCAAAAAACTTCCACGTGGCACACTTTATGAGATTTTTCAGATTGAAACATTTTGGATTCTGAAATTTAATTGCCACGTGGATTTTTGTGGAAAAAAATACTGATTTTTTTTCCACGTGGCACAACATTTTTCAGAACGACAAATTTCAGATTCTGAAATTCAATCGCCACGTGGATTTTTGTTCACAAAATTTTAATTTTCCCTGCCACGTGGCATTTTTGATCACTGAAAATGTTCTTTTTTTCAAAATTTCGCGCCAAAAATGTACCACATGGATTTAAGATTCTGAAATTTTTTTAGATTCAAAATAATCTAATCCGGAATTCCACGTGGAAATAGCTTTAGAACAAGTTCAAATCCAGAATTCCAAATTTATAAAATCCAGAATTCCACGTGGCAAAAATTTTAGAAAAAAATTTTCCAACCAAAAAATTAAATTTTTATTTCAATTTTTTCGATGAAATTATCGGTTTAGCCTTCTCTATTTTACTAGGCTTCTCTATTTTCTGTTTTTTGGAATCCAACTTGGTTTTCATGATTTTCGAAGGTTTCTTAGTCGCTGGTTTTTCGGATTTGATCGATTCGATGTCCATCAATGAATTTCCATCGTCATGTGAAGCATCGTAAATTGGAATATGTGGCGGTGGAGCTCCTCTGGGAAAAAATGAACTGGAGATCTTATGACTCGAAAAAAACCCCAACTTACACCAAAAAATCATCACTTTTAGTTGATCTTGTTCCCGATTTTGATTTTGAATTCGATTTCGATTTCGAAGTCGATGGTGTCACCAAAACAATCTCATTATTCACCTCAAAATCATCTTCATCTTCATCTTCATCTTCATCATCTTCAGTATCAGTTTCAAATTCATAAGAATCCGAATATTTTTCAGATCCAGAATAATATGAGTAATCATCATCATCTGCTTTTGAACTACAAAAAGTCAAAATCCAGAAAATTGTGGGCAAAAATAGGCAAAAATCGAGGAGATAAAGTGGAAGATAATCAAACATTTTTAGAATTCTGGAAATATTAAAATGGGGAAAATTGTTGATTTTCGGGAAAGTGGGACACGTTTTTTAGAATTTCAAATTTTAAAATTAGAATTTTTTAGTTTGTTTTTTGAAGTACTGAGATAGACTTGCTGCAAAATTAGTGTGAAAAGCTCGAATTTTCAAAAAAAAATCAGGAAAAAAAATTATTTTCTAAAAAAAAGTTTTTCTTTTGAAATTGTTCATGATGGGAAATATCGGAAATTTAAATGTTTTTCTGATTTTCCACGTCACAAAATCCAACGTGTCCCACAAAAATTTCAAAATTTTCAGTCATTCCAAAAAATTCAAATATTCCAAACTGCCGCAAAAATGTTCAGGTAAGTCTGCTTCTCTGCGTCTCTCTCTCTCGCTCTCTCGTTCTCCCACACTTTTCCCATCAGGAAATTTCCATATCAAAACCAAATAAGAAGAAGAAGAAAATCTCTCTCACCTGCAGAGACGCAGACAACAACAGTCCACTGTAAACTTTGCATCTCTGCGTCTCTTCTACCTGTCATACTCTCTCGCTCTCTCGTCAGTCAGTCACGACGATTATTTTTGCTGCGCCGATGAATTGACCTGTTTTTCAAGCAAAATCGTAGTGCGGTTTTATTTCGTGGTTGATTTTTTGGTTTTTGTGTAGTTCTCTCGGACAACCGGGGGATTTTTGTGATTTTTATGGGCTTCATAGGATTTATGTGCTATACAACTTCTATTCTATTTTTGCTGTTGCTATTGTTGTTTTTTGTTTTTCAAAATTTTCAACAAAAATCAAAGTGTGCAATGGAGCGCGTTTGATTTTTCAGCGAAAGTTTCATTTGGGCAAAACGAGGCTAATCGATAATTGCTCATCATTGTGCAAATATTGGGCGAAACGCTCCCTCTCTAGGAATTTATATTTTTATTATAATAATTTTCTATGATGATTTATCCTTTATCTTTCCCCTTGTGACGATCAACAAGTTTTCGATTTGTTCCCATTTTTCATCGACTTTCCCTCCTAATCTCTATATTCATTTATTTATTCATTCAATTCTTATCTTCCTTCCTTCCTTCATTATCATCATCATAATTAACGGAAAAAAAGATTTTCCCAGGAATTTTGAATGCGCGCCACACTTTGTGTGCATTGCACACAATGCATTTTACCTGACGACATTGTTTTTTCTTTTCTTTTTTTTCGAAAAAGTCTCTTTTTCCACCGTTTTTTGGCGAAATCGCAATTATTACACTGTTTTTAAGATGAAGCGGGTTGGGAAAATGATAACGATAACAAGTTATTCGCTGCATTTCCCTTGGAAAACACCCAAAAATCCAATTTTTCATTGCTTCGCCTAAAATAAGCGAAAGTGTGTGTTTTTTTCGAAAGAAAGAGAGTAGGATAGGTTAATTAACGAGACGAAGGTCGCTTCTTTTATGGGAACCTCTTTTTGCCTTTTTCTGGTGGAAAAAAGTGTTTTGAAATGAGGAGAAGAGACGATTTTTCACAGATCCTTGAGAAAAAGTGTTCTTTTTCACACTTTGCGAAAATGTCAATAAATTGAACAAAAGCAACTATTATTATTATGTGTTTTTTTTGTCATGAAAGCTTTTGCCGATTTTTTTTTCGTCAGAAGTACGGAAATTTTCTTTTTTCTTGTTTACCAACTCAACATTTTTTTTGCTGTACTTCGCAAAATTCGTTACTTTACAAGACTATAACTAACTTCAAAAATAATTTTCATGAAAATCTAATAGCATAGCTTTGTTTAGGAGAGTGGATTACATAAGTTCAAATTATGAAAAATTATTATTTTTCGATGGAATTTCAGAAAAGCCTGTTGGAAATCTGTAAGCTGAAATTTCCCCAAATAAAAATAATTTTTTCAAAATTTGAACTTATGTAATCGACTCTCCTAAACAAGGTTATGCTATTAGATTTTCATGAAAATTATTTTTGAAGTTAGTTGTAGTCTTGTAAAGTCACGAACTTCGCTGAGCTAAGCTATTTTTGACAACGCGGTCTGCTCAGCGGCTGAAAATCTACCGGAAATTCTCATTTCTCATCGCCTGTCTTTTCGAATTAACCCAAGTACATACCCGCGATTTTTTAACATGAGTAATGCTCGTTTTCCGCTGCCCAATTCTTGTTTGATTACATCTTTTGGACACAAGACGCAAAAAAAGTTGAAAGAGAAAAGAAAACGAAAATTGAGGCTATAGTAAATTGGTTCACTTTTTCCCGTTTTTTGTTTTAGTTTAGTTAGTTTTTTCTCATTTTTTTTGGGAAATTGGTTGGAAAACGGTTTACGTTGCACATTTTCAATTCTCACACCAAACTCCACCCATTTTTTGGGTGGAGATGTGAATGAGTGTCCTTTTTTCCCTGGACATTGTTCTCTTTTGTTGTTGCAACAAAATTTGTAGGTTTGTGTGGGAAAGTGGGCTTTTTTCGGTTTGAAAAAAGTTGTTAGCAGTACTTTAGAGGAAAATAGCTGGTTTCAGGTCGATTTTCTTAGTCGTGGCTGAGTTTTTGTCGGATTCTCGGCCGTCATTTTGAAATTACGACGTAATTGTCAAAATTTTGAATTTTCCCGCCAAATGTTCAGGCTGTGACCAAGTTTTGTCGGATCCTAGGCCACGAAGGTCGCGAAATTTCAAAAATTTGAATAACCGTGTTTTTCTGTCTAAAAATCGTGAACTTTCTCCTCTGAGACGAATTTCGAAATTCCAAGCCACAGCCGAGTTTTGTCGGATCCTAGGTTATCAGATGTCGCAAAATTTCGTATATCGGAATTAGCATGAAATTTTGAATTCTGACATTTTGTGCCGAAAAACGTGTATTTCTCTCGGACGAGTTTTGTCGGATTCTAGGCCACCTGTTTTTCCGAATTCAAAAACCACACCCCGATTTTTCCCGCACTCTCCAAATGCATTTTTCATCGTTCGCCTTTCAGTACACTTATAAAATTTTGCTAACAGTTTAGTTTTTTGTGTGTTACACAAAATTTGAGAACAAATATGTGGAGACACAAATAAATAATAATAATAATAGAAAAGGTACAAAATCTATTATGTGTCTGTTTTTTTTTTCAATTTTTTGGCTGATGTATTTAGTGTACATATAGAAAATGTTTGTTGTTGTTGTCAAAAATCATCAAAAATTGTTGATGACTACACAAATTTACATACTGTTTGTTTTGTTTTTCGACTCACTGATAAGTGCATTTTGATTGTGAAGGGAGCTACTATTTTTGAACGAGAGAAATTGCGTATTGTGTATGATTTTTCGCTCGTTTTTGCGAAAACCCTCAATTTGTCAGACAATTATATAAGTTTATCGATCGTTTTCGACGAAAATCGTATCAACTTAAATTTTCTGATAGGGAAATGAAGGTTTTCTCGACATTTTAAATTGTTTGTTACCGATTTTTGGTGTTTGGTTTGATCTCGAACTTATTCTAAGTCCGAAAATCGGGATTTTTATGAAATTTCGTTCTAGAAACCTTTCTGAAAATCCATTTTTCTTGGAAATCGGAATTTTCGTGAGAAAAACTTCGAATTCCACGAAAACTACAAATTTCGTATGGAGTTTTATAGTTTGTTCAGTTGAACTTGTTATTTTGTCAAATTTTCAGTTGAATCTAACGAAATTCACCTTTCGCTTTGTTTCTGGCTGAAAATTTCAGATTTTTCAGCCACAAACAAAGCGAATTTGTGTATTTTGATCTGAAAATTTGGCAAAAAACAAGTTCAACTGAACAATCTAGACAATTCCATCCAAAACAATACGAAATTTGTAGTTTTCGTGGAATTTTGAGTTTTTCTCACGAAAATTCCGATTCTGGGATGCTATATCCCAAGAAAAATAGATTTTCTGTGAGGCTAAAGATTTCTAGGACGAAATTTCGTACGAATTCCGATTTTCGGACTTAGTTCAAGATCAAACCAAACACCAAAAATCGCTAACGAATTCTCCAATTACAGTCCAAAAATCTTGAAAATCCTTTTTCGTTACTTACGAAATCCATTTTTTCCACTCTGTATGTTTTTTGATCTCTCTAGAGATCTTTAATTTCGCAACAACACAAAGATAAAAACAGCAATTTCCTTGCCCACTTGAACTTGAACAAGATATTTTTGCTTCTTGTCCCCAGATTTTCAGCCAACCAAATAATTAATTTTCGCCTCGCTCCACTCGCCAAAAAAAAATGAGAAAAACCCGAAAGCCATCTTTTGATTTTCTCATATAAATCATCTTCTCTTTTCGCTTTTTTTTCTCAGTGTTCTTTCTCCTTCTTATTTTCCTTCTTCTGATAATAAAAACGTCAAAATTGCTGCTAATTTTGGGATTATTTTTCGCTATTGATTGATTCTTTTTTGAAAATAATAATAATCGCAATTTTCAATCTTTTAGGTGTTTTTTGTTTGGCAAGTCGACTAACACGGGAACAACCAATTTATAGGAAACTTTTTTTCGAATTTGTTTTAGAAGAATGTGAGTTTTCTTACAATTAGAGAGGGCTTTAAAGGTGCATGGGAAGAGATTTGAAAAATGGTCTTGAGAGGAATTCCAGATTCTTGTAACACCTTCAACATTCAAATTTTCCACAAAATATACTTGTAAAATCGTTCGCTACTTGAAAATTTCAATTATTTCTGACTGTGGGATTTTTAAAGGCGCATGGGGTTTTGAGATTGGGTCTTGAGAGGATTTTCCCTGAAAGTTTCAACATCAAAAGGTTATAGTTAGAAAATCGCCTCAAAAAACCCCGTGCGCCTTTAAAAATCAACAGTCAAGATTAATTGAAATTTTCAAGTAGAGAACGATTTTACAAGTATATTTTGTTGAAAATCGGAATTTCTAGAAAAATGAGAATTTTTAATGAATTTTTTAAGCTAGAGCAAAGTTTTTACACAAATTTTTGTATTTCACAAAAAAATCAAATTTTGAAGGCACATTCTTACTTTCTCCCGCGGGTCCTGCCACGATTTTTCGTTAAATTTCCAAAATTTGGCAATTTTTAAATTCTAAAACTGTTTTTTCTTCTTTTGAAAAGCAAATTTTAAACCAAAATTTCAAAGGCACATCTTCTCGGGTCTCGCCACGATTTGTCCTTGTTTCACTTCCCTTTAAACCCCGATATTTTTCCAGATTTCAAAAATGAAGAAATTAAAACGTCGTTTGAGTGCCGCTTTTCGATCTGGAAGCAACAATAATGTTAGTATTGGAAGTTCGGGTGGAAATAGTTATTATGATTCGGAATGTGGTAAGATTTTTGTGAAGATTTTTGAAAAAAACAAGCAAGAAAGAGGAGATTTTATGACAAGTCGTAAAATAACAGAGCGATTTTCATGGATTTTTTTCTGTTTTGAGGAATTTCTGGAGGTGTTTTTGATTGAAAAAAATTCCGAAATCTAGATTTTTCTTGAACTTTTTGGTAGAAAATTTTGAATTTTCGACAAAATCTCTATTTTAAAAGTGAATTTTTCGGAATTTTCCCCTCCAAAACCTCCAATTTCTTCTCAGACACTCGAAGTATGGTAATTGGTTATGGTATGATGTCAGCACCAGTTCATAATCGCTGCTGGACTCCGCTTTCCGAATCAATGTCACATTTATCTGATAAATTGGCTGTTGATGGAACGATTATGGAAGAATGCATTGATCCGGCAACACTTTTGAGAGTTTCGAGAGGTGGAACTGCTGGAAGACGATATGATACTAATGTGTTAGTTTTTGAGAGGATCTTGGGGAAATTTGTTGAAAATTCTGAAAAATCAACGTTTTTTGATGGAAAAATGGTGTTTTCACATAAATTTTCATTTTTCAAACTTCAAATGTGAATTTCTAGAAATTTTCTGTAATGAAAGTTACTTGAAAATTCACATGATTTGAAAAATCCAGATAAGCTCAATAAAAACTATGACATTTTCAAGAATTCAGGGTTTTTCGAGTGGAAATCCGGTTTTCTTGCACCTTTCTGACATGATTTTTGAGCCAGAATTTCTTTTTTGAAACATAAAACATGGGATTTGTAAATTTTGAAGATTTTTGTGAAAATTTGGATTTTTCTGAACCAAACAACTCTTATTTGCAAGGTTTTCGGTCAATTTTTGGTTAAAAATTGGAAATTTCATGAAAATTAGGGTTTCTAAGTTCTAAAGCTCTTCCCAAACTTGAAAAAAACCTGAAATTAATTTAAAAATAATAATTTCTGACCAAAATCAAAAAAAATTCAAATTTTTATGAAAATTGGGGTTCCCAAGCTTTTCTCAAACTTGAATAACCTGAAATTAATTTTTTTTTCGAATTTTATGTTCTTGTGAAGGTTTTGAGATACTTTTAAATCTAATTTTTAATCGAAATCAAAAAAAATTAAGAATTGCTCTTTCAAAATCTTCCAAACCTGAAATTAATTTTTCAAATCTCTTCAGAAATTATCTTGGCGGAATGCACCATCATCCACCTCCACCACCATCATCAAAATCTACGAAATCACACCATTATCAACCGCCGCCCAGAACTCATAGCTTATATTATCCACGTGGATATTCGGGAGGTCGAAATTCGTATTATGGAAGTAATGCTTGTGAGTTCTTGTTTTTGGGAGAGGAAATTTGAAAATTTTGACCTGAAAATACTGAAAAATAGACTGGAAGTGTAAATTTGAAGCCAAATTTAATGAATTTTAATTAATGAAAAATCTGAAATTTTAACCCAGATTTACTCAAAATTCGTCATTTTCAACCCGAAAATCGATATTTGGTGTCTTCAAGAAAATGTGTCACTTTCCCCTCTTTTGGGACCTTTTTGGAGAAGATTTTGAGAGGTTGATAAACACGAAAAGAATGAATGGGAAAAGAAAGAAAATGACAATGACTCTGGAATATCTGAATCCCAAAGGAATTTTGCGATTTGGAGTAGAGATCTTTGGGTAATTTTGGGCGATGGGAAAAGGGATCGGGAAGTTTTTTTACCCGGGAAATTTTGGGTTTTTTTTTTTATTTTGCTTTTCATATTTGTGGATTTTCAAGGTTTTCTCCCCAAAATTTCTGAAAATTGTAGTTGAAATTGTTTTTCAACGACATTTTCAAGGGGTTTTGGATACATTTTTATTTTTCTTCCATGGATTTTTGGAAATCTAAGGTTTTCTGAGATTTTTTCCAGAAATCTACGCTTTTTCGTCCTTTTTCTCTCCAGAAAATTCTATTTTTCGTGGTTTCTGACTCTTCTCTACCGAAAATTTCAAATTTGCAAATGTGATACCCCGAAATTTATCGACCTTGAATCTTTTCCCTCCAATTTTTCTCCTTCCTGTCTGTTCCTTTTTTTTCGTATTGTCAAAGTTCAATTGGCTACCATCTTGTTTTTTTTTCTGTCATTTTTCTTGTTCCATGCACTCTTTTCTCTGTTCGTTGGGTCCTGGCACGATCGAACATTTTTTTCGAGATTTGAAAATGTGATTTGAATTTTCTGACCGTGCACCTGGTTTTTGATACCAAAAATCGTCAAGAATTTGTCACGATATACAGAAGACAAAAATATTTCGAAAAATTATTTTAATTTCTCACCTTGGTATAATTTTTTGTCATCTGGATTTTTCCCTGGATTCTTACCCTAATTTTAACACGGTTTTTGGGTCTTGTCACGATTTTTCTACTAATTTTCAAAAGTTCTGTTTGCATTTTTCGGATCCTGTCACGATCATCCGAGATTTGAATTTCTGACCTTGGCACCTGGATTTCGCAATTTTTTCGTCAATTCTCGGACATCTGGGTTTTTTCTACGATTCTACGATTGATTAATCAATCTCTTTTTTTTCTCCTGTTTTGTTTTGATTGAAAATTAGTCGATGACCGATTTTTTCCCTTGTTCTTCCCTGTTTTCAGAAGTTTTTAGTGTTGATTACACTTTTTTCCTGCCTCTCCTTCTCCTCTTTTTTTGGTCTCTTAATTGGCGTCATTTTGTTGCAGCATGAAAAAAATAGAGAAAGAAGAAGCTAATCTGTTTTTGATCAAACATTATCCTTGTTGTTTGGCTGAATTGAATTGAGAGACTTTTAATTTGAATACGAGGTTTTTTTGATTGACTTGAATTGAATTGAAGGATGGGTTTATAAGGGGGAGATGGATTTTCTTGATAAGCTAGTATGAGCAATGTCATGATTTTTGGCGTGGCCAACATGAGCAATCCTTTTTCTCGTGTTTTGTTTGGTTAGGTTCTTCCTATCATTTTTCCCCCGGATAATATGATAAATGCCTTATTTTATTTAATAAAAACCCTGGAGGCCTTATCCCGAAAAACTTTTGTACTAATATGAGCAATCCTTTTTTCGAAATTTTTCGTCCGAAAATTCTGAACTTAAAAGTTACACTCAACATGAAACTTCTCAATTAACCTCGAATTTTTTCGGAAATCCGATTTTTGACCTGACCCGAATTCCTGATCAAAATATATTTTCTAGTTTCGTGCCGGGATCCGATTAGTTTCGAAATCACAAAACATCTGGTTTTGTTCCATTTCTCTCCTCCCCCTCCCTCCTTCTGTCATTTTCCAACTCTTTTCAATTTTGCCCTTCTTTTGTCACACATCTGGCACTCATCCAAAACCAATCCACATTTTTATTCATTCATTTTTGAAACACTTTTGACATTTTTGGACGATTTTTGCTTCAAAAATAAATATTTTTGAGTAATTTGCTGCACTCTTTTCTCTGCTGTTTTTTCTTCGTTTCTAGCCCATATTTTATTTGTCTCATCAATCTAATTTATTTGATTCGACGTACTTTTTTTTCGCTTTTTTCTGCATTTTTCTCTTTCGCCTCTCTATTTTTTTTTACCATATGAGATGAGATATTTGGAGATTTGCAACTTTTTCGAAGGGATTAGAAGCAGACTGGTTTTTTATTTGAAAAGTTTGAACGCTTCTCTGAAGATTTTTGAAACAATTGATCGCAGGTAGATGGATTCGAACCCTGGTCTTGTGAGCGGTAGTCAAAAATGTTACCATCTCGGTTTTTTCCTGAATGGATCTGAAATTAAATTCATATTTGGTGCTTTAGTGACTATTTGAGAAGTTTCCGCATCTCGAGCACATTTTCCGAAGCTGAACAAAAATGTTCGGTACACCACCTTTTAAATTCGGCCCCAAGTCCGATTTTTGAAGCAAAATTGTGAATCGGACTCGACAAGTTAGGCCACTTTCGAAAATTTTTCCGATTCAGGCATTTTTGAACAGTCTTCTGAAGATTTTCCGATCTTTCTAACCAAACTTTGATCTTTCTGACCTTTTGCGTCATCCTTTTTTTTTCCTCAAAAATTGAATTTGTATCAGCAGACGAACGAATTTCGGCTTTTCCCTCCACCATTTTCCCCTCATTTCTGACCCCCTCTGAAAATGAAAATAATTCTCTGAAAATGTATAGAAAAATAATAAAGCGCTCGTCGTTTTTAATTTCTATTCGTCATTTTTCCTCCCATCTATTTTCAATTTTCTCCTCGTATTTTTTTTGCTTCTGCCGACGAAACCGAAAACAAAAATGCGTAATTTTGTATTAGGAGATGAAATGGAAACAGCGAAAAGCACATTCATTTATGAAATGCTCCTGCTCATTAGTATGTAGGTTTTTTGTTAGAAATGCATTGGGAGAAAAAGGTGCCGCCCGTTTGGAAAAGAAAATGACATAATTTGAATGAATAAATGTGATTGAGGAGTGGGGGTGGAATTGGAGAATTTATGCAAGCCTCGGTTTTGACACGTATGGAATTATTGATGAGGTTTCCGGGTTTTTCAGTAGACCAGATCTGCTTTTGACACTTTTTTGATTGTTATTCAGACGATTCCAGCCTAGTTGACCAATTTTTGGTGATTTTCATGAATTTCGTTACCGTTATCGAGACTTTCGGAAATTCTCGGCTCGGGGCTTTTTTTTTCATAGTTTCAGCGGTTTTTCGGAAAATTTAGGCTTTATTCCACCTTTGAACGATTTTTTTGATAGTTTCAAATAATTTCAACGAAATTTTGAAGTTATATATGATTTTCAAGCCTCTTAGCCTAGTTTTCCTGATCTTACAGTCTGATTTTGGAGAAAATTTCGAAAAATTCACAGTTTTCTGTGATTTTCACCCAAATTTCAGTTCCGCACAAGGTTTCGACAATTTTTCCATCGTTTGGCTATTTTTTGAAGTCACGGCTGATTTTTCTATGAAATTTGGTTAAAATTTTGAAGTTCTAGCGGTTTTCAGGCAAATTTTATATAGTTTAAACTATTTTTGAAGTCGGAGTAGATTTTTCACTGGAAATTCAGGAATTTCTGAGAACTTGGTCGAAATTTCGGGTTCTAACGGTTTTCCGGCAAATTTTACATAGTTTCAACTATTTTTTGAAGTCGGGGCTTTTTTTTTTTTCACGAAATTTTCGGGGTTTTTTGAGAACTTGGTCGAAATTTCAGGTTCTAACGGGTTTTCCAGCTATTTTTTGAAGTCGGGGCTGATTTTTCGCTGAAATTTTCGAGATTTCCGTGTTTTTCCTCAGCTTCAATGAAAAATCCCTTTTAAAAATGTATCTCTCCTTCCAACCTTTTCATGACATTTTTTTCCCACAAAGTACTACTCCTATATCTCCAAAAGTTCATATTTTCCATCTACTTGTTTTCCACTTCGCTCTTTTTTTCCTTCTACCAAAAAAAATCACATTATTCACACTTCTTCATCATTTGCTTTTCACATTCGAATAACAACTACTTTCTTCTTCATCTTTTTTTGTTCCTAACAAATTGTGTGATGTAATAATATGAAGAAAATATACACAATTGCGCGCTTCTCCTTATTCCTTTTGGCTCTTCTTTATACTTGAATAGCTCGTTGATTGCCATAAAAATGGAAGAAGACGGACTTTTTTATTACCACCTTCTTCTTCTTCTTTTTCTGTTCTGCTCTACACTTTTTGAGCCCGTCATAAAAACAACATGTGTTTTGACACTTTGTTTCGTCTGTTGACCTCGGATTTGTTTATTTATTGTGGTTAATATGAGCAATATTTTATTTTCGCCGTTTTTTTTCGTCGTTCGGATTGATATTTATTACATTTTGAGCTGTACACTTTGAGAAATTGTTTTATTTGATCTTTCATTTGAGCTAACATGAGCAATCTGTAGTTCTGGGGATATGAGCAATATCGCTATTTCTAACGACGAAGCTAACATGAGCAATTCTCGAGACTTTGTTGATTTAAAATTTCCGCCTAACATGAGCAAACCTCATTTTTCGTCATCTAGGAATTAATTTCTTCGTTTGTTCTCAATTCTTGCATAATCTGAGCTGAGCTTTGGTTTTTTGACATTTTGATCGTGAAAATTGAGAACGGATCGGATTTCGAGCTAACATGAGCAATGCTCAAAGATTTTGGAATAATGAAAATACTGGATTCTAGAAATTCACAGAAGTTGGACTAACATGAGCAATCAGAATCTGTTTTCTTCCCACGAATCTGCAAATTTCAAAAATGTAGTCTTTGTTTTCGTCTTTCCTCAATTTTTCTATCATATTTTTATTTGTTCCATCCATCCCAAATAACTAATTGTTGTGTGTATTTGCTGAGATTTTCAATGTCGTACGAATCGTGGGAATATTTTGTTGCTGAGATTTTCGTGTTCCTTTTTTCCTCACACGCACGCAATAAATGTGAAAAAGTTTGCATTTTTTCGTACAGCGGAAGCTTATTTTTCGCTCGCTTTTTTTGGGCAAGACGAGATAATAGGCGGCCGGCCGGTTGTTTTGTTTTTGACACTTTTTTTTCGTCGCGAAGAATTTCTAAAAGTTTTCTCTTGTTTACCTGTTTGCAGGGGATTAGGATTATTGAGATCTGGAATTCGTGGCTGGAAATCTTTAGCTTAGATCTTCTGATGTTTCTAAGCATGAGAATCTGTTTTCAGACTTGAAATAAGATTTTGTATCTGAAACTCTATTCAACACAGTATTCTAGCCAAATGTATGCTCCGCTCCGAGTTTGGAATGCTGAAAATGCACATTTTTGGCTTTTTTTGAGAATTCTGCGCTCTGAAACTTTGCTCTGACAGTTTTGCATCTCATATTTCCAACGGAACTCAAGTTTCCAAATATTTCTGCAAATCCACATCATTCCTTCTCTGAAAATCTCGAATTTCAGCCAGTTTGAGCTGCTCTTCTTCCTCACCGATTCGGTCTTTTTTATTAGTAGTATATAGCTTTTCCTTCTTCTTTTTTTTCCTCAACAAACTTCCGTTCCTTCTAAGCTCTTCTCTCTCTCTCTCTCTCCTTGTTTGGCATGGCAATGATGATGTGCTCAGTAGTAGTTGTTGAGAGTTTTTTCCCACTTTTTCTCTGCACTCTCTTTCTCTCTCGCTTTTTGAGATATATAGAGTATTAATATATGCATGACGAGAGAGTGAGAGAGTGCGAGACGCGCGAAAGAATAATGTCGCGCAGACATTCTGAAGAGAAGAAGAAGAAGCCATTTCTGTGCTCTCTCTCTCTCTGTGTTTTTTTTTCCCTCTTGCCACTCATTTTCGCGTTTTCAGAGAAACCTACTTTTTACGAGCTGGAAATGTTGAACTTTTGGCTCATTTCCTCCTTTTCTAGCTATTTTTGTGCTGAAAATTGTCTCGTGTTGTTCAGGTTTTTTCTGGCTCAAAAACCTATTTGAAACTGTGAAATTTAGCCTTTTCCAACCAGTTTTTCATGCTGAAAATCAAAAAATCCGAGTTTTAGCAACTTCCTGTTTTCAAGCGTCTTTTCAAAATCAGCACGGAATTCTGGCTGAAATTCTCGATCTCTGAAAATTCTCCGAAATTCGCTCGCTTTCAAAATAAAATTCGTTTTTTTCATAAGTACAGACGAGTTGGCGTTTTTCCACTCCCTTTGGGAAAATTTGAACTTTTTTTGTTGTTGAAAAGCGAATTCTGTTTTTCTCGATGAAAAAAATAATTGAATTGCGTGGAAGAGGCATAAAAAAGTTTAATTTGAGCTCGCAAGCCATGGAGAAATCCAATTAATTTTTTTATTCATTTGGGCTTGGTTGGATGATAATTAAAAAAGAATGATGCTGATGAAATTGAGACTTTTTGATCTATTTTTGTAGCTTTTCTCTGCATCTCTGACCACTTTTTGCTGAGTTGATTTCTCTAAGACTCTAGGATTTATCTAGCTTCTCTGCATCTCTGACCATATTTTCTCTAATGTTCTATCATTTTTTTTCTGCGTCTCTTGTTTATACGGTTCTCTAAAATTACTCTATTTTCTCTACGTCTCTAACTCTAGATTCCCTCACCTCTTACCACCTTCTCTGCCTCTCTAACCTTTTCCTCTCCGTCTCTCGTTTTCCATCGTTTCTCTAATCCCATCTCTCCATTTCTAGCCAACTAGCATCTCGTATCGGTTGTATTGTATGTCTTCTACCGCATCGAGTTCTTCTGGCTCATCATGTCGTCTCGTCGATTCGCAATCGCCCCCAACACTAGCCACCGACCCAATATCCGAAACTGAGAATCTTCTCGATCTCGCCTACAGTCCCGATGAGATTGTTGGTCCCGCCACGAAAACCACACATTTTCTCGCCCCGCCGTCTCGAATGTGTAAATCAGCCACGTTTCACGATTTTTGTGATGATGAAGAAGTGGAAAATTCGCTGAACTTGAGAACACTTCCAGAAGAGGATTTTGAGGAGGAGGATTCGGATGATTATGAAGATGCTAAAGAAGATGATGATTCGGAGATTGTGATTGTTGAAGAAGAAGAGGAAGAAGAGATTCCGGAGGAGCGACACTTTGAACAAGAACATGATGATTTTTGTCAGAAACAGAAAAAACATGAGAAAAGTCGGGAAATCAAGAAATCTAGTACTTTTGCATCGTTTTTGAATTTGTTTGTGGCGAAAAAGAAGAGGAATGGAAGAATTAATGATCAACGATTGATGAGTCGAAGTAGTTGTATGCTCAGGCCAAGTGTTTCACTTTGTAAGTAACCAGGAGATGAGCAAAAGTTAATTAAATTTGAGATTTTAAGAGAATCCCGGTTTCTTATAGATCTAGAAGAAAATTTTGACCCAAAAATCTTGAAAATAATCAATTTTTGACTTCTGAAACCCCGAGATTATAAAAGAAGTGGAAAATTGAAAGTTAATCAGAGTTTGATGACAGAAATCCTGAATTTTCAAGGTTTCTGAGTTCTAGAATTCGGAATTGTACGAAATCATCATAATTTAAACTCTGAAAATATAGAATTTCAGTTTTTCTGGAACGTTTTCGCCATAAAATTTGAATCCTAAACTTCCCCAAAAAAATTCCCAAAACTTGCCCCAAAAAAATATTTTTGCTGAAGTGTTTTCCTGTTTACTCGTTCTCAAAAAAATTCAAAGTGTCCATTAAAAAAAATCCGAGACTAAAAAGACAGCAGTGAACAGAAAAAAAACTAACACCGGAAACTTTGACGTCAGCAAAAGAAACAGAAAAGGAACTTTTGGTTGCTTTTTTGAAGGGGGGAAAACAAAGGAAATGTGGTTTTAAAGGGACATGGGAGGTCAGAAAAATGAGGCAAAATAAATAATTCGAATTTTCAAAAATTAAGTTTAAAAAAATAATTTTGTTCACAAAATAATTAATGGATTAATGTATATTTTAAAGGGACATCAAGGGTCCCACCACGATTCACCTTTCCCCTTCCAAAATCCTTTTTTTTCCAGCTGTTGTTCAAGAATCAATGATGCTTGGATCAGATGGTGAATCAGTCGAAGTCTCGCCATGCACTTCAGATCAAACACCAACTGGAGTCGTCCCGCCACGATATATAGTCAATGTGAAAATGCGACAAAAACCGGCCAGAAAATGGAGTGAAGAGGAAATTCAGAAGCGATTGAGTCTTCCGGCGGACCTGAAATTGCCGCAAGCGGTTGTTGATAAAATGAATCGGACGCCGACGTTGGATCAACCGTTGACAAGGAAGAATCGGAGAGCGTCGTTGGTGAGGATTTTTGGGAGGGAAATTGGAAATTTTGAGAATTTTTCATGACAGAAAACTTTTGGAGCCTGAATTTTAGCAGGAAAATTTGAATTTTTGAATTTGGCCCCAAAATTTGGGCGGGTAAATTTGAATTTTCGAATTTTTACTTCTGAAAATCATAATTTCTCTGTGAAAACTCAGATTTCAAATCGAAAATTTGATCGAAAATCCCAAGTATTTCGATAAAATCAATGATTTTGGGGAATTTTCTGAAAAACGTCCTTTTTTTGTGGCAAAATGAATCCACGTGGCAAATTTTTGATCTGAAAATGCATTTTTGGCTTCAAAAAATTAATTTTCAATTTTTTTCTTAAAATTTTGCCACGTGGAGTTTTACTCAATTTCAAAATTTTTTTTTGAATTTCCTTTTTTCTCACGAAATTCAAGTTTTGACTCGAAAATCAAGACAGTTTCAAATTTTTCACCAAAATTTATCTTGAAAATTCGAAAATTCATTGAGAATCCCAAAATTATATTTTTGCAGAGCGAAATCGGTTTCGGCAAACTCGAAACGTACGAAAAACTCGAAAAACTTGGCGAAGGAACCTACGCGACAGTATTCCGTGGTCGAAGTATTCTAACCAACAACGTAGTTGCACTCAAAGAAATCCGGCTCGAACAAGAAGAAGGAGCCCCGTGCACCGCAATTCGAGAAGTCTCGTTGTTGAGGAATTTGAGACATGCAAATGTTGTAACACTTCATGATATTGTTTATACCAATAATATGTTGACATTGGTGAGTTTGGGTGAAATTTTGAGACTCGTTTTCAGTAAAATTAATTTCCGCAAAAAAATACGTTTCAAAAATTGAATTTAAAATTTTTGCAATTTTTGACAACTGGTATTCGACTGGTCATTATTGTGAAATATCCGGAAATTTAGAAAATATCCTAAAACTCCCAGAAAATATAGGAATGCTCTAAAAGCTCAAAAAATAGGCTAGAAATTGGATAAGCTGTCTCAGAGCCTAAAAACCGGCCCAGAATTCTAGAAACGTGTCCGAAATCTCGAAAAGTAGCCTAGAAATTTAAGAAAAGGGCCTGGTACGTCCGAAAATTAGCCGAAAATGGCCTAAAATTTCGAAAAATCACATAAAAGCCTAGAAACTGGCCTAGAATTTCGATAAGTTGCCTAGAAAATTCAAAAGTGGCCTAGAATCCCGGTAAATCACATCAAATCCTAAAAAATGGCCTGGAATCCCGAAAAATTACATCGAAGCCTAAAAAATGGCCTAAAATCCCAAAAATGCGTCTAAAAATCTTCTAAGCTTTTCTTAATTCTCCTAAAAATTTTCTAGAACTATAGAACCCTTATCCTTAGGTTATTAAAAAGGAGAAAATCACCTAATCTTCAATTTTCCTGCAGGTTTTCGAATACGTCGATCGTGATCTCAAACAATACATGGATTCGTGCTCAAATTCAATGCACATGTCAAACATCCGCCTATTCCTCTATCAATTATTACGCGGTCTCTCCTATTGTCATCAACGACGAGTTTTGCATCGAGATCTCAAACCCCAGAATCTCCTCATCACCGCCAAAGGCGAATTGAAATTGGCGGATTTTGGGTTGGCACGTGCCAAAAGTGTGCCGACGAAAACGTATTCGAACGAAGTTGTCACTTTGTGGTATCGACCACCTGATGTTTTGCTTGGATCAACTGATTATTCGACACATATTGATATGTGGGGAGTTGGATGCATTTTGTTTGAAATGATTGCCGGAAGAGCACTTTTCCCTGGAGGAACCACTGATGAACAATTGGGATTGATTTTTAGGTGAGTTCGGGAGAAGGGGGGGGGGTAGATTTAAAAAAAAATTAAAAATAAAAGTCTGATTCACGAACGAAAAAAATGTCCAAAAATGTTTTTTTAACATTCAAAGATCAATTCACGAAAAGTCGAAAAAACATTGTTTTTCGAGTTTTTCGAATTTTTCAGCCAAAATTATGACAAATTAATATTTTTCAAGCTTCTGGAGTTAATTCTGATTAAAATTGACTTTGGGATTCACTTTTCAGAAGTTTTTGCTGATGTAAAATAAAAAGTTTTAAATTTTGATGAATATCAAAAAAAATTATAAAATAACGCAAAATAGGGTTCTCGAAGCTTATTTTAATCAGAAATTACTCCAGAAACTTGAAACTATTGATTTGTCATCATTTTTGGCTGAAAAACTCATTTTTAAACATTTGTTTCGTTCGTGAATCAGCCCTATAAATTTTCTGGTTGAAAATATTGGAGTTTCGAATTTTCCCCGGTTATTCAATGATTTTTTATCCAAAAATTGAGTTTTACATTAAAAAATGTTTTTTCTAGCTTCCTTCAAAGTAAGGAAATTTCTGACTTCAAAATTATAGAAAACCTAAATTTCTGAGAACTCTGGAAGCCTGAATTTTGAGCCTTGAAAATTTCGAATAATTTTTTTGGGGGTATCTCTTCTGAAATTTGGAAAATTATCAATTTTTGAATCAAACAAAAGTTTACTGTAAAAAGTGATTTTTAGCTTTCTTTAAGGAAAACTGACCCTAAAACAATGGAAAACCGAAATTTCTGAAAGTCAAAAATTTTCTTTGTGGAATTTTTCCAAAAAAAAATCATTCATTGTTTGATTTTTAATCCAGAAATAGAATTTTTCCACATTTTTCCTTGAAAACTTTTTATTCGGAAACTAAAATCTTAGATTTGTATTTTTTCAGAAAAGTTGTAGTTTTTGATGTTTTTTGCAGCTGAAAATTTTCAGGAATTGTTTTTGTTTTCCTGAAAATATCCAGCTGAAAATCTGTGATTACCGAACCTTTTTTTGAAATTATGTTCTCAAAAATCTGATAAACTACGATACTCCGCAATTACACCTCAAAGTTTTGGAAAAAATTGCATTTCTTGAAATTTTAACAACGACACTCCGCAATTACACATATTTTTCAACAATCACATAAATTTAACTTCTTTTTTCTTCTTCAGAACCCTCGGCTCTCCTCGACCTGATCGTCATCCAACAATTTGCGAAAAACCCGCCTTCTACCCATTCTCTGGTCGATCCTATCAACCCGAACCACTTTGTCGACAAATTCCACGAATCGACGCGCACGGTTTTGAACTGTTGATGAAGTTCTTGCAATACGAGGGAAGAGATCGCATTTCGGCACAAGACGCATTGAAACATCAATTTATGAGAACTATTGCGGTTAAGGTGAGGAATTTTGGGGATTTTTTGAATTCGGGGGATTCAGAGCTTCAATTTGAAACCCATATTGCTCATGTTATGATCATTGGAAAGTTTCGTAAAAAGAGCTCATTTTGGAGCATTTTTACATGAAAATTTAAATTTCTAGATGAAATTTAGGTTTTTTGAATCCAAAACTTCCCAGAGCTCTGAAAAAATCAAATTTTAGTCCTGGAATTGTGAAAATCAAGGGTTTTTATTTTTAAAAAAAACCTAATTCTTTTCTAAACATTGTTGAAGCCGAAATTCTTACAAAACAGCTTTTTGTGCTCATTTCGGAGCATTTTAACATGAAAATTCTGTTTTTTTTTCAAATTTTAGTCCTGAAATTGTGAAAAATCAGAGTTTTTTGCTCCAAGAATTATCCAAACCCTAATTTCCTCAATTTTCCAGTGTTCCCATCTCCGCGACGAACAATCAATAATGGAAGCGGACGGAATCCACGTGGAACGCGAAGCCCTCTTCCACCACGACTCAATCCATCATCATTCTCGAAGTCGCCGCGCGGCAGCCGGAAAAGATTCGAAAATGTGCAGAAGTATGCACATTTAAATAAATAGCATAGCAGCTCCCCCAAACACCAAACATTCCTTTTTTTCTGATTATTTAACGGGTCCAACAATTATTTCTTCTTTTTTTCCGCTTTTTGTAGCGATCCTAATAACCCATAATAATCAATCTCCCATTTTTCATATCATTTTATTTATTTATTTTTCTCTTTTTTTTCTCTCGTTTCTTTCTAGAAAAAGCGCAAGTTCTGTGAATAAATCAACTTCATCATAATACAAGAAAGAAATAAAAAGGGGCTTTAAAAAATTATGCTGAAAAATCACAGATACACAGAAAAACGAAAAATACCGGGGGCGAACTAAAATCAAATCAATGCACACATCAATCGGACCACTCATTTTTGTCATCTTCGTCCTCTTCTTCATCCGACGAATCATCGATTCCCATGTTCATTCGACGTTCTTCGAGAGCTTTTGCCAAAGCGCCAGCCAAACCACCCATTCCGGCTGCACTACCCTGCGTGGATTTTCGACGCTCTTGTTCGACAGCCGCGTCGACCTGCAAAAAATATTTGGATTTAGCTGAACTCGGGGAATGTCATCCACGTGGAAAATTAGAAGATAAAGGATTTGGTGAGCTAAAAACATCTTTCGATTGAAGTTGTTTTTTTTTCGAATTGAAAAATTTTAGATAATTTTCTTGTACATTCTGAAAGAAAGCCACGTGGATTTTTTTTAATTTGAAATAAATTTTTGGTGCGAAAGGTTTTTTAGTTTTTTATAGAAAATTTCAAAAATTCCCTAATTTTGCAGTTCCTTTTAAACATAACGAAACTTGGGAAAAATCCACGTGGAAATTTAGGTTCTATTCTGGTTTGTGATCTAAAATTCCACGTGGCAAATAAATTTTTAAATAAATATTCAAAAAAATTTAAATTGTTTTCCAATTTTTATTTTTGCGTGGAAAAAAATTGGGAAAAAATGTAGTTTTTTGACATTTTCTGAATCGAAACTTTTTTGTAAAAAAAAACTGTTTTTTTTATTAATTTTCAGATTTCAGAGGCAAAAAAGCTTACATGTTTCAATTGTGCTCCTTGTCTAATTTGTGCCATTACATCACCGCGAGCATCGCCCGATTGATTTGTATTGGAATTTGGCGAGGAGGAGGCGGCAACACTTCGCAATTGTTTGCCAGCTTGGATTTCCTGAAAATTTGGGAAATTAATAAGGAATTTGTGAGAAAATGAAAAATGTTACTGTGCCTTAGGCTAATGTTTTTGTATTTGATATTAATGGGAGCACATAAAAATAGGCGTGGCTTATTTGGTATCATTTTGCAGGCCTTGAAAAGCTGTTGAAACTGATATCAAATGAGTTGAAGCTTAAGCCACGCCCATTTTTCTGTGCCCTAGGGAAATTTAGGCCAACTGTAATTAAACCAACTGTAATTACCAACTGTAATTAAAAGAAGCCACGTGGCAAAAATTGCGGAAAAATCTGGTTTTTATAAATTTCCTACCCCAAAATTTCACTCACCGCCAACAAATTCGATCTTCCAGCTTGCGGTGCAGGCAATGCGGCAAGAGTTGCGCTTCCGCCAGTCGCCGGAAGCGGTGGCGCAGGCGGAATGCCTCCAATTCCTCCCGCAGGCATTGGTGGAGGCGGGGGTGGGGGAACTGAAGAAGATGAAGAAGAAGCTGGTGGAGGTGGCGGAGGGGGCGGCGGAACACAATGCGGTCTGCTCTGATCAATCGGCGCTTGCGGAAGCGGTCTTCTGGCCGCATTCAACATCGGCGGTGGTGGCGGAGGTCTTGCGGGTGCCAATCCATGCGATTCGACTCTGGCCGGTGGTGGTGGAGCTGGCGGGGCCGAATAGGGTTGTGAAGACGGGAAGGCCGGTGCGATGCCACGTGGAATCTTGGGCGTTTCGGGAAGCGGAGCGGATATCGACACGTATTTATCGTAGTTTTTGGCGATGAATTTTTTGACGAATTTCTTGTCGTCCTCGTTGAGATTGTTGGTTTCGAGTCCGGCGGCTTGGAGAATGTTGCGCGTGGCTTCGTCCATATCATCGTCGTAGACTTTGTTCGAGAATCCGCTGTCCTGATTCCAGCCGACGTGAGCTTTGTGCCTGGAATTTTTGAAATTTTGAGCTTTTTGTACTCAAATTCTCAATTTTTACCATCTAGAGGATAAAATTTGAGCTTTTCACTAATTTAGAATTTCAAAAATTAAACATTTTGATCTGGGTAGCTTTACCGTAGTTTTATGAGTATACTGTAGAACTTTCTGAAAGAATTACAGTACTGCTAAGAGATTACTGTAAATCTACAGAACTCTGAAATGCTATCCGATACTGTAGATAATTCAAATCTACAGTAAGCCAAAAAAAAACTCATCTAAAAATACAGTACCCCCAAAACTCCCCGGTTACTGTAACTTATGGCTTACAGTAATCAAAAAATCAGATTTTTCTTCGAAATACTACCGTAATCCCCGATTAAAATAATCAAAACTGTAGCTACTGAAAAAAGCAGTCTACAGTAACCCAAATTCTACAGTACCCTTCCAAAAAACTCACTGAAAATTGGTGGGATTCGAAATGTCCTCCTTCTTGATCCGCTGCTTCTTGTCCTTCTTCTTGTTTTTGTCCTTTTTGCTGCCGAACCACGACGAAGAACCGCCGCCCGAATTCGAAGAGTTGTCTGAAAATTTTTAGATTTCAGATTTTTTTGGCTGTAATTTAAAAGGCTGAAATTCACCACCACTTCCAGGAAACCATAACAATTTGAAAATATTTTTCATCGAGTAAAAATGAATGAAAATTTAAAATTTAAAAAATGCGAGGGGAAAATGAAGGTCACGTTTTTAAAAATTTCAAATTTCAAATTTTCCCGCCAGGCTCTTACCATTATGCACAATTTGCGTGTGATGCGCTGCCATTGTTCCCAATGGTGTTATTCCGCCAATTTGATGATGATTATGACTTGGCGCCAAACCCATTGGTGTTCCGCGTACTGTTCCGCCTCCACCATACGCTTGTGTGATTTCGAAATTTCGATTTGGTGTTCCTGAAAAAATTGGGATTTTTTTTGAGTCTAGACAAGCTTCAGCTTCATTTTCGGCTGAAAATTTGAATTTTTTAGCAAATATTTCATCAAAAAATTCAAATTTTCCCCCTGTTTCATTGCTCATATCAATCCAGTTTCCCATTTAATTTCCAAAATTTTAATCCAATTCCGGCACTTTTTGTTTTGTGCAAACAAAAACAACAACAACAAAAAACATTTGATTGTTTATTTTAGGTGTCTATTTCACACACACTCCAAAAAAGAACAAGAAAAAATGTGTGTCTTTAGTTTGGAGCATTTTCCGAGAGAGCTCTTTTTCTTGTTTGTACAAGTTTCACGCTAATGATACTATATATTCCGCGAAGTGGCCACAAGCTAAACTATAGTCTAGTGAATTGAGAGCTAAACTATAGTCTAGTGATATGAAAGCTAAACTATAGTCTAGCTTGAATCCGAGATCTCGTCTGAATCTCTCGTCTATAAGTATCTTCAGGCGCGCACGGTTGCAACGCGGCTTGCAATCAACCTGAACTATAGTCTAGTCAAATGAAAGTTTATAGTTTGAACCCAAAATATCGTCGAACTACACTCTATTTCGAGTTCAAACTATACATTTTTATAGTTAACTGTGAGAAATTCAAACTAGACAATAGTTTTTCTACTAATGTAAACCGCGTCGCAACCGCACGCACACAAAGTCTTTGCGGGCAGCGGGAATCGAGCCCCTGACCTTGCGATTCGCATATCCAACACTGCCACTGAGCTATCTCCCATGCCCTTGGAGCATTTTCGAAGCTCGTTTGTTTGTACTGATACTTTTTCCGAGAGAAAAGAGATGATTCATTTTACTATGTATACTTGGCCCAAGAATTTTGTTTGATGATAAGATTTTTTGACAAATAAACATTGATACATTTCCGGATGGAAAAATAAAAATGACACGTGGCGGAAAATGATAGTACGGGGTAGATCAAACATGGAAATCAGATCTCTTAAGCTGGTCGACCAGGCTTAAACTCACCTTGCGATCTTCCCACACTTCCTCCACCCATCACAACCTTCTTCTTCACCAATCGATGTCTCGCCGGCGGATGTGCGGGCACAGGCGGCGGTGTAATCGACAACGTGCTACTTCCCTCTTCACTCGTCTCCTCCGCTGGTAGACTATTCGATGTGTTGATCATTGTCACAAATTCCCCTCGGCTCACATTTTCATCCTCATCCCTTGGCAATTGAAACCTGACAACTCTTCTCGAAGACGGTGGTGAATAATCAGGATCAGGACTTGGAGCGCGTTGTGTGGGTAATATCTGCTGATGTGCTGCTGCTGCTGGATGATAATAATAGAATGGTACATAGGTTCTTGGTGTGTGCGCGAAGCTTTGATGTTTCGCAGGATATCGTGCAGCATAAATCGGATCTTGGTATTCCGCTGAGGACGAAGATTCACTAACATTATCATATTGCTCAACTTCATAATAATTGTGTTGCTGTGGATGATGATAGATCTTATGTGCAGATGCAGCTGATCCTTCAGGGAAGCTCAAACATCCACCTCTCACAAATCTTGGTTGATGTGGCGGTGGTTGTGGTGGATTTTGAAGATGATGTGGCGGCTGATGATGATGATATTGGTAGCGAAGACGACCCGACGGGTCTTCGCTCACTACCATCCACATTTTTGGGGGCGGTAGAGCAAAAATATGGTATAGATCTTACTGTAATAAGACTACTACTGTACGAGAATACGAATAAATGACGATTAAATGAATAAACAAAAAACTGGGTCGAAAAGAAAGAAAGGTGTGGGAAAAATAGAATGAAAATGTGCTAATTAGATACTGGTAGCCAAATTAGAACCTTTGTATATAACATAAAGAGAATCCGGTATCTGGAATTCGAGAGAAAAAGGAGAGAGTCAGACATCCAGATACTGAGAGAGAAACAGAGGAATTTGGTTACGCACAGTAAAGTTACGAAATCCAAGCTTGATCGGTCAGGGACGCAGAGGAAAAATTCCTAATCAAGTTAGAAAAGAGGTAACTCCGAGATAAACAATCAGACAACTAGATAAGGTCAGAGACGCAGAGTATAAAAGTCCTAGCAGACGACTAGAGAACTCACAGCTCATTAGGTTAAGGACATTATCTGATGATCAGACAATGCGATGAGGTGAGAGACGGAGAGGAGATCATATAAGTCACAGAAGGCCAGAGAACTAGAGAAGATCCAACAAACGATGAACACAGAAACAAGAATAACAGACGACCAGACAATGTTAGAGACGCAGAGTGAAATAGCAGAGTCAGACAACCAGAAAACGGAAAACTACCCGAAAAAAATTCGCAAAAACTCATTTTCACATGCGTGATTCTACAAGCGTTTGCTCTTCTTCGGGGCCGGGTAAAAAGATGAGTGGAGTTGAGAGAGAGAACAAAATTGTGGAGAGACGTAGAGGGATCGTAATATTTGCCCACAATTTCCATGTATATTAGCACATTTTATATATATTTGTTGATTTATTTATTTATTTACACACATAAAAGGAAAGGGTAATCGGAGGTTGGTGGATCGCGTGTATGTAGTTACTGTTTTAATGACACACCCAATCTATAAATGGTGTAATATCTGGTGCAATCGGAAACTGTTCAAATAAATTGGAGGAGCACATATAATAACCGGTAGGAAGAAAAAGAAAAGAGAAAAAAAAGTGGAACATGAACGGCGAACTTTTGTTTGAGGGGGAGGAAAATCCAGCATTTTTTATTTTGTCAAGTGGATCTGAGATTTAAGTAGAGTAATAGTAGTCAGGTGAGAGCTGGAAATTTAAAAAGCTAGCTGATGGGAGGAAGATAAGCTAAGTGGAGAGGTTAGATCAAAAGTCAAAGGGTTAAACAATGAGTTGATTACCCTGTATAATTTACAGGGTTGAGGCAGTGTACTCTAGAGATGTCTAGATCCAGAGAAGCCAGAAGAGTTAGAGACGGAGAAGAAGAAAACGCAATAGTGGACTATGGGTAAACGAGGGACCGCGTGAAGTGGGGAGACAGCAGAGAAGTCAGATATCTTATCATATAACTGAAGCTTTAGAGACGCAGGGTACAATGATAGTGATTACATAGGTTAGATATCTAGAAGCAGAGAAGCTAGAGTGAGTTAGAGACAACTAAATCACTGGAGACGCAGAGAAACTTCGAATAGAAGAAAAAATGTATCAAGAATAAAGAGTGAAAAATATACGTTTCAAAAATAAGTGATAGCGTAAACCTAAAATTTGAAAAATTGTTTGGTGTTTTGCCGATTTATTCTGTAGAATAAAAGTAAATGAGATGAAGCAGAGAAGCTAGAGTAAGTTAGAGACAACTAAATCACTGGAGACGCAGAGAAACTTCGAATAGAAGAAAAAACTCAGCACTTGACTCTGTAGACTGGCTGTACAAATTTCGTTGATACTTTGTACGAAAACGGGGAAGAGAGAATTGCACATAAGTAACATCCGTTTATCTACAAAGTAGCTACAGAACAGCAACGGCGTAGGTACGGATTCAAAAATAATATAGAGCGGTCACTTCACTTCATTTCTGTCCGAGAATTGTGTAGCTACAGCGTAGATACGCTGTACCTACGTTTTCATCTCTGATTGTATGACGCTTGGCAGCTCTCGTTAGAATTTCAGGTGTGCGTAATAACGATTTATCATCTGCGTAGCTACGAATTTGATTTTTTTCGTAGCTACGCTGAAGATAAAATGAACCTACGATTTTCGGAAAAAGTGTAGGTACAGCGTTCATTCGCTGTATTCACACTTCTTCAATTTGTACAGTCAGTCTACAGAGTCAAGTGCTGAGAAATGTATCAAAAATAAAGAGTGAAAAATATACGTTTCAAAAATAAGAGATAGCGTAAACCTAAAATTTGAAAAATTGTTTGGTGTTTTGCCGATTTATTCTGTAGAATAAAAGTAAATGAGATGAAGCAGAGAAGCTAGAGTAAGTTAGAGACAACTAAATCACTGGAGACGCAGAGAAACTTCGAATAGAAGAAAAAAATGTATCAAAAATAAAGAGTGAAAAATATACGTTTCAAAAATAAGTGATAGCATAAACCTAAAAAAATTCTAACCATCGAAAACCACGGCAATTCAAATTTCCGCCATTTTGAAAATTACAAGGAACTGCACAAGGGCAGACAAATAACGGTTGTAGTTTGGCGCCAGCAACAACGAAAACAACAATAACAACAACAAAAAAGCGAAAATGTGTCAAATTATCTCATCTGCTTCCACTTTTTTCGTCGACTACAAATTCGCTTCTTCAAGTACATTCCTCTTCATAATAGAAAGAAAAATACTAATACTAATAATAATAACATGAAAGAAGAAGAAGACATCATAATTATTGGCGTTTATGGAAATTGGTATTTTTGTTTGAATTTTGTGTGGCGGAAGAGGAGGGATTTTGTAAATCGGAGAAAAAAAACGAAATACAGTGTAAAGTGGAATAGTTTTGGCAGAAGCAGGAGAAAAACACATACAAACTATTCGAACAATACAGAAATGATAATGAGTCATTTCAAGACAATATTTTGGAGAACAATACACTATTAGAAGCTGAGAAGATCGTGGAGGCTGTAGATCAGTAGATCTTTAAAGGATCTGGAGTGTCTGATTGTCAAAAGTTCTCACAAAATTCTGATAGTACTTTAGTGGAGGTCTCTAGCTTCAGTCAAAAAGGTATCGGAACAAAAAAACCAAAAAGATCCCTAAGGTTCCAAAGAATCTGAACAATGTGTGAGGTCTAGAAGAACTTCTGAGAAGGTACTGAAGTTCTAGACAACAATTTATCGATACCAGGAATTTTAGCTGAACTTTAAATCACAAAACTAAATTTCGCTAACTTCAAGGTCCCAAAAATTCTACAGATGTCAGAGGTCCGATAGAACTTCATACAGAACATCTAACCTGAGCAAAAGATCTGAATTAAATTCAAGAAGAAAAATAAAAATAAGGTTCCAAAGACCACCAGACATAGGTCTAGCCGAAATTTCGCTAACTAAAATTTCAAGTTTGATTTAAACACCTGTCCAATGCAAAAAGAAAAAAAACTGATTGCGCTGTCCATTCAAAAGTGCCAAATCAAAACCAACATCAATCACTTTTTCCTCCATCAATAAATAAACAAAAATCACCAATCGACAAGACGAAAAAATGCCGTCAAGACAACACAAGAAAAAAAACGAGCTTCTTCTTCCTCAAGACAGCAGCAGCCAAAAAGCAAACACAGTTTCAAGGCGGAGAAGAAGACGAAAAAAATCGGATTTCATCGGAGGGCGAGAGTGAAAAAAAATGAAAAAAATTGCTATGTATATTTTGAACCAGTTTCGGGTCGGCTTGAAACTCTCATTAAAACTGTCGCTAAAGGTCATGAGGCAAGAAAAATGAGAAAAAAGTCATGAATAATTAGGAGATTAGGCAACACACCAAACTGTTTTATTGTTGTTGTTTACAAGTTTTTTTTCGTTGGAAACGATGTTTGAAATTGGTTTCAAAAAAAGTGTAGAAATTGAATGGGAAGAAACTAGAAATGTAGATTGCTCAGGTTAAGTGATGAATGAAAGGAGCCCAGATTACCAGAGTATCGTGTAGGATGGTTAGAGACGCAGAGATGACAGACAACCAGAGTAGGAATGTGTTAAAAGTAGAAGAGTACGACTTCAGAGAGATAATGAGAAACAAGAGAGCGCAGACAACTAGAGAGAGAGAGAGTGTGTTAGAGACGCGGAAAGAGACGCAGAACCGTTCTGCAAGCCAAATAAGATCAAGAGAGCGCAGACATCTAGGGTCAAGTTGCATACAAGAAGAATACCAGACAACCAGACAATCTAGAGATCACCAAAAACACAGAGAGTGAGGACTTCCAGAGCTAAGCTAGAGACGCAGAGTAGTATAGGCACCAGACGATGAGAAACTTCAGAAACAACATTAAATATGGAAGGTGGAGACAGCTAGGCAAAGAATAATGAAGTCTGGATATCGTGACAAAATGCGAGAGTGCAGACAGCTAGAAAAAATGGTGGTAGAGACGCAGAGTCTTGGCACACTTCCAAGCAATCTCCCACTCAAAAGCAAAAAATAATCTTCGACCAAACTCGCTACAAAAAACATCTTTTGCAAGAGAAGTGCAAACCGTTCTTCGTGTTTTATTTCATTTCGAAATTCGATACTCAAATTGCTAATTGATCACAAGCTTTTTTCTACGTAAACGCGCACAATTTCCGTATTTGTTCAAATTTCCAAAAAAAACGGGAGAAAATACCTCCAAAAGTATGTGGATCAAATAAAAGAACGGGTCATAAATCATCTTGTCTTGTCCAAAAGTAGTACACACATTAGGCAAAAAAAAACACAGTGTTGGTGTGAAAAGTAGGACTTGTAACTAATAATTTCTGTCTTCCGGGGAGGGGGCGTTAAATCCAAGGCCATAAAGCAAAAGAAAAAAAAATTTTCAAAAAAAATAATAATCCAGTGCGCAACTATTTGCATTTTTGTGCAAACACGAGTTTTTCTTGTTTCTTCAAAATGATTTTAATGTAACAAATTTTGGGGAGCGCAAAACTGGTTAAGGTCGTGGAGGTTAACTAAGGTTTTTGATCTACATACATACCTTTTGGGGAATGAAAATCAATAGAATTAGGGATTTTTGAATGAGAAAAAAATATGATATTCAAAAAATCCCTAGAGCTTATCTTATTGAACTTTTCACCTTATTCTTGAGAGCTCAAAAATTGGGGGATTTTTAAAAAGAGCCCAAATTTCCAGTAAAAGCTTAGATTTTTCAAAAATTAAATTCAGGAAAATTTCCAAGGCTACAAAATGAGTATGCCTTATGAATTTCGAATCAGAATTCAAGAATTACTATTTTCAGATGGTGAAGTTTCAGGCTTATTTTCAGCCAAAGCTTAGATTTTTCAAAAATTAAATTTAGGCTCGTTTTGTAGAGAAATTCAAGAGCTACTAGATGGGCTCAAAAAATCACAAATTTTTCAAAAACCTTATTTTCAGCCAGAATTTGAATTTTTCAAAAATTAAATTTAGTTTCATTTTATAGCAAATTTCCAAGGCCCAAATTTGCTATATGAATTCCGAATCAGAATTCAGAAACTATCACATATTTAGTATCAAAATCCATAATTTTTGATAAAAATTTCAAATTTTCCCCACCAAATCCCTGCCCCCTTCAAAATTCCTCACCATAAATCATTGGTGGCGGTTGTGGTGGTCGATTCTGCGTCGACGATTTTCGCTCCTGCGCATGTCTTCGATCCAAATGCTCTTTGAATTCAGCCGATTCGTCTGCTGAATGAAAATTGAGGCCGTAAATCGAGCCATCAGCCGATTCGGATTGTTCGAAAGCCAACAATTTGTGACATTGGGCAAAGTTTTGAACACGGAAGCCTTTGTAACTGGAAAAACATTGGAGTTAGGTTAAGTTTGTAGATTTTTAAGGGCTACAAAATGAACCCAAAGTTGAATTTTTGAAAATTAAATTTAGACTCATTTTGTAGATATTTTCAAGGGCTACAAGATGAACATAAAATAAATTTTGAATTCTGTAAATTTCAGCCAAAATGTAGATTTTTAAAAATTTAAATTTAGGCTCATTTTGTAGACAAATTCAAGGGCTACAAACGAGCCCAAAGTTGAATTTCCAAAAATAAATTTGGGTTAATTTTGAAGGGAATTTCAAGGGCTAAAAAATGAGCTGAAGCATATTTTTTTTAAGTTTTGAATTTTCAGCCAAAAATTAGATTTGTCGAAAAATTAAATTTAGATTCGTTTTGTAGAGAATTTCAAGAGCTACAAAATGAGCTCAAAGTTGAATTTTGAGCAAAAAATTCAGGAAAAATTTAATTTCAGGCTCATTTTGTAAGCAATTTCAAGGGCTATGAAATGAGCTCAAACACTGTTGAATTTTGAGCAAAAAATTTCAGCCAAAAATTAAATTTAGGTTAAGTTTGTAGAAATTTTGAAGGGCTACACAATGGACCGAAATTTAAAATTTCAAAATTTAAATTCAGGCTCATTTTGATCTCAAAAAGAAAACTCACAGTCTAAAATCCCATAGAATCCGTTCATCTAAAATATCATAAATCCGAAGACAATAGGCGCGTTGTTGATAATCCTGAAATTAAATTTGGGATGAAATTTGAGCAAAAATCAATGTTTTCAGGTCATTTTTCATCGAATTTAATGAATTTCAGGTCAGTTTTCAGCAAAAATTCATGGTTTTAATTAAATTTTCCAACTCACCTTAACCAAACTAACAACACCGTGTGGCAAATCAACTCTCCAAGTTCCTCTATCAGATTTCAATAATTGAACAACGGCAGCAGTCAGCGAAACACAATCAGGTCCGACCAATGAGAAAAGCATCTCATTTTCTTGATTCGTCAATTCACGTGAACCCACATTTGGTGGACGTTTGGCTCTTCGTTTATCAGCTCCGCCTGGAAAATTTTAAGAGGTTTCGGGGGGTTTTGGGTAATTTTTTGGGCCGAAAATCAGGTTTTCTAACAATTTTAAATGTTTCTGGGCTGATTTAGGGGCTCTAAGGTAGTTTTAGGTGATTTTTATACAAAATTAGGCTATTTCTGATAATTTTAGGTCTTTCTTATATCAAAAAAGGCTTTTGAGCTAACTTTCACGCAAAATCCGATTTTTTCTCAGAAAATCATTCTAAATTAGGATTTTCTGATACATTTACAATATTTTCAAGACATATTTCAAATAAAAAATAAACCAAAAAATATACGTTTCAAAAAATCAAGAATTGATTTTTCAAAATAAATTTTTTGCTATTTCAATATTACAACTGTGGACAAAAAACTTCTCGACAAAAAATACCAAATTTCCCGCATTTTTCCCCTCAGAAAAAAACTCACCAGGAATCATGGACATTGAAGGTGTCGGCGGATAAACCGACATTATATTTCCACTGCTCGTTTTTTTCTAAAAGCGTATTTGCTCTTTTCGACGGCTTTTTCTGCAAAAATTTTCGATTTCGCAAGCACGAAATGGACACAAAACATTTGTGGAAAAAAAAAAGACATTTCGGGAAAAATGAATGAAACTTATATGTTTACACAGTCTCTTGTTTTACACCCCAAAATCGATGAAATTTTTTCGAATTGAAATGACTCAAACGGAAATCTTATCACAAAAAAAATATAAATTGAGAGAGAGAGAGAGAGAGAGAGAGAAGAGACGCAGAGAACCAGAGAAAAACATGACTCATGTTAAGATAAGTTATGTTCTTTCTATTTCAAAATGAAAATGAGAGAAATTGTTTTTGAACTAAATAAAAACAGTAAAGAAAGGCAAATACTCTCTCGCTTATAAGAGACGCAGAGAAAAAGAGAAAATAAAATCGATTAAATAATTTTCGGATTATCCAAAATACCATTGAAAACAAAAAAAACATTGTTTTTTTTTTTGAAAAAATTCTTTATTAAAACTCTAAAATACCCTTACTTGTTAGCCTATTTTACACATAAAAAATTCGAGAAAAATTCAAATTTTTGCGGCGAATTCGCGTCGCAGAGTTTCGCCGTTGTCAATGGAGCACGTTTGCAAAATTTGGGGCAAATTCGGTCGGAGAGCGTTGAGTTCAGTGTAGCCGCCAACAAATCTGCAAAAAATGGGGATGGGGCACTGTTTTGTGGGCGTGGCCTATTCCAACTCACTTTCCGCAAATAAAAATCTGCGGCACAGTCCGTTGCTTCGTCAAATCAATCAATCCCTGCAAATGCGCTTGAATATTTGGATGAGTTTTCGACAAAGTGTTGAGATTCTGAAATTTTCAGCATTTTTTTGGCTGAAAATCTGGGGGAATTTCAGACTTTTTCCGTGTATGTGAATCCGTCTTCGAAGAGTTCATTTTTTGCTTTGACACAATAGCCACAACCGTCTTTTGTGTACATTACGATGGGATGTTGTTTGACCTGGAAACATTTTTTACTAGAAATCTGGATTTTCAGCCAGAAATTCAGATTTTCAGACCAAAATTTGAGATTTTTTAACAGAATTTTCATGTGAATTCCACATTTTCAGCAATTTATCATTAAAAACTTGATTTTTTCAAAATTCCTCTCAAAAATCTCAATTTTCAACAGGAAAATCTGATTTTACAGTAATTTCAGATAAATTAATTTGAATTCCAACCAAAATTTGAGATTTCTAGCCGTATTTTCAGTGAAAATTCCACATTTTCAGCGATTTCTCATCAAAAACTTGATTTTTTCTCAAAATCTCTAAAAATCTAAAGTTTCAACAGGAAAATCTGATCTTACATAAATTTCAGACAAATGAATTTGAATTTGAGATTTCTAGCCGAATTTTCATGTGATTTTTTTTCTCATTAATAATTTGGATTTTCAGTTGGATTTTCAGCCAGAAAACCCGAATTTTAAGCCACAAATGCAAATTTTCTGTTGGAATTTTCAAGTGGAAATCTGATTTTACAGAAATTTCAGATTAATTATTTTCCGGCCTAATTTTCAGCCAAAAAATCTTGATTTTTGGATAATTCTCGGCTGAAATTCACTAATTTTTGAATAAGTCAAATATTCGTAATTTTTCTAATAAAAACATGATTTTTAAATGAAATCTCCCGATTTTCAGCAAAAAATTCAAAATTTCAGATTTCCTCCCCAAAAATCTCCCCACCTCCTCTCGAATCTTCTTCGACTCTTCCGACAAACTCGGCGTCGGCGGGCTCGAATTTCCTTGTCCCATCTGAAATTAATTTCAGATCTGAAAAATTCCAAAAAAAGGTACAATTAGTGTTCAAAAACACAATGAAAAATTACAAAAAAAAATTGATAAGAAATTCAAGTTTCATTTACAAAAAAGGGAAAATTTCGTTCAGTAAATAAATAATCAATAAATAAAAGTCTTCATAGTACAAATAAGAGATTTTGGGCTGAAAAAAGCACATTTTCAGCCAAAAAAAAGTGGTTTAACCTAGAATTGACAAGCAAGCACCAATATCACAGAAAATATGGGAAAATTTGCAAAATTTTTTAGTCAAATGATATGAGTGGTTGTTCGGCGACTGGTGGCGGAGCATTTTGCGGAGCAGCTGAAAAATATAGAGTAGAGATTGGAGAAAAATGAGAGACGCAGAGAAAAAACTCACCGTATTGTTGTTGCTGAACATTTTCAGGCTGTTGATGTTGAATCTGGAAGAAAAAAAACAAAAATTTGGCCACGCCCCCAAAACCCTGCCGCAAAAAAACCCACCGGTTGTTGTTGTTGAGCATATTGATGATGTTGCTCATATTGTTGCTGGGGTACTGTAGCAGGTACTGTAGAAGTGGGCGGGGCTTGTTGATATTGTTGCGGTGGATAATAGTATTGTTGTTGTTGTTGAGCAGGGTACTGTGGCGGGTACTGTACCGCACCATTTTGATATTGGTACTGTGGCTGAGGAGGAGCACCATATCCATTAGAGTACTGTTGTTGTGGAGGAGGCGGGGCTGGAAAAGGGTTACTGTAGGTCAAAAGGTACTGTAGATCAAAATCCTACCGTAATATTGTTGAGGTGGTTGTGACGTGGCTGGTGGTTGAGCATACGGCGAATAGTAGGCCTGGAAATTTGGAAAATAAGAATATTTATCAGTGGAGCGCACTTGCCTGTTGTTGTCTTCTCATCGCCATTTCTTGTTGCTGTTGTTGGAATCGTTGAAGAGCTTGTTCGCGTTGCTCCATGAGCATTGTCTGGAAAAAATAGTTTTTTAGAAGGCGCAGATTCTAGAGATTTGATGTTCTCAAGGGGTTGATCCTTGAGAAAAGAGCATCTCAAGGTGCGGAGCCTTGACAGCAAATATGTCAAGGAGTGTTTGCTTGTTAGACTTGTTCACAAGACACTGCTCCTTGAGAAGATAAGTTCTCAAGGCGCGGAGCCTTGAGGACAAAAAATATGTAAAGGAGCAGTTGCTTGATAGACATGATCTCAAGGCACTTCTCCTTGAGATGAGGTCCTCAAGGCGCGATTGCTTGAAAATAAGGTCCTCAAGGCACTGTTTCTGGAGAACATAGGTCCTCAAGGCACACACCTCGGCCAAGCCGTGGCTGGCCAGAGTACAATTTTTGGAAAAATCTGAATTTCAGTTTTTAGAGGTCAAAAATTGAAAAATCACAATTTTTAGAGGACAAAAACTGAAAAATTCACAATTTTTGTACTGTAAAAAGATACCGTACAATTTTTCATTTGGAAAACCACGATTTTGGCCGAGGTGTGTCAAGGCACTGCTCCTTGAGAATAAGGTCCTCAAGACTCTTCTCCTTGACAAAAGCTCTACCAAGACTCTGCTCCTAGAGAAAATTCCCCGCAAAAACCCACATGTTTCTTGATTCTCATATTCTCAAGAGTTTGCTGCATTTGAGCTTGTCGAAGTCGTTGCTCTTCAGCCATTCGTTCCTGTCGTTTTCGCTCGTGCTCCTCTCGCAATTCATTGATCGCCTGACGAGCTTCGCCAATATTTGCCAAATGGTCTTGAAGCGATTCGTGGTAGGCTGAAATTTTAATTTTAATTTTGAATTTGAATTTTTTTTTTAAAAATCCAGAAAAAAAACAGCTTTATGAAAATTTGACAAACTTTAACGCTTGAGAATGAAGAATTCAAAATTTCGATAAAAACATGAGTTTTTTTTGAAACGTATTTTCCCGTGTTTTGATTTTCGAGACAATAGTGTTTTTTTTTTTGGAAATTCAAAATCCCCCTTACATCTTTGCTCATCCAACGTATGCATTTTGCTCAAAACATGCGAATGCAATTCGGTCAACCTGGTGAACAGATCTTGAATCGCTGAATCATTGAAAACCGGTCTTCCTCTTGCCAAATTCGATCGAATTCGATTATCCATCACTGATACTTGCTCTCGAATCGCTTGACACCATTTCATAGTTTCATCAGCTTGAACTTTTGCATCTTCGCTGATGGAAGCGCCTGGAAGGAAAAAGGGTTTCTGGGAACTAGAAAAAAAAATAACCTGGGGGACTAGAAATTTCCTAGTCCTTCAAATTCTCTTCCCCCTTACCTTGCAAACTCATCGCCGCCAAATCCGCATTCAACGACGACGATTCTTCCACAGCCAACATTGTCGAACAAATCGATGGTGCAATCGATGGATCACTTGGTGGCGGAGCTGTTGGATTCCACGAATCCTCCTTCTTCGCTTGCCAATAATCACGATTCAAATATCTAGCCAGAGGATCTTCTGGCTCTGCAGCTCCCTTATAAATCGACTCAACTTCCGATGCAGGTGGAGCACTTTGATTTGTCACACCTCCATTATGATAAATTGTATTAAATTTTTCCTTTTCTTTCGCTTCCGCTTCACTTTGACTAATCGCCAAAGCCAAAGCCAGATCTTCCTCCTCTTTCTCCCTCAAAAGTTTCTCTTTTTCCGCGGCTTCTTTCTCCGCATCTGTGATTTGCCGCAAACTTTTCTTCTCCGGATGATTCTTGCGCGCAAAGAACTCTTCCCTCATTCGCTTTTTCGCTTCACCCAACTTGGTTTCATAACAAGTTTCACAAACTCGCACTTCTTTTTCAATTCCAAATTGGGGAAGTGGAAGTTCTCTCGAGCTGCATTTATCACAAAATATCTGACCGCACGCACGACAATGATGTTTTCTCGTGAAAACACTGAACGCTGATCGACATCTATAACATTCGGGACCATCTTGCCATTCCGGAGCAACTTGTGCCATAAACATCGCATCCGCCTCTTTCAAACTCGGAAAATCGAAACCTCCCAACTTCATTAAATTATGCGTGTCAACAATCATTTTATATTCGGACTTGTTGGCAAAAGCTGTCGCCCAACACTGCAACATTTCCAAACATTTATTTTTGACCTCCTCATATTTGCTATCCGACACGAGGTTTTTGAATTCTTCCATGAAATCGCGCGTGGCGATTTCGGAGTGCATTTTGTGACCGCAGTTTTTGACGCAGGCATCGAGAAGGAGCAAAGTGTGCTGGACGACGTGAGGGTTTTCGTGTTGGAGACGTTTTCGGATTGATTGGAGAGCGGGTTTTGCGCTGGAATTTTGGAGATTTTGAAGGTTCTGATTTAGCCTAATTCAGGCTGGAATATAGTTGGATATCGACTAAATGACATTTTCAGGTTTTTTAAGCAAGTGAGTTGAAATATTGGGTTTTAATGTTATTCATATGATAGAATGGTCTAAGACGAACAGAATGCTATGAATTCTGATGACTTTGCGTTACCCATAAGTGATTTAGCGACGTTTAGTCGATATTTAGTCGATAACTTCGCTAAATCACTTATGGTTAACGTAAAGTCATCAAAATTTATATCATTTTGTTCGTCTTAGATCATTCTATCATATTAATAACATTAGAACCCAATATTTCAACTTATTTGCTTAAAAAACATGAAAATGTCATTGGAAATTTCAATGTGAAGATCATCAATGAAGAATTGTTCAAATTTCCAATGAAAACTCGGTTATCGATAATTTTAAATTTCTTCGAAGATTCTCAACAAGAACTCCAATATTTTCCAAGTTTTTCCTCCATTTTTTCTTCTATCCCGCAAAAAATCAATAAACCCAGTGACTTACGCAATCTCTCCAGCCCTTATCATATCCGTACACGCTATAATTCCCTCCCAATGAGTTTCGACCAACGTCGAATCGGTCGCCTGTTCCAGATATTTTTGAAATTTATTCGCCATTTTCTTTTTCTGCAAATAACAATCTCAATATTTCATAACTCCCTTTTTTGCGGGAAAAAAACCTCGCCAAATAATAAAGGGGCCATTTTCAGTGCCGAAAATATTGCGAAATGAGAGGGAAAACATAAATTCATGCAAGAAACACATTAAAAACGTGAAAAAACATATGTGAGTCACGTAAAAAAAAGAAAGAAAAAATAGTCATCAGCTGGGAAAATGGTGCAAACACCGCGACGCAAAAATGCACAGAAAAGGGCTTATCGGGTTTTTTTCTTCGTTTAAAAGGAAGTGCAAATACAAGAGGAGAACGGGTTTTTCTGGTCATTATTTATTATAAATAGAATAAAATAAAATACAATAGAATCTGCAATTCTTTGGAAATCTGAGTAAATAAAAATACAAGTAACTTTATTTCTACAATTTAGCGGTTGGAACCTGAACAAGACCAGTATCTGGAGCAGAAGTGAGGATTAATTTTTGAACTTCTTTGAATTTTGGATGATCCGATCCTCCGACTAAACTAAGAATTGTGGCTTCGGAAGTTGTTAGAATTGCGCCAGCTTGTTCCATTTGTTTAAAAGCGAAATGGCGATCAGTGTGAGAACGGCTGCTAACAGCATCAACCACCACATGAACATTGTGACCACGTTCCAAAAGATCGTAGCTAAATCAATTTTTCTCTATAGAAATTTAATTCCAACTCAAAAAAACCTACGTTGTTTGCAAGACACAAACATGTGCCTCAATTCCAACCAAAATCACATTTTTCACATTCTTCAAAACTCCATCAGCTGGTGGCAAACACATGGAAAACTTCATTTTATCGAAGACCTGCGCATTTTCAGCCAATCCCTCTTTGAGAAGTGGAACTGTGTGTCCGAGACCTTTCGGGTATTGTTCAGTGACAACTGTGGGGATTTCAAGAATTCGGGCGGCATCGATGAGTCTTCTCGAAGTTTGCACGATTTCCGGGAAGTATTGGATAGTCTTACTAGAAAAATTCGAGGATTTCAATTGATATCCCTTCAAAAACGATGTTTACCTGAATTTCTCCTGCAAATCGCATACAAACAACGCCGAATTGCTTGGATTTATTCTTGCAATCACTCGAGTCAACGCAGACATCCTAGTTTACCTGGAAATTAGGAATGAAACGGAGAAACATAGAAAAAAGACGGTTTGGAGAAAAAATGCACGAAAATAAAAAGAAAACAACGAGACTCCGGTGATGACGGTGCACATCTTCTCAAAATCTCTCATTTTTGCACACTCTGTCGTTCTTTTTTTTTCTGAATTTTTAACTTTTTTCTGAAAAACAACCTAACTTTTATAATAGAAACTAATGTAACTGCAAAATAACAGTTTCTTATCAAAAATCACTAGTCTCATTGATTCTTTGATCAAACATCACTTTATAACAAAAAAAAATGGATAAATAAAACCGTAAACACCAGTATTAATACAATTAATTAATTAGAAGTCTATGGATCGTTTGGAAGTGGTGCCAAATCTCCAATGAAATTCTCCTGAACATCCTCGTGAAGTCCGCAAGGTCGTGTAAATTCTTGACCACGTTCATGAATCCATTTGTTAGAGACCTAAATAGAAATAGCGATTTTAGGGTAATTCTAAGGTCCTTAAGGCCCTTAACTTGGTCATTAAGGTCGTTAACCTACCCATTTAACACCCAAAAGCACTGGACAAGCAGCATGTCTAGTTCTCAAATCACCATCTCCACTACGTTTCAAATTATACCAGAAAAGCGCGTCATTTTTCGACGGGAAAACTGCGGTTCCCAGTTGATTGAATACAGTGGCACCGCCTCTTTCAGGTTGTGACATCTGCAAATTTTTTGTGATCACAAAAATTTTCTGGGGCTGAATTTCGAAAAAAGTTCTACCTATCCACAATTTTTCCATAAACTTAAGAAAAAAACGGGAAAATCACTCAAAAAAACAGGCAGAACTTATCCGAACAACAGCAATCAAGGAAAAAAGTGTGGCTTACGTAGAATAGAACAGTGGCGATTCGATTTCCGGTATTCAGAGTTTTGAACGCGTTTTTCTCCTCTTTCTAAAAATCACAAAATCATTCGGGGATGCGGAAACTTACGTAGAACAAGGCGGTAGCGATGCGGTTACCGTTTCCCGAAGAATAGGGCTCCGATACATTTCTCTAGAATTTTTTGAGGGGGGAGATTCTGGAAGTGTCTGCGTCTCTAGATAGCAGACGACTAGAGACGCAGAGAAACTAGAGCTTAGCTGTGTCTCTAGCTGTCTAGCAGTTAGACGACCAGAGGCACTCCATTAAGGCTCTAGCTTCTCTGCGTCTCTAACCAAACAGAAGCTAGAAGACCAGAGAAACCAGAGTTTATCTGCGTCTCTAGCTGTCTAGCAGTTAGACGATCAGAGGCACAGAGAAATTCTAGAACAATAGTTCATTTTTCTCTGCGTCTCTAGCAGCTAACTAGAGACACTCTCAATTCTCTGCGTCTCTGAAAATTGTATCTCTAGCAGCTAGACAACTAGAGACACTCTAGTTTCTCTTTTGCGCGAAGCCGCTCGAGTGGAGCGAGTGTGTTCCCTCTGCGTCTCTAACCGTATAGAAGCTAGACGACCAGAGAAACTCCAGATTAGCTGCGTCTCTAGCTGTCTAGCTCGAGCGGAGCGAGTGTATTCCCTCTGCGTATCTAGCCATCAAACTAGACGACCAGAGACACTATTGCTCTGCTTCTCCAACCCTCTAGCTAGAGACACAGACATTTTCCCAATAGAGCGCATATTCCCTAACTCACTCTAGCAAAATCAAAATGTGGATCATAATGTCCACCCAATCCATAATTCGCCACCTGAAGTTCCTCCGATGTTTTCTGATTCAAATTTGTGAATTCCTCAATTCTCCGATTGACTCGATCAATAACCGGTGACAAATCGCCTTTCAACCAAGCGCTGAAAATAATTTTGGTTGGAAAGTTGGGTAAAAATTTTTGGTGAAAAATCCACAACAACTGAAAAAAACTGAACCAGGCTTTAAAAAAGACAAACCTTTTGGAGATTCGATAAGTCGCATGTTCAAGTTCTCCAGTCTTCGAATTTTGAACTGTGGCACGTTTGAGCTAAAAAGAAGGCACACTTGGAAGAGAGGATTTAGGATAACTCAAAAAGGGTCACTTCAAAGGGAACACCAACTTAAAATTCAAATTCAAAATTCACTCGAAAGGGGAGTTCGGAGAACTTAGCTATGACGTGGCAGAAATTCAGAATCATTTCTGAAAATTTTAAACTAAAATCAGAATTCCAAAAAAAAGTTACAGTAACTTTGCCACGTCATAACAAAATTCCTCAAGCCTCGAACTTCCCCAAACATCCAAAATTTTAATTTTCACCTTTTCGCTATACGATAATCTACAGTAACCAAACTACCATCGGCCGCTTTTACAGTGGCACGTTCTAACTGGAAATTTTTTTGTGCTTTGGCTGAAAATCTGGCTTACCATTGGTGAGGCCAGCTCTTTAATTACAGCAATTTCAGAGTCACTGATGACTTCTTTGAACAAAACAGCCAATGGATCGTAGCGCAGGATTTCGACTTTGATTGGAGCGAGTTTCAAGAATGGACGGTCACGCTGGAAAAAAATTGATTTTGGATTGAAGAATTCCAGCTCAACTCTGAAATGAGCTATGACGTGGAACAAACTTTGCCACATCATGTTAGAAGTTGAGCTAAGTTAGATATACCTTGAGATAGCAGTGAACTTTGTGGGCCCATTTCGGTTCGACTGGTGGAATTTCACCGCGGCAGAGAGCTTCGTAGGCGTCACGTTCGACGATTCCGTCCCATTCGACGCGCTGGAAAAATTGAGATTCTGAAGTTCTGAACTTCAAGATCTCAAATTCAAGATTCAAAACTTCAAGATCTCAAGTTCGAGATTTTGTGAACCTTAAGATCCCAAATTCAAGATTCTGAACCTCAAGATCTCAATTTCAAGATTCTGAATTTCAAGATCTCAAATTCAAGATTATGTGAACTTCAAGATCCCAAATTTGCGATTCTGAATTTTTAGATCACGAATTCGAGATTCTGTGAACTTCAAGATCCGAGATTCTAACGATTCTTGGACTTCAAGATCACGAATTCAAGATTCTGAAAATCTGAACTTCAAGAAAATAACTTGAAAAACTTCGAACTTTTGCAGAATTTTGGAAAAGACAAACTCAGCTTCAACAAAATCTAGAAACCCAAATCCCCTTGAAAAAGTTCCCAAACCCACCTTATTAACAATTGGTGGCAAATCTCCTTGCATATCTTTTCCTTGCAACATATCCTCATACCATTTCACATTTCCTTTTGCTCTTGGATGATTTGGCGAGATTTTTGCCAATCTTTTTGTCAAAGCCAAAGCTCTTCTCACATTTCCTTGTTGATACAAAGAATAGGCAAGGTATTCGAGGATTTCAGATTCTTCCACTGATTTTGGATTCTCGTTTTCGATCTGGAAATTTAGAGATTAGGGATATGAAGCTTGCTCATCTTAAAAGAAGGCTCACCTTATTTAGCGCAACTTGCATCCACATCAAACAATGATAATAATCTTTTTGATTATAAGCAGCTCGTCCAACTTCAAAAGTATCGTGTCCATTGAGTTTGTTCGAAACCTGAAATTTAAAAATGAACATTTTTTGATTGAAATGCCCACGTGAAAAAAGTTCACGCCAATTTATTAATTTTTGAAAAATTACAGTTTTTCAGAAATCGTGAGAGGCTCAAAAAATTTGCAATTTAGCAGCTTCTCTGCGTCTCTAACTATATAGCTAGACAACAAGAGCAACAGAGAAACCGTAGCTTCTCTGCGTCTCTCAAAATCCTATGATCTCTAGCTAGGTTTCCTCTGTGCGTCTCTTACCGTATCTAGACGACTAGAGAAACAGAGATACTATATCTTATTTCCTTCTGCGTCTCTAGCAGCTAGACGACTAGAGAAACAGAGAAACTATAGCTCACTTTAACAATAGCTCATTTTCCTCTGCGTCTCTAGCCCTTCAGCTAATGTAACATCTAGCTTCTCTGCGTCTCTAACCATGTAGCAGTTAGACGACTAGAAAAACGGAGAAACTCTAGCTTCTCTGCGTCTCTAGCCCTTCGGCTAGACGAATAGGGACATAGAGATACTATAGCTCATTTTCCTCTGCGTCTCTAGCCATCTTACAGCTATACATCAGAGAAATAGAGAAGCTCTAGCTTCTCTGCGTCCCTCATAATCCTATGATCTCTATCTAGCTTGCGCGAAGCGTCTCGAGCGAAGCGAGTGTATTTTCCTCTGTGTCTCTAACTCTCCGGCTAGACAACTAAAGGCAGAGATTATATAGCTTATTTCACTCTGCGTCTCTAACTGTATAGCTTCTCTGCATTCTCTAAAAACCTATGTTCTCTAGCCCTCCAGCTCTATTTTCTCTGCGTCGCTCAAACCAACCTTCTCTCCACCAATAATTCCATTCGACAAATCCGCCGTGTCCAATTTATAAGTATCCTGTAATCTGAGCAACGCCACAGCAGCTCCACTCAAATCATCTTCTCCCGGAAACTTCACCAAACTCTTCGACCGCGTTTCAGTAATATTTTTGATAAATCCTTCAGCTCGATTATTCAACATAATATTTTCGACTTTTTTCCATTCAGTCGTCAATCTTTTAATCAATAAATATGCGTTGATTGGATTTGTCACGAATTCGGGACCAACATTTTCAGCGTGTAGATTTCTGGAAGTGTATTCTTCCGCGTATTTTCGCAAATCATTCAACCGCTTTTGCTCGGCTACAATGTAGTCATCGATCACATTTGCCACACCTTTTTCAGCTCCAAGCATGTGCTGAAAAATTTTGATTAGGGGCTAGAATTCTTGAGCTTCCGAACTTACCTCAAGATCAGCGATGGCTGTGAAAAGATCAGCAGCTACTAGGGAAAGTAGAAGTGATGACAGGAAAATCAGCCGCATTTCTGGAAAAAAAGAACTTTGAAAAATCAGGAAAAGGATTAATATGAGCAATGAAAAAGTTCAGCATAAAATAAAATTTGATTTTTGGTGCGAAATTTTGAATTTCTTGAGCTAACAAAAATCGATTTGACTGCGTACATTAGATACTCAGCCAAAATTTTGAGTTGAGGAGATTTGGCAGCGTACCTGGGAAGTTTAGTACTCAGCTAACTTCAGATGAATTTTAAAAATTGGATTTTCGCGCCTCAGAAAATCTAGATCCACTATACAACTACAAAAAATTAGATCCAAAAATTTTTTTCTATTAAAAATTTAGTATAGTTTTTCTTCTTCTAACTACAAAAAAAGTGCACAGCAAAATTTTTTGTCAAAAAAAAAATTTTAGAAACAAAAAAAACAACTGTTCCTCCACGTTCCATTACACAAAAGAGACGCAGACAAAAAATCTTATATTCATAAAAAAAAGAAAACCGAAAACGGCTGGTTTCGTCGAAACAAGGGACAGCGAATTGTTTGCTTGTTTGTGTCTTGTCGCGCGAGTACTGTAACACACGAGTGGCGTGTGCATTTCTTTTATTTTTTATTTCCTTTTCGTTTTTCATTTTTTTTTCGCGGTTTCGTAGGTTTCGATACGTAAGTCAAACTCAACTTTTAATAATATATAAATAACTATTTTTCAGGCGCAAAGAAAAAGGGACGAAAATGCGACAACCGCTTCGGGACATCGGAAACCGGAATTATGTGAGTCGTTTTGCAAGAAAAAATAATAAAAACTTTAAAATTTCTCTCAAAGAAAATATTCAATCTAACTTTTTTCGAATTTAGAAAATTATCAGCTTATCAGCGAATTTGTTCTGGTGAATATTGTTAATTATGCCGAATTGATCACCAGCGGAATGAGGAGAAAAACATTTTTCGAAAAAACAATTTTCGGAAGATTGCGGTCATCGAAGGTCAAAGAGATTGTTTTCTCCAGTGATTATATTTTTTTTACATTAGAGCGCACAATCTCTTTGACCATCGATGACCGCCAGCTTTCAAAAAAAAAAAAACATTTGTTCTCCTCATTCCGTCGCCAATCAATTCAGCAGGATGAACAATATTAAATTTAACTTCGAGAAACTATTAGTTTTGAACGCCAGAAATAAAAAAAAAACAAACAACAAAACGTGATTTTCACACCAGAATCCAAGTGATAAAAGCTTACTTAAAATCCAAGAAACATTCGTATTCAAAACTTCAATATGAAAAAAGGAAAAAAACAATATCACCTAACTCCTGGATTTTTATAATTAAAATTCCTACCTATATCTCTGAACCCATCAATTCTAATTCTAGAAAAAATCTGCCTTATGCTTTTCTCCAAGTTTTCCAACCAGCAGCCTTCCTGCGTCTTTTGTAAAAAAAAAACGATAATGAATCTCCAAATAAGAGTTCAAAATTTTAATTCAAATTTAAAACTTAATAATTTTTCTATGCCTTTCTCGTAATTGACCATTCAATGGATTTCTAACATAATTGAATTGAAAATTTAATTGAACTCCAAATACAAAATTAATTCTACCCTTTTAATAAAATAAAAAAAAAACTATGAAAATTATTTCTATGCCGAACCAAACTTCGAAAAATCTCTGTTTAAATCTAATTACTTATACAACAAACCGTGGCTGGACTCGTGGATTACAAAATAAAAATAGTATACATTAATTTAATAAAAATAAAATGGAAAAATTGTGAGTTTCGAATGATTTTTGAACTGCAAAAAATTCAAAGAAAAAATGGTTAAAAATTTGCTTTTAAAGTTTTTCAGCCAGTTTCTAACTGTTTTTAAACTAAATTCTAAATTAAAGTCAATTTTCTTGAAAATCTGCTAAAATCTCACATTTTCATAGACCTTGTATTAAATTATAATGATAAAAAAAATTATCAATGAAATAAGAAAATAAATTTGAATTAAATAATCATTTTTTCCATTAAAGACTTTGAGAATTTTCAGAAGTCGACATCAAGAAGGACGAGGAAATTCAACATCTTGGCAATTTTATTTTTTATTGGTAAAAAATAAACATTATGAAATCTCTATTGTTATTAATTCGGTTACTCGGAATTTTTTAATTTTAACATTTTTTATTACCCTCCGGTCTCTCCGGATGATGACTTCCACCTATGAACAAATGTTTTTTGTCAACAATTTAACAAAAATCGAATTTGGCTCAAAATAATTCTCAGACAAGAAACGTGAAAATTTTTGGTACAGTACTCTCATGAAATTCACGTTATTTGATTTTTCCCGCGTAATCTAATGATAGGAACTTGTTTGCACTGTTGACTATTTCAAATCCTTCTGGTGTTTGAGCGGTGTTCTCTCTCTACATTCCCAAGAATTTTCTGCCATTTTTTTCTGTTTGAGGGTGAGGTTTTACTTTTCACAACATGTCAGTCAAGTGAAACTTGGAATTTGATGAAAATAAGAGAGACGCAGACGTTTTCACGCCAGAATCTCATTTTTTCATTGAAACAATCATTGAAAAAATATGAAAAAAGTAAAAACGTGAATGGCGGTCGGTTCCTAAGCTTACAATTAGTCATAGTTTGGGCCGGAGTCCCAGACTCTCAACAGGCTTAGGCTTAGGCTTAGTTCGGGCCCAAGGTCCACATTCTTAACAGGCTTAGGCTTAGGCTTAATATGTGCAGAAGGCCCAGACTTCGAACAGGCTTAGGCTTAGTTTGGGCTGAAGGCCAAGACTATGAACTATAAACATTGGTTTGGGTGATTCTTTTATTTATTAATTTTTCGCCAAGTGAAAAGATTGTTATGTGAGGGTGGTGAATGAAAAAGTTTGAACAAAACGCCCAGGAACCACTATTTCTTCCAAAAAAATTATTTTTTGAAAATCTTCATCATCACAAATCAAAACAAAACAAAATAAAACGACGTGTGGTTTTTGAATAAAATAAAATAACTTGAAGAAGAAAATGGGCGGGGCAGAATATCTCTGGCCTCACTCTCTCAATTCTGCGCACTCTCTCTTCTGATCGCGTTTTTGCACGTAAAATCGAATGGCGAGAGATGGAGAGACGCAGAGATAGGGGGGAGATTGTTGGAAGATATTGGGGCAAGAGGTCAGGGTCCCTAGAATATACTTGGGATAGGTTCAGGGGGAGTTAGGCTAACTGGTTTAGAGGAGAATCTAGAAATTCAAAAAAATCTGGGAAATTTTTGAAAATATTTCCAGAAGTAAAGAAAGTTCCAGAAAAATTCAGAAAATCAGGAAAATCCCCAGAAGTTTCCAGAAAGCATTAAAAATTTAGAAAATCTCAAAAAAATATTTCAAAAATCTCTAGAACTTTCTGAAAGTCTCTAAAATATTCTGGAAATTCTCTAGAACTTTCTTATATTTTCTGGGATTCTCTGAAATTCTCTAGGATCTTCTGAAATTCTCTAGAACCTTCTAAAAGTCTTTGAATTCTTCTGAAACTCTCCAGAACCTTCTGAAAATTTCTACAGTATTCTGAAATTTTTTTAGAATCTTCTGAAATTCTTCTGAAAGTCTCCAGAACTTTCATATTCCTCTAAAACCTATCACACTTTCCCCTAAGCCCTCCGCTGCAGAATTTATAGTTCCTTTATCTCCTCCCACCTTATCTAATTCAACGTCATCACAAAACTGTACAAACTTTACAAAACCCAATTTTTGCCCAACAAACTTAGGCTAAATCCAAATCCAAATCCAAGTTCAACTCCAAAACATCTCGACCACACCAATAATTTTCGGATTTTTTTCGTCCAAATTCTTTTCTTACCGGATAAAATTCTCGGTTTTGTTTTGTTTTGTTTGTTCCTCTGGTCAAGGTTAGCCTAACTGAATAACTTGTATTCAAAATTTCTGAAGCGAAAGAACAACCAAAATTTTTAATTAGCGGGTAGATGGCAAGATTTTTGGGTTCCCGAGAAAAAATCCAGCTTCCCGGGGAAACCATAATTAGGTCAATCAATTCTGACGAAAAAAACTAGACCAGCTTTTCTTCTTTCAAAAACAGATCTCATCGAATCCAATTTGTGTTTTGTCTGCGTCTCTCACTCTCTCGTAGGTGTCGCGCAGTGGATATTACACAAGAAATTGTGAAAGTTACGTGCAGATCTGGGGATGTACGTGGGGAATTGGAGAGAGAAGGAGGGCAGAAACGCAGAGAAGGGGATTGCTCAGGTTAGATGTTAAAATATATTGCGAAAAAGTTATGACGTGGCAAAAAAAAAGTTAGCATCACTTTTTTGAGATTCATAATTTTGAAAATAATTCAGCTGAACACCCTTTTAGACTGAAAATATATAAAACAGCAACAATAAAACACACAAATTTTTGAAAAAGTGCGCGAACATGCAATTTTCATCAATAGGGCGCACTTCCATTTTTACTTTTATTTTCTTGTTTTTGTTTTTTCGCAAATGTTTCATTCACGTTTTTTTGTTGTTTTACGATGAATTTGAATGAAACTTGTTGTAAAATTGATATTTATCTATTTTTCTAGTACAAGTAACACAAGTTTAGTTGATTTTCGATAGTTTTATACTAAAACTGGTGCTCAAAAAGTAATTTTATGAAAAAATGTTCTTTCTTGAATTTTTCTTTGGTTTAAAGTACTTGATTCATTTTTACTTTACAGGAAAAAGGTTTACGAAATGCTGGAAATATCAAAACAATTATTGAAGTGAATATTAGTTGCATGATTGTGATTTTTGAAGAAAAATGGAGGGAAAGTGAGTTTTTTGAAAATTTGAGGTTTTGAGTTTGTCGAAAGATCGTGAAATTCTGGATTCAGAATTTAATATAAAAATCCATAAAATTAGGATTCAAACTTCCAAATTTGCTATTCAAAAATCAATGTTTCCGCTTACATCTGGCCAGCCAAAAAACGTGCGTTTTCCTCGTTGTGTCTACGTGCGCAAACCGGGCATCTGGTAAAAGAAAAAAGAAGAAAAAGAAGAGGAAGAGGAATTTCCACTTTTTATTGTAAAATGTTTATTATAATGTTAGATTTTACATAAACATAACAAAAAAAAATGGAAATGATGAATTCTACAGAACATTTTTGAAAGCTGAAGGGCGAATTTTGTGGAATTTTCTGAGAAAAAAAAAGTTATTTTGAAATTTGGCGCGAAAATTGATCAGTTATCAAGTGAACGATTTGACGTACATTCAGAAACTACAGTATAGTCTAACGAAAATTGAAATTGAATATTTTCAAATCATAAAAGGCTAACATAACAAAAAATTCCTACGCTAAATTTAAAAAAAAGCAAAAAATGAAATGAAAAATAAACATTTCTAGATAAGATCAATTATTTTACCAAACGTGTCCCACTAACCCAGAAAAACGTGGCAAATTTCAGAATAAAAGACGATCGGATTCAATGTGGACACCATTGCCGCATTCAGTTTTTTCTATTCAACGTCTTTTTCTGAAAGGATTTATTTCAAGTTCCGTTACAAAAAGTAGAAACATATTGGAATGTCGGTACATAGTGAGTTCGCGGGAGCCGGGAGATTTCAGAGAATATCGTAAACTGTTTTCAGAACGCTCTAGAAGTAATAATGCTAGTTCGAAAACTGTCAATGACAATGAGACTATGACAAATGGCGAGAGAAAGGCGATGAAGAAGTGTATCGTGAAATTTGTGGCGAGAGTCCTTGAAAAAGGTCCAACTGGTTTGCGTGGCGAATTTCAGAGCATGAAAAGATCGAATGATTTTGAAAAAATGAAGGCGTTCAAAGAAGCTCAGGAAGCCGGCAAGAATCGCTATAAAGATGTGGGATGTTTGGACAATTCACGTGTCAAGTTGGGAAACCCTTGGCCTCATGAATATATCCATGGAAACTATGTTTCAACACCGCTCAACCCGAAGCGTTTTATCTGCACTCAAGCACCGCTGGAGAAGACTTGCGCTGATTTTTGGTTCATGTGCCTTCAGGAACATGTTGAAACCATCTTCATGCTTTGCAACTTCATGGAGAAAGGCACCAAGAAATGTCACGAATATTTCCCCACGAAAGACAAGCCGGAAACTTTGACATTTGAAGAAGGCAGCCATAAGATCACAGTGCGCTTCGAATCTTCAAGAGTCGTCAAATTCAAGGGGCGAGATATTAAGGCGAAAGTTGTTGAGACGATATTATCGGTTGAAGGACCAAATGATATGTCAGTCAAAACAACTCACTATCATTGGATCGATTGGCCGGATCGTGGAGTTCCGCCAGCTGATTTGGCCATCATTGATCTTCTTGCGAAAGCCAGAGTTTCGAAGTGAGTTTTTTTTTAAATTTTGGATTTGATGGCACTTTTTTCTTCAAATCTTGATGAAAATTTGTCCAAAGACAGCTTTTGCGGTCATAAAAGCACCCTGAAAATTTTAGTGGAGCTCTGAGCCAAGTTCTGGGCTCTCAAAAGTTCAAAAATGGCCAACATTGGCTCATAAAACACATTGATCAATTTTATGAAAAACTGAGTAGCAGATAATGATCAGCGTGGTCGATTTACCCAAAAAACATCGTCGAACATTCAGAAAAAATTTTGATTTTGGAAAAAAAGAATGAAAAAACTTCAAAATTTTTCGAAATACTGAATTTTATTGATTTTATTTTAGTAAAAACTATGCTGATCAATATCTGAAATTTTATTTCTCATGAAAATTATTTTGAAATGGAGCTATGATGACTTTTGAGAGCCCAGAACTTGGCTCAGTGGTCCATTGGGTAACTAAATTTTTTAGGGTGTTTTATGACCCCAAAAGCTGTCTATGGGCAAAATTTGAAGTGTTGAGTAAAAAAGGTTCCTTTGTAAGAAAAACTTAATTTCCAGAGGTCCAATCGCTGTCCACTGCTCAGCTGGAATCGGAAGAACTGGAAGTGTTGTGATGATTGAATATGTCATGGAGCAAATCTTGAGTAATCAACCGATTGAAGACACTGACAAGATTCTTCTGAAGATTCGTGAGCAACGCAACAACTCTGTTCAAACTGATCATCAATATTTGTTTGTCCACCAAGTTTTGATGAATTATTTTCGTCAACGCAAACTTTTGGATGCCAATGTTGAAGGTCATCACGACGACTTCACCAAGACCTATTTGAAGATGGTTATTTAGAGAGCTCGGGGATTTTGAATAAAGGTATTTTTTTTTGTAAAAAATAGTTTTCCGGCAAGAAAGATTTATTGAAAAAAATTTTAAAAAATTTAGAAAAATTGGGATTACAAGAAAATTAAACCGGGAATCTTTACGAATACAAAAATGGGGCGGGGAGTTGGCGCAACTGGGGGATGATTTTTTTTTTTGAATTTTTTTTGGGGGAATTTTTGGCGCCTGGTTATTTGTAGCGACTGTTAAAACTTCAACAAAAAATACATTTTTCAATGGGGCGGGGAGTTGACGCAACTGGGGGGAGGTTTTTTTGGAAAATTTTGCGGGATTTTGGCGTCGGGGAAAAACTGCATGAGATGGGGACAACAAAAAAAATACATTTTTCAATGGGGCGGGGATTTTGGTGCACTGGGGGGAATCTTTTTTTTTTTTTTTTGAAATATTTTTGGGGGAATTTTGGCACCGTTCATTCACTAGTTAGAACCGGGAGTAATTTACGAGGAAAAAATTAAAAAAAAAGAATTTTTTTGGATTTTTTGTGATTTTTGGCATAAAATTTGAAACCGGGAAGCTTTACGAATTAAAAAAATGAATATTTTGGGGGCGGGGAGTTAGCGCAACTGGAGGAATCTTTTTTTTTGTTGAATTTTTGAGGTTTCGGCGCCTTGATTTTACCAGTTTTGATAATCCAAACAAAAAAATGTTGAAAAATTGAAACAGAAAAAAAAGTTGGATGAATGAATTTTGAGACTTGGCTACCACGATTTTTTTTGGATTTTTGAATTTTGAAATTTTTTTTAATTTTGTATTTTTTGTTGATTTTTTTGGAATTTAGTAATTTTCTGAAATTTTCAAAAAAATAATTTTTGGCTCGAAAAATTTGGGTTTCGAAGAATTGAGAAGATGGAAAATGAGAATATGAAAAATTTTCAGAAAAAAAAGAATTTAAAATGATTTTTTTTCGAATTTGAATTTTTGAAAATTGACTAATAGAACTACGATTTTTTTGTTTTTTTTATTTTTTAAATTTTTTTTGTTTTTTTATTTTTTAAATTTTTTTTGTTTTTTTTTTGTTTTTAAATTTTTTTTTGTTTTTTTTTTTAATTTTTTTCGGATTTTCTGGAAATTTTGAAGAATTTGAATTTGGGAATGAATTTTGAGCGCACTGATTTTTTTTTTTGAATTTTTTAGAAACATTTTGGCGCTTGGATTTTTGGGGGGAGAAAATTTGAAAATTGGGGGTTTGGGGTGAAAATTGAGATTTGAAAAAAATTGGAAAAAGGTTGTAGAAAAAATTGGGGAAAACTTTGATACCAATGAGAAAAATATTGATGAACCCCTTCACTTCTCCTGATCTGGCTCCGCTTCGAACTTTTGAATCTCTGGCCAGTGTTCGTCTTGATCCACTGGACGCTTATCTTTGTCTACAAAAAAAAAGGAAATATTTTTTGAATTCCCAAATTCCAGAAAAAACTTACGACAACGGAGGTGATGCAAGAGGATCATATTGCGACTCGCAAATTTGCGATGGCAATTTTCGCACTGCATATTTCGCTTGGGTTTTTTGATTTTTCGAGGATCCGGGCGAACTGAAAGAAAATGTGTTCACAAAAGTTTTCGTTGTCAAAAACTAACTGCGTATGTTCATGAGCTTCAGATGATCAACATTGAAGTGTGTAAAGTAATTTTTTGAAAGATGGTATCGTAGATTGCAATGCCTCCAGGTGCATTTAGTGGCTGGCCAGTCCTGCAAAATTATTTTTGAAAAGTTTTTTGGGTATGTCAAAGGGCTGTGCTTTGGGAGACCCTTTCTCAAGCAGCCCCGCTTTGTGCGCTGAAGAAAAACTACTTACGGTAGATTCAGGAAACGAAATCGGATTGTGATCATTGTTAACGTGTGCCTGGAATGTCTGTTGATCACTAAATCTCCTTTTGCATTTTCGAATTCCACAAACAGCAGATTTGGCGCAAACTCGCATTATTGATTTTCTTGTTTCGGTGATTGAGTAACTGAAATTTCAAGAATATTAAAAAGCTAAAATTATACAAAAACTAATCAGAAAAGTTATTAGAAGTGTCACGAGATATTCAAATTGATTTAAATGAAGCTAGGATTCAAGTGCTTCTTGGAATCTGGGGGTCTATAAGCTCCGAGAGCCCATCAAAAAAATTTCACAAAAATTTCAGGTCTTATTTTTGAAGCTAGGATTTTTTTTTTTGGAAAATTGAAAACTTTTGTAGAAAAAATCAGAACTTGGAAAAGTTTCAGCTAATCCTAAAATTAAAATTTAATTTTAGGTTTTTTAAAACATAATTACAGGGTTCTAGATCCAGTGTAAAACCAAAATATTCTCATCTGAAGTTAGCCTAACCCCTCTAAGAATGATTCAAACAAGTGTCTTTCCCTCTTTTGTTAGCTTTGACTACTGTAAAAATGAATCATTCTTGCTATTTCTGTTTCTGAGACAACAATAAAAGTGCACTTTTCAAATGCCAAAAATAAATGTTTACCCCGTTTTTTCCTGTCTAGAGTACGGTGGCCTTGAGACTTTTGTTTTCGCAAACCAATAGCGAACTTGTGGGCGGGGCTAAATTATCTAAAGGGCTAGGGCCTGGCCTAGAAAATGTGGCCTAGAAAACCAGGCTGACAATAAGACACATAAAAATAAAACATCGAGATTTTGAGGAAAAAAAGTTTTCCAAAATTATTGTGAGAAACAATAATTTTGAATTCGAAAAACAAAACAATAACAAAATTTTGGAAAATAATTGAGGTGAGAAACTAGAAGAAATTAATTTTTAGGATTTATGTAATTTTTAATAACAGCTTTCTTTCTACAATACAAATTCGAGGGCTGGAGTTAGCCTAAATTCTACACCTAGCTCAAAAAATCGAGTTATGACGTGGCAAGACCACCCATATTTTTTTTCTGTTCCCAGCTTCTCAAAAGTGTTTAGACAACCTTGAAATATTTAGTTTTTGAAAAGATCCAGGTGAAAATGTTCAACAAAAGAATTTTTTTGCACATTTTGTTAATGAGAAATTTGACCTTGGGGAACACTTTTTTTCAATTTGAATAACAACAAAAATGGGTACGGTATTGCGAAGGTTGAAATTGGAAATCAAACTTCAGGATTAGAAAAATATCTCGTGACATTCTAGAAAAGGTGGCTACAAACAAATTCTAATCAGAAAAGTATAATAATGAAAAAGTAGAAATTGTATCAGCTTATTAAAAGTGTCACGAGATATTTTAATTAAAAGGTGTAGTATATTTGTAATGTAGGTATTTATAGATGAGAGGGGAAAGAGGTTAGAGATGGAGTTCTGTAGAAGCTCAGAGAGCTCAGCCAGAATCTAGAAATCTAGAATAAATTATAGATACTTCAGAGGAAAATTTGTTTATGGGAAATCACAACATCAGGTCGACTTATCCTAACTCTTCCATATTTTTCAGAAAAAAATGCTAGGGGTCTGAGATTTCAAAAATTCCAGAGAGATTCAAAAGTGTTATGAAAACTCTAGGCGAGGGATTTTGATGAAGCTAGAATCTGGAAGATCACTAAAGTTATCCTAAATTGCTACTGAAGTTTTCAGATAACATTTCTGAAGCTAGAGATCTACGGGGGAGGGGTATGGATTTCAGTTTGGGATCTGAAGAGGATCTAGAAACCTAGGAATTCTATAAGTCTAACTAGAGTTATGTCAGAAAAATCCAGAAAAGTAACCCTAAAAAATCTTAAGAAAAAATAGAAACCGTCGAACATATTTTCTATGGACACACAGAAATGAACAAATTCCCTAAACTCCTCCCATTTTTCCTTATTTCTTCTCAATTTTTCCCTACTACTGTATCGACATGTTGTTATAAATAGTGCACTTTTTTTGAATACACCAGATGTTTATTGCCGAAAAAAGTGTATATTTTCGGTATGTTTTTGAGATGAAATTTGACAAAACATATCGTTATAAACAAATGTTGATGAAATGAGATGAGTTATGACGTGGAAGGGTTGAGAGAACTTAGAGAGAATGTGGAAACATCTAGCACAAATTCTAGAATTGTATTTGATTATGCACGGAATGTCGACTGATATACTTTCGAAAAAAAGGGGCGGAGCTTATCGAGAAACTTCTACTAGACGCAGAGTATTTCAAGAGTTAGAGAACTAGAGTTATCCTAACTTTTCAGAGAGTTTTTGGCCTAAAATACGGAATTTATAGGCCAAAAAATTTGTGGGAATCAATTTGATGATTAAAAATAAACAATTTTTGGAACGACCTACCGCAGAGGAAATGATACTTTGTTTAAAAAATGGAACTTTTTTAATCAGAATTTTCTAGATTTTAAATGAGTTACCCTAACTTTATGAGTTGATGAAGCTGAAGAAAATGTAGGATTTAAAATAAAATAAAATTTTGAACTTGGCTAGCTTAAAAAATCAATGCTATCAAGAAGTCTGGCCAAAAAGTTTAATAAATTTCGAAACCCCCCAAATGTTTTTTTGAACACAAAAATGATATATAAATGAGCAGAAAAAGATCATGATTTGGTTTTTGCCTTTTCCCTCTTTTTTTCCTACTGTAGAAATGAGTCATTTTCTAAAGGTCAAAAGAAAACGGGAAACTTTTTTGAATAGAAGTTATTTTTAGACTTCTCTTTTCTTTTGGAGTACTGTAGTGTCTCAGATATTTTAGAAAAGTCCAGATGTATATATTTTTATTATTGGCGGGTATTTTTTGAAATTTGACAAAATAAAATGATCATAAAAATTATGTGTATAAAAGTATAAACAAAAAGAACCCAGAAAAAGTAGCAGATATAAAAATTAGCCTAAAATTAATATTAGGCAATTTTAATTGCAGGTTTCTATATTTATCTCCTAGGTGAAATAAAACAAAAAGTGCAAATTTCAAATTTCCGAAGGTCCCTGGACCACCCATATTTTTCCTTCTGTTCCCGGCTTCTCAAAAGTGTTTAGACAACCTTGAAATGTGTAGTTTTGAAAAGATCCAGGTGTCGGTTTTTTCTTTTTTGAGAAAACATTGTTAACAAAAGAATTGTGCACATTTTGTGATTGAGTAATATGACCTTGTTAAAATTTTTGGTGGGAAAGTTGAATTTGAAGGTTGAATTTTGAAATTTAGAAAAAGCGTTGGAAAAAGTGCAAAAAATCGGGCCTTTTGGGAAAAAATGGAGAAATATCATTGAAAAATCAATTATTTATGATCGAATTATTGGAATTGGGAAGAATTAGGAATTGTGGAAAAATTAACATCGAAAACGGGCATAAAATGAATGAAGCTTGAAAAATTACAAAAAAATTTGGGCATTTCAAAAATTAAAAAACAAAACTTCAATTAAAAAAGGTGACATGAAGAAATTTTTAGAATCGGAGACAGACATTGATGTGTTTTCAATTTGGTGGATTTGTTCGATCACGAGCCTCGTCTGGAGGAATCCACATGACATCAGGCCAGCTCTCATCCTGGTCATGTGGGATAAAGCCGTGGTCTACAAAAAAATCAATAATTTCTCTCACAGGAATTTAAAGCTTCTGCCAAAACTTACGCGAAACAGCCCGCAGGTGATGAAGCAAAACTTCGAATCTGGTTGGGAATGCGTGGTGGCATATTTCGCATTGTTCAACGCGATGAGTTCGTGGAACTCTTCTTGGAGTTGGTCTTGCTGAAAAAAATTGGATTTGAAACTCCAGATACTCTGCCACGTTATAACTGATCAAACTCACCGCGAATATTCAACGGTTCGATGTGGGCAGCCAGAAAATGAGCACGGAATGCCCCCGAAGTATGGAAGCCGTCACTGCAATTTTTCCAAGGGCAAGGAGTTGCTGCACCGTTCTGCAAAGAATTTTGGTGTGACTGGTTCCTCCCTTCGGAATCTTTTTTCTTACCGTTCCTCTGAAGACCATCATTGGGTGTTCATAACTGAGATGTTGCTCCAAAGTTTGGCGATCGCCAAAATGCCTGCGGCAGCCGCGAATGCCACAAACCACAGAAGTTTGGCGTCGGCGTGGCATTGTCAAGTTAGAATGCTGGAATTTGAGAAGCTGTACTCTTAAAATAGAAAAATTTGTCTCGTGATATGTATTTTCGAAAAGTAGACATTCTAGAAAAAGCTATACACGCTACAAACAAATTCTAATCAGAAAAGTATAATAATGAAAAAGTAGAAATTGTATCAGCTTATTAAAAGTGTCACGAGATTTTTTAATAAAAGGTGTAGTATATTTGTAATGTAGGTATTTATAGATGAGAGGGGAAAGGGGAAGAAAGGATTTTGATCAAGCTAAAAATATTCTTGGAATCTAGAAGATCACAATAGTTATCCTAAATTGCTACCAACATTTTAGATTTCACTTTTGAAATTAGAAATCTATTGAACTTGGGGGAGGTGATTTATAGAAAATTTCGGAGAATTTAAATAGTTCTGTCTGAGATTTGTCAGAGAAAATCGCTAAATTTCTGAAACTAAAACCCTAGGCGAGTCAAAAAAAAATCAATTTTATGTATGTATCATAGTGCCTGGCACCGCCTCTTTTTCTATTTTTCTCTGTGAAAATGAATCATCCGAAAAAAAAAGGCCAAGATATTTTTCTCAAAAAAAAAAATAGATTAGAAAAATAGAATTGAATGTGGTTTGTGAGAGAAAAAGAGAGGGGCGGTACCTTTTTACCGTACCTAGTGGAACCAATTGGGGAATAAGAAAAGAGGTAGAGTAAGGTTAGGGAACTAAAGTTAGCCTAAATGTCTTGAGGAAATTCTTCGGCCTAAAATTTGAGGGGAATTTCACAATGCAAAATTCTAGGTATCAAAATTTTTTGGTAGATCAAATTATTTTTTATGAGTTTTGATTTTCCAGGTTCAACAAATTGCGGGAAATTTTTTGAGGTAGCAAAAAAAAATAAACTCTATGATGATTAGTTAGTATAAACAATTTTGGAAAGACCTACCGCAGCGAAAATGATGAACATTTCTGAACTACATTTTTGAAATTTCAATTGATCTACATTATAAGAGCTACCTCTGGAATGAATTAGCCTAACTTTAAAAATGAACTTTTTTCTGAAGAAAATTTTTCCCCCAAATATTTTTTGAACACAAAAATGATATATAAATGAGCAGAAAAAGATCATGATTTGGTTTTTGCCTTTTCCCTCTTTTTTTCCTACTGTAGAAATGAGTCATTTTCTATCAAACATGAGACAAAAGAAAACGGGAAACTTTTTTGAATAGAAGTTATTTTTAGCCTTTTCTTTTTCTTGGAGTACTGTAGTGTCTCAGATATTTTAGAATAGTCCAGATGTATATATTTTTATTTTTGGCGGGTGTTTTTTGAAATTTGACAAAATAAACTGATCATATGTGTATACAAGTATAAACAAAAGAAATCCAGAAAAAGTAGCAGATATAAAAATATCCCAAAATTAATTTTGGGCATTTTTAATTGCAGGTTACTATATTTATCTCCTAGCTGAAATAGAAAAAGTGCAACATTTTAAATATCCGAAGGTCCTGGACCACCCATATTTTTCCTTCGGTTCCAAGCTTCTCAGAAGTGTTTAGACAACCTTGAAATGTGTAGTTTTTGAAAAGATCCAGGTGTCGGTTTTTTCTTTTTTTGAGAAAAATCGTTAACAAAAGAATTGTGCACATTTTGTGATTGAGTAATCTGACCTTGCTAAAATTTTTGGTGCGAACGTTGAATTTGAAGGTTGAATTTTGAAAAAGCTTAGAAAAAGTGCAAAAATTGGGCATTTTGAGAAAAAAAATGGAGAAATATCATTGAAAAATCAATTATTTATGATCGAATTATTGGAATCGGGAAAAATAGAGAAACATTAGGAATTGTGGAAAAATTAACATCGAAAACGGGCATAAAATGAATGAAGCTTGAAAAATTACAAAAAAAATTGGGCATTTCAAAAATTAGAAAACAAAACTTCAATTAAAAAAAGGTGACATGAAGAAAATTTTAGAATCGGAGACAGACATTGATGAGTTTTCAGTTTGGTGGATTTGTTCGATCGCGAGCCTCGTCTGGACGAAAATGGATTTGAACCATCAGATATTCTAGAATTCTAGGAATGAATCTGCCACGTCATAAGTGTCAAACTCACCTCGAATATTTAATGGTCTGAGGTGCACAGTGAGAACATGTGCGCGGTATGGCTCCGGGGTATTAAATCTAGCAGAGCAGTGTCTCCAAGGGCAAGGAGTTGTTTCGCGGTTCTGAAAAGATATCTGTGGGTTTGGTGTAGCTGGTTAGCCTATAGATTAGTAGGTGAGAGACGAGGGTTCGAGCCCCGCTTCCCTTCGGATTATTTTTCCTTACCGGTCCACGGAAGACCATCACGGGGTGGTCATAAGTGAGATGTTGCTCCAAAGTTAGACGGTCGCTGAAATGCCTGCGACAGCCGCGAATGCCACAAACCACAGAAATTTGTCTGCGTGACATTGTAGATCAAGTGAGAACGCTGAAATTTGAGAAGCTGGACACTTCAAAAAAAAAGTAGACATTCTAGAAAAGCTACACACGCTATTTACAAATTCTAATCAGAAAAGTCTAATAATAAAAAAGTAAAATTGTATCAGCTTATTAAAAGTGTCACGAGATATTTTAATTAAAAGGTGTAGTATATTTGTAATGTAGGTATTTATAGATGAGAGAGGAAAGAGGTTAGAGATGGAGTTCTGTATAAGCTCAGAGAGCTCAACCAGGTTTGAATCTAGAAATCTAGAATAAATTATACAACTTCAGAGGAAAATTTGTTTATGGGAATTCAAAACATCAGGTCAACTTATCCTAACTCTTTCAGGTTTTTCAAAAATAAATCCCTAAGGTTTCAAGCTTTCAAAGATATTCAAGAAATGACTAAATTTCTGAAACCCTAGGCGAGTCGAAATAAAAATCAATGTTATGTATGTATCATAGTGCCTGGCACCGCGTCTGGGCCAAAATAAATCAGAAAAATAGAATTGAATGTGGTTTGTGAGAGAAAAAGAAAGGGGCGGTACCTTTTTACCGTACCTATTGGAACCAATTGGGGAATAAAAAAGAGGCAGAATAAGGTTAGGGAACTAAAGTTAGCCTAACAGAAATGTCTTGGCAAAAAAATGTTTTCCTAAAATTTGAGGGGAATGTGTTACATGGATCAAATTATGTTTTCTGAGAGCTAGCTGTTTTTATGTTCCAGATTCAACAAATTGCGAAACATTTTTTGGGGTAGCAAAAAGTAAACTCTATGATTATTAATTTTGAAAAAAATTATGCGGTTGGCATTGTGGCAAATTAAGAAGTTTGATCCACATTAAATGAGCTAACTCTGGATTGATTTAGCCTAACTTCAAAAATGAACTTTTTCTAAAAAATAGAAATTCTCAAATATATTTTTCCGGCGAACACAGAAATGATATAAATGAGCAGAAAAAGATGACGATTTGGTTTTTGCCTTTTCCCTCTTTTTTCCTACTGTAGAAATGAGTCATCTAACATTGGACAAAAGAAAACGGGACACTTTTTGAATAGAAGTTATTTTTAGACTTCTCTTTTTCTTGGAGTACTGTAGTGTCCCAGATATATTAGAATAGTCCAGATGTGTATATTTTTATTATTGGCGGGTGTTTTTTGAAATTTGACAAAATAAACTGATCACTAAAAATTATGTGTATAAAAGTATAAACAAAAGGAACCCAGAAAAAGTAGCAGATATAAAAATATCCTAAAATTAATTTTAGGCATTTTTAATTACAGGTTTCTATATTTATCTCCTAGGTGAAATAGAAAAAGTGCAAATTTTAAATTTCCGAAGGTCCCTGGACCACCCATATTTTTCCTTGTGTTCCCAGCTTCTCAAAAGTGTTTAGACAACCTTGAAATGTGTAGTTTTTAAAAAGATCCAGGTGTCGGTTTTTTCTTTTTTGACAAAAAATGTTAACAAAAGAATTGTGCAAATTTTGTGATTGAGTAATCTGACCTTGTTAAAATTTTTGGTGGGAAAGTTGAATTTGAAGGTTAAATTTTGAAATTTAGAAAAAGCTTTTTTGAAAGTCAGAAGACTTTGTTAAAATATTTGGTGGGAAACAAAGTTTGTGTAACTAATGATTTTGGCAAAATTGAGCATTTTTTGTTTTGAGAACATGATGTGTAACAATAATTGGGCCTTTTGGGAAAATGGAAAAATATTATAAAAATCGATTTTTTTATGATCGAATTATTTTAATCATTTGGAATTGGGGAATCGAAAATTGTATAGTGGCGGGGGAAATTTTTTTCTAATAGTGTTCAGAGCTTCGGAAGATCAAAAATCTGAAATTTTGTTTTTCTAGAAACCCTCATTGAAGTCTAGAATCCAAATTAAATTATCCTGATGTTCAGTAAGTTCAGAAGATAAAGATTTCCTGAAATTTGAACTCAAAAGCTTGTTGTAGTTTGATATTTGTTCATACCCCTTTTCAAAAAAAAATCCCGTTTTTATTGCAACATAAATGTACTACGCTTCTTCATCTCTAAATTATAATCAAGTTTCGTTTTCCCGCCGCAAATTAATCAGGAACAAAAATTCATCTTCGCAACACAACAAAAAATCAAAGACACGGCATGTCTTCTCTGATAACGAATATATTTTTTGTATTTTTTATTTTTATTCTTATTATACATTCGTGTGTGGCCTGTGTTCCAACGCAAATTGCTGAGGACTATTGTGAGTTTGTTATGACGTGGCAATGTAATTTATCACAACTTCACCTTATCTAAAAATCTGAAAATTTGAAATCAGGCCAAAAAATTTGAATTTTTGTAAAAAAAAATTAGGGCTGATTTCAAGCTGAATTTGAAAATTCAAAAAATATTTCGTTGATTTTGAGTTCAGATTGAGATTCGGTTTCTAATGAGATCTCATAAGCCTAGGCTATATTTTTTTGTAAAAATTTCTGAAAATCTGAAAATTTAAATTCAGGCAAAAAAATTGAATTTTTGTGAAAAAAATCAAAGCTAACTTCAAGCTGAATTCAAAAATTCAAGAATTTTTCTGCTGAAAATTTAAGCGCCGCTTGAAACTCGGTTTCTAATGAGATCTCATAAGCCTAGGCTATATTTTTTTGTGAAAATTTCTGAAAATCTGAATTTCAGGCAAAAAATTTGAATTTTTATGAAAAAATCAAGACTAATTTCAAGCAGAATTCAAAAATTCAAGAATTTTTCTGCTGAAAATTCAAGCGCCGCTCGGTTTTTAGTGAGATCTCATAAGCGTAGGCTATATTTTTTTGTGAAAATTTTCAAATCTGGACTTTTTTTTTGAGATTTTATGACGTGGCAATAATTCATCTGAAAATCTGAAAATTTGAATTCAGGCTATTTTTGTCTGAAAAATTCAAGGCTAACTTCAAGCTGAATTTTTGAAAATTTAAGAATTTTTCTTCTGAACAGTTGAGTTCAGCTTAAAATTTTCTTTGTTGAGATGTTATGACGTGGCAATAATTTATCTGAAAATCTGAAATTTTGAATTCATGCTGTTTTTTTTGTGAAAAATTCAAGGCTAACTGAATTCAATAATTTGAGAATTTTGGCAATTTTGTCTTGAAATTTCAGCCATCACCAGCACTTCTACCAGCACTTCTACCAGCACTTCCACATCTACTTTAAATCCAGATCTTACAACATCTACCTCCACGTCATCAACAACATCTACAACCACAACAACAACAACTTCAACCACCACAACCACACCAATCCTATCCTGCCTCGACTCAACGTGGACAATGTTCGACCGAGGAACCTACTCCTGGTGTATGAAGGTCTATCTCGGCAGCATTGCAGTTCAAGACGCTCTCATCGGTTGTCAAACTCTCCATGCTTCCGCCGTCGTCACCGGCTATCAAAACTTTGCCGAACTCTCAACAATGATGGCAGCCGCACTCGCCGCCAATCCCTCGGCTCCCGCATCCACCAATTACATGGTGGTCGGTGCGAAACGACGAGCCGCTTGTGCCAACGAGTTCTATTATAGTGCGATTTGTCCGCGACTGTATGCTTTCGAGTGGACCGATCAACATACAACTGGAACTGATGGGTTTTATTGGAAAACGGGGCAACCGGATAATGGTGGGACTGGTGGAACTATCAGGCAAAATTATGTTGGAGCATCGGTGATCAATTATAGAATGGATGATACTTATGGTTTTGTGATTTATCCCGGGGCGGTTTGTGGAATGGAAGCCGATTATTATTAACATCTTCTGGTTTTTTAATTAATTTGTACCTCAATTGTATTAAAATACGGGTGATTTTTCTACATTTTTGTTCGAAAAAATAAAACATCTTTAAGCCTTGCATAGATAGTTTCCAATGATGATTTTTTGAAATACATACATACAATAACTTTTAATGTTATTTGAAAAGCCATGGATTCCGAATTCAGAGAAGTTTTTTTTTACGAAAATATGAATCTAAAAGTGATGTGCGTTCTAGTGTTCTTCAGCAGCCTGATCCCAATCTCATTTTCAATCCAAATGGTAATCACTTGGGGAAGGTTAACATGTGATATAGGCTGTACGCAAATCGAAACCGATTTTGAAACTTGTTATGACAACTGTTTACAGGACGACAACTGTATTGTAAGTTTTTTTCAGAAATTATATGTGTGTACATAAAAATAATTTATACATAGGTCGCACACACTTCCGGAGAAAATCATTGTTCCACGTGTAGAGCCGAATATTATTTCGCAATTCAAAGTTTGTCTGCGGAAAATTCTGATGGCATGAAAGTGGCCATCAAAGCTAATCTCACTGAATGTCCAGTGTCTCCAAATTCCACATTTTATTACAATGATTACACAATCGGTTATTCTGATGAAGCTTGGCATATTTTTGCATCCTCATCAGGACCATTCAAAAGCTGTCCGTGTAGACACAACACATTTAATCGTGCCTTGGGTGATTGGTGTATTCGAGTGATTAATGGTACGGTGAATTATCAAGGTGCAATAGATGGTTGCGCGGCATTAGGTGGCGTTTTGAGTGGAATCGAAAGTCTCGAAGAGCAATTTTTCATATCAAGTAAGTTAGCTTAACTTTACTTTTACATAAAAATTCTTCTTTCAGCTGAAAGTTCATCGATTTTAGACAATTCAGACGTGAAGGAAGGGTCACTTTGGCTTGGACTTCACAGATCTGATTCTTGTTTGAAAGAGAACAGTACTGCTCCTATATGCACTAAGGTATTTGTCTGGACTGATAACTTCACAATCGGAAGTCAGATGATAATGTGGTCGCTTGGTGAACCAAATTATGTTGAGTATGTTGTCTTTAGGAGTCTCATAACGTATATTTTTTTGTAGTCAAGTTGAGGATTGTGTGCAGATGGCAATTTATTCTGACATTCTCTCGGGAAATATGTCTGATGTGTCGTGTGAAATATCAACGGCGCCAACTCTGATCAACACAATCCGCGGATACGTTTGCGGACAACAACCTAGTTGATGTGTAAAAGGAAATTTGCACTAAACTTTTAATAATATGATAAAATGTTGCGTTAGCCTAACTTTTTTTCAATTATTGAAGTTTTTTTTCCATAATTTTCGTATATTTTTCAAATTTTACAGAATTTTTAATCGATTTCTTCAATTTTTCCGAAATCCCTCCCCAAAAAACTCACCAATCGCTTCTATTTCTTAAATCACATGAAACTTCGAAAATTCCTATCAAAATCCGAAATCCTCCAAGTTTTCCACGTTATTGACATTGAACTCCAACTGTCCATCTATATTTCAAGCTGAAAATCAGAAAATTCAAATTTTTCATGTATCATTGAGTTGTGCTAACTCCATTTCGGTTTCTATAGATTTCTGAGGGCTTTCTGGGTCTCACAACAATTTTCCAGCTATTTTTCAGAACTTCGGAAATTGAAAAAAGGTATTTGTTTTACTTGAATCAAACTCAAAACCTCAAATTTTTAAAAACAATGTTGAAAAACTCACTTTTCCTTCAGATTTCTTCAAAAATCACAATCGTGCAATTAATACAGTGCGTTTCATAATGATAGGTTCACCCCCAAAATTTCTGAAATCAGCCGAGGTGTGAGTTGTAATAACAATCCGAGTTAAAAATAAAAAAGAGCACACAAAATTAGCTAAGAAAACTCAATTTTATCTGAAACTACCAAATAATAAAAAAATAAATGACCGGAGTTCAAAAATTTCAAAAATTTAGCGTTTCAAAACGATAGGTTCACCTAATCCAGAATTCCCATTGGAGACATATAATCGAAAATCAATACTTAGTTGGACCTCCATGTTTAGAAATGACATCATAGAGACGATTTGGCATCGAGTCAACAAGTCTCTTGAGGTAGTTCTTATCGATTTTATTCCATTCCGTCTCGATGGCATCTTTGAGTTGGTCCACAGTATCATATTTTTTTCCTTGAGCATAAACTCGGCGAACGAGCTCCCCCATACGTTTTCCATCGGATTAAGATCAGGAGAACACGCTGGCCAATCCAAAACTTTGATTTTGTGGCTTTTGAACCAATCTTTTGATGATTGGCTGACGTGGATGGCAGCATTATCCTGTTGAAAAGTGAACTTTCTGGTCCGGAACCGCCTCAAATATGGCAAAAGATAGTCATGGAGGGTTTTTGGTAATCTAACGAATCCATCTTGAATGAAACAAAAGCTATTTTTAACGTTCCAGCTGCAGAAAATGCGCCCCAACACATAACCCGTCCTCCTCCAAAATTTCTCTTTGGGAAGCGAAGTTGATCCTTTCTGATATCATGCCAGTATGAGTTGTAACCATCCGGACCATCAAGATTAAACTTTTTTTCCTCAGAAAAAATTATCTGAACAAGAAAACATCAATATTTGATGTTTTTAGAAAAATTACTTACCTTATCCCAATCTGTGGCCATGTTGGCTTTTGCGAAAGTAAGACGGTTGTCTTTGTGGCGAAGTGTGAGACGCGGAGCTGGCACCAATTTGGCTCGAACGATTTCTGGGGATTGGTCTATGGCTCTCCAAACTGTAGTCTTACTGATATTCAAACCCAGCTCGTTTTTGATGTCATTACACGATTTCATTGTGTTCGAAGCCAACCTAACAATCCCTCGTTTATCTCTCTCCGTGAGTTTTTTGGGAGCTCCAGTGTTTTTCATTCGCTCATAGTGATCCGGATTGTTGACAAATTGATTAATACAGTTGAGAGATCGTTTCAATTTTGACGAAATCATTCTATTGGACCATCCGGCGATTTTGAATGCTCTAATTTGAGCTTGTTCCTCTTTTGTAAGATGACTTCCCCGCGACATTGATGAATGACGTGAAAAAACGAGAACAAAAACAGAAACACGTTAAAATAATCAAATATCACTCGTATTTTCCAGAATATTCGATAAAACTCCTACCACGAAACATAACTACAGTACTACTGCGGGTGAACCTATCGTTTTGAAACGCTAAATTTTTGAAATTTTTGAACTCCGGTCATTTATTTTTTTATTATTTGGTAGTTTCAGATAAAATTGAGTTTTCTTAGCTAATTTTGTGTGCTCTTTTTTATTTTTAACTCGGATTGTTATTACAACTCACACCTCGGCTGATTTCAGAAATTTTGGGGGTGAACCTATCATTATGAAACGCACTGTATTCGCTTCATAAGTTGTTTTGCTATTTCCTTCATTTCGCTGACGTTTTTCCTGTAAATTAGAAATGAATCAAGTACTTTAAACAGAAGAAAAATTCAAGAAAGCACATTTTTTCATAAAATTACTTTTTGAGCACCATTTTTAGTATAAAACTATCAAAAATCAACTAAACTTGTGTTACTTGTACTAGGAAAATAGATAAATATAAACTTTACAACAAGTTTCATTCAATTACATGGAAAAACAACAAAAGATACGCGAATGAAACATTTGCGAAAAAAACAAAAACAAGAAAATAAAAGTAAAAATGGAAGTGCGCCCTATTGATAAAAATTGCATGTCCTCGCACTTTTTCAAAAATTTGTGTGTTTCGCCGTTGCTGTTTTATTTATTATCAGACTAATAGTGTGTGTTTTGGATTCTTCGAAAATCCTGAAAATTTTGAATTATTGTTGAAAATTAGATAACTTTATTTTTGATCCCTTATCTGTCATAACGAACTATCAAAGCTTGTTACATACGATCAGCAATTATTTCAAAACATCAGAAAGTAAAAAAATATTTTTTTTGAACATCAATCTTTCGAAATATTTCTGTATCTAATTTATTTTGAAATCTTCTTTCTCACTTTGTTTTTAGCCCTGAACAGTTCATTTTGTTTTTTTACAACTCAGGCTTTTAGGCTTCCAGTTCTAGTCCCACTAATTTTCATTTTTTTTTTCAGAATTCCAGCTGTCAGAAGTTATGAATTCCTTGGAGGATGCTGGGTTTGAGTTGGTTGGGCAAGATCAAAACGAGGCAAATTCATTGCATCTTGATTTATCTCCACTTGGAATTCCAGGAGGACCAAGGTAAGTCTCTCAGATTTTATTTTGAAAATTTTGAACAAGAAAATTATTTTAAGCCCAATAATTTTCAGCTTCGAAGCTCTTGTTCCTGATAATGTTGAAGTCAAATCTGAAAACTCAAGTTCAGTATCGAACTTGGAAAATTTGAGATTAGAAGAAACTGAGAAAGTTTTGAAGAATTCTATAGTTTATGTCGAAGAACTCAAAAAACGAATTGAAATTCAGAATTTGAGAATTGAGGAGATGAAAATGGAGATAGAGGAAGTTGAAAAATCAAAAGCTGAAGAAATTCGGAAACTTTTGGAAGATCAGAGAAAGGAGTTTGAGAAACGGAGGGAAGATTTCGAAGCTGCAAAACTGAGAGAAATTCAAAAGTTATTGGAAGATCAGAAAAAAATGTTGGGGAACTCGCAAAATCAAAGAGAAGACTTTGAGAAACAAATGCAAGAACTTGAAAGATCAAAATCAGAAGAAATCCAGAAGTTATTGCAAAATCAAAAAGAGGATTTGGAAAAACAAATGGAAGGATTTGAAGTTTCGAAAAAAATTATTAAGTTGGAACTGGAAAAACAATTGGAAGATCAGAAAGAAGATTATGAGAAACGATTACATAAATTTGCAATTTTGAAAGCTGATGAAATGCGGAGAGTTTTGGAAGATAAGAAAAAGGAATTAGAAAAAGCGCAGAAATTGTTGAAAAATCAAAACGAAGCCTTTGAGAAACAGATTCAAGAGTTTGAAGTTTCTAAAAATTTGGAAAAGATGAACATTGAAAAACAAATTCAAAATTTGGAAAAGTTACTGGAAAATGAGCGAGAAAGTTTTGAGAAACAAATGCAAGAATTTGAAATTTTAAAAAATGAAGAAACCCAGGAATTATTAGAAGATCAGCGTAAACAATTTGAAATTTCGAAAACCTCGCAGAACGTCCACGTGGAAAAACTATTAAAATCCTCTCAAGACGCCAAATCCGAATTCAATGCAAAGTTGAGAGAATCTGAAGAAATTGTCCAAAATCTTAAATCTCAATTGGATGCCACAAATCGATGTGCTCAAATTTGGAAACGAAATTCGGATAAATATGATGAATTGAGCCAGGAAAATGTGATTTTGAGGTGGGTTTTCAAGTTTCTACAGTACCTGTTCGCTAGGATACAGTACCCCTTGCAGTCTTAGAGCTACAGTAATCCTTGCAGTTCGAAACATTTTTTTCAGAGAAAAACTGGATTATGAAATCGCAAAAAGCATCAATTTGACCAATTCAGTCTCGAAATTGCAAAATAAGGTTTTTTCATTTTTTTCTTAACTTTTGCTGCTTTTGTTTTGCAAAATGTCCAATTTTTTCAGCTGGAAAATCTGAGATTGGAGTCCAGGAATCAGCAACAAATTCTACACGTTTTGCATGAGGTTTGAATAAATTTTTAGAGATCTTTAGAAACTAGCCCCAATTTTTTGCAGGATCAAAAAGAAGGAACTCGCCAAATCGCAGAAATCCAGCAAAATGTTCATGAAATTGTTGATAATTTGAATTTTGTCTGAAATTTTTTATGAAACAGAACATCAGCGATTCATGTATAAATTATTTTTTAATCATAACACTTTCCAAAATCCAATACAAAATGACAATGCCTGCATAACTGATCAGCAATTTTTTCCAAATTTTAGCCGCATCCAATTGTGTTTTCAAGTTTCTGACAGTTTCGTCGGATTTTTCCAACTTTGAATTCAATTCTAATTCGATTTTACAAGAAGCTTCCAATTTTATCTCCTGATCTTTCAATAACTTCTGGACTTCTCTCATTCTGGCAATTCCCAAATTATGAATTTGTTTTTCGAAATCATTTTTCTGGTTTTCTAATGATTTTCGACCTTCTGACTTTTTCGAAGCTTCCAGGTCTTGTATATGTTTCTCGAATTTCTTTTTTTGATATTCCAGTTTTATTCGCAGTTCTTCTGATTTCAAAAGTTCAAGATTTTCCAAATCTTTTTTCTGATCATCTAGTAACTTCTGGGTTTCTTCAGCCTTCAAATTTTCGAATTCTTGCACTTGTTTCTCAAAAGCATCCTTCTGATCTTTCAATAATTGTTTCAAAATTTGAATCGCTAATTTTTGATCTTCCAGCTGTTTTTGAATGTTGATTTTTTCCAAATTTTTGGAATCTTCTAATTTTTGAATCTGTTTCTCAAAGGCTTCTTTTTGATTTTCCATTAACTTCTGAATTTCTTGATTTTTCGAAATTTCAAAACCTTCCAATTGTATCTCGAACTCTTTTTTCTGCTCTTCCAAAAGTTTCCGAATTTCTTCAGTCTTTGATTTTTCAAATTCTTCTTTTTGTTTCTCAAAATCTTCTTTCTGCTCTTCCAAAATTTTCCGAAGCTCCTCCTTCTTCAATTGCTCAACTTCCTCCATCTCCTCAATTTTCAAATTCTGAACTTCAATTTGTTTTTTGAGTTCTTCAACATGAATTCTCGAATCTTTCAAATCTTGTTCAGTTTCTTTCAATTTTTCATTTTTCGAAACTTCAAACCTGAAAACAATTCAAATTTTCTACAACTAGACTATAGTCTGTGCAAAACATACCTCGGTGTTTCATCATGTTTTGTCTCAGCTTCAACTACCTCAAAACCATCATTTTCCAATGAATTCATAGTCTACTCTATGTCTAGAAATGATAAAAACAGAGAAATTGAAATTTATACAGCAAAAAATAGATAACAGAAAGAATAACAGAAATATTTCGCAATATTTCTGTTATTCTTTTTACGACAACGTTTTTTGTCAATTTTTTTTTCAATTTCATACTTCAGAATTACACGTTTATTCTCTTCAAAATCTATGAACCCGTAAAAATCACAATTCTAATCCTAATTAATCTAATCATTCAACAATCTCCACCATTTATCAATATCTTTTGGTGTATCCGCCAAAATCGGCGGGGCAAATCTTCTCGGGCTTCCTTGAGTCGAAGAAATCGGGACAGATGGTGTGACAGCTAATGGTGAATGGCTTTCTTCGTCTTTGCAAATGTTTTTGGGTGAAAATGGTGAATCTTCGCCGCGTTCTTCAACATCCGGTAGATCATAGACATTGAGTTGAAGCTGCAAAAAACCCAACTAATATCCGGGACAAATAATGAATCAACATGTAAACGCGGAGCAACGTTGAAAAGCTCGCCGTAATCCAAAACCTACATGAAAATTCTTGGCCGATCCACTTCCTGCCGACGATTTTTGTTGTCGATCAGATTGCGCACGTTTTGGCAAAAGCTGACACGTTTCAGGCGATCGACACGACGACTAAACAGAAAAAAAAGGTGGACGGGAGACAAAAATTATTTGTACATACCTTAATACTTGCATGCTTTTTTTCACTGGATGACGAGCCGACCATGAATTTTCGAGCCGCTTCTTGGAATAGACCAGTTCTCTGGAAAGAAAAGTTGGTAAGGGGGCCTTTTTTTCAAAGCAGACCCTCCTGGTTTCTAAATTAGACCTGGAAAATTTTACGGTTTTACGCTACCAAAAAAAATTGTAAAATAATTTTTTTAAACGAAAATAACACTAATTATAATAAATTTTACAGAATCAAATTGAAACTTCAAAAAAATTCAACATTTTTAAAATAAAATTTTGAGATAATTTTTAAAGAAATTTCTTGATGTTTTTAGTTAAAAGGTTCAGTGACAAAATTCTACGGGATTTTACGGGTTTTCAAAACCGTAAAATACTCATTTTATGTTTTACACTGCCACTTCTTACCGTAAATGCTTCCGGAATACTTCCCCTCCGATTCTTCACACCAGTCTTCTTCCGTCTCGGCGGCGGTGTCACAACCTCATCTCCACCTTCCTCATCCGAACTCGTCACCTCATTCCCCCCACTTCCACCAATCTCCATAGGTGTTGCAATATCGAGCGGTGTCACAAATCGCAATCTTTGTTGACTCGGATCATTGTCGTGAGCCATTGAGGAATGCGGCAAATGAGTGGTGGTGATTGGCTGTGGGAGTTTGAGTGATTCAGAATCTTTTTGACTGGGATTTCGCATTTTACGAAGGCAGCCTTCGAGCCACGTTCGGATGGTTTGTTTGGCAACTTCTTCTTCGATGATGAATTCGAGTTCTTCGCGTTGGAGAAGTTCTTCGAGTTGAAGGGATTTTCGGATATCAACAGAGCGATAGGAGAGCATACTGGAATTATGATTTTGATTTTGAAAAATTGGATCTGGGAGATGAATATGCACGGCCTTAACGCAGACCAGGTCTGTGCCGGAAAATCAAAATTCGAAAAACTTTCCAAAGTCTGAAATTTCGATTTTCACCCTGAAGTTGGCACTAAAACTTAATTGTATCTACAATGCTTCTATTTACAGGCGTTTTACGTTCAAAAAAATAGTAAAATTTGAAAAATTGAAAAAAATTCCAAAAATTTCATTTCTTCTATCATAAACTGAGAAAATTCCCCAAAATTTAGGCAATTTGTTAAAATATTACTACTAAAGATCCGAAAAATTTCCGGCACAGGCCTGACAATCTGCGTAAAAATTCCCCCCTAACCCCCCCCTCCCAAAAAAAAACTAACTACAAAACATCGTGAAAAGAAACATCCTCTCCATTATGCAATCGATCCATCTCATAACACATATGCTTAAACAATATCCGATCCTTCTCCGGATCCACTTCCAACCTCCCCTTCAACAATCTCAACAAGAATTTCACTCTTCCCACGGGTATCGTTCGCTTCTGCTCTTGATCCACCATATTCCATACATATTGGAAGTTTCGAATGTCGGCATATGAGAGTAGAGCATCTTCTTCGGATGAGTAGAACAACGAGAAGTTCTCCATGATAATAGCGACGAGAAGATTGCGAACAATGTAGGTGATGATGAGGTAGAATGAGCAGAAATAGATGATTGCTCCGTAGTAATTACCACAATCTGTTTCCCAATAATTCATTCCTTCGGACCAATAGCAAAATGGAGCGGATCGCTGGAAAGAGGTGAGTTATGACGTGGAAAGTTAACAAGGGAACTTTTGATAAAACATTTCGAAATATACCAAATCAACCATGCTGATCAAGAATTAGAAGTCAAAATTTGGGTGAATCGCAGAATAGCCCCCCACCTCAAAGTAAGCCCCCACCAACAAGTAAAAGTCCCCACCGAGTCCCCACTCAATGGAAATGGGGACCTAAAATGATTATGTGGGGACTTATTTTTGGATGGGGACCTATATTGGGGTGGGACTTATATTTGTATGTGGGGGCCTATTTTCACATAATTTTAATAGAGTTGGGGGCTTTTATTTCGATCATAGGGTATTTCGGAAAAAAGGTCCCCACCACTATCATTTTGAGCCCCCACGTGTCAACTTAATTTTAGGTCCCCATTTTTTGCCACAAATTTGCCACAAATGCCCGTGAGCACTTTTCTGGAGCTCCAAAGTTATTTGGTTTTCGTCCATTTTCACCATGTTCCAGGGTGGAAAATCAATTTTTATAACTTGAATGAGGTTTTTCATCACATTCGAAAACCTTTCAGCTTTTCAAAAAATATTAAAAACCAGCTGAAAAATGTAATTTTTAAAAATTCACAAAAACGTGTGGCATTTTCAGGACTTTTTTAAAAAATTGAAGTTTTCAGCTGGTATGTGACGAAAAACTTTATTCAAGTTTTAAAAATTGATTTTACATCTGGAACATGGTGAAATTCAAATTTTGGAGCTCCAGAAAAGTGCTCACAGGCTTTTGTGGCAAATTTTGACTTCGGAATCATGATCAGCATGGTCGATTTGGTATATTTCGATATGTTTCATCAAAAGTTCCCCTGTCAGGATAGAAAAAACTTACCATACAATCATGCATAATATCATTCCAATCCTCTCCAGTCAAACATCGAAAAAGTACGACCAGCGCTTCAGAAGCCGTCCGAAAATTCACATGTTTACTCACAGCCATTCCATATTTCACCATTGGAAATAGTATAACTCCAGTGTAAGCATAGAAAAGGACCAGTAAAAATAACGCGGTGATGATGAAGAATGATCGGAACATGCTCATAATCACAGTCAACATCAACATCTTGAGCGTTGAATTGCGGCTGGCAATTGTGAAAAATCTCAAAATGACGACAAGATAGCCAAAAGTGAAGGTGTAGTTACAAATCACTGTGCATTTTTCAGTTGCCGCGCGAGCCACGAAAAAATGCAGAAAATTCCAGACAACTCCGAGAATTGTGATCAAAAGATCGACACGATTTCGGCGACTTTGCCAGAAGCCGCTGAATGTGTAGGCGATGATTTTCAAGATGATCTCAATGCAAAATAGAATATTGATAATTCCACTGATAACTGTGACCGTTATCAGAAAAGCTTCTTGTTTATCAGCTTCTTCCACATTCCATGGGATAACCAAAGTGAAACTATTGAGAACCACAAGAAGTGCAAATAATTGATTGAATCCTCGACTCATAGTCAATTCATAAGTCATAGTTCGTAGTCTGGCTGATTCGGAAGGTTTTGGTGGAACGTGAAGAGGTTGTGCCATTTTGAGACGAGCTTTTAGATCATGCCATCTTCTTTGATCTACAGTAAGAAGGGCGGTTCCTCGATTTTGTGTGTAGTTTGCGATGACAACACCGACAAAGAGAGTTAGGCCAATCATACAACCAGTGAAGACATAGATGTGGATGAATACAACAGCCCAGGGGCCATGGCGGGTTGATAAGATGTCGCGGATCACATTCCAGCCTGAAAATGATGAGAATTTCAGAAGATAGTGAGTTTTTTTGCCACGTGGCTACTTTTAAAAATTTTTCCAGATTTTTTATTCCAAAAAACTATTTTTTGAGAAAGATTGCCACGTGGATTTTTGCATCAATTTCAAAAATTCAAATTTCTAATTTTTCGCGCAATTTTTTTTTAAATTTGGTGGTAAGATGTTTGAATTCAAATTCTCAACACGTGGATTTTTAGCGTCACAAAAGTAAATCAAGATTTTTTGGCTCCAAATTCAAAAATTATAATTTCTAATTTTTCGCGCAAAATGACGTGGCTTGTGATTTGATGTGACGTGGCTTGTAAAGTTTTTCCAGATTTTTTCGCCCCAAAAATGATTTTTTTTAGAAATATTGCCACGTGGATTTTCTCACCAACTTTAGAAGTTTGAATCCCAAATTTTAAGCTCCAAAAAATTTTCATTAAAAATTTGGCGTCAAAATATTTGAATTCAAAATTCTTAACGCGTGGATTTTTAACCCTTAACACGTGGATTTTAAACTCAATTAATATTTTTTTGGCTCCAAATTCAAAAATTCAAATTTCTAATTTTTCGCGCAATTTTTTTTAATTTGGTGGCAAAATCTTTGAATTCAAATGTTTTCAAACATTTTGCCACGTATATTTTTTAGCGCAACAAAACTGAATTAAGATTTTCGAGCGCCAACTTCAAAAATTCAAATTCAAAATGTTTAGCTCCAAAAAAATTGCCAACCTTTAAAACTCAACGTCTCAAAAAGCGCAAGCATCGCATTTCCAACATGATCAAAATTGAAATTCCTCGGATTCGTCCAAACCCGCGGCACCATTATCTTCGGATGCATTTCATCCGAATCTTTTCCATAAACTTCCAACCGTGTGACAAACAACTTCTGCCAGAAAACACCGTGACAATTCTCTCGTTCTTTGACAGTCGGATCATTGCATGCCGCCAATTTTCCACCAACAATTTGAACTCCAAAACTGGCAAAAATGAACATGACAACAATCATCAGAATTGTGACCAATACAATTTCTTTGAAACCTCGGAAAAATTCGAGAACAACTCTTCGGATGTGTGGAACTAGGGTGTAGATTCGAAGTGGTCTCATCGCTCGACAAATCATCAGAAATTGTGCAAGACTATTGATTTCCACATGTTTTGGCATCCAGATCAAGAAGATCAGGGAAGTCTACAAAATATCGAATAAAATTCTGGAGCTATGGTGAAAAACCTTACAAAATATATAAACAGCGACATAAACCCTCCAACATCTCTAACAACAGCTTTCGGTGTGAAAAACAACCCATTCGCTATGATTTTCAGACTGAGTTCAAGAGTCATGGCGAGCACAAAAATATAATCACAGATTTGTAGATACCAATTATTCATCACCAGATTTTCGCCAGTTGTTGGCCACGGTGATTCAAACATCATTGAGACGCACGAGACGATGATTACTGTTGCCATAGCCCAATCAATATATGGCATTATTCCAATTAGTGCACGGATTTCTGGAAGAATGTGTCGTTGGACGCGTCGCGGTCAAGCGCTGCGTGCTCACCTTTAAATCGTCTCTTCGTTTTCTTCGCCGAACTTCCACCATTTGTTGTGTCATCTTGATGATCGTACTTGGCGTGGACTAGTTTTTTGCAAAATTCTCGAATTTGAGAAGCTCTTCCGATGAGAAAAAGTGGGCGGTCGAAGAATGGATGATTCTCTCGCATGTCTTCTTCGATTCGATTTCTGGAACAAACATTGCTCATTTTAAACAGATTGAACGGGATTTTTTGAACCGGAAAATTCGGAAAATTCTCCAAAGTCAGAAATTTCGATTTTCAGCCTGAAGTTGGCACTAAAACTTTTTTATCTACAATTCTTCTATTCACAGGGAATTTAATAACTACATATTTGAGACGTTATACGTTCAAAAAATAGTACAATTTGAAAAATTGAAAAAAAAATTCCAAACATTTCATTTTTTCTATCATTGAACTGAGAAAATTTCTCAAAATTTAGGCAATTTTGAAAATATTACTACTAAAGATCATTTTCCGGATTTTCCGAGCACATTTTCCGGAAAATTGATTTTTCCTTGAAAAAAATCGGAAATTCCGGAAATTCGGAAAATTTCCGGCACAGGCCTGAATCAGGATTTTGGGGTCAAAATTGTTTGAAAAAAATTATTGAAAAACTATAATTTCAATCTGAGATTTCCTCGGGTTTTGCAATATTTGGAAGTACTTTTTTCAGTTCAGGTTAAAAAAAACATTGCTCATGTTAAGTCTCAACTCTGAAAATCCCCCCAAAAACCCCCTCACCTCGTAATCTCAGCCAGCTGTCTCTTCTGCTGCAACGCTCTGATATCAATCTCACCCTGTTTCGCATTTTTCTTGGGCGCCGAATCAGAAGGCCGTGACAGATCGCCATTCTCGCTGAACATGTTGTATTGTTTGTTGCGAACTGTTGTCGTTTGCAAGAATTTTCCAGTCATTGATCTCGATTTTCTGGAAAATTTGGTTTAGGTTGAGAAGATCGGGGGAAACATTTTGGCTAGGCGTTAGTTCACTCTTTGAGGACAAAAAACCATGCAAGACAGGTTAGACATGCAGACAATTTTGGGGGATGATTGCTCATGTTAACCGGGTTATTTTAGGCCTGATTTAAGTAGGCTTGTCAAACCTTTTCGAAAAATTTGTGTAGAGTATTTTTGCATATTTTTGTCTGGAAAGTTTATAGTTCTAGTTAGGATAAGTCAAAGTTGAGTTGGTCTAGCTCAATTTCAAGTTAGCCTAATTCAATTTCAAGTTCCCCAAACTCCACAAAAACATGCTCAATCAATAAACCAATCAAACTTACGTCAACGCATCTTTTCTCGGATACAAACTTCCAGAAGACCGTGTAAAATGCGGTAGAAACGAGAGCGAATTGGAGAGTGATTGACGTGTTCGATCGGATAGTCTGGAGTGAAAAACGAGGGGAAAATGAGGGGTGCAAAACAGGGTGGAAAAACAGGAAAAATATAGTGGAGAGATAGAAAGGGAGAGAAAAAGGAGAGGGACCATCATGCCCATGCAACATTTTTAGCCTAATTTATATGAGTTATGACGTGGCAAAAATTGGGACTTTACACTCTATTGTTCTAGGCCACGCCCATTTTTCTGTGCCTTTAAAATGCAAGAAAAAGGCTGGATATTTTTTGAAAAGAAATTAGGCTCCGCCCATTTTTCTATGCCCTGAAATTGCAAAAACACTAGAATTTTGAAATTATGCTTCGCCCATTGTTCTGTGCTTTGGAAATTCTGCACTTCAAAGCATAGAAAAGTAGGAGGAGCCTCAAATCTCAGATTTTGCAAATTCAAGGCACAGAGAAGAGGGCGGAGCCTCAAAATTCAGATTTTGCAAATTCGGGGCACAGAGAAGAGGGCGGAGCCAAATCTAATTTTTGAATCCATTTTTCCTGCATTTCAGGGCACAGAAAAGTGGGCGGAGCCTCAAATCTCCAATCTTGCCACGTCATTCGACAAATGAAAATCCAAAAAGTTCCCCAGACTCCCCAAGCCTCGAAAAAAACCACTCACTCCAACAAATTATTCAAACTACATCTCAACGAGCTTCCACCAATTTGGCGGAATGCCAAATCGTCTTTCTGCGTCATTTTTCGTGTGGAAATTGGTGGTGGCGGGCGGCGGCAAATCAGCCGTTTCGTCGTCTCCATTTCACCATCTGTTAGAGCGGTGTCGGTGGAATCGGTGTATTGTTCGGCGGCGAATTGATGCGTGAAACTTCCACGAACTTTTGGCATCGGAAAATCGCTGTCAGCTCTGCGAAAATTCGGTTTTTAGATCAAAAAAAGTTAGTCCAACTCACTTTTTCATAGCTGACATTTGGGGTCGCGTGGGAAATTTCTCAAAAACCCTCAGCCTCCACGGAAGTGTTGATCTCATTGAAGTTGTGGCTTCACGAGCTTTTAGTTGTTTCACTTTCTTCAATTCTTCGTCCATTTCCAAGTTATCCAAAATTACGGCGACGAATAGACTCAGCACAATCTGCAAAATTTTTAATATGAGCAATGCGGGAAATTTGAGTAGTAAAGCGGTTAAGATGTGCAACACTAGAGTGTTTAGATTCAAAATAACGTTATTAACATGAGCAACACTAATTTTAATTTCAAGATTATGCTCTTAACACGAGCAACACTATTTTTAGGTTAAAAATCATGCTCTTAACATGAGCAATAGCTTATTTAGGTTCAAAATAACGCTCTTAACATAAGCAATACCAAAAACTCACCAACGTAACAAACAAATGATATGCGACAAAATAGAGTGCAACAAATGGCACCAATGCATCATCAGTTGCTCGCAAAACTTCTACCACAAAATCCGTCCAACCTTCTTGTGTTATAATTTGAAACATTGACATAAAAGCATTGGGAAAAGTTCGAAAATATTCCAATTTTGGAACGGAGAAGAATAATTGAAGTGAGATTGCTGAGCAGCAACAAATGAATGCGATTGTGAAAATGACGAGACCTCCCAGCTTTTTTCCAGGGCTAAAAATCTGCAAAATTGGGAATTTTGATTGATTTTCTTCTTCCTAGGTTCCCCTACCTTCCATACAAAATCCTCCAAAATCGGTGAAGCTTTGATTAACCTGAGCAATCGAAAAGTTTGAAAATACGTGAAATAATTGCGCTCATAGAAAACTTTGACAATATTCAACGAACTTCCGACACATAAAATCAATTCGAATTTGAAGATTCCTCTTCGAATAAAATTGCGAAATCCATAACAGAGGATTTTGATGAGGCATTCGAAATTGAAGAGAATTGTGAAACCGACTTCGACCAAGTACAACACTTTTTTTCGCTCCGCGTCACTTTCATCGTGTTTATAGACGAACATTGCGTTGGCGATTGCGTTTAGGACAACGAAAATGATGACAAAACATTGGAAATACATACTTCGCAGCATCTGGAGATAGAGGAAGTTTTTAGGAGGACAGACCCAGAGCAAAGTTATCCTAACTTTTTATAAGAAAAGGGCATGAGGTCAGGCGTTGAACAACATATCGAAATATACCAAATCGACGATGCTGATCACGAATCCGAAGTCAAAAATTGCAACAAATGCCTGTGAGCACTTTTCTGGAGCTCCAAAGTTAGAATTGAGTTTTGGTTTTCATGTTCCAGGGTGGAAAATCAATTTTTATAACTTGGATAAGGTTTTTCATCACATTCGAAAACCTATCAGCTTTTCGAAAAATATTAAAAATCAGCTGAAAACTGTAATTTTTAAAAATTCCCAAAAAACTTTGAAACACGTGTGGCATTTTGAGGACTTTTTTTTTAAATTACAGTTTTCAGCTGGTTTTTAATATTATTTGAAAAACTGATAGGTTTTCGAATGTGATGAACAACCTTTCAAGTTATAAAAATTGATTTTCCACCCAGGAACATGGTGAAAATGGTCAATTCTAACTTTGGAGCTCTAGAAAAGTGCTCACAGGCATTTGTGGCAAATTTTGACTTCGGAATCGTGATCACCATGGTCGATTTGGTATATTTCGAAATGTTTCATCAAAAGTTCAAACACCTGACCTCATGCACTTCCCTTGTTAGTACGGAAAACGAGAGTAAGAGAGGCGAGACGAAAAAGGGATATTTTTCCTCACCAACTGCAATTTCTGCTTCGGCCCTTGCGGATCAACATCCCGATCCAATCGAATCAACCGCCATCCCTCGTCAGTTTTCTCCAATCTTCTTCTAAATTCCTCGTCCAAAGTGACCTCTTTTTTCTGCCACATTTCACTGAATTGAATACGAATTTCAGCGAATGTTTCGGTGATAACGGCAATAAACACGTTCTGAAAGATGCAATTTTTAGAAAAATTTCCACTCAAATTAGGCTCACCTTAACTAGCCAAGCCAGGAAGAAAATCAATGTACAAAAATATAAAAACGCCAAATAAGAGGGTAACGAATCCATACAATCATACAAAACATAGACCCATCCTTCTTCACTCGCCGCCAAATATACAGTAAATACACTGGCTCCAAAATCATTGAACATTCCATAAAACCCCTCGCCTTTCGCATTCAAATTCAACTGTTTACAAACCATCGGCTCCGGGCAAACATATCCACTGATATTATCCGGTGAGCACATTGTGTCAGGTATTGCCAGGTCTTGAATCGTCACATTGCTGGTATTTGTGCCGTGTCGAACGCAGTGATAATCCATTCGACCGAATAATTGAATGCCGAAGATGGCGTAGAGTGTCATGAAGAACACGAAGAATAGCGTGACATTTTTGACTTGCTGTGAGGAGCGTCTGAAAAATTGGATTTTTGGTTGGCCAGCATTTTCTAAAAATGATTGAAATGAGGCTAGCGAACACACGTTTTTTTCGCAAAAAAAAAGAAAAAAATTTCAAATTTTATATCCACAAACCGACGTGTCTGCGTCTCTTCTCGAAAAATCTCTCGTTTCGCTAGAGCGCGTTTGCTCGTTTGTCTTTTTTCAATGGAAAATCGCATTTTTGCCGATTTTTCAACGTTTTCTTGTTGTCATTATTGTTTTCGAAAATAAAATAGATGGCCGATGTTTGGTTTCCTAGGCCAAGTGTTCGTGTACTTCTCTCGGACAATTTTTTTTTCGTTTTGTTCCGAGTTACCTGTGAGCTTATAACACGTGTCATAGAAATTTTCATTTTCAGGTGAAAATGACAACAAAATGGGAGGATTATTTCTGATTATTTGGGAATTGTTCCTCTCGGCAGTTTTTCGAAAAACCTACGACGCCGAGAATGATAAGTGAGTTTTTGTTTTTTTTTCATTTTTCAAATAAAAAATATATTGAGCTTTTCAGGAAAGCCTACAAAACTCGCTCGACAAAGAATTGGACGATTCGAGCGAAAAGGATTGGATTCATATGACGAATGAGGATTTTCAAAGTTATTGGGAAATGTATGAAGAAAATTGTCAGGAAGGCATCGAATCGTATGATAAGATTTTGAAGTGGCCAAAAATACAAGTTAGTTTATTTTAAACTTCTAACAAAATGTGGGGACTTGTTGGGCTTCAAAGAATTATCTAAAAAATATTCGATCCTTCCTAAATGCTGGAGTTGTCAAGCAAATATATTTATTTTTGAACTCTAAGAAAAGTGCGTGGCTTAAATAGTATTAACATGAGTAATGTTTTCAACAAAAATTGAGATTTTCGAAAAATTCAAAAAAAAGTTTGAAATGAGCAATATAACTTACTTCAACAATTGCTCAATACGATTTTTTGGCAATTTAAACTTGACAATCAACGGAATCATTCGAATAATAATGAAAGGCCTAATCGATCGAATCGCGCCGTACCAAATTTTATAAGTTCGGCCAAGTGATGGGAAAAGTTCGTCTGAAAATAATTTTAAAAATGTTTCTAAGCCTTTTTAACTCACCCAAAATCTGATAAACGTGTAGAAGAAATGATAAAAGATGAATAATTGATATAAAAACTGAAAATTGTGACCAGCGATTTGATAAATATGAAGAATTGTACTGAAAATTTCCAGATTTATAGCTCAAAATTTTTTCAGTTAAGTTACCTTAAATCCACCCTCGTAATAAATCCTTAACACCGAATCGAACATAAAAACCACTACCGAAATGAAATCGGCAAAAAGTATCACATAATTAAGGGGCCAGAAGAGTTTGATAGTTTCCGGGGTGTTCAAACAGACCTGAAATTTGTTTTGGGGAATTTTTGAAGAGTTTTTCAAAGGCACATACCGTAACCAGTGAAATTGTACAGGCAATTTTTAGCGCTGTCTCAAGGCGCTCACTTTCCACGTAACCTGAAATTAATTTTTTTTTTTTTGATTTTTTAAAATTCCCGCTCACTACTTCTAATCGGCTTCTTGTTTTGTGTGTTGAGCATGTCTGAAATTGCAGCTATCGATTCGCGGGCTCCGAATTGAGCGGAGCCCGAACTTCCTCCGCCGGGGCCCGGCCCGGAGCGGGAAGACGAGTTTTTGCGGGCCAACATGGCCGATGAGAGCACCGCCGCTTTGGCAACTGAAAGAAATATGTAGGGTTAATATGAGCAATGCTTCAAATTTTCCTAATATGAGCAATATTTTCCTAGAATTTAGAAATAAAAATAATATGAGCAATGATTTTTCTTCTTTTTTTTTGAGCGACAAAAAATCGCTATTCAAAAAAAAAATTTTTTTTTGATAATATGAGCAATGATTTTTTATGGGTTTCCGGGGATTTGAGCAAAAATTGTGGATTTTTGCCGAAAACTGAGAGAAATGCCACGTGGATTTTCAGATTTTCAGAATTCAAAAAATGAACTTTGAAAATGAAAATTGAAAGTTTCTTTTGAACTTTTTGAAAAGAAAAGTTCGCAGAAAAAAAGATAATTTATAGTTAGCTTAGAAAACTAATATGAGCAATGTTATAAAATTTCGGAAAAATATTTAAAACATGAGCAATGATATTTTTAGAAGCTCAAAAATCAGCCAGGATTTTTTATTTAAAAAAAATTTATATCAAATTTCATGAAACACTTTATAGTATGAGCAATATGAAATTTAATATGAGCAATGATTTTTAGAAATGCAAAAAGCTAGCATAATCTAACATGAGCAGTTTCAATTTTTGGGACCCAAAACCACTTACCAAAACCTAGTAACTTTAAGAATTCCTAGAAACCTTTACGATGAGCAATGCATAATTTTTGAAAATTAGAATAATTTGCCAACAGTCTATCATGAGATATTAATTTCAATTTTTGTGGACTCAAAGCCTAAAAGCAATTCGCTTACCCTGACTCTGTTTTCGTTGATTATGCACCGTAATCAACGACTTTTTTCTCTCAGCTGCTGACATATTTTCAGCCCAAAAAAATGTCAGAAATAAAAATGTTCCAAAAGAATAAAAATAGACAAAAGTTATCTAGTTGTCTCTGTGTCGAATAAAAGTAATAGAATTTGAAAGTAACTAACAAAAAGAAGAGTCTTACTTAGAGTAAGTCTCTTCTTTTCTTTTTTTGTGAGCTCACAGAGATAGACAAAAAGCGCTTCAGCTTCTTTTTTCAGTTCATTTGTCTTTTTTCCGGAAAATTTCGAAAAGGCGGGGCCTTCGGCGCCCAAAAATTCTTTTTATTTCGCTTTTCTCTTTTTTTTTCTATACAAAAAAAGCTCTGGTGTGAAAATGTGCATAAAAAAGAAGAGAGCCTGATTTTGGCAAGTGGTCTCGAGGGGAAAATTAAAAAATTTTTTTGGTCGCGGGATATTTGAATTTGAATTTGAGTAGTCTACATTATTTTTAGACACAAAAACATAGAAGCATTAAAAAGGGAAATAAAGTGTGTTGATTTTTCGATGAGCGGTCAGCAAAATTGGCGAAATTTAAGAAGCGCGGGAAAATTGAGAATAAAATGGGGGAGGTGTCAGAATTTGAATATCAAATTGTTTTTCATTCGCGAGAGAAAGAGCAAAAAAGGCTCAAGTAGGGGGCAGTGGGGTTTGAACCTGAGACTCTTAGCTTGGAAACCAGACCTCTAACCAGCTGAGCCACATTTTTGAAAAGAATGTGTAGCGGGCAGTGGGATTGGAACCTGAGACCCTTAGCTTGGAATACTGACCTCTAACCAGCTGAGCCACATTTTTGAAAAGAATGTGTAGCGGGCAGTGAGGTTTGAACATGATACTCTTAGCTTGGGAATTAGACATCTAACCGGCTGAGCTATTTGGGAACGTTTAAAAAAATTGGCGGTAACAAGAAAAATTCAAAATTTCAACAAAAAAAACCTGCGGGCAGTGAGGATTGAACCTGAGACTCTTAACTTGGGAATCAGCCTTTTAACCTGTTTGAGAAATTATAATATAATGAGCAATATATTTTTAAAGTTCGCGGAAATTGGATAGAATTTGCTCAAAAACACTAATATGAGCAATAATCTATCAAAATGCAGATGTGGAAAAAAATGGCCAGATGGCAAATGTTTTTTTTTTATTATGAGCAATGATTTTTGAAATCTCGAAAAAATGAAACAATTTTTTGTTTTCTTCAAAGTCCTATCAAGGTAATATTTTAACATGAGCAATGTTTTTTTGAAGAAAAAATCAGAGCCAAAAAGAGAAAAAAAAGTAAAAAAGTAAAACTATGTGACACATTTGGTGTATATCTATTTGGCCAACGCAAAAAAAGCGGGTCCGTGTGTTGTTGCTCTTCTCCAATTTAATTATTCGAAGCGAAAAAATGCCGGAAAAACGAAAGAAGAAGGCGGAGAAGATTGATTACTTTTTATTTCAACTGGGTCCTGACTTCTAGCCACAGAAAAAAATGAAATGAAATAGAATTCAGAAAACAACAAATTTCGAGTTTATTTATGACCAGAGAATTTATTTTGGAAAAAAATGCGGGAGAAAATGAGCAAAAAAAAATTAATATAATTTTCTGGGGTAGTGACCGACAAATTACGGGTTAAAAACGGAACCGATAGAGTCAGAAGGGTAGAGTAGAGTGGATAGAGACGCAGAGAAGTTAGAGAAACAAGAGGAGGTTAGGTTAGACAGCTAGAGCTCGGCAAAGAGAAACTACAGAAAAATAGAGATAACTAGAATTTGAAGAGACCCAGATGGCTAGACACATGACTTCAATGCAGACCACAAGTTCTTCAGAGAAACACAGTATCCTGATGATAAAAGTTACCCCAGACAACCAGAGATTGCTAGAGACGCAGAGTACCCTTTGACCCCATAAACTCACCCAATAATCTCGTTGGTGCTGACATTTCCTTGGGCTCGCGGCGAAATTTCTAGAAAAAAAAAAAGAATCGTAAAACTTTTCGCTTCGCTTCGAAAAACAAAAAATTGTCTTTGGCCGAAAAAAATGAGGCACATAAATAAACTCTCAGATTTTAATATGCACTTCACTTTTTAGAAAAATTCCCAAAAAAAATTTTTTTTTGGAAAAAAAAAAAGTTTGTTTAGATAGAAGAAGCGCAGTTGTGTTTATGGAACATTCATTTTTGGCGCCAATTTTTTTTTCGAAAAAAAATTGAGTGACATGAAAAACACAACAACACAACAACAATATATAATTTTGAAGAGGAAAGTGGAATTTTTCGAAAAAATATTTTGGGAAAAATCCCCCTGGGGGATTTTTGAAATTTTGGGTGCGGAAGAGATTTATTTTATTTTTGGAGAAGAGGTGACAAAAATATGAGAAAAATTTCTGACAGGAATTTTTTTCATTCACCAATTTTCGAAATTCCGGATTTTCAAAGCATCCAAAGTAACTCAACTCACCTTCAAGAGCATCATTTTCGGTCGTAAAAAACTAGCAAAAAAAATCCGACGTTTTTCTGGTCGGACAAAAAATGAAACGGAAGCTCGGCAAAAAGTTGTGTATGTATCTATGTCTTCCTTCTCCTTTTCATGATCTACAAAACGGCTCCCTGGAGATTTTCCCTCCGAAAGTTTCGACTTTTTCTTTCCCATCTTCGTACATAGGAGCCAAAATGATAGAGAGAGGCAGAGAAATTTCTTCGAGAATATTTTGACAATTTATCAGCCACGATTGCGTGACCGTCGATAGCTCAGTTGGTAGAGCGGAGGACTGTAGAGTCAGCGGGTATCCTTAGGTCGCTGGTTCGAATCCGGCTCAACGGAATGTTTTTTGTTTGTGACGCACACCCCCATTCAACGCAGACCACGATGTTCTGCTTCGAAATTAAACTTCGATCCTTTTGATTTTTCAACGCATGCGGAACCCATTCCGGTATTTTGAACTTGATTTTTTGCGGAGGAGTCATGTTTATTATTTTGCAATAATGTTTTTATATGAATTGGGAGATAACTGAACTACTCAAGTAATGCATTAATATTTATTCAACAGACACATCAGTTAGATTTTTTTCCGCAGAAAAAGTAGGATAGCGTGATGGAAGTAGTATCAAGACTATCAATCAATCCAATGTTGTTCTCAGTTGAAACAGCTATATTAGCTGCATACTTATTTTCACTCACAAACTGTGGTGTTAACGTGTTCAACATCTCAGTTCCAACTACAAACTCATCATTCCAAGACCAGACCGATGGAATTTGACATGTTTCGGTTATATTACATAGTTTTCCTTCACACAAACATTCATCCAGCTTGACAAATCCACCAACATAAGCAGATGTTATATTTGATTCTTTAAACAAAGTGTATCTTGTCAAAAATCACTTATTCGTTAAATGTCTCATAAAAACTCAGTTTTCATACAACACTACAAATCAAAACGTGTACTCGAGGTTTTACTATGCGAAAAATACCCTTACATTCAAAATACAATTTTTTGTAATCTTACCCCTCAACATTGACATATAGATATTCAATTCGTTGTTGCTCTCAACTCCCGAAAGATTTCCATTCATATCGCTACATTCCTCTCCTCCCAAGATTGTGAGTTCTCCTATTCTCGCACACCATCCACCAAGTATTCTTCGAACTGGAGTCCATCCCTCATCGCATTTGATTGGTGGAAGAACATTACATCCCATAACAACACCAAACAACAAAAATATCAAAATCAACATTTTGATTGTGTTGAAAATGCCTTCCGACCCGCTTCTTTTATGTGGAACACTGTGTACGTGGCAATAGTTTGTGTTTTTGGGAGTCTGAATTTACGATTTGCTATAAAATCGGAGATGTAGAGGCGTCATAAATGTATTTTTATGATTTTCTGACATTCTTGCTTGAATTTCAACGGTAATCAATTTTCATTCATCAGATCATACAAAAATAAAAGGATTATCAGTTGTTGGCTCAATCTCCTCAACCGAACTGCTACAAGCACTCAACATTCTCAAACACGGATTAACAATTCGCTCATTTCTCGCCTGTGTTTCCGAATACGGTACAATATCATAACCGAGTCGACAATTCGTCAAACAAGTTCGAAATTCTAAACAAGCATTCGAGAATCGCATGCATTTTTCCGCCAAAATTTCTTCATCTTTTGTTTCTTCGACTTTTATTCCGGTCTGCGATTTTTTGACGACACAATTCACATTTTGTCCACCGAGACGATCACATAGACGATTTTCAGCGTCATTTAAATCTTGAAACGCGCTGAAAATTAATTTTTCTATGAGAAAGCTGAAAAACAAGAAATTTGAAAACTCACCTGATTTGAGAAATAATAATGATGAAAAATAAAACTGCGATTAATTTGGTAAAATTCATTTTCTTAGAAATGATTGAAATAATTTATTTTGAAATTGGTTTGGTTTGAAGAGGTCACGTTTTTTTCGGGGGAAAAATTAGAATTTTCTCAGAATTTTTCAGAGAACAAAAATTCTAATTACCAACTGACTAATATAAAATTTTTTCTTAAAAAATCTCAAAATTCATTATTTTTGTCTCACCCAACATAAATGTGTATTTCGAGTTTTTTCTCATCAATATATTTCCTAAAAACAACCTTATTTTCCAATTTCATCCTAACAATCTTCTTGGGAACAATTGCACTTTTATGTATTTCGCTAAAAACCCCGAAATCCGTGAGATCCGCAAAACTGTCAATGTTCCAATTGATTTTCTTCGCAATCCTTCTCGATTTGAATATTTCCATCGGAACTCGAGTCTTCATTCTTTTCCCCACACTTTCCGCTGTTTTTTCGGGAATTTTTGAGGATTTTGGAATTTCGAAAATGAATCAAGTTTTGATTGGATGTTTCTCGATTATTTGTGTTATTTCTTCAATTATTTCAGTTTTTGCTAATCGATATTTTAGTTTGATACAGAAAAAGAATCGGGGTTTTGTGCTGTTTTTGATTTATTTTCTGAATATTCTATGCGCCGCTAGTTTTATGGCTCCTTTGTATTTTCAACCGCAAGAAATTGGAAGTTTTGAGCAAAATGTTTCGAAAGTAAGTTCGTCTGCGTTGAAAATAAGTATAAATTTCGCAGATTCTCCCATGTCTACCTATCGAAATCAACGCCACAAACACTTTCATAGTTTTGATCAATAAATATCAACTTGTATCTGGTATTATTCTACTAGTTATCAATTTTTTCCTCCAAGGCGCATTTTTTGTGACCAAAATATTGAATAATTTGAGCCTTGGCAATAAGAAACTATCAAAATTCACCAAGAAATTACAAATCTCATTTTTCCGCCGCCTTTGTATTCAAATATCAATTCCTATTGGTGTTTTGTGTTTTCCTGTTTTCTATTGCGGATTTTCATTCTTCATGTTTTATTATAATCAAGGTAGCGGACTTGTTTTCTATAAGAAAAATTAAATCAAAATTTTTCAGCTCTGAATAATATTTCTGTAATAATATTTTCCTCGCATGGCTCGATTTGTGCAATCTCAACTATTCTAACTCACAAACATTACCGTGAAATATTTTATAAAAAGTCCAATAAAACTTCCACAGTTGTCAGAAATTCTGTAAATATTTTTTGAACTTTCACTTTTCATACATAAGTACACCTAATTTTCCTCCCTCAAAATCTAGGTTGATCTAATTTTGCGATAAAATTGGGAATTGCAACGTCACCGGAAGACGGAAAGATTTCCCTCAAAATCTTTTTGAAATTCGATTTCAACGCTGTCTGCTTTGAAAATACCCCCGCAAAACTTTTCTATCATTTTTTCCCGTCAAAAAACCAAATCAAATCTAATAAATTCTAATGTTCTGCAATTAAAAATGCCTCTTGTTTCTTTTTCCTACTATTCTAATAACAATAATAATAATTAGTTTCGTATTTATCTGAAAGTGATAGTTTTTGTCTTGTTGTTTGATAGTATTGTAATAAATATATATCATTTTGGCGGATGCTTTTTCTTCGTTTTCAACGACAAATTATCTTATCTTTTTTGGTTAGTTCGAACACTTTTTGTTTTGAGGAAGAAATGAGGAAAACCCGGTTTATCATTAGGTTTTTTGAAGAATAGAGATACAGATAATTATGTTGTCATTAGATGAAGTTTAATATTATGTGGTGTATCATTTTTTGGGCTGGGTTTGGTTTGGAAAAGCTTTGGGTAATTTAGAAATTAAAACTTATTTCTCACAATTTTTGAAACCGGTAATTAATCAGAGAAATTCTGTGAAATCGCACGTTCTTTCAATTTTCAACGCAGACCTTCGCGTTCTAAACGGAACTAAATCTCTAAAAAAATATTTGGGTTAAACTTTTTTTTTGTCTCGAAAACTTCCCGTAACTTTCTCTCCCACCAAACCATTTCTTCTCATTTTTCTCCTCCAAATTATAATTATACCTGCCTGCCTATATGCCAGCCGCCCGCAAAAAAAAACAAAAAGAAACAATTTTCACTCGCCTTATTAGGTTTTTTTGTCGTTGTCGTCCTCCTAAGAAGATCCAAAATCCCAAGGCCGCGCGCGCGCGCGTAGAAAAAAGGGGCGGAGCCTGGTTTTTGTCAGCTGGAGAAAATGCGAGAGAGATGAGGAGGTTGTGAAGAGACGCAGAGAAACAACAACGAGGCCGTGCGCATTCGAAAATAACATATTCATATATTATATTATTTCTTTTTCTTTTTCTTATATACCTGTACCTACCGTTTTTTTTTTGGAATTTTGGAATTCCAGCCTTTTTTTCCGCGTTAAAACTTTTTGAATAGCAAATTAACACTTGGCTTTCGAGTGTTTGTTTTTTGTTTTCACAGAAGCAAAAAAAGTTTTGTTTGTTGAAGTGTGGCTTGTTATTATTATGATTTTTCTCTCTCCAAAACCTGCCACGTCATAACTCATATTTAGAGTTTAGAACAAACTTTTAAAGTTTCTCTTTTAAAGCGAGTTATCGTAAGTCCTAATTATAATTTTCATCACAAGGCTTGGATCAAAAAACACAAATTCTCATTTAAATTCATTTCAATTTAATTTCACAATTTTAATAGAAAGTACACGGGGACTAGATTTTACACTATGCAAAACCTAGTCCCCGAGATTTTTGTGTATATTTTCGAATTTATCATGTGATAACCAGATTTCTAGCTGAATTTCGAGCTTACTAACCGAAAAATTCAAATTTTCTCTCCAAATACTCAGAGACTAGCTTTTCCACTATACAAAAACTAGTAAAAATAAATCAAAAAAGTACTAACAACACTCCGCCTACCCGCACTTTAGCAGATTGATTTTTCGAAATTTTTTTCGTCGAAACGTTGGAATAAGTAAAAGTTTCTCAAATTTCAACCTGTTCCCACTCAAATTTATATATTTCTCTCCCAACACCTTCCCAATTCCCATTTCTTCCAGCATGGGCAATCGAAGTTCCTCGCACTACCCGCCACCTCCACATTGGATGCATCAACGACAATCCTATTCCACATCAGCTTCTCCATATCCAGAAGCGAAACGACCGATTGGTCCCGGCGCATTTGCCGAACCCTATTTGCCGAACTCGAACAATTTGTCAGCAGCCGGAAGAAAACAGCAAATGCGTCGAAGTGTGATTTCCCTGAATGCCACCGATGGATTCGGAATGCGACCTGATGAGAGGATGATGAGAGGATCGAGGATTTCATTGAATCAGATGGATTTTGATGGATTTCCACCTGGACATCCGCACCCGCATCCACGACTAATAATTCCACCCGATGCGAAGACTTTGAAAAAATTGGAGAAGATGGAGAAGAAACATCAGAAGTTGTTGAAGAAGTTGGGCGCTCGCGGGATTCCGTTCCCACCTCCACAAATGATGCCACCCCCACCGATGTTTACACGGACTATGTCTTTTGATGATTTGAATAGGTTGGTTTTTTGGGAAGAACTTTGGATTTTAACGCAAAAATTGCACGCCCTTTTGATTTCCTTGTTAAAAAGTAGAGTAGTAGCAAAAAAAACTGGTCACAGTATACTGTCAAATTGAGCGGAACTAGTATATTATTATTGTGTTATTATATTACTATATTTTTTGCATACATGTAACATTTTCACCTCAAAAAAGGGAAAAATATGACCTTCTTGAAAAATTGCCCAAATAAAATCCGTGGACTAGAAAACCAAGCAGGATTTTCTAGGCCGTATCAATTTGGTTTTCGTTTAGGGGTGATTCAAGTCAGCAAATGTCAAAAAACTATATTTTTTTCCTATTTTTTGACATTTTTTTCATTGAAAAGAGATATTTTGTCTGGAAAAAAATAGAAAAAAATATAGCTTTTTGACATTTTTGTAAAAAAAACTTTTTTCTATTTTTTTCCGACTTGAATTAGATTTTAGGTCTGAAAATTGCAAACAATAGAACCCATTTGACCTTCTTGAAAACCTACCCAAACTTCAAAATTCAATGAAATATAATATATTTGGGCAAATTATTGTTGTTTCTTTTTATTTGTGTTGATTTTCAAGAGGAAAAAGAAAGACGAACACACTTATTTGGTCATTTTCTACCTGTCAACGTGTCAAAAATATGCGCCCGTCAACAATAGGAAAATTTTGGGGGAGAAGGAAAAAATTTGAAAAAAAAAGAAATACGGGTGGCCTAGAAAATGATACCTTGGTTTTCTAGGCTTTATCAACGCAGATAGTCTGCTTTGCAATTGAAAAACCTTTTGTGCGCCAAATTTTCCAGGTCATTTTTTCCCGCCAAAAAAAAAACATCTGCTTTTTTGTGTCTCATTTTTTTTCTGTGTCCGATTTCCGTCTCATTAACCAACCAGGTGTCTAATGGAACACAATCTTTTATTTTTTGTGTTTCGTCCAATAATAATAATAGAAATATAGTATTTATTAGAGCGAGAGCGGGAAACATTATTCTACCTTTTTGAAAGAAGATGAATAGGGTTCCTTACTTCCCGTTTAGGGTTTATTTGCATAATAATAATAATAATATGTGTGGTATTTAATGAATACCTAAAAGGTGTAAAGACATTCAGAAGAAGAATAAAAGAGTGAGGTCAAATAAAAAGGATTTAGGGGAACTTGGAAATTATTTGGGGACGAGAAGTTGAAAGATTTTCCAATTTCTTTAGTTTCAGCACCTGAATTCCAGATTTTCAAAACGTCCTATTTTCCCATTTCAAAACCAGAACTGTTTTTTTGTGCTCAAGTGCTCTTTGCGCAATTTGATGATGCTTATTATTAATTTATACACAATATACATGTGATATAAAAAATAATCCTGATAATTTTTCCGCGCGCGCCGCCACTTCACGCTTCCGCGAGCGCACGGAAAGCAGAGCAAATAATGAGTGAGCGTAATTTATTTTATCAATGTGGGATTTTTTTGCGGGACCTTTGCAATTAAAAATTATTTTTTTTTATACCTGGGATTATCTAGGTCTAATAAAAATTGTTCCGCCGCAAATGGTAATAATTAATAAAAAAAATAATTATAATTTGCACAATGGGGGGATCCTTGAGAAAAAAGAAAAAGGGGACCAATATTGTATTTTGAATAGGTTTTTTGGGGTCAATGAGTACGGTAGGGGGTGGATTAAAAAGAGCAGGTTTTGGGGAGCAAAATTGATTTGTTTTAGGAAGATCAGGATTTCAACGCAGACCCTCGTGGACCCCATTTTAATTTTTCATATTTGCAGAGCTCACCACAATCATCCACCTCCACCAAGTCTCGATCCAGATTTTGCCAATGTTCGAATGCGTCAAAGAGATCAACAACAAGATTGGCGACATCCGCAAAGACGAGAAATTCATAGCCAATTTATCAAACAGCAACAGCAAAATCAGCACAATTTCAGCTCGTGAGTGGAATTTTTTAAAAAGTTTTGAACCTTAAAATGTTTCCAGTAACTCAACCCGTCGAACTGGCGGCTCTGTAGCCTCGTCATCTCCAATGACGTCATCAGAAGAGGGTGGACATTCGACAGATCCATGGAATCAGTCGAGTGTTTCGAGTGGAAGAGAACGGCGACATCACGTCATGTCACCTCCGATGTATTCAAGTACGCCCCATGGAAATCCTGTCACCAAAACGATTGAAGTTAAAGTTGAGAGAAGTGAGAAAATTGAGCAACAAACAAAAATTGGCGGCTCGGCTGATGAGAAAAATAATAATATAAGTCAGCCAATGATTCATCAAATTCATAATGGGAATATGTATGCTCAACCTATTATTAGGTTGGTTTTTTTATTTGGCTGAAACTTGGGATAACTTACATTAAGATAACGATAAAAATAAATTCAAATTTTTTGCAGAGGTCAACCATCCTATGGAAGTCGAACATCTTCAGTCACAAATTCACTTTTAAAATGCGATCAATCAGAAATCGATTTCTCATGGGTGAATGATGAAGAAGATAAGCTAAATCGAGAAGATTCTTCGAAATTGCCAGAATTCTATTTTGGAATGGATCCACCACAAGTTCTGAATGAAGAAGAATCGAAAGAAAATTCAAATTTGGCCAAACGTCGAAGTAATGTTTTGGAGAAAACAGCGGCGTTTGAAGTTGAAGCGAGAAGAGCAGATAGGAAAGAACCTGTGAGTTTTTTTTTAATGAATCAAATTTTTTTGTCAACATCAATATTTTTTTGCAGTCCTTCCTTTCTCGATCTTCACAACATCTTCCACAACCCGATTATTCGCCACTTCAAATTCATACATCATCTGGAGGAGGAGGACCAGCTGAAAGACGAATTTACCGAATTCAGAATCAAAATCAAAACCAAGTGTCGAGTAAAACTCAAGATGATCGAAGATATCGAAGCAGTATTGCATTCTGATTGAACATTTTTGAATTTTTGAAAAAAGTGCCTCAAAATTTGTAATTTCGCTCAATTATGTACTTATTTTTTATTTTTTCCATGAAATTTTTATCATAAAACTTTTTTTCAAGCTTCAAAATTGTTCAAAAAACCAAAAAGTCTAGACTACATAAACCGAAATTTTTCCAAATAAAAGCTGGAATTCAAATCAAATTCAAAAAATCATGAATCCAAAATTCTCTATTTATCTTCTTGTTCTTGCAATTTTCAACTTCAACTTGGTTGAAAGTCATAAAATATGCGAAAAACACAGTGATTGTGCATCCGGCGAAGTGTGTCAAATCTTTCCAGTTTTTAATTTGAAAACGTGTTTTTAAGTGAGAACGGTTGAAGCTGAAGAATAAATGAATTTGCATTTTGAAAACAAACTAACACAAACTGTTGGAAGTGCTGGGAAAACATGATTTTCTGAAAAATTTAAAATTTTCAACTGCCACGTCACAGTTGATTTTTGAAATTCAATAGATCGTGCAATTTTAAGGCAACACACAAAGGTACAATTTATTCATCAAACATCATTATTTATTCATCAATTCATGACAATGGATTCACCCTATCCAGCACTTTCAAACCAATCGAAGCGACTCCCAAGCCGGCAGAAACTCCAATTTTCCCTATACCAACTCCTACTTCCGCCACTTTCTGTGCAGGTTTCAACACATAATTATCAAATGCTTCAACACCTTTCCCAATCACTGGTATTTTTTTGGCCACACCTATAACTGCACCACCCGCTGCTTTTCCAGCATCCAAAACAACTGGAACTACAGTATCGACAACTTCACTTGCAGTTTTAACAACTGCTACATCCAGTACTTTTTTCACAAGCGGATTTTCGACAACTTTTGCAGCGATTGGAATTTGTCCTAAAGCACCTACTGCAACTTTTCCCATTTGTTCACCAAGTTTGTTTTTGGCATATTCTTTTGCTGATTCTTTGATATAATTCGGATCTTTTATCGCTTTTTCAACATGGACTCCTATATCCTTCAGATTTGCTTCTGGTGGTTTTTCAGTTGATGGCTCAAAATGCCGTGATACATAGTTTTGCGATTTTGGTTGCCATTTGTCTTGAGAAGATGGTTCCTGATCTTCAATCGGATCATCTTGAGGTAGAACTCTTGGAACTTCATTTTCAACTCTATTTGTTGAAATCATAGAATCCTTGGCTGTCACAATGAATTCCTCCGATTCTTCCTGGAACTTCTTAGGAGCTTCTCTCGAATCATCATCTTGAGGTAGAACTCTTGGAACTTCAGTTTTCCTAGAATCTTTGGCTGTCATGAGAAACTCCTCCGATTCTTCCTCTTCAACATTTGCTTGGAACTTTTTTGGAGCTTCTCTGGAATCATCATCTAGGCGGAATTTTGGGGCTTGAATTTCAGTTTTGATTCGCGTTTCGGGAGTTCTGACTTTGACCTTTTCAAATCTCACCGATTCTTCAGAACTCTCAAGTTTGGCCACAAATTCTTCAGAGTCTTCAACAATTCTAGATTTCGATTTCGACTTTGCCTCCATGATCTTTTTCAAAATGTTCTCTCCGGATTTTCCAAAATCACTTTTAGGCCAAATTGGAGTCGGGAGTTTCATCCTAGATTCCTCTGGTTCGAAAAGTTTGTCGAATTTTTTGAGATCAACTTTGGGAGTTCTAGATTTTTCTGATTCTTGTGAGCTCGGAATTCTCGTTTTCTCCATTTTTTCATCTTCCTCATCAGAATTTATGGATTTTCTGGAGCCTGAACTTTTGCCAAAATCAAAATCAATTTTAGGTAGATTCTTCGATTTTCTAGGACCCTGATGTTTTCCAGCATTGTCCAAATTCAATTTTGATTCGATTTTCTTCCTAGCTTCTTCAGATCCTTTCGGAGGAATTTCAGGACTTTCTTCTCGCTCATATTTAGTTCTGGGAACCCTAGTAGGCTCATCTGATTGTTTTTCTGAATTCCGGGGACCATAGGAGCTTTCCGCAGAATTCACCTCTCCTGAACTTCCAATCAAAATCTGCTCCGTTCTGGAAACCCTCATAGGCTCAACTGATTGTTTTTCTGAATTCTTGGGACCATTTGAGCTTAAAGGCGTCTCCGAAATTTCCTCCGAACTCGAATATTCCTCAGAACTTGAATCTTCCTCCAATTCTGTTATTTTTTCTTCTTCTTCTGTCACACATAATTTGGCAAATTCTGAATGTTGCGAACATTTACAATTAGCACAAGCTTCTCCTATTTGAAAAACATCATCTGGAATCATATTTTCAGCCAATAAATTCAAATATTCACATCCAATCATTGATTGTTGTTTACGTTTATTCGTATACAAAACACAACCAATTTCTTCGTTTTTTGAAAAAATCATTTGCAAAGCTTCATCAGAATTTGAAATCAGCAAATCTTTATTCTTAAAAATCTCCGTTTTCCGATGTTCACACCATTTTTCAATGATTTCCGAATGATTTTTCAAATATTCTGGAAATTGAAAAATCTTAAAACTTGTCCATGGTTGAATTTCTTCGGCATTTTTCTCTCGAAACGCCTCCAATTTTTCAGATGCAATATTTGTCAATCTTTCCGACCATAACATTTTTCTCATATTTGATACTCTTAATTCAGTTTTCCATGGAAATCCATCACTTGCGATTTGATTTCGAATTTCATTGTGACATTTTAGAATCGCGTTGATTTCCTGTGGCGATTGGCATTCGATTTGAATCGCAAAAATTAGAAAAAATATTGGAAATGTGAGAGGTTTCAACATTTCAAAAATAAATTAAAAAGAAAAAATATCAGAATAGAAATATTTTTTATTATGGAGAGACATGTGAGAAACTGAAAATTCTGAAATTGCACCGTCTTTTGATTTTCAAATTTCTCGAAAAAATGCATAAATTTTGAATGTTTAACAAAGAATTGATCCAATTTTTATAAATTATTTGCAAATGCTGATTTTTCATGAGAAAATGCTAATCAAAAATTCGTACAGTAAAATTTAAGATTCATTGTTAAGATTCTGTTAACAATTGGTAAAGATGTGTGATTCTTTGAACCCAGGCATGAGAAAATGCAAATCAGTATTTCTGTGTACCTATAAAAACCCCAGAATTTTCGAATCTTCGATCACCAAAAAAAATGTACATTTCTCACTTGTTTCTTTTCATAAACCTTCTCAATTCTGTTAAAATTCTGTCAGCCGTATTCAGCACGCCAATAATTCGAAACGGCACTTTGAACATAAATGTTCAAAGAAAATGTCCCGATGGCTGGGCATCATTTCAAAGACAAAAGGGTTTGTATTGTATCAAAGTGTTCTATCCGCCACCATATTGGTATACTCAACCACAAGCGCAGGCAATGTGTAATGAGATTGGGGCGAGACTGGCGGGAATTGAGACGATTGCTGAGAGGAATTATATTGCTCGTGAGTTCAAAGACTTGGCAGTTAAAAATTGTACATTTTTCAAAAATCTTGTGTTTTCCCTTTTTCAACATCTAATATACAAAAACGCAAACGTAAACTAAATTATTTCAAAATGCACACAAAAGGCCCACACACACAAAATACGTCATCTTTCACACCATGGCGCAACTGTATTGCACATCCTCTTGAGGATGATTATTTCAAAATGCACACAAAAGGCCCACACACACAAAATACATCATCTTTCACACCATGGCGCAACTGTATTGCACATCCTCTTGAGGATGATTATTTCAAAATGCACACAAAAGGCCCACACACACAAAATACATCATCTTTCACACCATGGCGCAACTGTATTGCACATCCTCTTGAGGATGATTTCAATGCAGAATCATTTATTTATTTTTCAATTTAAAATGAAATTGGGGATGACTTAGTTTTTTTTTCAACTTTAACACATCTTCCTTTCCCAACACTTGGATAAATTTGACACATTTGGCCGTTTGGACAATCCCAATGTTTTTTACATTCTTCACTTTCAACCAATTTGAAATTGAAAATTGTTAAAACAAGCAGCAGAATGAAAAATTTTGGATTCATTTCTGAACTTGAACTTGGGAGGCACACTTTTTATTTGGTTTAAAATAGATTTATGTAGTCTAGACTTTTTGAAAAATATCAAGAAGTTCTGAATTCCGAATATTTTTCAGGTGTTGCTGCAAATTATATGACAAATATGAGTTTGACATCAACAGTAGTCTGGATTGGAGCCTATCGCGTTCTACAATGTACAAAATCCAATGTTATTGTAGATAAATGTAGCAATGTAGGTTGTTGTAACCTCGGAAAAAAATAAAAAAAACTTCTTCTTCTCGCAGACAAGATACGCATTCACTTGGAGTGACGGAAATGTTGTTGGCGATGATCAAATGTTGTTCCGCGACACCGGAAATTCAGGGTAGGAAGAGTATATTGTTCAAAAATAGTTATGAATACATCAACATTTTTGAAGAACCGGTCAGCAATGTGTTCAAATGACGATTCTCGCATTTCCCGAAGCTCCACAAATGTCATTATATGATGACATCAGTTGTGATGGTACTGTAGAAACGTGGGTTCCGAATCATTATGCACAGTATGTTTGTGGACAACAGGCTCCGATTGTTGGGTTCGACACTTATTGATTGGGAATTTTTGACATTTACTTTTGATAAATTTGTTGAAAATTAAAAATTCCATATCTAATAATCTCCCCCTTCATATTTTTTCAAACGACACTCCACCAAATGACACTGCCTGTTTTTTATTCCCCAATAGATAATTGTAGCGTCCTTTTTCCAAAAAAAAAAACAGATGTGATTTTTTTAATTTTCAATTTCAGGTTACTGTATCTAAACTACAGTACTTCTTGATTAATATTTTTACCAATTCAATATTTTGAAAAAGCATGCCAATGGGACTGCAATAAGCCGATATATGTGAAAATTTAGGTGAGTTTTAAAAAATTCCAATTTTTGTTCAAAAAATCATTTCTATTTTCAGATATTAGATTACTGTATCTAAACTACAGTACTTTTGGATCATAATTTTATGACAATGGATTTTCGATGAATCTTAGAAGAAATAAAGTATTGGAACAATATAAAACGAGGCATCAAACATCTGACTACTGAAAAACTTACAGTACTCCTGGATTAACTTATGATCACTGTGAGCCGGAATTCCCATCAAAAGAAACATTAACAATCTTGAAAATTAATCAAAATATTTATAAGTGAGTTTTTTATGATTCATTTTCATCTCAAATTAATCAAAAATTATTTTCCAGAATCTCACCAAATTCAGAAAAAATACGTCGAATGAAAATTGCAACTAAATCTTACTGTATCTAAACTACAGTACTTCTACAGTACTTCTCCAGGCGGAATTGAGGCAAATCTTCGGGATACCACCAAATGAATCGGACGAAACCAGCTCAACCAACACCAACACACCAACTACGCCACCAGTAACCACCCAAATTTTGCAAGCACCGAAAATAGAAGAACCTTAACCAATAATCATAACCATTCTTATTTTATAATACTCATCACCATATATAATTTTTTGAGAGAATATTCATCACCATATATAATCCACATTAAGGTCATATTGTTGCAATAATGTAATTTCGATTTATTCTCGTTCGCGATAATGTCATTGAAAGAGAAAATAAATGCTAAGATGCCAAAAATAAGAGAGTACTGAATTAGATATAACCCAAGGGTAGATGTTGTAATATCGTAGTGTCGTAATATTAATAATCACCAAACGTATTCTCGAATAAGAGAGAAGACAATCCTTCTCAAGTAAAGACAATTGCTTCTTTCATTATTACAAAGAAGACATGCTAACTTTCAAATTGGACGACAGACGGCCAATTTTACAGGTATGGAACAGCGGTCGACAGATCGATCACCATCACCGACAGCGGAAGAACTCGCAGTCTGGGAGAAACAACTCCTAGACGACCCCGATGAGGAGATGACAGATACCACCCTCAATAGCGACGCGAGCAACGAAGAAATTCCAGTGGAGCAATTCCAAGAATTAGCAGTAAGCGTCCCGCAAACAAGAAAAGCGGAGGAATCAAATGTACCTATGAATCAACACGAAGGTACACCTCCGAAACCGAACGACAAACTCGGACGGTTTGAGGACAAATTCATGTCCATGAGCGAGGTAGCCGAATTCTTGACTAACAAGTCAACGGCAGAACTCAAAGCATCAATCCGAGGCATGAAAATCAGCTCGGGTGTGCGAATAATTCGCGCAGAACTCCAGCGGAGACAACGTGTAATCTACCGCTACACCAAACTCAATGACCTAACAGTCTACGAGTTGAGAGACAAACAGTCTAAGAAAGACATATCAGACAACAAAATGATGCTTGGCTACGAAATCAGCAAAAATAGAAGATCTCAATCACCAGACCCAACAACCGAAGAATCAAGATTTCGCGAATGCATGGAACAAGCATATACGGAGAGCAAAAGAAGATATATACACAGACGGAAGCATAGATTACCATCACCACGCTTTCGTCAACAAAATGGTGAATTCATCAGAATCGAACCAACACAACATCCATGGAAGAAAAAGAAATCCTCGGACCAACATCACGCCAAAGCGCCCGATCACAAAGGATTCGCAAAGACCGTGCGATTCCAAGCCACCTGCCGGGCTCAAGCGAAGAGAAGTTGCCGCGAACCACCGAAATAAAAGACAACTTCAACGCCAGGGATCTAATCGAAAACTATAATCATAACCAATCGTAGCCGTATTCATCACAAATCAAAGCGTACAAGTCGGGGATGTGGAGCCGTCATCATTTCGTCAGATACCGGGACGGTATCTCGTGCTGGTCGGGGATGTGGAGCCGTGGTCCACGCCTCAACAGTAATCCACCAATAAGTCTAAGCTCCACCCTTAGAGGGTCCGGAGGAACACTATTTAAGGAGCCAAGACTCCGCCCTAAGTCGGTTTTTTTACTAGGTTTTTACTAGAGTTCTTACCAGAGTTATTATGTAACTTTACTAAGGTTTTACTTATCTTTTACTTATTCTTACTTAAGCTTTATACAATGTTTAGTTAGGTTTACTTATACTTTAATACTTACTTTGATTTTATATATCTTTATCTATCTTATATTATATTGTCCTTAGACTTATTATTGTATGCATTGATTATCATAAATTAGTAGTTATTTAACCTATCTTTAATATTATGGAACCACGAGGACCCATTTCCTCACAATTGCAACTAAATCTTACTGTATCTAAACTACAGTACTTCTGGATTATGCTTCACTATGTTCAGAAAACAAACGTCATAATGGCACACGCTGACGCCGAAAAATTATATTTGAAAATACCACAAATCCAAGAAAGAATGAAATGGGAATTATTTTTACTGTATCTAAACTACAGTACTATTTTTATCAATTATTGAAAACTTTTCAATTCCTGTCTTCAATAAACAAAACGAAGGAAATTGTGAGTTTTAATTTTTGACTTCATTTTTTCAAATTCCTATTATTTACAGCCATTGTAGTATCTTTAAACTTCTGCAAAAAAAATCGGTTCAGTTCAAAACAAAGAAAAATCTTAATAAAAAAGGTTTTTCTTAATTTCGCACCTAGAAATAATTTAAAATTAATTCAATTATATGAATCAGCTTCTCCTTATAATTGATTAATTTTCATCTCAACAAAATCAAAAATATTTTCCAGAATCTCAGCAAAAAAAATGTAGCGGCAGACGCCTTTTAAAAATTGCAAGCAATTCTTACTGTATCTAAACTACAGTACTCCATTTATTCAATTGATTATTTGTTTGAAAATCATCATAGACGAAATAAGCATGGTCTATCAAAGTGGACACCAGACACATTCAAGAAAAACTCAAAAAATTAAATATTCTGGTGAGTTTTATTATATTTTCCTCCCAGATTTTTCAAATTCCTATACTTTTGCAGCATTTTTCGACATGAATTTCAAGGGCAAAAATTTGGAATTTTTCACCGTATCTAAACTACAGTACTCCTGGATCATTCTCAACGGATTCGTAATTGGATAAAAACAAACGCACTGATGCAGCACGCGGGGGCCAGAATTTTTTGAATAAATAAATTTTTTTTGAATTTTTTTTGGTTGTTAAAAATATCATCAGAAGTTATATTCAATGCCACATGGATACAGCATTATTATTTAGGTCTCAATATATCGAGCACATCCGAAGGAACTCCTCTTTTCACAATTCCTTTTCCCAATATTTTTTCTCCCGATTTCAAAAAATCATCATTTGAAGTTGCATCATCCATAACTTTTCCAGAGTTCAAATTAGCTTGAGCTTCTTCATCCACGCCAAAAACTGCTTTGCAGTTGATTTGAATCGCAAAAATTAGAAAAAATATGAGAATTTTAAACATTTCAGGAATTGTGTTATAAAAAATTTTCTGGAAAACAATTAAAAAGAAATATTTTATTATGGGGAGACATTTGAGAAACTGAAAAAAATCTGCTTTGAAATTTCAAATCTCATTATTTCTATTTCCCAACGACACTCCGATCAATGACACTGCATTTTATGGCATAAACAACAACACATTTTTGGCGTCTTTTTTCTTGCCTGTTTTTTTCTCAAAATTTCACCGCCTCTGATTACTGTATCTAAACTACAGTACTCTTTTCATTCAATTAATTATTTGTTCAAAAATCATACTCGATGAAATCAGCATGGTCTTTCAAAGTGTACACCAAACACAGCCAAGAAAAAATGAAATGGAAATGTATTTTACTGTATCTAAACTACAGTACTCTTTTTATTCAATTAATTATTTATTTATGAAGTATTCTGTATGTACCAGAGACTATACAGCCAAATTCGAAAAAAAGTAAGACTCATAATAGATGAAATCAGCATGGTCTATCAAAGTGTACACTAAACACAGCCAAGGAAAAAATGAAATGGAATTGTATTTTACTGTATCTAAACTACAGCAATAAAATCCTGATATTAATAAAATGGTTAGTTGTAATTAGCCAATTTCAAATTTTGAATATAATTTATTTTTTCAGAAATATTAACAATGTCATTGGAATAGCGGGAATCTTTTGAAAATTGATTGAAATATTTATAAGTAAGTTTTTATTTTATTTTTTCGGAATTTTTCAGATTATTTTTGCAGAATCACGCCGAAAAGAAATGGTAGTCGCGAGCATAAAAAATGCCAGTTAATCTTACTGTATCTAAACTACAGTACTCTTGGGTTCAAATATTTGAACATTGGATAATATGAAGATTGGGAGAAACCAAGAGTAGTGTTAACGAGAAATTCAAGACTCGTGAGAAACCTAATCAAGACCATCCGCTAAACGAAATTGCAATCCGCCCACCAAGGAACAGAGAAAACGATCAAATTAAAGTAGAAAAATTGGTGAGTGAAATTAAAAATTGAAATTATTGGTAAGAAACTCAACACAAAAATTCTGAAAGTCAAATTTTAAAGTTAAAATTCTGACTAATTTTTTTCTCAGAAATACATCTGACGATGAATTTTTCAGTCGAAATCAGGATTTTTTTAATTTTAAAAATATATTTATTTTTCAGATTTCCAAAATCTTCCGACCGTATATAGACAAAAAAATGGAAATGTATCATACTGTATCTAAACTACAGTACTTCTGGATTAAAAAAAGTGTTATGCCACGAAACGTATAGACATGAGATGCATGAAATATATTTTGAAACTTTTGGTGAGTTTTGATTTTTTTTCCGATTTTCTTTTGAAAATATTTGTGAGTTAATTCAATTTTAGGTAATTAAAATAATTTCATTTCAGCACAACAAAAATTGAAAACGCATGAAACCCGTAGAATATCGATAGAGAAAGGCGAAACATTCAAATTTTTTTGGTAAGCCTTAAAATAGATTTCGAAATGAAACTTATATGATACATATTTTTGCAGATTACTGTATCTAAACTACAGTACTAATGGACTACATTTTTTGGAAAAACCTAAAACACATATGCAAGTAAGAGTTACAACTGTATAACTCATTCACTAAGTGACTAGATATGTGTGAAAATTCGAAAAATTTTGGTGAGTTTTGAAATTTCCTCTTCATTCTCCAATAATAAGATTGATTTTTTGCAGATTACTGTATGTAAACTACAGTACTCCTGGATCGTGGAATTTTAAATCGAAATGTAACATAAACTACTGTAACATAAACTCCTCGTCCAATGGTGTCAGAAGGAAAATTTGAAAATTTTTGGTGAGTTTTTTTCAAAAAAAAAAAATAAATTGAATTCAAAATTTTTTTACCAAAAATATTGATTTTTTCAGAATTGTACCATCATTGGAATGCTAGATTTCTGCAAAGATTGATAATTTTTGAATGAATTTATTTTTCAAAAAAAGGTGTAAATATTTTTTCCAATTTCAGAAAAAATTCAGATTTCTCAAGCTGCATGTAGTACTGTATTCTATATCCTTTGAATCTTTTCCTTCAAACTTTAAACGATACTCCGATCAATGACACTGCATGTTATTTATTTTCCACAAAAAACAAATGTTCACAAGTTTTTAGGATTCTCTAAGTTTATTTATTTTTAATGTAGATTACTGTATCTAAACTACAGTACTGTTTTTATGCAATCTACTTTAGTCCAGTTTCCTAGTACAACTGGGTACATCTGAGTAAGTTTTAATTTTTCTTCAGATTTTTAAAAAATTTCTATGTTTGCAGTCAAGGATCGTGTCAGTTTGAAATGGAACTCAATGAAATATGTAGAATTTTTTTGAAAAATAAAGAAATCATCGGAGAAAAATCCCTTGGCTACTGAATTTAATTTTGAATCAATCAACAAAACAAGTTAGTTAATAACATTAATTTTCTATTTTCTTCAATTAAAACTTTTTTCAGAATCTTTGAATTACACGACATTTTAATTGCATGCCAATGGGACTACGTTACGCCAAAAATTTGAAAAATTAGGTAATATTTGATTTTTCTCCAAATTTTTAATCCAAAAACACAGTTATTTTTCAGATTACTGTATCTAGACTACAGTACTCCTGCTACGTCCAATCATTGCTTATTCTACAGTTGGAAAACTCGTGAGCTTTTTTATGATGGATTCAGAAATACTTTTGTGAGTTCCATACAGTACACGAAGTCGAGGGCAAGAGAAATTTTTGAATTCGAAATTATCTAGGTCAGTTTTCCATTTCTATATTTTTTTTCCGTTAAAAATATCGATTTTTCAGATTTGCACGGCATTCGGAACATTTGAATTCATAAAAATTTTAAAATTTTTGAATAAATTTGCTTCTCGAAAAAAATGTGAATAGAAATTTTCAGCGAAAATTCGGATGTTCCCAATCTGCCACAACAAAAAATAGAACAAATTTATTTTCAGAAAATTTATCAGACAACAAAAATTATCAGTTTTTCCAAAAAATGCCACGTGAATCGAAGTGTACTGTAGTTTAGATACAGTAATCCTGAAAAAATGAATTGAATTGTTGAAGCTACCGTACTCTACAGTAACCAACCTTTTTCCTTGATTTTTTTTCAACATTTTTGTCAAATTTGGAGATATCTATTTCGAATCCTGAAAAAACGAATTTTCGTAACTACAGTACGCCAAAATCTACAGTAACCCACCTTTTTCTTTGATTTTTTTTCAACATTTTTGTCGAAGTTGGAATTGTCGTTTTCGAATCCTGAAAAAACGAAATTTCGTAACTACAGTACGCCAAAATCTACAGTAACCTACCGTTTTTGCAATACAAATTTGTCGAAATTCCGGTAATCCATGTCGAATTCTAAAAAAAAAATCAAAAATTTAAATTGTACATACTCTGCATCTAACCCACCATGGTTACCATTATATGAGGAAAATAAAAGCTTGAACGTAAGAGTACTGTAGTTTAGATACAGTAGTTTAAAATATCTAGAAAATGTGAAGGAAAAAAATGGGCATGTGCGTCTTTTGCCTGCACATCTAACTCGAGAGAGTGCAGAGACGCAGAGAAAAAAGAGAGTTGTGTAGTTCTCGAGGAAAAAATGTGCCAAAAAATAGTTCTGGGCTGAAATTTTTTGCTGAAACTCATGGAATCATTTAATTTCAGTAATTTCCAGCGATTTCTTGATTGTCCGCACAACATTTTGGTATAGAAACACTTTTCAAAGACTACTGTAAAAAACTCCGAAAAAATTCGGATCAAGCTTTCCGCGTAGACAAAAATTTTGAAAATCTTTCTCTAGCCTGAAATTTTGTGCAGAAACTCATGGAATCATTCACTTTCAGTAATTTTCAGTGATGTTATGATTTTCAGCACAAAATTGTGGTCTAGAAACACTTTTAAAATGCTACTGTAGAAAATTCTGCCTTTCCGCAAAGGCGGAAGTTTTCCGCAACTATATTAAAACAACAGAAAATGATTTATTTTCAGCTCATAAAACACGACCACAGTACACTGGCCATGTATATTCGCCAAACGATGTTGCCGAGCAACTGAAAAAACTGTTTTTTTTCCCGCGCGCAACCTTTTTCCGCTCACCTAACAAACGTCAATCGCATATCCAAACTCGAATTATCCAAATCGAACAGCATAATAATACACATCTTGTAAATGCTAAAATCAGGTTTATTCACAAATTTTAATTGTGAAATGATTGGATTCCCAGGATCTTTGAAAGTATATCCATTCGGAAATTTACAATTTGCATTATCCATAATATTCAACATATTACATTCAAGTTTCCGTGTTCCATCAATCGGAATCGCTCCTTTTCTCACCTTTCCTGTTTTCATCATATCTTTTATCTCTTTTTCGATTATTTTCAAATCTGGAGGAGATGTGAATTGTGAATCTTGAGATATTGTTCCCACCGATAATTTTATATTGTTGTTGTTTGATTGCTTGAACTGTGAATAAAAAATGAAATGTAGGGCTTAGTTAATATTTACGAGCTTTAAAATATAGGGTTTTGTAGATCTAATATTGTCACAGCTTAGGATTTCTGTACTACAGAAATTCTGTAGGTTGAACTTTGGTGCCTCAAAACTTGAGTAGATCAGAGAGTTGTGCTTGAGAGTTAAGTTTAAGGCTAACTTACAAATAAAAAATATTTTCAACTGCCACGTCACAACTTGAGATTACTGCCACAAAAATTGTGATCTACAGAAATCATCCAACATTCAGCAAATCTCAAACTAACCCCCCAACAAACGATTTTTCCACTCCGAACCGAATAATAAACATAGATATCTCCTGTACAAGCCCGCGCACTGATCCACAATTGATTATTAGCATATTTAATTAGAAATTTTGAAGTTCCTCCTTTAAAATTACTAGCAATAATTGGATTTTTTTTGGGACACGTTTGCGAATCGGCCAACGTCGTCTTATCGACTCGAAATCCAATCACATCCGATTTTCCTGTGTTTTTGGCGCCAAAAATATATTGATAATTTGTGAGGCAACACGACTTCTCTGCTGAATTATAAAACGCAAAATCATATTTTGCGGAGTTTGCGAAACTCGTGACGCAAGTGGCGGATTTCGAGACTTTTAGAGATTTCGTGACACAAATCACATAGGTTGGATAACCGAACATTATGATATCACGGTAACTTGCGATGTTTTGGAAGAGCAGGAGGAAGATTTGTAGGGCGAACATGATTTTTTTTGGAAAAATTTATGATTTTTTTGGTTGTTCATGTGGTTGGTAGGAGTTACAAATTGGTTTTTGGATACACAAGAAAAATGAGGAGAGGAATCAAAAGATCATTTCAAATTATATATGAGATTATATAAATACATTGCAGTTTCATCTTCATTTCTGAAATAAAAAAATAAAAATCAAGTCAAAATTTCCCTCTCGAACTCACGCCACTTGTCCATGTTGCAGTTGACGAATTGTATTTTGCAACTGATGAGCTGCACATAGATTACTGGTTGATGGTTGAGCCTGGGTTTCTTCGTCATCCTCTTCTTCAACATAAACTTCTCTGACAACGTTTTGGGCTTCAAGTTCCCTGATTCTTTTTCGCAGTTTGAGGAATTCCGCATTCCCCGCGGTCATTTGAATTTGCACTTCCGACTTGAAACTTTCGAGTTTTGTTTTCAGCTCTTCATTTTCAACATGAGTGAATTTCAGACTTTCAACAAGTTCTTCATTGTTAGAATTCAATCTGAAATGTTATTGATGAATTTGATGAAACTTGCACAAAAAACCATACATTTTATTGATCTGCATGAGATTTTCAAATTCAATTTTTTTAGCTCTCAATTTATTGTTCAACAATGTTACTTGATTTTCCAATTCTTTGTTGATGTTTCGGAATTGTTGATTGTCCCCTCTATCAATTTGTCTTTGTTGTTCAGTCAATGCACGTATTTTAAAATTCCCAACTTCTTGTTCCAATTCATTGATTCTTGCATTTTTCTCATCAATTTCCTTCTCTCGATTCCATCCATTTTTTCGTAATTTCATCAAATCATTGATCATTTCTCGTGTTTTATTTCCAAGAAATGGTTCAACATGTTCCAATATTCCAAACCAAAAATGAATCGGACCATTTTCACTAATATCAATAACACATCCAATATTTCTTATTAAAACAATTCCTAATTGAACATTCGATTCATTTGCTAAACTCCATTTTGTGGGATCTAAAAAATTGTTGAAGGTGTAATCGTGGAGTGTTGTAAAACTCACCTTGAATTGATTGAAACAGATTATGTATAAACTTTTTTATAATATCAATTGACATCAAATTATTGATGAATAATTGACCAACGAGTTGACTGAAATTTTTTTAGTGAATTTCAAAATTATAAAAAAATACTCACATAATATTTCTATCCTCATTTCTCATCATATTTCTTCTTTCTGAACTCAAAATTCTTCTCAAAGAAGATTCAGCTTTTTCAGAGAACTTGATAATAAAATCATCTGACACGTGATTTTTGCAAATACCAATCAATAGTGGAATAAGTTCCGGGTTGCTAACAGCATTTTTGAATATAATTTCAACAACTTCTACAAGACATCTTCTATCGTTCAAATCTTCGTAACGTCTTAGCTTAGATTGAACTTCGTTTTTTATCGATTGGTGAGACATTTTTCAACGTAGTCAACAACTCATTTTTATCAGCGAAAATGAGAAGAATTTATTCACAAACACATCGTTTTTTCTTGATAACAAATTTTTTATTTTTTTTTGCAATTATAATTTAGTTCAAAATTTTTAGATGTCTGATATCAAAGATGTTGTTAGCTCTAAACTCAATTACCACAATAGTTCCCAAAATAGAGGAATACTCAAAGAAGTAGTTGAAATTATATTCGAAAATGCTGCTAGAAATCCAGAATTCATTCCACAATGGATTGCTATTTGCAAAACGCATACTTCAGATGATTTGATTGCTGAGTTTGGTGATACATCAGAGTCCTATTTGAGGAAAATCAAACAACCCGAGAAAAGAAATATAATGAGCAATGCGGATAGAAATATTATGTGAGTATTTCTTTTTATAATTTTGAAATTCACCAAAAAATTTCAGTCAACTCGTTGGTCAATTATTCATCAATAACCTAATTTTATGGAAAATATTGAAAAAATATATTTTTGAACTTTTCGAATCAATTCAAGGTGAGTGTTTTGCACTACAACACTCCGCGATTACACCTTCAACAATTTTTTAGATCCTACAAAATGGAGTTTAGCAAATGAATCGAATGTTCAATTAGGAATTGTTTTGATAAGAAATATTGGATGTGTTATTGATATTAGTGAAAATGGTCCGATTCATTTTTGGTTTGGAATATTGGAACATGTTGAGCCATTTCTTGGAAATAAAACACGAGAAATGATCAATGATTTATTGAAACTACGAAAAAATGGATGGAATCGAGAGAAGGAAATTGATGAGAAAAATGCAAGAATCATTGAATTGGAACAGAAAATTAGAGGGTAAAATTTCATTTTCACTGACATGAAGGAAGGGAAAATCTGAAAGTGTGTTATCTATACAGGTTTCAAAACGATGGGTTGACAGAGCAACACAGAAAGAAGCATGAGAATAATGCAAATGAAATATTATCTCGAAAAGTGGAAGAACTGGAAAAGAAAATCGAAAGGTATCGAATTGAGATTATTTATATGAAAATAAAGAAATCTCGATTTCAGAATCAGTAAAACGAACCTGAATCTTGAAAATCAAGTATCTGGTTTGCAAAATGAATTAGTGGCTCAACAAAATGTGAATTCTGATATTGAAAACCTTCGGCAAATTATTGAGAGGTGAGAATTTCTTCAATAAACTTATTTCAACCGTTTCCTATTTACAGTAATCAAGCCGAAATTGACCCAACAAACGGTTCAATAAATGTAACTATTACTCGATTCTCACACCCTGAAGTTAATAGAATTCATCAGAAATACAAAGGCATACTGAAAATCGACAGAAAAGAGTTTCTGAGTGTTATTGAGTCGAGACTTGCAACTTTATGCGAAATGCATCCGAGACGTCTTGATATTCTGCAAATGAAATTGGACATCATGAAATTCGAAGATGAAAAACTTGCTGATTATCTTAGAGAAGTTAATGAGAAATATTGGAAAATTGAGTGGAATCACAATATTTCAATCGAGGAATTGGGCGAGGAGATTGAAGAATTTCCAAGTATAGATTTCATGGAGAAATATAATCGATTAATTGCGGAAAACAATTTGACAAATAATCATCTCTCATTATCATAATCACTTTTTGGGTAACTTAGCACCGTATCGTATTTTTCGTATGGAAATCAGAGTTACCGCGCGAAAGCGATTTTGAATTTGAGAAGCGACGCAGACGCACACGCATCGCGGGTATAGGGATTTTCGCGAAATCAAATTTATTTTCGCGGGGTAACTTTGATTTTCATATGCACAATAACTATCTAAAACTATTCTTCTCACATCCTTGAAATAATTTTTATTCCTTGATCATTATTACTCATATTTGTCTTATCAGTTTTCTTTGCTCTACACATATTTGTTTTGAATTTCATATATGAATGTACCACTTTTATTTATTTACATAAAATTTTTTTTTTATCAATGTCAGGTGCAAATTGTGAAGTTGTAAATATAACAATAATTTTTTTCTTATCAATTTTTCCTTCTAGGATCCTCAGGTGCATTATTTTATTTCATAATAATCAGGAGGAAAATTTGTTATCATGTTCCATTTTGTGTTTATTTGCTAATCATTCATTTTCTGTTTTTTTTTCATAAGACACCTCAAAAATGCTTCGAACATGTCTGGAAATCGAAACCTTATTCAACAACCTGAATCGTGAGAATCTCTTTGAAAGTTTTCAATCATTCCGATCACTCAAATTCTCCTCAATGAATACTGAACTTCTCGATAAAATAATTGATATAATCTGGAAAAAAGCATGCGAAAAACCGGAAATTGTTGCATTGTTCGGGTTTTATTATATCTATTTAACAGATTCTGGAGGGGGCTCGATGGAAAATCGACAATTTATAATTTCTTCTGTGAGATTCAGATTCAATGGATGGATAACAATGACGAATGAGTTACAAGAGAATATTGATTCGATTTTTGAGTGAGTGGCCGAGTCGGATCCTAGGCCAAAGGCTTGTTTTTTTTTAGGTTTATCACGCATCTTTACTCGAAAAACAGATATTTTGGAGGATCAGTAGTTACGCAAACTGTATCACTGCCAACTAGTACAAGAAAAGTGAGTAGAATTTCTATTTTATAGTGAAATCGTGTTTTTTTAGCCGACACATGTGGGAAAACCAAAAAAACGAGCACAAACTGAAACCAGTCCTCCTGTAGATTTCAGAAAACCGGATTCAAATTCGAATCCCTCGAATCAAGTTCGAGTACCACTGGAAGTTTTAAGAAACAATTCGAAAATCGAAAATCTGCGGAAAACTATTGAAATCCTGGCGGTGGAAAATGTCAAGAAATTGAAAATCATCAAAAAGTTACGAAAAGTTATTGCAGAGCAAAATGCTGAAATTCAGGAGCTGAAAAAGGAGAAAATGTGCGAGGAAGTTGAGCGAATTCATCGAAAATATCAGAAAATTCTGAGAATTGAAGATTTCGATGGGTTTATTGAGAAAATCAATGAGTATTTGAGTGTGTAAGTTGTTTTTTCCAAAGAAAGCTCCAAGGAGTGCTTCAGGTTAGTTCAACTTCATCCGAATTCCAAAGAAATTCTGAAAATGAAGCTGGAAGTTCTGGAATTCAAGGAAATTCAAAATGAGGGATATTTGAAAAAAATCGAAGAGGAATTTTGGAAAATTGAGAGAAATCCGTTTATTTCGAAAAGCGAGTTGAAACCTGAAATTGAACAATTTCCAAGTGACGAGTTCATGGAAAAATACCAAAAATTTGTTGATGAAATTTGTTTTGTTAACTTTTTTTGAATGTAGTTTGCACCTGACTGACTGATAACAATGTTGTGTGGTCAAAAATTACCAAATATTTTGTGGGAAAAAACGCGATCTGTGATGTATTGAGCGATCTAGATTTTATTTTTCACAGTTTGCACCAATTATCATAATTGTAAATAAAAATTTTATTGCTTGAGTTCAAAAAATTGCGGACCAAAAAAACCTCATATCGCAGATTCGTCACTTTTGTTTATCAATTTTGCTTCGTTCTCACTTGCATAAGTGTTAATCCTCTTTCACAAAAAAGAATGTGCGATACTGTATTCATAAGAGGTAAATAATCCCTCGAATAAGGCACGTTATCAAGAAGGAACCCTTCTTAAACTGCTCGAAATCACTTTTTTGCCCAATCAAAAATGAATATTATTCTGAACTCATCATTTTTGGTTGTATTCTTAACTGGAATATATTGCGAGTTTACAACAACTTCTGAACAACCTCGATATGTACATTGTGATTCAAATGATATTGTTTTGAACAATCGATGTTATTCGTTCATCAAAGAGAGATTGAATCGAAATGATGCGAATAGAAAATGTCGGCAGATTGGGAAAACCTTGGCGATTTTCGACAATTTTAGTCAGATCAATTTCATTACTTGTAGGTTTTGAAACTTTGCATGAAAAAGAAAATAGAAAATTTCAGCATACTCGCAATCACAATTCGGCACAACATATGGAAGTTTTTGGATCGGTTTTCAACGGGGCACAACATCATACTATTGGCAGGATGGTTCACCAGTCACAGTGACTAATTGGTCTTCCGGTTATCCGCATTCTAATCAATATTTTGTTGCGCAAGATATTTCAAACGGAAAATGGAAAAATTTTCCAGACTCTGAATTGTTGTTTTCAGTTTGTAGTGGAGTTTTATGAATCAATAATGAATAAATTCTAGTTTGAATTCTAGTTCAGAGCGAAAAAAATGTCACTCTAGCTGCGATAATTCAAAAAAAAAAAGTGGGCGGAGTCTGTCATATTCCTTTTTCGTCTTGCGTATCTTCAGCACGCACACTCTCTCGTTTTCTCTTGTCTGAAATTGTGGCTCATGTCAAAAAACAAAAACAATTTGCTGTGTAGTTGAAACATAATTTATTCTCACTTTTTCGGAACTTCAATTTTCACATTTGGATCTTCAATCAATTTTTGGCGATATTTTTGATAATCCTTCACAAATCCATCATACGAACTAAGCCATTCAAACGATTCTTCCTTGCTTCCACCTTTTTCTTGATAACAAAACTCAAGAATACAAAGAAGAAGAAACAGTTGTAAAAGTCGAGAATCGATTGCACCATTTCGAAAGTCTCGAACAAAAAGATCGATTCTCTCATTTGTATTCGAATCATAATAATTATTACTATACCAGCTCTGTGGTGTTCTAAGAAACAAATCAACAGCCAAAAAGCAAGCAGATCTTCCAACTCCACTGTCACAATGATAAACTTTTGGAAATTTAGAGGATTGTTTCGATAACCAACGATACAGTTCAATTGTCAATTTCGCATCTTCTGGTGCAGTTTTATCAGGCCACCAAGAAACATGAATATGATTAACTGTTCTTTTAGTTTTTCCATCGGAATCAGTGACTTCTAAAACAGTCCAAGTCACGCCTTTCACCGGATCTTTCTCATTCTTCACACATCTGACTTCAAATTCCTCATATTTCTCAACTCCTCCTTCTTCCAATGGATAATATTGTGCACATTGTTCAACACTTTTTTCAATAAATGAGCAAAGCATCACAATATATTCCACTTTTTCCTGACAAATCATTGCCCAAAAATCGGGAATTGTATTCGAAAGTGGGCCTTGTGTCAAAATATTCATTGCATTTGAATAAACCATCCATGACGCGTTGATATAATCGTTTTTTCGATTTTTGAGCACAACTCGAGAATAATCATAACATTTCGGTTTTTCGTAGCGATTTAATGTTGGATTTTTATCAGAGATCAAAAACCATTTTTTCTTTGACACATAATCCGGCTCGTTTTTGAAACACACAATTTCCCTTTCGAACCACTGCAAGAATATTTGTGAGGATTTTGAAAACAACAGGGCTTGCAAAAATGCCCCACAAACTAACACATTTCATCACTCTTTCAAACCAATCACAAATTCCTTCGTATGAAAATCCTCCACAAGAATTTTCGTCTCGATCCAATTTTATAGGTGACGGTGGACTCTCTTCATTATCTTGTGGCATTGCAGATGGATCTGGTTTTGCTGGCACGGACGTTTGAGGAGGAGGAGGAGGAGGTGTGATTTTTGGTGAAGAACTTGGTGGTTGTGCAATTGATCGCGCTGTTTGTACATTTTTCTTGTTTCTCTTTATTGCACATTCATGAATTAGTTGACACAATCCTAGCATAAACCCGATTATAATTGGAATATCTAGCATTTTTGTTGAAAAAAATGAGAATGGCTTAATTAAATGGTCTTTTATAGTGAATAAATGAGGTCATTTCTAGGCCACGCAAAAATTTAAATAAAAAACATGAAAAATTTCGGAATGTGGAATATTTAAAAAAAACTATAAAAATAATTTTAAAAAACTATAAAAAAAAATAAATTTCGCAGCATTAACCACCGGGTGTCCTTTCATTAGGTCCGTATTTTTACCCCGCTTCCATACCAATTCTTTTCCCGCCACCTATTTTTCTTTTTTTTTAATTTTTAAGTACCCTTTTAAGTGTAATTAATTCGTATGTACTTGAATCACGTTAATAGCGTACTATAAATAAACGAATAAATAAATTTCAAGGGATTTTCCTTTTTTTCCACAAGTCCTGACTTGTGAGCAACGGAGTCTCGTTTCAAATTATAAATTATACAAATATACCCCAAACTTACCTTTAACACAAATCACTGTGCTCTTTCACCCAAAACCAAACCCAAAACCCATTAAACTGACCTGACATGAGTTGTAGTTGTATTTATAATAATCAAATCCTCAACTCCATTTTGTTTTCATCATTCAAACCAACATCGGCTCACTCACAATCAATTCCGACTTCTCCTCAAGCAATCTGGAATTTCTCTGGATCATCATAGAAAGAAAAATAAACACCTTCTTACCTTTAATTGAGAGCTCTCATTGAAGACAGGTCGAATACAAAATGAAATATTTCGTGAAATGAGCGTCGAACCTGAAAAAAAAGAACTAGCGTGAATTTTTTCGACAAAACAAAAAATTTATTTCAAAAATGTTTTTTCTCGAAATGTTCGATCGATAATATTATAGAACAACGAAAAATTGTTGAATTCCCGCGTGATCTACACTATTCAAATTTGCGGGTCTAGGATTTATGAATTAAAAAAAAATCAGGTTTCAACTTGATTTTTGAGAAGTTTGGAAGTTTCATTGTGAAAAAAAGACAACGTTTCAATTCTGAACAAAAATGATACAGGTGGGGTTGTTCTTTTTGGAGAGTGTAGAGAAACCATGAAAGAAAGTGCGCTCTATCGAACACCAGTTTTTTTTTCATTTTTTGAAAAATTAAAGGAAATTTTGATCAAACTTTCATTTATACGAAGATAGGAAATAGATAATTAAAATTTGAAAATATTTTTTTTATGTTAACTAGGATCTCTCCACCGAAAATAATCGGGACCGCCATTGGCGAATTGGTGAGCTCTTGGAATGCTAACAATTTCAAAGTCACTTCCGAATGTTGGCTCGGTCGAGTGCAATTTATTTTGATCAAAAATATCATGGATTTTTTGTCTGAAACGATTTGAGTTCAGAAATCGAGATAATCAGCAGAAATTTTCATTCAACTCACCGCAAATTCCAATCATTCGGATGGCTCCAATCACAAGTTCTCAACCATTCAAACGATGGCAAATCGAAATATATCCAAAAAGTTTGCGTGTCAATTTCCACAAAATTCTTGAAAATCTGAACAGCCACTTCGATTTCTTTTCGAGTCACATTTTCTTGGAAAATTTCGCGATGCATATATTTAAATATTCCATCTACAATAACTTCATTTTCTCGATTATCGGCCGGATTGATTTGATGTTCATTATTCACGTGGAATCCACATTGCGCCAAAGACTGAAAAAATATACAAAAATATTACATTTTATAAAATGTAATTCTAAAAAAAACTCACCAATTTATATCTGGTTTTTGTCACCAATTCTGCATTAACAAGCAAATCAATTCTTATAAGCAAAAGTTTATTGAATGATTTTCGCGCCAAAAAATTCGCCAATTTCTTACTTGTCTCCAAAAACTTCCAACCATGCAATTCTCTCAAAACATCTTTCGTATTCTTCATTTCCACAAATATTCTCCCAGCTTCTTCCAAAACCGAATATCTGATAGGCTCCAAAATGCTTTTTATCGTCAAAACATCTTCAAGCTTCAAGTTTGTATTCATTATTATTGTGAGAAGAGTGGCGGCAGGTTTGAAAATTCCATCATTTATATTAATAGCAGTCATGAACTTTGCAATGAGTATCCAATCTCTTAAACATTTCGATTCTTTCAACCAATTGTTCAAAACTTCAATACAATCAATTTCTCTTCGCAGAAACTCAAATCGAATTTTCAATACACTTTCATCGGTTATCGCTAGAAAACATTTCAATAAGGCACTATGCAATTCGACATGAGTGAACGAATCAGTCACTTTATTGAAATTCACGATTCTCTCGATGTTTGCAGCCACGTTTTCTTCACGTATCCTTGTGAGCTGAGTTAAATAACGGTTCACTGAAAAAAGTGCAATGTTGCGTCAGCGTGTTGACACACACTTTTATTTTCACAGTATTAGCAGCGTAAAAACTCACAAGATATTGTTCTGTTTCTATTGAAAAATTCAAAAGTATTGTCCATAGTGAAAACACCATCCATCGGAATACAGTCCTGTGTTTGAATTCTACGCGTGAAATTTTTTGAGCTTATCCTGAAAAAAACACCTTTAAAAACAAATTATTTTTATTTAAATAATGTTTTCCACTCACGTGAATGTATTATTTCGCACTTGACTGTTTCTTTCGATTCTCAACATTTTTTCGCAAATCGCCTCAAAAATTGGTTGACTTATCGACTCGAGATTGACAAAACTATTGACTAATTCGATTGCTAGTTGGATTTTTTCAATTTCGATATATTGTTTTGACACCTCGATTTCAAGATTACGCAATAATTGAGCAGTTATATTTTGCCTAGTTGTCTGATAGTATCCCGATTGCACATGATTATTATTCAACAATGTCTGAAAATAAATCACAATTGTTTTGATATTTAAGTAATAATCATAATAAAAACTTAAGTACTTTAGCAAATCTTATCGCAAATTCAGCATCTTTATCGAAAATAAGATCCAATCTTGGAACCATGAATTTGACCAGTTTCTCCTTACCAAAAATCGTTATATAGTCCTCCAAAACTTCAATAATTTTCTCATTTTCATTATCTAAATTCAAAAAACTAGCTTCTAGCGATTGATATATATAGGCTTCGCTAAGCTTCATAAAATCCTCCCGTAGATTTCTCAATAAAGCACAGAAATTTTTCTTGTCATTTTTGTTCATTTGTTTGAACATCTGAAATAAAACACAATTATGGAAAATCGTAAGGATCTGATGCAAAAAAAACGAACCAATTCCATCATCATCGCAACATGTACATCAAGTGATTCTTGGCTAATAATTGTGAATAGTTCCCGATAGTTTAATATGTCACATTCCAAATCCAATAAATTCTTGAACATGTCATATCTTGAAAAATGTCCTGTGTTTAACAAAGATTGAACAAAATCCAGTTTTTCACGCGATGATTTTAGAATTGGAACAATAGTTCTCCATAATAATTCTCGGCAATTATCGAAACTTCCAATTGTTTGTAATAAAGTTATAATTCTCGTCTTTGTTCGTTCATCATCCGGCGATAATTTTTGAATATCTCGAAGTTGCCAGACTTCTGAAAAAAAAGTTCTCAAAACTGTTTGCTTGTTTGTTCAAAAAACTCACGTGAATTATCGGTAAAGTTCATTTTTGTCAGAGAAGAAATACACAAAAAACGAAAAATGAGAAAACATTTCGGGGAAACAACAAAACAATGAATTCCCGCCGTAGATCAAAAGATTTTGAGGTTTTTCTTCTTTTCATCTCTATTCTCGAGAATTTGCAATTTTTTGCTGCAAAGATTTTGAAAATTGGTTGAGTATGAAGGATTTTAGCATTTTTCGTCAAAAAAAGAAAAATGTCTTCGGGGGTTGAGAAAAGTGTTTTGAAAAAAAAATTTTGAGAAAAAAAAAATTTTTCTACAGTAGTAATTCAAAGGCGCACCAATGAATTGCATCCCTTCGTGTCGAGACCCATTGCACAACGTTTTACACGTATTTTCAAGCGAGGAAATTGCTGAAAAAACTACGGTGTGAACCCCTACGTGTGTGGTGCATTTGTGCGTCAGCGTGTTTGCACACAAAATGTCTCTGCGCAATAGCGTCTCTCTTTTTCGCACGCTCTCTCTTAAAGGAAATTTTTTCGAAAAACCAATTGGGTCCCGTAACGAATACCGCGAGAAAAAAGTTACACTAAATCCACCACTCGAACCTTATTTCGATGCAGTTTTTTACGTAGATTCGAATGGTGTATGTAACTTTTTATATGGTTCAGCCAATCTGAGTTTTTTCATTACAAACGGTTCATGTCCCTTTAAACTGGCGTTGCCGTTTTTTCTTCAGAAAAAAAATGCGTGTTTATTTTTCGAAAAAAAAACAATTCAGAAATAAACGTTTTCGGCTGAAAATAAGATGTTTTGGACGGTTGAAGCGTTTGAAAATATTCTGAGCAGATTTATTAAGATTGAGGTGAGTCATTAAATTTTGAAATTTTTCGAAAAACTAGATTTTTTCAGGAGAAAATCGATCTTGACAAAAATGAAGTGTTGAATCGAAAAGATGCAATAAAACTGCTTCAAAAAATGGGAAAACTGGGAGATTTCCAATCTCCAGAGGAGCTTCTGCAAAACATCGAAGAGTTGCAAAACTTCCCAAACAACTCGGAATTTTTGGGAATCTCGGATTTGAATCATTTATCAAAGCGAATTGAAATGAAAGATCGTGAAGGAATTCGTTTTTGCACAAAACTTGAAGCATTTACTGATTTATATGATAAACAATTGTACAAATGGCCAATTTATCCGATCGCAAAAAAATTTGGAAAAGAAGAATTGTGGGAAAAACATGGAAATTGTTTCGAAATGATTTCAATTGATCTTTTTGAAGAAAGAATTCATAAAGAAGTGTCGATGTTTGAAGTTGAAACTGCAGAAGAATGGGGGATCCTTCTAGATTACATGTTCACATCGAATTGGTTTACCAGAAAATATCCAATTCTTCGAGTTTTCAATGAAAATGGTCGATTTTTTATGGAAAATGAAGTTAAAAATGTGCTCGGCCTCCCAAAAGGTGAATTTTGAATATAAATTAGGTAAAGAAAAATCTTATTGTTTTTTGTAGATTCAACTTATGAAGAAAATGGAATAATTCGTGCCATGGAATTTGAAGATTTTCTCAAAATCTTGGATAAATTGAAATTATCGATTTTTGACTTTCACCTAATCGATATCGATTTTTCGAAAACTTCAAATGGTCGAAATATTCCTGTCAATTCGCCAAATGGAAAAGCTTGCATTCTGGCGAAATTCGCGTTTTTGGAGGGTTATCATATTGAGTTTCAAGAGGAAAAGGAACAACGAGTATTTATTGAAACTTGGAGATTGGAACCGAAAAAGATTGGAGAAAACACACCGAAGAAAGCAAGCCAGGAATTTATGATAAGTCAAAGATTTGCAATGAAGCCCGGAAGATTTTTTGATATGATATTTACCACGAAAAAATCACCGCAAAATCAGGATGATTTGATTGATAATCATCGACGTGCATTTATGAAAATTTTGCCGAAAATCCCATTCGATAAATTTGTAGAAAGAAGTTTTTTGGAAAAACTGATCGATGAAGAGATGTCAAAACATATGAATAAAACTGTACGTATCTATAATGTTGATTTTTTCAAAGTTTTCCAATTGGAAGCCGAATTTTTGGATGTGAAAAATGATGCGACAAATCGACAATTTGTTCGTAGAAAGCGTGTCCCTCAAAAACCACCAGCACTTCCACACAACAAAAATATGGCTGAAATTCTGAATAAAAGTGTTATGGCTGGATTGATGAATGATAATGGAGAATATTCGAAAAATGGAGGAGGAAAAGAGAATATTGAGAAGTTTATGAAGGAAAAAGTGGCGAAAGAAATGGCGAAAAATATGAGAGAGATGGAAAATAATGGAAATCTGGATCCGACAACGAAAATAGTGTTTGATTTGATGAAAATGTAATTTATTGAGAAAATAAAAAACTTTTTTGTAAATAAAAAAAATAAAATATAAATATTTAAAAAAAAGAAAAAGATCTGGAAATTATAACATGACAAGATTTAGGGTTAATGATTTAGAATATAAGATGGAAGATGTAATAAATAGGGGAAATTACTAGAGTTAGTTGAAATTTTATAACACATATTTGTGATTACTATTTACAAGGGGATTAAATCTTTTTGGGGCGCATTTTGCCAATTTTCGGATACAAGAATTTTGTTTGTTGTGGCTGTTGTTGATGGTGGTTCTGAGACAACTGATTCTGCTGCGAATTCGCAGCCGCTGCAGCTTGTTGTTGTTGCTGAAAATGATCAGCGGTTAGATATAGGGGCTCTTCAGACGCAATTTCTGATCTATAAAGCTTATTTTGAAGATAAATTTTAGCTGAAAATCTGAAATTTTGAAAATTTTGGTCGGAAACCAAGAGTTTCAGGTTAATTTCAGCTAAAATCTTGAATTTTTTAGATCAATTTTCATCCCAAAAACCCAAACCCTTACCGGTCCATAATTTTGCGATATTCTCAGAGGTTGATTTGTGGTAGATGCTGTGAACGATTGCGAAATCCCCGCCGAATTTTGCGATTGCAAACTCGTATTGCTCATATTAACCGAAACGGGCAATGTTAATTGTCTGGTTGGTGGAGGAGGCGCCGGATTTTGAGCAGAATGTTGATTTTGTGGCTGCGCGGATTGTGCTTGTTGAGCCATTCTTTCTTGTTGTCCTTGTGCACGAGCTTGTGAGATTAGTTGATTCACAACTTCTTGACTTGGCGCATCTGGAGTTGGTGTAGATTTTTTATGGACTCGCATCAAATGATTCGTAAGTCCAACCGGAGTTTTATATGTTTTTGAGCAATACGAGCAATTGTGGGGTTTTGAGGGGCTTGGAAGAGTTTGAGCCGGGAATCCGGAAGCCAATGAGCCATTTGATGTAGAATATTCGTGACTTTGATTTTGCGGTGGATGGATTGGAGACTCTTGGCGATGTTGATGATTTTCTCCATTTTCATTTGATATCAATATTCCCATGTGTTTTTCCAATGCTCGCAAAGTTGTTGGGCGGTCTGATGAATGATTGAAGTTCCTGTTAAAAATGTTGATATTTTGGCACATATGTATTTAAAGACACACAATCCACTAGAAATGAACAGAAAATGAGTTTGTTATTCTTTCATAACACCTTTCAAGTATTCGGAATTCATAAAAATCAAGAAAAAATTTTGAGTCTGGCAAAAGTGAAAAAAAGAAAAAAATTGTTTTTGAAATCGCTCAGCCGACGGGATTTTCGAAAGAGTTTGCACACAACGAAGCAATAGAGCGCACATGCTGTTTTTGTCATTTGAAAATAAATGCGGGAAATCTGTTTTTTCTAGTGGCTGATGTGTCTTTAAAATACTTACCGTAGAAGATAATCATAGTCGAAGTTGGGATACAATTGTTTGAAGTTTGCTTCGACTTCTTTTGATACTCGTCGATATTCCGAGTTGATTTCCTTCTTCACCTTCACCGACTGAAAAAAAAACATTTTTATCCACATTCAGACATATATATTTTGTAATATACTTTTGAGTAGCTGAAGTAGAAAATAATTTTTTCTTAATATTATTACAAAACGTTATTATGGAACTAACCTCAAGCCAACTTGTCGCATTTTTAAAGTTTACTATACTTTTCAACTTCTCCGTCGTAACTTCAGGTCCACTCCTCATGATTTCCGATTTGCAATATCGAATCACGCCATTGGTGATTTTTATGTGCGACATTTCTGCCATAACCAATACATTGACAACATCCGGAAATTTCGATATTTCAACATATTCTTCGCCAAAGCACTTAATAAAATTAATTTTCAAATCGAATCCGACTAATCGGAGAGGTCCGATTCAAAACATGACAGACTTATGCAAATCGGCAATCGGTGAGAGTGAGAGAGTAAATTAATTTTTTTCAAGATTTTTTGTGAAGATCAAATGTGAAAAAATTGGCTTGAGTAGCTCGAGCACATTATCTGCTCATCTACTCGAGTAGCTAAGCACGCTCATCTGCTTGAGCAGATTATCTGCTCGCCTGCACTTCTTTTTGAAGAAGCTTATATTTCAAGATTTGGTGTCATTTTAAGCTTAAGTTTCATCCCAGAAGCTCTTATCAGTGAAATTTCAAAATTATCAGATTGAGCTGGGAGTTGGAGAGAATGATGTTTGATGATAGTAGATGACTTTTTTGATAAGCTTAGAGCTCCAGCTTCATCCCAGAAGCTCTTATCAGTGATTATCAGTGAAATTTCAAAATTATCAGATTGAGCTGGGAGTTGGAGAGAATGATGTTTGATGATAGTAGATGACTTTTTGATAAGCTTAGAGCTCCAGCTTCATCCTAGAAGCTCTTATCAGCTGTTATCACTAAATTATCAATATAATCTGATGAGGCTAAAAATCGGGATTTTTGGGTTTTCGAGTATGGGGAATCGTGTGCTAATAATGATTTTGTCTGAAAATCACTTTTAAAGGACCATATGACTCAAAAAAAGTTTTTGTTGAAAACGAGGTATTTTGGCACGGCGAACATATTGGTGAGGTATGCGACCCGGAACAGACTTTTAAAGCCGCATTCCAGGCTATATACACATTTTCCGAGTTATTTTTTTCAAACTATCATAACTTTTTCATTTTTGAAGCTTTTTTGAAAGTTCGACAACCATTTTGACGGTCTTGAGGCGGGCTACATGTGTTGTGTTAACACCAACTTCCGTTATTTTCTCCTAAGAGGTGAAATATGCATTTTTTTTCATATATTGTATCAAAAATTGACGTTTTCGAGAGAAAAAGCGTGTTTTTCACCTCTTAGGAGAATTACGGGAGTTGGTGTTAACACCAAAAATGTAGCCCGCCTCAGGACCGTCACAATGGTTGTCGAACTGTCAAAAAAGCTTCAAAAATGAAAAAGTTATGATAGTTTGAAAAAAATAACTCGGAAAATGTGTATATAGCCTGGAATGCGGCTTTAAAAGTCTGTTCCGGGTCGCATACCTCACCAATATGTTCGCCGTGCCAAAATACCTCGTTTTCAACAAAAACTTTTTTTGAGTCATATGGTCCTTTAAAAGTGATTTTCAGACAAAATCATTATTAGCACACGATTCCCCATACTCGAAAACCCACAAATCCCGATTTTCAGCTCAATCAGATGATATTGATAATTGAGTGATAAGAACTGATAAGAGCTTCTGTGATGAAGCTGGAGCTCTAAACTTATCAAAAAAGTCTTTTAGTCTCCATCACACTCACAGATTGCTCTTTCTCATGTTGTGAATTAATCGAACACTATTTCAAGATGTCTGAACAGATCCAATTTTCTAATACTTTTTTCTCAGATCCAATTTTCTAAAAAAAAAAGTATTTTGAATCTGATCACAATTTCGAAATTATCCGATCTAGAGTCAAAAAAGGCGATCAAAAACAAGAGGTCCCATTTTTCGGGTCCGAGGCAGATAAAAATCTAAACCTGGTCCGATTTTTTTCAAATGGTGGTCATCCTGGTTCGGTTCAGATATCTTGAAAATTGTGTGCGATTAATCGAACATTGGCCGATTTCAAAATTTCCCAAAAGAAAAAAACCTACTTGAATTAGTCTCTCATGGATTTCTTTTCTTCCTCTGCAACCTCGGATGAACGCGAACTGTAATTGGAAAAATCAAATTTTCTGATAGAAATAACATGAAATAAATTTTACCTTGTGGGTGGCCGAGTTGTCTAATTTGCTAACATTGATTCGTGTTGTTAATTCACATTGCTGTTCATCCGTCAAATTCTGAAAATTTAATTGGTCAAATATTTTATTATCTGTTTCCGCTTTTTCATTGTTGGAATTTTGTACCATCTACAATTTTCTAAGCTAGTTAGACAACAAATTTAGCTATTTTATGTCACTAGAAAAACTTCATCACTTTATTATTTTTCAATTTCAAATGTGAAAAAAGTGAGATAAATTTTTCATTTAATTTATAATGCACATCAGAACAAGTTCTTTCATTTCTTTGCTTCATAATGTTTTTTTTTGAAAATTTGAGTCTTTTTCTTTTTCTATAATTAATCCTTATTTTCTGGGTTTGTGACCTTTTCTTGAAAAAAAAAATACAAAAATGAAACTTTGAGAAAATTTGAATTTTTTGATCCACGAAATGTTTTGAGTCTCGGAAAAATCTGCGACTCAGACATGAAAGAATGTACAAAATGATCACTTCAGTAATCTAGGCTACAGTAATCTTACCTCGTCCATTGTTTTTCCGACAACTTCCGCCGTTTTTTCACCTCGAAATTCGAGCTCAATTCGATCAGTGTTTCGCGGGTTATGCACCTTAAAAAATAAGAAGAATTTAGGGGGTACTGTAATTAGAAATACTGTACCTCAATAGGGATGTTTAGGTCCAAAAATTGTCGTTCGATTCCGGATTTTAGGCGGCCCATTTCGTGTTGCTCGCCGTGCACAAGAACCTTAAAGTAGTTAGGGTAATTAGGGATACAATTTGGGTGTTGAGGATCATTTTATTGCAAATTTCTAGAACCTTAGGTTAGGAAGAAACCAAATGTTAAAGTAGTTAGTGTTTAGTATCATTCTAACGCAAATTTCAGGAAACTTAAAGTAGTTAAAGTCTCTAGCCATATTTAGGTTTATTTTAATGCAAATTTCGAGAACCTTAGGGTAGTTAAGGTAACTTAGGACAAAACCAATTGAATTTCGGAAGGAAAAAGTCCTTACCCTCGTTAAGATAATTTTAGCCATATTTAGATTCATTCTAACGCAAATTTCTTGAAGCTTGATGTAGTTAAGGTAACTTAGGATTTACAAGGAAAAAAACCTTAAAGTAGTTAGTGTTTAGGGTCATTCTAACGTGAATTTCAAGAAACTTAATGTAGTTAAGGTCTCTAGCCATATTTAGGTTCATTTTAATGCAAATTCCGAGAAGCTCAATGTATATAAGGTAACTTTAGACATATTTAGGTTTATTTTAATTCCCACTTCCAGCTTAATAACCTTAAGGTCATTAAAGCCATTTTTAAGGTTTCTAGCCATATTTAGGTTCATTTTAATGCAAATTTCAAAACTCACCAAATGCGGTGGCCTGAGTGCTTTCACAAAATTCGAAGTTTGCACAAAATCAGTGTGAGCTGAAAATGGGACATATTCAACTTGCATTCGCATCGGAAGACGTTCTCCATTCATCGCAACAATTTCTTCAGGATCCGAAAGGATGTGCTGCAAAAATCAATGGTTTTGGCACCCAAATATCAGAAAAATCTCTAACTTAAGCTTTAAAATCCACCCACCTTGGCCAAAGTTCCTTCGACACAATATCCAGCAATAATACACCCATTTTTCGAATCTGTACACCAACTTTCAAACAATTCTCGACTTAGACCAGTTTGCAACATTCCGGGTGAAGCTAGAACTACACAAGGACCTGAATCTTCGAAATGTTCCAATCCCTGGAAAAATATAGAGAGATTTGTTGGCGCATTTTTTGTAGATCTTGAGAATGCGTCAGTGAACATTCAGAACTCACCTTTAAATTCGAAACATGTTTGAAAATGAATGGATTTTTGACGGCAATCTGTTTTTGGATCCGTTGATTCATTCCACTGACAAAAGTTTGATAGACAGCCATACATTTTTTGGCCAAAGAGGAGACGTCTGGAATGAAAAACGTGTTGAGAAGGGTTGGATGCTTGAGAGCAAGTTTAGAATTTCAAGGAGCCGCTGATTATGAAATATTTGAGAAGTCAAGCAGTAGCCGTTTGAGTGCAAAATTAGGCTGTCAAAGAGCCACTGCTTGAGGGTGAAAATAATGAGTGTCAAGGGACAGTTGCTTTGAAATGAAATAGGATTGTCAAGAATCCACTGCTTGGGAACGAAATTGGAACGACAAGGCGCCATCCCTTGAGCATACATGTGCATCTCAAGGCCCCGCTGCTTGCCAGCACTTTCCCTCAAGCGGCCGCTCCTTAGCTCCCCAAAAAACCCACAATAAACTGGAATTTTGTGCAATGCAGGATGCGTTTCCCAATATTCGTCCAAAATCAATAACAGTTCATGGGCTCGGCCAAGAGCAAAAGCCGGAATCAGGCAACGACCACCGCGACCAACAATTTCATGGACCTGGAAAAAATGTGGGATTTTGTGTGTCGAAATTGGAAATTTCAAGAGATTTTGAAGATCTCACCTGTTTCTGATATAATTTTAGAGCAAAATGAGAAAAATGTTGAATTTGAGAGAAAATACACGTAAAGTATTTCACGTTTTGATTTTTTTTTGGAAAAAAATTCGGGCCACGTGGATTTCGAGCTCAAAAATCAGATTTTCAGAAAATTCAAATTCCACGTGGATTTTCGACTCAAAATTCAGTTTTTAAAATTTTTCAAAGCTTCTGAAGTTTTTAGGTTTCAATTTTTGAAAATTATGTTTTCCAGGTCAAATTTTTTGAATCCTAACATGTTTAGGCTCAAAATTTCCCAAATTTTCGCTCAAAATCTCAAATTTCTTACCAATTGCGTGAATCGTTCTTCTCTCAAATCCTGAGCATCGTGATGCTGTGTTCCATACGTGGATTCGGTGATCAAAACTTGCGGTGAAATCGGCGGAACTTCGGCCGCACATAAAAGACGATTTTCCATACATGAAAAATCGCCGGTGTAGAGGGTTCGAACTCCTGAAACGAAGAAGAAGCATTAGAGTGGCCTAGAAAACCAATTTCTTTATTTCTAGGCCATATTTGGTATCAAAATGTTCAGCATGGCCTAGAAAACCAAATTTTCCGAATCCTAGGCCATATTTGATATCAAAATTCTCAGCATAGCCTAGAACACCAAATTTTCTGAATTCTAGACCATACTTGGTATCAACATGGCCTAGAAAACCAAATTATGTATTTCTAGGCCATATTTTGGTATCAAATTGTTCAGCATAGCCTAGAAAACCAAATTTTCCGAATCCTAGGCCATATTCGATATCAAAATGCTCCAAATTCACTCACCAGCAATCTCAATCATAAACATACAAGCCCCCAAAACGTGTCCAGCAACATACGGCCAAAATTTGATGCCATTCACCTCTTTCTGCTCTCGAAAATCGATAACCTCGATTTTTGCCATCGATTTTTCGAGATCATCTTCAGTGTAGAGCTGGTTGCGGTCGGAGCCACCGTAGCGGGATATCTGAAGAGCGGGAATTTGAATTTTTAGAGTTTGGCGGGGTGAGGAAAAGGCGAGGAAAGGAGATAATTCAAAATTTTCAAATTTCCCGGCCAAAAAAACATTGCGCGAAACAGAAAAATTCAAATTTTCACCTTCTCGCTTAATTCTTCGCGCCAAGTTCAAATTTCCTCAAAAAACCTACTCTAATATAGTCTCCCAACATCATTCGATAAATCGCCTTCGTCGCATGCGTCATAAAACATTTTCCGCGAAATGCGGTTTTTTGCAGAAACCACGGAAGTGCGCCACAATGATCCAAATGGAAATTGGTGATCTGAAACGGAAAATGGTGGTTTTTGGGTGAAAAATCGTAATTTTTCGTTATTTTCAGGTGAAAATTGATAAAAAAGCGCAATTTTCAATAAGTTTCCATATAAAAATCAATATTTTTACCCAAAGACCAACTCACCAACATCAAATCAATATTCTCCACATCCACAAAATCAACAAACGGCAAAGCATCGACACCTTGAAGTCCTGGATGCACACCACAATCTAGCTGAAATTTCAGACTGAAAATAATGCTTTTCACCTAATTTTCAATAAGAAATCAATATTTTCAACTGAAAAACTCACCATAACACGTTTTCCCTTGTATTCCAGCAAATGACATGATCGCCCAACTTCCTGTCCAGAACCTCTGCAAAAAAATCGAATTTTCTTCACAAGCCATAGAAAATCCCCAAAAAATTCCTCGGATAAAAACTTACAGCGGTGTAAAATACAGTGAATCCGAATTGTCATCACTCATTCTGAAATAAAAATAGGTGAAATCAAGCTTTTCCCTCAAAAACAGCGAAAAAAGCGACAGTCACGTAAATAGCCAGCCAGAATTCTAGAAATGATGATGTGCGGGAATTCAAAAAAAAGTGTGCGATGGAGCGAATTTTCTCCTTTTGTACGATTTATGATTTTTATTTCATTTTTTGTGTGTTTTAGAGATTTTTAAAGAGTTTTTCGATGATTTTAGGATGAATTGAGTATTTTTCAGTGACTGAAATGTATTTTCAGTAATATTTGAGTTGTTTTCGCACAGAATATCATTTTTCACGTAGTTTTGCCAGAGTTTTTTGAAGTTTTATCTAGGATAAGGCTTTTGGAAACGAATTATATCAACTTTTGACTATTTTAATTTGTTGACCGAATAAAAAATAACTCTTGGACAGAGGCTTACACTTAGAAATTAAAGATTTATTTATTATTGTTATCATTTTGCAATAAGTTCATTAACAATATAATGGAAATTTGGATCCGACAACGAAAATAATGTTTGATTTGATTGATGATTTGATGTAATTTTTGAGATAATAAAAAAAGGTCTTTTCTAGAAAAAACATAACAATTTCATTCACAACAAAAAAACAAATTTAACAATTAAAAATTTAACAAAGATTTCTAGAAATCCTCTCTTTCAACCTTGGACATGTTGAAATTGTTGCCCTCGCAATTGATTTCGATTTGGTGAGTTTCGTTGGCGATTTCGAAGCAACACTCATCTTCGGTGCTGAAAAATCGGAGATTTTCAGGAAAAATTCTCTTAAAAACTTACAGAACCGGTTTTCTGACAGTCTCATAGCCACCAACAAGATTTTCGAAATCTTCGTGTAATTTATTCTCAAATTTATCGCAATATGTTTGATATGCATAATCTTCTTCGTCGTCTGAATCTCTCTCACTTTCCTCTCCAACCATTTCCAAATCAACATGTTCAATCACATTTTCAATATTATTGTCCTCAAATTTGTTCAAATAATTTGAAATTACATCGCCAACACTTCCTGTAACTTGATTGCAGGATACACGTTTCGCCTTCATTTTTTCGAAATCCAAAAGTTCTCCATCCAAAGAAACACCGTGAATTGATATTTTCCCAGTGATTTTGAAAAGTGTCTCTTCGCTCAAAAATCCACAATCTCCCAAGTTTACATTACTGCCATTTTGATAAACTTTGAGAATTTCCAAGTTTTTACAATTTTTGATGTTGGTTGAGGAAAATGGAAAATTCTTCGAAGAAATATCAATTGTTTTCAAAAAATCCGCCGATTTTTCAATGATTGATTGAAAATATTTGGAAATCATTTGCTTTTCAGTTTTTCCAGCCTCGGTTTTCGATAAAATTGGAAGATCTTTTGAAGTTGCTGGTTTTCTCTTGGGGAAATATGAGAACGCAGGTTTTGAATTATCATTTCGATCCAATTTCACATTCGAATCCGCGAAAATCAAAACACAAGGTTTCTTGCTCTTCAAACCGACGTGTAACTCGGATTTTCCACCATTTCCAACAAATTTCAACGATTCCACCTCATTTCCCGAGAGATTTTCGAAAAAATCATCGAATTCCTGAAAATCTCCTTTTTCAAATCTGTTTTGAATAAAAATCGATGAAAAATACCTTCTCCGGATCCGCCGCAGTCTTCTGCTTTTTTGAAGCAGTCGTCGATTTTCCACGCGCAGCTCTTTTCATTGTTTTGAATCTAGCCAAAAACAGAATGAAAAATTTTCGAATTTTCGAAATGAAAAAAAAACATGTTTTTTTAGAATACAAATTCAAATTATTTGCGTGGCGAGACACGTGTAACTTTCGCGTGCGCCTTTGAAAAACCGTATACACATTTCGAGTATTTTCGAAATTGCATTCATTTATTGCTCATGTTTGTTAGCCTGTTTTTTCGATGAAATCTTTTCGAAATTCTTTCCTTCCCTCCCTCATTTCAATAGCGCACAATTGCGCTAACCACAGCAAGCGCGCTCCACCGCATACGTTCAAAAATTTCTTTTCTTTTTTTTCGTTCGTTTCCCGGAAATTTTCATGTGAATAAACCAAAATGGCACTATGTCTTCTACAAATCAACCAATGTGCCTATTCAAATTGCGGCCAATATTTCGCCAATCAATACGAACTCATCGCCCATGTCGAATTTCAACACATACCACTTCTCGAGGAGGAAATGAAGAAAAAAGCATTGGCTGCAAGTGCGAATGGTGATGAAAGAGCAAGCACAACTGCTCCACCAAATGTCCCACTAAGTATTATAAGCAGGTTTGTCTTTTTCGAATTGAAATCTTGAAAAACAAATGTGGTTTTGATTTTCAGAGTATTTCGCACTGCTTATCGACCAAATCCAATCAAATACGAAGGAATCAAAGTCAGTTTTAATCATTATAAAAAACGGGCATTGCGAGAGCGAATGGAGCAACAAAAACAACAATTGCAACAATTGAGAGCGCAAATCAATCCGGATGATGATAAAAAAGTTGGAGAAATTGATTTTGAAGAATGTCAGCCGAGGTATGTTTCGATTTTTATGCTCAGAAGTTTGCTAATAATATCTGGTGGGCTAAAAGTATAGTTGGTTTAAATGACATTTTCATGTTTTTTAAGCAAGTGATTTGAAATATCGGGTTCTAATGTTATTCATATGATAGAATGGTCTAAGACGAGCAGAATGATATAAATTTTGATGACTTTACGTTATCCATAAGTAATTAAGCGACTTATCGACTAAATATTGCCTAAACCTCGCTAAATCACTTATGGATAACGTAAAGTCATCAAAATTTATATCATTCTGTTCGTCTTAGACCATTCTATTATATGAATAATATTAGAACCCAATAGTTCAACTCACTTTTTAGTTGATGTCCAACTATAGCTCAAAGGCTCACCAAAGCCCGAAGTGCTCCCAAAAATCTCCATTTTTTCCAGCGACCCAGAAATGCGTTTCCGTTGCGGAGCCACCGAATGCACTAAACGCTACAAAAACATCTACGCTTTAAAAGTGCACATGAAATCGGCTCATCAATTAATTCTCGGTGATTCTTATGAACATTCTTCGGCTCAGAATCAAGGATCTAATCATCAACATCGCCAAGAGTCTCCAATCCATCCACCGCAAAACCAAAGTCCAGCATATTCTACATCAAGTGGCGCATTGGCTCCCGGAAGCCCGGCTCAAACTCTTCCAAGCCCCTCAAAACCCCACAAATGCTCGTATTGCTCAAAAAGATATAAAACTCCGGTTGGACTTACGAATCATTTGATGCAAGCTCATCAAAAATCTACACCAGGTCCAGATGCGCCAAGTCAAGAAGTTGTGAATCAACTAATCTCACAAGCTCGTGCACAAGGACAACAAGAAAGAATGGCTCAACAAGCACAATCCGCGCAGCCACAAAATCAACATTCTGCTCAAAATGCTCCAGCACCTCCTCCACCAACCAGACAATTAACATTGCCCGTTTCGGTTAATATGAGCAATACGAGTTTGCAATCGCAAAATTCGTCGGGAATTTCGCATGTTAGCAGATCGTTTACAGTAACTACCACAAATCAACCTTTGAGATTATCGCAAAATTATGGACCGGTAAGGGTTTTGGGGTAAAAATTCATATGGAAATGTTGGTTTTTGGGTAAAAATTAGCTGAAAATTGACCAGAAATTCTGAAAAAAAATTTTCCAGGCCACTCTAACTCCACACGGCGCCACAACAACCGGACAAATGTTGATGCAGCAGCAGAGAAGAGTAAGTTAGAGACGCAGACACACACACTCTCGCCGTCTCTATCATCATTTTCAGATTCAACAGCAGCAACAACAACAAGCTGCAGCGGCCGCTGCAAATTCGCAGCAATATCAGTCGCCTCAGCACCACCAACAACAATACACAATGTCGCCGGTCAGAATGCATCCACAACAGCATCAGGTTTGAATTTTCCGCATTTTCTAGGCCGTGGCCGAGGTTTCTAGGCCATTTTTGAGGGTTTTTGAGTTGGGGACTAGTTTTTGATGGAATTGATGTATTTCTAGGCCGCGGACTAGTTCTCTGCGCATCTAAAAATTTTGGATTCCTAGGCCAACCCCTCAATTTTTCCAGATGCAAACTCCGCCTCGCCCACAAATCGCTGCAGGACCAGGACCACAACAACATCAACCTACTGTATCATCACAACCTCAATCTACAGTACAACAATCTACAGTACACCAAAATGTGCAAAATGCGCCCCAATGAGAATTCCTGTAAATAATAATTTTATAAATATACGTTTTATCCAACACACTGTATTTTACTCGATTTATGTTTTATTTTTTGAATTTTGAGTGGGAAAATTGCGTGGATCGTATTAATCAGTAATTTATTCATTTTTTCGTGTCCAATCAATGAAGTTTTACATTTGAATTTTTTAAAAATTCGAGTTTTCAGTGAAAATTTGCAGATTTTTGATAAAAATATGAGTTGAAACAGCAAACGCGCTCCAGCGCACACTTTCGAAAATTTTTATTTTTTTTTGTTTTCGACGCGTTTTTTCATAGTTTTTGAGCGAAAAGCTTAATTTCATCTATTTTTATTTCAGAATGAGTGATGACAACTCGGATTCACTGTATTTTACACCGCTGTAAGTTTTTATCCGGGAAAATTTTGGGGATTTTCTATGGCTTGTGAAGAAAATTCGATTTTTTTGCAGAGGTTCTGGACAGGAAGTTGGGCGATCATGTCATTTGCTGGAATACAAGGGAAAACGTGTTATGGTGAGTTTTTCAGTTGAAAATATTGATTTCTTATTGAAAATTAGGTGAAAAGCATTATTTTCAGTCTGAAATTTCAGCTAGATTGTGGTGTGCATCCAGGACTTCAAGGTGTCGATGCTTTGCCGTTTGTTGATTTTGTGGATGTGGAGAATATTGATTTGATGTTGGTGAGTTGGATTTTGTATGGAAAATCATGAAAAATTGCGATTTTCAACTGAAAATAACGTAAAATTACGATTTTTCACTCAAAATTCATCATTTTCCATTTCAGATCACCCATTTCCATTTGGATCATTGTGGCGCACTTCCGTGGTTTTTGCAAAAAACCGCATTTCGTGGAAAATGTTTTATGACGCATGCGACGAAAGCGATTTATCGAATGTTGTTGGGAGATTATATTAGAGTAGGTTTTTTTTTTTGAAGAAAATTCAAATTTTCTACGTTTCCCGCCACATTTCCTCACCCCGCCAAACTCTAAAAATTCAAATTTCCTCTCTTCAGATATCCCGCTACGGTGGCTCCGACCGCAACCAGCTCTACACTGAAGATGATCTCGAAAAATCGATGGCAAAAATCGAGGTTATCGATTTTCGAGAGCAGAAAGAGGTGAATGGCATCAAATTTTGGCCGTATGTTGCTGGACACGTTTTGGGAGCTTGTATGTTTATGATTGAGATTGCTGGTGAGTGAAATTGGAGCATTTTGATACCAAATATGGCCTAGAATTTGGAAAATTTAGTTTACTAGGCCATGCTGAGCATTTTGATACCAATTATGGCCTAGAAATACAGAAATTGGTTTTCTAGGCCACTCTAATGCTTCTTCTTCGTTTCAGGAGTTCGAACCCTCTACACCGGCGATTTTTCATGTATGGAAGATCGTCATTTATGCGCGGCCGAAGTTCCGCCAATTTCACCGCAAGTTTTGATCACCGAATCCACGTATGGAACACAACATCATGAAGATCAGGATTTGAGAGAGAAACGATTCACGCAATTGGTAAGGAAATTTGAGATTTTGTGCGAAAATTTGGGAAATTTTGAGCCTAAACATGTTAGGATTCAAAAAATTTGAAAAAATACTCACATAATTTTCAAAAATTGAAACCTAAAAACTTCAGAAGCTTTGAAAAATTTTAAAAACTGAATTTTGAGTCGAAAATCCACGTGGAATTTGAATTTTCTGAAAATCTGACTTTTGAGCTCGAAATCCACGTGGCCCGAATTTTTTTCCAAAAAAAAAAAATTAAAACGTGAAATACTTTACGTGTATTTTCTCTCAAATTCAACATTTTTCTCATTTTGCTCTAAAATTGTATCAGAAACAGGTGAGATCTTCAAAATCTCTTGAAATTTCCAATTTTTCCAGGTTCATGAAATTGTTGGTCGCGGTGGTCGTTGTCTAATTCCGGCTTTTGCTCTCGGCCGAGCCCAAGAGCTTTTATTGATTTTGGACGAATATTGGGAAGCACATCCTGAATTGCACGAAATTCCAGTTTATTGTGGGTTTTTTGGGGGATCTTAAGGAGCGGCGGCTTGCGGGAAAATGTTGGCAAGCAGCGGTGCCTTGGGAGAATTTTTGGCAAGTTGCGAGCTCTTAAGAGTTTAATCTGGTTCCCAAGTCGCTGCTCCTAAAGATGCGCATGTATGCTCAAGGGATGGCGCCTTTTCGTTCCAATTTTGCTCCCAAGTAGTGGACTTTTGACAATCGTATTTTATTTCAAAGCATCTGTCCCTTGACATTCATAACTTTCTCCCAAGAAGCAAGCCCTTGCCAACTTTATAGTTTTCAAGCAGCCGTTCTTTGACGCCCTGAATTTGCTCTCAAGCGGCTACTGCTTGACTTATCGAATGATTCATGAGCAGCGGCTCCTTGACACTCTAAACTTGCTCTCAAACAGCCGCCCCTTCACCCTCTTGTCCTGCTCCCAAGCATCCACCCCTTTACAACTTTTCCAGACGCATCCTCTTTGGCCAAAAAATGTATGGCTGTCTATCAAACTTTTGTCAGTGGAATGAATCAACGGATTCAAAAACAGATCGCCGTCAAAAACCCGTTCATTTTCAAACATGTTTCAAATTTGAAAGTGAGTTTTGAATGTTCACTGACGCATTTTTGAAGTTCTACCAAAAATGCGTCAACAAACCTCTTTACTGACCCATATTTTTCCAGGGAATGGAACATTTCGAAGATTCGGGCCCGTGTGTAGTTCTAGCCTCACCCGGAATGTTGCAAACTGGTCTAAGTCGAGAATTGTTTGAAAGTTGGTGTACAGATTCGAAAAATGGATGTATTATTGCTGGATATTGTGTCGAAGGAACATTGGCCAAGGTTGGTGGATTTTGAAGCTGAAATTAGAGATTTTTTTGAATTTTGGGTGCCAAAACCATTGATTCTTGCAGCACATCCTTTCGGATCCTGAAGAAATTGTTGCGATGAATGGAGAACGTCTTCCAATGCGAATGCAAGTTGGATATGTCTCATTTTCGGCTCACACTGATTTTGTGCAAACTTCGAATTTTGTGAAAGCGCTTAGGCCTCCGCATTTGGTGAGTTTTGAAATTTGCGTTAAAATGTACCTAAATATGGCTAAAGTTACTTTAACTACATTAAGCTTCTCGAAATTTGCATTAAAATGAACCTAAATATGGCTAGAGACTTTAACTACCTTAAGGTTCTTGAAATTTGGGTTAAAAGGAACCTAAACACCCCAATTTTATCCCTTATTACCCTAACTACTTTAAGGTTCTTGTGCACGGCGAACAACACGAAATGGGCCGCCTAAAATCCGGAATCGAACGACAATTTTTGGACCTTAACATTCCTATTGAGGTACAGTATTCCTAATTACAGTACTCCATAAATTCTTCTTATTTTTAAAGGTACATAACCCGCGAAATACTGAACGAATTGAGCTTGAATTTCGAGGTGAAAAAACGGCGAAAGTTGTCGGAACACTGGCCAAGAGAATCCCAGAGGTAAGATTACTGTAGCTTGGAATACTGTAGCGATATTTTTGTAGAACAATGAAGTGATAAGCGGTGTTTTGGTGAAGAGGAATTTCTCGTATTCGATTATGGATCCGAAAGATTTGGTGGTGAATACGTCGCTGAGAATTTCGAAAATGAATCAGAAACAATCGATTTATTATGCTGGAACTATTCGATGTTTATTGCATAATTTGAGGTGGGATTTTTGGGCTGAAATGGGCTTTGGAATGAGTAAAAATAGGCCTGGTTTGGCCTGGGAGAGTGGGCTTCAAATTAAATATAAATAGGCCTGGAAGATAGGGCCTAAAATAAGTCCGCATCTAGGTTTTTTTTTAAATCAAGCCTTTCATAATTTTTTTCCAGACAACTCAACGATGATGCAGTGTTGGTACTTCAGGCGAAAATCAGTGAACTCAAAGAGAATATGCCGAGTCATGTGATTCATTTGTTTGCGGTAAGCGATTGGGGCTTGACAGAGGCGGTGTCAAGGAGTGGCGCCTTGAAGTCCATTTCTACCTGAAGCATCCACTCCTTGACTACTCATCTCTCAAGTAATCACCCCTTGACCTCTATTTTTTTCTTTTCAGGGAGCCGTCGAAATCGCATTCTACAGTCAGAATCATGTTTGCCTAGTTCAATGGGAATCGAATCCGGTGAATGATATGTACGCTGACGCAACATCTGCCGCAATTTTGCACGCACAATCAAATCAGATTTTGGATAAATGTGAGTGGAAAATTTGGAATTTTCGTGAAATTTTGAGCGGGAACCTTGGAATTTCGAGCAGCTTTTCTATCCAAAATTTCAGATTTTTGATGATTTTTAGCCAAACAGTTGATTTTTTCCAGATTTGCCTGAATACGATTCGTTTCCGAAGTTTGAGAATGCTATTGAAGGAATGGTTAAAGATGTGAGTTTTTCTAGGAAATCCACGTGGCAACTGAAATTCTTGAATTTTCCAGATTTGTGGCGATGAAGCGAGTGTTGTTGAAGATGTTGGTGGATTAACTGTGAAATTTGAAGAAGACGCCAGAAGAATGATTATTGAACCAAATGGAGGTTTGTATTGATTTTTACCTGAAAATTGTGCTGAAATTCGAAAATTTCGCTGAATTTTACCCTAGAAATCTCTAATTTTCAACCCATCCTGTTTTTTTCCAGAAGCTCCACAAATTGTTGATGAAAGTGCTGAAACTACACATATTTTACAGCAATTGACGGCGAAAATGCGACAGGTTTGTTGATTTTTTGTGTAGTTCTCTTGGAATTCATTTTTTGACTTGCAGATTGTCACCTCGAATACGGCGAATAATGAAAATTTGGAGCAAATCGAACCGATGGATATTTAATTTGAGTTTAATTTTTTTTAAAGAAAAATCTGAATTTTTGCAGATTTCGGGTCATTTTCATTTTTAATATGAAGTTTTTTTGAACATTGTTTAGTAGATTGTCAATAGAGCGCATTTTCAGACACTAACATGAGACAGCGAAAAAATTTATCTTTTCTTCTCTAAGTCTCTCATCAGAGAAAAAAGCCCCTTTCAAACACTAACATGAGGAATTTTTATTTTACAATGAATTTCTCTTTTTTTTTTCAATGAAAAGTGTAACAATTTTTATTTTTTCTGATCAAAAAAAAGTTTTACAGAATATTTTGAATTCAAAATGGCGACTTGGACATTTGATCAATTCATCGATTTGTTGCAATACGAAACTAAAACACAAGTAAGAAACCCATAGTGCAATATGTATAATACCTAATACCAAAAAAATATTTTTTGTGAGAAGTTTTTGGACAGTAAGCCATAATTTATTGTTTCAAATAAAATGTTTGAAAATTTCTCATTAAAGTAATCTATTAATAACTACATTTGAATAATTAAAGACACGTAGAAAACAAGAAATGTATGTTCGAAATCGTAGAAATTTGAACACGCGCCTTTTTTCAAAGTTGTGTGTTGTTCGTTTGAAAAAAGAAATAAATAAATAAAAAGTGGTGGTACGGTATGCTAAGAATGCACACATGTGCGGCAAATCACGAACATTTGTGCAAACACCAAATTTTGCGTCGGCTGAGCGATTTCAAAAAAGGCAATTTCTTTTTTTGACTTTCGTTAAACTCAATATTTTTCAATTTTATTTATGTACTTCCACTATTTGAAGGATGATAAAAAACATGCAAATAATGATTTTTGAACGATTTCTAGTTTTCTACGTGTCTTTAAAATTATATAATTACATTTTTTGAAGACAATTTTGAATATATTCTTTTTTCACTTCCTAAGGTTTCAAGTGCTGCGAAAAAACAGAAAATGAGCCAAATTTTTCGAAAATGCCTCAATTCACAAGTTTTTCAGACATTTTCATGAAAATTCATTTTGACGAGGCGAAGTGGCCACCACATGGTAGCCATGTGGCCGTGATCTAGCCAGAGCCTGGCCACCTTGCCAGCGAAAAAAAACCGGGCGACATGGTTTCCATGTGGTTTCCAGGTCAGCCAGCCTCCCCACCTGGTGGCGAGCTGGCCAGCGAATCTCCGAGTAAATGTAGATCAAAATATAGTTGACGAATTTCAGATAAGATCTCCAAAACATCTTCAAAATGATGAGGAAAAACTCATATTCAAAGGAAATATGCTTATTAGAAGAAGCGAAACATTTACAGATATAAAAATAATTCATTTTCTGAAAAGGTATTGCGAAATGGAAATTCATGGAACTGCTGAAGAAATGTTGGAATATTTTAAAAGGATTGATAGAATTGAACAGAACGAATTCAGGTGTGTCAAAACAATTCACAAAATTAGAACTCAACTTTCTGATATGACTTGGGAAAGTTTCAGATTTGCATAGAAATCATTCTTGTAGTTCGTTGTCCCGTCATAATGTCCCGATTTTCGAAAATTTTCCAGCTGCAAGGAGCAGATCAATTTTTCCAGAGATCCTTCTTCATTTCCGAAATACACGGATGTTTCTGGTGATATTATTTGTGTTTCGAATTCTGATGCTATCAGATATATACGTTCGTCATGGGGGAAAAAAATCAGAGAATTTATGAATTTTGAAAAGAAAAATGATGAAGAACGTGTTATTCAATATATCTGGCACATAATGGGTTTAAGCGAATTACCTAACAATAAACAACATAAAATGATAACTGATGATTCGTGGAAACATATATATGAAAAGTTATGCGATGTGTGCAATATTGAGAAATTGGGATATGTCGAAGAAGACGCGGAAAATCAAGAGAATGAGGCAGTCGAAAAGTGGTTAGATGAGTTCAAAAAACAGAAAAGCGATTGGTATGCTTATTTGGCTAGTATTATCGAAAGCCGGAACGGTTTGAAAAAAACCTATGATGTAGTTACAAATTTTCGCAATGCTGTTAAATCATTACAAGATGAATTGAAGTTTCTTGTTGAACCCATACAACAGGTTTGAATGTTCTTCTAATTTTGTTTCGAAAGTTTTGAATTCAGGTTTCACCTAATTACAAACCTGTAGTTCGTCGATTCAAAGGAGCGAATTATGAATTTTATCTAGCTAAAGAAGTTAGTAATGCATTTCCAGATGAGAATGTTATCGTGGAAAATGGAAACGAGCTGCTATACAGACGAGTTTTCATCGTAGATTCTCAAACATTTGATGGAACTATAGCAAAATATGGTGCCGACAGTGTTATAATAGTCGAGATTCCAATTGAAACAAATTCTCGAAACAACACTTATCCAATTTGTAGTTCCTATGGATCACTTTGTCGTCCAGTTTGGGAAGAAATCGAAGAGAAGTTATATGATATTATAGTTTATCGGAAACATTTTATGACTTCTGATAAAAACGTGTTAAAAACTTATGATTTAATTGAACAGAGTGAATTCAGTGATTTTATCGAGTATCCTAGGATGTATTTGGTGAGTGGTAGAGTCTTTTAGATATTTACTAAAAGAGCTGTTAAAATAAGAACATTTTTGGAGTTTCATCAAAATTACAATTTTGACACTGATAAATTTAGCGTACAAATGTGGTTTCCGATACATACAGGAGAAGTTATGAAATAAAGCTTGTTGAAACTGCAAACAAGTCAGCAATACATATTCCATACCAAAGAGTGTATCCCAAACTCCAAGTGATTGAAATAATCAAGAAATTAGTAGAAAATCATTATATTGAAGATAAAGAAATCAAAGGGATTATCGATAAAGTATTCGAAGTTATGCCATATGAATTTCTTAATTATAAACAAATGCATGATTTATATTATCAAGTTATATTGAGAAATATTATTAAATTGTGTCCGAAAATCGCGAAATTGAGAGAAAATCAAGGAAAATATAAGAAGAATCGGGAATCGGATTTGATTTATAATGTTGTGGAGAATTTCTATGCTTCGAAGAACAAAAAAAATTTTGATTGTGAAACAAAGAAGATGGAAGATTTACAGAATGAGATCACAGTAATGAAAAGGTTAGTTTATAAGTACTGAGAAGTCTTCACAATCTAATTTTTCAGACGTGAGCAAAAATATCACGAAGAAGTCGGCAGATTGAAGGAGCAATTAGAAAAGTAAGCTAGAATTTCGGTGATTTTATTCTGAACATTTTATTGATCTGCAGGTCTGAGACTAATCAACTAGACGAAATCAGGAAACTCAAAGTACAATTTGAAAAGTGAGAACATTTTTCTAGTTTTGAAACCCAAGAAACTTTTCTTTTCAGACGCGAAGCAAATCATCTCGAAGAAAATCGAAAACTCAGAGAAAATCAAGAGAAATATGAAAAGTAAGAATTCCCAGATTTTTACTTCTCAACGTTTCTCAAATTATTTTTCAGACAACAACAAGATCTAATGCGTGCATTTTCTGAGCTGAAAAATCGTTTGCAGAAAAATCAGAATGATTTGATTGATAGTATTAGTTCAAATCTGAACAATTTATCAGTAACTTATCCAAATTCGAGAGAAATTCAAAAAGCCAAGAGAGATCTCGAGAAATTTGAAGAAAATTTCAATGTTTTTGAATAAATCAGTTTCTGTAAAAATTGGTTTTAAAATTTCACAATAAAAAATTTTATTTTTTTCGAGCTCTCAAATAAAGTAAATCAATATTTTATCATTCTCTTTTTTTTCTCAAAAAAAATTCTTATCGTTTTTTAGTTGTCATTTCTATGATTTGAATAAACTGTTTTTACTTTTTTACTAATCAAAATTTACAGCAGTTTTTACAGAATGAAGATATCCTTAGATCCGTACACACTTTTCAGACTGTATGAATTCGAGACCAAATTTAATGTATGTCCATAAAAATCCATAAAAACCTGTCCATAAAAATAATTTTTTAATAAATTGATTTTCAGATAGAACCATTATTCCAAAATGATACAAAAAGTGATATATATGTCACATTTTTTAAGGATACGAAAACACCAAATCGCGAAAAAGTTATTGAAATATTAAAGGAATGTTGCAGAAAAAAGGAAGGACCGATTGAACTTGTTGGAGGTGTTGATGAAATGTTGGAGTGCTTTGAAAAGATTCGTCGAATTGAACAAAATGGAATGAGGTTCAGTTAAAAATGGCGATTTACTTGAATTTTCTTTTTTCAGTGACCTTTCCTCATTTCCAAAATATACTGATTTTTCTGGTAAAATTGTTTGTGTATCAAATTCTGATGTTATCAAACACATAAAATGGACCTTGGGAAAGAAACTCGGAGAATTTTTGGATTCTCCCTTTAATTTTCATAAAATTGAGAGATACGTAGCAGATTATTTGTGGTGTATAACAGGGTTGGATGATGGAACTAATAAATATCACAAAATGATAACCGATGATTGGTGGAGAATCTTGTATGCGAAATTGAGCAGTTTGTGCAATATTGGACATTTGGATTTGATCAATCTACAAAAGAAAGATCGATTTAAAGATCCAAAAGAATCCGATTTCAAGTTGTTCGACAAGTTTGCCTATAATGTACAAATTAAATATTGTATCCATAATTTGGTGCACTTTCTTAGAATTAACAACAGTTCCAAGATCACAACAGCGTATGCTGCAATCGAATATTTTCACAATGCAGTTAAACCGCTTCGCAAGGAGATGATGTTTTTTAGAGAGCCAACAAAAAAGGTTATCTTATCACATTTTAATTTTTAACAAGATATTTTTTTTCAGGCCTCGCCAAACTTTAAACCAATAATTCGTCGATTCAAAGGAGCAAACTATAAATTCTATCTGGCAAAAGAAATTAAAGATGCATTCCCAAATGAGAATATTATCATTGAAAATAAAGAAGATATCAAAAACAAACAAGTTTTCATCGTAGATTCCTCAACATTTGATGGAATTCTTACAAAATATGGTGTTGAAAATGTTATAATAGTCGAAATTCCGATTGAAACAAATTCTCGAAACAATATTTATCCAATTTATTGTTCCTATGGATTTCATTGTCGTCCAGTTTGGGAAGCAATTGAAGAATTTTTATACGAGGTTATAGTTATTCATAAATATTTCATGAATGCAAATAATTTTTCCAACGTGTACAAATTGATTGAATCGGAAGTGTTGGAAAGGTTTTTCGAAAATTCTGAAATGTATTTGATGGTATGTCTTTTCTTGATCACAGCTTATTGTTTCTAGAAATATTCAGGGTAATCTCGCAATTCCATTGGATTTCATTGATAAATTGGATTCTGCCGCCTTCAAATTTCCATTCAAAGAAGCATATTCGAAACATGAAGTTATGCAAATCATCGATGAACTAGTTGAAAATCATCATGTCGATGAAAATGAAATCAATGGAATCATCGATAAAGTATTCGAAGTTATCCCAATTGGGTTTCTCAGTTATAAACAATTAAACGATTTGTATTATCAAGTAATTTTGAGAAATCTTTTGAAATTCTTCCCAAAAATTGCAAGATTGAAAGAGAATCAAGGAAAATATAAGAAGAATCTGGAATCGAATCTGATTTACAAAGCTGTGGAGGAATTTTATGGATCGAAGAATAGCTATAACTATTCGAATAGGCAAAGTTCAGCTAGTGGAACAAAACAATTGGAAGATTTACAAAATGAGATCGTTGAGCTGAAAAAGTAAGTTTCTCATTCACTGAAATCAAATTTTCGAATAATCTGAAATATTTGAGACGGGAAACAAGTCATCTTCAAGAAATCAGAAAGCTGAGAGAAAATCAAGAAGAATATGAAAAGTAAGAATTTCCAGGAGTTATTTTTTCTCAAATTTCTTCAATCATTTTCAGACAACAACAAAAGCTAATTCGTGCAGTTTTCAATCTTCAAAAGCGTTTGGATAAAAGTCAAAATGATTTGATTGATAGTATCAGTTCAAATCTGAACAATTTATCATTCACTTTTCCAAATTCGAGAGAAATTCAAAAAGCCAAGAGAGATTTGGAGAAATTTGAAGAAAATTTCAATGTTTTTGAATAAATTGTTTGATTTGGAAATAAAAACTGTTAACAAGTGAATTTTATTCTTCAAAGAGAGAAGTTAGTGTTATTTTTTGAGTAAATCGGTAGAATTTGAGTTAGAAAAATCCCCGAAAAACTCACTCATAAGCTTTGGTAACACTTTGAAGTTTCAAATTCTCTGTGTAGAATATAATAATCTGCATCAGGATCTTGTTTTTTACAATGCAAATAATAATCCTCCTCAGAAGTTCTGAAATCGACACTTTCCATAATATTTTCAAGTATTCCATCGCAACATTTATTCAAATGGCAAGATTCAGTGAGTTTTTCGTTCCAGTGATTTGTGTGAGAAGATCAGCGCTCAAAAAGCCGATTTTGATGCTTCGATTCAAATTCACAGTCGAATCCGAGAACATTAAAATGAATTGTTTCCTGTTGTTTAAAGCGACGTGAAGTTCTCAGAGAAAAGGGATTTCACTTCTCTTCACTGAAGAGTTTCAAGAAAATCATCGAATTCCTGGAAATTTCTGCGGTTTGTTGATGAAAAAACCATTAAATATACCTTCTCCGGATCCGCAAGTTTTTGCTTTTTCAAAGCTGATGGAGGTCTTCCACGTGTCGCACGTTTCATCGCTTAAAACTAACTGAACATCAAAAAAAAAATGAAAAAAAATTCCCGAATTTCAAACGAAAAACTGTTCGCGCGGCGAGACCCAAACATTTTCTGTGTGTGTGCCTTGATATACAGTACCCATTATTTTTTCTCTCGTTTTTTTTCTAATTTTCGAAAATTTTCCTCCTTTTTCGACACAACAAATCCAAGATAAAAGAATAAAAGTAGTCGATTTCCTCTCTGTCTGCTTCTCTACGTCTCTTCTCCCTCTCACATTCTCTCATTTTCCAGTTTTTCTCTGCGTCTCCACTCTCTCGCTTTGTTGTTTCGCTTCGAGTTTTTTTTTGGTCGATGAGAAAATTCCTTTTTTTAGCGGTTTCTTATGGATTTTTTTTTGGGAGGCGAAAGGTTTTTTTTTGAGAAAGTTTTGGTGTAGAAATTGATTTTTGTTTGGAACAAAACATCCTGAAAATGACATTTTCCCTCTCAAATTTCCCTCAAAATTTCTCAAATTTCCAGGATTTTTCTTATTTTCTGTTCATTTTTCCACACAAAAAATTCATTTTTTTGCAGAAAATCCATGACAAAATTCAATTTCAATTAAATAATGTCGGTTCGCGGAATTCGAGTTTGGCGTCGAAATGACGCTCGATTTCAGCCGTCGATTTTGGTCGAGAAAAATGGCAATTCTGGCAGTTTGCTGTTTCAGGGTGGAGCTATTGCCAGTTTGGGTAAGTTACATTTTTTTCGTCTTGAAATTTGAAGCATTTTGGTGGTTTTTGGGGGACGTGGCCTAGAAAACCAAGTTGTTCGGTTTCTAGGCCACAGGATGAAAAATGGTGTCAGTAAAACCCGGGAATTCTAGATTTTGAGCTCTAAATTCGAAACCTCCATCAATCTGGCCTAGAAAACCAACCTCGGCCACCAAAAAACCCCAGATTTTCTTTCAGATTCCGATTCCACCGAAGTCGAACGTCGAACATACACAAAAATCGTAGATGCCTATGGATTACTTGGAGTATTAGCAATTAGCAAAGGTATCTAGTTAACATGAGCAATGCCCCCGAAAAATTATCGATTTTTCAGAAGAAAGTGTTTTGGTGGCTGTGACCGGTGTGCTTTCAGTTGGACAATTGTATGGAGCTGATATTTTGAAGGTTTTTATTGATTTTCTGAGTTGTCCGAGAGAAATACACACATTTTTTGCAGATCACAAATGTTGAGTTCATTTCGCTGAAGTCTTTTGGATCTGTTGAAGCGATGGATACGAGAATTGTAGATGTAAGTGATTTCTGGCTTAGAAATGGGGATTTTTGGGGTTCTAGGCCACGATATTCTTGCTGACTGTGATTCTCTGATAATTTTGAAAGAAAACCAGGAATTTGTGTTTCTAGGCCACTAGGCTGAACTCCCCAAGAGCTGAAAATTGGTGCAAAATGTTCGGAATTTCGGGAATCTGAAAATTTAGAAAAATACCTGGTTATGGCTTAGTAAACCAAATTTTCTCAATTCCTAGGCCATGGGGTCCTGAAAATTGATGCAAAATATTCAGAATTTAAAATAAAAGAATATCGTGGCCTAGAAACCCAGGATTTTGTGTTTCTAGGCCACGAACCTCCCCGGAACCCCCAAAAACCTTCCAAATTTTCCAGCTGCAACGTCTTCTGGCCTCCCAAATGTTCTATTTTTCATCGCTCCAATCCTATGATTTGACTCGATCGGCTCAACATCGCGATTCGCACGACGGTTCAGATTCGCGATTTTTCTGGAATCGCAGTCTGCATTTCGCTTTTGATCGATATGGAATTTCGACTGATCAATGGTTGTTGAAATGTATGGCTGGGTGAGTTTTTTGGTGGAAAATTTGAGAAAAACGTGGAAACGTGACCTTATTTCGTGTTTTTCGAAATTCAAAAAAAAAATTTTATTTTTGAATTTTAAAATTGTCGAAATGGTGGGTGAATTTCTGTGCGATAGACCGAATCTGATTTCTCATGTAGTATTTATGTTTAAATTTTTCCAGATCAGTGCTGGTTCGAGTTGTCTACGTTGGTGCAAATACGGGACGAGTTGCGCTAATTTCGAGGCTCAGTTGTGAAAGAGTTGGAACCAGGTAATTTGTAAGATACACCTTAGGGTTCTTAAATACCTTAAGGATATTGATAGTACCTTAAGGAACTTCGAAACACCTTACAAACCTCAGGAACACTTTACAGAACCGAAATATACCTCTTGTACCTTTAAAATACTTCCCGCTCCTAGAGACCCTAAAAATCACCTAAAGCAATCATTTTTCAGATTCAACGTGCGTGGAGCCAATTATTTGGGAGCTGTCGCGAATTTTGTGGAAACCGAGCAACTTTTGCTTTTTGACGAAAAGGAGTGCTCACTTTTACAGGTATTTTTCAGGGACCTTAACTTTTTCACTTAAAAATCACCTTATCTACTGTAATTTTTTCAGATCCGTGGATCGATTCCATTATTTTGGGAGCAGCCTGGTGTACAAGTTGGATCGCATAAAGTCAAACTACGAGCTTTTGAAACGAGTCTTCCAGCTTATCATAGGTAAATTTTTAAAAATTCAGAATGCTGAGCTTAAAATCGAGCTCAGCCAGAGATTCTGATTCGAATGGTATATTTATTGTCTCTAGAAACTCATTTCTAGCCTGAATTTGATCGTGGCCTAGGAAACCACACGATTGGTTTTCTAGGCCACGCGAGTTTCTTGGCTCAAAGAAGTCCCTTGGAGTTGAAAGTTGGTGCAAAATGATCTGAATTTCAAAGGGATTCTGAATTTTTAAAAATTTGCTATGTTCCAGACACTTATCCCAACTCAAACATCGTTATGGCGAATTCGCGATCGTCAATTTATTGGGTCGAAAAGAGGGAGAACGCGTGCTGACTGAAGCCTTCAAAACTCAACATAGAAATTCGAATTTTCAAAATTCCGTCGAATTCATCGATTTCGATTATCATGCACAAATGAAGACGTCAAAAGAGGCGATAAATATTTTGAGGAAAAAAATGACACCGCACATGGAACAACATGGATTTTTCTATTCGATGGGAGAGCAGATTTTGAAGTGGGTTTTTTCGCCGTGAAATTTGGAGCATTTTGAGCCCGAATTTGATATGGAAATATCCGAGTTTGTCCGGTGGCCTAGAAATCCAATAAGTAGAATTTCTAGGCCACCTAGAAACCCCAGAGCTCACCAAGATCTTAGAAATCCCCTGAATTTTCAGACGACAAACTGGAATAATCCGAACAAATTGTCTCGATTGCCTCGATCGCACCAACGCTGTCCAAACACAAATCGGACTCCAAATGTCAAAATCACAAGTAGCATTTCTGAATTTAAATTCAGGAAAAGTGAATGTTGAGCAAAGAGTTGAGGAGATTCTCAAGGATTTGTGGACAAAAAATGGAGATCAATGTAGCACTATTTACGCGGGAACCGGAGCATTGGATGGAAAAAGCAAATTGAAAGATGCGTCGAGAAGTTTGGCGCGAACTATACAGAATAATCTGATGGATGGAGCCAAACAGGAATCGTTTGATTTGTTTTTGACCGGAGCAGCTTATGAGCCGAGATTGTTTGATAGAGCGTGTAATATGTTGCCGCCGAGTTTGATACAGGGTGAGGTTTTGGAAAAATTTCATAAAATTTCGACTCTGGGGATCTTTGAAACCCGGAAAATTGGATTTTTGAGGAGAAATTGATTAATTCAACTTCTTCGTTCTCTGGAACCTTTTTAATGAAAAATTATGAAAATTTTGAACCCGGGAATTTTTTGAACATTGAATTTGGATTTTTCTTGAAATGCAGAATTTTGGAATCCTGAAAATTTGGAATTTTCACATCTTAAAAATTTTAGTCATGCTTTTCAAGCTTGAAATTGACTACTGGGAGTTCTGGGACCAAAAAAGTCGGAAAAATCGGAAATTTCTGAGCCTTGAAGTCTTGGGACCCTGAAAATTGAATTTTCCAGCAAATTTTGATCTAAAGACTATTTGATTTTGATTTTTTAAGTCCAAAATTTGATTCCTGAGTTCTCCGGGACTTTTGAAATCAGAAAAATCATGAAATTTTGAGCTTAGGAAATCTTGGCACCCTGAAAATTAAAATTATCAGAAAATTTTGATCTAGAATTTTTCTAAACGATTTTTGAGCCCAAAATTTGATTCCTGAGCTCTTTGAGACCTTGAAAATCCAATTTTCTCTCAAAATTTGACCAACGTACCTGAAAACTTGATTTTTCCAGAACATTATTATTATCACGGTAAGTTGATGTTGTAATTCTGTAAATTTGTTGTGATGTGGAATTTTTTTCTCAAAAAACAAGAAAAAGCTTTGTGATTTAGAGCTTGTGGCCTAGAAATTCAGAAAATTTGGATTTCTAGGCCACCAAGCTTATATTCAACATGAATTCTTCGTGACCTAGAAAATCCGAAGTGTATTTCTAGGCCACCAGACCAAAATCATATTCAAAATGCTCCAATTCTTGTGCTCTTCCAGAATACGCTGACGCCGTGCAACAACTCGTCGAACGCGCCCCGGAAATCGCTGAAAATCATCCGCTCAAAATCTTCGTCGGCACGTGGAATGTGAATGGCGGAAAAAACATTCACAACGTCGCATTTCGCAACGAATCCAACCTGTCGCATTGGATTTTTGCCGAATTCGCCGCCTCGAATTTGGTTTGTGTGGAAAATGAGGAATTGGCGGATATTGTGGCGATTGGTGTGGAAGAATTGGTGGATTTGAATGCGAGTAATATGGTGAAGGCTAGGTAACTCATTTTGGGTGGGATTTGGCGGATTTATGGTGGGAAATTTGTGATCGGCCCGGTGGAATTAGCCCAGGGTCAATGAAACTAGATTCTAGTTCAGTTAACTAAAACTAGACTCTAGTTAAGCTACTGGAAAAACTAGACTCTAGTTTAGCTAAAGTTGAAGCTTAGCTACAGTTGAAGTTCAGCTACAGTTAAACTAGATTGTAGTTTAGCGGCAGTTAAACTTGACTCTAGTTTAGCTATAGTTAAAATAGACTGAAGTCAAGCTACAGTTAAACTAGACTCTAGTTTGGCTACAGTTAGGCTAAACTATAATTTAGCTACAGGAAAACTAGAATGAAGTTTAGCTACCGTTAAACTAGATTGTAGGTTAGCTACAGTACTGATGTTGAAAGTACTGTAGCTAGGCATTTTTGATCAATTTTTCGAAACGTATAAATCTGATGTAGGTTTTAAAGGGCCCTACAGTAACCCAGACCAGATTCGAAAATAAGATGATCTAGACTAGAAATTGCACTACAGTAATCCACTACAGTATCTCCCAAGTAATTTAGATTTTTTATAACTTTCAAGCTACAGTACCCTCTTTTCTACCGTAAAAAACAGAAATTTCTGAGATAGATCTACAGTAATCCTTCTAAGCTACAGTAATCCTTCTAAGCTACAGTAAACCATTTCTGAACAGAATCAGCATCCTGATCTTTTCAAAAGACTACCGTACCTTCCCCCATAGTACCTGCCCCTACAGTACTCCTTTTTTCTCTACAGTACCACAAATCAACGTCTCTGGTGTGAATCGATCCGCAAAACCCTCTCCGAAAAGGCGCCATTCGTCCTGATTGGCTCCGAACAACTCGTCGGAGTTTGCCTCTTCCTATTCGCTCGCCCTCGAATTTCGCCCTACATCAAGGATTTTTCGGTGGCATCGGTGAAGACTGGAATGGGCGGAGCCACTGGCAACAAGGTAACCTTGAAAAATCGCGCCGCAAAATTGCAAAACCCATCTTTTTGCAGGGCTCCGTGGCTTTTCGCATCGTCGTCTTCTCCACGTCGATTTGTTTCATCTGCTCGCATTTTGCCGCCGGACAAAATGAGATTCGAGACAGGAATGAGGATTTTGCGACGACGCTCAAGAAGATCAGATTTCCACTCGGAAGGGATATCGAAAGTAATGATGTGGTTTTCTGGTTTGGCGATTTTAATTATAGGTAGGGTTTTTGGGCATGGTTTTGTGGGCGTGGCCTAAATATGGTCAAATGAGGCTTTATTTTGTAGAGCTCAACTAGAGCTTTAAAATGAGATCTCATATGACTATTTTTAATGCGGCATGGTTTTGTGGGCGGGGTTTATTTGGTTTCGTTTTGTAGCGAATTTCGAGAGCTTTAAGATGAGACCTCACATGACTATTTTTAATGCGGCATGGTTTTGTGGGCGGGGCCTAAATATAGTCAAGTTTGGTTTCATTTTGTGAAGCTCAACTAGAGCTTCAAAATGAGATCTCATATGACCATATTTTATGCGGCATGGTTTTGTGGGCGGAGCCTAAATATTATCAAATGAGGTCTTGTTTTGAAGCTGTTCTCTTCAATACCTAAGCCACGCCCACTGTTGTATGCCGCATCAAAATTCCTAAACCCATTTTTCAGAATAAATTTGTCTGGAGATGAAGTCAAAAATGCGGTCAGAAATCGAGATTTCGCAAAACTTGTCGAATTCGATCAACTCACTCAACAAAAAGCCCAAGCCAACACATTTATCGGATTCCAAGAGGGCGATTTGAATTTCGCGCCAACCTATAAATACGATACATTTAGTGATGATTATGATACCAGCGAGAAATGCCGTGCACCCGCTTGGACTGATCGAGTTTTGTGGAAAGATCAGCGGGGAGAAAGATCGACGCGATTGATGAGGTTTGTGAAGGCCTAGAATTTGGATTTCTAGGCCACCGAGCTCCCCAGAAGCTTTAGAATGCTCCAAAAATCTCGAATTTTCCAGCTATGATCGATCGGAGCTCAAAACTTCGGATCATCGACCTGTTGGAAGTATTTTTCAACTCGATACCTATAAAATTGACAGCAAAAAATGTATTGAATTGATTGAGGATGTTGTTGAGTGAGTTTTGGGATTTTTTGGGGGAAAAATCTGGAATTTTCTGAAAAATATGAAGATTTTCCTAGAAAAATCAATTTTCTTGGAAAATCTGAAGATTCCCCGTCAAAATCCTGAAGTTTTCTGAATTTTCTCAAATTTTCAGATCAATGGGACCACCGGATGGTACAATAATTGTGACTATAGTTGGAAAATCCCGTTTCCCGCCTTCGATGTTCCAACCGGTTCACGAGAAGTTGAAAGAACTTGGAGCAACTGTGCAATTGAGCAAGTAGGTTTTTTGGAGCATTTTGATGGGAAATATGCCGGGGTTACTGTAGTTTTGAGGGGTACTGTAGCTAGTTTTGAAGGAGTACTGTAGGTCTGAAAAATTTACAAGTTTTCAGAAATTGAAATGAATTGATTTAGAGTACTGTAGATCAAAAGGTACAGTAATTTTTGAGCCTAGTAAATTTTTTCCAGATTCGAAGACGGTGAACTTTGGATAATCCTGAATAGCGGTGAAATGGCCCTCGCAGCCTTATCCATGGATGGCCTAAGCCTAAATCAACCACAAGAAGGCCCACAAATTATCAAGGTCCGATTACGATCCCCCGATTGGGCCTATAGCCTCAAACCGCATTTATCCGATTTCGATCTCGAAGCCTTTGAAATCACTCCAGCTGATGAGAATCTGCTAATTGCCACGTCAGCAGCATTCGAATTTGAAGTTGATGATGAAGATGAGCTGGGCTCGAGCCTAAGCCTTAGCTCCGCGGCTCCAGATAGGCCACGCCCACCATCTGCAAGATCGGAAAATATCGGATTTGGCCCGCAAATTCAGCAGGAGATTCTGTCGACGTCGATGCCGATGTCTGCGTCTCTCGCGTGGGAACATGTTCCGCCATTGGCTCCGCATCCTTCGAACTCGACCCAGCAGCAAAGTTGCCTGTTCAACCCGTTTACTCAAAGTGCTCCACCGCCACCGCAACGCGTTGCGTCTGCGACGCCTGCGATTCCCCAACGGAGAGCTCCGCCTCCTGTTCCGCCACCCAGACCGCAGATTCCACCGAGGCCGAAAATGTAGATTTGTTTTGAGGGGAGACCAAAATTTATAATGCCACGTTTCACGTATCCTCCCTTTAAAAATCTACAGTACCCGTTCCAATTCCCCCACACATTCCAAAAGCAATACTTACACGAACTTAACAAAATCCCAAGTTTTTCACTTTTCCCCCTCTCATTTTACCGTAGCCAGTTGTACCCTAATTTATTGATTGATTTTGCCAAAATTTTTTCATGTTTTCTAGTCATAAATTATTTATTTATTTATTGATTTTTGTCAAAAAAAAAAAGTTTTATTTTGATTCTTAAGGGGGTTTACCTGCTACAGAGAAACTTAGGCTTAATCGAAGTAGATGTTGTTTTTCAACATTTTATTCTGTAGAACAAATTTTGGCGCCAAAATTGATGGGTTGCTGTTTGAAAATTATTTTTCATCAAAAAAACATGGTGTGAATATCAGAGATGAAATTTGCTGCACAGTACAAATTGAAAGTAAATTTTCAAAAATCTCGAAATTTTTACGTTTCAAAAATTTGATGAATTTTGAATTCTTCCGCATTTGGCTGATCAACGAATCAATGCTTTTTTTGCATTTTGAATAGATCCATGTTTTCTAGTCATAAATTATTCATTTGTTTATAAATTTTGAAAAGAAAAAATAAGTGCGAAATTGTTTCAAGCAAATTAATAAATGGATGAAAAAAAATCGGCCCGAGTTTTTTCAAAAATAAATCGGCCCGAGTTTTTTCAAAAATAAATCGGCCCGAGTTTTTTCAAAAATAAATCGGCCCGAGTTTTTTCAAAAATAAATCGGCCCGAGTTTTTTTCAAAAATAAATCGGCCCGAGTTTTTTCATAAATAAATCGGCCCGAGATTTTTCAAAAAAAATCGGCCCGAGATTTTTCATAAATAAATCGGTCCGAGTTTTTTCAAAAAATAAATCGGACCGAGTTTTTTCAAAAATAAATCGGCCCGAGTTTTTTCATAAATAAATCGGTCCGAGTTTTTTCATAAATAAATCGGCCCGAGTTTTTTCAAAAATAAATCGGTCCGAGTTTTTTCATAAATAAATCGGTCCGAGTTTTTTCAAAAAATAAATCGGACCGAGTTTTTTCAAAAATAAATCGGCCCGAGTTTTTTCATAAATAAATCGGCCCGAGTTTTTTCAAAAATAAATCGGCCCGAATTTTTTCAAAAATAAATCGGCCCGAATTTTTCAAAAATAAATCGGCCCGAGTTTTTTCAAAAAAAATCGGCCCGAGTTTGTTCATAAATAAATCGGCCCGAGATTTTTCAAAAATAAATCGGCCCGAGTTTTTTCATAAATAAATCGGTCCGAGTTTTTTCATAAATAAATCGGCCCGAGATTTTTCAAAAAAAATCGGCCCGAGATTTTTCAAAAAAAAATCGGCCCGAGTTTTTTCAAAAAAAAAATCGCGGATTTTTATACATTTTCCGAAATTTTATCGATGTTTTGATCGGGTGCTTCGCATAAATCATCGAAGTAGGCAATTCTCAAATTATTGAGTGGATCTGCCATCTGAAAATACGTCTTTGCAAAGGAATTTCGTTCGGAGAAAAAAAACAGAAAAAAAGGAAAAAATGAATTTTCAAATTAAAAACAATACGGTAAAAAAGACGCACACAGTTTCTAACATGGGTCTCGTCACGCAAACATTTTGAATCTGTTTTTTTTATTTTTTTTCACGAAAACTTTTTGAGCCAGCCTAAAAATCGGGTTTTGGATGATGAATCGTGGTGCTGAATCAAACGCGGAAATTTCGAATAGGAGAAGACTTTTCGAAGAGCAGCAAAAAGTAAGTTTTCACGAAAAATTCGAGAAAAAACATGATTTTTTTTAGGATTTCGATGATTTTTTCATCGGTCTTGATGGAACTCGAATAAGAAAATTGAAATTCAGTGGATACAACAACGAAATGGAAATAATTTTTGATGATAATACAAGAATGTATTTGTTATTCTCAAATTCAATGGTAAAATTGGATCGAAATTTGAGAAGGAATAAAATGGGTCGAACTTTTCGCGTTTTCAAAGTTCCAATTCAAGAATTCGCAATTCTCACAAAAATCGAAGTCGAAAAGAATCGCGAGCAAATGATCGCAAAATACTTTCAACTTATCATCCAAAAATCACAAGACAATTTGAAATACATCGAAATGCATACCGATTATCGATTTCCTTTTGAATCAACAACAATTCGAAATTGTTTGAATTTGGAGGTTATTGAGATTCAAAATTCGAGCACATTTAAGCGGAAAATCGATTTTTTCAAGTGCGGTTTCATGGATCAACGCATGTTTCGATCGATTTCCAGCGAAATTATGATTTATGGATTTTTACTCGCCGCAAACATGTTTGAATTCGAAAAAATGCGCGCCAAAACCGTCTCATGCGATCACATTTGCGGCAACATTCACGTGGCATTGAATGGATATTTGAGAAGATTCGCCCAAAATCAACTCACAAATGTGATGGATAATATCGATATGGAATTGTATGTGCCGAAAACGGGCAATTCGGAAAATGAGAATGAGGAAGAAGAGGAGGAGGAGGAGAGAATGTTGCAACCGCAGTTGAAGAATGTTTTGGGAGGATTTGAGACGGTTGATGAGCCGAATATGTGGGTTTTTTGAAGGGTTGTGAGGTTTTGGGTGGAAATTCGAGATTTTTTTGTTGGAATTCAGCTTTTTCAGCTTCTACACGTCATCTTTAGAGTACAAAAGCTTCTGAAAAGCTGAAATTGGCTAGTTTCAGCTATAAAACGCTGAAAATAAGCTCAAAACGAGCTGAGAAATCTGAAAATAGTGCATTTTCAGCGATAAAATGCTCCGGAGCCTAGACTTTTGAGAAAAATCAAGCCTCAAGGCTGAAAAGCGCTAGAATAAGCTCCGAGACAGGGCTGGGCGGAATCGGCACGCCGATTTGCCGAAATGCCGAGTTTTCCTGATTTTTCGGCAATTTTTGAAGTCGGCACTACCGCCCGAAAATATTTTCGGCAGTTTTTCAAGTCGGCATTACCGACCGAAAGATTTTTCGGCACTTGATAGAAGCCGAATTTCGTACCGATTTCAAAATGTGCCGAAATCACAACCGAAATGTTCTCCAGTAAAATAAAAAATGTGTTTTTACCTCTATTTTCTGCAGAATGTCTTGTTTTACCTTCATATCTATTGAGTTATGACTAAAATAAAACTAAAATATAATTTTATTCATTTTTCTATCATTTTTTATAGTTTTTAAAATTTCTGAATCACTGCCAAAATGCCGAATTTGAACAAAATCGGGGTGCCGAATTGCCGAATTTTTTTTCGGCAAAAAAGTCGGTATCCCGAAATTCCGAAAAAAAATTTCGGCACAAGAAGTCGGCATCCCGACAAGCCGAGAAAATTTTCGGCACTAAAAGTCGGCGTTGCGAAATGCCGACAAGTAAATTCCGCCCAGCCCTGCTCCGAGAGCTGGAAAACTATTGAAAAATTGGAAAAAAAAGTTATGACGTGGCAAAGTTGCACTGAAACTGTATTTTTTTGAAAATAAAATAATTTTCCGAAAATTTCAGTATGACATTTGCCACGTCATAGGTCAAAATAATGAATATTGTGCCACGTGGATTTTTTTCCAAAAATTTCAAAAAAAAATCTTTGCAGCACTCCACAACGCATCAATTTCGCCATCCGAAACCAAAACCATTACATCTCCGTCGAATGCTATGGCAAGAATTTCAGCATGGCTCTGAGACGACATTTCTGAAAATTTCAGAAAAATCTTGTTTATTTTTTGTTGTTGTTTTATAATTCTATTGTTGTATCTTGTTTTTGAATAAAAATTCTTTTGTTAATTAATTCGAAAATTAATTAATTTGAGATTTTATTCATTGACAAAAATAGAATTCTATAGAAAAAATATGTGTGATAATTAATTAATTAGGTGTACAATAATTAGAAAAAAACCCGGGGTAGCTACAAATTTTTGTGATGAAAGAATGAAAACGACTTTTGCAATTAGACACTTGAAGTGGGGTCAAAAATAGAAAAAAAAATAGAGGAAAATGGGATTTTGGACAGAATTTCTTGATTTCAGGGTCAAAAGTTCACATTTTCCCCCAAGATCCCCAGAATTTAATCAAAATCCCCATTCAATCGATTCATAAACAAATCATAAGCTCGTCTTCTAATCGCATCTCTTTCTCTTCTCGCATTTCTTCGCGCAATTTCGCCGTTCGCCTGCTCGTCTTCCGATGATTCTTCTTCAGTTTCAGAATGCGATTCTTCTTCTTCTGACTCAGTTTCTGGTTCGGCATCGTTGTTTTCTCCTCTTTCTTGATTTGCAGCTGCAGGTTCTTGTTGATTTTGAAGATGTGGTGGAAGTGGAAGATCGCGGCGAACAACTGGAAATTGGGAAAAATGAGAAGGTTTTGGGGAGGAAATTTGAGAAAACATGAAGATTTCTGATTGTGAATAGAACTAAAAATGTCCAATTTTTCAATAAAAACTCAAATTTTAAGCTCAAAAAAATTTCTCAAACCGAAATCAAGCTTCAAATTTAAAGATTTTTCAGGTAAAATTTGAGCTCAGAAATGCAATACCTTCTTATCCCTTTGGGAAAACATGAAGATTTTTGGATGAAAACAACAAAAATTCATGTTTTCTATAAAATATAGAATAAAATTCGGAGGATTTTTCAGTCTCAAAATAAAATATAGACAAGTCTCAAAATAAAATATAGATTTTTTTCTAGTTTTGGAAAAACAAGGGTTTGAAAATCCATTTTTCTTGGTTCAAAATACTTCAAAATGCTCCAAATTTCGAGATTTTTCAGGCCAATTTTGAGCTCAAAAAAAAATATTCCTAGTCGAATTTTGGCTCAAAAACTCTTGGATTTTCAGGTTAAATTTATATTCAAAATATACAGAATTCAAAAATCAAAATTCAATAATTTTCTAGTAAAATTTGAGCTCAAAATGCTCCAAAAATTCAGATTTTCACATCAATTTCAGTCTCAAAATTCACAAATTTTCAATTTTAAATTCGGCCTCACAAAAACAAACTCACAAATATGTCTCAATCTAGCCACTCTCAAATCCTCTTGAAAATTCCTTCTCAACGTATTTCTTGGCAATCGCTGATATTCTCCATTTCTCAAATGTTTGATCATAGTTCGTTTGTGTTTTCCGTTATCAAATTCGGCCAAGTCGATGCCACGCGCATTTTTATAGGCGGGAACAACGATTCGCGGCAAATTTCGCCATTTTTCCTCCTGTTTTTCGAGACGGGTTTCGAGATATTTAGAGTCGGCTATTCGACAATAGATTTCAGGGCAATCTTTGGAATAATCTAATGAGCCACCGTCTAATCCTTCGAAAATCTGTAAAGAAATGAAGCGTCAGGGACTAGTTTTTGGTTTTCTAGGCCATTTTTTAATTTCTAGGCTAATTCAAACCTCACCCAACACCTGGAATTCCAGGCGGGCAATTTTTTTTCGAAAAACCTAGGTGGGCAATTTTTTTTCGAAAAACCTAGGCGGGCAAAATTTCTTAGGGTCTTTAAGGCGAGCCTCAGGTGGGCAAAAATTTTTAGGGTCTTTAAGGCGAGCCTCAGGTGCGCAAAATTTTTTTAGGGTCTTTAAGGCGAGCCTCAGGTGGGCAAAATTTCTTAGGGTCTTTAAGGCGAGCCTCAGGTGGGCAAAATTTCTTAGGGTCTTTAAGGCGAGCCTCAGGTGGGCAAAATTTCTTAGGGTCTTTAAGGCGAGCCTCAGGTGGGCAAAATTTCTTAGGGTCTTTAAGGCGAGCCTCAGGTGCGCAAAATTTTTTTTACTAGGTGGGCAATTTTTGAAAATAAACCCAGGTGGGCAATTTTTTCCCTACTTCTCCAGGTTCTTGGGTGAGGTTTGAGGCTAATTTTTTTCATTTTTAAGGTGAAAATTGAATTTCTAGGCCGTTTTTCCCGATTTTTAACTCACATCTGAGCGATCTTTGCGAATCTCAATCAAAGCCATTCTCTTCAAAGAAGGCGCCGAAAACCAAGCATACTGTATCGCATTTGTTCTCTTATTACTCTTTTCCGACATTGTTCCGCCAAAAATCAATAAAAGTCCGTCTTTTGTGATTGCGGCATCGTGGAAGAAAACTGGAACTGGCAATGTTGTTTCGTGTTTACGCCATTGACGAGAATCCAGGTTGAATATCCAGATATCATTCATTATTGTGGTCTGAAAATTTAGATTTTCTGAAATTTCCGGCCTAAAATTTGGGCATAGCTTCCGCAAATTCGGTCATTTTCCCGCTAAAAATATGCTGCTAAATCCCACAAGTTTTCAGTTGAAAATTCATGATTTTCAGGTGGAAACTGGGGATTTTCAGAATATTTTCAGCGCGAAAGTGACGATTTCAAAAGCTGTTTTCTTTTTGAAGTTCAAAACAATTTTAAATTCATCTTCCAAAACATTTTTAACCAGTAAAACTAATTTTCATGAACCTCAAAATTTCATAAATGCTCCCTAACCTTTTCTCTCTGGGCTCTCTAGACTCTCTAGACTCTCTAGACTTTTCTAAACTTTCTAGGCTCTCTACGCTCTTTTCTAATTCTCTAGGCTCTCTGTGCTCTCTAGACTTTCTATGCTTCCTAACCTTTTCTAATTCTCTAAGCTCTTCAGGATATCTAGGCTCTCTATGCCTCTAACCTTTCCTAATTCTCTAGGCTCTCTGTGCTCTCTAACTCTTTGTACTGTGAAGAAAAGATCTGCTTCGACCATTCCTCGAACTCATCACCCCCCAATCCACACTCTCAAGCCTAACCCACTTGACCACGCGAGACAGTTTTTGAGCATTTCTAAACACTCTTAAATATCTGTCATTTCTGAAAAAGATTTTGAAAAAAAGAATTTGAAAAAAAGTGAACGTGACCCAGCAAAAAAATTGGGGAAAAAAAATAAATGAGCCTTATTTTTGATTCAAATAGAAATAGTAACCAGCTAGAAGACGAAATGGTATGTTCCGCATCTCCAGTCAATTTCCCGCTGAAAATATGCTGATAAATGCCACGTGTTTTCAGCTGAAAATGCATGATTTTCAGATGAAAAATAGGGATTTTCAGCATATTTTCAACGAGAAATTGACAATTTTCATGTAAAACAGGTTTGCAACGCTGAATTTTGTGTTTTCCAAGATGAAAATCTCTAAATTCAGCCATGAAAAATACATTTTCCCATACCATAGGTTCAATTCTTCCTCCAACAATTCGTCTAGTTTCCATTCCAGCTCCTCCAGCAATAATAACATTTCTACCAAATCTAGTCATTGAATGACATCTTCGTGCAGCCGGATATTTTCCATTTTCATCAGCACTCGCAGCAATTATCTCATTTTTATTCGTTTTCACATTGAATCCTTCGATTGTTTCGAATGAGATCACATTTTCGATATCGCCACCACCGAAAAATAGAAGATTTTCGGATTTTTCGTCGTATGTCGTTTCCATTCGATATCGACCGGCTCCGGGTTTCTGAAAATTCGAAATTTGGGCATAGCTTCCGCATCTCTGGTAAATTTCGAGCTGAAAATATGCTGATAAATTCCACGAGCTTTCAGCTGAAAATTCAAGATTTTCAGGTGGAAATGGGGATTTTCAGCATGTTTTCAGCGCGAAAATGACGAAATTAATGTGAAATTAGTTTTAAAAGCTAAATTTTGTGATTTTCTATCTGAAATTTTTTACAGTACATACCTTCTCCGCAGTCTCATGTTTCCAAACCCATTTCAATTCTCTCGATTCCTCCGACACTCTTTGCAAATTCAAACTATGAACTTCCATATCGAAAACATCGCCCTGAGTTCCGCCAACTACGTAGAATTTAAGCGGATTTTCGCCGAGACACATTGCCTGCAAAATTTGGGCATAGCTTCCGCATCCCGCTGAAAATATGCTGATAAATCCCACGTGTTTTGGGGATTTTCAGCATGCTTTCAGCGCGAAAATGACAATTTTCATGGTATCAGAACTTACATGTCCATATTTGGCCACTGGTTTCTCCCCCTCGGTCTCTAAAACCTTCCCCTCAACCGTGCAATTCATATTATCAATATGCAAAATCCATGAATCATTAGTCGAAGAGCTGCCAAAAATCGAACCACTTCCGCCAAAAATCAAAATCGTTTTGGAGAATGGCTCAAATTGTGCACCCGAAAAACTGGCCAATTTATCCGGAAAATCGCCTTTCAACTGATATCTTCGCCATTCGAAGGAGGTCAAGTTTAGCGCCCAAAATTCGCGATAAATGACGCCGTTGTAGATGTTGTTGAAACCGCCCATCACATAGAAATGATCGTCGTCGCAGAAACATCGATGACCCGAACGAGCGAGTGGGACTGAAAATTTGAGATTTTCAGATTGAAAATTTGAGCATAGCTTCCGCATCTCTGCTCATTTTCCCGCTGAAAATATGCTAATAAATCCCACGAGTTTTCAGCTGAAAATTCATGATTTTCAGGTGGAAACTGGGGATTTTCAGCATGTTTTCAGAGAGAAAATGACAATTAAATATGCAAAAATCAATAAAACAAAAAAAATCGATTTTTCACCCATTCAAAAAAATTCGCGAATTTTCAACCTTCCGATACTTCATAACTTACATGCATTCTTCTTCCCTTTCGGTGAAAAAGCCTTGAACTCCGTCAAATTCGCTTCAACATAATCAATTTCCATGTCTTCATCTTTCGCCGGATTTTCTGTGTCGTCTCTCGCTATTTTGCGATACATCAGATTGATAAAGTTGAAAAATAAGTCTGCCATTATTTTGTACAGCAATATAAACCAGGAAATCGTGAGAAACAGCTGATTTTCGCTCGAGCTCCGCCCAACAAAAGAAAAATAAAACACGAATGTGTGCAAACACGGCGACGCAAAAATGCAGACACTTGGCGAGAGAGTGTGAGGGAAGTGAGAGACGCAGAGAAAACTGGTTTATTTTCAATTTTTTGATCGTTTGCAGGGGAATTGTACTTTCCTAGCCTAGACCACACACGAAAAATGTTTTTCACGTGAAAACACACAGAAAATCAACCTCAAAGAACTTATCAACAAAACGAATAGTGTTTTGTTTTGATATATCAGGAGGGAAAAACACGAATCGTTCTTTGGTCAACAAAAGCGCATTGCAAAAGCTGACGAAATTGTAGTCTACTGGGAAAATACCTGACTTTTTTGTTTTTGTTGGGGGGAAGGAGAACGAAAATCTCGATTTCATCAGATTTTGCAAAATGAACGCCAGAAATCGAAATTGTTTTTTGAAAATATATAAAAAAGGGGAATTACTTCAGAATGATAAGGGATTTAGAGAACTCGCGCTGCTGAGCTCCAAATGAGCCCTGAAGACAATTTCTGGGCTCCACTGATTTACTTAATTTTCAAAACCCTTATCATTCTAATATAATTCCCCATTTTCATAGATTTTTGAAAAACAATTCCGATATTTGGGTAAAAATTGGGTTCGTTCTTTGTATGATAACACACTACTTATGTAGAGTACTTATGATGACATCACAAAAAATCGGAAGAAATGCAAGTTTTTATGACAGAAATGTACAAAAAATGTTCAGTAAAATGGCAAAGGCGAAGCATGATAGGCCCTTTTTCCACATTCTAAAATCGCGTCAAAAAGTCGGAAGAGTCCAGTGTCGCGCGGTCTTTCGAGTCCGCGACGCATACGGCGTCGCATTACCGCAACCATTTCCTCGTGCGAAAGGAGGCCGTCCTGCAAAAGAAGATTTAGGAGATTTATGTTTTTTACCCATGCCACGTCATAACTCACCAAATTATCATCGAATAATGTGATAACAACATCCACAACATGGTCGCTTAACGGAACACCAGTGACTTTGAGAGCGACTCTGCGAAAAAAAATATTTTGCGAGGAAAATCGCGCGACTTTTCCTCACCTTTTCAACAATTTCGCGTCAATCGCCATTCCGGCCATTTTATGAAAATGTAGAGCAATATCAATATCATCGATGTGATAAAGGAATTCGAAAAATGCGCGAGTTTCGGCGAATGTGATGCCTTTTGCGTTGTCGCCTGCAAAAATGTGCGAATTTGAAGCGCGAAATTTGGGCATAGCTTCCGCATCTCTGGTCAATTTCACGCTGAAAAAATGCTGATAAACCCCACGAGTTTTCAGCTGAAAATTCATGATTGTCAGTTGAAAAATGAGGATTTTCAGCATGTTTTCAGCGCGAAAATGGCGAATTTTTCAAAAACATTCCTTTTTGATAGGAAAATCGAGATTCTCAGCGGGAAAATCACAACCTTTCAGATTTTCTACCAAATTTTCCATAGATACAAAATCTCACCCTTAAACTTTCTTTTCACCCTTTTCAACATATGTTTCTGCTTCTTTTCTCCAATTTGTGCATGCAACAATAATAAATGTCCAAAACTCTCTTCCGTAATCAATCCATCCGTCATTTCCATCGCATCTCTTCTCTCAAATTCCATCTTCAAAATGTCGTGTTGAAGTTTCTCTTGAAATTCGATAAACTTCTCCGACGACAATTTGCCTTTGCCATCTTTTCCGAAGAAATAGACTTCGAGTGCAGAATTGGTCTCGACACGAAATGACGTATTCATTGTGTTGTGATCTCTGTGCCTTTGACCTACTGTAGTTTGAGACATAATGAGTTGTTGAACTTTGGTGAACTCTTCTTTGTCCAAAGCGCCATCGCCGTTTACGTCAAAAATTTTGAAAGCCAGTGCAAAATCGGCGTGCGAAGCTGGAAATTTTCAGATTTTTGGCTGAAAATTTGGGCATAGCTTCCGCATCTCTGGTCATTTTCCCGCTGAAAACATGCTGATAAATCCCACGAGTTTTCAGCTGAAAATTCATGATTTTCAGATGAAAAATGGGGATTTCCAGCATATTTTCAGCGCGAAAATGACAATTTCAGAATTTTAATTAAAATACAGCTTCTAGAAGTCAACTTTTGACTGAAATTTTGTTTTTTTAAAGAAAATTTCATTGATGTTTAAAATATTGAAGTTCGAGATTTTCAGCTAAAAACTTTGGTATAAATTTTATATACAGCCAAAATTCCAGATTTCGTGCTGAAAATTTGAGCATAGCTTCATCTCCGGTCAATTTCCCGCTGAAAATATGCTGATAAATCCCACGAGTTTTCAGCTGAAAACTCATGATTTTCAGAAGGAAATTGGGGGATTTTCAGCATATTTTCAGCGCGAAAATGATATTTTTCAGATTTTCATCCAATTTTTCAGGTGAAAATTGCAATTTTCAGCAATTTCCAGCCAAACTCACTCGACAAAAGTGTCATCAAAAACAAATAATCGCTAAAATTGATCAATCCGTTCTCTCCCAATTTATAAAAAATACTATTCGGATCCGAGAATTTTTGCTTATTATGTTTTTCGGGTTGATAGATCTTGAAACTATCCAAACCCCATCTTCTTGGTTGCATTACTCCTGGTGTAAAACTTCGAAGAAAATCTTCAGGTGTCATGAAAACCTCATGAAGTCGACCTGATGGATCATTTGGATCGATTATCTGCAAAAATCCGAGGGTTTTTGAGAGGTAAAGTTCTACTATACCTTCAATGTGGCAAAATATCTGAAAATCTTATCGGGTGTTGAATAAAGTCGCAATCTATCCTCATATTCGATAATTCTCCGCTCCCTGAATCCAATCTTCTTCTTTTTCGGCTTCTCTTGAGACTAAAAATCTCACTTTTTGTCAAAAATTCAAACAAAAGCTAAGCTATGTATTTTCAGCAAAAGTTAGACAAACTAAAAAAAACACACAATATTGACAAGGATTTTAGCTCACTTCTTCGGCTTCTGAAATTGCTTGTGACGCTTGAGGTCTAAAACTTGAGGTGGCGTCTTTGATTTGACCGGCGAGCCTGGAAAAATGAGAATTTTTGGCATTTTTTTCAACGTTTTCAGCTCTACTACCATTCATAATCACACAACAAAATCAAAAATCCAGCAATAACAATCGCAAAATTCCAATGATACAATTTTCTCAACGGCGGCCAAATATACGGTCGATGTTGATAAACTGTTGATGAATAGTGTGAATATCCTTTTCCGCTTTCTCGATCAGTATAATGAAAAACATCCTTCTTTTCTTGTCGCAAATTTCCCAAAGCTGTGTATGCAGAGCCAGGATCGATTTTCGCTACTTCTGCTGAAATTTCAGTATTTTCCCTGGGATTTTCATCAAATTTCAAATCACTTACCTTTGCTGGACAATCTACATACACTAAATATCGTTTTACTTCTTCGAATCAACAAACATTGCAGCATTTTCACGAGGAAAATCGAAGAAACCGCAAAAAAATAAACGTAAAAATGTGATTTCGGTGGAGCGCGTTTGCTGCTTTTCTCTGCGCCTCTCTAAGTCGCACGCTATTTTCTCCGAGAAATAATGGATTTTTTTGTTTTTCCTCGGAAAACAAAGAAAACCAGCTGTTTTTCAAGAAAATGTTTATTAGAAATGCAAAATATGTACACAACGTGTAAAAAATAATAATTTTTATTCAAAAGCCTCTCGATTTTTTAGCGCATTCTCGACGGATTTTCAATCTCAGCAATTTTTCGTTTTCCAAATCGAGCTCCAATTGTTTGATAATATCTCCAAGATTTTGACGGATTTCCATGGATTTTTGCAACTCTTCTGTTACATTTTTCAGCTGCAATGCTGCATTTCTCAATTCTTCTTCACATTTTGCGAGTTGTTCTCGATCGTTTTCCAAATTTTCCAGAACTTCAATTCGAATTCTCATCCTTTGGTTGTCTTTTTCCAGTTTTCCGGCTTGTGATTTTCTACAATTGTTGATTCCTGCTATTTGTCTTCTACTCAATCGGGGCATCTGGAAAATTTCAGATTTTTGGCTGAAAATTTGGGCATAGCTTTCGGATCTCCGGTCAATTTCGTGCTGAAAATAAACTGATAAATCCCAAGAGTTTTCAACTGAAAATTCAGGATTTTCAGATGAAAAATGGGGATTTTCAGCGCGAAAATGACTATTCGAACTGCAATTAATAAATAAGGTAGAGAATTAAAACTCCTGGCGTAAAACGGCTACAAAATCTGGAACAACAAACAATTTATACAAAATTTACATTAATAAAAAATCCTCCCACAAAAATTAAGTTTTTGGTGGTCCAACTTTGATAATCTCCTTCTTTCCGCTCTTCTTTTTCGCCAATTCAACAAGGAATTTCGATTTCGCCGTCCATTCTTTTCTCGCTTCCGATCGCAACTTTTTCTGATGTTCCAAACTCATTTCCAATCCTTTGATAATATCACCTCGATTACTTCTGCTCTTCTCGCTTTCTCTCAATTCCTGATTCCGTGTTTTCAATTCCAATGTTGCGTTTTTCAATTTCTCCTTTAATTCCTTCAATTGCGCGCGGAGTCCATCATAATTGTCAGCTTTTCGTTTTTTCAAGGTTGCCAGGGTTTTCTTCAATTCCACGTTTTCTCTGGTGATTTTAATGAGCTGCGCTTTTGTCGCATTGACACGGTTGGCCATTTTACCACGCGATACCGCCATTTTCTGAAAGAAAAACTGTGGAAAAGTAAAAAAAACGCAGAAAAAAAGAAAAACAAAAAATTATGTGAGAGAGTGTGGGTAAACAAGAGACGCGGGGTGTGAAAATGGAAAATGCGCTCTAGCGAACTTCATTTTCTACTTTTATTTTTTTTTGCTGTTTCCTCTTCTTTTTTCCATTTTCCCCCTAGAAAACCTATATCTTCCAGATGCCAAAACGAACGCAAAAACAAATGTCAACAGCGCTGAGCGCGAATAAAGAAATCATCGAAAAGAAGTTGAAGGAAAATCAGGAACTACGCGAAAAAATCAAAGAATTGGAAGAATACAAAGTGGGCGATGTTTTGGAGAGCGCTGATAGTCTTCGTCAGCAGATTTTCCGATGCAAAATGCAATTGCGCAGCACTTTGGAGGAATTGAAAATTCGAACACAACAATTGAAGGAATGCGAGAAGAGTCGAAATGATAGAGGAATTATTATCAAAGGATTGGAGATGAGTTTGGAGCATCAGAAATTGTTGAGATTGGAGGCTAAAAGAGATGCGACAGCGAAGACGAAATTATTGATTGATTTGGCGGAAAATCGAGAAGGAAAGAAGGAAGTGAAAGCTGAAGTGGCCGAAAGACTTTGAATTGTTTCTAATTATTTTGTAAATATTGTTCATATTGATTTCAATAAACCTATGGCAGGGAAAATGTGCTAATTTTTATGATTCCTACAAAATAATGAAAAAATGAATAAACACGTGAAATTGAAACAAATACGTGGAAAATTTGCGAGGTCGATTAAAAAAATGAGAAAATCAATCAGTTCTCGTTTTGATTTACCTCGAAAGTATAGACTATTTGAAAATGGAATCGTCGAAAATCGCTGCTTACGCTATCACCACTGCTGTTCTTCTAATTCTGATCCCTGTTCTCGTTTTGAGATTTCTCTGGAAGCGGACAAGAAAGAGGATTTATGAAATACCATCATCGATCCTTGCTCGAGGAATTTTCAGTGCAACTCATCTCATTCCATTGCTCATTTTGCTCGTATGTTTTGGATATTTTCAACCGTGGAATCAATATATTGAAATGAATGCGACAAAAGAACATGTGAAGAGAGAAATTGAAAGTAGGTTGAATGGAAAATGTGGGGAACAGGTCTGATCGGAATCGGAATTCCGAAATTCCGAAACCGACAGGTTTTTCGGAATGAGACAAACGTGTCTCGGACTCGGAATCATTCCGGTGTTACTTCCGAAACTTTTTGGAATTTCGGAATATGTTTTTCTTCCGAATTTCGGAATTTTTCTACCGAATTTCGGAATGTTTGAGCTGAAATTAGTGAAAAATTCAACAAAAAAATGGAAAAATTAACGAATTTTACCTGTCAAAAAATCTCTTTTTCTCTTGTGATTCTCGAAAAATGTAACTTTTGAAGACAAATTTTTAAAGTTTTATATCATTAGTCGGCTGGTGCTAAGTTGTTGCTTAGCCAACCGCGATAAGAAAGATGAAAGTGGAGAGAACCACTTGTATATCGTGAAGATTTGAAACACAATTGATTCCCGATAATTTATTCTCAGGAACTGATTATGCAACAATAAAAACAAAAACAACAATGTGGATTGGTACCACCAACCTTTGACCTAGATTCCTAGATTACAACAAAAATGTGCACGAGTAATCCAACTCGCAAAACACAAAAACAAAACTAAATTCAAAATGAAAAACGAGGACGCGTTTGTGTGCACCTCAAACGCGTCAGTGAAGTGACACCGGACGTGTTTGTGGCACACGGCGGCAAGTTTGAATCAGGGAGACTGCTACTTCCCCCTCCTTCAAGCGAGACGTCCACGGCTCGTAGGGGTCCTAGGAAAAAAAAAAGTAAAAAAATGTGGGGAGGGAAAACCTATTAGGAAAAAACTTGGAATAAATCTAAATTGGACCAGCTGTATCGAATTCCTTCTCGATCAACGGATGTCGCTTGTCTCGATCTATCCAATCTCCACCACCATAAATATCAGCTTCGTGGCTCAATCGCTCCAAAACTTGAGCAGCCACCTCGTCAGCCAGACCATCAATGAATTTGCGAACCACAACATCCAATGACATTTTCGAAATACCAACTAGTGCAATTGGCTCCTTGTTCGGTCGACCTTCGACACCTGAACCACCGGATCCCGCCAACTTTCCAACACAATCCGCTGCATATCTCTCAGCCGTAGCCACTTTTCTCGATTTCGAGCTGGAATAATTCAAATAATTACATTGAACACCCGAAAATCCCTTTTTTCTTTCAACATTATTTTTCGCTGCGCTTTTTCTTTCAGGAACTTTTGTCGCTTCTTTGATCTGAACTGTTGAAACATTCGCAGAATTTCTTTCAATTCTTTTCACTTCTCCGGAAGAAACCACAATATTTGATTTCCACGCCAAATAAATTCCAAATTGTCCAAACGAATTTGATCCCAAAATAACAAATTTGGATTTGTTCTTCACAATCTCGAAATTGATTTGCGATGTTCTTCCTTTGATTTCAACCTCAATTTCAACTTGTTTTATAACTTTGATGATTTTTTGATTTGCATCAAAAATTTTCATATCTTCCGCAGGCTTTTCCCGAACTTTCTCTTGCCAATTTTTCAATCCTTCTTTCAAATATTCGAGCATTCCAGTTGACATCAACGAAACATCAGCTCCCGAATCAATCAAAATATCAACCATTTTACCGGCAATTTTCGACTTTTCCTTGATTTCAATCTGGTCTCCTTCGACTGTTTTGACTCGTTTAACTTCTTTCAATGGACATTTCGATGCAAAATGATCGGTACTTCTGCACTTGTAACATCTTGGTTTCTCCTCATCATCTTCCGATTCTTTTTCAGATTCCTTCTTTTGATCTTTGATCTTCTCTTCTTTGTTGTCTCGATTTTTGCGATTTTCACGTTTTTTCTCGTCATGTTCAAATTGAAGAGCAGCCGCTTTCAGTGGTGCGTACTGTTTTCCTTTTTCCAAATCGCTTCTTTTCATAACCAACAATCCACTTAGCATTGAATTTCTTCTTGTTGCCTGGAGCAACTTTGTCGTCTTCAAAATGTCAATTTGCAACTTCGGCAAATTTCCAAATGCTAATTTTGCAACTCTTTCCATCTCAATCAAATAATCCATGAGCGATTCATCCGATTTTCGTTCCATTGATAACCAATCTTCGTTGGCTTTTTCAGCTTTGTTGACTCTTGACGTGTTGAGAAGTTTCTCAAACTCTTGGACTTGTTTGTCCCACGTCCAATTCTCCTCGATATCCATCGATTCAAACACTTTCTTCGCAGATCCGCCGAGGAACTTTCCCGATAACAACATCGATTTCTCCCGTCTACTGCTCAAAATTGTTCCAAACTTCATATTGAAGACTGTCATAAATTCTTCGAAGTTCTCATCGCTTTTTCCAGTGAAAACTGGTGGATCTGGCAACGCTCCTGTGCGCATCCATCTTCCAATATCCGAATACTCCTTCTTTTTCTTTTCCTTCGCACTTGGTTCCAGATTTTCATCCTTGCGACTTCCAACATCAATTCCATTTGCATCATCATCATTCGGAAGGTATCTAACCCATTTCTCAGTATTAGATTTTTCACATCCAACTTCTTCGCCGCGCTTTTTATGAAAATTTTTAAAATTTCCCAAACACTCACTCTTTTTGCCATTTCCCATCATATTTCCACCATCTTGCTCAACTTCGGATTCATCAGACATCGACGATTTTCCATCATCATCATCAACAAAATCGCGAACTTGCACACTCGGTGTTGGTGATTGATCACGTAATCGCTTTTCTCCACAACATTTCATTTTCTCTTCCAATCTGGCAATACTTTGATCCTTTTCTGCGACGATTTTCGTTTGAGCTTCTAATTTGCTTTTCATTTCTTTCATCTGTAAAACAATGATTTCATTTGTTTTCTCTAACTCTTTCATCAAACCTTTCTGACTAGCTCCTTTCTCGAATAATCTTGAAACTTCATTGACATCTTCTACACCACATCTTGCTAGATATCGCAAAATTTTGGCTTCCTTTTCATTTGGCGACGCTCCGACACTCTCTTTTGCCTGTCCTTTCATCAACTCAACAAATACATCCTTGATATCCATAACCGGTTTCAACACATAATCGGCTTCTTGTTCCAGGAGATTTGAATCGTTTACGGCAACCTCTTTGGCTTTCTTGATCGCGTCGGCCACAACATTCTGCGCTTGAACCAAACATTCTTCCCATTTCGCTGAATCCATCACAAACATAGGGCTCTTGTCGGTCTCCTGAGCAATTTTCTGCTCTACGTCCTCCACGACTGTTGCTTCTGACAATTTTGTTGACTTCTTCTCACTTTTTGTCGACATCTTCCTTCAATTCTCACTGCAAAATAAACTTGATCGCTTTATTGAATTCGCGATGACTAATCAACAATTTGATTCAAAAAGTGATTTCGCCAACGCTTCCAACGTCCAAAAAATACGAAAAAGCAATTCACGAAGACGATTTGATTCAAATCGACTTTTAAAACGAAACAAGTCAGATTCTGGCTTGCAGGCTCAATTTGGTTCGGCCCCCAAGTCGGCTGGTGCTAAGTTGTTGCTTAGCCAACCGCGATAAGAAAGATGAAAGTGGAGAGAACCACTTGTATATCGTGAAGATTTGAAACACAATTGATTCCCGATAATTTATTCTCAGGAACTGATTATGCAACAATAAAAACAAAAACAACAATGTGGATTGGTACCACCAACCTTTGACCTAGATTCCTAGATTACAACAAAAATGTGCACGAGTAATCCAACTCGCAAAACACAAAAACAAAACTAAATTCAAAATGAAAAACGAGGACGCGTTTGTGTGCACCTCAAACGCGTCAGTGAAGTGACACCGGACGTGTTTGTGGCACACGGCGGCAAGTTTGAATCAGGGAGACTGCTACTCATTCCGAATCATTCCGAAAAATTCCGAAATTCCGAGGTAAAAATGACGGAATGGAGGTTCGGAATTCGGAATTACGATCTGACCACTCGGAAGGAATGTGCTCATTCCGAACCTTCCGACAAGGTCCATTCCGATCAGGCCTGGTGGGGAATTATTCAGAAATTTTTTTTTTGTAGTTCTCGACGAAAAAGCCGACACCGCCTCTGGAATATTACCCGGAACTGATAAAATTGTTATTTCGGATGCTGTGCGTGATGCGATGGTGGATAGTGAGAAAATATCGAAGGCTGTTTTTGATGAAATGAATGTCGCCTTGCCGCCACTGCAAAGTTTGACAGATTTCATAGAAAAAGAGAAACGATTCAAGGATCAAGTCAAACAAGGTACTTATTGCAAGAAACTGAAAAATCTGAGGGATACAACTGCTAAAGGAACTGTTGGCTTATACAGAACTTTGCAATCCATCAACAATAGGCCAAATGATTTTTATTTGACTCCATTGAAATCATTTCTTGTCGACGAAACCAGCAACAATAAAAATGAGTTGAAAAAAGGGATAATTGATATGGGTACATATTTGGAAACAGTTAGAACGGTAATAATTTTCTATTCTCATTTTTAGTTTAATTATTTCATACATTTTCAGAAATTAATCCGAGGATGGAAAGATTCTCTGGTTCAATTTGGCAACTCGTTCCATATGAGCAAAGACAAAATCTTTGTAACCATTCTTGTCACCGATATTTCACTGTTATATATTCCATCTGCATTTGTCCTTGTTTTTATTATTTGCTCAACTATAATCATCTGGACAACAGAATCTACTAAATTTAACCGTGTTCTACTTCTAGTCAACCAAGTTTTATTCTTCGTAATCGTCATCGTTGTTATCGCATGTGCAATTTTTTCATTCTTCGCACATTCATCGGAATGTTCAGCTGATGAAGATAAAACAGTTTATTTCAACTTTGATATTACGACTCGCGATGGTTCCACCAAAAACTCTCACAAGATTCTATCAACATGCTCATCAAATTTATTCGATTCGCCGAATGATGACATTTTGTTGGGAGACTTTGGATTATCCAAGAATTTGAAGACATTTATTGTTGGTAAAATGAGAGAACTGAAGAAAGAAGAAGAAACACACCATAAAACCAAGAGCAAACTTAAAAATGAAATTCCGACGGACTGGGATAATAAGAAATATTATTACTACGAATTGGGTGATTTGCCGAAAGATGAATGTTCTTCATCCAAGAGTTTGGTAGATGGAATTATTAAAGAGTTCGATGCAATTGTCAATCAAACAGACGCAACAATTGCCGCGCTGAACAAACGAGAAGATAATTGGGATGATTTGGAAGCGAAAGTTGGAAGGGCGGTGGATAAGCATATCCAAAATAGTGGTGGAATGATTACAGAACATGTCGACAAAATCAATGTGAGTTTTGATCACGAATCAAATCGCTGTCAGATAGAAAACAATTTTCCGCGAATTTTGTACAAAAATTTGATCTGAAATTTCAAAAATTCAATGTTCTATTCTTCCAGGATGGTATCGAAGTTCTGAATGTCGATTGCCAAACCACCAGAGCTCTATTCGCGAAAGTAAATGAATGTTCGAATGGTGCAACTATCGCATTTTTTGTTCTGCCACGATCCATTGTTTTCTTTGTCTTGGGAATGTGTACGATATATTTTCTGTTCACATATCGAAAATTCGGTCCAACTCGTCAAGATCCGTCACCTATCGTTGTCGAAAAGAAAATATTTATACCCATCGCAGGTCAATCTTTTCCACCATCTCCACCACCTCCAGAGGCTCGAGGGGCTCCAGCAGCTGCAGACATACCAGAAGCCGCAGAAGCGCCAGAAGCCGCAGAAGCACCAGCAGCGGCAGAAGCACCAGAAGCCGCAAAAAGCCCAAAGGTTGATGGCAGGAAGCAGTGGGCGGAAAGTAATTCCGATTTGGTAAGAAAATTGTAAATGATAAAAAAAATTTGTTTACTTCCAGACTTGCGCCGAAATCAAATGTAACTACTTGCAGGGGATCCGAAAACTAGGCTTGTCAGATCAAGAAATGATGAATTTAAACGATCTCATTGGAAAATTTCGATTTATGAATCCATGTGTGAAAGCTACGAGAGTTGCTCTGAAAAATAAAACAAACATTAAAAAAAGTTTTATACATGCAAATCGAGTCCCGATGCCCGATAAAACTGAATATATCGCAACAATTGCACCACTCGATAAAAATAAATTAGAATACACTTCAGACACAAAACCTGATTTTTGGGAGATGGTTTGGCAAGAAAAGGTTGGTTTTTTATTGATCGTAACAAAATACAAGGAGAATACAAAATATATTTTTTTTGTGAAAAGTCTGCGACTTTTAAAAATGATTTTGCTGAATTTTTGGCTCGTCGTCATTTTAATCGTGATTTTTGGAGATTCGTTTTAAAAACCTCTGTAACCTGAAAAAAGAAACATTTTCAGGTGGAAGTCATTGTGATGTTGTGTCAGATTGAGGAAGGTGGTAGAAAGCGATGCGCGGTTTATTTTCCACAAAAATTGAATGAAAAATTGACATTCGGAGATTATACAATTGAGTTGGTTGAAAACAAAGACAGTAAGATGGAGGGTGTTTGCTGGCGTCGTTTCGAAGTTACAAATTCAAAATCGGAAACGCGTGTCGTGAATCATTTGCAGTATCTGCATTGGCCGGATTTTGGAATACCAGAAGATCCAAATTCAATCATCAATTTGCTCGACTTTGTCAAAGAGTTCAAAAAACATCCGATCATTGTACATTGTGTTGCTGGTGTTGGTAGAACTGGTTGCTTTTTGGCAATTGAATGTGCTAATCAAATGTTGGAAGGTGGCCATCAAATGCGAGAAGTCATGAAAACTCTGCGTGGAATGCGAGCACAATCAGTCCAAACATCGTTGCAATATATATTTCTTCATGCATGTTTGTTCAAGTACTTTGAACAGGTTCAATTTTTTCCATTACTTTCAAAACATGAAAACAAATTTATTTAACTTTCAGCAACATTTTATTGATTCTCAGAAATTGGTCAATTTTTTTGTCGACTTCGCAGAGTATAGAAAGAACTCGAACAACTGGGATGATCCATCTGAAACTGAAGTGGAAGCGGGGAATGTTTTTGCGGAGGAAGAGAAAAACAAGAGAATAGGCAAAAAAAAGGAAAAGGAGGAAAAGAAGGAAAAGAAGGAAAACACGGAGAAAGTCGAAGATGCGACACAATTGGAGGAGGATCCAAAAAAGAATAATTTATAGAAGCAACTGACAATTATACTCGATGCTAGCTTTTTTTATCAAATAGTCACAAAATTTTTCAAAGCGTTTTTTATAGATGTGAATATTTACTTGTGAATGAAAATACTACTGGAAAACTTGTTAACATTACAGAAACAAAATAAAATAAAAATAATCGTGCGCGGGAGAACACACAAAAACGAGAGACGCATGACAAGTGAGTGAAAGCATCAACCGCGTTCCATTGCACTTCATTTTTTACTTTTATTTTTTGTTCGTTTTCAGCTGTTTTTTTTTGCGCAAAACGCGAGTTTCCTCTTTAAGTTCATAAAACGCTCAAAGTTTCAGCGTGGAAAATGAGTCAAAAAGTACAAAAGGTTCAAATTCATCCGCTGGTTATAATGCAAATGTCAGAACATTATTCGAGATTCAAAGTTCAGTAGGGAAGAGGTGTAAATGAGGTGAGAGAAGATTGAGAGCTTATAAGAAATGAGATATTTGCAGGTTTACGGTGCAATTCTCGGTTCAAAAAAAGATTGAAATTCAAAAAAAGATTAAAGTTCAAAAAAAGGTTAATTTATAAGAATTTCGAAAGTTTTTGATGAATCGAGCAGGTATGGCCTCTCGATTCATTTATAAGTTGAGAGGTACTGCCTCTCAACTCATAACCTTCGAAATTCAAAATTAACCCTTTAATAAACTCAAAAAATCCCTAACTTTTAGAATCTAATCACTAATTATCTAATTCTAATATCTCTAATAAAAAATAAGAAATTCTAAAAATTAGTTATCAATTCAACTTTAAAAAAAGGTTAATTTATAAGAATTTCGAAAGTTTTTGATGAATCGAGCAGGTACTGCCTCTCGATTCATTTATAAGTTGAGAGGTACTGCCTCTCAACTTATAACCTTCGAAATTCAAAATTAACCCCTTAATGAACTTGAAAAAATTCCTAATTTTTAGAATCTAATTACAAAAATATCACTAATTACCTAATTACCTAATTAAATATTTTCTAATAAAAAATAAGAAATTCTAAAATTAGTTATCAATTCAAGTTCAAAAAAAGTTAATTTATAAGAATTTCGAAAGTTTTTGATGAATCGAGCAGGTACTGCCTCTCGATTCATTTATAAGTTGAGAGGTACTGCCTCTCAACTCATAACCTTCGAAATTCAAAACTAACCCTTTAATAAACTCAAAAAATCCCTAATTTTTAGAATCTAATTACTAATTATCTAATTCTAATATCTCTAATAAAAAATAAGGAATTCCGAAAATTAGTGATTAATTCAAGTTCAAAAAAAAGTTAATTTATAAGAATTTCGAAAGTTTTTTATGAATCGAGCAGGTATGGCCTCTCGATTCATTTATAAGTTGAGAGGTACTGCCTCTCAACTCATAACTTTCGAAATTCAAAACTAACCCTTTAATAAACTCAAAAAAATCCCTAATTTTTAGAATCTAATTACTAATTATCTAATTCTAATATCTCTAATAAAAAATAAGGAATTCCAAAAATTAGTGATTAATTCAAGTTCAAAAAAAAGTTAATTTATAAGAATTTCGAAAGTTTTTGATGAATCGAGCAGGTATGGCCTCTCGATTCATTTATAAGTTGAGAGGTACTGCCTCTCAACTCATAACCTTCGAAATTCAAAATTAACCCTTTAATAAACTCAAAAAAATCCCTAACTTTTAGAATCTAATCACTAATTATCTAATTCTAATATCTCTAATAAAAAATAAGAAATTCTAAAATTAGTTATCAATTCAAGTTCAAAAAAAGTTAATTTATAAGAATTTCGAAAGTTTTTGATGAATCGAGCAGGTACTGCCTCTCGATTCATTTATAAGTTGAGAGGTACTGCCTCTCAACTCATAACCTTCGAAATTCAAAACTAACCCTTTAATAAACTCAAAAAAATCCCTAATTTTTAGAATCTAATTACTAATTATCTAATTCTAATATCTCTAATAAAAAATAAGGAATTCCGAAAATTAGTGATTAATTCAAGTTCAAAAAAAAGTTAATTTATAAGAATTTCGAAAGTTTTTTATGAATCGAGCAGGTATGGCCTCTCGATTCATTTATAAGTTGAGAGGTACTGCCTCTCAACTCATAACTTTCGAAATTCAAAACTAACCCTTTAATAAACTCAAAAAATCCCTAATTTTTAGAATCTAATTACTAATTATCTAATTCTAATATCTCTAATAAAAAATAAGGAATTCCAAAAATTAGTGATTAATTCAAGTTCAAAAAAAGTTAATTTATAAGAATTTCGAAAGTTTTTTATGAATCGAGCAGGTATGGCCTCTCGATTCATTTATAAGTTGAGAGGTACTGCCTCTCAACTTATAACCTTCGAAATTCAAAATTAACCCCTTAATGAACTTGAAAAAATTCCTAATTTTTAGAATCTAATTACAAAAATATCACTAATTACCTAATTACCTAATTAAATATTCTCTAATAAAAAATAAGAAATTCTAAAATTAGTTATCAATTCAAGTTCAAAAAAAAGTTAATTTATAAGAATTTCGAAAGTTTTTTATGAATCGAGCAGGTATGGCCTCTCGATTCATTTATAAGTTGAGAGGTACTGCCTCTCAACTTATAACCTTCGAAATTCAAAATTAACCCCTTAATGAACTTGAAAAAATTCCTAATTTTTAGAATCTAATTACAAAAATATCACTAATTACCTAATTACCTAATTAAATATTCTCTAATAAAAAATAAGAAATTCTAAAATTAGTTATCAATTCAAGTTCAAAAAAAAGTTAATTTATAAGAATTTCGAAAGTTTTTTATGAATCGAGCAGGTATGGCCTCTCGATTCATTTATAAGTTGAGAGGTACTGCCTCTCAACTCATAACCTTCGAAATTCAAAATTAACCCTTTAATAAACTCAAAAAAATCCCTAATTTTTAGAATCTAATTACTAATTATCTAATTCTAATATCTCTAATAAAAAATAAGGAATTCCAAAAATTAGTGATTAATTCAAGTTAAAAAAAAGGTTAATTTATTAGAATTTCGAAAGTTTTTTATGAATCGAGCAGGTATGGCCTCTCGATTCATTTATAAGTTGAGAGGTACTGCCTCTCAACTCATAACTTTCGAAATTCAAAACTAACCCTTTAATAAACTCAAAAAATCCCTAATTTTTAGAATCTAATTACTAATTATCTAATTCTAATATCTCTAATAAAAAATAAGGAATTCCAAAAAATTAGTGATTAATTCAAGTTCAAAAAAAGTTAATTTATAAGAATTTCGAAAGTTTTTTATGAATCGAGCAGGTATGGCCTCTCGATTCATTTATAAGTTGAGAGGTACTGCCTCTCAACTTATAACCTTCGAAATTCAAAATTAACCCCTTAATGAACTTGAAAAAATTCCTAATTTTTAGAATCTAATTACAAAAATATCACTAATTACCTAATTACCTAATTAAATATTCTCTAATAAAAAATAAGAAATTCTAAAATTAGTTATCAATTCAAGTTCAAAAAAGTTAATTTATAAGAATTTCGAAAGTTTTTTATGAATCGAGCAGGTATGGCCTCTCGATTCATTTATAAGTTGAGAGGTACTGCCTCTCAACTTATAACCTTCGAAATTCAAAATTAACCCCTTAATGAACTTGAAAAAATTCCTAATTTTTAGAATCTAATTACAAAAATATCACTAATTACCTAATTACCTAATTAAATATTCTCTAATAAAAAATAAGAAATTCTAAAATTAGTTATCAATTCAAGTTCAAAAAAAGTTAATTTATAAGAATTTCGAAAGTTTTTTATGAATCGAGCAGGTATGGCCTCTCGATTCATTTATAAGTTGAGAGGTACTGCCTCTCAACTCATAACCTTCGAAATTCAAAATTAACCCTTTAATAAACTCAAAAAATCCCTAATTTTTAGAATCTAATTACTAATTATCTAATTCTAATATCTCTAATAAAAAATAAGGAATTCCAAAAATTAGTGATTAATTCAAGTTAAAAAAAGGTTAATTTATTAGAATTTCGAAAGTTTTTTATGAATCGAGCAGGTACTGCCTCTCGATTCATTTATAAGTTGAGAGGTACTGCTTCTCAACTCATAACTTTCGAAATTCAAAACTAACCCTTAATTAAACTCAAAAAAATCCCTAATTTTTAGAATCTAATTACTAAAAATCACTAATTACCTAATTAAATATTCTCTAATAACAAATTCCAAAAATTAGTGATTAATTCAAGTTAAAAAAAAAGGTTAATTTATTAGAATTTCGAAAGTTTTTTATGAATCGAGCAGGTATGGCCTCTCGATTCATTTATAAGTTGAGAGGTACTGCCTCTCAACTCATAACCTTCGAAATTCAAAATTAACCCTTTAATAAACTCAAAAAATCCCTAATTTTTAGAATCTAATTACTAATTATCTAATTCTAATTAAATATCTCTAATAAAAAATAAGGAATTCCAAAAATTAGTGATTAATTCAAGTTAAAAAAAGGTTAATTTATTAGAATTTCGAAAGTTTTTTATGAATCGAGCAGGTACTGCCTCTCGATTCATTTATAAGTTGAGAGGTACTGCTTCTCAACTCATAACTTTCGAAATTCAAAACTAACCCTTAATTTAAACTCAAAAAATCCCTAATTTTTTAGAATCTAATTACTAAAAATCACTAATTACCTAATTAAATATTCTCTAATAACAAATAACAAATTCCAAAATTAGTGATTAATTCAAGTTAAAAAAAAAGGTTAATTTATTAGAATTTCGAAAGTTTTTTATGAATCGAGCAGGTACTGCCTCTCGATTCATTTATAAGTTGAGAGGTACTGCTTCTCAACTCATAACTTTCGAAATTCAAAACTAACCCTTAATTAAACTCAAAAAAATCCCTAATTTTTAGAATCTAATTACCTAAAAATCACTAATTACCTAATTAAATATTCTCTAATAACAAATTCCAAAAATTAGTGATTAATTCAAGTTTAAAAAAGGTTAATTTATTAGAATTTCGAACGTTTTTTATGAATCGAGCAGGTACTGCCTCTCGATTCATTTATAAGTTGAGAGGTACTGCCTCTCAACTTATAACTTTCGAAATTCAAAACTAACCCTTAATTAAACTCAAAAAAATCCCTAATTTTTAGAATCTAATTACCTAAATATCACTAATTACCTAATTAAATATTCTCTAATAACAAATTCCAAAAATTAGTGATTAATTCAAGTTTAAAAAAAGGTTAATTTATTAGAATTTCGAAAGTTTTTTATGAATCGAGCAGGTACTGCCTCTCGATTCATTTATAAGTTGAGAGGTACTGCCTCTCAACTCATAACCTTCGAAATTCAAAACTAACCCTTAATTAAACTCAAAAAAATCCCTAATTTTTAGAATCTAATTACCTAAATATCACTAATTACCTAATTAAATATTCTCTAATAACAAATTCCAAAAATTAGTGATTAATTCAAGTTAAAAAAAAGGTTAATTTATTAGAATTTCGAACGTTTTTTATGAATCGAGCAGGTACTGCCTCTCGATTCATTTATAAGTTGAGAGGTACTGCCTCTCAACTTATAACTTTCGAAATTCAAAACTAACCCTTAATTAAACTCAAAAAAATCCCTAATTTTTAGAATCTAATTACTAAAAATCACTAATTACCTAATTAAATATTCTCTAATAACAAATTCCAAAAATTAGTGATTAATTCAAGTTTAAAAAAAGGTTAATTTATTAGAATTTCGAAAGTTTTTTATGAATCGAGCAGGTACTGCCTCTCGATTCATTTATAAGTTGAGAGGTACTGCCTCTCAACTTATAACTTTCGAAATTCAAAACTAACCCTTAATTAAACTCAAAAAAATCCCTAATTTTTAGAATCTAATTACCTAAATATCACTAATTACCTAATTAAATATTCTCTAATAACAAATTCCAAAAATTAGTGATTAATTCAAGTTAAAAAAAAGGTTAATTTATTAGAATTTCGAACGTTTTTTATGAATCGAGCAGGTACTGCCTCTCGATTCATTTATAAGTTGAGAGGTACTGCCTCTCAACTTATAACTTTCGAAATTCAAAACTAACCCTTAATTAAACTCAAAAAAATCCCTAATTTTTAGAATCTAATTACCTAAATATCACTAATTACCTAATTAAATATTCTCTAATAACAAATTCCAAAAATTAGTGATTAATTCAAGTTAAAAAAAGGTTAATTTATTAGAATTTCGAAAGTTTTTTATGAATCAAGCAGGTACTGCCTCTCGATTCATTTATAAGTTGAGAGGTACTGCCTCTCAACTCATAACTTTCGAAATTCAAACTAACCCTTAATTAAACTCAAAAAAAACCCCTAATTTTTAGAACCTAATTACTAAAAATCACTAATTTCCTAATTCTAATTTATCTCAATTCTCAAACTTTCGAAATTTCTAATTCTAAACCCGAAAAGTAAATAAACTAACTTCACTGCAATTGTCCTCGTCCTCCTCCTTGTCGTCGATGTGTGGCTTCGGAGTGGTGCAAATTGGTGGTGGTGGTGGTGGTGTTGGTGTTGTTGAGCAGCGTCGGAGTGACGGAGTGACGGCTACTTGAAGTGACGGCGACTTGAAAACACGGCGATTTGGCGAGCAGGAGACTTGAAGAGACGGCGATTGTGCGGCAAAAGCAGAACAGCAGCTGGATACGGCTCTCGTAGTTCCTGGGAAAAAAACGGAACAAAAATCTAGAAAACCCTTCGAAAATCAAAATTAACCCCTAATTAAACTCAAAAAAATCCCTAATTTTTAGAATCTAATTACCTAATTCTAATATCTCTAATAAAAAATAAGAAATTATAAAAATTAGTTATCAATTCAAGTTTAAAAAAAGGTTAATTTATTAGAATTTCGAAAGTTTTTTATGAATCGAGCAGGTATTGCCTCTCGATTCATTTATAAGTTGAGAGGTACTGCCTCTCAACTCATAACTTTCGAAATTCAAACTAACCCTTAATTAAACTCAAAAAAATCCCTAATTTTTAGAATCTAATTACCTAATTAAATATTCTCTAATAAAAAATAAGAAATTATAAAAATTAGTTATCAATTCAAGTTTAAAAAAAGGTTAATTTATTAGAATTTCGAAAGTTTTTTATGAATCGAGCAGGTACTGCCTCTCGATTCATTTATAAGTTGAGAGGTACTGCTTCTCAACTCATAACTTTCGAAATTCAAACTAACCCTTAATTAAACTCAAAAAAAATCCATAATTTTTAGAATCTAATTACCTAATTAAATATTCTCTAATAAAAAATAAGAAATTATAAAAATTAGTTATCAATTCAAGTTTAAAAAAAGGTTAATTTATTAGAATTTCGAAAGTTTTTTATGAATCGAGCAGGTACTGCCTCTCGATTCATTTATAAGTTGAGAGGTACTGCCTCTCAACTCATAACTTTCGAAATTCAAACTAACCCTTAATTAAACTCAAAAAAAATCCCTAATTTTTAGAATCTAATTACCTAATTAAATATTCTCTAATAAAAAATAAGAAATTATAAAAATTAGTTATCAATTCAAGTTTAAAAAAAGGTTAATTTATTAGAATTTCGAAAGTTTTTTATGAATCGAGCAGGTACTGCCTCTCGATTCATTTATAAGTTGAGAGGTACTGCCTCTCAACTCATAACTTTCGAAATTCAAACTAACCCTTAATTAAACTCAAAAAAAATCCCTAATTTTTAGAATCTAATTACCTAAATATAACTAATTACCTAATTAAATATTCTCTAATAACAAATTCCAAAAATTAGTGATTAATTCAAGTTAAAAAAAAGGTTAATTTATTAGAATTTCGAAAGTTTTTTATGAATCGAGCAGGTACTGCCTCTCGATTCATTTATAAGTTGAGAGGTACTGCCTCTCAACTCATAACTTTCGAAATTCAAAATTCACCCTTAATTAAACTCAAAAAAACCCCTAATTTTTAGAACCTAATTACTAAAAATCACTAATTTTCTAATTCTAATTTATCTCAATTCTCAAACTTTCAAATATTCTAATTCTAAACCCGAAAAGTAAATAAACTAACTTCTCCGCAATTGTCCTCGTCCTCCTCCTTGTCGTCGATGTGTGGCTTCCGAGTGGTGCAAATTGGTGGTGGTGGTGGTGGTGTTGGTGTTGTTGAGCAGCGTCGGAGTGACGGAGTGACGGCGACTTGACGTGGCGGCTACTTGAAGTGACGGCGACTTGAAAACACGGCGATTTGGCGAGCAGGAGACTTGAAGAGACGGCGATTGTGCGGCAAAAGCAGAACAGCAGCTGGATACGGCTCTCGTAGTTCCTGGGAAAAAAAAACGGAACAAAAATCTAGAAAACCCTTCGAAAATCAAAATTAACCCTTAATTAAACTCAAAAAAATCCCTAATTTTTAGAATCTAATTACTAAAATATCACTAATTACCTAATTCTAACTTCTCTAATAAAAAATATGAAATTCTAAAAATTAGTTATCAATTCAAGTTCAAGTTCAAATTCAAAACTAACCCTTTAATTAAACTCAAAAAAATCCCTAATTTTTAGAATCTAATTACCTAAATATCACTAATTACCTAATTAAATATTTTCTAATAACAAATTCCAAAAATTAGTGATTAATTCAAGTTAAAAAAAGGTTAATTTATTAGAATTTCGAAAGTTTTTTATGAATCGAGCAGGTACTGCCTCTCGATTCATTTATAAGTTGAGAGGTACTGCTTCTCAACTCATAACTTTCGAAATTCAAAACTAACCCTTAATTAAACTCAAAAAAATCCCTAATTTTTAGAATCTAATTACCTAAATATCACTAATTACCTAATTAAATATTTTCTAATAACAAATTCCAAAAATTAGTGATTAATTCAAGTTAAAAAAAAGGTTAATTTATTAGAATTTCGAAAGTTTTTTATGAATCGAGCAGGTACTGCCTCTCGATTCATTTATAAGTTGAGAGGTACTGCCTCTCAACTTATAACCTTCGAAATTCCAAATTAACCCTTAATTAAACTCAAAAAAAACCCTAATTTTTAGAATCTAATTACTTAAATATCACTAATTACCTAATTCTAATATCTCTAATAAAAAAAAGAAATTCTAAAAATTAGTTATGAATTCAAGTTAAAAAAAAAGGTTAATTTATAAGAATTTCGAAAGTTTTTTATGAATCGAGCAGGTACTGCCTCTCGATTCATTTATAAGTTGAGAGGTACTGCCTCTCAACTTATAACCTTCGAAATTCAAACTAACCCTTAATTAAACTCAAAAAAACCCCTAATTTTTAGAAACTAATTACTAATTACCTAATTAAATATTCTCTAATAAAAAATAAGAAATTCCAAAAATTAGTGATTAATTCAAGTTAAAAAAAAGGTTAATTTATTAGAATTTCGAAAGTTTTTTATGAATCGAGCAGGTACTGCCTCTCGATTCATTTATAAGTTGAGAGGTACTGCCTCTCAACTCATAACTTTCGAAATTCAAACTAACCCTTAATTAAACTCAAAAAAATCCCTAATTTTTAGAATCTAATTACTAAAAATCACTAATTACCTAATTAAATATTCTCTAATAAAAAATAACAAATTCTATAAATTAGTGATTTATTCAAGTTAAAAAAAAGGTTAATTAATTAGAATTTCGAAAGTTTTTTATGAATCGAGCAGGTACTGCCTCTCGATTCATTTATAAGTTGAGAGGTACTGCCTCTCAACTTATAACCTTCGAAATTCAAACTAACCCTTAATTAAACTCAAAAAAATCCCTAATTTTTAGAATCTAATTACTAAAAATCACTAATTACCTAATTAAATATTCTCTAATAAAAAATAACAAATTCTATAAATTAGTGATTTATTCAAGTTAAAAAAAAGGTTAATTAATTAGAATTTCGAAAGTTTTTTATGAATCGAGCAGGTACTGCCTCTCGATTAATTTATAAGTTGAGAGGTACTGCCTCTCAACTCATAACTTTCGAAATTCAAACTAACCCTTAATTAAACTCAAAAAATCCCTAATTTTTAGAATCTAATTACTAAAAATCACTAATTACCTAATTAAATATTCTCTAATAAAAATTAACAAATTCTATAAATTAGTGATTTATTCAAGTTAAAAAAAGGTTAATTAATTAGAATTTCGAAAGTTTTTTATGAATCGAGCAGGTACTGCCTCTCGATTCATTTATAAGTTGAGAGGTACTGCCGCTCAACTCATAACCTTCGAAATTCAAAATTAACCCCTTATTGAACTTAAAAAAATCCCTAATTTTTAGAATCTAATTAATTAAATATCACTACTTATCTAAATCTAATATCTCTAATAAAAAAAGAGAATTATTAAAATTAGTTCTTAATTCAAACTCAAAAAAAACCCTAATTTTTAGAATCTAACTACAAAAATATCACTAATTTCCTAATTCTAATTTATCTCAATTCTTAAACTTTCAAAAATTTCTAATTCTAAACCCGAAAAGTAAATAAACTAACTTCACTGCAATTGTCCTCGTCCTCCTCCTTGTCGTCGATGTGTGGCTTCCGAGTGGTGCAAATTGGTGGTGGTGGTGGTGGTGTTGGTGTTGGTGTTGTTGAGCAGCGTCGGAGTGACGGAGTGACGGCGACTTGACGTGGCGGCTACTTGAAGTGACGGCGACTTGAAAACACGGCGATTTGGCGAGCAGGAGACTTGAAGAGACGGCGACTTGTACGGCAAACGCAGAACAGCAGCTGGATACGGCTCTCGTAGTTCCTGGGAAAAAAAACGGAACAAAAATCTAGAAAACCCTTCGAAAATCAAAATTAACCCTTAATTAAACTCAAAAAAACCCCTAATTTTTAGAATCTAATTACTAAAAATCACTAATTACCTAATTAAATATTCTCTAATAACAAATTCCAAAAATTAGTGATTAATTCAAGTTAAAAAAAAGGTTAATTAATTAGAATTTCGAAAGTTTTTGATGAATCGAGCAGGTACTGCCTCTCGATTCATTTATAAGTTGAGAGGTACTGCCTCTCAACTCATAACTTTCGAAATTCAAACTAACCCTTAATTAAACTCAAAAAAACCCCTAATTTTTAGAATATAACTACAAAAATATCACTAATTACCTAATTAAATATTTTCTAATAAAAAATAAGGAATTCTAAAAATTAGTAATCAATTCAAGTTCAAAAAAAGGTTAATTTATAAGAATTTCGAAAGTTTTTTATGAATCGAGCAGGTACTGCCTCTCGATTCATTTATAAGTTGAGAGGTACTGCCTCTCAACTTATAACCTTCGAAATTCAAAACTAACCCTTTAATAAACTCAAAAAAATCCCTAATTTTTAGAATCTAATTACCTAAATATCTAATACTAATATCTCTAATAAAAAATAAGAAATTCTAAAAATTAGTGATTAATTCAAGTTCAAAAAAGGTTAATTTATTAGAATTTCGAAAGTTTTTTATGAATCGAGCAGGTACTGCCTCTCGATTCATTTATAAGTTGAGAGGTACTGCCTCTCAACTTATAACCTTCGAAATTCAAAACTAACCCTTTAATAAACTCAAAAAAATCCCTAATTTTTAGAATCTAATTACTAAAAATCACTAATTACCTAATTAAATATTCTCTAATAACAAATTCCAAAAATTAGTGATTAATTCAAGTTCAAAAAAAAGGTTAATTTATTAGAATTTCGAAAGTTTTTGATGAATCGAGCAGGTACTGCCTCTCGATTCATTTATAAGTTGAGAGGTACTGCCTCTCAACTCATAACTTTCGAAATTCAAACTAACCCTTAATTAAACTCAAAAAAACCCCTAATTTTTAGAATCTAACTACAAAAATATCACTAATTACCTAATTAAATATTTTCTAATAAAAAATAAGGAATTCTAAAAATTAGTGATTAATTCAAGTTCAAAAAAAGGTTAATTTATAAGAATTTCGAAAGTTTTTTATGAATCGAGCAGGTACTGCCTCTCGATTAATTTATAAGTTGAGAGGTACTGCCTCTCAACTCATAACTTTCGAAATTCAAACTAACCCTTAATTAAACTCAAAAAATCCCTAATTTTTAGAATCTAATTACTAAAAATCACTAATTACCTAATTAAATATTCTCTAATAAAAAATAACAAATTCTATAAATTAGTGATTTATTCAAGTTAAAAAAAGGTTAATTAATTAGAATTTCGAAAGTTTTTTATGAATCGAGCAGGTACTGCCTCTCGATTCATTTATAAGTTGAGAGGTACTGCCTCTCAACTTATAACCTTCGAAATTCAAAACTAACCCTTTAATAAACTCAAAAAAATCCCTAATTTTTAGAATCTAATTACTAATTATCTAATTCTAATATCTCTAATAAAGAATAAGAAATTATAAAAATTAGTTATCAATTCAAGTTCAAAAAAAGGTTAATTTATAAGAATTTCGAAAGTTTTTTATGAATCGAGCAGGTACTGCCTCTCGATTCATTTATAAGTTGAGAGGTACTGCCGCTCAACTCATAACCTTCGAAATTCAAAATTAACCCCTTATTGAACTTAAAAAATCCCTAATTTTTAGAATCTAATTAATTAAATATCACTACTTATCTAAATCTAATATCTCTAATAAAAAAAGAGAATTATTAAAATTAGTTCTTAATTCAAACTCAAAAAAAACCCTAATTTTTAGAATCTAACTACAAAAATATCACTAATTTCCTAATTCTAATTTATCTCAATTCTTAAACTTTCAAAAATTTCTAATTCTAAACCCGAAAAGTAAATAAACTAACTTCACTGCAATTGTCCTCGTCCTCCTCCTTGTCGTCGATGTGTGGCTTCCGAGTGGTGCAAATTGGTGGTGGTGGTGGTGGTGTTGGTGTTGGTGTTGTTGAGCAGCGTCGGAGTGACGGAGTGACGGCGACTTGACGTGGCGGCTACTTGAAGTGACGGCGACTTGAAAACACGGCGATTTGGCGAGCAGGAGACTTGAAGAGACGGCGACTTGTACGGCAAACGCAGAACAGCAGCTGGATACGGCTCTCGTAGTTCCTGGGAAAAAAAACGGAACAAAAATCTAGAAAACCCTTCGAAAATCAAAATTAACCCTTAATTAAACTCAAAAAAACCCCTAATTTTTAGAATCTAATTACTAAAAATCACTAATTACCTAATTAAATATTCTCTAATAACAAATTCCAAAAATTAGTGATTAATTCAAGTTAAAAAAAAGGTTAATTAATTAGAATTTCGAAAGTTTTTGATGAATCGAGCAGGTACTGCCTCTCGATTCATTTATAAGTTGAGAGGTACTGCCTCTCAACTCATAACTTTCGAAATTCAAACTAACCCTTAATTAAACTCAAAAAAACCCCTAATTTTTAGAATATAACTACAAAAATATCACTAATTACCTAATTAAATATTTTCTAATAAAAAATAAGGAATTCTAAAAATTAGTAATCAATTCAAGTTCAAAAAAAGGTTAATTTATAAGAATTTCGAAAGTTTTTTATGAATCGAGCAGGTACTGCCTCTCGATTCATTTATAAGTTGAGAGGTACTGCCTCTCAACTTATAACCTTCGAAATTCAAAACTAACCCTTTAATAAACTCAAAAAAATCCCTAATTTTTAGAATCTAATTACCTAAATATCTAATACTAATATCTCTAATAAAAAATAAGAAATTCTAAAAATTAGTGATTAATTCAAGTTCAAAAAAAGGTTAATTTATTAGAATTTCGAAAGTTTTTTATGAATCGAGCAGGTACTGCCTCTCGATTCATTTATAAGTTGAGAGGTACTGCCTCTCAACTTATAACCTTCGAAATTCAAAACTAACCCTTTAATAAACTCAAAAAAATCCCTAATTTTTAGAATCTAATTACTAAAAATCACTAATTACCTAATTAAATATTCTCTAATAACAAATTCCAAAAAATTAGTGATTAATTCAAGTTCAAAAAAAGGTTAATTTATTAGAATTTCGAAAGTTTTTGATGAATCGAGCAGGTACTGCCTCTCGATTCATTTATAAGTTGAGAGGTACTGCCTCTCAACTCATAACTTTCGAAATTCAAACTAACCCTTAATTAAACTCAAAAAAACCCCTAATTTTTAGAATCTAACTACAAAAATATCACTAATTACCTAATTAAATATTTTCTAATAAAAAATAAGGAATTCTAAAAATTAGTGATTAATTCAAGTTCAAAAAAAGGTTAATTTATAAGAATTTCGAAAGTTTTTTATGAATCGAGCAGGTACTGCCTCTCGATTAATTTATAAGTTGAGAGGTACTGCCTCTCAACTCATAACCTTCGAAATTCGAAATTAACCCTTAATTAAACTCAAAAAAACCCCTAATTTTTAGAATCTAACTACAAAAATATCACTAATTACCTAATTAAATATTTTCTAATAAAAAATAAGGAATTCTAAAAATTAGTGATTAATTCAAGTTCAAAAAAGGTTAATTTATAAGAATTTCGAAAGTTTTTTATGAATCGAGCAGGTACTGCCTCTCGATTAATTTATAAGTTGAGAGGTACTGCCTCTCAACTCATAACCTTCGAAATTCGAAATTAACCCTTAATTAAACTCAAAAAAATCCCTAATTTTTAGAATCTAATTACCTAAATATCTAATACTAATATCTCTAATAAAAAATAAGAAATTCTAAAAATTAGTGATTAATTCAAGTTCAAAAAAAGGTTAATTTATTAGAATTTCGAAAGTTTTTTATGAATCGAGCAGGTACTGCCTCTCGATTCATTTATAAGTTGAGAGGTACTGCCTCTCAACTCATAACCTTCGAAATTCAAAATTAACCCTTAATTAAACTCAAAAAAATCCCTAATTTTTAGAATCTAATTACTAAAAATCACTAATTACCTAATTAAATATTCTCTAATAAGAAATTCCAAAAATTAGTCATCAATTCAAGTTCAAAAAAAAAGTTAATTTTTATAGAATTTCGAAAGTTTTTTATGAATCGAGCAGGTACTGCCTCTCGATTCATTTATAAGTTGAGAGGTACTGCCTCTCAACTCATAACCTTCGAAATTCGAAATTAACCCTTAATTAAACTCAAAAAAATCCCTAATTTTTAGAATCTAATTACCTAAATATCACTAATTATCTAAATCTAATATCTCTAATAAAAAAAGAGAATTATTAAAATTAGTTCTTAATTCAAACTCAAAAAAAACCCTAATTTTTAGAATCTAACTACAAAAATATCACTAATTTCCTAATTCTAATTTATCTCAATTCTTAAACTTTCAAAAATTTCTAATTCTAAACCCGAAAAGTAAATAAACTAACTTCTCCGCAATTGTCCTCGTCCTCCTCCTTGTCGTCGATGTGTGGCTTCCGAGTGGTGCAAATTGGTGGTGGTGATGGTGGTGGTGTTGAGCAGCGTCGGAGTTGAGAAGACTGACTGAGAAGTGGCAACTGGCAATTCTGGAAAAAAATCATTAGTATCAGAAATTTGGGAAAGTCAGTCGATGGGGGATATCAAAAACACATTGCAAAAAAATCATTTATTTATTTATTGTTGAGCGCACGATGCGCTAGCGGCAAAATCTAGAAACAGCCCGATATATACCAGAAAAATGGAAATTTCCAGATTTCTGGCGAGCCAGGCATGTCTCTAGATTTTGCCACTATACTCGAGCTCGAAAAAGATAAATTCTCAGTCAAAAGACTGAGAACCCTTTACTACGAGCTCGAGGCCACCATCAGCAACGGAAGACGGCGATTGGACGTGACGGCGACTTGACGTGACGGCGACTTGACGTGACGGCGACTTGACGTGACGGCGACTTGACGTGACGGCGACCTGACGAGACGGCGACTTGAGTAGACGGCGACTTGAGTAGACGGCGACTTGAAGGTACGGCGACTTGAAAACACGGCGATTTGGCAAGCAGGCGATTTGACGTGACGGCGACTTGGACAGCAAAAGCAGAACAGCAGCTGGATACGGCTCTCGTAGTTACTGAAAAAAAAACAACAAAACGGAAAAGCAAAAAAAAACTAGAAAAATAAACGAAAACTCATCTGAACATCAATCCTTCGAGCAAAACAGCATGAAGTGGCGGCTGAAGACGACAGCAGGCAGCAATTGGGCAGCATGACGTGGCAGCATGACGTGGCAGCATTTGGGCAGCATGACGACAGCAGGCAGCAATTGGGCAGCATGACGTGGCAGCATTTGGGCAGCATTCGGGCAGCATGACGACAGCAGGTGGCAATTGGGCAGCATGACGAGAGCAGGAAGAGGTCTCCCGTAAGAGGAGAATATGCCAAATAACGCCGAACGCTCGCCTTTTATACCCCAAACTAGACTATAGTCTAGCAAATTCAAAACTTCCCGCCGCCGCCCACCAATTCGGATCAAAAAATATTTATTTTTGTGTGGGCGAGAGAACACACAAAAACGAGAGACGCCAGAGTGAGAACAGCAAACGCGCTCCATTGCACATCATTTTTTCTCAGCGATTTGGGATGAGAAACCGGCGACGAATTGGCGATGAATCGCCGACGAACAACTGGAAAGTCGCTTGGCAACCGTCGGTTTCTCAGTTGTTCATCGCCAGTTCGTCGCCGGTTTCTCGCATGTGTGTGCGCTAGAGCGAGCTTGCAGTTTCACTTTTTCATCGCGGTTTTTTGCTTTCTACGAATTTATAGGTAGGAATCAGTTCATAAAATGCTTTTATTATCATAAAACATAGTGAATAGCAAATGCTCAAAAATAAGAGTACATGTAATGTTTAAAAGTCACCTTATACAGGAGTAATTAGTGAAAATGACATTTTATAAGTCCCTGTTCAGCGTTTTCTGGTGAAAATTTCGATTGATATGTTCTCTTTGTTGTGTCATCAGAATGTGCATCAGTTTTGTAGAGAATAATGTGATGATGAAGTTGTTGAACAGTTTCCATAACATCTAGGCACAACCAATCTCTGTAAATTGTATTCATTATAAACTTGATAAATATTATTTTACGGCGTCCAAGTGAAAAAGAAGCGTACGCGAAAACGCATAGAATCGCGTAACTTTTGCAAAACAACGTGTGTTTGGACAAAAAAAGCGTAGGTCTTAGCGATTCTACGTTTTTTTCACTTGGACGCCGTATTATCAACATACCTTCGCAGTGATATTTCATTGAACATTCTTGAAGATACAATCGAACATGTTTCGGCATCGTAGTCTGTAAAATTTGAGTATGGAAGTATCTATTATCATATTGTATTTGAATGTACTTATTCATATTGAGGCCGCGTTCTTGGAATAAGTTAAGATGTAATTGAAAGTTTATATCTTGGTTTCACTCTGTACTCAGAAAACGTCTCGTCAACCGTCCGCGAGCCGGCAGACGGCCGTCGAATTCTGATACTAATTTGTCAGTTTTCTAGCTCGCAGACTGTTAGGTTCTGCCAGCTAGCAACCTCGCGGCGAGCAGTCGAAATGCCTCTGCTAGCTTTCGACAGCTCGCAACCTCGCGGACGGCTGACGAAAAGTTTTCTGAGTATACCGTTCCTGTCTATAGTGAGAAAAGATATTCAGACACAATACTTAGTGAATGATCAATTTTTGACGGACATTCTAAGAAATGAGATAATAATTCCAGTGAAGTTCACGTTTCGCAAATTTTCTTAATCCATTGTTATTTATATCTGACAGGAAATCATAAACTCTAGCCTCTGTCATGACGGTTTCACAACACTTCATGAGATAAATGAATAAATAACTCACCATTATATCAACTCTGTGCCGCTCCAATCGCAAGGTTTCGCGTTATTCAGCCAAATCTCATAATTTTCAAGTGACATGTCTGAGTGTTCAAAGTAGGTTGCATGCTGGACCGTTGGTGGTTGAGAATAGCTTACGTGTCACAGGACAGTTCATTGATATCTATCTAAATTAATCCAGATTTTTACAATCATTTCGAAATGTGAACAATTCATCTCACCTGACTTTTTATTGCAAAATAGTTATTCCCTACATTCTAGTTGATATGTTGATTTTGTAATCGCCAACAAGCAGAACTTCATTCACAACATACTGAAAATACTTTGTAAATAGGCTACAACTGAAGGTTGATACGAAAAACAGGCGAAAACAAAAAGAAACTTCAAAAAACATCGCTCATTTTTGAAAAAAACATGTTTTTTCGAGCGCGAAAGCAATGTTAAACAATAGGCATAGTTGTCGGAGTGTTGTCAAACTTTTACGTGATGAACTCGCGAGAAATCGGCGACGAATTAGCGATGAAAACAACCAAGCGCTCGCTATCTTCTTTTCTGAACAATTCGCGATGAATCAGCGACGAATCAGTTTATCGCGTGTTCGTCGCCGGTTTATCGTTTGTTTCTCAAAAGATCATTTTCGTCGCCGGTTTCTCATCCCAAATCGCTGAGTTTACTTTTATTTTTTTTGTTCGTTTTCAGCTGTTTTTTTGCGCAAAACGCGAGTTTTACTGATTTCTTTCAGCGTGGAAAATGAGTCAAAAAGGACAAAAGGTTCAAATTCATCCGCTGGTGATAATGCAAATGTCAGAGCATTATTCGAGATTCAAAGTTCAGTTGGGAAGAGGTGTAAATGAGGTGAGAGAAGATTGAGAGCTTATAATAAATGAGATATTTGTAGGTTTACGGTGCAATTCTCGGTCGACAAAACAATCGACAAGTTGAGGCGATAAATTCATTTCAATTAAAAGTTGGATATTCTGATGATGGAGTTGATATTGATTCGTTCGGAGAAAGACATACTGCACAAAGAGCTGAACAATGTGAGGGATTTTGAAGGAGATGTTCAAAAAATGAGATGTTTTGCAGATCTCGAAGTCTTCCCCGAACTCCAAATAATCGGCATCTATTGCTGTTCAGAAAATGATAATCTGACTGGAAATGAGAAATCGATGTTGTTGAAATTGGCGTTGGCAATGAGAGGTGTCGAAAAAACGACACATATTGATTCGCCGCTTTTGTTGAAAATGAATGCGGTGAAAGCGGGAATTGCGAGAACGGTATGGGTGGAAAAATGATTGATTGGCTGAAAATTTCTTTTAGAAGAGAAAAGAAATTGAAAAAATCATGTTTTTCATCGAATTTTCCGGAAAATTGTCATTATCGCGCTGAAAACATGCTGAAATTCCCCATTTTTCATCTGGAAATCATGAATTTTCAGCTGAAAACACGCGGGATCCATCAGTATATTTTCAGCGCGAAATTGACCGGAGATGCGGAAGCTATACCCAAATTTTGGCTGAAATTGTCATTTTCGCGCTGAAAATATGCTGAAAATTCCCAGTTTCCTTCTGAAAATCATGAATTTCCAGCTGAAAACTCATGGGTTTTATCAGCATATTTTCAGCGGGAAAATGACCAGAGATTCGGAAGCTATGCTCAATTTTTGAGCTCGCTATCAGAAATCGTCATTTTCGCGCTGAAAATATGCTGAAAAACCCCAGTTTCCACCTGAAAATCATGAATTTTCAGCTGAAAACACGTGGGATTTATCAGCATATTTTCAGCGAAAAATTGACCGGAGATGCGAAAGCTATGCTCAAATTTTCAATAAAAATTTGAAATTTTCCAGCTTCCTCTAACCGCTTTCGAAGTTGACATGGTTGATATCGATCGAATTTCAAAACTCGAATGGATCTTGGTTTCCGAAGAATCCGAACGTATCGGTGTAAATCACATTGCAAAACTCTCAACAAAAGACGGTGTAAAAGATGGTGGAGCAGATGAGAAACACGCAAAAGCACAAATGGCTGCAATGCAAATGTTATCGAATCGAGTCGAAATGATTTTGGCGTATTTTGAGAGAGTGAAAAATGGTGAAAAAGAGGCGGATTGGGAGATTTTGAAGGAGGCGAATTTGTTGACGCAAAGATTGAAAACTATTGATCGATATGGTGAAGAAATGGGAGAGGATTTTGCAAAGGTTCGGGGGGTTTTCGCGCCAAAAATTCCAAATTCAAAATTGTTTTGCAGGAAGAGAAGACAATTGCATTGTTCCAATTAATGCCACAAATCACCAAATTGGTCGGAAATATGGCTCATGTTTGGGCGAAAGTTGCGAGAAGTCGACAAATCACTGAATCACTCTCAGATGAAGGATTTCATTTGAGACAGCAAAGTTGGTGAAGGTTTTTGGGGAGAAAAATACCTTAAAAAGCGTTTTGTGCTTATAGATTAAGCTAGAAAACTCTGCTCTTGAAACTATCTGAAAATTGTCATTTTCGCGCTGAAAATGTGCTGAAAATCCCCATTTTTCATCTGAAAATCATGAATTTTCAGCTGGAAACTCGTGGGATTTATCAACATAGATGCGGAAGCTATGCCCAAATTTTTAGCTGAAAATCCCGTTTTTCAGCCGCCTCCCGTTGGTCCCATCAATTTGGTCAAATGCGAAATTCGTCTGAAAATCCTCCGCCTGGAATTCGTCGATTCACACCAGTTCGAAATAATGAAGACGAAGATTATTTGGATGAAGAAGATGAAAATGGAGAAAATGGTGGATTGAAAAGGAAAATAAATATGGCTGAAAATAATATGAGTGGAAATGTTGGAAATAGTAATTTGGCAAAACAACCGAGTAGAAAAGAGCGAAAAGGAAGAAGACAAGAAAGTTCGTGGAAAAATGGGCGAAAAATATGAAAAATCGTCATTTTCGCGCTGAAAACATGCTGAAAACCCCCAATTTCCATCTGAAAATCATGAATTTCCATCTGAAAACTCGTGGGATTTATCAGCATATTTTCAGCGGGAAATTGACCGGAAATGCGGAAGCTATGCCCAAATTTTGACTGAAATTGTCATTTTCGCGCTGAAAACATGCTGAAAATCCCCAGTTTCCACCTGAAAAGCATGAATTTTCAGGTGAAAACTCGTGGGATTTATCAGCATATTTTCAGCGGGAAAATGACCGGAGATGCGGAAGCTATGCCCAAATTTTGAACTGAAAATTATGGATTTTTTGACTGAAAATTCATCAAAAATGCTCAATTTTTTGCAGAATGTCCACGAGCTTTGGCCACAAGTTCATCAGCTTCTTCTTCAGCCAACAATAATCCAACAAACTCACAAAACGATCAGGAAATGATGGAACCTGGCTGGAATTCGTCTGAAAATGTTCGAACTGCTGGAAATGTTGGATCTCATGTTCCAGATGCTCCAATGCCATCAGCTTCCAATTCTGCACCGCCTGACCAAATTTGAGCAATTTTTGGCTGAAATTTTGGATTTTTCCAGTGTTTTTAAAGTATATACCGGTTTTTTTTGAATGAATTTTGAATTTTTTTGGAGGATTTGAGGATTTTTTGAAGAGGAAAAAGTCGCTTTTGACTTTGAAAAAAATATTTTTGACTGAAATTTTGCTGAAAATCTGAAATTTCAGCACATTATGATGCTCAGGAGGATTCTCAGAAGCTCAATAAAAACAAAACGAGCATTTTTTGGTGGACGCGAAAAATGGGAAGCCAAGAAAAAAGAGACGGTAACTTTTTTTTCGTCTGAAAATTTTGAATTTTGGCTGAAAATTGCCATTTTCAGGGTCTTTTCGATGAATTTTCACTTCAAAACCCTGAAAATATCCGAAAATTACCGGAAAATGTGAAAATTGCGGCGAAAAAGGCTGCTAAACGAACTGTTAGATGAGGAAAATCAGCCTGGAAATTCGGAAAAACGGACAAGTCTTCAAATTGTTGATGATTTATCGAATGAATTGTGTAAAGCAGCGGATTTGGTGAGAAATTTAGAAATTTTGGAAGAAAATGAAATTTTTCTGTGAAAATTTTATGAAAATCCATCAAAAATGAGGATTTTTAACCAAAAATTCAAAATTTCTAGAAAAAATAATTTTATTTTTTTGTCCGAGAGAAGTACACGGATTTTTAAATTTAACAATAAATCTATGTACTTCTCTCGGACTAAACTTTCTTGATTTTTGAAAATTGTGACACCGAAAAATCCACGTGGCAAATTTCCAAAAAGCAAAAAAAATCTTTCTACTTCTCTCGGACAAATGTTTTTTTCTTTCAAAATTTGAATTTTGGCGACAATTTTCGAAATACAAAAAATCAAAAACTACGGAATCCACGTGGCAAATTTTGAAAAAAAAAACCAAAAATTTAAAATTTCGTTTTTGACTTTGACGTGACCTAGAAAATTCAGTTTTTTTTTTTTTAATTAAAATTTTTCTGCTCATTTTGGATTTCACAATTGGCTCCAAAATGTGAGTTTTCAACTCCAAAACCCCCGAAAATCCCTTATTTTCCAGGCCGAATGTGTGCGACAACTTCACAGTTCGCGCGATTTCCGCGACGCCGCCGAAGACGCGTCGCGCGAATTCTGCGAAATCGTCGAAAGCCTCAACACCAACATCGATTTGTATAAAAAACTGAAAGCGTCTGAAATTACTGAAAATGATAAATTGGATGACGTGTCAAAACGAACACTTGATCTACTTTTGGATGATTTTGAACAAAGTGGAGTGCATTTGGAACAACGGAAGAGGGAGGAATTTGTTGAATTGTCTTCAGCGATTTTTGATTCTGGTGCTAGATTTCAGGCAAATTGTGATCGATTTGTTAATGTTAAAAAGTTGGTAAAAAAGTTTCCGAATTTTGCGTGAAAAAATTGGCATTATTGACGCGAAATTCGTATTTTTTGAGCCAAATTTGGTGTAAAAATCATGAATTTTGAACTCTATCTTTGGCGCCAAAAAATGGTGGAAAATCTGAGCTTTTATCCCAGAAAATTAATCCGTGTAGTTCTCTCGGACGAAAATATAATGTATTCGAAAATATTATTTGAAAACTGTCATTTTCGCGCTGAAAACATGCTGAAAATCCCCAGTTTCCATCTGAAAATCATAAATTTTCAGCTGAAAACTCGTGGGATTTATCAGCATATTTTCAGCGGGAAATTGACCGGAGATGCGGAAGCTATGCTCAATTTTTGACTGAAATTGTCAATTTCGCGCTGAAAACATGCTGAAAATCCCCAGTTTTCATCTGAAAATCATGAATTTTCAGCGTGGGATTTATCAGCATATTTTCAGCGGGAAAATGGCCGGAGATGCGGAAGCTATGCTCAATTTTTTTGGCTGAAAATCTGAAATTTGGAATTTTCAGACCAGATCAAGCGAAATTTGGCCTACCTTCTCAATTATACACACCGATTTCAAATTCCTTGGACAGGAATAAGAGAAAAGTTGTTTATGACACTTTTTATAAGCATGATCAGGAACAGGTAGGAAATTTGAGATTTTTGACTGAAAATTTGCTGAAAATCAGCTGTTTTCATCCAAATTTCATCAAAAAATCGATAAATTTAATTTCAGGAAACAAATCTACGAAATTTGATAAGTTCTCGACATAATTTGGCCAAATTAACGGGGTTCGAATCATTTTCTCATCGAGCTCAACGAAATTCGCTTCTTGAAAATTACGAAAATGCCAGGGATTTTTTGTGGGGAGTTGTGGAGGTAGGTTGATCAAAAATCTGGAATTTTCAGCCCAAAAATTCACAAAAATTTTCCAGAATTGCCGTGACTCATATGAACGTGAATTGGCTGTTTTGGTTGATGTTGGTGCACAATGTCATAGTCATGAATCGGAAGCAGAAAATCGAAAAAATCGATCGATTGTTGCTGAACACGATTTATCGTTTTTGATGCATTTATACAGGGTGAGCTCAATTTTTTTTAAAGTGCATTTTGAGACATGTTCCTTTGAACTCAGGATTACTGTACATCTCCAATTTTTGAAGGAAAATATCATTTTGATTTTGAAAATGGAATGTTCCTTTGAAAAATCAGAGATCCTTAATTCTTACAGTATACTTAGCTTCAATTTTCTTCCAAAATTAGCCTCTAACAAGCTATGTACCTTTAAACCTAGTCTTACTGTATATCTCCAATTTTTGAAGGAAAATATCATTTTTTTTTTGGAAAATTGAATGTTCCTTTGAAAAATTAGAAATTTGAATACAGTAATCCTCAGTTCTTGGAAATTTCAATGTTCCTTTAAATACAGTATCCTCATGTTGAAAAAAGCTTCCAAAATTAGCCAGTAACAAGTTATGTCCCTTTAAATACGGTAATATTCTATTTCCAAAAACCACTAGTTTCATCACATGTTCCTTTAAATACAGTAATCCTCTTCCTGAAAAAAATCAATTTTCTCTATTTTCAGGAACGCGCCTTCGATATAGCCAAAAGAACTCGCGAATCTGCCCCGTTTTTCACAATTTCATCGATTTTTGCCGGATTCTCAACACTGACTGAAAGATTGTATGGAGTCAAATTGGTGGAAAAATCGATAAAAGATGGAGAAATGTGGAAGGCGCAGTCGGTTTTTAAGTTGGTGAGGGTTTTTGGCACAATTTTAAGAGAAAACTATGATTTTCAGCAGTTTTTTGACTGAAAATCGCCCATTTTCACCCCTAAAATTCCCATTTCCAGGCAGCCATCGACTCGCAAAACAATGAACTTGGCACAATTTATGTGGACACATCAATTCGACCCGAAAAAGCGGTGGGAGATTGTCATTATACTGTAAGATGCTCGAAATTGTTGCGAAATCAACAATGGCAATATCCGATTTTGGTTTTATCGTTGGGATTGCAAGATGAATATCAGAAGGAATGGAAAAATGTGAATGTGAGTGGGGAAATTTTGGGTGAAAATTCATGAAAAATTAATGATTTTGATGAAAAATTCACTAGAAAATCAAAAAAATTCAAAATTTCAACCTAACATGACCAATTTTGATGTGAAAATCACTAAATTTGAATTATTGAGCTCAAAAATCATCATTGAAAGTTGCATTTTAAAAAAATTTGCCACGTGGATTTTTGGAACCAAAATTCCAATAGAAAATGTTCCTGAAACCGGAATTTTCAGCTTTTGGGTCAAGAATTCATCAAAAATCAGACTCTGGGTGAATTTTCAACCAAAATTCATGAAAAATCAGATTCTGGGTTAATTTTGAGTCAAAATTCATGAAAAATCAAATTCTGGGTTAATTTTCAGTCAAAATTCATCAAAATCGTATTCTAGATTAATTTCAGATTAAAAATTCATCAAAAATCAATTTCTGGGTGAATTTTCTGTGAAATTTCATGAAAAATCGTATTCTGGTCAAATTTTACTACAAATTTCACAATTTTCAAATTTCCACCTTTTTCTCCTTTCCAGGTTCGCCCACATTCTGCTGAAACAATATTCCACGAACTCGGCCACGCAATGCACTCAATACTTGGCCGAACTCGTTATCAACACGTGGCTGGAACCCGCTGCCCTCAAGATTTTTCCGAAATCCCCTCGAATCTCATGGAATATTTTTTCAATGATCTGAATGTGATGCGGGATATTATCCGCAATCCAGAAGAGCCCAATTCAAAATTATCGATTGATTCGGCGGCTACGATTTTGGCATCTAGGCATTCTTTTACGGCTATTGAAACTGTTCAACAGGCGGCCTATGGATTGTATGATTTGGAAGTTCATGGTGAGAGTTTTGGGGGGGGGGGGGATTTTTGTGGAGAAACATCTTTGAAATCTCAAAAATCTGAACTAGAAATTGAATTTTTTCTGATTTGTTGGTGAAAATTTTAAATAAAATTCAAGTGATCTGCAAGTTTCTTGAATTTTATAAAAGCTCGATCTACAAAACAACGAAACCCATAATTCTTTGATTTTTCACAAAGAATTTGATATAGAAAGTTTTATTCAACAAAGGTTTAGATCAACTTGAAATCAGTTGGATTTCTTTCCGCATACATAATACGAAATCGTAGTATGAAGATAATCAACATCAATAAGCCCAGTGTCGTTATCAGTGGAAATAGCTATGGACGTTCCGTATCTATTTTGATCCAAAAACTGTGGTTTCACGGCTTCAAACATTTCTCTTCCTGTTACAGTTTCATCAATCCAATTCCAGACCGATGGTATTTTACATTCTTCCGTTATGGGACATGTTCCATTCGAGCAATCACAATTTTGTTCTATGGATACCCAAACACTTACCATTGTTATCTCTTCAGCCTTCATCATTGACATGATTGTGTTCAGCTCATCGTAACTCTCAACTCCAGAGAACCAACCATTCGTATTGTAACAATCAGGTTGATTGGTGGTTTCCACAATTTTCAAACATCGTCCGCTTAGTTTTCTCTGAACTGGTGTCCATCCCTCATCACATTTGACATCTAGCGGGCGAACGTTACATCCGATGACAACACCGAGAATTGAGAACATCAGAAACAACATTCTGATTGAAGTGATGGAAATTCATTTTTTGCCTCTTCGTGGCATATTTTTGTGAGCATTTCCGAAATTTTGAACAAAAATTTGAAATTAAAAACATTTATCGATCAAAATCATGAAAATTAGTTGGATTTTTTTCCACAGAAAAAGTATGAAGGAAGGCCATTATTATAATCGATATCAATTAGGCCTATATCGTTCTTGACAGAAATGACTAAATATACTCCATACATATTTTCACTCTTGAACTGCGGTGTCACGGTGTTCAACATCTCAGTTCCCACTAAAAAACCATCATTCCAACGCCAGACTGATGGTATTTGACAATTTTCCGTTATGTTACATACTTCTTTCTCACAATAACAATCAGCTCTTGCTCGACCGCCAATAAGAACCGATTCCAAACTCATTTCTTTCATCATCGACATATATGTGGTCAATTCATCCGAACTCTCAACTCCCATATCCGATCCACCTGAAACATAACATGACGTTTCACCGGGGAATGTGTTGATGGCCTTGATTTTCACACACCATCCACCAAGTTTTCTTTGAATAGGTGTCCATCCTTCGTCGCATTTGATTGTTTCTGGACGAATATTACAGCAATTTACAACACATATCAAACCAAGAATGAGAATCAACATTTTGTTCTTGATTTTCTGAAGATTCTGTGTTTTCGGCATCGTTTTATAGTAGTCCAAATTGATAATTAAACTTTATGATTGGATGTAAAAAATTATATTTTAGAAGCGGGAGAAGCTATTAAAATATTGATTCTTTGGACCAAAATTGGATAGAAATTTGTTTAGAAACCCCTCAGAAAAACTCTTTGCAGGTCCAATTGCTGGTCCACAAATCGCCTCAGGTTCCCTAACAACCACCGAACTCTTCTACGATATCATGAATAAAGCGATGCCACACATTGAAAGATCGCCGCAAAATGCATTTCAGCACAGGTTTGTCCGTCAACCACGTGGATTTTTGGCGCTACAGTATCCTACAGTATTCCCTCTTTTTCCAGATTCCACCATACAGTTCAATATGGCGCCAAATATTATTCGTATTTGGTGGCACGCGCCTCGGCTTCGCTTATCTGGCAACAACGATTTCAGATGGACCCGTTCAGCAGGAAATGGGGAGAATGTTGGGCAGAGGTACGGTAGGAGGAGGCTAATATGAGCAATGTTAGAAGCTAGAGATGTAGGGGGAAATGTTAGAGACGCAGAGGAATATTGCTCATAGTAGGCGGCAACAATGTTAACATTGCTCATGTTATTTTATTTCGAAATTGAACATTTCCCGATTTTTTTGAACTTTTTTCAAAAAATTTCAAATTTTGCAAATTTTCTATAAAAATACATCAAAATTTCAAGATTTGTCGAAATTTTCAGCTAAAAATCTCGAATTTTCCCCCGATTTTTTACAGGTTCAATCTCACGGTGGTGGCCATCCTCCATCAATTCTTCTCGAAAAAATTCTTGGATTCCGACCCGATTCCAAAGATTTGACGTCGGCTTTGGCAAAAGAATCCAAACATTTATCACAACTCGACGCAATTACTGTGTAGTTCTCGAGGAGAATCCAAAAATATTGATTTTTTGTACCTTTTTTTGCTCAAAATGTAGTGTAGTTTGTTTATTGTTAGGTTTGTTATGAAGTTAATTTTTTTTTTGACTTTGAAAATTTCGGAATATTTCCTGAAAAAATTAATTTACAGGTTTTTGTGTAGTTCTCGAGGAGATTTGGGGAAAATGTTGAAATAATTAGAAAATTCTGATTTTCCTCTGAAAATTTTGAGATTTCTGAACAAAAATCAGAAATTTTGGGTTCAAAAATTAATATTGAAAATTTTTTGAAAAAAAGATTTTTGTGTAGTTCTCGAGGAGAATTCGGAAAAATTTTGAAATTATTGGGAAAATTTTGAGATTTTTGAACAAAAAATCAGGAATTTTGAGTTCAAAAGTTAATTTTGAAAATTTTTCTGAAAAGTTCAAAATTTTCCCAATTTTTTTCGACCAAACTCTAAACAAACCAACCAGCCCGAAAAATATAAAAAACATTTATTTGATTTAATTTTTCTGGAGTTTTTGAGCGGAAAATTCATGATTTTAGGTCTGTTTTAGGTTTATATCTTCCTCAGTCGAAAATCGATTGATCCCAGAAATCGAGCTCCTCCTCCGAATCGTCCGAACAACACGATCACAAACTCCAAGCGAAGCAATCGATTTCGACAAAAGTGGCGCAATATTTTCAATTTGTCCATTTTTCAATTCCATTCTCATCGCGTTCAACGTCTCAACCATTTGATCAATAATTTGTTCGGAAATTCCAAGATTCTGCATTTCGCCCCAAAAAACCATCGGCTGAGTTGTCATTTTGGTCATCAGTGCATTGGTTTCGGCTGCGATTCGGAATTGCTCATTTTTTGTGAATTGTTGAATAGTCGATAGAAGTTGTGATGTTTGTGCAGATTCGGCTGATGTTCCAGCTGATGTTCCGGCTGATTGGATGAACTGGGAGAATTGTGGATTTTTGAATAATGCTCCAAGTGTTGGTTCAGTTCTTGGGATTATTGTTGGTAAATGGCGTCTGAAAAATATTTTTTTATTGAAAATTGGGTATTAGCTCTGAAGTTTCCAGGAAAACTTACGCCAGCAATTCATCCCTTTCCATGTCCAACAGCGAAGGTGCGATATAATTTCTAGATTGGCATTTTGCAGAGCAAAAAGTCTGATGATTATGAAAATCAAAATGTTTCATCTCCATCAATGTTCTCAGATTCGATTTTCCGATTCGAATACTCGCTTTCCAATCTTTTTGTCGATCTTTGTTGGCGCGGATTGTGAAGGCTTTTGGGGTGATAAGATCGGGTTCGCCTGGAAAATTATTTGATCTTTTTTGAAGAAGTTATTGGAGTCAAGTTCTAGAAAAATCAATAAATTTATCGCTAATCTGAAGCTACCACGTGGATTTTCTAAATTTTTTAATATGAGCAAAATTTTGTACTGAAATTTTCAGATATTTTTAGCCTAAAAAAGCCTGGATTTTTAGGCTGAAACTATCGATTTTATAGCCTAAATAAGCCTGGATTTTCAGACTGAAATTATCGATTTTTTGTACTGAAATTTTCAGATATTTTTAGCCTAAATAAGCCTGAATTTTTAGGCTGAAACTATTGATTTTATAGCCTAAATAAGCCTGGATTTTCAGACTGAAATTATCGATTTTTTGTACTGAAATTTTCAGATATTTTTAGCCTAAATAAGCCTGGATTTTTAGGCTGAAATTATTGAATTTCTGCTCTGAATATGTCAGAATTTTCAGACTGAAATTATCGATTTTTTGCCTGGTGAGTAAGCTGTGTTTCCAATATTTTCCCACTTCCCGCAACTCACAATCCAACTCAATACAATGTTGATGAATTCCAGGGCAAACGAAAAGATTGGTGTGCATTTTGGCGGTGAGAGTTCCGCATTGAATCTACGAAAAAAAAGAGTTGCGTGAACTTTCTGAAGCCTTCTGAAGCTATCCAGAGCTTTTTGAAAAAAAACTCACCGGAATAATTTCAGGCACATTATTCTTCAAATCCAACTCAATTTCTTCATCCGTCAATTCGGTTTTGATTTGTTTTTGAGTCGATTCATCCGAACCGCCTTCAATGCCAAGCATTTTCGACTGAATGACTGCAAAACGTTCGAAAATTGGAAAAGGAATTTGCATGCAAAAAATACAAAATCCCGGGAAACCGCGTAAAAAAGAAACAGCTGTGCGCTGCGAGACCCGTTTTTTTGTATTCCCCTTGGAGAACATTTTTTCATTTTTTTTTTCAATTTTTCATTGTTTTCACTTGAAAAACGCAATTTTAATGAGTTTTGTGTATTCAATCAGTAATCAATAAAAACTTCCAGTTTTTCTAGATATCTTTATCATCCATTTTTCTTGTTTTTTGTGGAAAACAAGCGTTTTTCTCGGCGCAATCTCAAATATTAACATATTTGAGATTTTGCTCAAAATGTAGTTTAGTTTGTTTATTGTTAGGATTGTTATAAAGTTTTTTTTGGAAAATTTTTTTCTTTAAATTTGAAACTTGAACTGTTGTTGAATTTTCAACTGGATTTATTTTATTTTTTGAAAATTTAAAAAAATTGAATTTTTCTGTAGTTCTCGAGGAGAATTTTTAGAAAATTTAATTTTTGTGTAGTTCTCGAGAATTTTTCCAAATTTTTCCCAGAGTTTTTCCCTCGACCAAACTCTATACAAACTCAGCCAGACGAGAAAAATTGACCTCGTTTTTTCCCGCCTTTTTTCTTGGCCGCTAGCAACTGCGAGAGATTGAGAGAGTTTAGAGAGAGAAAAATGGACGGCCGAAAAAAAAAAGAAGATGAAAAATGCTTGGCTATTTATTTTTGCTGGCTTTTTTTTTGGGAAATCGTTTTTTGTTGGAGTTTTTGAGCAGAAAATTCATGATTTTTAGGCTGAAAATTGGCGAATTTTAGACCTGAACATGAGAACTTTTAGGTTGTTTATAGGCTTGAAATAGGCCCGAAAGTTTGGCCTAAAATTGGGCTTTTTCGACTGAAACTGATAATTTCACACTTTTAGGATATTTTTCAAATGTTCCTTTAAATTTTTCTCAGAAAAACTAAAGCTCTAATCCATCAAAAGGTTCTAGAATCCCTGGTGATTTTATTTTCGAAAAACAAAAAGCAGAACTTTAGATAAATCCACAGGGATTTCAGAAAATGCTGAAAAAGTACCGTAGTTTCGAAGTTCTTGGTGCAAATGTTGAATTTTTTCCAATTTCAATTTCACCAAAACGTTCTGAAAACAGCAAAGTACAAAAATTGTCCACCCATTTTTTTTCGAAAAAAAATTATATATAAATATATCAGACCATTTATTTTTTTTGGGGTTATCTTTTCTCTCATTCATTTTTTCATCTTCTTTCTCTGCTGCTAAACTAAACTATTATCAATCAAAGTAGAAAGTACGAAAAACGCGAGTTTTCTCGCGAAATCTGCTGTTTTTTCGCTGTTTTCTTGGAAAATCGTAGATTTTTCGAGATTCTCGAGTGGAAAATGCGATTTTTCCCGCAGTTTTCGCTAGATTTTGATCGAAAATTTGTCGAATTTACGTCAAAAATCATGAATTCTCTTATCGGTTTTCGTTGATTTCTTATCAGTTCTTTTTTTGGAGAAAAACTTGGTGCGTGTGTTCTTTGAAAAAAAATTTATTTGTATTTTTTATTTACACCTATAGAGCTCTATTTTTACTTTGTATTTTTTATAGGAAAATATTTTTGTATTTAGCGGATTTTGTGGATGAATACATACGAAAGTTATCTTTATTTTCCTATTTTTCACATTTTTTGGACAGAAAAACACTTCCGGTTTGTAGAGCGCACTTGAAAATCTTGGGACTTAAATCAAATTCAGCGAATGCGCTCTAAATTGCTCATGTTATACCACCTAATTTGAACCGGAAGTAGTTTGAACGGAAAAAAAAACAATTTCCGTTCTGCCAAACTTTTCCAATGAATAGAAAATGAATTTGCCACATCATAGGTCAATTTTTCACCCAAAAATTCTAAAAATTTCATATTTTTAAAGGAATTCTGCCACGTCATAACTCTTTTTTTTCTGTTTTGTTTTGTGGCCAAAAACACAAAAAAAACAAGTACCCTTTTCGACCTTTTCTTATCAAAAAATTATATTTTTTTGTTCTTCTCACAAAACCGGGCGTTTTACGAAAATATGTGATTTTTGCAAAAATCACATTTTTCCAGGTATCTACAGTAATCTCGGGGTACTGTAGCTGTAGTTAGACTAAAATTTGTGCTGTAGGAATTTCTACATGATCCTAAAAATACTGTAGGATTACTGTAGTGCCCATGATCTATATTCTTTTTTTCTAAATCAAAATTATAATTAGCCAGACAAAAATCCCACGGTTTTTTGGCTTGCGAATTTTTATGGTCTGATTTTTTTTTCAAAATTTCACAAGAAATTTGAATTTTCAAGGAAAAATGGGCCGAAAATCGAGGAAATGTGTGTTTTTAGAGCGAAAATCGCATCTTTGAATAAAAATTCAAATTTTTGGCTAGAAAGTACTATTATCATTGGGGCGCATTTTCTAAATTTAGGCTACAATTAGAGATTATCAAGTGAGCTTTAGTGATAATTATGAATATCGCATGGAAATTCAAAAATTTGGCTAGAACATACTATTATCATTGGGGCGCATTTGCTGATTTTTAGCTGAATTTTGGATTATCAAGTGCGCTCCATTGAGAATCATGAATTTCCAATAAAAATTCAAAATTTTCGGCTAGAACAAACTATTATCATTGGGGCGCATTTGCTGAATTTTGGGTTATCATGTGCGCTCCACTGATATTTATAAAAATTTCGAAAACTTAAACTGTTTTCTCCGATTTTTCTACAGTTTTTCGTCATATTTTCCGCGACTTTCGCCCTCCAAAATCTCAAACCTTTAAAAATTTTTGCAGGTATGGTTGCACATTCCTCTGACGGGTTAACCGCCACGACAACACCACAAGTCAACGGCGGCACTTCTCCGAAAATCGCGCAAAAACAAAACGGCGACGCAATTCCCCCAACCACCGCCAAAAATCTCCCAAAACTCCCGACAGTCGACGAATTTCGTCGCGCCATTCCAGCCCACTGTTTTGAGCGTAGTTTGGTCACCTCTACACGATATTTGATTCAAGATTTCGCCGCGTTGGGAGTACTGTACTATTTGCTACCGTATTTCGAGAATTTCGGCGGGCTTTTTGGATATTTTGTCTGGAATTGTTTGATGGGAGTTTTCGGATTCGCTCTTTTTGTTGTTGGACACGATTGTTTGCATGGATCATTTTCGGATAATCAAACTATTAATGATATTATTGGACATATTGCATTTTCGCCTATTTTCTCGCCATATTTCCCATGGCAAAAAAGTCATAAATTGCATCATTCGGTAAGATTTTTTGATACCACTTAACCCATTTTTAAATTTTTGGCCAGAAAAAAAAATTATCAATGAAGCGAATTTGCTGATTTCAAGCTAACGTTCAGGATTATCAAGTGCGCTCCATTGAGAATCGTAATTTATTGATAAAAATTCAAAGTTTTGGCCAGAAAACCATATTCTCAATAGGGCGAAGATTTTCAAGTGCGCTCCTTTGAGAATCATAAACTTCGAGTAAAAATTCAAAATTTGAATCTTTATCTTTAAAAATATGATTATCAATAGAGCGCATTTAGTTAATTAATTCTAAATTGTTAGATTATCAAGTGCGCTCCATAGAGAATCGTAAAATTTCAATGACAATCCAAAATGTTTGCTCAACAATACAGTTATCAATAGAGCGAATTTGCTGATTTCAAGCTAAACTTCCGGTTTATCAAGTGCGCTCTATTGAGAATCGTGAATTTTTTAATTTTCAGTTAGAAAATACAAAATTATCAATAGAGCACACTTGCTAAATTTGAACGTAAATTCAAATTTCCAGTTGAAAAATATAGTTACCACTGGGGCGCGCTTGCTGAATTCAAGCTAAATTTCCGGTCTTCCAAGTGCGCTCTATTGAGAATCGTATATTTTGACTGAAAATTCAAAAAATTAGTTTTGATGTACAATTGAATAATCAAGTGCGCTCAATTGAGAATTCTGAATTTTGAACGTAAATTCAAAATGGATTTTTTCCCCAACCCAATATTTTGCATTTTTTCCAGTTCACAAACCACATCGACAAAGATCACGGTCATGTTTGGGTTCAAGACAAAGACTATGTCACCTGGCCATGGTGGAAAAAAGCGTTCAACCCAATTCCATTCTCCGGCTGGCTTAAATGGTTCCCTGTCTACACAGTCTTTGGCTATTGCGACGGCTCTCACTTCTATCCATTCTCCAGCCTCTTCGTCCGCAACTCCGAACGTATTCAATGTGTTGTCAGCGGTTTATCGTGCGCTTTCTGCGCCTATTTGGCCCTTCAAATTGCCGGATCCTATTCCAATTGGTTCTATTACTATTGGGTGCCTTTATCGTTCTTCGGTCTCATGTTGGTTATCGTAACTTATTTGCAACATACTGATGATGTGGCTGAAGTTTATGAGGCGGATGAGTGGAGTTTTGTGAGAGGACAAACACAGACTATTGATCGATATTATGGATTTGGATTGGATTCTACTATGCATCATATTACTGATGGTAAGGCGGAAAATTCGGTTTTCCATCCCCACTTCGTCAGTCGCGTGCGGCTCGGCGTCGCGGTCTGGGGAAAAATCAATTATTGATTGTTTTTCGACCGCGACGCACAGCCGCACGCGACTGACGAAGTATTGTTTTTCGTTCGAAGATTATGAGCACTTTTAAAATGTTCAAATATTGATGAATGAAACTCAAACTTCACAACAAAATTGAAGTTGAACATGAATTTCAGAAAAAAGGAAACACTGAAAAAAGATACATGTGGCTGAATTATTTTGGTGGCCGAGAAATATCGGGAATTCGGCCACCTATTTGTCTCATTTTTACTGAAATTCATGTCTAACTTCAATTTTTTTTGTGAAGAAGTGCATTTTGAGTTTCATTCATCAACATCTGAACATTTTAAAAGTGCTCATAATCTCCGAACGAAAAAACATTACTTCGTCAGTCGCGTGTGGCTGTGCGTCGCGGTCGAAAAACAATCAATAATTAATTTTTCCCCTGACCGCGACGCAGAGCCGCACGCGACTGACGAAGTAGTGTTTTTGTCGCGAATGCGGCCCGGGATCTGAACATGCGACCTGACGGCCAGACGGATGGTCGCGACCTTGCGGTCGCACTTTCAGATCCCGGGCCGCATTCGCGGAAAATTCCCTGGCCTAGAATTCCAAAAATCCCCCCTCAATTCTTCTAGGCCACGTCGCCCATCACTTATTCACCCGAATTCCACACTATCACCTAATCGAAGCCACCGACGGCGTGAAAAAAGTGCTCGAACCATACGCCGGCGGACAATACGGCTATAAATATCAAATCAACTACGACTTCTTCATCCGATTCTTGTGGTACAACATCAAATTGGACTATTTGGTGCACAAAACCAAAGGAATTATGCAATATCGAACCACTTTGGAGGCGGCACAAAAACAACAATAATTTTTTTGAATTTTGAAATTTGGCGCGACATTTTTGACTCGTATCGGGTGTTAATTTTTTGAGTTTTTGAGCTTTGAAATTTTCTAAAAATATAAATTAGTTGATCGCGTCAAAAATCACAAATTTTGACTCATTTTTTGCGAAAAAAAATTTGAAAAAATAAAAGTAAAACAAGCGATGGAGCGCGTTTTTGTAATTTCAACACATTTTCAAGTTGTATTTTCATTCAAAAGTAATTATTCACAAGAAGACTATTCACAAAAAATGACGAGAAATGCATGTTTTGAGTAAATTTGATAAAAAAGCTAGTATCTAGTAGAATTGTCAGTTGTTTTTTCTATTGATCCTTCGTTGGATCTTCTTGTGTAACATCTTCAACGATCCCCTTCCTCTTCTTTTCCTTCTTGGCTTTGCGTTGGTTCCGCAAATCTTTGGCCAATTTGTGGCCAGCCTCCTTTTCGCTTTGATTTTCATCCACCCAGTTATTCGGGTCCTTTATGTACTTTGCAAAGTCGGCAAAAAAGTTGACCAATTTTTGAGAATCGATAAGATGTTGCTGAAAATTAGATAAAATTGTTATGATTTTTGATCACAAATCAAATCTTCTCATAAAGTCTAAACAAACACGCATGAAGAAATATATATTGGATTGATCTTTGAACTGCCAGTGCTCGCATTCCACGCAAACTTTCCATAACTTCCAGCAAACCACAACATCCACCTTTCAACATTTGATCAGCGCATTCAATTGCCAAAAAGCAACCAGTTCTCCCAACACCAGTCACGCAATGTACAACAACTGGCATTTTCGATGCAAATCCTTTGACGAATGCAAGCAAATCAAGGATTGAATTTGGATCTTCTGGTACTCCTTCGTGAGGCCAATTCACATACTGCAAATGATTCACGACACGTTTCTCCGATTTTGAATTTGTAACTTCCAAACGGCGCCAGCAAACACCATCAATTTTACAGTCTTTGATCTCAACCAATTCAATTGTATAATCACCAAATGTCAATTTTTCCTTCAATTTTTGTGGAAAATAAACTGCGCATCGATTTGCACCATTTTCCACAAACTGGCACAACATCACTACGATTTCCACCTGAAATTGTTGCTTTTTTTAATGCCACGTGTTTTCAGATGAAAATTCAAGATTTTCAGCGCAAAAATGATGAAAAAACCAACCTTCTCCTGCCAAACCATCTCCCAAAAATCGGGTTTCGTGTCCAAAGTGTCTTCTGATTGATCAAGAGGTGCAATTGTTGCGATATATTTAGTGTTATCAGGCATCGGCACTCGATTCGCATGTATAAAACCTTGTTTGAAGCGCTTTTTGTCTTTGAGAACAACCCGCGTAGCTCTGAGGCACGGAGTATTCAGTCGATATCTGCCTTTAAGCTTGTCCAATCTGAGCATTTTCAGATCCACTCCAAGATCTTGAATCCATTCCAAGAAGTTGTTTCTGATTTGTTTGCAGGTCTGCAAGAGAAAAAAAAAATGGGTTTGATTTATTATTTGCAAATTACTTACCAATTTGCAAATACTTTCCGCCCACTTCTTCCTATTATCAACACCTGGATCTTTTTGAAGTGAAGATTTTAGAACTGGAGTCTGATCTTGATGAGGAGTTGGACCAAATTTCCGATATGTGAATAGAAAAGAGATCATACACAAACTCATGGCAAATAAAACAATTGATCTTTTCAAAGCAATAAATCCAATTGGGCTACCATTCGAACATTCATTTACTTTTGAGAATAATTCCCTTGTGGTTTGGCAATCGACGTTCAGAATTTTGATGCCATTCTGAAAAATGGAACATTGGACTTTTGAAATTCACAAAAAATGCGGAAAATTGTTTGCTGTGATCAAAACTCACATTCATTTTGCCGACTTGAGCTGCAATCATTCCACCACTATTTTTCATATGCTTATCCACCGCCGTTCCGATTTTCTTTTCCAAATTATTCCAATTTTCCTCTCGTTTTTTCAATGCAGCAATATAAGCATCCGTTTTACTGACGATATCATTAAACTCTTTCATAATTCCATCTACCAAATTTTTCGATGATTTGCACTTATCTTCCGGCAATTTACTCAATTCTTCGTAATACATTTTCTTTAGCACCCAGTTTGACTCAATTGAAACAAGTTTGTTTTTCATTGAAATGCTGCTATCTTGAGTTGTTTTGAGTTCTTTCATTTTACCAAAAATTAATGTCTTCAAATGCTTAGCAAATCTAAAATCTCTCAATAAAATATCATCATTTGGCGAATCGAACAAATTGGATGAACATGTTGATAGAATTTGATAAGAGTTTCTGGTGGCACCGGTGGTTGTAGGAATATCGAAATTGAAATTAGCTGTCTTATCCTCATCATCTGAACACGCAAAAGGATAAACAACCAATAAATGAATAGAACAGGCGATAAGAATAATTGCTATGACGAAGAAGAGAATTTGATTGATTTGAAGAATAATTCGATTGTATGCTGTCTCTTTTTTGGTCCAAATGATTGTGATAGAAAAAACAATATACATAAGAACAATAACAGATGGAACACATAACAAGGAAATATCAGTGACAACAATTGTTACGAAGATGCTGTTCAATTGAACAAAAGAGTCTTTCCATCCCTTGATTATCTGAAAATTTTGCAAAATAAGTAAACTACTGGAAATAGGAAATATTTACCGTTTGAATTGTTTTCAAATATGTGCCCATATCACTTATTCCTTTTACCAATTCATTTTTATTAGTTTCCTCTCCGTCGACAAGAAATGACTTCAATTTACGCAAATAAAAATCATTTCCTTCATCGTTGATCATTCTCAAAGCTGCGTGTATTCCATCGGTTTTCATCACTGTTTTGTCCTTTACATTTTTCAGTTCATTGCAAAAAGAGCCGCTATTAACTTTTGTTTTGAAATCTTCCTCTTTTTTATAGAAATTTAATAAACTTTGGAACATCAGCAAATCAACATGCATTTCATTATACACAGCTCCTGATATTTTCTCACCATTCACCATCGCATCACGCACAGTATCCGAAATAACAATTTTATCATTTGCAGGCAACATTCCAGAAGCAGTGTCGGCTTTCTTTTCGAGAACTGCAAATAATGATAAATTTTTAGATTTCAAATATTTTAATGGTCAACCTACTTTCGATGTCTCTTTTCACATTTGTATTCACATCAATTTCACCAGAAAATGTACTCCACGGTTGAAAATATCCAAAACATACAATCAAAATGAGCAATGGAATGAGATGAGTTGCACTGAAAATACCTCGAGCAAGGCTCGTTGATGGTATTTCACGGACCCATTTTCTTGAGATTTTCCAGAGAAATCTCAAAACGAGAGCAGCGATCAGAATAAGAAGAGCGGCAGAAGTGATGACGTAAGCAACAATGACAGACGATTCCATTATCCACGATTTCTAGATTTTCCAGGGAAAACCAAAACGAGAACTGATTGATTATCTCATTTTTCGATTGACCTCGCCGATTTGCCACGTAATTTGTTTCACGTTTTTTTTTAATTTTTTGGAAAACATTTTTGGGTTCAAAAATTATTCTACGCTCAAATTTTCCTAAAATGTTTTTTTTTTCAAAATTCAAATCCAGTTTCAACCAAAACAGATTTATTTTTCAAAAATCTCAGAATTTCAAACCTCGGCACGACAAATACTGGTATGATGGTAACGATCCAAACAATTTGACGAAATCCTGAAAAAATTTGAATTTTCATTTTTCCGCCAAAAATGAAACAAGAACTTACATTTGCTGAGAGATTCCTGTAGTTTAAATACAGTAGTTTAGTTATTTGATTTTGGTCGGCTATCTAAGATCGATACAGCTGAAGAAAGTGGTCTGACGGCTAGAGATTACTGTAGTTTAGATACAGTATGATTGATATTTGAAAATATTTTGAAATCATCGATTTCTTTTAGTGTGATCCTGGAAAAAACCATCTTAAAATAACTGTAAATTTGAAATTTTCTATCCCAAAATTAATTCTAGGTTTTTTTTAAAAATCAATTATTATCTAGTCAAGTTATTCCTCATTATACATAAAACTCACTTTTTCCATACAAAATTTAATTTTTGATATATCTCATTTCTGATCTTGTGGGAGTTAGGATTGCCATCTGAAATTTGAAAATTTTTTTATGACGTGGTAAGATTCCGAAAAAATTAGTTTAAAAAACTCACCATTTTTTTTTTTCAAAAAAATTTGAAATCAACCATTGGAATATCATAGGTTTTCCATAAAATATAAATTTAACAGAAATATTACTGTAGTATAGATACAGTCACATTTTCATAGCAATTTTGGATCGTTTTATTTTTTTCTGTATTAAAAAAACCACAAAACAAAAAAAAGACGCTTGTTCGGTGGAGCGCATTTGTTGCTTGCAGGAATGTGCGCTCCAGTGAACTGAAGGCGGGAGGAGTTTTGAATTTTTGTTTTTTTTCTGGAAAAAGTGGATGGATTTTGGCAATAAAAATTAATGAGAGAAAATTGAGATTTAAACTAACACAAGAGGTTGTAAATAACATTTATAAATAAAAAATTTTCAAATTAGCTTTTTTTAAAACACCGTGAACAGAATCGGGCATTTTCTACAATTCTATTTTGTTTTTTGAGAGATTACTGTAATTTAGATTTATTTTCAAAACTTGCTAAATCTGAAAAATATCAGACTTTAAAATCCCTTAAAACATTTTTGACCTACCTCAACAGAGTTTGGAGCATTTTTTCGAAAATGAAAAGCATCTGGGAGGCGGTGACATTGATTTATGGATTTTTTTTCTGGAGAAAAAAGTTGGGCTTGTGGCAAATTTGATAAATGGGGTTGGGAAGAAGAAGAATTATTGAATAAAAAAAATAGCTAGCCTGAGGTAAACCTGAACCTGGACTATTTTTTTAAATTTAATTTTTTGCTTCATTCTCATTTTTGAACACATAAAAATCAAATACTGTATCTGAACTATAGTAGTAATCTCATCTCAGAAATCCAGGAATTTTTAAAAGGTAAGTGCGTGTAGATTATAAGATTCAAAAAGTACTTTCTTTTTCAGATTTAACATCAAGTTAGCGTAACTATGTACAGTAACCTTTCTGTTTTTCAATAGTTGTTTGCATATTTTTTATTATCTTCCCATTCCCACAAATAAAGTTTTTCATGATTTCGGAAAATTTTGGACTATAAATTCATCTCAAAAATTATTTCATCATTTTTCCAAGCATTATGAAATTCCTGCCAATTTTTCTAGCAATTCTTTGTGCACTTTCTTCAATTGCTCATGCTAATGCTCCAAATTTGCCACCTCAAAAAAACCCGGCTCCACTCAAAATCAAGAATGCCACGTTTTCAGAGACGACTAAAAATTGATCGAAAATTCGGGGGTTTCTGTGAAAAATAAATAATTTCTTTAACATGAGCAATGAATGTCACATGTTTTTTGCACTTTCACATTGTTGATGTGTTCCTCAAAAACACTATTTCTCTGCGTCTCTTCTATCTCTCGAATCTCTAGCGGCCACAACATCTTTTCATTCATTCATTTTTTCTCCAATTTTTTTGGGGCCTAAAAATGGCGGGAAAAATTGAAGGGCTTATCACATTGAATTTGAGCTACCCTTACAAATCGAATAATATTCTGAGTTCGTCCGAAGTCTGTGTTATTGGCGATTTACCATGGTGAGTAGGAGGCAGTGCAATTCGGCCTGGGATTCTAGGCTTAGGATTCTAGGCTTAGAATTCTAGGCTTAAGATTCTAGGCTTAGGATTCTAGGCTTGGAATTCTAGGCTCAAGATTCTAAGCTCAGGATTGTAGGCTTAGGATTCTAAGCTTAGGATTTTAGGCGTAGGATTCCAGGCTTAGGATTCTAGGCTTAGGACTCTAGGCTTAGGATTCTAGGCTTAGGATTCTGAGCTTTGGCTTCTAGGCCTAGAATTCTAGGCTTAGGATTCTAGGCTTAGGCTTCTGGGCTTATGCTTCTAGGCTTAAGATTCTAGGCTTAGGATTCTAGGCTTAGGACTCTAGGCTTAGGAATCTAGGCTTAGAATTCTAGAGGCTTAGGATTATAGGCTTACAAGAATTCTGAGCTTTGGCTTCTAGGCTTGGGATTCTGGGCTAAGGATTCCAGGCTTAGGCTTAAGATTCCACATAGGTTTGGGCTTCTAGGCTTCTAGCCGATTAGAGTTCTAAGTTCAGATTTCTCTAATCATTTTCCAAATTCTGCAGGTACATCTCCTATCATTTCCACGAAATCTCCGGCAAAGATCAACTTGCAATAAATCTAAACTGCAATAATTCAAGCAATCTTTGGTCATGCGATGCTCAAGTCGAAATTCGTCTTCTTCCACGCGAAAAGAAACCAGGTCTCATCAAAACCTTCAAAAATACTTTCAACGCAAAATCGAGGAGCTCAGGAATCGCCGATTTTTCATCGAGGGTTGAATTGAAGCCGATGGTTACATCAGCGGGTGAACATGAGACGCATAAAATCGAAGCTTCGATTGTTTTGACAAATATTCGAGGAGTTTTGAATGTCCCAAATATCGATTTTTTGGGAGATGTAGGTCCTTTTTTTGCAATTCAAAAAAATTCGAGGGGTTTTTCCAGATCTCCGATGATAATCTGAGCAATGTCACATTCATTTTCGACTCCGAAAAATCGCAAAAACTTCACGCCAACAAATCCTATCTCTCCCTTCACTCTCCAGTTTTCAAATCAATGTTTTTCTCAAATTTCGCCGAGCAAAATCAAGAGCAAATTGTGCTCGACGACAGTTTCGAGGAGTTTCACGAGTTACTTCAAGTCATTTATCCAACTCGAAAACCGATTGACGAGAAAAATGTGGAGTTTTTGATACGGTTGGCTGATAAATATGCCATTACTCATGTTATGTATGAGTGTGAGAGATTTTTGATGGAATCGGAGAAGGTTGGGGTTATTCAGAAGTTGATTGTTTCGGATGATTTATCGCTGGCTAAACTTCAGGTGGGATTTTTTTTTTTGGAAAATTAAATTCCGGTCGGAAAATTGAGCTATGACGTGGCAAAAATACCGTATGAATTTTTTTCCAGGACAATTGTTTCCGAAAATTGGTGCAAATCGAGCAAATCACCTCATTGCGTGAAACTAAAGGCTACGAAAAACTCAGCGAATCTGTCAAATTGGAACTTTTGGAGAAAGTTTTTCAGATTTTAAAGAAGTGATAAATTTTTGCATTTTCCCACAACTTTTTTTCTTCCCAAAATGTGTTGAATCATTTTTTCTGCTCAGAAAAAACACAGGACGCCAAAAATATTCCCAAAACTATCATTAGGTCAAGCTCCGCCCCTTTTGGGGGCTCTATAAATAGATGTCTTGAAATACACAAATCTATTCATTTTCTAGAATATACTGTATCTAAACTACAGTAATCTGAAGATATTGATTATTTTTCGCAACTTCGACAATTGCGGGTTCGTTTATGCCTTCGACATTGGTAAGTTTTGTAATTTTCCACGTCATAACTATTTTCCAAAATATATAATTCCAGAAATCTTCTCAAATCACAAACGAAGATGTCAAAACTCCCAAAAATATTCACGATTTCAACATACTGTATCTAAACTATAGTAATGAGGTAAGCTACTTTGGAATTGAAATTTTGAATCGAAAATTGATTTTTTTTTCAGATTTTCTCATCTCACATCAAATCTCCCACTACTACGCACAGTGTTGCTTCAAATTTTGGAAAAAATTGAGGTGAGTTTTGTTTTTCCGCGTATGCGGAAGATTCCGCACTCGAGTATAAAAATAGACATATTTTTTTTAGATAACAACGTCAAAACTCCCAAAAATGTTCAAAATTTCAACATACTGTATCTAGACTACAGTACTCCTTCAAAATTTTCTAAATTTTGCTTCATGGGCACAATCTGCCATTTTTTCTTGAAATTTGTTTTTTCAAAAATGCTCTTTGGTAAGCTAAAAAACTTTTTTTTTTGTCGAAGTTTTCAATTTTTCTGTTTCAGAAACACAAACAACTTCATCTTACTGTATCTAAACTACAGTAATCTCCTACTGTACTTCCACGATACAAATTCAAACAATTGTAAGTTACCTAATACATAGTACCGTACCATAAATAATTGATTTTTTGCAGGTTTATATCAGAGTAATCTCTTAAAGAATGCCAATCATCTTACTGTATCTAGACTACAGTACTCAACAATTTCAAACATTGCTCAAAATTTGATCAGTAATATCATAATAGACATCTAGAAAGCGGGCGGGAATGCTGATCTCAGCTCGTTGGTAAGTTTTTAAATATTTCATTTTTTTTTAATTCATCTATAATTTTTTAGCTCGATGATGTCAAGTTCAATCTAGATATAGTACACGAGTCGAATGGTTTTTCGGATCCAGTATGAATTATGGTAAGTTATTTCAAAATGTGATTAAAAATGAACTTTTAATTTTTGGAAAAAAAAATCCTGCCACATCAATATTCTCTAATTTTTCAGATTAAATAAAATTGGCTTCATAGATAGTTACAATTACTTCAAATTCAACAATTTATCCGATTTTACTGTATCTAAACTACAGTAATCTCCTACAGTACTTTAAAGTTTCTCTATCACGATGCGAATTCAAACAATTGTAAGTTACTTAATACATAGTACCGTACCATAAATAATTGATTTTTTTGCAGGTTTATATCAGAGTAATCTCTTAAAGAATGCCATTCATCTTACTGTATCTAGACTACAGTACTCAAAAGTTAATTAATAGAATGTCAGGATCCTTTGAGACGTGGGAGCGTGGGGCACCTAGAGACAAACGGGTTCAATACCCGTCGCAATAGATCATTTGAGCCTATTGCTCGATATTTAGAGAACCACAATCTACGAGGTTACCTTCGCCACAAGGGGCAGGATATAGATGCTTCACGCCTGGAGCGCTGGGAATACATGGTTTTGGTACAGGGGTGATAATATCTCAATAGTGCGATTTTTTCGCAAGAGGTGAGTTTATTTGTTTTTTTTTAAATAAAAGCCGGCGGGCACACTTGAAATTAATTTAACTTTTAATTTCGAAATTTAATTTTTGAAAAAAAAAATTCCTGCCACGTCATAACTCGCTAATGTTTCAGATTCAATAAAATTCGCTTCATCGACAGTTACAACTTTTTCGAAAATCAACAACTTATCCGATCTTACTGTATCTGCACTACAGTATTCTTCCACTTAATTTTCTTGTGCATTTTTAATAATATTTGTAATTTTCAAATTGATTAATAAAAATATTTTGTTAACGAAATTGTGTTTTCAAGGGAAGTTCTTAAGGTTCTGAAAGTTTTCAGAGAACCTGTGGCTGAAAACGGGCTTTTCAAAATGAATATGAAATTTCAGATAAAAATTTTCAGGATTTTCAGAACTGAAACTGAAATTTTGCCACGTGGATTTGGTCACAAGAAAACAGGTCAAAACTCCAAAAATCCAAATGTAACAATCTTATCGTATCTAAACTACAGTACTCCATTTTATTTTTATTTTTCGAATAATAAAATTTTTTGTTAACAATTTCAGATTTTTTACAAATTAAACAATTCTACTTTGAAAGATTTGAAAATCCACGTGGCAAAATTTCAAAAGTCAGATTTTTTGTCTGAAAATCCATACAGCGAGATTTGAATTACAGACCTGAAAATCCACGTGGCGAGACCATAATTTCAGATATTTTCTAGCTTATTTTCAAATTTCAGAAATTTTGAATTGAAAATCCACGTGGCTAACTACAAAAATTTGAAATTGTGGGCCAAATTCACATTGAGTTTCAGATTTCAAACTTGAAAATCCACAAAATCTTTCAATTTTAGTTTCACAAACTCTAGAGCTCTTTAACTTGGCTCACAAAAAAAAAATCAATTCCATCAAATTTCTAAATTTGCCACGTCATAACTCATCAATCTTCATTGTTCCCAATTTTCTCACCATTGTTCTCCAGGTGTTGTGTCACAAAATCGACACCTTTCTGTTATATTTTTTCGAGCAGAAAACAATAAATACCATCTGCTCCAAGCTCCGCCCCTTTTTCACACCGTGAGATAAAGGAATTTTTTGTTATTCATCATTTTATTTCTGTATCTAAACTACAGAAATTTATCTGATCTTATTTATTTTGTTTTTATTTTGAAGAGAAAGAAAGAAATGTGAGTTTTTCTTTGGGGGTTGCCTAGATTTAAAAAAAAAATGGGTTGGAATTTCTGTGAAAAACCAATTCGAGAAATAATAATTCAAAATTTTCAGAAAATCTTACTGTGTTCAATCGATGAAAAATGAATCGTGACGCATTCAATTTCAAAAGTGCCACCAGATAGTATATTTTAAATAATTTGAAAATAGCGAATGTAAGTTTTTCATTGAAGAACCAAATTCAAAATCATCATTTTCAGACGACCACAACTTCCCGATCAAAAAAATTACGAAATTATATCTTACTGTATCTAAACTACAGTAATCTTTTATTCTAAATTCTATAATCGAAATCCACGGTTGTTATTACCATGCATGCGTGAGTTTTCTAGTTCAAAAAATTCGGATTTTGCCACGTCATAACTAATTTTTTTATTTCAGAAATCATCTCAATGGTTCTCAAATCACAAGCGAAGATGTCAAAACTCCCAGAAAATCTCAAAACTTGCAAATCTTACTGTATCTAAACTACAGTAATCTTTTATTCTTAATTTTATGATCGAAATCTTTGGTTGTTATTTCCATGCTTGCGTGAGTTTTCTAGTTCAAAAAATTTCGGAAGGATTTTGCCACGTCATAACTAATTTTTTTTATTTCAGAAATCATCTCAATGGTTCTCAAATCACTAGCGAAGATGTCAAAACTCCCAGAAAATCTCAAAACTTGCAAATCTTCCTGTATATTCATGTCAATTTGTATCGAGAATGCCTGGGGCCGTTCATCGTATACAGTACACAAATTATCGATTTTTTCCAATCGATAATTTTCCTCTTCACAAATCGAGCCTCTACGTGGCGAAGAGGATCAACCATTTTTTCTTGCGAGAAAAAATGGGCTAATCGATTTTTTGGGGGCGAGTTACTCTAAATTTATAAGTAAGTTCTATAAATAATTATATTTGAATTTTGAAAAAAAAATTTAAATATTTTCAGAGAATCTCATTATTTTCATTGTTCAGCTTGTTCAATAGAAGGTTAGTTCATTTTTAGATAAATTTTTAATTTTTTTTTTTAAATTACAAGTTTGCAAATCTTACTGCAAATGCCACGTGGAAAATTCAAATTTCCCATTTTTCGCCACGTGGATTTTTGGCGAAAAATTTAGTCTATCATGTGGCTAAATCGTGTGAAAAAATTTAAATTGAAACTAACTACAGTATGATTGTGCTACAGTACACTTGTAAATACTCAAAGAATAGGAGCCATTCAGGCTCTTGTGAGCTTCAATAGTCCTGTATAACTCCTACGGTGATCTAAAGTACCCTACAGTATTGTTTTTGTAATATTTTATGTTTTGTTTTTGGTTTTTGTTTTTATTCTCACGTTTGCTAGAACTTTTGGAATTACATATTAATGAAGACGAAGTTTTTCTGTGAGTTTTTTAACTGCAATTTTTACTCTATAGATGATGATTTACAACAGAACGATTGAAACCAAAGTAGTATTGCGGACTAAACTTGGCCAAAAAAATGGGCGGAGCTTGGGAGCTTCACCCGGAAAAAAAGGAGCGGAGCAAGCTACAGTAACCAACAATAATCCTACAGTAACCTCACGTGACATACATTAACCTCACATGAGCGTAACCTACAGTAACCTCACGTGTGATTACTGTATTCATGTGAGCATACCATCTTACAGTAATCTAAAATGATTTCATAACAGGGTGAGATAGCATATAAAAATAAGAGAGTACAGTTGACCTTTGGATAAAACGAAATAAGTGAATAATTATCAGAATCAAATACAATAATTTTCACATAAACAATAATCTTCACACCATATGGAAGCTCTTATTGTAAACAATATGATTTACGATAGGCTTCCTGAGAACAAAAGGGCGGTCTGTTTTATGAGTCACACTTAACTCGAGAGCATAAAGATAAATTGTATCAACATTAACCTTTTATGCTAATGATGATTTATTGAAAGACTTGTGGGAAAAAGAGGCGGCGACAAAAATTTTCTCGAAAACAGTTATTATATTTTACGTACATTTATTTATTTTTATTATTCATTTTCAGTTTTTATATATTATTTGATAAATTCTAGATACATACATGTTTTTCTATCCGGAAGGCCCTTCGGGTTAAGGACCCCTTTTTGTCAAAAATGAAAAAGTTAAAGACCCTCCACCGGAAAAATGAAGAACAGAAATACTGCCAAAAATCAAAGTAAAAGCTCTAGCTCAGAACCGAACCTTTGTAGCTGGATTAGAAAGCGCGAGGCTAACCGACTGCTCTATGCTCCCGTTGTTTTCTCCTCCTTTGTTTTCCCTTGTTATGCAACACACACGCACTCATCTTTTTTCTTATTTTTTCGTTTTTTTCACAGACAATTCAAATCAAAAGCAAAACTTAACAACTTAAAGGCAACCAAATGAGCTAAAAATTTTCACAGCTCTACTTCAAGATATTTCGCAGGGTTCGAAAACCTAAAAGCCTCCAATAAAGACCGTTTTAAGGGAAATAAAGACCTATCCGGAAAAGTATAGGATGACACTATACTTTTCCGGATAGGTCTTTATTTCCCTTAAAACGGTCTTTATTGGAGGCTTTTAGGTTTTCGAACCCTGCGAAATATCTTGAAGTAGAGCTGTGAAAATTTTTAGCTCATTTGGTTGCTGTTAAGCTGTTAAGTTTTGCTTTTTGATTTGAATTTTCTTCGAAAAAAAAAGAAAAACAAAAGAAAAGAAAAGTGGGCGGAGCCAGGTGCAATGAGAGATATGGTGTGTGGCGCTACCAGCGAACTGTCGGCGTTGAGAGATATTGAAATATTTCGCGTGATGCAGAATGAAAGAAGGCGAAATTTTTGTGGAAACCCTGCTCCTCTTTGAAAGAGGAAGCTGATGCAGAGGTAATTTTGATGACTTGAGAAATTAATAATAATTTTTTTCTTAAAAGTTAAGGACCTATTTTTCATGAAAAATAAAAAAGTTAACGACCCTATTTTATACTTTCCCGGACCAAAAACATGTATGTCTAGATAACAAAATGAATAACGATACGATGCCTGTTCTTACACGTTTCGATGTTGATGACGATATTCCTGACGGCCAAAGGCCTGATGTATCAGAACTTGATTCACACATTATTATTTTATCATATTATTAAAATTTAAAAAAAAGACTATGCAACATTTCAGGAGAAATATCAAAATGCAGGTGTTCAAGAAATTGAAACCCTGATAGGGTTTCAGCCATAACTATGACGACTTGTCAAAAATTGCCAAATTTTTCCCTCAATATCGGTTCATTGTATATAAAAAATCGAGCTACGATAAACTTTTCACATTTAAAGATAAAGATGTGTTTAATTCTGAGGGATTACAAAACATCAATCTCATATACATCAAAAACCACTGCGATTTCGTCAAGCCAAGTGAAAAAATAGTGAGCAAATGGTGAGTTGAATATGATAATGACAACAAAAAACATTAGTTAAAATGTAAAATGAGATGTTACTCATGTGGAAGTGCTGAGTGTCAAACAGTTAGTGAGCTCGAAGAGTGGATAAAATGTGATGATTGCAACCGAACATTTAGAAATGGTGTGTGCTATGAACAACATAAGAAAAAACCCAAAAAACGTGGAGAGCCAATGTGTAACAGATATCACAAGTGAGTTTCTTTATTTCAGAATAAAATTCTGAAGATGATATCTATTATCACCAATTTCTATATTTTTAGATGCGAAAAATGTTCGCTAATACTTAGAACAAGAGCATTTACAAATGAAGCACCACACGACTGTTCAAAACCTAAATTCTGTCACCGTTGCTACAATTTTGTAGGTGCTGAACACAATTGTACATTTTCCGTTCCGACTGAAAAAAAAGAAGTTGGAATTAAAAAAGAAGCAAGAGAAATTTTTAATCCTATTTTATGATGTTGAAACACGTGTTTCAGAAAAGAAAGGTAATGTTCTTTAAATTAATTTCACAATTTAAAAAAACAATGAAAAAATAGATGCAAAAATTATCCCACTACATCAACATATTGTGAATCATAAACTTCACAACCGTCTGTCACATGTGTCAATCAACATCCATTGACTCAAGCACATGTTCAAACTGTCCGGAAGATGGGGAATTTACATTTTCTGATCATGGTCATATAGATGGTGATGTGGATCGTAGATTTGCGGAAATGCTATTATTCGACCCTCGATATAACAATGCTATAGTTATAGCTCACAATGGAGGAGGGTACGTTACTTTTTTTCTAAATAACAGATAATGGTTCACACACTCATATTATTTAGATATGATCATAACTTTATAATAAGAACAATGATGCATGATTGCGCTATCTTCCCAAAAGTTATTATGCGTGGCACCCGTATAATCAGTGCTCTTGTTGAAGGATGCAAAGGATTAAAACAAGCTCGTAAGAATAATAATCTGGTGTTTGTGGCCAGTATGCCTGCAGCTTTCGGACTCAATGGCATGGAAAAAGGAACTTTTCCACACCATTTCAATCAGATTCAACACTATGATTTCGAATATTATCGATCAGAAGAATCTAAAAAACCCAAAGAAATTATAGATTGGTATGATTCTGTCAAAAACCAAGCCTTCAATTTTAAAAGTGCTATTAGGCATTATTGTAAAATGGATGTTAAAATTTTGGTTGAAGCATGTAAAAAATTCATGTCAATTTGTATCGAGAATGCCTGGGGCTGGAATCCGTTCATCGTATCCTCAACCATAGCATCACATGCGTTGCATATGATGCGTTACGAACATATTCGCAATCAAATATTCGGTTATATACCAGAGTAGCGTTGGGTCACGCTACTTGATGTGGAAAAATTCGAAAACTGGATGTCGAGTTGATCATGCACGAAATGGTGGTGAAAAGGATATAGAAATTGATAGAAGAAAATTTTACATCGATGGATATGAGGCGGAAACTAGGACAATCATGGAAGTATACGGATGTTACTTCCATGGATGTCTTCGACCAACAGATGTCAATAAGACATCACTGAAAACATTTGGCGAATTACACAATGACACAATGGAGAGAGAGAACAAATTGCGTGAGGCGGGTTATAATATTGAAACGATCTGGACATGCGAAATCGCAGCCATGTTAGCTGATGATCGAACAATGAAAGCCTTTTTCGAACAAGTAAGTTTTTTACACTAAATAGACAAAATCGAGACTATACAGTCTTATTATTATAGGCGAAAGACAATAATGGCCCTTTGGATCCACGTGTTGCAATGATGGGTGGACGCACACAAGCATTCATGCGATATTTAGTAGAATCAATTGGCAAATATATTGTATTTTTTGATTACTGTAGCATGTATCCGACAATCAACATGCGCACCGAATACCCCAATGGTCAACCTCAATTGATCTATCGTGATTTCGAACCAATTGTAGGTAACAAGCTACCATTTAGAAATAAACGGGTATAATACCCGGCGCAATAGAGCATTCGAGCCTATTGCTCGATATTTGGAGAACCACAACCTACGAGGATACCTTCATTTATCTGGAACTTAGGTGAATAGTTTACAAGCGAAGATGTTACAACTCCCCGTCTTACGAACGAATCGGAAAATGTTATTCTTTTATTTTGGAGAAAAACTGTTCATTTATATGTATAATAATAATCAAAATATCACAGTTTCATCACAGACTTGATGTTTCTGGTGTTGGAACTTGTGGTGGCGATGATTCTACTTCTACTGGCACCGGTAGATTTCCAGCTCTAAAAAATGAAATCTCATATCCACGTATTTCTAATGAATGACTAGGGGCTTAGAATTTTTGAAAAAATCAGGAATGGTTCCTAATTTCATGACGTCATCGATCAATTTCTCAAAATTAAAAATCAATTACTATTGTAAAAGTACATCAATAAAAAAATTTTCCGAAAAATTGTGAAGTTTTTTTTTATTTTTCGGATGAAGCAAAACGATAGTCATTTCATGTGTCAGAAATGGTCAAGTGGGTAAATCACGTGTTTCTTGTTCAAAAGGTCCAGGATCAGATCCTTTTGGACGTATGATTTTCGGAAAAAATCCGCAAATGTTCGAAATTGCGACATCTCCATTGAAAAAACCCTTCTCCCAAAGAAAACTCACTTTTTCAACCCTTTCTTTTCCAAAAACGCTTGTCGTTTTTCATATCGATATTTATGCGTTCCGAAAATACGTTTTCTAGCCTTCCGCTTCTTTTTCTTCCGATCTTTTGGTCTTTCAGCTTCATTTTCCTCCGGTTCTTCTGGTGTTATTTTCGGCTTCGGAAGAGGGGGAGAAGGCGGAGGGCTGAAAATATTTTTTTTAATATAAAGGTTTTAAAAAAATTTGGCAGATAATACTTACGCTCCCTTCTTCCAAAACCTTCCAGCATGTGTCCGATCATAATCTCGCTTCTTCCTTTTCGTTCTGAACAAAATTGGAGATTGCAAAGTAAATCCGAAAAAAAATATGGCCGTGGAAGAGAAAACGTTTGGTTTTCTAGGCCATATTCTCTTCCAAGGCTCACAAAATTTGATGATGAGCTCATATGAGCAAAACTCACATATCAACACCGGTTGTAAACAACTCATCAGCTTTGTTTGATCTTGTATGTCTTCTGGTTGATTCATTTGCTGCGTTTGTGGATGTAGAAGTCGATGGCAGATCTTCTATTGATTTTTCCAGAACAACTTCAAAATCATCAACATTTTTTGCTATTTCAGATGATTCCACTGAATTTTGGCTTGTCGTTGAGATGTTAAGTTCTGGATTGATAAAATCATCTGGATTTCTTGATCTTACAATTCTTGTAGAAGTAGATTCCATTGATTTTTCAATAACAACATCAAAATAATCAACATTTTTTGCTATTTCAGATGACTCCACTGAATTTTGGCTTGTTGTTGAGAGGTTTTGTTCGGGGTTGACACTTGGTGTGGTTAATCTGGCTGATGTAGAAGTAGATGGCAGATCTTCTATTGATTTTTCGATAAAAACTTCAAAATCATCAACATTTTCAGATGTTTTTGCGATTCTTGTAGAAGTAGATTCTACAACATTCACTGAATTGCATCTTGTTGATTCAGGAGTCACATCTCGGCTGACTGATTCAGCTGGTGCAGTTACTCGAACTGGAGATACTGGAATTGGCGGCGAAGGTGATTTTCTGCAACTCTTCGCTCGATTGTTTCTCGCAATCACCATTTCCTTTGTTGGAAGTTGTCCCCGATCTTCTTTCTTCCCTCCTCGATCTTTTCCCCTTCTTTTCCATTCCAACACATATTGCCGATTCAAATTCCTCAAATATTCTGCTTGCTTCGCATCGGCCTGTCTCGAATGCCGAGATCTACTCAAAACCGGCAATTTTTTCTTGTTATTCTGATAGAACGCCACCAGATGTTTGCTCTCTTCTTTGAACTGAAACAAACAATTTTAATTGAACATTTTCCTGTCACAATCAACTAAGTGACTCACATATTTTCGCAGAAAAAATCGATGGTATTGTGGGTTTTTGCTGATAACTGTGCTCGTTGTCTGCCGCTTTAATCCGCACGAACTTGCAGCAATTAATTGCTCACTAACTTTACAGACCAGATTTGGAACAACTAGATTTTTGCAATAATTTATGGTATCATCAACATTGCATCCACGATCGTGAAAAATTTCCAAAACAATTGGAAACGCTAAGTGTTTTGTGTCTCTTTTCAGTCGCATCATTTCCGCTTCATTAACAATTGTTTCTGGAATTGGCATCATCATTGGTTCTTCTCGAAGTTTTGATGTTTCATTGTGGTTTCCTGGATTTGGTAGAGCTGCCAGATTCCTGCAAATATGTTGAAATTTTTTCCATTAAAAAATTCCCCGAAAATCATACGTTTCAAATTTATCATAATATTTCCCATTCAAAAAACATTTGGCAATAGCTCCGCTACCGCCCAAAAGCGATACAACACACAAACCACACGAATATATAAATTTCTGGTATGTGCGACGGTTCACGGGTTGTGCGTGCCGCTATTGTTTGTGTGCGGAATGGGCGGGGCTTGATTGAGTGAGCGCGTTTTTTACGATTCAAAATTGATTTTTGCTTGCAAATTTTAGATTATAGACATTTGAACTTACTTCCTCTTATACGAATAATGATATCGATTTGATGGTGAAGTTGGACCTTGAGCTTCATCATCGCTCATCTTTGAAACTGAAAAATTATTCAATGAATCTCGATTTTTTTCAAAACAAATGTTCGAATTCATCGAACGAAGATAAAATTTACCGTAAACGTTTCGGACAATTTTCAAGATTTGCAGTTTTCATGACAAAAAGAAGGAAAAAATAAATAGAAATGAGGAATGAAGTGGGAGAGTAGAGAAAGAGGAAAACAAGAGGCAGGGAACAAGAGGTAGGTTTGAATTGGAGCGCATTTACAACATTCAAGGAATATTTTAATATTTTATATTCTAACACTTTTTTGAAAAAAAAAACAAGGAAAAAAATAAACAGCACATTTGAAGAGACACAGAGAAAAACGGAAAGAAAATGTTTTTTTTGCGCTGCGAAATACCAGGTCAAAAATATTTTGGTTGGTTTTCTTGCTTTTTTTCACTTTTGAATTTTAAGATTTTATTGTGTGTTTTGGATTTTATTTTTTCAGAAAATGCTTTTTTAACTCTAGAACTTTATTTAGTTTGTGGAAAAAAAGCTGTGTGATAATCTTGATTGAAGTTTTTTTTGAAATAAATTTATTGTTTTCCAGATGAACATAGTTCATTTCAGATATATAATTTTTCCCCGAAATTCCGTGACCAGACGAACACCTTTCGTGATAATAACGGGTATTATCAATCTCGTTGAATATCATAACAAAAAAAAATGTTTCTAGCGTTGTTCATTCAGTTTTTCAGCTTCATCCTAACATGTGGTATCCGTGTTCATCTACACCCGATTTTCTCACACTTATTGCAATACTTCTTCAAATAGATTTATGTTTTTGTTGTATACCTACACAGCATATTGAAGATGAAACAACAAGTGAGTTTTGAATCAATTTTGAATTCAAGTTTCACGCGATTTTTTTCGATTTAAAGCTTCTACAACTTCACATTACCCAAGTTCGACATCGACTACAACTATAGAAGTTACCACTGAAACAACATCAACAACCACGACAACCATCGAAACAACCACCACAGGTAAAAAAGATGATATATTATTGTTGAAAAACTGAAAGCTTTGGTTTTTTGATTGGAGATATAACGAGTTTTTGATTTGCTAAAAAGATGTGTTTCGCTGAACGAACACTATTTGGGGATATCTCTTGTTTGGTTTTTAGCGTTTTTCATTGAATTTTCAATAGGTTCTAAAAGTTTGCAGTTAAAAAATGCGACGATGGATGGATTCCGATTCAACGAATACTTGGTGTGTGGTGTGCAAAAATAGTTGAAGATTCCTCTATTGCTAATGATTGCTTTCAAGAGGGAGGAAAAGTTTCTTCAATTGAGAGTATCGAAGAATTGAATGTGTATTTGAGCGAATTGAAAAAGATGGGTGAACAATATTGTTTGCTCAACTCAGATGTCACTTCTCAATGTTATTGTGGTGATTTTTTGTGTGAAATAACTGCGACTTGTCAAATACCAAATGTTTGGAGATGGAGTGATGGTTTCACTGATTCAAATGCTTTGATGAGTTTGGTTGAACCGCAACATCTGAGTACAAACCAATACGGTCATTCTGTCCTAATCGATACAACATCAACATCAGGACTCATTGATTATATTGATGTTGGATATGATCATCCCTATGTTTGTGGAAAAAAGGCTGTTTGAATAATTTTTACTTTGTTAAATATAAATTATTGTTCTCAAAATCAATTTACTGTTAAATAATAAAGATAAATTGATTTTTGAAATTTTCACATCAGCAGGGTTTTTTTTTATTCTCTGAAAATCTACAATTTTTAATTCTGAAATTAAAAATCAATTTGGCTGATGTGAGATTCGAACCCAGATCTTTTTTTTTAATTTGTAGGTTGTGATAGATCACGCCAGAAAATAAATCAATTTTCTCATTTCTAGAATTATTTATTCAAGTTCAAAAAACTTATAACAACTTCAAAACAGGAAAACAATGTTTCCATTTGTTTAAAAAAATGGGGGAGTTATAACATCTTCGCTTGTAAAAAAAAGTATGGTTGAGATCTCAAAACTGTCATTGCGAGGTGCTAGGTAGCCTCTTGCCCAATCCCACTAAGACATGAAATGAGACTGATCCTCCTTGTGGGCGGAGCCTAGACGTTGCCAGCATGTGTCTGAGGGCGTGACATAATCTTGTGGCGTTAAATCGCAGAAGCGATCATCATTGCGACGTTGTCAGTGCCTCTTTCGATAAGTCCGAATATCCAAATTTGTTTGCGATTGAGCATCCGTTCTCTGTTCTATTTGGCTCTAAATAGAAAGATCTGAAAAAAAACATTTGTTGAGTGAGAATTTAGAAGATCTGTAAATTAATTACCTCTTGTTCCTTTTCCGGACCGAAATACGTTCAAAGTTTAGCTGTGCAAGATCGGACTTGATTATGACACCAGTATGAAGTCACCTTCAGAAATCTTCTTCGGAAAATCATCTTGGTCTATTGAGAGTATTATCAGGTCCCCGGCTGGTCGAGTGAGTAAACCACATAATCGTCGGGCGCAACGTTTCTGAAAAAATGTATATTTTTTCAAGATATAATTTGAAGAAAAAAACAAACGACTTACGCTAACCTGCTGTAGCCATTAAAAAAAACTGACATATGTGGCTCCTGCCCGTGTCGGGGATCCATCGACTTGAAATGCGCCATCATATTTCTAGCTTTCTGAAAAAAACTATATTTTTAGTAGTACAAGAGAGGAATTATGAAGTTTTAGCGGGGCTAGATACAAATAGATTTTGACTTTTTAAATTTAAGAAAAAATTAGGAGTTGTAGATTTTTCGGTCCAAATTTGAGAGCTAGAAATGAAAATTTTGAGATTGTAACCAATTTCTGAATTGATCTACCAAGTAAATTTATGGGTTCCAAAATTAAATTTTTGAATTTTTCTTGTTATCCCAAAATCCCTGCCCCAAAAATTTGAAAAAAAAAACTTACATACGTCACATTGTGTGACCACACTGCGAGTCGCGACTTTTCAGTCGCAAAACCCACGTCGCGCCTGCGACTAAATCGATTAGCCCATTTGTTTCTCGCAAGAAAAAATGGTTGATCCTCTTCGCCACGTAGAGGCTCGATTTGTGAAGAGGGGGGAAAACTAGACTGTAGTTTAGATACAGTAAGTTTTTTGGAGATCTGAAAAATCATGACGTGGCAAAAAAATTCTTAAAAAAAAAATAAACTTACGGTAATTTTCTATTCACTTTTTTATATGGCTGTACCTTGATGTCACACATAGGTCAGGATTATCTAAAAAAAAAATTGGGAGTTATTAGGGTATTTAGGGTTACGGTAACTCACCGTGATTTTCTCATTGTCCACCGGTTCAAAGTTTTGATCGAAAAAAATTCAGAGATTCTGGAAAAAAAATCATATTTTCCACGTGGCAACAAAAAACGCGCTCTAATGCAAACTTACCATAACTCGAGAATTACTGTAGTCTAGATACAGTCAGAAGAAAAGAATGATGAATATTTGAATTTTGGAGCCACCTATTTATAGCTCGTGAAAGTGGGCGGAGCTTGAATTTTGGGAAGATTTTTTTGATGAACAGATGTTGGGTTTTTCCCAGAAAGCGGGAAAAATTTTGAAAATGTGCCACAATTCACACATTTTGGGAAGGAATTTGGTGGGAAAGTGGGAAAATTTTTTGGGAAGTATGCCACGTGGATTTTCTCTGAGATCGAAAAATCAAGATTCGATATTTTGACATTGGGCCACGTGGATTCTTGAATTAAGAATTTGTAAATCAAGGTTTGTCACGTGGATTATTAGACCTAAAATTTGAAAATCAAAGTTTGCCACGTGGATTTTTGATTCAAAACTTAATGATTCAATTTTGACACTTGGATTTCCTGAGATCAAGAGTTCAAAATTTCAATTTTTGCCACGTGGATTATTAGACCTGAAATTCAAAAAAACAAACTTTTCCACGTGGATTTTGAGACCTAAGATTCAAAATATCCACGTTGATTTTTCAACCTAAAATTTGAAAATTTCAAAATTACCAAGTAAATTTTGAGATCCAATATTCAAGTGTTAAAAAATTGTGCCACGTGGATTTTTCCTCAAATATTTTTTGGCCTCCAAATTCGATGAAAAAGCTTCTCTACTCCTACTCTCTGTTCCTTTCTCCAACTCTCTCATTTTTCTCTGCGTCTCTCGCCTTCTGATCAGGCACGCGCGCGATCAATGTTTTGTTTACATTTTTTTGTGTCTCGTATTTTTGGGCCCAAAATTTTTTTCTCGACTTTTCTATCAAAAAATGTTCTACTGAAATTACTGTATCTAAACTACAGTACTATGTATTTCTCAATCAAATTTCTTCTGGAAAAAAATGAAATTAAAAATCGGTGTAAGTTTTATTTTTCAAAAAAAAATTTCATTTTAAATTCTGAAAATTTCAGAATGCCCTAAATGTATGCTCAAAATGCGTCAAATTTAAAATTTCAACATCAAAAATCCTACTGTATCTAGACTACGGTAATCTTCCAAGTTATCAGATTAATCTGTAAGTTTTCAATTTGTTTTTGAATTTTTTCTGAAAATTATTTTTTTTTCAGATTTTCTGCTGTTTCCTATGTAGCCCAAGCTGCAAAAATGGAAAAAACGGAATGTTGTGGTACTGTATCTAAACTACAGTAATCCTATTATTGCTCAGATTGGAATCCGAAACAAATAAAAAAGGTTGTATCGATTTTGTTGTGTTTTTGTTCACAAATAAATTTTTTTGAAAAAAAAATCTCGCTGAAATTCAAAATTTGCCACGTGGATTTTTGAAAATTGAAATTTTTCAAGTGGATTTTCAGATAAAAACTTCAGAAATCTGAAAATCCACGTGGCATCTGAAATTTATCTGAAATTGTGTACAAAAAATACAAAATTGCAGCATTTTTCTTATCACGTTCACAGTTTTCAGCTGGTTTTTCATAATTTTTGAAAAACTAAAATGCTGATAGGTTTTCGAATGTGGTGAACAACCTTATTCATGTTGTAAAAATTGATTTTCCACCCAGAAACCAGGTGAAAATTGGCGAAAACCCCGCCATGCAAAACACAATTTGCAAACAACACTCCGCTTTTTTGCACTTGCCCCTATTTTAGTGAGGGCGCGGTTTTTCTTTTATTTTTCACATTTTCTCTGTTTTTTTCGCTGTTTTCTCGTTTCAAAGTGGAAAACTAATGTATTTTTCGCAGGAGTATGATAGAATATGGCGACAATTCGAGTTTTTGCCGAAACAAGTGGTAAAAGGTAAGGTGAAGTGCGAAATATCATAATATTATTGTGTTTTAGGACCTCAAATTGCTCGTCAACCTCGCAAATTCGATTGTGGAGAGGCTGCTTATGGGAAGCGCGGGAAAAAGGTTTGTCTTTTCAAGTTTTATCTTAAAAAACAAAACTTTTCAAATATTTTAATTTTAAAAATACGAAATTTAGTTGAGAGAACAATGATTTCTTTTGAAAACTCGTACAAAATATAGGTTATCTGAATATCCACGTGGCATCTAAACTGTATCTGAAATTGTGAACAAAACTGGAATTATCCAGGATTTTTCTAATATGAGCAATTGATACTGTAAGTTAGATTAGGTTGGCAGAATCAAGACTATTTTGAAAATGAAAAAAACTTGTGTGCATTTGTGCGTCGCCGTGTACAAACAGTACTAGTGAAAAATTTTATCCGAGCAGAAAAGTTTTGATCCGGGTTATTCAAGTATATTTTTTCGATAAATCTTTTGGCCAATTAATAATCTATGATTTTGTGCGATTGTCTGAGTCGCTATCGATTGATTTCAGTTTTTCGAATATTGCGGATGTTTCTGTCCAAAATGAATATCGGATTTGTATTGTATCTGACATAGTTTAAAAGATTGTGAATCAATCAGTGTGTGAAAATGAAACTCACCATTTGTTCTTCAATTTCTGAATATTTTAAATTGTAGGAGTACTGTAGATTGCTGTAGTTTAGATACAGTATGCAAAATTTTCATATTTTTGAAATTCCGAGAAATTTACTGAAATGAATATTTGAAAATTCTAGAAATAATTTTGGATATACTTACATAACATTTCCAAAACAAAATGAATAATTACGGTAGATTACTGTAGTCTAGATACAGTATGACAAAGTTTTAAGAATTTTTGGACTCATGGCAATATGTGCCTAGGAAATATACAAATAAACCATGAATTATATCACCTTATTTGATTTATATAAATTTTTACTAATTCGATTTACGATTTTTTTACAACGCTTATAATTTGCAGCTTTTTTTGCAGCATAAGCGAAGAATAAGAGTAGAATATCAGGGTCCTTTGAGACAAAAAAGGGGCGGAGCCTATCCAAAAATTATATAAAATAAATTATGGGGTTAAAAAAATCTGAATTCAAGTCGAAAAAAATATTTCCGATTCAGAAAATGTCAAGAAACTATATTTTTTTCATTTTTCCCCATGAGTAAATGACAAAAAAAAATGTTTGTGTGCATTTTTACGTCACCATGTTTGCGTTTCAAATCTTTTTCCATGAGAAATAATTTTATTAAACATTAGAAAATAAATGGATTTATGAAGAAAATTTATGATATGATAGCTAATATTCTTGTTGTTGTTCTCAGCCTGAAAAAAATCTCGAATTCAATTTTTCAGTTCAGAAATATTCCGAAAAAACTCACATTTTTTGAATTGCAATGCATTGGATATGCTCTTTGGTTTTTTTTCCAGAAATTGCATCTTTTCAGAGAAGAGTACTGTTGTTTAGATACACTGTGACAAAGTTTTGAATTTTTTTGGGCTGCTCCCAGAATTTGCCCCAGGTTGATTGATGACATTATCCTGAAATTAAATTTTGAAATTTTATTTTTGGGAAAATATTTTTGAAATTCAAAAAAAAAAAATGAAACTCACCATTTTTTTTCAGTTTCGGAACATTCTTCCATTTCTTTTCTTGGGTGGAAAGTTATTCTTGGATTTCAGAATTGTAGGAGTACTGTAGATTACTGTAGTCTAGATACAGTATGACAAAGTTTTGAAATTTTCGGACTCACGGCAGCATTATCCCACGAAATGACATACAATCCTGAAAAATTTTTGAATTGAGTTTTTTGTCGCAAAATTTTTTTTTAACTCACAAATTTCTTATCAGAAAAGTACTGTAGTTACTGTAAATACAGTAGTTTGGATTTCTCTTTTTTTCAGCAGCCAGGATTGTTAAGTTGGTAGATCAGTAGAATTTCTAAAAAAATGAAAAATGAATTTTGAATATTGAAAAAACAAGTTGATAACTTACAGATTTCTCAATTGGAATTTTTTTGTAATAGTACTGTAGTTTAGATACAGTATGACAAAGTTTTGAAGTTTTTTGGGCTTTTCCCAGAATTTTCCGCAGGTTGATTGATGACATTATCCTGAAATTAAATTTTGAAATTTTATGTATTTAAAAAAAATCAAAAATAAAATTGAAACTTACTTATAGTTATTTTGGACTACTACAAATACAGAACATTGGGTCGTATGTTTTACGGAAAAATATGAAATAAAATTCTTAATGTTTATATTTATGTTGTATCTTCTGAAAAATCAAAAATTAGCAATGAATTATGAAAATTCGAAAAAAAAACTCACAGGCCGCAAATCCTTTTTGCCGGAAAAATGTGGAATAAATAAGTACTGTAGTCTAGATACAGTAAGATCTGAAATTTTGAAAATTAATTTTTTTTAATTCAACATTTTCGTGAATGACTTACCATAACTCCAATTTTCAAAAATAATTATTTGTTGAAATAAAATACCAAAAAAAATGCTTCCGGGATACCAACATCCTTGGTTTCGATCCAGGAGAATCTCAATACTTTCCAAAAAAAATACGGTAGATTGAGTACTGTAGTTTAGATACAGTTGAATATTTTCTTCAAAATGAATATAAACTATGATGGTCCTCTCATATTTATACACTGCCAAAAATGGGCGGAGCCTGTTGTTTTTTCTAGCTTGGCTGTGGATTTTGGGAAACTTTCTCACTTTTTTGTTGGTAGAACAGCGTGACAATGTGTTTTTTTTTGATGATTGATTGGTTTTTGTTAGATTTTTTTGGATGAAAAGATCAAAAACGCAAAATTTGGAGCATTTAGGTCTGAAATTCCCTGTGAAAAAAAGATCCACGTGGCAAATTTAGTACCATTCTGCCCTAAATTTCGTGTCCTTATCAATGGCCTAGCTTTCCAAATCTCTTCCAGATCTCAAAAAAAAATCTGAAAATCCACGTGGCATCTGAAATTTATATGAAATTTTTTGAAGAAAACTTTTTTTCAAAAAAAATTTATTTGTGAACAAAAATACAAAATGAAAAATCGACAATGTCTTTTCTCGCGAGTTTGAATTCCAGAAGAATTTTGCTAATCTGAGCAATCATAGGATTACTGTAGTCTAGATACAATAATGTTTTTAGCCACGAATTTTTGAATCGTTGACACACGATGCAGACGCGAGGATTCTGAAAAATTTTATTTGAAAATGAAAATGAATTTTGAAAATAAAAAACTTACATAAATTTCTCTCAACAGCTCAAAATGAAATGTAAATCATAGCGTTTTCCAAACAATTGAATTACTGTAGATTACTGTAGTTTAGATACAGTATGACAAATTTTTGTGATTTTGGGATCTTCTGCAAATTTTCCTCAGGTTGATGATATTATCCTGAAATTAAATTTTGGAAAAATATTTTTGAATTTCGAAAAAAAATGAAACTCATTCTCACCATTTTTTTTCAATTTCGGAACATTCTTCCATTTCTTTTCTTGGGTGGAAGGTTATTCTTGGATTTTAGAATTGTTGGAGTACTGTAGATTACTGTAGTTTAGATACAGTGAGCAAAACTTTATTTTTTTTTAGAATTCCAGAAAATTCACCATCAATAAATAGCTCGGTTTGTGGATCTGAAATTAATTTTTTTTCTTTTAAAAAATAATTTTGAATAAACTTACTTTTAGCCAGATATGTTGAAAATTTCCAGAACAAAATAAATAATCACGGTAGATTACTGTAGTCTAGATACAGTATGCCAAAGTTTTGAAATTTCCGCTCTCACTGCAACATTGTCCTAAGAAATCACATACATTCCTGAAAAATTTTTGAATTGAGTTTTTTTTTAAATTTTTTAAACTCACAAATTTCTATCTTATCAGAAGAGTACTGTAGTTTAGATACAGTAGTTTGGATTTTTCAATTTTTCAGCTCCCTGGTTTATCTAGTGAGTAGATCAGTAGAATTTCTGAAAAAAATTGAATTTAGAAAATTGAAAAAAAAAACTTGATAACTTACAGATTTCTCAATTGGAATTTATTTGTAGTAGTAGGAGTACTGTAGTTTAGATACAGTAGGAATTTTGGTTGAAAATTTGCACACTTTTTTTTAAAGTACAATTTATTTTGCAATAAATTATTACACAAAAAACGAGCAAACTCCACACAAAAATTCAGAAAAAAAATCCGGCTTCTCCACAGTCTAGCGGGTGAACCTCACTCGATTGGAATTTATTTGTAGTAGTACTGTAGTTTAGAAACAGTAGAAATTTTGGTTGAAAATTTGGCCATTCCGCAAACTAGGCATAGTTATAGAAAATCTGGAAAAAATAATTTTGAAAGATATTTTTTCAGGGTTTCTAACTTACCATAACTCAACTTTGAAATCGTAAAAAGTAGCTTTTCAGACAAAAATGAAAGTAAATAACAAGAGTTTGAGTACTGTAGTCTAGATACAGTAATGAGAATCTACATTTAGGTTGCATAAAAACTATGATGGTCCCTTCGTTTTTATAGTCTGGAAAAGTGGGCGGAGCTTGCACGATGTTTTCAGGAAAGTTCCCAGAAATGGGAAGTTTTCCCGGTTTATTATTGAGAATAAAACACCGTGATGAAGTGCTCTTTGAATGATTCATTATTTTTTAACACATTTTTTGGATTTTGGGAAGATTTTTTGAATGAAAAATTGATTCAACATTTGAAAATTTCATATAGAAATCCACGTGGAAAAAAATCACTTTATTTCTTGCCAATCTTTCGAGAATCTGAAAAACACGCGAAAATTGTCAAAATTACAGAGAGAATTAGAAAAACACGATTTTCGCTGGGAATTTTCACGAAGTCCCTTTCGGCAATGTTTTCGTAGATGTAGTTGAGGATGTGGAACTGCAAAAATTTTTTGGAAAACTAGCCACGTGGATTATTAGGCACTTAAACTTGATCTATTGGATTTTTAGAAAATCAAAAAAAAATTTCATTTAAAATTTTGGAACCTTAAAAAATTTCGGACAATTTTGAATTTCAAAATGTTTCAGCCACGTGGATTTCATTTTTTGAGCTTCATGATTTACAAAAAAAAAATTATTGTGCTCAGAAAGTTAGAGACGCAGAGAAGCTAGACACTTGAAGATATCTATAAGGTTAGAGACGCAGAGAAACTGTTGTGAGGATTTCTACTCTTTATAAAGTATTGAGAGACCCAGAGATGCCAGACGGCTAGAAAGTTAGAGACGCAGAGAAGCTAGACACTTAGAGATCACTATAGAGTTAGAGACGCAGAGAAGCTAGATACAAAGAGATCACTAAAGAGTTAGAGACGCAGAGAGGCCAGGCATTTATAGACTACTATGGAGTTAGAGACGCAGAGAAACAGGACCGTTGATTAGAGAACATAAATTAATGAGAGACCCAGAGATGCCATACAGCTAGAAAGTTAGAGACGCAGAGAAGCTAGACACGTAGACATACCAATAAAGTTAGAGACGCAGAGAAGCCAGACACTTATGTAGAGATTACTAGGACGCAGAGAAACTAATTTTCCTCACCTGACAACAAATCCTCGCATTTTCCACCAAAAAAATCGTCGAAATCTCGAATTTCACCAAAGTCTTCACCACAAAAAACCGCAGAAACACGAAAAAAATCACAAAAAACGCAAAAATGAGCAGCCAGAAATTGGGCATTTTCCAAATCCAAATATAAATCAAAAAATCGTGGATGTTGTGTTGGAAAATCTCGAAAACGAAGAGAAAAATCGTGGAAATTGTGAAAAATGTGAAGAGAAATTGATTGGGCGAATTTGTTGCGGAGCTGGAATTTTTCAGCGATTTTTTTCGCGTGTCGCAAGTCGCTTACCTCTTGAATAACCTGCGAATCGCGAGAATTGTTGCGATTTTCGCAGCGACTATTGCGACTCCAAAAATCGCGCCTTTTCCATCAAACATCACAAAATCCTGCGAATAAGTCGCAAGAAATCCAAAAATCGCGGATAGAATCGCGAAAATCACACGCAATTTTATCTTCGCGCTTCCCAAACCTACAGTAATCCAAATCGGCGTGGAGTACTGTAGAATTTGCGCTAATTCGGATTTTTGATGGTAGAATGTGTGAAATTCGAGGAGAATTGAGAGGAGCAAAAATATGGAGGCTGGCAGCGATTTCGGGTCGAATTTCAGCGATTTTTGAGGTCTGGAAGAGGAATTTTCGAGATTTGGAAAGTTAGGCCATTGGTTTTGGGCGCGAAATTTTGATCTACCAAAGTTAAAGGAGCCTACCGTACTCCAAACTGCATCAAAATCATCCCGGTCACCGAAAAAAGCAACAATAAAATGGCGGGAAATTCGAAAAACAGCACATTCAAAATCAATCGATACAGTATGCCAGAAGTTAGCGAAAATCCAAAAAATATCGAAATTCTGCAAAATTTTCTGAAAATTTTAAAGATTTGAATTGTTCTAACTTACTGTAACATTGATGACGTCATTATTTTTCTGAAAATTTAAATTTTGAAAACTTTTTTAATTTGAATTTTTGAAAAAAAAATAATTGAAAATTGGAAAATTTACCAAAAAAAATTTGTAGAAAAAAAAAGGAAAAAATTTTATTTTCAGAAAAATAGAGCAAAAAGGGATTTTGGAGCAGATGGCCTAGGTTTTCAGGAATTCTAGGCCACGGCCTGAACTAGATTTTCTAGGCCACCAAGCTTTTATGGCCCAGAAAATTTGAATATTGGTTTTCTAGGCCACCAATAATCTATGGCCTAGAAAATTTGAATATTGGTTTTCTAGGCCACCAATAATCTATGGCCTAGAAAATTGGTTTTCTAGGCCTTAAATTTCTGGTGGCCTAGAAATCCAAACACGGCCAAATTTGGTCTCAAAATGCTGCAAATCACCACGAGAACCCGAAAAACTAGGCCACCCGCTCCAAAAAAGCCCCCTCAAGCCTTAGTCATCCAAGGCCCTTTTACAATATTTCCCTTCTCTTTCTCAAAATCAATTCCATCTCCAAATCTCAAAGTCTTGGCTCCCAAACATGTGAAAATCAAAAAAAGCCAATTAATAATTCCCGGCGAAACGTCATAGAACAAATAGAAACCCATATAATAGGCGATGAATGTCTCGAAAACACAACGAATGTTTGAGAAGATTTGAAGTTTCACAGCTCCGTTGTGCTCCAAACATTTGAATATTGTAAAGTGGAAAATTATGCCGGCGAGCAGGTTGATTACTGTAGAAAAACAGCTTCAAAATGAGTATAAATAACCTTGGGAAAGATTTGGCTGCGTACTTGACTGAGTATCTAATGATTTTAAAATTTTGGGATGAATTTATTCTTGCTCAGTGGATCAAGAGCTTCCGAACGAGTATAAACAAGGCTATATTTTCTCTTTAAATCGACCCTATGGAAATTTGGCTGCGTACCTGTACTTAACTGAGTATCTAATGATTTTCAGACTGTAAGATTACCGTAATCGTTCTCGGTATACCAAGAGCTTTCGAACGAGTATAAACAAGGCTATACAATTTTCTCTTTAAATTCCCCCTATATAAATTTGGCTGCGTACCTGTACTTGGCTGAGTATCTAATGGTTTTCAGACTGTAGGATTACCGTAATCTTTCTCTTCACGCTAAGAGCTTTCAAATGAGTATAAACAAGCCTAGCCTATCTCTTCAAATTTACCTTAAGCTCCTTAGGGTCCTTAAAGGGCCCACTAACCCTAAAAAATTTTCCAACATCATTTTGTTCAGAAAATTGCGCTGATCACGAATATCACATTCATTTCTCTTGAATCCATCAAAAAACTTACAAAATACGACAATAAAAAGTGGATGAGCAGCGGTGATAATATACATAAACGCATCTCTTATCTCATCCTGTACAATATCAGCCATCAAGTAGAAAACCAACGAATTGAAGGAGTGAAGGTAGAGCATTTCGGTGGCCTAGAAAAATCCAATTCGGCCACGGAGAAAAGTTAGGCCACTCACCGAGAAGTTAACCATATTTTCCTCGAATAAAATTAGGGCGGCCGCCTGGAGTCCAGCTCCAAAAACACCATACAAAAATGAGTATCTATCCATAGCCAATTCCAAGTTTACTGTAGAAAATTCTGGGGTTACTGTAGATTACTGTAGGGTTACTGTACCTGCGACTGACGTGGCAAAACATAATCCAAGAATCATTAGAGTTCGATTTGGGTCCAATTTTTGTTGGCGGCCTCGGAGAGAGATGAAGATTAGGATGAGCAATGGGGTGAATCTGTACGAAAATTTGGGTACTGTAGATTACGGTAGACTCACCTTTTGACTGAATCGAAATTCGGCATTGCGATTCCCTCAAAACTCGCTACAGTAACCCATTGAGCCAAAGTGTAGAGCAAAGAGGGGATGAAAATTTGACGGCCTTTTTCGAAAGAGTACGGCGGGACCTGAATTTCAAAAAAATTTAAAAAAAAATTTGAATTTGGTTACTGTAGGCACCTTTAAGATGCCCAAAATTCTCGAAATTTCAATGACAAAAAGTGTGGAGGCGGTCTGCATCATCAAAATCACAATTGGATAATCGAAGAAGAAGCGAGTTACGATAACTTTGCCCATTATTGAGCAAAATGTGGAGGCGAGAATGAAGAGGATTAGACTGGAAAAATGGGGTACTGTAGAAGAGGGGTACTGTAGATAGGTGAGGGAAAAATTTGGAATTTTTTGAGACCAAATAAGGGTAGGGTACTGTAGATTACTGTAAGTTTGGAATGTTTTAAGAAGGTACTGTAGGTAGATCAAGTTTGGTGCCAGTAAATTCTGGATACTGTAGAGCTTTATGATATTCAGAAATTGAAAATTTTCAAAAAAAATTGTAGTTCAATTTTTGGTACTGTAGATCAATTTTTGAAGCTAAAAATAGAATTACTGTAGCTCAAAGAATTGAGGATACTGTAGAGCTTTATGAAATTCAGGAATTAAAAACATTAGATCAAAATTTTAGTGCCAAAAACTAAGAGTACTGTAGATCAATTTTTGGCGCCCAAAACTATTTTTCAAATTTTTCAACTCACCTCCTTCCACTGGTAGTTTTCAGTGATCGCATCATTTTTTTCCAGAAAATTTCAGATCCTTCAAAAAAACTTTGCGAATAACAGAATTTGGATCAAGGAAATTGAGGAAAAAAGGATTTTTTGGGGGCCGAATCTCGCCAGAAAATCTCCCAGTTTTCACTTTATCTTTGCAGGAAATCTGCGAAAATATGGATTTTATTTTCGGATTTTTATTCATTTTTTTGAATGGAAGGAACAGAGGAAAAATAAAAAATCTGGAAAAATTTTGATCTGAAATTCGTCTTACACAAACAAAACACAATTTTTCAAACAAAAAAAATTTATTCATTTTCGAAGATTTGCTATATGCAGTGATTGAATTACAGTAGTCGATTGGATTACTGTAGTCTAGATACAGTATTCGATTTGCCACGTGTATTTTCTTCAAAATTTGTTACACTTGTTAGTCTGGTATCTTTCTTCATTTTTTCGGACAACTCGTTGTATGGTGCTATGATTACAGTAGTCGACTGGATTACTGTAGTCTAGATACAGTATTCGATTTGCCACGTGAAATTTGTAGGCCTGAAAAAATGGTAGATTTTTGAAAAAAAAACATTTAAAAAAAATAAACTCACAGTCCTAATATGATTAGCGGTCTTCAAATTTTTGATTTTAAAAAACATTTTTTTCTAGATTACTGTAGTCTAGATACAGTACTCATTTGCCACGTGAAATTTGTAAGCCTGAAAAAACATTGATTTTCAAATTAAAAAAAAAACAATTTGAAAATAAAAACTCACTATCCTTATGTGGTTTGCGGAATTTTTGAATTAATTTTTTTTCTAGATTACTGTAGTCTAGATACAGTATTGCCACATGAAATTTTTGTAAAAAAAAAATAAAAATCATAAATAGGCGTTGGTAAATAGACGCCACAAAAAAGAGGGGAGATAAAACAACAGGCAAGCGGAGTGTCGTTGTTTTTTTCGTAAACTATTATCTGTTTGCGCATAGCCCCAACACGAATCCAGGTGAACCATCTGTCCAATAGAATGACGTCATAGCGTTGCAAGTGGTAGTTAGCATGAATTCGGACACAACAAGATTGCTCATATTAAACTTTTCTGAAATATGAAACTGCTGATGAAAGATTTGAATTTTCTTATTTTCATTTAAGAAAAAAATTTAAAAATTGCTGATGTTAAATGATAAAGTTTAATATGAGCAATGCCTTAGATTTCATTGAAAATTGAATTCTCATATTAGTGTTTTTCAGATAAAGTTCTGTATTGCTCATGTTAAGCGAAATTTTTGAAATTAAATTCCTCAAATTCCTTTCTCATGTGTTTTTTTCAATTTTTTTCGTTTTCGAAAAAAAAATCAAATAGTTTGACCTTTGTTTCATTGATCTTGATAAAATCAGAAAAAATATCAGAAATTTGATTCAAAAAATTCGTCTGAAAATTAAAAATTCCAGATTCCTCTGTAAAAAATTTGTATCTAGTTTGAAAGTTCAAACTAGACTTTTTTGACCAAAGACTAGATCTTCATTTTTTTTTCTGCTAAATCTCTATCTCAATTCGGAAAATGAGAGAGAAAATGTCATAAGATGAGCGAATTTCGGCCAAAATTCGGCGAATCAAAATAGTTGCCAGCTATATAAAGCCAAGGATAAGGATAGGCTTAGACACAAGCTTAGGCTTAGGCTTATTTTGAAGACAAAAATGCTCAGAAATTCTATTGTTTTGGTATTTGTGATATTGGTGGCGATTGGTGAGTTTTTTTTGGTTAAAATTATAAGCGGGGACTAGTTTTTCTCTCTCTGCAAAACCTAGTCCCCCACTATTTTAGAATTGTTTTTCAGCTAGCGCACACGGAGGCGGCGGGCATCACGGAGGGGGAGGTCATAGCCACGGGGGCGGCGGTGGTCACCACGGAGGCGGTGGGCATCACACTAGCGGAGGTCACCACCACAACGGGGGACATCACCACGGAGGAGGAGGTTTCCACAATCACGGGGGCTTCGGTGGAAGCAACTTTGGAGGAGGCTATGGAGGTGGAGGAGGCGGCGGACTTCTCGACCTTCTTTTCAGCGGTGCTGGAAGCTCATCTTATAGCGGTTATGGCTATAATCGCCCATACAATAACTATAACCAGTGTAGAATTGCTCGATTGGTGGATTATGTTGGCACAACGCCAAGATTTTATTGCGATTGTCCACCGTATGCTCCTAATTATCAATATTTTAATTGTGTGCCAATGGCTACAGGAAAATAGGTGTGAGAAATATCTTTTTGGAAAATAAATGGGTTGTATATAGTTCACTAGATTCAAAAATGCTTCATAAAAATATCTACACATTTTTTTCCAAACCCAATTTTATTCAAATTCAAATCAAAAAGTAAATGATGAAAACAAGTTGCGAACACTTCCAGCCGCATTTTCGACTGTTCCAATCGCAGCGTCAAATAATCCAGTTTGGTTGGAAATGTTTCCCAAATCCAAATTTTGGTTTTGAGTTTCAATTGGATTCGAATTGGAATCGGAGAAAATTGAAAAAAGACAAATCAAGAGCAAAATGAATTTCATTTTGATTTTTTCGATGAATTTGGCGATCGATTTTAAACGGAAAATTTTGGCGTCTCACAATAAAACAAGAGAAAATCTATTTTTGGAATTTCAAAAATACATCGAGATTGATGTCTTGATCGATCAGACCAAGAGTTCAGAAAAAAAGGAAGGACGTGGCAAGAGTTCAACTTTTTTGTTCTAGGCTATGTACGGTCTCTATTGAAAACATATGAAAACATACCATATGGTTTTTGAGTGCTCTGTGCGAGGCTAAACCACGATTACCAGCGTCCGCGATATCCACTCACATCCTCGAGAATGATGTGGTAATAAAATGTACCAGAAAATAAATGCGGGGAAATCATAAAATGATGTTTATGATTTTCCCGCTTTCTTGTCAGATGAATTTCTGACAAGACAAAGTTTTCAATCGGGGAGCAAGAACAAAATAATCCCAATGAAACATTTTATTGAACCCAAACCCATTTTACAACCAATACAAAACGATTCAATTTATTGAAGTTGCGTTTTTTCCACACAAAGCAATGCCGTATAATACTCCTAATTGATTATCCGTCAATCCAGATTCGTTCTCTGTTGTAAGAAAAAGGTGCGCTCCAGTTTTGTTTTCATTCAAATAGTAAGGCTCAACTTTCTCAAGAACTTCAATTGACGTGTTATACTGTGACCATGCAGATGGTGGTTTACATGTTTCAGTTATTGGACAAAGTAATAGTAGGAGACATGGACATAGATTGCTGGTGGTCCTTCTTTCTAATGTTCTCGCATACTTCTCACCGCTTATTTTTATCAAGTTCACGTACACTTCCAATTCTTCCAAATTTTCAATCAATGAATACGATCCGCCTTGACCAAAACAATCTGATATATTCATTATTTTCACACACCATCCATAAAGCTCTCTCTGAATGTATGTCCATCCCTCATCACATCTGGTATCTATTGGACGAACATTGCATCCCATTACAACGCCGAACAACGAGAGTACCAAAATCAACATTCTGATAGAAGTGTTGAAAATGCCTTCCGACCCGCTTCTTTTAAGCAAAGCATTGCGCTGAAGAATACGTGGCACAATTTTATGATTTGGCAGAAAAGCGGAGAAAGCTGATTTTATTTACGATGTATTAACAAATCGGAGAGCTGCGGGGAAATCATAAAACGATGTTTATGATTTTCCCGCTTTCTTGTCAGATGGATTTCTGACAAGGCAAAGTTTTCAATCGGGGAGCAAGAACAAAATAATCCCAATGAAACATTTTATTGAACCCAAACCCATTTTACAACAAATACAGAACGGTTCAATTCATTTAGCTCGCGTTTGTTACACACACCACTGGACTGGTTTCATATCCTTCGTGATTGTCTGTAAGTCCAGATTCATTCTCTGTGGTTATCAAAATGCTCGTTCCATATTTGTTTTCATTCAAATAGTAAAGCTCAACCTTCTCAAGAACTTCGATTGGTATGCCATAACCAGACCATACAGATGGTGGATTACAAGTTTCAGTGATCGGACAAGCTATATCATTACATTTACATTCTGCAGACGCATATGCTAATATTCTCGCAATCTTCAAACCACTGTTTTTCAACAAGTTCACATATATTTTCAACTCTTCCAAACTTCGAACCGTTGATAAACCTCCACCTCTAAGTATACACCCGTTAACGAACTCCTTGATTTGTAGTATCTTCACACACCCTCCACCAACTTTTCTTTGAACTGGTGTCCATCCATCGTCGCATTTAAAATCCATCGGACGAACATTACATCCCATGACAACACCGAACAACGAGAATATCAAAACCAACATTTTGATAGAAGTGTTGGAAATGCCTTCCGACCCGCTTCTTTTAAGCAAAGCATTGCGCTGAAGAATACGTGGCACAATTTTATGATTTACCAAAAAGCAGGGGGAATTCTGATTTTATTTACGATGTATTAAAAAATCGGAGAGCTGCGGGGAAATCATAAAACGATGTTTATGATTTCCCCGTTTTCTTGTCAGAGAGGAGAAATCTCTGAATGCATGTTCCGGGCTGAAATCCAAAAAATTTATTACAACGAAAACATCAATTAGAAAAGATCTCTTTCCTCTTTAGGGAAAATAGTCTCCAAGTTCAAAACTCCAATATCGAAAACTTTTCTCGGGTTTCCGCCGGGGCTGATATAACTGTCCGGAATGCGGAATTTCACTTTACGTTGTCCGGGTTTAATTCCATCGTCACAATCGTGATAAACCTTGAAGACCGGGTCGATGTTGGTCAATTCACGTTCAGATCCCTGGAGTTATTTGAGTTGCGGGTAATTTTCACAGTGAATCAGGAAAAAACCCACCGAAAGATGGAAGGTTCCATCATCCTTGGTGAATCCCTCGTCCAAAACATCATCCGGATCCGGACCATCATCCTCATCCCAAAGCTTCACCTTAACACCGCCAGCCGGTTTTGGCCCACACATGAGCTTGCCGGAAACCGCGACCGACTGAAAAAATTTTGAAAATTTTAATTTTTTATATTAAAATTAAAAAAAAACCTGTTGTCTCATGGCTAAGGTGCATCCAAAAATGGCGATTGTCAGCAAAATGAGAGACTTCATCTCTGAAAATCGGAAAGTTTTGAAGCTGGATGGAGAAGCTGAAAATGAATGAAAAAGAAGCAGGCTTTATCAAAAAAAAAAAAAAAATTCGGTGTAATATCACAGTTGTTTAGAGGATGGGATGAGGATAAACTAATTAATCTTGAAATGTTTTTTGAGATGTTGCGACAAAACTTGCGACAAATTCGCGCGTCTCTTGCGAAAAATTGAAGCTGACTAGCAACAAAAAAGGAACTCGCGACGATACTTTTAAAATTACACAGCAACTATAGTAATTTAACCCTCACAACGATCACCATAGAGATCTTTGTGGGACAAAATCGCAAGCACAAAAAAATTCAGAAATTTTCAAAAATCACGAAACCCGCGACTAGTTAATTATATAGTTAACTGTTATCAAAAAATCACCAACAAAACTTTTTTTCCGACAGCTGTCTTTTCTTCTTGTTCACCTGTCAATATAAACAAGCCCATTAAAAAAGTGATTTTTGTATTTCTCACGAAAATTTTCATTCTTCTCTTTATTCCAGGATGAAGTTTGCGATTCTTTGTGCTCTTTTGGGTGTCGCCGTTGCGATGCGCGATCAATCGATCGCAGTTAAGGTAACTCACTTATGCTTAACAGCTAGACCCTTAATAAAGTTCTATTTTCAGGGTAAACTAGTCTGTGGGCCAAAGCCTGCGGCGCAAGTCCGCGTCAAGCTTTGGGAGGAAGATTCCGGACCGGATCCAGATGATCTTCTCGATCAGGGATACACTGATGCCAATGGTTTGTTCAATTTGAAAGGTGGAACTGCTGAATTGACAACTATTGATCCAATTTTCAAAGTTTATCATAATTGTGACAAGGGATTGAAGGTTTGTGAAGGGATTTTTGATCATGAAAATTTGGGGTTTTGCAGCCAGGATCTCGCAAGATCAAATTCAAACTTCCCGCTTCTTACATCACCAATGGAAAAGTTCCCGCAAAAACTTTCGATATTGGAACTCTTAATTTGGAAACTGTTTTCGCTGAGGAGGAAAGAGAACTCATTGTTTCATAAATTTCTTTTTTTTATTTGAATAAAGAACATCAAGCTATGACGTGGAATTTGAAAAAATCGCAAGCTTTATGATGTCTAGAATTGTCTACAAAAACCACCCACAGAAAGAAACATTTTCCCAATTTGAAAATGAAAATGAAGATTTTAGTCCTATCATTTTTGATAGCTGCAAAAGTTTCCGCCGAATTGTTCTATGATTCTGAAAATTGTCTTCGAAATCACTTCAAAAAGTTGAATTTGGATTATTCGGAGGTTTTGGGAGCTCTGAAAAATCGTGAGCTCAGAAGCGAATTGATAGCGGAGAACAAGTTCATTGCGGGTTAGTTTTAGCTATCCTGGTGCAAATAGTTATTTTTTCAGATTTGTATAAATCTCATAGATCTTATGAAAAATCTGTTGAAGAACGGAGATTTGCAAATATTGAGAGTGAAACTGACAAAACTTTAGATGATGACTGGGATATTTTTGAGTTGTGTGAAATGGATGCAAAGATTTATAGTGAGTTACCCAACAAAAAATGTGTTCAAAACAATTCCTTCAGCGGCATTGTATGCTGCTTATTTGACTAGTTTGGTAAAAGAAGACAATTTTCAAATGGAATATAATAGGATTTCTGAAGAGAAAAGGAAGGAGTTGGATAGACGAAGAATTCAAGAAGACGAAGAAGAAGAGTATGAGAAATTTATGAAAGAATTCAAAGAGGCAGAAGAAGAGGCAAAGAAATCGGCCTCAATTAGTTCAACAATAACATCTACAATTTCTACCACAGCTCCAGAATTGATTACAGAAAGCACTGATTTCATTGATACCTCTTACACAGTAAATCAAATCAGTTCCCCCTCCTTTTTTAATCGAAAATTTTTATTATAGGCTATCCGTGTTTCTGGTAAATTTCGGTGCGGTTCAGAGCCAACCGGTTTTGTCGAGGTCCGACTCTGGCATTACAACTCCTCTCACATGAAGAACAATGAACTGGATTACTCGAAACTTAACGAATCTGGTATACTTTTAGACGAAGTCAAAACAAGCAGCAACGGAAAATTCATTTTATCGGGTTATGTGAAAAATAGAATGAACCCAGTGTTCGAAATGTTTCATAAAACACGTTTGTTCCGACATATTCCGAGGGAATATATTAGTGCCGGCCAATACTCAGATAACGATTATGTTATTGATATGGATCTATGTGATGAAGGTTCAGCAACTATAATGAGTTCCACGACAACATCTACAACTTCCACCACGACTCCAGCGCCAATTACAACAACCATTGAAGATATAGATTCTTCATACAGGGTAACTCAGCCCCTATATGTTATTTTTTTCATTTAAAATCATAATTTCTAGTCCGTCGCAGTTGCTGGTCAAGTTTTGTGCGAAGACTAAAAAACAACTTCGAACATACTGGTGAAATTGTATCATTATTATGACAAAGAAAATTTCGTTCTGTTGAATGAAACCAAAACAGACAGCAATGGAATGTTTTACTTAACCGGTCATATAAAAAATGAAATCAGACCTGTTCTCGAAACGGAAAAGAAATTAGATAAATTTATATGGAAGGCTTCTCAATACATTCCGGAAAATTTTTACAGTAATGGTAAAACACCGAATAAAGTTCATTATTCTCCTAGGTCAATGTTTCCATGTTAATCCATTGCCTCATTTCATCTGATTAGCTTCAATAAAGTTATCATTTTGTCAATATTTTTTTCTCTCAACGATGTTTTTTTTTAAACTACTCGTGAAATAAAAGTTATTTCCGGTATCAAATTTCACTTTAAAAGATTCTAGACAACAGACATCAGGTCTTAGATACCTCAACGTTTTTCAAAAACTTCTTTCAGAAAACTTTCTGGAAAATGTTTTCAAAACAACTTTTAAAAGCAGATTGAAAATCAAATAAAGTTTATTTCTTATAAAAATCAGGCCGTGCAATAGACAATCAGGATAACAATGATGACCACAATACATATACCAACTGCTACACCAATAAAATACGTTGCCAATTTCATAAATATGAATACAACAATGGCACCAGCACAAATTAGAATAGCCAAAATGATGAGAACAACTGTGGCCGTAGTTCCAGCTGAACTTTCATCATTTTCGGAATCGTGAACCCGATAGCATTGTGATGGGCTACTTGTACTTCCAGATCGCATACAATATTCACCATATGTACAATTCGAATTAGTTTGGCAGTCCGACAGAGTTTTTCCCTCATTTCTGTTTAGTGTTTCTTTTCCGACAACGTAAACATATCCGTCTCGACAATAAATATCAAGAAGCAAGGAAATATTTGAAAACGGTATTGACACATTGCATTCCATGTTGGTTTTGAAATCCGGCAGAACTCGATTACCAAAACGGTCCGGACAACAAACATTTTTTTCTCTGTAATAAACACATATTCCAAGACTACCAAATGTATTGGTGCAAGGAGCATTGGGTGGTGCACAATCATCTTCCTGCAATGGCAAAACAGGGATGTAAGAAGTATTCGCAAGATGGCAGGATCGGAAGTGCCTTAGCGAGGGTAAAGCTGAAAATCTTGAAGTTATGAATATTTCAAATCGACATCGGCATGAAAACACGACCATACAAGGCGCCCGTTGAATCAGACGCGAGACGACGAGAGTATTTTGCAAAAATATCTCAAAATGAATTTCGCTTCGAGATATTTTCAATAAAACATGTGTTCCTTGAAACAAAATACGGTATTTTTTCAAAGGGACACATACTTTCTTAAAAATATCTCGAAGCGATGTCTTTCTCTGTCTCAGATGACGTCATCAGACTCCAGTCGTCTCTCGTCTGACCCGAGGGGCAATTTTCTATTGGAGTAAATGGTCGTGAAAAACATACTGTTACAGCAAACGCCATTTTTCAAATCGCAATAATAATCCATGTCGAAATATTGAAATTTATCGAAATACGAGTTGCCTTCATAACAATCGGATATTTTCGAGCATTTTTTCTCGGTCGACAAATCGCATGCACCCATACAAGTTCCAGTCGTTTTCGGTTGACATTTATTTTTTTCTTCCTTTGCTGTGATATAGCTTTTAGTGAAATATATTATTACGAAAATCCAGAAGAAGTGTTTCATTATTAGAAAAATTATCAAACTGAACTATTTTAGTTTACGTGGATGTTTTTGTTTTTGATAAAAAGGTCACGTTTGAAATTTGAAAAGATTGAAAATCAAAACAAGTTTATTTCTAATCAAAATCAGATCAGGCCGTGCAGTAGACAATGAGAATAATAACAATGATCACAATGCATACACCAACCGCTACACCAATAAACCATTTTGCCAACTTCAAAAATATAATCGCAACAATGGCACCAGCACAAATTAGAATAGTCAAAATGATAAGAACAACTGTAGCAATAGTTCCAGCCGCACTACTTTCTTCACTTTTTTGACTACCAACAAAATAACATTGTAAAGGACTAGATGGTGTATTTCTCATACAATATTCACCAGTTGTACAATTCGAATTAATTTGGCAGTTTTTCAAAGTTTTTCCCGCGTTTTTATTCAATGTTTCTGCTGCACTATAAACATATCCATCTCGACAATAATTTCGGGAAGAACCAAGAGGAAGTGGTTTAGTATCATCACATTCGGTGTTCGATTTGAAATCCGGCAAGACTTCGGTGGTATTCCGATCGGGACAACAATACGAGTTTAATCTGTCTGTCAGGCATGTTCCACGTTGGCCAAAATCATTAGTGCAAGTCAAAACGTTAGGTGGGCATTGATTTTGCCCACGAGCCAAAATCGATTCTTCATGGTGACAAACATCAAAACGGTAGGCCCTTGAATCTGAAACATTGTTTTGTGAGTGGATTCTTCCAACTCCAAAGAACTCACGCCGACAGCAAACACTATTTTTCAAATCGCAATAAAAATGCATACTAAACTGTGGATATCGATCGAAATACGTCTTGCCATCATAACAATCGGATGCTTTTGAGCATTTTTTGGATGCTTGAAGATCACATCCACCCATACAAGTTCCAGTTTGCTTTACATCGCATATAATTGTGCCTGGTGGAACTGTGGTTTGGCAATAGGTTTCAGTGAAAAGAATTATGAAGATCCAGAAGAACCGTTTCATTATTTCGCAAAAAAATTCAAACTGAATCTGACATTTTCGATTTTCTCAGGGTCAATTTCAGCGGTCAATCGGTCACGAGAAATTGAAATTGATTGAAAAACGTGGAAGGTCGAAAAAAAAACAAAAAATAAAATTTCGAGGCGCGCGTATTTCTCCCGGATCACTATCGTTGTTTTTTTTGCTAACGTCACGTATGGAGAACTCAAAAGCCAAAAAAAATGAGAAGAAAAATTCGCTAAACAACAGGCATGCCGGAGTGTCGTACTAAAAAAGGAAAATCGGAGTTTCGTATTTTGTTTTAAATATTTCTTTAATACTAGAAAAAAATACAAACTTTTTAATTTGAATATCAAAAATTACCCCAAACTTACCCTATCACCCCAAATCAAACCCCAAAACCCATTAAACTGACCTGACATGAGTTGCAGTTGTATTTATGAGAACCAAATCCTCAACTTCATTTTGTTTTCATCCTTGAAACCAACATCGGCTAACTCGATTCCGAATTCTCGAGCAATCTGGAATTTCTCTGGGTCATCATAGAAAGAAAATAAACTCCTTCTCACCTTTAATTTATCAATTACGTCACTTATTTTTTCTACGAAGAACTCAAAAACCAAAAAAAAAATAAAAACACGTCGAAAAAAAAGAAAAGAAAAATAATTTTTCCCTAAACAACAGGCATGCGGACAAACGGAGTGTCGTACTAAAAAATCGGTGTTTCGTATTTTTCAAGTTTTCTCTTCGCAAAATTTTTATTTTAAAAATAAAAAAAATCACAATCATAGATTCAGAGAGACACGTGCAGTTAATTTCAAATTTAGAGACAGAAATAGAGAATAATAATAATGGCGATAATCAGAATAAATAAGCCAAAAGCGACGCCAAGCAACCACATTGCCAATTTACAAATAAGAATAGCAGCGACAGCGATAATACAACCAACGACAGCCAAAACAATGAGAACAATTGTGGTGACAGCTCCAGAATCATCAGCAGCAGCAGGAGTTTTTTGAGAAGTTACACGATGACATTGGGCAGTTGAATTTGCGACGGTTCTCATACAATATTTCCCGCTTGAACAATCCGAATTGATTTTGCAAGGTTTCAAAGTCATCCCCTCATTTTTCTCTGTAGTTTTTGAACCGGCCACGTAAATATGACCATTTCTACAATAAACATTGAGGTAAACATCTCTATCAGGAAGTGGTGTCGATACATCGCATTCCATATTTGTTTGAAAATCGGGGGTTTCCATGGTGCTATTGAAATTTGGGCAACAATGGTGAAATGTGTTTCTGAATTTGAGGCACGCACCAGGATTTCCGAATTTGTTGGTGCAATTTGGTGAGGCATCAATATTGCAAACATCTTCTTGCATTGCTAACACAGGATTACTTGGGAAATCTTGATGCCTGCAAGTTTCGGCGAAGCTTTCCTGGACAGCTGGAAAAACTCGAGTTATGACGTGGCAAAGCGCTTCCAAATTTTGGAATCCAAAAACCAACCTTTACAACAAACACCATTTTTCAGATCGCAATAATTATTCAAGAAAAAACTGGTGAAGTTACCGGAATACGAGTTGCCCTCATAACAATCGGATATTTTTGAGCATTTTTTCTGTGGTGTTATATCACATCCACCTACACATGTTCCATCGAGTTTTGCGGTGCAGATTATAGGTGGACCTGGAAGGGGAAAAGCATAAATTTGAGTTTTGTCTCTGGAAAATTCGAATTTTCATGCATTTCTCACTAACAAAGCTGAAATTCAAGCTTCCTGGCTGAAAAACCAGAATTTTTCATTTTGGAAACTTCAATTTGAGCTTTATCTCTGGAAAATGCTGAAAAATCGAAATTTTCTGATTCTGAAGCTAAAAATTAGGATTTTCAAGTGTTACTGACTGGAAAAGCTGAAATTCAAGCTTCCTGGCTGAAAATTTCGAATTTCAGACCGAAAATTTATGAAAAATACAAATTTTCAGTTTCAGGAGCTGAAAATTAGGATTTTCAAGCGTTTCTGACTGAAAAAGCTGAAATTCAAGCTTCCTGGCTGGAAATTACGAATTCAGACCGAAAATTTATGAAAAATTCGAATTTTCATGCATTTCGCTTTAAAAATGCTGGAATTCAAGCTTCCGAGCTGGAAAATCGTGAATTTTTCATTCTGGAAGCTACAATTTGGGCTTTATCTATGGAAAATGCTGGAAAATTGAAATTTTCTGATTCTGAAGCTGAAAATCAGAATTTTCAACAATTTTTGACTCAAATTCAAGCTTCTAGGCTGAAAATTTCGACATTCAGACCAAATTTTCAGCCAGAAAGCTAGAGAAATACCTGTCGGTGGAGCTACTGATGTTGATTGTAGGCAATGGATTTCAGTCAGAAATATAGATGAGAAAAATATTATGGTGAATAGAATTGACATTTCATTAGTTTCAAAACGAAGTATTTTTAGAACTGAAACTGATTTCACTTTTCCAGAAACATTTTAAAAAAATTAGGTCACGCTTTTGAAAAAATTCATTATTTAATTTCACAAAAAAAAACATTTGAACTATTATTATTTCTTTTTCTTCAATTTGAAGTGCGAAAATTGTTCTCTAAATTAAAGATTCGTCAATTTTCGAATCCATTCTTCCGGAATAAAACTTCGATTCGATATTTTCTGAGCTTGTTCGGCTGAAATTATCGCAACTCCACTGTCGGCGAATTCTTTTTCCGCTTCGATTATCGAATTTTTCAGCAAACCAGCGGAACATTCAGGGATGACTGAGGAGAGGAAATTGAGACGAACTGCGTCCTGGAATTAATTTTTGGAAAGATTCAGATCTTTGAAGGTCTTGGGACGAATTTCAGGTTAAAAAAATCATGAAAAACTCAAATTTTCAGAAAAAACTCACCAAACAGGTAAACTTCACGCAAATATCATAGGCCAATCCAGCAATAACAACCGCCTGAATTCCATTATTTCTCAAAATTTCCTCCAAATCCGTTTTGTCTTTCCCATTATTATCATTGAATGCACTATAACTATCCAAATAGGGATTTGTTCCTGGAAAATGGGAAAAATTGACAGAGGAAGGTTTAATATGAGCAATGCTCTGAGAATCCTGAATTTCGTTTAAAAAAGCACTATATGTTAAGTTAACTTAACATTTACATACATAGTGATAATTCTACAAAATTCAAGATTTTTAAAGCATTCCTCATATTAAATTGATAAATGAAACTCAAAATGCACTTACTTCACAAAAAATTGAAGTTGAACATGAATTTGAGAAAAAAAATGTGGCCGAGAAATGTCGGGAATTCGGCCACATCTTTTATTTTTTCAGAAAATTCATGTTCAACTTCAATTTTTTGTGAAGTAAGTGAATTTTGAGTTTCATTCATCAAGTTTACCTTTCAAAATATACGTGGAATCCGGAATTATAGAAATATCTGGATAAATTTCAGCTCCTTCAGAATTTTGAATACAATGATCAGGATATAATGTCTGATTTGTCTTGAAAGGTTCAGTAAACAATACTGAATCAAACACTTTGAGATCTTCAGATTTTCTATCAAATTTTCGATCCGAATCATAGGCTTGCGATAAAAATGAGATATGATTTGGTGGATGCCAATCTTTTGTATAAACAATCATATCCCATTTCGAATTTTCTAATAAATTGTTGAGTTTTGGAATTGCTTCAAGTGGATCTTGACCAGCATCGCCGTCCTGAAATTGAAATTTTGAATTTTTTTTTCTAGAAAAAAATTGCAAAATTCTTAACTCACCCCAATTTTCAGACTTCCATTCACAAAATCATTCTGAAAATCGACAACCAAAAGAGCGATTCGAAGATTTTTCAATGGTTCGATGATTTCCGAATCGAATTGTGAAGAGGTTTCGGGGGTCCAGGGACGATTCTGTGAGAAAAATTGGGTTAAACATGGTTTTAGATCAAAAATCTGGGATTTTGAGCTCGAGAAACTGAAAAAACAAGCTGAAATTTTCATCAAAAACTCAAAAATTTGACCCCTGGAGCTTGAATTTTCCGAAATTTCTGCTCCAGAAGCTGTGGAGTCTGATTATTCATTTAAAAACCCAAATTTTCAGCTTCTAGATCAAAATTTCTAGCTAAATGCATAGTTTCAGATTAAGGAACTTGTGAAAAATCTTCAAAGGCTGAAAATGTAAATTTTTCATGAAAAATCAATATTTTCAGCTTCTGAACCTGAAAAATTCAATTCTGGACCAAATTTCCATCAAAAAAACCAAATTTTCAGCTTTTAGATGAGAAATTTCAGCAAAATTCATAGTTTCAGATTTAGGAACTTGTGGAAAATCGTAAAATTCAGCTCCAGGAGCTATAGAAATGTATATTTTCATGAAAAATTGATTATTTCAGCTTTCGAAGCTTATTTTCAGGTATTTCTAGCTTCTGAAGCTGAAAAATTCAATTCTCGACCAAAATTTCATGAAAAATCGATATTTCTAGCTTCTGAAGCGGAATTTTCAGCAAAGTTTCAGCTTCTAAGCTTGAAAAATTCAATTCTGGTGAAAATCAAACTTCCAGACCAAAATTTCATAAAAAATCGATATTTCCAGCTCATGAAGCACAATTTTCAACAAAATTTACAGTTTCAGACCCAATTTCCCCCAAAAGACTCACCCCAATCCATTTTTCCATCAATTTTTCCGTTTTCCCCGCTGAAATTCCAGTCAATTTCACAAATTTCTCTGAAATTGTTCGATTCGCCGCCAAAATATTGTTGTTATTAGTTGTGGCACAACTCGCTGATTGGACCATCTGCAAAATTTTTTTGAATTCAAAATTTGGAGAAAAGTCGCAGGAGAAGCCTTTTTTCCTTGGAAAATTTGCAGAAAAATCAATTTTTCTTGCAGAAAACGAAAACAAAAGAATATAATGCTTTGTTGTTTTTAGGGGAAAATTGATTTTCAGCTTTTTCAGTCAAAAAATGCTGAAAATAGACATTTTCAGCTTTAGAAACAGGGAAAATTTTCAAATTTTCACAAAAAATCGAATTTTTCCCTCAAAAAAGCAAAAAAAGCACTCAAGCTTTTAAAAGTGTCAAAGAAAGTGAATAAAAAATAAATTTGCCCCTCCAAAATTTTCTCGGTTTCATTTTTTCCTCGAAAATTTTTTGCCCCGGGGCAGCGTAATCTTTTTGGCAAATAGAACGTTGAACTTTTGAGCAACCAAAAATTGTAGCGAAAAAATAGAAATAATTTTGTGCTCAAAAATATTTTCAGAAAGTCGTAAAGATAACATCTGGAATTTTTACGACTTTGCTTTTCAGACGAAAAAAAAATGAGAAAATGGCGCCAGAGAAAAGCTCACAAAAAATCTCGAAATTTTTTGAAAATGTTCAAATTTCACGTGGAAACACGTGACACAAAAAAATAAAATTTTTAATTTTTTTTCCGGAGCCAAAAATCCACGTGGCACAAGAAAAACAAATTTTTGAGCACTTATTTCTGCACAACAAACATCAGGCGCCATTTTTTCGGCTGAAAAAAAGGTCGTAAAAATTTTTGATTTGAAAATTTACTTCCAGATGTTATCTTTACGACTTTCTGAAAAATTGTTTTTCTCTGGCACAATTCTCAATTTTTTTAAAGATTTAAGTTTTGGAGCCAAAAATTTGCCACGTGAAAAATAACCTTATGAAATCAAAATATCAAAAAACAAAAAAATATGAAAAAAACTTTTTTTTTTGTTCGAAAATAATCCAATAAATTATCACCAAAACTAATTGATAAGCGCTACTTTTTTCGCAAATTTTTTCGCAACAAAAAACTTTTTTTTTGTTGCTCGAGTAATTTGAGAGCCTCAAATTACCCACAAAAAAACGTGATTTCTCTTCGAAAAAATATGCAAAAAACCACTCTGCGAGAGACGCAGAGAATTAGAGAAATCAATTTTAGGCTAGCAAAAGCTGAAAGAAGCCGAAGATTTGATTTTGTGCTCAAAAAGAGCAGCCAACACACAAAAAAAACATTGAAAGATTTATTGCTCATATTAGAGAATGGGAAGAGATAGAAAAGTGCAAGCACTTTGGAAAATAATTGAAAATTCATTCACTTTTTATGACCCGCTACGCACACGCGACGCGAGTAAAACCACGTGGATTTTTGGCGCGAAAAGTATAAAACTAACTGAAAAATTGAAAATCCTCCTCAAAATCATACGAAAAATTGTTACATGTAGCTGTAAATTTCGAAAATGAAAGAAAATTTCGTTTTCGTGACCTTGGAAACGTGTTCGTTGGACCTTTTTGTGAAAAAAATCAATAAATTTAGCTCAGCGACTCGAATTTCAGGCTTTTCACGCTGAATTGAGGAAAATCGGCTATTTTCGTCTTTAGAAACCGAAAATTTTAAAAAACCCGAATTTTCATGAAGTTTCATTGAAAATCGGATTCTAAAATGAAGCTTTTATGTAAAATCCCTTTTTTCCAGCTTTCAGTTAACTTTTTCCTTGTGAAAATTCTAGAAAATCTCAATTTTCAGCCCCAGAAACTTGAAAATTTGTTTTTTCATGAAAGCCCTATTTTCAGACTAAATTTTCATGAAAAATAAATAATTTCAGCATTTTCTGTGGCTGAAAGATCTACAAATCAAAAATCCCAGCTCTTACAGTCAAATTCCAGCTCAAAACAAGAAAAAAAACAAAAATTTCAGAAAACAAAAAAATAAAAAACACGCTACAGTACCCCTAAAGGCGCACAACAAATGAACAAACATCGCTGCAAGACCACAAGAAGTTTTGGGGTTTTTTTTAACTAAAAAAAAGTTTTTCGTGAAAAAAAGAAAACTTTTTATCGTGCGAAAAAAGCGTCGAAAATTTATTTATGGCGCTTTGTTTTATGTGAGGGTGGGAAAAAGCGCGAGTTTTTTTTGGCGGGAAATTTTTGTAAATTCAAAATTTCAAAAAAAAAAACTCACCGAGCTCAAAAACGCGACCAACGCCATGGTGAAAAATACGAAAACTTCGCCAAAAAATAAATTTCTCATATTTTTTTCTCGCTTCGAAAATTTTCTCGAAAAAGTTCTAGGAAACCGGAAATATGGTTGATTTCTCTTGGAAAATTTCAATTTTTATATGAGAAAAAAATTTCTGATCGTTTACTTAAAAGATCAGCCAACTTCTTCACACAAATAACCCAAAAAAATGACAAAAAAAATTTCATTTCAATAAAAAGCAATAAACTTCATACATATCAAAAATATATCAATTATTAATTTCAGGTTCAAATTTTGCAATAAAAAAATCAAAAAATACAAAGAGAAGTGACTAGAATCAAAAATACATGATGATAAAAAAATTAAAAAATTCTCAATTTTTGGCAACTTTTTTTCGCCCATAAATATGTTTGAATAGAATAAGACGGGAAATTGTGGGAATTTTCGGGGTCTCGCGACGATTTTCACAAGTTTTAGTGGCTAAAAATTTTTTAGCGCTAGAAAAAAAGTTGGCGTTGCGCTAAACTTCGACCCGTTGATATTGCGATCCATTGAGGAGAGTTCTGAAAAAAAATTGGGGTTTTGAAATTTAAAAAAGTTGAAATTTAGAAACTTCTAAATTTAAAATGCCACGTGGCGAAAATTTAAAAATTTGATTTTTTTTATTTTAAATTTTCGCCACGTGGAATTTTATTTTTTTTAATTTTAAATTTTCGCCACGTGGAATTTTCTAATTTGAATATTTCAAAATTCTTTATATTTCAATTTTGAAATCTCAAATTTTAGCGCCAAAAATTCCATGTGCCAAAATCTTGGCTCCAAAGCATATTTTTCAAAATTTCCCCCGACTAACCACAGCCAAATCCTTCTCAGGCGTCAAAAACGCAACATTTCGCCACTCCTCAATTTCTTCGCGAATTTTTCGTTTCGCCGCTCGATTCTCCAAATTCTCCTCTTCACTGGGTGTGATTATTGTCACTTTTTTCGTTTTCGGTCCAAGTCTTGGCTGCTGGGGACCATTAAAATCAGAAGAAGAAGGAGAAGAATATAGTGGTCCACGTGTGATTATGGCAAAACTTTGTGGATTGTCGAGAATTTGAAGCGACGATTTTTGAGGCGGTTTTGGTGGTGAAGCGGCCGGCAAAAATGGATTAAACATTGGATCTTCGTAAATTGGAGGAGCAGAATAAGAGGTTGACGGCAAATTTCTGGAAAAACAGGGACTTTGAGTTATGACGTGGCAATTTTAAATTTTCAGATTTTTTCCAGATAAGCTCAAAAATTGAATATTGCTCATGTTAACCTTCATTTTTGCGACATTTCCAGAAAATCCAATTTTTTGGAGCATTGCTCATATTAACCATAAATTTTCATTAAAATTTGGAATTTGAGTTGACTTGGCAATTTTAAAGAAAAATAAGAGGATTGCTCATATTAATGTGTATGCTGTGTGAAACTTTCAGATTTAGGAAAATCAAATTAATTTAGTATTGCTCATGTTAACCTTCGTTTTTTTGAGAAAAAGCATTGCTCATATTAATTATTGAAATTTGGAATTTGATCTATGACGTGGCAGAAATTTCAATAATCAAAAACCTTCCATTTATTTTTGCCATGAGCAATAAATCAAATTTCTATTGTGTAAAAATTTTATCGGTTCAAAAACCTGAAAATCTAGTTTCCTGGAAAAACACATAAATTTTAAAAATTGAAAACATCAGAAAACATTTTTTTTTGAAAATTTCAAATTTCAAAATGTTTACAGCATTGCTCATATTAAATCATAGAGTTTCACAGTTTCCTTAAAAATACAGAACAAGCTTCGGATTTTCTAAATTTAACATGAGCAATGCTCAGAAATCATTAGAACTCAAAATTTTCAGCTTAGGTTTTGAAAAATAAGTGATTTTTAATAAAAACTGCAGATTTTCGGCCGAAATTCATTTCTAGGTCAAAATGTATTATTTTTCAAGTTATGTAGCTGAAAAGCATCTGAAAAATATCAATATTCAGCTCAAGAAACCGATTTTCAGAAAAAAATTGCTAGTTTTTCAAGTGATTCGGCTCAAAACTATTATTTCCATCATTTTTCGGTTAAAATTGCTCATTTTTCACAATTTTAGCTCAAAATCAATCATTTTTCCCCCAAAAAACTCACAAATCCCTCTCTTCTTCCATAATAATTCCCTGATCCAATTCCAATCCACACTCCAATGCCTCATTCAATTTACTCGGTGTCATTATCGGCAACTCATTGAACCCCTCAAAAGCCACATTCAAAAGTCCTTTTTGTGGTTGTCGGCTCAAATTCAAAAATTCCTCTTCTTCCGGAAAAACGCATCGTTTCGAAGTCGACGTCGAAAAAACGCGATTTTTACCAATTTGAAAATCCGAAACATTTTGATTATTCGACAATTTCAGCGGGGTTTTCGAGATAGTTACGCGAAATGGTGAAGGTGTTGATAATCGAATCGATATTCCCGATGATGATGATTTTGGAGTTCGCAAAGTTCCGCCGGCAAGTCTTTGACGATTTGAGGGCGGCGAGAAAATCGAGGTGTGTTTTTGGAAAAAATCGTCGGTTTTGGGCGGAGTTGTTGAGATTCGAGCCCATTTTGTGGGCGGAGATTCGGAAGAAGTTGAGCCGATTATTGATTGATTTTGGGTGAACGAGGTGTCTTGGAAACTGCTCAGATTCTGCAAAAAATCAATATTCATATTCATATTTTTGGAAAAAAATTCCACGTGTATTTTTGACTCAAAAATCCTGGAATTTATATTTTTCACAAAAAAAACCGGCTGAAAATTAAAGAAAATTTCAGATTGATTCACTAGAAATTCAAGAAAATCTCAATTTTTGGATTGTTTTAGGCCTAAGCCTAGAATAAGCCTGGTTTCAGTAAATTCGGCTTCGTAAAGCCCTAAAATTTAGGCTTAGGCCTAAAATTATCAAAAAAAAAAAATTGAGATTTTCATGAATTTCTAGTGCAAAATCATCAGAATTTTCTCGGATAATTTTAGGCCTGAGCCTAAGCCTAGAACTAGATAGATTTTAGGGCCTAATGAGGGAAGTGTGTTATGAGTCCCCGGAGATTTTCAATGAGACCTATGTTTTTTAGGTCAGTTTTTCACGCTGATAAAGCTCCTGTTTTCAGTTTTTGCTGAACGACTCTCTGAAGAGCCCAAAAATGAGCCAAAAGTTGAGAATTTCCTGAAAATCGGGTTTTTGGGAGCCCATAACTCATGTTAGAAATTATTTTTATGGAAAACTGCATGCATCACGTTGTTCCGGAGGGTCGATTTACCAAAGTCACAAGTTTTGACAAAATTTTCCAAAAATTTTCAAATGTGCAATCCATGACCTGAGCCTATTTTCTGAGCCACAAAATTTTTTTCTGAAAAAGTATGGACTTACTAATCAAAAATTTGTGACTTTGGTAAATCGACCCTCCTGAACAACGTGATGCATTCAGTTTTCCATAAAAATAATTTCTAACATGAGTTATGGGCTCCCAAAAACGCGATTTTCAGGAAATCCTCAACTTTTGGCTCATTTTTGGGCTCTTCAGAGAGTCGTTCAGCAAAAACTGAAAACAGGAGCTTTATCAGCGTGAAAAACTGACCTAAAACACATAGGTCTCATTGAAAATCTCCGGGGACTCATAACACACTTCCCTCGTAAGCCTTAGGCTTATAATCTCTAGGCTTGATAGGCTTCCTTAAGTTCTGAAACTAGGCTTAGGCTTAGGCCTAAAATTACCCGAAAAAATTGAGATTTTTATGAATTTCTAGTAAATCAATTACACTGATGATTTTTCAATATTCAAATTTTATTTGAATTTTTTTGGAGTTCACAGGTCTCATTTTCAGCCGGGATTTTCGAGCCAAACTTCTAGAAATTCAAATTTTTCAAAAATTCACCGCTGAATCCTCAAAACTCGTGTCATCCTGACCAATTCCACTGTCCAACGACAATCGATTGTGATTTTTCGCGGATGAAGAAGAAGAACTTGTGGATGGCTGATCATAGATGAAGAAATCGCGATCATCTTGCGGTGTTTCAGAAGTTGGGTCGGTAAAATTTGAAAACATCCTAATTTATGGCGAAAAAAATGAAGAATCGGGGTGAGATTGGATGGAAAACCAATGCCAATCTGGAAAAAATTGAATTTTTGAGGGGAAAATTGGAATTTCAATGGGAAAATGAGGTTTTTTGAAGGAAAAATTTCGAGAAAAAAGAGACGCAGAGAAAAAATCAGGTTTTTTGGCGGGTAGATCAAAAATCGAATTTTCAACAACAAAAAATCAATATTCCAAGATTTCTACAGAAAATCCCAATTTTCTCACAGAATTCGGCCAGAAATCTCATACTTCAATGAAAATGTGCTGAAAGCTGTAAAAGACCGAAATTCCAGCCAAAAACCTCCCAAAACTCACAGAAAATTTCAAAAACCTCGATTTTCCAGCATTTCGGAATTAAGAAATGAAATTAGAAATCCCAGGAATTTAACAAAATCAGAGTTCACGTTTCAAAAATTCAGAATTTTTTCCAACAATAATCTGAATTTTGAACGTGAACTTTAATTTTGTTAAATTCCTGGGATTTCTAATTTCATTTCTTCATTCGAAAATGCTGGAAAATCGAGGTTTCTGGAATTTTCAGTGAGTTTTGGGATTCTTGGCTGAAATTTCAGCTTCAAAGCTTTTCAGCACAAAGTTTAGCGAATTTTCATTGAGGTATGAGAAATTTACCAAATAATCTTCAAAATTTAAATATATTTTTCGTACACTTTTGCAAGCCTGGCACACTTTTCCTAGAATAAAAACTGTGCCAGGGTTGCAAAATCCCCCCAGAAAATCAATAAAATCCCGTGGTTCCTCTCAATTTGAGGGACACAAAAGCAGTGAACGAAAAAAAGACATAAAATGTCAAGAAAGGACAGTCACCCCCTCCTCGCTTTTCACAAAACCATCTGCCACCCAAAAAAAGCTCCCTTTCTTGTCCTTTTTTGTCTGTGAGTTAGGCTAAGTAGGAGAGACAAAGAAGAAAAAAGGAACATGAGAAAGAAAGAAAGATAAAATCGGTTAGCGCTTGCGTGTTATTTTTCGGGGATGAATTTCTTGCGCAAGCGACATTTTGGGTAGAAATAAACATGACAGATGATGGATTTGCTAATTGGGGAGATACGATAAGTAACTGTCAAAATATAGTTATTGCGTGATGGGTTTCCGGGGCTGAAAATTGGGATTTTCAGTGAATTTTAGCTTCAAATAATGAGAGAAGCTGGAGAATTTCAAGTAGGAATCTTGATTATCAAAATTGGCTTCAAAACTCAGTAAATTTCAAATTTTAACATGGATATATTTAAAAAATCCTCTAGTTTTCAGCCACCAAGAAAATTCCCAGGAAAAATCGACAGCAGCTGATTTGTATGGGAATTTTCGGGATTTTCTAGCGATTATTATACAAATTTTCAATATAGCCATGTTAAAATTTGAAATTTACTGCGTTTTGAAGCCAATTTTAATGGTCAAGATTCCTACTTGAAATTCTCTAGCTTCTCTGATTATTTTAAGCTGAAATTCACTGAAAATCCCGATTTTAAGCCCATTTTCATCGAAATTTAGAGAAAAATCACGAATTTCCGCCCAAATCTCGAAAAACTTCACATTCAAATGATTTACAACACCAAATTTCGTCATTCAATGAAAAAAGAGGGAAATCAAACAAAACGCCTCATAAACCCATCAAAAACTTGGGGGGTTTCTTACCTAACGATATTTCGTCATACCCTACTAGCCACCATTTTTTGGATTTGAAAAAAAATGTCCTCTAGGTAGGTTCAGACCCGCTGATCACGATTCCGCTGTGAAAAACTGCAAAGCTCAAATTCTAGTATGAGTTATAACGTGGCAAAGTTATAACGCTTCGAAAAATCGTATTTAAAAATGGTTTTGACGAAATTTTCTAACTTTTCCACGTCATAACTTGAATTAGGAGGGGAGCTTTGCAGTTTTTGACAACGGGATTGTGGTCAAAAAGTCGAAAAATACTAGAACACAGCTTCAGTACGAAAATTTTCGTCACAAATTTGAATTTAACGGGAGAAAATCCCAAGATTCACGACTTTAGGATGAAAATAGTGGTTTCGGACCAAAAAACGTCAAATTTTAGCGATTTTTCATCACACCCAACTAGCCAAAAGTAGAAACTTCGGCCAAAAAAAAACTTTTCAAAATGAAACAACAGGTGGTAATTCATTCAGTTAGCAAGAGGAAAAATGAGAGGAGCGAAAACCGGCTAAACCAAGACAACAGAAAAAAAACGGGCGCGCGCAAGAAGAGAAAATTTGTAGAGGACACAAAAAAATGTGAGGGGGGGGGGTATATTATGGTGTGAGAAGAAGGAGGAAGGGAGGACAAATCAATCGATAGACATAAGAGACACAGACAGGCAGAGAGAGAGAGAATAGCTGTTTGGGACAGAAGAAGACTGATTACCAGTTACACGAGATATCTATTCATTTTTTGGTGAAGAGAGGGGAAGAAAAGGAAATTGGGGAGGTTGATAGTTTGGACCAGGGGTGGGGAAACTGGCCTCACGTTGTCCTCATGTTGGCTTTGGTGGTAAGAACATGAGCCATGACAGGTCCACGTGTAAACCTGGCTACCTGTCCTGTCCTGGACAGGTTCTTTTTTTAGTCGAGAAAAAACACGCCGAAAAAAGAGGAGATCGCATTTTTATTTTTTTTTTAATGCAGAAAAAAAAATTTCTCTGTTAATTTTTGTTCACGCGAGGACAGGTTGGGCATATGGCTTTAGGACATGTTCAAGCCATGTTCGAGCCAGGACAAGTTTAGGCCATATTCAAGGACAGGACAACATGAGGCCATGACATTTTCCCCACCCCTGGTTTGGACACCGAGGGGAGATAATTATCGGTTTGGTTTGAAGGAAGGAAGTTACACCAAGTTGGCGCTGGAGGGATTTGGGGGAGGTTTTTTGGATCAGGTGGCTAAACTAGCGTGTTTTCTTCGGTTTTGTAGTTTTAAACTACCTTTTTTTATAATTTTCAGCCTATCTCTGCTGAAAGTTAACATTTTTCTCTTTAAAATTGAAATTCTAAATTTTTGCCACGTCATAGCTCGAAAAATCCCATTATAATGATAAATTTGAGCCTGAAACAGCCTATACTTAACTCAAAAATCAATAAGATCCAGATTTTACAAGGTTTCAAATTTCCCCGACGAAAAAACCCAAATTTTCACGCCCCGCCACTGAGAAACCCTGAATTTCTACAAATTCTCAACAAAAAATCGATTCGATAACTTTTTATTCCTCAAAACCAACATCACATCAGAAAACACGGAAAAAAAGAAAAGAAAAAATCAACTACCGTACTCAGCCTAAAGGCGCATACACAAATACAAACAATTCTCTTCAAGACCCAATCACTCACACCTCCTCATGTTTCTTTCAATTTTTGACACTTTTTGACAAATAAAACTATTTTTGACCTCAAATTTGATACTTTTACAAGGCATCTGCTAATAAATCATACTAAAATGACATGTCTAATCCAAAGCCTAGCCTAAGATAAGTATAATATAATTGTTGACCGGATAATTGTAGAAGGTACTAAAAGGTATTCGCCGAAAAGTCTCAAATTACCAAACTTTTTGGTATCTATAGAAAAGGTCACTTCTTTTCCCAAGAAACCAAGTAGTTGTACTTATATAATAGGTGAAAAAATGACTAATTTATATGCATCGTGAGAGACTTTTTGTGTTCAAAGACACGTGCCGCCCGCCCGTGCGCGCAAAAAATTTATTACATTTTTTCTTGAGACGGGTAAGGTAAATTACTTTATATTATTTACCTAATAATAAAAATATATCAGATAACACCATTTTTTTGATACTTTACCGACATATTTGACTTTTTTGGGGGTAATAAAAGTGAGTTGCGCGGTTAGATTAAAGGAAAAACACGGGAAAACATAGGTTTTATGGTGACGTGGCAATTAGGGGAAAAAAGAAAAAATGTTGTGCAGCGGCTGGGGTTCGAACCCTGGTCTTGCGAACGGAACGCAGCCGTGCAACCACTCGGCCACGCGGTTTTTTCGTGCACTGTCGAAATTTTCGAATAAAAACCATCTGCCCCGAAAAAAGTTGCGCAACCTTCATCCAAAAAATTCACACCCTTTCACTCTAAAAAAGAGGATTACACCCAAAAAATGAATGCACCAATAATAAGAATAAACACACAAAAAAAGGGGGTGCTTGACCTTTTTTCCCCTTTATTTGTGGTCAGAAAAAATGTATGTGTGTACAGTAGGAAAAAAAGAGTAATAATAATGGGAATACTAATAATAATATGCAACAGAAAATGGATGGAAAATGTCAAATAAAATGAGTATTTATGTAATAATGAATTGGCATGCGCACGGTATTTTGATGAATGAGTCAGAAAATTATTAGAAATTTTAGAATTTTAATTAATTAATTCAAATTTCCACGGATTTCGATACAAGAATAGGTTTTTTTTAAAACTGTTTAGTGGTTTTCAAAAGTTTAACATGAGCAATTCTCAATGATTATATTTTCCAACGTTTTCCTAAAGATCCGGGCTTCCAGAGCTAACATGAGCAATGCTTGTGATTTTCGGAATTAATATGAGCAATGCTTTTGTTTATTGCCACGTGGATTTCGGCAAAATTCAATTTTCAAAAAAATCTTTGAAAAGCCATTATGAGATTGATTTTCGGCCTGAAAATTAGAGTATAACATGAGCAATTCTCTATAAATATTTCTTATTTCAGAGCTAACATGAGCAATGCTTGTGATTTCCGGAATTAATATGAGCAATGCTTTTGTTTTTTACCACGTGGATTTCGGCAAAATTTAATTTAAAAAAAAACATTCAATTTTGATTTCCGGCCTGAAAATTCGATTTTCAAAAAGTTTAACATGAACAAAGCTTCCAGAGCTAACATGAGCAATTCCAGAAAAATTTATTTTCGGAATTAATATGAGCAATGCTTTCTCAGAAAGTGTCCTGACAGCCGTCGGCGAGAAAATCTCGCCAGCTAGCACGCGAGCCGGCAGACGGCCGTCCATTTCTCGCATTTTTCTGGCGAGACCTCGCCAGTTCTCGCTGCTAGCTAGCGCTTGTCTGTTGTTTTTACAGTTCATAGAGCTTGTTTTGAAAGAATTTATTAAACAAAAAACACTTCATTTATCGGAATCCTGTGGAAGTCGAAGTGTGGAGGGTGATGTGTTGTTTTCCAGGCTGCGAAGAGTTGGTTGATGATTGTAGAATCTGAAATGTTCAATCATGTTTAAAACTTCGTTTGAAAAATATAGGGCATTGGGAAATGAGAAATAATCTAGTCATTCTCGAAGTTTTTCAAGTTTCATATTCAGGTATATCCCATTATCTGCAAAATGAAAAAAACTGCAGAGGGAGCGTTCAATGTCTAGAAAACTCAACGAGCCAAAATTACAAGGTTTTCGTAGAAAGTGAGTCAGTGCTAACAAGCGATTTAGGAGCTTGACTTGACAATGACATGGCAATTACTTGGCAACTACCTATTCCTATCACTATCAATTTTCTAAAAGTAAGGATTTTCTAATTTATCAAGCACTGATGGAAAAATACAATCAAATACATTTCTAGATGAATATGAGTAACAAACATGAATATAGAATTTTTCATTCGAATTTTTGATAGAATGAGTTCTTTTCTCACGAAATTGATTTGTTCCTACACTAGAGCATGATTTTAAAACTACTGGGACTTAGGAATCAAAGCTTTCATTCAAACCACCTTACCTTACAAATTTTATCAAAAATATTGTTGTGCTGCTCGTCCATTCCGCCATTTCAGTCGAAAACATCGCTTCAAACATCGAGAGCCCTGTAAAATAGGTTTACACTAATTTACTGAATTAAAAATCATCTGCACTCACCAAAAACACGTTTTTATATCATGAAGGTGCCTGGCGATGTGCACCGTCTCCATTCCAACACTTTGCATCGTCGATTGCGTGTTTTCTGTGAACATTTTCGATGAAAAAAGGCATAAAAAGATTTTAGGCCAAAAATTTCGAAAAAAAATGAAAAAGGAAATAGACGAGCAAATCTGCTCCAGTCGCAATTTTTTCTGTCCGCTAGCTGGCGGCGAGGAGATGCGCTCGATCCTCCCCTTTTTATGAGAATGCGAGCTGGCGGACAGCCTCTGCTAGCTTTCGACAGCTCGCAACCTCGCGGACGGCTGTCAGGACACTTTCTGAGTTTGTTTATTGCCACGTGGATTTCGGCAAAATTTAATTATCAAAAAAAAATCGAAAAAGCCATTGATTTTCGGCCTGAAAATTAGAGTATAACATAAGCAATCCTCTATACATATTTCTTATTTCAGAGCTAACATGAGCAATGTTTTTAGCCAGATTTTGGCAAAATTTGAAATTAAATTCAACATTTTTGTATCGAAATTTCTTATAATCGTCATTAATATGAGCAATGCTTCTATTAGGAGTTTAGCAGGTCAAAAACATTACTTTAATTAGTAAAAATCTTGAAACAGTTCCCTTGTAAAACATTTTCGGTTTGCCACGTGGCTAATCACTGATTATTTGATAATTAAAGCAGCAACAACCCCCGGGCGTCCTATCACTAGGTCCGTATTTTTACCACCGTCCACACCAATTTTTTTTCTCCCTCAACTTATTTTTTCCACCTATTTTTCTTTTTAATTCTATTATGTGACTATTTTCTTTAATTATTTCTTGTGTACTTAATCACGTTAATAGCGTATAATAAATAAATAAATAAATAAATAAATAAATAAATAAATAATTCGATGGGTTTTGTGCTCTCACGGAAGAAACAGCGAGAAAGATAAGACATTTTTTTCTACGCGAGCAGAAACTCGGTGCTCTTCCCGTCATTTTATTTATGTTTTTGATTTTCATTAGATACTCAGCCAAGTACGCAGTCAATTTTCGAATGTCTCTAAAACTCTTAAATTAAGGAGCTTACTGTTAATTATACTTTTTCGAAAGCTCTTGATCTACGGAAAAAATTATTGTTTTCAAAATTCAAAAAAAAAATTTAATTTTTGCAGCTATGGGCGATAATGGATGCGTGACGGATAAAGATTGTGGCAAACATGCTTTTTGTGCTCACATCGATCCTTATCCTGGAGAATGTCTCCCTGTAGATGACAGCGACTTGACACGAAATATTATTATTGGTTCAATTGTCGTTTTTTCAATTGCTCTTATCGCAGTTGGTATTTGTGTGTTTGTGAAATTGCGGAACAGAGGAGCAAACTCTTCTAATATGAGCAATCCTAGTTCAAGAGGATAACATGAGCGATTTTTGGTTTTTTTTTGAATAAAGTTAACATGAGCAATGTCTTTTTACGTGGCACGTGGATTAGAAATTCATTTTTGAGCAAAAAAAAAATGCCTGTCTGGAAAACAGTTTTTTTCAAAATTTTAGTATGAGCAATGCACTTTTATCTTCAAAAGTGATCTGAAGCTAACATGAGCAATTTTGGTTTTTCTCAAATAACGTTAACATGAGCAATGCTAGTTTATGACGTGGATTTTTCAGCAACAAAATTTGGAATTCAAAAATCATATTATTATAATTTTGAGCCAGTTTTGAGTTTAACATGAGCAATGCTCTATTTTTCAAAAATTAATTTTTTGTGCAAAATTTCGATAAAAAAATTTGCCGCGTGGATTTTCCAGTGCTAAAATTTGAAATTCAAATTTTTCCAACCTTGGAATTTCTTGGAACTTGCACTCAATTTTGGAGCAGAAAAAAATATTTGAGAAAAAAAAATTTAAAAAAAAACATTTTTCCACGTGGATCTTCAGTGCCAAATTTCAAATATCAAAAAAAAATTCCAAAAAATGTGTCAATTTTTTTTAAACTTCATAAATAACAAAAAAATCTCCTAAAACTACAGAAAACTAGATTTTTTCTTCATTTATTTTGTGGGTACCCGATTATCCTGAGCAATTGTTGGCCGATTTTTCGGGTCAAAAGGATCGGGTAATTTGAGACCAGATTTCGCTTCGAAAAATGTGTAGGATAGTAGAATCGAGTCCAAATATTCCAAAGCTGGATCATTTACGTAATCTGGATCGATGTAGAAAAATACGGGAAGATCGACCTGGAAATTTGGGAACTTTTGCGTGAAATTTTCGCTTCAGGACCCAAAAAATTCGAATTTTTCAGCTCACCTGTTCTCCTGGATTCAAAATTTGCTCTTCAAAACAGAAACATTGAATTTTGTTGAAATAATAGGCGGCTTGAAATGGTGTCAAATTATATGAGGAAATTCCAATAATCGGTTTATCTGTTGGGTTTCGGGCCGTGTAAAAGGCCAGGGCTGTTTCGCCAGGGTGAACGAAGATCTGGAATGAGAACTTGAAATTTTGAAAAGGGATTCGGGGCCAAAAATTACAGTACTTTTATCAATTTTTAAATCTAGGTATCTGAAAATTACAGTAATTTGACATAGGATATTTTTTCAATAATTTTAAGATAATTTTAAATACTTTTTAATTATCCTAAGGAAATATTAGGTCATTTTCAGCCTATTTTTCATGATTTTCAGCCAATTTTCCCCCCATTTCCAGCTCCAAACCTCATGTTGTTGTGGTTTAAATTCCCATCTCATACTCGACGGAACATCCGAATTGAATTGAACTCGAATCAATCGATCTTCGCATTTTTTCATCGCCGCAATTTTGTCGAAATCTTTGGCTACCTGGAAAATTTTCAGCTAGATAAATTTCAGATTTTCCTTCAAAATTTCACCTGCGTCAATCCTCCAAAACTTGTCTGCTCGCAAAAAATACGATAAGCAGGAATTGCAGCAAATGTGCAGCCAATTGCCACGATCACCAGACTCATAATATAATATGTGTAATTTCGGGTGTCTCGCAATTTTTGATATTGATTATTGTTGGGTTTGTTGGGAAAGGTCTGGAAATTGAAAGGTTTTTAAATTTTGGAAAAAAATTTATTTTTGAAATTGAAAATTTAAATTTTGAAAAAAAAAATTTATTTTTGAAATTTTGAATTCAGATTTACATGAAATTTGAACTTTTTTTTTTGAAAAAGTGAATTTTTTCTCTTTGAGAATTTAAAAATCCAGGATTTTTCCAAAAATTCAAATTTATGTACATTTTTTTGAAAATTTAAATTCAGGATTCTTGAAAAATATTCAGATTTATATCGAGTTTGAAATTTTTTTAGGTGAAGGTGAAAGTCTGAAGTTAAATTTTGAAAGAAATAATTTATTTTTGAAAATTTGAATTCAGATTTATATGAACTTTGAACTTTTTTTTTGAAAACTAAATTTTTTTTAAATCCAGGATTTTTCCAAAAAAAAACTAAATTTTTTTTTAAATCCAGGATTTTTCCAAAAAATTCAAATTTTTTTTTTCCAAATTTGAATTCAGGACTCTAAAAAATTATCAGATTCATATGAACTTTGAACTTTTTTTTGAAAAACTAAATTTTGAGAATTTAAATTCAGGATTTTTCCAAAAATTCAACATTTTTTGTAAATTGAAATTCAAGATTCTTGAAAAATACTCGGATTTATATGAAATTTGAACTTTTTTAAAATGTTGCCTGAATTTAAATTTTAAAAAAAATTTATTTTTGAAAAACTAAATCTTTGAGAATTTAAGAATCCAGGATCCAGGATTTTTTTTTGAGAATCCAGTATTTTTCCAAAAATTCAAATTTATATGGGATTTGAATTTTTTTTTAATTTCAGAATTTTTTCCAAAAATTTAAAATTTTAATTTTCCCCCCAAAAACTCACCTTCATACATCTAACTTGAAAAATGCTCTGTGCTCCAAAATACTCATTTTTCGCTCCAATTTTCAAAACATTCGAATAAATTTGACTAGAAAATAGCCTAGAAAGAGACATCTGAAAATCAATCGGTTTTTCGGCTGAAATCTGAAATTTTTAGATATAAAACAGTGCTGAAACTGTTGAAAAATGCAAAAAAAAAACAAGGATCAAGTTTTATTCTTTATTTTTCGTTTTTCGGGCGGTGCAAATGGATTTTGTTTATCGTAGAAGATTTTGAGCATTTCGATCGATTTTTCAGACCAAATTCCAGCAATTATCTGGAAAAATCGGGGAATTTTCAGCAATATTCATTGATTTTCAATTCCAGGTTGAATTTTCCAGTAAAATTAAAGGATTTTCATCAAAGTTGGGCTGATTTTTAAGCGTTTGACATTAAATTTTTGAAAATTAATTTTAGGTTTATTATGGAGCCTCACCTCAATCTCATTGCTCATCCTATACTTTTCCCGATCCCCCACACTTCGAACACCACCAAATCTCGGATTCTCAGCGCCATAAACCATTTTTCGAATTCCCAATTGATACATAGCCGAACTGCACATTATACACGGTTCCAGTGAGACATAGAGAGTTGCGGATTTGAGAAGTTCCGCTGATTTTCGGGGGCCGTGGAGGGCTTCGAGTTGGCGAATGGCGACCATTTCGGCGTGACGAGTTGGATCGCGAGTTTCGTTGACACGATTTCGACCGCGGCAAATCTGAAGAGAGAGGTTTTGAAGGAGCGGAATTCTAGTCCCCAGAATTTTTTAAAAATTATGGAATTCCTTGAGGGACTAGTTTTTTCATAGGATAAAATTCTAGTCCTCGGCATTTTGAAAATTTCACGTAGTTATTCGGCTGATTCACGAACGAAAAAAATGTTTAAAATTAGTTTTTAGAGTTTTTCAGCCAAAAATAATGAGAAATCAATATTTTTCAAGCTTCTGGAGTAATTTCTGATAAAAATAAGCTTCGAGAACCCTATTTTGCTTTATTTTATGAATTTTTTCGAAATTCATCAGAATTTAAAAATTTTCTGATGAAAATTGACCTTAAAATTCACTTTCCAGAAGTTTTTGCTGATTTTTTGTAAAATAAAAAAAAATTCGAAATTTTGATGAATTTCGAAAAAATTCATAAGATAAAGCAAAATGGGGTTCACGAAGCTTATTTTCATCAGAAATCACTCCAGAACCTTCAAAAATGTCGATTTGTCATCATTTTTGACTGAAAAACTCGAAAAACTATTATTGACCTATAATGTTTTTTCGACATTTTTGACTTTTTGTGAATTCAATGTTAAAAAAATATTTTTTCGTTCGTGAATCAGCCCTATTTATATTTATCAAAATTACGTGACTTTTACATGACCTAATTACGTGACAAAAATTACACGAAAAGGTCATTCAAAACCAGTGTTGATTAAAAACAATAATGAAACCAACAATTCTCCTCATATTTCTATTCATATTTCCAATTCATGTGCATATGATAAGTGACTCGGATATTATAAGTCAGTTCCGATGCAGTGGCTCATTTTACATTGATAGAAGACAACAAGACAAATGTGACAAAAAAGGTTCCGAGTGTACAACAAAGCTTGGTCAAATCGGACAATGCGAAGATATGATTCGAGATTCTTCTGTTACGCCAAGTAACACGCCCGTATGTGATTTAGCACAATTTTCAGGGAGTAATAGGAACTCCCTATTTTTGCAGGATCTTCGTTGCTGTCCAAACCAATTAATTCCCGAAGATTTCCAGTCAAATATGAAATGTGGTAACACACAACAACTTGGTTTATTTGCATATTGTAAAAATGGATATGTTTATAGTGTTTCCTTAGAAACTTATAGATCGAATAATGAAACTTCAATTACATGTGATCTTAATCTAAATTGTGCAAAAGGAAGTTATTGTGTACTTAGTGTTGATATGAATAACACGCTTGATAGATATGTGAGAAAATGTTTCGTTATTGATCCACCGGAGGAAGAAGATAACACAGTGCTTATTATAATTATCGTTGCGGTTGTAGTGCTTTTGATAATTATTGTTGGAATTGTTGTTGGTATCTTGGTTTGTAAGAAGATGCGAAAAAGAAAAAGTGGTCACAAGAATAATTCGGCTGAAAGTAGTGCAAATAGCGAAGAGGAGAAGAAGGAAAAGCCGAGTAAGGAAAAGAAGCCAAAAAAGGGATCGAATGTTTAGATTTTTATAGAACTTGTTCATATTATTTCAAACTCGTTGACAATGAATTGGTTGTTTTAGTTTTCAAAATATGTACGTTTTTGGAAAGTTCCAAAATCTAAAAATCATGGGACTGATTTTTTTCGGACGAAAAAAGAAAAACCAAACTCTCTCGAAACAATTATTCACGTAATCATTTTTGTGAACTGAAATCACGTGACCTAGTTCGAATTAAAATGAAAGTAGCCCTTCAGAATTCTGACAAGGGAACATTTTTTACTGAACACTTCAAATCATGATGAAGTTTGGTCCATGGACAGCTTTTGGGGCCATAAGAACACCCTAAAAATTTCAGTCTCCCAATCGACCTCTGAGCCAAGTTCTGGGCTCTCAAAAACTCAAAAAAGGCCTAAAAATGGTCATAAAAGTCATCATAGCTCCATTTCAAAATTTTTTTGGGAGAAATGAAGTTTCAGATATTGATCAGCATAGTCGATTACCTAAAAGTACATCAATAAAAAATTTTATTTCGAAAAATTTTGAAGTTTTTTATTTGTGGGCTGAAAATTCATATGTGCCCCTGCTCGTTCTTTTTTTCAAAATCAAAAATTTTTCTGAAAATTCGATTTTTTGATGGTTTTTGGGTAAATCGATCACGCTGATCATCATCTGCTACTCAGTTTTTCATAAAAATGATCGAGAATTGAGTTATGACGTTTTTTATGAGCCAATTTTGGCAATTTTCGAACTTTTTGAGAGCCCAGAACTTGGCTCAGAGGTCCATTGGGAGACTAAAATTTTTAGGGTGTTCTTATGACCCCAAAAGCTGTCTCTGGACAAAATTTCATCAAGGTTTGAAGTGTTGAGTAAAAAAGGTTTCCTTGTGAGGACAAAATACTAAGTATTTGAATAGTTCCAAACAGATTATATTTCTGAAAAACCCTTGGACAGGATTTTCAAATATTTCGGACGATAATTTCAAAACCTTTATGAATTTGACGTTGGGCATTCAGTCTATTCTAAATTCACTTTTTTTCAAAAAAAAAGTTGAAAAAAAATGATTCACGTAGTTAGTTTTTATATAAAAAGAACCACGTGACCTAGTTCAAATAAAATTGAATAGAGTTCTCTAAAACTCATAAAATTCAGTTTTAGTTAAAAGTAATAATGGAAACGACTATTTTTCTCATATTTCTAGTTGTTTTTGCAATTGATGTGCATGTGCAGACAGCATGCCCTGATGGTTTTCTCGATCCCGATCAGGAAAAAGACTGTACTGAATTAAGACTCGACTGCAAATCTCACTTTAACGGAACCGGAACATGCGAAGTAGTTGATCAATATGGCCAATTAAAATGTTGTCCAAACAAATTGCATACTGACGATTTTCAAACAAATACGACATGCAGTGAACATCAAAAACGTGACGATGATTTTCATTCATATTGTAAAAATGGATACATTTTCTACTTTGGCCGAAACAACTTGAAAATTAACAATGCATATGCAAAAAAATGCATTGTCAATTCGGATTGTGGTGAAGGAAACTATTGTGTAGTTTTTATGAAGTCATCAATTTACAAGAGAAGATGCTATGCTATTGACCCACCAAAAAGAATAGAAACAGAAAAGAAGGAGAAAGAGAAAGAGAAAGAGAAAGAAGATAACACGATGCTCATTATAATTATCGTTGTAATTGTTGTGATTTTTGTCATTGTCGGAATTATTGCTGGATTTGTGGTTTGCAAGAAGATGAAAAAAGGAAAAGGTGGTCACAAAAGCTCGGCTGAAAATGGGAAGAAAGGAAAAAGCGGTCACAAAAGCTCGGCTGAAAACACTGGACACAGTGAACAGAAGGGGAAACCGAGTAAAGAGAAAATGAAGAAGCCGAAAAAAGGATCGAAAGTCTAAAAATTAATCATAAACTCGTTCATTGCCAAAGATTTTGTTTTTGACAAATTATTTGAATTTCCGGGTGGGCTGAACAGACAAATTTCAAGATTCCATCATTTTTTGAAATTTTACGTGACCTTTTCCCGCGAATGACCCTAGCCATCCAAAAGGTTATTAAAATCAGTGTTGATTAAAATCCAAAATGAAAACAACGACTTTTCTCATATTTCTAATTGGTTTCCCAATTTATGTGCATATGTTGTATGTATGTGATGGAACCTACATCGATGCAGACTTGCAAGGCGCATGTTCCAACCCAGGTTCCAAGTGTACTACGAAATTTGATCAAGTCGGAGAATGCAAAAACATACTTTTTGCGGTATGTTATCAAATTGCATAATCAAAAAATTTGTGCATTTTGCAGTTTGGCGGTCCAGCTTGCTGTAACAATGATCAAGACTCCGATGATTTTCAAACAAATGAAATTTTTTTCATCATTTTCACATGCAGAACCATCATTTTTTGAAATTTTACGTGACCTTTTCCCGCGAATGACACTAGTCATCCAAAAGGTTATCAAAATCAGTGTTGATTAAAATCCAAAATGAAAACAACGACTTTTCTCATATTTCTAATTGGTTTTCCAATTTATGTGCATATGTTGTCTGTATGTGAAGGTACCTACATCGATGCAGACTTGCAAGGTGCATGTTCCAACCCAGGTTCCAAGTGTACTACGAAATTTGATCAAGTCGGAGAATGCAAAAACATACTTTTTGCGGTATGTTATCAAATTGCATAATCAAAAAATTTGTGCATTTTGCAGTTTGGCGGTCCAGCTTGCTGTAACAATGATCAAGACTCCGATGATTTTCAAACAAATGAAAAATGTGATGATTCAAAAAAAACCAACTACCGAAGATTATACTGTAAAAAAGGATACGTCTTCCACGTTGGTGACAAAAATTACAAAGCAAACAAGGGAAGCTCAAAAGACTGCGATTTCAATTCGGATTGTGACGCGGGAAGTTATTGTGTTCTTGTTAACACAAATCCAACAATTCGAAAATGTTATGATATTGATACAGAAGAAGCATCCGCCTTTGTAGTTATCATAGTTATTATTGTGATTTTATTGATTATTGGTGCGATTGTGGCAAGTATTATTGTTTGTTGCTGTTGTTGTAGGAAGAGGAAAAATGGAAATGGAAATGCTGGGTATGATCAACAAAATCAGGCGAGACAAAGCCCAACTACTACTCACTAGGATCGAATTTTGCATCATAAACTCGTGTGACTGTTTGTTTTTGATGAGAAATCCACAATTAGGCCATTCCGGCCTGGAATCTAGGCTTACAATCAGGCCTGAGCATGAATGTAGGCCTGACAATTTTGTGAGCGTCAGATTTAAACTCAGAATTTCATTGTTTTCAACTAAAAATTTGGTTTTTTTTTTCAAATTTCGAGCTGAAAATCCAGGATTTCCAGATTTTTAGATCAAATTTTCCCGAATTTCTAATTCAAAACTGAAGAATTTTGCAATTTTCAATGGAAATCTCACGATTTTTGTATAATTTTAGGTCAAAATTCACTTATTTTTTCAAATTTCGAGTGAAAATCCAGGATTTTCAGATGAAACTTTCCCAAAATGCCTCACCTCTTCCCCATCCACCACAAAAACACATCCAACCGGAACTTCATCACTATCCAAGGCTTCTTGTGCCAATTCAAACGCCAATTTCAGCCATTTTTCATCGAACATTCTGAAAACCTGGAAATCTAGCTGAAAATCCATCCAAATAAAAATGGCAAAAACCATGGAAAAATTGAAAAATTCAGGGATTTATAAGAAAATTTGAAAAATTTTTGACAATAATTCGAAAATAAGGCAGTAAATGTGAGATCTGGGAGAAAAAATTGAAAAAAAAATTAATTGGATTATTCAACATCAACTGAATTCGAGATGATTTGCTCCAAACATCTTCCGAATTCGCGCAAAACCAATCGTTCCATTTGAATGACTCGATCAACTTCGGATAACTTTTGCACTTCGGGTTGAGTTGAATTTAGCTGGAAAATTGGAGGGTTTTTGGAATGAAAATTAGTGTTTTCTTGATAAAAAACAACTGGTTTTCCATGAAAAATCCAAAAAACTCACAGCTTCTTCAGCTTGTGCAACCATACAAAGCGTAGTCGCCTCAACAACCTCATCAGTCATATAAAACCACGGGAATTTTCTTGGATCCACCACCTTCTCCTCTCGATATTCTCCATTTCCATGTCCACAATCATCTCCTTCAAAATCCTCTTCATCATTATCCTCATTTTTGCCATTATTATTATCCGCAAATTGTCCCAATAAATTGCCAACAATTTGTCCACTTCCAGCACCTTTATACCGACTATTCCGATATTGTTCCGTATTTTGACAACCGCGACATTTACATCGATCTGTGCACGGTACTTTAGCCTCATAGCACTCGCAATAGTTCTTCAAACATCCGCTTTTTTTGCATTGGCAACCTTTTTGATGCAATCTTTCGATATCGGTGGTTTTTCCGCCTTTTCCGATGCCGATTTTTGGCTTGAAAGCATTCGGATTTCGCTCCAAACTTTGACGAATCGCTTTTGTTCGAACTGAATCGAAGGTTACGTTGTTGTGACAATCTTTGCAGTTACAATCACGACAAAATTCGCCGTTTGCAAAACAATCGCAGTATAATTTGAGGCATTGTGATTTGTTGCAATTGCACGGTTTTCGTTGGCCAGGAGCGATAATTTTCCTAGAAAAAATACAATTTTTTGATAACATTTCAGAAGGTTTACTCACTTCTTATTCTTCTGTCTATGTTGAATAACCTGCTCCTTCATCTCGAAAAACGCTTTTCGCTGTTGATTCGCTTCCGAACTCTTATACGGATTCATCCCTCCTTGAACTGGAATTGCTTTATGTTGAATATGCCCCGCTAATTTATACGGAGCTTTTCCAAAATACGGTGGCGGCGTTTCACTGCTGACCCACGTTGTTTTTGGGATTTCCGATGATGAAGAAGGTGCTGGAGAGGGATCTTCCTCTTTGATTGCATTTGAATGTGTTGGAGTTGGTGTCGATTCTTCGGGTTTTTCGCCGTCTTTTTCGGATTCTTCGCGGCGGGCGTGGCTCTGAAAATTCGATTATTTTTATAGAAAAACCTTGCGGAAAATTGAACTCACTGGATTGTGCAAGACTAGACGGCCATCTATTTCAATGTATTCGGCGCCATCACCATAATCATCGTAGATTTCTTCGCCTTCTTCGAAAAATTGACTTTCCTCTCCGTCCATGTTTTCTGAAATTTTTCACACATTACACCCTGATTTATTCAATAGAGAATTTTTCGCTCGATTTTTTGAGCTAGCATACAACTCATAACATCGAGGATAACCCAAGAAAAGAGCAAAAAACACAAAAAAACGCCGAAAATAAAAGTAGAACGAGCAAACGCGCTCTGTTGGCGTTGTTTATTTGAACCACGCGGGCGGCGAAACGGCTGCGCAGCGACTTTTTTTGTGTGGCGATACGGAGTGTGGGCACCTCATTTCGAATCGCCCTTGGGTTTTTCTTCACTTTTGTCATCGCCGATTACCGTTGGTAGACTTCAGCAACAAACATGCCACCAAAGTTCGACCCAACTGAGATTAAGATTGGTGAGTTTGTTCATTTTCTAGATAATTTCAATAAGTTTTGAAAGGAATTTCTCTTGGTTTTTGAATTTTTGCGGAATAATGATGAAATTTCGCAATATTTCGAAAATAAATTTTTTTAGGCCAATTTTTTCCGTTTTTTAAAGTAAAAAATTATTAGCAGTTGCGGATAAATTTATGCAGACATTCTATAGTGTAATCTTAATTTTTAAAATAATGATGCAATTTTCAAAATGAATTTTTTTCAGTCTACCTCCGTTGTGTTGGAGGAGAAATCGGAGCCACCTCAGCTCTTGCCCCAAAGGTCGGTCCACTTGGTTTGTCACCAAAGAAGATCGGAGAAGACATCGCCAAGGCCACCCAAGACTGGAAGGGTCTTAAGGTCACCTGCAAGTTGACCATCCAAAATCGTGTTGCCAAGATCGACGTCGTCCCATCTGCTGCTTCACTCATCGTCAAGGAGCTCAAGGAGCCACCACGTGACCGCAAGAAGGTCAAGAACGGTACGGATTTTATCCGTTGGGTCGGGAGTCGATATGCTCTCATCCCCTGGTCTCTTATTTCTTGAATTAGTAGTAATACTTTCCATGATTTAAAGACTGGTAACCCTCCTTAAGTGATCTTGAGGCGTGAGTTTAATTTTTCAACATGTAAATCAGGGTTATCGGTGTTGTTGTCCTTAGTACCTCTTAACGAACCGTTTAGGTTTATTCCGAATTTTTAACCACCACCACGCATCTTCGTATTTTAGTTAAGCACAATGGTGACCTCACCATCGACACAATCATCAAGATCGCCAGAATCATGAGACCAAGATCGATGGCCAAGAAACTCGAAGGAACCGTCAAGGAAATTCTCGGTAAGCTTAAACTCCCACCAGCACCTCGTAATATAAACCTAATTTTTATTTCTTTTTCAGGAACCGCCCAATCGGTCGGATGCACCATCGATGGACAACACCCACACGACATCATCGACTCTATCGCCAGCGGAGAAGTCGAGATCCCAGCCCAATGATCTGTGTGTCTTGTTTTTGTTATCAATAAATAATTGTTATAATCCTCCCCACGTTGGTCTCTTCTTCTTGATATTTTTTCGGTTATATAATAAACTGTCTATGCAAACTCGATTTTACCGTGTTTCATTGGCAGATGTTCATCTGACCTTGACAAAATTCCTTTGTTTGGTCATGAAAATATTTTTGTTTTTGACACAGGAAAGCAAATATTATTTTCAGCGCTTGCACTTTTTCATAGTAAACAAAATTGTTTTCTTGGATCTCTGATCAGAAAAAAAGCTGAAGCTCTTGAAAATAATACGACGTGAACCTTCACGCAATAATTTATAAATCATTTCAACTTCGAGCTTTTTTCAGATAAAATTGCAGAAATGCCTAAACGAAAGCTACCCGAAGGAGAGAAAAATAAGGAGAATTTAGAAATCGGATGGATTCCAAAAGCAGCAGAAAAATTTTATGAAAAATATCCGGAATTAGTGAAATGTGAGGAATTTTGAGAAGAAAGTTTGAAATCTTGGAATATTTAGCTTCGAAAAGAAAAGTGCAACATTCCAGCTCTCCAATTCGTCGGCCCATTTCGAGTTCTAAATGGCGAAATCAAAAAATCTCGCGACAATTTGGAAATTGCATTTTTGGACAGATTCGCCACTGATTTACCCGAAATGCAAACATTTCTATTAACCGAAAAAGGAAGATATTGTTTTTGGAGGTATATTCTCGCGAATTCTCTATTTTAATTCAAAAAAAATGCAAATTTCCAGAGATTTCCCAAATCAAGCAGATCCTTTGATTGTTTTTGCTGTGAACTCGCCTGCGACTTTTCCCGACATCAAAATTGTTGGAAATCGCATCGAACACGCGATTCATCATGGAAAACTCGCAAAATCCCTGGAAGATGACGCAAAATCACTAGAAAAAGAGATGCGACAATGTCGCGATGCGCGAATTCGCGCAAAAATGGGCGAAACATCGCATGAACCTGGAATTTGGGTGAAAATGAAGGGAAATGTTGGATATCGATGTCTTTTTCATAGTGCAAGTAAGTCGGTTTTTTCACAGCGATTAATTTTATTTTTAATTATAATTTTTACAGAAAAACTGCGAGTGACGCTGGAAAAAATCGCAAAATCGCAGGAAATCGACGAAAATTCGCAGAAAATTTTGGACGAAGAATTTCGCCATCTGCAAATCGCCAACGATGAAATGGACTTTGGAATGGGACTCGAATTGGGACATTTATTGTTTTTGGCGAATTCCGAAAAGGTTGGCTATTCTATTTTTGCCAACGCGAAAAAAAATCGCTGAAGTTTCAGGTCAAATCAATGATGATGTTTTCGATGAAAATGGCCTACACATTTTTGAAGCGAAAAGAATTTTGGCAAATTTTGGAGGAGACTTTGAAAATTCGAGAGACATTGTGAATGAAATAATTTGACCACGTTTTTGATTTTTTTCACGTCACGTTTGAAAACGTGAACTGACCTGACATAGCGCAACGTCAACCTAAATTCGACCCGATTGCTCGGGTTTCACAAAATCAGAGGAATTTGAGATTCAGTTCTCGATAAATTTCACAATGAAATTGAGAGTGAATCATATTCTTCGTCTAATAGTATTATTATCACTGTTGTCTGGATTCGATTTTCTCTTCGATCCTGAATTTTTGGACACCGTTGATAAATTAAATGGCATGTGATCACAGGGTGTAATTTACTACACGAAAAATTTCGCGCATTTTTTGAGACCTGACACGATTTTGAATTTTGAAACGTCAATTTTCCGGTTTTCGCTAAAGTCCACATTTGAATAGAAATTCCTATTTTAAAAAATGTCATGATTTCAGAGATATTAGCGAAATGCACACAGGATATCGAAAAATGTCTGGGTGAGTAAAAGTAATCCCACACTTATATTATTTGCTCTACTTACGTTGTTTCTAGGAGTGCATAAAATTTGTCACAAGGATCAACAGATTATAATGACGAATGAAAATGATTGTACAAAAGATGGTGCAGGAAACGAATGTCTCAATAAAGAAGGTCATATGGGAATTTGCCAATACACGTTTGTGAGTTTTTTTTATTTTGAAATTGAATAATGTCATCATTCCAGCCTGACAAACCACCTCGATGTTGTCCAGACATAAGTGCTTCCAAAGATTTTCCGGATTTTTTGACACGAATGAAATGCAAAGAAACAACAGTCATCCCATTGCAGCTTCTCAAAACCTACTGCAAAGACGGTTTTTTATTTGCGGCTGGGAAGAAAACTCTCAAAAATCCCGGAGCACAATGTACTCTCAATTCGGATTGTGAAACCGATCATTATTGTATGCGAGAATCGCGTGGGCCGCATGCACATTGTTTTTATGTTGCGCCGAAAGGTGGAGGAGTTAAAGAAGCGAAAAATAATAATAATGTGACAAATCAGGAGGTTGGGAATAAGAAGAAGAATGTGGCGAAAAATGAGGATGATGAAGATAACAATGTTGTTATGTATATTATAATTTTTGTCGCGATTATTGCGCTAGCATTGCTTGCTTGTGCTGGAACTGGTTTTTATTATTATCGCAAAAAGAAGGCTGCAAGAAAAGCGGGGAATAAGAACACAGCTGCTTCGAAACCCTTTTCGAAAGTGACCAATAAGACTGGCTCGAAAATTACATCAAAAACTACTACAACAATGACTCAAAATCCGAAAACAAAGTTCCCTTCGAAAGCTGGTACCACAACAACAACAATGTCTGCAAACCCGGGTCCGAAATTCCCTGCAAAAACTAATACGACCTCACCAATGTCACCAAATCCTAATCAGAAATTCCCTGCAAAAACTAATACAACTTCACCAATGTCACCAAATCCTAATCAGAAATTCCCTGCAAAAACTAATACAACTTCACCAATGTCACCAAATCCTAAATTTGCTCCAAAACCTGCTCAGAAGCCGCTGGCCCCAAAACCAACTCCGAAATACATGGTTTCTCAAAATCTATTCGTCTAAAATGTGTACTTGTTCTGTCCAACTTACTTGTTGTTTTTGTTCTGTCCAATTTACTTGTTTTCGTTTTGTCCCAATGAAAATTGTGTGTGTGTGAAAAAATCTAGAAATGATAATTGTGAAATTCGAAAAAAAAGTCCACGTTTTTTTTCGACAAACGAAAATTGAGAATTAATTTTTCTCGTGGATTTCTCACAAATTCGTTGGAAATTTTGAAGGTTTGTGAAATTCTCACACGAAAATTTCCACATGAATTTCATTTATTCCAACCAAAAACCCAAATTTACAGAATTACAATTATGAAATGCCCTCCTTGCCACATAATGAGGTATTTACGACGATGCCCCTCCTATCGGTAAGACCCAATTCATTTTCCGTAGTAAGAAGCATGTTATATACGCCATAGCTGTTGTTGTAATACGGTTCAACTCTGCTCATCAATTCGTTGCTCACTGTGAATTTATCGTTCCACTGCCACATCGATGGAATTGGACACGTTTCGGTTACCGGACAAGTACTAGACCCACACCAACATTCTGGAACTATGCTCATATTGAGGTAAGCATAGCTTTCACCCATGCTTTTCAACTCATTCAAATAGATGTTCATTTCATCCAAACTCTCAATTGATGATCGTCTTCCTCCTTTATTTCTACACTTTGACCAGTAATCTGATTGATGAACAATTTTTGCGCACCATACACCAAGTTGTCTTTGAATTTGAATCCATCCGTCCTCACATTTTGGTCGAATATTACAACCATTTGCAAGCGCAAACAACAAGATGACCAAAATCAACATTTTGATATCTAGAAGTGTTGAAAATGCCTTCCGATCCTCTGCTTTTATGTGAAACATCGTGCTGAAGAATACGTGGCACAATTTTATGATTTGACAAAACGCGGGGGGAATTCTGATTTTGTTTACGATGTGATAAAAAATCGTAGATGGGAAGCCGTCATAAATGTTTACGGGGAATAGCGGTATCCAAATTTTTTCTTGATTTTTTTGTAGATGAAATCGACTGCAATGCTTTTCATCAACAAGTCGAATTAAATGATTCATTTGATTACTTTATTGGACACAATATCACTTGGATTTTTTTCCACAGAACAAATAATCTATCAATGGACCCCCTGTTTGAGGGACGTCATCATTCAAACCGATGTCAGTAGAAAGATATACATTCATTCCAAACTTGTTTTCACTCATAGGTTTCACTAAGTTCAGAATTTCTGTTCCAACTATAAACGTATCTAATGTCCACTCCCAAACAGATGGTATTTGACATGTTTCCGTTATGGGACATACAGCTTCATCACACTGACAATCTTCTCTACTTCCAGCACCGACGAATGCTTTTTCAACACCCTTCTCTTTTAACATTGATATATATGTGTTCAATTCATCAATGCTCTCAATTCCTGACCACTGTCCTTGGTAACCTGTACTGCTCGTACATGCAAGATAGTCATTCATGAGTTTCACACACCATCCACCAAGTTTTCTCTGAATGTAGGTCCATCCTTCGTCGCATTTGATTGTTTCTGGACGAATATTACAGCCATTTACAACACATATCAAACCAAGAATGAGAATCAACATTTTGTTCTTGATTTTTCTGTGTTTTCGGCATTGTTTTATAGTAGTCCAAATTGATAATTAAACTTTATGGTTGAATATAAAATTGCGAATACACGTAGCGCTATCCAAATTTTTTTTCTTGATTTTTTGTAGATGAAATCGACTGCAATGCTTTTCATCTGATTTTATTTACGATGTGATATAAAATCGGAGCTGCGAAGCGGTCATAAAACATTTTTTACGGTTGAAGTGTGATCTTCGAACTTTGGAATTTTCAAGTGTACCAAAAATAATACAAAAAGATTTGGCTCTGAAGTTGTTTGAAGATCTAAGAAATTCAAATTAGGGTAATAATCCAACTTGAAAATTTAGATTTATTTATTTATTCATAAAAATCATCTCAATTAAATCGGTGTTTCACATCGTCTTCCGGTGTATCCTAAATTACACAAGCAGGTTAGTTGATTTGTAGTCCCCAGGCACAATCCACGCCCATTACAATCACGCGAGGAATCGCAAACCGCTGCAAAAAAATAAATTCAAAAATAATTTCTCATGAAGGCCAACTCACTCTCCTCACAATTCGTTCCAGAATATCCCAACTGGCAAGCGCAAATGAACGTCTTCTTGGTTCCCAGACAAGTTCCTCGATTATTGCAATCCACGGCACCGCAGGGTTCAAGTGTTTCGGCGACGCCTGCGATCACACCGTGTGCACCCTCGTGCTTCTCTTTCGCTGATTCTTTCAAACTCTCGACGGCTTTGTCCAATTCGGCTTTGACTTCTTCTTTGATCTCGTTTTCGTGCTCTTCGATGGCTCGTTTTGATTCGCTGATTTTGGCGGAGACACCTAGGATTTTTAAGGTCATTAAGTTTTTCTCAAGTTCTAGAAAAATTTTTGAACAAAAATTTAGGTAAATCTGCGTTTCACGCCCCCACCCTGTTTTTCACCCCCACCCAGTTGTTTCGCGCACCCACCTATGCCCCCACCCATTTATTGATGGGGGCACAAAAAAGGGTGGGAGCACGAAACAACCAGTGGGGGCGTAAAATTTAGGGGGCATAAAACAGGACACTTTTTTTATTGTGGGGGCGCAAAACGCGTGAAAATGTATTGCGCCGGGTGCACGAAACGTCCCACTGTGGAACAAGTGTTTTTCAAGCCCCCACTACTTGTTTTTCATGCACCCACAGGAGCAGAATGTTTTGTGCCCCCACAGGGTTTTTTTCCACTCTGAGCCGATGTCACAACAACTACCCAAGATACTGTAGATTAGCAACCCGACTACTGTAGATTAGCAACCCGACTACTGTAGATTAGCAACCCGACCACTGTAGATTAGCAACCCGACTACTGTAGATTAGCAACCCGACTACTGTAGATTAGCAACCCGACTACTGTAGATTAGCAACCCGACTACTGTAGATTAGCAACCCAGGTACTGTAGATTGGCAACCCAAGTAATGTAGATTAGGGAACCAACTACTGTAGATTAGGGACCCAACTACTGTAGATTGGCAACCCAACTACTGTAGATTGGCAACCAGATTACTGTAGAAGATCGACCCAAGTACTGTAGATTAGGGACCCAACTACTGTAGATTGGCAACCCGACCACTGTAGATTAGCAACCCGACTACTGTAGATTAGCAACCCGACCACTGTAGATTAGCAACCCGACTACTGTAGATTAGCAACCCGACTACTGTAGATTAGCAACCCGACTACTGTAGATTAGCAACCCGACTACTGTAGATTAGCAACCCGACTACTGTAGATTAGCAACCCGACTACTGTAGATTAGCAACCCGACTACTGTAGATTAGCAACCCGACTACTGTAGATTAGCAACCCGACTACTGTAGATTAGCAACCCAGGTACTGTAGATTGGCAACCCAAGTAATGTAGATTAGGGAACCAACTACTGTAGATTAGGGACCCAACTACTGTAGATTGGCAACCCAACTACTGTAGATTGGCAACCAGATTACTGTAGAAGATCGACCCAAGTACTGTAGATTAGGGACCCAACTACTGTAGATTGGCAACCCAACTACTGTAGATTGGCTACCCAAGTACTGTAGATTAGGGAACCAACTACTGTAGATTAGCAACCCAAGTACTGTAGATTATCGACCCGAATAATGTATTATTTGTGAATGATCAAAACTATTGACGACTCAGTTTTCCCAATGAAACTCACATCACTCGAACTCCAACCATTTTTCCGACTTCATAAAATTTGAAATGATTCATTTTTGTTGGATTTTTCACGGAAACGTGCCAACATTTTATTAAATGTCACCATTTATATTTTTTTTTTAATGAAGCCAAAAAAATAGAATTTGATAAAAATTAACCCAACTACTGTAGATAAGTGTCCCGACTACTATATATTAGACCCCCGACTACTGTAGTTTAGCAACCCAGGTACTGTAGATTAGCAACCCAGATACTGTAGATTAGCAACCAGATTACTGCAGTACTTGGGTTGCTATTTTACAGTACCTGGGTCGCTGATCTACAGTAGTTGGGTCACTAATCTACAGTACTTGGGTAGCAGATCTACAGTAGTTGGGTCGCTGATCTACAGTACTTGGGTTGCTATTTTACAGTACCTGGGTCGCTGATCTACAGCAGTTGGGTTGCTGATCTACAGTACCTGGGTGGCTGATCTACAGCAGTTGGGTCACTAATCTACAGTACTTGGGTTCCCATTCTACAGTACCTAGGTAGCTGATCTACAGTACCTGGGTTGCTAACCTACAGTACCTGGGCCGCTGATCTACAGTACCTGGGTGGCTGATCTACAGCAGTTGGGTCACTAATCTACAGTACTTGGGTTCCCATTCTACAGTATCTAGGTAGCTGATCTACAGTACTTGGGTTGCTAACCTACAGTACCTGGGCCGCTGATCTACAGTACCTGGGTGGCTGATCTACAGCAGTTGGGTCACTAATCTACAGTACTTGGGTTCCCATTCTACAGTACCTAGGTAGCTGATCTATAGTACTTGGGTTGCTAATCTACAGTACTTGGGTTGCTAATCTACAGTACCTGGGTGGCTGATCTACAGCAGTTGGGTCACTAATCTACAGTACTTGGGTTCCCATTCTACAGTACCTAGGTAGCTGATCTATAGTACTTGGGTTGCTAATCTACAGTACTTGGGTTGCTAATCTACAGTAGTTGGGTCGCTCTTCTACAGTAATCTGGTTGCTAATCTACAGTAGTCGGTTTGCTAATCCACAATACCTGGGTAGCTGAACTACACTACGCTCAGTGATGGGTAGGGGCATAAGTCATAATGAGTGGGGGCATGAAACCATAAATGACCGTGGGGGCACGTAATAAAAAAGATGGGGGCGTAAAACATTCATATACCAAAAATTTATATTAAAATCTACCAGAGGCCTTATTTTTAAAGGTACATTAGCTGTGCCACGTGGCAAATAATTTAAATTTGATTTAATTTCTTTTTATGAAATTTATTTTAATATTTTAATAATTAAAAATATTTTCCATGTGGCGGAAGGCTAATTAATTACCCATAGTTAAAACATTTAAGATAAATCTTAAAAAATGTGTAAGAAGAGGTAAGGACCAAAAGAAGCTCAAAAGCTCCCTAAGGCCTAAGTAAAACTCTGAATTAAGGGTCCTAAGTTATCTTTAATTCAGGCCTTTATTAAGCCTTAAAAATTGAATTTCAAGACCTTAAGGTTCTTAGACCTAAATGAAATTTCACCTGTATCTTCTGGAACCAATTCGGGAGAAGTGAGATTTGCAGAAACACTGATATCCTCAACCTCATCCACCAATTGATGAGTCTGAAATTTTTTTTTTAAATTTTTTTTTTTTGAAAATTTGAACTTCAAAATTTCAAACTAACCTCGTCACAAGAAGCCAAAGCAATGCAGAAAACTACGATCAAAATTCTCATTTTTTCGAAAAATCTGAAAATTTTTCGTTTTTCTAAAAATTTTAGCGAAAAAAAAGTATCTATGGTTACAAAATAATAAATAAAAGTGTGAAAGTCTCGAAAAACATTTTTTTTCGGAAAAAATTGGAAAATCCAGATTTTTGTGCAAGAAGCCGTGTCAAATATGCGCCAGGCAAAAATTGTTTCATGACAAAAGGAAACCAGAATTTTTTTTTGGGGGGAAAAATTTTCACAGAAAAATAAAATAGTATAGTTTTTTTTTACAAGTATGGTCATTAACACACTTTTCAAGTGTATGTTGTTATGCAAAAAAAATAGTATAGTTAGAAAATATGGGACATTAGATACTCAGGCAACGAATGAGGTACGCAGTCAATTTCATTATAACATTAGATACTCAGGAAATGGTACGCAGTGAAATTTGATCAGCACAGAAACTATAGCTATTTCTAAATACGCAGCCAATTTATCAAAAATCACATTAGATACTCAGTTAACAATTCATACTGTATCTACACAGTGAAAAAATTCAATCATCCGTAACCCAAATAAAAACTGTTATGTAATCGAGCTATAATTGGGATGACCTTGTGAACAAAATTTTTTTGTATAATTATTTTTCATGTCCTCATGTCAAATTTACACTGTATCGAATGGCAAATCCATTGGCAGCTTTGCTGGAAGTGCAGCTGAAAATTACAGATTATTGATTTTTTTTCAGATAGAAAAACATATCTACCTTGAGTAATCAATTTTCCCGGTCAAATCCGTATCATTTGCATCAAAATACATAACAACACAATTTTTCGCCACGTCATAACTTGGTGCATCCACAAATGTAAATATATTCAAATTCGGATTCGTCGAATCGATCATCGTAAAACCTTTGGGAAACTGGCAGCTTGACAATCTCATGGTATCCGCCGTGCTGCAATTTGCGTTACGTAACCCATCCATAACCAGCGCAGCTTGCGTGATTCCCGAATCGTTCATTTTAGCCAGGATCAACCATTTGATTATTGATAGATCTTGCGGGGAACTCATCGTTTTTTGGATATTTTTGATACCGGTTTTGATGGAGTTTGGTGTTGGCGCACTTGCCTCTGCCACGTAGCACTGAAATTATTTTTTTTTTTAATATGAGCAACACCTTGCTCATGTTATACAACTAACCGCCCAACATTGCACCAAACCATTTCTCATCGAAAAATATTTTCCAGTTCCACAATCCCGATTCCAAACATCGAGTACAGTAAGATCAGCAGTTATGTTAATTCGAAAATATGAATTTCCAGCACTGGCTTTATTATTGTAGATTAGTGGATTTTTGGAGGGACAAGTTGAGGAACTCCAGTAGTTATCACTTTTTAAGCCCATGATTTTGGCATTTTGAAGCTCGATTATTTTTATCTTCCAAATATATTGAAAAGGTCTCAGACAGCAATTCGAGTTATTGAAAAAGAAAAAATCGAATTTAGAATTGAGTTGGAGAGTTGATTTGCAGGTTTCCAGGGATGTTGAGGTCAATGTTTTCTGGCAGAATAAAAACGTTGTGGTGGGATAACCACGGAAGACAATTATTGATTGATTTTGTGAAGAAGCAGACGTGAATAGAAACAAGATCAGGAACATCTACTATATACTAATTGGAAACTGAATAGTTTGTCCAGGCCCCGTTCAGGGGTTCAACGTTCATGAAAATTGATGATCAAAAAATGAAAAGTTTGCAAATTTTGGCACCTTGGTGCACATACCATCTGTTTTTGATTAACTTTTCTCGGGGTGCGCGGAGCACAAAAAGTTTGAAAACTCCAATGTATTTTTCGATTTAAAAATGTGTCGCAAGACTTTTCTCAACTTCCAGAAGGCCATTTTTGATGGGACCTTCACCATGCTAACCCAAATTCTTTCCCATTGAGGCGCTAATATTCGGTTTTTCAAAAATTGCGCGAGTTTTCACGTGAAAAATCAAAACTTTTTTCATGCTAAAAAGAATGAGCACGTTTTTAATCAGAAAAAATGGCTAGGTCACGTCTCTTATCTGATCTTTTCATTGCTCAGTCATAACGGGACATTTTTAATCATTTCTCGCTATTACTCTACTACTAATCGGTTTGAAAAATAAATTGAAATAAAGTGAGTCAAACTACTGTAGATAAATTCAAAATTTTTTCGAACTTTCAGATATTGAATAATTTCTCTCACAAGAAGATGAGTAAAGGCTTCGATGTAAATTTTTTATAGTGAGTTTTGATGTGTTTGGGAGTATCAATATAGTTAAGCCCAAGCAATTATTGGCAATCCGAAATTTTGTAAGCCTTGCAAGAGAACCGATATGACCGAGAGAACTAATCATTTCCTCTCTCAACAAAAATAATGAAAGGACGATAAAGTCAGATGTATTTTGATTCTCTCTTCCACGGCTCTAAAAGGTTCGGATTGAACATTGAAGCTTACTCAGAAAATAAGGCAAAGAACCACTGGAGAAATTTACATGTTGGATAACTTTCGGACAACCATTGACTGTTGCTTTTCTTAGCTCTCTAAGTGTGAATTAGTGGAAATGTTGTTTCTCGAAATATTGTGGTTTATTTTTTTAAGATGTTGCAAATTTGAATTTGAATAAGAAAAGAAGACACAGTGTGTGATTTACTACCCGAAATAGCTAACTCTCGAATTTTTCGATAATTTTTGGCGTAGATCAAAAATATTCTTTCTCTAAATATTTCATAAGGGTTGATTCACTAACGAAAAATTAGATTTTCGAGTTCTTCAGCCGAAAATGACGACAAATCCAGGTTTTTGAAGCTTCAGAGGTAGTATCTGATAAAAATTGACTTTGGAATCACCTTTTCAGAAATTTTATGAAAGAAACATTTGCATAGGATTTTAGGCTTTAAAATTAAAACCCCATCTTTTTTCATAACCCCTCTTTTTTCCTCTAAAAATTTCTGTTCAGATCCGAACGGTTTTCTATAAGAAACCGTATGGATTCCGTAGATTCTGTACTTTTGTTTTTCGAACTTTAAAATTACACAAATCGGTTCTGAACAGGAAAAATAGGGAAACATGAGAGGCATTGAAAAAAAGGATTTCAAGAAAATAGACCAGTTTTCAAAGAAAATGGAAACAATATTTTTCGAACTAGAATTTTGAATTTCGAAAAGCTGAATTAAAAACTTGCAGTCTGAAATAAAAATGTCACACAGAACTTAATTTTCTATAAATTTTGGATCGGCATATTTTTTGAGCTTTCTTCAAAATTTTCTGAAGTTTTTTGAGAACTGATAAGGTTTTGAGGGGTGGAATCAAAGCGAAAATGAAAGATTTTGGGAAAAATTATTTTTGGGTAGACCCCAAAAAGTATTGAAAATTTTGAAGTGTAGCGATTTCGGGCAGGGCCCAGTCAATCGATTTGCGTGACCCGGATCTGTATTTACAGGTATTCAAAAATGGAAACGAAAAATTCCATGAAGTTTTGTGAAGTTCTGGATTAAAAAAGTTTCTGAAGTTTTGGATTTAAAAAATTTATGAAGTTTTGGATTAAAATTCATTTCATCACATCTCGAAAAAGATTCCTAACTATTGATTTTGAAACTTTATGGAAATTGTTATGGAAAGTCTGCAAGTTATTTTTATAGATGAAAAATACGGCGGAGAGATTTAGTTCAAGTTTGCACGCTCCATGAATCTCCATTCCACATTTTTCAATGGTCACGGTTTTGAAGAATCAAACCGTTCGAAAAACTTTATTCCTAAAGAAAACTACGCGCGAAGCCGGGACAATCCAGAAGGAGGAGCCGGCGTTAGCCGGCGGAGCCCTTCTGGTTTTCTTACAATTAGAAATGAGAGGAGACTGGGAATTTTTAGTGGTTACTATGTGGTGGCTTATAAAGAATTTTGAAATATTGCTGGAGGTTTTTGGTAGATCAAAAATTGGTCTCTCTGGGATTTTTCCACTCGAAAAATTTTATTTCCATCAGTGTTTTTTTTCTTATAAATTTTATTTCAATCCGTAAATTACTGGTGGATTTTGTAAAATTTCAGCCAATTTTTCAGTAATATTTTTGAGAGCACAAAAAAATGGGGGATTTTTGCAAGCTTGGCGAATCTGTGAGGAATGACCTCTCTTGAATACAAGTCAACACTTCATCCCTTGTGAACAAATTTTTGCCCAACAAAAAATGTATAATTATTTTCCTCTCATGTCAAATGTACACCGTATCGAATGGCAAATCCATTGGAAGCTTTGCTGGAAGTGCAGCTGAAAATTACAGATTTTTAAGTTTTTTCAGAAAACATATCTACCTTGAGTAATCAATTTTTCCGGTCAAATCCGCATAATTTGCATCAAAATACATAACAACACAATTGTTTGCCATGTCATAACTCGGTGCATCCACAAATGTAAATATATTCAAATTCGGATTTGCCGAATCGATCATCGTAAAACCTCCTGGAAACTTGCAGCTCGACAATCTCATCGTGTCCGTTGTGCTGCAAGTTGCGCTGCGTAACCCATCCATAACCAATGCAGCTTGCGTGATTCCCGACTCTTTCATTTTCGCCAAGATCAACCATTTGATTCTTGGTAGATCTTGAGGGGAGCTCATGGTTTTTTGGATATTTTTAATACCGGTTTTGATGGAGTTTGGTGTTGGTGAGCTAGTTTGTGGCACAAAACCCTAGAAAAGCAGAATAGTTTTTGATATATGCATTGCTCATTTTAACTAGGGTTAACTAATGATTTCTCTGTGTCTCAACGTGTGGTTTCTAAAATTTGTCTGCGTCTCTAACATGAGCAATATTAAAAATCTAACCGTCCAACATTGCATCAAACCATTTCTCAATGAAAACCACCCATCTGCACAATTTCGATCCGAAACTTCGAGTACAGTAAGATCAGCAGTTATGTTAATTCGAAAATATGAATTTCCAGCACTGGCTTTGTTATTGTAGATTAGTGGATTTTTGGAGGGACAATTTGAAGAGCCCCAATATTCATCAGTTTTTAATCCAATGATTTTGGAATTTTCAGTTTCGACAACTCTTATCTTCAAAATATATTGAAATGGTCCCAGACAACAATTCGAGTTATTGAAAAAGAAAAAATCGAAACTAGAGTCTAGTTGGAGAGTTGATTTGCAGGTTTCCAGGGAGGTTGAGGTCAATGTTTTCTGGCAGAATAAAAACGTTGTGGTGGGATAACCACGGAAGACAATTATTGATTGATTTTGAGAAGAAGCAGACGTGAATAGAAACAAGATCAGGAACATTTTCTTACAATTAGAAATGAGAAGAGACAGGGAATTTTTAGTGGTTACTATGTGGTGGCTTATAAAGAATTTTGAAATATTGCTGGAGGTTTTTGGTAGATCAAAAATTGGTCTTTCAGGGTTGAAATTGGAGATGAAAAATTAATTTTAAGTTAAATTGGTTTAAGTTTGAAAAAAATCGAAATAATTTCTGCAAATTCTAATTTTTCTCTAACAATAATTCGAATCAATCTAAATTTCATATAAACATGTACATTGCTCATATTAAAAACTTTTCAAAATGATTTTTCTCATATTTCTATCAATTTCCTTACCTGCAATAAAATCCTATAATTTTCTGATAACAAATCCGATCTTGGGATATAGCCACGTCAAATTCAAATCAAACATCGCTGATGTTTTGGCGGATGCTGGACATAATGTGGTAATTTCTTCCGCAAGCTTCCGCGTACACCGCATTTTTGATCTCATGACTTCCAGACGCTCCTTCAATACTATCACAATCCAATGGAAAATCTGAAAAATCTCGTGAAAAATCCACGTGTCGAAATCATCCACTATTATCCGGACAACTTTGCGGAACTCCTCGAAAAATCTCGAAAAATCGGAACTTTTCCCGAATTTTGGGCCACCAAATCGATGGACAGCCCGTTTTTGAGATATTTTACACAGCTGGACATTATTCCCGTTTTGTGGAATAACACATATTCGAGTTAGTTTAACTTTTCACTGTTGGGGACTGGGTTACTGTAGTTTAAAATTCCGAAATGCAAGTAGTACTGTATTTGTGAGACGGCAAAATTTACTGTATCTCAACTTTCCAAAGTTCAATGATTAAGGTTATTCAAGGAACTGCAAGAGATACTGTAGATTCCGGACTGCAAAGGGTACTGTACCTCAAGATAATTAAACTACAAAGGTTACTGTATCTTTTACTGTAAGGGGTACTGTACCTCGTAACGATTCATATGAACTGCAAGTATTACTGTACTCCAAAGTTTTAAGAAACTGCAAAGGGTACTGTATTGTCAAGAATTGCAAGAAGTTCTGTATTTGAAGGACTGCAAATTTTCCAAAGTTTAAGGCAATTCAAAGAACTGTAAGAGGTACTGTAGCTTCCGGACTGCAAGCGGTACTGTACCTCCTAAGATCAAGCATTTCAGGGCTACTGTAATTAAAAATTTCAAACCACAATTTTTCCAGAACTTCTGCGCGACACCAAATTTCTGAAAACTTTGGAAGACCGAAATTTTGATGCGGTTCTGGCTGAAACTTTTGAAATCGGTGGATTTTGTGAGTTTTCTTTTTTTCAGCGTACTTAACCCGCAAAAAATAAATTTCCAGACATTGCTCATCTTATAAACGCGCGCTCCGTCATTGCAATAATGTCATCAGTCAAATATCCGTACACCGAACAACTCTTCGGCCAACCGGCCACTTTGGGATATATTCCAGGAGAATTTTCGAAGTTTGGAAAAGAAGCGACGGTTTGGGATAGATTGAATGATATTTATCACGAGTTTTTTTCGGTGCTTTTTCACAAATCGATTTCGGATCGGCAACATCAATTATATCGAGATATTCTTGGGAAAACTATTAGAAATTTGCCTGATTGGCAAGATCTTGTGAGAAAATCAACATACTTTTTTGTGAATTCAAATCCTTTTTTGGATTTTTCGGTGCCGAAAACACCCAATATTATTGCTATTGGTGGATTTGGATTCGATGCTACCCGAACTCAGAAAATATTGCCCGAAGAATATCAAAAAATAATGGGAGAACATACCGTGCTGATTTGCTTCGGTTCAGTTCTTCAATCTTCCGAAATGCCTGATGACTTTAAAATGGGATTTATCCAACTTTTCAAAGCTTTTCCGAATATCACTTTCATTTGGAAATATGAGCAACAAGAAGATGAATTTATACGGAAAAATCGATTGGGGCCAAATGTTCACTTGAGAAGTTGGATTCCTCAATCGATATTGTTGAGGAATGAGAGGGTGAAGTTATTTATAACTCATGGGGGATTGGCAAGCACTATGGAAGTTGCGTATTCAGGAAAACCTGCGCTTGTGGTGAGCTTCTTCTAGAGCTTCTCAAGACCTTTGAAAAGATTTTTTGATCTTGAAATAAGGTGGACTAGAAGCTGAGTTATGATTTTTTGAAAAAAAAACGCGTACTAGAATTTGTTTCCTCAAAAATCTACAAATCCCCATTTTCCCACAGATTCCTCTGATCAACGATCAATTCCACAATGGAATGATGTTATCAAGACATGGTGGAGCAATTACTTATAATAAATATGACCTGGCAGATCCGGTGAAACTTATCGAAACAGTTAGGCGGATTCTGGAGACACCCAGGTTTGTGAACAATCTTGCCACGTCATAGCTTTTTTCAGTTTTGCTGCGAACGCTGAAAAATTGTCAAATATTCTTCAAAACCCACCGATTTCCCCCCGAAGTTTGCTATTATCCCACATGGAATTTGCTGCGAAATTTCCGAATCTCAAAACTTTGACTCCCGATAATAATTTCAATAATTTGATAGCTTTTTATTATCTGGACGCGTTTTTGATGATTTTTGGGGGCTTTGGTTTGCTGGTTATTTTTTTGTTGAAACTATTTGTCAAGTTAAGGAATTTGAAGTTAAAAAGGGATTGATGGAAACATTATATATAAATGTTTATTTTCTTTAAAAATAACTATCAATTTTGCGGCGCATCTTCCCCTAAAACATGACAAAATTGTTTTCTCGATTGAACCATTCGACTATTTTTCGGACAATTGAATACATTTTCAAATTCGGGACTTTGGATAACTCCAGCATTCGTTCGAATATTGCTGGCACTATGGGGAATCCAGCTAACTTGAAAAACGTCATGCGGCTGAAAAAGAAACTTCATTTTCTGCAAATTTCAGTTAATTAAAAATGAAATTTCTCACCCAGCATCCAATACTGAAAACTAGGTGAAAATAGGCTTGCGCATGAGTTAGACCAAGTCTAGATCCAGGAATCTTGTCCTGTAACAAATAGTGTTTTTTATTGGGACACAAAATATGTTGCCGAATACTCACATGAATCTTCTCGCCCATAATTTGCTTCAATCTTTCAAAAGCGAACGGGAATCCAAAGATATCAGATCCATTCTCATCAAAATTCTTATCTTCAACTGTGCAATTATATTCTTTATAAATCCGGCAAGTTTCACTAAATTGATCTTGTATACAATTTTTAACATCCTCTGAAAAATAGGGATAAAATCCATCCGTCAAATTTTGCACAATTATTGTATGACCTATTTCATGCCCAAGAATTGCACCAACAATTCCATACTGAAATCATATTTAATTAACTTATTAATTAATGATCTGACCAATTCATACCTTAAGAGCTATCGGCACTTCAGTAATCAACACTCCTAAAAGTGGATTTTGCATATAAACTTTCGGATGACCATTGAAAGCATTAATTTCGCACAGCTTAAGGGCGTCTGATCCGCGAAAGACCTGTAACCGACCGACAAGATTTAAAGGTGTTTTACGAGTCTTCCGTGGGTCAACCACAGGTGGTTCACAGGTCGTTTACAGATACTTTGTGTTTTTCCCTTGTACAGGTGATTTACGGGTCTTCTACAAGTATTTTGAAAAGTCTTCTACAGGTCTTCCGTGGGTAGTTTTTCAAGTTGAGAGAATAAATTGTGAAATGACCCGTGAATGACCTGTGAATGACCTGTAGGAAAGTTGATTCATATTTGACCAATAACTGAAAAAATGAAAAAATCAGAAGAATAGTGGACCAGTGCGACAGGGAAGAGTGTGTTCACTGAGACATTTTCAAAGAGAGATCAATCGCTTGATAGTTTTCAACTCTGAGAAAGAACCCGTTTCTACTTTTGCTGACCGATTCTCAGAGCTGCTAAGCAGTTTTTCTAGCATAAGTTGTAGGCTTCCAAAAATATTTTTTTCTTTCGAAAATTCCCGATTTCCGGCTCATTATTTAGGATGTCGACGTTTTGATCAGAAATATTCAGCGGCGTCGAAAACTCTTTGTGATGTGGCTGAGTGAAGTTCAAAAAATAAAATAAAATTCTTCAAAAACCTAAAAATTGAAAATCGGTCAAAACACTAGATGAATTTATAATCATTTTGTTCAGCTCGAAATTCTGCGTCGAATGGTGTTTACCATTTTCCACCAAAATGGTTTTAAAGGGTAAAAAATTAAAGGCGCATGCAATTAAATGAAAAGGTCCTGCAGCGATATGTGTGTGGATTTCTCTCGGACGAAATGCACACCGCTGATTTTTTTCTTTTTTTTCGTTTTTTTTTGTGTTTTCCACGTTTTATCGAGAAATTAAGTGTTTGAAGCTGCGAAACATGTATAAACCATGTTGCCCACCTAGGATCAAGCAGCTAATTTCTTTAGAAATTGAAAATTTATTCATAAAACATGAATTTAGACCTGGAAATATAATTTTTCATTTTCGTTGATTTTTTCAATTTTCAAATAGTACAACGAATATATTTCGCAGTTGCACTCAATTTTAGCTAATTTTAATGAATTATTCTCGGAAGTTCCCTGTTGGAGTTGAAAAAGTTTTAATGACATGTCGTTTCTTGATTCTTGAATTCGTCACAACTTATAATTTACTAATTTACGTAATCGTAATATAAATTTATAGACTGCCTCAAAAACAAGGATATCACCAACTGTGTTAGAATGGCAAGTTCAAGATGGAAAGAAACTCATCGAATCCGACTTCAACAAGCTCAAAAGCATAGTTTATCCATGTCACTGATCACACGCAGGTTTGTTAACATGAATAAGAAAGTCGGATTCTAATGGTTTTTTATTTTCAGATGAAGTTCCTCAACCGCCGTCAAAAGAAGACTGATTTAGTCGGAATTCAAATCAACAGAGGAACCTTTGCCCAAAAGATGGACTTTGCTTGAGAGCACATTGAGAAGCAACTTCCAGCTGACACAGTCTTCTCTCACGATGAAATGAGCGACAGATTGGTGTCACCAAGAATTGTGGATTCAAGGAATTGCCTTTACTGTGTCTTGTGTTGGTCAAAATGTATTAAATGATAGAACCTGCTCCAACTGCCACCGCACCCAACTTCCCCGCAAATCAAAGAGATGCATCGAAAATACCATGAAAAATAAGTTCTTCTAATTTTTTTTAAATTTTCTAATAAATTTTTATTGATTCTAACATTATTCAAAAAATTGTAGTTGGTCAACCAAAAATTAGAAAAAAGGTCTTTTACGGGTCATTCACAGGTGGGGCTACAGGTCAAAATCGACACGTCTCAGACCTGTCACAGGTGTTTTGCCCACGAGTGTTTCACAGGTCTGTCACAGGTCCGCCGCGGACCGGATGCCCTTAAGCTGTGTCATACAATTTCGAGTTTCTGATCAGTGGAAGATTTTTGAGCGCGCAAAAATAAAGAGCGATTCTTCCAAGCTTGGCGAATCTAAATAAGATACATCTTTATAATCTAGACAAAAAATGGAACACAGAATTTAAACTGTTTCGAAAATCGTGGGAAATCAATTCAAAAAAACTAACTTTATCTCACATTCTTCATGCTCATATCGCATAAAAGACGCATCACCCAGTAGATCATGAATAACATTGTCTAAATCAAAATGCATTCTACCCGTGATATTTCTGAAAGCCTCCATGGTCCCCGAATTCAATAACCACGGTGTTTTCTCAATCGATAAAAGCAATTCACTTTTAAAGAATTTGAACATTTTCATAATTTCCCAAATTTCTTCACGATGTTTAATTGTCCATAAAACCGATAATCCATCATTTAGAGTATTTGTGAAATTAGCCAGCTTCAGACGTGAATCTTCAATAAGGGAATTGGAATTTACGATAACTCCTCGGAATAATGTGTGAGCTGCGCGAGTGCAGTTTGAATCCATGGCCAAATTCGAAAAACAATTATGCAAAGTGCATGGCTTATTTTCCTCAAGATCGAAAAAATTCTTGCAAAAGTTTCAGGAATTCCAAAGCTTCGGGTTTATCATTTTCACATCTTTGAATATATAAACTTTTCAATTCGTGTTCAAACATCATTGTTATATTCGGATTCCATGCTAGATATCTAGTCAGATGTACCAGTCTTTGAAGTTTGAAGGGAATTACGTTTTTCTCAAGTTCGAGAAGATCATTATAATAAATCTTGTTTAAATGCTCTGTGATTGTTGGATTAGTTAAATTAGGTTGACGTTTTTTACAAACATGGCGGTAGAAGTTATCACAAGGTTCAATATTTTCATCGATGTTGCTGAACATTTTTTTTTCAATTTTCAAAAAAAAAGTTTCAAACTTACTCCTCTAAAACTTTCAAAATATCATATTTCAACGCGAAAGTTGTTGAAAAAAACAAGAATATTGTCAAAAATTGGAACATTTTTTTTTCAATTTTTGATTTTCTAGAAGGAACTTTTATACTGACATAAGAATAAGACAATTGAAGTATTGTTTCAAAAATCAGATTTTCAATAGAGAAACAATAGAATTGTTTTGAATATAGAAATTCCAGAAAAATTTAGAATTTTCAGACAATACTTTAATTGTCTGATTTTACAGAACAATAAAAAAATGATCATATAAAAATCGTTGCTGAAAAATAAAAAATAAAATATTTTCTAAATGTTTCTAATTTTATTTATGTTTTCCACAGCTTTTGCTTTTTCCTATGATCTTTTGAAAGTTATAGAAGAGTAAGTTCTAATTCTCATTATTTAAAGCCGTCATCGCCCTTTTTCCAGCAACATCGATAAAAATGTCGAAGCTTGTGACAACTTCTACCGACACAGTTGCGCAAAACAAAACAACTCCCAAACAATCAAGGAATACATGGATTTCGGATATTCTGCAGATTTAGAAGAAATAGATCAAAAATTCATATCAAATAGTATTCAAAAATCCATTGTCATTGCCAAAAATCTTGAAGGTTCAGAAGAACATTTCACGAAAAGTTATGAAATCGAATTGAAAAACTTGTATATTGAAAAATGTGAGAGGAACAACACCGAAGCTTTGAAATTTCTCAAAACTTTGCAAGTGTTTTTCAATCTGCAGGAAAATGAAGACTGCAAGTGGTCAGAATGTTTTTCAAATTTGGCCATGGATTCAAATTGTACTCGCGCAGCACAAACTTTATACGAAGGAATTATTATTAAAACTGGACTTGATTATTATAAGCTTGAAAGTTTAACAAAAACTTATCAAAATGTATTATCAATTATTTGGCATGTGCAAAACCATGAAAAATCTGCTGAATTACGGAAAATGTTCGAATTTTTCAAGACAGAATTGTTATCACAAATTGAGACAACTCCCTGGTTGATAAATTCAAAAACTGTGGGAATTTTTAAAAATATCACAAGTCAATTATATTTGAGTGAAATGGAAATTGATATTAAAACTGTGATTGAAGATTGGCTGCAATTTCAGAAGAACTATGAGAATTGTACGAGCACATATTCCGAACTTGGACAACTTGCTATTGATTATTGTATCAATAAAAATCTACCAGAAATTAGAGAGATTGAGATTTTCCAGAACAACGCGGAAAATCGACATCCTCAAATTTTCATCTATAACCCCTTAACCGCTATAATGTCAAAAGAAGAACACTTGGCTCTAAAGGTGCTTATTTTAAAATTATCTAACTTTACAAAACTTAAAATTTCAGTATGGAATTTTTGGTGCAAATATTGGACATAAAATGGGTGAAACAATTATTGTGAACAATTTGGAAGACGGATTTTTCCCCTATTTTTCAGAGAATGTTAAAAATTGTGTACAAGATCAATTTAATGAAACTTGCCGAATTTATAAAGAGAGTAATTGTACAGTTGGAGATTTTGATGAAAATGGATCTGATATTTTCGGCATCTCGTTTGGATTTGATAGATTGAAGCAAGAAATGGGAGAGGAGATTTATGTGAGTAATTAGGATACTAATTTTTAGGTTCTAAAAAATTCTTAATCAAAAGTTCCACACTAATTTTTACAGAATAAGATTCCGGGATCTAAATTTGGTCTAACTCACGCGCAAGCCTATTTCTACGCGGTTTCCAGTTGGTATTGTGATGTCAGTTTTTTCCTTTTTCTTATCTTCAATTTCTGAAATTTTTCAGAGAGATGATGGAGCTAATAATGATAGAGTAAATTCGGGAGTTATTCAAAGTCCCGAATTTGAAAATGTATTCAATTGTCCAAAAGATAGTCGAATGGTTCAATCGAGAAAACAATTTTGTCATGTTTTAGGGGAAGATGCGCCGCAAAATTGAGATAATTCGAAATTTTTTTTTTAGAAAATTAATTCATTGTGCAATTTATAGGGAACACTGTATTTTTTTTTTTGCAATTCGAGGGAGACGCAGACTTTAACGTGGGCAGACAAATCTCTCGTCGAAAAAGGGAGAGAAATAGTGTGTGGCAGACACACAGCGTGGCGAGACCAGCGAGTGTCTGCGTCTCCTCGAAATTGAATATTTCTATTAGAAAAAAACACAGTGGGAAACCTTGAAAACATAAAGTTTTTTGGGTAAATAATGAATGGGACCCCAAATGGGACCCCAAATGACTGAATGGGACCCCAAATGGGACCCCAAATGACTGAATGGGACCCCATGCTGAATGGGACCCCGGTATTTAAAAATTGTCGTGATGAATGGGACCCCAAAATAAAAAAATGGGACCACAGCATTTTTTTGAATTGTCTGAATGGGACCCCGCAAAAAAAGGGACCCCGTTGAATTTTTGTATGAGTATGAATGGGACCCCATTGAAATTTCTTCAGAATGGGACCACAGGTAGGCTTAAACTTAGACGTATCCTCAGCACTGGGGTGAGGCATAGGCTTAGGCTTAGTTAGGATTTCAGGCTTAGACTTAGTTAGGCCTTTAGGCTTAGGCTTAGTCAGGGTTTTAGGTCTTTGTTAGGATTTCAGGTTTAGGCTTAGTTAGGATTTTAGGCTTAGGGTTAGTTAGGCCTTTAGGCTTATTCTTAGTTAGGGTTTTACGCTTAGGCTTAGTTAGGATTTTTAGCCTAGGCTTAGGCTTCAAATTTTGTATCCCTTTCAGTATAAAATTTCAGTGGGGTCCCATTCGTACTAATACAAAAATTCAACAGGGTCCCTTTTTTGCGGGGTCCCATTCAGACAATTCAAAAAAAAGCTGTGGTCCCATTTTATTATTTTGGGGTCCCATTCATCACGACGATTTTTAAACACCGGGGTCCCATTCAGCATGGGGTCCCATTCAGTCATTTGGGGTCCCATTTGGGGTCCCATTCATTATTTGCCAGTTTTTTGGAAGTGTATGCAAAAAAATACGAGAAAAAATGAACACCGTACCACCTATTAAAGGCACATGTGTGTGTTTTGACAATATCGCGTCGAGACACACAAATAAAAATAATGTTTCTTTTGAAAAACTACGGTAGATATAAGCATGAGCAATATTTTTCACTTGAATATTTTTCATTGATTGTCTTGGAGACCAAAATGTGTAGAGATGCGAAAATTGAAAAGTTGCAGAATGATATTGAAAGGTTGGTTTTTTCGAAATTTTTCAGAAATAAAAAATGATTTTTTTTTCAGATATCGCGAATTAATCGAAAAACAGAATCAAGAAATTCAAAGACTCAACAAATTGTTGAAAGAATCTGGAAAAATTCAAATCAAACATCCAGAAGTTCGCGAAATTCACGAAAAATATAGAGAAATTTTGAAAGACACTGATACTATGAAGCTTTACTCATTGATTGCCGATTTAGACAGGTAGTATAATTTTTCAAGTAAAATATGTGATTTATTTATTTTCAGATACCTCGAAAAATTTCCAAATTCCATCGAAAAGTTATCAAAAAAAGTGGAAGCTTTGAAAATCAAAGAGGAGATCGACGAGTATTTTGGAAAAGTTAGCAGAGATTTTTGGAAAATCGAAAAAGATCCGAATATTTCGATGGATGATTTGGATGTGGAATTGAGCACACAGAATTTGTTCACCAAAGAGTTTTTCAAAAGACTTTCGCTCGTGCTTTATGGTCAAGAGGAACCACCTTGTGTTATTTTGTAACTTTTTTTCTTGGCAAAGAAAAAATGAAATAAAATATTGTTAACAAATTCAGCTTTTTGTGAAATTTTCTACCAGCGGGAATCGAAGGCACAAAATTAGGCGGATTGCATAGAAAACAGAGCTCATCCCCAAAAAGAAATAGGATTTTGATGCGTGAAATTGTTTTACATCGAAGAAAAAATAGAATTGACTACTTTGACTAGCAATCAATTTTTTGAATGTGACACTTCCTGCGTTAGAAAACATGAATATGGGTTAAAATTACATGAGTATCAAAACAAAACAAAAAACATAGAAAACAAAATAAAATTTTTTTGACGGTCAGACTTTGCCCAGAAAGTCAGTAAATTTATTTTTTTCAAATCCTAGATGTTTGTTAATCAAATATACTTCATTTAACCCCTAAAAAATCAGTTTTCCCCTCAAAACTCACAAATTTCTCGCCAAATCCTCTCCCAATCTTGTTTGTTGATATCCTCGACATCTCCAATTTTCCAAATACGATTGAGCAGCTTCTGCAAAAAAAAATGAATTATTTTTCGAAGAAAAACGCCTATAAAAAACAAGAAGAACCTATTCTAGATGAATGCGCGCGAGAAGAAAAAAAATGACTAGAGATAGTGTGTGAAAGGTGGAGGGAGAAGAGAAAGAGAGAAAGGATGAACTGTTTTTTATTATAAACAACAAGCATGTGGAGTGTTGTAGGAAATTTATTTTTATTGTTTTTTCAAAATTCAAATCAATTTCTAAAAATAAGCGGGTTTTTTGTGAAATTTTCAGAATAAAAAACTCGACGTGACGTGAATTTGAAATTTCTCTCTGATGAGACATTTCTAATCATTTTGTCTGCTGAAAACCGTGAGAGTTTAGTTGCTCTGAAAATCAACTGTTTTATTTTTTCTGTGAGTTCCACAACTCTATAGCAAAAACCGCTTATTTTTAGAAACTGAATCAAATTTTGAAAAAATAAATAAATTTCCTACGACACTCCACATGCTTGTTGTTTATAATAAAAACAGTTCATCCTTTCTCTCTTTCTCTCTTCTCCCTCCACTCTTCACACACTATCTCTAGTCATTTTTTGCTTCTCGCGCTTTTAGAATATCTAGGCACAGGGGTTTTATTACTACCGAGAATTAATCACGTACAAAACATTTTATGTGACGACAAAAAACCTCCGCAAACAGCGCGTTACGTGGCCGACAAAAAAAACAATAACGTGTGGCCGGCCTCGCGAGATGTCGGTCGCTGCAAACACACATATAGCCCGACTTATTTCTTTTTATTTGTGTCTTTTGAGCCAAAGGGTTTTCAATTTTTTTTTTTTGAAATATGAAAATATAAGCTCCGACCACATATCTGTGCGGAAAAAGATGGGCAGAGCCAAATTGCTCGATTACAATTTTACATTGACTCGGTAGTGAAAAAACCCCTGTGCTAGGTTCTTATTGATTTTTATAAGTTTTTTCCTTGAAAAATAATTCAAATTTTTTTGCAGAAGCTGCTCAATCGTATTTGGAAAATTGGAGATGTCGAGGATATCAACAAGCAACATTGGAAGAGGATTTGGCGAGAAATTTGTGAGTTTTGAGGGGAAAACTAATTTTTTGGGGTGAAATTATACTTTTTTGATTAACACAATATTTATTTTCACAACCAAACATTTGGAATTAAAAAAAATTCAGATAGGGGTCGCTTTTTTGCCGCACAATATCATCGAAATTTCCACATCGCATCTGAAAATAGGTGAAATTCAATGAAACATTTCATAGACTAGCTTACCTTCTGAGCAAAGTCTGACCGTCAATTTCGTCGCCTTTTTTTGACATTAAAAAAATGCATTGCTCACATACATCGTCCCTACAAAGAGCATAGGGTTGATCGGTTTTCCAATTGTAACTTGTTGTGTTCAAATACATTTCATCATACCAACTATATGAGCGCGGAAATTGGCACTCTGGCTCTGGCACAACAGATAATTGTCCAGAGCAGTAATACGTACACATTCCATCAGTTAGAATGTATTGTGAAGTGGAACCATCGGAATAAGACCAAGCAGTTTCTTAAACAATTTGTTTTATTTTTTATGTTTTTTCAAATACCTTTAACCCAGTTTGTCATGTTCATATCTTCCAACGCGGAAAGTGTCGAATCCTTCGACTCGCAAAACTGATTGCTAGTTGTATTAGTAACATTAACTTTTTCTTCGATGTAAAACAATTTCACGCACCAAAATCCCAATGCTCTTTCAAATATCTTCCACTCTCCTTCACACTCCCACGGAACCTCATTTTTGACAACATTCCAATATCCTCCATCATTCTGATATTTCATTGTATAATCGTTGTAATAATAGTCGATAAACTCCGTTTTGGAGCATGTTGTGGAATTGGTTTTGAACGCAATTTTCTGATTTTCTGAACTTGTCAAGCTTTCCACCATTCCTTCTCCTTCACAATTATAACAGTCTGAACTTGTTATATGAGCCAGAATACAATTAACATTATCCTCGCAATAATCAATACAATCTTTGCCATTTTCTAACTCTTCGATTCGTGAACATCCAGAAAAGTCCACAGGTTTTCCCCAGACTATTATTATCATAGTTTCGTTAGTTGAAAATACGGTAGAAAAAAGGTGAAAGCAAAGTATGAAGACGAACATCTTTATGAGCTTTGCTGTGTACTAAACAAGCTCGGTTTTTATATTGAAAAATGTCGTAAATGGTTCGTAGTAATAAAATAGTGTTGTTAGAAAACGTTTTATTTTTAGTTTCTTCCCCTGGAAAAATACAAAAATATCATAAACAATGTTTTATTACGTTTCCGTGGATCACATTTTATGTCAAAGTACTGTATTCGCCAAAAATCACAAGTAGATATTTCACTCGTCAAAAACATGCTTCTCCACATGGAAACTGAATTCACCATCGAGTTCTGTTGACATATCAGCGAAATTCTGACCATCACAACTGAATAGAAATATATCGGCTTGATGAAAATCTTCACCGCATATCAGAGTTCTTGGAGCTTGGGATAGATATTGATATTGTTAACAAATTCTAGATTCGGAAGAAAAACACATTTTTATTTATGAATTCAGCATTTTGTGAAATGTTTCGAAAAAAAATCAACGTGACGTGAATCTGAAATGTTTTTCGTCTTATTTCTAATCATTTTGTCTTCTGAAAACCGTGAGAGTTTAGTTGCTCTGAAAATCAACTGTTTTATTTTTTCTGTGAGTTCCACAACTCTATAGCAAAAACCGCTTATTTTTAGAAACTGAATCAAATTTTGAAAAAATAAATAAATTTACAACGACACTCCACATGCCTTTTGTTTATAATAAAAAAAACAGTTCATCCTTTCTCTCTTTCTCTTCTCCCTCCACTCTTCACACACTATCTCTCGTCATTTTTTTCTTCTCGCGCATTTAGAATAGGTTCTTTTTGATTTTTATAAGTTGTTTCTTTCAAAAAATAATTCACCTTTTTTTTGCAGAAGCTGCTCAATCGTATTTGAAAAATTGGAGATGTCGAGGATGTGTAGATATATCAACAAACACGATTGAGAGAGGATTTGGCGAGAAATTTGTGAGTTTTGAGGGGAAAACTTATTTTTTAAGGGTGAAATTAGTAAGTATATTTGATTTCGGAGGGAGGGGGTTAACTTGTGGTGGAATTTTAGAGGTAGGGGGCTCAACTTCTGAAAATTTAAGGGTATTTTATGGTTTTTGTGATAAAAATCAGCGAAAAATGGGTAACGGGGGGGGGTTAACTCGAGAGTCCACGGAGCGACGACTGACTGACCATCTCGGCAACGTCTGACCGTCAACAACATTTCATTTTGTTTTCTATGTTTTTGGTTTTGTTTTTATACTTATGTACTTTTAAGCAACATATTTTGAAACAATTGAAGTACTTTATTCCTCCCAAAAATCACAAAATCTCATTTGCCAAATCCAAAATCCCCATATTCTCTGTAATATTTTTCAAAACCACCACACTCTTCTCATTGTCAGCAGTGCTATTACAATTATGAACAATCTTCATGTAGATATTCCACTCATCAAAAACATGCTTCTCCATATGGAAACTGAATTCACCATCGAGTTCTGTTGACATATCAGCTAAATTCTGACCATCACAACTGAATAGAAATATATTGGCTTGATGAGAATCTTCACCGCATTTCAGAGTTCCTCGGATTGTCAGGGATCCTGAATTGGAGCTTAGAATCGAAATTGATCTGTCGTATTCATCTTGAGTTATATGATCTTTGGCCAAATTAGTGAGGTATGCTCCATAAAGCGCGGCTCAAAATGCATTTTTTAAGAGTAGTATCAGTAAAAAAAACTCACTGTAAATCTTCGTATTCAGATCACATAGTTCTATCTTACTACCCATGGTATTATTCTTGGTCCCAAGTTCTATTGAAAACTCAATCGTACTTCTATTCTCATAGAGTTCTTGAAGATATGAATCCTGATTTATGAAATCACAACGAAGTTTTGTGTCTTGCAAAGATCTTATAATATTCTCAAAGTCGAGTTTGAGATTTTTGAAAAGTGGTTTTAGACAGATTTCACTTTCGGAGCCCCATTTGCCTGGTAGAACTGAAGAGATTTGAATCAGTAATGTAAATACTGTTTTGACAAAGAGAAACATTTTTATTGATAACAAGTCAATTGTTCAAACTTTTTGTCGAAAAGAATAATGTGTCTGTGAGTCTGTGTGAAAATTTGCATATTTTTGTAAATAATAATACTGATTACGTAGCAAGAAGAAGTATGATCTAATTTTCCATAATCCGATCCGCTAGAGAGTAAAATGGAAATTTGCGAAAAAAAACGAAAAATTGTAGAACTGTTCATTTTCTAAGAAAGAATCAATGTTTTTAACCGAATTTATTTATAAGCTACACTTTAGCCAGCATTCCGCAAACGGCTCCTAAATAAAACCCAGTTTTGTCATCTTCAGTAGTTGACAAAAAGTCATTATTAGCGTTAACAACACAATACATATAATATCTTCCATACGCGATTTCGGGGTTTGTTGGTATTCCATTCCACCAATTGAAACCTTCCGATCCATACGTATAGCCATCAGTCCAATAAAATGAATTTTGAGCCGTGCAGGTTGATGTTACACCTACAACTGCTTCACAAGCTTCCCTCCTTTTTGCACCAACCATAAGCCATATTATTGTTGGATATTCTGAAAGTGCCACATTCATCATTTTGGAAATTTCAGAGACGTTTTGGAATCCTGACAGGACAGCTGAGGAATCTAGAGACGCACAAGATGCATCAGCACTATCTACATATACTGTTCCAAAATAAACTTTCATGCACCAAGAATAATTTCCACGATCAAAAAGTGTCCAAGTTGAATCGGGGCACGGTGGAGGTGGTGTGGTTGTCGTGGTGGAAGTGGTCGTGGTACTAGATGTAGAAGTTGTCGTTGTCGTTAATATTGAAGTGCTCGGCGAATCTGAATAAAAAAAAAATCATTCACCACAAATAAAAAAAACAACTCACATTCAATTTGCTGTGTTGGTATGCACATTTCCACTTGATTCTTCATTGTGAAAAATAAAAATAACAACAAAATAAAATATTTTAAGATCATGGGTAGAATAGAACGATTTTCAGAGATAGAATGACCAGTGCGTTCCAGCGATAGCTGATTAAGAAAAAAGGAAACCCGCTTATTTTTCAGGTGGTCATTAATCATAATTTTCGCAGGAGAAGTTTCCGATTTCTAGAAGTGTTTCTTGTAGTTTGTTTCGTTAGAAGATAACATTATCAAGTTTTTCGAGGGTATACATATATTAATATATTTTATTCTATGAATAAATTAATAAAATCAACCAAAATAGGCTTCCATTCCACACAAAACTCCAGCCTGACTATCCTGTCCAGGTCGATCATCCAATTTCCCATTCGGCGCCACAATCACCAAATTATTCTCAATCAACACATAATTATTGGGACTTCCAGTTTCCCAAACAAATCCAGCCGTTCCAGATGTGTATCCATCTGTCCAATAAAACGAGTTTGCTGCTGTACAAGTTGCGGTAACTAATTGTCCAATACAAGCAGCTCTTCGATAAGCTCCCAAAATTATTGATCGAGGATAGTTACCCGTTTGAGCTGCGATTGCCATTATGACTGAAATTTCAGCAGGGTTTTGGAAGCCTGTTGGAACTGCTGCTGAGTTCAAAGTCTTGCATTTTGCAGCAGCTGCTGAGGTTAAAGTTTGGCTCCAGTAAAGATTCATACACCATTTATAAGTTCCACGATCGAATAAGGTCCAGCCTGGTAAGCAGTAGAATTTTGGAGCTGGGGTTGTGGTTGTGGTAGTGGTTGTAGTGGTTGTTGTAGTTGTGGTAGTGGTGGTAGATGTGCTCGATGTTGTTGAGCTTGTGCTCGGCGAACTCATTGGCAAAGTGGTCAGCGCCGTCATAAAGGTTTCACTCGAGCTCGTGCTGAGAGAAACCATTTCGGTTGTCGGGTTAAAAGTAGTAGACGTGGATATTGGTGCTGGTGTACCGATTGGAAGGTCTTTTAGGTCTGAAGAGATGAAGCTAACTTGAGAGTTGTGAGATTAACATGAGCAATAAGGTCTATTCAAAATTTTTATGGTTAAATTTAAGAGTTCAAGTTTTGATAAGAGACCAAAATTAATTACAGAGTTAAAAATATTTGACTTTTTTTTCTTAGGCAACTGAAAACAGATTTTTGGGCGATGTACGAAGTATAATTTATAGAAATCTACAGGAATATTTTTTTAAAAATCTCCATTCCAAGACTCAATCCCAGAACCTCCCCAAGTTAGACTAACCTTCAACATGTACAGTTGGAAAACACATTTCAACTTTATTCATAAAAATCAGAAAAATACAACCAATTATGATCAAGAACATGTTGCAATTGAATATTCAGAAATCGCAACATTTATTCGAATAAAACTGAAAAGTGAAATACTCGATTTTACGTGATTTTTGGGTGCCCAAAATAATTAAATAATGAGATTACCCATAGTTTCTGGGAAAAAATCAAATTAACATAGAATTTTTGTGTGTTATCCGATCATCGAACGCATTTTCAAACTATAAATTTGCGGGTGATTGATAAGGAATCCAACAGATGATAGATGGAAAAATAATTGAGAAGATATTGCGAATTTGATTAGCTTATGGGGATTCATGTGTTTAGCAAGGATCTCATAAATATATCTTAAATTAACTATTTTGAGCTGAATTTTGATAGGAATAGTGTATAAACACAATGCGCTAAACTTTTTTTGAAAATACGTGCACGTCAATTAAAATGTGTGCTGTGCACGAACACACACGACGCAAAGCTACACACCACTTTTCGAGATCGTTTTAGTGACCTCTTTTAAGATTGGACAGTTTTATTGACAGAAATAATTTGATGAAAAAATAGAATTGATTGTGAGTTGATTATGTTCTGTGTCATTTAGCTAACATTCCGCAAAATACGTTTTTTGGACCAATACCAAAAACAGCAAGAATGGCCTGTTTATAAAGAGTATCAACAAGAACATTTCGACAAATATATGTTGGATAAGTATTGTTTGGTACTCCTCCTACCCAAGCAAAACCATCAGTTCCATAAAATGAATTTTGAGCCGAGCATGTTGCTGTGAGATAATTCAAATCATCACATTCTGGTCTACGAAATGCGCCAACAGCAATCTGATATTGTCCAGGCACTTCTGAAAGTGTCACTACTGTCATTTTTGCGATTTCAGCAACGTTTTGGAATCCGGAAGCGACAGCTGATGGGTCTAACGTTGCACAAGCTGCATTCATAGATGTGATATCATTAAACACTGAATCGCGATTAATTTTCATACACCATGAGCAATTTCCACGATCAAAAAGAGTCCAAGTTGAATCTGGACATGCTGGAGGTGGTTTAGTCGTTGTAGTTGAGGTTGTCGTGGTTGTCGTGGTTGTCGAATTTGTTGTTGTTGTTGTGATAGGCTCCACTGGAAGATTTTCGAGAATTTCAATCCGAAATCCAAGTTACACTAACCTTCAATTTGTTGTGTTGGAATGCACATAGTCACAATCTGAATCATTGTAAGAAATAACAGAAAAATATATAAATATTTGGAAATCATAGGAATACGTGTAAAACAATTTTCAGATATGAAACGACCGATGTGTTTCAGCTATTTTATAACTGATGAAGAGAATGAAACTTGATTATTATTTTTTTCCGATAGATATTAATCATTTTTATGCACGGATTTTTTGAAGTTTGTTTTGTTCAACTATTAGATAAAAAGAATATTATCAAGTTTTTTGAGTATAGCATGTAATTGTATCACTTTGAGGAACGAAGCGGGATAAAGAAATATTTTCTACACAAGGTGTGAGACTTTATCATAAGTTCTTTTCATATAAAAAAAACTAGGCTCTATTGAATCTCTAACATTTTTTCGGGCTTATAGGCTTTAGACGGCTAGATTTCGGAAAACCAAGACCATCCACAAAGCTTTTGACTTCAAATTCCTTAATTTTGGTCGTTATTACTTTTTCAAATAATATTCCAAATCTACATGTAGTATGATCATGAGAACAGAGGATCGCTAAATTTCATCTGAAAAAACAGGATTTTCCGCAAGTTCAGTATCATTCATTCATATCAGATATGAATCTTTCTTATTACGTAACAACTCAAAAAAAACAAATTATCAGATTTTCCTTTATTCACACAGCTTCCATTCCACAAACCACTCCATATTCATAAGTAGCCGCATAAAATGGTCGTAATTGTGAATTAAGTGTAAGAATCAAATTAGTTGGAATCGGACCAGTTGATGAATATGGATACGAAAGATCTAATACAAGTCCAGCAGTTCCAGTTGTATGTTTATCAGTCCATTCGAAGTTAACACCATCTGCCGCATAAGCGCCAACCAACCAAAATCCATAGGTTGTGGTTTTTAAAATCTCGCCAACTATGGTGGCGATTTCAGCAGTGTTTTGGAAACCTGGAATTTTAGGATAGCTCAAAATGTTTAATTTTTCAAACCTGATGGAACTGCCGCCGCATTCAATTTAAGACAATCGGCATCCATTGTATAACCATTCGACGACGCCGAATAATACACTTTCATACACCAAAAATAAGTTCCCCTGTCGAATTTTGTCCAAGTTGAGTCTGGACAAACTGGGATTGGTGTGGTTGTTGATGTTGTAGATGTTGTGGTGGTGGTCGTTGTAACTGAAATGGTAGAAACTGAAGTCGTGGTTATCACTGAAATTTGGGATATGACAAAATCAATGGAACTCTTGGTCTCCAGACATAAGCCCCACAGCTCAAATTCAAAACACTCACCATCTTCAATATGTTGTGTTGGGACACAGGTCAACCCGAATTCAAATTCAAAAACAAAAATGAATAAAATCAAAAATCCGCCAAACATCCGAAATTATTGCAATGAACACCTAGTCTTCATTTATAAAAGAAACACCTTACGATCATTTTCAGTTTTTTGGAATAAACGGTGTCTGCTTTTGACTTTGATAAGCCGTCGCAAAAAAACATCGTATCATTCATTTTGTCTTATTGATCAGGAACGAATGTATATTTTTGCCACGTCATAGTAACTTGTAAGTTCAGTTCTGTGCATACAGTGTTCCTTGACTCCACCCTCAAAACTATCCTTATTGGTCAGATTTCCCGCTGTACTTTTCCTATCTCTCCTAATCGTATGTAGATCAAAATATCAGAAATCAGGTTTTGTATCGAACTTGATTATCACTTGGCGTAATAAAGATACAAATATCAAGATACAAATAATTTATTTATTAATAATACTGTGCTAACATTCCACAAACAGTTCCCGGATAAATCACATCGCCATAAGTATCATCCATCCCATAAGTCATCACTGACACTCCCAAATACATCTGCCTAATAGTTCCACCTGTCCCAGCGTTGTCCGGTTGTCCCGCACGCCAATTGAAGCCATCAGTGCCCGTCGTGTACCCATCGGTCCAATAGAAAGCGACCAACGGTGGACAGGTTAAGCTGGTGTAGAACTCATCGGTACATTCGGGACGACGCATCGCACCGACCACCATGAAATTTGTGGCTGGGTTTGCTGTTGGGTCGGCTTCTAGGGCGGCCTGCATCATTGTTGAGAGCTCCGCGTAATTTTGATAGCCTGTGACGACGGCGGATGCGTCCAGAGTTTGACATTGGGTGAGAGCGTCTTGAACTTCAAAGCTGCCTAGATACACCTTCATACACCAAGAGTAGGTTCCTCGGTCGAACATTGTCCACGTTGAGTCAAGGCAGGATAGGATTGTTGTGGTTGTTGTGGTGGATGTTGTAGTAGTAACTTCCACTGAAACCAAAATTTGATAATTATCTAGAACACTTAATTGTCCAATATGTTTTATTAGGAAAAAAAATTCACCAAAAGTCTCCAAATTCTGAGTTGGTATACAAAAATCAGCTAATCTTAATAAGCTAACCAATACATGTACAACTACTAGCAAGACCATATGACTGATAAAAATCTTGACAAAAAACCAGGATTAGATACTTCCTTGTTGTCTCGTCCAAGAGAAACCGGTTGATGAGATGTGATTTTTGAAAAAAAAAACATTGTTTAGTCGTGGGGTGTTCAACTTAAAACCTACGAAATAAAACAAGAAAATGCGCTCTAACGCACAACTCGTTTATTGAATTTTTCGCGCCTTTTTGCAGACGATTTTTTGACTAGGAGAACACAAACCCTTTATTGTCGAAGTTGAAAAACGTGGCAGCCGTGAAAAATAAAAACCAGTGCAGAGCTGAATGACTTTCGTCGGTCGCGTGCGGCTGTGCGTCGCGGTAGGGAAGCAAAGGAAACAATGGATTATTGATTGTTTCTAGACCGCGACGCACAGCCGCACGCGACTGACGAAGTTGAGTTGTTTTCATTTTTACGGCGGCCACATTTTTCAATTTCGACAATAAAAGGAATTTGGATTAAACGTGGTTTTAACTGTTAAAGTTCTAAACTTGTTTACAAAGAAATTCTGAGAAAATATTCATACACATCACCACAAAAATTAATTTTATTTCACACATAGACCAGGTTCATCATTCTTGGTCTCACTACATTTTTCATCACACGTTGTGCAAGTTCCTCCATAAGTGTAAACTTTTTTGTTGTGCTCAAAAAACCAGTCACCATATCGACAAACGAAGCTCGCATAATTCCTCGCACCATCTTCAGATTTCCATTGATAAAGTCCGCATCCGACTTTCTCCGTATCCGCCCAAATCATTTGCAGACCATTTCCCATTTCTCGATAGTGTCTGTCATTGAGCTTCTCGTCCAAATTCCAACTCTTCTCCATGATTTCAGTCAACCAAGACGTCATTGCTGAGTTTGCAAGGCGCTCAGGGTTAGAATCATCATTGCCTTCTTCATAATATATATTTTCACCGCTCATCCAACGTTTTTCACTGGCTCTTGCTTTAGCGTATTGCTCGGCGGCCCACGCAAGTTCACTATCCCATGTCTGAAAAATATTGTACATACATAGATAGGATCTCAGAAGTTACTCACTAGTTTGTTCATATTGGAAGCTGGGCGTAACGCGCATTTTCTGTTGGTTGAAACTGCGTTCCCATTCGCAATTTTACTTCGCTCTTTGTTATGACGTGATAAAATGAGATTGGCAAGAGTTGAGTCTTTCGGAATGCTTTCCGATTCACCAACACAAAGCCCCGATTCTTTATCGCATTTCGAATCGATCGGACACGCTGAACACGCTTCTCCCACCTTGTAAATCTCATTTTTGCCTTCAGAAATTGCCGAAGTTGCCATATCTCCGTCATACATACAAACAAGAACACCATGCATGTCTTTTTCATGAAACGCACATCCGACACTTCCGGTCGTGGCTCGAATTATTTGCAAGCCGTTGCGAATTTTTTTGAAATCCTCGCATAGAATTGCATTTGGTGACCAGGCTATTGTACTCAATTCAGCTTCCCATTCTTTCATGGCGTTTTGAGCGTCTCTGTGTGGTTTATCTGAAAACTTGGGCAGTGGGAATCCAGAATCTCGTGAGGTCCTTACCATAATGAACAGTTTTGTACTGTACTTGATACAGGTTTTCACCGTGGAAGTTTCGCGGTTCTTTCGGGTGATTCTTATTAACATAATTTTGTGCTTTCTCTGCCAATTTAGGATCCCACACCAGTTTTCGCATATTAGAAGAGGGTTGGGCATATTTACCACCGTGGATTTTTTGTTCACCTCTAGCCACACTACTTCTGATAATGTTGTGGGTATCGAGAAGGTGTTTTGCGGCGGCATGATGGACGGATATTGCGAAGATTGAAGGTGAAAGGATAATTGAGATGAAAAGGAATGGTATCATTGTTGATGTTGAATGAGACTTGGTTATTTTTTTGAAAGCCGAAGAAATGTTTGATAGTTAGTCTAGACACATTGACTATGAGAACAATCGAAAGATTTTTGTATGAGAAAATATTTGATTGATTTTTTTAATGGCTCGGCAAGATTTTCTTTGAAAATTAGTGACTGAATTCGCTGAAAATCCTAAAATTTATGATTTGATATACAAAGTCGGCTAATTTCCTAACAAATTTAATTAGCATGACGGACAAGAATCTTGACAAAAAATATCCAGAGAAAACTTTAGCTTTTTTAAAGAAGAATTAAGGTCAACAAGCTTCGAAAAATTATGGCTTCAGATTAACGATTTCAAAGAAATACCGTGATTCAGATCCTGAAGGCCTGAAACCATTCTATGTATAATTAGTCTCCTATTCAGACGTTATATTTTATTCTAATGTGTTCTCAGAACTTATCTTTTATCATTCTTCTGCAAATATATGTTTCTGACCGTTTCCTTGTATTATATAGATTTATAAAGTTTATCAAAAAATCTGATGTTACCATTTACGTATTAGTCAGAGTACAACCACTGCAGCTGGGAAGTATAAGAACGGTTGATTAACGGTTGATAAAAACTGCTTTTAATCAACGGAGTACCAACGCTTAACCCACTGTTAATGAACCGCGGATTAACAAATTTTTAAATTTTGAAAATTACCCAAATCGATGAAAATAGGTTCCCGGCTACTTTTTTGGGTGTTAAGTATTTTCAAAAATTTTGAAAATTTTCATGATTTAATCCACGGTTAATCAACGGGGATCAACCGTGGATCAAATATTGGTACTTCGTTGATTAAATTTCATTAAAGTTGGTTTATAAACCGTTAATCAACCGTTCTTAAACCTCCCAGCTGCTGTGACGTCAAATGAAGAGGCTACATACAACAAATTGCAAAATTGTTACGCAATCCGATTTATTACGGAAACAGCAACCAAAACACAGTTCACGTTCCAGAAAAAACTATGATTTAGATTAATAGCACTGATACCACAAAATGTAACACAAAATCGGGTTCTTATCGTGTTGATTTTCGTGCTGAAAATCATATTTACTATGTTTGTATCGATGTTCTGTGTTATTATATTTTTTGTGAATTATCAAATAGTGGAGAGTTGTATACCAACGCAGATTCTTGAAGGTTGGTTGAACATTTTTTCACAAATTATTTATTGTCTATTTAGTCCCGATAGAATTTCCAACCACGACCACAAGTTCAACGACGTCAACAACCACAACCACCACTAGCACCACAACTCCTGAACCAATTTATACATGTCCAACTGATTGGACAAAATTCGACAGAGGAACCTATTATTGGTGTATGTACATCTACATCGGTCCAGTGCAAACATCAAATGGCCCAGCCATATGTCAATCATTGGATTCATCCGCAGTTCCAACAGGTTTTCAAAATGCTAATGAGATGTCGGCGATGGCAGCAGTTGTGGCAAGTCGAACCAGTGACTTCACATTCATGCTCCTGGGAGCGTCTAGAACTGCTGTATGTGTTGGCCAAATTTTGACCGCTACTTGTACCTATAAAACATCGTTCTATTGGACAGATCAACATACAACGGGAACAGATCAATTCATTTGGGATCTAGGTAATGGAAGTCCGGAAAATACTGGGTTGATTGAAAATTGGGCTATTTGGAAGCCGGTGTTTGGAATGATGGATGATCAGCCGGCTTATACATGGCAAAGTGGAGTTTTGTGTGGGGTGGAAGCGACTGTTAGTTAGCGACTGTCAACCAGGAGCCTTGTCTAAACTGTGTTTATGATCAGACATGTCGTTTTTGCTGAATTCGGGCCCCTAAAGCCCGCTCAATTTATCACGGGCCCGGCTGGCCCGGCCTTATGAAAGTTTAAAAGCGGCCGGGTTGGCCTCGCCCAAACAATATTTTTGAATGGCCAATTTCAGAATTTTTTTTTGATGTTTTCGATGTTGGATTGTATTTCTATGAGTGAAAAATCAAATTAGAATGTGATATTTTGCTTATAAAAATAGTAATAAGTAACAAATCGAAAAATGAAATGAAAAAATTTTAAAATTCAAGTGAATTCTCTTCCACACACATATTATTTTACTATTTTTTCTTTTTACAATGTTTGAAATTCCTTTTTGACCACGAAAAACTCATTTTTTCAATGAAAAAAAAATCGAAGAAAAATTAAGCGGGCCCCAAAATCGGGCCAGCGAAAGCCGCACATGTTAAAATCGGGCTTCGGCTGAAAAAAGCCCGATTTTTTGTGTTTACTTCGGGCTGAGCCCGGCCGGCCCGGCCTGCAGCGACATGTCTGTTTATGATAATGTTTTTCTCGAAATGAAATATTGATCTATGACTTGGCAATCTAGACTGAAACGACTCTCTAAACAATGATTTTTTGATTAATCTTTTAAACTTTTTTATTTTCTATCAGATCAATGTTTTATCATTACGCAATTCGATTTTCACAGAAAAGCCACCCATCACTGGTCAAAAAAACTATGATTTAGATTAATGTATCACTATCACAACATGTGTATGACACAAGCGAGTTCTTATCGTGCTGAAAATCATATGTATTTACTATGATCTTGGTACATATTTGTCAAAACTTTAAGATTAATGAATTATGTTTATCAATCATTTCTCAAAAAATACTGTTTGTGAGCTATGAAAAGGGGTTCTTCGTTGTTTTTTGAAAACAAGATTCTATCGATTCAAAGTTCATCTCTGTTTTGTGAAGTTTGATTCCAAAATATTGTCCTTTTATATTTCTTTCTTCTGAAAATGTGTCACATTCAATAATAGGAAATACAATTGAAGAGGTCAAATAATTTGTTATCCAAATCTTTGTGAAATATAAGTCACATCCATCAGAACACACCAGAATTCTATCCCTTGGTTTTTTTACGTTGTCAGTTCAAACTAATTTCTTTGCAACATTTACAGAAAAAAAACGTTCGTTCGATTTCTGTGCAAAAAACTAAGCGCATATAAATGATTTTAATTGAAATAAATCGGTCAAAATTGTTCTGCGATATCTTTTATGTCGAAACATTTACGTATTTTGTATTTATTTCTTATGGTTCTTATGAATAATCGAATTGATATGTGTATACCAACACAGATTATTGAAGGTTTGTGGGTTTAACGTGATTGGAAAGAACATGAATATGATTTATTGAAGTGGAGCCAATAACGTCTACAAAGTTTTCAATATCCACAACATCTAGCAGCACAACTACTTCTACAACCACAACAACCACACCTATCCCACCATGTCCTGATTCAACCTGGACACAATTTGATCGTGGAACTTATTACTGGTGTATGAAAGTGTTATTTCAAAAATTGGAATTGGCAGCTCAGCAAACATCGTGCTCCATATTGAATTCGAAAGCAGTTGCTACAGGATTTCAATCAGTCGACGAGATCAACACAATGATGACAGTCGCCTTGAGTGAAGATAGCAGTTTTGACACTCTAGGAATTGGAGCAAAGCGTGTAGATGGATGTATGATTTATGGTCTCTCTGCCACGTGTACACAATTAACATCTTTCGAGTGGACTGATGGCTATACAACTGGAACTGATGGCTTCAATTGGGCTGAGAATCAACCGGATCACGCTGGTCAAACTTGGATGTGCATTTATCCGAATGGGGATATGGACAACGATTGGCCGACGACTGTTAATAGTGGTGTGATTTGTGGAATGTTGGCTGGAAATTGATGTGAAATTTTAGATGTTGTGTAAATATTATTAGTTATCTGATGAAGATGTGAAATCGGGTCATTCTTCTTATCAAATAAAAATATACTTTCTCGAAGAAAGATGTCTCACTTTTTTATTTGAAGGGGAAATAAGTTTAGCTCACGATTTAGTTTATCTTGAAATCTAGACAAGTATTGCTGTAACGAAACTCCAGAAAGCAACTTTTATAAAAAAATTAATAAAACCTTGTTTTCCTTCCGTTTAAACATTTGTTTTCTATAAGGTAACACAACGATGTTTCATTCTGGAACAGAGATCAGATGTCTCATTTCGAAACAAATTATTCTTATCAATCATTTCTCTTTCTTTTCCGCAAAAAAAATGTGTTCATCACATGATTGAACAAATAAAAGAGAGAATAAAAGATTAGTGATCAAATAGATCATCTAGCTAGCATTCCACAAACAGCTCCTGGAAAATATTCATCATCAAAAGTATCATCCAAGTATCCATCAGTATTCACCAAACAATACATTTGATATTTTCCATACGGTGCTAAACCATTTTCCGGTTGTCCAGGTCGCCAATTAAAACCATCAGTTCCAGAGGTATGTCCATCCGTCCAAGCAAATGAGTTCTGATAAGTGCAAGTTGCATCAACATCCACAACTGCTTCACAAGCCATAGTTCTATAAGCACCGATGAAAAGATAATATGAGCCGGGAACTTCAGAACTCGCTACACTCATCATTTTTGAGATTTCCGATGTGTCTTGAAATCCCGATGGTACAGCTGAAGAGTCCAGAGAGGCACAGGAAGCTGCAGCTTGTGGTCCAAGAATTGAGCCACGATAGATTTTCATACACCAAAAATAGGTTCCTCGATCGAAAAGTGTCCAAGTTGAGTCGAGACAGATTGGGGCTGGTGTGGTTGTGGTTGATGTGGTCGAAGTTGTTAAAAATAATGGTTCTATAATAGAAATCTTTGGGAAAATTGATGAAAAGCTAACCACTAACCTTCAATAGCCTGTGTTGGTACACACAAATCCAGAGGCTTTAGGAAGAAAAATAATACTGAAAAGTAGGAAATAAGTGAGATCATCGGAGGAAACTAGAAGAGATTATATAAGTTATAAATGTGTTATCGGTGATAAACTTGTTTCTCAAACAAATACTGGCTAAGTAAGGAGACAGGAAGTATAAGTCATCAAAAAACATCAGAGCTGTCCTAACTTGCAAAAAACTGTGCGATACTTGCATTCAAGCCACGCCCCCTTTTCGGTGAATGATTTTTTCATGACGCGTTCTCAGAAAGAGTTCGCTTGCTCGCTTGCAACATTGCTCATTTTATGGTCAAAAAACAAAGGTAGTTTTTTGCGTAACTTCACATCCCCCAAATGTTGATTTTCCAGTTTTTTCCCAATTTTTTTTTCACCAACCTTCTTCCATATCTCTTTTTCGTTCTTTCTACCTTGGTATATTTTTCATGATTTTTTTCATTTTTCTATTATTATTTTTCAATTTTCTGGAAATTTCTGAATCTTGCATTCCAACTCAAAATGCGGAAGACGAAAGCGGTAACCAATGAATTCAGGATTGTTTCCTTAAAACTATAAGTAATTTCAGAGATCATCACAACATCTACAAAACCAGCTGAGAGTTCTACAGGTAAGTTTTTTTTTTATTTGAAAAAAACTGAAAAAAAAATTGCCTCGACGCGGGATCGAACCCATGACCTAAAATTTCAAAGACGAGCATGCTAACCACTCGACCACGCGCTCATGTTTTTCTTGACGCGCAAATGTTTGACATATGAAACGAGGAAAAATTGTGCAATTTCGATGACACCACACCTTATGCACTTCCCTTAAAAGTCCAATTTAACAGTGACGTAAGACAAGGAAGTATTTTTGGATCAAGTTTTTGCTGGTATCAATCTATCCAACGAACCGAAACACGATTTTGTAGATAACAAGATTCATGAAAAATTTGTACATCCGCTCAGGCGTAGGCTTCACTAAGCTAGGTTTAGGCTTATCCAAGCTAGACCACTGCAAGAATGATCAAGAACAAAAAAACTCGATTTTTTCATTATCGCCTCAAATAAATGAGAAAAACCGGATGAGAAACTTCCTTGTCTATAGTCTGAACTAGTATTTTGATCTTAGCATTCAGGGAAAATGGGCGTGGTCTAAATGCAATTGCCGCACACTTTTTTCTCCTGCTTTTCGAACTCAAGAATTTAAAAAAGTTTAAACGAAACAAAGATCGTAACATTGAGGATTTTAATGATGATTTCGGAGATGTCTTATCACAAAATTTCCCAATCTCATTCAATATGTATTGCGGCATGAAAAAAACACGTTTTCGTTGGGCGTCTAGGTTTGCCGGCCGGGTACAAATTATACATATTCAATTCATTTTCGCATACATGAATGATCTCACCGATTTTTTATTTTTTGCTATTATTTTCTATGAATCTGCAGGTGGTCGAGATGTGTATACCGACACAGACTGCTGAAGGTTTGTGTTCAATTCTCAGATTTTTCATGTTATTTTTGAGTTTAATATGAGCAATTTGTAGATATAGTTTGATGTGAGTAATCTATAGATCATGATGAACATCAGTAAGATATGAGCAATCTAAAAATTTCAGACGTAGCAACCACATCAACCCCGAGTACAAGTACGACCACCACCACAACTACCACCACCACGACCACAACCACAACCACAACCACACCAGCCCCAATCTGTCTTGACTCAACATGGACACTTTTCGACCGAGGAACCTATTTCTGGTGTATGAAAATCTATCGTGGCTCAATTCTTGGATCACAAGCTGCAGCGGGATGCGCTACTTTGGACGCTTCAGCTGTTCCTACGGGATTTCAAAACACAGCTGAAATCTCAACAATAATGGGTGTAGCGGCCGCTGAAGTTCCCGGCTGGTATTATCTTTTCATCGGTGCTTATAGAACTATGGCTTGTGAAGCAGTTGTGGATGTTGATGCAACTTGCACTTATCTCAACTCGTTTACCTGGACAGATCCGTATACTTCTGGAACTGATGGTTTTAATTGGCGACCTGGGCAACCGGAAAATGGTTTAGCACCGTATGGAAAATATCAAATGTATTGTTTGGTTAATACTGATGGATACTTGGATGATACTTTTTATGATGAATATTTTCCGGGAGCTGTTTGTGGAATGCTAGCCACTTAGTGATTAATTGAAAATAATAATAAATGTTTGTACATAAAGTTACGAAATAATACGATTTTTTTTGCTTGTTTGTGGAAACACTATGTAATAAACAGGGAGATGAAAATGGGAGAGATATTTGATAAGATCTAGCTTGGGAATGAGATCGATGATCATTTTTCAGAGAAAATACAAAGAGGGGGGGGGGGTTGATAAGGGTCTAGATTAGCAATCATTCAAACAAACTATGAAAGGCTACATTGTAGTTTGCTGTGTACAGAGATCACAGGTTTAAGTTAACTTTAAAGATATGAAAAATGTTCTCTGAATGAACCAGATGTTTGATTTTCTCATCTTTTTTCTCCCAAGAAAAAATTGACCAATTAGAGATCTGAAGGGTGCTGAATTTCTACTTACTGTCTCTACGATTTCTGATGGGCGTAGCTATCCAATCAAATGTTTTCATTTAGAAGAACTATGTGATGATCAAAAGGGCGTGATATTATAAGACATCAATAATCATAATTTTTCAAGTTTTTGTGTTATTTTTATGATGTCTGATCTTACATTCGGATACAATTTTTTGCAAAAAAAAAATCACAATGCTTATCATTCCAAATCGGGTTTTCTAGTCTTATCATTTAAGTTTTTCGCTAGAAAAAATTCGTCATTTTTTTTGTTGATATTTTCGAAATCCAGATTTTTCATTACAACTTTTTTGGAACGACACTCCACTCTCCTTACACTGCATGAAGTTTAGCAAGTTATGAACCCAATTCACTTATTTTCGTGTTATTTTGTGAAAGGTTGTTTTTTGTGAGTTTTTGCAGATTTTTAATTTTTTCAGCTCTAACTTCAGGTGAGAGAGTGAGAGACGATGAGCAAAAAATATTTCAAAATAATTTTCAGCATCATCTTTGGCCACTAGCACAAGTTAGAGAGGAAATCAAAATTCTAGAAACTTAAGTCTAATCCCAAAACCACCTTATCTATCCAAAACACATGCAATCAAAAAACCTTATAATCTGATCAAACAAGATTCTTTTTTGTTTGTCAAAACAAGAAGAACTGATGGGTGATAATCGAGTTTCCGCCGCAAGCAGAAAATTTATGTATTTTCGAAGAATTGTTTTTCACAGTCTAGGCGACCAAACAATAGATAATGGCAGTCGGATTTATGATATTTTGTTTCATTTTAATATTTTTCGATGGTGGAAAATTGACGTTGGCTTGTATTCCGACACAACAAATTGAGACGAGTGAGTTTTTTTTTGTTAAAAAAGTTAGAATCGAGTTGCGCCTCCCGGTTCAAGATTAAAGGGGGGGGGGTGAGACGACAAAATTTTATTTGCTCAATGAATCGGGCTCCCTTTGAATAGTAAAAGCCCCAGGGGATTTTTTCTCGAAGGGCCTAAAAAGGTCCGAAAAAAAATATTCCATGAACTTTTTTCAACGTTGTCCGAAAGTTTATGGAATAAATTCATACGTGGTATTGTCCGTTTGGAAATGAGATTCACCCCGCGAAAAAATAAATTTGAATTTGCTGCAGGAGACGCAGACAGCGAGAGAGTGCGCTGGCAAACAGCCAACGGGAGTTTTGTATGGGAAAGCGACCGCAACGCACACGCATCGCGGGGGTAGGGGGAAATTATAGATTTTCTCAAATTCAAATTTATTTTTTCGCGCGGTGAATCTCATTTCCAAACGGACAATACCTAGTTTATGAACATTTTTTCTGAGCGTTGAGAGAAAAAATCCCTTGGAGGTTTTACTACTTTTGGGGAGCCTTTAACTTTGCGACAAAAAATTTTGTCGTCTTACCCCCCCCCCCCTTTAAATGATAAGTTAATTATATAACTCATCGAATTCAGAGAATTCAGAGAATTCACTGTAAAACAACGAAAACCTAGAAAACACAAAAAACGCAAACTGAATTATTTCGAAATGCCCGCGAAAGGCGCGCACACACAAATATGTCAACTTTTTACAGCATGGCGCTTTTGTGGTGCATGAACATCTTCTTGAGGATGACTATTGTCTTTTAAAAATCTTGATTTTTCAGCTACATCGACCACATCTACTACATCTACTACATCTACTACATCTACGACAACAACTACACCAATCCCAGAGTGCCCTGACTCAACTTGGACGAAATTCGATAGAGGAACCTATTTTTGGTGTATGACGATTCATTTCGATGATTTTGATGGCTCGCAAGCTGACGCAGCATGCCAAACCCTGAATTCTGCTGCTCTCGCGTCCGGCTTCTTCAACGCCGCCGAAATCTCAACAATGATGGATGTCGCCTATTCGCAAAGCACCGGTGACAATCAATTCTACATCGGCGCCAAAAGAACCGCCACTTGCGCAAACGCGCTAACCCTTGACGCAACGTGTTCCGCACTGACGTCTTTTGAATGGACTGACGGGCATACCCTGGGTACAGATGGTTTTCAGTGGGTTGCCGGACAACCGGATAATGGGGCGATGGGGTATGTCAGAGAGGATTCGGTGGTCGTTTTTACGCTCGGCAAAAACCTTGATGATATTGATACGACGGAAGTTATGCAGGGAGCGGTTTGTGGAATGTTAGCTACTTGAAAGTTGTGCACCTTAAATTTTGAATTTTAAACTGGTTTTTTAATGAATGTAAATAAAGTTGATGAAGAATGTTATGTGAAAAAATATTGATTTTTTCAAACGACACTCCGCACGCTATTGCCTGCAATTTAGCAGGAAATTTTTTGTGGTTTTTCTCTAGACCGTAATCATTTCGTTTGAAAGCCCAGGCTTAGGCCTAGACTTAGGGTGTAAAAGCGGAGACATTTTCGTTTTTGTAGTGGAGGGTGTTTCGTTTGTACAGTTTCTACTATTCTTCATGGGCGGAGTTATCCAATCAAAACTTCTTTGAAGATCAAAAGGGCGTGAGAAAATATTGTCTCTCATGGGAAAAGAATAAGATGCTTATCAATTCGTATTTCTCCTGATTAGAATGTTTTTCGGCACAAAAAATCACAGCAAAGAAAGTGGGTGGATGAAATTGATTCGATTCGATTATAGGCAAGTTTTTTTTTTCGGAATCTCAAAAAAAATCTTATAAAATCAACTTATCAACATCGTGGCAATTCGTGATATAATGTTGATTATTGCCCAAAAATCTGTATATTCGTTGATTTTCATTGTGAAATTGTGTTTAGCGTGTATTCCGACTCAGCAGGTTGATTTTTGTGAGTTTTTGCAGATTCGGGATGGAAAATCGAGATTTTCCAGCTCCAACTTCTTCCAGTTCATCAGGTGAGAGACGACGAGAAAAAAAAACAATATTTTTTTCCAATTATTTTCAGCACCGATAACTTTGGTCACTGGCACAGGTTAGAAAGAAAATTATGCAATCCTGGCACGGTTTTTCTGATCATTTTGATACAAAGAGACGTATTTATCAATAATCCAGTTTTCGTTCTGATTGTTATCAGTGAAATGCCAATCAAAAAAGTTTATGACATAATCACAAATTAGATTTACTTGTTGTGACAGGATACAAAAACACGGGCGGCGCAAAACCTGCCCAAATCCACATATAAAATAACTTTCAATCAATTGTGTCTTTGAAAATCTTTGCTATGCTGAAATTTTTAGTGATTAGTATTATAATATTGTTACATGAATTGAAACTTGTTGCAACTTGTATTCCAACACAACAAATTGAAACAACAACCCGTGAGTTTTCAGCCTATCTATACGTTGAAAAAATGTTTTAAATGTTTTTAATTGAATGTTTAGAGCCGATTGAACTTCCAGCTACAACCACAACCACAACCACAACGACCACGACAACCACAACCACAACCCCTGCACCAATTTATACATGTCCAACTGGTTGGATACTATTCGATAGAGGTACTTATCATTGGTGTATGTACGTCTCCCTCGGTTTTGTTCAAGGACCATATGCTTTATCGAAATGTCAATCATTAAATTCATCCGCAGTCCCAACGGGTTTTCAGAATGCCAACGAGTTGTCGGTGATGGCAGCAGATGTGGCGAGTCGAACCAGTGCCTCCAGGAATATAATTTTGGGCGCCTATCGAACCGACGCATGTCTTGGTCAAACTTTAACCGCTGCTTGTAACTATCAAACTTCGTTCTATTGGACAGATCAACACACAACTGGAACAGATCAATTCATTTGGGATGTGGCGAATGGAAGTCCGGATAATCTTTCCCTCCCCGCTTTCCCTCAAAATTGGGTTATTTGGATCTCGGATCGTGGAGTGATGGATGATCAGCCGGATTATGCATGGCAAAATGGAGTGTTGTGTGGGATTGAAGCGACTGTTAGTTAGTTCGGATTGTTTTCTTCTTATTGTCATTCCGAAAATAAAAGAACCCCCGTTTGAATTGGCGCTCACGTACAGTAGACTGAAAATTACGTGACACATGCACATCAAACTGGTTGGCAAATAGCCAGCGTGTAAATTTCGCATTTTATTTTTCAAATAGACTCCAAAATTTCGCGAAGTCTACTGTAGTATTGGTTTCCTAGGCCATTTCGGTTCTCTTCCAAGGTTCTTTTTTTTCGGAATGACAATATATAACTGTATTTTGAAAATGTGTCATATTGAGAAAGTCAATTAAATTATTGTTTGAATTTCTTTCCGTGCAAAAAATTGCGCAAACCTAAGTTTTACCCAAAACCCACAAATTTTCATAGACCTTATCTATCCAGAACACATTCAATCAAAAAACTTAATGGTCTGATCAAACAAGATTCTATTTTTCTTGGATGATAATCAGGGGGCGGTTTTTTGTTTTTATGCGGGGAGCGGTTTGTGGAATGTTAGCTACTTAAGATTTGTGTACCTTAACTGTTAAGGTACTTAAAGTTTACAACAGACTTCTTTAATGAATGTACATAAACTTGATGAAGAAATGTCACAAAGTGAAGATATTGATTTTTCTGCCAAACAACACTCCGCACACGATTGCCTGCAATTTAGCAGAATTTATTTTTATTTGTTCTTTTCTTGAAAATAAAAATCAAAGCGAAAGGCCAGCCTAGACAATTTTTGCAACAAAAAACTGGATTTTTCCGCGCGCAAAAGATTAGAGATCATCTGCAGAATAAAATTCATTCAAAGATTTAATATGAGCAATCATCTTCAATTTAATTCAACTGAATCGGTAGCATTCCACATATAGCCGCTTCCCAATAAGAATTTCCATAATAATCATACATTTCACCAGTAGAAATATCAGTTTGAAGATAATTCGCAGGATCAGAAGAACCATAAGGATTTGCAGGAAATCCAGGCATCCAATAAAAACCATCAGTTCCAGTTGTAGACCCGTCAGTCCATTCAAAACTATTCAGAGCTGTACAACTCGCATCAACTCCAATCACAGCTTCACAAGTTGATACTCTTTTCGCTCCAAAACCAAGGCGACCTACGGTTACTAGAGTTCGAGTTAATGTTAGCATTGTTTGAAGTTCGGCCTGATCTTGGACACCCCAAACTTTCGCATTTGCGTGGAGATTTGCACATTCTGTGACGTATTCATCTGGATACTCTGGATATGAAATGGCTTGAGCACACCAATAATAAGTGGCTCGATTTATGATTGTCCACGTGGCATCAGGGCAGCCGTAGATTGGTGCGACTGTGGTGGTTGTGGTTGTAGTGGCTGGAAAATGAGGTATTCAGATTTTTCAGTTTTAAATTTTAAGTCTAGACTCTAGAGCTAAACAATTTTCAGCAAAAATTCTGAGTTCCCCCTAGCTAAAACTCACTTTCAATTTGTTGAGTAGGAATACAAGCTTCACAGATTCTCCACAATAAGAAAAATACAAATACAAATTTCGAAAAAATAGAATTAGCAATCATAATGTGTTTCAAAAAGACACAAAATATGCGGATTTTTATCTTATAATTCGTGGAAAACCTGCTGTTTTTTGACGCAGAAAACAAATGATGAAAATAAATAGAAACATAAATTTGCAGGAGAAAAATCATCTCTTGATTGATTATTTAGCTGATTTGATTTATTTTGGCAGGAATTCTAGAGCTTTTCAAAAGTATTTGAATGTTGTCAGAATCAAATTACAGTAAAACTTCACAAAAAAGAACATCAAATTAATCGATATCTAAACTTGACATTCAAATTATTAAAACCACTTCTAGCATAAAAGCGGATAAAAGTCGGATTGTTTTTCGAAGTTTTCACGACGTTCCATTGAGTTGAATCAGGACAACATTGTCTGGAATATTTGGTTGGCTTGTAAAGTTTTTCAAAAAAATAATAACAATTCAAATTAAAAACCTACACGGGATTTCGAATTGATCGATTATTTAAATACTTGATTTCCACACCATTAATCGGGCATTTTGATTGACATTGCATAGTTGGCGCTTCAAGAAGTTGAATTTCCATGCTTTTTGTGTCTTGTCCATTTATAGCAAATGTTATTATTGTGAAGTTATCGTAAAGAACGAGTTCTAAATTGCTCGAAACTGTTTGACTTTTCCAAGAACTTGTAGCTGTGTATATTTGATCTGCTTTAATCTGTCCACATAATTGTCCACCAAAACCATCAGGACAAAAACATTTGTTACAATTATTTGGATGAGGATAACCACCATTTTTACAAGTTATTGTTGAGTTTTTACACATACAATCATAAGCAATGTTCAATCTTTTGTAATCTAAAAATGATGTCAATTGAAATCCCATAGTATAATAATAATCATTGTCCTTCGGAATAATAGTCTCATATGATCCAACTGCAAAATCTTTTGGGCCATACATCATAACACTTCCATATTCGAATGGAACTGGATTGTAGCTATTGGAGCTTGTTAGTTTTTTAAAATTATATTTATAACTATCAATAATGTTACTTTCCACAACGATGACATATGTATCTCGATCAAATCTTGCCATTTCATGACCAATCCCCAAACTATGAGTTAATTCATGAACTGCTGTGCCAGTCATTTCACAGTATTTTCCGAATTCGATTTTTTGTTTTCCTTTCACTTGTCCAAGATTGGAAGAACAATAATTGGAGCTGTATAGATTTTCGGACTTGATCTTTTTAAAAGAGAGAGGGGAGGGGGGGGGGTTAGATTGCAAGAAAATACTCAAAAGTAAGGGTAGATCCAGAAAAGAACAACCTTTAAAGAATCGTTTCTTCTTACTCACTCTCTGATATCCACATAATTTCCAATGCCTTGACCTTTTTTAAATCTAACACAAGTCTCCTCTTCCAATAATTTCATTGCACTCAACATTCTGTTTTTTGAAACTTCTGGCAAAGTTGCATTGAACTGATAATAAAGTGTCTTATTTGTCCAGTGGTTGACAGTTGTTAGAACTTGACGTTTTTCTCGAAAACTTTCGGAAATTGATATATTGAGAAATACTAGGCATATAAATATTTTTAACATATTTTGGAGAACAAGAACACATGGATGGTGTTTTTATCTCAGAAAAAAAGAAGAAAAAACTGATTTGAATAATCTCATGTTTATTTATTGTTACAAAATTCAGTGGGAACATACCAATGAAACAATTTCAGAAAAAAAAATGATAAAACGTTGTTTGATTCTTCAGATATTTCATTTGGAATGTAGTTCCCACTGAATTCTGTTGTATTCATTAAACATGGGATTATTCAAACTATTGTGCTCACTTTTAAAATAAAAACCCAGCCATCTCTTCGCATTTTTCATCCAAAGAATGTTGATAAAGCTATTTCTCTATTTGATAATTGTTAATTTTTCGGTGTCTGAAAACATTCGAGAAAAACGACAAGTCTCGCTAAAACGTCGCGAGTATGTTTGGACTAACAAAATTTTATATTATAAATTCAATGCGAATTTGCCGGAAGTTTCAAAAACTTCCATGTTGAAAGCAATGCAATTGATGACCAAAGAAACTTGTGTCAAATTTGAAAATGGACAAGGCGATGGAAATTATGTAAACATCATGAAGTGAGTGATCCCACATTTGTTGGGTACTAAAAAATGTGAAAATTCAGCGGAAATGCTTGTTCTTCTGCACTTGGAAAAAATAACGGCGTGCAGACTCTGTCTTTTGGGAAATATTGCGCAACAACTAGCACGGCGGTTCATGAATTAATGCATGCTTTGGGAATCAATCACGAAATGTGTCGATTTGATCGAGATGATTATGTTACAGTTATTGAAAGCAACATTCTCGAATATTTAAAGTATAATTTTGTTAAACTTACCTCTTCAAATAGCTACAATCCAGTTCCATTCGAATATGGAAGTGTTATGATGTATGCCCCAAAAGCTTTTGCAAATGGATCACACGAGACCATTATTCCGAAAGACAATGATTATTATTATACAATGGGATTTCAATTGACATCATTTTTAGATTACAAAAGATTGAACATTGCTTATGATTGTATGTGTAAAAACGCAACAATAACTTGTAAAAATGGTGGTTATCCACATCCAAATAATTGTAACAAATGTTTTTGTCCTGATGGTTTTAGTGGACAATTATGCGGGACAATTGATGCCTATCAAACATTTGCATCTACTATGGTTTGGACAACCCGAACAATTGTGTCAAAATCACCACAAACCGATTATACCGATTACACCATAATTACAGTTGCTTTAACTGGACAAGCTGGTAAAAACATTTAGATACAACTTCTTGAAGCGCCAACCATGCAATGTCGATTAAAATGCATAGATAATGCTGTGGAAATCAAGTATTTGAATAATCGATCAATCCGAAATCCCGTGTCAGTTTTATTTCGAATCTGATTGTGAGTAAAAACATAAATACTCTCTTAAATATTCCAGACAATGTTGTCCTGATTCAACTCAGTGAAAAGCGATTAAAACATCAAAAAACAATCCGACATTCATTCGATTTTATGTGCAAACTGGATATTATAATTTGAATGTCAAGTTTAGATATCGATTGGTATAAATGTTAATCAAGATAAAGTTTCTATTTGCTCTGTTTGAAAAAATTTACCAACAACCAATTTTATTGAAATTTAAAAATCTTGAAGAAACTTTTTAGAAAATCGCTTTATGTGGGGACATCTATTTCTGAGGGTGAGTATTGTCCCCGCAAATGATAACCCATGGATTATTCCAATCTATTTTTTGCGAAGAACTTTGCCCTGTTGTAATTGTTCGACTTGAAGTCCGAGTTTGATCTCCAATAGGATTTGAATTGGAATGGGAGACAATTGAGAGAAGACAAATCAAGAGCAAAATGAATTTCATTTTTCTGATTTTTTGAAATAACAAAATTCGATCTGGCGATGGTTTTTGAAGCGCAAATCTGGCGTCTCACAATAAACCATCGGAAAATTATAATTTTGACAAAAAATGACATTGATCAGCAATGGGAGTTCAGAAGATCAGTTTTCGTAATCTTCAAGCTTCGCCCATTTACTGCAACTCTCGCACGATTTTCTGATTATTTTAATATCGATATCTTCAGAAAAAATAGAAAACTAATTTTTCCACGTCATAGCCAAAATTCAGCAAATCAAAAAATGCCTAGACTGTGTGAAAATCAACAAATAGCTTCAGAACCATTTTTTCCAAATTCGAAATGAAAATTTTTCCTCTGATCTATTTTTTGGCGATGGTGAATTGTGAAGATGAATTTAAAACTCGAAATCAAATCGAGACCACAACTCGGAGATATATTCCAAAAATGAGGGATGATGAGAGAAGAAGAACAAGGAGAACACGAGTTAGGAGAACTACACAAGTCCCAATTATGGGCTGGTATATTGTGTGATGATGAACTTCAAAATAAAAAATTGGTTTATTCACAGACAATCTATTTTTTTTCAATTATATTCGGCTTTTCAACAAAAATTCTTCTCTTTCAGGATGAGTCCATTTTCAAATAGTCTAGATTTTTTGAGGCAAATAAAAATAAGAACTGATTAATTTTCTGCATTTTTCGAGTGACGTTAACATTTTGCCACGTTTCTAGGCCACGTTTCACGTTTCTATTGTTAAGCTCCGCCCATTTTGGCACAGTTTTTGTGCTTCAATTTTCTCATGATATAAGTCTAGACCTCATAAAATCCTATTATTTTTTTTTCAAAATTTTCCATATTTTTTTATTCCTTTCTCGATGAAGATATTGATTTTCCTAATTTTCCTCGCTTTCAAAGTTGGCCTAACTTACTCGAAACCTGAGAGAACTTGCTTTGAAGATAACGAATTTTGTGGAGCTGAATTGGAAATTCGAAAAAAATGGGTGAATTGGAGGAACTCGCCGAATTCCACTGGAAAATTGGATATTCTAGCACCCGATTTTATTTTTATGAAAATCGATTCAGTGGATGAATTGGAGCGGACAAGTGATAAAAATTCGTTTTTGAGAAGATTCCGGAGACCAATGTATACTGTTGTCTTGAAAAATGTGAAATTTGGAGTTGCGCGAAATCCAGACGATGGCAATCAAACTTTGGCAATTGTTGAGGAAATTCAAAACAAATTGAGTTTTGAATATTTGTATTTGATGGTAAGAAAAAGAGAAGAATCGGGAGAATTTGCGATTTCGGAGGCGGTTTGGGATATTGATGGGGAATTGGATTTGGATAAATTCAGATATTTTAAGTTGAAGTGATAATAAAGATTTTGATGGCACAGTTTTTGATACGAAAAATGACGTGGCTTAGGCCGCTAATATGAGCAATGCTTATAAATTTATTCAATTATCAACACAAATTCTTAACCCATTAAAACTTGGAATTTCTCTACATTTTCGACCAGCTCCACAACTTTTATCATCCAAACAATAAAGACTTTCAACGTCGATGAAATTGAATTGGAAAATGAAAAATGTAATAAAAATCAGAAGGAAATTTGGATTCATGGCAAAGTTTTTTTCAAAAAAAAAATGGTTTTGTGGGTGGTTTTTATATGAAAAAAATTTTTTTTGTGATGTCTAGACCTATTGATTTTTTTGAGCTCCAAAAAACGAGAATTTTTTGATATTTCGCAATATTTCTTTCTCAATTTTTCTTATCAAAAATTTCTCTTTATTTTTTTTTTCATTCAAAACATGTCATCTTTTGAGAATATTGACCTGGAGGTAAGTTTTTTTTTATTTTAAAATTTGAAAATTCTCAAACTTGAAAAATTTCTGTACTTTCAGATCCAAAAACGGGAAAAAGAATTGGAAAATCTTTACATTAAACATGTGAAAGAATTAACTGAAATGAAAAAGGAACACTTGAAAAATGTGGAAGTTATCGAAAGAAAAGGGCGAGAAAAAATATGGAAAATCAAGAATGAGAATATTGGAGGATGAGAAAACTTATGATTTGAAAATGTGTTGATTTTGTTGAATAATAAAATTTTTTGAAACTTTTTCACAATATTTTTCAATATAAAAATGATTTGATCGCCGTTGTTTAGGACTGTAGAAAAAATTCCCAGATCCTAATTTTCTTAAGATTACTGTACTTCAGAATTTCCAACATTATTTGGTATATCAAAAGACTACCAGAATCTTCTTTACCTTCGATTTTCTAGAATTCACCTGAATCTTTTTCATTGATGATTTTCTAGAGTCATACTCTTTCGTCAAGGCTGATTCTGAGAAAACTAAATTTTCAAAAGAAAAAAAAAATGTTGGCGTGATTTTTTTTTGAATTTTTTGACGTGGCCTATTTTCAAGAAAAAAGGTCTTTCAAAAAAAAAAGAAAAAGGAGAAGGTCTTTTGTTAAAATCAGTGCTAATTTAGAATCAAGATGAAAACAACGACTTTTCTAATATTTTTAGTTGGTTATCCTATCTACGTACATAGTTACGTGACCTGCGATGACAGCGATATCAAAGCTAGTGATGTGGAGAAATGTAACAATCGAAATGGTTAATGCAGAACAAAATATGGCCAAATCGGAATATGTCTATTAAAAAACAGTGTATGTATTTTATCAGCTGGGGGGGGGAGCGGGATATTTGGGATCAAATTGTCCTGATGCCTAACATCCCAAACCTATTTAAAAATTAGCCTTTTCACAATCAGAAAATCCATATTTTGCAGGAACATCGTTGCTGTCCTAACAAATTAAAAGACGACGATTTTCGAACAGATATTGTATGCGATGAAACACAACAATTGACTATGGAAGGTGTATATTGTAAGAATGGACAAATTTTTGCTATGAGCATGAAAACTCTTAATAATAATGAAAATAAAACTAGAACTAACCAGAAGGGCTCCGCCGGCTATCGCCGGCTCCTCCTTCTGGGTTGTCGCGGCTTCGCGCTCAGTATTCTTTTGATGAACAGTTTGTTTCTCTGAAGTTCTGTTAGAACATCAAAATTAAACGTTTTTCATTGAGAATTTGAAAACTTTGTTGAGAAACTGGAAGCAATATGCAACATGATCACTTAGATGTCTCTTTATTATTTTTTAGCCAACATATCTAAGCTCTTAATCTTAATCTTAACGAACAGTGGTATATGAGATACTTTTTCTGATCACACAGACGCCGCCCTAACCTTTTGCAAAGGGTGGCAAAAATCACACAACAAACGCTAAACGCAAACCTATGCCATCTCTATCTCTCTCAGCTCATTTGATAATATTTGAGAACCCTATAGAATTTCAGTTTTCCAAGATTTAGCAACATCCGCCAAAAAAATTTGCATGAGAATTAAAAAAGATTTTTGTGTTTTTTTTTGAAATTTGCAGTTTTCAGAACCTGCCGTTTTTTGATCATTCTAAAATTTATTAGGTTTTTTTTATAACAAACACTTGCCACGTACACAAAATTTCGCTGTTTTTCACGTTTATATTTTGTAATTTTCATCTTTTCAGACAAAGTTTGACGTGAATTTGTTGAAAATTTCTGAAAACTAACAACAATTGTCAGTTTGTAAAGGTTTATCTAAATTTGATTCTGATACAGGAAATCAAACCGCAAAGGATATGTGGTTCAACATACATGCTATACACCGTTTTGTAGAGTTCGATGAACTGAACAATTCATTGCGACCCGATTTTCGTTTAAAAAAATTTAAACTTTTTTCAATATTTCTGGAAATACACAGAGTTTTCCGCCTCAAAAACTCATGTTTAATTGTATATCATTTATATCACCTCGTAGAAAATTTCTCCCTTTACAAACTTAGTTTTCAGAAGTTTTCAAAAAAGTTTTCAAAAATTCACGTCAAACTTTGTCTGAAAAAATATGAAAAATTACAAAATACAAACGTGAAAAACAACAAAATTTTACGTGGATATTTTTTTCTGACCGCCGCCTGGAATGACACTATGCAATTTTCGTTTTTTTTTTCAAAACAAATATCCAACAAATTTTTAAATTACTGCGAAATGGAGAATTCTCAAAACGATAGAAATTCTCAAAATGTCAACCGTTTCAGCAGATATTCCTGGGTCAGAAATCAAATAAATTGAAATTTCGTTCCGAAGTCGTCTAAAAAAACAAAACATTGAGTTGCAGAAAATTTTTGCCCTAGAACCAATTTTGAATCTTTGTGTGCCCAATTTTTTTTGATTTAGCGGATCATTTTCCGCGATTTTTCGGACACATTTCGGTATCTAACTCATTTTGAAAACTGTATTTATGGATTTTAGGTTTCAAAAAAAGGTTTGATTTCATTTGGCATCAACCGAAACTGTTCATATTTGTTTTTATTTGTAAGATTCCCTTTCTCCTTAAAGGAGTAAAAAAAGATAAAATATCGGATGAAGGATTTTTCTGAAAGGAATATTTCTTAAAAGAGGAGAAGAAGTGAAGATGAAGTTGCTTTTAGATGAAAGATAATGTTTCCTTTTATTTGTTTCCTTTTACATCTTATCTCTATCTTGAAATCCGTTTGATAAAAAATCGGAAGAAAGTTGAGTACTCGAAAGACGTGGAATTTCAGAAACCTAAACAGATTTCTCGTATTTTAATGAAGAAAATCGAAATTTAGCTTTTTGGAATTACAAAATTTTTCAGATATGTTCTCCTCTTCTGATAATAGGAAAATTCGTTGAGGTTCATGAAATTTCATGTCTTTCGATTACTCATATTTCTTTCCTATTTAAAAAGATATATATGATGTAAAAGGAAAAATTGATAGAAAGACATCTTCTTTCATTTAAAAGCAACATCATCTTTCCCTTATTCCACCTCCAAGAAAGAGTTCTCTCAGAAAATCCTTCATCCGATAATTTACCTCTTCCAAATTTCCCACTCGACCCCCTCTGAGTTTTTACGTTTTTTGTTTGGTTCGAAAGCGACCCATCAGCTTAACCTGGCCAAAAAACCTGGCACACCCAATATTTGAAGGAAGCATGAACCATGTTCTTTGTCTTCTATTGGAATCATCATGCTCAGCCCTACTTTACTGTACAGCGCTGGGGGTATAATTGTTTATTTTCTTTCTTCGATTTCATTTCGAAGAAGAAACTTATTTATTTCACAGCTTTCTGAACTAATATGAGCCTGAACTCACGATAAAATACGATTCAGTGCATCTTCTTCATTTCATTGGAAACCTTTTTCATCTGAAGTTTCGAATAACTAATGAAAATCTCTACAGTAGTTCAACTCACTTTATTTTCTATTAATTTACCCAACCGATTAGGAAGAAACTATTATCGAGAAATGCCCAAAAATTGTTGGCTTCTTCAGAAAATAGAAAAATCAGATAAGAAACGTGTCCTTTAATTTTTTGTGGAATAAAAACGTGCTCATTCTTTTTATCATGAAAAAAGTTTAGATTTTTCACGTGAAAACTCGCGCACTTTTTGAAAAACAAAATATTAGCGCACCGATGGGAACGAATTTGGGATTTAATGGTGAAAGTATCATGAAAAACGGCCTTCTGGGAGTTGAGAAAAGTCGAGCGACACATTTTGAAACCCAAAAATACATTGAAAATTTTGGATTTTTTCAAACTTTGCATTTTTTCGCGCACTTATCAGAAGAGTAGAAAATGATACCTGGCTTCCCCACCAAGTAGAAGAAGTTTCCTAACTTCTAGTTCAGGAATTTTCAATTTTCATGCTCTGGGAATGAAATGCGGGCTCTGGACACACATTTTTTATTTTTGTCAATTAGTATATAGTAAGATTGCAATCTCAATTCGGATTGTGCTAAAGGAAGCTATTGTGTGCGTACTCGTAATCAGGCGCGGATTATTAGTAAAACATGTTTCGTCATTGATCCACCGAAAGAAGAAGATAACACAATGCTCATTATCATTATTGTTGTAGTTGTTGTTGTTGTCTTGATTGCTATCATCGGAATTGTTGCAACAGTTTTGATTATTAAGAAGAAAAAAAAAGGAAAGGGTGGTCAAAATGAGAAGAAAGGAAAGCCTAGCAAAGAGAAGACTGAAAAGAACAGCAAGGAGAAGACTGAGAAAAGTGGATCGACTGCTTAGATTTTGATAGAAATGCATACATATCATTGTAGTAGATCATAAATATTGCGAGAGAAATTTTTCTTTTTTTTTTATTACGTGGCCTAATTTCAAAAAAAAGCACGACTTGAGAAAAGTCATCAAAATCAGTGCTAATTTAGAATCAAGATGAAACCAACAACGCTTTTAGTTATTCTAATTGCTTTTCCAATATGCGTGCATATGACGATGATTACAGCCGATAATGCGTTCAAACCTTTCTGTCCGAACTCCTATTTTCCAGCTTCTGTGCAAGAAAATTGCAACAATATAGGTTCTAAGTGCAAAACAAAGTTTGCCGAAGGAATATGCGGACATCCGGAGGTGTGTGTCACCAAAATGAGGGGGGTGGGAAAAATATATAAAAATACATATTTTCAGAAAAAATGTTTGGGCCTCTCAAATTGCCATGAAAAAACTATAACAACAGTAAGTATTCTCTTTTTCCAGTGCAAGCAATTGTTTTTTTTTTGCAGGAATCTCGTTGCTGTCCCGATGCGTCTTCACCCGTTCATTTTCAAACAAATATAAAGTGCACGGCATCAGATGATCTTGATTATTTGTTGTATTGTAAAAATGGTTATGCTTTCCAAATTGACGATAAAACTCTGAAATCTAAGAAAGGAAAAGAATGCCGTGTGCATTCGCATTGTGGTGAAGGAGGATATTGTATACGTCTTCATGATGTTACAAGGTTTGCTGTTAGCAACTGTTTTGTCATTGGTTCACCGAAAAAAGAAGGAGAAGGAGAAGGAGCAGGAGAAGAAGAAGACAATACAATGCTCACTATCATTATTGTCGTGATTGTTGTTGTCTTGATTGCTGTTGCTGGAATTGTTGCGACAGTTTTTATTCTTAAGAAGAAGAAGAAAGGAAAGATTGGCCATAAGAGCTCGGCTAGCAAGGAGACGACGAGCAATGGATCGACTGCTTAGATTTTGATAGAAATACATACATATTGTAGTAGATCATAAATATTGCGAGAGAATTTGTTCTTTTTTTTGTTGAAAAATTCAGAAATCAAATTGAATAAGGCAACAATTTACAGTTTGAAAAAAAAACAATGAAACAAAAAGTTTTTGTTAAAATTTATGGGTTGGAAAAACGACAATTTCATACTTCATTTTTCCAAAACTTGAAAATAATCTGAAAAATCGCAAGCACCGTTCAAAGAACTCTACATTAGCTGCGAAACGACCCTAAGTTTGTCGATTTTCATGAAGTTTGAGCTGCACTTCGAATTTTTTGGAATATGAATATTTAAACCCTTGACTTTTCTCCTACAAAATCCTTTTCCATACCTCGGACTTTCACATAGTAGATTTGAAAAAAAACATAAATTTCTTGTCTATAAATGATGAAACATTATTTAGTTCCCAAAAGAAAAATAAAGTTGACGTGATGAAAAATTTTTTATTACGTGGCCTAATTTCAAAAAAAAGCACAACTTGAGAAAAGTCATCAAAATCAGTGCTAATTTAGAATCAAGATGAAACCAACAACGCTTCTAGTTATTCTAATTGCTTTTCCAATATGCGTCCATAATTTGGAATTGCCTTTGTGCCCGAACACATTTTTTCCAGCTGTTGTGCAAGACAAGTGTACCAATCCAGGTTCTAAGTGCAAAACACAGTTTGCCGAAGGGCAATGCGCATATCCGAAAGTAGTATGTGTTTTATTAAAATGAGGGAGGGGGCGGTACTTATAATAAAATATATCTTTTCTTCCAGACGGAATCACAACTTCAACTGACTGTAAGTATTATTTTTTAAAGATGATATAAAATATGCAAATAATGTTTTCCGAACTCTTCCGAACTAAAATCTTACGACTACTAAATAAAACCCAGATATCAACAAATTTATCTTCGAATGAGTGTGGTTATTCTAATTTATAAATTATGCAATTTGAATCGATTTTCCTAGACAATTTTCTGTATTCAGTTTTTGATAAAAATTGAGAAAAAGAGGTCGTTCCAGAATTCTGGGACGATAAAATACATATTTTGCAGGAACCTCGTTGCTGTCCCGACCCGAATTCGCCCGTTGATTTTCAAACAAGTATGAAATGCGTGGAAACAGATGAACTTCCTTTTTTTGGATTGTATTGTAAAAATGGTTATGCTTTCGAAATTAGCAATAAAACTGCAGTAGCTAATGAAGGTAAAGGAATTACTTGCAAGTTTAATTCGGATTGTGCTAAAGGAAGTTATTGTGTATGGACTGTGATATATGCGTATACACCAGTACAAAAATGTTTTGTCATTGATCCACCGAAAGAAGAAGATAACACAATGCTCATTATCATTATTGTTGTAGTTGTTGTTGTCTTGATTGCTATCATCGGAATTGTTGCAACAGTTTTGATTATTAAGAAGAAGAAAAAAGGAAACGGTGGTCAAAAGAGTTCGGCTGAAAATGGCGAGAATAAGAAGAAAGAGAAGGCGAGCAAGGAGAAGATGAACAAAGGGAAAAAGGGATCCGATGTCTAGAATTTGATAGAAATACATACATATTATTGCGGTAGATTATAAATATTGCGAGAAAAATTGTTCTTTTTTGTTGAAAAAATTCAGAAATCATTTCCAAAAAATAGTTTGTGCGCTTCAAAAAAACTTTTGAAATTTCCGGCTTAAACCATGATGATTTTAAAATTATTTCGAACCATCAAAATCATGAGTTTTCAGCATTTTCAGACTAGAAACATGTTCTTATCCACGACCTCCACTATTTTTATTGCGCGTCATTTATAATGTCGGCGTGTGTGTGGTGTTTGCGGACACCAGAAAATCTTTTCTTTTTTCTCCCTTCTTTTTTTTTGTTTTCCAGCTGGATTTCTGGATTTTTAAGCATTTCACATGAGTTTTTGTAATTTATTGGGTGAAAAATTGAATTTTGCATAAGCTGGGAAATTTTGAAGCCGAAAATTGATTAATTTTCATAGAGAAATCGTATTTTTAATTGGCTTCCACGAAAAAATCGATATTTTCTGTTTTTTCCATCGTTTCAAAGGATTAGAACCCTATTGAATTATATATGTTTTTGTGGAGAATTTAGCGGGAAAACCAACTGGAATATTTTGCAGATCATGGATTTGGCCAACATCCATTTGGCCCACATTTTTCAACTGGAAGATGATTTACGAGCCGGTCCAATTGATCACTTTAATAATGCAGCGTTGCGGTTTTTTCGAGAAGCACTGCCTGGATTGCGCATTTTTATACCGGGCAATTTTGCGCCGCCCGCGCAACGTAAGATTTTAATTTTTTCGAAAAAAAATATGAAAAGCTTGAGAAACACTGGAAACAATACTTTCTAATAAAAGTTATTGAATTTTTCAAATTTCGCAGAATATGTCCAATAGAGCGCTCTTGATAAAAATCCGAGAAAAATTCAAATTTCCCAGTTTCCCGGCTCATTCTCAATGGAGCGCACTTGAATATTTTCCACTGAAAAATTGACAAGGAGAGCTCAAATTAGACGAATTTTTTGAATTTGCCGAATTTCGCAGAATATGTCCAATAGAGCGCACTTGAAAAACATCCGAGAAAAATTTGAATTTCCAAAGTTTCCCGGCTCATTCTCAATGGAGCGCACTTGAATGTTTTTAATAAAAATTAAGGGGAAGAACTATAGTTGGTCAACGACTAGACTCAAGTCGATAATTATCGACTTTTAGTCGAGTCGATAAGAGAAAATAAACGACTCGGCTAACGACTAAGTCGTTTAGTCGATAAGCCAAGTCGATAAGCTATCGACTAAAGTCGAGTCGATAGCCTTTTTATCGACTCGGTTCGACTAAGAAATTTTTTTTTTGAATTTTCAGAAATTGATTTAAATTTCTGAAATTGATGGACGGGGGGTTTTCGGCTCCGTGGAGCATCATGGTGATAATGATATGACACGAAAATACGCGTATCACCTCTTATCAGTGATTATCAGTGAAATCTCAAAATTATCAGTTTGAGCTGGGAGTTGGAGGAAATGATGTTTGGCGATAGTAGATGACAATTTTGATAAGTTTAGAGCTCCAGCTTCATCTCAGAAGCTCTTATCAGTCCTTATCACTAATTCATCAATATGCTCAGATTTGGCTGAAACTTGGAAAACATGATCTCTGAAGCTAGTAGAGACTATTTTTGATAAGTTTAGAGCTCCAGCTTTATCCCAGAAGCTCTTATCAACTGTTATCACTAAATTATCAATATAATCTGATTGATCTGAAAATCGGAATTTGTGGGTTTTCAGGTATGGGGATTCGCCCAGTGATAATGTTTTTGTATGAATATCACTTTTAAAGGACCATATCACTCAAAAAAAATTTTTTTTGAAAAAATGTGTTTCGGGGTTTTTCGGTACGATAAGTCATGTGGTGCTGATTTTTCGGCTCAAAAGTCACTTTTAAAGGCAGTGACCATGCAAAAATTAATTTTTTTGAAATTTGAAGGTTATGTGTTTTTCAATACGTGGAACATCGTGGTGAGACCCATTTGACCTAAATATGACTTTTAGAAGCTATAACTTGAAATATGCCTTCAAAAGTCATTTTTGAGCCAAATTGATGTCAGCACATTGATCCCCACATCAAAAAACCAGGTTTCCATAAAAATATATTTTGGTCGGAATGTGCCTTTAAAAGTCATATTTAGGTCAAATGGGTCTCACCACGATGTTCCACGTATTGAAAAACACATAACCTTCAAATTTCAAAAAAATTAATTTTTGCATGGTCACTGCCTTTAAAAGTGACTTTTGAGCCGAAAAATCAGCACCACATGACTTATCGTACCGAAAAACCCCGAAACACATTTTTTCAAAAAAATTTTTTTTGAGTGATATGGTCCTTTAAAAGTGATATTCATACAAAAACATTATCACTGGGCGAATCCCCATACCTGAAAACCCACAAATTCCGATTTTCAGATCAATCAGATTATATTGATAATTTAGTGATAACAGTTGATAAGAGCTTCTGGGATAAAGCTGGAGCTCTAAACTTATCAAAAATAGTCTCTACTAGCTTCAGAGATCATGTTTTCCAAGTTTCAGCCAAATCTGAGCATATTGATGAATTAGTGATAAGGACTGATAAGAGCTTCTGAGATGAAGCTGGAGCTCTAAACTTATCAAAATTGTCATCTACTATCGCCAAACATCATTTCCTCCAACTCCCAGCTCAAACTGATAATTTTGAGATTTCACTGATAATCACTGATAAGAGGTGATACGCGTATTTTCGTGTCATATCATTATCACCATGATGCTCCACGGAGCCGAAAACCCCCCCGTCCATCAATTTCAGAAATTTAAATCAATTTCTGAAAATTCAAAAAAAAAAATTTCTTAGTCGAACCGAGTCGATAAAAAGGCTATCGACTCGACTTTAGTCGATAGCTTATCGACTTGGCTTATCGACTAAACGACTTAGTCGTTAGCCGAGTCGTTTATTTTCTCTTATCGACTTTTAGTCGAGTCGGTCGTTAGCTAGTCGTTGACCAACTATAGGAAGAACTCAAACTAGGCGAATTTTTTGAATTTGCCAAATTTCGCAGAATATTCTCAATAGAGCGCACTTGAATATTTTCATTAAAAATTGACAGAAAACGTCGAAATCAACCAAAATTCATCGGATTTTTCAACTAATCCACATTATCAATGGAGCGCACTTGAATTTGTTCATTAAAAATTGACAGAAAACCTCAAAATCAACCAAAATTCATCGGATTTTTCATTATCAATAGAGCGCACTTGAAATTTCAAATATCGTTTCTTCCAGACGCAATCTACGAGCTCGAATGGCGTGACGATTCAGCCGATTACACCCGTCGACTTTTTCGAATTCTTGCAGAACACATGGGAATCGGTTTTGTCTTTGATCACCCACGACTTCCACGACGTGCATTGATGCAATTACCCGAGTCTAGTTCAAGTTCTGAAGATGAAGACGATGATATTGTAATTGTGGAAGAAGATATAATAGTTTTACCTGTGGAAAGAGCTGCAGAACCAGTGGAACTGGAAAAATCAAGAAACCTGGATAGAAATCAAACAATCGATATTCTACCCTATCATGAAGTTATCGAAAATACCCATAGATTATTGACGTCCACGATTTCTAGCCAAAAAATCGATAATTTGGCAGAAAATTTGGTGCAGGAAAAGGCATTTTTGACGTATTGTAAAAATCGGAGACGGTTTGCTGTTTGTCAAATTTTGAGTGATGGTGGTGCTGCTGGAAAATCGAAACTGAAAAATTCACCGTGGAAATCGAGTTGCTGGTTTCAGGCGGATTGTTTGGCCGAGTTCGGGGAAGAGGTTTTTGACGGAGAGCAGTTGAGGATTTCGACGAGGATGGCGAAGTTTGTGCTGGGGGTCAATTTTTGGCGGAAAATGGTGGATTCTGAGGCTAAATTTCATACGGAAAATGTGGATTTTAGGTCGGATTCCTGGTTTTTTGTAAAAAATCGACTCAGAATTGCAAATTTTAGACTGAAAATTGTCTGGAAATCAAATTTCAGTCAATTTTCAGTTAGAAAACCCTGAAAAATCGACCTGAAACATGCTGAAAATTATCTGAAGCTCGATTCGAATTTCAGACAATTTTCAGCAGTTTCAGACGTGCGGAAGCTATGCCCAAATTTTTTTCAAGGATGAAAATTCAATTTGGAGTCACCTAACAGTCTGAAATTCATGATTTTGACCTAAAATCACATGAAAATCGTGTTTTTCGATCTGAAAATAAAATTTCTGACGATTTTCCGATAGAAAACCATAAAAAATTCACCTGAAACATGCTGAAAATTGTCTGAAGCTCAATTTGAACTTCAGACAATTTTCAGCAGTTTCAGACGTGCAGAAGCTATGCCCAAATTTTTTTCAACGCTGAAAATTTCTGAAATTCATGATTTTGACCTAAAATCCCCTGAAAATCCAAATTTTCATATGAAAATTGTCTGAAAATCAAATTTCAGACGATTTTCCGATAGAAAACACTCAAAAAGTCACCTGAAACATGCTGAAAATTATCTGAAACTCGCTTCGATCTTCAGACAATTTTCAGCAGTTTCAGACGTGCGGAAGATATGCCCAAATTTTTTTCAAGCCTGAAGAAAGCTAAAAATGTCTGAAATTTATGATTTTGACCTAAAATCACCTGAAAATCGTGTTTTTCAATTTGAAAATCAAATTTCAGACGATTTTCAGATAGAAAACCATAAAAACCTCACCTGAAACATGCTGAAAATTATCTGAAGCTAGTTTCGAACTTCAGACAATTTTCAGCAGTTTCAGACGTGCGGAAGCTATGCCCATTTTTTTTTCAGGGTTGCGAAAAGCTGAAAATTCAATTTTTAACAGTTTCAGAAGTCTGAAATTCGTGATTTTGACCTAGAATCACCTGAAAATCCAGATTTTTTATATGAAGATTGAAAACCCTATAGAAAACCATCAAAAATTCACCTGAAACATGCTGAAAATTGTCTGAAGCTCAATTCGACTTTCAGATAATTTTTAGCAGTTTCAGACGTGCGGAAGCTATGTCCAAATTTTTTTCAGGGATGAAAAAGCTGAAAATTCATTTTTTAACAGTTTCAGAAGTCTGGAATTCATGATATTTACCTAAAATCACCTGAAAATCGTGTTTTTCAATCTGAAAATCAAATTTCAGTCAATTTTCAGAGAGCAAACCATCAAAAAGTCCACCTGAAACATGCTGAAAATTGTCTGAAACTCAATTCGACTTTCAGACAAATTTCAGCAGTTTCAGACGTGCGGAAGCTATGCCCAATTTTTTTCGGAACTGGAAAAGCTGAAAATTTATTTTTTAACAGTTTCAGAACTCTGGAATTCATGATTTTGACCTAAAATCACCTGAAAACCTTGTTTTTCAATCTGAAAATCAAATTTCAGTCAATTTTCCGATAGAAAACCATAAAAAATTCACCTGAAACATGCTGAAAATTGTCTGAAGCTCAATTTGAACTTCAGACAATTTTCAGCAGTTTCAGACGTGCAGAAGCTATGCCCAAATTTTTTTCAACGCTGAAAATTTCTGAAATTCATGATTTTGACCTAAAATCCCCTGAAAATCCAAATTTTCATATGAAAATTGTCTGAAAATCAAATTTCAGACGATTTTCCGATAGAAAACACTCAAAAAGTCACCTGAAACATGCTGAAAATTATCTGAAACTCGCTTCGATCTTCAGACAATTTTCAGCAGTTTCAGACGTGCGGAAGATATGCCCAAATTTTTTTCAAGCCTGAAGAAAGCTAAAAATGTCTGAAATTTATGATTTTGACCTAAAATCACCTGAAAATCGTGTTTTTCAATTTGAAAATCAAATTTCAGACGATTTTCAGATAGAAAACCATAAAAACCTCACCTGAAACATGCTGAAAATTATCTGAAGCTAGTTTCGAACTTCAGACAATTTTCAGCAGTTTCAGACGTGCGGAAGCTATGCCCATTTTTTTTTCAGGGTTGCGAAAAGCTGAAAATTCAATTTTTAACAGTTTCAGAAGTCTGAAATTCGTGATTTTGACCTAGAATCACCTGAAAATCCAGATTTTTTATATGAAGATTGAAAACCCTATAGAAAACCATCAAAAATTCACCTGAAACATGCTGAAAATTGTCTGAAGCTCAATTCGACTTTCAGATAATTTTTAGCAGTTTCAGACGTGCGGAAGCTATGTCCAAATTTTTTTCAGGGATGAAAAAGCTGAAAATTCATTTTTTAACAGTTTCAGAAGTCTGGAATTCATGATATTTACCTAAAATCACCTGAAAATCGTGTTTTTCAATCTGAAAATCAAATTTCAGTCAATTTTCAGAGAGCAAACCATCAAAAAGTCCACCTGAAACATGCTGAAAATTGTCTGAAACTCAATTCGACTTTCAGACAAATTTCAGCAGTTTCAGACGTGCGGAAGCTATGCCCAATTTTTTTCGGAACTGGAAAAGCTGAAAATTTATTTTTTAACAGTTTCAGAACTCTGGAATTCATGATTTTGACCTAAAATCACCTGAAAACCTTGTTTTTCAATCTGAAAATCAAATTTCAGTCAATTTTCCGATAAAAAACCACCGAAAATTAACCTGAAACATGCTGAAAATTGTCTTAAGCTCAATTCGACTTTCAGACAATTTTCAGCAGTTTCAGACGTGCGGAAGCTATGCCCAAATTTTGCTGAAAAATTAATTTTTAACATTCTATAATCCTCTGAAAATCTGAAAATTTCCAGACAATTCAAAGCGATCGAAATTGAAGTTTTCTGGAGTTTCACCAACGAAGAATTGCTGAAAATCGATTTTTATTTGAATATTTCAAAAATTCCGCAATCATTTCAAGATGCCGTGCCAAATGTGAGTTTTTTCTAGAAATTTGGATGCATTGCTCATATTAATCTCTTTCAGCTCTCAAAACTGTGTCAATCTCAAATCCCTTCAAAACTCAATGAATTTTTGCGGGCCTCCAGAAAACCCGTGAAATTCTGGACATTCTCACAAGATCTCACAAAAGCCTCGGAAATCGACTCGAATTATCAGCCATTTTTTGTGGAGCTCGAAAAATGCACAAAATCGTGGGAAAATGCGGAGAATTGGGATATTCGAGAGGATTTGTTGAAGTGTCGATTGATGAAATATCAGAGGAAAACTATCAAATGGATGATTGATCGAGAAATTCGACAGAATCGCATCGATTCGTTTGATTGTTTTGAGTGTATTGAGTGAGGATTTGGGTGGGCTTTGAGGGGCCGGAAATTGCGATTTTTGAGCCTAAATTGGCTTTGGAATTTTCGGACCTTTCAGGCTTTTTGGGGCCCGAAAATTGAGATTTTTGAGCTTGAATTGGTCTTGGAATTTTCGGACCTTTCAGGCTTTTTGGGGCCCGAAAATTGGGATTTTTTGAGCCTAAATTGGCCTTAGAAAGTTCTGGATTTTTACACATATTTTCGGACCTTTCAGGTTTTTTTTGGTCCCGAAATTTGCAATGTTTTGAGCCTAAATATGCCTTGGAAAATCCAGAATTTTTTACACCCATTTTCGGACATTCCAGGTTTTATTGGGTCCAAACATTGGGGGTATTCAGCCTAAATTGGCTTGGTTTTTTGAAAATTGAGGCATTGCTCATGTTATTCAAAATTGATCCAATTTTTTTGGACAAAAATTCATTTTTCACGTGAACTTTTATTTTTTATTTTTTATTCTGATAACAAAAACGTGAACAATTTTGAATTTTATTTTATTTTCAAAAATTAGATTTGTTAGAAATTGCAGAAAATTTGTGAGTTTTCAGATATTTTTCAGAAGACTACAGTACCCCAAGCGAATTAAAAATTCAATTTTTTTCCAGATTTCCTCCACATCTTCCGAACCCCGAAAATTCGACAAATGTCTATTATTTTCCATTTTTCGGCCTTTTCGCTCAATCCAAATTAATTACACCAGTTTTTAATAAAGGTAGGAAAACCCTGAGTTTTTCGTTCCAAAAAATCTGAAATTAATTTCAGGTGGAATTTTGGCGGATGAAATGGGATTGGGTAAAACGATCGAAATGTTGGCTTTGATTACCACAAATCGAAAAGGTCAAAATGTGTTCACGTTGAGCGAAGAATTGGAAAAAGCTGAGGAGAGAAGGTGAATTGCGTCAATGAGAGGGTTGCTGACGCGTTTTTTGTAGATATTGAGAGAAAATGCGAAATTTTGATACCAAATATGACGAAATTCGGGTTGCTGACGCGTTTTTGGTGCATTGCTCATATTAAAATTTTCCAAGATGTTATACAATCCACAAAAAATGCGTCAGCATCCAAATTTCGACTCCTACCAAAAATGCGTCAGCAAATATCTTTGCTGACGCATTTTTGGTGCATTGCTCATATTAATCATGCAATTTTTCCAGCCCTTCTCCAGTTTCGCGCCCAAAAATCGTCAGCGAAGACGATTTGACTCGAAATCGCTTCAACTGGAACGAATATGTGAGTTTCAGCGCGATTTTCAGCATTTTCTAGCTGAAAATCAGAAAAAACTTGAATTTTTTCCAGAATTCCGCCAAAAAAGTTGACAAATCCAATGGATCCGCCGTCGTTTTTACAGTAACCGACGAAAATTTGAGAAAAATGGTGGGTTTCTAGAAAATTCCAGAAAAAAATCTGAAATTTTCATTTTTCAGCCCGCTGAAAATTTTGCAAATTGTTCGATATGTGAAGAGCACTGCGTTTTGGCGAAATGTGGATGGAAAAAGGAATTTGAAGGCAGATTTTTGTGCCCGCAATGTATGGCAAAAGAGGTGAGACTAATATGAGCAATTGGGTGAAAATTTGCGAAATTTTGATACTAAATGAGGCTAATATGAGCAATCCTTTGAAAATTGATGAAAATCAAGTTAACCTGAGCAAATCTTTGAAAATCTGAAGCATTTTGATACTAAATGAGGCTAAAATGAGTAGTCCTTTGAAAATTGATGAGAATGAGGTTAACCTGAGCAATGCTCGGCATATCTGAAGCATTTTGATACTAAATAAGGCTAATATGAGCAATCTATTAGAAATTGGAATGAAAATAGGTTAACCTGAGCAATCCTTTGACAAAAAAAAGAAAAATTACTATCCTGAGTAATGCTTTTGGAGTTCGAAGAAAGCTGAATTCTGAGAGCCAGCAAATTTTACTGGATTATTTTTTGTAACCTGAGCAATGCCAAAAAATCGATATTTTTCCAGCCACTTTTGGAAGTCAAAACAACACTTATAGTTCTACCAGAATCGCTGGTTTTACAATGGTTTGATGAAATTTCGAGACATTGTTCGGAGAAACTTAAAGTTATGGTAAATTGACATTTTTGGGATGATTTTGGTTCAAAAAACTGGGATTTTTGACCTGAAATTGAAAATTTTGCAGTTTTACTTTGGACTCAACAAAAATGGCTACCTACACCCACAAGAAATTGCGAAATTCGATGTGGTTTTGACAACTTATGACACGTTGAGAAATGAGTTGGATTTTGCGAATTATCAGAATACAAGTCGTAAGTTTTTGACTGAAAATCTGAAATTTTCAACCGAATTTCGATATTTCAGAATCTCGTCTTCGGCACGGCCAAAAATCGCACAAATTCTCGCCAACTTCTATCACACACGTTCATTGGTGGAGGGTGAGCAATTTTGCAATTTGGGGAATGGTTTTCTGAGCATTTTGAACCTGAATATTACTATATTTAGGCTCCGCCCCTTTTTGCAATTTGCGGCACGGTTTTCTCAACATTTTGAGACCTAATATGACTTGATTTAGGCCACGCCCCTTTTGCAATTTGCGGCATGGTTTTCTGAGCATTTTGACACTAAATATGATTTTATTTAGGCTCCGCCCATTTTTGCAATTTGCGGCACGGTTTTCTGAGCATTTTGACACTAAATATGATTTGATTTAGGTTCCGCCCCTTTTTTTGCAATTTGCGGCACGGTTTTCTGAGATTTTTGCCACAAAAAATGAAAAAATTTGCAAAACTTAAGCCCCGCCCCTTTCTGCAATTCTGCCGCACAGTTTTCCCGCCTCTAATTCTCATATTTCCAGCTGGTAGCCGATGAATCTCAATTGGTCGAAGGTTCAGCTCGTCGTGCTCCCCAAATGTGCACACTCATCACATCTCAACATCGTTGGTGTCTAACCGGAACCCCAATTGTCAAAAATGTCGCCGATCTACACGGCCTTTTCCGTTTCATCAATTTTTGGCCGTTCAATGTCGAACAGTTTTGGAAGGAATGTGTGATGGCTGGTGAGGAGAGCTTCAAAATGAGCCCGAATGAGGCTAGGGCACAGATTAATGGGCGGAGCTTGTTTGGTTTCATTTTGAAGGGTTTTTCACGACCTACAAAATGACCCCCACTTTTTTTTCCAGAATATATCGATTTTTCGCGTCAAAATCTGGATTTATCCCAAACTTGGCTTCTCAAATTTGCCGGTCAATTAATGCGAAGAAATTCGAAGAAAATGGTCGAATCCGAAATTCGTCTCCCCAAATTGATTGAAATCGAAAAACGCCTCAAATTCTCGCAAATCGAAGAACGACAATACAAAGAGGAATTAGAGAAAGTCAAAGAGTTGGTCGAAAAATCGATACCGCGCCACGTGGCAAATGATGTGATGTTGAGTACGATGGCTGGAAGAGAAAGGACATTGATGGCGTTGGGAAAATTGAGAGAGACACTGGTTTCGTGTGGGTTTTTGAGTGGGGTTTGAGATTTTTGAGCCTATTGCTCATGTTATATTTTTTGTGCCATGTCGAAAATACGTTTCTCAATTAAAAAATTGAAAAAATTAGAATGATGAAATAAAACCTCCCAACAAGAAAAATTTTCCAATTTTCTAATTTTCGGAAAATTTTGAAACGTATTTTTGACGGGCACATTTTTTCTCAAAAACAAAATTCCCAAATGTTTGTATAACATGAGCAATGCAAATATTCACTATTGCTCATGTTAACGAGCATATCTGTGACGTTCCGAATTTCAGGTGAAATCTAGAATCTCAAAAGTTACAATTGGGGACAGTTTAAAACTAGAGTCTAGTTTTGAATTGTCCGCAAAAATCCACGTCATAGATATGCTTTTTAACATGAGTAATAGTGACTATTTGCATTGCTCATGTTACTTACAAAAATACGAAAGCATGGGAATTTTGTTTTTGAGAAAAGTGAAGAGCATTGCTCATATTATAGAACTTTTTGGGATTCTAGATTTCACCTGAATTTTTCCACGTCATTAGCTCGATTTTTAACATAAGCAATAGTGAGTATGTGCATTGCTCATGTTATACAAAAATACGAAAATATGGGAATTTTGTTTTTGTGAAAAATTTGTGTCTGTCGAAAATACGTTTCAAAATTTTCCACAATTAAAAAATTGAAAAAATTAGATTGATGAAATAAAACCTCCCAACAAGAAACATTTTTCAATTTTCTAATTTTGCAAAATTTTGAAACGTATTTTCGACGGGCACATTTTTTCTCAAAAACAAAGCTCCCATATTTTCGCATAACATGAGCAATGCAAATATTCACTGTTGCTCATGTTAACGAGCACATCTGTGACGTGGCACAATTTCAGGTGAAATCTGGAATCCCAAAAAGTTCTATAATATGAGCAATGCTCTACATTCTTCGCAAAAAACAGTATTGCTCATGTTAAAGAGCATAAAGAGCACGTTTTAAATTGTCCCCAGAAATCCACGTCATAGATATGATTTTTAACATGAGTAATAGTGAACATTTGCATTGCTCATGTTTTACGAAAATTTGGGAGTTTTGAGCATTGCTCATGTTAGACCTCTTGCTCAAACAATCCCCTCAAGCCACGTCCCTTTTCTGCAACCACCGCACACTTTTTTTGCAGGCGGTGAACACGTGAACTTCCACAAACAAAAAAACATGTATGAACAAGTGATATTTGGACCCGAAACTGTGATGCTCCGCCTAATTCGAGCCAAGAAAAATCAAATTGAGGAATGTTTGCGAGCCGGAATCAGCTCGCTGTTTGCCGAAGCTGGAACATATTGGTGTTATGAGAATTTGCAGGAAGTTGAGCAGATTTATGAGAAAGTTGTGGCGGTTATGGAGGTAATTTGAGGGATTTTTGAGCTGAAAATTGGGATTTTTGGATGAAATTCTTGAAAAGTGATGGATTTTGACCTGAAAATCGGGATTTTTGGATAATTTTGAGCTGAAATTCATTGAAAATGATGAATTTTGAGCCAAAAATCGAGATTTTTGGATAATTATGAGCTGAAATTCATTGAAATTAATTTTTTTTGCAGAAAATCGAAGAGCACAATCAGAATTTCAACAATATCATGAAACTCGAATTTGAGAATTTCGATGAGGATAATTCCGATGATGATTATGGAGAAAATGATGAAGATGATCCGAATTTCAAAGAGGTACGGTCATTTTTTTTGCCACGTCATAGCAGCCTGAAAATCTGGAATTACAGACAATTTTGTCTGAAAAATGGAATTGTTAGACATAAAATTTGTGAAAATTCATGAATTTTGAGAGATTTTAACGATTTTCAGCTCAAATTAGCATGAAATCTTGAAAAATTTGAATTTTTTATGAAATTTTGAGCTGGAATGACTGAAAATTCAAATGTTATTATCTGAAATTAATTCCAGAAGCCGCGAAATCGAGCCAAGAGAAAACGATGTGCCAGAAGGATTTTGGTGAAAAGTAAGCCCCAGAAATTTTCGCTTCAAAAATCTGTATCCTTTTCCAGATGAGCTCAAAGAGCTATCGAATTTGAGAAAAGTTGTCACACCGGCTCCGGGAGCAAAACACAAAATCGCAGAGGAAAATCAAGAAGCAGCACCGGGAAGTGAAGAAAAAATGCCGAGAATTGAGGGAAATCAAGAAGAAGATGCGGTGGAAATTGAGGATGATGATGAGAAAGGTGAGGAAAAATGGGCCTTGGGCCTGGAGCATGGAAAAATGGGCGGTGCTTGAAAAGAGCATCAAAATGAGCCTGAATATGCCTAGGGCACAAATAAATGGGCGGAGCTTGGGAAGAGCTCCAGAATGAGCCTGAATATGCCTAGGGCACAGAAAAGTGGGCGTGGCTTATTTGGTATCGTTTTGTAGCCCTCTCCAAGTCCTACAAAATGACCCCATTTTCAAACCACGCCCACTTTTCCGTGCCGCAAAATTGCTTTCTTCAGAAAAAGTGGCAGCTCAAAGAAAAGCTGAAAAAAATCGATTGGATATGGAGCGAAGAGCGATGCGACCAATTCGACTCGATTGCACAATGATTGCACATTTTGTCATGTAGGTTTTGGCTGAAAATCTGGAATTTTTAGCCTATTTTTGCCCCTAGAAACTGAAAATTTGACCCAAAACTCTGTATTTTTCTAGGAACACTCAACAATTGTCTGAAAAACCTGAAATGGCTGAAAAAGTGAAGATTCTTTGGGATAAATTGGGCGGAAAAGAGGCGATTTTGAAGAATTATAATGCGGTTATCAAAAGATATGCGAAAGTTGAGGTATGTTGGTTTTTTGTGGGTGGAAAATGACCTAACAATGATTATTTTGCTCGAAAAATGCTCCATTGCTCAGGTTAGAGATGAAAATTCTGAATTTCACACGCTTTTTGACATTGCTCATGGTAATTTCATGATCTTCTTGAAATTTGGAATTTTTCAAATCAAAATAGCCTATTTACAACAGATTGCTCAGGTTAAAGTTGTAAATTTTGAAAAATTTTGAATTTTGCGTTAAATTTCTGAACTTCTTGAAATTTGGAATTTTTCAAACAAAATAAGCTTATTTTCCAAGGGATTGCTCAGATTAGAGTTGAAAATTTGAAAAAAAAATCTGAATTTTCCACGTTTTTAGACATTGCTCATGTTAAATTCATGATCTTCTTGAAATTTGACATTTTTCAAATTAAATGAGCTTATTTTCAAGTGATTTCTCAGATTAGAGTTGAAAATTTGAAAAAAATTGAATTTTGCATGTTTTTAGGCATTGCTCATGTTAAATTCATGTTCTTCTTGAAATTTGGAATTTTCCAACCAAATGAGCTTATTTTCAAGTGATTGCTCAGGTTAGAGTAGAAAATTTGAAAAAATATGGATTTTGCATGTTTTTAGGCATTGCTCATGTTAAATTCACGATCTTCTTGAAATTTGAAATTTTTCCAACCAAATAAGCTTATTTTCAAATGATTGCTCAGATTAGAGTTGAGAATTTGAAAAAAATTTGAATTTTGCATGTTTTTAGGCATTGCTCATGTTAAATTTTTTGATCTTTCTTGAAATTTTGAATTTTTCAAGTCAAATGAGCCCATTTCCAATATATTGCTCAAGTTACAGTTGAAATTTTTTTTTAAATCTGGATTTTGCATGTTTTCAAACATTGCTCATGTTAAGATTTTTGAAGCGCTAAAATTAACATGAGCAATGCTTCAGAAAGGCTGAAATTACCTGTTTTTGGTCTAAAAACGGCCTGAATTTAGGCCTGGTTTTCTGGGATAAAATTGGCCTGAATTTAGGCTGTGCTAAGACCAAAATGACCTAAGTCTGGGCCCAAAATTTGACTTTCAAAAGCCTGAGCCCATTTTTTTGCAGCACGCTGGCCTTCACCTAATCCAACAAGAATATCACACGTGGCAACAGGAATTCGGTGAAAATCGCAACGATTTGAATGGAATTCACGATTGGATAGCCGAAGTCAAATATATCTATCTCCATCAAGACAAATCCCTTCAATACAATTTGGTCGATAAAGTAATCGTGTCCACAAAATTGGGCCCAATTATCAGTGAAATGGCCTATTGGCCAATGTTTGTCAACTGGAAACAACACATTTTGGATTCGGTGGAACCGGAGAAAAAAGAGGAGGAGGAGCCGAAAATTGAGAAAAGAAGTGATAAGAAGGGGTGAGGTTTTGGGCTTTTTTAGGCTTTGAAGTGGGATTTGGGACCTGAAAATTGGGCTTCTTTTGAGCCTAGAATTGGGGACTTTTGGTCCCTAATTAGGCCTTGAAATTGGGCTTTTCAAGGCTTAGAAGTGGGATTTTGGACTTGAAAATTAGGTATCTTTTGAGTCTAAATTTTAGGGCTTTTAGTCCTTAATTAGGCCTCGAAATTGGGCTTATTTCAAGCCTAGAAACCTTGATTTTGGCCCAGAATTTGGGCTTTTTCTAGGTTCGAAAAAATGAGTTTAAAAAACCCATGAAAATTACGTTTCAAAATTTTGTTAATTGAAAAATATTGAAAATTGAGTTGATTGATTCACGTGAACTATATCAATATAAAAAAACTTTTTCGGGACTGAAAATTGGGCTTTTTTCAAGCCTAAAATTGAGAAATTTCGGTCCTTACATTAGGCTTTTTTTAAGCCTATAAACCTTGATTTTGGCCCAGAATGTGGGCTTTTTCAGGCTCGAAAAAAAAATGAGTTCAAAAAACCCATGAAAATTACGTTTCAAAAATTTGTTAATAGAAAAATATTGAAAATTGAGTTGATTGATTCACGTGAACTATATCAATATAAAAAAACTTTTTCGGGACTGAAAATTGGGCTTTTTTCAAGCCTAAAATTGAGAAATTTCGGTCCTTACATTAGGCTTTTTTTAAGCCTAGAAACATTGATTCTGGCCCGGAATCTGGCTTTTTCTAGGTTCGAAAAAATGAGTTCAAAAAACCCATGAAAATTATGTTTCAAAAATTTGTTAATAGAAAAATATTGAAAATTGAGTTGATTGATTCACGTGAACTATATCAATATAAAAATTCTTGGAATAACTGTGCCAGAGCTGCAGAAAAGGGGGCGGAGCTTTAAAAATTATATTTTTCTTCAAAAAATTTGATGATTTTAGAGTTTAATTTCAGGTCGGAAATACAAAACTCCCCATTTTTTTTTCAAAAATTTCAATTTTTCCAGTCCTCGCCGAAAACCGCACGACAAATTTAGAACTTCTTTGGACATTAAATTAGGCTTTTTTGAGCCTAAAATTTGAGACTTTTGGACCTGAAAATCGGGCTTCTTTTGATCCTAAATGTTAGGACTTTTTGGTCCTTTATTAGGCCCTGAAATTGGGCTTTTTTCAAGCCTATAAACCTTGATTTTGGCCCAGAGTTTGGGCTTTTTTAGACTGGAAAAAAATGAGTTCAAAAAACCCATGAAAATTACGTTTCAAAAATTTGTTAATAGAAAAATATTGAAAATTGAGTTGATTGATTCACGTGAACTATATCAATATAAAAAAAAAACTTTTTCGGGCCTGAAAATTGGGCTTTTTTCAAGCCTAAAATTGAGAAATTTCGGTCCTTACATTAGGCTTTTTTTAAGCCTAGAAACCTTGATTTTGGCCCGGAATCTGGGCTTTTTCAGGCTCGAAAAAAAATGAGTTCAAAAAACCCATGAAAATTACGTTTCAAAAATTTTTTAAAGGGGTTGTCCTTCTACGTCGAAAATCAAGTCCGCAATAGTGCGTCACTTTTTAAAACTATTTATAAGCAAGCCTAAATTTGATTAAAATCACTTTACATAGTTTAAAAATGTTAGGAAATACGTTTCGCAAGAAATACACACAAATAAATGATGTGTGTGAAGAGCACACATGCTTTTTATATACACTAAAACCTTAAAACCCAACAAAAACATGAATAAAATGGTGAAAACTCGCTCTAAAATCAAAATAAAATATGGAATGTTTCAGGAGCACTTTAGCTCTATCGAATGAACCTAAGTTTCCCTGTAGCAGGACAACCCCTTTAATAGAAAAATATTGAAAATTGAGTTGATTGATTCACGTGAACTATATCAATATAAAATTTCTTGGAAAAAGTGTGCCAGAGCTGCAGAGAAAGGCTTATTAAATTAGGCTTCTTTTGAGCCTAAAATTTGAGACTTTTGGACCTGAAAATTGGGCTTCTTTTGAGTCTAGATTTTAGGGATTTTCGTCTTTAGATAAAGCCTTAAAATCGGGCTTTTTTCAAGCCTGAATGTTAGCACTTTTGGTCCTTAATTAGGCCTTGAAATTGGGCTTCTTTTGAGCCTAGAAACCTTGATTCCGGCCCAGAATCTGGGCTTTTTTAGACTGGAAAAAATGAGTCCAAAAACCCATGAAAATTACGTTTCAAAAATTTGTTAATAGAAAAATATTGAAAATTGAGTTGATTGATTCACGTGAACTATATCAATATAAAAATTCTTGGAAAAATTGTGCCAGAATTGCGGAAAAAGGGCGGAGCTTGGGAAATTTCACTCAAAATCAAACCCAGTTTTCACCCAGAAAATCTCAAAAATTCCAATTTTTCCAGACCTCGCCGAAAACCGCACGACAAATCTCGGTGCATGGGTCAATGCATTCACACGCCATTCGAGCATCTGATTGTGCCCTACGAGCGCAACACCAATTATCAATTTATCGATCGAATTCGCGGCATTTTGAGCGGTATTGATTTTTTGAAAAATTTGTTGCTCAAAAATTTCTACAATTTGATCTATATGTTCAATGGAGTGAGTTTTTGAAGGACGGGCGGGGAAAAAATAGTGCCAGGCTTGCAGAAAAGGGGCGGGGCTTAGGAATCGCAGAATTTTAGTTTCATAATTTTAAGAATCCCAAAAATTCAATAAAACTCTAGAAAAACTGTGCCAGACTTGCAGAAAAAGGGGGCGTGGCTTAGGAATCGCAGAATTTTAGTTTCAAAATTTTAAGAATCAAAGGAATTCAATTCAACCCTAGAAAAAAAGTGTGCCAGACTTGCAGAAAAGGGGCGGCGCTTTGAAATCGCGGGTTTGTTAGGTTCATAATTTTAAGAATCACAAAAATTCAATATAACTCTAGAAAAACTGTGCCAGACTTGCAGAAAAAGGGGGCATGGCTTAGGAATCGCGGGTTTGTTAGGTTCATAATTTTAAGAATCACAAAAATTCAATATAACTCTAGAAAAACTGTGCCAGACTTGCAGAAAAGGGGCGGGGCTTCAGAATCATTGAACTTTATTTTCCAAAATTTTATTGAAAAAAACTGCCAGGAATTTCTCCAACAACAAAAAATCCCATTTTTTTTCCAGAAATCAGTGACCGAAATTCTGGAATTCCAACAATGCGGCCAAATTCCCGAATTTCTCTCGGACTACAACGCCGTCGTCCGCTGCAAACACTCAATAATCCCGAATCCCGACTTCAAAATCAACGTCGAAGAACAGACCCGTCTCTTCCCACCTCATAAATGTCTTTTGTGCCAAACTCGATTGGTTTTGGCGAATTTGCGATTCGATTTGGGTATTGGAAGTATTCATGGAGAGACGAAATATGGAAATGGACCGCTCGCAAAATTTATCAGCTTGGTTATGAGTTTTGAGAAGAGATCTGATGCCAGTTTGCAACATTTGAAACATATTGCGTGAGTTTTTTTGGGGATTGCTCAGGTTAAACTCAAAAAAATCTGAATTTTTTGAATTTTTGAATGTCTTACCTTTGATCAGGCTCTAAAATGAGCAATGGGTTCAAAATCTTGAATTTCGAGCTCGGAAATTCCAATTTTACCTCAAAAAACATGGAGAAAAGCCAGTTTTATTTTTTTTTTTGGAAATTTCGCTTAACCTTTGCAATGGTTCAACTGAAAAATTAGATGGATTGCTCAGGTTAAGCGAATTTTTCAAATATATTATTCATTTCAAAGCATTGCTCATATTAGGCTCCAAAAACTTCTGGAGTTTGTAAGGTAAAATTGAAAATGCATAAAATTAACATGAGCAATAATCCTAAATGAATAATGAGCTAGTTTTCTTAAAAATTTTGTTTACTTGAGCAATGAATTTTTGTGAATTTTAACATTAGCAATAACAAATAATACGCATTGCTCATGTTATACTCAAATATGCCAAAACTAGCTGTTTTCCCCTCCAAAAATCTCGAATTTCATAGTTTAACATGAGCAATACATAGAAACCATGCATTGCTCATTTTATACTCGAATTTGTGATTTTCTAGCTCAAAAATCTCCAATTCGGAGCATTGCTCAGGTCAAGTTTCAATTGTGAAAAATTGTATATCATTGTCATATTAAACTCGTGGGTTTTTGAGGTGAAATTGAAATTTCAATTCAAATCGGCCCAAAATAGCTCATTTTTCACCAAAAATCTCGAATTTTATAGTTTAACATGAGCAATACATAGAAACCATGCATTGCTCATGTTATACTTGAAATTTTTGATTTTCCAGCTCCAAAAAATGTGTTTTACTACCAAAAATCTTGATTTTTATTTCAGCACTTTAACATGAGCAATAGAAATCACGTCTTGCTCATTTTACAGGGTGCGCGCGAAATATGTGTGCATGCGAAAATTTCACATACAGTGTTAGTAATATTGGCACACGTAGTAAATTTGAGTATGGATTGTTCAAAACTAGTCACAAGTATCCGAGAAACACCATTTACAAGAATTCAAGTCAATCTCTTGACTTAAAATATAATCCGGTTTGAATGAAGTCAGAAGAGAAATTGTGAAAATGAGAAAATCTGAACGCGACTCTGCCTATTTTTCGGATAATGATTTTGACCATTTAGAACTCGAGTTTCGTAAAAGTTATTTAAATATGATTTCGTATGATGTCTTTAGATATCATTGGCTTACTTTATTTAAATTCATAGAGTTCATTATACCGTTTTAAGAACGAGCAGGCCTAAAACAAAATTCCACTCGAGGAATCGGCGAAATCTGAATTCAATCTGAGAAACAAGCTCTAGAGCACTTAAAAGTCAATAATTCATCGTGATTATGACTGAATTATGATAATATGTTCATATTACTGCAGTTTGATAGAAATATTGGTTATACAAACATTACTTTCGACAATAATTGATTTTTGTCTCTTTTTGGGAAATTTTTTTTTGAAAACTTCTTTTTTGTAGGTTGCATTAAACACCATTTTTAGAGAGTTTTGTGGAACCAGATATGGATTTCTGTTATAAACACTATCAGGGAAGGTAAAATAAAGGTTTTTTGCTGATCACTTCAATTAATCGTGAAAATTTAGACTTTGAAACAGTCTTGTGAACTTGAAAATAGCCGCGTTCATACCACACTCATTCTAAAACCATACCCCAAAGGAAATTATGTGACTTGATCTAGGTATACAAAATCGGCTTTGGATTTTTTATTATGATCAGTTTGGCTATCTTGAGACCAAATCTCAGCGTGATCAGGAACGTTCTGGCTTTATTATGGCCAAAAGTTCATGCACACATATTTCGCGCGCACCCTGTATACTTGAAATGTTTGATTTTCTAGCTCAAAAATCTCAAAATTTCCCAAATTTTGCAGCACCTTCAAAGCATTTCTCGATCGTCTTCGTCGTTTCATTCAATATTGTGAATCATCGTGTGTCGTCATCCAAGAGTACTGTAATCGATTGAATGAGTTGGAATATGCGCAACAACGTGTCAATATTCTACAATTGCGCAACTCCTTCAAACAATGGTATAATACACCGCTAATGGAGTTGAGAGATGTGAGCATTTCCAGCTTTTTCGCCGTAAAATTTGGGTCCGGGGACTAGAAATCAAATTTCAAAATTTGGAATTTCAAAATTTGGATTTCTAGGCCACCAACACATTTTTTAATTTTCAAATTTTTTTTTTGCAGAAAGTCGTCAACGCGTATCATCAGGATTTTGTGGCGAAAGAAGCGAGAGTTATCACGGCATGTCAGGAGTTACGATATCTCGCATTTTTATATGATAAAGAGAAAAGAGGAACGTGAGTAGTTTTTTTGGGCTGAAAATTCGGGAAAATCTGGAAATTTTGAGCTAGATTTTGTGGGAAATTATGAAAAGGCATTGCTCAGGTTAACTTTTTTGTGAAAAAAAATGAAAGGCATTGCTCATACTAGTAATTTTCCATTGAATTTCAGGAACATTGCTCAGATTTACTTTTTAAACTTTTCCTAGAAAACTATGAAAAAATCGATTTTTCAGCTCTTATCCATTGAAAAATCTGAAAATCCCTCCAAAAAAAATTTTAATTTCAGTTCCGACGGAGATGACAATATTTGTCTGGTTTGTGGTACAAATATGGAAAGTATGGTTGTTTATCCATGCGGACATCGACTTTGTGAGGATTGTTATCGAGAAATTCAGAAAATGCTGTGAGTTTTGAGTTCGCCGCCCGAAAACTCGAAAATTCGGGAATTTTGACCCGAAATTCGTATGGAGTTAGGAAAAACTTCTAGACTGTAAATTTGTGCTGAAAATTTGAAAATCTTGAAAAATGTATAATTTTCAATGTGATTTTTGACTGGAAATTTAGAAAATTCAGGAATTGCTCAGAAATTACAAAAAAAAATCAAAATTTGTAGGTTTTTGAATTGAACTGAATTTTTTTAGCAAATTTAATGCTGAAAATTTTGAAATCTTTAAAAAATGAATAATGTTCAATGTGATTTTTGATTTTTTGGAAATTTAGAAAATTCAGAAATTTTGACCCGAATTTCATATAAAGTAAGAAATTGCTCAGAAATTACAAGAAAATTTTTTATAAAAAATTTCTAGACTGTAATTTTGTGCTGAAAATTTAAAAAATTCAGGAGTTGCTCAGAAATTTTTTAGGTTTTTGAATTGAATTGAATTTTTTTCAGAACATTTTCTGCTGAAAATTTAAAAATCTTAAAAATTGTATAATTTTCAATGTGATTTTTGACTAAAATCCCCCCGCAATTTTCAGAGATCGAGAAAATCAGCGACTCGCCGCGTTAGCTCGCTACAACGAGAATCGCAATCAAATCGAATGTGTCACGTGTCGCCGCAAATTCAATCCGCGACAATTAATGGTCGCACGAGCCGCGTCGGACGCGAAAAATCGCGAAAATCTTGCGATTCCCGGAATCACTTTGGCTGTGAAATTGGAGCAAACCATTCGAATTTGCAAGCAAATTATCCAAGAAAAATTCGCAAAATAAAAATTATTTTATTTACGACACTTGAAATTGGAACACATATTTGGAGGTTTTTGCTGAAAGTTTTGCAGAAGGCGAAGGTTTGTATTTTTGGGGTGGGAATTTGGAAAAAATTGGAACATTTTGAGCTAAAAATCAGGAAAAATGGTGGAAATTTACTTGAAATTTGAACGCGGGGACTAGAACTACAATTTTTGGATTTCTAGGCCACCAGAATCCTTGAAATTTTCTCGGGTTGGCCTTTTTCATCAAGAGAAAATTCAAAACATTACTCAGGTTAACCTTTTTCTAGTTTTAGAGCACTGAGGTTAACCTTTATTTTTCAAAAAAATATTGAAAGCATTGCTCAGGTTAACATTTATTTTTCAAAAAAAACATTCAAAGAATTGCTCAGGTCACTCTTTTTCTTCTTCAAGGAAATTTAAAAGCGTTGCTCAGGTTAACATTTTCCGTTTAGTTTCATGAGGATTGCTCAGATTAGCTTTTTCTTCAAACAATCTATAGCATTGCTCAGGTTAAAGACACACAATTCACTAGAAATGAACAGAAAATGAGTTTGTTATTCTTTCATAACACCTTTCAAGTAATCGAAACTCATAAAAATCAAGAAAACATTTTGAGTCTGGCAAAAGTGAACATTTATTTTTCAAAAAAATATTCAAAGCATTGCCTTTTCTATTTTTAGAGCATTGCTCAGGTTAACTTTTATTTATCAAATTAAATTAATCGATAAATCAAACCTTAAATTAGATCTCAAGACAAAATTCAACTCAAAATTCACTAAAAACCCAACCAGAAAATAAAATTACTGAAAAATGACTGGATTTTCAAGAAGAATCTGAAAATCATCGACCTGAATCAAAATATTTTTCTTCCAGATGCCTTTCATCGAAATCTCGCGCAGCGAATACGGCAAACGCGTCTTCACATTCGAATTTTCCGATTCCACCAAAATCCTCCTATGCTCTCTCTCGATGTGTGCAAATGGATTGAATTTGACGCAAGCCAATCACATCATTTTCCTTGATCCGACACATTTATCATCAGTTGTTGCGCAGGTGAGCATTTCAAGCTTTTTCCCCGTTAAAAATGGACTAGAATGATGGTTTTCTAGACCGCGGACTAGTTTTGTTGCCCCCAAAATTTTTTTGGTTTTCTAGGCCATCGGTCGAATTTCACGATATGGACAGTGTCGAGAGATGAAAGTGTATCATATGATTGTCGAATCGAGTATTGATGAAGAATTGCGTCGAATTGCCACGTCAGAAGGCCAAGAAGCCGGATTATTGCAGCAAAAAGAACGTGAGTTGGTTTTCTAGGCCGTGGACTAGAAAATTCTAGGCCAATTCCCCAGAGTTTTGCAGTTTTTCACGAAAAAATCTCGTTTTTTACAGGTTCCGGCTGGACAATTGGAGAAATTCGACAAATTTTTGGAATTGCACATTGATTTTTAAAAATCTCTCAAAAAATTGATCTCACCCTTATTTTTTTCTAAAAAATTACTAACCTTTATGTACTTTATATGCAAAAATAATAATTTTAATAAACTTGAAATTAAAGTTTTCAGTATAACATGGGCAATGCCACGTCATAAAGTTCGGACTTCTAATATGAGCAGGGGTTTCAGCACAGAATCTGAATCGGGCGGGATAATAATTTGGATTCCCGTTCAAATTAGTACTTCAGAACAATCAAAACCAGATGTGGAATAAACTGAATTCATTTTCACAGGGGTTTTTTCACTACCGAGTCAATGCAAAATTGTAATCGAGCAAATAGGCTCCGCCCATCTTTTTCCGCACAGACATGTGGGCGGAGCTTAGGTTTTCAGATTTTCAAAAAGAAAATTGAAAACCCTTTGGCTCAAAAGACACACAAATAAAAAGAAAAAAGTCGGGCTATATGTGTGTTTGCAGCCACCGACATCTCGCGAGGCCGGCCACACGTTATTGTTTTTTTTGTCGGCCACGTAGCGCGCTGTTTGCGGAGGTTTTTTGTCGTCAGATAAAATGTTTTGTACGTGATTAATTCTCGGTAGTAATAAAACCCCTGTGTATTTTATAAAAAATTTTATTTAAAAAAAAATTTTTCCACATAAAAAAAGCAAAAAATAAATGAATTTTATTTAAAAAATTTTATTTAAAAAAAATTTTCCACATAAAAAATGGATGAAGATTGATGAATAGATGAAATCTCAAGTTGCGGAGGTTTCAATCGGCCAAATCCAACAGAATCAGCTGATTCACGTGGACGATGTCCCTGAAATAATGACATTTATTAAAATCAGTCAGTTCAGTTAGACTGAGCTGAAAATCACAGGCTAGATTTGAAATGAACATTCAATATTTCAATAAAAATATAAACTTACGTCTCTCTGGTGATGGTTGACGTTCCATTTCAAACACAGATGGTTCCAGATGGTCTTTATCTGGTTTGAAAATCACACGCAATTCAGATTTTTGTCCAGGTCCAATGAGTTCCAATTGATTTCCAACAATCTAGATAAAACATTATTTTCTTCAGAAAAATAAGAAAACGATTACCTCAAAAGCATCTGTTCCACTATCTAAATTTGATCTCACATTCAGCATTCGATCCGAAACATTCTCCATTTCCAATTTCAAACCTAATTGATCTCCAATTCCAACAGCTCCATATGCCAATCTTCGACTATTCATTTTCAATAAATTCGGCTTTTCTGACACAGCTAAAAAAAAAGAAGAAAATACATTAAACACTTTAGTTACGTACTCCCCCCTTTTTTCCAGAAAAAAAAAGAAAAAAGTAGGCGGTGTCCATATGTTGATTGTGCGGCGCGTGTGTTTTTTGTTGCCGCACAGTTTTTTTCGTGTTTTTTTTGTTCGCAAGAGGCGACGCCTCCACTTTCTGCAAACACCGCTGCATACCGTATCACGGTAACAAAAAAAAATCTTTTTTTTAGCTGTGTCTGATCCAATCGAACTTGTTTTTGAAACAGAAGTGTTGGTGAAAAGTTGACCATTCTGAACTATTCCATTCGGAAAAATTGACGAACTTGAAGGCGAACATTTGGCTGAAAAAATAATGAAAAAATAATAATCGTTTCGACAAAATGAAGTTTCAAAATTACCAAAAATTGGTGATCCCGTAATATTGGTTGAAGATTGATGAACAGATGAAATATCAAGATGCAGAGGGATCAATCGGCGAAATAGAACAGAATCAGCTGAAAATCACAGGCTAGATTTGAAATGAACTAGTTTTTTGGAAAAAATATACATTCAATAAAATAATAAACTTAATCGATTGAAGCAAAATCAATACTTCAAAATGCGACTACTTAATTCGTTCCCCCTTCAATTTATCAAATATAAACTTACGTTTTTTTGGAGTGCTCGTCCGCATCGATTCATCCAAATTTGATTGACTTCGCTCTGGTGATGGTTGACGTTCCATTTCAACTACAGATGGTTCCCACGAATTTTCTTTTTCAAATTTCTTTTGATGAAATCGCGGATCAATTTCTGGGAATAACCGATCTGCTCGATTTTCATTCGAAAAAAACTTCTTCTCATATTCGTCCATTATTGATTCTAAAATAAACAATTATTTTTTGAATCTAGAATATTCCGACTTACTTGCATCTTTGAATTCGACAGAACAATTTTTCGAATTTTCTCCGGAACCACTCAACATCTCTTTACCAGCAATATCCCACGAATCATCTTTAGTTGCTTTTGTGGCATCTTTTTCTCCATCAATTTCTAAATGATCGAATCGATCTTCCATAAGATGAAGTTGATTTCCTTCTTCGAAAAAGTTTTATCACAAAAAACTCACAAACAAAAATTTTCAGCGATTTTTCGTTTTCCTATAAAAGAAGAATAAACTGATACTGAGATTGTGAGAGATAAATAGGACATTGAAATATAGGACACGTTGTGCGTGGAATTTTTAAATATTTAATTTTGGAATTTTTCTTTTCGAGTGTCAATTGCTGATTTGAAAATGTCACGTTCAAATATTAAAAATGTGAGTTGAGATTTCCGGAAATTAAATAAAATGGAACAATCTTTTTGTTGTGGTTGCGACTTTTTTATAATAGAAATTTATTGAAGAAAAAAAAACTAAAATACATTTTTTTTTGGAAAATCTCGGGCCGATTTTTTTTTTGAAAAAACTCGGGCCGATTTTTTTGAAAATCTCGGGCCGATTTTTTTTTGGAAAATCTCGGGCCGATTTTTTTTTGGAAAAACTCGGTCCGATTTTTTTGAAAAAACTCGGGCCGATTTTTTTGGAAAAACTCGGTCCGATTTTTTTTTTTTTTGAAAAACTCTGTATGTGAAATTATCGCCTGCACACATATTTCGCGCGCACCCTGTACTTCAGAACCATCAAAACCAGATGTGAATTTAAAAATGAATTTATTTTATAAAAAATCTTCCACATAAAAAACGCAAAAAATAATTCTTTAAAATTACCAAAAATTGGTGATCCTGTAAGATTGGATGAAGATTGATAAATTGATGAAATCTCAAGTTGCGGAGGTTTCAATCGGCCAAATCCAACAGAATCATTTGATTCACGTGGACGATGTCCCTGAAATAATGACATTTATTAAAATCAGTCAGTTCAGTTAGACTGAGCTGAAAATCACAGGCTAGATTTGAAATGAACTTGTTTTTTGGAAAAAATATACATTCAATAAAATAATAAACTTAATCGATTGAAGCAAAATCAATACTTCAAAATGCGACTACTTAATTCGTTCCCCCTTCAATTTATCAAATATAAACTTACGTTTTTTTGGAGTGCTCGTCCGCATCGATTCATCCATATTTGATTGAGTTCGCTCTGGTGATGGTTGTCGTTCCATTTCAACCACAGATGGTTCCCACGAATTTTCTTTTTCAAATTTCTTTTGATGAAATCGCGGATCAATTTCTGGGAATAACCGATCTGCTCGATTTTCATTCGAAAAAAACATCTTCTCATATTCGTCCATTGTTGATTCTAAAATAAACAGTTATTTCTTGAATCTAGAATATTCCGACTTACTTGCATCTTTGAATTCGACAGAACAATTTTTCGAATTCTCTCCGGAACCACTCAACATCTCTTTACAAGCCATATCCCACGAATCATCTTTAGTTGCTTTGTTACGGTCAGCAGCAGGCCACGCCCCCTCGCGCGTTGATGATGGAGAAGAAGAGGAGGACAGTTGGGTTGAGGAGATGGCTAGGTGAAGGGGACCATAGGTCCCTTTTCTAATTAAGTTTCATTAGTATAATCTTTTAACTTTATATCTTATTATTGTAATTATCTTTATCCTTATCTATAATAAACTATGCTTAATCAAGAACTCGAGGTTATATCTAACTAAACTTTAGGAAAAAGCATAAAGTATATGCCCGACCTCCTCTAGCTAAGCTAGAGGGGTCACGGCGTATAACGTGGAGGTTCCACCTTGAGGGGATACTTCTTCGAGGTACTCCCCGATAGGTAGTTTTTTTTCTTTAATTTCAATTTCTTTATTTTAAGTTTTATTTAACCGTAAATTTTGTTTTTCAAATTAGTAGTGTATAATGTATACGTGTAGGAGTAGGTTAGGTTTGCGGAAGCCACAAGCAACCGACTATTGTACTAGTATTCTATATCTATTCCATCTACTGCCAAATAGAAGAGGTACAATGGGAACTGAAGCCAACGACAGAGGTCCTGCGCACGCTGAAGCTCGCCCAGTGTGCAGGTTACGTGAGTTTTTGGGATTTTTTTACTCCTGAGGGATTCTCTGAGAGAGCGGATTTATCCGTGAGAATCTGGGCTTTTTAACTCTTGGTTGGTTTTATTTTGAGACATCAGATAGCTATCGCCCGCTTATCCATTAGTTGACAATTTTTCGCTTTTTCTGCAGTAGGTTACTTCAAAATTCGCGCGCAAAACAATTTCAGATTTTTATAAACAGGAAAGTGAAGAAATGGAACTTGTGGTAAGTTTAAACGTGTTGGGTTGTATCCACACGTTGTCTCGTATTTTTTAAAACCTCTGGTCGCATGATTATATGTTTTTTTCCCCTTATTCTGACGCGCGGCAGCTTGTTTCCAACAAGTGTACAAAAGGTAAGCCCGCAAGGCAGGCGTCCACATCCGGATGTAATAATTTTTTTGTTGCACGTATACACCCTCTCACACTAACTATTTTTAGCATGAAACGAATAGTTAACCCAAAAAGCACAATTTGAATATTTATGACACATCAGCTCAAATGCCGTAATCTGACCTCAAAAACGTATCTGCCGAGCAGATGCAAATAAAAGAGTCAAAAGGATTGCGCAAGAGGGTCAACACCAACAGATAAGTGTAATAAATATATCACAATCGCATTCATCGAATTGCGCAATCAGGTCATCGGATTATTTTTATTGCTCAATCGGGTAACAATTCAAACAATGGAAAGGGCCACAAGAGATGAATAGTCTGCGACACCCATGTGGGCTGAGCAATAGGTACCAGTGCTATCAGAAACAATTCATTTGTTGGTAGACGTACCACAAGATGGAGGGTAGTTCAGAGATGCCCGGTTTCTGGTTTTCTCAATTGGCAATTTTATTTAATTTTTTTTCTCACGCCTACCGAGGCACATTTTACCGAAGTTCATTCTTGCATGTGTCCCCCAACCCTAAGCCACACTTTACCCCACTCAATCTCAATTTTCACCGCATGTACCGTAATTTTCATACGTTACTAAGACTGTTTTCATTTCAGAAAACCATTGATCGCCAGCAAGAAGACGCCTTAGCCCGGCACGAAAGAGCCCACAGACGAAATCTACTCCTCCTCCAAAACCAACAACGCCAGCAGCAGCAAGATCGTCAAATCAGACAATTGCGACATCTGCAGGACAGAATAGAGGATCAGGAGGACGACGAGGAAGCTCCAAGAAATAACCAAGCACCTCGACAAAGAATGGGTGAACACGCTCAACAACCAGCCCAACCATTTCTGGGAAGAACTATCTTCTTGGAGACACCAAAATTCACTGGCAAAGGAGCATTCTCATCATTCGTTCGTAAGCTCAACGATTTTTTAAATGCTAATCTGCTTGACGAGGAGCAAGGAAGAAGACTTCTTCCTTCTCTTCTAGACGGAAGAGCGAGAGACGCCTTCGAAAATCTCAATCCCGAAGTGCGTGAAGGCCCATGGAATGCTATGATGGATCGCCGTGCGACGAAATTCACACAGAAGATCGCCAACTCATTGCTCGAACCGAATTGGGTCTTATCAAACAAGGAGGTCGAACAGTCGAGGAATTTTTCAAACAATGCAAAGAATTGGGCAACCAAGCTTGGCCAGGCGAGGCTAATCGTCAAATCAAAGAAGCGATGATAACATCCAGCTTCATCAATGGTCTCAAAGCTGAAATTCGACTACATGTCCAAAGATCTCAACCAACAAGTGCTGAAGATGCTTTCAAAGCTGCGAGACGAGAAGAGGCGATTCAGTCGCTGGAATCTACGGAGAACGTTGCTGAAGCCATTAACAATCTTTCGGCAAGAATTGACAGCCTTGCAGCAAAGCAAGAGGAAATCAACTTCACAAGCACCAACCATTGGGGAAACGATACTAGCGATAATCAAGGAAATGGTGGTTACAACAACAACCGTCCCAACGAAAATCGCAACAACAACGATCGTTCAAATGGTAACAATTGGTCCAATAGATCGAATAATCGGTTCAATGGGAACAACAATCGACCCAATGATGATTGGGACTATGATCGGAATGGAAACGGTAACCAATAACAATCCTATCAACCACTAACTTCATTTGTAAACTCGTCTCAATCCGATTGGGATGAAAAGTTGCCTTTCATAATCTTCGCAATCAACTCAACGCCACATGCTATCACCAAGATCAGTCCACACATGGCTTGCAAGAAATGAGTCGGAAGAATCGGAAGAGGAGCACATGGTGGAAGACGTTGATCAAGAGATAGTGGAGAAGCAGCCCAACATAACACAACCCAGAAGATCACAAAGACTACGTGCCAAACATATGGAATGATGGATTTGTTTTTTTTTTGTTATTTTACCTTTTTTTTTATTTTAGTTAAATTCTCTTAAAAATTATTCTCGAAAATCATTATACTCAATTAATTAAGCTAGTAATATTTCAACAATAACTTTCAAATATAATTAACTCAATTCCAAATTTCAATTATCCTAATTTCTAAGTTAAATCAAAATTTTCTTTCAATTTTTTTTTCTAAGCTTTACGTTTTAATATTGAATTTTTGAGTCTGAATCTGCTGTAGTAGTAGGTTAGGAAAACCCACCCAATTATTTATTTATTCCACTATACTTTATTTTTCAGTATCAAGGACTCCTATGGAACTCTTCGCCGAATCAGATTTTTGAACCAACTGCCCGAAAAGAAAAGAGAAAACACCCAACGCACGCTGGAACCATTCCTCTCAATGGGACAGCAAAACAGCCCTCGAAAAGATGCACACCATTTATGATGCACACAACAACACCACAAATTCAAACAAACGGACACATTTTTTTTCCGGAACTCATCATGGACATGCCAACATTGAAAATATCTGGCACAATTTTTTTTTTTGGAAAATCAAGGAATCGACATCACTATAAAGGAGCGAATTCATCAACAACGCTCAATCAATCAACAACATTCAATCAAGCAACAGTGGTCGAAGCAAGTTATTTCCAGCGAGGGCGCTCGACTCATAGGAAGGGGGGATGTTACGGTCACCATCAGGCCACGCCCCCTCGCGCGTTGATGATGGAGAAGAAGAGGAGGACAGTTGGGTTGAGGAGATGGCTAGGTGAAGGGGACCATAGGTCCCTTTTCTAATTAAGTTTCATTAGTATAATCTTTTAACTTTATATCTTATTATTGTAATTATCTTTATCCTTATCTATAATAAACTATGCTTAATCAAGAACTCGAGGTTATATCTAACTAAACTTTAGGAAAAAGCATAAAGTATATGCCCGACCTCCTCTAGCTAAGCTAGAGGGGTCACGGCGTATAACGGCTTTTGTGACATCTTTTTTTCCTTCAATTGCTAAATGATCGAATCGATCTTCCATAAGATGAAGTTGATTTCCTTCTTCCATTACACTATAAATAAAACTAAGGTTTTTTGAAAGAAAATGGAGTACGTGGGAAAACAAAAAGTTTTATCACAAAAAAACTCACAAACAAACATTTTCAGCGATTTTTCGTTTTCCTATAAAAGAAGAATAAACTGATACTGAGATTGTGAGAAATAAATAGGACATTGAAATATAGGACACGTTGTGCGTGGAATTTTTAAATATTTAATTTTGGAATTTTTCTTTTCGAGTGTCAATTGCTGATTTGAAAATGTCACGTTCAAATATTAAAAATGTGCGTTGAGATTTCCGGAATTTTAAATAAAATGGCACAATCGTTTTGTTGTGGTTGCGACTTTTTTAAAATAGAAATTTATTGAAGAAAAAAAACTAAATTACAAAAAGTTACACTACACAATTAGAATACAAAGACAAAACAATTTACAATTGCTAAAACACAGCTAAAACAATCTAGGAAATTGACCCGAAGAAAACCTAATGAAAAACCGCCTAATAAAAACTGCAGACAACTGCACACACAAAAAACAGAAACCGAAAAAGATGGGCGGTCTCTACGCCGCCACTTCTGCCACGTCACACGTGCACGTGCACAGCGAAAAAAATTATTTTTTCTGTTTCCGTGTGGTACGGTGCGCAAAACAGAAAGTGTTTGCACACACAAAGGAAAAAAACAAAAAACAAAAGGGGAGAACACACAAAAACCGTGCGCACATGCAATAATATTGCAGAAAGACGCTGCCAGGGGTTGCACGTGGAAAACTCCGCCTATATTTTTTTTGAATTTCCGCAACGAATTTTTTGTGTACAAAAAAATAATTTTTTTTCGCTGTGACGTGAAATGAATTAATATAAAAAGATTGATTCTTTTTATCTCTTTTATTTATTCTTTTTTTCTACATTCCAACACGTTTCAAGAAAAATCAAGAGAAACACGAATTTTAGGCCAAACCTTTATATTTCGGCCAAATAAACAACAGAAATAACAGATGCAACTCCAAAGGAAGTTATATTAACAAAATAAATGATAAGTTAATTAATTAACACAGCGATTTCCCAGAAATCACTGCGAAAACAACGAAAACCACAAAAACGTAAACTTTTGAAATGTACCCGGAAGGCGAACACACAAAATACGTCAATCTCTTACATCATGACGCATTTGTGGTGCACATCCTCTTGTGGATGACTAACAAAAACTGAATAAATGATATTGCCCAAAAAAGTCAAGATTTTCATGCTCGAATTATTGTTTGAAATTTGTTTATTCTTTCGAATTGTCATAACATTCTCAACCCCGGGTTATAACTCGTAAGCCCTGTGTCATTCTTTTTTCTTTTTCATATTATCTACTCTCTACTTATATATTATTTCCCGAGGTGTCTTTCCGCATTTAAAGGTCACGTGATTTCTTGTTTTTATTATTTTACTAAATAAATAACTCATATTGCTGTCAAAAAAAACGAGCGTTGAATATCCGTGAGAAAATCATTGAAAAATCTTAAAAAAAAAAAAAAAAATTAAAACAATTGAAATAATAAACAATTTTTTCACGTGACCTTTGCGACGTGACCTAATTAAATGCATCCTAAAAAATGCCACGACATTTTTGTCAGTTTCAAAAAAATGGCCAAACAAAACGACGACGTTGCACCCACCACCGAATTATGCAACTGTCAAAAATCCACAAGTGAACTGGTAAGTAAATAATCAAAAATTCAAATCAAAATAAAATCGATGTTTTTTCAGATCAGTGCGCTGACTTCGTCATGCCACGTTCACGGAATTGTCGACAGAAGCCGAGGAACAGTTGTTTGCTGGTTTTCCAAGTGTGAGTTCAGAGGGAGAATACATGATTTAAAACTGATTTACAATCATCGGGTCCTGTAAAAATTTATTTGGTGAATCGAATTCGCCCTTGTGAGGAAATTATTTTGAAATAATTTTTTAAAAATCGGAAAATGCTTCAGTCAAAAAAAAACTAAGTCAAACTTGAAGATTTTCAAAAATGTCTTGAAGTGTTGTGCAGATTGAAGGGAATAGGGTTGAAGACTCGCTGCGGAAATTAAGCAAAAAACTATATATATTTTGTTTTGCAGATACATGATGAAAAAAAACCTCCCGGCGAAACGCGATTCTTACTCTGATGAACCGAGTAAGAATCGCGTTCGCCGAAGATGCTGAAAACACCGTAAACGAAATCCGAGAATTCGTTGATGCTGGTGTTCCAACGTTTCAAACTTTTGTGAAGTAAGTTTTTTCATCTTTGTACTATAAATTCATGAAAATAATCTTCGTCGCGAAGAATATTTTTTGAAGATGCTCAAGTTCTTGAAGTGTTAAAAAAATTAAATTATTTCAGAAGTTGAAGGCTCATGTTGTGCCGTTTCGAAAAATGCTTCAAAATCGATTCTCACAATATATGACTGAAGGAGAAATGGACAGTTGCTTGAACCAGTTCGGAAACGACGCACAATTTGTAAAATGGATGAGAAAGTATGTTTGGGTTCATAAAAAAGAGGGGTTCGGCAGAGAAGAGGATGGGTTTCGAAAATGTTATGCTCTCAACAGCTGATTTTTTGATCAGAAGTTGATTATTTTATCTCTTCCCAAAACTTAAGCGTAAGATATCGATTAAGCTTAAAATTCTGAACACTAGCTACTTTTGAAACCAAAATAATATCAAGCTTTCAAAAAAGTCATTTTTTAACCCCTGGTGGTTTTCATAACCCTTTTTTCCGAAAGCCTTTTCTCATCTTACTTTAAATTTCATTTATTTTTTCCCGAAATTTTTCAAGAACATTTTATATATAACCATAACCATTCTTACGTTGCAGAAAAGTCAAAGTGGATAACCGAATGATTTACACCGCGCAAGGGTTGAGAAATTCGTATGAGAAGTATTTGGAGAAAGATTCGAAAATGGACGGAAAATAGTTTTAATTTTGTCCTTGTAAAATATCAATTATGTTTATTTGGTAGTAATAAGACCTATTTTTTTATATTTTTTTTTGTGTGTTTTGTGAGAAAGTTGGTTGTAATTGTTTAGTTCTTCTAATAAATGTTTATTTCTCAGAATATCACAAAAGCTCAAAGAAACATGAGAGAAAACCGGCGGAGAAAAACGACCCGCATGTGGTAAACGTAAAAACTTGCTCAGAAAGTAACGCACATTTTCCACTATTTCTTTTGGGTTTTGAATTCGAAAAGTGAATAAATTCCCCAAAATTAAACTCATCTTCTTCAAACTCCACAAAATTCTGATTCGAAAACCTGAAAATACTAGCAATTTGTGAATAGAAAATGAAAAACAAATTTTCTTTCATCAAAACTCAAAAAATCAATAACAGAGAAAACATGGTAGATCAAAATTAGTTTTTTTTTATTTGTCATCATTGGAAAACTTCTGAGAAAACTAGTTTTGGCCAACGCTTTCCAGGTTTTTCCTGTCAAAATTCAAAAATTGGGCAATGTTTTCAGGAAAAAACAGATTTATTAACATTTCAATGCAAAAAAAACAAATAAAATTTCCCTATCTAAAATGAGCAATTCTTCAATTTCAACCTAAAATTCCTTCCATCATAAATCCAGCGACTTCCGGGCGGTTCCTTTTGGCAAATCGCCAACTTTTTCTCCCAATTCATAGACTCGCAGCTGAATTTCGTCGGTTATCGATTTTCGCACTTGTTCCACAGTCAGACCTTTCGTTTCGAGCAACTTTTTTTTGAGATGCGATAGTTGGAACGGTTCGCCAATGTGCACTTCGACTTTCTGAAACGGAAAAAAAATGTGCGGGGGTTGCAGAAAGGGGCGGGGCTTGTGGAGAGGGTCATTTTGATACCAGAAAAACTGTGCGAGAGTTGCAGAAAGGGGCGGGGCCTCACAGAAACTTAAAATTGACCATTTTCAACATAAAACCCCTCAAAACAACGCAAATTTCACGGCGAAAAAAACTGTGCCAGGCTTGCAAAATGGGCGTGTCACCTACATTTCCAAATCTCGGATAATACGGTGGCCGTTCCGGCCAAACACCATCCATCCCAACACACCAAATCGGCAAAATCAGCGGATCGGTCTCGGCGTCGGCTATCAATCGACCAACACCCCATTTGAATCTGGAAATTTTTGAGTTTTGCGTAGATGAAAATCGTCCTACCGTACCTTAAAGGCTCATCCTCTTTTCGACACACTTTTCCCTCTGGATAAATGTGTATCCACTGATTTTTGTTCAGCATTTCCACACTGAAATCCATGCCTTTTTGATAGACACCTTCGCCGCGCACACAAGGAACACAACGGCCCAATGAGAAGATTCTGGAACAAATTCTAGGGTGCGGGAAATGCGTCAGCACGAAATTTGCGTCAGTTTGATACCGAACAAGGCTTTGTTGGCGCTTTTTTGTAGACTAGGATCGTTTCGTATCAAACTGACGCAAATCACGTGCTGACGCATATTTTGTAGCTCCCACTTACGTGGTATGAAATTGTTTGGTAAAACAAATATTATGCGCAGCCAACGTATATCGATATTTATCCTTGATGTTCCAGAATTCTCGAAACGTGAAAATCGCTGGAAATTTTTCGGGTTTCTAGGCCACGGCCACCGATTTTCCCAACTCACACCACATTAGAGGATCGTCAATATTACAGCGATGATTTGCGACAGTTATCAGGGGTTTTGTGGGATCCTCGAGGATTTGTAGCAATTTTTCCTTGTTGTGGACGATGAGACGGTTTACGCCTGGAAAATTTGAGAAAAAAGGTTCTGAGGGGGATTTTGGGGCTCATAATCCAATTTTAATGGGAATTTTTGATATTCTCACCTCCTAAAAACATAATCTTCGACACGGTTTTCACAAAACTCATAGTAAAGTACGATTTTAGTGTGTAAAAATAGGTGGGCTCTTTTGGGAAAGGCCACGCGAATCGGAATCCCTGCACATCGTTGGATTTATCCCGCATTGTTCCGGACATTCTGAAAATTTCAGGGGAAAATCTGAAAAAACCTTGAAAAAAAAATAAAAAATAAAATAACCAACAAAAACCATGCCGCACCGCCCATCAATTGCAAACAAACGTGCCAGCATCGGCCAATGCCCATTTATTCAGGCCACGCCCCTTTTTTTCATTTCGCCCCGTTTTCCCCGCTGTTTCCATAGAAACCCAGGTTTTTGCAGGTGAAATGGGTAACCAATACGTGAAACCGGAAAGAACTGGCAATTCGCCGTACACCCGTTCGGGTGTTCCACCACCAGCTTTGGTGAAAACCGGAGATAAACCATTGCACAGGTAAAATTTCGATTTTTGAACAGAAAATTAGGTTTTTGTTGCAGAGTCAATGATCGTATGTCGCTGGAAATGCATATGGCTGATGAACGAGTTCGTGCTGCCGGTTTGTCGGCTGCTGAAAGAGAATGGCGTAAGAAATGGGTTCATGTGAGTTGTTTATTGATTTTTTGAGTGGGAATGGTGAATTTATAGTAGAAATATGTGGGAAATTCATGATTTTCGGTGGAAAAATATGGAGGAATTCGGGATAATGATTTTTCTCATGAAAAATCAAGATTTATCGAGAAAAATCCAGTTTTCAATGAAAAATCTATTTTTTATGGGAAAATTTGCGGAGTTTCAGATAATTTTATGATTTACTATCAAAAAATTATGAAGAGTACATTATTTTTCACTCAGAGATAATATTCTTGTTGTAAAATTCAAGATTTTGCTGGAAAACCATTATTTATAGCCAAAACAGAGGTTTCTAGCTCGAAATTATCCATTTTTCCCAAATTTCACCTTAAAATTCCTGTTTTTCACGCCAAAATCATTACAGGATCAACATTTACACGCCGATGAGCCAGTCGTCGTCGACGCCGTTCATCGTCAATTGAATCCGATTCGAACCGCCTATCGCTTGCCATGGGACAAATTCTATCTTCATTATTTGAAGGTATCGTGATTTTTGGGTGCCGAAATAGGGTTTTAATCAAAATTTGAGATAGAAATGTGTTTTTCTAGTGAAAATTGAGAAATAAGGGGTTGGGCTCAATTTTTCGTAAAAATTCGTGAAAAATTGCCACGTCATAAAGTTCACGTAAACTTTTAAAACGGAATATTCAAATTTTGTTTTCTAAGTCATTTTTAGCTTAAAAATCCCTCAAAAACCTCTGTTTTCTCAGCCAACATTGGGCGTCTACTACGGTACAGCAGTTCGTGTAACAGTTCCGAAATTGCTCATCGCCTTCGTCACAATTCAAACTGCCTACTATTATTGGAAATATGAGGTGAAAGATTGGCAACATTTGAGAGGTTTAGAATCGATGCCACAAAAGGAGGTGATTGTCAACAAACAGACAATTGACGAGAAATATCCGGGATTGTTGGATAAGGGATTGGCTAATCCAGAAAAGGATAATTATTATACGTGAGTTGTTGTTTTGCGGGCTGAAATTTGATGAAAAATGATGTATTTTGAAGAAAACTACTATGATCCACGTTTACCCGATGACAAATGAGCTAGAAACAGAGACTTTCAATTTCTAGATGATTTTTTCAAAAAAAAAAAAACTACGATGCTCCATGTTTACGCGATGAAAAATGAGCTAGAAACCGAGATTTCGAATTTCTAGATGATTTTCCAAAGAAAACTACGATGCTCCGCGTTTACGCGATGTAAAAATGAGGTAGAAACCGAGATTTTGGATTTCTAGATGATTTTACAAATAAAATTACAATGCTCCGCGTTTACACTGCGAAAATTCATTAGTTTTGCCTGAAAATGGTATATTTGAGAAGTGTAATCGCGGAGTATCGTAAAAGTTTTGAAAAATACTTGAAAGTTGCCGATTTTCAATAGCGTAACCGCAGAGCATCGTAGAAATCCTCAAAATCCATGAATTCTGACCGCGTAAATGCGGAGTATCGTTTGAAATTTGAAAATTATCGATTTTTCAGTCCAACCTTCGCCAAACGTACCGCCTATCTCGATGTTGGAGAAACCAAGCGACCATGGTAAAAAAATTTTCAGATTTTCTGAAATTTTTTTTTGTGTGAAAAAGAAAAAGAAGATTTACTTGTATTTTAGGTTTTGTTTTGTTTAAATAAAAGATTTTTCGATTTTTTTTGCAGAATTTTTTTTGAAAATTGAAAGCATTCAAAAAGTCGCTGAAATTATCTATTTTTGTATTTTTTCTCTGATTTTTTTGAAATTCAAGATTTTCAGATTTTCCGATGGCAGCCAATGAGAAGAAGAAATATTTCGATATGGAAAATCTTCTGACCCGAAGTTTATATCGGGTTTTGAATCAGACAGTGAGTTTTTGCCACGTGGATTTGGATTTCCAAAAATAAATCAATAAATAATTTTTTTTTTAGAATCGAGTTCCTGAACACATTCATCATCCCCAAAACCACCAACTTCCCTCATTTTCCATCGAAAAATCGGCGAAAAATGTGAATTTCGGAGTGGCGAGACCGAATAATCATCGAATTGGCGTACAATCGCCCGATCTACAGATGCAGATGAGATTGTTGGCACAGGAGGTGAGGAGAAAAATACGATGCTCCGCGTTTACACGGTCAAAATTCATGAATTTTCGCCCCGTCAACGCGGAGCATTGTAAAATTTTCGATTTTTTGCAGATTTGCAGTCGGATGGAACGAAAATACGAGAAGAAATTGGAGGATATTCGAGACAAAGATCGGAGGGAAACCGACAGAAGATTGGGAGCGATTCGAGCCGAATTTGAAGCAAAATATCATGTGCAATTGTCTAGGGTGAGTTTGCCACGTGGCATAATTTTTTTCGCGCAAAAAATTGCGGCATTTTGATATCAAACACTAAATATAGCGTAAATGCGGAGTGTCGTACTCAATTTTCTGTTCTTCAGCTCGAAAAAGAGAAGCAACGACAAGACGAAGAGTTCGCCGAACGTCTGGAAAATCAGCGAATTCGCGCCGATCTGTGCAACTCGCAAAAAGACGCGGATTTCGACGCGCGACGTCGCGTCTTGGACAATTTACAAGCGGAACTCGCGTTGAATCGCACGAATTTCGAGAAAATCAAAGAGGAATTCGGAAGGAAGATGGATCTGGAGCGAGAGAATTTGCGATTGGAGCGAGAGCGAGTGGAAATGCAGCGAGAACCGGCAATGTCGCGCGTCGCCGAGTTGCAGCGAGAGAATCGCGAACTTCGCGCGAAAATTGAGGGATTATTGGAGTATCAGCAAGAATTGCAAAGGGAAAAGGAGAAGACGAGGATTTTGGTGGGTGTTTTTGATATTTGCAAAAAAATCCTCTTCAAAAAACTGTGCCCTGAATTGCAAAAAGGGGCGTGGTCTAATTGTTGAAAGAAAAACATTACTGCAATTTCGCGGCACAGTTTTTTTTCGCGCTTAAGAATTTTTAATTTGAATTATCTCCCTAAAAATTGGGCCCTGAATTGCAGAATACAAGTTTTCTGCAATTTTGCGGCACAGTTTTCCTTCTCCAATTAATTTCCTCTGTTCCCTTTCAGACACAAAATCTTCGCGAATCCGAAAAACGCCGTGAAATTCAACACGCCGAACTGAAATCTCTACAGAAATTGGCATTTTCGCGAGAAAAATCGCGAAAACCTCAAAAAATCGCAATTCGTCAAGCTTCTTCCTCATCGGATTCGGAATTGTCTGAAGGCGAATTGGAGATTCTGAACATTCGGCAGCGAATTCAGAATTTGGATGAGATTGCGCGCGATTTGGACGCGACTATTGAGCATTTTGGCGGTGGCGAGTCGCGAGGTTTCGAGGAGCAAATCGGAAAATACGATGATTTTTGCCGAGCCCTGTCAAATTCCCACGAATCTTCCACACACGATTCCCCGAAAACCTCATCGCCGCAGAAAAAAATCGAACCGCGACGAAAATTGGATTTTTCCCAGCCAGAAATTTCAGTTGCAGAGCCCAAAAATGAGTCAAAAATTGAGCATTTTGAGCCGGAAAAGCTTGAAAAACCGGCCGAAAAAGTTGAGGAACCCAAATCGGAGATTTTTCAAGGAGTTGATCCTGTTATGGCTGAATATATGAAGAAAATTATGGCAAGAAATCAGAAAAAAAGTGAGAAAATTTAAAAATATATATATAATTTTTCATTTTTTGCAGACCGAAATTCGAGAAATTCCCCAAAAAGTCGAAATTATGCTGGCTGAAGAGGTGGAACTCGAAAAAATCGACGAAACACCCAGAAAAACCAACGAAAATGATGATTTCTGGTGAAAATATGTATATAATTATTTGTAATTAATTATCGATCTCGCATGGATTTTTTTTTTATCTCATAAATAATTTATTGCGCAACTTTGCCACGTTTTGACACCAAAATCATCATTTTTGGCCGAAAACGAAAAAAAGTTTTTTTAAAAAATTGGGGGACTAGAAAAACAGTGGCCTAGAAGCCGACACTCGTCCCTCGAAAAATTTTCCGCATTTATTCCGGTTTTTTCGCGTGAAAATACGTGTTCCCGGTTGGCGCCACGTCATTTTTGAAAAGATGAAAAACATGGGCGGTTCGAGAGAGTTTTGTCAATCAAATGGAGAACGCGGAGCTCGACAAATTGTGCATTTCTCCAAGGGACACTGAAAATTGCGTCACTTTGCGCACAATTTCGAGTTCAAGCACCAGTCAGCTGTCAATGAGCAATAGTGAGGAAGTTGTGCGGAATTCGGTGAGTTTTTGGGGTTTGGGAGGTGGAAAATGAGAAAAAAGGCCTAATTTTGGCCTTAGATTAGATTTTCAGGCCTAGAAATCCAAAATCTTCTTCCAGATTTCCTACATCGATACGCTGAAAGAGGAACGTGAACAATTGACAACTTGGGCCGATGGACTAACTCATGTTTTTAGTTTGATCGATAAAGGTAGGCGAAAAAACTACAATGCTCCGCCTTTACACCCATCGAATTTTGCAGAAATCCATCGTGTTTCGGGTCAAAATCCTGCGCAAGAAACTTCATCTGCCACGTCGCTTTCCGCAACTCTCGCAATTCCCGTCGAAAAATATCCCAACTACAATTTTGTGGGGCGGATTTTGGGACCGCGCGGAACTACCGCAAAACAATTGGAGCAGACGACCGGATGCAAAATTGTGGTTCACGGGCGGAAGGATGCGGAACAACAGCAGCCGTTGAGCATCGAAATTTCGGTGGCGGCGAATTTGCCGGGTGCCGCGCAGAAATTGGAGATTGGTGTGAATGTCATCAAGCAGTTGTTGGTGCCACCGGTGAGATTTTTCGGGGTTTTGAAACGACAATCCGCGTTTACGTAAACGCGTAGCATCGTTGTTTCTTCTATTCAGGCCGACGGACAAGACGATCTAAAACGTCAACAATTGCTAGCGCTGGCAAATATGAACGCAAATTTTCGGCCGAAAAATTCGACTGAAAATGGAAACGGAGATTATTAAATTTATTGTAATTCTAGTTTTTTTTATAAATCTGTGATATATGTAATATTTTTTTTTGTTTTTCTGTCTGTATATAAATAATTTTTTTTAGATTTGATTTCTGAAAGAAACTAACTTAGGCCGGTCTAATTAGCTTGGAAAACGAAAAATCAGCGGGCTAGAAAAACTGTTGCCTAGGATCCGACACTCGTCCGCATTTTTAACAGAGTTCAAAGTTTATCAATCAAAGAATTAGGGTTGGGCCTAAGCCTAAGAAGCCTAGGCCGAATTATAAATTGTCAGAAGGGCCTCGAGTTCAGGAATCGCTTTGACCGCACTCAATTTATAGGCATTCGAATTGCAGAAAGTTGTCGATGGAAAAGAAGACGAGGTGATTCCGATCTGCAAAAAAATCGATTTTTCAACGAAAAATCCACGATTCTGGCTGAAAATTCTACATTTTCAGCCAAAATTCACTCACATTCAAATCGACGGTTTTCGAGAATCGCAAATATTGTCGAATTGTGGAGGTGACCAAGTAGCAGAACAAAACGGCACTTATCAACAGGATGGTGGTCCACAGAAAAATTGTGAAGCACTGAAAATTGAAATTTGCCACGTGGCATGCAATTTGAGTTCAAATTTAGTTGAAATTATTGATTTTTTGCGAATCTTACCGAAATCGACGTGGCCATGTGCGGAACTCCGTGCCAAGAACAATCGGTTCCCCAGTCGCGCAAAGTTTGCTTGATTTTTCTGCAAAAATAGACTTTCTAGGCCTAAAAAACAGATTTACGAGCGAAAAAAAAGTTTTTTTAATCAATTCACAATCAAAGTTAGTTTTTCAGCCAAAAATGATGAGAAATCGAGATTTTTGAAGCTTCTGAAGTGGTTTCTGATGAAAATTGACCTTGGAATTCAGTTTTCAGAAGTTTTTGCTGAATTTTCGTTGGTGAATTTCAAAAATGAGGTAAAATAGCGTTCTCGAAGCTTATTAAGACCCTATTTCACCTCATTTCATCAATTTTCTCAAAATTCACACGAAAAATCAGCAAAAACTTCTGAAAATTGAATTCCAAGGTCAATTTTCATCAGAAATCACTCCAGAACCTTCAAAAACCTCGATTTGTCATCATTTTTAGCTGAAAAACTTGGAAAAATAATTTTTACCTCGTGAATTGATCTTTCAATGTTAAAAAAACATTTCTTTTCGTTCGTGAATCAAAAAAATTCGAAAAAATCGATAATTTCGGGCTTTCTAGGCCTAAAAACCGGTGAAAACTTCAATTTTCGGTCCCCAAAAACCCACACAATTCTCGTATTTTTCTCCACGGCCTTCTCTTTTTCTCGATCATTCTCAATATCATCAATAATCTCGTTCATTTCATCATTATAAGAATCAGTGTCAGAAATATCGATTTCATCGAGCTCTTTCAAACTTCGTCGTCGAATTTCGCTCATTTTTCAAAAAAAAAATGTTTTTTTTCTTTTTCTTTTTTGTTGAGAACAAAAAATGCTCGAATTTCTCGAATTTTAAATAATTTTTTTCAAAAAAAAGAAACAACAAAAAGGGGCGTGGCCTCTGAATTTTAAATTTAAAAAAAATGCCACGCGGAAGAAAAAAAGAAGATTTATCTCAAATTGGAGTTCAAAAAATCGCAAAACATCTCAGAAATCAATTTTCTATCGGAAATCGGCGATTTTTTGGCGATCGTCATGAATTGATGTCGAAAACGCGTGAATTCGGGCAAACTTCGCGCTTTCAAATGGGTTACTGTACCGCCGGTGGGTACTGTAATCTGTTGGCCACGTGTGGCGGTTCGTTGAGCGGCGAGGAGTACCGTAATCACTTCTTGGGTGGTCCGATCGAGTTCGTGGAGAAAGTTGGTGGGGGCGAGGGGGACGAGTTGGGTTGATTGATTTTCGGTGAGCTGGGTGCCCTGGAAAAATGTTGGGTCAACAAAATCGCCACGTGGCAGATCCTAGGCCGAAAAATCTGGATGATTTTTAGGCCTGGAAAGCCCAAAATCGGCCTTTTAGGTCTGAAAATGTAAAAATTTGAACAAAATTGATTTTAAATAGCCAAAAAGTAGAATCTGAGCAATGGTTCAACTTAAAAAATACGAACCATTGCTCAGGTTATAATTTTTACTCAAAAAATCCAGAATTTGAAGTTTTCGGACTAAAAAAGTCCAAATTTTTCAGTTTTTGGGCCACGTGGCAGATCATGAGGCTTTTCTGGGCCAAAAAATCCATGATTTTTAGGCCTAGAAAGCCCAAAAATTGATTTTGAACTAGCATTGCTCAGGTTAAGGAATTTTGAATAGAGAAAAGTAAAATCTGAGCAATGGTTTAATTGCGAAAATCCCAACGATTGCTCAGGTTATAAATTTTTCCCCATAAATTCCAGAATTTGAAGTTTTCGGACTAAAAAAAGTCCAATTTTTCAGTTTCTTGGGTCAAAAATCGTCCAAAACTCTAATTTTTCGAAAAAAAACTCACATTCAAAACCCAATCCACAATTTCGTCTTCAAAAATGTCGGCGAATTTTGGCGCCGGATGTTCCAAATCAATTTCCATATCCATATCATCTAGATCTCCTTCGATTTTTCTGGAGAAAAAAACCGTGCCAGGGTTGCAGAATTAGGCCACGCCCTATTTTTAAATGAAATTTTTAGGCCTAGATTTTTCTAGGCTCAAAAAAGGCCAAGTTTTAGGCCTAGCCTTATCTAGGCTCACAAAAAGCCAAATTTTCAGGGCTAGCCGTATTTAGGCTCAAAAAATCCCAAATTTTCAGGCCTAGGATTATCTAGACTCACAAAATCCGAAATTTTCAGGTCTAGCCTTATTTAGGCTCAAAAAATCCCAAGTTTTCAGGCCTAGGCTCAAAAAATCCCAATTTTTTAGGCCTAGCCTTATTTAGGCTCAAAAAAAGCCAAATTTTAAAGCCTATCCTTGATTACGTTTAAAAAATCCCAAAGTTTCAGGCCTAACCTTGTCCAGACTCAAAAAAAGCCAAATTTTAAAGCCTAGCTTTATCTAGTCCAAATTTTTAGGCATAGCCTTATCTAGCCTCAAAAAATCCCAAATTTTAGGCCTAGCCTTATTTAGACTCGAAAAATCCAGAATTTTCAGGCCTAGGCTCAAAAAATCCCAAATTTTTAGGCCTAGCCTTATTTAGGCTCAAAAAATACCAAATTCTGAACCCCTACCTCTCAGCTTTTCCAATTTTCACCTCAAAAAGCGGCTTCTCCCACCGGAATTTCGTATCAGGCCTCTCATATCGCTGAATAATCGGCCCGATTTGCTCGGGCCCGTATTTCAGCTTCTCCTCCGGTTTTTGCTCATTGAGCCATTCGCAAATTTCGAGACTTGGCGTAACTTGAACAACACAATATGTGGTTTTGGACATTTTGGCGGCCAGAAAAAGCTCGTAGCGATAGCCTTTGATATAGTTGAGCGCATCACAAATCACTATCCGATTTTTGGTCAAATTCTGCTGAATTTGTCCACGAATCCACGAGCGCACATCCTTTTCCTGGAATTTTTTGGAGGATTTTTTAGACAAACTTAGGCTAAGTTCAGCTCAAAAATTACAGAATTTCTGATTTTCAGGCTGAAAATTCCAGAAAATCCCTCACCTTAGCCGCCGATTCATAGGAATTTCTTGAAAACGTGCCGAAATCCTCGTCTCGAATCACCAAAACATCCAGATTTTTTTCATTTTCCCGGAATTTTTCCACAAGCCGCTGACAAATTGTCGATTTTCCACTTGATGGATGTCCGGTTATTAGAATTAGAGGCATTTTGGCTGGAAAAAACGAAAAATTGGCCTGAAAATATTGATTTTTGTGAAATTTTCAGCAAAAAATTGGTCTAAAACTTCTGAAAACCTCGAAAAAGTTTTGTTTGAGGTCAAAACTGGTTTTCCAAGTTTTTCAGTCAAAAATGATGAGAAATCGAGATTTTTGAAGGTTCTGATGAAAATTAACCTTGGAATTCACTTTCCAGAAGTTTTTGCTGATTTTTCGTGTGAATTTTGAAAAAATGAGATAAATCAGGGTTCTTGAAGCTTATTTTCATCAGAAATCACATCAGAAGCTTCAAAAATATCGATTTGTCATCATTTTTGACTGAAAAAACTGATTTCTGATGAAAATAAGCTTGGATAACCCAATATTATTAATTTTTTCGAAATTCACACGAAAAATCAGCAAAAACTTCTGAAAACTGAATTCCAAGGTCAATTTTCATCAGAAATCACTTTAGAACCTTCAAAAATCTCGATTTGTCATCATTTTTTGACTGAAAACCTTGAAAAACTAATTTTGACCTGTTTTTTGGACATTTTTTCAGTTCTCGTGAATTTCTTGAATTCAATGTTGAAAAAAAAAACATTTTTCACCATTTTTTTCGATGTTTTTTTTAGTTTTAGACCAATTTTTTCTGAAAAATTCTAATTTTCAACATTTAGAACTTGAAAACTTGGGCAAAAATCTGGAGAAAAATTGAAATAAAATCGAAAATTTAACGATTTTTTTGGAAATGCAAAAAAGTACATATAAAGCTTTATTTAGAAAAAATCGGGGGAAAATCACAAAAAAAACGCTCAATTTTTGAAAATTACTGTAATTTTCAGACGCCAAAAGAAACAGTAATCTTGAAGTAAAACCGGGGCACAAAATGAATAATTTAGAAAAATGATACAACTTTCTTTATTCTTCAATAGACTTCGGCGACATTGCCGCATTCGCGGCGGCCGCCGTAAAATCATGCGGCAATTCCGCGGCCGCATCCGCGTCCAAAAAATACCACAACTTCCCATTGGCCGGTCGAACTTGGGTTGCCGGCAAATTCGCCGTCGCTCCGCCCAAACACATTTGTTTGACCACCGCCGCTTTCGATCGACCCGTAATAATAAATGCCACATTTTTCGCCATGTTTATGATGGGAAGAGTTAGGGTAACTCTTTCAGCTGGCGGTTTTGGAGAGGTGCTGGTGGCTGAGATCCAATTGTAGTCGGTAATTTTGGGAAGGCGTTCGGGAGCGGGGAAAATTGAGCAAGTGTGCCCGTCTGGACCGACACCCAATAATAGGAGATCGAAACGGGCGGTCTGGTTGAGTTGCTCGGGAAGGAGAACACACCTGGAAGAAATTTCAGCAATTTTCAAGCTTCTAGCTAATTTTTAAAAGATTTTTTGGTCGAAAAATAGGTGGGAAGCCAATTTTTAGGCTTTTAGATGATTTTCAGCAATTCTCAGGTTTCTAGGCCATTTTTAGGCTTCTAGCTAAAGATTTTTGGTTGAAAATTAGGCGGGAGGCCAATTTTTAGGCTTCCAAGCTGATTTTCAGCAATTTTCAGATTTCTAGGCCATTTTTTAGCTGAGTTTTCAGCAACTTTCAGGTTTCAAGGCCATTTTCATATTTCTAGATCAAATTTCCAAATTTTTAGGCCATTTTCCCGCTCTCACCTCAAAACCTTCTCATAATTCTCGGCACTTCTCGCCACACTTTCCTCAATCGGCACCGGCACCAAACACTCGTGTAATTCTCGCGGAAACAACTTCAAATACGCTCCCAAATTACTATCCGGATGTGTGGGCAGACAATAGCGCTCGTCGCACATGAAAATCCGAATCCGCTTCCAATCGACCGCTGTTCCCAGGCTCAAAATCGCGTCGGTGAATTGTTTGGGCATTGAGCCGCCCGAAACACCGATGGAAATTGTGCCGTGTTGCGATTGAAGATATTGAAGACGTTCGGCGAGAAATGTGCTGAGATGTTCGTGCAATTCATCGCCGTTTTTCGCAATATTTATCATTGTTTTATTCGTAGCCATTTTCCTGTGAAAAATAAGAATGAACTTTTGAAATAACCTTCAAAATAACAAATTTGGTATAACGGGCGACCTTTAATAATCATTTTATCAGTCTAGACAAGCATCAAACATCAGAAAAACAAAATTCAACTTCGCAAATCAAAAAAAAGTTTAGAAAAACGATGCTCCGCTACGCATTACCTGTTGTTTACCGTAAACCTACAATGAAAACAGCACGGGGAATAGAGAGACGCAGAGAAAAGTTGAGCAAATGCGCTCCGTTGTGCTAATCATGCTGGATTCGATTTTTCTTTTTTCAGGCCCTGCAGGGTTTTCCAGACAAAAACTTAATTTCTTCCAGAAATGGCGCTTCGAAGATCGATCAGAGTTTGCAATATGTATGACCCGAGGGTTTTTCGAGAGCCGATCACCGATTTAAAGGAGGTGAGCAGGAAAATTTTGGAGAAAATTCTAATTAATTTTTCTTTGCAGTTGCGAAAACCACTGGACAAAGATGACGAAAGAAATTTCCTATTCGTAAAAGCGATGAAAAGCGACGAGACTCCGACATTTTACAAAGATCGAGTGATCGATAAAATGATTCGTGTTTGCACCAAAGATGGGCAAAAAGAAACGGCGCGACAAAATGTGCAAAACGCTTTGGAAATCATCAAAAGACGTCAGTATAAAGCGTGGAAGAAGGCTGAAACTGAAGAGGAGCGGAAGACGATTGAATTGGATGCTTTTAAAGTGGCGAAGCAGGGAATTCGAAATTGTCATCCGCTTATGAAATTGCAGGGTGTGACACGGGGTGGAACCACTTATCAGGTTCCTTTTCCGATTGAGGAACCTGAAGCCGAGTTTCGCGCGATGAAAATGATGAGAGATATTTGTAGACAACGGGCAAAACATGGAGAAACGCATTTTAAGTGAGGATTTTTGAAAATTATGGCCTAGAAAACCAAATTTCTATATTCTAAAGCCTAGAAATCTAGATGTTTGGATTTCTAGATCATGGCCTAGAAAACCAAATATTTTTCTTAAAGGGACATCCTGGCCACAGAACTATTGGCAGCTAGCCAAAACGAAGGATCAACAATTCAAGCGAAACAAGAATTGCACAAAACCTGCGAAGCGAATCGAGCCTACGCACATTATCGCGCCTAAACTAGGCCTTAATAGAAAATCCACGTTTTTAGGCTAGTTAGGCTTGTTTTTGTTTATAAATTTGTTGATTTTTGCGAAACTTTTTGCTGAAAAATTGCGGTTTTCAACCGAAAAATGATTTATTTTTGAAAAAGATTTTTTTTGAGGAATATTGAATTTTCAGATGAGCACAATAGAGCAGATTTCAGGATTTGAGAAACAATATTCATTGCAAACTGCTGAGGTAAGGAATTTTTGAATAAATGTTGAAAAAAAAAATTAAAAATGACCAGAAAAATGTTCTTTGATCAAAAATTCAAAGAATTTTGATTAAAAGAACGAAAAAACGTTTTAAAAATTAGTTTTTCAGTCAAAAATGATGACAAATCGAGATTTTTGAAGGTTCTGAAGTGATTTCTGATGAAAATTGACATTGGAATTCACTTTTCAGAAGTTTTTGCTGATTTTTCGTGTGAATTTCTAAAAAATTAGGGTTCTAGAAGCTCATTTTCATCAGAAATCAGTTTTCAGCCAAAAATTATGAGATTTTTGAAGCTTCTGGAGTGATTTCTGATGAAAATAAGCTTCTAGAACCTCATTTTATTAATTTTTTCGAAATTCACCAACGAAAAATCGGCAAAAACTTCTGGAAAACTAGTATTCTCCAAGGGAAAAGCGACATTGGAGAGATTCTCAGGGTTCCCATATGTTATACTTTAAACGTGTCCATTTCTAAAATCCGGGGGGGGGTTCCCAATTTTTAAAAATCCCCAGAAATTTCTTCGCGAAAACACACAGCGCGTATTTCGCGTCAAGGTTGCGCGTAGGATTTGGTGTTTGCGGGCAGTCGGTGTTGACATACACTCTTATTTTTTCCGTTCTTTCTTTAGGTTTGGGATGAATTCCAAGGTCAATTTTCATTAGAAATCACTCCAGAAGCTTCAAAAATCTCGATTTCTCATCATTTTTGACTGGGAAAATAATTTTGACCTTTCACTTTTCGTGAATTGATCTTTCAATGTTAAAGGGTTGGTGCTCCGCCAGGGAATATTGCTTGGTTTAGATAGGAATGAGGTGCTCCTGGAAGGTTCCAGTTTCAGAAAAAATTCTAGTATCAATTCAGCCCATGTTTTTCCTCAAAAACACAAGCGAGTTAAAACCTACGAAATAAAACATGTAAATGCGCTCTAGCGCACAACTTGTTTTTGAATTTTCGTGTGTGTGTTTGCACACAACTTTGAAAATAACACGGTGACGCCTTTTTGCAGACGATTTTTTCACCAGGAAAGCACCAACCCTTTAAAAAAACATTTTGAATTCTGAAAATTTGGCGCCAAAAATTCAAACAAAAATCTCCAAGTACCACGAATTTATTCAAAAAACCCTCAACTATGTTCTCTTCGATTCATTCTTCTTGAAAAACGATTGAGTCTTGTCCTGTTGTGCAAGACTATCATCATTCGGCGACAATGACAACGATTCGCTGAGCGTCGACTTCTTCTTCTCCTCTTCTCTCGGCTTATTCTTCAAAAACGCCAATTCGCTCATTGTTCCGTCAGATTTCGCCTGCTTCGATTTCATCACCGATTTTTTCGTCGAACCCTCTTTTGATGGAGTAGGGACGGCTGGAAAATAGGAATTTGAGCAGGGCTTGCGGAGCACGCCCTGTATCCACAACATTTCGTGCATTTTTTGAAACAATCTTATGGGGTGGGACTAAAAATCGACAAAATCAACGCAAAAATGAGAGATTTAGAGAAAACATAAAAGGTGTGATTCGAGGTAGTAAATTACACACTGTGTATTGTCGAATGAATGAGAAATATTACTTCGTCACTCGCGCGCGGCTATGCGTCGCGGTCGGGAAGCAAAGGAACCGCGACGCACAGCCGCACGCGACTGACGAAGTAATATTTTTCATTCGTTCGACAATACACAGTGTGTAATTTACTACCCCAAATCGCTAGAGTCTGAGGTCCCCAACAAACCTGGCGATTCTGCAGAAGCTGCAGCCACAACCGGTTCCGCCGATTTCCCACCAATTTTCTCTTGCGATTTCGAGTCACTTGGAGTCTTTTTACCACGTCTACTATTCTCCTTCTTATTCCCATTCTTCTCCAAATCCTTGCTTTTTCCACTTTTCTTCGGCTTTCTTTTGCTCTCCGATTTCTTTTCCTTCTTCTTCTTGCGACAAACACAGCAGACAACAATGGCAATAATCAGCAAAATTAGGATGATTACAGCCACAACTGCACCGATAATTATGTACATCATTGGGAATCCCTCTTCTTTTGCTTGTTCTGTTGTAGCTTGTTGTGCATTCGGGGCAAGTCTTGGATTCGAAACTGGCGGTGGAGTTCTTGGCATCAGATGTCTTAGATCAGCAAGTGGCTCATCTGATGTTGATCGATCCAAAATATTATCCATGCTGAAAGTAATTTAGATTATTGAAAAAATATCTGAAATTTCACACTCACAAAGCTCTGGTCGCTAGTCGAAGGGATTCTGAGGCGATGGCTGAAAGTTAAAGAGTATTTTGAATGAGACGCAGCGCGCCCAACGAAATTTGTTTTTTGAAATTGATCTATTTTTAAAAATTGATTTCCATTTAAAAATTTTGATTTTGAAAATGAAATCTTACGACTGCCTGTCGTCACTCCTTCATAATCTTTAACAACCAGTTTTTCATAATTACTGTCAGTCGGTTTATAAAATATGACTTGGGAAAATTTGAAGTTTCCGCCGAGACCAGCATTTTTGAAGGCGGTAAAATATGCATAGAAATCAAGTTCATATGCTTGGTTTGCAATAATTATAACCTTGTCAAATCCTTGCAACTCCGACTGATTGTTCATTGTTGAAAGATCGTTCAAGAACCCGTCTTGTGTTCTTGTTGGAATCTGTTCACTGTATTCTTTCAATAATTTTCGAGTTTCGTTCGAGTCTGTCGAAATTCTGAATTCGTTTATGCCTTGTCCCGCATATGAAACGGCTGATTTAATTTCTGGATGATCTGGAATCCAGCATGCCGTTTGCTTCAGCACATAGAAAATTCTTTCAATCTGAAATAATTGTTTTCTTGTCTAAAGTTTAGTAGTTTTTTTTCGATCTTAGTTTCCCTGTTATAGTTGGACTAAGTGACATTTTCATGTTTTTAAGCAATTGATTTGAAATATTGGGTTCTAATGTTATTTATATGATAAAATGGTTTAAGACGAACAGAATGATATAAATTTTGATGACTTTACGTTACTCATAAGTGATTTAGCGACTTATCGACTAAATATCGACTAAACCTCGCTAAATCACTTATGGATAACGTAAAGTCATCAAAATTTATGACTTTACGTTATCCATAAGTCAAAATTTTTTCTCTCTGTTCGTCTTAGACCATTCTATCATATGAATAACATTAGAACCCAATATTTCAACTCATTTGCTTAAAAAAACATGAAAATGTTATTTAGTCGATTTAGTCGATGTCCAACCATATTCCCTGTTTATAATCACTCACTTCGTATTCATGCGAACTAGCATACCCAATCATGAAAAGAAGCAAAGTTTTCCCACTGGGAGCGTCGTTTCGCAGTGTTTCATGACATTGTGGATTATCAAATCTACCATCAGCAAATGTGATTGAAACAATTGCAATTTGCAGAATTGTTGTTATCGTTAAAATAGTTTCAGTTTTCATTCGATTCGATTCGATAGAGAGAGCTGCTTGTTACTGGACTAATACGATTGAGAAATAGCGAGCCTGTTTTTGGATTTGTGATTTTTTTTTCGGGCGGTTTTGTTATCGCTTGTTTTGATCGGGTTTACGTCACGAGAATTTGGAATTTTTTCGTCAGATTTTTTTTTGAATTTTAAAAATTTGTAAATTTGGCGGAAATCAAGTTCACGTGGAAAATGGATTCAGAAATTTTGTTAATTTTATAGTTCAGTTCAAAAAATTATCACAGTTCTAGTTTTACCGGAAATTGTAACTCAAATATGGCTAAGCCTGATAATTAGGGATTTTTCGAGCCTAACTAAAACTAGGCCTGGAACTTTGGGATTTTTTTGAGTCTAGATAATCCTAGGCCTGAAAATTTAAGATTTTTGTATCAAAACAACCCCAAAGCTCCAAAAATTGTATCAAAAATCCCAATTTCTTTCCAGATTACCTCAAAAATCGGTCGAGTTCATCTAACTCCAGCTTCAGAACGTGCAAATGCCGTGCAAGAAATTCGAAAAAGTTTGGAAGATGTCAATGATTTATTGGATCAAATGCAATTAGTTGTGAGGGAATTGGAAGCAAATACGTGGGTTTTTTGAATTTTTGACTGAAAATTCGGGATTTTCATGGAATTTTGAGCTAGAATTTCGAATTCCAGAGAGAATTGAGTATTTTTGAGCCGAAATAGGCTTGTTTAGGCTCAAAAAATCGCAAAATTCTCATTTTTTGCAGAACAGACCGTGCAAAATACGAGCTACGCGTTCGAAGTTATCAATCCGACAAAAAACAACTGGATTCGGAGCTCGAAAAATCGATAAAAAGAGTTCGCGAAGAAGCGGATCGCGATGAATTGTTGGCTTTCGATGATCAAATGGATAGCCATCGACAAGAGGATCAATTGATTGAGAATACGCAAAGATTGGAGAGAAGTAGCCGAAAATTGCAGGATGCACATCGAATTGCGGTCGAAACTGAACAGGTTGGTGAGAAATTTTGGGATTTTTTGAGACTAGATAAGGCTAGGCCTGAAAATTTGGGGTTTTTTGATTATAAATAAGGCCAGGCCTGAAAATTTGGGATTTTTTGAACCTAGGCCTGAAAAATTGGCATTTTTTGAGCCTAGGCCTGAAAATTTGGCATTTTTTGAGCCTAAATAAGGCTAGGCTTGAAAATTTGGGATTTTTTGAGCCTAGATAGGGCTAGGGACTGAAAATTCTGAATTTTTTGAATAGAAATAAGGCTAGACCTACAAATTTGGGATTTTTTGAGTCTAGGCCTGAAAATTCTGAATTTTCTCATCAAAATGGGCGTGTCCTAAATTCTGCAACCCTGGCACAGTGTTTTTTTCTAGCTCATAAAATAGGCCTAGCCTAGCTTCCTCATAATGATTTTTAAAATTCTGAAGTTTTTCTAGGAAAATTTTTTGAATTTTTAATTTTTGTGGAAAAATTTGAATTTTTAGAAATTTCAGCAATTCCTGAGCCCCGCCCATTTTTCTGCAATCCTCGCACACTTTTTTCCTAGTCATATTTAGTGTCAAAATGACGCTCTCCCCAAGCCCCGCCCATTTTCTGCAACCCTGGCACACTTTTTTCTTCCAGATCGGCGCCGAAATGCTCTCAAATCTCTCAACTCAACGTGAAACCATCGGCCGCTCTCGAGACCGTCTCCGACAATCCAATGCCGATTTAGGCCGGGCCAACAAAACAGTCAGTGTTATGATCCGAAGAGCCATCCAAAATCGCCTACTTTTACTAATTGTCATCGTATTGCTCATGTTTATGTTCCTCTACATTGTCTATAAGGCGATCTAGGCCCGGTCCGTGGCCTAAAGGGGGCCGAAAAGGGGCCGATTGTGATATATTTTATACTAGTCTAACTAGCACTCACACATATAAATTATTGATTGATTTTTATGAAAAAAAAATTAATTTTTTTTTCAATTAGGGGCCAAATGAGCGAGTTCTGAAATTAAAAAAAACATTTTTTTTGAAACATAAAAAAAAACTCACACATGTGTGCTTTGAGTTGGCCTAACTTTAAAAAAGCTCCCGGGCAAAACGAGTTGGCGTAACTTCTTGCTCGTCAAAATCAGGCTCCACGGTGTACTAATGCACATTATTTCGGTGGTGAAAAACCAGGCTGACGTCACCAAATTGATGATTTTTGGAGAATCGGCGAAAAATAGGACGAAAGATTTGATGGCGTTTGGAATGAAGAACAGAAATGACAATATAGCGCATTTGAGGATGACGGTTTCGGTGGATGAGAGGGTTTTTGAGGTTGTGGTGGAGAATGGAGTGATTTGACGCTGGAAATTCGGGAAATTTGAGATTTTTTGAGCTAGAAAACATGTTCTGAAGGTTCTCGTGGCCTAGAAAACCAAATTTTCGGTTTTCTAGGCCGCCAGAACTTCTAGATGGCCTAGAAACCAAATTTTAACATCTTTAAAGGTTCTCGCGGCCTAGAAATTTGGAATTATGAATTTCTAGGCCAACGAAGCTAAAAACTGGATTTCTAGGTCACCAAAAAGTTTTGATGGCCTAGAAAACCAAAATTTTCGGATTTCTAGGCCACCAAAATTCCCCCGATGGCCTAGAAAGTTTGGTTTCGGATTTCTAGGCCACCGGAGCTAAAAACTGGGATTTTTAGTCCTCCAGAACTTATAGATGGCCTATAAAACCAAAAATTGGATTTCTAGGCCACCAAAACTTACAAAAACACTGCGATTCTGCAAAAAATGCACCAAAATCGCCAAATAACACGCTGTGCTCAACACACAACACCCAAAAGTGAGCACAAAATCCTGAAGTCCGTCCAAATTCATGAATTTCGCGTCGGCTCGCATCAGAATTGCATCACCGCCGTCTTGCGAATTCAGAACATAGGAGAAATTGTGATTTCCCGTGAAGTAGAACATTGGAATCAGAATGGTGCACGGAGCCAACCATTCGAGCAAATATATTGTAAGCATTGTTGTCGGCGTCCAAATCTGCAATTTTATTGCTCATGTTAGAGGAAATTTGCGATTTTTTGAGCCTAAATAAGGCTAGGCCTGAAAATTTGGGATTTTTTGAGTCTAGATAAGGCTAGGCCTGAAAATTTGGGATTTTTTGAGTCTAGATAAGGCTAGGCCTGAAAATTTGGGATTTTTTGAATATAAATAAGGCTGGGTCTGGGAAATTCTGGATTTTTTGAGTCTAAATAAGGCCAGGCCTGAAAATTTGGGATTTTTTGAGGCCAACAGAGGCTAGGCCTGAAAATTCTGGATTTTTTGAGTCTAGATAAGGCTAGGCCTGAAAATTTGGGATTTTTTGAGTCTAGATAAGGCTAGGCCTGAAAATTCTGAATTTTTTGAATATAAATAAGGCTTGGCTTGAAAATTTTGAATTTTTTGAGTCTAAATAAGGCCAGGCCTGAAAATTTGGGATTTTTTGAGGCCAACAGAGGCTAGGCCTGAAAATTCTGGATTTTTAGAGACTAGGCCAGAAAATTCTGGCGTTTTTGAGCCTAAAAATGTCTCGGCTCTGCAACCCTGGCCCATTTTTTTAAAAGATTAAAAAGTGGGCGTGGCCTTCTGCAACCCTGGCACAGTTTTCTTGTGCCAAAATTTGAGAAATGTTTTTCTCTGCGTCTCTAACATTCTCTATTTCTCTAAATTCTGAAAACATTGCTCATATTATACCAAAAAAAAATCCCTTTTCATTTCATTTTTTTCTGCGCATGACTAATAATTAAATTTTATAAAAACCGCCCGAAAATGAGAAAAAAAATTAAATTATCGGACTTAAATTATAAAACTCGCCAATTTCAGCAAATTACTCATATTATAGAAGCATAAAGTGGTGAATCGATTGAATGCCACAACGACATAACCCAATAACATTGCATTTTTGATGAGAGTTTGGCTGAAATATTCGAGTTGCGGTTTCCAGTCGTCGGAAATTGGCGAAATCAGCTCGTAGATGCGGAATTTTCGAGGACGCATTATTAATTCGACCATTAGGAACATCAGAATATCGGTTATGGCCTGGAAAAATTCGGGCTAACATGAGCAAGGCTTCTCTGCGTCTCTAACCCTACCAAATTCTTCTTCTCTGCGTCTCTAGAAGAGTTAGAGACGCAGAGGAGCATTGCTCATGTTAGTCGGAACGCGCTGGAAAAATTCAAAATGCATTTTTACCGCCAAAAAATTAAATTTTCAAAATTTTCATTTTTTTCCCGCATAAAATCAATTTTTGAATTTTTGTGTAGTTCTTTTGGAGAAGTACACAATCCACGTGGCTTTGAGAAAAATGGGGGAAATTCAAAATATCCTCTGCGTCTCTAACAACCACCGTATATCTATACCTTTTGTGATGTTAGAGACGCAGAGAAGAGAGAGAGAGGCAGAGAGGCAGAGAGGCAGAGAATAGGTCAAAAATAAAGATTCTTGGGCTCAAAATGCTCGGGGAATTCGGATAAGCCTGAATCTTGGGCCGTAGACAATTCTGGGCCTAAAATCATCGAATTTGGGCCCAAAATGCTCGGGAAATTTAGATTGCTCATATTAAACTCACATGCATGCGAATAATATAGAAAAACGTGGATTTGAATTCGCGTTTCGCCTCCGATTTGATGACAAAAATCAGTCGAAAATACAAAAAAATCGAAATCCACCCGAAAAACATCAGAAAAATGTGCGAGATTGGCACATTCGCAAAATTCGGCCACATTTTCAAGCTGAAAACAAAAAATCTGAAAACTTTCAGCTGAAAAAGGGGGCGGAGCTTAGGAAAAATGCGTATTTTAATGAAATTTTGCTTGCCACGTGACATTGAAAGAAAATCCACATTTTTTAGCCAATTAGGCTCTATTCAACAAAAATCGCAATGTTTCAGAGAAAATGACCAATTTTCATCAAATTTCTTGAAATTTGAAAATTTGATGAAAATTCGAAAATTAATCAATTTTCCAATGAGCAAAAACCAGATTATGTTGAAAATGCTGAATTTTCAGCTGCTCCAAACTTGTTTACCAAAATAATCTGCATCAAATCACGGAAAAAGTTCTGCAAACTTTGGACACAGAAAAAAATACTGTTTATGATTACAATAAAAAAAAGAGGAAAAAAGACAAAATAATTAAAAAAAAAAAAAGATAAAAACAACGAAAAAAAAGTGGGCCAGGCCAAGATTTTAGTTATTCGGATCATATGTTGGCGAACTTGGCGAATAGGTTGGAGATGATGGCGAATATTGTGGTGAAGTCGGCGAATATTGTGGAGATGTTGGAGAATACTGCAAAAATAAACATTTATCGACTTATTTTGGGATTTGAAAAGTTTGCAGAAATTGAATTTATGACTATTTTTCCAGCTGAAATTTTTAATTTTTCGAAAATTTCAGATTAGTTTTTATTTTTCGGCCAGAAAGCTTAGAATCGTCCTAAAAGCCTCCGTATGCTCAGATCAGAGTAAAATTCCTTGAAAGCATAAAAAAGCCCTGAAATCAACCTCAAAATGCGGGGTTATGACGTGGCAAACTTTAGATAAACTTCTGGGGGAAAAAACAAATTCAAAAATTGAAATTTTTTTTGAGAATTTCTGAGCCCGAAAAGTCCAAAGAGCCTGAAAAAAGCCCTCCGGACCTTGAAAACCCTCAAAAAGTCCCCTAAAGCCTGAAATCAATCCCTAACGTCTTGCAAAGCTTTCAAGACCATTTTAAGCTCTCTAAAGCCTAAAAATCCCACTAAAAGCCCACTGTGGTCTGAAAAAGCCCTGCGGATTCTCAAAAAGCCCAAACACACATTCTAGACCCCTGAAAACTCTCGAACGCATCAAATTTATCTTGAAAGCCCCCCTAAAGCCTGAAAAAGCTTTCAAGACCATTTTAAGCTTTCTAAGACCTAAAATAGATCCTTAAGACAGTCCAGAAGCCCTAAAAGACGTACATTAGAAATAACACTAGAAGGCTCACAATGCTCTAGGGTTCATAAAAAGCCTAAAACAAGCCCTCCCATAAATCAAACTCACAGTCGACGACGACGGTCCACTCTCCATTCCAGCCGGCGAACTCGGCGTGTATTGCGGCGAGCTCGGCGAATATTGCGGCGAACTCGGCGTGTACATCGGAGACGTCGGCGAATATTGCGGGGAGGTGGGCGAATATTGCGGCGAGGTGCCACCGCCTCTTGGCGACGTCGGTGTGTATTGTGGAGAGCTCGGTGAATATTGCGGTGATGTCGGGGAATATTGGGGAGAGGTTGGGGAATATTGCGGGGAACTTGGCGAATATGTGGGTGATGTTGGGGAATACGTCGGCGAGGTTGGGGAGTAGGTCGGCGACGTTGGGGAGTAGGTTGGCGAGGTTGGAGAATACGTCGGAGATGTCGGGGAATATGTGGGAGACGTTGGGGAGTAGGTTGGTGACGTGGGCGAATATGTCGGCGAGGTTGGCGAATATCTCGGGGAGGCTGGTGTATAGCTCGGCGAAGTCGGCGAGTAACTCGGCGAGGTCGGGGAGTAGCTCGGCGAAGTTGGCGAGTAGCTCGGGGACGTTGGAGAATAGCTGGGTGACGTGGGCGAGTAACTCGGGGAAGTTGGCGAATAACTCGGCGAAGTCGGGGAATAGCTGGGCGATGTCGGCGAGTAGCTCGGCGAAATCGGCGATTGTCCAGCAGCCGGCGACGTTGGCGAATATGTCGGAGAGGTTGGCGAATATCTCGGTGACGTCATTGAGTATTGCGGAGATGTTGGTGAATATCCAGCCGGTGACAGGCCGCCTCCAGCACCATAGGGGCTTCTTGGCGAGAGTGCTCCGAGCGGATCTCCTGGTGAGGCGGGCGACCAACCGCCATCGTTGAATGGTGATTGTGAGCCGTCGCCAATGTTTCCGGCTGGCGAGAATCCGGCAGATGGTGACATTCCACCGCCAACTGGTGACCAGGCGGCTCCACCGTATGATGGTGTGACTCCGGAATTCCATGGTGAATGAGAGGGTGAGAGTTCGCGGCTGGAAAAAAATTAGATAATTTGAATTTTTAAATTTATAAGAAATACAGTAGTTTTTCGCTCTGGGAGCCAAATACAGTATTTCTATGAAAAATAACTCAAAATATCCAGATTTTTGCTCTAAGAACTAAAATATTGAAATCTACAGTAATTCTAGGTCTCAATCAATTGAATTACAGTAATTTTTCGCTATGGGACCCAAATACAGTAATCCCGGCCTATTTCCCATGAAAAATAGCTCAAAATTTCCAGATTTTTTCTCTGAGACTCAGAATATTGAAATCTACCGTAATTTTTCGCTCCAGGACCCAAATAAATTAATCCCGGCCAATTTTTTACAAATTACTGTATATTTTGTGCTCCAGAACCCTGTTATTTAGAAATTACGGTAGTTTTCGCTCTGGAAATCTATTTTTACAGTAATCGTGTCTAATTTTACACAAAATTACACAGTTTTCATGGATTACTGTAGTTGTTCGCTTCAAGACCCAGAATACAGTAATTTCCATGAAAAACAGCTCAAAAGTCCCAGATTCCCCAAGAAACAGTAATCCCGGCTCAATTTTCACCGAAATTGGCTCAAAATCCCCGCAAAAATGCTCACCTATTCGGACTTGCCGCAAATCCGCCGGTTCCACCGAAAAATCCGCCGCCCATCACAATATTTTGCGGAATTTCCATTCCGAATTTGCATTTGTCGGCGTCCAAAATCAAATCGAAGCAACCGGTTCCGTTTTTGGCCAATTGTCCCAACATGATGTTTTCGGAGACTCCTGGAAAAATTGGAATTTTGGGGGAGAACTTCAATTTTCTCGGATTTTCAGCCTAGTTTTCTCAAAAAATCAGAAATTTCAGATCTTATTTTCAAAACTGCCGAGTTGTTGGTGACTTTTCATTTTAAAAAGCTTATTTATTCAAAATCAAAAATTCATGGTATGTTTATGTCAAAAATCGTGGAATTTTCAGCGCGAACTTCTGAGCTCGAATTTTGACTGAAAATCTCGAACTTCGCCTTATTTTTCACCAAAAATCCTGAATTTCTGATTTTTCTCATCAAATCCCAAATTTTCAGCCAAAAACAAGCCTCTAGCTTTATTTCATTGGAAATCAGAATTCCTGGGTCATGTCTGATTAAAAACAAGCTTCTAGGGTCAAAATTGACCAAAAATCACAAAATATGGCTCATTTTTCCCCAAAAATGCTTTCCAGCTAAAATTTGCCCAAAAATCACAAATTTCAGCTCATTTTTTATCCAAACCCCAGCTCAAAAGTGCCACTAACCCTTAACCGGATCAACTTCCGAATGCACAGCGGCTTCCATCAAAATATCAACAGTCTCCTCAAATGAGCAACGCATTAATGCACCAACTTCTTGTCGATTAATTCCATGCCGTGTAATTGCCATCAAATGTCCTTTTGCCGTCATAACATCACATAACAGAGCCAAATGTCGATAATTCACATAACTTCCATCAAACGAGATAACATTGTGCATTTCTCGTTCGATTGCTTTTCGAACCGCTTCAATTCCAAGAACTTCGAAGATTTCACAAATATCATTTGATGATGTTCGAACTGGATCAATTTGTCGTTCGGAAAGAACTCGAAGTAAAGCAGTTCCATCAGTTTCCAAAATCCATTCAGTTATTGATTTAAAACCGCCTTCTTCTGTGATAATAATTCGTTTTTTGTCGTCTGTATTTGGTTGATTCATGTAGACTTTTGAAATCGCTGGGATTCCCTGGAAAAAAAAACATTTATTTTTCAATTTCTGATTTTCTAGATCAAAAATCGCTTTGAATCTATTTTTCAAGTTCAGGCCAGACTAAAAATTTGATTTCCAAGCTATTCTGAAAACTTCAGGCGGGAACATTCCATGAAATTTCGAATTTCTGTCATATTTTTGAGCCAAATAAAAGAAAACCCAATTTTTCAGTTTCTAGGCTCAAAAATCGTTAAAAATCGAAATTTGAGCTGGAAATTCCAGAAAAATTCAATTTTAGAGCAAGTTTCATGTTCTATTGTCCAAAACTGAAATTTTCAGCCCAAAACGTCAAATTTCAAGTTGCTAGGCTTGAAAATCGTAGAGAATTCGAATTTTCAGCCAAAAAACTTCACTTTCATGCTCTAGACTGAAAATCCTACAGAATTCATATTTTCAAGCTATTTTTCGGTTCCAAAATTCAAAAATTATTCAGAACTCAATTTTTCAGTTATTTCCAGCCCAAAACTTCGATTTCCCAGTTTCTGGGCTCAAAAATCATCCAGAATTCGAATTTTCCACTCAAAACCCTCCCCTCTCACCTGCAAAGTCAAATCCGACAACATATTCGCTTCAATACATCTCAAAAACACATCATCCTCCATTTTATCCACTTGTTCTTCTTGTCCTTCAGCCGCCTTGTCTTCTCCAGCAATTCTCAATCGGAATACAAGTTTTTCAGCGTTATCATCAGTATAAATCGTGTGAACATCTTGTCCGAATCCCGAATGAATTCGATCCGCAATCATTTCCATCGTCAATTTTTTGTCCGTCATTCGTTTTCGATCCAATTCGATTCTTAACAACCATGGCGATGTTCGAGTTGTGTCAAAATCGGGCATTTCATAGAAAATCGAAACCCATTCTTCGTCTTCACCGATTACTGTATTTTTCGGGTCCGGATCGTAGTAGATTGCAGTGTTGGCGGTTACCTAGAAAATTATCTTCAAAATTTTTCTGACAGTTGTAAGCTCGAATTTCCAGGTATTTTTAGCTAAAAAACCAATTTTTGAACAATTTGCGCGTTCTAGGCTAAAAAATGGTCCAGAATTGAAATTTTCAGCCAAAAACCTCAAATTTTCAGTTTCTAGGAATAAAAAGGTCCTCTGAGCTCGATTTTTCAAGCTATTTTCGATTTTACGACATTTTTTAATCATAAATCTCAATTTTCTTATTTTCTGGTCTAAAAAATCAAAACACTTGATGAAATCAATTCTAAAATTTTCCAATCAAAATTTCAAATATTTCTGAAACATAAAAAATCCAGGATTTTAAAAAACACATGAAAATTGTGCATTTTCAGTGAAAAAATTAAAAATTTCAAGATTTTCAGCTTAAATTCAACTTTCGTGTCTAAAAATTGAATTTTTTTATTTTCGACATTTATGGAATATCTACCATTCTAAAATTTTCCAATCAAAATTTCAAATATTTTTGAAACGTAAAAAATCCAGGATTTTCAAAAACACATGAAAATTGTGATTTTCAGTGACAAAATCTAAAAATTTCAGATTTTTAACTTAAATTCAATTTTCGTGTCTAATTTTTGCAACCAATTGCAATTTTCCCTTTTTTTTAATACAAAAATCAGTAACGGAGGTAAATCATTTTGAAAATTTTCCGATCAAAATTTCCACTATTTTTGAAACGTAAAAAATTCAGAATTTTCAAATGAAAATTGTGCATTTTTGAGTCAAAATGCTCACCTTTTTAAGTGTTGTATGCTCCAATTTGCACAAAACATCCTTGGCTTTTTCAGCGTCTTTTGCAGCGGCTCCAGTCAAAAATACAGTCAATGATGGGGTTTTCAATTGTTTTGAGACGTTGATGATTTCTTTGAGACGAGGCACTCCGAGGGTTACGTTCTGCAAGATAAAATTATGAGAAAATTGTTAATTTTCAGGTTGCAAGGCTGTAATTTAAGTCAAACATGTTCCAAGATCCAAGTTTAACAACTCCGGAGATCAAAAAAAAAATTTCCAGCTTCCGAAATCGGAATTCGAGAAAAATCCCAATTTCAAATGTTCCAGACTTATTTTTTCACCCAAAAATGCAATTTTCAAGCTCCAGAGGTCAAATTTCATGGAAAACTCGAATTTTCAAGTCTCACGCCTATTTTTCCCCAGTTTTCTCCCCCAAAAATCACACTCACCTTGGCTGAAACTCCAGCATAATGGAAAGTGTTCAACGTCATTTGTGTGGCCGGTTCTCCCAAACTCTGCGCAGCCAATGCACCAACCATTTCACCGGGTTGCGCAATTGCCTGCATAAACCTCGACTCAATTTCACCCAACAACCAATCAAAAGCCTCCGTGTTCAATTTCGAGCTCGTGCACATTTTCTTAGTGCAAAGTGTGCTTCGTAATAGGATATTCATCAAAAGTGTCGCATTGTATTGTGCCTGTTTCGAAATATCATCATTTCCACATACAATAATCAATTTTTTCGACAATTCGCGAACTCCATCAATTACATGCAAAGGTGATAAATTGACAGGTTTTCGGGTGTCAACTTTGAAAATCTTTTGAGCATTCCACATGAGTCTTTGGAGATTACAAGGAAGTACAATTTTTGCGTCGCCTTTTGGGAAGATTTTTCGCAACAATCGACGATCTTCTGATAATTGAGCCCATTCGGATTCGATTTTTTCGATGGCTTCTGAGGATTCTTGAAGTTCACGGATCACATCTTCAGTGTAGGAATTTTCGAGGAATCGATCATCGGTTAAATCCGTCTGGAAAAGGGATTACTGTATTTTTCGTGTTGGGACCATAAAAATTATCGAATTTTAGGTCAAAATTTCGAATTTTCCTAATCACAAAATCATCGATTTTCAGCTCAAAATCTTGAAATTTCTTCGATTTCTCGTTCCAGGACCATGAAAATCCTAATTTTTTCACAAAATTTCAAAATTCTCCAGATTTTTTGGCTCCAATAATCCCTATAGCTTAAAAAATACCGAATTTTCAATTTTTACTTCTAGGTTCAAAATCCCATATTTTTCATAATTTCCAGCTCAAAATGTCGATTTTCCGTTCAAAGACCACAAAAATTCCACATTCAGAATGAAAATTCAAAATTTTCCACATTTTTTGGCTCCAAAAAATCCTATAGCTAAAGAAAACGAATTTTCAAGATTTCTAGCTCTATTTTTCACTTCTTGGGTAAAAATTTCAAGTTTTTCATGATTTTTAGCTCAAAATGTCCAGTTTTCGTTCCAGGAACATGAAAATCCTAATTTTAGCATAAAAATCCACTTTCTAGGTCAATTTTTCGCGAATTTCACGAGTTTAAGCCCGAAAACCCCCAAAAAGCAACTCACTCTAAAATCCCTCTCAAACACCGCATTATTCGGTTTCATCGTCGGCATACTTTGATTCTCAACCCACATTCCATCCAAACCATCTTCACCATATCTCAATTGTACCATTTGTGCCAACGAATTTCTGACAGTTCCATCATAATTCACCATCACACTTTCCATGGCTTTAATCAATCTTCTTTGAATATAACCAGTTTCAGCTGTTTTTACAGCCGTATCGATTAATCCTTCTCTTCCTCCCATTGCGTGGAAGAAGAATTCGGATGGTGTGAGACCGGCTAAATACGAATTTTCGACAAAACCCTTCGATTCTGGTCCATAATCGTCTTTGATGAAATGTGGAAGTGTTCGATGACGGAATCCGAATGGAATTCGCTTTCCTTCGACGTTTTGTTGACCGACACAAGCGATAACCTAGAAAATATATTGATTTTTGAGCTAGAAATTGAAATTTCATGGAAAATTTCAGCTAGGTCGATACAAGAACCCAAAAAACCTTCAAAATTGGCTTTTTCAAGCTTGGAAGCTAATTTTTGGCCAATTTCCAACAAAAACGAAATTTTCAGCTCAAATTTCACTGAAAATGACAATTTTACAAGCTCGAGCATTCAATTTTCGTTGAAAAATCAAATTTTCAAGCTCCAGGGCTCATTTTTCACAAAAAATAAGATTTTACAAGCTTCAGAATTCAAGTTTCGTTTAAAATTCGAATTTTCAAGCTCCAGGGCTCAGTTTTCACAAAAAATCCAAATTTTCAAGTTCCGAAGCTCAAAAATCATGAAAATCCTCAATTTTGAGCTTCAGCATTCAATTTCCGTTGAAAATTCAAATTTTCAAGTTCCAAAGCTCAAATCTCACTGAAAATGACAATTTCCAAGCTCCGTGGCTCATTTTTCACGAAAAATTCAAATTTTCAAGTCCCAAAGCTCAAAAATCATAAAAATCCTCAATTTCAAGCTTCAGGATCCAAATTTTCACTAGAAAAACCCCCAAAAAATCTCCCACCTGCGAAATATTAATCTTCGATCCTTTGGAACCCGAGACGACCATCGATTTGAAATTGTTGAATTCGGACAAACTTTTTTGTGCAGAACTTCCAGTTCGATCACGAGCATCGTTCAAAATTTGATTCACTTGATTTTCAAAAGTCTGGCGAAGTGTGTTTCCGGGTGTTGGCTCGAGTTCATCGTTGTGAGCTCTGGAGGAAAATGGGATTTTTTAGGGCTGATTCACGAACGAAAAAAATGTTTTAAAATATTTTTTTAACATTGAAAATCAATTCACGTAGGTCAAAATTTTTTTGTTTTCCAAGTTTTTTCAGTCAAAAATGATGACAAATCGAGATTTTTGAAGCTTCTGGAGTGATTTCTGATGAAAATTGACCTTGGAATTCACTTTTCAAAAGTTTTTCCTGATTTTTCGTGTGAATTTCGAAAAAATTAATAAAATGAGGTAAAATAGGGGTCTCGAAGCTTGTTTTCATCAGAAATCACTTCTGAAGCTTCAAAAATCTCGATTTGCCATCATTTTTGACTGAAAAACTTCAGAAAACTAATTTTGATCAAGCTCTGGAAAAATGCTTCTTGCTTCAAATTTTGCACTAATTTTTCAGTTTTTCTAAAAATTCTTTTTAATTTTCGCACAGAACATTTAAAATATTAGTTTCAAAAATTTACCATTTTTATTTACAAATTTTTTGAAGCGTATATTTTTCGGGATTTAAAAACAGTGCAGAAAACAAGGTTTTTCAACCAAAAACATAAATTTTTCCTTTTTGAGAGGTCAAAAATCGATTTTTCATCATAGAAAATCTTAATTTTTAAGATTTCGGGATGGAGAAGTCAGTTTTGCACCAAATTTTTTGAATCCAAAATTTCCAAGACTCACTTCTCAATAACATCCACCACATCCTGTTTAGCCTTCTTAATCGTATTCTGAATATCCATATACGTTTGATGATCAGCAATCGTATCACCAATTCCAATCGTATGTCCTTCTCTCAAAAGCCACGCGTTGATGACAGTTTGAATGTGCGAATAGAATTGCGAGGCGACTTCGTGTCCAAGTTCCAAGGCGACAACGTGCAGGAGATTACCGGCTGATTTTCCGACTGTTTTTGAGCAAACAATTCCAGAGATTAGTTCTCCGTGTTCGATGAGAACCTGGAAATTTTCAGCTCTAATTTCTGTCAAAAATTCAAATTTTCAAGCTCCCGGGCTCATTTTTCATGAAAAATCCAAATTTTCAAGTTCCAAAGCTCGAAAATCAAGAAAATTCTCAATTTTGTTGCGAATTTCAAGAAAAATCCCAATTTTCGGAATTTAAAGTGTTCCAGTTAATTTTTCATTTAAAAAACCTTTAAAATCAGAGTTTTCAAGATTCGAAGCATAAATTCCAGTCAGAAATCCAAATTTCCAAGCCTCCGGGCTCATTTTTTACGGAAAATCCAAACTTTCGAGTTCCAAAGCTCAAAAATCATGAAAATGCTAAATTTCGATGCGACTTTCAACATTTTCAGTATTTCAAGTGTTCGAAACAATTTTTCATTTAAAAAATTATTTAGGGATGAATTTTGGTATTTTAGGTTTTTCAAAAATCTAGATATTTGGGATAAATTTAGAATTTTCAGAAATTCTGGAGCTAAATTTGTTCATTTCAACCAATTTTTCATGAAAATCAGGATTTTTGAGTGAAAATTCATAAATATTTCATAACAAATTTCAAATTTTTAACTATCATCTATGATTGAAATGAAAACTGTCGAATTCAGATTTTGAATGAATTTGATAAATTTTTGAAACGTAGAAATTGGAATTTCAGCATTTTTGGACAAAAACAAGACTTTCCGGGTAAAAAACCACCCAAAAATCGATTCTCCCGCTCAAAAATCGCCCAAAAATCACTCATACCTTCGTATCTCCCGGCGAAATCCACTTATACGGTCCATTATCCTCATCGTCTGGATGTGTACTGTGAGTTCGGAGAACATTCACATTTCCGGGAATGATCAGGGAGAAAATCTGTTTTCCGGTCCAAAGTGGTTTTGGTTTGAGAATTGCGGGTTGGGGTACTTTTCCATCCCAAACTGGCAAATACATGAGCAAATCCATCATTCGAGACTGCAAAATTGGGGGAAATTTTGAAGGATCATGAATTTTTCAAATTTTTAAGCAATTTCAGGTGAAAATCTGCAATTTTTCAGCTTAATTTCAGATAAAAAAAACCCAGTTTATAGAGAAAATTTAAGATTTTTAAGCACCAAGATTCATTAATTTTTCGGAATTTTACATGAAAATCAACAAATTCTGGGTTTTCAGCTTAATTTTAGGTCAGAAATACCAGTTTTTCGAGAAATTCTCGAATTTTTCAAATTTCTAGAGAATTTCAGGTCTCTCTTGAATGAATTTTTGAGTAAAAATCATCGAATTTCAGCCCAGCCTTCATTTTTCGCAATTTTTTGGATGGAAATCACGAAACTTCAACAATTCTAGGTCAAAATTTGACACTTTTTCAGTTTTTACACTAAAAATCATCAAATTTTCAACATTTTTAGGTAAAAATTTGAATTTCAGAACATTTCCAGGTTCAAATCACTCACCCAATCCACAAAAATATCCCTTTTAGTCATCATTCTAACAGCACACAATGTATCCTGTACAATTCCCATAACTGGTTTATTGGCTTGCGGTGTGATCAATTGTCTGGGAACCATTGCAATTTCCTCAATTTCAGCACGAGTTTCCAGCGATTGCGGTAAATGCAAATTCATTTCATCTCCATCGAAATCGGCGTTATATGGAGAAGTTACAGAGAGATTCATTCGGAAAGTCGACCATGGAAGAATCTGAAATTAAACATTTTGGATTTTGAGCATAAATCCAAGCCTCTGGCATACATAAAATGGGTCCCCTGAATCGGGGTGAGGGGCTTAACTTTTTTTCAAAAATCTGAAGGGAAGGGTGCCTAACTTGGCCAATTTTCTGCTGATAATTTACCAAAATTCGCTCAAAAATGTGAGGCAGGTGTTTAACTTTGGAAAATTTTCAAGGAGGGACCCTAACTTTAAAAACTGACTCGGGGGACCTATTTTATGTATGGCCTCTGGGCTCAAAAATCCCAAATTTCCATTCAAAAACCTGAATTTTTGCATGTCCCGAGGAGAAAAGGAACCATTTTCTATTAGTTTCGAAAACAGTACACGCATCTCGAGCTAATCTTATATTGCAATTCTTTCAGAGGTCGAAAATCACGAAAATCGATTTTTCGGCCAAAAATTGGAGGAATTGCGGGGGAAATCGGGATTTTTGAAGCATTTTTTCGATAAGAATCATAAATTCATCAAATTTTGAGCTACAGGACTTTCTGGTTCAAATTTTTCGAGCTCAAAATCAATTTTTGGGTAAGAAAATCATGGAAAATCGAATTTTAGAGATTTTTTTCAAATAAAATTGAATTTAGAGCTACATTTTCCAGAATTCCTAAATTTCACCCTGAAATTCAATTTTTCGAGCTCTGGGCAGAAAAATCAAGAATTCTGCTTTTTCAATGAGATTTTCAGGTTCATTATAGATTTTTGAGTAGAAAAATCATAATTTGATAGAAAATCGAATTTTAGAGCATTTTTTTTCGATAAAAACCTAAAATTATTAAATGTAGAACTATATTTTCCAGAATTCCTGAATTTCAGCCTGAAAATCGATTTTTCGAGCTCAAAATCAATTTCTGAGCTGAAAATGCAAAAATTCTACTTTCAATGAGATTTTCAGGTTCATTATAGATTTTTGAGTAGAAAAATCATAATTTTGAGCATTTTTGATAAAAATTAATGAATTTTTGTGTTTAAAAATCGAAAATTTCATCATTTTCTGCTAAGAAACTCAATTTTCCACCTTTCCGGACCAAAAAATGTTCAAAAATTCGATTTTCTATCACCAAAACCTTTTCAAAATTCCAAATATAATTTTTTCACTCGAAAAATTGAATTTCCAATTGAAATTCTGAACCTGACAGTTCTATAGTTGATAAATTTAGGATATTTTCACTTCCCCAAATCTTACCTTAACCCGATGTCCCATCATAGACATTTTGTGAAGTGTTGGCTGTCGATTGAACACAATAATATCTCCATCCTTCATATGTCTCTCAACCCGATAACCCGGTTGTAAATGCAAATCGGCGGCTCTTGGATGATATCTTAAATCAACACGAGCTCCATTTTCTCGAATAATATATTTGGCTCCCGGATATTGATTATCTCCTCGATTTACCAATTCTTGCAATTTATCCACATTGAATGGGGTGACAATTTCGGGAAATGTCAGATTTTGTGCAATTGTTCGTGGAACTCCGACTGTATCGATTGGAAGATTTGGATCAGCTGCAAAAATTGATTTATAGCTTCTGGAGCATGTTTCTAGGCTCAAAAATCACTAAAAATCCCATATTTTCATTCAAAAACCTGGATTTTTGCATGTCCCGAGGAGAAAAGGAACCATTTTCTATTAGTTTCGAAAACAGTACACGCATCTCGAGCTAATCTTATTTTGCAATCCTTTCAGAAGTCGAAAATCAGGAAAATCGATTTTTCGACCGAAAATTGAGGGAATTGCGGGGAAAATTTGGAATTTTTGAAGATTTTGGGTAACATAATAGAGATTTACTCTATAAATTTCCGAAATTCCGAATTCCTAAGCAAAAAATCAGGATTGAGGGAATTGCGGGGAAAATTTGGAATTTTTGAAGATTTTGGGTAACATAATAGAGATTTACTCTATAAATTTCCGAAATTCCGAATTCCTAAGCAAAAAATCAGATTTTTGCACACTACATTGCAAGATTTCGGGTTTCTGAGGTCAAAAATGAGATTTTTGATACCAAACTTCAAGTTTTCCTGCGAAGAATCAAGTTTCCGATTTTTGTTCAAAAATCTCAACATTTTGAACTGAAATTCAATTTTTCTTGAACTAAGTTATTGAAAAATCATCAATTTTTACAAATTTCTCATCTCCCAAGAGAAAATTCAAAATTTTTCCAACAAAAACTCACCAGTAATAACAGTTCTCGCCGAAAAATCCACCCGTTTTCCCATCAAATTTCCACGAATTCGTCCCTCTTTTCCCTTCAATCGTTGCTTAATCGATTTCAGCGGTCTTCCACCTTTTTGTGTCGCCGTCGGTAAACCCGGAATACAATTATCCACCAAAGTCGCCACATGATATTGCAATAATCTGACGTCATCGGCTAAAACATGCGCAGCGGCACCGTTCGCCTCGTTGCGTTGTAGTTGCTGGTTCGTTTTAATGATATCGGATAACTTGTGAGTTAAATCATCTTGATTTTTTGCCGATCCGAAAGTTACAACAGCCGGGCGAACTGCAAGAGGTGGAACTGGCAAAACTGTACAAATCATCCATTCCGGTCTCGAAAATTGCGCATCCATTCCAATAATTGGAATATCTTCATCAGTAATTTGCTTGAAAACTTCTAAAACCCGTTCAGCTGTTAGAATAATCTTGCGTTCTTGCGTATCCTCGTTCAAATTTTTCTTCCATTCCGCATTTATATCGATTCCAACTCTTCTGTAGGATGGTTGATATCTTCCGCAACCTCCGGCGATTTTTTTGGTTTCACCTAGTGGATCATCCGGATCGATTTGTTGATCTTCGTTTTCGTCTTTGTCGGTGCCACCTTCGCAGACGGTTTTGGATTTGCATAAATCGTAGATGAGTGTGATTCGACGACGGGGATTTCCTGCAAAATTTGAAATTCGAGTAATATGAGCAATTTGGAATTGGTTCCTTTTCTCCAGGGTTTTGACTGGAAAATTCAAATCTAGAGGTTCTTGGAGCCCAAAAAATGCTCCAGAATCTTGAATTTCAGATTTTGTCCAATCAAAGTTCCCAAAATTCCTCGATCTTCATCATTCTAAGCTTCTAGATTCATTTTTTCAGTCAAAATCCTGCGTTTTTGAATTTCTAAACTAATGTTGAGCTAAAAACCTCTCCAAATTATAGTTGAACATCGACTAGAGGACATTTTCATGTTTTTTTAACAAGTGAGTTCAAAAATTGGGTTTTAATCGTATTCCGTGGATGTCTATATAAATTTTTATGACTTTAAGTAACCCATAAGTCATTTAGCGGCTTTTATTCAAAAAATCGACTAAGAGCCGCTAAATCACTTATGGGTTAAAGGGGGTATACCCTATTGTCTCTCGTGCAAAGTGTGATACATCATTCGATTCAGAATTTTGTGTTTTATATGCACAAAAAATTTTAGCTCGCAAAACGGATTCTAAGTACACGTTTTTTGCGTCCAAACAGGACCAAAATCTGCTCGAAATAAAAAAAGAACACACAAGAAAGAGAGACGCAGACTCTCGCTGTCTGCCAGCCAGCCAGAATGTGTGTAGTTTTTTCTTCTTTTTTTAAATTTTTTAAAGTTTATTACAGTATATTCAGACTTACTGTAGTTGTTGAACACAAAATTCAAAAAAAAAACAACACACATGCTGGCTGGCTGACAGACAGCGAGAGTCTGCGTCTCTCTTTATTGTGTGTTCTTTTTTTCATTTCGAGCAGATTTTGGTCCTGTTTGGACGCAAAAAACGTGTACTTAGAATGCGTTTTGAGAGCTAAAATTTTTTGTGCATATATAACACAAAATTCTGAATCAAATGATGTATCACACTTTGCACGAGAGACAATAGGGTATACCCCCTTTAAGTAAAGTCATGCAAATTCATATCATTCGGGTTGTCTTAGGCATTTCTGTCCTATAAATACGATTAAAATCCAATATTTGAACTCACTTGCTAAAAAACATGAAAATGTTCTTTAGTCGAGGTCCAACTAGAGGTTTTTAGCTTAACATTAGTTTAGAGATTCAAAAACGCGAGATTTTGACTGAAAAAATGAATCTAGAAGCCTAGAATGATGAAGATCGAGGGATTTTGGAAATTCTGATTGGACAACATCTGAAATTGATAATTCCAAGATTCTGGAGCATTTTTGGGCTTAAAAAATTTCCAGATTCCAAATTTCCAGTAGAAACCTGGATTTTTGCATGTTCCGAGGAGAAAAGGAACCATTTTCTATTAGTTTCAAAAACAGTACACGCATCTCGAACTAATCTTATTTTGCAATTCTTTCAGGGGTCGAAAATCAGGAAAATCGATTTTTCGGCCGAAAATTGGAGGAATTGCGGGGGAATCGGGATTTTCAGAAATTTAGGGCTGAAACCAGGCAATACCTTGAGTTTTCTTCAAAATCTCCTTAACCCTCGGCGCAGTTTTATCAATCAACAATCGTCCACAATAAAAGCAAACGCATCGCAAGATTTTCAACGTTTTTGTCAAAAATCCGATATGGAAAACGGGTTTGGCCAATTCCAAGTGTCCAAAATGTCCGGGACAATCCGACAAGTTTCCAGCGCATGTCAAACACCGCCCGCGTCTATCAATAACTCCTTGTCTCGGATCCATCAGACCACCCAATTTTGGCTTGCCATTTTCGTAAATTTCAGGAAACTCGATGTGCGCCACAGACATTCGTTTCTGAAAAACAAATAATCGAGTCAAAATCATCCAGGAAACATGTAAAACTTACAATTTCCTCCGGTCCAAGAATTCCAAACTGTACCCGCTTGATGTCACGAAGCGGAGCTTGGAAATCCACTCCAACTAACGCCATTTTGACTGTGGTTTAACAATTCACAAAGTTCTTCTGCAAAAAACCATTGTTTCTTTGTGTCTATTTCGAAATTCTGTTAAAACACGAAAAAAAACGATTTCTTTGCGAAAATAAAAAATTTCCAAGATTTCCCTACATTCTCTATGTTCTCTAGATGATTCTCAACCCATTTTAAACGATTCGCGAACCTTGAAAACTTCAGAAACTCTGAATTTCCGCAGAAAAACCAAACACGCTCGAAAAAAATTCGAAATGAAGGAGAGGCGAGAGAGTGTGGGGAAGTAAGAGAGTGCCGCCGCGTGGTGAGACCCAACAAACAACTAAAATCGATGCGCCTTTAATGGTAAACCGGGTTTTTCTCTAATTTTTAAAAGGGTTTTAAGGTTAATTAGGTCATTTTTTGGGTCAAAATGAAGCTGGAGAGATGGAGAATAAGCTAAATAGTGGGAAAACCTAGAAAAATAGAAATTTCAGTGAAGAAACAAGGAAAAACTAACTTTCTTTGTCGGAAAATGAAGAAAACTGTCATTGTGCGAAAAGTGAAAAATGATCATTTTAGATTTTAGATAACGTATTTTTTCACGTCAAAATATTTTTTTTATTGTGAAATTCTGAAAAATCTGAAATTTTACACTAAAACTTGACAAAACCAACACATTTTCCAATAAAAATCTTTATAATTAAAAAAAATATAATTAAAAATTTTAACGCCGTGTTCCATCTTCGAAAAACACTCCACCATCGATGGCACAATATTTCGGGCAAATTCCCTTCTCTCCTTTGGCACCAGCTGGTCCGGCAGGTCCAGGTTGTCCAGGTTTTCCGTCGGCTCCCGGAGCTCCCGGATTTCCCGGTGGTCCTTTTGGTCCCGCACTTCCCGGGCCTCCCGGGCTTCCCGGTTGTCCATCTGGTCCAGGTGGTCCAGGCGGTCCTGGTGGGCCAGCACTTCCAGGCTCTCCAGGGATAAGTGGCTCGTTGGGCGCGTCGTCTCCCGGGCTTCCCGGGGTTCCTGGTGCTCCTGGCGATCCTGGAGGCCCAGGTGGTCCCTTTGGCCCAGCTTCTCCTGGCGGAGCATCTCCTCCGGGTGAACCAGGTGTTCCATTGCCTCCCGCATCTCCTGGTGGTCCAGGGGGCCCTGGAGGTCCAGGTGGCCCCTCAGGACACGGTTTGCAAGGTGGTGGGGTAATCGCTTCGCATGGTTGAACTGGTGGTTTACCGGGGTTTCCGGGAAGCCCAGGGGCTCCTGGTTTACCAGGCTTTCCTGGATTTCCAGGGGCTCCTGCGGGCCCAGCGGGGCCTGGAAGACAACAAGCCTCACAGTTGCCGCCTCCACCACCGCCTCCATGAACTGCTGCGTCGGCGTAAGCCTGACGGGCGGTTCTGTTGTGTGAGGCGGGTTCCAAGGCGGTTTTGAGGGTGCGCACTTCGGACCAGATGTCTTTGGCGCTTCCCTGGAAAAATTTAGGATTAGGCTTAGCTTAGGCTTAGCGCAGACCAAGCTTAGGCTTAGCATAGGCTTACCTTAGGCTTAGCTTAGGCTTGGGTTAGGCTAGTGTTAGGCTCAGTTTAGGCTGCCCTCGGGTCAGACGAGCGATGACGGGAGTCTGATAACGTCATCTAAGACAGAGAGAGACATCGCTTCGAGATATTTTTGATAAAATATGTGTCCCTTTGAAAAAAAACCGTATTTTATTTCAAGGAACACATGTTTTATTGAAAATATCTCGAAGCGAAATTAATTTTCGGGATATTTTTGCAAAATACATACTCTCGTCGTCTCGCGTCTGACTCAACGGGCGCCTTGTATGGTCGTGTAGCTTAGGCCTAGGTTAGGCTTAGCTCAAGCTCCAGCCCCAAAACTCACTCTACAATACACAATTTCATTGTGCATAGTGCGTTTCACGTGATGCACATAATTGTAGACCATCGGAAGAGTTACGCAAACTGAAAGAACGGCGACGGCCGAAAATGTGACAGCCGAATAGGCGACGAAACGATAGGCTTTCATCTGGAAATTTCAAATTTCTCCAAAAGAACTACACAAAATTTTAAATTTTTTTTTAAACTCACCCGATTCTTAATCTCCATAATTTCCGCCATATTATTATCCACCCCCATGATAATAAAATTTCAGAAACAAAAAATTTTCAGATCACAAAAAACACCAAATTTATATATATGTTTTAGTTTTTGAAGAGAACTAGTTATGTTTTTTCTCCCAGACTCCGCCCACTTTTTTCGCTTCTTCTTAGCTAGATTTATTTGGAAGATTGCCTAAAGGAATGCAATTAATGAATAAAAACAACAAAATTTGTTAATTGAGAGTCAATTTACTCGATTTTAGGACCAGTTTTTGTTTTGCGTGTGTAGTTCTTTTGGAGAAGTGGAGAGTCTATAAGTGTTCTACATAGTCTAGGCTTTAGTTTGATACCCATAAAGCCTAGGGCCATTTTAAGGAGCTTAAGGGGTTCAGAGACTATTTGGTGATTTTTATTATCACAATTTCTAGATTTTCTAGAACCTTACAAGGGAACCTCTTCAGCTCGCGGTCGAGTTTTGAGCTGAAAATTGTTTTGGGGGTACTTTAAGATGTTCTAATGGCCATATAAAAAATTCATTGCCTCAAGGGGCTATCTGCTAACCTGCTGCGCTGTGCTAGTTATTTTTTCAGCAGTTGAAATTTCAAAGAGAATAAAACTGGCGCGTGCGCCCTTGAAAATTCTCAAACTTCGGAGCTCACTTTCTTGTGCTCAGAGTGAAGTTCAGCAGCTGAATTTTTTATATGGCCATTAGAACATCTTAAAGTACCCCCAAAACAATTTTCAGCTCAAAACTCGACCGCGAGCTGAAGAGGTTCCCTTGTTAGCTTTAGTTTGATACCCATTAAGCCTATATTTAACACAAATTTTCCTTAGGGTTATTTTAAGGGCCTTAAGGCCCTCAGAACAATTTTTAAAATGATTTTTGAGCAGTTTGTGCAATACTTAAGGGATTTAAGCGAATTTTTAAAAGTTTTCAGAACCTTAGCTTCAATTTGAAACTTGACAAAAATTTTCCTTAAGGTCCTTAAGGCGTATTTAGTGTCAAAAAATCGGAAATTTTCTCTTCTCCAAAAGAACTACACAGAAATCACAAAAAAAAACAAGTTTTTTCAATTATTATTCATCTTCTAATGAGTAATAATAAAAACAAAAGATAAAAATCTGTAGATTTTTTTTGAGAAAAACAAGAAAATCTTGAAATTCTCCGAGAGAACTACACAATTTGCATTGTTTTTCAGGCGCCAAATTCAAATTTTTTGAATTTCTATTTTTGCCACGTGGATTGTTATATTTCTCCAAAAGTACTACACAAAAGTCCAAAATTGAAATTTTCGCGGGAAATTCAAATTCCTTTGCCACATGGATTATGATACTCCTCCAAAAGAACTACACACAAAATTCGAATTTTAAATTTTCGCGCAAAGTTCAAATTATTTTGCCACGTGGATTATTTATACTCCTCCAAAAGAATTACACAAATGTTGAATGTTTTGATTTCCTTTGCCACTCCTCCAAAAGAACTACAAAAAAATTCAAAAATCAAATTTTCGCGCGAAATTCGAATTCTTTTGCCACGTGGATTTGTTATACTTCTCCAAAAGAACTACACAAAATTGTTTTTACTAGGTCAAAATTCCGTGCATGAATAATTCGCTGACTATTCAATGTCTCCATGGTTTTTCTCTGCGCACTCTCTCAATTTCACACACTCTCTCGCTCACCAAGGTCAAAAATACTATAATAATTTCGGCCCGCTTTTCACTACAGTACCTCCATTTTTCTTGTATTTTCATAAAAAAGAGTGTGAAAAGAGGGCGACGAGAGAGAGAGAGTGTGTGAAATTGAGAGACGCAGACAGAGAAAATCGTACAATATTTGCTCATTTCTACTATTTGACCATGTTTTACAACAACAGTAATATTTTTCTATAATTTTCCCTAAATAAATTCCACAATTCATAAATGCCACGTGGCTTGTGGGTTACTGTACCTGGCCCACTTCCAAAATTCGAGCGCTGTTTAGCGTGGTCCGTTTGGTTGTTTCACTCGATCTCGGCGTTTTTTCTCGCCGCTTGGGTCTCGCATGGAAAATTGCGAGTTTGGTTGGAGGGAAATGGATTTGTGAGAACTAGTGGGTGAGTTTGAATTATGTATTTTGGCTCGGAAAATTTTTGACACGTGGCAGGCGGAAAATTTTAAATTTTGAATTTTTTAAACATTTTCAGCTGTAAAAATGTCTTGTGAATTTTTTTTAGAAATTTTTGACAAAATTTCTAAATTTCTACACGAAAACATTTTTTTTTCAGAAAAATTCTGGAAAATCATGCCACGTGTATTTTTGAGCAAAATTTTTTAAAGTCAATTGTTTTTCAAAATTTCAGGTTTTTAGCGTTAAAAATCCACGTGGAATTTTTTTCGCCAAAGTCTTCCGTTTTAAATTTTTTTTGAATTTCCCCCCAAAATTCCCAACCTTTTTGCAGCTACAGTACAACATCGTCTCAAGACCTCTCCGATCCAGAATGGCTCTACTATCGTCAAACTCTCTCGCATCTTCTCCTCAGCTACAGTATCCACAGCACCGCCCATTTTTTCGCGCGCAAACTCTTGGCACCAAATTCTCCTCTCCTTCCCTGGCTCCTCACAGCCATCGGTTTTGCCTCGCAGATTTTCATGACAAGTTGGCGATGCGTGGGAGTACTGTATTTGTTCACAGCCACAGTAACCTGGGTTACTGTGGGCGTGTTGAGTAATCTTGCCACATGGCAAAAACAGGCTGCCACGTGGATTTTTTGCATTGTGTTCATCACGAGGAGCTTGAGTTTCATACCGTTTACACCGGGTGGAAGTATTTTCTATCGCGAATTCAATTTGTATTTGTATGGAGCCTTTAAGGTGAGCGTGGCCTAGAAAATTTGTTGGGTTTCCTAGGCCACCTTCTTCCAGATTCTCAGCCACACCCTCTACATCATTGAAAATCGCGAAAATCCTCCCAAACTCCACGAATCGCTCCAATATTTCGCCTATCTTCCCTATTCAATGACTCTCATCGTGACATTCGCCGATTTCTTATCGCAAACTCGCACAACACCAGCGGCGAACCCGCGAATCTCGCGAATTTGTCGCGCCGCACTTCGCCTCATCTTCTGGTATTTCGCGTTCGAAGCCCTTCTCCACGTGGTTCATGTGAATGCGATTTTTGCGGCGACGTCGCCAGGCGAAATTTTCGCCCGCCTCAATGTCTATGAAATCGCCTCGATTGCCTATTGTTGTGGTCAATTGTTTCATGTGAAATATGTGATTATTTTCGGAGTTCCCGCGTTTTTCGCAAGAGAATTGGATGGAATGCGACCGCCTTGTGAGCCGATTTGTATTTCGCGAGTTTCACTGTATTCTAGAATGTGGCGATTTTTTGATAATGGACTGTATAATTTTTTGAAAACACATGTCAGTTTTTGAATTTTACACGTGAGCTATGACGTGGCAATTTAAAAATCTATAATTTATTTCAAAAAAAAAATCACCTGAATCAAATATTTTGCAGGTTTATATTCCAGTGATGTCCAAACCGCTTCCCATGTATCTTTCAATTCTTCGAAGTCTCTCCGCTCTCATCGCAGTCTTTTCGGTTGTTCTCGCTTGGCACGGCGCAAAAACCCACTATATTTGCTGGGTTTCCTTGTCCGCTGCTGAACTCATCATTGAACGAATCGGATATGCGATTTGGAAGATGGACAGCGTTCAACAACTTCGAGCTCGTCTTGGTGAGCATTGTTGTCGGCGAGTGATGGCGACGGGAATGTTGTTGACGGTGACACCCGGGATATTTGGTGTATTTTTCTTTTTGGGACAGCCCGGAGTTGGGCAAGCGATTTTGGATAGAATTGTGATTCAAGGAATGCGCGATGTTTTTACGGGGAATTTGAGTTTTTCACCGTAAGTTTTACGAATAAATTTTAATCAAATTTAATTTTTTCAGGGTGACAAGTGGCTTCGGTTTTCTACACATTTTAACACTTGGCTACTTCTTTAATAATGTTTGTCTGGATATTGAATACTTAAAAAAACTAAAAACTACTTAATAAATTGTATAACATTCATTACCAGGGCATTTGAAACAATAAAAACAATACCCTGCCAACGTTTACATTTATCCTCCCTTCTTCTTGGACACTCCGACGGTACGTCCTTTGCGTCCGGTGGTCTTGGTATGTTGACCTCTGACACGGAGTCCCCAGTAATGTCTGAGACCACGATGGAGGCGGATTTTCTTCATGCGTTCAAGATCTTCACGGAGTTTGTTGTCAACAGCGGTGGAAAGGAGCTGGAAAAATTTGTTTTGTGGAAAATTCTCCCAGGAAAAAGATTCAGCTCATGAAAACAACTCACTTGGGAGGTTTTTCCGTCCTTGATGTCCTTTTGTCTGTTGAGGAACCAGTTTGGAATCTTGTATTGGGATGGGTTTTGCATGATGGTAACAATCTTGTCGAAGTCAGCTTCGCTGAGTTCTCCGGCGCGTTTGTTGACATCAACGTCAGCTTTGCGACAGCAGACGAAGGCAAAACGACGACCAACTCCCTAAAAGAGAAATAATTAATTTCAGTTCGAAAAATGTTTCAATGAAAAACTCACCTTGATGGCAGTCAAGGCAAATGGAACCTTGCGGTTACCATCGATGTTGGTGTTCATCACACGATGAATGTGTTGGAACTTCTCTGGAATGATCAACGACATCTTCTTGTCGTGATTTTATAACCCTGAAAAACATTGAATTATATCGGGATCAAAAGTTTGGAAGGGCAATTATTTCCGAAAATATACGAATAATCAAATGAATCGTTTTCTGATAAAAGATAAGATAAAACTAATTGGATGAAGTTCACCTGCATTTATTAAATCTAGGCTTCTTCGAAAAGAATTCGATTGAAACGAAGAAAATTCTCGATAGTTTCAAATTTTTGAACAACGAAAGAGTAATAATAAAATCGGAGAAAAATTAAATTGAGCTTTTCCCTCATAAACTTCCTCCTCCGTCCTGCAAAAATCCAGAAAAACATAAAATTTCGAAACAAAAAATATTTCCCCCAAAAATCCCAATTTTCCACTGAAAAATCGATAAAAATGAATTGCATTCCAGAAGAACATCCATTTTTCCATCCTATAAAACCCCAAAAGTCCTCAAAATCCCTCAAAAACCATGGAAAACCCTCAAAAAACCAACAAAAATTTAGGGAAACCTTCAAAAAAAGAAAAGAAAAAGAAAAATAAACGAGGAAGAGAGCGCGCGCACCAAGACCCACGAACACAATAAATACGCCTCCCTTTACTTCGCGACGAGACCTTGCAGTCTTTTTCGCATTTTTGCGTGTTTTTTCACGTATTTTTGCGTGAATCAAAAATCGAAAAATACAAGAATGTAGAGAATTGAATCGCGCATCTAATGATATAGGCTAAATCTTGGGAGTTCGCCAGATTTTCAAATGAAAAATCAAAAACCCAATTTCCTCACAGTTTTGGGTTACGGTAGCAATGCTAGAGCGTCTAAAACCTCGGTGTACTCGGCGTGTGTGTTGTCTCTCTCCCGTCTATCTCCATTCTATTATATATCACAGGCACAGTTTGCCGTTTCTAGTAGTGCTGTGCTAAATCATGGGAAGTAAGTTGGATATTTTCAGATAGTTTTTCTGGAAAGCAGGCCTGATGAATAAATAAGTAACTGAACTAATATATTTCTTTTTTCCAGTCAAGTTCCTCGAATTCGTCAAGCCGTTCTGCGGCTTCGTGCCGGAGGTCTCGAAGCCAGAGCGAAAAATTCAATTCCGTGAAAAGATGCTCTGGACCGCCATCACACTTTTCGTCTTCTTGGTGTGTTGTCAGATTCCACTTTTCGGAATCATGTCGACTGATTCGGCTGATCCATTCTACTGGCTTCGTGTGATTATGGCATCGAATCGTGGTACTTTGATGGAGTTGGGTATTTCGCCAATCGTCACTTCTGGATTGATCATGCAACTTTTGGCTGGTGCCAAGATTATTGAAGTTGGAGATACACCAAAGGATCGTGCGCTTTTCAACGGAGCTCAAAAATGTGAGTTTTTTCTACAAAGACTTTTCTATATCAAAATTTAAATTTTTCCAGTGTTCGGTATGGTTATCACTGTTGGACAAGCTATTGTCTACGTTATGTCTGGATTGTACGGAGAGCCATCAGAAATCGGAGCCGGAATCTGTCTCTTGATCGTTGTCCAACTCGTCATCGCCGGTCTCATTGTTCTCCTTCTCGACGAACTTCTCCAAAAAGGCTACGGTCTCGGCTCAGGAATCTCGCTCTTCATCGCCACCAACATTTGCGAAACCATCGTCTGGAAAGCCTTCTCGCCAGCCACAATGAACACTGGACGTGGAACCGAATTCGAAGGAGCCGTCATCGCCCTCTTCCACCTTTTGGCCACCAGATCTGACAAAGTTCGCGCTCTTCGTGAGGCTTTCTATCGTCAAAACTTGCCAAATTTGATGAATTTGATGGCGACTTTCCTCGTTTTCGCTGTGGTTATCTACTTCCAAGGATTCCGTGTCGATCTTCCAATCAAATCTGCTCGTTATCGTGGACAATACAGCAGTTATCCAATCAAATTGTTCTACACCTCGAATATTCCAATCATTCTTCAATCGGCTCTTGTTTCAAATCTCTACGTCATTTCACAGGTAATTTTTGGACTTTTTCAGAGGAAAAGGGAAAAGATAGTATCTTTTTTGCGGAGAGATGACCTTGGGTCTGACCTAGATTAGGAATTTCAGAATCCTTCAAATCAAAATTTTCGGCTGAAAGTGACAAAGTTTAAAATTTAAAAAAAAATGAAATTTTCTAAAAATCAAGAATTTTGGAAAATGAAAGAATCTGAAATTTTCAGCCAAAAAAAACAAAATATAAATTTTTCGAATAAAAATGGAAAACTTTCAAAAACCAATATCATTCCAGATGCTTGCCTCGAAATTCGGTGGAAACTTCTTGATCAACTTGCTCGGAACCTGGTCAGATGCTTCAGGAAGCTACAGAAGCTACCCAACCGGTGGACTCTGCTACTATCTCTCCCCACCAGACACTCTCGGACACATTTTGGAAGATCCACTCCACTGCATCGTCTACATTGTCTTCATGCTCGGATCATGCGCCTTCTTCTCAAAAACCTGGATCGACGTGTCTGGCTCATCGGCCAAAGATGTTGCCAAACAATTGAAAGAACAACAAATGGTTATGCGCGGACATCGTGAAAAATCAATGATCCACGAATTGAACAGATATATCCCAACAGCCGCCGCGTTCGGAGGACTCTGTATTGGAGCACTTTCGGTAACTGCCGATTTTATGGGAGCCATTGGAAGTGGAACTGGTATTTTGTTGGCCGTCACAATTATCTATCAATATTTCGAGATTTTTGTTAAAGAACAACAAGAAATGGGAGGAGTAGCCGCCATGTTCTTCTAGATTTTCTATTCATTTTTTGTTAATTTATTCCCCCTTTTCTCCCCTATTATTTGACTATATCGGGTTCACGTCAAAAATTGCAAACTCGACGGAATTCTTGCGGAATTTCCGTATGTGTATTTATATATTCAAAGCAAATTCTATATGTACTTGTTTCTTTTTCGCGTCCCTTTTTCCCCCTAATTAATTGAGAGTTTTATCTTCTTTTTTTCGTGTTGAGAGAATAAAAAAGAGTTGTGATTTTTTTTGTTGAAAATTTGAAATTTTGTCGAAATTCTATAGCTATTTTTTCAAAGGGATTCGGGGAAAAAATTCATTTTTTCGAAAAACTGGAGGTTTTCTTAGAACTTTGAAGGTTGGGCTTCATTTTCCGTTTTTTCAAAAATATAAAAATTGTTGAAGCAAGAAGTGCGCAGAACAAAATAACATCGAAACTTCCAAAAATCCAAGTTTCAATGGGAGTTTCGACTTCTTTAGTTTTTTCTTCTTCTTTTCGAGGAATCGCAGTCGATGTGACGGGTTCTTGAATTGCAATAAGGTTTTTAGCTATTCTGAAATTATTTCAGGCTTGTTTTAGTTTTAGTTTTCTAACTCTCACATTCGATCCACAAATTTAACCAAACCATCCGTTGCATTCTTCGCAGACCTATCGATTTTCAAAATTCCATTTTTATCCAACAATAAGAATTCAGCTGGTTTGTGATAAAATATAATGTGTCTATTTTCTTCAGCGACAACCAAATTGTTGAGACAAGCACTGCTGGTTTGAAAGAACATGATGTATTTGATGTTTTTGTGATTTTTCACCTTTTCGTAGTTTTTGAATTCGTGGATGGTTTTGTTGTATCGTTCACATGGTAGCGGGTCCTCACTACCTATAAGCAATAAATATTTTTAAGATTTCACTCGTTTCGCTTGATTAGAGAGCATGTAGAATTGAGAGACTCAGAGAAGCCATACAATTAGATATCAGTTCGAGTATGGAATGATAATTTTCAGATAAATCGATTTTTGACCGAAAATTTCAAATTTTTTGGATTTCTTGACTTTTTCATAAAATTTCCAAGCTTTTCCACTCCACCATCGAAATTTTCCCAAATTTCAGAATTTCCTAGAAACAACCATGTCTAATTGTCTGGTTTCTCTGCGTCTCTAACTTTCCACCTGTCTGACCACTGTCAATTCTACATGCTCTCTAATCAAACGAAGTGGTATTAGGTATATTTGGACATCGATTAAATGAGATTTTCAGATTTTTTAAGCAAATGAGTTGAAATATTGGGTTCTAATGTTATTCATATGATAGAATGGTCTAAGACGAACAGAATGATATGAATTTTGATGAATTTATGTTATCCATAAGTGATTTAGCGACCTTATCGACTAAATATCGACTAAACATCGCTAAATCACTTATGATTAACGTAAATTCATCAAAATTTATATCATTCTGTTCGTCTTAGACCATTATATCATATGAATAACATTAGAACCCAATATTTCAACTCATTTGCTTAAAAAATCTGAAAATCTCATTTAATCGATGTCCAACTATACCTAGTACCACTTCGTTTGATTAGAGAGCATGTAGAATTGAGAGAGGTCAGACAGGCGGGAAGTTAGAGACGCAGAGAATTAGACATGGTTGTTTCTAGACAAATTTCTGAACTTTTGGAAAATTTCGAAGATGGGGGTGAAAAAACTTGAAAATTTCATGAAAAAAGTCATGAAAAATGAAAACAATTCATCTGAAAATTATCATTCCAGACTCAAACTGATATCTAATTTTATGGCTTCTCTGCGTCTCTAACGTCTGATTTCTCTGTCTCTCTCTCTCAAATTTACGTGTTATCTAATCAAGTTTTTACCTGTTTTGTAAGCCGTCTCAAGTTCGTCCGCGGCTCCGTCGCTATCCACAAAACCCGTCTCCGAAACTGTCCTTCCTTGCATTTTTGCGTATTCCAAAACATAAAAAACAAGATTATCGGCTCTTGGAATGTGACACGATATTTGTTTGAAAATGTAGCGCTTTGCATCCGACTATAAATAATTAATTAATTAATTAGTTAATCAATTAATTCTTCCAACTCACTATAGACGCGTCGGATGTTCTGTCATAAACAAATACAAAAAGTGCATCTTGATATTTGGTTGTTGTTGAAATTGGATGGCATCCCGGCAAACTGTCAGCATCGAGTAGAATTGCGGATATTAATAAAATCCAGCAGACCAACATTGGAAATCTCATATTTATGCCCATTTTTTCGAAAGAGATTGTGAAATAAAATGATTTTTCTAGGGGTTTTCGGGCATTTTATAGGGTTGAAATTAAGTGGGGCACGTTCACCTAAAAATGTCAAAAAAAATCTTCATTTTGTGGCGAGAAAGAGTAATGGCAGTATCATAGGGAAGAATATATTGTTTAAAGGAGCATACTGTAGGTCAAAAAAAAAAAAACATTTTCTAATGATTCACACTAAAAGTCGGCTCGTCGGCCGGAGTCTCGTTGGAGAGTTCCACGTGGTTTTTGCGTTGATGAAGAATGGCTTTGAGCTCATCGCCAGTGTGAGTACGGTACTGAAATTATATGAGATGCTGGGGTAGGGACGTCAAAAACTCACTCCGCTCCTCTTTTTCTGCACCAAAAGTTGGCTGTACAGATAGCTTCCCTCGTCGCGTCCACAAGCTTGTTGAAGGTGCAATTTTTGAAGTGAGAACAGATTTGCGCCATCTTGACCATCTAGTAGATCAATAACTCTGAAAAAATGAGTTTAAAGGTACAGGGTTACTGTAGGAGTACTGTCTGTACCTTGGCGAGAATCCTTTTTCCTGCAACCATCTTGTCACGTCTTCTGGCGAAGACTTTTCATTGATGGCGACTCGCGCGGTTGTCGCCGGCGATCTTCGCGACATCAAAATCTCACCCTGATTGCGACTCAATGTCTCGCTCAACTCGCCGACAAGTGCCGGGTTTTCGCGACGTCGCGACACTTCCAAAGCGGGACGCGGAGCCGGTGCGACTTGCGGAGTAGCGATGATTTCGCGTTGACGCAACTTTTGTGCTCGCAACATGTCCTCCATTGATGGAGCTGGTGGCGCTTGGATCACTGGCGCGATGGTGGAGACTTGAACACCAGCGTCGGAAACGTAGGTTGGTGTACGGCGAACTGTAATGTTTTGGGTGTGGGCGCGAAATTTGCGCACAAAGGAAACAAAGGTGACAAAGTGTGGAAAATTTGCAAAATTTTTCATTAAAAAACAATTAATATTTCTCATCTAAAATAGGTGGTATCACAAAAAAATATAAAATATCATAAATTAAATTTTAATTAAGTTAAATATCACAACTGAAAAGATTGGATTTTTTGGGGGGATTGATATGAGTCATGCAAATATAGATAGAGTATATAAATTACATCAAAAAGGGGGAGGACAAACTGAAAAAATAAGAGAGAGTTTGAGCACACGAAACACAGAAAAGAATTGAGCTAAATGGCACTTTTTGGGGGGTGAAAATTGAAAAAAGGGGGGTCTAGAAATAGCGGAACTCTCCGCGTTTTCCTTGTCGTTCTTTGACGTAAGCGGGTGCGTCTTCGGGTAACAGCATACCTGCGGCTTGTTGATGATTTTGGTGGTGATGGCCGTTGAGAGGTGCTGGTGGGTAGTTGTTGGTGGAGAGGTTGGGTGACTGAAAGAGTTAACATAAATTAGATTTTCGGATTCTTGAGCTTTCGATGGACACCCATATTGCCTAAGGTTCGTCTTAGGGACCTTAAGGTGTTGCGGGTCCCTAGAGCCCCAAACATTTTAGTGAAACTAGGCAATATGGGTGTCTATCGAAAGCTCTAGACCTCAGGAACTCAAAAATCCCAAAAAACTCACAGCATACTGTTGTTGTTCCAACGGGACCATCGACAAAATAGTGTGTGGCACATATCCGACTCGTTGATGCATATTTTTACATTCCCACCAATTCTTCACATCATACAACACTTCCAAATATTCGCCTTTGTGCACCGTCAATTCTTTGGCATTTTGTCCGCTTCGATCATACGTCACTATGGCCAATTTGCCGCCACGTCCGATGACGTCATCGATGAACGCTTGCTGACGTGGCGATGTGTCGGAGTCGACGTTGACTTTGACGTGTTGGTAGGAACGTGGAATTGGGGCTGGCGAGGAGGAGATTGGGCTGGAAATTGAGGGACTTTTATTGGAAGTCTAGTCCTCGACTTTTTTCATAGCCAATAAGTTCTATGAAACTCGGGGACTAGAAAGCTAGGGTTCAAATGCTAGTCCCCGACTTTGAATTTTGACTTACGGATCATATCGTTTCGAAATCGGCGGAATATCCTCCACAATATGCGTCTCCTTTTTGATCAACTCTTTTTCGGCGTTCAGGCGGCGCTTCTCATCCCTGTATAAGAAATTTGTAATTAAAAACCCGCCGTCAAAAAGTTTCCCCGTTCAAAACTCACTCAATCTGCTTCTCTTCAGCTCGCACACGATTTTCACGCTCCAAAATTTTCGCTTTCTCGAATTCCAGACGCTCACGTTCCAGAGTTAATCGATCGAATTCGAGCTGCAAAAAAAAAATTTTTTTTCAAAATTAAATCTAGAAAGTCCGAACATTATCAACACTCAGGTTTCGTTGCGGGGGACGAGTTTGACGTGGAGTTCGGCCATGCGTTGGTGTCGAGGGTGCCTGGAGGGAAAAGATGAGACAGGATAGGATAGAGAGACGCAGACAGACAGAGGGAAGGGTAGAGACGGAGAGACATGCCAAGGGAACCACCAATACTTACCGTATCTACTCCGGATCTTTCACGTGCACCGCCTCGATAATGCTCAGGCGGTGCGGATTGTCCGCGATGCAAAGGCCCGCCAATCGGCCCAGGTGCAGCCCTCTCAACAACACCATACGGCGCAAATCCATCACTGAATACAGGCCTAAATGGGGCGGGAAGTGGGCCGGTCCAATCCTCTGGTGGTGTTCGCCACGGTTCACCCAAACTCATCCAAACATCCGATTCGCGACTGGTTAGACAGTTTTGCATCAGCTCTCGGGCCTCCAAAGACAGCAAAGGTGAGACGACAGTTGGCCCGATGTTGCGGCCTAGGCCCCAATGACACGCCTCAAGGATCACCGACAGTGGAGTGAAGAGGAAATGAAGGAGTTCGGGAGCGTTCGGCTCGTGGATATGGTTTTTGAGTTTGGCGAGAAGGTTGAAACTGAGCTTGAACTTTTTGAGAATGTCGACGAATTCAGATTCGATGGGAAGTTGGGCTCGCATGAAGAGAATTCCGTTCGGATCGGGTTGTTGTTGATTTTTCTTGTCGCGACGATTTGCGGTGCGGTAGCGGTAGTTCTGCAAAATATGGGAGATTTGGGAGTGATTTTCTAGCTGTCTCTTTTCTCTGCGTCTATAACCCTCTAGCTGTCTAGTTTCTCTACGTCTCTGACTTTATAGTTTATCTAATTGTCTAGCTTCTCTACATCTGTGTCTCTAACTATATTGTGATATCTAATCGCTGGGTCCTCTGCGTCTCTAACATTCTATTTGTCTATGTTCTCTACGTCACTAATATTCTATTTGTCTGATTTCTTTGCGTCTCTACTCAGGATTTTTTTGTACCGGGACAGAATTTTTCAGGCACATTGTTTGAGTACTGTCTATATTGTATGCAGGCCATGACGTCATCACCTGCACAAAATTTAGACAGTATTCGAACAATGTGCCAAAAAAAATTCTGTCCCGCTACAAAAAAATTTCTGAGTAACTCTACAGTGACATCTAATAGTCTAGCTTCTCTGCATCTCTAGTTTTCCAGCTGTCAAAATAGCTGTCTGTGTCTTTAACTATATAGTGATATCTAATCGCCTGGCTCCTCTGCCTCTCTAACACTCTAGTTGTCTGATGTCTCTCACCTGTTGTTCAATTTCCCTTTGCGCCAAAGCGGCCGATTGAATCCTCGCCACAAACTTCTCAATATCATCAAAACATCGATTCAACGTGTTCACATCGCGTTCGAACATTTCCGAAGTTTCGCTGGAGATGCTCGCATCGTCACCGCCACCCGCATAATACGGCATTTCTGAAATGAATATTGCGATTTTATGAGACGAAGAAAGTTTCTTCTTGATAACCATAATATGCCTTATCTATGGAATTTTTGAAACTTTTCTAATCTTCGGTTAACATGAGTCATGAATTATCGATTTGTTTTGTTTTTTTGTCCCTTTGCAACTTATTTTCGTATACATACATATATTTTTGTTTGTATTTGGGTGTGTATACACACAAAACAAGGAGAAGAAGAAGAATTTGGGCTCGAGCAAAAGTGTTTGCTCAAAATGCTGTGCTGTGTTGATAAGAGCAAAATTTCGAATCGATAAACTAATCTTTGGTCAAAAAACGATCCAAACTCACGTTGCTGTTGATGATACACGGGCTGTTGTTGTTGTTGTTGTTGATGTGGCAGAGCATTGGTACGTCTTCCGGGTCGTACGCGTCGATGTTGTCCGCGTGTATACGCTTGCAAATCATCCGCGACTTCGGTTGCCGCAACACGAATGCACTGAAAAGAAGAGCTATACATAGAGGCCTCCGGAAGTTCAAAACTCACTTGGAAAATGTGCATTTCGGTGGGTGTGCTGAGTCGCTTGCGATCTTCGCGCACCACGAATAGCAGAATGTTGTTGTAGGTGTCGCGTGGATCGTTGCTAACATGAGCGGTGGGTTGCTCGATGAGCTCGAGGGGGAATTGCTCGACGAGTTCCTGCAAATTTTTTGGATTTGAAGGTTATTTGCTGATCTTGTCATCTTGAGCTTCAATGTGAAGTTCATATTGTCTTAAATTAGGGTTAAAGACCCTAAGGCAATATTAAGGTAGACTATAATTCTCGGTATCAGATTCTCAAGGTTCAGAGCTTCAATTCGAAACCCATATTTCTGGATTTATCTTAACTTAAGGTTAGAGATCTTAAAGAAACTCTAAGGACCATAATGTAGATCAAATAATGGTGCACTCTGAACGTTTTTTAATATTCTTAAGGCATGATGCTTTTATTTGAACTCCTTCATCTTAAATTAACGTTAATGACCTTAAGAAAACCCTAAACCCAAAAAAATCCTCTAACAATAAAACTCACCCCATTATCATCCTCAACAGTCACCGTATTCTGTCTCAACCGTAAAATCAACGGCTGTGCCCAAATTGCCGAATTCTTCTCCATTTGTTTCAACTTCCGAATTCCATCGGCTGGAAAAGTTAGGCCAAATTGTCTGCCGACTGCAAAAGTCGCCAAATGTTCGACGTAGTATGATGGAGTGACATCTTCGACACGACCATTATCCGATCTTGGCGTCATTTGTTCGGAAGACTGACGTGGATGATGATGATAATCCTGACCGACTTGTTGACGTCGAACTGGAATGAAAGATGGGTTGAGATGGTCCGTATGCACTCATAAGTGCTCTTAGGGAGCTTAGGGTGGTTAAATGACCCTTTCAGGTTAAGTTATGTTCGTTGGAGGATGCCCTTATTGTCCCCTACGAGAAACTTAAGGTTCTTAAGCAGCAATATGAAATAGATAAGGCAAAAAGCACCAAAGATCAAGATGTTTCTTAGGTTTCTAAGGTCCTTGGGTTAAATATAGTTAATACGGGGCTTTTGAACTCTGAGACGCGAGTTTTTTAAAAACACTTAAAAAATAAAGTGTTACCTTAAGGACGCTATGGATTCAAGCTAACAAAAAAAGTTACAAATCACGGACTAAACTGCGAAAAAGAAAGGTTTTGCAGGCAAGCAATAGTGAAATTGATAATTTTTTGGGAGGCCGGGGCCAATACACACACACAAAATTTTTCGCTTCGATTTTTTACGACGCAAAATTTTCCAGTGATAAGAGGAGAGAAGCCTTAACAATTTTGGGCGTTTCAATTTTGATATTTTTCGTATACCCATAAAGAGTAAGGGGTCGAAAAGTTGGGGGGGAAGCGGCGCGGAAAGCGCGGAAGCTTCCGGCACTCCGCGGCAGGCTTGCCGCATACACTCACCTATCGGTTGACTCATCGGCGCGGTTCGTTGTGAATTTTGACTATGAGACGGACTGGGCTGTCCGGCACTTCCACGCGAATAATAAAATCCTCCTGGTGATGGCCGACTGTAAAAATTAAAATTCACATTAGATACTCAGTCAAAAAGGTACGCAGTCAAATTTCGCGTTATCTTATCAAAATACATATATGTAGTGATGAGAGAGAGGTACACAAATAAATATTTTTGTGCACCCCCCCGGGGGTGTTTGAAATAAAATTTGACTGCGTACACGTTTGATACTCAGTCAAGTAAACCAGGCCTGATCGGAATCGGAATATCGGAATTCCGAAATTCCGAAACCGACAGGTTTTTCGGAATGAGACAAACGTGTCTCGGAATCGGAATCTATTTTCTCGGAATCGGAATCATTCCGATGTTACTTCCGAAACTTTTTGCAATTTCGGAATGTGTTTCTCTTCCGAAATTCGGAATTTTTCTACCGAATTTCGGCATTTTTCGGAATGTTTGAGCTGAAATTAGTAAAAAATTCAACAAAAAATGGAAAAATTGATGAATTTTACCTGTCATTTTCAAAAAATCTCTTTTTCTCTTGTGATTCTCGAAAAATGTAACTTTTGAAGACAAATTTTTAAAGTTTTATATCATTCCGAAACATTCCGAAAAATTCCGAAATTCCGAGGTAAAAATGTCGGAATGGAAGTTCGGAATTCGGAATTACGATCTGACCACTCGGAACGAGTGTGCTCATTCCGAACCTTCCGACAAGGTCCATTCCGACCAGGCCTGAAGTAAACACAATGACTCACTTTTGATATGGATCCGGTGGCCCGACCGATCCGCCACGTCGCATCATGTTTTTTGCTTTGTTTTAGGTTTTTATCGCCAATATTTTGCCCGGGGAAACTTTTAAAGGCACATATAGAAATATACGATTTTTTCGGGGGGAAGCGGGGAGAACTGCAAAAAATTAGATTTAGGAAAACGCAAAAAAAAATCGGGTTGGGAAGGTAATTGAATTCGAGAATATGATCATTAGGGAAAGGGAAAGGCGGAACGAAAATTGACACGTGGCAAATTGAGGTTTGGGACGAAAAATAATATTATGGAATTTGTAAATACAGTAGGATAAAAATCCACGTGGAAATAGCACAGTTTTGGTTTCACGTGACAAAATTTGACTTTAAAAACGTGAAGGGGGCTGATTAACGAAGTTCGTTCGTTAATAACGAACGAAAAAAATGTTTAAAAATGTTTTTTTAACATCGAAACATCAATTCACGAAAAATTCAAAGGTCAAAATTAGTTTTTCGAGTTTTTCAGCCGAAAATGATGACAAATCGATATTTTTGAAGCTTTTGGAGTAATTTTTGATGAAAATTTACCTTGGAATTCACTTTTCCAAAGTTTTTGCTGATTTTTCCTGTGAATTTCGAAAAAATTAATAAAATGAGGTAAAATAGGGTTATCGAAGCTTATTTTCATCCGAAATCACTTCAGAAGCTTCAAAAATCTCGATTTGTCATCATTTTCGGTTGAAAAACTTGGAAAATCTGATTTTGACCGTGAATTGATCTTTCTATGTTAAAAAAAGTGGAAATTTTTTTAATAAAAAAAGTTGTTTTTATTAAATAACACAATTTGGGAAAATTGCGCATTTTTGAAAAAAATCCCAATAATAAATTGATAAAAGGTGACCACAATAAATAAAATCGGGCAAGAATTTTTGGGGGGATAAAAAGATGAGAGAAGAAGAAGAAGAAGAAGAAGGGGGAAAAGTGAAGGTCGAATATTTTACATTTTTCCCCGCGATTTTCTATTTTCCACTATTTTCCACCCCAGAAAAGGGCGGAAAAGATATGAAAATTATTATTGGGAAGGGGGATAATATAATCATAAGAAGAAAAAGAGAAATAAAAAGAAGAAGAAGAAAATGATGAAGACTATAAAATAATTATAATTGGAAATGACTTCCCCCATTTTCTACGACTTTTTTGATGAATTAATCCATCAAAAAAGTTTCAGGGGGGTTAGGGACGCAGAGAAGTTGGACAACCAGAGATAAAGAGAGAAGTTAGACAACCAGAGATAAAAAGAGAAGTTAGACAACCAGAGATAAAGAGTAAGTAAGAGACTCAGAGAAAGAGTTCTGTTGCCACGTGGCATAGTTTACAACAATTTTGCCCAAGTTTTGCGCATCAATCAAAATCAAGTCCATATTTCAATTGACCACACCCAAGGCCCCACCCAAATCAAAAACTGAATCCTAAAAGATTTATGAATGTGAGAGAGTGAGAGACGCAGAGGGAAAAATTTGGCGCAAAAACCAAAAAAAAAGTTTTCGAGAGGTGTTCTTTTTTCATGAATGGATCAAATTTCAATCCGGATCAGACCTGGGAAATTTTTACGTGGCACCGTAAAACGTAAAATGGTTTTAAAAACCGTAAAATCCCGTGAAATTCGTAAAATTTTTTTTACTTTTACGGTGAAATTCCGTAAAACGTAAAACGTAAAAAAACGTAAACATAAAAATTCCCAGGGTGATTCGGATGGATGAGGCTTTACAATCAAAAATTAATTTTTAGGCCAGGCCCCTTATCTAAAAAGGCCTGGGCCCCCCGTCTAAAAAAGCCCGTCTTCACTAATCGAAAATGTAAATAGCTCAAGTATTTGTGTGTTTTCATTTTATTATGTTTGGGCTCGTGTTTGTCGAATTATTATCAGCAAAAGAGAGAGAGTACAGAGACGCAGGCAGAGAAAATGGCGGTTTTGGGGCGAATTGCGCTGAAACCGTGTACTTCTCACGGACATCACATGAAAAAAGAATCTATGGTTTCCAGGGCTAAGCTTCCGCTATACCAAAAATTAAAAAAATTAATTTGTGAAAAAAAGTTTTTAAAAAATCCGTGTACTTCTCTCGGACAATCAGTTCTTCTTTTTTTTAAGAAAAAAGGAAAAGGAACTTTCTGAAGACAGAGAGACACAAAACAAAAAATATGTATACTGTCCAGCCAGCCAGCCGATGTGTATACAAAAGAGAGGTCGCAAAGTGGAGTGAGAGTCAGACAGTGGGCGACTAGGAGAGACGCAGAGTGCGGTACTGTTTGCGCAGGCGACGAGAGAGTGTGGGGATTTGAGAGAGAGTGGGGGAAGACAGGCGCAGGTCGGTGAAGGAATGGAACAAATTGTTTTGTGACTGGCTGGCTGGCTACTTTTAGGGACACGGGCAAGAAGAAAAATGGAAAAAATGAAAAGATGACAAATTATATATTATTATTATTAAATTTGTAGTTTTCTGGAGACTTTTTGAACTTTTTGTTCAACTCTAGGCCTAAAATCCATATTTCTAAATAGATCGATTTTTCACGCTAAAAATGCTGGAATTGCCTAAAATGAGCAACCCCAACGTTTTCAGCATGAAAAATTGATCTAGAAATTTTTTATACCAAAATGTGTGACCCCCCTAAGGGGGGTCTACTTAAAGATAAATACGATCGTCCTTAAGCTATTTAAGAACGCTACAGTATTCTTAACACTAAGTTAAGGGCTTTGGTTAGATTTACTGATTTCGAAAAAATAATCTTAACAAAGGTTGTTTAGGTCACCCCAAGGTACTTAAGGTTAAAAAACACATTTCTTTTAAACCTTAAAGCCCTTAACGTCTACCTTATGGTGCTTGAGGTCTCTAGAGTGTTTTGAAAATCACTAGGAATCCACGTCATCAGAAAAAAAATCGATAAAATTAACAAACTTCAACAATATTTTTTGATCCCAAATCGGATTAAAACCATTTTTTTTGTCAAAAATCGTATTTTCAAATATTTTTCGGGTTCAACTCAAACAATGTTTTTGAAAATTCTGATTTTCGCGCAAATCTTTTTGATTTCCCGAATCCACGCGGCAATTTGCTATACGTGTTACGGTAACTCGACAGCCGCCGGAAAATTTTGCTCAATCGATAAATTGTGCACTGGCACTTCGTGCTATTTTAGTGAGTTTTAGGGGAGGTTAACGATGTTTAGGGCTTTTGTTTGATACCCAACAAGCCTATGATTAGTCTTGATCAATTTTTAAGAACCTTAAGGTCCCTTAGTACTTATTAGGTATCCATCGAAAGCCCAGAACTTCTAGATCTCGAATTTTTGCAGATCTAAACTCGGACGATTCCTGGGAAGCTGGTTGCTCCTCAACTCTCTCTTCAAATTCCAACATCACTTGCGCCACCGATTCAACCTGTTCCTGCAACTCCGATTTCTGTAACTCGCTCAAAAAATCCCAAACCGCGCTAACTACCGTATCCACCAAATCCACGTGGCATCTATTTAGCGCTAAGCAAACATCGACAACCACAACTACCGTATCCCTAACACTCCCTAATAAGACCTTAGTGTATTGCGAGGAGTGTGGAAGTGTTACGGTGGGAAATGAGACGCTCGACTTGCCGTGCGATCATGATCATACTTGTCAGGGGAATTTTTGTGTGGCTGGTAAGGGCCTTAAGGTAGTTAAGGTAGAAAAAAAACATTTTTAGTACGCGGCCCGACTCCTTATTCGTATTGTGGTGGAACTTGGGATGAAACTCGAGAGGTGAGATTTTTGAGACTTTAATGACCTTAAGATGACCTTATATACCTTAAGGACATTAAACTAAAGTTTTAGGAACTATTGGGAATATGAGTATCAAACAGAAGCCTGAAGATTTCTGTTGTATTACTCTAAAAGTACCTTAGAGACCTTAAAGCTTCAAAATCCTACTAGAGTTGGGTGTCTAACGAAAGCTCTTAACCTGTAGATCTCGAAAATTAAAAGTATTTCCAGCCTGGATGTTATTTCAACGAAACACAACCCGAAAAATGCATTTGCTCAATGAATATGTGCAATTCACTATTGGATCCGGCTCCAATTTACACTACTACAGCTTCCGGAGCTCTGGCTGATGGTCTGAAATTTCTATCTGAAACTTCCAGCGAAATATGAAATTTTCAGCAACCGTGGCTCCTTTGGTTTTGGTGGATGACGTGCAGACTGCAACTGAAAAAACGGCGACGACGAGTAGGTGGAATTGAACTTGTGGCTTTTCACTTGGCAGGCTGACCTTTTACCAACTGCGCCATCTGTGCAAGATTTTGGAATTTGATGAAAATACCTTTTTTCGACGCAAAATTTTACGCTGATTTTTGCTATGATATTTATTTTCCATGATTTTCAAAGTTGTCGGAGTTAGGCTATATCGAATTTTTGTCAGAAATAAATAGCATAGCGAGATTCAGCGCAAAATTCTGCGTTGAATGATGGTCTTTTTATAGAAAACTGAAGATTTTGCACGAATGGCGCAGCTGGTAAAAGGTCAGCCTGTGAAGTGAAAGGTCACAGGTTCGATCCCGCTTGTGAACGTTTCAATTTTTTCCAGCTAGAAAATGCAAAAAATCCACAAAACTATCGCCAAATGATCAAGCGGTGGCAGCCGGTGAGAAATTGAAAAATGTGATTGTCAGTGGATTCGGATCGGAAGATGAGTCTGTTCAGGTAGGGAGTACTGTAGGCGCCTTTGAATATTTTTTTTTAGAATTTCGGTAGCGATATGGATGACGTCATTTGCAGTTATTCAGATGATTCGGAGGATTCTTAAATTTTTTTTTTAGAAAAAAAAAATAACATTTGAATCTGAAAATGAAGAATCTACAGTATCCTGGAGTTAGGTAGCTACAGTAATCCATCAAATTTCTTTGGAACTACAGTAATACAAATGATCTACAGTAATCCAAAAAAGTACAAAAATTTCTTGGTTACAGTAACCCAAAACCCTCAAAACATTTTTTCTGCGTCTCTCACCCTCTCTCATTTTCCAATTTCCAAAAAAAGAGCAGCGAGAGAGAGAGTGAGAGACGCAGAGAAAACGAGACCGAATTTTTTCCTCGTTTCGGCTCACATCGATTTTTCAACGCTCCGGATGAAAAAATGAGTTATGATGTGAGTTTTTCAGGGCTTTTTTAGGCCGGCCCAAAATTTTCAGGCCTTCTTTTTTTTGCAGGGCTTCGAGGAGGATCGAATGGGTCTGAAAATCCAGTCTGAAACTATTGAGTTGACCAAAGATGAGAAGGGATTGGTTGGAATATCAATAGGTGGGTAGCGGGATCGAACCCTGGACCTTTTACCTGCTAGACAACACTTTTACCGACTGCGCTATTCATTCTTGGGAGTATAGCGCAGCTGGTTAAAGGCTTGTTTGTCAGGTGAAAGGTCAGGGGATCAATTCCCCATCGGAACTTATGTTTTTTTTTAATGTTTAGGTGGCGGCTCACCGTATTGTCCTTGCGTTTACGTAGTGCAAGTTTTCGACGGCTCTCCGGCTTTCAAAGACGCAAGAATTCGTTGCGGTGATGAAGTTGTGGCGATAAATGGGATAAATGTGAAAGGAGAAAGGAAATCGGCGGTTGCTCAGCTTATACAAGTTTCTCTAAATCCTGTGAAGGTTAGTTCGCCTCAGCGGGGAATTGAACCCGTGACCTTTTGATTTGTAATGAAAGCTTTAACCTGTTGAGCCAAAAAATCCACGAATGGCGCAGCTGGTAAATCAATTGTCTATGAGTTAAAAGGTCAGGGGATCGATCCCGTCACTGAACAATCCCAATTTTTTGTTTTTTTTAGATCACGATAAATAAACTGGAAGATGATACAAGTAAGGGAAAAACGCTGGACATAGTGATAAAGAAGGTGAAGCATAAAATCGTCGAATTTATGGATCAAGATTCAGCGGACGCTTTGGGCCTTTCGCGGGCCATTTTATGTAATGATCCACTGGCGGCCAAGGAGAAAATACTCGAGGAAAATTCGGAATTCTATCGACATTTGGTGGCCTATTTTGGTGATATGTTTCAGTATCAGGAAAGGATTGCAGAATGTCAGAAAGGTTGGTGAAGGTTTTGCCACGTGGATTTAAGTTAGCTTAACTTGAAAGTTATAATTTTATTTTGATATGGGGATCTCAATTTTAAAGTGTTTAGAGCTAGATTTTAGTTAGCAAAATTTTTGAAATTGAAAAATAGCAAACAAAAATGTGAAAAAAAATTAAATTTAAAAATTTTTTGCCACGTGGAATATGAATAGTCGATTTCAAAGCTGAAGGTGTTCATTCATTAAAATTAAAATTCTGAAATTGAAATTTTGCCACGTGGATTTAAGTTAGCTTAACTTTAAAGTTATAATTTGATTTTGATACGGGGATTTCAATTTTAAAAATTTACAGGGCTAGATTTTAGTTAGCAAAACTTTTAAATTTAAAAAATAGCAAAAAAAGCGTGAAAAAAAATGAAATTTGAAAAAATAAAAAAATTTAGAAATTTTACCACGTGGATTTCGAATTCAGAAATTTTGCCACGTGGATTCTAGTTATCCTAATTTCGAGCTTGTATTCTGCCACGTGGCTTCTTCAAAATTCGAAATTTTCAGAATTTGGCTCAATTTTCTGCGATCTCGCCGCTCACGAAAAACAACAAACTGCAAATGAGGCTTTCAGCGCGTTTGGCGACAGACATCGTCTAATTTCCAAAAAACAGGTAGGTCAAATTTTTTTTTGGAAAAAGAAATCCTGGCGGCAATTTCAAAAATTCAAAAAAAAAATTTCCAGTCCGAATCCACGATCCAGCTTCAAAAAATGGTGTCGGATTTGCAAGTTTACATCGATCATGTTGTTCCGGACACCAGATTGACTATTAAAAAGTAAGTACTGTACCTTGAGCTACAGTACCCCTACAGTAACCTTTTTCCAGATATCTCGATGTGAAATACGAATATTTGTCATATTGTTTGAAGTTGAAGGAGATGGATGATGAGGAAAATGAGTTTATTCAAATTCAGGAACCACTATATCGAGTTGAAACCGGAAATTATGAGTATAGGTGAGGAATTGGTGCCACGTGGCAAGGATTTTTGAAATCGTGATGTGATTTGGAGCATTTAGAGCCCAAACATGATACATTAACCGCAAAAATAGTCTAAAATAGTCATGTTTGAGCTCAAAATGCTCCAAATTTCCAGCTAAATTTTTTGCCACGTGGCATTTTTTATTGAGTCTGAAATTTGGAGCATTTTGAGCCCAAACATGACTAGGTTTTGAGTCTTTTGAGAAAAAATGTCTGAAAATGTTCCAAACCTAGTCATGATTGGGCTCAAAATGCTTCAAATGTCTAGCTGAATCCAAAAAAAAATCAAAAATCTCCAGACTAATGCTACGATGTCGTCAAGAATGTCGTCAACGTTTCGTTCAAATGCGCAACGATGTAATGATCAAAATCGAGCTTTTGGATCAAAAACACGTTCGCGACATTGCTCAACATTTGGCACATTTCGCCAAAACCATGGCAAAATGTCAAGCGGAATGCGCCGAGATTCTCAAAAATCAAATCGATGTGCCGATTGAGATCGATTTGGAGCAATTGAGCATTTCGGAGAGGAAAGTGGTGGCAGCATCGGAGCCGGATTCGAGAGCTCAAGAGCTCGAGGTGGCTCAGGAGGCAGCTTTGATTAGTGTCGATGATTTTGTGGTGGAAAATGAGACATTGTTGAGTTTTGAAGAGACGCAGGATAATCAATTGTCGTTGATTGATATTGAATAAATTATTGAAGAGATTTTTTGCCATTTTGTAGCATTTTTTTTGAAAAAGTGCTCCAAACCTAGTCATGTTTGGGCTCAAAATGCTCCAAATTTTTAGCTGAATATTCTGCCACGTGGCATTTCTCATATTGAGTCTGCAATTTGGAGCATTTCGAGCTCAAACATGACAAGGTTTTAAGCATTTTTCTCAAAAAATGCCCCAAACCAAGTCATGTTTATACTCTCAAAAAAGAAATTATTTTTTGCCATGCAATTCGATTTGTGCCTGATGGATCAGAAGTCGAATCTGGAAAAAAAAGATACAGTAATCTGGGGTACCGTACCTACAGTACCCCTAAGGTACTGTACCTACAGTACCCACCCATTCAATCGGATAAGCTTGACGTGTCGAAATATTCCTCGCCATCTCATCGTCAATTATAGCCACGCCCCTTTTCTGAAACATCTCATTCGCCTCGTCCATTTTCAGCGATGATAAACCTTTGCTGAAATTTTTTTTGTTGCTCTACATACAGTAACCTACCAAGAGTACTGTAGGTTACCTTCCAGTTCTCACGATACTTGTCAAAAATCCACGTTTGGAGGCGTCTTTTAGTGTGTGCATTACACAAATATCGTAGGCGAGACCGCAACCGATCACTGCGTTTATATCGTTTTTGCGGAGCAGGATTTCGAGTTCGGATCTGGAATGAAGCATTTTTGGAAGCTGCGCGGGATTTGGAGCATTTTGAGCACAAACATGACGTGTTTTGGAGCAAAACCCATCATGTTTGGGCTCAAAATGCTCCAAATTCCACGCTGAATTCAAAAATGCTCACTGCTTGATGCCGCAATTATCACTGAACGCCGAATACGCATCCACATAAACATCATTGCCCTTCTTGATATACTGTGCACTTTCGATGCGATGCAATTCGCTGTGTAGTTGACTTCCCCAACCTCCTTGGATACAATGCGACGGGTAGAGGACCTGGAGAGTTTTTTTTAATGAGAAATGCCACGTGGCAAATAATTCAGCTAGAAATTTGGAGCATTTTGAGCCCGAACATGACTAGGTTTGGAGCATTTTCAGACATGTTTGGGCTCAAAATGCTCCAAATTCCACGTGGATTCTGAAAATCCCACTCACCTGAACTGTAGAAACCGGTTTAATGAATCGAACAATATCAAACGGTCGCAATTTGCGACTTTTGTCTTCTGGAGCAAGTTCACGGTCGGGATTTCGAGAATGTTCGAAAAACGAGATATGATTGGATGGATGCCAGTCTTGCGTGTAGACTATCATATTCCACGTCATGTTTTGGAGCAAATTGTTGACGTGGGGAAGAGCTTCGATGGGATCCTCTTCGGCGTCGCCTTCCTGCGAAAATCAGCGTGGAATTTGGAGCATTTTGAGATCAAACATGACTAGGTTTGGAGCAAAAATGCTCAGGTTTGGGCTCAAAATTCTCCAAATTTCTAGCTGTATATTTTGCCACGTGACATTTTTCATATTAAGTCTGTAATTTGGAGCATTTTGAGCCCAAACATGACTAGGTTTGGAGCCTATTGAGCAAAGATGTCTGAAAATGCTCCGAACCTAGTCATGTTTGGACTCAAATTGCTCCAAATTTCAAACTCAATATGAAAAATGCCACGTGGCAAAATATTCAGCTAGAAATTTGGAGCATTTTGAGATCAAAAATGAGCATTTTTGCTCCAAACCTAGTCATGTTTGAGCTCAAAATGCTCCAAATTTCCTCACCTTAATGCTCAAGCTCCCCGACACAAAATCATTCTGAAAATCGACGACCAAAAGAGCGATTCGCAGATTTTTGAACGGTTTCAGCACCACTTTTTCCATCAACTCAACCACGTGCTCATCCCATTTTTTGTCCTGCAAATTTTGAGTTTCAAATTCGGAATTTTCGCGCCAAAACCAACCGTACCCCAATAAAGGTCTCCAACAAATCGTCAATTTCGGCCACCAAATCCACCTCATTCACCAATTTGCTAAGATTTTCTTTGAGATTTTCGCGAATTCGTTTTTCTGTCGGACTTAGGCCCATTTTTTCCCTAAAGACTTTAATTTCTGAGAAAAATGACGTGAAAATTTTATTTTTTCCAGAAATGTGAAATGTGAAATGAAAAATGAAAAGTCATATACAAATTTCCGGTTTCCGGTCGAAATTTTCACGCATGACTTGAAATTTTGACGGTTATTTGCTCGACACTATCGATTATGCCAATGAGAAGAGCACGCAGTCTGCAAAAATAAGGGGTTTAAGGGCTTAAAACCTTTAAAAATATGGATTTCTCATGGTATAAGCTTTGTTTTGATACCCAATGGGGTTAAGGACCTTAAAAACTTATGCTAGAGGCTTCAACAATTAGAAAAATAGCATTTCTCAAACAACGCGACGAAACACAACACATTTTTGAGAGAGTGCGCGACATGAACCTTTTCTCAATGGGGCGCACTTCCATTTCTACTTTTATTTTCTTGTTTTTTTTTGTTTTTCGAAAAACATTTTTTCGCGTATTTTTTGTTGTTTTTCCATGATTTTGAATGAAAATTGCTGTAGAATATATTTTCCTAGTAGAAATAACACAAGTTTAGTTGATTTTCGATAGTTTTATACTAAAAATGCTGCTCAAAACGTAATTTTATGAAAAAATATAGTTTTTTTTGTTTAAAGTTTCTAATTTACAGGAAAAAACGTCAGCGGAATGATGGAAACAATTTGTGAATCGAGTTTTGGTCGAAGGATTGTGAATTTCGAGGAAAACTGGAGGAAAGGTGAGTTTTTTTGGGATTTTGAGGGAATTTGAAGTTTTGAGCAAGAAAATTTGACTTTTAGCCAGCTTGCGGTCATTTTTTCCATTATAAATTGCTTGCTAAAAGTCGATGATGAAAGTTTTATGAAGAAATTTCTAAAATTTCAATTGAAATTTGGTTTTAATTTTGAATTTTGCCAAATTTTCTTCTTATCGTCTTTGTGTGATGATATTTAGCTCAATTCGGTTAGGGTTTCTTGGGAAATTTAATTAAGGCACTAAGGAGCTTAAGGGCTTCATGAAGTATTCAGAAAATATTCATGTTTGAGCTCAAAATGCTCCAAATCTAGCTCTCTCTGCGATTTTTCTAAAAAAAAAAACACAAACTTATCAGTTTGCCCGGCTCCCAAAGCTTCCAAAGCCTCCATGGCATATTTCTTAGTGCCCTGATTGATGTCTCGAATACTCTTGAACGTCGACGTCACCGAATCGGCAGCCTTTGGTGAAACCGGGCCAGAAGACGGCCCGGCTGCAGCCCCGAAATTATCGGCGCGGATAATCCCCGTCTGCCTGAACTTCTCAATCACATCCCACATTCGTTTCCGGGGCCCGAATGCAATCTTCATATCCTTGAGATCCTCCTCTTCAAGTTCGAAAAATATTCGCAAATCGATGCTCTCCTTCTTGAATTGGTCGGCGTATCGGACCAGGTCCATTTCCTCCAGAAGTTCGGTTAGATTTTCAGGCCCGCCAGCCGGGAATTCTGACGAGAATTTCTCCTTTTCCCGGTTTGATTCGTTGATGATTTGCAGGATTTTTGGGTTGTCACAGGCGAGAGCCGCGCAATTTTCCGAGCGATCATTTTTCAGAGAGAGGCTTCCGCCTTTCTCCAGAAGGCTTAGGAAGGTTAACTCGTGACCGGTTGTTGCGGCTTCGTGGAGCGGGCTGGTGCCTGGAAACTTTGAGACTGCGTTTGGTTTTCTAGGCCGTGGCCGAGTTTTCAATTTGGTTTACTAGGCTATCAATTATTTCATTGTGTCCAAAATTGTCTTGAGAACTGAACATTCTCTGAAATTGGTATTCTAGGCCGTGGCCGAGTTCTCAGGGGATTGATTCGGGTTTCTAGGCCATCAATTGTTTCATTGTTTCCAGAATGGTATTTAATATCGATTTTTGGTATTCTAGGTCGTGGCCGAGTTTTTAAGCATGAATTTGGTTTTCTAGGCCATGTACTATTTTTTCCGTCAGAATCCAATGAAAATAGAAATTTCAAATTTTCTGAAAAATCTCACACATAATTTTTCCCATTTTTCCAGTCTAGACCTCATAAAACTCCCAATTTTTCAAAAAATTTCAAATCTTTCACATTTTCCTCGAAATAAAAATGAAATTTCTCAGCTTCATCCTCCTTAGCTTTTGCTTGACCTTCCAAGTTGTCAAATCCAGGTTTGAACCTCATTTTTTTGGTGAGAAAAATTATAGGAAATTCTGAATTTTCAATTTTCAGCCCCGGATTCGTGGATTGTATGAAGAATTACAAAAACCTGGGAAAATGTGGACAGCTTCATGAGAAAAATTAATTTTTTTGAAATTCTGAACTTGATTAAGGGGAATAAAGTTTCAAGGGTGAACTATGACGTGGCATTTTTCCGAGCGACAGAAGGATTAGACTAAGCCTAAGCCTAAGGCATTGGGGTTAGGCTTAGCCTATAGTTTAGGCTTAGCCTATAGCTTAGGCTTAGCCTATAGCTTAGGCTTAGCCTATAGCTTAGGCTTAGCCTATAGCTTAGGCTTAGCCTATAGCTTAGGCCTAAGCCAGCCTAAGGCATTGGGGTTAGGCTTAGCCTATAGTTTAGGCTTAAGCCTGAGCCTAAGCCCAGCCTAAGTCCAAGCTTCCACACTCACCTGTCGCATCCTGCGCATTCGGATCCGCTCCAGCTGCCAACAACACATCCACCACCACATTCTGACTACAACTCGCCGCATAATGCAAAGCCTGTCGCTTCTCAAAATCCGCCAACCGCACATTCGCCCCTCTCTCCAACAACATCCGCACAACATTCAAATTCCCGCAAGCCGCAGCCATCATCAACGGTGTTTGTCGTCGCGAATTCGTCGCCTCATCCACCAGCGCACCGTGATCCAATAAAAATGCGCAAACGGTTTGGTGTCCCAAATAGGCAGCATATAGCAATGGTGTCCAACCGGCCGAGTTCTTCGCGACAATCAGATTCGCGTTGATTCGCAGCAACTCGCGGAGCATCGATTCGTCGCCAATGCTCGCCGCTGTGCAAGCATCCATCTGATATTTTTGGTCGGGATGTTTTTGGGGCATGGGTTTGGCCCGAATATCCGCCAGGAGATTGGTGGATTGAGAATTGTGGGTGGATGGGACATACGTCACTCCGGGACGTTCTTGTGAAAATCTGACACGTGTTGACATTTTGGCTGCTGGAAATTTGGAGCATTTCAAGTGCTTGAGCGTTCCCTCAACCTCACAACCAAAAATTTTACGTTTCAAAATATTCTCAAATTATTATCCTCAATTTTTCATCTGATGGAATACAATTTTGAATGAGAAATCCGAAGAAAAAACATTTAAAAAACAGAAAATCGATTTCTTTATTCATGAGAAAAAAACAGATGAAAACAAATCAAACAAAAAATATTTTTGATATCAATTTGACAAAAACCGGTTTTTGTCGGTCATTGCGAAATGGTTGGTGGTTAAGGGTTATTAATTGGGTAATTAGTGATATTAGGTAATTAGTTAGAGCTTAAGTAATAAATAGAATATAGTAGTTAGTGATAATTAGGTAATTTGGAGGCTTTGGAGTAACAAAAATGAACGAATAGATAATTAAAGGGAATTAACAAGGTATTTAGGATTCAAAAAAATTCTTAACAAAATTCAACGCATGGGTAATTAGGATTTTAAGGTGTTAAATGTTTTTCTTAACAAAAAAATTAATTATTTAATTGTGATTTTTTTGGATTTAAAAAAGTTTCTTAACAAACAATAGTCGCATAAATTAAACATAGTTAACGTAATTAAAAAATTATAGATTTTTTTTTGGGATTTTTTCTAGTGTTTTAATTCATAAGATAACAAAAAATCCTCTATTAGTGCCTTACTGAGTTTAGTGAAAGAAATAGGTTAATTGGAGGCAGCAAGGTAAACATAGAGGTTAATTAGAAGGTAGAGTAATTAAAAACAATTTTTAAAAGTTAGGTAAGGTTAGAACTCATTAGCTAGGGTAAGAATAATAATAATAATTAAACATTAATTAGTAATGGGGTAATTAATAAAGTAATAGGGTAATTAGCAAGTTAAAATATACGGTTATTAATTAATTAAAAGAGTGTTTAATAGTTTAGAAAAAGAAAAAAACAGAACATAAGTAGTTAGAAGCTTAATTAGCCTAATTAAAACACACACACAACTTCCAACTTCTCAAGCCCACTGAGCACCCAACATGTTAAAATGAGCCTTCTGTTGCGGACTCTGATAGGATAATACTGTTCGTGGCGGGCCGCTGATCTTCTGACGATGATTCGGCAACAAGGCCTCCGGGCTTTTCGGCTGCACTGCAGGCTGGACTACGGTTATGTTTTGAGAGACGGTGGGGATTGGGCCAGGTTGGGCTGAAGTGGAGGCGGCCGGGGATGATTTAGGCAAGGTGGACTGGGTTGAGAAGGTCTCCAGGGGGACGGGAATCTGAGCCACGGGCTCGGAAACTTGAGGTGCTCTGCGGAAAATGTTGCGGAAAAATGCGGTGTAGGCGGTTGAGGTGCACATGTTTTGAGTTGGAGCAATGATGGTGTAGCTGCAAAATTTTTTTATTTTTGGTCTGCCACGTGGAAGGCCCCACAAAACTCACATGCAATAAAGGATCAGAAAAATCTCCGGTTCACACGGCATATCGAATAAATGAAGATAAATTATGAATCCGGGCAAGGTTAAGGTGAAACCCACCAAACTGAACATGAAAAATTTCAATTGTCCCAAGAATCGCAAATTTTCGCGAACTTGCGCCCTTTCCGCCAAATCATACGTGTCAATTGCGATAACTTGACGGGCGATTTGACGATTTTGCACAACGAGTGCCACGTATAGCGTGAAACTGACGAGATTGAAGAGGAAGACGATGTGAAGGTTGAAGAATAGGTTGAGGTAGAAGATGGAGACGAGAGAGTAGGTGAAGAGGGCGGTGATGAGGAGGAAGGCGATGTGGATTTGGGCAGATTTGGCATAGGTTTTGCGGTTGTAGGTGGCGTAGAATCTTTCGATTATGAAGAGGTTTGGACAGAAAAGACCTGGAAAGAGGAATTTTTGGATTCTTCTTGGAATTCTAGTAATTTTGATACCAAATATGGTTATTTTTGAGAATTTTGGAAAGAATTATCCCAGATTGAGGCGAACCCTGAACTCTTCAAAAAGTCAAATCTACTCTGAAATTTCGGATTGTTCTTTGAATTCTGATGATTTTGATACCACGTATGATTATTTTTTTGATAATTTTGAAAAATTATGCCCCCCCCCCTTTTGGTAAGCTTAAGGGGGTCCCCGAAATCTTCAAAATGCTGCAAACATCCTCATGTCTGATCTCAAAATGCTCCAAATTCCATGCTGGATTCCAAAAAATCACCTGTGGTAACACTCCATTCGATCATCTTATCCAAACCGATCCAACTCACAAAATCTTCTTCTTGTCTTCCAATCAAAAACATCAAATTCCTAGCAAACACCGGGAAAAGCATGAAAAGTGTGGAAAAATAGAGAAGCTGGTGGATGATTTGGAAATTGTTGCGATAATATTTGAGATGAATCGAGAGGATGGTGTTGAAGGTGAAGCAGATGATTGAGGAGCCTGAGAGGATCACCAGAGTCCAGCTGTAGATTGGCGAGGTTGGAGTGTAGTCTAGCATTCCTGAGATTCCCTGAGCTGCAAAAATTTGAGATTTGGACATCTAGAAGGGTTGGAGAGCTGAAAAAATGTCAAGAACTCTGTAGATGTACAGTAACCCTTGCAGTTCGAATTGACAGTATCCCGTGTAGTGCGAGTTACAATAACCCCTGCTGTAAAAGTTGAGTAAAACTTGAAATTCAAAAGCTACAGTATACCTTGCAGTTTGTTAAGGTTGAGCTACAGTACTTTTGTTTAAGTGATAAGGAAGCTAGAGTAGAGGAAAACCTGGCAGTCCTGCTGGAACTACAGTAATCCTTGTAGTTCGGGGAAAAAATTTTGAAAACAAAACTCAAGAAAATCCAGAAAAAATTAATTAAATTTTTCTGACCTTTTTTGGGCGGAGCTTATCACTTTTTGTCATTTGATCCCCGGAAAAAAACAACAGTGGGCGGAGCTTTAATTTCAGGGTGACAAGTTCCTGGTGCAAAAATATGCGAATCTTCTGAAGTTGATAGATTCTGAAAATGGGAAAATTGAAAAAAGTCATCTGGGAGACTAAATACAAAAATTGTGGAATTTTGTAGTTTTGTCTAGATCAAAGTAGAGAGAGAGCGAGTTATGACGTGGCAAAATTTGAATTTCAGAAAGATCTGAAGCTGGAAGGAAGGTTGGCTGAAGTTTACACTCGAAAATTAAAAATTCAAAACCAAAATTAGTTATGACGTGGCAAATCTGGAATTTTTAAACGGTTGAAATCCAGCGTAGAGAATTCAGGAATTGAAAAATGTGACGTGGACAATCTGAAACTTCAAGGAAGTGGCTATGACGTGGCAAATCCACCAGAAAAAATTCTAGTCGAAAAATTCCCAAGTTTTTTTCTGGAAAACAAATTTGGGGAAACTCTAATGAAAATTAGCTTCAAACTTGGAGGAGCAAACTTTTTTGTTTTAAATTTTAGTTTTTCGGAGGAGCTTCAAGACTTTGTAGTTGAATTCCGCGTTTGCGGAAGACAGCGGAATTTTCCGCATTTGTCGTTTGTGCGTCATTAGGTATTTTCAACCCTATGTATATCAGAAAATCGCATAATTTTTAGTTAGAAAATACAAAAAATCGCGTAAAATTTGTATTTAGTTCTTGTCTCTAGGTTACTGTAACTGACATCAAACTACATAGAGAAAATTGAATCGGGAACAATGAAGTTAGAGCATGTTCCATTTCAAAATTGAGGATTTTTTAATTTAATATTTTGCCCCCAGAAAATCTTGAAACGTTTTTTATATCAGAAGTTTGTGATTCGCAAAAAGTGTATTTTTGTCTTCACAAAATCGCAAGTCACGCGATTTTTGAATACAAAAAATCGCAAAAAATTTTGTAGTTCTTGGCTAATTTTTTGCGAAAAACAAGAGGGGTGTGCTTTGATTTCTTGGCCTGAAAAAAGTATCAGGAAGTGCGAGTTGCGAGTCGGAAAAATCGCAGATCCAAAAATGTCGCCGGAATTTGGAACACTTGCGAATATCTGAAAGCTTCTGCGATTTTTGAGCACCACAAAACATAAATCCTGCAAAAATCGGTCATTTGTCAAAATCCCCAAGAAAAATCTAATGTAAAATTCAAACAAATTTTTTAAATTGTTTTTTCCAAGCTCCGAGGAAAATATTTATTTATTTTTCTGAATTTAGGATTTGGAGAAATTTTTCAAAAATAAAACTAGACTCTAGTTAATTCATTTCCTTTTTCTTTTTTCTTCTTCTTCTTCTGATTTAGTTATGCTAATTAGTTGTATTTTGATGTGCACTTTGGAGTTGAGTCGCAAGCTTCCGCGATCTTAAAAATCGTTGGACTTTTTGAAAATTGAGCTTTTGATTTCAAAATCCACAAATTATACGTTTCAAATTTAATTTTAATTATCTATAATTATTTTTGAGTTGGGATAACTTCAAGTCTAGAAATTCCTGTATTTTGTGTTCATTTTTGCAAAATACAAAAAAGTGCAGAATTTCACACGCCCTACTAAAATAAAATAAAACATAAACAAGGTAGTAAAATATACGTCATTGTTGTATTTTTCAAGCGACGCGGAAGGTTTTCCGCAAGCTTCCGCGAGTTGTTTTTTTTTTGCTCTGCTCAATGATTTTTTAGCGTTCAAATTGTGAATGTGTGTAGATGAAATTAGGCCAATTTGTCACAAAAACAATTTTTTGCAACAAAGATCAGGTGTAGACCGGAATCTTCCGCGAACGCGGCATCGAGTGGCGGAAGCCGTGAGTGTAGACCGGAATCTTCCGCGAACTCGGCAGGCTCTTGTATAACATGAGCAATCTTAGTGATCTCGTTAGTGATCTCTGCGTCTCTTCTAAAGTGCACTATCTCTCTCTCTCTCACTATATTTTGATTTTTATTAAATCCAAGTTCATTCCGTCGAAAAATACACATTGTTTTTGTTTTTCTACATTTTTTTTCTATGTTATTAGTTTTCTTTTTTTCTATTTTTCAGATATTAATGCCAACAAAAACAAATTTGTGTTGATTTCTCGATTTTAGGCAGGTTCAATTTTTATTCCGAAAGCTCAAAATTTAGCTATGACGTGGCATATCTTAGCCCAACTCTAGATGTAGAGTTAGATTTTCTCAGAAAAAGGGCAACCGGAAATTTGGCCGATATTCATTAGTACACATCCTTTTGAAAGAGGAAAAAATTTATTTTTCAAATTTTTTTTTGAAAAAAAAATTTTCGCGCGCTCAAAAAATACTAAAATATTCATCTATTTTTGTTGTGCCCGGGAAAATTTTTTTTTTGGAAATTCTATAGCTTTTTGGTTCATTTGTTTTCGCTCAATTTATTCAATTTTCCACATTTTTCAAAAATTCGATTTTGCGGCACGGAAAAGTGGGCGGGGCCTATTTTTCTGTTCATTTTCTTGATCTCCAGGGTTTCCCGATCATTTTGAGGTATATATTGATAGGGTTAAAATAATTAACCATAACCAGCGTTGCAAAAGTGGGCGTGGCCTATTGCAACCCTGGCATGGTTTTTTTTTTGAAACTAGGTAAATATGGGTGTCTAAATGATCCTTGGAGTCTTGGGAATCTTGTGGAATTTTAAAAAATTAGCCCACGCCCACTTTTGCAACCCTGGCATGGTTTTTTGGGTTTTTTAAAAATAAACTAAATCCTATCATTATGGAGCTCAAAATTCTCAGAAAACCATGAACATTTCAGAAAAATAGGCCACGCCCACATTTTGAGCGCCAAAAATCACTGAAAAAGTCTATGCAAACTATAATTATATTGTTTTGTTTTCCAGTTCCAGTTCCACTGGCAGCCAATAAAAATAACATTTTTTTATTAGCCAACAAAAAAAATAATATTTTTTCAGACCTACACATATGCACGAATTTTTCGAGCACAGAGGTAGGCTGGAATTTTTTTGGCTGAAAATCTGGAAAAAAAATCTGAAATTGTTCCAGAAATGTTGCTGGCTTTCAATTTGACCGCTTCCATTGAGGATGGCTCGATTTCAGCGTTCAATGCCGTTTTTGTGCTCATTATTTTCGTTTGCCTGGTCTCGTGAGTGCTTTTTGCAACGATGCTCCGCGTTTACACCCCTTGAAAATCTAGTTTTGGAGGCGAAAATTGAGGGTGTAAGAGTGGAGCATCGTTTAACATTTGAAAAATCGAAGGTTCAAAGGTGTTAACGCGGAGCATCGTTGTGAAATTCATAAGTTTCTAGCTTTAATATTTTAGGTGTAAAGTTGGAGTGTCGTTTGGAGCTTTTTGCAACGATACTCCGCGTTTACACATTTTGAATATTCTGTTTTAGCGATGAATTTTGAGGGTGTAAGAGCGGAGTATCGTTAAAAAATAACAACAACCCTCCGCTTTTACACCTCGAAGCTTTGAGGATGTAAGAGCGGAGCATCGTTGTGAAAATCATAAGTTGACATTTGAAGGTGTAAAGTTGCAACGATACTCCTCGTTTACATATCTCGAATATTTTGATTTAGCGCTGAGTTTTGAGGGTGTAAAAGCGGAGCATCGTTGTCAGAAGCCAAACTCAAAGTTAGAAGGTGTAAAAGTGGAGCATCGTTGTGAAATTCACAAGTTTCCAGACTAGTTTGGAGTTATCAACGATGCTCCGTGTTTACACCCCCTAAAAACTCTAGTTTTCACGCTGAATTTATAGTTGTAAACCCGTAGCATCGTTGCAGAATCTTCTACTACCTCCTCAACATCTGCATCGACATCCGCGTCTCCAACCTCGACACCAACATGTCAAAATTGCATCACACAATCTACATCACCTGCCCAATCGGCTGCCTCACCCTAATCGCCCAAAAAACATTGCTCATGCTACAAAATCCCGCCGGTTTCGATCCGGCCAATCAAATCTTCCAAATATTATTCATCCTGCGATTCGCCTGCGTCTTCCCCGGTCAACTTTGTCTCTCGGTTTTCGTCATCGAAAGATCGTGTGCCACGTGGTTTCTGGCTGATTATGAGACGAAATCGAGGAGTTGGATAGCGTTCAGCATCGGCTCCGCCATCATTTTTGCCAGCCTCTTCATGGCGTGGACACTTGCGTTGACGTCAGACCCGATTTTCCACGTCGCCGCCATTTTTGCGTTGAATATTGCGAGTTGCTGCGGAAATTTGGCCACGTTTTGTGTGAATAAAAAAGCGTATGAGAAATGCCAACGTGGCAGCTATTCGTTGGCTGAGCGATTTCAGATTTCCGAGAATATTCAGTTCTATTTTGTGAGTTTTGAGTTGGAAAAGGGGGGGGGGTGCCACGTGGATTTAGATTAAAAAATTGCCACGTGGCATAACTTTTGAGGTTTGATCTTTGATCTTTCCATTTTGGCATACGGATACAAAAAAATGCCACGTGGAATTTTGAGCTTCAAAATGTTCAGATTTTCTAGAAATTTCCGAACACGTAGATTTTTGAGCTTCCGATTTTTTCCTATGTGAATTTTGATCTTGCCACGTGGATTCTGAATTAAAAAATCAGATGTTCTGAAATTGTAAGATGTTTAAGTTTCAAAATTTTGATGCCACGTGGATTATTTTTTTGGATCGAAAATTTTTGAATTTAAATCGTTTGCCACGTGGGTTTTCAGCTTCAAAGTTTCAGATTAATTTCTCCCGAAAATCTGAAATTCTGAAACTTTTTTTGATTCTGAAAGATTCTACTACGTGGATTTTTTTGTAATTCAAATTTTTGAACCTAATCTTTTAGCCACGTGGATTTTGAGCTTCGAAGTTTCAGATTAATTTTTCTCTGAAATTAAAAAAAAATTAGATTCTGCTAATTTCGACACGTGGATTTTCAGCTTCAAAATTTTGATGCCACGTATCACGTAGATTTTTCTATGCTTAAAAATTTTGCCACGTGGACCTTTGAACTTCAATTTTCCCGAAAATCTTAAAATTTTTAGATTCCAAGTTGCCACGTGGCAAATGTTCTGCCCAAAAAAATTCCAAAAATATTTCCACGTGGATTTTCAGCTCTGAAATTGTAACCCTCCCAAATTTTTGCAGTTCTTCAATCGATTTGCGATAAGTATCGCATTTTTCGCGCTCCTCTGTCCAATTCTAATGTTTCTACACGGCCGCAATTTTTCCCAATTCTCCAAAAACGTCATCATTTCCCTGTTCGAACTTGCCGTAAGTTGTTATACAATTCTAACACCCTACATCGTCTACAAATACAATGCCACGTGGCAAGCCGAATTCCAGAAAGTCTTGCAAAAAGTGAGTTAGAAACTACGATGCTCCGCGTTTACACCTCGATGTTTGTTTTTTGCAGGTGATTTTCTTCAAGAAGCGAGTTGAGGTCACGAATTTCTCGCAAGAGCTCTCGAAAAATTCGATGGGAAAAAGTTTGCGAGACACTTTTGGGAAGGAGATGAACATCGGAATCGGACAACAATCTGAAACCTATTTTAGACAGTTGACTAACACTTGGGATCATGTTTGATACAAAATAAATTGTTTTTTCGAATTTCTGAGTGCAGCATGTGATTCGGGATGAAAAACTGGTCTAGAATATTTTTTCTCGAAAAAAAATGGGCCATTTTTCAGTGGCGAGATCGAACCTGACACCTTTAACTTGGCAGGCAAAGCGCTAACCAGTTACACCACCCGGGTTCGAGGCTAGCTGGGAACTTTTGATTTTTTTTTTGCAAAAAAACTTTCTAGACCAAAATTTTCCCCTGAACTCAAAAATCCACGTGAAAACCATCGTATCTTCTCCAAAATCCAGTAAAGTTTGATTTCTGATCTTCCTATCAAAAATATTTGATTATGTTACGCAATTCGATTTTTCTCCGCGCGCGGGGACAAAAACAGGAAAATCCTCAGATCAGATATAAAAATCTTCTCGTTTCACCTCAGGTTTTATTCTAACATTGCTTGATTTATTTTATTTTCTCAAAAACATGTTGATTATTTTATTTTTGTTGCATTTTGTTGCCATTTTTGAGGCCTGTATTCCGACACAGCAAGGTTGGTTTTTAGGGCTGAAATTCTGGATGAAGCTGTAAATCAGGCTTGAATTATATACAAAGCTGGGCTTCTTCCCGCCTGGAGATTGGCCTGAAAATCGATAGTTTTGTTTTTCTAGTTGTCACATCAACAATCTGTCCGGTTTGCGGCACAATTTATCAGCGGAACTGTGTGAATAGTTTCGGATTGGCTTGCCAGTCGGCTTCGGCTATTAACGCGATTCCGACGTTGAGTGGAACTACATGCAGGTGAGTTGGCCAGCGGCAATTTGCGGTGTCTGTGCGGAAGCTTGCGGTTTAAACTCGCCTTCCTATAATTCTATTTTCAGTCTCACAGCCTCATGCCCCACAACAAATGCATTTTATTACCTGACCGATGGAAGTGAAGAATATAGTCACGGTGATGTTAAAGCTCATTGCGATGAGAGCGACGGAATTTGGTATTTTGAATCGGTTGGATATACTCCAGTTATACCAATCTCTAATTTTATTTGTCTAGTCTAGTTGTAACTATATAATTAATAAATTCTTATCTCCGAAAAATGATAAATCTCTTGTTAGCTAGTGATAAGAAACATCGTCGCATCATACCCGTTTGGCAGAAATTTACGAAAACTTATTGTCGTAACAATGACGAGTTCAAAAAGTGGCTTTCGATCGAGTAACATGAGAAATGTGTTGATTTTAGAGTGATGTTTATTGTGGTCTTAGAATAAGCAATTAAAACCGTTTCAAAGTTTTAAACTTGAGCGATACCTTCATTCTGATAGATAAAAGTTTGACATAAGAAGTGTTTGTGAATTAATTTCTACAATACTCGCAATAATATCTGAAAAGTTCATTAATATGAGCAACTATGTACAAAATCTGTTTCAAAGAGTAGCTATAATATAAGAAATCAGAGATTAAAATGAGCAGCAAGACTTTAAATAGCTTAATATGATCGATGTGTTAGTTAACAGTGGTTTTCCTTATGGTAAATTTTCTAAGATGATCTGTGCCTTCATCAAAATTACCCGCAAAAAAGTTAGTATGAGCAATACTTTTATATCGACATGAGAAATGTTTCTAAATTACTACACAAGGGTAAAAAACGGACCTTTCCCAATGCAAAATCGCTGATGCAGGAAACAATTCAACCCTCGTATCTTCAAAGATCTGATGTTGCAAAACACCTGTTCCGAACCGAAAAACGTCACAATCTTAAACGATTTTTCCTCCTATGTATAAAAATTGCGTAACACTTTGTGAATATCAGTTTTCGAAGTACATAAACACATTGTTCCTCTGTCTAGTCTCATTTTCCCCCAATGACGTTCGTTCAATTCTTGTCTGTCTCATTTTTAAGCTTTATTACTTTGTATGAGGCTTGTATTCCTACGCAGCAAGGTAGGTCTTAGCCTATTATTAGGTAAGGGTAAAATACCCTAATTTTTTTTTAGTTGAAACCACAACTTCTACAACCACAACTACAACGACAGTCGGTCCAAGTAAGAATTTTCAGTTGAATCTATGCCTGATTGTGAGGTTTTTTGCAGCCTGCCCGGTATGCGGCACAATTTATCAGCGGAACTGTGTGAATAGTTTCGGATCGGTTTGCCAGACAGCTGCAGCTATTAGCGCGATTCCGACGTTGAGTGGGACGACGTGCACGTGAGTTGCTCTACCGCTTGATCTATACCAGAATTAATTTTCAGTCTCTCAGCCACATGCCCGGATGACTTGGCATTTTATTACTTGACCGATGGAAGTGAAGAATATAATCATGGTGAGATTGTAGCACATTGCGATGAGAGCAATGGAATTTGGTATTTTGAATCGGTTGGGTACACACCACTCGTACCCATTTCAAATTATATATGTCTAGTTATGTAATTGTTGTAATTTTATTTTTTCAAAAATATTTACAAACTACATATAATAAATTCTTATCTCCGAAAAATGATAAATCTCATGCTGGCTAGTGATAAGAAAACGTTAACACATCATCTCTGTTTGGCATGGCGTAAAAATGAAAAATCCAAACGTAAATAGCCTTGTTAGCGCAATATCTTCAAAATGACTATTAAAAATATTAGTTTGAGCAGTATCTTTATATCAACATGTATACATTTCAACAATTTTTGAGAATAAATTAATTTAATGCTTTGTTAATATGATCAATCTCCGAAAAATTCTGTATTTGTCATTTTGTGAAAAAAACCGCTTAAGACTAGTGAAGAAAGTTCGCTCTATCGCACACATAATTGTTATGTGTGTACTTCTCACTGTGTTTTTTTCCAATGGAAAAATGCAATTCCTGAGAGACGCAGAGATTTTGTGTGGTCTCGCAGCGAGTCACCTGACCGACGGGGAAGAGTACGGTTTTGGCGCTTGGTCTCGCAGCGATTCACCTGACCGACGGGGAAGAGTACGGTTGCTTTTTTTCTCTGCGTCTCCCTCGAATTGCAAAAAAAAATATCGTGTTCTCTCGGAGTTCACACCCAAACATTTATTTATTCATCATTTTAGGTATCCCAACTTGCTTTTTCACGTAGAAGGGGGGTTGCCCCCTTTAAAAATATGATGTTATTTGAAAACACCTGTTCCGAACCGAAAAACATCGATCTTAAACGATTTTTCCTTCTATAAAAATTGGGTAACACTTTGTGAATATCAGTTTTCGAAGTACATAAACACATTGTTCCTCTGTCTAGTCTCATTTTTCCCCAATGACTTTTGATAAATTTTTGTCTGTCTCATTTTTAAGCTTTATTGCTTTGTGTGAGGCTTGTATTCCTACACAACAAGGTAGGTCTCAGCCTAAGTTAAGGTAAGTTATCCTGAGTTTTTTAGTTGAAACTACAACTTCTACTACTTCTACTACTACCACAGTTGCGACAACGACAGTCGGTCCAAGTAAGAAAATTTTTTAAAAATACGCGGGTAAGCGGCATCGAACTCGGGCCAAAACAATGCTAACCTATCCGCTTATCCACTCGCACATGCTCGCTTTCTGATCGTTCTCCGTAGTTTACCTGCGTCATCAGTTGTTTTCAAAAAACTCGCAATTTCTGTAGAGTCTTGTAGTGTAAGAATACAAAATATCGGATACATTTTGTACTTAGCTCTTCGCCGTGTTTGACACTAAACAAAAATAGAAATGACTAATTTGATTTCTTGGCTTTTGTTGTTTTGCAGAAAAAAGGGAAAAGGGGGGAAGGTAAAAAATGAAATTTTGATTCATAAAACGTTTTACCCAAATCTAATTTGGACATCCTTGGATACCACAAATTCTACATTCACAAATTAGAATAAAGCAGATTAACATGAGCAACCTAGCTCTTTTTGAGTTATGTAGTATCAAATTGATCAAACTACACTCAACATCTTTATAATCGTTACAACTTTATTACGAGATAAAACAAGTTATCTTTCAATCTTTCAAGCAAAACAACCCAACATCATTATCTTGATACTGCCATTTGGTTATTTTTCATCTACATAAAATCATGTTAATCCTATTATTTTTATTTTTTACTCCAATTGAAGCTTGTATACCTACACAGCAAGGTTTTGTTTTCGAAAAGCTGATGAAAAATTTAAAAGATTTTCAGTTGAAGTTGGAACAACTACTCTTGATCCACCCACGACGACAGCTTCAAGTTAGTTATACTAGGAATAGGGCTGGACCTAAGTAGGCCTGGGCCTGTCTAGTGCAGACTATATGAAGCCCCAAGGTCAGGCCTAGGCACTTCAGAGCCTAAACTATGCATAGGACGGACCCATAAGTAAATTCACAGCGGAAACTAGAGATTCTCTAAGCCTATAAACTTTCAGACCTAAACTAGGCCTAGACCAGGCGTTGGGCCTACGCCCGCGCTCAACTTAATTTTCCAGCCTGCCCGGTGTGCGGTACGATTTACGAGCGAAACTGTCAGAATAGTCAAGGCGGAACTTGCGAATCAGCAGCGACAATTGGAGCATTGCCAACCTTGAATAATGGAGTTTGCCAGTGAGTTTATGCACTATCCGAAAGCTAACAAGTCTCTAATCCACCTTGTTGCAGAATCTCAACAACCTGCAGCGATGCTCGGCTCGGCATTCTACTACACCACGGCTGGCGAAGAAACCTATGATCACATGGGAGTCTATGCACACTGTTTTGAGAATGAGGGAGTATGGTATTATGGGGAGAATGGTTGGGGAGAGGATATACAACTCTCGAATTATATTTGTATCACTGTTGATTATTATGGATAGAAATTGATTGGCAATAATAAAAAATAATTTTTTCTCACGACATCGTCTTTCTTTCCAGACAACATCTCTCTGTTTTTTCTGGAAAATCAGAAAAAAAAATGGCCAGATTCTCTATCCTATTCTTCCTGATAATCTCTTTCGAAGTTTTGGAATCTAGAGAAGTATCCAAAGTTGAATCAAAAATCGGCGATATTGTCGCAAGTTCTATCAAGTTGATACCAGCAGTCAAACCGGTTATCGAAACTTTCCCAAGCTTGGAAAAAGTCGTGGATAAGGTAGTGGCTAAAGGCACTCCTGAGGCTTTAAGCGCTGGGCAGAAGTGGAGGAATTTTGTTTTGAGTTTGATGTTTAGAAGGGCACCGTTTTTCGAGTTATTTAAGAGGGTGTTATAAGTAAAATGTGAAATAAAAATCAAGTTTTTATTAATTAAGTTAGCCTAAGTTAAGTTGACCCTCTACAAACAGCATTAGTGATTGGATCATTCGAAGCTTCCCTAAACTGCCAAACCCCAGTCAACTCCGAACATGTCGCAACCAGATTTCCCGAATAAGTAGTTGTCACACCATCGGGTCTTGTATAAGCGGCGGTGGTTGGTGAGGGACATGCCACGTCAATATAACAAGTATTCTCATCACCGTAACCATCCGGTAGTTTTCCGCGCGTCAATTCTACACCGCCTACTTGGGTTGCGGAATAGCAGTAGTCGGTGGAGTAATCGTAGAAGCCGGTGGGTGGGTCGATGGGGCAGTCGGTTTTTTCGTAGATGCTTGTGCATACTGAGCAGACTAAAAAAAGGGAGGCTGGTGAGCTATGACGTGGCAAAAAGGCACCTACCCGGAGCTAACGTTGTAGTTGGCGTAACTAAAACCTCAACTTCAACATATTGTGTAGGAATACAAGCGAAACATATGGCCAGCTTTGAAGCAATAAAACAGAATAGAAAAGCGGGAAACAACATCATGATTGCGCGAGATAAGGATAAATGCGAACAATTTTGATCAGTTTTATGCTAGACTTGGTCTATCTCTAATATGATTAGCAGAAGAAATAATGCTTTTTGGGTGCAAACACTTTTCGAGAAAACTGGATTGAGGAAATTGTGAATATTGTTCTTATGCTTAACAAATTTCCATGATTCCTAGGAATTAAAAAACAAATAAAATAAAATAGTTAGTCAAGCTTGAGCATGTCAACATTTATTTCAAATTTGAAAAAAAACTGGTTTATTTTAAGCTATTTAATTAGTGAACAGGATTTTGTTACTATGACGTGGCCTAGTTCCAGAAAAAAATCGAATTTAATTGCACTCGGTACAAAATGACGTCAATAAAAAATCCGCTAATGCACATAGAAAAAAATAAAACATTTTTTGCTGCTGTGCAGTGTTTGCAGATTCAACTACGCAGGCGGAAAAGGGGTTAGAGACGCAGAAGAATGTTCTAGAATTCGAACATTTTTCAAAGGAAAATAAAAAGTGCGCCGCAAAATTGCAGTTTTGAGAGAGAAAAAGAGGGCGGAGTCGAGGGTCAGCGTGCGGTCAGAGAGTTTTGGTCGTAATTTCGCGTCAAAAGCAAATTTTTCTCATTTTTTTCTATGTGCTAATGGATTTTGATAAGAAATAAAACATCAACCCGTAAAAATCTTCATCAAGTACCTAAAACCCTCTACAAACAGCATTAGTAATTGGATCATTTGTGGTTTGTTTGAACTGCCAAACTCCAGTCAATTCAGAACACGTTGCAATCAAATTACCCAATGAAGAAGTTGAACCTCCAGATCTTGTATAAACCGGAAGAATACCTGAAGGGCATGCTAGATCAATTGAACAGGTGTTCGCATCGCCATAACCGTCTGACATTTGTCCTAATGTATAGGTTACTCCACCGACTTGTGCTGCAGTTAGGCAATAATCGGTTGCGGTGTCCTTTGGGCAAGAGGTTACTGCGTAGATTTCTTTGCAAACTGGGCAGACTGGAAATCGAATCTTGAACGTTTTACTTGCGGTTCATGCAACTTACCATACGGAATCGTTGTGGTACTTGTGGTGGTGGTGGTAGTTGTTGTGGTAGATGTAGATGTGCTAGTCGAAGTCGAAGTCGAGGTAGATGTCGATGTTGTTTCAACTTGTTGCGTTGGAATACAAGCCACACAAAAATTGGCCAGACATAAAATGACACAATAACAAAATGATAGCGATAAATTAATCAGAAACATCGTGATTGAAATGATATGATAGATGACTTCAGGTAGTTTTATCCATCTTTTTGATCAGCGTGCAGAAAAAATACCTGTTTGTGTTTCAGCAAAGTTTTCAGATAGGCGGCATACTGCAAACGATAGGCAGGTCAAACTACTGGGAAGCTAACAATTTAGCACAGTGAGTTTATGAAACTCGCTGGGAAAACAACAAAAATAACTATTTTTTTGAAATGCACCGGGGAGCGCGCACACAAAATGCGCCAGCCTTTTACACCCTGACACACTTGTGTGTGGTGCATGCACACCCTCTTGAGGAAGACCAACAAAACAACCCCGCAAAAACGAGATCACAATTTGATTGCATAATAAAAAAATGTGGGCTAATTAACACATGTATCAGTGATCACAAACATGATATAAAAGCCAATCCCTTGGAGATATTTGATTTGTTTTAAAGTCCAAAATGTTTATTTGGCCTGTTTTCACATTTTTGATAGGAATTGTTGATTCTTGCATTCCAACGCAACAAGTTGAAAGTGAGTTAGGCTAAATATTTTGACGGTTTGAGGAAGGTATGCAATTTCCAGCGACAACAACTTCTACAACGACGACATCTACGACGACAACGAGTACTACAACTAGTCCCTATGGTAAGTATGGCCCAGCGAGTGTAAACAGCAGGTTCCCACCGCTTCCCACCCCCAAATTCCATTTCCAGTCTGCCCGGTATGCAAAGAAATCTACGCAGTAACCTCTTGCCCAAAGGACACCGCAACCGATTATTGCCTAACTGCAGCACAAGTCGGTGGAGTAACCTATACCTTAGGTCAAATGTCAGACGGTTATGGCGATTCGAACACCTGTTCAATTGATCTAGCATGCCCTTCAGGTATTCTTCCGGTTTATACAAGATCTGGAGGTTCAACTTCTTCATTGGGTAATCTAGTTGCAACATGTTCGGAATTGACTGGAGTTTGGCAGTTCAAACAAACCACAAATGATCCGATTACCAATGCTGTTTGTAGAGGTTCTTGAGAAGTGTAATAAATATTGTGACGGGTAAAAATTCCTCAGGTTTTGTCTGATTTACCTGCTGAAAATACGTCAGGTTCATCGTCATAAATCGAAAAATCTTTAATTGCATTGATCAATACACAGATCTAGTACAAAAAGGAACAGGATAATTCTCTCTCTCAGCTGCCAAATCAGAAATCTTATCTCCGAAAAATAGAAATTACGTAATGTTAGCCGATTTTTTCTTATGAGATACACAAGTCGCGAATATAAATCTATATGAGAATTTTTTTCATTCAGAAAAGAGCACAATAAGCGTCGGTAATAGAACTAGCTCCATTATACCAAACACCAACTGATCCAGTACACGTCACACTTATTGACCCTCCTGGGATATACGTGTCCTCTGGTGTTAGTCCAGTTAACGTATACCAAGCTGACGCGGTAGAAGAACACGTGGCAGTTGCTCTAAAATTTTCCTACATATTCTCTCCCGTCATAAGTTGAGCTAACTCACGTGCAAACTAAACCATCCGCACTGTTCGTATAAGTCAACCCAATCAACGTCTCATCTTCACATATAACGATTGTATTGCCTGAACCTGTACAATAAATGGTTCCGCAACTCGCGCAAGCATCCGGAATTGTTGTCGTCGCAACGGTAGTTGTTGTAACTACCTGCTGCGTGGGAATACAAGTTAGGCTAACTTTGAATAATAGAAAATAAATAGCGATATATAATACACCTGACATAGTGTTTGGAGTGAAAAATGAATCTGATATGGATTTGGTCACTTGTTTTTATCCTAAGATACCTCAAATACCTGTTTTGGGAACGCAAGATGATTGATTTGGGTGGGTTCAGACTAGACACAAGTTTTGGGTATGAGATATGCACAACGTTTTACGGTGACACAGGCGAGAGAGAAACACCCGAGGAGACGCAGAGAACATTGAAGTGCGCTCTACCGAACACAAAACGTTTTTCTGTTTCAAACCTGTTTTTTTCAATTTGAAGCGGGTTTTCTAGAATAAAAACCTACCGGCATTGATTTTAAAGAGATGAATCTGAAATTTTTAGGAGAAGACAAAACATTTCATTCGAAAAAATACTGTTTTACCGCGTAAAACAACAAATTTATCTCAAGATTTCAGAAAATACACATTAAATTAAATAAATGATATACAATGCTATAAAACATAAATAGTTACATGGGATTTCAATTATTCTCAATGTTCTCCCTGATTTTCGAAGGCGAACGGCAAAATTGGCGATAGTCATCACATGTTTCCGGCAATCTCCATCACTCAAAACGCAAAATCGGCGGTTTTTTCGAGATTTCCAATTGAATTCGTCCTCAAGAGCATCATATTTTCAATCAATGGCCATTCATCATTCATTTTGTTGAATTCTCACTTTCCGATTTGCATAATCAACAGTCGCTTGAACAGATTCACCTCTTAGCAACACCAGGTAAATTTCACATGTCATTTTCAGCAGTTGTTTCATATTTGATAAATTGAGCAAGTCGGAGGTCATCGAAAACTCGCATGAGACTTGGCATTTCCTCAGCTTTTAATAAAATAACAGGAATTCGGTTCCGAGAGTATGATTGATTCGCTGGCGGTTTTGTCGAGATTGCTGGTGCGAATCTTTCGGTTTGATAGTTTGGTTATACATCATAACAATCCTATTTTCGATCCATCTTATACAAAAAACTCTGAAATAAACAAGAAATTACCGAATTCTGAAAATAACAAGAAAACTAACCTGTTTCTCGTGTGTAGGTGACAAAATCGACGTTCCGTACCAACCCAACATGCTGAAAAATGTTCTACAATTGAAAACATAACTTATTGATCGAGAAATCTTCGATAAACAGCTGAAAAGGAGAAAAGAAAACAAAAAACAAAAAATGAATTTCGAAAATGAAAAAAAAGCTGGTGCGAGACGTTCGATAGAGCGCACTTTCTTCCTTTTTTTCTCTGCACCCTCCAAAAACGAAAAACTCTCACCTGTGTCATTTTTGTTCAGGCTTAAAACGTTGTGTATGTTTTGTTGTTGGTGGGAGACTTTCCACATTGAGTTGATTTTTTTGTGAAAATTTCCAAAAACCAGCTAGTTTCCTCTGGATTATCATCAACCTTGATTTTCTTTGTCTCCGGCTGCATTTGCCGCTTTTTTCCATGTTCAAAGAAAAAAAACCGAAAAAAAAGAAAAAAAAAGAAAAAAAAAAAGTTTGTGTGGTACGGTACAGTTCAAAGGAACATTGCAATTTGCTGCTGCGTCTTGACACACAACACAAAAAATATTCAAAACCTGCCCGCGAATTTTTATTTTTTCGACGCGCCAACCAAAAAATCGATTTTTATTCATTTCTTTTTATTCGCGTCACCCAAAATGGTTTTTGTTTGGCAAATCAACACAGAAATTTGATAAAAGATGAGTTTTTTGGGGAATTTGAGCCCGGGTTCCCTTTCAAATTTACCCAAAACATTCTCCAAAACCCCATTCCGAACAGTTCTAAGTCTTGCTCGGAGTTAGTACAGCACTCGATGAATTTCGAGCGCATTTGTCATTGCCACTACCAGAAACCTCGGTAGGGACACAAATTATATTTGTGGACCGCGGAATACCGCCTGGATTTGATTGGAAAACAATGATGAGCAAGACCTGAGGTTCTTATTTAGAACTGTTTTTTAGCCACCGATTTGGGTGGAATGGGATAATGGAGTTTTTTGTTTTGAAATGAATTTGACTGGAAATTCGGGGTCTTTTTGAGCCAATTCGACCTGTGTCTTTTGTTAATGCTTTTTTTCCAGAAAATTGCTCCTCGATCAATCAATTCGCCGAAAAAAATGCTCGAACTGGAAGTTGACTTGTTGATGTTTATTGTGAGTTTTTTCGACACTTTCTGACTTGGCTTCGAAATTTAAAAAAAAAAACTAATTATTATTTCAGCCTATTCTTGATTGTTTGATTGAAGCTAATCGATATTCTGAGAAGTTGTTGAATCAGCGAAATTAGGTGCATTTATTTTGGTGAGTGGAAAAAATGGTATGAAATTCTGAAATTGCAATTTGAAACTGATAAAACTTTTATTTCCTTTGTTTTCTCTTTGAAAATCTAGGAAATGGTTGATTTTATCAGTTTCAAATTGGAATTTCAGTGGAGATGCGGAAGCTATACCCAATTTTTGAATTTCAAATGAAAATCTTGTTTTTTTTTCTGCAAATCAAAACAACAAATAGGTTCAAATTTTGAATTTCAACGTGACCTATATGTATAATTTATTTCCAGAAAAAAGAAAATTTCTGAACTTCCAATTGTTTTCAAATCAAATCAACTATTGTTTTTAAGATTGAATATTTCAATTCCTCCGATCACAGCATCAATTCTCAAAAAATATGACAATTTTCGGTAAGTGAAAATAGAAATGTTGACATATTTTACATGAACCTTTTTTATAGCTCGAAATCGAACAATTCGAAGGAGATTTTGCGGCCACAGTTGTTTGTCAGATTTGGTCTTGAAATTGGTAAGTGTTGAAAAATGACATGAATTTCTGGAATTGCAATTTGAAACTAAGAAAACTTGTATTTTTCTTGATTTTTTATTGAAACTCTTGAAAAATGGTTGATTTTATCAGTTCCAAATTGGAATTTCAGCGGAGACAATATAAAATAAATATTTTTCCAGAATTTCGCGAGAATTCCAAGTGGTCCAGAATCTATCGGCTTCTTTCATCAATGAGATAACTTGAGTGATTTCGATGAAAATGGCTGAAAATAAGGATAAGATTTCGAATTCTGATATGACTTATCATTAATGGAAACTGAATGATAACAAATGCGCCAAATCCTCCCAATGATGATATTGATTTTCCGATTTTCGTGCCAACTTTCCATTCAAAAAATTTGCCCAGAATTCGGAATTGTTCGGACAAACTTTTGAGAAACATTTATCACAAATTATAATTTGTTGTATTTTTTATTCATTTTTTTCCACCGAGAAATGAGGTGAGGTTTTGATGTATTTTTTTTCAGAAAAAATATATCCAAATTTTCAGAACATATTTGGTGGTCAATTTATGGTCGAAATTCAGGGACAAAACCGATTTTGGTGAGTAAAAATGAATTGAAGTTCTGGAATTGCAATTTGAAACTGATAAACGTTTATTTTCCTTGATTTTCTTTGTGAAAATCTTGAAAAATGGTTGATTTTATCAGTTTGAAATTGGGATTTCAGCGGAGATGCGGAAGCTATGCCCAATTTTTGAATTTTCATTCAAAAACTTGGGATTGTTTCAATAAAAAGTCAATGTTGTTTTCCAGATTGACAGTCAGCAAATGCGCTCCAACCGGCATCCAACAAATTTCAACCCTGATTCAAATATTATAGTTGATTCGTGAAATGTTTTCGCTTGAATAAAATTTGGAAAGTTATCACAAGACAAAATCATGATTTTTGGTGAGTTTTTTCATACGAAAAATTTATAATTGAGGAAAAATAGCTTGAAATTCTGTAATATCCAGGGAAAAACTGATAAAATTCAGAGTTTTCTTGATTTTTCATTCTTTGATTAAAAAATCTTGAAAACTCTCCATTTTATTAGTTATTTTTTGGAATTTCAGCGGAGATGCGGAAGCTATGCCCAATTTTTGAATTTTCATTCAAAAACTTTGATTTTTTTTAAAAGTGTTTGGGACCTGTTTTTGTGATGCAATTCAGATATATTTGAAGTTGAATCAGGTTCAGCAATTCCCAGAAATTGGAACCTGTATTCAAATTCAAATACAAATGTTTTCTAATTATCCTAACTTATATTATTTATTCAATCGATATTTTTTCAGAAATTCGCGGGAATTCAAAGTGGTCGAGAAAACAAGAAACCGATGAATGATATTGGATGTTGGATTATTTGAGTTGATTCGATTCGACTTGGTTCATCAATGCAATTTTTTTGATGATTTGAATAGAGGCTTCGGAATTTTTGAACTTTGGTGAGTGAGAGAAAAATTGAATTGAAATTCTGAAATTTCAATTTGAAACTGATAAAACTTGTATTTTTCTTGATTTTTTGTTCGAAAATCTTGAAAAATGGTTGATTTCATCAGTTCCAAATTGGACTTTCAGCGGAGATGCGGAAGCTATGCCCAATTTTCAAATTTTTAATGAAAAACTTTGAATTTTGGAAACAAGTTTTCAACAAAAAAGTGGAAAAAATTTAACGAAATTTCAGTTTGTATATTTTACTCTCAAAAGTATGTTGTTTTGGAAAGAAATAATTTGAGAAAAATGTAGGGAGAAGAAAACTTTTGGAGATTTTGGATCCTTGAAAAATGTTCCAATTTTGAAACAATAAATTTGGAATTTTAAATTTACGGAAAATTTAAGGTCGATTATCGAAAAAATCAGAAAAAAATATAAAAACAATGCGACCTTCAAAATACCGAAATTCAGCTTCAATTTTTTTTTGAAATGAAAATTAAAAAATCTTATTCCCATTTAAATTCAATCGTGAATGAGTTTCAAAAAAGTGTTTTTCTAGTAAATTGATCAATTTGGCAGTTCCTGGAACAATCGATGAGAGAGCTATCAATAAAAAGAATTTGAATACTTATACAGAATTGGAATATTTAACATTGGCACTTTGTTCGGCGCAAGCGATTGGATGTAATACTATTATCAATATTGATAATATTGATTTGAGCAAAGGAACTATGCATTTGGTTTTGAGATTATTGTGGCAGATTATTAGAGTGAGTGAAAAAACAATGAAAAAAAAGAAAATGTTTTTTTTTTCTAGGAATTGAAAAAATAATCAAATTTTAACGAAAATCTGGAAATTTCCAATATCCTCTTCATTTTTTCAGATTGGATTGTTCAATCAAATTGATCTTCAACATTGTCCTGGACTTTTCCGACTTCTTCGCGATGGCGAAATTTTTGATGATCTTCGAAGATTGTCTCCAGAAGAAATTCGTATGCGATGGGTCAATTATCATTTGGAAAGCGCTGGAACTTGAAGACGCCATGATGATGGATCAAATTCAAAATTGCAATTATTCTGTCGAATTAGGAAAACAACTGCGATTCTCATTGATCGGAATTCAAGGAAAAGATATTTATGATGGAAATCAAACATTGACTTTGGTTTGGCAATTAATGAGAGCTTACACTTTATCCGTTTTGGCACAATGTACACAAAGTGGTGATTCTCTTCCAGCTGATAAAGATGTTGTTGCGTGGGTCAATCAGAATTTAGCGAGTTCCGTTAAAAACACATCAATTCGATCATTCCAAGATTCGGCAATTTCTGATGGTAAAGTTGTTTTGGATTTGAATCTTAATTTTGCATTGAATTTCATCAATTTTTTTTCCAGAAAATTGTGGCAAGTCTCAAAAAATGCGCAAAAAGTTTTGGATTGTGAAATTCAAGTTATGATTTCTGGAATTTCATTTGGACATTTTGTGGTGAGTTTTTTATATGAAAAATTAAAATTTGATTGAAAATTACTTGAAATTCTGAACTTTCAATTTGAAACTCATAAAATTTAGTTTCTCTTGATTTTTTTTATTTAAAAAAAATCATGAAGAACTGGATTTTATCAGTTTTAAATTGGAATTTCAGCGGAAATGCGGAACCTATGCCCAATTTTTGAATTTTTAGAGAAAAACTTGTTATGAAAAATCAATGTTACTTCTTTCCAGATTCCGGTCACCAACATCGCTTCATCGAACTTCTACAAAACAGTTCTGCATTCATCCCGTAAGTTTTTTCTACCTTTTTAATAAAATATCGATGGAAAGGAAATAACTAAATTTTGCCGGGCCTAAAATTCAAATCAGTTTTGCTAGGCCTAAACCTACCTGGAAAAGCCTAAAAATTGTCGGAGAGTAATTTTTGCTGTGCCTGAAAATGAGCCTGAAATTCCACGTGGCAAAATTTAGCTGAAGATGGGATTTTTGAGATGAAAATGAGCCTAGAAATGTTGTCAGTCCTGAAAATTAGCATTAGTTTGGTCTAGATCAATTTTTGCGATGCCGAAAGTTGCGTAGAATTTTGATAAGCCTAAACATACCCTGGAGAAGCCTAAAAACAAGCCTGTCTGAATTTTTCCAGGCCTGAAAGTACCTTGAAATTGCTAAAAATTTTAGAGAATTGATGAATTTTGAGCTCTGGAGCTTGGAAATTCGATATTTTGCTTGAAATTTCAAGAAAAATGGTGAATTTTGAGATCTGGAGCTAAAAGGCATAAAAATTTGATCAAACCTTGAGCATTTTTGAAATTTTTCCTAAAAAAAGTCATTTCCAAGTAGTAAAATCACAATTTTTAATCTAAAAATTGGTTCGAGCAGAAAAATTTGGAGATTTTGATGAAAAATGGGTCTTTGGGGAGGTTTTTTGGTTTTTGAGCCAAAATTTGGTCCTGAAACAAAGATTTTGAGTCATGTACCTTTAAGATTTTTGTTTTTTTTTCAGATTGCATCGTTCACTCAATCACAAACGAAAATTCCGGAAATTTTTGGGAAATGTTCTGGTGAGTGATAAAATTCAAAAAAAAATGGCATGAATTTCTGAAATTTCAGTTTGAAACTGATAAAACTTTTATTTTTCTTGATTTTCTTTGTGAAAATCTGGAAAAATGGTTGATTTTATCAGTTTGAAATTGGACTTTCAGCGGAGATGCGGAAGCTATGCCCAATTTTCGAATGAAAACTTGAAATAAAAACAATTCAACTTTTTTTTAAACATAATAATTTTGTTTTCTGGAAAATTATTTTTTTTCACAACGAGTTATGTTTTTCAGTTTGCTTCAAATGCTTCTCATTCTTCACTTGCCACGTGTCAAACAATCGGGCTGGATTCTTTTCTTATGGGGCTATAGCCCTCCAGCTACTCAAAAGTAGCTGCTCGAGTAGCTCGAGCAGATTATCTGCTTATCTACTCGAGTAGCTAAGCACGCTCATCTGCTCGAGTAGATAATCTGCTCATCTGCTGAGTAGCTAAGCACGCTCATCTGCTCGAGCAGATTATCTGCTTGCCTGCTCGAGCAGTCTACTCGAAATCTGCTCACTTGTTTTATGAAGATGAATTTGAAATTTTTTTTAAATGACTGAAAAGTTGTAAGTGAAGTAGGAGAAGCTTGAATTTCAGCTTTTGGTGTCATTTTAGGCAGAAGCTGACTTTTAAAGGAAGTATGCATGAAAAATCGATTTTTATTAAATTTGAAATTTAAGGGTATTTTGATATGGGGAACATCGTGGTGAGACCCATTCGGCCCAAAAATCACTTTTAAAGGACCCCATCACTCAAAAATTTTTTTTTTGAAAATGAGGTATTTGGGCACGGGGAACATTTTGGTGAGGTTTACGGTCGGGAACAGAATTTTAAAGGCGCATGACAGGCTATCACACATTTTCCGAGATATTTTTTTTTCAAACGATCATAACTTTTTTATTTTTTCAGCTTTTTTGAAATTTCGACAACCATTTTGACGGGCTCGACGTCGGCTACATTTTTTGTGTTGACACCAACTCCCGTACTTCGCTCCTAAGAGGTGAAAAACACGGTTTTGTTCGAATTTACATCAAAAAATGACATTTTTGAGAGATGTGAGAGACAAAACCGTGTTTTTCACCTCTTAGGAGCGAAGTACGGGAGTTGGTGTCAACACAAAAAATGTAGCCGACGTCGAGCCCGTCAAAATGGTTGTCGAAATTTCAAAAAAGCTGAAAAAATAAAAAAGTTATGATCGTTTGAAAAAAATATCTCGGAAAATGTGTGATAGCCTGTCATGCGCCTTTAAAATTCTGTTCCCGACCGTAAACCTCACCAAAATGTTCCCCGTGCCCAAATACCTCATTTTCAAAAAAAAAAAAAATTTTTGAGTGATGGGGTCCTTTAAAAGTGATTTTTGGGCCGAATGGGTCTCACCACGATGTTCCCCATATCAAAATACCCTTAAATTTCAAATTTCATAAAAATCGATTTTTCATGCATACTTCCTTTAAAAGTCAGCTTCTGCCTAAAATGACACCAAAAGCTGAAATTCAAGCTTCTCCTACTTCACTTACAACTTTTCAGTCATTTAAAAAAAATTTCAAATTCATCTTCATAAAACAAGTGAGCAGATTTCGAGTAGACTGCTCGAGCAGGCAAGCAGATAATCTGCTCGAGCAGATGAGCGTGCTTAGCTACTCAGCAGATGAGCAGATTATCTACTCGAGCAGATGAGCGTGCTTAGCTACTCGAGTAGATAAGCAGATAATCTGCTCGAGCTACTCGAGCAGCTACTTTTGAGTAGCTGGAGGGCTATATATGGGGCTATTCAGCGAAAAAAAAATATGTTTTCTCAACGGGAGAAAAGCGAAGAAAACCTATTCAAGTCGGTTGAGAAAACACAAAAATCAAACACTTAAAACACACAAATTGCGACGAGACCCAACGAAAAACAACATGTTCCTTTAAGATACTGTAGAAAATCGCAACGGGACCAATTTACAGTAATGCAAAAGGTCAAAGGAACATGTTGTTTTTCGTTGGGTCTCGTCGCAATTTGTGTGTTTTAAGTGTTTGATTTTTATGTTTTCTCAACCGACTTGAATAGGTTTTCTTCGCTTTTCTCCCGTTGAGAAAACATTTTTTTTTTCGCTGAATAGCCCCATTATTTTTGAATTATTATTGTTTTTTTTTTCCAGACTTTGTTTTTACAAGTCTCGCTAAAAAGCCGAGACTTGTACTTGTACATTCCGCACCAGGGCCGGCCGGAATTCCGAAAATCGACGTTTTTTTCGGAGGTGTAGTTCATTTCCGAAAGTAAAACTCGGAATTGCTTTTTTTTTCCTCAATCAAGAAATTTAGGATAAACTATTTTTGAAGGCAGCAAAAATGCGTATCAGGTGAAAATAGTTTATCCTAAATTTCACTTCAATTATGCAATTTTCTAGAATAAGAACCCAAACATTTCTGCTATTCGAGGGTACTGTAGAATGACAGTAACCCTTGGATCGTAATTCGCAAAACTACAGTGACAAGCTCAATTTTCTAAGGTGAAAATTGAAGATACTGTAGAAAAAAGAAAAATGCAAACAACTACAGTAATCTTATTGTAGAAACAAGATCTACAGTACCCTGATTACTGTAGTTCTAGAAAAACAAAACTACAAGTCATTGGCTTTTAAGCAATGACTTATAGGACAAAAGAACTACAGTACTCTTCTACTTTTTGGTTTTTAAGCAAAAAGTAGGAATAAATAAATAAAGATAAAAAATGAACACAGTGATTAAAATTGCGATCAAGAGTTCAGGCGATTTCCGGAATCTTCGAATTCGAATTTCGAGTTACAGAAAAATTGGCACCAAATCGCTCTGGAAAAATTCAAAGTTTTTGAATGAAAATTAAAAAATTGGGCATAGCTTCCGCTGAAATTCCAAAAAATAACTAATAAAATGGAGAATTTTGGTGATTTTCTAATCAAAGAATGAAAAATCAAGAAAAGTCTGAATTTTATTAGTTTTTCCCTGGATATTTCAGAATTTCAAGCTATTTTTCATGAAATTTCAATTTTTCATATTTAAAAAACTCACCAAAAATCTGGATTTTGTCTTGTGATAATTTTCCGAATTTTATGCCAGCAAAAATAGTTCGCGGCTCAAATACTCAACATATTTGAATCGAGGTTGAGTTTGTTGGTATTTCAGTTGGAGCGAGATTGCTGACGACCAATCTGGAACAAAAAAATGGATTTTATTGAAAAAATCCCAAGTTTTTCTTTAAAAATTCAAAAATTGGGCATAGCTTCCGCATTTTTTTTCTTTCACAAAGAAAATCAAGGAAAATCAAAGTTTCATCAGCTTCAAACTGAAATTTCAGAATTTCAATTTATTTTTCTCTCACTCACCAAAGTTCAAAAATTCCGAAGCCTCTTTTCAATCATTCAGAAAAATTGCATTGATGAGCCAAGTCGAATCGAATCGAGTCAAACCACTGCAAAATCCCATAATCTTCATCGATTCGTTTTGAATTCACCACTTTGAATTCCCGCGAAATTCTGGAAAAATATTGATTTAAAAAAATAAGATAGGTTGGGATAAGAATTGAAAACCAAGAGAAATTCTGGAATTTCATTTTGAAATTGATAAAACTTTTATTTCCCTTGTTTTCTCTTTGAAACTCTAGGAAATGGTTGATTTTATCAGTTTCAAATTGGAATTTCAGCGGAGATGCGGAAGCTATGCCCAATTTTTGAATTTTTATAGAAAAACTTTGAATTTTCAAAAAGTGTTCGGGACCTATTTTTGCGATGCAATTCAGATATATTTGGAGTTGAATCAGGTTCAGAAATTCCCAGAAATTGGAATCTGCATTCAAATCCAAATAAAAAGGTTTTCTATTGTCGAAGTTGAAAAACGTGGCAGCAATTTCGACAATAGAAAACCTTTTCATTTGAATATGAATACAGGTTCCAATTTCTTGGAATTTCTGGATCTGATTCAACTGCAAAAATATCTGAATTGCATCACAAAATCAGGGCAAAAACACTTTTAAAAAAAATTTGAAGTTTTTTTTATCAAAAAATCAAAAATTGGGCATAGCTTCCGCATCTCCGCTGAAATCCCATTTTCAAACTGATAAAATCAACCATTTTTCAAAATTTTCACAAAGAAAATCAAGAAAAATACAAGTTTTATCAGTTTCAAATTGCAATTCCAGAATTTCATGCCATTTTTTTTATTGAATTTTATCACTCACCAGAAAATTTCCAAAAATTTCCGGAATAATCGTTTGTGATTGAGTGAACGAGGCAAACTGAAAAAAAACAAGAATTGAACCCTATTTTGGACAACAATTTGAAAAGATTAAAGTAGTTTTTTCTGTAACTTTTGACACCAAACACTACAGTAATATAGAAAAATTCAGGACTACAAAAATCCGAGAAAAATCAGGATTCAAAAATTATGAATAAGTTTTCTACATATATTTTTTAAAACCGAAAAAAAAACAATCAGAAAATAACAAATTTCATCTTAGAAATATGGAACTTCAAGTAATAACTCACCAAAATGTTGAAACCAGATTTTGAAGAAGATTTTCGAGGGAATCCATCCAAATATACGAGCCAACACTGAAAATTACGGTATTAGTCAATCAATCGCTAAAATTACAATTTTAATCTTCAAATTTCTCGGCAAAAATCATCTACAGTACTCCAAAAATGCCACATGGGAAATTAAATTCAATAATATAAGTCACTTCGAAAAGTTCAAAGTTTTTCATTAAAAATTGAAAAATTGGGCATAGCTTCCGCATCTCCGCTGAAATTCCAATTTCAAACTGACAAAACCAACCATTTTTCAAGATTTTCGAACAAAAAATCAATAAAAATAAAAGTTTTATCAGTTTCAAACTGAAATTCCAGAAATTCATGCCATTTTAAAAATTTTATCACTCACCAGAACATTTCCCAAAAATTTCCGGAATTTTCGTTTGTGATTGAGTGAACGATGCAATCTGAAAAAAAAAATTAAAGGTACATGACTCAAAAACTTCGTTTCAGGACCAAATTTAGCCCGAAAACGGGAAAATTCCCACTCCTAGATCAATTTCTACCAAAAATTACGAATTTTTCGTTATGGGACCCGAAAAATAGTGATTTAAAGATACATGACTCAAAATCTACCAAATTTTGGCTCAAAAACCAAAAAAAAAACCCTCCAAGACCCGATTTCTCTCAAAATCCCCAAATTTTTTGCTCAAAAATGCGCAACGAACCTCACTAACAACTTCAGCAATATGTCGTTTCATCCATTGTTTTTTGAATACCATCGGTGATTCGACTTTTTGATTTTGTGCCGATTCTTTGGCCGCTTCCGCTTTCCAACGTTTTAATGGTGGAACTGTGGCTGATGTTGTTGTGGTTTTGGAAATTGAAGCAGAGGCTGAGGCTGCAAAAATGAGATTATAAAATTGAAATTATAAAAATAATGAATCGTCATTTCGAAGTTACTCCAAATTCACGATTTTTAATATCAAGCCTATTTTTATGGATAAAAATAATGAATCGTCATTTCGAAGTTACTCCAAATTCACGATTTTTAATATCAAGCCTATTTTTATGGATAAAAATAATGAATCGTCATTTCGAAGTTACTCCAAATTCACGATTTTTAATATCAAGCCTATTTTTATGGATAAAAATAATGAATCGTCATTTCGAAGTTACTCTAAATTCACGATTTTTAATATCAAGCCTATTTTTATGGATAAAAATAATGAATCGTCATTTCGAAGTTACTCCAAATTCACGATTTTTAATATCAAGCCTATTTTTATGGATAAAAATAATGAATCGTCATTTCGAAGTTACTCCAAATTCACGATTTTTAATATCAAGCCTATTTTCATGGATAAAAATAATGAATCGTCATTTCGAAGTTACTCCAAATTCACGATTTTTAATATCAAGCCTATTTTTATGGATAAAAATAATGAATCGTCATTTCGAAGTTACTCCAAATTCACGATTTTTAATATCAAGCCTATTTTTATGGATAAAAATAATGAATCGTCATTTCGAAGTTACTCCAAATTCACGATTTTTAATATCAAGCCTATTTTTATGGATAAAAATAATGAATCGTCATTTCGAAGTTACTCCAAATTCACGATTTTTAATATCAAGCCTATTTTTATGGATAAAAATAATGAATCGTCATTTCGAAGTTACTCCAAATTCACGATTTTTAATATCAAGCCTATTTTTATGGATAAAAATAATGAATCGTCATTTCGAAGTTACTCCAAATTCACGATTTTTAATATCAAGCCTATTTTTATGGATAAAAATAATGAATCGTCATTTCGAAGTTACTCCAAATTCACGATTTTTAATATCAAGCCTATTTTTATGGATAAAAATAATGAATCGTCATTTCGAAGTTACTCCAAATTCACGATTTTTAATATCAAGCCTATTTTCATGGATAAAAATAATGAATCGTCATTTCGAAGTTACTCCAAATTCACGATTTTTAATATCAAGCCTATTTTCATGGATAAAAATAATGAATCGTCATTTCGAAGTTACTCCAAATTCACGATTTTTAATATCAAATTCAACAAAAAACTAAATTCACGATTTTTATATCAAGCCTATTTTTATGGATAAAAATAATGAATCGTCATTTCGAAGTTACTCCAAATTCACGATTTTTAATATCAAATTCAACAAAAAACTAAATTCACGATTTTTATATCAAGCCTATTTTCATGGATAAAAATAATGAATCGTCATTTCGAAGTTACTCCAAATTCACGATTTTTAATATCAAATTCAACAAAAAACTAAATTCACGATTTTTATATCAAGCCTATTTTTATGGATAAAAATAATGAATCGTCATTTCGAAGTTACTCCAAATTCACGATTTTTAATATCAAGCCTATTTTTATGGATAAAAATAATGAATCGTCATTTCGAAGTTACTCCAAATTCACGATTTTTAATATCAAGCCTATTTTTATGGATAAAAATAATGAATCGTCATTTCGAAGTTACTCCAAATTCACGATTTTTAATATCAAGCCTATTTTTATGGATAAAAATAATGAATCGTCATTTCGAAGTTACTCCAAATTCACGATTTTTAATATCAAATTCAACAAAAAACTAAATTCACGATTTTTATATCAAGCCTATTTTCATGGATAAAAATAATGAATCGTCATTTCGAAGTTACTCCAAATTCACGATTTTTAATATCAAATTCAACAAAAAACTAAATTCACGATTTTTATATCAAGCCTATTTTTATGGATAAAAATAATGAATCGTCATTTCGAAGTTACTCCAAATTCACGATTTTTAATATCAAATTCAACAAAAAACTAAATTCACGATTTTTATATCAAGCCTATTTTTATGGATAAAAATAATGAATCGTCATTTCGAAGTTACTCCAAATTCACGATTTTTAATATCAAATTCAACAAAAAACTAAATTCACGATTTTTATATCAAGCCTATTTTCATGGATAAAAATAATGAATCGTCATTTCGAAGTTACTCCAAATTCACGATTTTTAATATCAAATTCAACAAAAAACTAAATTCACGATTTTTAATATCAAGCCTATTTTTATGGATAAAAATAATGAATCGTCATTTCGAAGTTACTCCAAATTCACGATTTTTAATATCAAATTCAACAAAAAACTAAATTCACGATTTTTAATATCAAGCCTATTTTTATGGATAAAAATAATGAATCGTCATTTCGAAGTTACTCCAAATTCACGATTTTTAATATCAAGCCTATTTTTATGGATAAAAATAATGAATCGTCATTTCGAAGTTACTCCAAATTCACGATTTTTAATATCAAGCCTATTTTCATGGATAAAAATAATGAATCGTCATTTCGAAGTTACTCTAAATTCACGATTTTTAATATCAAGCCTATTTTTATGGATAAAAATAATGAATCGTCATTTCGAAGTTACTCCAAATTCACGATTTTTAATATCAAATTCAACAAAAAACTAAATTCACGATTTTTATATCAAGCCTATTTTTATGGATAAAAATAATAAATCGTTTAAATCTAGCTTACAGTTTATTTTTTCCACTTACCGAAACCTGTTTCGAAACATCTCCAGGTCCTTGAAGTTGTTCGAATATTGCATCAAAATAAATTTCTTCCAATAGAGCGCATTTGTTATCATTCAGTTTCCATTAATGATAAGTCATATCAGAATTCGAAATCTTATCCTTATTTTCAGCCATTTCCATCGAAATCAACCAAATTATCCCATTGATGAGAGAAGCTAGATTGTGGACCACTTGGAATTCTCGCGAAATTCTGGAAAAATTATTTATTGAAAAAAATAATACAGGATAATTAGAAAACATTTTTATTTGAATTCGAATGCAGGTTCCAATTTCTGAATCTGATTTAACTCCAAATATATCTGAATTGCATCACAAAATCAGGATCAAATTTTTATGTCTCTCCAGAGCAGAGCACAAAATTCATCAATTGTTCAGAATCATCAAGCTTTCGGGCTCAAAATGCATCCATTTTTGAATTTTAGGTCAATTTTTGATATTTCTAAGCTCCAGGGCTCAAAATTCATCAATTTTTTCAAAATTTCAAGCAAACTCTCAGATTTCCAAGCTCCAGAGCTCAAAATTTATCAACTTTTCTCAAAATTTTGAGCGAAACTTCTGATTTTCAAGCTCCAGGGCTCAAAATTTATCGAATTTCTAAAAATTTCAAGCAAAAATCCAAAATTCCCGCATATCTTCCGACTCGGCTTCCGAACTTTAGGGATCGCAAAACTAGATCTAGACCAAGTTTAGGCTAATTTTCAGGACTGACAACATTTCTAGGCTCACTTTGATCCAAAAATCTCCATACCTTCTAGTATATCTCGAATCATTTCCCTTCTTTTTCGCATCAATACAAATCAATTCATTTCCAGTGGATGGTCCAATATCCTCTCCAGTCGGTCCTTTCATTAGGCCATCATATTGATAGACGCCTGCAATACCGCCAGCTTCTCTCGTTGTTTCTTCGGGCCGACAAACGTAGCCAGACAATTCGATGATGACTTGACGAGGATCTACCGGCGCTGTTGAGACGAGGCCTGGAAATGGGGAAATTATGGGATCAGGCTAGAAATTCGACCTTCTTTAGGCTTGAGAATGGGACTTTCAAAGCATAACAAAAATCGTGCTTTTTAGCCGGTAAAATAGGTCTCTCAGATCTGGAATCTTCTAGGCTTTAGGTCATTTTTATTAAAAAGGTAGAAAAAACTTACGGGATGAATGCAAAACTGTTATGTAGAAGTTCGCTGAGGCCATGTTGGTGACCGGAATCTGGAAGGAAGAAACATTGAGTTTTCATAACAAGTTTTTGTATAAAAATTCAAAAATTGGGCATAGCTTCCGCATCTCCGCTGAAATTCCAATTTCAAACTGATAAAATCCAGTTCTTCGTGATTTTTCTGAATAAAAAATCAAGAGAAACTAAATTTTATGAGTTTCAAATTGAAAGTTCAGAATTTCAAGTAATTTTTAATCAAATTTTAATTTTTCATATAAAAAACTCACCAAAAAATGTCCAAATGAAATTCCAGAAATCATAACTTGAATTTCACAATCCAAAACTTCTTGCGCATTCTTTGAGACTTGCCACAATTTTCTAGAAAAAAAATTAATGAAATTCAATGCAGAATTGAGAAATTTACGATTAGAGAACGAAAATATACAAACTGAAATTTCGTAATATTTTTCGTTTACTCACCATTTTAACTGCCACCTGGATATTCGAACTTGTCAGAAGTCAAAGCGATCTGAAAAATATTTTTTTATTTGAAAAAACGTTTTTGTTGAAAATTTGATTGCAAAATTCAAAGTTTTTCCTTAAAAATTCAAAAATTGGGCATAGCTTCCGCATCTCAGCTGAAATTCCTATTTCAAACTGATAAAATCAACCATTTTTCCAGATTTTCGCAAAGAAAATCAAGAAAAATAAAAGTTTTATGAGTATCAAATTGCAATTCCAGAAATTCATGTCATTTTTAACACTTACCAATTTCAAGACCAAATCTGGAACATCGCAGCAAAATCTCCTTCAAATTGTCGATTTCGAGCTGTAAAAAAAAGGTCATGCAAAATATGTTTTTCTTAAATTTCAAAGCCAAGTCAGAAAGTGTTGAAAAAACTCACAATAAACATCAACAATTCAACTTCCAGTTCTTAATCGAGCATTTTTTTCGGCGAATTGATTGATCGAGGAGCAATTTTCTGGAAAAAAAACATTAACAAAAGGGACAGGTCGAATTGGCTCAAAAGCCCCCGAATTTCCAGTCAAATTTCTTCTAAAACAAAAAAACTCCATTTTCCCATTCCACCCAAATCGGTGGCTAAAAAACAGTTCTAAATATGAACCCCAGGTCTTGCTCATCACTGTTTTCCAATCAAATCCAGGCGGTATTCCGCGGTCCACAAATATAATTTGTGTCCCTACCGAGGTTTCTGGTAGTGGCAATGACAAATGCGCTCGAAACTCATCGAGTGTGCTGTACTAACTCCGAGCAAGACTTAGAACTGCTCGGAATGGGGTTTTGGAGAATGATGTTTTGGGTAAATTTGAAAGGGAACCCGGGCTAAAATCCCCCAAAAAACTCATCTTTTATCAAATTCCTGTGTTGATTTGCCAAACAAAAAACATTTTGGGTGACGCGAATAAAAAAAATGAATAAAAAATCGATTTTTTTGGTTGGCGCGTCGAAAAAATAAAAATTCGCGGGCAGGTTTTGAATTTTTTGAGTGTTGTGTGTCAAGACGCAGCAGCAAATTGCAATGTTCCTTTGAATTGTACCGTACCACACAAACTTTTTTTTTCTTTTTTTTCGGTTTTTTTCCGAATTTTTTCTTTTAACATGGAAAAAAGCGGAAAAAACAGGCGGAAACGAAGAGAAACAAGGTTGATGATGATCCAGAGGAAACTAGCTGGTTTTTTTCTCAATTGCTCATATTAATTTATTTTTTCACAAGAAAAGCACTTATTTTCCTCCTCCGTTTTCAATTCTACAATTTAGGCTCTTACACATTCCGTGACCTGAAATTAATTTTTTTTTGAAAAATTTCGAAACAAATCACCATAAGTTTGCTGGAAAGCCAAGACCAAGAAGAAAAATGCGAAAATTTTCATTTTTTGTGAATTTTTCAGACTTAGGGGGTGGTTTAATATGGCGACATGGCGTGTGAAAATTCCTATTGATTTATTGAGGCCTATGACGTGGCACTTCCAGGGTCAAATTCTTGAGCTTTACACATTTTCAGCCAACATGTGGCTTTTCAATCACATTTTTTCCAAGAAAAATGCATCTTGCTCTAATTTTTCTATTTTTCCCAACAATTTTTTGCTCAACTTGTGATTTTTTGAAATTAAAATACTGTGAAGAGGTGAGTTTTTTATATTTAATTTAATTTTTAAACAAGAATCTTTTAAGAAATACGACAAATATGAAAATGTCCCGGAAGAACTACAAACCAATCAGCAAAAAATCGATAAACGTTTGAAAATGTGTGAAGCGATTTCAGAATGCGGTGAAACTTTGAAAAATTGCGCGGAAGATGATGTGAATTTCAAAGACCGTGTAGATAATCTATCAGCTGGTTGCTTATTTTTGACTCGAATGTATAAAGATGATTTTGTGGATTGTGCAATTGTTTTGGAAAAGGAAGTTGAGGCGAAAGGTTGTGAGAGGGTAAAGCCGGAAAAATCGAACAAAGCGACTTATCAGAAGATTTTTGATGGCTGTGTTGATGGAATTGTGGAAGATGAGTGTAGTTTGGAGCAGAACCGGATTTATAAATCGGTGGGTTTTGAACCAAAATCTTTTGGTGCAGGTTCATTAAACAAATTTTTTTGCAGTATCGTGAAATGGGAATCGATTATCTTGCAAAGTATTGGATATTTAATTGAGGATAATTTTTAACATGAGCAATAAAAAATCGACTAAATGACATTTTCATGTTTTTTGAGCCAGTGGGTTGAAATATTGGGTTTTAATGTTATTCATATGATAAAATGGTCTAAGACGAACAGAATGATATAAATTTTGATGACTTTACGTTATTCATAAGTGATTTAGCGACTTATCGACTGAATATCGACTAAACGTAGCTACTAAATCACTTATGGATAACGTAAAGTCATCAAAATTTATATAATTCTGTTCGTCTTAGACCATTCTATCATATGAATAACATTAGAACCCAATATTTCAACTCACATTTAGTCCAACTATAGTTTGTGAATTTGGATCATTTGTTTGCAAAAAAAATGTTGGCAAAAAATCAAATGGTTTTTTGAACATTTGAGGAGCTTAGGGTGGTATCACACTACACACATAAGTAGATATATAAAATTGACCAAACTGTTTCATTTTCAATAAAAAATGCAATTTTCCATTTTTATCCCTGCATTTTTCATAATTCTAGTCCCGTATTCTTGCCAGGCTTGTGATTATTTTAAAAAGATATCGTGCTCTTTTGTAAGTTTAACTTACTATACCCTGATATATTTCTATATTATCAGAAAGCCTACAAATATAAAGATCTACCGGACAAAACTTTTTTCCAAAAGTTGGATGAGCTCAAAAAGTGGTGCAGTTTTTTTGCGGATGAGTGCGGTCAAGTTATGGAAGATTGCGAAGATGACCAAAATATGAAGAAGAAAGTGGAAAGCATCTTGGCTGGATGCCCAATCATAAATCGAATGTTGAAGGACGATTTTGTGGATTGTGCAATTGTTTTACAGCAAGAATTTGATGCTGGAAATTGTGAAATAGTTCGATCAAGTTATACTATTTCTTATGCTAAAGCTATGTTTGAACAATGTCTTGATAACATGGTGCAGAATAAATGCAGTTCTGATCAGAATCGAATTTATAAAGCTGTAAGTTATTAAATTTTGGTAAAACGTTTCGAAGAATTCTTTCAGTATCGCGAAATGGCCATCGAAGTTGTTGAGAAAAATGATTTGGTGTCTGCTGGAAAAAAGAACATGAATTATGGAACCTACAACTATAACCAAAAATTTTGAAAACTCAATAAATCTGTCTTTGAAAGTTGATCGCAAAGGCCATCTTGTTACACACTTTTGAGAGCATTACACTTAAATTTTCAGTCACGTTTTTTTTTCAGACAAATTTTGTGTAACACTGAAAGGTCTATAAAATGTGTCACAGCCCTGTTCAAATCCTCACTCAAAAATGCACCTCTCTCTACTTTTCCTACTTTTTCTAGCTCCAACTTTTTGTTTGGCATGTGATCCTTTAAAAATGATAAAATGCTCGACGGTGAGTTAATCTCGGAGAACAAAATCTATGGTGCCAGAAAATTTTCAGAAATTAGAAGAGCAAGAAAATATGCCAGAAAGAACAATGATTCAAAAAATCGACAAACGTTTGAAAACATGTGAACTCTGGAAAGAATGCGGTGAAGTGATGGGAAAATGCAATAGTCTTAATAAACAGGAGAAAAGAGGAGCAGATATGTTAGCTGGAGGTTGTCCGATTGTATCTCGATTATATCAAAATGATTTCATCGATTGTGCGATTGTTTTGGAGAAAAATGTGGAGAAAAATGGATGTCGTGCACTTCAATATAGAGAGAATTTCAAGAATACTGGATATAAAGCTATGTTTGATGATTGTATTGATGATGTTGTGAAAAATGGATGCACTTCTGATCAGCAACAAATTTATGATGAAGTGAGTTATTTAAAGATGAGGCCGGGCGGAGCAATGTTGTTTTTTTTGCAGAATCGTAAAATGGCCATCAAATTTCTTGACAAATTTATGCTACCTTGAGGAATAAGCCATTTTTGATGTTTTGAATGAATAAATAATTGATTCGCGATTTTTCGTGGTTCACATAAGTATTTTCCATCCCAAATCATGAGAAAATAAGAGTGTGTGTCAACACCGACTGTCCGCAAACACCACAACCTTGTCGCGAAAATGGGAAAAAATATGAAACAGTTCACAAAACAATTTATCACATTACTGTTTCTGACCAAAATCCGCTGAAATTTCTGCAGATAATGTGACTGACAATTTTTTTCAGTCATAGAAAAATAGGAAATGTGTCATGGGATAAATTATTGACCTTTTTGAATTACACTGTTCTATAGAACGCGTTTGCCTCCTCGTCCTGCACAGGATGGCTTTCAAACATTTCAATCGATGACTGTTCGTGTCAAAACCTATGTCTTCAAAAAAAAACCCGAGCAATATTAATCATTTGTGTAACAATTTTATCGCTTATCCTATTCGCTTGCTTCATTTTAGTATATTTCAAACATGAAACTGCATCTCTATACTTCATTTTTTCTACTTCTCGCCCTTATTCCTTCTTTTCTAGCTTGCAATTATTTTACAGCCCTTGGGTGTGGATTGGTAAGTTAAGTACAAAACAACAAGATTGATAGCAATAAGCCTAACGTTGCAGAAATACAGTTCTGCCTTGGACACTAAAAAGTTGAATGGCACCATACTTCAACGTATTGAAAGTCGTCAGAAAATCTGTGATGCTATGGATGAATGTGCCGAGGTGCTTGTAGAGTGTAAAAAAGAGATGAACGAGACTGGGAAGGTGCCAAAAAACTTGGATCGCTCATTAGAAGTGTTTTCTGTTGGTTGTCCAATTTTGCGTCGGATCTATAAAGACGATTTTGTTGATTGTGCTTTCATTTTGGAACGAAATGAGGAGAAAAGTGAATGTGAATATAAACTGAAACCGGAATCAGATGACGGTTCGAATCAAGCTAAATTTGAAGCTATTTTTAATCAGTGTGTTGATGGAATCGTGAAAACTGAATGCACTTCGGATCAATGGAGAATCTATAAAGTTGTGGGTTTTTCACAACACATAAGTTTTCAATTTTAACTAGTTTTTTCAGTATCGCGAAACTTTCATTGAATTTCTTGCAAAATATGGTGAATTGAATGCCGAAGACAGACTTCTGAAGGATATTTCATTTCAATAAATAAAAAATTTGGTTTACGCAATTTTTCAGTCATTTATTACCAATACTCAAAATGAAATAACTTTTTTATCAATCTCTGTAATTTTCAAATCATTTTTTCTCACAAGAATTGTCGTAACTCTCCCATTTCCAACATATTCCAACTTATAAAAATCAAATTTGAATTTCAAAATCGATTGAAGACCTCCGATTTCAAATTGATTATTTGCTGCCAACAAAATCGCATTCACAAAACTTTTTCGATTGTATTCAGCGCCATTTTCGAATTTGTACACAAAATCCTCGCTCAAATATTCCAAAGCTTTCGACGCGCTTTTCTCCGATTTCAAATTTTCGATTATTTTTGGAATGTATTTGGTAGATTGGATAGGGAGAATAGGAATTAGAAAAGTTAGGGAAATCAGGAAAAATTTCATGATTTTTGGGAGAAAAATGCACAAAAAATCGACGAGTCTAGACAAAAATGAAAGTTTATATGAATTTTTTTGGAGCTGGGGAAAATATAAATAAACAAAACTATGACGTGGCAAACTCTTCTGAAAAAAAAACAGTTTCAAAAAAATCTGAAAGAATTTGTAAACAAAAATCATTAGAGTTTAAAAAATCTTCTTTCAGGAAAAAACTCAGACAAGTTGTACGATTAATCGCCGAGTAAAGTGAACTTACGATTAATCGCCTGAACTAAATTAACACAGGCGATTAATCGGTCAGCCAGCAGCTAATTCAAGTTACTAGGCGATTAATCGTCCAACTTCTGAGAAATAAATAAAAATTTGTCCAAGAGAAGTACACAGATGTGTGGATTTCTAGGCCACGGCCACACATTTGTCAGCAATTTTGTCTTTTTTTCAAACTTCGTTTTTTCACGTATTTTTCAAAGACATGAGGTTATGAACTCAACAAAAAAAATTTTTGTCAAAAATTCCAAAACAATTTTCAAGAAAAAATGCCAAAGTCTAAAGTCTAGTCGTCATAAAAATCTTAAAAAAAAATTCCGAAAATCGTTCAAATTCATATTCAAAATGATATTATCGCTGATTACTATCCTTTCAATTTCAATCCTAAATTCTGACTCAATTGATCCAGAAGAATGTATGAAAAACTATATCAATTCGATTCAAAACCAAACTTTCAAACACTTTCTCACTGATGATTTTGCAATTTATAATTGTGGAGGAAAACCGATTAGCTATTCAGATTTCCAACGAGAAGCATTGAGAAAATTGTGGGATGGTTTAAGTCCAATTCCGATTCGAGAATACAAAATCAAATCAGTGAATCAAACAAAATTCAATGTTGAAGTTCAATTTTCAATTCGTGGTGAGAAAAAAGTGGCAAATATTGAAATTGAAACTACAATATCCGATGATAAAGTATGTAGAATAAAAAGTGAAAGACAGAAAAAATATTTTTCGCGAGACAGAAAATATTATTCCTCGTTTCTCATTGATTATGAAAAATTATTCGGCAAAAAAGCACAAAACCTGCTCGAAGAATACATCGGGAATCTAGAAATCGGCAAATTTTCAAACAATTTCAAAATTGTGAGAAGGTTTTCCAAGAATTCAACAGCTATTCAACCACTTCTCAAATTAATTCACAAAAAAATTCCAACAATTTCTTCAAATCGATATTTTATTGAACAATCTTATGAACCAAATTTGGATTTTCTTGTGACAATTGATGATGGAAAATTGAAGGTGGAATTTTTTGTAGTTATAAATGATCAGGGCGATTTTGAAATTCGAATTGAAAGACAACCACATTGGGAAACTCAAGAATCAATTATTCCATGGTTTACTTCGGCATTTATTGATTATCCTAGAACTTACGAAAGAATAGTTGAAGAATTGATTGAAAAGTTTAGAAATTCTATTAAAACAAAAGAAATTGAAGATGATATTTTCTCGATATTAAATTTGACTAGTTCAGAAATGGGATATTTTTCCTCGTTTTATTCTGTACTTTATTATGACTCATCTCTGGAAAAACAACAATTTTCATATCAAAATTATGATGAAAAACAGCTTGATTTTAGTATCAAATTTGAAAATAACAAGTTTAATTTATTGATAGATGAAGAAATGACTATGGTTGATTATTTTAATCGAATTTATGAAGATATCGCTAGAAATTTGATGGATGAATATAAAAATGTTCTATGCTGGAAGATCAAAATAAAGAAATTTTCAATGAGAAATTCAAGTTATGCGATTGCTCAAAAGGATGTATGAATTTCACGCAATTCAAAAAACAACTCAAAAAACCTGGGAACATTGTTGATTTTGATAATTGGGATGAAATTGAGTTCGTTTCGGTGAACAAGACAAATGGTGATATTGAATTTCTGAAGAATCGAAAATCGAGATTCATTGCTAAATATAGTTTTGATCGGAAAAGATATGAATTCGCTGTGGAAATTCGTTGCAAAAATAATTTCACTGGGGATTTTTTGAATGCGGGAAATTGGTATAAACCGTTGGATAATGAAGTTGAGTAGAATGATTTTGAGAACAAAGAGCCGCTTATTATTTTAGGATCTGGATGTATGTTGTTTGCTTGTAATTAAAAAAAAATTCATTTTTTCAGGGATGTTTGATCACAAGCCTTCAATTATCCCCTACAAAAACTTCGATCTAAAACTAGATGTTTCAAATCTAAAAGAAGCTCTGGATCTCAGTCTTCACTCCGAGCTCATTAGAATTGTATGTCATCGCTCACAATCTCAGTGTCATCAGATAAATCTAGAATACAATCGTCTTTATAAAAAAGATCTCAAGATAGTTCTGGAAAAAAAATTGAGTGGAAACTTCAAAAAACTCATGATTTCTCTATTCGAACATCCCGCTGTTTTCGACGCTCATGTGATTTATAAACAAGGATCACATACTCGAGGATTCCCAACATTAACTGAAATATTTTTGACACGAACAAATCAAGAGATTGAAGAGATTGCTCAAGCATTTCATCTTGTTCGAGAAACCAGAATGCCTTCAAGACAAAATGATAGTTTGTATGATTATATGTGTCGATTTGATGCGGATAAATTATCAGTGGCGAAGTTAGTCGAAGTTCATAGGGATGAGAGTTTGTTGATGAATAGAACTAGAGCAATGGAAGATGCTAGGAGATTAATTGATGCGTTAAATACACCGGATGCGGAAAAGGTTCTCACGGAAATATTCACCAAGACGAATTTGGTGCAACTCAAATTGATATTTAAGAATTTTTATGAGCAATCTGGAAATTCTATTGGACAAATTCTGAACTCTGTGTTTGTGCGAGCAGGGTAAGATTTAAGATATGCATACATGAACTAGTCGCTCCGGGGACCCTTGAGTTAACCCCCCTAACCAAGAGTTAAGGGCCCCACATTCAAAAATCCCTCGGAATTCGGAGTCCTAGTTCATGTACGAATTTGTTTCTAGAAGTATGATAGACTTTGCAAGAACAACAATCGACATAACCCAAGATCGCCTCAAATATTTTTCTGATAAACTCGATTCTCATATGAGAGGAGCGGGAACAACGGATATTGAATTGATTCGAATTGTTGTTGGATATGCCGAGCGGAATTTGGAGTCAATTCGAGAGGAATTTGATAGACGACACCCTGAGGAGAGTTTGGTTGGATGGATTTCAGAAGATACTTCGGGGTCATTTCGAGATGCACTTATTGCATTGATTAAAGGCAATCGAAATCAATGAAAAAAAAATGTTTTTTTTGTTGATCGAATGAATTTCTCTTTACAAACGAGAAATAAAACATGAGTTTAAAATGCAACCGATTTATTGATCGCAAATCATTCTACAACAAGATGCCGACGGTTTAAAACTGTCCAGAGACAAAACAAACTATAAAAATCTACAAAAACCTTTTCGAAAACTTGAAAAATGAAAGTAAAAACCGAAGAGGCGCACCACAAACGCGTCAGTGCTTTGACGTTGGCGCGTTTTGTGTGCACTTGCGGCTATTTGAAAAACGACTAGATTTTTTAGCCTAGATTTTGGTGAGTTAGCCTAACTTTTTTCAATTTTTAAAGATTTTTTTTCATAATTTTCCAATTTTCCCGAAATCCCTCCCCGAAAAACTCACCAATCGCTTATATTTCTCAAATCATCGAAATTTCGAAAAAATTGACCCTGAAAACACAAAAATTTCAATCAAAACAGTGTTTCTCTAGAAAAAACCCACCTTTCTTCGATAATCCTCGAATTTTCCGTTGAAATCGATAATTCCAGCCTTGTAGAACATCTAAAAATTCAATTTTTCACTTAAATCCACTGATTTTTCCCGGAAACCTGAAAACCCAGCGAAAAAAAACGAAAAATGAAAATATTCTCGTGTTGCGCTAAACAGCGGGCAAGCGGAGTGTCGTTCAGGATCTCTGAATTTTTATTTTTTTCTAAACACTTTTTTTGTTTTTTTTTTGAAAAACGTTGAAACATGAGCAATGATTTAAAAAATAATTTAATTTATTACCAAAATTTCTCCGCAAAATAAGTTATATTTTCATAAAGTTGCCCAAAAATATCTTCGGACCCACAAAAGCGCCCAAAATCCCGCTGAAAACAATCAATAATCTCAATTTTCTCTGCCGAATCATAAAATTTTGTATTTGCCAACAGGAAATTCGTGCAATTTGCGAAATTTGGAGCTAAAAATGGTGCAAAAATCTGGCATCCCTCATTGATTTTCTCCAAGTTTTGTTGATATTTCCCACCGAAACATTCACGCATTGTCGCGCCGCAAATCGCGTTCAACTCGCAGATTTCAGCGATTTTGTCGCGCGAATAAACATCAATGTTCAGGGCCCAGCCAATGTTGTAGAATTTCTGGGAGAAGAAAAATTTTTGAATTTTAAATTTTTCGCGCCAAAACAACTCACCACTCCACAAACATAAACTCCAATTTGTTCGCATTCGCTAGAAATTTGAAACACATTCGAAAATGTGACGAAAATTGCGAGAACTACTACTAGCAACATTTTCAGACAAAATTTTGTTATACTTTGCTTTTTCGCCTGAAATTTGAGCTCTGTTTGATTAGAGAGTGAGAGAATTAGAGAGGCGAGAGATTTTTTTTGATTGATTGCTCATGTTTGGGAAAATTGAGATTGTGCTATATATATGACGTGGCAATTTTTTAGTTAATGAACTTCGATAAGTTAACGACCTCACAAAAATTGCAAAAATATTTGGGAAATTATTGAAACGTATTTTTTTTTTGAATTTTTTCATGAGAAAAAATACTTTTTTAGAATTTCTAGGCCACCAAAATTGCTTTTCTGGTTTTCTAGGCCACCTCGAAAAGCAATATTTCGAAATTTCTAGAATCCCCTGCGTCTCTTATCTTTTCATAAAAAACCATGAGCAATATTTTTGTGTTATTTATTGTAACAACACAAAACAAAAACCATGTTGAAATTTTTGATTTTCGCTAGTTTTTTCTATTCCGGATTCTCACAAGACTCCAATAGATCCAGCGCCTATATTTGTAAATATGTGAGTTTTTTTTTAAATTTTAAAAACCTAATTTAAATTTTTTATTCAAAAATCCAGAACACTGATAATTGTGTGTCACGTTGGAAGATCTCTCAAATCACAGGCATGACATTTTCCGATTCTTGTAATTTTTTGAAAGATTGCGGCGAATCCATGGATCTTTGCTTCGTATACGACCACAAAGAGGAGCCGGTTTACCCGGGTTGCGAGATTTATTGGCGATTCCAACAACCAGATATGATTCAGTGTGTGCTCAATGTGCAATTCATTGAGAAACACTATTCGCCTTGTCATATTGAACAAAAAGATTCGCGAAAATATTGGAGTATGGTGAAGTGTGCTGGACATTTGGTGGAAGCTTGGTGCAATTTGGAGCAAATTGCGATTTTTCAAAAGTATCGGGAGCAAATGATCGAGTTTCTCGAAAAATTTTTGAAGAATAATTGAGATAATAAAGTTTTTGTGGATTTCTAGGCCAACTATTATCCAATAATTTATGAGCAAAATGCAAACTTATTCCAAATTAATCATTTCTTCATCATCATCATCATCTTCGAAATTTGTTGGCGGCGCCGCGCAATACTTCAAAGGAATGATAAAAACAGTGATATCGTCACCAGAAGCGTGCCCACCACTCGCTAAAACCCAGCGATTCGCAGCTTCCGCCATTCCACGAGCGGCTTGCACTAATTCTTGAGCGGCTAGAGTGTAGCGTGCTGGATCTGTGGGGTCGCTAGAGCCTGAAAATTGTTTTTTACTAACGTAAGCCTAAGGGGGATTTAGTAAGCCTAAGCCTAAGGGGGATTCAGTAGGCCTAAGCCTAAGGTGGTTCAGGGGGATTCAGTAGGCCTGAGCCTAAGGGGGGATTCGGTAAGCCTAAGCCTAAGGAGGATTCACTAAGCCTAAGCCTAAGGTGGTTCAGGGGGGGGGTTCACTAAGCCTAAGTCTAATGGGGATTCAGTAAGCCTAACCCTAAGGTGGTTCAGGGGGATTCACTAAGCCTAAGCCTAAGGTGGTCCAGGGGGGGGGGTTCACTAAGCCTAAGTCTAAGGGGGTTGTAAGACTAAGCCTAAGGGGGATTGAGTAAGCCTAACCCTAAGGTACTTCAGGGGGATTTACTAAGCCTAAGCTTAAGGGGGTTGTAAGCCTAAGCCTAAGGGGGTTCAGAGGGATTCACTAAGCCTAAGCCTAAGGGGGATTCAGTAAGCCTAAGCCTAAGGGGGTTCAGAGGGATTCACTAAGCCTAAGCCTAAGGGGGATTCACTAAGCCTAAGCCTAAGGGGAATTCGGTAAGCCCAAGCCTAAGGTCGTTTAGGCCCTTAGTAAATCCCCTGAACCACCTTAGGCTTAGGCCTAGTAAATCCCCCTGAACCACCTTAGGCTTAGTCTTTAGGGGGGAATTACTAAGCCTGGAAAACATTGATTTTTTCCACGTGTCATAGCTTTATACTCACCTAGCACACTTCTAACAATCAGGCCCGCATCCTCATTCGAAATCACATCCCACAATCCATCCGACGCCACAATCACAACATCTTTATCAGTCAACACATCCAAATCCCTCAAATCGGTCACAGTTATCTCGGGAACCGCTGACAAAAACGGCTTAATACTCAATCGATCGTCAACAGTTAGCAAATGATGGTCTCCGAATCCTCTAGAGACTCCGATTGTGTTCAACAACCTTCGTTTCCTCGAATTCTCTGAGATCAACGGTGGCTTCAAGTCAGATTCCTTCACCGTTTTCGTCGCCCAACCATCCATAAACCAATCGCGATATAAAACTTGCGAATTCAAATCGCGGCGAGTTAAACGTCGCGAATATTCGAGACGCGAGAATGCGTTGCCCAACAGTTCTGGGCACTGATAAGCCAGCTCTTGCAGTCGTTTCCTCTCGGAGCCCGGGTTCTGATCGCGCGACAAGGCTCGCGAGCCGCGGGAAGATGTTGTGAGTACCGCGCGACAATCTCCCGCATTCGCAACGTAGAGTTTGCCGAGTAGCACTAGCACGGAAATCGCCGCGCAGCCTCCAGGAAGTCGCCAAACTTGTTTGTCATCTCCGATTTGCTCGTCCATATCAATAAAACTAGTCTCCAACGCGCCGCAAACGAGTTGCTCGCTGCGGACTCCTTCCGCTTCCGCTTCCGCCTTGAAACTATAGCTGGATTCGCTGCGACGCGCGGAAAATGTCTGCGTCTCTTGCTTGTCCAATGTTATCACGGCGTCTATGACTTTGGCGAGTCGCGACTTCAGATGTTCGTGATAGCATTTTGCGGCGACGACAGCTGCCGATGGTCCAGCATGACCATCGTAGAGGCTGAAAAGAGCGGCTTCGATGCGAGAGACGCAGAGTTGCGATGAATCCTGGAAGAATTTTTGATGGACTAGGTTTTGCAGGTGGATTTTTAGGCCAGGAGTTTTTTCCCAAACGATCATTTCAAGCAGGAAAACCTCAAATTTCATGAAAAATCACAAAATTTCATGATTTTCAGCCTTAAAATGTCAATTTCAGCTCAGATTTCATGAAAAATCACAAAAACGGTAATTTTGAGCCCAAAAAAGATGAAAAACATGAATTTTATGTTAGAGCAACAAATTTTTGAGGGTTTAAAGCTCAAAAATCCTGATTTTCAGCTCCAAACGATCATTTTGAGCAGGAAAACCTCTTTCCGGGCTGTCAAAGCAAAAAATTTGGTTTTCTAGGCCACCATTGGTTTTCTAGTCTCTTACACTATCAGTCCCGGGAGTCAATAAATCGTCATCCTCTCTAACTTCTCTGCTTCTCTCAGTCTTCTCTGCGTCTCTCGCCCCTTGCACTAGATTCAGCATTCTTGCGGAAGCCTGATCCTCGTTTAATTTGCTCTTCCCTGGAAAAATTTAAAGTTTTTTTTTCGGTTAACATGAGCAATATTGGAAAATTATACCGGCATTGATGACTTCTGCATAGCCAGCGAAAAGTGGCATTTTCTCGGGGTGTTTTGGTGTGATTATGGGGCGAATTGTGTGATCGCTGGAGAGATTTATGTCGTCTTCGGTGAAAAATAGGAATTCCGGACGGCTGTAGGGGTATTTTTGCTTGTCGATGATAGCTAAACATTAAATTTTCCACTAAAAATCACTTAGAAACTTACATGGAATAAAACCGCCAATAAATGCCGAATCGCTGACATCAACCACCATTCCAACACTGGATTTCGGAGCATTTTGAGACGTGGAAGCGCGATTCACGACACTTGAAACCACTCTTGCCGCAATTTCCATGATTCCCGACGAATATTCGAGTTTTTACGAGAGCATCCTAATGCCGGCTCAACTTTCTGCTATCGATCTTTCCATTTTCTGCTTCTTCTCCCCCCTCTTTTTGCGCACTAACATGAAATAAAATAGGCGAGTGTCGATTTACGAGGAGAAAAAAAAGAAAAATAAATAGACACACGCCACTGAGTGTTACCGTAGTCTCGATCGCGACAAGACGCCGGTGTGTTAATTTTCTTCTTTTCTTTTTTTTTGTTCGTCGGCCTACGGGTTTTTCGTGTTTTTGGAGGGTTTTTTGAGGGTTTTCGGTGATTTTTAGGATTTTGATAATTAGAATGAAGAATTTTGATGTTGGGAAACCTAGGTTTCATGAAAATTCCCACCAAAACTTGTGATTTTTGACGAAAATCGATAATTTTTCGAAAATGTGGAATTTTCCATTTTCTTCGCCTTCAGCCTGTATTTTCGAAGGATTATTTTGTTGAAATAAAATTCATTGTTCAATTTTATAACTGAATTTCAGAGTTCACGCGAAATTTTTTGAAAATTGCTGTTTTTTGTGGATTTTTTCTTGTACTTTGAAATTTTCCTGAATGGATAATTTCTACAGTTTTCACTTATTTTTGATTTTAAAATAGTATAAAAACTTTCTTGAATACTCCAAAAAAATTAATTGTAATTGTAGCATTTTTGAAAATATTCGAATGTTATTTTTGTTCTTCGAAATACACTTTTCTCTGAATCTTGTCTCGTTCCTAACAATTTAAAATTTGTGAAAGTTCTCGCCTTAACTTATATATTTTTTCTTCTCATTTTAGACCTAATTTCAAATTTTTTGCAGGTAAAATGGCTAACCGTGTTACATACAGACGCCGTCTTTCGTACAACACAAAGTCAAACAAGACTAGAATCGTCAAGACTCCAGGAGGACGATTGGTTATTCAATACATCAAGAAACGCGGACAAATCCCAGTCTGCAAGGATACCGGAGTCAAGCTCCACGGAGTGAGTTTTTACTACTTTATTTGAATGAAATACATGGAAAAAATTGAAGTTCATAGAAGATTCCTCTGAATTTTGTCAAAATTAATTTGAAGTTCGGTAAGATTACGGTTTTTTCTCACAAATTCAATCTTCAAATCTGATCTCGAAAATTTTCAATTTCCAAATTCAAAATTGTTTTTTTTTCAGATCACCCCAGCCCGTCCACGTGCTTTGACTCTCCTCAAGAAGAACCAAAGAACCGTCAGCCGCGCCTACGGAGGATGTTTGTCGCCAAACGCCGTCAAGGAACGCATCACCCGTGCCTTCCTCGTCGAAGAACAAAAGATCGTCAACAAGGTTATCAAGCGCCAAAAGGAATAAGCTGTAATTGTTTGTTGTTTTTACATAAATTGTTATAAAAATCCCGTAAGTTCATTCATTTGTTACCAAAGAGCTCCTGATTCCTGGAAAAATTTCTTTGGAAATTTTAAACTAAATAAACGTGACCTTATTCTTTGAAATCCCAACGTGGATATTTCTGAAAAAAAGGTCGCTAAAAATCAGTTTTATTTTTCCGATGCACGTTTTCTGCCGCGATGAGCGATTGTTTTTTATCTATCACTTTTTGTGAGTTTTTTCTTATTTATCAGGAAAAGTTCTAGAAATTGGAAACTTTTAGAAATGATGATTATTTATATCCCCATGTAGCTCCATTTTTATCAATCGGAAACTTTGCCGAAAATTGTGAAGTGGAGAAGCCAATCTTCCGATTTTCCCCAAAAATTCGACACAATATCGAGAAGATGAATAGTTGCCGACGAATAATGGATCGACTAGATGTTTTGATTGAAAATAACGAATTGCATCGTCACACTTGCCTAATTCTTCAAGCCGGCTCACAAGCAACAATGCGGCTCGCCTCAAAAACCGAACTTCGCTCCGATTGGAACACCATCGTCGAAATACCGTTTTGTTTATATATCACTGAAAATGGCGAATGCCCGCGAATTCTGGATTTCGAAGATTTGGAAAAACACGAAGAATGGCTGGCGATATTGGAACAAGTTTTGATGCCAATGGATAATGTTGATGGGAATTTGATACCAATTATTGCACCACAACAAACCAGTCGAATTGTTAAAGATGCGCTGATGAAAGCGAAGCAGAATAAGAAAGATAATAATATGAAAAACTCGATTTCTCACAACAAAGGAGCTGTTGGATCGACTTCCACAAATACCACTTTGAGCTCATAATTATGCATTTTCTTGTGAATAATTAATTAATTAATATATCTAGATTCCCCCTTTTTTCTGTGTTATATAGCGATAATTTTAATGAACTTACGATTTTATTTGTTTTTTTTTGAATCGTGGAATTTCGAATTCTAATGCCACGTGGCCCATATGACGTGGCATTTCAAAAAAATTCCAATTTTATGGGTTCAATAAAAATTTATGCAATCATTTCTAATTAATAAGCACCGCGTGGAAAAAAGTAGGCGTGGCCGTAACAGGCTCCGCCCACTTTTTGATATGTGAGTTAAGTAAATTAAAAAATTATGGCTATCGATTTTTGGGCAGTAAATCAAGCGGGGTTGACCATTCGGCAAAAATGTCGCGTTTTCGCGTGGCGGGACCCATAGTGGATTGAGAGGTGGTCCAGAGACGATGAAGTTGATGTTCCTTTAAATTGTCTTGACACGGGCAGAGTTTGGTGGATGACGTGGCACATTCGATGTGTTGGAAGTGACCGCATCTGAAAAAAATACGTCAGCTTTTTTCTGCTGGCGTGTTTGGTGTCAATCAATAGCCCTAAATTGGGAGATCACGAATATTGTACATAAAGTACGCCAAGCTCAAGATTGACGTATTTTCGGTGCATATTTTGGAGCGTGCGGAAAAAACTTGACGTGTTTGGTGTCAATCGACAGCCCGTAACTTGTAGATCACGAAAAATGCACAAAACATACGGTAAGCTCAAGATTGACGCATTTTTGGTGCATTTTCTTAGGCGTGTTTGGTGTCAATCGATAGCCCAAAACCTCACCTAAAAACATATGCCGATTTCGTCAGTGCACCTTGACACGTGGCACATTCTCCAGAATCCGTAATTTCGGCTCGCCTCCCAATAAACCCATAGAGTTCGCGGTTCAACGCGGAATTTTCCGCGTTCTGAACTCGCAGCACATTTTGTAGGAGGCGTTTCTCGTATTCGCAAGACGCCAGAATCTCGTTGACAATTTCCAGATTTTCGCTGGAAAAAAATCAAACAGAATTTTAAATCCGGAAAACTACACTTAAAGCTTCCGCATACCTTAAAGGCGCTGCGGAAAACGCGCGGCAATCCAGCAGACTTGTCACCAGGTGCTCCGCGTGCTCCGTTCCGCTATCAATTATCCGTCGCACCAGCATTTTCAGCTTTTCGTTGAGATTCTCCTCGCTGTTTTTTCCGGATGCCACGTGGCGGAAAATTTGAATCATCCACGCGTTGGAGTTTTGATGTGTGGAGTGACGACAGCAGAAGTTGAGACATTCGTCGAGCCAACGAACTGCAAGAGAAAAATGTATGCGAGGGTTGCAGAAATGGGCGGGGCTTGGGAAGAGAAGCTGATTGATATCGAACAAGGCATGGTTTTGTGGGCGTGGCTTATTTGGTATCAAAATTCTTCAAATTTCAAGCTCCTGCAATTTTGCGGCATGGTTTTGTGGGCGTGGCTTATTTGGTATCAAAATGCTCCAAATTTCAAGCTCCACCCATTTTTTTGCAATTTTGCGGCATGGTTTTGTGGGCGGGGCTTATTTAGTATCAAAATGCTGCAAATTTCAAGCTCCTCCAATTTTGCGGCATGGTTTTGTGGGCGGGGCTTATTTGGTATCAAAATGCTGCAAATTTCAAGCTCCTGCAATTTTGCGGCATGGTTTTGTGGGCGGGGCTTATTTGGTATAAAAATGCTTCAAATTTTAAGCTCCACCTTTTTTTTTTGCAATTTTGCGGCATTGTTTTGTGGGCGTGGCTTATTTGGTATCAAAATGCTCAAAATTTCAAGCTCCTGCAATTTTTCGGCATGGTTTTGTGGGCGGGGCTTATTTGGTATGAAAAATACTGCAGATTTTAACCTCCATCCATTTTTCTTGCAATTTTGCGGCACTGTTTTGAGGGCGTGGCTTATTTGGTATCAAAATACTCCAAATTTCAAGCTCCACCCATTTTTTTGCAATTTTGCGGCATGCTTTTGTGGACGTGGCTTATCCTCCCTCCAAAAAATGCTCACCCAAATCCTCTCCCGCTTCCAACATCGCAAAAAGTCGTTCAAATCCACGTTCCACATGTCCCCTCGATTCCAACAAGAAAACTTCGGCTTCCGTGAACTCCGGAGCTCGCTGAGCCACCAAATTCAGGCAAAAATCGCTGCGCGACCCGGTCGGCGACCAAAATCGCAACACTCGCAACAATTCGGCGTCGTCAATCGTTTTCTCCTTCAAACTTCCTTCGAAAAACACGCCAAACAGCTGCTCATCCAACTCATCGTCGCCCGAAATTTGCGCGAGTTTCGCCGCTTGTCGCTGCCGCAGAATCGCGCGAATCAGCGGGAATTCTTGCGACGTTCGCAACCAATCCAAAAATCCGTGTTGAATCATCATTTTTGCCGTGGATTCCGCGTCGAGTCGCTGCAAAATTCGCAGATTTTCGCGCAGGAATCGCGCGATTTCTGCCGATTCTTGCGACGTCAAATCAGTGAGTTGCAAAATTTGATCGATACTTGCGAAAATGACGTGTTTCGGTGGGTCGATATAGGATTTTAGGAGATCCAAAAATCGCCTTTCGCTCAGGTAGAGGAAGCTCGAAATTGTTGGGCTGCAAAAACGGGGTCATGGGGTTTTGCTGGCGCATTTTTTGCTACCAAATATGCGTCAGCAAGTTTTGTCTAAACGAGAGCTTCAATTTGATACCAAATATGCGTCAGTCAAATTTGCTGACACATTATCGGCACCTTGAATCTACCAAAAATGCGTCAGCAGTGTTTCACTGGCACATATCGTGTTCGGTATCATTTTGAAGCTCTCCTCCCGCAGATTACAAAAATCGCGCCAGCAACCCATCACTGACGCATTTTAGCTTGAACCTACCGTATCGGTGCCTGCGCGGCTCTCAAAACCAAAGTTCTATCGATCCCACCAACCGCTCTTAGCATTCCAATAATCGCCGGCTCGGCCAAACCCGATTGCCACGTGGCAATTCGAAGCAACGAGATGATGGCCTAAAAGTACTGTAGGGGTACTGTAGATTACTGTAGCTCTTACATCTTGGACCATTTCAACGGGCGGTGCAATTAATCCACGTTCGGTGAGTTGGACGACGAGAAGGAGGAAATGCACCAGGGGTTGTTCTTTTCGCAGTGAGACGCAGATTAGGCCGATCTGAAAATTCAGGAGGAAAATTGTGCGGGCCTTGCAAAAAGGGGCGTGGTCTAGGACAAAAAACGCAAGTGAGTAGTTTACTGACGTGTTTGGAGTCATTTCAAAGCCCAGGACACTAAAAACACGCCAGTGAACCATTTTCTGACGCAGTTTTCGCACCTTGACCTATTTTCTATAAGGAAGAAGGTTTGCTGACGCATTTCTCGTAGCTGAAACCTCTGGCTACAAAAACCACGTCAGCAAATCATTTCCTGACGTGTTTGGTGTCATCTTAAAGCCCAGGACACCAAAAAAACGTCAGTGAACATTTCCCTGACGTATTTTTTGCACCTTGACCTATTTTCTAGAAGGAAGAAGGTTTGCTGACGTGTTTGGTGTCATTTCAAAGCCCAGGACACTAAAATCACGTCAGCAAACCATATGTTGACGTGTTTGGAGTCATTTTGAAGTGCAGGACACCAAAAACACGTCAGTGAACCTTTACTGACGCATTTTTTGCACCCGCAATCCTACCGTATCCGTAATTCTCTGCAATCTTCCATCCGTCTGAAACAGTTTCGCATCAGCCACCGTCGAAATGACGTGTACAAATTGTTGCGGATCGAACTGCAACAACAATCTCAAATACGGATAATTCTCCTCGGTTTTGCCATCCTTTCCACGTAGCGAAGTGATGCATCGATAGATTTCGAGGGGTACTGTAGTCTCGCCGTTTTTTGGCAGCGAGCCAATCGGATAAGCACGACCTGCGAGGCAACAATTCAGGTACAGTAGGAGACGGTTGCCGCACTCGATTTGATTGTCCGAGAGAACTTCGTTGCCGGCGAACGCGGCGATTGCGTCGAGCATTTCCTGGAGAGAAATAGAGGTGAAAAGTGTGCGAGAGTTGCAGAAATGGGCGGGGCTTGTGGATGGGAGCATTTTGATACCAAATAAGGCATGGTTTTAGGGGCGGGGCTTAATTTTGCAAATGTTATTTAGTATCAAAAATTCTGCAAAATTGCGGCATATTTTTGAGGCGGGGCTTATTTTTGCTAAGGTTATTTAGAATCGAAAATTCTGCAATTTCTCCGCATAGTTTTAGGGGCGGGGCTTATTTTTCCTTTTATAAATGAGCTCCGCCCCTTTTGCAATCTGTCGCACAGTTTTTCTTATATCAAAACTCTGGAAGTTTCTAAATTTCGAAATTTGCGGTATAGTTTTAGGGGCGGGGCTTATTTTTACTTCTATTGATAAGCTCCTCCCCTTTTGCAATCTGCCGCATAGTTTTTTCTAGGCTTTTTGGTATCAAAATGGTCAGAACTTCTCCACCCAGGCATATTTAGTATCAAAATGCTCCAAATTCGAAGCTCCGCCCATTTTTCTGTGCCCCAAACCGAAATCTAACCTCTAAAGGACTAATATAATCCATCAAAGCATTATTCATCACATAAATAATGCCATCATACAACGAATTTGCGCGACAAATCGTCATAACCTGATGAATATCGATCGAATAAATCGGAAACCGGACAACAGCGAGTTGAAATTGACTGAAATGCGATAAATTCGCGAGATTTTCGAGATATTCGCGAAGAATCGCAGGTGGCATATCGAACATCAGACCGTCTAGCACAAAATCATCGAGAAATTCGAAGAATATCGATTTGGATATTTGATCGAGAGAGATCTTTGACCAAACTTCCTGGTATATCACATCGAAGAATTTTGCAGATATCGCGATTTTCAGAATGATTTTGATGTATTTTCTATAGTGTGCAGTGAGTTGGGCGACTTTTCCAGCATCGCAACCGTTTTGGCAGCAATCCAACAGTTTTCGGCAGGAGTCTCGCAGTAAATTGGGTGCTGGAAGATGATTTTCGGCTCAAAGAACTTGTCTCGACTTCCCCTAACTCACCCTCATTCCTAAAAACCTCCGCAGCTTTTCGTTTTCCCTTCACAACATCCAACAAATACAACGCCGCCGATATTTCATCGTCATTTTCTCTAAATCTCTCCAATTGTTCCCACTCTGTCACAGTCTCACAGATCTTCAAACCATCGTGCGATAGAATAATCAGTCGATCTGGGGTCGAAGTGGCTGGTTGGATTGATTGATAGCAGACACGATCGGCGATGTGGAACATCGCCTCGCTGACACGACTTCCCGTGGCGAGACCCTGCAAGAAAAATGGGCGTGGCTTGGGGAGACGATCATTTTGATACCAAACACAGTGTGTAAAAAAAATCATGCCGCAAAATTGCAAAAAATGGGCGGAGCTCAATTTTCAAAAAGATCCCGGAGATCATTTTGATATCAAAAATTACCCAGAAAAATACTTCGGAGAAAAACCATGCCGCAAAATTGCAAAAAATGGGCGGGACCTAATTTTTAGAAGATTTCTAGATTTGCAAGATCCTGGAGATCATTTTAATATCAAAAATTACCCAGAAAAAACATCTTCAAAAAACCATGCCGCAAAATTGCAAAAAGTGGGCGGAGCCTAATTTTCAAAAGATCCTGGAGCCGATTGTGATATCAAAATTGATCCAGAAAAATTATTCTAAGAAAAACCCTGCCGCAAAATTGCAAAAAATGGGTGGAGCCTAATTTTTAAGAAGATTTCTAGGTTTGCAAGATCCCGGAGATCATTTTGATATCAAAAATTACCCAGAAAAATTCTTCTGAGAAAAACCATGCCGCAAAATTGCAAAAAATGGGCGGAGCTTAATTTTCAAGAAAATTTCTAGATTTGCAAGATCCTGGAGATCATTTTAATATCAAAATTTACCCAGAAAAATTCTTCTGAGAAAAACCATGCCGCAAAATTGAAAAAAAATGGGCGGAGCTTAATTTCTGAAAAGTGTTCTAGATTTCCAGGATCCTGGAGATCATTTTAATACCAAACACGACCTATTTTTGATAATTTTGAAAAACCATGCCTCAAAATTGCAAGCCACGCCCACTTTGCAACTCTCGCATGGTTTTTCCTAGATATATCGTGTTTGGTGTCAAAATTCTGCAAATTTTCATCTTCATACCTTAAAATCCGACGTGGCAAACACAATTTCGATTTCATCAACATTGGCCCGTCCAACTTTTCCCTTCTCGATTTCAATTTGCCAACTCGCACCATTCTCATCGACACCAATTACCAAATCTCGACTAATCCAATGAGTGGCCACCAAATCGACGGGTAGTTCCAAGGTTTTGAGCAGAGTTGCGGATTTCTGTAGAGAAAAGGGGCGTGGCCTGAATTTTAGAGCTGCGAAAAATTAACCTACCGTACTCGACGAGGCCAGCCGCATCACATTCATCGTTTTGCCACGTGTCACGCAGATTTTCAGCGTTTTGGCAGCTTGCCAAAATGTGAAAAGGGGCGGGGCATGGAAGGAGTAGCGATAGGCGAAGGTGCCGAGGATTTTCCCGCCAAAACGGGTAGAGACGAGGAGGAGCTGCAAGAAAAGTGTGCGAGGGTTGCAAAAAGGGGCGGGGCTTGGGAAGAGGAGCATTTTGACACCAAACACGAGGGAAATATACCGTGTTTGGTGTCAAAATGAAGCTCCGCCCATTTTCTGCAAGTCTGGCAGACTTTTTCCTCTCACCTTGCTCACAGTGAGCAATGCCAACATGGCGTGCGGCAACATGCGCATATTCACCACCTCTCCATTGCATCCGGAAAACACGCAGCGCATCTGAAACAGAAAATTAGGCCACGCCCACAATTCCGTGCGCTCACCGAACTTTTGCGTTTGCCCGCGAAATTGGTCTTGACACGAAGCTCGTAGACCGAGCCGCCCGTGTCCAGGGTCAGAAATGACGTGGCGCCGGTGATGTAGAGGATTTGTAGGATTCCGAGGCCTGGTTGACAGGCGGGTTGGATGATTAGGTCGATGGCACCGGATTTTACGTTCAAAATCTGGAAAAATGCATATATCTGGGAAAAACCGTGCGAGACTTGCAAAGTGGGCGTGGCTTGCAATTTTGAGGCATGGTTTTCCGAAATTCTCAAAAATAGGCCGTGTTTGGTATTAAAATGACCTTTAGGATCCAGGAAATCTAGAAATCTTCTCAAAATTCAAGCTCCGCCCACTTTTTGCAATTTTGCGGCATGGTTTTCCAAAATTATCAGAAATAGGTCGTGTTTGGTATCAAAATGACTTTCAGGATCCAGGAAATTTAGAAAAATTTTCGGAAATTAAGCTCCGCCCACTTTCGGCATGGTTTTTCTCAGATAGGGTAGATGAAGATTTTTTTGGTATTAAAATGATCTGGCGAACAAAAAGGCTTCAGGAATCTCGAGGGAAAATAATCCCCGCCCACTTTTTGCAATTTTGCGGCATGGTTTCTCAAAATTATCAAAATTAAGCCGTTTTTGGTATTAAAATGATCTCCAGGATCCAGGAAATCTAGAAACCTTGATAAAAATTGAGCTCCGCCTACTTTTTGCAATTTTGCGGCATGGTTTTTCGAAATTATCAAAAATAGGCTGTGTTTGGTGTCAAAATGACCTCCAGGATACAGGAAATCTGGAAATAGTTTTTCTCATATATTTTTTTCTGGGGAAATTTTTATATCAAAATGATCTCCAGGATCTTTAGAAAATTAAGCTCCGCCCACTTTTTGCAATTTTGCGGCATGGTTTTCCAAAATTATCAAAAATAGGTCTTGTTTGGTATTAAAATGATCTCCAGGATCTAGGAAATCTAGGCGCCGCCCACTTTTTGCAATTTTGCGGCGCGGTTTTCAAAAAAAATCAACCTTAACAGTTCCTTTCGAAAATCCAACCGCCAAATATTTGGAATCCAACGAAAAAGCCAAACAAGCGGCCGCCTCTTCGCCTCCCTGATAATATCGATCCAATTTCCCGTCCAAATCGAAAATCTGTACATGCCCTTTCGAAGTGACAATCGCAATTTGCCCATTTTTCTCGGCAATTGCGACAGGCGGTCCGGATTTGACGCGAATCGCTGCGATTTGACGGGATATTGATTGATGTGAGTGGATGACGACGTCGGAGTCGAGATGATATGTGTAATCGCTATCCAAACTCGGTGATTCGCAATAGACGCCGTCGTCGTCTTCGGTTATTGTGTAGGTGTCTTCGGAGAGACCGTCTTCCAGATTTTCGATCTGGAAATTGGAATTTTGTAGATTTTAGTTGTTAGGAGGAGAAGGGCTTCAAAATGAGCCCAGACATGCTTTTGGAAAATTAGAGGACCTAATTTTTAGGCTGGTTAGATTATCAGAGTAGTTGCAGTAATCAAAGCCCAATTAAGCCTATCAAATTTATAGGCCTGATTTAGGATAAGGTTCATTTTGGACTTTCTTGAACTTAAGGCCTATTTTAGGCCGATAAAATTTATAGGCCTGATTTAGGCTTTTGAAATATTCCAGCCTAATTTATCCTAGCTAGAACTTGAGGTCTAAATTAGGCTTATCAAATTTCAATCTTAATTCAGGCTAACTACATTTCAAGGTATATTTTAGGCCTATCAAAAAAATAGGCCTGATTTAGGCTCATCAATTCTCCAAGCCTTATTAAATTTTCAGATTTGGCTCCGCCCACTTTCTGCAAGTCTGTCACACATTTTCCCTCAAAATTTCTCATATTCGGTATCAAAATAATCGGCGTCTCTTGAAAATTAAGCACCGCCCACTTTCTGCAACCCTGGCACACTTTACCTCCACCAAAACATCATCCAAATTCAAGCTGGTCGTCGATTCGGCTCGATTTCCAATATCCAACCAATCTTCCACATCTTCGGTCCCCGAACCCTTTGAGCTCATTTCTAGAGGAATTTCAGAATTTTGTCTGAAATTTGTGGATTTTCAGATATTTTTTCAGCAAATGGAAACTGTTAGAAAAAAGAGAAGGGAAGTTAGGCTAAATTCAAAAAAAATTTATTAACAGAAAAAACCTGGATTCTTAAAGTGTGCAAGAAAAACGACGATAATAAATTAGTTTGGAAAACCCCCCAGAAAAAAATTCCCGCAAAAAAAGTGGCGATTTTTCGCCGAAAATATATCACAAGTTACAATTTTTGGCATTAGTATAATAGAAGATTTGGGATAAAAAATTGGAAAAATAAATCTATTCACATAATAATATCGGGCTCCGGAACATTGCTGGCTATGGATTTGTGCGGTAGAACACGGGCTCCATTCAGGTAGAGCTCATCTTTGACGACCTGAAAATTTGAGGAGGGGGTTTTGAGCTGGAAAATGGAAATTTTCAGGGAAATTTTGAAAATTCATATTTTTTTAAGATTTTCGGGCCTAAAATTTGGAGATTTGTGACTGAAAAAAATTGAAATTTACTTGAAAACTTTCAAAATTTTCTGGATTCTTGAGCTGAAAAAAGCTGGAATTTTATATTCTCAGAGAACATTTCAGATTTTCTAGGTTTCTTAGCCTAAAAACAGAAAAAACACAAATATTTGAACAAAAAAAAGAAGGGAAATTTGAAAATTCCAAAAATTCAAATTTTGACACGTAGATTTTTAGGTCTAAAAATCGATTTTTTGAACTCAGAATTCGAGATTTTTTTCCCAAATTTTGTTCAGCAAAATTCAAATTTCGCCACGTGGATTCTAGAGCTAAAAAATCATGATTTTTGAAATCTAATTTATTTTTCCATTGTTAAATTTTCTCTTTTTCAAATTTTAAAAATCACAATGTTCCGCCAAAAAAAGCTCGACGTGATTATTTTCTAATTGTGACCCAGCGTGACCCAGTTGACCGGCATGACCCAGTTCAAACCAAGAAAAACCTCGAATCTGCCAGCAATCATCAAAATCAGTTTCTATTACAAAAATAGAATGAAAACAACGCTCTTCCTTATCATAGTATGTATTACTTGTATGATTCTTGCGGACTTATGCGCTCAAAGTTATATTGATGCATTTAATCAAGATGAATGTAGTGGTTCTTCAGAGTGCAAAACGAAGTTGGGAGCAGTCGGAAAATGTCAAACTCAAACATACATTGTATGTGATTTACTAATACAACGCTATTAATCATTGAAATCCAATTGACCATTTTCAATCAAAATGTAAAAAACAATTTTCAGGCTAGCCGTTGCTGTCCGAACATATCACATCCCGATGACTTTCAATCAAACACGAAATGCAATGAATCACAACGATTTCAAGGTAAATTGTTATATTGTAAAGATGGATATACCTATCATGTGGGTACTACACACTTCAAAGCCAACACTAAAAGCTCCATTTTGTGCACACACACTTCGAATTGTACGAAAGGAAGTTATTGTGTTGATTATTCGACAGTTGGTGCACGATGTTATGTTATCGATCCACCGGAGAAAGATGATAATACAATGCTAATTATAATAATCGTTGTAGTTGTTGTATTCTTGATACTTGTTGTTGGAATTACGGTTGGATTCATTGTTTGGCGAAAATCGAAGAAAGGAAAAGGTCAGAATAAAAGTTCGACGGAAACTGGTGATAGTGGAAAGAAGAGAAAGAAAGGATCGAAAGCCTAGATTTTGATAGATTATAAAGAACTTGTTGCGTGAATATTTCGTTGTTTATGGGGTTATTCAAGGAAAAAAATATGTTTTCTCAGCGTTAAGAAAACGGGAGAAAAGCGAAGAAAACCTATTCAGGTCGGTTAAGAAAACATTAAAATAAAACACACAAATTGCGACGAAAAACATCGTGTTCCTTTAAGATACTGTAGAAAATCGCAACGTGACCAATTTACAATAATGCGAAAGGTTAAAGGAACATTTTCTTAACCGATCTGAATAGGTTTTTTTCGCTTTTCTCCCGTTTTCTTAACGCTGAGACTAGGGGCTGTTAGCCCCCAGGCGTAACAGTCTTCTCATTTATTTCAGTTTCGCTTTTTTCTGTGATTATTGTCCACAGAACATTAACTTACAATAAAATTTATAGAAAATTTCAAATTTTTTGATCAAAAAATGATTCGTGGCAAAATCAGGAAGGCTTCCTAATTTTGCCATGGATGACGTCATCCATCAATTTTTAAAAAAAAAAACTTATTTAATTATTTTTTTGAATTAAATGTACTCGTAAGAGGTAACTCACACGAATTACAATTGAATTCATAAAAAATTTCGAGTTTTTTTATCAAAAAATGACTCGTGGCAAAATCAGGAAGGCTTCCTAATTTTGCCATGGATGACGTCATCCATCAATTTTTGAAAAAAAAACTTATTTAATTATTTTTTTGAATTAAATGTACTCGTAAGAGGTAACTCACACGAATTACAATCAAATTTATAGAAAATTTCGAATTTTTTGATCAAAAAATGATTCGTGGCAAAATCAGGAGGGCTTCCTAATTTTGCCATGGATGACGTCATCCATCAATTTTTCGAAAAAAAACTTATTTAATTATTTTTTCGTATTGAAGACTCGAATAATATTCTTGTCCCGTTAGGAATTTGGAATTCTTCAACAATGCCAACAGCATCTGAAGAATCAGGCTTTTTCGCTCATGGGTCACGCAGGATATTTTCTCTTTTTATTGAGCTCTTTTTATTCCATCTTCTTTTTTCTTTTTTTGCCGCGTTGGAATGTCGAATTTTCGCAATTTTGGGGAGAAAGGAACAAAATTTCCGAAAATCTGCATTACTCGATATAGGGAAAAATTTTTTCCGAGTGGGGGTCGAACCCACAAAAGAAGGAGGGTTGCCTGATTGGAAGGCATCACTCTCCCCGCCTACACCACACGTGTAGGTAAGAAATGAAGCATTTTTGAGAAATATATATTTATCAGAATTTCACGTGACCGGGAGAAATGAACATTTCTAAATAAATTTCACCTTACGGGATTTTAATGAGAGGGCGAAAACATAATTTTTTCCTTGAATAGCCCCATTAAAAAATCAAAATCACGTGACCCAGTTAAAAACCAAAAAAAAAACTCGAGTCTGCCAACAATGATCAAAATCAGTTTTTATTAAAAACTAAGATGAAAACAACGCTCTTCCTTATCATAGTATGTATTACTTCTATGATTCTTGCGGACTTATGCCCTGGTACTTCTATTGATTCTTCTCCACAAGATGTATGCACTGGTTCTTCAGAGTGCAAAACGAGGTTGGGAGCAGTCGGAAAATGTGTAACTCAACCATCCAGTGTATGTGATTTACTAATACAACGCTATTAATCATTGAAATTCAATTGACCATTTTCAATCAAAATTGAAAAAAAAAACTATTTTCAGAGCAATCGTTGTTGTCCGAATATAACACATCCCGATGATTTCCAATCAAACACGAAATGCAATATTTCGAAACGACTTCATGGTGAATTATTATATTGCAAAAATGGATATATCTACCATGTGGGTGTAACACACTTCAACGCCAACACTAAAAGCTCCATTTTGTGCACACACACTTCGAATTGTACGAAAGGAAGTTATTGTGTTGATTATTCGTCAGTTGGTGACCGATGTTATGTTATTGATCCACCGGAGAAAGAGGATAACACAATGCTAATTATAATAATCGTTGCAGTTGTTGTATTTTTGATAGTTGTTGTTGGAATCGCGGTTGGATTCTTTGTTTGGCGAAAATCGAAGAAAGGAAAAGGTCAGAATAAAAGTTCGGCGGAAAATGGTCAAAGTGGAAAGAAGGGAAAGGCGAAGAAGGGATCGAAAGCTTAGATTTTGATAGAAATGATTTTATAGTGGATTATACATAATAAAGTAGTCTAGTTTTCTGATTTTCGCCCCAAAAAAACCCACTCACCACATCATCACCAATCACACAATTGTTCTCGATTCGAACCCAACTTCCAATCGAGCATTTTCGCCCAATAATACTTCCGGAAACCCACGAGAAATTGGCGATGGTTGAGTCGGACAGAATTGTCGATTTTCGAATGCACGCGCCTTTTTCGATGCGGACACGTGGACCGATGACGACATTTGGACCGATGACACAATTCTCACCGACCGACGCGGTTGGATCGACTGAAAAAAAAGTGTGCGGTGGTTTTGCAGAAAGGGGCGGAGCTTAAGAGAAGAAAATTGGAGGGAAGGGGGTTATTTTGAATCCAAACATGGTGCAAAAAGGGGCGGAGCTTAAGCAACTCTGGCACAGTCATATTTGGTATCAAAATCTCGCAAATTTCCAAACCCTACCTAGAACATTGCCCTGAATCTTGGCACTCTCATGAATCGCGGCTCCGGTGCTCAACTCCTCTGGAGCCGTCGCCCTCTTATGCGCCAAAAACAACGACATTCCCTTGAGGAAATCCTTCGGCTGCCCAACATCCATCCAAAATCCGGGCAAAACGAACGCGTAGAGATTGTGTGAGGTGGCCATGGCTGGGAAAATCTGCAAAATTTCAAAGATTTTGAGTGATTTTTGACTGAAAATCACAAAATTTCCATCAAAAATCCACAATTTTCAGCCAAAATTTCAGCTCGAACCTCTTTTTCGATACTCGTCGGCCGAAGTGGAATGCGATCCAGAATTGCCGAGTCGAAGATGTAGAGACCGGCGTTGATTTTGTTGCCGACGTATTCCTGGAAAAGTCGATGATGAACAATTTGCGGCATGGTTTTGGGGGCGGGGTTTAGAGCATTTTGATACCAAATTTGCAACTTGCGGCATGGTTTTTCGCTCAATTTCAATGAGAAAACCATGCCGCAAATTGCAAAAAATGGGCGGATCTTGATTTTGAGTCGTTTTTAGTATCAAAATCGAGAGAATTTCAAGTCCCGCCCATTCTGCAACCCTGACACAGTTTTCTATATCATTTTTGATGTCAAAATCACCAGAACACCATGCCGCAAGTTGCCGAAATAGGCGGAGCTTGATTTTGAGTCGTGTTTAGTATCAAAATGACGGGGATATCAAGTCCCGCCCATTCTGCAACCCTGGCACACTTTTTTCTATAGTGTTTGGTATCAAAACACCGTGAAAACCATGCCGCAGGTTGCAAAAATGGGTGGAGCTTGATTTTGAGAAGCTTTCCAACCGTGTTTAGTATCAAAATGACGGGGATTTCAAGCCCCGCCCATTCTGCAACCCTGGCACAGTTTTCTATATCATTTTTGATATCAAAACACCGTGAAAACCATGCCGCAAGTTGCAAAAATGGGCGGAGCTTGATTTTGAAGCTTTCCAATCGTGTTTAGTATCAAAATGACGGGAATCTCAAGCTCCGCCCATTCTGCAAGCCTGGCACAGATTTTCTATAGTGTTTGGTGTCAAAATGACCGCTTAAATCGCGGAAAAAATACGAACCTGTGGTTTCTCAACAAATTCATCGATTTCACCACTTTTCTCATCAAAAACCACAACACCATATTTGGAGGGTTCCTCGACTTTCGTCACCGCAATCGTTCCCTCTTTCCCATGCGATTTGTGAAATTCGACCATTTGCCGAAACGGAAAATCACAAATCACATCACTATTCAACACAAAAAACGGGTCGGCACCCTCTAAATGTTTTCGAGCCAACGCCAATGGTCCCGCAGTGCCCAATGGTTCTTCCTCAAGTGAAAAAATTAGCCGCACACCGAGTCGTTCCGCGTGCACAGCCATCTCTTGCTCCAATTGCTCGGCGCGATAACTGACGGCCAGAACTACGGTATCGACGCCGACTTGCGCTAACGCCTCCATTTGATGAAGCATCATTGGTTTGTTGGCGAATTCGACGAGCGGTTTCGGTTGAGTTAGCGTAAGTGGACGCAAACGGGTGCCGTAACCGCCGACGAGAATTAGAGCCTTCATTTTGGGTGGTTTTTGCGCGGGGGTGAGGCTGAAATTTGGAAAATTTTGAGGAGGAAATGGAGGAGGACGAAGAAAATCACGTATTTTATGCAATGTCACGTGGAAAACATGAGAAAGACAAAAATTTGCAAACTTTCTGCGTGTTCTACGTCAAAAACAGTGGAAACTACAGAAAAAAAAACAACAGAAAATTCGCATTTTTCGTCATTCGAAAGTCGAAAAATGTGAGTTTCTGCATTTTTCGTCATTTCATTTCATTGTTGAAAATAAGCATTTTCTGCATTTTTGCGGGGTTTTTCATGTATTCCACGTGGACGAGACGCAAAAATGAAGAAAAAATAACGAATTTTTCGTCAGTTCAGATGAAAAATAACGGATTTTCTGCTTTTTTGAGTTGGTTTTCATGTATGCCACGTGGAATATACGCAAAAGTGCAGAAAATTCGAATTTTTCGTCAGTTTAGATGAAAAATAACGGATTTTCTGCATTTTTGCGTGGTGTTTCATGTATGCATAGACGCAAAATTGCAGAAAATTCACATTTTTTGTCATTTTTGCGTGTCGTACGACACAAACTACGAAAAAATGCAGAAAATTCGCATTTTTCGTTAGTTCAGATGGAAAATAACGAATTTTCTGAATTTTTTCGTTTTTCGCCACGTGGAAAACTACAAAAAGTGGATTTTTTGGTAATTTTACACCTCTAAACTAAACTAAACTATTTCTCCATTTTTTAGCCAAAATTTGCACCTGCTTTTCTTTTTTTTTCATTTAAAAAAACATTATTTCTGAGTACAAAGTGAGAACATGGAATTAATCAAAAGTTTCCCAAAAAAAGCGAAAATTTGCATCATTTTGTATCAAATTCAACTAAGATTTCATTCACCTTCATCAAAACACTTAGAATATTTCTCTCCTTCCCTCTATCTTATATTTTCAATCTAACCTTCATGCACTCTAAAATTCCCACCCGCTGGCGAAACTCAATTGTAATTCCCATTCCCAAAACTAACTCACCTAACTCCGTATCCGATTTCCGCCCCATTTCGCTCAGTTCACAAATAGCCAGATTATGCGAAAAAATAATCAAGAAGAATCTTACTGAACTGATGGATAAATATCAAATTATACCTCATGAACAACATGGATTTCGTTCCAAAAGATCAACAACCACCGCAATGCATGTGGCCACTGAAGATTGGTGGGATTTACTGGAAGAGAAAAAACAAATAGATGTGGTATTTTTCGACTATGAAAAAGCATTCGATTCCGTAAATCACGAAAAACTAATCCACAAACTACAACAAATCGGAGTCCACAGAAAAGTGGTCGCGTGGATTATAGACTTTATAACTAACCGAAAATTTTGTGTTCGCGTAACGGACTTTATCTCTAATTTTCTTGAATGTCCGAGTGGGGTTCCACAAGGATGTGTCTTGTCGCCGCTATTATTCTCGATTTTTACCTCTGATCTCCCCCATTTTATTTCATCTAAACTTCCATCGATTTCTTGTGTAATGTTCGCCGATGATTTGAAATTATACGCGCAAGCCGACTCGAGGCTGGCGCAAACCTTTTCAGATACCCAGGCAGCCATCGATTTAGTTGTGGAATGGAGTGCAGATTCAGACTTGCGTCTATCAAAAACAAAAACCCAAGTGATTTCGATTGGAAAAAAATTGACACACCATAACTACACAATCGATGGAACACAAATGAAGAGAGTCGAAGAAGTTCGCGACTTGGGATTCACAGTCACGCCAAGTCTCGATTTCAAATCCCACTGGGCCAATCAAATTTTGAAATCAAAAAGACTGATTTATTTAGTATTCAAAAGTTTTTATTCAAGAGACCCAAAATTTCTCACATCATTATTCAAAACATATATTCGACCATTACTGGAATATGGAACAACAATAACATCTCCAGCAGAAAAATGTGGTATAGAAAGTATCGAAAAGGTTCAAAATTTATTCTCAAGAAAAGTATTTATGCGTAAATTTGGATTCGATTGTTATCAGAATATGGGTAGGGTAAGTCCCGAGACGAGAAATATCAACCTCGAACTCCAATCCCTAAAAAACCGCCGCGAAATTTTTGACTTTAAAATGTTCCAAAAAATGGCAGCCGGAAAAGTTGATCTAAATTTTTACAGATTCTTCCAAGTTATTCAGAAATCCAAAAGACACAAACCAAGGCTGTCCACCTCGAGAAACCAAAAATCAAAGATCCGATCCAACGCATTTTCCGGGAGAATCACTAAGCAAATCAATAAGCTCAACCTCGATTTATCAAAACTTCTACAATGATCCATGATCAAACACTAATACCGCTCACCATCTACCCTTTCCTTCTTCTTCAAAACACTGCCGATGATTAATTTTCTCCCTCCACACCCCAAATTGAATGAAACACCCGGTTGTATGATGTCATTATTGCAAAAACACCGATTATGGTATGCTGATCCATCTATTGCCAAGGGTGTGTTCACTACTCGGCTCCTCCACGAAGAGGAGATGCCATAAACCAACAGACAAATCTCGGCCTTCTTCGTGGAGGCGTCGAGACCATTGGGCATTCCTAAATGGTAATGATCATGCGTGCTCTAATCGCGTGAAAATCTCCCTTTTTAAAAATTCAAACCCAACTCATTTTTAATTTTTATCTTCCATGTTTTGTATATTCCTTTGTTTTTGCTGCGAACACCTTCAGTGTCGTCATAAATTATTATTATTAAAAAAAAAAAAATCATACAAAAATTGGTGACAAAAAGTAAAATAAACATATAAAATGTAGAAAATATTAATATAATACGTTTGTTCACATACACACTCTCTCAAACAATTAGCAAACCCCCCAAAAAAATAGCGAGAGACTGGGAGACAGTGAAGAGACGCAGAGAGCAAAATTTTTGGCAAAAAAAGGACGCGTGGCATTGGGGGTAAATGATAAAAATTTGAATTTTTCATCATCAAAATGACAAAAAAACTCATTTGTGAAAATGAGAGAAATTTTTGACACGTCGCTTTGGGGTTTGAGCGCATTTTCTCTAGTTTGGTCGAGAGATTACGAAATATTCGTGTAGTTCTCTTGGAGAACATCATTTTTCTTGAAATTTCAAATGGGAAACGCGCGAATACCCTTTTTCAGTATGAAAAACACAAAATAAACATTTTTTTTCGAAAAATAAAAATATTCAAACACCGTAGTTTTTCAAAGGCGCACAACGATTTTCCGCAGGGTCTCGAAACATTCAACGTTGCGCTTCGTGGAATTTTCAAATTTTCATTTTTATTTCTTCCGAAATTTCAAGAATTCGAATTTCAGGTTTTCAACCTGAATGGAAGATTACCCACGGATCTTGGAGTATGAAATCGATGGAGAAGAAAAGGAACTCATCATCTATCAGGTAGGAAACTTTGCAGGAACTTTGAAAAACCCAAAAAACTTTCCAGGAAGTGATAAGCGATGTGGGTGGAGTTGTATGGGATTCGGCTCTAATGGCAACATATTATTTCATAAAAAATCATCGAAAATGGCAGGAAAAGACGGTTTTGGAATTGGGAAGTGGTACAGGGATTTGTGGAATAGCGTTAGCAGCCCTGGGAGCGCAAAAAGTTATTGCATCTGACCTGGAAAATCAAATAAACCTGCTGAATCGGAATATAAAAGCGAATAATTTATCAAATATCGAATCCAGAGCCCTAGACTGGACAAAAGATGCTCCACCACGCAATCTGGATCTTCTCCTAGCCGTGGATTGTATATATTACCTCTCCTCAATATTCCCACTTATCGATTTTCTCAAAAACTCGGATGCCAAGGAAATTTTAATCGTCAGCGAGAAGCGTGACATTGGCGAAGCTTCCAGAGCTCAAAATTTGTTTTTCGAGAAAATCGAGGAGTTTTTTAATGTGATAAATGTGCCAAAATGTGAATTTGATAAGCATTTCTATGCGGATGATATTATTTTTGTGAATTTGATTAAAAAATGATTTTTTTTTCTTTTTTTTTTGCAAAAAGTTGTGATAATTTCAACTAAAATTGGTAAAATACCCATCAAATATACATTTTTTTCATTAAAACTTCAAAAAATTGCAGATTTTCAGATGGTTCACCCTTTGGATCCTTCAACCGGCTCAAATTACACTGAAATCCACGTGGAATCCTACGATTTGACGTGGAAAATCGATTTTGAGCGCGAGAAAATCGAGGGGAGTGTGGATGTTGAGTTGAAGGCGGTGAAGTCGACGAATCAAGTGGTGAGAATGCCACGTGGCAAGCCGCGACACAGCAAATTTTTTACTACGTATTTTCTCATTGCACAATTTCACGTGTCGCTACAGTATTTTCGCAAAAAATATTTTCTTTTTTGTGTTTTTTTTCACAAAAAATGTGTTTTTGAAGCCGAAAGCGAAGGAAACCCGCTCAAACTACATTTTCAGAAGTAGTTGATACTTTTTCAAGTAGTAATAGTTTTTTGAATCAAAAGTTCTTTGTTTTTCCTGGGAAAATCAAGAAAAATATGGAAAAACGTCATTTTGAGCGGAATTAGAAGATTTATAAGCGATTTTCTGTCTTCTGGACCTTCCTCAACTCTTCTTTGCTCAATTCTGATAGTGAGAAATCAATTTTTCCCTGAAATTCGGGTTCAAATCCTCTAAAAACGTGTAAAAACAGGATTTTATTAGGCTCCGCCTATATGTTTGCGCCGCGTTCAAAACAAATTCTGCAATGATTTTTTTATTTGAGGTCACGTAGAAAATAATTTGCTGTGCGCGAAAATCGAAAAAATTCAAATTTTTTGCAGCTTCTCGACACGCGAGCCTTGGAGATTCGTGAAGTCTCATCAAATCCGGCGGAAAATCTGAAATTCGAGGTTTTGGAGAATCCGGGACTTGGTCAGATTTTGAAAATTGACACGGGGAAACAATTGGCCGAGGGAGAGAAGATGTGGGTTTTTTGGCGCTAAAAATCCACGTGGCAAGTTGGAAAAGCTAAAAATATACCTTTAAAGAAACATACCGTATTCTTTTTTAAAGAATTATTGATCAGAATAATACGGTATGTTCCTTTAAAGGTACATTTTGTGTCCTGCCACGATTTTAGTTGATTTTTCCCGCTAAAAATGATGATAAAATCCACGTGGCAAGGTGGAAAAGCTGAAAAATTCAAAAATTCTACTCTGGCATGGCAAATTTTCAAATTTAATCGTGGCGGGACCCGAAATATGTCTTCAAAGGAACATACCGTATTAATTTCAATGAAGTATTGATAAGAATCTTATGGTATGTTTCTTTATAGGTGCATTTTGGGTCCTGTCACGATTATACAGTTGATTTTTGCCGCCAAAATTTAAAAAAAAATCGAATTTTAGCGAAAATTCGTGGCGGGACCCGAAATATGTCTTTAAAGGAACATACCGTATTAATTTCAATAACGTATTGATAAAAATCTTACGGTATGTTCCTTTAAAAGGGTCCTGCCACGATTATAGTCTATTTTTCCCGCCAAAATTCAAAAATATTTAATTTTTTCCCGCAGAAAATTGCGCATCGCCTACTCAACCGGCAAAAATGCGACAGCTCTGCAATTTTTGACCGCCGATCAAACTACAGACGGAAAGGTAGGTTTCCGGAAGCTTCCGCTTCCGCTTCCGCAACCCAATTTTTTTTTGCAGGCTCCATATCTGTTCTCACAATGTCAGGCGATCAATGCACGCTCTATTGTACCCTGTATGGATACACCGTCTGTCAAGAGCACCTATAGGAGTACGGTAGGTTATTCTTCGCTTCAGGACCCGATTAAAAAACAAAGAAATGCACCTTTAATTTCAGGTACACGTACCACTTGGCCTAACCTGTCTGATGTCGGCGATTGGAAAATCGCACGAGAAATCCGCGTGCGGGAAGTTTGAGGTGTTCAAATTCGAGCAACCCGTTCAAATTCCCGCCTATTTGCTGGCGATTGTTGTTGGGAGATTGGAGTCGAGGAAGATTAGCGAGAGGTGAGAGAAAAAAACATTGCTCATGCTAGACTGAAACTTGAAAGAGAAAATTTATAATATATTTTGACGCCAAAAAATCCACGTGGCAAACATTTTGAATTTATGCTTTTTGGCGCCAAAAAATCCACATAGCCAAAAATTTTCAGAATTTCTCGATAAATCTGGAAATTTTTCGAGTTTATAATTTTTGACGCCAAAAAACCCACATAGCCAAAAATTTTCGAAATTTCTCGATAAATCTGGAAATTTTTGAATTTATAACTTTTAACTCCAAAAAATCCACGTGGCAAACATTTTTCGAAATTTTTTGCGAGCGACAAAGTCGCGAGTGTAAACCGCAAGCTTGCGCAAAGCGCCGGAATCTTCCGCGCAGCGGCGAGTTCCAGCTTAACCTTAGCAATCTGAAAACATTGCTCATGTTAGACCAAAATCTTTAAATCCAGATGCGCTGTATGGGCTGAACCATCGCAAGCCTCTGCCGCTGAATACGAGTTCGCCGAAACCGAATCAATCTTAAAAGTGGCTGAAAATGTCGCTGGCCCCTATGTCTGGGGTCGTTATGATCTAGTAGTTCTTCCCGCTTCCTTCCCATTCGGTGGAATGGAGAACCCTTGCCTCACATTCATTACTCCAACTCTTTTGGCTGGCGATCGAAGTCTGGTGAATGTGATTGCTCATGAGATTGCTCATAGTTGGACTGGCAATCTCGTTACTAATTTCTCGTGGGAACATTTTTGGTTGAACGAGGGATTTACGGTGTTTTTGGAACGGAAGATTCATGGGAGAATGCATGGGGAAAAGGAGAGACAATTTGAGTGCCAGCAGGGATTTGAGGTAGATTGACGCTAGAAAATCCACGTAGCAAAATTTTTGCTGAATTTTGTCAAAAAGTATCAGATTTTTAATGAATTTTGATACAAAATTTGATTTTGGTGCTAAAAATCACATTTTCTATCAAATGTCATGAAAAAATCCGATATTTTCCAAAATTTCGAAAACTCGAAAAAATACGTTTCAAAAATTTTTAAACTAAAAAAATTTGAAAACAAAAATGTTTTTGGTTTTAAAATTTTGTAAAACGTACAATTTCCCGAAGTTTCAGGTTAACATGAGCAATCTGAACATTGCTCATGTTAGCTTTTTATTCAAAATTTGAAGCTGAAAATCTCCAAAAATGCTCAATTTTAAGCCAAAAACGTGAAAAATTTGAACATTGCTCATGTTAGCATGAGAAATTGCATTTTCGGCCCCCAGAAAAATCAACCTGTTTTCCAGAACACTCTAATTCCAACAGTCAAAACCTGGGGACCAGATCACGAGTTCACAAAACTCATTCAAAAATTGGGAAACATCGATCCGGATGAGGCATTTTCATCGATTCCATACGAAAAAGGATCGGCACTCCTTTTGACAATTGAACAAGCGATTGGAGATAATTCGAGATTTGAAGAGTTTTTGAGAAGTTATATTCAAAAGTGAGAGTGATTTTTGGGGTGAAAATCATGGAAAATGCTCAGTTTTGAGCCTAGGAAGCCTAATTTCAGTTGTTTAGAGCCTAAAAATATTTCCAGTTCCAAATTTAATTTTTGCCTAAAATTCAAATTTTGAAAAGAAATGGATTTTTAAGCTGAAACTTAATGAAAAATGCTCAATTTAGAGCTGAAAAATGTGAAAATTGAGGGATTTTGAGCTTGAGAGCCTGAAACGAGCCTATATTAAATTTTGAAGGGCCTAAATTTTTTTTGAAAAGCCTTTTCTACAAAATTTGAAGAGAAGTGGATTTTTAAGCTAAAAATCTCAAAAATTGCTCAATTTTTAGCCGAAAATTTTGAAAATTGAGGGATTTTCAGCCTAGGGGCCTAAAACAGGTCTGAATTGATTTTTTAAAAGCCCTAAATTATTTTTGAGAACCCTGAAAGCCTTAATTTCGAAAAAAGCTGAATTTCAGACTTATCTAGGCCTAAATTCTTGATTTTAAACCCGAAAACTTTGAAATTGAGGGATTTTGAGCTTGGTTAACATGAGCAATGCTCATTTTCAATTAAATTCTAGGATTTTCAGCTTTTGGGCCGAAAAATGTGAAAATTGAGGGATTTTGAGCTTGACTAACATGAGAAATGTTCAATTTCAGGCTTCTCAAGCCCATCTAAGACTAAATGCTTGATTTTAGGCCCGAAAACGTTGAAATTGAGGGTTTTCGAGCCTGGTTAGCAGGAGCAATGCTAATTTTCCATTTTCCAGATTCGCCTACAAAACTGTGTCAACTGATGAATTCCAAGAATATCTCTACTCATCATTCTCTGACAAACGCATCATTTTGGACAATATCGATTGGAATTTGTGGCTAAATTCACCCGGTCTACCACCAAAACCCAAATTCGACACAACTTTGACTGATGAATGCAAAAAATTGGCTGGAAATTGGACGCGATCCACTGAAATTCCCGCTGGAACTGAGACAATTTATGAGAAAATGTCGAGTGCGCAAAAGTTGGCGGTGATTGATGAGATTCGAGCGAATCGAGGGGTTTTTGGAGTGGAGAAGGTGGGGGGCATTTTGGGGGGCCTGCTAGGCTTCTGGGTCAAATTTTGGGATTTTTCTAGGCTTTCAGGCCTCAAAATTGTTAAAAATTTCGAAAAATGGCCTAAAACCCTAGAATAATAGTTAGAATCTTGAAATTAGCCTAAAAAGCAGCCTAGAAGCTGATTTCAGGCTTTTAGGCCAAATTTTCGGATTTTTCTAGGCTTTTTAGGCCTAAAAATTGTTCACAAAGGCTCTTAGGCTATTTTTTGCTTCTAACGACCTAAAATTTTAGAAAAATGGTTTAGAAAGCTTAAAAATAGCCTAAAACTGAGAAAATTTGACCTAGAGACTGTTTCCAGGCTTCTAGGCCAAATTTTGGGATTTTCCTAGGCTTCAAAATTGTTAAAATTGGCTTTTAGGCCATTTTTCAGGCTTCTACCCATCTAAAATTATGAAAAATGGCAAAAAATCAGAGAAAAATGGTTACGGAAGCCTGAAAATAGCCTGGAGGCTGTTTTCAGGTTTCTTGGGCCAAATTTAGGCTTCTCGATCAAATTTTGGTTTTTCTAGGCTTTAGGATATTTTTTCGAAATTTTGAGGCTTTCTCGGGCTTTCAGGCCATTTTCAGGCCACCAGGCTGATTTTGGAACTTTAGGGCTGTTTTTCAGGTTTTCTAGGCTATTTTCAGTCTAAAATCCACGTGGCAAATAAGAAACGTGCGAAATTTTTGGCTGAAAATTCTTCAAAACCTAAAAAAATCCAGGATTTTTTAGGTTTCAAAAAGTTCTTAAAAATTTTCCAATTTTGTTTGAAAATTTGATTTAAGCCACTGATTATTTATTTGGTAAAATTGATGACAGAAAAATTTGGCTCTGAAATTTTCTAGACTAGAAGTCTGAAAAGCCTCAAAACTCCTCAATTTTTGCAGATGCCAGCTCTAACCGAAGCCTACAAGTTAGACAAAGTCAAACATTCGGAAATCAAATTCAGTTGGCTGCTTTTGGGTCTCGACACGAAATTCGAGCCAATCATTGAGCCCAGCTTGGCGTTTGCTGCTGCGGTTGGAAGAATGAAGTACTGTAAGCCGATTTATCGGTGAGTTAGGGGAATTTCTTTTTTTGGCTCCAAAAATTTGAAATTCAAATTTTTCAGAGCTCTCTTCAATTGGCAAGCAACTCGCAGCCGTGCAATTGCTCAATTCCAGCAAAATATCCCGAAAATGAATCCGATTACTGTGAAAGCGATTCAAGGACTATTGAAAGCATAATTTTAGCCAAATTTAGCTGAAAATATCGATTTTTTGGGGGTTTATAGCATAATTTTTGTGATTTTCAGCCAAAATTTGGCCTTTTTGAGAATAAATAAAAAAACATTCATTTTATTATTATTTTTCGAATTAATTTTCGGCCCGCAATTTTCCCAAATCATAATCCGTCCTATAGGGCTGATTCACGAACAAAAAAATGTTTTAAAATGTTTTTTAACATCGAGAGATCAATTCACGAGGTGAAAGTTAGTTTTTCGAGTTTTTCAGCAAAAAATGATGAAAAATCAATACTTTTGAAGCTTCTGGAGTGATTTCTGATGAAAATAAGCTTCGAGAACCCTAGTTTGCTTTATTTGTTTAATGTTTCTCGAAATTCACACGAAATATCAGCAAAACCTTCTGGAAAATGAATTCCAAGGTCAATTTTTATCAGAAATTACTCCAGAAGCTTGAAAATATCGATTTGTCATCATTTTTGGCTGAAAAACTCGAAAAACTAATTTTGACCTCGTGAATTGGTCTCTCAATGTTAAAAAAACTTTTTTTTTTCTTTTTACATTTATACAGCATAAATCGCTCGGGAACACCTTTTAGGATTCGAAATTTTGAACAAAAATCAACATTTTTAAAACAAACTACCATTAGAATTCAAATTCAACATTCAAAACATGTATTATTTTCAAAAAAATTGCTCTTTGACATATTGGACTGTTTTTCTAACTTCCTCACTGCCCCCACAGAATCATCTCATCGAATCAGAATGATTGATCGAATCAAAAAGTTCCACATAAAAGTCCGTTCATTTCTCATATCAACAAACAAACTTGTGATGAAGTTCTCGATCGTCCTCCTCTTCACAATCTTCGCATTGGTCAATGCTGCTGATTACTACACTTGTTCACTTTTTTGTCCATGGCCGTTTTCCTGTTTGCGGGGTCGTTGCGTCTATCTTGATAAATAAACCTTATTCGCCTTGATTTAAGAATAAAGTTACTTTGAGCATTTAAAGAAACCCCCTCTAAAAAATCGTTGATTAGTTGTATAACTTCCCAAAAACAGTGCACAAAACATTGTTTTGGCCACGCCTGACACCATTTTGCATCCAACAATCTCACTGTTCTTATGGATATTTCACCACGAGCTCCTTCTTCTCAAAACGTTGTTTCAAGAAGACAACAACAACATCTTGTAGATATAAATCTATTTCTCCTACTTCTAATTCTCGCTTGGTCCATCACGTTTCTATTTCGACGACAAATTCAAAATCCCAACGTTCACTGTGCAACTATTATTGGGATTATCATCGCAGTTTGCACGTATGTTTTCAGAATTTTTGAATTTTCAGCCAAAAAAAAAATCAAATTACAGAAATCCTCGATATTATAACGAAGTATCCGAAGACGTGCTGGAATTTGTCGGAGCTTTGCTACAGCTAATGATAAGTTTTTTGGTTATAGAAATGAATCGAGGAGCATCTCGTAGACAAATTCTTCCTGCAACTTTGCAACAAAATCAGGAGACAAATAATTAATTATCGATTTTTTATTATAATTTTGGTGTTTTATAGCACAATTTTTGTGATTTTCATCCAAAATTTGGCCTTTTTGAGAATAAACTATTCATTCTATTATTATTTTTTTTCTATTAAATTAATTTTCGGCCCGCAATTTTCGCAAATCATAATCCGTCCAATCATATTTACATTTATACGGCATAAATCGCTCGGGAACACCTTTCAACCGCAACAATCGCATCTCTTTCCATTTTTCGTAGTCTTTTTGCGAATCTCTGGAAAAATTTGGGTGAAACGTGACCTATGACGTCACAGTTTTGGATTTCGAAATTTTGAAAATCATTTCTTTTTTGAATTTTGATTGGAAAATGTGAGTTTTTAGACAAAATTTCGAGATTTTCCATGTTTTTTCACTAGAATTTCCAAAAATCACCAACCTAACACTCAAAATCACCGAACACGGAATCGACACCATACTCGCCACATACGCCAACTTCGCCCTCCCCGTCACACCATACACAAACATATTGGCCAGCATGAAGTTGGTGAAAAGTGAAATTGAGGTTTGTGTGAATCCCGGGTCGGGATTCTTGAAAATCCCGAAAAATTTCGACGATTCTGAGGTGTCTGGATTTTCCGGATCGATTGATTCACCCATTTATCTGGAAAATTTGAGGAATTTTGCTGAAAAATGGAAAAACGCGGAAAAAATAAAAAAAATAAAAAAATGCGCCAGCAAACAAGAAACACGTCAAAGCGCCGGGGATTGACGCATTTTTGGTGCATTCAAATTTTTTTTTTCATTTTTTTCATTGTTCGCCCCCATTTTTTTTCAATTTTCCCACGCAATTCTTAATGTTCCCATTAAATTCCGTAAATTTTTGAATAGCACGAAAAATCATTTAGATGTAAAATATGCGAAAATATTTGAATTTCTCTCTGATTTTCGTGATTTATGCCGGTTTTATTATTTTCCGACGTCTTCCCATTGTTCTTCTGCCCGAAATCCGGAAAGAAATTCAACACGTTGGGGAGAATGATATAGGTTAGTTAGGTGAACTTTTGAAATATTTTTTTTGAACAAAAAAAATTCCATGGAAAAAGCGTTGTTGTTGTTGTTCTCTGTGCTTTGTTTCTCTCATCTCCTATCTTTTTCTGATTTTTTATTGATTTTTCAAATTTTTGCCGCCACAAAATGGTCGGTTATCACCCGGAGCCGATAAATGGACAACTTCCTCTCACATCCACCGAATACAGGTAAATCTAGATTTTTAGGCAGGGAATTGATTTAAAAAAATCCATTTTTTGCAGTGAAGCTGGGATGGCTAGTGGAATTGTGACTCGGATGATAATTCAGCCGCTGGACGTGCTGAAAATTCGGTTTCAGCTGCAAGAGGAACCGATTCGAGGCTTTAAATCGGGGAAATATAAGGTTGGTGGGGGGAAATTTGAAATTTTTGTTTTGAAAAATCATGTCAGCCGAAGGAGCATGATCCCATGGTGAAAATTTGCACAAAAAGATTTTTAAAATAAAAATTCATGAGTTACGGTAACTTTTTGATCATTTTTCAAAAAATTGGTATTCATCTCAAAGTTGACGAAAATAATCGATCAAAAAATGATATCGTAGCTAAAAAATTCAATTTTTCAATAAAATTAGGAATTTGTCAAATCCCAACCCGGCTCATAATAGTAATATTTATGTTAGTTAGAAAGAAACTAAAAACAACAATAATAATATTTAGCGTTCTCCTTTTATAGCATAGTTTGTTGTGATGATACATCCTTCAGTCGAACATTACGATTTGTCATACAAACATTCCCTCCCTGCCTGGGTCACCATGTCAAATCCCAACCCGGCTCATAATAGTAATATTTATGTTAGTTAGAAAGAAACTAAAAACAACAATAATAATATTTAGCGTTCTCCTTTTATAGCATAGTTTGTTGTGATGATACATCCTTCAGTCGAACATTACGATTTGTCATACAAACATTATTTTTGATGAATATGTTTTCTTTCTGTTGATCAGAAGATCAACACACTCCTAACAGAAAAAAGTGAAGGTGTAGGTTGTTTGTCATGCTCAGCTATACATAAATATAAGTTGTACCAAATGAATAAATCCAAAATGGCAAGTAATATATTCCGTCTGTTCTTTTACTGTTGCTTGTGATAGCAACACCCTCCTAACAGAACAAGTGAAGGAGGATGACGTTTCCGATTCAAATTCGAGTAGATTCCAAACATGTGAAAACGAAGCAAGAGGGTTGTAGTGATTCCAAATTTACTATCAGTTGAGAATAAATAGTCCGATGCAAATGCAATATATATCTTTCCGAGTCGACAAAAATGTTTTCTGGTGAAATGATGTGGTAGGCAATGTAGGCAAAAAAGTAAGCAAAATAGTCCAGGTAGGCATTTTCCGATGCGCTAAGTGACAAGTTCAATATTGGTTCCAAGTTCAATATAAGTTCCATGTTGGAGGTCAAATCCAAGCATTTTTTAGTTGGAGGTCTAATCCAACTTCATTTTCCAAATAGCTTCCGCTAGTGGATCTCAGGGTCCTCCACAACACTCCAGGCCAATTGCATTTTGTATACTCCGATTGATAGAAGGAGATGGATGTCGGGTTTTCATTTTATCTGATCTTCTGTTTTTCGGAAATAGTATTGTTCTCTAATAATTGTGTCATAACTCTTGGTTCTTCGTGGTCTTCTGACTTCTTCGGTTGATAGTTGGTAATTTTTCGAATATAGATTTTGGCGAATCGGGAACCGGGTTGAGCTAACGTAAGGGTCACCATGTCAAATCCCAACCCGGCTCATAATAGTAATATTTATGTTAGTTAGAAAGAAACTAAAAACAACAATAATAATATTTAGCGTTCTCCTTTTATAGCATAGTTTGTTGTGATGATACATCCTTCAGTCGAACATTACGATTTGTCATACAAACATTCCCTCCCTGCCTGGGTCACCATGTCAAATCCCAACCCGGCTCATAATAGTAATATTTATGTTAGTTAGAAAGAAACTAAAAACAACAATAATAATATTTAGCGTTCTCCTTTTATAGCATAGTTTGTTGTGATGATACATCCTTCAGTCGAACATTACGATTTGTCATACAAACATTCCCTCCCTGCCTGGGTCACCATGTCAAATCCCAACCCGGCTCATAATAGTAATATTTATGTTAGTTAGAAAGAAACTAAAAACAACAATAATAATATTTAGCGTTCTCCTTTTATAGCATAGTTTGTTGTGATGATACATCCTTCAGTCGAACATTACGATTTGTCATACAAACATTCCCTCCCTGCCTGGGTCACCATGTCAAATCCCAACCCGGCTCATAATAGTAATATTTATGTTAGTTAGAAAGAAACTAAAAACAACAATAATAATATTTAGCGTTCTCCTTTTATAGCATAGTTTGTTGTGATGATACATCCTTCAGTCGAACATTACGATTTGTCATACAAACATTATTTTTGATGAATATGTTTTCTTTCTGTTGATCAGAAGATCAACACAGAATTTAGCTCGAAAAAACATTTTGAAACGGAAAAAACACAAAAAAATTCAAAAGTTGCAGTTTCACCAATCAGATAAAATTAATGTAGAGCGAAAATAGTGTGTTTTTTCCATTTCAAAATTTTTTTCGAGCTACATTTTTAATTTTTTTGAAAATCCGAAGTTTTCACCTACGAAATCATTTTTTGATCGATTATTTTCGTCAACTTTGAGATGAATACCAATTTTTTTGAAAATAACGTTTTTTTTTTGAAAAATGATCAAAAAATTACCGTAACTTATGAATTTTTATTTAAAAAATCTTTTTTGTACAAAATTTAACCATGGGAGCATGCTCTTTCAGCGATTCCCAAGGCACTTTGAAAAATTTTCATTGTGAATTTTTTTCAAGAAATTTTGGAAAATCTTGAAGTTTTTTTTTTTGCTTTTGCAGCATGTTAAATTGAAAATGAGTTTTCAAGTTTCTCGAAATAAATTCCAGAATTCTCAAGGAAAATAAAAAAAAGTTTAGAAACTTTTTTTTCTTTTTTAATAGTAGAATAGTAATATTATTGATCCCGAATAAACTAGCAAGGCTTTGACTTCGAATTACATTCGAATTGATGTGTAGAATGACACTAGAATTGATGCGCAGATTATTAGAATATATATAACTGTCATCATGTTGAGTTCAAAGAATATCGTTTGCAAGTTTATTATATTGACGGTGATTCGTCCGATTTGATAAATCCGGTTACGAATCGCGGAAACTTGGGTCTCTTGATTGTGGAGGATCAGTTGAATATAGAACCATTTCAATTGTTGTTGATTGTTGAGAATGGCGTGAAAATATGTCATTTGTATAAACATGACGTTGTACCGGCTGTTATCACTCGCACCATTTTTCCCTGATATACCCTAGGTAAATTGAGCAACCGACATTTTACTGGTTTTTTTCGCCGATTCGCTTCTTATCAGTTAAAAATTATGAAACCTGGGTCAAAATTCATCGATTTTAACTGGTTTCCCCACATGAATTCACCAATTTACCTTTATTCAGGGAGTTGTTCAATCGGTCATCCTAATCTCAAAAGAAGAAGGACATCGTGCATTTTGGAAAGGACACATTCCAGCACAAGGCCTGTCAGCAATTTACGGTTTGGTGCAATTTTCAAGTTTCGAATGGTTGAGTCGCGAATCGGGAAGGATATTCAGGATCGATGAGGAGAATCAGGCGGCCAGGTCGACTTCGGATTTTATGTGTGGAGCGCTGAGTGGATGTTTGGCGATGACGGCGGTAGGATTTTTGAAAATTTGTGATTTGGCGCTACTCTGCGTCTCTACATCTTCTCTCTCTCTGCCTTCTAGAGCAAGAGTAAGAGTCTCTTGATTAGAGACAGGGTTGGCCATTTCGCCTCTCTCGCCCGGCGAAGAGGCGAAATGGCCAACCCTGGTTAGAGATAGAGGAAGAGTTAGAGACACAGAGAAAAATTTGGACAATTTTGAACCTCAAAACGCAATTTTTTTCAAAATAACATGAGCAATGTTATTTACTCTGCGTCTCTAAGGTCCTCTTTATCTCTGGCTTCTGTTCTTCCTGGCTAGAGATAGAGCAAGAATTAGAAACGCAGAGAAAAGTTGCTCATGATATATAAAAGCTTATGTTAGTCCTAATGTGCCATGTGGCAATCTGAATCTAAAAAAATTTCATTCAAATTTTCTAATAAAAATTATCGCCACGTGGAATATTTTCGGACCAAACATGAAAATTTTACGATGTAATTATTTTTTGTTTTTGAAATCAAATTTGAAAATCAATGATTTTGGCGCCCAAAAGTTTGCCACGTCATCATGAAAAAAAACGTTGCAGGCAATGCCACTCGACGTCATCCGAACTCGTCTCGTCGCCCAAAAATCCGGCCACGTCGTCTATTCTGGCACGTGGCACGCAATGCAACATATTTGGCGAAAAGAGGGTGTGGCCGGCTATTTTAGAGGATGGATTCCGAGTGTTGCTCAGGTTAGTTAAGGGGACTGGGAAGGGCCTGAAATAGGCCTATTGAAAGCCCAAATAGGCCTCAAGCCTAAGCCCAGAGCCTAAAAAGGGTCTATTATCGATTTTTCCCAGATCGCTCCATTCACCGGCATGCAATTCGCCTTGTACAATTGTTTCATGGACCTGTGGCCATTTTTGGAGCACGATTCGACGGGTGCACTTTTTAGCGGAGCAATGGCGGGCACAGTTTCCAAAACGGTAAGTGTGTGCCAGGATTGCAGAAAAAGGGCGTGGCCTAATTTTCAAAATGAAAGACGCTAGGGCTTATGGGGTGTCTAAATGATACAAAAACCGTGCCGCAGATTGCAAAAGTAGGCGTGGCCTAATTTTTTGAAGAAACCCAGGCTTATCCTATTTCAATAACCACGCCGCAGATTGCAAAAGTGGGCGTGGCCTAATTTTGGAAGAAACCAGGCTTATACTATATCAAAATGATCCAATTCCCTTTCCGAAAACCATGCCGCAAATTGCAAAAGTGGGCGTGGCCTAATTCTCCTCCAAATCTTGCAGGTTCTCTACCCCCTCGACATGGTCCGACACCGTCTTCAAATGAACGGTTTCGAGCGTAGCGGGTTCGGAAAAACGAGTAATTATAGTCAGGGCCTCCTCAACACAGTAATGATGGTAGGTCGAAAAAGTGTGTGCCGCAAAATTGCAAGCCCCGCCCCATTTTTTTGCAGGTGGTCCGCAACGAAAGTTGGCTGGGACTATTCAAAGGCCTGTGGCCGAGTCAAATCAAAGCGGGTGCGAATTCGGGATGCGCATTTCTGTTCTACGAGCTGTTTTGCGATCTGATTCGCAGTAATAAGTATCAGTCGGGATAGGGTGAGGGGCTTTTAGGGGCTTTTGGGGGGCCTAAGAGGGCCTTGGGGGAGTCTGGGGGGCCTTGGGGGAGTCTGGGGGCCTAAGAGGGCTTTTGGGGGGAGTCTGGGAGGCTTCAGAGGGCTTTTGGGGATTTAGGGAGGCTTCATAGGGCCTTGGGGGAGTCTGGGGGCCTAAGAGGGCCTTGGGGGAATCTGGGAGGCTTCAGAGGGCTTTTGGGGGGAGTCTGGGAGGCTTCAGAGGGCTTTTGGGGATTTAGGGAGGCTTCAGAGGGTCTATCGGGTTATCTGGAGGTTTAAGGGCCTTCTGAAAACCCTTAGAACCCCTTAGAAGCACTTAGCAATCCTAAGGAATCTTAAGGAACCCTAGGAAACATCTGGTGACCCTAAGGAACCTATGGAAATCCTTAAAAGCCCTTAGCAACTCTAAGGAATCCTAGGAGACATCTGGAAACTTCTGGAAACCCTTAAAAGCCCTTAGCAACCCTAAGGAATCTTAGGGAATCCTAGAAGACATCTGGAAACCCTTAAAAGCCCTTAAAAGTCCTCAGCAACCCTAAGGAATCTTAAGGAATCCTAGAAGACATCTAAAAACGTCTGGAAACCGTTAAAAGCCCTTAGAACCCCTAAGGAACCCTTGGAGACATCCGGAAACCTCTGGAACCCCCTAAAAGCCCTTAGCAACCCTAAGGTAAAAACCTAACGCTTCAATTTTTGCAGGTAAACTCTCGCTCAATCTTCAGTTGCCTAGGTTACCCCCAGCAATATTTTTTTTGTTTTTTTTAATTTTGTAGGTTGTTAGATGTATATGAACGTGTTTTTTTTTCGAATTTTCTGTGCCAGGCTTGCTGAAAAGGGGCGTGGCCTAATTTTTCTTTTTTTTTGTTTCTCTCAACAACAACAACAACGCTTTTGTCCGAAAGGTACTACAGTACCCTTCGAGAATTTAAAGGAACACGTGATTTCAGGATTTTTGGTCTCGACACATGCCACCGCATTTACCGTATCCAAGTTGGTTTTTGGTGTTGCGGCGGATCGAGCGTCGAATTTGCGCATTTTCACCGGTGGAATATTCATATGCGCTCTAGCGACAATCGGATTGGGTACGGTATTTTGGGAATTGATTTTTGATCTACAGTACTAATTTCCAGCATTCTCTACCGTATTCTCGCAAATGCTGGTAGTCATGTTTTTGATTGGTTGTATGCAGGGAGCTGGTTGGGTTCCTGCCACGAAATTGTTGGCGCAGGTACAGTCTACAGTACCCCCATGAGACTATTTACAGTACTGTTTCCAGATCTTCGATGATTCCCAATATCCCACAATGTTCTCGATTCTTGGATGTGGGAGTACTGTAGCTGGCCTACTCCTACCGTACCTTAAGACATTTTACTGGCGGACGATTCTGTTCAATATGGCGTTGGTTTTTGCGAGTGTCGCGGGAGTCGCGCGATTTTTTGTGGTTGAGGAAGCGAAGGCTGAAAAAGTGGCGAGAACTCATCAGCCAGCAAGAATTCGTGACATTGTCGCGTCGCCGGTGACGTGGCACATTGCCGCGATCTATTTCTTCTCGATGGAAATGCGAACTGTCGCGGAAACGTGGATACCGTTCAGCCTTGCGGAAAATTCGAGTGGATTTCAGGTTGCTTATGAGTTGGGTGGATTGGTGGGAACATTGGTTTCGGGAGTCGTTGTGGAGAGAATGTGGGCGACAAGGAGAGTCGCTGGGTATTCTGCGACTGTTGCGATGATGGTTTATGCGTTGATGATTTGGAGATGGAAGGTGAGAAACTTGGGAATTCAAGAAATGAAAAGGTGTTACGTGTACAACGTAAACTTGTGCATACGCCAAAGTGTCTTAAAGTGCGACTGGAACGTCGCCAGAACGTTGAAATTTCGGTAAAATATACTTTTACAAGTACATATTTTATAACGTTCGTATTTGGAAGTGGAGCTTTTCACAATAACACAAATTTGAATATTTTCAAAGTCAAAATAGATGGCACCAACGTAAATCGAAAACAAGAGAAATGAAAATCTTTGAGCGCGTGCGGTTTGCAACGCGACAAAAACCAAAATGAAATAACCGCACGCGCTCAAAGATTTTCATTTCTCTTGCTTTCGATTTACGATGGTGCCATCTATTTACGCGGATCATCCGCAAATCTGTTAGCTTAAGGTCCACGTGATGTATTTGCCCGAACTTTTATTGAAAAAGTACATCATATTACTCTAGAATACTCGCTCGTTTTCCACAAAGATAACCACCAGCCACTTGATCACACGGATAATCATTCATTACACCATTGCGCTGGGCTTGATCAAATTGCATGTGAAGGCAATCCTCATTTCCTCTGAAACCTTATAATTTGTATTCATAGCCAGATCATCGTATTCTTACCTAAAGTTATCCGGTTGCCCTGCCGCCCATCTCATCTGACTTGTTCCAACTGCGACACCGTCGCTCCATTCGAACGCATTGTTGGCCATTGGTTGACATTCTGCAGCTGAACCTTTTGGACTCAGACATTCCGAACGTCTTTTGCCCCCAATCCACAACCATGTTACTTCGTTCAAATTTTTGTTGATTTGGTTTCCTTTGTCTGCAATTTTCAGATTAAGAATCATGAAACCAAACCATTATTTACGAACTTACATTGAACATAACTGTATTCGCCCTGACTCTCAATCCCTGACAATGTCGCTCCCATCCTCTCACAATTCACCTGCGCCTCCTTTTGTGATTTCACCCCATTAACCACCAACGAAATACACCAAGCACCCATTTTCCTATTGAATTTCCTCCAACCTTCCGGACATTCGGTTTCAACAATACAATCTTCTTCTTCTTCTTGTTGTTGTTGATAACTTGTAACTTCAGTAATAATTGAGAAAATCAGAATGAAGTAGAAAATTTTGACCATTTTTTGACTTTTGTTCAAAAATACCATATGGTTTGATTTATATATGCGAAGAAGGAGATCGTAAAATTTTAATTTAGTGGTTTTATGAGTGATAAAAATATTGTGGGGGGAGAAGCAACGCGAATTTCTCGTTTTTGGGTTATTAGGGTATTTCTAAGAGTAATTTTAAGGTCTTTAGGGCCTCTACCGTATTTTTAAAGGTACCAAAAACCATGCTGAAAAGCATTGAGAACCCGAAAAATGTACGTTTCGCCAAATTTTCAAGTAAGACATCGATTTTGATAAATAATTTCATTATAATATTATTAAAGTAAAAAAAAATTGGCAAAAAAACGGAGGCTAGAAATTCAATTGTAATTCAGTCGCTACGAGACCCATATGTGCGCCTTTGACTTTGTTTCTCTGCCCAATGGAGTGGTCTCGAAACGGTGTTAGTGACGCAGAGGAATGCCGTACTTGTGGAATTTCTGGCCTCTCTTTTTTTGCCAATGTTTTTTAATTTGATAGAAGTTATCAAAAATTTGAAAAATGCTTCTCTCATCTCTAACACCCTCCCAAATTTCCAGCATCTCTCAACACCTCTCGGCTTCTTCCTCGGCTTCTCCGTCAACGCCTCCATCAACATTTGGTGTCTCGTCGCATCGCAATGCGCGCCCAAAAATCAAGCCGGCACCTGCTCCGCGTTCATCAGCTTCATCGCCGCAGCCGGCTCAATATTCGCTGGCTCACCAATGGCAATCATCGTCGACAAATTCGGCGGCTCTCAATTCGGCTTCCAACAATTGCTCATCTTACAAATCGTGTTCGTCCTATCACTTTCAATCCTCAAAATACCATTAACATTATAAAGTACCGTATTTCTTCCTAACAAGTTTCGTGTGTTCCTTTAAATATGAGTTATTGATTGATCTCTCTGCATGTCTGCGTCTCTTTATCCCTCGCTTACCCCCTCCCTTTTCAGATTTTTCAGATTTTCAGAGATGCTTTGGGAACTTTTGATAGGAATTGTTGTGCTTTGGATTTCGATTTTGAGTTGTGCCCTCCATAAAATCGAAGAGGGACATGTTGGTGTTTATTATCGGGTAAGTGTGCGGGAGTTGCAGAAAGGGGCGTGGCCTAATTACAGGCTTGTGCGATATAAAAATGATCAGAATTCTAATTCCAGGGTGGCGCCTTGCTCAAAACCGTCTCCCAACCCGGCTACCATCTCCTAATCCCCATGCTAACTCAAGTCAAATCAGTTCAAGTCACCCTGCAAACGGACGAAGCGACAAATGTACCGTGTGGAACGTCTGGTGGTGTATTGATTTATTTTGATAGGATTGAGGTGGTTAATATTTTGTCGCAAGAAAGTGGTGAGTGTTTTTGGGATGTTTTAGGGGTCTTAAGGTTTAAATCGACTCTAAATACCTTAGGGACCCAAATAATTGATAAAAATGATGAATCTGAGTTTTGGAGTAACTTCAAAAATCACATTCTTATTTTCAGCCATAAAAATGAGCTAATTCTAGAAATCGGAAATTCGGAGTAACTCCAAAATTCAGATTCTTCATTTTTATCATTTTTCTGGGTCCCCAAGGTATTTTTAATTCAATTTAGGGTAATTTTAAGGTCCTTAGGGCCTCTGCTGTATTTTTAACGTCTCAAAAATCCCATTGTGGCGATGGTTTTAGGGTTCTTAAGGTTGAAATTGACTCTAAAGAACTTAAAAATACCTTAGGGACCCAAAAAATTGATAAAAATGATGAATCATACTTTTAAAGTCATTTTTAGAGCTGAAAATGAGAATCTGGTTTTTGAACTCTCAAAAATATGATTCATCATCATTTTTATCATTTTTTGGGCCCCAAATATGTTTTTAAGTTCTCTAGAGTCAATTAGGGTGATTTTATGGTAAGGGCCTCTTTTTGAAGTGTCTTCAAAAATCAGATTCATCTTTTTTTTTGGGTCCCTAAGGTGTTTTTAAGCTCTCTAGGGTAATTTTAAGGTTCTTAAGGTCCCAATAATCCCAAATTTTCTTTCAGTCTATGCAATCGTCAAAAACTACACTGTAGACTACGATCGTCCCCCTGATCTTCAACAAAGTTCATCACGAGGTCAATCAATTTTGCAGCGGTCACTCGTTGCAAGAGGTTTATATCGATCTTTTTGGTGAGTTAGGTTAACTTGTTGCCACGTGGCAGGTGTTTTTACGCGCGCTGAAAAATTTGAATTTGAAATTTTGAATTTTTGGACCTGAAAACATGAATTCAATTGTGAAAAATTAGGTTTTTTTTTAAAATTTAAGCTTAAGCTAGGAAAAAATGAATAAAAATTAGGAGAAAAATGTTGTTTCCACTATAATTATTTGTGTTTTCAGACAAATTTTCAAAAAAAAAAGCGTGGAGACCAAAAAAATAAAAAAAAATTTGAATTGAAATATTTTTTGAATAAGGTTAATCACAAAAAGATATTTATAGGTGGTGGCGCAAAAAATGAAGATTCTGTAGGGAAAAGATCAATTTTTCCTAAGGTTCCTAAGGTCTTTAAGGTGTTTCTGATACCTTTTAGCTTAACTTGAGCTAACTTAAAAGTTTCTAAGGTCCCTATGGTGATTTTGAGGATTATTTTCAGTCTTTAAAGCTATATTAGAGGGATTTTAAGGTGCTTAGAGCTCTAACAAGGAATGGTTTTCAATGTTCCCCCAAGGAAAAAATCGAGAGTATGTGGAATGTTGAGGGTTCCCGTGGGTAAGAAAAACCCTAACGGGAATAAGGAGAAAAATGCCTTATTCTCGAGAAAAAATGTATTTTAGGTCGATTTTTACACCATTTTTTGATTTTTAGAGCATCTGTAACTCGATTTTGAATCTATTTCATGAACTTTTGAGTCGTGGAAGTTGTTCAGAATGGTCGATTACGTGTTTGTGAAACTTTTTATCAAAAAATTAGACATTTTTTGAAATTTGGTTTTTTTAGTCGGGGTTTTTCTGATCAAATGGTCACCAAAAAACACAAAAAATAATTTTTTCCATTTTCAAATGAACGGAACTTGAAAAATTTAGGACGGTCAACAGACGTAATTTGGTCCGTAGAATCCAAAAATCATAGTCTCGATTCACACAAACTTCTCCTTCACAACGAAAACGTTGATTTTCTATGAATTTTTCAAACTGGATTTTTGATTTAGTGGACTTTTGGGACCAAAATTATTTTATTCCTAATTTTAGTCGAAGTAATACTAAAGTACGCCGTTTGCGCTACAAATGGATTTTTAGACTGACATTTTTCATCAATTTTGAAAAAAGTTTCGATTTTTCTAAAAAATTTCATCGCAAAAATCAATAACACCAAAATTTTCTAAAACAAGGCATTTTTCTCCTTATTCCCGTTAGGGTTTTTCTTACCCACGGGAACCCTCAACATTCCACATACTCTTGATTTTTTCCTTGGGGGAACATTGAAAACCTTTCCTTGTAAGGTAATTTTAAGGTTGTTTCTAAGGTCTACAAGTACTATTTTTCAGACACCATCGACGAGGAGATCAAAAAAGCCCTTCAACAAGATTTGACCCAAATGGCTCCAGGTCTTTTCGTCCAAGCTGTCCGCGTCACAAAACCCAAAATCCCCGAAGAAATTCGTCTGAATTACGAGCAAATGGAGGCGGAAAAAACCAAATTATTAGTAGCGATTCAAAATCAAAAAGTCGTCGAAAAACTCGCGGAAACTGAGCGGAAAAAGGCGGTAATCGAAGCGGAAAAATCCGCACAGGTCGCAATTATTCATCAAAAACAAATGATTTCGGAAAAGGAGACGCAGAAATTGTTGAATCAATTGGAAGCCGAAAGTCATTTGGAATCGGAAAAAGCGAAAAGTGACGCGAAATTCTATGAAATGCAAAGGAAAGCGGAAGCAAATAAATTACTGTTGACCCCGGAATTTTTGGAATTGGAACGGATTCGATCGATTTCGGAGAACTCGAAAATTTATTTTGGAGAAAAATTGCCGCAGACTTTTATATTGCCCCAAGGAAATACGGAAAAATAGGAAATGGTGTGATTTTTTCATCGATAAATTATTGGAATTTTTGGAAAATCTTGAATTTTGAATGAAGAGACCTTAGAAAAAACCTTAAAATTACCCTAATTATACTCTAGAGCTCTAAGCACCTCAGAATCCCTCTAATAAAGCTTTAGGACTGAAAATAATCCTAATACATCCCTAGGGACCTTAGAAACATTAAAATTTCTTGATTTACCCTAAGAGATCCGATAAAGATAGTCAAACTTGCCTAAAATACCTTAAAGAGTTTAAAATTAACCTTAAGATTACCTAAATTTCACCCTAGAGCTCTAAGGGCCTTAAAATCCTTCTAATATAGCTTAGGGACCTTAGGAACCTTCAAGTTAGCCTAAGTTAATTTAAAAAGTATCAGAAACCCCTTAAAGACTTTAGGAACTTTCAAGTTAGCTTAAGTTAAGCTAAAAGGTATCAGAAACACCTTGAAGACCTTAGGAACCTTCAAGTCGGCTTAATTTAAACTAAAAGGTATCAGAAACACCTTAAAGACCTTAGGAACCTCTAATTTAGCTTGTAAGTTAAGCTAAAAGGTATCAGAAATACCTTAAAGACCTTAGGAACCATAGGAAAAATTGATCTTTTGCCTACAAAGTTCTTGTTTTTTTTTGCCACCACCTATAAATATCTTTAGTTTATTAACCTTATTCAAAAAATATTTCTATACAAAATTTTTTCTATTTTTTTGGTCTCCCCGCTTTATTTTTCTGCTTTTCAGCTTCGGCTTTTTGAAAATGTCTGAAAAACACAAATAATTATAGTGGAAACAACATTTTTCTCCTAATTTTCATTCATTTTTTCGTAGCTTTTAAGCTTAAGCTCAGAAAAAAAGGGGAGTTAGCGGAAATTCACAATTTGTGCACTTTTTCGCGCCAGAATCCTAGCGGGAAATTAAAAATCGAGTACTGTGCATTGAACTTTTGTTATTTTTCATTTTCGCGGTTATTTTTAATTTGTTCTATGTTTTCAGACATCCAAAAAAATTTTCAGATGTCTGAATATTGTGAAATTTTCAATTTCATCAATCGATATCGGCCCATTTTGTATCAACAGGTTTTTCAGGTAAATTTGGGACCCCAGGATTTGCCACGTGGCAGGATTCTAGATTTATTTCCAGAGAAAAACAAAATCAAAACTCAACTTTTTGTGGTATGAGTAATTAGAACTGGAACTACATAATTATATACACAGAATTTTTGGCTGAAAATCCAATTTTCTGCAATTTTTGAGTTAAAAAAAATAGGCCACCTGGCACAAATTTCGGCGGGAAATTTAAAAAATTTTCAATTTTCAGGGCGAAACTTTTCAGAATTCAAATTTTTCTGTAAATTTTTAAGTTTAAAAAATTTGCGTGAATTCAAATTTTTATGAAAAAAAAGCCACGTGGCTCAAATTTTGCCGGGAAACTCAAATGTTCAATTTTCAGCGCGAAAAAAATTCAAACATTCAAAAATTAAAATTTTTCTGCGAAATTCAATAAATTTTCAAATCTTCAAATTTTCAGCGCAAAATTCAAAAATTTAGTTTTTTCTGCTAAAAAAATTTAAAAATTTCAATTTTCAGCCAGAAAAATTTGAATTCTCAAAAATTTCAATCCAAAAAAATTGAAATTTGAAAAAATTTTCGAATTTCGCGCTGAAATTGAACATCTGAAATTTTTAGCATGATTCAAATATTCAAAAAATCAAATTTTTCTAAGCGATAAAATTGAAATTAAATTTTTGCAGAAAAATTTCGAAAAAATAATGCAGAACAATTTGAATTCTGAAAAAAATGCTGAAAATTTTTCAAATTTCATTTTTTTGCACGAAATTAAAAAAATTCCAAAAAAATTTGAAATCAAAATTTGCAGCCAGAATTTTTGGAAAAAAATGTAGAAAAATTTTTGAATTTCGCGCTTAATTTGAACTCCCAAATTTTTAGCGCCAAAAATTGAACATTTGAAAATTTCAGCAAGATCTGCAATTTTCCAGATTCTCTCCTGCATCGCCTCAATTTTCCTCATTTTCCTCGGTCGACTCATCCAAAAACCCGCCTATTTCCATCCAAATGTCAAAATTCTACTCAAACTCTTCCAATTTTCCATGATTTTCTACTCATTCGCGATTGCGAGTTCGCAGGTTCGCGCGACAAATTCGCAAATCGCGAGAAAAAAAAAAAATTTTTCAGCTCTATCATCTTCTGGCCTCGCTGCTTTTTTCGAATTGCGAATTTCTGATCTCTTCCAGATTATGTTTTCCTTTTCGATTTATCGCAACTACAACTGTTTCAGGTGGCAAAAAAAAATAAATTCGCAAATTTTTTCGAAAAAAATTTTTTTTTGCAGCTTTTGTCTTCCTAACTCTCAGCATTCCTGTGGAAAGAGCGATTGCGACAAAAAATCTGGGAAAAGGCTATGAAAATCGCAAATCGGAGATTGGAGCCGGGATGGGATATGTGGCGGTGAGTGTGCGGAAGATTCCGCGCGGCTGGGAAGCTTGCGGTGCTTGCGGAAGCTTTGGCTGAAAATTTTGATTGTGGGGTAATTTTTCTTGAATTTTTTGACCTGAAATTAATTTTAGGTCAAAAATCTTGATTCCAGACTATTTTTCCAGAATTTTTGATCTGAAATTGAAAATTTTAATTTCAGGTTTTTCTAATTTTAAATTTTTTTAAAATATTCTAATTTAGAGCTGAAAAATTCCAAATTTCAGACCATTTTTCTATAAATTTTCTGGAATTTTGAGCTGAAATTCAGAAAATTTGGCCCTGAAATCAAAAATTCCTAATTTTGAGCTGAAAATCTGAATTTCAGACTATTTTTCCAGATTTTTCGACCTGAAATTGTTCATATTCAGCCGATTTTTCTAAATTTCAGGTCAATTTTCATCAAATTTCCAAATTTTCTATAAAAAAATCCAAAAATTCATCTAAAAATCCCCCAGACATCACCGGAAATTCGCGATTTTGTCGCACTTTTGTTTTTCACAAACTCAAAAATCATCATCACGGTATTTCAAAGATCACCTCCCAGAATCTACAGTACCCCCCAAAGCCACGTGTCCCAATTTTTTGCAGCTCACCGTATCCATCACAATCTCCCTGATTCTTCACATTCCCCAACTTTACACCGAGATCGAATGCGATAATTGCATCTACAGTACCCCAACTACCGTACTACCCATCTCGAAATTCACCATCATTGCCACGTGGCTTTTGTCAGCTGGAGCACTATTGCTCATATTAGTGCTATTGTGGTACAATAGAGCGCAGTTGGCCAGGTTTGTGGATTTTTTGAATTTTCAAAAATTTCAAAAAAAAATTTTGCGCGCGAAAAGTTTTGAATTTCAAAAAAAATCAATAATTTCTAGGAAAACCTATTCACTATCGATCGAATTTCAAATCAATCAAAATCTTCGAATTTTGCACCTCATTTTACCCATCACAATTTTGACGTTTCTCACGTTTCTTGCGATTGGCGCAGCCGAATTATCACCGATTTTTTCACGGGATTTTGAGGAGGGCGATGATGATGGAGAGGTTATTAGGAGAAGAAGTTGGAGAATGATGCAGAATGTGAGTTTTGAGCGGGTGATGGAAATGCGTCAGCAAAATTTTTGAGATTTCATAGTATGTATTTAGAGCTATTAGAAACACGTCAGCAAAGTATTCAGCTACTAGAAATGCGTCAGCAACGTTTAATTAGAAACTAGGGGCTGTTAGCCCCCAGGCGTAACAGTCTTCTCATTTATTTCAGTTTCACTTTTTTCTGTGGAAAATTGAGAATTCATGAAAAATTACAACCAAATTTAGATATAGAAAATTTCAAATTTTTTGATCGAAAAATGACTCGTGGCTAAATTAGGAAGGGTTCCTAATTTTGCCAAAGATGACGTCATCGATCAATTTTTCGAAAAAAAAAACTTATTGAATCTATTTTTTATAAGGAATTAAATGTACTCGCAAGATGTTAACCAAAAGAATTACAATTGAATCCATGAAAAATTTCAAGTTTTTTTTAATCAAAAAATGACTCGATTTTCCATGAATACAATTGTAAGTCAATTTTCCACAGAAAAAAGTGAAACTGAAATAAATGAGAAGACTGTTACGCCTGGGGGCTAACAGCCCCTAGTCCTCTAACAAAAAAAATCGGCCCGAGTTTTTTTTTGAAAAAACGCGGGCCGATTTTTTTTTTGAAAAAACTCGGCCCGATTTTTCTTGAAAAGACTCCGGCCGATTTTTTTTTCAGGGCAAAGTCAAGCGTATTTTCAAAAAATTTTTTTAGAATGTTCAAAGCTACTTGAAACACGTCAGCGAAGTTTTCAGCTACCAAAAACACGCCATCAAACCCCAAAACTACACCAAAAACACGTCAATCTCCATCTCAAAATGATTTCTTTCAGCTCTTCCCCATCTACACCTTACTCTGCTCCACAATCTGGCTCATTCAAATGCTCATCAAGCGAAAATCGCAAAAACGTGCATCGCAGCGACTCGTCGCGTCGCTCGCCAAAAAAGTCGACGAGAAAAACGTGTACTTCCAGACTTTGCAAAATCAGTGGGGCGGAGCCTATCCGTCAACTGCGAGTTCAACAACTTTTTCGAGCAAAAAAACATCTACAGTACTACCGGCACGTGGCGGGAGTACGATACTTGTACGAAGTTCGGTGCATGAGAGATGAATAAAATTATTGATTTATTTTTGCCACGTGGCAGTTGGGATCTTCAAAAATTCAAAATTCCACGTGTCAGAATTAAGAACTTTTCATTTAATTTCACGTTGAAAAAATCAATAATACCCGGAGACAATTTGGAATGATATACAAACTAGACACAAAAAAAGTGGGCGGGGTGGGGCGGGGAAAAATTTGGGCACGGGACTCTATGGTACACGAATTTGGGGGAAGGGGGATTCACATAAATAGCAATATATATTTTACTCTCTAAAAATCACACAGAAGAAAAATCTCAACACAATAATCCATAAACATCAGCCGCACTGCGTTTTCGGCGATGCTCTACAGTAGTTCCAGTGGCTACCGTACCCGTCTTCTTTTTCGTTGCGAGACCAGCCGTACTATTTCTCTGACCTCTCTCTCCACTCGACACACTATTTCTCATAATTGCGTCGATTACCGAATAGTAGTGACCGTCGAAATTGTGAAAAACGTTGGGTGTGGAGAGCGAACGAGTCAGTTTGGGCAAAGTTATGCATCGGAGACGTTCGAGAACCTGGAAAAATAAAGTGTGCGGGGGTTGCAGAAGGGGGCGGGGCTTGAAATTTAGAGCATTTTGATACTAAATTTAAAGTTCAAGTTGATTTTTTCTAGAAAATATTCTCATTTTCGTTCTCAGAACCCAAAATTACCCCTAGAACCAAGTTTTCAAGTCAATCCGAGAGTTTCAAAAAACCATGCCGCACTTAGCAAAAGGGGCGTGGCCTAAATCAACCTCGTTAATTTAAAGATAAAATATAAGATATGGGTATCATTCGGCGTGAAATTTCAAGCTGATCACAAATTCGGTGGTTAAAATGCACTCACATCTCCAAAATCGGGTCTTTCGTCTCGCTGAAATTTGATGCAATGCTCGTACAACTTCATCATTGATTTCGGCGTATCGTCGCGCATTTTCGACGTGTCCGGTCGTAAATAGCCGCGTCCGACCATGAACAATATTTGATCGCGATTGTTGATGGTTGAGTAGGGTAGGTGACCCGATAGAATTTCATACATACAAACTCCGAATGAATATACATCTGATTTTGGTGTGTAGGGATTGGTGTCTTGCATTCGGATCACTTCGGGAGCCTGCAAAAATGAATGGTTTAGAGCTAAAATTCAGAAAATTTCAATAAAGTTTGAATTTTAACGTGAAACTATTGAAAATTCGGGTTTTAGGGAAAATTCTTCAGAATTTCAGGCCGAAAATCCACGTGGCAAAATTTTTTTCCCGATTTTTCAGTATAAATTTGAATTGTGGACAAAAAAATCCACGTAGCAAAATTTTAATCAGAAAATTCTTCAGAATTTCAGGCTAAAAAATCCACGTGGCAAAATTTTGATTAGAAGATGTTTTCATGAAAAATTTGAGCTCAAAATCCACGTGGCAGAAGTTTCAGTGAAAAAATTTAACAAAAACTCAGCAAATTTCCGGAGAAAAAACTAATAAAATCAATTTTTGAACAAAATCTTTGAAAAATTCTGATTTTTCAGTATAAATTTCAATTTTTGGACAAAAAATCCACAGTTTTCAGAAAATCCTTCAGAATTTTAGGCTTAAAAACCACGTGGCAAAATTTTTTCAATTTCAGGTGAAAATTCTGGTTTTCGAGCTCATTTTTGAGCTCTGGTGTTAAAAATGTCATCAACTGTGATCAAAGTACAACATTTTGCGGAATTTAATAGATAAAGCCGTTATCAATGAACGCCCACAATGATTGGAAAACGGCTCAATTTAAAAGAGCCTCCGTTTTCTTATAGTTTTGTCTTTTCTTTTCATTCTAAATGTAATAAAATATTGTATTTGTCGTGTTGGTTTATTGGAGAATTCTACATGGTGCATCGACCGGGTTTACCGCATTCTCTAGTATCTTATTTGAAAATTCCCTCTTCTATTGATTGCTCAAAATTGTCTTCTCACTCTGATATTACTAGAAAAATATTGAAAATTTTCGCCCAAACACTCAAATTTATGAGTCAAGCGCAACCCTGTGTAAAATAGTGCGAACTATGTACCTCCACTTTTTCGGTAAGCATAGCAGATGTCCATTCCGAAGCTTTTAATTCCGAACAACTTTCAGTTACCAAGAAAGAATATATCATCAGCACAATAGTCAGTGCCCGCCACGACCAATCTGCACCTGAATCCCCCGCTGGCATCATGACAAATTGCAAGTATGAAAGCGGCTTTTGTAACCAAAAAGAAGGGGCAGCCTTTATCTGGGCCCCTAACGCGCAACAAGCCTGCCTATTCAAGGAATCTATATGGCTCAGCGACGACAAAGAATTCGCTTTGTCATTTAACGCTTCAAACGAAAAGCTTACTGATTGTTTTCTTATAATTTAGTCTTTTCTTTTCATTCTAAATGTAATAAACTATTGTAATTGTCGTGTTGGTTTATTGGCGAATTCTACAATTTTCGGAAATTTATCATGTTTGTGCTCATTTTAACCCTCCCAAGCTCAAAAATTTCAAATTTGAGCTCAAAATCCACGTGGAAGAAGTTTCAGTGAAAATTTTAACGAAAACTCTGAACATTTCCGGAGAAAAAACTAGATAAATCAATTTTTGAACAAAATCTTTTCAAAACTCTGATTTTTCAGTATAACTTCGAATTTTGAACAAAAATCCACAGTTTTCAGAAAATTCTTCAGAATCTCAGGCTAAAAAATCCACGTGGCAACATTTTTTAAATTTCAGGTTCATTTGTGAGATTTGATGTTGAAAATCTCAAATTTTTCGGAAATTTATCATGTTTGTGCTCATTTTAACCCTCCCAAGCTCAAAAATCCCAAAAACCCCACCATCCACAAAATCGATCCAGTTGGTTGTTGTTGTTGGTGTCCGCCGGCGGTCCATTTCGTCTTTACCGTAGCCAATCCGAAATCACCAATTTTCACAGTCGTCATATCGTCCATCAGGAAAATATTGTTGGTTTTCAAGTCTCGATGAATAATGTTTTTCGAGTGCAAATAATTCATTCCCAACGAAACTTGTTTGAGAATATCGATTATTGCACCCATTTCGAATTCGACCCGTGGTTCTGTAAGGAAAAATAGATTTTTAGTGGAAAATATTGTTATTTTCGTTTTCAGCGCAAAAAGTTACCCTAGAATTAAAAGTTTAAGCTCAATCCAAGATTTTCAAAAAACCATGCCGCACTATGCAAAAAGGGGCGTGGCCTAATTTCACCGTCAATTTTCAGATAAAATATAAGATATGGGTATCATTCAACTCCAAATTTCACGCCAATTTCAAATCCGACCAACCTCTAACATGAATATGTCGATACAAACTACTTCCCTCACACCATTGTGTAATAATTGCCAATTCGGGTTCTCGAACCCATCCCATAAAAAGCAACACATTCAAATGCCGTGTTTTCTTCAGAACTCCAACCTGAAGGATGAAAATTGAATTTAGGCAGATTTTTGGGCCTGAAAAAGCCTGAAAAAGCCCGGGCTTACCTCATTTTTAAAGGCAGCCAATTGTTGAAGTGTCGGCTCGCCGACGTTCAACTTTTTTATGGCAACATTGCCGAAAAATTCGCCACGGTATACGGTTCCAAAAGAGCCCGAGCCAACTTTGTTGTAGATCTGGAAAAATTCGAGATTCGGGTTACTGTAGCTCGAAAATTTGTGCTAAAAAGCTAAAGGTGGCCTAGAAACCCAAATGTCAAATTCTAGTCCCCGCCTTCAAACTCACAATATACTCATTCGGCTGAATTTCCCAATCCTCATGATGCGCTTTTTGTGTTCCGCCAGTCGGTGTGACCGCAGCGCTTCCACCGGCATTCGTCGCTTTGGTGCGTTGCGTGTCGAGTCGTTCGCCGGGACTTCGACTTCGGTTGCGGAAGAATCCGGGCGAGATTTTTTGCGGCGGTGCGGATTGTGGCGGTGTGAGCGGAAGGGTGTGGAGCAAGTGGTGGGCGGTGGTGGAGAGCAATTGTCCGCCGCCGGGTGGCGATGAGCAGGTGGAGGATGGGCTCGCCGAGCCGGCGGTGAATTCGCTGCTCAGCGGATGCAGGCGATGATTGTTGAGGAGTCGAGGCGGAGGCGGAATGTGTCCGGATTGAAAGTGCGGACGGTGACGGGTTTGGGTGGAGAGGAGAAGTGAGCCGGTTTTATCTTTGGATTCTTCTTCGAGACGTTGAGCTTCTAGGGTGTCCAGAATGTGTTGCTGGAAAATTTTCATCAATTTTTCTCTCGGGGAGCCTCTAAAACTCAAAAATAAGCAAAATAAATCTCATTTTCGTTCTCAGGACCCAAAATCATCCCTAAACCTCAAATTTCAGCAAAATCTGAGATATTCAAAAAACCATGCCGCACTATGCAAAAAGGGGCGGGGCTTCAATAGTCCCTGCCAATTTTCAGATAAAATATAAGATATGGGTATCATTCAACTGCAAATTTCACTCAGATTCTGAATTTCGGGTTTTAGGGAGCTTAAAATAGCACAGTAAACTAATTTCGTCAGGTTATGACATTCCAAAAACAGCAGTAAATCTTCTAAAAATAATTCAAATAACCGTTATTTTCGTTCTCAGTGTCCCAAATAACCTAAGAAAACTAATTTTTAGCAAAATTCGAGATTTTCAAAAAACTATGCCGCACTATGCAAAAAGGGGCGTGGCCTAAATAGACCTTGTCAATTTTCAGATAAAATATAAGATATGTGTATCATTCAACGCCAAATTTCATTGCGATTCTGATTTTTGTGCTCTTCAGAGCTGTAAATAGCACATTAAACTAATTTCGCCAGTTATGAAACTCCAAAAACAGTAGTAAATCTTCTAAAAATCAAAAATAAGCAAAATAAATCTCATTTTCGTTCTCAGGACCTAAAATCACCCCTAGATTTCAATTTTCAACAGGATCCGTGATACTCAAAAAACCATGCCGCAATATGCAAAAAGGGGCGTGGCCTAAATAGACCCCGTCAATTTGAAGATAAAATATAAGATATGGGTATCATACGACGCCAAATTTCACTGCGATTCTGATTTCTAAGCTCTTCGGTGCTGAAAATAGCTGAAACTCAAAAACTCACATTATGCTGTGTCATAGCTCCATCATTAATCGCATTAATATTTGGGGCCGACGATGATCGATCTCTTGGATACGGTCCACCAACCGACGGTGATAGCGAAGAGACATCAGAATACTGTGCACCTCCTGGAGTTCCGCTGGCACCTGCGGAGATTCCGGAATGTCCGGCTCCGGCTCTTTTGACGCCGCCAGTTCGTTTGATGTTGGTGAGATCGGAATGACTGGATTCTGGGGTTGGAGATGGTCCGCTGGTTGGAGCCAAGCCTGCGAGCACAATTTCAGCCACCGATTTATCGGGTCCTTCAACTTCTGATGCGATTCCCATTAATCGTTGGACAAGCTGGAAAACCGGGCTTTTTGTGGGTAAAACTGGGCCATTTCAGGCCATTTTTAGGCCTATAATCCCCCAAAAATACTCACATCTTCATTTTTCGGCACCGACTGCAACAAATCGCAATACAACGGCGCAAACGAGGAGCATCGTTGGTGGAATTGGAATTGGCAGAATTCGCATCGATATCCCATCATCCATATTGGATTGTTGCACACGTCGCACGGTTTTGGCGGGATAAAAGTGCGCCGCACTATTGCGTGCTGGAAAAATAGAAGTTGGTTTTCTAGACCACGGCCACGGGGTGGAAATTGGGCAGTTTTTATATGGAAAATTGATGCTTTTTGATAAAATTTCAGCCTGCGGACTAGTTTTTTGGTTTTCTAGGCCATGTGGTTGAAAATTGGGTCATTTTTAGGCTTGGAGACTAGTTTTTCGAATTTCTAGGCCACGTGGTTGAAATTGGGTCATTTTTGAGCATATTTTAGCTTAGGGACTAGGTTTTTTTGGTTTTCTAGGCCGCTAGATGAACATCGGGTTATTTCTGATCAAAACTTCATGCTTTTTGACTAGTTTTTGGCCTCGGGACTAGTTTTCTGGTTTTCTAGGCCACGTGGTTGAAATTGGGACATTTCTGATTAGAAATTGATGATTTTTGACATTTTTCAGCGTGGGGACTAATTTTTAGTATTCCTAGGCCTTAGGGACTAGTTTGTTGGATTTCTAGGCCACGTGGCAAAAATACGGTCATTTGGAAAACTTCATGATTTTTGACTAGTTTTTGGTCTGGGGACTAGTTTTTTGGTTTTCTAGGCCACGTGGTGGAAATAAGATCATTTTGGACCAAATTTTGTGAATTTTCTAGTCCCCGACTTCAAATTTTATCATCTTCTCACGTTTTTGTCCCAAAAATCACTCACTTTTATCGACGAAACCGTATTCAAATATTCACTATGTACCCATAATTCATTTTCGGCCAGCCGTTCGGAAATCGATTCCATCGTTTCGGACAAATCGATAATTTCGGATTTTGGATCGGCCGAGCTGCTGACGTGGCATAGTTGCGGTGTTATGTCGCGTTTTTTGAGGAGTTTTGCGATTGCGTCGCGGGCAGTTTCGCCGGGTCGAACCTGGAACAAAATTGCGATTTTTTGAATCTAGAAATTAAAATAAGCGTGATCTATGACGTGGCAATTTTTAGATCTCATTTCTTGAGAAAAATTCGGATTTTTGGAATGTTTTGAGAATTTTGGGACGTGAACTTTCAGATATTGTTTTATTTTTTGAAAAAAAATCACAATAAAACTAGAAAATCATACATTTTCGTGTCAGGCCCCAAAAAATCGTAGAAATTCGTGTCAGGACCATAAAAATCACCATTTTTGTATCTGAACCATGAAAATTAGTGTCAGAACTTGAGAAATCGTGAATTTTCGTTTCAGACGCCGAAATATCATAAGAAATTAGTGTCAGGACTCAGGAGAATCATAAAAAGTCGTGGCAAGACCCAAAAATTCGTAGAAATTCGTTTCAGAACCATAAAAATCACCATTTTTCGTGCCATGACTCAAAAATGTATGAAAATTCGTGTCAGGACCCAGAAAAATAATAAAAATTCGTGACAGGACCCAAAAATTGGTAAAATTTCGTTTCAGGACCATAAAAACCACCATTTTTCGTGTCAAGACCCCAAAAAACCACATCTTTCGTGTCATAACCCCAAAACCCCGCAAATTTTCCCCATTTTTCCAATTGCACAACAAAACATCGCTTACCTCCACCTTACTGTGCTGATCAAACGGCAAATGCACAATAATCATCTTATTCTTCGGTGCTCTGGGCTCGGCGAGAAAATTGTGCAAACTTTCCGACGTTCGCGGACTGCACATTGGCGACGTCACGTCCTGCAATACAAGAGTTTTGGGTGACGCGCGCGGAAAAAACAGAAATTCAAATTTTCCCCCAGCACAAAACCTTTTTCTCGAGCGACGAGCCGCATCTCGGCGTATTTTTGCGGCTCATTCCGCGTCTCAAAGCAAAGCGGAAAACGGCAGCAATAAAATACTAGGAAATTCACGAAAAAAAAAATAATAACACTTAATAAAATCTCCGTCGTCTTCGTCGCCAAAAATTCTTTTTTTTTGTGGGGGGGAAAGCGAGAGAGTGCGGTTAGAGAAAACGAGACAGCAGGGGGAAAAGAGAACGAGGAGGAGGCAGCCGAGATGAGACGAAAAATCGATATTTTCAAGAGGGACGACGGCGACAAGCAAAAAATGGGGAAGGGGGATGTGAGGGGGGAGACACAAACACAAACAAGCAGAATTAGGAGAAGGTGAGAGCGCGAGCGATTCCGAGAGAAGTACACGAACAGGGGAACGGCGGAACTTACAATGTCTCTTGGGTTTCTAGGCCGGAGAGAGTGCGAGGACTTCTCCGAGAGAACTACAACTGGTTCCTCAGGCCATAAAGAGCGCTTAAACTTTCATACTCCGAGAGAACTACACAGAATAGCGAAAGGTCTGAATGGTCAAAAATACAAGGAAAACTTGAATTTTGGTAGACTTCTTCAAGAGAACTACACAGACTATAGAAAATACAAGGTTCGGACCATAAATAACGCGGAAATTCAAAATACTCCGAGAGAACTACACAGTCTGGCAGAAGGTCTAGATTAAGCTGATTAGGTCAAAAATATGTACAGAGAGAAAATGTATTTTTTTTTTTTTGAATGGAAATTTGCATTTTCTGATGACTCATACTCCGAGAGAACTACACAGATGGCGGAACGAACGATGTTTTGGGTTCCTAGGCCATATACGCCGCGGGAATTTGAATTTTGGTTGAAAATCTGAATTTTTGACTTATTTTTCTCCGAGAGAGCTACACAGATGACGGAACGGGCGATGTTTTGGGTTTCTAGGCCAAATACGGCGCGGGAATTCGAACATCGGTGGAAATATGGATTTTTCGTCATTTTTCTCCGAGATAACTACACGAATAGTGAAACGCATCGTCCGTTTGGGTTTCTAGGCCATATAAAGCGCGGAAGTTTGAATTTTGGTTGAAAATCTAAATTTTCTCCGAGAGAACTAGACGAACTTTGGATTTCCTAGGCGGAAATTCAAATTTTTCAGTGTTTTCCGTCCCGCAAAAATAAAACTCACCGATTTTCGGCGCGGAAAATTAAAATGAAAAATGGAATATAGAAAAGTCATGAATCAATCAGCACTCAAAAACTTAACAATGTGATTTTTCTTCTTCTTCTTCTTCTCTTCGTTTTTTTTTGTTTTTGCTCAACAAGTGAGCCAAGAAGATGAAAAGTGGGCGGGGCCTGCATGGAAAATCTTCTAGGTACAATATAGGAATACAAATTGCCACGTGGCTGCGATTGACACGTGTCAAGTGCAGAATGTTGGCTATTTTTGGAGTTTGGAGAGGAAAAGTGCGATTTTTGAGGGTTTTGGTACGAAAAATTGATATTTTCAAGGATCATGACTGATTTTTGAGTCCTGACACGAAAAAAAATTTTGTGATTTTTTAGGATTCTGACACGAAACTTTGTCGATTTTTCAGGTTCAGGAACGAAAAACGTGGATTTTTGGGGTCCTGACACGTAAAACGTGAATTTTATAGCACTGAACATGAAAATTCAGATTTTCAAAATTCCTAACACGAAAAACGTTGATTTTTAGGGTCCTGACACGAAAAACGTGGATTTTTGGGGTCCTGACACGAAATTTTGTGATTTTTTTTGGGTCCTGACACGAAAAACGTGGATTTACTGAGTCCTGACGCGAATTTTTATGATTTTTTTGTTCCTGACACGAAACTTTGTCGATTTTTTCGGTTCAGGAACGAAAAAAGTGGATTTTTGGGATCTTGACACGAAAAACGTGAATTTTTTAGTCCTGATGCGTATTTTATGTGATTTTTCGGTTCCTGACACGAAAAACGTGGATTTACTGAGTCCTGACACGAAAAACGTGGATTTTTGGGGTCCTGACACGAAAAAACGTGGATTTTTTGAGTCCTGACCCGGGAAACGTGGATTTTGTGAGTCCTGACCCGAAAAACGGGGATTTCACAGCGCTCCGAACCCGAATATTCAGATTTTTTGTGTCCTGACATTGGTTTTTGGGATCTGGTACGTATTTTATGTGGTTTTTTGGGCTTTGACCCGAAAAACGTGGATTTTTGGGATCCTGACACGAAAAACGTGGATTTACTGAGTGCTGACCCAAAAAAGAGGATTTTTTAGTCCTGGTGTGTATTTTATGTGATTTTGTGGGTCCGGACACGATATTTTATGATTTTCAGGTTCCCCTTATGGAAAACACTCACTTTTTGATAGAAAACCTGTTCCCAGCAATCTTTTTTCAAAAAATGACCAATTTTCACGTGAAAAATGCAAACCAGCATGTTGCCACGTCATAGGTCACGCGGAAAATTCAAATTTCCCGGGTCCCGAAGCGAAAAAAACGTGCTGTTGACTCAAAATTACACAATCTTCTCGAATCTGTGACCTAAAAATAATCAAAAATCAGCTCGAACATTGATTCATATCCGTCTTTTTCAGATCATCTTCTTCTGCTTTTTCTTCTTCCCCAGTGGTGTAAACTTTAGTGCAATAATGATGAGCGAAAAACAAAAAAAAAGTGAAAAAGTGTGGATTTTTTTTTCTTCGACAACAGATGTCGGAAGAAGAACGGACGAACCGATTTTTCAAAAACAAATTTTCATCCCGGTTTTTTTTTCAGAATGAAAAATGAATTGTGCTGAAAATTTATCGAAAGATCAAGTTTTGCACGTTTTCGCTTCGGGACCCCACATTTTTGGCGCGAAAACGGCTTACCTCGATTTTACTGTGTTGATCGAATGGTAGACGGACTATAATCATTTATCGGGAATCTGAAAAACAGGAATTTATGGGAAAATGCAGAACTTCATAGAAAATGACGCAAAAATGCAGAAACACGTGTATATCCACGCGAAGATGCAGAAAAACGTGGAATTTCACGCGAAAATGCAGAAACACGTGGAATTTGACAAGGAAGTGCAGAAAAACGTGGAATTCCACGCGAAAATGAAGAATTTCATAGAAATAGACGTAAAAATGCAGAAAAACGTGGAATTTCACGCGAAAATGCAGAAAAACGTGGAAATTTACGGGTAAATGCAGAATTTCATAGAAAATGATGCAAAAATGGAGAAACACGTGGAATTTGTCGAGAAAATGCAGAAAAGCGTGGAAGTTCACACAAAAATGCAGACACACGTGGAATTTTACGCGAAAATGCAGAACAACGTGGAAATTCACGCGAAAATGGAGAAATACGTGGAAATTCACGAGAAAATGCAGAATTTCATAGAAAATGACGTAAAAATGCAGATTTTTAACCGTTTTTCGAACTTGGAGCTGAAAAACCACTGAAATACGTCTTTTTTTGCGTCATCATTCAGAAAACACAAAATTTCACGAGAAAATGCACAATTTTCAATTTGAAAGACAAAAAACCAGCAAAAATTCTGAATTTCCGTGCTAACACCATCTGAAAACACTGAATTTTACGGGAAAATGCAGATTTTCAACCGTTTTTGGAATTGGGAGCTGAAACTATGCAAATTTGATGTTTGAATCGAATTGTGCAGCAGAGAATTTGCAGAAATTGATAATTCCCTTGCAAATTTCAAAAATTGTATATTTAAACCAAGTTAAATTAACAGAAATCAAAGAAAAACAATGAATTTTCTAATCTTCCTAGCCATTTTCTGCTCAATCAGTGCTCTCCGAGTATTTCCAGATGCAATTCAACGCGCTCGAACTCTTGACAGAAAAATCATTGGCGATATCAAATTCAAGAAACTCGCTGAACTTGCGTTGAACTTCAAGACTGATACATTCACCTACACAGCATGTGGAGGCCGACCAATGCGATTTTCTGACGTCGTTTCATTCTCACAAAACCTTCCGCTTCGTCAAGCGGATGCTATTCAGTCAAATGTGCTTTCCGCCCAGTTTTCTGGCAATACATTAATCTATCTTACCAGGATTAGCAATATTCCATTTGTCTCACAAATTCGTGGCACAGCTATTCCGGATGCTCGCGCACCAGCTGGTTTTAAATTGATTCGTGCTGAACAAGTTTGCTAGGGTTTTCATAAATTTTATGGGTGAAAATCTGCATTTTCGCGTCAAATTTAATGTTCTCAATACACAAAAACATGAAGAAAACGCAAAAACCAAGTTTTTCCCACAAAAAAATTCAAAAAATAAATAATAAATAAAAAGCGACGACGGAAAATGCGCCAGTCTTTTGCGCGTGTTGACACAAAATATTTCGGAGTGTATTTTTGAAATTGCCAGCCAAGAAAAGTGCAATCTGCTCAACACCACCACCAATTGCACCAATCGGCAAACTAGGAGGACGAGGACAATTTCAGAGAAGTTAGTTTATTTATTTTTTTGGGTTAAAAGTTTCCAATGGGGATATAAAATAAAGGGTATTCACAAGAATAAAAGGTGCTAAGTATACGTTTTTTAAAAATAAGGGGACTAGAAATAAGATCATTGGAAAAGAAAATTAAACATTCAAGACCGCGGATTTTTCAAAGTTTCAAGAAAAATTGTTCGATCTCTTAGTAAATCCTCAGCCGAGGACCGGCTCAAGTTTTTCGACTTCAAATAGCTGCAAAAAATTTATATCAACAATATGTATTTGATTTTTTTCAAAACAAAAACACTTACCTCATAAAAATTGACTCAAACTGGTCTTTTGGTCTGGTCAAGACGTATTTGTTTCTTTCTGCGACTTGCATTAATGCAAGTCGGAGACATTGAATATGGTCGTGTTCGACCAGAGCTCGTAGATTCTACAAAAATTATTTTTTTTTGTTTTTCATGTATTCTCTCACTCACTTTCTCGGTTTCCTTGAAGTTGAAATGCGTTATTTTGTTTTTTGTTTTAATTCGCATTGATTTTCGCATTTTGTTCATGGTGGAAACAACAGCAATTGGGTTTAGGTTGAATTTAGAAACAAGAAATCGTGAGGTATTATAACCAATTTCTTGTCCTTTTCGCGCAATTCTTTCCAAATCTTCTTTCAGCCACTCGTTCAAAAAAATTGCATAAATTTCAAATTTTATAGTCTGCAAAAACATGTGGTTATTTCAAGTTGACTATTATTTTAGAAAACTTACATCGCCATAATTGCCGAAGATTTCTTGAAAATCTTTCCTTGACAACATTTTTTCTGATTGATATTTGGGAATTTGGATTAACTTTTTCAATAGATCGATCTAAAAAAAACAGTTTACTTTCGTTTTTTTCAAGTCATCATTGTAAACTTACTCGATTTAAAAGTGTTCCTTTTTTCGCAAGGCCATACAATCTGGCTAATTCCGAGTTTTTTGCAGCTCTTCCAGGCATTATTTTCAAGTATTGTGAAAACGAAATGAACAAAAAAGTAGAACTTGCAAAAAATAAAAAAAAATCCCGGGAAACCGCGTAAAAAAAGAACGAAAAAAGGAAAAAAAGAAAGGGCTGTGTCTTTTTTTTCAATATTTTTTTGTTTTCACTTGAAAAATGAATTAAATGTCTCACAATCAGTATGCCAGAAAAAATATTCAAAATTTTTTTGCAAATATGAAATCTATGCAATATTGTTGGCTCAAAGAAGAAAAAAAATATCACAAAATTTTGAAACGTATAAATTTCAAGCTTGAAAAACTGTTTTTCAGAGATGTTCCACTGAACACAGTTTTTTTATATTTTTTTCTGAAAAATGCCACGTCATAGCTCATTATCGATTGATTTTGCAACGACACTCCGCAATGACGTTTCGCCTGTTGTTTATTTGTTTTTTTTGAATTTCACTCTAGAAGCTTTGAAATACAGAAATCCGAACTGCTCGAAATTTGTAGTTTGGATTACTGTAGTGTCCTGTGGTAGAGACGCCATTTCTTTTGCAGTTTGGATTACTGTAGATCAAAAATCACCTGAAAACTATTCGACATTTTTTCGTGGGAACCTGAGCTTTCGGATTACTGTAGTCTCAAACTAGCTACAAATCTCAACATTTTCTTAAAGTTCTGGTTTTTTGATCTACAGTAATCCGAACTGCAAAATATTGTTGAAAATCTGGGATCGGAGTTTTTCGAAAAAAATTTCCGATAAAGAACAAGAGCTAGGTTAAACAAAAGATCAGAAATTGCAGCAATAATACAATAGTTTTGAAACGTATAATTTAAGGGATAAATTACGTGTTAGATTTTCAACCTTTCTTTTGCATTTCGGGTTACTGTAATTTATTTAAACTGGAAATTATTGAGCTACAGTAATCCGAGCTGCAAAAATCTAAGTTTTTGAACCAAAATTTCAGATTTTCAGACCATTTTTTTCAAATACTTGTTTAAGCACAGTAATTCGAGCTGCAAAAATTCCTGATTTTTTTCCTGCTTGTATTTTCGTTAAATTTTGGAAACACGCAATATATCCCATAAATTATACGTTTCAAAAAAATGTATTATTTCTGCAATTTATGATCTTTTGTTTATGCAAATTCTTGGTTTTATCAGAAAATTGATTGGATGTTGTTTCAGATTTTTTTTTCGAAATACTCCGATGTTAGTTTCAAATAGTTTCCACTACTTGAAATAACCACATATTTTTAGCAGACTATAAAATTCGAATTATAAACAGAAGGTCTAAAATTGAAGTGATAATACAATATTTTTGAAACGTATAATTTATGGGATATTTTTATTTTCAATAAAATTACAAGATTGCATTTCAAAGCTGATTTACTATAGGTTGGGAAAAAACTAGAAAATAGCTTTTTAGAGCTACAGTACTTTGATATACAAAAATCCTAGATTTTCAACAATAAATATTCTTTTTGATCTACACTGTAGATTTTACAGTGGGCCGAACTGCAAAAATTGTATAGAATTATGAAGTTCAGGTTATTGTAGATCAGAAATCATCTGAGAAGCTACAGTACTCGAACTGCAAAAAATAACACATTTCGGCAGTTCGGATTACTGTAGATCAAAAAACCAGAACTTTAAGAAAATGTTGACGAGGGAAGTGTGTTATGAGTCTCCGGAGATTTTCAATGAGACCTATGTTTTTTAGGTCAGTTTTTCACGCTGATAAAGCTGCTGTTTTCAGTTTTTGCTGAACGACTCTCTGAAGTTTTTGTCAAAATTTGTGACTTTGGTAAATCGACCCTCGTGAACAACGTGATGCATTCAGTTTTCTATAAAAATAATTTCTAACATGAGTTATGGGCTCCCAAAAACGCGATTTTCAGGAAATTCTCAACTTTCGGCTCATTTTTGGGCTCTTCAGAGAGTCGTTCAGCAAAAACTGAAAACAGGATCGTTATCAGCGTGAAAAACTGACCTAAAAAACATAGGTCTCATTGAAAATCTCCGGAAACTCATAACACACTTCCCTCGTGAGATTTGTAGATAGCTTGAGACTACAGTAATCCGAAAGCTCAGATTTCCACGAAAAAATGTCTACAGTAATCCAAACTGCAAAATAAATGGCGTCTCTTTCACAGGACACTACAGTAATCCAAACTACAAATTTCGAGCAGTTCGGATTACTGTATTTCTCTAGAGTGAAATTCAAAAAAAACAAATAAACAACAGGCGAAACGTCATTGCGGAGTGTCGTCGAAAAATCAATCGATAATGAAATGTGAGTGGCATTTTTCAGCAAAAATCAAAGAAAATTGTTTCTGTGGATCTTTGAAAAACAAATTTTGCAAACCTGAAATTGATACGTTTCAAAATTTTATGATATTTTCGAATTAGTATCGCGACAATAATTTTTGTTCGTTTGATACTTTGAGTTCCTATTAATTTTTAGTACACCTGTAATTCCGTCAAAGTTTAAAAAAGAGCGACGTGGCCAAGTGGTATGTACTGCTGATTAGCATTCGCAAAACCAGGGTTCGATCCAACCCGCCGGCAAATTTTTTAATTGAAAATTTGAAAGAATAACATTTATTTTGTGAAGAAAATCAATATATACAAACAAAATTCGAAAAAAAAACCCTGGTCATGGGGAGTGTCGTTTGGATTTCAACGGATATCCGGGCTCCAACACGGGCTGTGGACAATGATCACAAACAGCATGGCTACCAGGTGGACCTGACATGCCAGCTCGTCCCGGAAGCCCATTCCGTCCACCCACACCAGGCCCTCCAGCGATTCCAGGTGCTCCCGGTGGACCTGGTGGTCCAACTTTGCCTGATGGGCCTCGAGGGCCTTGTGGACCTGGCTGGCCTTTTAGGCCTGGAATTCCTGGTGGGCCGATGATTTGTTCTTCGACATGTTTTCCATTGTCTCCAGGGGGACCTGGTGGGCCTTGAGGACCTGGGGGTCCAGGGGGCCCTGCCAGACCTGGAACTCCATCGTCACCATCTTCAGTAGTACCGTCTTGTCCACGTGGACCAGGCTCACCGGTCGGGCCTTTCGGGCCAATCGGGCCTGGTGGGCCTGGCTGTGCAGGAGGGCAGATTTGACAGGGCTCCCTGTCGATGTCAGCTATACCATCACGACCAATTCGTCCGTTCTTACCAGCCTCGCCGTCGAGCCCATTTTGGCCGTCTAGGCCTGATGGGCCTGGCGGGCCCGGTGGGCCATATCGTGGGACGCAGGCCCCATTGTAGGCTGTGCGAGTGTCTTGGAACACTGAGCTGGATTCTGGAAAAGCAAAGGATAGGGGGGGGGCTACGCCTAATCCAGGAGCCCCCAAAAAACTCACGTCCTCCCACAAAAGTGGGCCGCTGAACATATCCACCAGCCTGATATCCGCCAACCAGGCCCGGCCTGGCCCGGGCCCTCAATACCTCCAAAACTTCCGGATAGTAGTTGAATTGCCCCACTTGCGAATACTGCGCAGCGTATTGCGAATTGAAGTTGCGTTTTTGTCGCGCGGCGACAAATTCGCTGCGATTCCGCGCGGCACCGCGAATCTCATCCAACGCCTTGTACATGCGGAAACTGTCAAAAGTGCAACGACCGAGTTGCTCATCGACGGAGGTCTGAAAGAATATTTTGAGGCGCGCGGAAGGCACGCGGAAGGAACGCGGCAACTCACCACCGCTTGCAATGTTGAAGAGATCAAGATGGGTAGCGCGAAAATCGCAATCAACGCGGTGAAAGTCGCAACGGCGAATGTGAAAATCGCCAAATTTCGCATTTTTGTCGCCGCGCGACGTAGCTCCTCCACCTCCTTCATAATTAACCTGAAATCTTGCGAATTTTCGGAAAATCTCGCGAATTTCACAAGAAAATGCGAATTTTTCGCAAAAAAATCGTATAAAACCTGAGAAAATGTAAATAAAAGTGATAAGCGGCCGAAAAATTGGGAGAGAATATACCTAATTTATTGTAATAAATACAAAAAAAAAGTGAAAAATTTTGAGGTTTCTTTTCTAGCTGTTGAGAAAACCGGATATTTTTTTATCAGTGAAGAACAGAAACAAGCGAAAATATTCGCTTTGATCAATTAAACATCAAATTTATGACGTAATTTAGCTTGTGAGTTAGGCTAAGTTAGATCTTTTTAAGGTCTTTTAGGTCCTAGGGACTATTCATCATCAAAAATTCGCCCGCCTTTCAAATATAACAATTTCAACCAAGTTGAAAAACAGCATCATATGATGATCATGGCCGAATGGTTAGCACGCGTGCCTATCACTCACAAACCCAGATTTCAAGCCCACCTTGCACCCTACTTTTTTTTAAATTTTTTTGTACTTTTCTGCGTGTCTAACAAGCTTTTCCGCATTTCGCAAAAGCTTCTACCTAATCTAATCAAAGATAAAAAATAAACAAAATAATTAATTATCTCATATAGTTTAACAGATTTTTCATATGTTTTTTTCCGCTATGATAACAAGAATTTTTGTGTAAAAAAATTTAAATTAAAATTAATTTGCAAGATTTCTACTTACAACACTCCGCTATTACACTCGATTTTTCCCACAGCGCGAAACTTTGAAATTCAAAAATTGAATTTTTAAAAAAATTTTTAGGCTTAGGCTTTTTCAAGGCTTATTTTCATGATTAAGGGCTTTTCACACGTGGTAAGGCCTTCTTAAGGAGCTTTTTAGTTGGTGTGAACTTAGGTTAAGTCATAAAATGATTTTAATGCTCAGGAATCCCTTGGAGATCAAACCACACCAAAATCCACCAAAAAATTCGCGCCATCAAATCAAAAATTAAAAAGAATGTGTTTCTTCACATCAAAAATTGATGGTCCCTTTTTCCCAGAAAAAAGAGCTCGCAGCGATTAAAAAATGCATGAAACTATATTTTTTGGAGCATCCCCACCCGCCCCATTTTTTCTCATTTTGTGTGACTTCTCCTAACTTCGTGCCATGCAAGTCGACGCGGATTTTCGACCAATTTTGGGTCCACAATTGGTGCGACTTGATCCGATGCGCATCAAGCAGTTGCAGTGAGTTTGCAGCGTGCGCGGAAGCGGAATTTTTGATTGAAAGAAGCCTTAGAGGTCTGAAAAGCCTAAAATAGGCCTGAAAAACCTAGAACAGCCTTAGCAAGGCTTACTAAAAGCTAACGAGGGAAGTGTGTGACCAGTCCCCAGAGATTTTCAATGAGACCTATGTTTTTTAGGTCAGTTTTTCACGCTGATAAAGCTCCTGTTTTCAGTTTTTGCTGAACGACTCTATGAAGAGCCCAAAAATGAGCCAAAAGTTGAGAATTTCTTGAAAATCGCGTTTTTGGGAGCCCATAACTCATGTTAGAAATTATTTTTATGGAAAACTGAATGCATCACGTTGTTCGGGAGGGTCGATTTACCAAAGTCACAAATTTTTGATTAGTAAGTCCATACTTTTTCAGAAAACAATTTTGTGGCTCAGAAAATAGGCTCAGGTCATGGATTGCACATTTGAAAATTTTTGGAAAATTTTGTCAAAACTTGTGACTTTGGTAAATCGACCCTCCTGAACAACGTGATGCATTCAGTTTTCATAAAAATAATTTTTAACATGAGTTATGGGCTCCTAAAAACCCGATTTTCAGGAAATTCTCAACTTTTGGCTCATTTTTGGGCTCTTCAGAGAGTCGTTCAGCAAAAACTGAAAACAGGAGCTTTATCAGCGTGAAAAACTGACCTAAAAAACAGAGGTCTCATTGAAAATCTCCGGGGACTCATAACACACTTCCCTCGTAAGAAGCCTTAAAAACCCTAAATACGTCCGAAAAAGAGCCTAAGAGAGCTGAGAAAAGCCTGAATAAGCCTAGAACTCGCCTGATAAGCCTAGAGCAGGCCTAAAAATCAAAGGAAAGCCTGTAAAGGCCTAACAAAGCCTAGAAACCTCAAGATGAGGCTTAAAATAGAAAATTCCCATACCTGGCAAATCGGAAAAAAGCTCAAATTTTAATATTTTTTGTACGGCCTGAAAAAGGCCTTACCAAGCCTAAAAAGCCTAATTAAGCCTAGAAAATTCAAATTTTTCGAGTTCGGACTCAAAAAATCACGAATTCCCATACCTATGACGTGGAAAACTCAACAAAAGCTCTAATTTTCAAATTTTTCTTGTACGGCCCAAAAAAGGCCTTACCAAGCCTAGAAAATCTCATGTTCGCACTCAAAAAATCGGGAAAAATCCAACCATTTCCTCTAAATTTTGAAAAATTCCCAAAACCTATGACGTGGCAAGCCAATTTCAGAGACCCTCTCGTCTATTCGTCAATCGATTCTCTCGCCAAACTCTCGGCTCATTGTCTCAATCTTCGTGCGCCTTTAACCACTTGCGAGAAATTGATCAACAGCGACAACACACTGTATTTGGCGTGGAAATTTGACGAGGAGCAGAATGTGAGCCGACTTTTGGGATTCGCCAAAGTCGGACGCAAACAGTTGTTTTTGTATGATTCGCAGATGCAGACGTATGAGGGAGAGGTGGGTCTATCGCAAGCTTTCCGCAAAGCGCCGGAAGGTTCCGCGTACGCGGAAGATTGCGTAAAAACTTCGTATCTAACAGATCCTATGTCTTCTCGACTTCTACGTCCACTTCTCAGCTCAGCGTCAAGGCGTTGGCAAGCAACTTATCGATTATTTGTTGGCGCAAGAGCACGCGGAGCCCTATCAGGTAGGTCTCGACGCGATTTTAGGCCTAATACAGTAATCCTCTTGCAGCTCGCTTTGGACAATCCATCGGTAACACTTTTGGGCTTCATGTCGCAAAAATTCGGAATGTCCAAGCCGGTTTGGCAAAATACCAATTTCGTCGTGTTCGATGAATTGTTCCAATCGTTCGCCGCGGAAAATGGAGGTATTTAGGAGCGGTCGCTCGCGGAACCACAATTTCTTTTCAGAAAAAGCGCCCGACGGTTGGAATCGTCCACAAACTCCGCGTCGAATCGGCGCAGTGTCGACCGATACTCGCTGGCTTCGCAACGCTGTCAGCGGACATCAATCAAAAGGCAACGCGATGGCGGCGCCAGTTGATGCGGATATGACTCCGCAAGGTGCGTTGAGCAATCGTGCACATCAGGCAAAAGCCCGTAAGGCCCATATTTTATCTAGCAAGCCATTATGGTAAATGTGGCCTTTTGGGCTATTCGCTTTTTTGCTTATTCTTTTTTCTATGTCCTAATTTCTCTCCCAAGCTTTTCCTATTACTAATGTTAAATAAATTGGTTTATGATACAATTGAAAATTGGAAAAACACATAAATTAATTAATTTTCTTAAAAATAAGAGGAAAAATTGCTGGAATATCACATAAATTAGAAATAAAGAAAAGAGAAAACTCGGATTGCGAGTTTTGTTTGGAAAACGTTAAAAAAGCCCGGCCAAAGAAACATTTTTGATTGATTTTTCCGCACAAGTTAGGGGAAAACCAAGGGGAAAGGGAAGGGAGAGGGAAAATACATTATGTGTGGAATTTCGAGTTGACGCAAGTGGGGGGCGCCAGAAAAATCGGAAAACGGGGGAATGGTGACAAAGAGCAGCATTTCTTTTTACACATATTAGGTTTTTGACAATTGGTTTGACAACCAGTCGAGTCCTTCGTAGAGTCCGTGTCCTTGAGTGGCACAGGTTGCTTGGATGTACCACTGGAAAAAATTCATATTGATTTTTTTAAAGGGAAGTTCCACATCATAGTTGGACATCGACTAAATGACATTTTTATGTTTTTTTAAGCGAGTTAGTTGAAATATTGGGTTCTAATGTTATTCATGTGATAGAATGGTCTAAGACGAACAGAATGATATAAATTTTGAGTTTACGGTATCCCTAAGTGATTTAGCGACGTTTAGTCCATCGACTCGGCTTATCGACTAAACCTCGCTAAATCACTTATGGATAACGTAAAGTCATCAAAATTTATATCATTCTATTCGTCTTAGACCATTCTATCATATGAATAACATTAGAACACAATATTTCAACTAACTTGCTTGAAAAACATGAAAATGTACATTAGTCGATGTCCAACTATACTTTATATCGTTAAAAACCAGAAAATTTCAAAATTCAATTCGAAATTGAAAAGGAAAATGAAATAATTAATAAAAAAAGTTCACGCGAAAACTAAAAATCAACGATTTTTCGTTTTCCTCCAATTTTCAAGTTTCAAAAACCCCTCGAGATCAAGAAAGCTTCCAGAAAATTCCAAGATTCAATCTTCAATTCGAAATACGATAAAAATCGTAGATCTTATCGAATTCTTCCGCGATCCTAATTTTTTTCCCGCTTTTTTTGACTTCGCCCCGCAAAAATACCTGTCTCGAGCGGAGATTATGAAGTCCAAGTTTATCGGTCAATTCAGCGGCGTTCATCGCATTCGGCAAATCTTGTTTGTTGGCGAACACCAAGAGAGTGGCATCGCGGAGCTCGTCTTCGTTGAGCATTTTGTGCAACTCTTCGCGCGATTCTTCGATACGCTCTTTGTCGTTAGAATCGACGACGAAGATGAGCCCTTGGGTATTTTGGAAGTAATGTCTCCACAATGGACGGATTTTGTCTTGACCACCGACATCCCAGACGGTGAATGAGATGTTTTTGTATTCGACTGTTTCGACGTTGAAGCCTGCAATAATTAATATTGATTTTTGTTGTTGGAAAATTGAAGGGGTTGGAAAAATCGATGTTTTTCAATGGAAGACACATTAAAACAGAAAATATTGATGGCAACCTATATTTGATTACCAGCTCAAAATCTTGATTCCACACCGGAATAACCATTTTCCAGTTGAAACCCGGAAATGTCAGACAAAATATCTCAAATTTCTAGCTGACAACCCTTAATTTCACGCATGGACAATTTCAGACTCAAGATAATTGAACTTTGTGTCCAGAAATTCTAATTATAGCCCTGAATAGTGAAAAACATAGATTTCCAGAACGAAAAATTCAATTTCTATCTGAAAACATCGACATTCCGCAAAAAGTCGATATTTTCGAAGAATTCTGAGCTGACTCCGCAAAGGGAAGAACCCTCCCAAGCTTTTCAGATGAAATTTCTTCTAATTCTTAGCCAGAACTCGATTCAAAACCATACCGATTGTTGGAATAGTGGTGACGATTTCTCCCAACTTCAACTTGTACAAAATTGTTGTTTTACCAGCCGCATCAAGTCCGACCATAAGAATACGAACCTAGAAATAGGATATTTTATTTGGGGATCGAGAAAAACCATGTTTTTCTCAAGTTTTTGCGCAAGTGAGTAGAAATCTTGGGTTTTAAAAGTAATCATAGTGTTGAGAGACCTAGAACAATTCGAATAATATATTTTTGATGATATTAGACAACTCAGAAGCACAAATCAATAAAAATTAACGTAACTTCATCAAAAATTATATCATTCTAATTGTCTTAGGTCTCTCAATCCTATAAATACGATTAAAACCTGAAATTTCAACTAACTTTCGCAAAAAGCATGAAAACATCATTTTATTTTTCAAAAGCCTTACTTGTTTCTTGCCAAAAAGTCGATTAAAAAGCGATGAAATAGTCAAACCCATCTCGTTTTCTGAAAACAATGCAAAAATTTCCAACTGAAAACCTCAAAGCCCAGCCCTCAAAACCAAAAAAGAAAAAAGGAGGAGAGAAATCCAGCACTACACACGTGTAATTTCGATTAGTTCACATCGCGACAAGACCCAACACACATTCGTCATCTATGCGCCTTGAATGAGAGAGTGTGTGTTTTGCGGAGAGTGGTGAGGGGGAGAAAGGATTTTTCTTTTTTGCATTGCATTATTTGGTATAGAAAAGTCATGCATTTGGAATGATGAAAATGTGTGGATTTTTTCGATAGTTGGGGGAAAATGAGAGATTAAGAGACGCAGAGTTTGATTTTTGACAATTTATTTGACAGAAATTTCACAAAAATGAACGTTTAATTTCAAATTTTCCAATCTTCAAAAGCGAATTTCGCATTTCAAAGCAATCGATGTCAGTCTTGCCAGTAATGTGCACATCTTTCGCAATTTTCACCTGAAATTTTATAGTTTCTGAATTACCGTCTGAAATTTTCTGAGCTTTGGTTTTTCCTAGGAGATTTCTAGCAAAAATCAATGATTTTCAGAAAATTTTTGACGGAATTCAGCGGAGATGCGGAAGCTATGCCCAAATTTTGATTTTTCTCAAGGTCTCAAGTCTAAATATCGTGTTTTTAGGGTTCTAAACGGTTTCTAGGCCACCAAAATCACATTTTTGGATTTCTAGGCCACCAAAATTGAATTTTTGGATTTCTAGGCCATCTGAATGGTTTCTATGCCACCAAAATTGAAATGTTGGATTTCTATGCCATCCAAAGGGTTTCTATGCCACCATAATTAGATTTTTGGGTTTCTAGGCCATCTAAATGGTTTATAGGCCATCAAAATCAAATTTTGGGTTTCTAGGTCGCAATTTTGACCAAATTTTCACCCAAAAAACTACAAATGTATCGATTTTTTGCAGTTCGGATTACTGTAGCTTAAATTTTTGAACCTTTTCGAGCTACAGTAACCCGAACTGCAAAATTTCACGTTTTTGCAGTTAGGATTACTGTAGCTCCAAAAAGTTTCCAAACTGCAAAGCAAAATCTCACTTTTTTTCAATTCCGAAAAATGTACAGTAATCTCAAGTGCAGACTACTGTATTGCTCAAAAATTTAAGCTACAGTAACCCGAACTGAAAAATTTCACGATTTTTTGCAGTTCGGATTACTGTAGCCGAAAAAAGTTCCACATTTAGATCTACAGTAACCCGGACTGCAAAATTTAACCAGGGTTTTGCATTTCGGAGTACTGTAGCCTACAGTGATCAAAAATTACTAATTTTCTTCCAATTACAATGTTTATTATCTCAAAAAATTCAATAAAACAATAAAAAATCAACAAAAATTTAACAAAAGGTGGTGCAAAAACTCGGGAAATTTCAATAATAACAATCTTAATCTTCGTCAATTTCAATTGGATTTTCAGCAGGTGGAGCTTCAACCAACGGTGTTTTTTTGAGCGCTTTAACTTTTCGAACTTGAATATCATCGGTTCTTTGTTTTCCAACGTGGACTCGAGCCAATTGATTTCCGAAAACGTCTTCTGACAAATTCTTTCTTCGTTTTTTCTGCAAAAAAATGGATTTTGGAGAGGAAAATTGGGTTTTAAAACAATTTTTCATAAATTTTGCCTCAAAAAATGAGATTTTCTCGTGAAAAAAAATCAATTTCAGCTCAAAATCATCAAATTTACACTCAAAATGATCCAAATTTCACTCCACGGCTCAAAAAACTCACCAACAACGCCTTCGGTTTCTTACACGCCAATTTGAACAGCATTTCGTCGGCCAATTTTTTGCGCAACACTTCAAAAGTCAACGATGGTCCCATTTCGGCCAATTCGACGCGTGGAGTTGCGGTTGCCGATTTTTTGAGAAGTGGTCTGCGAAAAATTTAAATTTTCATCATTTTCAGCTTGAAAATTTGAATTTTCACAAATTTTGAGCTCTTGGTTCAAAAATCATCGAAAAATCCAATTTTCAAGGTTTCTAGCTCAAAAAAAAAATGGAAAATTAACGCATTTCAGCTCAGTTTCACTGGAAAATCGATATTTTTGGGTAAAATCTGGAATTTCAAGGTTTCTAATGCAAAAACCTTCAAATTTCTTAAATTTTGGGCTTCAGAAGCCCTATCCATCTGAAAAATCCTGTTTTTCGCCTTGTGGGACGAAAATCATTCCATTTTTCAAGGTTTCTAGCTCAAAAAACTGCAAATTTAACGGATTTCAGCTCAGTTTCACTCAAAGATCGATATTTTTTGATAAAATCCGGAATTTCAAGGTTTCTAGCTCGAAAACGTTCAAATTTCCTGAATTGTGGTTCAAAAAATCAAAAAATTAAAATTTAAGAGTCTTTGGCTCAAAATATCGATTTTTCAAGTTTTATAGCTCAAAAACCTTCAAATTTCTTGAATTCCGCTTCAAAAATTCCCCCAAAAATGCACCAACCTATAAACTCTCATCGCCAAATGTGTTTCATCAACAGCTGTAAAAACAATGACAGTTTCCAAGCCTTCAAGTCGAATTCGATCAACATTTGGACCGCGGAACCAATCAATCATCAAATTTCCGACTCTTTTCATATCTGGATCCGATTCGAAGGCGGCTCCTTCGAGAATTACACATGGTTTTGAGGCAAGAGTTTGTTTTGGAGCCTGGAAAATGGGATTTGGGGGAATTTTCGAAATTTTCAAGACTCTCAAAACACTCCAAATTTGATCCCAAAAAGCCTCACCTCAAAATTCGAAGACGATTGATAGGCGACAATTTTCATTTCAACCATATCCAATAATTGTGCATCATAGGTTCGACCAAAAGTCATTGAATTCGGGCGTTTTTTCGAATTTGAGGCCAAAACGAAGAGAGATGAGTCGAATTTTGAGCCGGCTCGAACAACTGGAGTTTCGTCTTCGAAAAGATGATATTGATTGTGTCTGGAAAGAAAAATTGGAGATTTTTTGAGTTTAACATGAGCAATTCTGTCGATTTTCATGAAAATACCAGTTTTCGTTAAGTTTTAGTTTGAAAAATTGAAATTTCCAGGAAATTTTGAGTTTAACATGAGCAATACTGTTGATTTCATGATTTTTCAGCTAAAAAATGAATTTGGATGGGAATTACCTTAATTTAGGGTAAAACCCTGGGGTTCAGGTGAAAATTAATCATTTCTGATCATTTTCAGCTCAAAAATATCAATTTGAGGACGAAATGCCTCATTTTTGACAAATTCAAGCTAAAAAATACTACTAGAAGCTGAAAATCCAAAATTTGAGGTTTTCCCATGAATTTTTGGGCAAAAAACTCATTTCTGAACATTTTCAGCTCAAAAATATCAATTAAGGGTCGAAATTCCTCATTTTTTACCCCAAAACCCCATTTTCCACCCGAAAAATCCACAAACTTGTCCATTTTCACCGTCAACGGTTTCTTCAAATCATACAAATCGGCCATTGCACTATTCAAAATCTCGTTGGTTTTTGCACCGCGACAAAAAAGCGCTTTTTTGTCATTTTCCACAGTTTTCGACGCGCGATCCTCCAAAACTCGTTTTCCTTTTTTCGTCTTCACTTTTTCGACACGTTTTGAGGTGGCTTTGGATTTGACCATTTTGGAAGGGCGGCTGAAAATGGGTGAATATGAAAATTTGTTCAAAAATCGATTTTTTGGGGGTTTCAGGTGAAAATGTTGAAAAAATCGATTTTCGCAGCCAAAAAAAGAAAAAATATTGAAAAAATAGCATTTTTCTTGAAGTTAGGTTGGAAAACTCATCAGAAACCAATATTTTAGGATTTTAAATTGAAACTATTGAAACGTTCATGAAAAATAGAAATTTTGAGATTTTCGGTTAAAAATATAAAAATCTAGGCGTTGAGCTCGAAAAATCGATTTTCCAGCCTAGAATCTCTAAAAATATCATTAAAATTTGGAATTTTCAGCTTTTTCTTCTCAAAATTTGGCTGAAAATTCTATGTTTCATGAAGTTCAGCTTCAATTTCGATGGAAATCCTAAAAATAAGCCTTAGAATCGATTTTTCACCCTTAATTTCGTCGAAAATTCGATTTTTCACTCAAATTCCCCGAAAACCTTATGAAAAATCCCATTTCCAGTCATTTCTCTCAAAACCCATCTGAAAATCCCACTAGAACCCCGGGAAAACCCAAAAAATAGGCGAAAACCCCAAAAAATGCGAAAAAAAAAGAGCGTGGCCTAGAAAACCAACTCGTCACAAAAACTAGTCCCCGCCGAAAAACTCGGCCACGCACAGTGTCCCGAACGCGTATTGCGCCAGCACTCCACACTCCACACACTCTCTCGTTTTCTCTCTATCTCTCATCCGTCTCTTCAGCAAAGCGCACTCTCTCATCTTTTTTTGCGCTTTTGTTTTTTTGCTGAAAAATGCTGGAAATGTTATTTTGGTAACTAAATCGAGTATGGAGAAGACAGAGGAAGAAAAATTGAAGCTATTCCAAGTTGTTTCATGAAAAATGGTTGAGAATGAAATGAGCAAGAGCTCTTCAAAAAATAGCTTGTTGAAAAACATCATTTCTGACCCAGGAAAACTGATAAAATTCAGTTTTATGCTTCCAAAACATTGAAATAGGACTCCTCATGTATGTGGAATCAATAATAATTAGAAATTATGCTGTTTTTGTTATTTTATTTTCCATCGAAATTTGCCCAAAATTGATCAAAAAACTAGATTTCAGAAGTTTATTTTGATCAAATAATTCTTAAAACACCTTGAAAGTATTCTAATTTACATATTTATCATAAAACAAGTGCCAAATCACATTTTTCCTTCATAAAATTTGAATTGTTTTTCTTCAAAAGATATTAACTAACTTATTTTGAATCCAATCTTCACATGTTTTATATCAAAACGTTCCTCTCATTATTCTCCAGAACATATAGCTCAGTTTGGGAGTTTTCATGCAAGTATAATTGAATTATAATCGTTTCAAGAAAAAACCTAGTGTTAAATTTTCAAAAAACCGACAAACAGGCTTGTGCGCTCTACCGCACATGCACCAAAAATGCGCACAACTTTTCTCTGCCTACGCGTTGGGGGCACTGTGCCACGTCTCATTTTTTCGCGTTTTGGCTGAAATTCTCAGGAGAATTCGATAGAAGATATGAAAACAGTGGAAAAACTGCAATTTTCAGCCAAAAATACGTGGATTTTCAGAATATTCATTTATTTATTCATTTATATTTTCAAAAACAAACAGATTATTATTCCAGAGAGAGATAATAGAAAAACAGGAGAAATAGAGAAAAATTACAGAAAAACAATAGCTGGAAATAATATTGGAGAGATTATTTTGGCGCGAAAAAACTTGTGGGGAGGGTACTGTAGTTTTTGTAGGCGGGCTCGGCCCAGATTCAAAAAATAAAATAACTAGGCGAATTCTAACTGGGGAACAATTGTATAAATGCAGTGTTTTTGTAGTATGGACGGAATAATTTGCAATTTTTGGCGCCAAATTCAAATTTGAACTTTTGAATTCGGCGCCAAACCGGGAATTATTGATTGATTAACAAAAAAATTACAGGAAATCTGACATTTTCAGAAATTATTGCCATCTTGAGGCACGAGATCGAGTTGGAGGTGGTGGAGGTGGAGATTCTGCAAAAATTGACGAGTTTAATATGAGCAATGATTCAAATTTCATTAAATTTTTAATTTTCAATGTATTTTTAGAGGTTAATCTGAGCAATGCTTAAAATTTTATAAAAATTATTATTTTCTGGTCAATTATAGACTGAAAATTGAGATTTCCAGATTTTTAAAATTATAATATGAGCAATGTTTCAAATTTCATGAAAATTCGGGATTTTTTGAATTTATTATGAGCAATCCTTAAATTTTGATGGAAATTTGAATTTTTGATGTGTTTTTCGAGCAATACAGCTAATTTTCTAATTTTCAACAAAAAACACAGTTTTTTGCTCAATTCCAGGACAAAATTCGAAAAAATTTCAAAATTTTCGACAGTTTTCACGCTGAAAATGTTGATTTTCAGATTTTTTGTCTAGAAAACGATCTGAAGCTGTTTTTGAGCTCAAAATTGATCCTGGGCTCAATTTTCATTGGAAAAATTATTCAGGAGCCAAATTCCGGCTCAAAAATCGTCCAAATCAAAATTTTTCGAATTTTAGCCAATTTTTGATAGAAAAATCAGTCCCGGGTCAATTTTCATCAACTTTTGCAAATTTTAGACTCAAAAATCGTCCAGAGCTCATTTTTCAATAGATAATCTGCTCAGGGCTGAATTTTTGTGATTCTAAGCTTTGAAACAGCTCCTGGGCTCATTTTTCATGAGAAAAATCATCGAAGAATCAATTTTTCACCAAAAAATTCATCCATGGCTCAATTTTCATCAAAATTTTCTGAATTTTAGCAAATTTTTCACCAAAAAATCACCCAGAGCCCATTTTTCATCAAATTTCCCCCCAAAAATACTCACGTTTTCTGGTAGAAGAAGAAGGCGATCCACTTCCCAATCCAAATTCACTAAACAATCGATCCTTCAACGACATACGTGGCGATTCATCAGCCGATTGGGTTACTGTAGATGGTGGTTTGGACGAGGAAGATGATGAAGAAGGATGTGGTGGTGTACGTGGCAAATGTTGTGAGCCACGTGGCGGTGGTGGAGGTGGTGGGGGAGGAGCATAACGAGCCGATTCACGCAGAAGACGTGGATCTTCCAAAACTACACCAGTTGGTGGCGGATAGAAGGATTTTGGTGGTGAGGGTGGAGCGACGAATGGAAGTTGGGCGAGCTGCAAAAGAAATTATAACATGAGCAATGCCCAATTTTTGACCAAAAATTGAATTTAGATGATAAAAACCTCATCTCCGGTCAGAATTGATCATTTCTGAGCATCTTAACATGAGCAATGCTAAAGTTTTGGGCATAATATGAGCAATGCTCAGACTGAAAATTCAGTAATTTTCTGGCTGAAAATAAGGATTTTTGAAGAGAAATGAGCACAAAACTCGAGTTTTTCAATCCAGAGCTCGTTTTCTTCTAAATTTGATATTTTCCAGGGTCCGGAGCTCAAATTTGAGCCGAAAATCAATTTTGGAGAAGTTTTCAAGCTCCAGAGCTCAAATTCAATCTGAAAATTGATTTTCAGGTTAATTTTCCGACAATTGATCAGATGTGAGAAGACTATCAAAAATTTCAAAAACCAATCATAATTCATAAATTTTTGAAACGTATAAAATTTGGACGATTTTTTTGGATGAAAATTAGAGCATTTTCAGATAAAAATTCTGATTTTCCAGCATTTTTTGAAGCTCCAGAACTCAATTTTCAGCTGAAAAGTGATTTTGATGGGAACATAATTTAGGGTAAAACCCTGGTTTTTAGGTGAAAGTTGATCGTTTCTGACCATTTTCAGCTCAAAATACCAAATTTTTGACAAATTCCAGCTCAAAAATACTATTATGAAGCTAAAAATCCAGAATTTCAAGTATTCCCATAAATTTTTGGGTAAATAAACATTAAAATGAGCTCTAGGGTGATTTTTGGAGCCTAAAATTGAAATTTTGACGAAAAAACGAGCGTAGAATCGGTTTTTAGGCGAAAAATTCAATTTTGGAGTAAAAAATCATATATTTAGTATCAAAAAATCGCAAATTTCCCCATTTTCCCCCAAAAACACTCACATTTTGCCCACTGGCTCCTTCGGTGCTCGGAATAAAACCGGAAGACGATGGTTTTTGGCTGACCGGCGATTCGTCTTTTTGTGAAGAGCTGGTGTCAATTGGTCCGTGATAGATTCCAGTTGGCAAATTTCCAGATTTTCGCATTTTGTATTCGGCAACCGAGAGACGCTGCAAAAATACACTGATTTTCAGACGAAATTTTATTTTTGATGAAAAAATCGGCCCTAACTTACATTTTGGCACAATTTTCAATGAAAATTCAAAACAAAACACAACAATTAACCCAAAAACTCTAATTTTTGATGAAATATCGACTCTAGGTCAGATTTTTTATAACAAATTTGATAAATCTCTGTAAAAATTCGTCCAGGGCCTAATCTTCATCAATATTTCGATATCCCCAGTAGAAAATTCGCCCAGAGCCTAATTTTCGCTAAAAAAATCGATAATTCGGCCCAGAAATTCGCTCTGGTCCAAATTTCCAGTCAAAAATTCGTCAAGGGCCTAATCTTCATCATTATTTCGATAATTCCCTCCAGAAATTCGCTCTGGTCCAAATTTTCGTCAATATTTCGATATCCCCAGTAAAAAATTCGCCCAGAGCCTAATTTTCGCTGAAAAATCGATAATTCGGCCCAGAAATTCGCTTTGGTCCAAATTTCCAGTAAAAAATTCGTCCAGAGCCTAATTTTCATCATTATTTCGATAACTTCCCTCTAGAAATTCGCTCTAGGACTAATTTTCGCTAAAATTTCGATAATTTGGCCCTCTATGGTCCTTGTTTCGTAATATTTCCACCCAGAAATTCGCTCTGGTCCAAATTTTCGCCAATATTTCGATGGTCCCAGTAAAAAATATATCCAGAGCCTAATTTTCGCTAAAAATCGATGTTTCCAGTGAAAAATTCATCCCTCCAGAAATTTGCTCTAGGATTAATTTTCGCTAAAATCTCAATAATTCGGCCCGGAAATCCTCTATGGTCCTATTTTTGTAATATTTTCACGCAGAATTTCGCTCTGGTCCGAATTTCCAGTCCAAAAGTAGTCCAGTGCCTAATTTTCGTCAATATTTCGATAATTCCCTCCATAAATTCGCTCTAGAACTAAGTTCCGACTCAAAATTCCCTCATAAGTCTAATTATCCTGAAAACTTCGTTAACTTCCCTCTAGAAATTCGCTTTGGACTAAATTTCGCTAATATTTCGATACTTCGACCCAAACTTTCTAATTTTCCTGCAAATCTCGATAATTTCACCGAAAAAATTGATCAGACCAAGTTTTTCAGGTATTTTACAAGCTTAATATGAGCAATTCTTGAAAATTTCGAGGAAATTTGGGATTTTCAGAAATTTTCGAGTTTGACATGAGCAATGCTCAAATTCACAGCTATTTTCCAAGTTCAATATGAGCAATGCTCAAATTTTCACCCTGGACCAAATTTTTCGTAAAAAATCCAATTTCGTGCTCAAAACTCGGCCCCAGGGCTAATTTTCCATGAAAAATCCAATTTTCGACCCCAAATTTCAAAATTCCCACCTTTCTCGTCACTTTTTTTGCCTCCTCTTCAATCGCAACAATTTTCGATGTTGTCGGTGCTGCAGCAACTTCTTGTTCTCTAACCATCTGCGTCTCTTCCACTTTCTCAATCTCTGCTTCCTCCTCATTTTTCTCTACCGTCTCTTCAGCCTTTTTTCGTCTCTCACTCTCTGATTCTCTCTTCTCTCTTCGTTCTCTACGCTCTTTCTCCTCGTCTTGTTTTCGTTGATCTTCAATCATATTTCGAACTTTTCGAGACACCTGAAATTAATTTTTGGGTCATTTTCAGCCAAAATTCCAGATTTCTCACCTTATCCTCCTTGGTCATCCAACTCGACGGATCATACCATTGTTTTCCGAGTTTTTCAGCGACAAGTCGCGCGTTTTCGCGAAATTGTGCGCGAATTTCGCCGAAAGTGAACTTTTCGACAGAGGAGCGACGCGTTTTTTTCGACGGTGAGACCTCACTAACAACTTCAGCAATATGTCGTTTCATCCATTGTTTTTTGAATACCATCGGTGATTCGACTTTTTGATTTTGTGCCGATTCTTTTGCCGCTTCCGCTTTCCAACGTTTCAATGGTGGAACTGTGGCTGATGTTGTTGTGGTTTTGGAAATTGAAGCAGAGGCTGAGGCTGCAAAATTTTTTTTTGAAATTTTCGAAAAAAATCTTGATTTTCGACAAGTTTTAAAGGGGGTACGGGCTAATCAAAATTTTATGGAAAAAAATATACCATCTGAAAAAGGAGGTTTCGTTTAGTATGCTCTCAAATTTTTATAATTATTTTTCACGTTTGAATACCATTTTTTCACGCGCAAACACGAAAAAGTTGCGCTCGACCTCAGAGAAATAGCATAGAGAAACGAGAGACACAGCGCATAGAAGGGGGCGGGGCCTAAATACGCTGTGTCTCTCGTGTCTGCATGCTATTTCTCTGAGGTCGAGCGCAACTTTTTCGTGTTTGCGCGTGAAAAAATGGTATTCAAACGTGAAAAATAATTATAAAAATTTGGGAACATACTAAACGAAACCTCTTCTTTCAGATGGTATATTTTTTTCCATAAAATTTTGATTAGCCCGTACCCCCTTTAAGGAAAAAAAGAAATCTCGGATTTTCAAGCTCAAGGGCTTAAAATTCATCAATTTTTCGTATTTCAGGTCAATTTTTCTGATTTTCAAGCTCCAGAGCTCAGAATTCATCAATTTTTTGAATTTCAGGTCAAATTTTCAAGCTCCAGGGCTCAAAATCGCTCACCTTCGGACTCGGCTTCCGATTCCAATCTCTTCTTTTTCTGTCTGGCCGACAATTCTCGAGTCGGCGTGGATTCGGCGATTTTCGCCGAAACTCTTCTCGCCGATGTTCGTTTTTCAGCCGGTTTTTCGGGTGTTTCTGGAATCTTCTCTTCTTCTTTTGGCTCAATCTTTGGCTCCTCCTCTTTCAGCTCTTTTTCCACTGATTTTTCTTTCTTTTCCGCTGTTTTTCCAGTCGATTTTCGTTTACTTTCCTTCTTTTTCGCCTCTTCTTCTTGTCGAGAGAATAGAATTTCATATTGTTGAGTTCGACGTTCTTCGCGGCTCTGCAAAAATGGGGCTTTGGGATAAAAAATTGGATTTCACAGCTAGAAAATTATTTTAGCCTAATTTTCGAACAAAAATCTGATTTTTTGATACCAAAACTGAATTTTTCAGCTAAAAATTACTATTTTCCAGATTCCAAATCCTAAAGTTTAGAATCAAGGTTAATTTTATTCAGGATAATATGAGCAATACTAGAATTGTCATGAGAATTCGGAATTTCCAGGTGTTTTTCGAGTTTAATATGAGCAATACTTGTATTTTCATGAAAACTTGAATTTTTCAGGCATTTTTTCCAGTATAATATGAGCAACGCTTAAAAATTCATGAAATTTTGGAATTTCCAGGCGTTTTTCGAGTTTAATATGAGCAATACAGCTGCTTTTGTGATGTTCAACACAAATTCCGGTCTTTTCGCTCAAAATTCAAAAGATTTTTAGATTTTCAGCTAATACTGAGCCTCGAGTCAATTTTCACGCTGAAAATCTTGATTTTCAGATTTTTTTTTGGCTGGAAAACGGTCTGAAGCTGTTTTTGAGCACATAATTGATGCAGGGCTCAATTTTCACTAGAAAAATCATTCAGGAGCCAAATTCAGGCTCAGAAATCGTCCAAGGGTTATTTTTCATCAAAATTTTTGAATTATAGCCAATTTTTTATCAGAAAATCTGCCCTGGGTCAATTTTCATCAAATTTTAGGCTCAAAACCCCCAAAATCCTCACCAATTTCTTCTCTCCCTCTTCCGATTTCCTGCCAACCGACGGCGATTTCTCGAGGCTAACAGCTCGCGCTTTCGGCGGGGGTTTCGGCGCAACAACTTTTGGAGTGGTTTTGGGAGTCGCCGACTGCTTGGCCGCTTCCCGCTCTTTCCGCTGAATATCCGCTCGTTGTGCCGCATCCACCAAATCCTCTTCATTCTTCAAAATACTATCAAAAATTGCGGGTCTTTTGGGTGGTTGTGGGACATTCAAAATCGGCGGATTTAATCGAGCCCGCTCAATTTCCGGACCACAATTCGTTGATTCCTCTCCAAAATGATCGGCGCAAGTCAATTTGTTTTTTCTTTGTCTCCAATCATTATCAAAAGGCAGTGTAATTTCAGTATTATATGGAATGAAGCGGGTGGCAACAATCATTACTCCCAAAATGCCTTTTTCGTCCAAAACATGCTTGAGAACACAATTCGGTTGACAACTTCTGCAAAAATTCGGAGATTTTCGAGGCTTAGGGTATTTCTAGATTTATTTCAGGCCTCAAAACGGCCCTTTAGGTCAGTGTTAGACTCTGGATATTCAGGCCTAGCCAACAATTTAGTTGGGTACTTTTAGGCCTAGCAAAAATTAATCTAGGACAATTTTTAGGCCCAGCAAAATGAGAGTAGGCTTGCCAAAAATGGGCCTAGACAAATTTCGGGCTCACCAAATGTCTGCCAACTTCAGGCCACTCAAAAATTGATTTGGACCAAACGTAGGCTGATTTTCAGGCCTGACAACATTTCTAGGCTCATTTTTATCCTAAATAAAGTCTATTAGCTGAATTTCGCCACGTGGATTTTTCAGGCTCATCTTCAGGCCTAGCAAAATTCAGCAAGGCTTATTTTTAGGCTTCTCCAGGATATGTTTAGGCTTATCAAAATTCTACCCAACTTCAGGCCGATCAAAACTAGATCTAGACCAAGTTTAGGCTAATTTTCAGGCCTGACAACATTTTTAGGCCTATTTTTCAGCCTTCAGGCTCATTTTAGTTTCCAAAAATCCCCCAAAAATTACCTTCTCGTATATCTCGAATCATTTCCCTTCTTTTTCGCATCAATACAAATCAATTCATTTCCAGTGGATGGTCCAATATCCTCTCCAGTCGGTCCTTTCATTAGGCCATCATATTGATAGACACCTGCAATACCACCAGCTTCTCTCGTTGTTTCTTCGGGTCGGCAAACGTAGCCGGACAATTCGATGATGACTTGACGAGGATCGACGGGCGCTGTTGAGACGAGGCCTGGAAATTAGGAGAGTTTGAGATCAGGCTTGACTTGAGCCTAGAAATTCAGGATTTTTAGGCTTTTCATCAATTCCCTACCCATACCTTCAATATTCTCCTCAACAAACATTCTTTTCGCTCTCGTTCGACTTTTCGCATCTTCCAAAAGTCCCGATGCTCCACTAGTTGCTCCAAGTGTTTTCAACAATCTTTGGGCGGTTCTCGAATAATCGTTGGCATCGGAATACGGTGGCGGATCGGGTTTGGTGAGTGCGGAAGCGGTTAATGAACGGCGTTTTGTTGCATCTTTTGGGAGACTCTGCAAAAAAGAGGAATTGGTGATTTCCGCAAGCTTCCGCATGTGCGGAAATGCGTAAAATTGGGTTGTTCGCAACAAGGCTGCAAGGTGAATTACATATAAATCTTTCAAATTTCTCTTCAAAAATATTTGAAACGTACATTTTTCGGGGGATAAAAATTCAAGCAAAAAATCTATTTTTCAATTTTTTTTTCTAGAAAAAAAAATGGCATTGCTCATGATAACATAATTTTTACAGGGATTGAGAAAAATCCAACATTTCAAGAGATTCAAACAAATAAAACCACATATGAATTATTTTTCAATTTTTCAAATTTCACTTCAAAAATTATTGAAACTTAAATTTTCGGGGCAATTTTTTGGCATTAAATCTCAAAAAATTCACGCTGAAATTGAAAAATAAAATTTTTCAGCTAGAAATTCATCAATTTTGAAAATTCTCGGAATGAAATAAATCAAAAATCTTCAACAATTCTGAATTTCAGGTTTGGAAAATCACATTTTCAGCCTAATCAAAGAATTTCAGCATTTTCAGTGTCTGAAAATCCAGAATCTCTCACCTTTCTCGCTCCTCCGCTCTTCTTCTCCTTTTTCGCCGTCGCTTTCCTCAATCGATCCAACTCGCGTTTTTGAATTTTTCGCGCTTCCGTTTTGGTGACCGACAAAATACGCGGCTGACAAACTTCACATTGATAATTGTTCATTTTGTCGGCTTCCGATGGTTTCAAGCCCATGCATAATGTGTGTTGCCAATTTCTGCAATGAAAAATTGGATTTTTATGTTAGGATTTGGCCGAATCCGGGTTGCAAAATCAGATTTTACAGTCTCCAGAGTCAAATTTCCCGTAATTTTCAAGGTCCGAAGCCGAATTTTTAAAATTTTGAGGTCAAAATTAGATTTTTCTAAATTTAGAAGTTCAAAAAACCATTTTCAAAGTTTCTGAGGCCAGATTTCCATGAATATGAGGCCCAGAGCAAAATGATTCACAGTTTAGGACCTCTAGAGTAAATTTTTCAGAATTTTCAAGCTTCTGAGCTGAATTTTCATGATTTTCAGGTCCAAAACCGAATTTTTCACAATCTACATCATCTAGGGTCAAATTTCATCAATTTTCAAGCTCCCGGGCTCATAATTTCCCGCTAAAAAATGCTACCAACCCGCATTTCTCGCATTCCACACAATGTCCATCACCATGCGACATTTCACAATGACATCTCATCGTCCAATCATCTCCAAAATCTCCACCCGATTCACCACCCTGTTTCACTCCATCACTTTCCGAATCCGAGTCCTTGTTGACACCCGGTGAATTGATTGGTGGCGGTTGGTGCATTTGAACAGCGGGAAGGTGTGCTGAAGGTATTGGAGCAAGTGGATGGGTAAGTGGAAGAGGAAGTGGGAGCGGGTGAGCGATTGGTGGCTGCGCTGGCATTGTTCGAACACCTTGACCAATTCGGACAACATTTCCTGGTGGAATTGGGGCATCTTGTTGATTTGATGAGGTTGACCAGCGATTTCGCGTCTGAAAATTTGGATTTTCAGATTTTTTCCGAGAATTGGGATGAAAATGGTCCAAAAATCATTTTTTCAAGATTTCATGCTGATTTTGAGCTGAAAATCGTTAAAATCTATAAAAATCCACTAAATTTCAGGTCTAAAAATTCCAGACAAAATTGTCTGAAATTCCATCAAATTTTTAGGCTTTTTTGTAGTTTTGTTTATGATAGACCCCCATTACATTTCAATTTTTCAAATTTTCCTTCAAAAATCATTGAAACGTACATTTTCGGGCATAAAAATGGAGCAAAAATGCTGTTTTTCAGAAAATCTCAAAATTTTTGGCTGAAAATTTTGAAGAATACAAATTTTCAGATGAAAAATTCATCAATTTTTTATAAGAAATGTAAAATCCAGCATTTTTCGAGCTCTAAATACAGAAATTTTGACAAGTTTCATCAAATTTCATGATTCCTGGCTCAAAAATGCACATTTTCAACATTTTTGGATAAAAATTCAAGTTCCAGGAGTAAAAAATCCTCTAGAGCTCGTAAAAAAAAATCAAATTTCATACATTTTTCAGAGCTGAAATGTATAATTTCAGAATTTTGAATGATTCAGGGCTTTCAAATTTTCAGCCCTAAAAATATATATTTTCTGGCTCAAAATTGACCATTTTTCATATTTCTAGCTCAAAAATCAAGTTCTCTGGCTCAAAATGCTCCAATTTTCTCAAATTTCATGATTCTTGGCTCAAAATTTCTCAATTTTTGATTTATGGCTCAAAAATGCTCATTTTTCCCCCAATTTTGCTCAAAAATCCACTCACCCCCGTGCTTCCCTTTGGTCTTCCACGTTGTCTAGCTGGTTGATCATTGGGCGTCAATCCGGCCAAAAACGAGCTAACCGCTCGTTTCCTCTCAGCTCCAATCATCGGCACCATATTTTGCTGTTGTTGTTGCTGATGTTGCAAATTTCCCTCCTCTTCCAATTGTTTTCTGGCCGTTTCAATGTGTTGTTTAACACGCGCTTCAGTCAATTCCTTATCTGTGGCACCTCCACCATTTTGGCTCGAATTCCATCCATTTTGGTGGGATTTTGATGGTGTTTGGTGTGCAGAAGAAGAAGTTGGAGGTGGTGCTGGCACAAAAGATTCACACGACAATCTGATATCATTTGCAAGGCGAGTTATCTCATCTTTTTCTTTGGCAGTTTGTTGAGTGTTATTTGTTGGAGTTGATGTGGATGGTGTTGGAAGCGTGGATGGCTGCAAAAAGGTTTTTAATCCTGAAATTGAAAATATTTGAAACGTGCATTTTTCGGGGAAATTTTTTGGGATAAAATTTCAAGCAAAAGTGCTTTTTTTTCTAGAAAAAATATGGCATTGCTCATAATAACATAAATTTTACAGGGATTCAGAAAAATTCAACATTTCAAGAGTTTTAATAATAAAACATGAATTACATTTCAATTTTTCAAATTTCTCTTCAAAAATTATTGAAACGTAAATTTTCGGGGGATAAAAATTCAAGAAAAAATGCTTTTTTATAGAAAATCTCCAATTTTCTGGTTGAAAATTGAAAAATACAGATTTTCATCTCGAAATTCAACAATTTTGGTAATTCTTGGGTTGAAATAATCCAAAAATCATCAATTTCAGGTATAAGGATTATTGAAAACAAAAATTTGTGCTGAAAATCGATTTTTTCGGCTTGAACTTCAGGTATTTTGAGCTGAAAATTCAAATTTCAGCAACCCCCCCCCCTAGAAAATGCCACCAACCCTAGCTCCTCCCAAATTCGCCGCATTCACCGCTTCCGCAACAGCCAACACAACCGACGCCACATTATTTTCCGCAGTTGCTGCCGCAATCGGATCGGGCATCTTATCCTTTTCCAAATGTTTCGCAATATGCGCATTCTTCTCCTCTTGACTCATTCGATGCGGCGGTTTTACAGCACCCATTTTCGCCGGCGAATCCGCGTCCGCTTGCGGAGCCGCCGCTTTCGCCGGGCTCTCTTGGAGAATCATTTCCGTTCCATCTTCCCGTCGCTTCTGTCCGTGACTTCCAGCTCTTCCGCGCACCAAAAGCCTGCTTCCGCGTGCCGGAACCAACATTGGTGCAACACCTTCCAAATTGGTGAACTGCTGAGGTTGTTGGGGTGCAGATATTTGTTGTGGTGGTGGTGGAAGTGGAGCTGGTGGTGGGCGAAGTGAAGCTTGTTGTTGGAGACGTTGTTCTTGGGTCATTCTGGAAAAAATCTTGATTTTCAGGCTTTAAAAATCCCATTTTTGCACAAATTTCAGGTCTGTAAATTCCATTTTTCCAGACAAAACTATTGCAATATGTCTGAAATTCCAGATTTTCAGGCTAAAAATCCATCAAATTTTTAAGCTTTTTTCAGTTGTTAAATATTCGTGATCGATTACATTTCAATTTTTCAAATTTTCCTTTAAAAATCATTGAAACGTACATTTTCGGGTATAAAAAATGGGGGAAAATGTTTCAATATATGAAAATTGACAAAAACAAATTTTCAGCTGAAATTTCAGGTCTAGAAATCAATTTTTCAGAAGAAATGTGAAATCCAGCATTTTCGAGCTCGAAATCCAACAATTTTGACAATTTACAGCTAAAAATCCATCATTTCCACACCTGACGAGACGTGTCTAAAATGGACACTGTACATTTTTTCAAAAGTCACACTGTATTTTTTCGAAAAAAAATCACTTGTTTCCTTTTCACCAACATTTCTCCCTTCAAATAAAAAACACGATTGTCCGAGTGGCTAAGACGCTGCGCCCTCAGTCACAAGGTCACGGGTTCGGTTTTGCTCAACGAAGCAATTTTTTTATTTTTTTTTCAATTTTTCACACTATAACAAACAAGTTTATACCTCGAAAAATCTTCATTTTTAAAATGAAAATAGTTTCTAGACAGTCTTTTATCTTATTGGAACTCCATGTGCAGTGTGGAAATTGATTACTCGCCTAGAAAAACATAGTGTCCAGTAAAAAACTGTTTTTCATCAATTGTCACTTTCAAAATCAATTTCCACACTGCACATGGGTAAATTCAAAAACTAGACACAAAAATAACCCTACTTTGTGAAGAAACCAAACCCGGAGGTTGCCTTATTAAAAAATGCCCCGCGATTCTTTCCAGTGGCCAATTTTTCCATCAAAATGGACACTTCAAAATAACAGCGAAATAGGGCATTTCCACACTGCACTCATGGTGTTCCACACTGCCTATGACCTTAGCAATCTATCATAAAAAATTCAACCATGTTCGTCAAGTCCAAGCTTAGTTTTCCTAACTTCAAATTTTGAGCAACGTTGCAACGCATTCGTTTGAAAACAGTTTCCTTTCCACCAACATTTTCCCTTCGGGAGAAAAGAGAGATGTGGCCGAGAGGATAGCAGTTTTGACTGGCGTGCATGAGACCAGGGTTCGAGTCCTATTGCCGGCGAGGTTTTTTTTTTTCGAAAACTTCAGATTTTCACGCTGCACAATTTTTTTTTTGAAAAAATTTCACACTGTACAAAAATTTTTGGACACTGTCTCTCCAGGTGTGATCATTTCAATTAAATTTCAGATTCCTGGCTCAAAATTGCTCATTTTTTCACAATTTTCAGCCCAAAATTAAAGTTCTCCGGTTGCTCCAAATTTTTTTCAATTCAATTTTCAGGCTTAAAATATACCAAATTTCGCTCTGAAAATCGAGAGAGAGATAGTGCACTAACTTTTTTTGAGAGATAGTGCACTAATTAGTACAATCTTCGAGAAGATTCCAGGAAAAAAATCCCCACGAGGATTGTACTAATTAGAGCACAATCTTTCAAATGAGCACAATTTATTTTTGCTCAGCCTGAGATGATTCTCAGGACAAAATTTGGTATATTTTAAGCATGAAAATCTATTTGAAAAATTTGGAGCATTTTGAGCTCGAAAATTGTGAAAAAATGAGCATTTTTGAGCAAGGAATCATGAAATTTAATAAAATAATGGAATTTTAGCTTAAAATTGTCAAAATTTGTGAATTTTCAGCTCAAAAATGCTGAATTTCACATTTCTTCTGAAAAATTAGATTTTTAGACTTCAAATTTCAGCTGAAAATTTGTATTTTTCAATTTTCAGCCAAAAAAATTGAGATTTTCTGAAAAATAAGCATTTTGCTCCATTTTTTATGCCTGAAAATGTACGTTTCAATGATTTTTTGAAGGAAAACTTGAGAAATTGAAATGTATTACATTTTTCTTATAAACAAAACTAAAAAAAACTTTAAAAATCTGATGGATTTTCAGCAAAAAAATCTGGAATTCCAGACAATAGTTTGGTTTGAAAATGGGGATTTTTAGACATGAATTTTGAGAGATTTTAACGATTTTCAGCTCAAAATTAACATTTAACATTGAATTTGGGACCATTTTAAGCTGAAATTTGAGTATTTCAAGCCAGAAAATGCTCTAGATTTTATCAAAAAATAGATTTAGAGCGCTAATTCAAAAATCCGGGGCATTTCCCTCAAAAATCAATAATTTTGGCATTTCCGAGCTCGAAAATATGAAAAATGAGCATTTTTGAGCCAGAAAATTTGAATTCCGATCAAAATCTCTCACCTATGCGGTGCAACATCAGCCATTCTCCTATGAACTGGTGAATAATGTTCACCACCAGCAGCGGCGGCAGCAACACTTCCAGCAGTCGCAGCAATTCCGCGATTCGCTTGTCCCAAAATCGCCGGTCTTTGCGGAATCGTTCTTCGAATCAAACCGGCCGGTGTTGTTTGTACAATATGTTGATAGGCACCGGGTTGACCTTGTTGTTGTGGTGGTTGGCGACGTGGAATCATTGGTGAATTTATATTGGTGCCAGAACCAGCGGGTTGAGCTCGTAGAGTTCCGGGTTGATGATGGTGGACTTGGGTGTAGATTGGTTGACCGGATTGAGAGAGTTCCGCTGGAAAATAATCGTTGATTTTGGAATATAGGCTAATTCCATGAGGATTTCTGTTAGAAAATCTGATTTTTCGAGACAACTTTAGGATTTTACTGATTTTTTTTTTACAAAAATCGGCTCAAAAATGCCACGTGGATTTTTTTGCATTGAAAATCTGATTTTTCAGCCAAAAATCACAAGCTTTTCAGTTTCCAGGTCAAACTTATCGATTTTTCCCATTTTTTTTAAATTGAAAACCCTGAAATTTTCAACAAAACTATGATTTTCCTTGAATTTTCTGACCAAAAGCCCAGTTTTCAGAGAATTTCCGTGAGCCCTTAGTTTCCAGAGCAAAAAATATCGATTTTCTAATTGATTTGGACAAATTTGTTGGAAAATTAGTGAAATTTTCAAATTTTTGTGAAAAATTCAGATTTTTGGGTAGAACATCTGATTTTTCAATCAAAAATCTCAAGCTTTTCAGGTTCCAGGTCCAAAATTAACGATTTTTCCATTTTCTTTTGATGCTAAAAAGTGGTTTTCCATGAATTTTCTGATCAAAAACCCTTTTTCAATCAAAAATCTCAAGCTTTCCAGGTTCCACGTCCAAAATTATCGATTTTTCCCATTTTTCAATGAAAAAAACTGGTTTTCCATGAATTTTCTCACAAAAACCCCAAAATTCTCAATGTTTCGCCTCACCTCTCGGTCGCATAATCTGTCTAGTCTGTTGCAAAATCGTCCTGCCGCCCGCCTGATATCCACTCGCACCACCAACTCCACTTTCCGTCGTGACTCGATAGGAATTTGTTGCCGGCGCCCGCGCCACTATCGAAGGCTCATTTCGTGTCGGTGCAAAATGATGATGATGATGATCACCCGAAGATGATATAAAATGTGCATTGTATTGTTTTGGCTGATTTGGAGCAGCGGCTCGCGGATGAAAATGAGTTTGGTGAGGTGGTGGAGGTTGTGGTGGAGCAATTGGCAAAACATTTCCATCTGTAATAAGAAAAATCAATAAATAAATATGTATATATAAAAAAAATCCCACATTCATCAAGCGGTCCAATAATAGGAAAAGGTTGTTCATCTTCCTCATCATTTCCTCGATTTTTCAACTCTAAATTTCCATAATTATGATCATCATAGGGAAGCCCGCCATTTCTTTTGAAATGCGCTTCTTCGGCTCGCGCTTCATCTTCTGATTCCGAATCGATTATTACTTGAATCGGAGCTTCCTCCTCTTGATTTTCTTGTAGATTCGACGGCGGTTCTGTCGCCAATGGTGCTTCAGTTTGAGGTGGTGCTTCGGCCATTCTTTTTTTGTTGTTGTGAGTTTCGTTGGCTAAAGCATGCAATAGGTGATTCTGGAAAAATAACATTTTTCAAAAAAAAAATTTCTGAGCTCAAAAACACAAAAAACAAGATTTTTTGACAAAAAATCAATAATTTTGGGAAAATTGCCTTTCCCGCCATTTTCCCCCTAATTTTGGGTGATTTTCCACCTCCCAACACCCAAAACCACCCCCAAAACCCCAAAAATCCCCCAAAACTCGAAAAAAAGGGAAAAATCACGAAAATATTCGTCGACGAGGTTGTGTGCAAAACAGCGAGATTTAGTGAAGACCGCGTTGCAAGCGGGTGCGTCGCGTGCAGCTGCGGCGGCTTGGCAAATAGCCAAGGTTGAGTCTTGCAGCGAAACGCCTGCTGGCCTGTTGCCAACGACGAATGTTCGTCGCGGTGTTTGCACAGCGCCGTTGTCGACAGTAACCCATCTATTTTTATTTTCGAGTTTTTCGCTGAAAATGGCTCAAATCGCTGAAAATTATCGAGAATTTGTGAAACGTGTGTTGGGAGCATGGAGTGGCTATCAATTAGCATTGGATAATTGCTGTGGCGGTGATGAAACTCGCGAAAAATCACAGGTTCGCCAAATCCCCCAATAATCCCCTAAAAATCCCATTTTTCAGTGGATCATCGATGTGATTGCCGAATATGTGATAACTACACGTAATTTGAAAGCTGATGAGATGGAAGAATGGCTCACCAACATTCTCTATCACGATTTCGACCTAATTTTGGAAGATGACAGCATCTACCAAACCGCTTTCTTGTTATTAGAAGCTTATGGTTATATCAAAAATGGAAATGAAGCCGGGCTACAACAATTGCTCTCAAGTGAGTATTTTCATAGAAATATCCTAGAATTTTGAAGAAAAATGATTTTTAGATCTTCCAAGCGACGAGGACATCGCAAAAATCAAAAAACAAAGTGTTCGTGGCGCTGAAGACGAAGATATGGAAATGGATGATTTAGAGGAGGATGATGATGATAATGAGGAGGAGGAAGCGGGCTCAAGTCAACGAGAATATGCTCCACGACGTGTTAAGGAAGTGGATGAAGATGGTTGGACCACAATTACTCGGAGATAGGGAGGATTTCAACTTTTAAGCTGGATTTTTTTTTCATAAAATGCTGAAATTGCAGAAATCTAGGTCTAATATGAGAAATTCCGGGTTAAAATTGAAAATTTTTATGAAAACCTGATATCATAGAGCTTTTTTTGAAAAATTTTGAAAAAAACCCTTCTGAACAATTCTATGATATCAGATTTTCAGAAAAATCATCTTAGAAGCTTTATTTTTCAATTTTGACACGGAATTGCTCATGTTAGAACTTGATTTCTGTTATTTTTGACAAAAATTTCGTCTAGAAACATATATTTTGTGAAAAATCTGTTGTTTTACGTGTATTTGTTGTTCCTCTTCCTCTTTTTATAAATTTCTATTTTTTTTTTGCAAAAAACCAAACCACAAATCAAATTCCCTCCCCATAGAGATTAGACTACAATTTTCTATAATAATAATATATCCAGCTTCTTCTTCTTCTTCACATGTTATTATTATTAGTTATATTAGTCACTTGTTTATCCCCGCTTACATCTCTCAGAGCGAAAAATCGAGAGCTGCGCGGAGCCTCTTGCGCGCAAGCTCCGCCCATATTTCAGCACGACGACAAATTATCTGCACATCTCTGGCACCCTCTCGATAAACCGTACTCTCTACGCGTCGGCTCATTTTTACACTGCCTGCCAGCCGTCTGCGTCTCTCATTTCGCCACACTATTTCCTCGTTTTGTGGTCTCTCGACTCACCTCACATTTTTGTGAAGAAAAAAAAAGCAAATTTCATTATTTTTTCATTTTCTTTTCTGTTTTTGTGTTTTCTTTTCAAATTTGCTACTTTTTTGGGGTTAATTAGAAGCACTCTGCGTCTCTCAATTTTCCATGATCTCTCGCCGTAGAGAAATAGCGAGAGAGTATAGGATTTTGAGAGACGCAGAGAAAATAATGTGATAATGATAATTAGTAGAAAGTGCATGTCTTATTTCTCATAATTAGAAATTCTCAGAATCTGCACGCACTTTTAAATAAATTTATTTTTAAAACTAGAGTCTAGTCTTGCGCGCAACTAGAGTCTAGTCTTGTTTGAGGCTTAACTAGACTCATTTTTGAGGGGATTTTAGTACGAAATATTCCACGTGGCATTTTTTTGAAAATTTCAATTTTTTGTGCTTAATTTGAATTTTTGTTGGGTTCAAAACTAGAGTGTAGTCTTGGGCTTAACCAGACTCTTGTTCAATTTTTGCAGCTTTTTGGAGCGAAATTTGAAATTTCGATTTTTTTTTTGAAAATTCAAATTCAATTTTTTCGCGCTAAAATGCCACGTGGCAGTGTATTGGCGGTGGTAAATTGAAAAATTCAAATTTAATTTCCAGGCCAAACAACAACACTCCGCGATGACGCAAGAACTTCAGGCGGCGTTGTCGAACGCCGTGAAAGAGACGCACAGTCTTTGGGAGGAGAATAAGGATTTGCAGGGGAGGTTTGTGAACGACTTGGCCGAACTTCAGCGGATTCAGTTGGCTATTGGACAATTGGAGCAGGAACATCGCACAGATCAGCTACATCAGGTAAAAACGTGGCCTAGAAATCCGAAAATAACTCTTTGGTGGCCTAGAAACCTTTGAGATGGCCTGGAAACCCAAAAATATGATTTTGGTGGCCTAGAAACCCTTTAGATGGCCTAGAAATCCGAAAATAACAATTTGGTGGCCTAGAAGATTTTGGATGGCCTAGAAACCCAAAAATAACTTTTTGGTGGCCTAGAAACTTTCAGAATGGCCTAGAAACCTTTGAGATGGCCTAGAAACCTTTGAGATGGCCTAGAATCCCTTGAGATGGCCTAGAAACCCAAAAATATGAAATTGATGGCCTAGAAACCCAAAAAAATGATTATGGAGGCCTAGAAAACCAAAAAAACACTTTGGTGGCCTAGAAACCCAAAAATATGATTATAGAGGCCTAGAAACCTTTGAGATGACCTAGAAACCCAAAAATAACTCTTTGGTGGCCTAGAAACTTTCAGAATGGCCTAGAAACCTTTGAGATGGCCTAGAAACCTTTGAGATGGCCTAGAATCCCTTTAGATGGCCTAGAAACCCAAAAATATGAAATTGGTGGCCTAGAAACCCAAAAAACTCCCCGTTTCCAGGCTCGTCTCAGCCTAGCCGAGCACCAGAAGCGAGCAAGTGCGCTCTACGAACAACTCACATCGCGCCGCGCCGAAATTCTCAAAAAACTCAACGATGGAACGAATTACGTGGCAATGTTGCAGGTAAGGCCTGGTTTTAGGCTTGACTTAGGCCTTTTAGGCTTGACTAAGGCCCGATTTTTTTGTATTTAGAATCAATTGATCAGCGAACGGTTGTACGATTGGAAAAATCGACAAAAATTGGCGCAAATCGGAATGCCTTTTGATGAAAAAGATACGAGTTTGGATGAAATACAGATGGAGTGAGTTGGGACGGAAGTTAGGCTAAGTCCAAGGCTTAGGCTTAGTCAAAACGTTAGGCTAATTATAGGCCCTAGGCTTAGGCTTAGTCAAAATATTAGGCTCAACCGATTAGACAGGCTTAACCAAGAATATAGGCTAACTACATCTCCCAAATCTTGCAGATTCGAATTCCTCGCCGAACAAAACTGGCAACTTCACATGTTCTCATGTTGGATGCTCGATTTACTGCGTCGCGGACCACAACTCAATGACAACAATGCGCAGACCACCGTCACCAATTTATCCACTCTCACCGATCAACTCACCAAATTGCTATTCATGTTGGTATCGCAGAGTTTTGTGGTCAGCGTGCAGCCGGAGCCCGTTTTGAAGACACAACACAAATTTGTCACCGAGGTTTGACGGTTTTCTGATAGTTTTCATATTAAATATGTCGAGGAAAGTATGCGAGACTTGCAGAAAATAGGCGGAGCTTGAAATTTGCATCATTTTGATGCTGAATAACTTCTAGAAAACCGTGCGAAACTTGCAAAACGGGGCGTGGCTTGCCATTTTACAAATTTTGAATATGGCCTAGAAAACCAACGTATTTCTAGGCCATATTTATACTCTTCCGATTCCAAATTTCACGGCGAAAATCATGAGCCCCACCATTTTTTTGCAGGTTCGACTATTGATCGGCGACAAATTGGGCATTCGCCAACACTTGGTGAACACCAATGTGACTGTGAAAATCATTGCGGAAGACGAGGCGAAACAACTAAGCTCCACACACATGAATCATAAGGATATGTGAGTTTTAAGAAGCAATTTTGGCGCCAAAAATCGATTTTTGAATTTCTAAATTTTCAGCAAGACTGTGGGGACGATTAGCAATGATTTTGAGAAGATGACGATGGATGAGAGGGGACACATGGCTGCCAAGTTCAATAATTCGGTGAGTTTTTGCGATTTTCGACGTGAAAATCGCAAATTTTCGCGGTTTTCGCATCAAAAACCCTATTTTTCTACAGAAACTCACCCGAATCGCGCATCGCAAACCGCCCCCGAAAGGTGCCGCCGACATGAAGTGCGTTTTGAATATGCAGGCGGCGACGGATCAAAAATACGCGCTGCTCTTCCATATCAGCCCATTTCAATTGGGAAATTTGGGCAAATTCGACGTGTGGACACTGTCGTTGCCGCTGATGGTCACTGTGCATGGTTCGCAGGATTGTGATGCGCAAGTTGCGATTTTGTGGCATAGGGCTTTTGCGCCCGTGGTGAGTTTTTTCTCCCCAAAAAGCACCAACCTGCCCTTTTCTCCAATTTCCGAAGTCGAAAAATGACCAAAATTTTTTTTTGAGTTGCAAGCATTTTTGCATAGGCCACGTCAAAAATATTTTTTTTCAAAATTTTTTGTCAAGGGTCAGAGCCTATAGAGCCTAGTTCTCAAGCACCCGCGTCTAGAGAACCTATATGTGTAGAACTCGCATCTAGAAATAGACTCTGACAAGGAACGGCCCTTGAGAGATTCTATGTCAAGTAGCCGCACCTAGAGAACCCCTTGGGCAAGCATCCGTGCTTTGCGAGCTTCTATGTCAAGTAGCAAATCCTAGAGAGCCAAGTTCCCAAGCACCCGCACCTAGACAACCTAGGTGTCAAGGGCCAGTGCCTAGAAGCACACTCTGACAAGCAGCCGTGCCTTGCGAGCTTCTATGTCAAGGATAAAAGCCTATAGAGCCTAGATGTCAAGGATGAGAGCTTAGAAAATTCAATGTTCAAGTAGCCGAGCCTAAAAAGCCTAGTTCTCAAGTAGCCGTGCCTAGAGAACCACTTCGACAAGCAGCTACGCCTTGAGAGCTTATATGTCAAGTAGCCGCTCCTAGAGAGCCTGGTTCTCTAGTACCCGCGCCTTGAAACACATAAATCAACCAATCTCTTCCAGAGTCGCTCACCCAATACCACCGACATCACAGCCGTCTCCTGGCCCGATCTCGCTCTTATGCTCCGCAACAAATTCAGCCTCTTCACCGGCGCCCGTCGCCCACTCAGCGACTCCGACTTAGCCTATCTCAGCGAAAAACTCATCATGCCCAACATCGCCGACCAAAAACCCATCACCTTCCACCGATTCGCCAAACAAAATCTGCGCGACGACGTCAATTTCAGCTTCTGGGAGTGGTTCTTTTCAATAATGCAACTCATCAAACAAAAATTGCTGAAATTCTGGGATGAAGGTTGGCTGATTGGTTTTGTCAGCAAACACGATGCGTCCAATTCAATGCTAGTCGGACCCCGCCCAAGTTTCTTGCTGAGATTCAGCGATACTCAAACAGGCGCCGTTTCTATCGGGTTCGTGTGTGAAGATGAAGTGTCGGCGCAACTTGTGCCCTTCCATCTCGCCCCATTTTCGATCAAAGATCTCGATCAACTGAGTCTCGCCTCACGAATCGCATCATGCCCGCAACTTCGCGACATTCGATATCTCTACCCAAATATCGATAAAGAGGAGATGCTAAGATATTTCGATTCGGAAGAGCGACATCGGCCTGATTCGCCAACTGGATACATCCAAAGTGAGATTGTGATGGTGGCAAAGACTAGTGGAAGACATGGGAATGGAAGTGGATCGCAGGCTCCGTCGATGTTCGGAGGAGGCGGCGGAGAATCACCGTTGTCGATTCAGAGTACGAAGATTGATTGGTCGCCGGGGGAAGTGCATCAGAATCATAATATTGATATGTGAGTGACGGGAAAGGGAAAAATACTTTTTTTTTTTTTTTTTGGTTAACATGAGCAATCATATTCATTTTAACATGAGCAATCTTATTCTTTTTACCATGAGCAATCCTGTTATTTTTAATATGAGAAATACTATTTTTTTTTAAATAGGATTGCTCATATTTAATTTTGAACTTTACAAATTTATTCACTCAACTTGAATTGTTGACCCCAAAAACTTCCCGAATTTCTGATTAACATGAGCAATCCTATTATTTTTACCATGAGAAACCTAGATTCTAGAATCCATGAGGTTTGGGAGCTGGAAATCCAGGTTTTGGGCTGAAAAATTAGACGGCCTTAAAGATCTGCAGAAAAAACATTGCTCATACTATACTAAATTTATCAAAATTTAATATGAGCAGTCTTATTAAAGGAATAGAATTGCTCATGTTAACTAGACAATCTCAATCTCCTAAAAAATCTTTTTTTTTATATTTGAAAAATGAATAGGATTGCACATGTTAATCAAACAATCACAAGGGTAAAAAAAGAACCTTTTCCAATGAAAAACCGCTGCTGCAGAAAAAATTCAACCCTCGCTCAAAGCTGGAGGGTTGGGCCTAAATGGCAAGGTTCCGCACGCTTTTTATGAGTAGATCAAAAAATATTGTAAGTCTGAAACTCACAAAAAGTTTAAAAATTTCGAGGATTTCATACAAATTTGGTTTTCAAAAATCATTTTGTTGTTATCAAGTTACTATAAAATCAAAATTTTTGAGTTTCAGACACAATTTTAGAATATTTCTGAAAAGTTATGATTTCTAAACACGCAAAATTTTTTGATCTACAAGCTGTTGCCGGTAGGAAAACGCGTACTCTTTTTACCCTTGTGACGATCTTCATGGAATTTTTCTGAAAATGCCACGTGGCAAATTCAGATAAATTTCAGAACCGCTTCCTAAAATGCCACGTGTCAAAAGTTAGCCTAACTCTTTTTCTTGCAGGGTCGACGATCTCTCCTCAATGCTAACCGATGGAATGTCAGGCGATGTCGAATCGCTCCTCGGTCCCTCCTTCAAACCCTTCCAACCCGATCCACAACAACAATTCAGCGAAATGTCCATAAATCAACATATGATGCAACAACAACATCAACAACAATTCTATCCACATAATATGCACCAATCTAATAATCTACAGTAATCCCAGAGACCCTACAGTAATCCTTTGACACATTTTTATATCATTCCAATTTCACATATCATGTACATAATATTATTCTAAATTACCTCGTCGTTTAAAAATAGCATAAATTATTGAATGACGAAACCGTGCCAGGCTTGCAAAAAAGGGGCGGAGCCTAAACCCCGCCCCTTTTTTCCGACTCTCAAAAATTTCCATAAAACATTTCTCCCCTCAACTTTCTCCCTGCTCTTTTTTTTTCGAAAAAAAAAATAAAAATGACGCGATAGTAATGTTGCCCAGCTTTTTTCAGGTCAGTTTTTCGCCGGGTTACTGTAGGTTACTGTAGTTCGCTGGAGCGCACTTTGTATTTTTTTTGTAAATTTGATGAGAGAGCTAGAGAGTACAAGGTTTTGAAGAGACGCAGAGATTTTCCATTTTTATAAAAATATATTTTTTCGATGTGCGCGCGAGAAGTGAAAAATCGCGAAAATTGAGGGGAGGAAATTGGATTTGGGTGGCCCGCGCGCGACTTTTTTTATGGTGAAAAGTTTTTTTTTGAAATTTTGAGAGAGAGATGAGAGACGCAGAGAATCAGAGAGGGCGCAAAAAATTTTGAACAAATTCCACGTGGCAAAATTTAATTTTTCAACAAAAAAACCTTCAGAGTAGCCTAGAAATCCAAAAAATGATTTTGGTGACCTAGAAACCCGAAAATAACATTTTGGCGGCCTAGAAACCCTTGAGATGGCCTAGAAATTCAAAAATAACACTTTGGTGGCCTAGAAACTCTTAAGATGGCCTAGAAACCCGAAATAAAGGTGGCCTAGAAATTTTTAAAAAAATTTTCAACAAAATTAAAAAGGATTTCAGTTTTTATGTTTTTTTCACAGAAATCCACGTTGCAAAATTAGTTTTCATAATTTTTTGACAAAAAGAATTTTCGAAACATCAAAAAAAAGCCACGTGGCAGGATTTTCCAAAATTCAAATTCAAAAAAAAGGCCCCAAAATCCACGTGGCAAAATTTAATTTTTCAAAAGAAAAATTTGAATTTTCAGAAAAAATTTCAATTTCAGGTTTTGGTGCTCAAAAATCCACGTGGAAAAATTGCATTTAAAAATTTTTGAAATTAAATTTTTTAGGCAAAAAGAGTTTTCCAAAATTCAAAAAATCCACGTGGCAAAAACAAAATCACTATTTTCCAGACGATCGTTCTCCACCTGCTTCCCCTCGCCATACCTTCTCCAAAATGTTCGGATGCGACACGCGACACCGGCACAAAAGCGACAGACATCGCGCGACTTCTCATGCAAAACTATTCGCGAAACGCATTGCCCGAACCGGCTCCAGTTCAAGTCGAAGTTGAGATCACAATTCAGGACATTTCGGATATTTCTGCGATTACCGGAACTTTTACAATCGATTATTGGATTAGTGCGATTTGGAATGATAGAAGATTGAGTTTTGAGAATTTGGACCCGTGTAGAACGAATCTGAGTCTAGATCATGATATGGAGCCGAAACTTTGGAGTCCGAATGTTTGTATTGTGAATTCGAAGAGCACAAAGGTTCATGATTCGCCGAAACCTAATATTTTACTCATGATTTTTCCAAATGGCACAATTTGGTTGAATTATCGGATTAGATCGGAAGGTGGGTGTGAAAGTTTCAAAAAAAAAAGTTCCGCGGGCAGTGGGATTCGAACCCTGGTTTCATGCCCGCCAGTCAAAAATGCTATCCAGTCGGCCACATCGATGTGATATCTCTCTTTTCTCCCGAGGGGAAAATTTTGGTGAAAAGGAAATTGTTTTTTTTCAAGTGATTGCGGTTTTTTCTTGAAGTTAGGATAACTAATGAAGCTGAAAATTTGTAAATTAAAGCAAAAATCGTCATTTTTCAGAAATTCTCTAAATTTTTGGCTGAAAATTTTGGAAAAATGAGCATTTTCAGCTCAAATTTCATAACAATCCGAAAATTTTAGAGTTTTTTGAACTACAGTAACCCACCCAAACTGCAAAAAAGTTGGTTCATTGCCACGTGTCACTACAGTAAGCCGAACTGCAAAAATCATCTTTTTTTGCAGTTCGGGTTACTGTAATCTCTGAAAATTTTCAAAATTCTGGATTTTTCAGCTACAGTAATCCGAATTGCAAACAAAATGATGGAATTTTGATTTTTGAAGTTCGGGTTACTGTAGGAAGCCTAGAAAAGGCCCTTAAAAGCTTATAAAAACCTTTAAAGGCCTAGAGGAAGCCTTAAAAGTCTAGAGTAAGCCCTTAGAGCTCACAAGAAGCTTCTAATGCTTAGAAGAAGCCTTAAAGGCCTAGAAAAAGCCTCTGAAGCCTAGAAAAAGCCCTAAAAGCCTAGAATTCCAGCCCCATGTCAAATGAATCTCCGAAACTTCCCGCTCGACTCAATCCGATGTTCACTGGTCTTCGAATCCTATTCCTACAACGCGGCCGATGTTGCACTTCAATGGCTCGAATGGAGTCCAGTGAGCACAAGTCGACCCGACTACAATTTGCCCGATTTTCGAATGACTAACATCACTTATGGCAATTTTACAGAGGTATACTGTACTTACTTAGCTACAGTACTCCAGAATTGCTTACTGTAGATGTATTTCAGGTTTATACAGCTGGGATTTGGCATCGACTATCGGTTTCGATACATTTTGAGAGGCTTTATGGCTTTTATATTTTGCAGGTGAGCAAAAAAAAAACTGTGCGAGCCTTGCAGAAATGGGCGTGGCTTGAAATTTGCAGCATTTTGATATCAAATATGCCTGGGGGAGAAAACTGTGCCAGAGTTGCAGAAGTGGGCGGAGCTAGAAACATTTTCTGCATTTTGTTTGATATCAAAATGTGTTAAATTTTAAGCCCCGCCCCTTTCTGCAAACCTGGCACAGCTTTCTCCAGTATATTTAACATAGAAATGTATTAAATTTGAAGCTCCGCCCATTTCTGCAAGTCTCGCACACTTCCCTCTGCATAATTAGTATCAAAATGCTCCAAATTTCAAGCTCCACCCATTTTCAGATGTATCTACCCACCTACATTTCCGTATTCATCTCCTGGATCGCATTTTGGATGGACACTCGCGCACTTCCAGCTCGAATCACACTTTCAGTCTCCTCTCTAATGGCTCTAACTTTTCAATTCGGAAATATTGTCAAAAGTTTACCCAAAGCTTCTTATGTCAAAGCGATCGATATTTGGATGTTTAGTTGTGTTGGGTGAGTTGCTTGCGACTTTGTCGCGCGAAAAAAATCGCAATCGCCACATTTTCCTTCCAGCTTCATCTTCTTCTCATTGATCGAACTCGCCATCGTCGCCTACAACGACAAAATTCACGATCAACATTTGCGAGAGTCGCGCGTCTCCATGTCGCACACACTTCAACAACAACAAAATGGCGGAGTCGCGAATCGCGAATCGCAGCCGTCGCGTCGCAGTTTCATGGAGATAAGTGCGCGACGTGCAAGAGGAAGCGAATTGGGCGCGAAAATCGATCGGGTTGCGAGTATACTGTTTCCCACGATGTTCGCCATGTTCAATTTGGTATACTGGTGGTATTATTTGACGACAAGTATGCATCCGATTTATGACTGAAACTATTTTTTAATTTCTTTATGGGTTCTTTTTATGTGATATTAAAAATTACTTACTTTTTCTTTTTTATGGTCCTTTTCGATGAAAAAAAAACAACAAAAAAAACGATATTGTCCGAGAGAAATACACAAAAATGCAAGCGGAATTGCGGAGTATCGTTGTTTTACTTTTATTTTTTTGCAAAAAAAGAATTTTTTTTTAAAAACACGTGAGATGATTCGAAAAATTGGTCATTTTTTGATTCTATTAGACTAGAAAATGGGTTCAAGTTGTTCTCGGTCCAAAATTAAAAAATCTGAAGATTCTGCCTGGTTTTCGCTACCATTCGATATGCGACGAGAAATTATTGATTTAATGGATTTTGAAACAAAATCTATGTTTGCGAAATGCTCTAAAGATTGTTTTGACGAAGTTGTCGAAAGTCGAAATATCATTGAAAGACTTCATATCATTGATGGAACACGAGATAATGAACGGATTATTAAAATTTTTGTGGAGGGACAACAGAAGGGCAGATGGTTATTCACAATATCCGGATTATCAGGTGGAAATTGGAAAGTTTGTTGGGAAACTAATACGGAATATATATCAAAGAAAACATTTGAAAACTCGAATCCAATTGATATTGTTTTGTTATATTTCAAAGAAATTATTATGAAAAATACGAAAAGTTTGACAGACATTTCAATTTTCATGGTAAGTTTTTGATTTTTCCAATTTGAAAAAAAAATCAAATTTTATTATTGTTTGTTTGCAGGATGATTTTCCATACAATCAAACAAATATCAACAATTTAAAACGAAGAAAACTTATGAATTTAATGCTTCAAAAGAATAAATATGGAATTGATCCGATTTCAAGTGGATTCGTAAATCTCAATATTCTCAATCGTGTTTTATGTTTAATCGATATTCCGAATTGCCCCTTCGAGTATTTATTCATTCTGAGACCAATTATCAATCGAATAAGTAACTCAATATTGACTTTGGGTGAATTCGTTTATTTTTTGGAAACAACTTTGATTGATGAAATAAGATTAATCAAAGTTTTGAGAATGATTTATTTGAATATGGATGGAATTGCAAATGGACTATACAATACTCATCCTCAAATAATTCATCGAATTATTAGTGTATATGCAACACCGCGTATCATAAGATATAAATCAGAAGATAGTTTGGAATCGAGAATTGTATTGGGATTTGTGCGTGAATCAGAAAAGTGCAAAGGTGGAAGTCATGTGATTGTTTTGAGAAGAAATCGCCTTGAATATAGTTTCAATGCCTCGAGATAATCAATAAACCATTTCTCAAATTCAATTTTTTGCAGTCAGAAAATATAAATCAACGGTTTTTTAAAAAAATATTTGGCGTCGCCAAAAAACTGGCATGAAAGTCATGAATCCCTTCTGAAAATAGGTTATGTCTTTTTAAAAGGTTTTTCAAAAAGAAAAACAGAAAAAAACGTGGAACGTGAAACGTGTCCCAGTTTCGAAAAGATGACGTAGATTAATATCTAGAGCATCGAAATGTAACGGTTCGCAGCCGCAGGCTGCGTAACACAAGAATTTTGCCGCCGGAGGCGGCTATAAATTCTTGTCACTTTTATTTGGTTAGACTACTGGACGCTTCGAATAAATCAAAAGGTATTTTGGGGATTCTTTGGGTTCTCCACTAAAAATAGACTCGAAAAAGGTTTTTCACAAAGAAAATAGAAAATGTTCGAAAAATACGTGGCACGTGAAACGTGTCCCAGTTTCGAAATGATGACGTAGACTATCTAGAGCATCGAAATCAGTATCAATTTATTTTGGTTCGATAACTAGACTCTCCGGAGAAACTAAAAGGTATTTTGGGGGGTTCTTAGGGTTCTCACTAATTGTTAGTCTCACTGAGAGTTCTCTAATGTTTGTTTTTCAGGCCAACTCACTCATTATCAAACCAAGTTTGAAGTTTTTTTAATCAAACCAAGTTTGAAAAGTTTTGTATCAAACCAAGTTTGAACGGCGCCCATCAAATATGTCGATTACCATGGTAAACGCATGCCAACAGCCGATGGACAGACTGTGTACGGTGTCAAATTGGATTGTGAAATGCCATTTGCGAATATTATCAAACCAAGTTTGAAAAATCAACATTGACATCGATGTAAACAAGCCGGCGTATGTTCATCCAGGTCTTGCGAGAGTTCTGAAAAAGACACCATCGGAAAGAGAAAAAATGACTTCGTTGGAAAAGGCTGAAGAGATAAGTCCTTCGGCGTATGTTATGGAAGCCGCAAAACTACGCATTGAATACACCGATGAGGAATTCGCAAGAATGGTCGACGATGAAGATTATGCAGATAAACTCGAGAGACAGAAACTAGAGGAGGCAGCGAAGAAGTTGAAGGAGGCAAAGAAGAATGAGAAGGAAGAGGAATCAGGAAAGAAAGAGAAGAAGGATGAGAAGGAAGAGGAATCAGGAAAGAAAGAGAAGAAGGATGAGAAGTCAGTAAAGAAAGCGAAGAAGGATGAAAAGTCGAAAAAGTCGGAGAAGAAACAGGTCGGAAAGAAGGATGATGGAAAAGGAAGAAAAAATGCTGGAAAAGATGGAAAGAGAAAGGGCAAAAAGCGTGTTGGGACTTTCGATAAAGATGGCTTGCTTATGGGGCGCTTCACGCTTCACTCCATGCCTCAACACATGCTTGTTTATAATGGAAGTGCCCAGAACCCGGCAGAGAACGATGGAAAAGATGGGAAGAAAGCGGCCAAAGTTGATGGAAGTGGGAAGAAAGCCGCCAAAAATTTTGAAAATGGCAAAAACTAGAATGTCTACTCGTATTCATTGTGTTGGTTGCGTGAAGGTTAGTCGGATCCCTCTAAAAATGTAGAATTTCAATTTCTGGGTTCCCGAAATTCTAACTGAAAAATCGAATTATCTCTGAAATTTCGAGCATTTTCCAAAACCTAATAAAATTCTGTTTTTTTTTTGCAGATTTCGTCTTCAACAGCACCTTCACAAACTTGCCAGCATTACTCGTATTTTCATATGAATAAATATATTTCATTGTGGATTTTTCTCTGCGTTTTTTTCTCTCTCTTCAAATCCGAAGAAATAAAATCGATACTATTTTATATAATAACAAAACTGTAGAAAAAAGTAGTAGTCCTTTAATCGAGATGAAAAGTGGTGTGAGAGAGTGTGCGAAATGGAGAGACACAGACATGACCTGTTTTGAAGGCCGAAAAAGAAGAAGAAAACAACCAATTCTTCTTTCTTCCTTGGATGATGGGTTTTTTTTTGGTTTCTGGAAGAAAATTCTGCGATTTTGCCCGAAAACTTTGAGTTTTGCGAATTCTTAACCGATTTTGACGCGCGAAAATCGGCAATCTTGCGATTTTCGCGCGAGAAAATCGCAAAAAACCAACGATTTTCGGGAAGAAGTAGGCCAAATCGCTTATCACTTTCAATTCCAATCCAAATTAATTTTCTAGGTTATCAATCCCAGTGTTTTTCTTGTGGAAAGTTAGCCTAACTTGTTGTTGGGTATCGATTTTTGCTGTATTTTTTTCCCGCACAAAACAAACAAGTTAGCGCAAATAATAAATATCCCCCCGTCCCAAAAATGTCGATTTTCTTCCCCATATATATATTTTCTCACCGTCGTCAAATTTTCTGATTTTATTCGAGAAGAATCATAAAAAAATTATAATTTTTTTATGGCCCTCTCAATGTTTTTTCCCGCGAAAAAAAAAAACAAAAATCATGTTTTTGCAGATAATATGAACCGAGTAGTAGGCCTGTTTCTAGTCGCATTTTTGGCCTGGGCTCAGGCCCAGGCCCATAAAGAGGCCGTTGAATTGTCGATGGCGAATCATGATCAGGTTTTGGCCAGTGCAACGGTGAGTTATTTGAATTTCCCTATAGGTAGGGATTATGGCCGAGTGGTTAACACGCTCGTCTTTCAATCTCTAGGTGTTGGGTTCGATCCCGCTCCGAGGCGAACTTTTTTTTGAAACGCGGAAATTTCCGCTACGCAACCTCTCATATTCCAGGTAGTATTCGTGGCATTCTGTGCAGACTGGTGTCCATTCTCACGACGTCTCAAACCGATATTCGAGGAATCCGCGCGCGTTTTCCACGCGGAAAATCCGCAAGCCTCTGTGGTTTGGGGAATTGTGGATAGTCAGCGGCAAGCGGATGTTGGTGACAAATATTTCGTCAACAAATATCCCACTATGAAGGTTTTTGTGAATGGTGAATTGATTGCCAAAGAATATAGGTGAGGGATTTTCCCGCCAAAAAAATTTGAATTCAAATTCATTTCCAGATCCACCCGCTCTGTGGAAGCTCTCACCAACTTCGTCAAATTCCAACTCAGCACCGCAATCAACGAATTTTCGTCGCAAGACCATCTTCGCGCCAACATCGACGCCACCAAACGCAACATCATTGCTCATGTGAGAAAAGAGGGCGCAGCCTATTCGAATATCAAGAAAATCGCGGCGATTTTGCGGGAGGATTGTCAATTCTGGTTGCCGTCAGACGGGGTTTCCGCGAGCATTGCCGTCGCGGATGCCGCGTTGGTTTTTGAGGATCCGGATAATGCCGGAGAGCCCGTCAAATTCACCGGCAATTTTGAGGATTATGAATTTTTGAAACAGTGGATTACGGATAAATGTATTCCGTTGGTTAGGTAAGTCTAGGCTTTTAGGGCTTCTTCCAGGCTTTTAAAGCTTCTTCTAAGCTCTTAAGCCTTTTAAGCTTCTATAATCCAGGCCCGTTTTTCTTTAGACTTAATCAAATAGCTAGGCCTAGGCTTAGAAAGAGGCTTAAGCTTAGAATTAGCCTAACGAAAAAGTAGGCCTATCCTTAGGCTAGGCCTTCTAAGCTTATCTAGGCGTTACCAAACAGTTAGGCCTAGCCTTAGGCTTAGGCTTCTTCTAGGCTTATCTAAGCAAAAAAAAATAATTTAGGCTTGTACTCAGGCGCAGGCTGAGCGAAGCTCTAGACTGTGAGGTTGGGATTTTTACTTTTAGGCTTGGGCTTAGCTAAGCCTAACCAGAAAGTTAGGCCTATCCGTAGCCTTATGCTTACCTAAGCCTAACCAAAAAAGTTAGGCCTTGTCTTAGGCTTAGGCTTTCTGGCTTAGCTAAGCCTAACTAGAAAGTTAGGCCTTGTCTGAGGCTTAGGCTTCTAGGTTCAGCTAAGGCTAACCAAAAATTTAGGCCTGTCCTTATTGTTAGGCTTGGGCTTCCAGGCTTCCAGCCCTCCCAAAAATCCCAATCTTTCAGAGAAGTAACGTTCGAAAACGTAGAAGAATTGACGGAAGAAGGAATGCCATTCCTGATCTATTTCCGCGATCCCGACGCAAAACAAGACGACAAACTATTCGCAGAAGCAGTGGCCCGCGAGCTCGCGGATCAACGCGGAAGCGTCAATCCGCTTCTCGCCGACGGTCACAAATTCGCCCATCCGCTAAAACATCTCGGAAAAGCTCGCAGCGATCTGCCAGTCTTGGCCATCGATTCATTCCAACACATGTATCTGTTTCCGGATATGTCGCAACTCGCTGTGCCGGGAAAATTGCGCGAATTCATCGCCGATTTGCACAGCGGCAAATTGCACAAAGAGTTTCACGAGAATTTGGATCAGAAAATGGTGGAGTTGGCGAAGGCGAAAGCGGCGAGAGGATTTGCGGATGAGGAGGATGATGTAGCAGGTCCGCCGGCGGCGAAACCCGAAACCAGTCCACCGCCGAGTGTTTTCAAGGAGCTCAAGCCTTCGGAGAAACGATATTCGATTTTGCAAAAATCAGAACTTTAGAGGATTTTTTTTCAGAATGTATTTTTACCCGGGTTTTTTCTGTGATTTATTTTTTTAATAAATTTTTTTTTGAAAATTTTGGTTGGGGCCTGGTTTCAGGCTTTCAGGCTATTCTTCTACTGAAAATGCTCAAAAATTCATGCAATTTTGAATTTTTCTGAAAAAAAAGTTCAAAAAGGCTTTTTTCAGCCAATAATTGAATTTTCTTGATTTTCAGTCAATTTTCAGCAAATTCTCCCACTGAAAATGCTCAAAAATTCATGAAAATCCCGAAATTCCCCCTCCTTTACTCATCCCCCTTTAAAAATGCATTCCTCTCTGCATTTTCAATGATCAATAACTCTCTGTTCACCAAGAAAGAGTGAGAGAGTGCAGAGAAATGAGAGAGTGCAGACGAGCAGACACACATCTGCTGCTGGCTTCTTTCCAAAAATTCTATATATTTTCTCCAGCTCTCTAGGCGATGACTTTTCTAAGCAGCAGCGGTGCTGGAAGTTATCGATATTCAGCGCTACGACAAAATGAGCCACTTTTAGAGGACGAAGAGCCCGCGGATACTGTAGACATGGAGGATACTGTAGGAGGTACTGTAGTGCAGAGTGAGTACGGTATTGAGTACGGTATGCCCGAGGGGACTTTCGACTCGGTTTTCACCTATGCACCCTATAATGATTTGGATAAGATGGGATATGAGGCACCGAGGCGGTGAGTTTTTTGTTGGGGGCTTTTGGGGGCCTGGATTTAGGCCGAGCAGAAATGTTAGGCTTAGGCTCAGGCGCAGGCTGAGCGAAGCTCTAGACTGCGCCATTTGGGGTTTAGGCTTGAATTTAGGCTTATCCAAAACTCTTCTAGGCTTAGGCTTACCCAAAAAGCTAGGGTTAGTCTTAGGCTTAACAAGAAGGTTAGGCTTGAATTTAGGCCTATCCAAATCTCTTCTAGGCTTAGGCTTATCTAAAAAAATTGGCCTAAGGCTTAACGAGGTTAGAATCAGCTTTTGAAGTCATTTAAAAATCAGGGCTTAGCTTTGGTCGAAATTGGACATATCTAAAATTTCAGACTTGAAAAATCAGGTCCGACAGAAACTTCAGGTCCAAAAATTTAAGCCTGCTTGAAATCTAGACTCAGCTGAGAATTCAAATCAGGCTTATGCTTAGTCATAAAAAGTGTTAGGCTTCGATTGAGGCTTGCTCAAAATTAATTCAGCCATAGGCTTAGGCTTAGCCAAATAACTGGGCCTAGTCTTAGGCTAAACCAAAGAGTTAGGCTTAGGTCCAAGAATAATGTTAGGCTAGGCCAAAATCTTTCTAGGCTTAACCAGCCCAGTCCAAATCCCACCCTCCCCAAATTTCCAGCCACGGTCTCCAACTCGGCAATCGCTACGCGAATTTCACCTACACCCGCGACTTCGCCGCCGCCAACGACGACGGTTCCAACTCGCAAATCAAACTCGCTCCACTGACAACCATCGAATTTCTGATCTACGCTGTGTCGATGCTGTTCGTCGTGTTCACAATGCCACTCAGTTTGCTGTTTTCGTTGAAATTCGTTGCGGATTCGGAGAAATTGGTGGTTTTGCGGTTGGGAAGAGCGCAGAAGATCCGGGGGCCGGGAATCGCGTGGATTGTGCCGTGTATTGATCAGACACATCGGATTACGACGTCGATTACTGCGTTCAATGTGCCACCATTGCAGGTGAGCGGGATTCCGATGCTTGTGGTGCTCAGTGGTCGCTGACGCGGAAGCTTCCGGTTTACACCCTAATTTCTGAAAGTTTTCCAAAATTCACACGAAAAATCAGCAAAAACTTGGAAAACTAAATCTTTCGATGTTAAAAAACATTTTCAAACATTCTTTTCGTTCTTAGCTAATCCTAAGCCTAACAATAAGGCTAGGCCTACATTTTTGGTTAGGCTTAGCTGAGGCTAGAAGCCTAAGCCCAAACCTAAGGCTAGGCCTAACTGTTTGGCAAGGTTAGATAAGCCTAAGCCTAAGGATAGACCGACTTTTTCGTTAGGCTTAGCTAGGCCTAAGCCTAGGTCTAGCTATTTGGTCAATCCTGAACAAAAAACGGGCCTATAATGAGCCTAAACTGGGCCTTATGATTCAAATTTTTTATGCCTTCGTTTTTGGTTAGGCTTAGCTGAGGCTAGAAGCCTAAGCCTAAGGCTAGGCCTAAATAAATGAATCAGCCCTTGTGGCATAAAATAGAGAAGCCTTGAAGCCTAAACCGGAAGCATCCGCGAAGCTGCCACATGGAATGCGGAAAACACCCTTCATCTTCCAGGTAATAACCCAAGATCGTGGCCTTGTCGAACTCGGTGCCACGGTGTTTCTCCGCATCCGCGATCCGATCCTCGCGGTATGCGGCGTCCAAGATCGCAACAAATCCGTGCGCACCCTGGCTAACACAATGCTCTACAGATATATCAGTAAGAAGCGGGTGTGCGAGATCACCAACATACAGGATCGTCGAATTCTAGCTGCAGACTTCAAAGACGAGTTGGCGGCGTTCACGTGTAAATTTGGAGTTGAGGTGACTGATGTCGAGATTTCGGAGGTGAAAATTGTGAAGGAGGGTGAGAATATGGGAATGGCGGCGTTGAATTGTGTGGCCAAATCGGATGCTGGACAACAATTGTGGCAGGTGAGAAGCCTAGAAGGACTGAAAGCCTAGAAAAAGCCCTGAAAGCCTAGAAGAAGCCCTAAAAGCCTAGAAAAAGCCTTAAAAGCATAGAAAAAGCCTTGGAAGCCTAGAAGAGGCCTTGGAAGCCTAGAATAGGCTTTGAAAGCCTAGAATAGGCCTTGAAAGCCTAGAAAAAGCCTTAACAGCCTAGAAGAAGGCTTCAAAGCCTAGAAAAAGCTCTAAAAGCCTAGGAAAAATTTCGGAAGCCTGGAAGAAGCCTTGGAAGCCTAGAATAAGCCTTCAAAGCCTAGAATAAGCCCTAAAAGCCTAGAGAAAGCTCTATAAGCCCTGGAAACCTAGAAGAAGCCTTAGAAGGTTAGAAAAAGCCCTGAAAGCATAGAGGAAGCCGTAAAATCATAGAGAAAATTTCGGAAGCCTAGAAGAAGCCCTGAAATCTTATGATAAGCATTCAAAGCCTGGAAGAAGCCCTAAAAGCCTGGAAGAAGTCTTAACAGCCTAGAATAAGCCTTCAAAGCCAAGAAGAAGCCCTGAAAGCCTAGAAGAAGGCCTGAACACCTAGGAGAAGACTTGAAAGCCTAGAATATGCCCTGAAAACCTAGAAGCCTGGAATTTTTCCAGGTCATCAAACCAGCCTTCGAGGAGTTCACCAAAGAATGTGCCGAAGAAAACCAAGGGGCCTCAACTTCAGCGGCCTCAGGCCCACTAATAGATTTCGGGCCACCCGAGCCCGCGCCAAGTCTCGAATGCGGAAGCGGAAGCGACGCGGATTCCGACGCGGAATTCGACTTGGATCGACTGATAAGCGTTGCGAACATTGCGATCGACGAGCATTTGACGCGACTCATCGGAAAAGTCTTCGAAATTCGCATCGACGACGACGCCGAGCCGATTTGCATCGATCTCAAGTCGCAAAAAGGAGCGGCGCGTCGCGGAGCCGCCGCCAACGCCGACGTGGTTTTCGAGGCGTCGCGCGACGAATTTGCGAAAATTGCGAGAAGGCGAGTGTCACCTGTCACTTCGTATATGCACGGCAAGTTACGGATACGCGGAAATGTTCAGGATGCGATGCTTTTTAAGCATTTGGTGGATCGAATGAGTGATTGGCTATGATTATTGAATTTTTCAAGATAAACGGGTTTCTTTGAGAGTAGGAGTTCGTTTTTTGAATGAAAATCGGATTTTTCGAATTTCTTGTGATTTCTGATAACGGAAAAATACAAGAAATTCAAAAATTGAGTTTTGTGCAATTTCAGGTCCGAAATTTGATTTTTTGTAATTTCTGGTTACCTAAAATAACAAAAAATTCCAGGAATTACTAGGAATTCGATTTTTTCAAATTTCCCGTATTTTCCAATCAAAAACCTAATATCAGGACACCTAACAATAAATTCAAAAAATTCAGTTTTTCTCCAAAAAACCGCAAAATTCGATTTTTCGAAATTCAAAAAATTGAGTTTTGTGTAATTTCAGGTAACCTTAAATTACAATAAATGCCAGAAATTCCCAAAATCTGAAAATTTTCCCTGTTCCAAAAAAAAACCAACGAAAATCTATTCGATAATTTCATCTCGCACACATTTTTGCTTCAAAATTTGCAAAAAATCCAAATTTTCAGCGGCGCGATGAATTCCTTCGCGATTTTCAGCCTCCAATTTCCAGTCATAATTTTCGGGCTCTAAATTTTCGTGATCCAAAATCTCCTGCTCCTTCTTTTGCTCTTCCTGTCGCAGCTTCTCCTCCAATTCCCCTTCACTGCAACCATAAAATCTGGCGAGTGCGAGTTTTTCGCGATGCGCGAATGTCGCGCGTCGCGGCTCCAGAACTGCCGCGAGCTCGCCAAGCAGCGATTTTTCGTGGCGACGCGCTTCGCAGCCGTCGAGAAAATGATCGCGGGCCGCGCCGCATTTTCGCGATTTTTCCGCGTCGGACATTGATTGACCTTCGAACATCTGCAAAAAATTGGAGGTTTTGGCGGGAAAATTGGGAGTACTTTAGGTTGAAAATTCTGGGACTGTAAATCAAATGTAAATACTGTAGACAAATTAGACTCGCGCCAAAACTTGAATTACTGCATGTAATGTTTGAAAATTCGGATTACTGTAGATCAAAAATTTGAGGCCAAAACTTGGGTTACTGTAGGTCGGAATACAAAATTTTCCGATAATTTTTGCAGCTAGATTTTAGAGCCTACAGTAGCCAAATTTTGTTGTCAAAATGGGATTACTGTAGATTAAAAGTTCAGCTACAGTAACCCGATTCTAAAGCCAATTGTCGATCTACAATAATCCAAATTTCAGCGCCGATAATTTGATCTACAGTAACCCAAATTTGATCTTCAGTAATTCAATTTTAGGCATAAATTTTCAAGCTACAGTAACCAAAATAAAAACACTGTAGATCAAATATTGTTTTTTTTTCAACAAAAATTGGGCTACTGTAGGTCAAGAAATTGGCCAAAAACAACTTTGCATGAGAATCCCGAAAAAAAAACCCACCAAATCCAAATTCAAATTCAAATTCTTCTCAATGGGGCGCATTTGCTCATCAATTTCTTCGGGAATCTCCAATTTCTCTACATTTTCAGCCAAATTTTCAACAATTTCAGTTTTTCCCAAAATTTCTAGCAATTTCCTCACGGCCTTTTCAATGTCCACTTTTGCCACGTCATCATCATCTTGCAATTTCGCCGAAATCGCTTCGAGACCCAAAGCCACCTCATATTTCCACGTATTGAAATCGGCGGGCGGATTTCGCCGCGTCTTCGCGATTTTAACGCGGGGCGTCGCCATTTTCTCGAGTTCCGCAAAGTTGTCCGCGAATCGCGCGAGTTCCAAAATTCGCCAGTGATTCAGCGACTCGCGCGAGCAAAGAAACTCCGCGCAAAATTCGCTCAAATGAAGTCTAGCCAAATTTTGGAGCATCTCCAAGTGCTCCAGCGAATCGGCCGCGGTTTCCGCCGTGAAGACGCGCGATATCTCAGGCGGATAGAAATTGTGAAGCGCGGTTTCATCCGTGTCGCTCCTCCACAGTTTGCGGATGAAATCAATCGATAATTGACAGGATTTGATGAGAATTGGTGATTTTTGAGGGATTCGCAGGAAGATGCTAGAAATTTCGATCTGAAATTAATTTCAGAATGAAAAAAACTGACCAAAACTCGGTTTGCTGCTTTTTTCTGCACAATTTCTGAAGTTTTTCCATTTTTTGAATCGCAATTTTCAGTGATTTGAGTTTTCGCAAATACCATTTGTAGGTTAGGAAAAGGCCTGCAAAAATTATTGATTTTTTGGTTGAAAATTTGAAATTTATATGAAAAATTAGTGATTTCTGCAAAATTTTCAGATTTTTGGCTGAAAAATCGAATTTTTCGGATATTTTCAAGCTAAAATTTGATTTTCAGTCAATTTCAGATCAGAATTTCTAGAAAAATCATTTTCAGCTCAAATTTTGTGCCAAAAACCTCAAAATTCACCAAACCTAGCTCATTTTTTTTCTTGAATTTTCAAAATTTTCAACAAAAATGAATATTTTCGAGCAAAATTTGATTTTCAGTCATTTTCAGCTCAAAATTCACCTATTCTGGCTCATTTTTTGCCAAATGTTCCCCCAAATCTCTACTCACCTCCAACTCCGATCAAAAATCCCCTCCTGGCTCCAAAAATCCACGTGGAAGTTCCCAAAAACAGCCCGGCTCCCGTCATCAATCTCAAATCCTCCCAAAATCCCGCCGTTTTCGCCTCAGCCATTTCGAGCTCAATTTTGAGCCGATCCATCTCCTCAAAAATCTCCTGATTTTGCCAAATTTCCAGAATTTTCGCTCGCAACATCTGAAATCCTGAAATTCCAGCTGTAAACTTTGATTTAAAAAATCAACCGAAAATGCTACAGTACTCCAAAATTCTGTCCAAAACAAAAATTGTCACAAAAAAAAGTTCATGAAAAAAGCAATGAAAAAAACCGTATGAAGATTACTGTAGAGAAAAAACGGGGTGGGAGAAAAATCGATAAATTAGTAGAGGGTACTGTAGATAGAAAAAAGAAGAGGGTACTGTAATTGTTCTCCATTGGAGACGAGCCAAAAATCACAAATAGTTACACCAAAAAAAGGGGGCGGGGCTTGAAAATTTCAGATTTTTGGCTGAAAATCTGGGATTTTCAGCTAGAAAAAAAAGAAGGAAAGACGTCTAAAATATGAAATAATAAAACATGAAAAAAATCGCGATAAAATAAATTTTTGACAAAAAAAAATCGAATTCGATGACCGGAGTGAAGAGTAGACAAATAATTGCTGGAAAAATGAATTTTTGAATTTTTTTTTTGAAAATTTTTGCCACGTGGAAAATTATCGATTTTTTGAAACTGTAAATTGTGAAAAAAAACGTTTTGAGCCAAACATTTTGTATTTTTTTATTTAAAACTTCAAAAAATAACTCACCAAATAAAAAAAAAAAAGAAGCCAAAACAACCCGACGAAAATTCACCAAAAATTAACCCAAATTCTACGGGAAAAGTCGAAAAAAAAAACGCAATTTTCACTGAATTTTTGGAATTTTCGCCGGCAGTCGCCTTCAATCTTCATCCATTTCCATATTTTCATCAATCGAATCAGCCGCCGATTGTTCATGTGATCGTTTTGATGGCAAACGACATTTGTAGGATTCTGAAAAACATTTCTCATGCTAGCTTTGTTTTCTAGATTTTTCATTAAATTTAGTTCTAGAAATTCCTGATTTTTTCAAATTAGTTCTAGAAATTCCAGATTTTTTTTAATGAAACAAAACTGGAAAAAATCAATTTTGATTTCAATTCCAAGATCTATACAATATTTTTGAAACATATAATTTTCGGGATTTCAAAATATGATGATTTTCAGCCAAAATCATGAGTTTTCAGCCGAAACAACGGCCTATTTTCGACTTCAGAATCCAAATTTTCAGCTCTAAAATGCTCCAGAGCTCATTTTTCATCAAAAATTCAATTTTCTGGCTCAAAAATGCTCCAGAGCTCATTTTTCATTAAAAAAAAGTGATTTCTGGATCAAAAATACCTTTTGAGCTTATTATTAATCAAATTTCCAGCTCGAAAAGCACATCAGAGCTCAATTTTCATTAAAAATTCAATTTGTTAGCTCAAAAGGCGCTTCAGAATCCAATTTTCACCCCAAAAACCCTCACCATCGGAATAAACATCCTGAATTGGTTGACCATTCGCATCCAATCGTCTTCTACGATAAACCAACATATAAGGATCAGAAGATTCATAAGGATCATTGGGTCCAATAGTAATCGAAGCACATGCATCATTAAAATCAATCCACTTTTTAATTTTATCATTAAATCCACTAGCTGTATAATGTCCACCACTCATACTTCCATAATGTCGACTAACCGCAATCAAATCATAAATTGCTTTTTCATGTTTCTCATTCGCCACAATATTCGTCAAATCCAATCCTTTCACCGGAATCTCAACATCCCATGTCAATTTTTCGCGCGACCATCGAGTATATTGGAATCTTTTGAGATGAAGAATGAGGATATCGGGAAGTTTCCATAAATCGAGTTGTTTTGTGGCTCTCTCGTGTTTTTTGCATTCTGGACAATACCACAAATCTTGCTCGCCGAGTTGTTCTTTTGTTGTGAACCATTCGAGAGTTTCGTAGAGGTGCACTTTTCGGCGAAGTTGCACTGCGATTTCACGTTCGATAAGATCCTGGAAATTTTGATGGAAAAATGAGGATTTTTGGCTTAAATTCCAAGCTGAAAATCAAATTTTTCTTGAAAATATTCAATTTGATGGATTTTGAGGTTTTCGGCTAAAAATTTGTGCTGAAAATGATTTTTCTGGAAATTTTGAGCTGAAAATCATATTTTACTTAAAAATGTTCAAATTTTTGTTGAAAATTTGAAATTTACAAGAAAAATAAGCCAAAATGAATCATTTTTGGGAAATGACCACTTTGAGCTGAAAATTGGCTCAAGACAAATTTTCTTCCAACAAAAAGAGCCCTGGAGAATTTTTAGGCTCAAAATATCGACTCTCAGGTCAAAAATTGTTCCAGAAGCTGTTTTTGGGTTAAAACTATGTCCTGGAGCATTTTAGAGCTAAAAAAGAGCCCGAATTGTAGATTTTGATATGAAGCCTCTGAAAAATTCAAGAAATTTTCAGCTTTTTCACTAATTTTTGTGCTAGAAATTCCAGAATTGAACTATTTATATTTAAAAAAAAATTAAATAAAACATCAATTTTGATTCCCATTCCAAAATCTATACAATATTTTTGAAACATATAATTTTTAGGAATGAAAAATGTGAGGATTTTCAGCCAGAAAATCATGCAGAGCCCATTTTTCTTCAAATTTAAGCTCAAAACTCACATTTTGGGCTTTTTTCAGCTAGAAAAATGGTTCAAGGCTCATTTTTAAGCTCAAAATTCAAAATTTCTCTTCAAAACAGCCCCAGGGCTCATTTTCTTCAAATTTTCAGCCAACAAATGCTCCAGGGGCTATTTTGAGCTCAAAATTCACATTTTTGGCTTTTTTCAGCAAGAAAAATAGTTTAGGGCTCATTTTTCAGCTCAGAATTCAAAATTTAGATAAAAAACAGCGCCTGGGCTCATTTTTTGAGCTGAAAATCTAGATTTTTTTTTCAATTTTTCTCTGAAAAAAAACTCACAGCTCCCTTATATTGATTAAACATCTTAGTTTTTCCATCTTTCCAGAAAAATGTGACTTGTTGATAATTTCGATAGTTATCATTTCCATTGGCTGGGAATGGAATCGGATCATCATTTTCTGGCAACGAAATTGGAGAGCTCGAACCAGCTGGTGCATACATTATTCGGAATGGTGGCCAAGCTGGAAATTTCAGATTTTTCGAGAATTTTCAACCAGAAATTCACAATTATCGATTTTTGTCTGAATTTTCAGATTTTTCTGTAGATTTTGAGCTAGAACTTGCAGATGTTCAGCCAAAAATCATGAATTTCAGGTCACAAATTTCAGGGTTCGAAAATCAAACAAAAATTCGAATTTTCGAGCTCAAAACTGCTCCAGAGCTCAATTTCAGTGTCAGAATTAGAATTTTGGCCAGAAATTGAGCCCATGAGCATTTTTAAGCTGAAAATTTGAATTTTTGACTGAAATTAGGCTCTGGAACACATTGAAGTGAATATTTCAGTTTTTTAGGTTCAAAATCGGCCCCAGCGCTTTTTAAGCTCAAAATTTGAATTTAGGAGCCTAAATTTCAGATTTTTGATTAGAAATTATGCTCTGGGAGCCGCTAAATTGAAATTTTTGTATTTTGGAGCAAAATAGGCCAAAATCCTTCATTTTTCATGATTTCTAGCTCATTTTTGCTCAAAAATCTTAAATTCTAGCTCATTTTCAGTCAAATTTCAGCGCTCACCTTTATCAGCAGTCACATTTCCATTTTGTGCAGCATTCGCCGTACTCGATGTCGTCATTTCCTCATTCTCATCTTCTCCATTATTCTCATCCAAATTGAATTCTTTATCGTGGAAGAAGAGATGTTTGGTGGTCTCGAGAATTGTGTCGAACACAAATTTTCGAGTCAATTCTTCGCCCGATTTTAGTGTATAGATCATTGGAAGCGAACATTGACGATTGATTTTGAAGCGATTGCTGGAAAATTGGGAATTTTTAGAGGCAAAATTCATAATTTTCATCCAAAAATTAGAATCAATGAACTATTTCAATTTCAATTCCAAAAAATATGAAATATTTTTGAAACATATAATTTTCGGGATTTCAAAATGAGATGATTTTGAGCCAAAATCGTCAATTTTCAGCTGAATTACAGAACAACGGCCTATTTTCATCAAAAATTCAATTTTCTGGCTCAAAAAGTGCTCCAGAGCTCATTTTCCATCAAATTTCCAGCTCTGAAATGCTCCAGAGATCAATTTTCATTTGAAAATGCAAATTTTTAGCTCAAAGAAATGAACATTTCTAAATAAATTTCACATTACGGGATTTTAATGATAGGGCGAAAAATGCACGATTCAAATTCTCTCCCTTATTTGTGTGTGTTGTGGCGCGGCGCGGTCTGCGTTGCGTGTTCATTTCGGTGGAGCGCTTATCTTATTTTTCACGTGACATTTCTTGTTCCACGTCAGTGTTTTTTTTTTTGAAAGATAAGATCTACTAGTTTCTCTATAAAATTCGAGTTTAAACCCAGCTTAGCTCATTTTTAGTTGTCATAAAGAAAATTTAGAATCTCTCATAGTTCTATAGACAATAATACGATAACATTCAAAGATGAATTCGAGAGCTGATTTGAACATTGGTTTTAAGGTGAGTTGTGCTATTGTACAGAGGCTTTTACTAGAAACTAGAAATTCTGTGTGTTTTCAGGTCGGTATGATCGTCGTCGGTGTGTTACACTTATTGCTTGGTTTCACAGTTTTAGTTCAAGTCATCAGGTGAGTTTTTGGCACTGAATCTATAGAAGGCACAAACACAATGTCTGCAAATTTTCAGAGAAGCCGTTGTCTACAAAGATCTTTTGAGAGGACTTGAGAAAACAACAGGTTGGAAGTGGGAGAGAGTGAGCGAGGAAGCCACAATTGCTCCAGCATTTTTCATGCCATTTGTAACTGGCACAATTGCACTTGTCTTCGTCTGTCTCCAGAAATACTATTTCATTTTCATTGTAATTGGCACGCAAGTTCTCGAGTGTATCCTTGTCATCCTTGCTTTGGTCCGCAGTGTCAACGTTCAAAAAAAATACGAGGATTTGTTTAAAGGAGCCGAAAAAGACGACAAAACTAGAAAAACAAATGGTGCCGATTATAATGAATTAATTGACACCGTATTTTCGTTGAAATCGGTTGTCATTGGTAATATTGTCGTTTGTTCTATTGGAATATTTTTGATAGTGGCGAGTTTGGTGTTTGCTGGATTTGTTGCTTTCAAATATTTTCCAAATCGTGCTTCTGGTGGAAATGAGCAAAACATTGAGTAGAACCCTTCTGATGATCAAGATGCCTAATGAATTTTTTTGTAAAAGTGAAATTTTTTTAAAGAATTTGACAGATACAGTAGTACCCACACAAAATGTTGACCTTAAAAAATTTCGGGGGTACGGTATGCGCCTTTGAAATTTTTTTTTCGAAAATTTGAAAAACTTGCTCCAGAGCTCATTTTCGACCCCAGAATCCAAATTTTCCACCAAAAAACTCACAATCCAACAACGATTCTAGTTCCGGGCGCATGTGGATCATGCAAAACTTCGGCCACAAAAACTTCACGACCCATCGATTGTCGAATTGTGTCATTTGGTCGCAACAGAACAACTTCATCGCTGACCGGTTGACAATAGAAGAAGACAAACTGAAAAATGAGAATAATTGGATTATTGTAGAGGGGAACATTGGCGGGAAAATGACATTTTTCAAATTTAAATTTTTTTCAGCTAATAATCAGATTTTTTTGAAGTCAAAAAATTCCAGCAAAAAACTCATTTTCAGCATAAAATTGACTAGATTACTGTAGGTAGGTCAAATAATGGCGGGAAAACGGGAATATAGTGATAATTTTAACCATAGAAACCATTTTTCGGGTTAAAATTGGCCATTGAGCATTTTTTGAGCTCGAAAATCCAAAATCAAATATTTTATTCTGGTAAACTAATAGAGAAAGATCCATTACCAGAAATTTCCGAAAAAATTTATAACAATATTTTTGAAACGTATTTTTTCGGGGTGTTTCAAAAATTTTCGAAATTATCGACTTTTGGGGCCAAAAAAATGCCACGTGGTAATTTTTTTCAAATTTTAGGTAAAAATCTAGGTGACAATTCTCAAACTTTCGGGATTTTCATCGAATTTTAGGTAAAAATTCATCATTTTTAATGAATTTTCACTCAAATTTCATAATTTTCATTCAATTTTCAGCCACTCACATGTCTCTCCTCCTCAAATTGAAGTTTGGCGCGCATCAGCTCTTCGGCCTCGGCAACCGTCGTATTTTCCGTCAACGTAAACGAAAACTTGGCCCATTTTCGTTTAAAAAACATAATAATGACAGTTTGTCGACTGATTTGTTCTTTGGGTGGCAAAGGTAGCGAAATATAGCCGAACGGGTCGAATTTGATCGAAATTTTCGCACAAACCGGGCAAATTAGTGTGGATTTTAGTTGACCGTGGAGGGTGTCAACGATTATACTATCATTTCGCATTTTGTACATTTCCCATGATTTTTGAGCGTATTCGTGGAGCGGTAATTTGGCCAATTCGTCATTGTCTTCGAAATATGGCTTCTTTTTTATTCGGTTTAAATCTTCGTGAAGACCGTCCAAAACATAGGCCATTAGTTCCTGGAAAATTGGAATTTTGGATAATTTTTTGAGCCGAAATTGAGCCAGGAACATTTTTTGCTTAAAAAAGCTTAAAATTCGAAATTTCTGGCTAGAAGTTGAGTCTTGGAGCAGTTCTAGGTCGAAATTTTTCGGCCAAAAATGAGCCCTAGAGCTTTTTGAGCTGAAAATTTGAGTTCTGATGCTGAAAGTGAGCTCAAAATCGCTCCAGAGCCCATGTTCAGTCTCAGAATCAGAATTTTGGCTTAAAATTGAGCCCGAGAGCATTTTTGAGTAGAAAATTCGACATTTCTGGGTAAAAATTGAGTTTTTGAGCAATTCTAGGCCGAAATTTGCGATTTTTCGAGCAAAAATTGAGAAATTTGAATTTTTGATTAAAATTAGGCTCAGGAACACTTTAAAGTGTATATTTCAGTGCTTTTCGAGGCTCAAAATTTGAATTTTCGAGCGAAAAATAGACCATGGAACCTAAATTCCAGATATTTGGTTAGAAATTATGCTCTGTGAGCCCTCTGAATTGAAATTTTTGTATTTTGGAGCTGAAAATTTGGTGAAAAATCAAATTTTCAGCTCATTTTCCTCTGAAAATCTCAAATTTCCAGCTCAAAAACTCACATGTGAATCCTGTTGTGAATATCCATTAAATCTCGGTGCAAATTGTCCAATAATCGCTTTGAATCTTCTCGGACTAACACTTCCAAATTGACCATTCCACATTGATTTGAACAATTCACCGACAGCCTGAAAAATACGGGTGAGTACTGTAGATCGTTGCAGGACCCAAAGACAAAGTTTTCGGTGAATTTTCACTAAAAATGCATCATTTTGAGGTCAAACACCCAATTTTCAGCTTATTTCAGGTTAGAAACCTAATTTTCCTGCTAAAAATGCCACGTGGAATACTAAGGCTGATTCTAGGGCATAATTTTCAGTTTTTCGTGATTTTATCAAATTTCAGGTCAAAATTCATCATTTTTCATGAATTTCCACTCAAAAATAATCATTTTCAGCTTATTTCAGCCCCACACAAACCTGTGCCAAATTCCCATGTGTTCCCAGCGGATTCTCCTCATTCAAATCGTTCAAATACTCATCGGACAGAAAATATTCGCGAAGTTGTGGCATATTCGACAAACACTGCAGTGCTGACGCCATGAAACACGTGTTTCCCAAATTCTGCAGTCCGCATTGTCCGGGCGGAACACCGCCGGAAGATGCGGATGTTCCGCCACCCGAATAGCCGCTATATGAACCATTGCCAATTCTGCAAAAGAATTGATTGGAAATTGAATATTATGGGACTTTTTTTTGCTTCTGATTAGAGACAATGGGAAATTGAGAGAGTGCAGACAGAAAAATCCGATTTTTTGGCCTGATTTTCAATTTTTACTGAAAATTGAGCCTAAAACTCGTTTTCCGAGCAAAAAATGCTCATTTGTCTGTCTGCACTCTCTAAATTTCCCATTCTCTCTACATTTTTTAAAACAATAATTTTGGTGAATTTTTTTTTGGTGGTGGATTTGAATTTTTTGCTGAAAATTCCAATTTTCAGCCTTAAAACCATGATTTTTGTGCTAAAACTCAAATTTTTCACTGGAAATTTGGTTTCACTCAAAGAATTTCAGCAGCTTTTCTGAAAATCTAGAGCTAGATTTTCAATGAATATCATAATTTTTGCACAAAATTTCAGATTTTCAGAACTTTTTCAGACAAAATCTCAAATTTTCTACTCAAAAATGCTCTTGGGCTCAACTTCAAGCCAGATTTCTGACTCTGAAGTTGAAAATGAGCTCTGGAGCAGTTTTGAGCGCAAAATTCAATTTTTCTATGGAAATGAAGCCTTTATCCAAAAATTTTGTAAAAATTGAAATTTCAGAGCTCTAGAGCTCATTTTTGAGAACATCATCCAAATTTTCAGATTCAAAAAGGTTCAGGGTCAATTTTGGCTCAAAACTCGGAATTTTCTACTAAAAATCGAATTTTCTGCTCTTTGGATCAATTTTAAGCCAAAAATCCTGATTCTGAGGCTAAAAATGAGTCCTGGAGCGGTTTTAAGCTCAATTTTCCATCACCAAAAAATCCATCGCCAATTTTTGCCCCCACACATCCTAGCCTCTCCGATATTCGGTAGAATCACAAGAGCACACCAAAAAAATCATCTCAAACAACATCAAACTACAAACTAAAACTACACACACATAAAGTGGCTAGGGATTCATCATCACCATCAGAAAAATTCCAGAAAAAATTTTTCGTCTGAAACTGCGAAAAAAAATTCACCGCTCGAAAAACCACATCAAACAACGCCGCCAGCAAATTTCGAAAAACCGCAAAATTGTTGAAAATATTGATGGAATCATATTGGAGAAATGAGAAATGACAAAAATTGTCCACATTTTTTTCACGTCGAAAAAAAATGTTTTTTATTTTTTTTTTTTAATTTTTGGATCTACCGAATATCGGAAAGACGGAAGGATGGAGGAACGAAAAAGCGGAAAAATTGGAGAAGGATTTTTTGGTGGTGAATTTGGATTTTTTCGCCTTGGAGCTGAAATTTAGATGAATTTTTGGAAAAAATGAGATATTGAGCTAAATTTTGACTCTGAAGCTCAAAATAGTTGAATTTGGCACCAAAAAATACGATTTTTAGCGCAAAAAAATCTAGAGTTTTCAGAAGATTTCAGGAGCATCAGATCTGATTCACAAACGAAAAAAAATGTTTTTTGAACATTGAAAGGTCAAAATTAGTTTTCCAAGTTTTTCAGTCAAAAATGATGACAAATAGAGATTTTTGAAGGTTCTGGAGTGATTTCTGATGAAAATTGGCCTTGGAAATCCACTTTCCAGAAGGTTTTGCTGATTTTTTCGTGTAAAGTTCGGAAAAGTTCTAAAAATTAGGATTCTCGAAGCTCATCCGAAATCACCGCAGAAGCTGAAAATAAGCTTCGAGAACCCTCATTTTTAGAACTTTTCAAAATTCACCCGAAAAATCAGCAAAACCTTCTGGAAAGTGAATTCCAAGGTCAATTTTCATCAGAAATCACTTCAGAAGCTTCAAAAACTCGATTTGTCATCATTTTTGGCTGAAAAACTTGGAAAACTAATTTTTAACAGTTTTTTATAGGTTTAAGACCAAAGGAATTCCAATTTTCAACATTTAGAGCTTGAAAATTCGAAATTTTTCGCGCCAAAAAGGGGTTCAAATTCATCTCCACCACCAAAAGAATCCACCAAAATCATCACAAATCTCAGATGAGTCAAACCTTGCCGGCGGTCGTAAAATCCACCATCCAAACAGAAAAGCGACCAAACTTCGTACTTCATCGGGCCAAAACAGGCTGAATCGCCACCAATATTCGCGAAAATGCCACCAGAGTGTCAAGAATGGCCAGACCAGTTTTGAGGCGAGCGAACGTGGCGACGAACAAGTCGCCGACGAGAAGCGACGCGATTTTGAGTCGTTTAGTGTGTAGCGACGTTTGCGACGCGGCGGCGATTTTTCGTCCGCCTCGTCGTTTTCCGACGCGGAAGAAGAAGCGGAAGCGGAAGAAGCGGAAGATGATGATGGTGATGATGAATCACTGTACGAGAGGGAAAGATTTTCAGACAAAAACAATTTTTTTGGCTGAAACCATTGCGCAAAAATCCACGTTTTAGCGCGAAAAAAATAAAAAAAAAGAAAATTCAAATCTGCGTCAAAGGCTCATTTTCAGCGCTGAAAATCACTCTGAAACTCACGAATTCGATGGTCCGAAGAGCGATTTTGTGGCTGGGGCTTGCGGTGGTTTTTTGTAGAAAAATTCGCCGTCTTGTTCAGTGTCGATGCAAATCTGCAAGAAAATTGAGGATTTTCAGAGGTTTTTGAGGATTTTCAGCTCGTTTTTAAGCAAAATTTCAGCATTTTCAGCCAATGTTCAAAGGTTTTTCAGCGAATTTTCAGCACCAACCTTTTGTGCGGTATCAAAATAGCTATCGATTGATTGAGTTGTATCCACCAGTTCCCAATTTTCACCATTCACCACATAGATTTTGATGTTGACTTCAGGTTTGAGATTGAGTTCGTGGAAGACTCGCTCGCGCAGGGATGCTGGAAGAAATTTGGTTTTCTAGGCCACGGACTATGTAGGATTTGTATAGAATTTGGTGGTTTTCTAGGCCACGGACTATGTAGGATTTGTATAGAATTTGGTGGTTTTCTCAGCCACGGACTAGGATTTGATTTTCTAGGCCACGGACTATGTAGGATTTGTTAAGAAATTGGTTTTCTAGGCCACGGACTCACACCTCGGCCAAGTCGTGGCTGGCCAGAGTACAATTTTTTGAAAAATCTGAATTTCAGTTTTTAGAGGTCAAAAATTGAAAAATCACAATTTTTAGAGGACAAAAACAGAAAAATTCACAATTTTTGTACTGTAAAAAGTTAGCGTACTATTTTTTACTGTGGAAACCACGATTTTGGCCGAGGTGTGTTTTGGATCGAAATTCATTGCATAACTTTTAGAATGGTTTTCGATAATCAAACCGTTAAAAAAACTTTTTACCTAAAGAAAACTACGCGCAAAACCCGGACCATCCAGAAGGAGGAGCCGGCGGAGCCCTTCTGGTATAATACAAATTCATGAATAATTTGTAGTTTTATGCAGTTGATTTGATTTGTCAAAACCAGTACTGATTTGTTTTTCCACTGACCTCGCCATTTTTTTTCACGCGTTTCACGCATAATTTTTGTAATGATTCGAATTTTCTAATTTTTTTTCAAAATAAAAAATAGAAAAAAGGGTTTTATATTATCCACGTGACACACACGTGATGATAAAATCTCTCAAAAATGCTATATAAGCAACAGTCAGAAAGGTGTTTTCTCACTTCGAAAATTTCTTCCCTAATATTTCTACATTATTCTCTACCTAGTAGCTGTCTCCGCTAGCCGCTCGAGGAAAAACGTGAGTCGGGTGCTCTCTCGCTTTTTTTTCTACCCACAGGAATATGTGAGATCTTTGCTTCTCACATATTTCTGTGGTTTCGCCAGGGCTGCTCAAATGGGTAGGCAATTCCCACTTGCCAAAAACCTGGAAGTGGGGTTTTTTTCGTTTTATAAATCCTATTGAATAACTAGGTCACGCTTGTGATTTCAATAAATTCAAATTTCGAAACATTGTGACATAGTTGTATAGTTTGACATCGTCTAAATGACATTTTCAGTGTTTTTTAAGCAAATGAGTTGAAATTTTGGGTTCTAATGTTATTCATATGATAGAATGGTCTAAGACGAACAGAATGATATAAATTTCGATGACTTTACCTTATCCATAAGTGATTTAGCGACATTTAGTCGATCGACTCGGCTTATCGACTAAATATCGACTAAACGTCGCTAAATCACTTAAGGATAACGTGAATTCATCAAAATTTATATCATTCTGTTCGTCTTAGACCATTCTATCATATGAATAAAATTAAAATCCAATATTTCAAATCACTTGCTTAAAAAACCTGAAAATTTGAGCAGCCCTGGGTTTCGCCGCTTCTGATCTCTCTCTCGCCCCACAGTAGTATGTGAGGTGTTAGGAAACCTCTAGCAAATGGCGGTTAGAGGGGAACTTTCACTTCCTTATTACTGTGGTTCTGTTGCGGATCTCTTCTTCTAGACTATCACAGGAATATGTGACATATTTCTGTGATTATATTTTTGCCCGCTTCTCTCTGTTTCGCCCCACGGTATTATATGAGATGTTAGGAAACCTCTGGCACGTGCCACCTGGAGGGGAACTTTCATTTCCTTCTTATTGTGGTTCTGTTTTGCTGCAGGTTCTAAAAAGTGCGTTTCGGCACTGACGCTCATTCGAGGCACCAAGTGCGGTTTTAGTGCCAGTGCTTTTCAGCACCAGTGCGCTTCGAACATCCGGTATAGTCAATGTTTTTTTCTTTTTTTTTTTTGCATTTTTTCATTTTTGTTTTGAACTGTTGGTTTGGAAAATCTCACTTTGAACAATAAGATTTTTTTACGGTGGAGATTTTTGTATTTTTGACGTAAAGTAGGTGGGAAATTGTGCTTTTTTGGTGGAAATTGAGGCGAGTAGGTTAAAATTCTGGTTTTTCTGTTAAAGTAGGCGATTTTCGTCCAGACTCTGATTTTTCTTGAAAATTTACATAAAGTAGGCGAATTCCGTTGTTTTTTCGATCAGAAATCGAGTTTGGCTTGCAGACTGCACCTCGGCCAAGCCGTGGCTGGCCAGAATACAATTTTTGGAAAAATCTGAATTTCAGTTTTTAGAGGTCAAAAATTGAAAAATCACAAATTTTAGAGGACAAAAACTGAAAAATTCACAATTGTTGTACTGTAAAAAGTTAGCGTACTATTTTTTATTGTGGAAACCACGATTTTGGCCGAGGTGTGCACGGATTATGTAGGATTTGTATGGAATTTGGTTTTCTAGGCCACGGACTAAGATTTGATTTTCTAGGCCGCGGACTATGTAGGATTTGTATAGAATTTGGTTTTCTAGGCCGCGGACTATGTAGGATTTGTATAGAATTTGGTTTTCTAGGCCGCGGACTATGTAGGATTTGTATAGATATTGGTTTTCTAGGCCACGGACTATGTAGGATTTGTATAGATATTGGTTTTTTAGGCCGTGGACTAGGATTTGTATAGAATTTGGTTTTCTAGGCTGTGGACTAGGATTTGTATAGAATTTGGTTTTCTAGGCCGTGGACTATGTAGGATTTGAATAGAATTTGGTTTTCTAGGCCACGGACTATGTAGGATTTGTATAGATATTGGTTTTTTAGGCCGTGGACTATGTAGGATTTGTATAGAATTTGGTTTTCTAGGCCGTGGACTAGGATTTGTATAGAATTTGGTTTTCTAGGCCGTGGACTATGTAGGATTTGTATAGAATTTGGTTTTCTAGGCCACGGACTATGTAGGATTTGTATAGATATTGGTTTTCTAGGCCGTGGACTAGTTTTCAATTTTCTTGAGTCCCTACCCATAGATATCCGAGCTCTTCAGCACTAATTTCCGTACTAATATTCTGGTTTTCTAGGCCGTGGACTAGGATTTGTATAGAATTTGGTTTTCTAGGCCGTGGACTATAGTAGGATCATTGTATAGAATTTGGTTTTCTGACGAAAACCTCTTCTGGAATCACTTGATAATCGGCACCTTCGGACAGATGATGTTTGAGGAAGTAGACGCCTTTTTGGGCTGGACTTATTTTTTTAATTAAATATTGGTTTTCTAGCAATTTTTGACACCCTGATCACGATTCCGTTGTATAAAATTTGCAAAGTTCAATTTCTAGGCCGTGGACTATGTACGTGGCAAATTTGAATAGAATTTGCGTTTTCTAGGCCAGAAGATAACGGACTATGCAGAATAATATTTTGTAATAGAATATATGGTTTTCTAGGCCGTCGATTTATTATTTTTGAGTAGAGATTCTAATGTGACTAGATTTTTAGCACAAAAAAACTAATTTTTCTGTCTGCGGACTAGTCTCAATTTCACATTGTCTCTACTCAAAAATAATAAACATAGGAAAAATATGTTTTTTATTACAAAATTTTTCTAGGATTATCTTTTAGTCCCTACCCATAGTATCCGAGCTCTTCAGCACGATATCCGCACTAATAGTTCTTATTCAGACTCGCCGACCAAACGTGCACAACTCGCGGATAAATCTCACCCACCAAATTCCCGTCCTTCCTGACAACCTGACGTGGAATATAGTCTCTCGCATCATTATCCAATCCAAAAATATCGCGAAGTCTGACGAAAACCTCCTCTGGTATCACTTGATAATCGGCACCTTCGGACAGATGATGTTTGAGGAAGTAGACGCCTTTTTGGGCTGGAAAAAGCTTATTTTTTTAATTAAACTTTTATTTTTTCTAGCAATTTTTGACACCCTGATAACGATTCCGTTGTCTAAAATTTCAAAGTTCAATTTCTAACATGAGTTATGACGTGACAAATTTCGAAAATTGCGACTTCAGGAGGTCAGAAGATAACGGGCCTATGCAGAATAATATTTTGTAATAAAAATATATATTTTTCCTATGTTTATTATTTTTGAGTAGAGTGAAATTGTGAAATTGATTTTTAGCACAAAAAAACTAATTTTTCTGTCTGCACTCTCTCAATTTCACATTGTCTCTACTCAAAAAATAATAAACATAGGAAAAATATGTTTTTTATTACAAAATATTATAGGCCCATTATCATTTAGCCTCCCAAAGTCGCAATTCTCGAAATTTGCCACGTCATAACTCATGTTAGAAATTGAGTTTGGCAATTTTTGACAACGGAATTGTGATTAGCGTGTCAAAAAATACTATTTCTATATGTTTTATTAAAAATCTCACACGCTGATCACGATGATATAAAAATTAGCTTCTAATTTCAGCACCTTTCAAGATATAATTATTCCAACATAGTTATGACGTGGCAAAATGCCCTTCTATTTTTCATTTTGAATTTTTCACAACACTGTGAAAAATTCAAAAAAATATTTTCTACGAAGGAAATTTTGCCACGTCATAACTATGTTGGGATAATTGGATCTTGAGAGGTGTCAAAAATAGAAAATATGTTTATTCTATGACTCCTTCCCTTGGTAGAAGTTAATTTTTAGAATATCGTGTTTAGCCTTACACATCTGTGATATTTTCTCATTGCAAATATGTCCGATATCATCAATAAAACCATTGTGAACCGCCTGAATAAACGCATTCCACCATTTCGAGCTCACAATAAACCACGTGGCATCTTCGATTAAAGGCGCCTGCTCAACTTTGGTTATCAATGTTGTTAGTTCCTGTTTGTTTGGGATTGGCTGAAATTTTTTTTTTGGTTTTCATTAGAAAAAAGGGGTTTTGAACTCACTGATGCAGCTATTTTTTGGTCGGGTAAACTATTTTCCATTTCCGCATCTTCCATATGAAAATCATCTGGAGATGGCATACCTGCAATGAATTGTCATCATTTTTTGTAGAAATTCGAAAAAAATGAGATTTTTCAATAGAATGCTCATGAAAATCAGGAAAAAAATGCTCTGGACCATGGCTTTTAGTTAAATTCCAAATTTCCAGTCGTAAAACCTGCCAGCTGGCCGGAAAATCAATTTTTAGGAAGTTTCTCGAAAAACCCATCGAAATCCCGCATTTTTCCGCAAATTTTTCGATTTTAGTTCTCCTAATCAATTGAAAAACTCAAAATCTACAACAGAAACCAAAAAAACCTGCGAAAATTGCATAAAAAACCTCAAAAACCCGGCGACACATTCAAAAAATCAAAAAAATGAAAAAAAGTGGGCGGGGCTAGAGAACAGCCGAGTGCGGCGCGTTGTTTTTGCAAACATGCGGCACACACTTGGTGGAGAGAGTGTTTGGATAATGGAGAGTGCAGACGATGAGAGCAGCTGATTTTTGTTGAGGAAGTAAATGGGATTAGAAGAGAACAAAGGAGAGAATGAAGCCAAAAACTGAAATTCTACAGTAACCTGGATTTTTGCAGTTTGGGTTACTGTAGATAAGGAAATCTAGGATTTTTTCGAGCTAAAGTTGCAAACATGTGTTTTTTTTTGCAACTCGAGTTAAATTTTGGTTACTGTAGCTTGAAAGAATTCGAATTTTTGCAGTTTGGGTTACTGTAGGCAGAAAAATGAGGAATTTTTGCAGTTCGGGTTACTGTAGCTCCAAAAAACCAGAATTTTGAATAAAACTACTTAGAAGTTTAAGAAACGCGTTAAACTACAGTACCCCGAACTGCAAGAATGTTGAGAACCATGGAATTTTTGCAGTTCGGGTTACTGTAGCTCCAAAAAACCAGATTCTTGTATAAAACTAGAATCTTGCGATATTTTTAGGCTACAGTAATCCGAACTGCAAAAATCCATAATTTTTGAAAACGTTTGCAGTTCAGGTTACTGTAGCTCCAAAAATTCCCAACTCTTGAATTACGGTATTTTTTGCACTGTCTATATATTTTTCAGAAGAATCATTATTCGAGATACAATATTACAGTACCCCAAACTACAGTAACCCAAAAAAAATAGTATTTTTATGGCGCCAAACTGCTGGATCCCCATAAAATTACCATTTTTATAGCCATCAAAAATCCCCCAATTTTTTCCCATTGATTTTGCTGACCTTCAAGAAAGTTTACTCAAAAAAATAATTGGTCTCTCGAATCGAAAAAAAATCCTCTTATTTTCCAAGAATTTTTTGATTTATTCATTTTTATTTTTGATTTTGATTTTTTTTTCTTCAAATTGGAAACATAAATGATGAAACTTTTTTGTCATTGTCAGAAGAAAATCCGGAATTCTTGAGAAATGGGCCCCGAAAACCGGTATTTTCCTCATTTTCCCGTCTTCTCCTCCCGTAAATCATAATGTATTTTTGGCAATCAGAAAATGTGTTTTTTTTTGTTTCGTTCGTGTGAGGTACTTAAGACCTCCTGGAACCTTTTTATTTCATTTTTCGATAGCTACAGTAATCCGGACTGCAAGCAATTTTCGATTTTTTGCAGCTCGGATTACTGTAGTTAAATATCTATCTGAAATTTTTGGACTACAGTAATCCGAACTACAAATACCTGAATATAGAAACAATCTAAATTTTTTGCAGCTCGGATTACTGTAGTTAAATATCTATCTGAAATTTTTGGACTACAGTAATCCGAACTACAAATACCTGAATATAGAAACAATCTAAATTTTTTGCAGCTCGGATTACTGTAGTTAAATATCTATCTGAAATTTTTTGAAAGCTACAGTAATCCGAACTGCAAATACCTTAGAAAAAAAAAGAATTTAGAAAAAAAATCATGAGTTACAGAATTTTTTTTGCAGTTTGGAATACTGTAACTCGAAAAATCCAGAGTTTCTAGGTACAGTAACCCGGACTGCAAAAATCTGATTTCTAGATTACATAGGTCTCATTTTTTGTGCCAAAAAATTATTTTTTTTTGCATTTTGGAATACTGTACCAGTCCAGACTGCAGAAAATCTGGAATTTCATTTTTTTTTCGCTCGGATTTTTGATCTACAAAATTTTTGGACTTTCCGCAAGCGGAAGATTGCGGTTCCTATTTTATATATTCTAATTTTCTTTTTCTCCCGACGAGAAAAAAGAAGAAATAGAAAGTTTCATTTTTATTTATATGTAGTTCATCATCCATTTTTCCCCCAAATTCTGACCTATTTTTCGTTTCGGATGAATTATAATAACAATAACAACAACAATAATACAGCTGACTTTTGGTGGAAATTTTTTATTTTTGCAAAAAAAAACAAAACACTTTTTTTTTGTTCCGGAAAGTTTCCGCGTCTGAAAACAGTGCGGAATCTTGTTTCCCGCGCTCTAAATTAGGCAAAATTAATTTATTGGATTTTGATTAAAAGTAGAAATAGGTCAGATTGAGGTTTCCGCAAGCTTTCTCTTGAGTTGCGGAAGCTCACCGCAATCTTCCGCGAAGCGCCGCAAGCTTGCGATCTCCTGAACCACAATTTTTCTCTGCGTCTCTCTATCTTTCTCACTCTCCGGATGAAGTGGTGACATAAATAATAATTATTATTATTATTATTACAACACCCTCTCATTTTCCGCCCCGAGTGACCTTTTTTTGGCTGTGTCCCTTTAGACCCGCCTACAGTACATCTTCTTCTCATTTTCTCCTTCCATTCTATGTATCTCCAGACACAATATAATGATAATTAATTAATTAATTAAGTTACCCTAACTTCTCCTCCTGGGGAGGAGAAATTGTAACTTTTTTTTTGATTACATGTTCTGCCTCTGCCCACAGTATGACCTTGGGCGGATTTTCTCTCCTGTGTTTTCTAATCACATCTTGTCGCGCTTTGTTTTATCACATCAGTTTTTGCCGATTTTTTCGCATCTTGTAAGAAGAATTTGGCGAATTTTTATCGTTTTGTACTTTATTTTCTTTTTTTTTAAAGAAAGTTCGCGAAAATCCGGATTTTTTTCGGCCTAAAATATTAAATTCAAATTCCAAGAAAAATATAGGTTTCAAAAATTTGAGAAATATTTTTCCCAGTTATTCCGAATTGATAATTTAGAAACAAGAAATCGGGGAATTTTGGAGTACTGTAATTTTTTATTTGGTTCAAAATTTACAGGAAAAATTCAAAACATAATCAAGCTACAGTAATCCGAAATGTTTTCTGAAAAAAAAGTTCGCGAAAATTCGAATTTTTGGGCCTAAAATTGAATTCAGCTTGAAATTTGTGAACCCCGAGAATATAGGTTTCAAAAAATTTGAGAAATATTTTTCCTAGTCATCCTGAATTGATTTCGCTATTCAAAACAAATTCAACATATTGAGCTACAGTAATCCGAACTGCAAAAATTCCATGGTTCGCCACACTCTTGCAGTTCGAGGTACTGTAGTTCAATACGTACGGTAAAATTCTAGTTTTATTCAAAAATCTGGAATTTTTTTGAGCTACAGTAATCCGAACTGCGTTTTTGCAGTGCGGATTACTGTAGCTTAAAAAGTATTCCAATTTAGTAGTACTGTAATTTTTTATTCTGAAAATTTGTTCGGAAAAAATGTATTCAGATTTGTAATTTTTTTGCAGCTCGGATTACTGTAGTTGAATATCTATCTGCAAATTTCAAAAAAATCTGGAATTTTTTGACATACAGTAATCCGAACTGCAAAAATTCCATGGTCCCCCACATTCTTGCAGTTCGGGGTACTGTAGTTCAATACGTACCTTGAAATTTTAGTTTTATTCGAAAATCTGGAAGTTTTCGAAAATCTGGAAGCTACAGTAAGCCAAACTACAAAAATTGTGAGCATTTTTGCAGTTCGGATTACTGTATCTAACTGCAAATTTCAAAACATCTGGAATTTTTGGGCTACAGTAAGTCGAACTGCATAAAATTCCCAGTTTTTTTTTGAATACTGTAGCTCAAAATGCACCATTTTTTCCATACTACAGTAATCCAAACTGCAAAAACCTGGAATTTCATATTTTTGATCTACAAAAATCCTATCCTACAGTACTCCCATTTGCCACGTGTCAAAACCTTCCGCAACTTTACACACCACGCGTAACCGCAGCAATCCAACCAAAAAAAAAACAGGTTCCCCTAACCGGATATTTTTTGTTGTTGGGTACTTTACACCCCTCCAAACACATACAAAAAAGTGAAATTTTTGTTCGTAACTTTTTTTTTCTGCGGCCGTCAGCTGACCACAATTTAGGAAAAGGCTCCGCCCACTTTTTGCGCGCGCGATTTTTTTCTGGATTTTATTTTCAAAAATTTTTTTTTGTAGAACAAAAAAAAATCAATAATGGAACTTTTGCCCGCCGCTCGCTTCGACTTGCATCAACTCAATGAGGCCAGCGTCGGCCTGGTTTCGGGCCCGAAAACTTTGGCCCGCGAAACCATCCTCAAATACACACCAAATCAGGCCTATCTGGTATTGCAGGTGGGTTTTTCTGAATAATTTTTTTTTAAATTTTTAAAATTGAAAAAAAAAATTTAGGAATTGGACAAATCGATCGCCGGCAAGGATATTTTGGTGAAAAATGAAGATGCGCTCCACCTCAAATTGATCACCATTGAGGTACGGTTTTTGCCCGCCAAAAAAACCTATGACGTCATCAAAATCTCACAGTACACAGTGTTCTGTTTATCCCCCATCAAATGACCCATTTTTTCCCAGGATCAAGTTTATCACTCCTTATTTTCCTTATCATCTATATCCTTATGTATATATCCTATCTCCGGAAAGGGAAAACGCAACAATTTGCGAAAAACCATGGCGATTTTTGAAATCTGCACGGAATTTTGATGGGGGATCAATTTTTTTCGGAAAAAATAAAAAATTTCAGGGGGGTCCTTTAAGACAAGTTTTTCAAAAATTAATGATTTTAGGTGTCTTTTGAGCCCAAATTATGTGCTTATTTAAAAAAACTAGACTATAGTTGTCATTTTTTAAGTTTAGTATGAGCAATGATTCAAAAACACTTGGGGTGGGATCCTTTAAGACAAGTTTTTCAAAAATATATCATTTTGGGTGTCTTTCAAGCACAAAGGTTCAGAAAACTAGACTATAGTTGTTATTTTTGTAGTTTAACCTGAGAAATGCCTCAAAAACACTCAAGGGGGTCCTTTAAGACAAGCGTTCCTAAATTATATCATTTTTGGTGTTTTGCGAGCCCAAATTTTATGCTGAGTTCGAAAAACTAGACTATAGTTGTTATTTTTAAAGTTTATCATGAGCAATGCCTCAAAAACACTCAGGGGGTCAGGGCTGTGCGGAATTTACTTGTCGGCATTTCGCAACGCCGACTTTCAGTGCCGAAAATTTTTTTCGGCTGGTCGGGATGCCGACTTCTTGTGCCGAAATTTTTTCTCGGAATTTCGGGATGCCGACTTTTTTGCCGAAAAAAAAAATTCGGCAATTCGGCACCCCGATTTTGTTCAAATTCGGCATTTTGGCAGTGATTCAGAAATTTTGAAAACTATAAAAATGATAGAAAAATGAATAAAATTATATTTTAGTTTGATTTTAGTCATAACTCAATAGATATGAAGCTAAAACAAGACATTCTGCAGAAAATAGAGGTAAAAACACATTTTTTATTTTACTGGAGAACATTTTGGTTGTGATTTCGGCACATTTTGAAATCGGTACAAAATTCGGCTTCTATCAAGTGCCGAAAAAGTTTTCGGTCGGTAATGCCGACTTGAAAAACTGCCGAAAATATTTTCGGGCGGTAGTGCCGACTTCAAAAATTGCCGAAAAATCAGGAAAACTCGGCATTTCGGCAAATCGGCGTGCCGATTCCGCCCAGCCCTGAGGGGGGTCCTTTAAGCCTGAATATGTCACGTTTGGTGTCTCCCAACTCCAAATTTCACGCTGAATCCAAAAATCCGCCCAAAAATCCTCATTTTCCAGACCGAAAAGGAGAACCGTCGCCTCCTTCCGATCGCCCAACAATTCCATTCAGTTCCAGCCGGCCGCCACGCTGAAAATCACCTCTCCGATTTGTTGGCCGCCCACTCGCTGGGACGCTACAATTTGGAGCTCAAGAAAAATGTGACCATCGATTCGTATCAGGTAACATCATTGCTCATTTTACAGCAAAAAAAATGTATTGCTCATATTATTATTTTTAGTTGACCGATTCGTGGCGAGACGACGCTGGATTCATCGTCACTGATCGTTTGATCTTTGCCGACAACACTTATGATGCTCAAAAATTGGTGGCAGCTTTGACACCGTCTTCTGGTGAGATTTTCGGGGGCATTGCTCATATTAAACTGCAATTTTTGGAATGAGCTTGAAATTTTGAGCTAAATGATATAACTTTTGAGGAGATTTCTCATGTTAGCCTGGAAATTTCGGATTTTCGGGATTTTTTGAGGGAGATTGCTCATGTTAAACTGGAAATTTTGGATTTTTCAAGGTTTCTGAGAGATTGCTCATGTTAATCTGCAATTTTTGAAACTAGCTTGAAATTTTGAGCAATATTATATTACTTTTGAGAAGATTGCTCATGTTAAACTGAAAATTTTGGATTTTTCGAGTTTTTTTGAGGAATTGCTCATGCTAAACATTATGAAACATTGCTCATAGTTGAAAAAATAATAATTTTCCTAGAAGTTTGAAGCATTGCTCATAATAGTCTCAAAATTCACTGAAAATCCAAATCCTGCGACATTGCTCATATCAAACATTTCACAGCATTGCTCATATTAATCTTTTATATTCAAACATTGCTCATACTAGTCTCCAAATCTCGCCATTGCTCATATTAACCTAATTTTTTCCCTCAGAAAAAATCGTGGCCTACACCGCCAGCGATTTCGACGCCGTCGCCGACTTCGACAACACTGTATGCGGCTTCTCACGCGACTCCTACTTGCAACTTTTGCTCAAAAATTCGCAAGTCTTGCTCGCCAAAAGTGGAGCTGTCGATGGCTATATCGCTGGAAACGGCGAGCAGGTAGGCGCGGTGGCCTAGAAACCCAAAAATCAAAAATAGCTCTTCCAGATTCACGCAATCTACGCCGAAACCATGGAATTGGCCCACTCACTCGTCAAAGCCTACATCCAAAAATTGGGCCTAAAAACAGTCCGATTCTTCACAGCCCAAGGAGTTTGGCCGGAAAATGTGACACCATTGAAATCCAGACAAGTTTATAGAAGACACACACGCGCTGTTCCATCATTATTGAAATTTTCCAAGGTAAAAACTTCAAAAAAACAACTTTAAGCTTCTGAAATATTCAATTTTTTGCAGATCTACGCATTGAATATGGGTGTTCACATCGTCTAGAATTATCCTATTTCTATTTTCGCCAAATTTTCTCGATTTTCTGTGATTTTGATATGATTTTCTAATAATAAACATACTTATTTTATTCCAAATTTTTGGAAAAAAATCTTTTTTCTTGCTCTCCAAGAGCTACCCCAAACTGCAAAAAAGGTAATACTAATGACCGAATTTCACAATCCTATTTTTTAATTTCTGCCAGCAGTCCTATTTTTTGCTAACGTGAAACGTGTCCCAGTTTCAAAAAAATGACGTAGATTATCTAGAGCATCAAAATCAGTATCAATTATTTTTTATTCGACAACTAAAAAGTGGAACATCGAAAAGTGCTGAAAGTGTTTTGAAAGATAACACCAATTCTCAAGCGAATTCGTATGTCACTGAATCGCAGGCTAATTTGAGCACAACTGCGAGCTCTCAGAAGATGCCAAAACAATATGACTTTGATGATGACGCCTGTTAAATGGTCGCAAACTCGATTTTTTTTTAACATTAAACTTTATTTTTTTAAAATTAAACTTCGTGCGGTTTTTGAATAAACTTCAATGTATTCGCTTTTTCAATAAATTTTTTATCCAAAAGTTTTTCATCTCTTCACAAGGGAAGTGCATAAGGGTAGGTGTTGAACTTTTTGTGCAATTTGGTACACATATAGATTCGAACCTGCTGATCTTGAATCTGTTTTCAAAAATTGCCACAAGTGCACCCAAATGGTGTTTTGCGCCATCAAAAAATCACCATTTTTTTCTTCGTTTCATATATCAAACATTTGCAGGCAGGAATAAACAGGAGCGCGTAGCCGAGTGGTAAAACACGCACGTTCTCTTAAATTTTAGGTCATGGGTTCGATCCCGCTCCAAGGCAAACTTTTTTTTTCATTTTTTTTTTCAAATTCATTTATGATAACTTGTCAAAACGCTTTATAATATTTATGATAACTGGTCGCAAATGTTTTGATTTGGAAAAAGAAATTAGTGAATGTTGCGTTCAAAAGGCAGATGACTTTTATTTTGAAACAAAAAAGACCAGTTGCACCTCCCGGTTCTCCTTTGCTTGATATTGCAAGGAGGTTGACGTTCAAAGATGGCAGTGGATTTAAACCACTAGCAAGGAAAAATAACAAAACACGGATTTTAGGCCAAACTTTATGTTTTTGACCAAAAATAAACAATGAAAATACAAATACAACTTCACGAGGAAGTGTATCAATAATAACAAAAGATGAGTTAATTACTTAACACAGAGAATTCCGAGAATTCTCAGAAAAACAACGAAAAACCTAGAAAAACACAAAAACGAAAACTAACATATTTTGAAATGCACGTGGAGAGCGCACACACACACAAAATACGTCAATCTTTTACAAGATGGCGCATTTCAGGTGCACATCCTCTTGAGGATGACTTCCCCCTCAAGAGGTGCCGCCACGGTACCTATGACAAAATAACAATTAAAAACCCTGATCGATTGGATGTTGTTTGGAAGAAGCATATATGCCCAATTTGTTTCGCTTCAACATTTGAATATGCTCAATATACTTTGGCGATATGCAACCCTCATAATCTACATTTTTGACATACACCATATTGCAATTCTTCTTCATCTTTTCTTGTCCCTTTCCAATTTTGGCTTCTTCCAACTCGATCATCTTCTTTCTCCATCTCAATTCTTCGAATTTCAGCGAAATTTCTACGAAGTATCATTCCAACACTAATTTCTTCTTTTCCCAATTTTCGATCTTCATCACCATTTTGAACTTTTGTCATTCCATTTTCATTCACTTTTCGATCTTCAACTTCCTTCTTCTCCGTCTCAACTTCGAACAAAGTGTCACAAAGGACATTTCCCATCCAAACTTTATCTTTTTCCAATTTTCCATTTCGATCATCATCTTCAACTTTTGCCATTTCACTTTTTTCAACTTTTTCATCTTTTCTCTCTTCATTTTCAGATTTTTCGACCTGATCCTTCATTTGCCGACGAACCATTTCTGAAAAAATAATCTGATTTCATATAATTTCTCAATTTTCCCTTTTCTTTCAAATCTTTCGCTGCGCCTGTTTCACACTTTTTATCCCAATTTTCCAATTTTTCAACATTTTTCTCATTTTCTCCCATTTTCTTTTCACTATCAAATCTCAAATAAATTCCAAATGTTCCAAAAAACTTTCCAATCCAAGAATCAACATATCTTCCCAACTTTGAATAATATGGAATTTCACAACTTTCTTCATATTTCTGATCTCAATCTCAATACTCCAAACTCCAATAACATTCAATCTTTTTCCACTGCAATCATATATTGAACTTCCAGCATTTTCTTCTTTCAAAATGAATTTCTTCCAATTTTCCAACATTTCTCTTCAATTTTTCCAAATTTCCCGGTTGAAACAACATTAACCATTGCTCCAATTATCAATCAAAATTGTCGCATATTTTCCAAATATCTTCACATTTTCCTTCATATCTTCCCATTTTCTTCCTCTTATGGTGTTCACCTTCTTGGTTCCTGAACATTTCAATACAATGTGTCCTTCTTCACCACATATAAAACACTTTCTCAAATCTCTTCCATTTTCTGATGCTGATTTTCCATCTTTTTTCTCTTCCGATTTCTTCTTTTCATCCTTGTACTTGTTTCTCTCCAAATCAAATTCAAATTGCAAAGCCGCAGCTTTCAACTTTTCATACTGGAATCCGTCCTTCTCATCGTTCTTCTTCACCGCCAAAAGTCCCAATAAAGTCGGATTTCGCTTTGCAGCTTGCAATAACTTCGCCGTTTTGAAAATATCGACTTCCTCTCTTTCGACGAAGAAAATGCTTCTTTTGCAAGCGAATCAACAACGATAAGATAACCTTGGAAGCGACTGATCTTGACGAATTCCTCAAATCTTGCCATTTTTCTTCGACTGCTCTTCCTCTTTGACTT